TGAATCACCTCGGGGTTCAAACTCAAAGCCCATCCGTTTGCCACAACCGAATTCTCTAGGGCGGAGTCCGCCAAAGACGCAGGGCCGAACCGAATCAGCCCCACCACTTTGACATGGCCGCCCCAGATGGAGGCTACCCGCCGCCGGTCACATCTGATCAAAGACGGTTACCAGTACACGGGCGTGCCCCCAAGTGCGTCAAATGTATCGTTCGCCAGCGGCCAACAATCCACAAATCCCCCTACTGCGGGACCGCTCGTTGACGAACGGACCCGGCTTCGGACACCACTACCCACTCCCACCGAAGGGTCCCGGGGGGACGGCCGACGGCGGGGGACGGGCAGGGCAATTGACCAAGCGCTCTCCCTGGTCCAGACAGCGCGCGGCAGTATCAGTTGGCCAGGGTCAATCAAATGGTCGTGCGTGTATCGGGACGTGGTTGGGATAGCAGCCCAACCGGGTTTATTTCCAAGGGTGCCCCACCGGACACCCTCCCCCGACTGTTCCCCACTGGCACGGGTAGTACTAATCAATCGGCCAGCCCGTACTGCACGCCCGGGCAACCAAATGCCGGACGAGTTCCAAGGCTGACCGCTCGACTCTTTGAGGCTCCGGGCCCATTCAACTGACCACATACACTACGCCACTTTACACATTGACTAGTCAACAAACCGAATTGCGATACTACAATCAAAGGCGTCGGCGACGTAGGCGCGAGTCAGCCAAACGAACGATGGAGCAAGACCAGTCGGCGGCGAGAGTGCTAATGAAAGCGACGACCCTACCAGCCGGCGGCAGCGAGGGGTGCTAACCCTACTCTACCCACACCAACCGAGGGCAGGCATCAATGGCCGGTGAGAGCCAATGAACCCACATCAATTCCCTTCAATTGCCTCGGAATTTTTTCTTTCCCTCATATATCCTCCGAACCTGTTTGGGCGGGTCTTGCGCGTGCAGCGGTTGGGTGTCCAAAACGACCATCGCCGCCGGCCGATTTTTGTATGGCGCCCATACAGAGTCCCCTCGCGGCCCGCATCGCCGAACGGCCCTGGGCGCGACCGGAGGGGGACTTGCTCGCACCTCGCCGCCGCCGGGGAACCCCCCTACCTCGTCGCCGCCCCTCCCGGGCACTCCCCCAGGGCCCTGCCGACGGCCTCGCCGTCGGCCCCCGACCTCACTGCCGCCCCCGGGGACCCTCCCGAGGGCCCCGCCGTCGACCCCGCCGTCGCCGCTGCCGCCCCCGGGGGGAGTGTGGGTGCTCGGTGGATACGTGACGTTGGTCCTGTAGTATGGAGTGGGTGTCCGTATGGTCCTGGAGTGCACACCCGGACACCTCACCGCCGCCCTTCGATGCCGCCTCACTGCCGCCGCCCTCACCCCCTCCCGTGGCCCTCACCCCTACCGCCGCATCCCCCATCACCTTCACTGCCACCTCTCCGGTCGACCCTGTCGTCCGGCCCACCCTGCCCCCCACCGCCCGAGGACATACGCGTCTCTGTTCACCGGAGAAGGGGAGGGGGGTTCCGAGCCCTCCCAACGGGGCGTAGAGGGGCACCCCGCACCCAACACGGGAGCCCAACGCCTCCTGCCCAACGCCCAACGCGTCCGGGTCGCCCCCCTCCAACACCCCAACACCCCTCAACACCCCTCTCCCAGGCCCAACGCCGGGATCGAATAGCCCAACACCGGAAAATTCCGCCCGCACAGCAAAAGGGGAAGGGGAGGGAGGGGAAAGGGGGGAGGAGGGGAGGGAAGGAAGAGAAGGCAAGAGCTCGCCGGCGCGTCCGGGTCGCCCCCAATCCAACGCCAAACAGCGTCCGGGTCGCCCCCCCATCCAACGCCCAACGCCCAGCGCCAAAGAAAGTCGTGGGACAGCTGGGTCGCCCCCCTTCCCAACGCTGGATTTCGTCCGGGCCGCCCCCCCCCCCCCCCCCGCCGCACCGGGTGCACACGGGCCGGTGTTGGAGTGTAGACAGCCGGGCCGCCCCCTCGGTGGCGCCGGCGGAGGGGAAGTCGCCCGGACGCGCAGATCGATGGGGACTCTGGTAGCTCTGATTTGATTGGCCCCTTTCTACACAATAGGGGTGTAGCGATATCAAGCACTTACTTCAACACCAAACAGTATTAATCAAGCTTTGGGCCCAACACCAAAGTCATGTGACATCAGAGAGTCATGGAGTCTATCACGTGCCAATCCAAATCACGTGATGTTGTCCCCCTGCAATCACGAGACCTAACGCAGACTGGCAGTGGAGACGTTACTTGAAGTTCAAATGGCTCTAGGAGTAGCTACTAGCATCTTTAACAATTCCCAGAGCACCAACATCGATCTAACAGACCACCGCATTCACGTCCGAGCTGAATCTCACATCCGCAATCGGCTTCAGCCTCACATCGCCGTATGGCAATACGAACTGCATTTAATGCGACTGCCGCCTGCTTCCTTCCCGTCTCACACCAACACACAACGCCACTGTAACAAGAAACTGCATCTCTGATCATGCCTCCAAAATCTTTGCCATGGACGAAGTCACCGCTGATTGTCAATGCTCCAGTCAGTCTCATTATGTGCACAGGCAAGAACGTCGTGCTGACTGCAAGACAGATGGGCGGTTTTGCTGGACCAGAGCTTGCAATTGCGGTGACCAAAGCAGGAGGGTTGGGCCAGATTGGAGCGGTCACCGACATGCAAGCACTCGATCATGGTTTGAGCAAGGTCGCCCAGGAACTAGACCGAATCGACGGCTTGCTACCCATCGGCGTGGGCTTTCTGCCCTTCGTCACGGACATGGACCAAGCCATACCTGTATTAGAGAAGCACAGACCGGCTGTTGTGTGGCTCTTCGCAGCGAGCGAGTTCGAGCACTATGCCACCTTGGCGACGCGGGTACGACGGGCCCTCCCAACTACGCAAATCTGGATCCAGGTAGGCTCGGTGGCTGCGGCCTTGCAGGTAGCAGAGACCGCAAAGCCAGATGTTCTCTGCGTGCAAGGAAGCGACGCGGGAGGTCATGGCTTCCAGAAGGGAGCTGGAATAATCTCTCTCCTCCCGGAGGTCGTGGACGCGCTTGCTGCGCATGGCCACGACATCGACGTTGTTGCTGCAGGAGGCATTGCAGACGGCCGTGGTGTCGCAGCCGCGCTCAGCCTTGGTGCGCGAAGGGGTGTCGTTGTTGGCACTCGCTTTCTAGCAGCAGAAGAGACCCAGGTCCACCCTGCGTACCAAAAGGCCGTCCTTGCGAGTCAAGACGGAGGTCAGAGCACGATTCGCAGCAAACTCTTCGATAATCTGCGCGGACCCAACATATGGCCGGTTGCGTATGACGGCCGAAGTCTAATCTCCGAAAGCTTTGATGACCACGAGCGCGGTACTGAGATGGAGGAGATTCGGCGAAAGCATCAGGCTGCACTTCAGCAAACGAATGGAGGTTTCGGTGAAAGCGGCAGAAAAGGTTACGCGGCGATCTGGGCGGGCACAGCAGTCGGACTTGTCACGAAGGTGCAGCCTGCGAAGAAGATCGTAGAGGGGCTGCAGGCTGAAGCGAAGGAGGTGTTGCTGAAAGCGAGCGCTCGGCTGTGAATATGGGCAGTCCAAGATTGACTTGTACCAACACGGGGCGCAAGGTCTGCGATGATTGAACTGAGACGAATATGATGACATGGACAAAAAGCACGCGGCGGGATGAGCGGGACGCAAGATGTAGAAAAATCGCGCATCGAGCACTTTGAAATTGAGCTCAATCGCTCAAGGCGGGCTGTAGTTTCACATCGCACCCGAGAAGTCTTCTTTTTCTCTACTCACCCGAAGAACTCTCCATCAACCAGGGTCTCCCATGGTTTGCCGGTCCTCCAAACTTCCTCCATCAAGATCCTTGCTCTTTCGACCTGCGCCATTCCCCAGCCCTCGATAGCCTTGAGCCGATCCATGAACACGCGTCGGTGCTCCTCGGTCAACGCTTCGCAGCCACCGGTGAACATGGGAAACAGCAGATTGCTCTCTGCCGAGCTACCTCGTCGTACCTTTGACAGCGCGCGAATGATGAGTACGACGTTGTCTTGCACTTCCTGGGCCGAGGGAGGCAGCGCAAGAACGCGACGGTACAAGTGGATAAGGCCAGCCCAGTGGTAGGCTTCGTTGGTGGCATAGATCTCCGCGATATCCTGGTCAGACTTGTCGCCAGGTGATTTGACATTGTATCGGTCTTGGTGCGTACATCCGCCGTACCAACTCTTCGCGCTCGCGCGGATCTTCTCCAGCACATCTTCTGCTTGCTTGCGGACGTCTTCGGGAGGGCCCCACTCCGTACGCGAGCGACCGGTGACCAGGTCGACGCGCTGGTTGCCACATTGCGCAGCCAGCTCAGCGACCCTCGCGAGCAACGCAATGCACTTACCACTGAAGCCAAAGAAGCAGTCAATCTGATTCACTTCGACATCGCCTCGGTTGACCAGCCACAAGCCTCCACCGTCTTCCATGTATGCGCCGTACAGTGGCTGCTCCTGTTGCCCGCTGCTGATGCTGCCGAGAACATCGAGGTACGCGAACCATCTGCTGAGGAAAAAGATGGCTTTGTCGCGAGCGCCATCGGCTTTAAAGGCCAGCTGGTCGAGACCGCCCTTTGAGACGATCAGCTGCCGGGCAATGTTCAGATGTTGCCTCCATGGGATAGAGACCGAGAAAGTCTCCGGACTGACGATCTCTAGCGATGCCAGCATGATTGCTGTGGCAAGCGGGGCCAACGACGATGGGTCCGTAGGGTCTGCGACGCCTGGCGAGGACGGTTCGTTGAGAGCTTCCCGAAGAGCTGGAACGACATCGGCCATCCAGGCAGCAATGCGGTTGGCTGGCTCGTCGTGGTGGAGCAGGCGTGCACGGTGAGAAGCAGAGTATGCCAGCATGAGGTGGAGAAGATGCCGGTTGCGCACCGCCATTTGCGGCAGCACGCCTCTGAATGGATTTTCAGGACAATCGTGCGGAACAAGAATGCGGCCGGTGTCTTTTGAGACGGATGAACATGGGTTAGTGAATGTCTTCTAACGTTTTTATCGGCGAAAGCCTGCACAAGAAAGGACTTACGATTGATGAAGTGGTGGAAATACAGGAGATTCATCGGATTCTCAAGCAGCTCTTGTGGTAGCGGCTCCAGTGCTTTTGGGATCTTCACGGGAACTGGCTCTGCATAGTATCCACCAGGCTCAAAAGCAATCTGGCGGGAATCCAACTCGCCGCTGGACGAACTCACCTCCGAAACTGCAGCGCTGGCACGTCGGAGGTCAGGAGACCGAGGCTGGATGACGTTCATATCGTCGTTGCGTGGAGAATCGGTATCGGGGAAGCCGTGATCATAGCCATACGTGCGGTAGCCCATGCTATCTCTTCGATAGTATCGAGGCCGCTCCGGCTCATCTGTTGGCTCGGCCAGAAGAGACTTCACTGACAAACGGCGAAGGTCTGGAGGACCTTGCACTGCCGAAGGAGGCTGGGCATGCTGTGGGAATGGTGAGCTGGAGTGGATGCTGGATCCCGGGGTGGCAGGGGTGTTGACAATGCTACTGATGCTGTGGGGAGTGAAGTGCGTAGAGCCCGGGGACTGTTCGGCCTGGGTGGGGTGTTGAGGAATGGCGAAGCGCGGACTGTTCTGCCCGTTCGGGGGGCTGTTGATAGAGCTGAGTTTCATCCGTTTCGCTCCATGCTGAGGAGACCAGCGAAACTCCTCCTCAGTTGGTGCGGATGTTGGGGGAGAGCGCTCGCTGAGCGTGGACGCCTGGGGATAGCCGAAGCTGAGGTAAGGCGGCAGGGTGTACTGCGTTGTTTGGGAGTCGTTCGTCGTCCTCAGCCGCGGGTCCAGCGTCGCTCCCTCGCCATCAGGCGTGGCGTCCGGAGTGGGCAGGTCGGTGGAGTGCCGGCGGGGAGGTGGTGGTGGGGCAGTGGCAATGTGCTGGGCGGAGAAGACGTGCTCTTGGCCCGCACTGCTGCTCTTCGAGTGCGAGCCCACGCTGGGCCGACTCACGAACGTGAAGCCACCAGTCTCGACACGCGAGCCGTCCAGGTCTTTGCGGCCTCGTCCGCCCCAATTCAGGCGGATGCTGTAGTCGCACGGCTCGCCCGTCTTGACGCAATTGCTACATGACGGCTTCTCCTCGCCGCATTTCACCTTGCGGCCCTTACAACCCCAGCAACCGTTGCGACTTCTCTTCTTCGGCTCCGCGCCTGCGTCCTTCTTCGGTCGTGGCATGCTTGTGGACGCAGTGGTGCGACGAGGTCCTGAGGTACTGCCCCGCCCCCAAAGCAACCGCACGCCCTTTCCACGGCTAGCAGTAGAGTCCTAGAGCTCCTCCTACAGCACCATCTCGGCTGGTCGCAACGAGGGCGGTGAACGTGGGTCGGGTCAGGCGCAGTTGAACGTGCGTGGTGGAGTCACGGGATGGTCGGTACCGGCAGCACAGCGATGCGACTCGATCGATCAGGTCCTGGAAGGTTGCCGAGCGTCCAGCGTTGGCTACCTGGAGGTGGGATGTGGTCGTCGTATGGTGTCAGATGCTGAGGTGGTCGTCGAACGTGGGGAGGCAGGTGGAGGTCTAGGTGTGTCTTGGCAGTCTGGTGTGGGGTTGGGTCCGGAGGCACAGCGGCGGCCGACTTCAGCCGGAGCCGACATGGGCGCTGTCTGAGATATATGTAGTATCACTTCTACTTGCACACTCTGTATCTTACTTCGTATTCTTCCACCCTGTCGCTCTGCAATGGCCGACAACACGGCTCGACGGCTGGTAGATCGACATCCGCTCCAGCGTCTCAACTCGCCCTCTCGAGGCGCATCTGCTCTTCTCCACGCACGTTTCCTCTCCGTCAAAGGCCTGAGAGCATACGCTGACTTCACGACAGTCCCTTGGTCTGGCTTCCTTCGCATACTCTTTCTCCTGGCTCGTGCGAAACCCAAATCCCGTGTATGTCGCGCCTCGGATCCCACCAGACATCTAGCTGACGGCTCGTGGACAGCAACGAGTCGTACGGATGGCATTTGCAATACTTGACCATCATCGGTCTATCTCTTGCCGCGGCCACCTTCGCCGTCGGTCTGCTCGCCGATCTTTCCGCCAGCCCCACGCTCTTCCGCGTCAAGAATGCGCTCAGCGTGGCCAGCGCGCCCATGGAGTGCTTGATCAGCTTACTGTATTGGAGCCTGCGTGCGGTGGGTATTGACGCCTGGCATCTCATGAGCCCTCACACTGACACTCGCCCAAGGTTGACGAGAAGCTCGTCTTGCCGGACTGGGCGATGCGGTTGCCGATGCACACGGATCTGTCCTTTCATGCCGTGCCCTCCTTGACCCTGGTCATCGATCTGCTCTTCTTCTCGCCCCCATACAGTATTACCTTCCTGCCCGCACTGGCGCTCAGCGGGTGCATCGCATTTGGGTACTGGTTCTGGATCGAGCGCTGCTACCAATTCAACAACTTCTACCCATACCCGCTTTTTGAAATGTTGAGTACTGCGGAGAGGATTGGGTGAGTGATTCTAGATCCTAGTTCTGGCACCTCTTCTGATCGTCAGACAGGCTGTTCGGGGCATCGGCGCTCCTCATGACTTTGTCGACGAGTCTACTTGTATGGTTGTATGGAGTCGTGAACGGAAAGGTCACTGGCCAGCAAAAGAGCGGCAATGTGAAGGGAGAATAAAGGGCTGTGGATATAGATCAATAGATGTAGATAGATATATAGACGATAGAGCATTGGCCGAACGTAAAGTGCTGAGGCTTCTCATTGCGTCTGGTATTGTCCCAGTTGGCACAGGTTGTAGCTAGCGAAACCGCAGTGACCTGGCTCATCTCGGCATCACCGCAGTGACGTGCAGTAATGGCGAAAGTGCCTCGAGCGTTGCTGCTAAAGAGTTGCATTGGGATCGACTTGTAGAGCACGTTCTGCTGCGGACTGCAATGGCTTGCTGTGACAGACTTGAAGTATTGACGTCCCATGCTTTGATGCTGCCCAGGCGAAAGACTCGATTTCGCTCTTGCGCCCGCCGGACATGTAGCCAAACGACCTTCGCTATTCCAGTGCAAGTGACAAGTCAACGATGTCTTCTTTTGGCGCTCGCGCTGGCCGGCGGGTCCATTGGTGTGGTATGAGCACCGTAACCGTTGAGACAACGACACAGTCGCTCATCCTCACATCATCGCACGACCCCCGTTGTGCGCGACTGATGGCAGACCACCCGATTCGTGGAACATACGCGTCTTGATATGATAGTGATGACTTCCCGTCTGACTTTGGCGTCACTTTTTCGTGGGTTGCTTATCCTGCTCTTCTACCAACGACTTGCTCCGACTCGCCTCGTTTTCTATGACCAGAAGCGTACCAGCGAAGGCAATCGCAATGCTGGTTGCGGCCACCAAATTCACGCCAGATACGTTGGGCTGGAACACGCCTCTTTGGAGCTGCCGCATCACCCGGTAGTATCGAATGAGACCATGCCCAACGCAGGCCGAGCCACTGGCGACCAGGAAGCCCGCGGCAATCTTCGTCCGACTGTCTTCCAGGTGGAGCAGCGTGGGCGAGATGGCTGCGAACGCTTCGACTTTCTCCAGAGCGACGCCGAGTGCAATGAAGCCGAGACCGGTGCGAGTCCAGGCGAGGAAGGTCCTCTCGGATGCGAGCAGATCTCTCGCAAGACTGCCGGTGTTCTTTAGCGGCTCTACGCGAGCGAGGGAAAGGAAGCGGCGAAGCATTGGCGTTGCATTCAGCTCGCAGGCAGTCTATGGGACGCTGCGCCTTCTCATGATAGACAGCATAAGGTAGCGTTGTTGATGGTCAGAAGACGAGGTGTCGTTCGGAAGGGCTCGGCTGAGTCAGTCTCGGGGGCAGACCACATGCAACTTTTGGCTTGAATCACGCCCAGATCTACTGCGGCCAAATACGAGAACGACGTGAGAGTACTATCGAGAAGAAAAAGCTCCACATATGCATAATGCAGCCCATGGATGAGGAATGTACCTCACAGTGCTTCTACGACCAAGCTCAACCCACTGTCGCTGTCTCATCACACGATGTGTGCTTTTCGAGCACAGTGCCGGCGGTACCCGCCTCCCGTTGAGTCCAGGGAGTCCATGTGAGGAACGGTAGGACATAGCAGTCGGCTGGAGGTTGCTGGCGGTCCGAAGATGACTGTCATATACGCTATCAGAGGACAGTACCTTCAAGCACGACCACCAGAAATCTCGACAACAGATCCATTCATATAGCGACTCTCGTCACTGCAACAGTCAGCATCACCGGCATCTTCGAGTCTACCATCAGCAACCTACCCGAACAAGAATGCCACAACGTCCGCCACTTCAGCAGGAGTGCCCATCCTTCCCATGCTGACTTGAGCTTCCTGTTTCTTAACCGCCTCTGGTCCGGCGACAACACCAGCGTTTGAAGGTGTGTCGATGTAGCCAGGCGCTATCGCATTGACTCTGATCTGGCTCGATCCAAGCTCTAACGCCATCGACTTTGTGAAGCCAATTATACCGAATTTGGTGGCATTGTATATTGCAAAACCTGGAGAGGCACAGTGAGCCGTGATCGGTTTACAATGGATGTGTATTGACCTTTAGCCGCCGTCAGACCCATGATCGAACTCACGTTGACGATCGAGGCACCGGGTTGTAGATGCGGGATTGCAGCCCTCGTTATACTGTACGTCCCTTTCAGATTCGTGTTGACAAGCTTATCCCAATATTCGTCAGAAGTGTCGGTCAGAGCGAGCGAGGTAGGATTGACGCCAGCGCAGTTGAACACAAAGTCGATACGGCCTAGAGACTCGACAGTCGAATCCACGAATTTACTGCATGCTTCGGATGAAGCCACATCCACGATTTGGACCAGTGGTTCAGTGCCGCATAGCTTCGCGGTCTCATCTAATCCTGCCTTGTCAATATCGCCTAGTGCAAGCTTTGCCCCCGAGGCCGACATCTTCTGTGCTGTGGCTCTGCCGATTCCACTGGCTGCCTGCAGAAGAGCAATGGTCAACCAATGCTTCAGAAGAGGAGGAGATTGTCGCCCATAAACGCCGTACCCCAGTGATCAAACACACTCGTCCACCGAAGCGGTAAGATGCCATGGTTTAGCAATGTGCTAATGGTACTGCCGTAACGGTCGTGCTCGGGTTGATGGCAGGCCTTCCGAAGCATGTATAAGTTAGCTCAATGCTGTATAAGAAAGCTGGAGATGTGCTTACGATGGTCGAATTATTGCACTCTCAAGAGCAGTTCGAAGAGTGGCAGCATGTGATAGTCATCTCAAAAGGGCAGGTCCGGCGGTCTTGGCCCGGCTCACGTCATTGTTGTTGGATTCGCGTCTCACGCGACATGGACTTCTTAACTTTTGTTCTATACACAATGTGAGTAAATCTCATCGCGCGCATCCTTAGCTTAACCATGACTCTACCCTCGAGTCCGCCCTACATACCATCCTTCGACGTACCGAGCTCACCACTCCCCGAGATCGAAGAAGCCGGCGAGCTGCCCGTTCGCGCGAGCGACATCGTTCCCGGCGAAACTCGCAAGAGACCGTTCTCCGACTACGAAAGCAGCAGCGAGCCCTGGTTCTCGGACGATATCTCGGACGCGGAAGTAGGGGATAGCTTGAGACAAGACGAGCATCGGCGCAAGCGCTTGGTCAAAGGTCCATGGTGGAAGGTGGGCGGTCGAGGGGGCAGTCTCCGTCGCAAAGCCATGGCCAAGCGGGAGCATGTGTGGAACGACAGTGGCGTGTGGTTGGGCAGTGACAGCAGCGAGGAGCAAGCAGGTCCCGCAGGCGTCAACCAGCGACCGCTCGTAGAGCTCGAAGAGAGCGACTATCTACGATCCTCGCCTCCGCCAGCGCCCTTGTCGCTGACCCCCGGGGAAGAGCACGCTGCCGCAATCATCAATGGTTGTGTCGACAGAGGACAGGAGATGGTGGAGCTGTCAGACTTGGCTCTCACACAGCTCTCCGATCCCACACTTCGCCCGTTGCATCAGCTGATTCGGCACACACACATCGACTTGACCCAACCACCGAGCGAGGATGAGTTTGGGCCTCTGACGCCATCGATCCAGCTCTACCTATCCTGCAACGCGCTGTCTTCGCTACCTTCAGAACTCTTCGAACTGGAGAACATATCGGTGCTCAGCCTGCGCAACAATCAGCTTACCCATGTCCCATCTGCTATCGGGAGTCTACGCAACCTCAAAGAGCTTCACATTTCCCAGAACAGCATTTCCTGGCTGCCATGGGAGATGTTGGATCTTTTCTGTTGTGGCGACAGCCATCGACAGATCGTCACTCGGCCAAACCCTCTCCTCGACCCGGCTCCAGGCTTCGAAGAGCCGAAGCATCTGCGCAGGCCGAAGGTCGCAACAGGCGAGTTCATGGAACATCTCAGCAGATGGGGAGAGACGAGCGGGGCGTTCTTTCAAAAGATGAGGGAGTGGTACGCTGAGGAGGACGAACCGTGGACAATCCGCCACGAGCTGGAGCTGAAGTTGAAGTTGGGGAGATTGAAACGGACGAACCACCTCCAAGAAGCGTCGCGGGCGGGCATGGAGGTCAAGATGTGCTGCAACGAGCAGCTGATCTATCTCGCGAGCTCCGCCATCCGATACTTCCAAGTCGACGGGTCACCCTGCCGTGACGTCTCAGGGGGCAGACCGTTAGCAGACAGCGAGCTGTATGCGGCAGTCATGGATCCGCACATCCACGTGCCACCTACGACCGAGCATTCGGCAGTGCCGTCGCTCTTCGAGATGTCGCTCCGGTCGATGCAGGCGAACTACGACCTACAAAACCCCTCAGAATACCCCAGCAACCTTTCACTATCAGTCACGTCTGCTCTGCAACAGGCGGCCGGTGCTGCACGGCGAGGCAACGACTGCTGCTCTACGTGTGGCAGAAGATATGTCATTGCGAGGGCGGAGTGGATGGAGTTCTGGTTCAACGGCTTTCCATCGCAGGAGTGTCTCACACGGGATACGGTGCTGCCGTTTTCAAGGAGGGCGTGCAGTTGGGCTTGCGCGACTCCTAGCCAGTTGGGCTCTTTTCGATCCTAGGGTATGAGTGTATATTGGGCAGAGGGGAGGACGGGATACGAGCACTGTCCAAACACTTCAAGTTGCTTGACTTGCTTCTCATTCTCCGATATGTCTATCTCACGTGAAAGTCGCCCAGGGTCACGTGTTGGAAGGTCAGGGCTCACGGCAAGTTCCGAGAGCTCTCCCCCGCGCCAAGCTGTCCGCGGCCCCCTCGGCCCTTCCGCTGGCGCACTTTTCGCGCTCTGGTCGTGCTTCACGCGGACCTCCAACCTCCATCTCACTCCCAACCCCTTCACCCCCCTCCACTCCATGATTCACTCCTTCGCTGCTTCACCGCACCGCATTCTCTTGCATTCACCACCCTCGTACCACCACCGCCATGGCGGAGCCGCCGGACGACGCCAGTGCGACGAAACGGCACCTGGCACTCACGCTGCTGGTTGAGCTACCTTTTCCGCTGAACAAGTCGCTGGACCAGTCGCTCCTGAGAATCAATGCCGCCAATGCCAAAATCCTGTCCATCGAGACTCGACCGACGCACAGCAGCAGTCAGCTCGCTCGTCCGACGTCACGTCAGCAATCGCAGTCCCAGCTTGCCTTTCCACATGCTGCGCAGACTGCTCAGTCACCCCCCGCACTCGCTACGGCTGGCTCGATCCCGACACCCGACACCGCTGCTGCCGCCGCCGCTGCGAAGGCGCCGGGCAACAAGACGCCCACTTCCGCTCAGCGACCGCGGGACCCTCACACCAGCACTGTTCGGCCTGCTACCCGTCCTCCACGACAGCATACGCAAGCGTTGACCCAGCAGCCGCAGCTAGATGCTGAAGCTGAAGATCCGATCGAGGATGAAGACGATGCCATCCTCAACAACATCGCCGATGACGACTTTCCCGACGACATCTCCATCATCCAGGGCACGCAGCCCCAACCCCGGCCACAAGTACAGCCGCAGACGCAACAGCAAACACAACCACAACCGCAAGCACGACCGCCACAACGACGTTCCGGCACAGCGTTCGAGGTCATGGCGAGATCAAGGAGCCAGCAGAATCGTAAACCCACCGGCAACTGGTCGGTCGAGGAGGACAAGATACTCCTCCATGGTATACGGCTGAACTGGACCAGCACGCAGTTCATCGGCGCCTTCAAAATTAATCGAACACCGAGTGCCGTCCGCGGGCGCAAGGCATGGTTGGTCAGGCGGTATCCGAATGGTGTGGTTCCTGCGGGTGACGAGCGTCACGGATCGGTTGAGAACGCTTCGACTGCGGTCCCACCTTCTTCCAATACGCGCTTGAACTGGGCTCTGGACGAAGTGCGCGTCCTTAAGAAGGCGCTCGGCGAAGGCTATGATGCTCCAGAGATCGTTGAACGACGTTTTCCCAACCGATCGTTGGAGTCTGTGACGAAGAAGGCCGGGCGGGTGGAAGAAGCTGTGATGAGACACGAAAGAGCAACTGCCGACTTTCCCCAGGATGACAGCGCAGTGGAAGGATGGGGCGACTCTGCCAATCTAAAGTTGCGGAGAGCTGTACGCGAGAAGCTGTCTAAGAAAGAAGCACACACCGCCTACTTCAGACTGTTCGCCAAGCGAGATTTCCAAAGGAAGTGGAACGCATACAAAGCGCAGCTGAACGGGACCGCACCACTTGCTCGACCAGAGCGACAGGATGGAACTGCGGTTCAGGGGAACAAAGGGACGCAGCAGACTGTTGACCAAAGCACCCCACCGAGCGCGCAAATCCCCACCAGCAGCTTGAGCACAGCTCAGCAGAGTTCTCCGACCCGGCGTCCAGTCAACCGGCCCGAGAACCTTACCGCAATTCTGCCTGCGGACGCATCGACGAATCCCTCTGCGACGCCTTCCGCAAGGCCCTCCACGAGGCCTTCTACGAACGCAGAGACGAACCCTACCCCGAATGCACCCGATGCCCGTGCAAATGCTCAGGCGTCGGACGAGATGGACATTGTACAGGTCGCTGAAACTGGGCAAACGGAGCAGGCTATCTCAGAATCACACCAAGATGCCCAGGCGTCGGACGAGATGGAGATTGTCCAGGTAGCTGAGACCGGGCAAATGAAACAGGCTATCTCAGAATCACACCAGGGCACCCAGGCGCCAGAGGAGACGGAGAGCGTACAAGCAGCTGAAACTCGGCAAGGGACTCAGCCCATCTCAGAATCACACGAAGACACTCAAGCGCCAGAAGAGACGGAGAGCCTGCCGGCAGCACAACCGCAGCACACCAACCAGACCACTTCACACTCCCAGCCCGATGATCTAGCTTCAGACGTGACCGAGGAGGTACCAGCAACACATGAGCCGCAGGCCTCTCAGCCTGCTTCACAGAACAAGTCTACAGCCCATGCCGTTGTGCGGGGGCAGCCACAAATGCGCGGCCAGCCTTTGATCCGCACGCTCACTCAAGTACCGCAGCTGGCTCCGCCAGAGGAGTGGCCAGAGCTGGCTGTGGGTGCCGTTGACCGCCGAAACATGGTTCTCGTTGGCCGCTGGCCACATACCACCAGTGTTCATATCGAGACTCTACTCCAACAAGGGGACGTCGTACTCATGAAGAGGGCTGTGGAGCAGTCTGCTGCGCAGGGCTGTCCCGAGGACGCGCAAGAGGATTTTGACATGGGTAAGCTGTCGGTGAGGCAGTTGTATGCTCTGAGCTGCGGGGACGAAGACGAGAGGAAGAGATTGTACGAGCGGCAAAGGCGCATGATCCGCGAAAGCCGTATCAGGCATGATCGGCCGGGACCACGTCGACAGAAGATCGATTACGTCGAGCGGCCAGACGGTCACGGCGGTGTTATTCTTGTCCAGGAGACGTTCAGCGAAACGGACACCGAGGCCGAAATGTGGGAGGACATGTACGATGGTCCCGATAGCGAGGTGGCTGATGATGACGTCGAAGAGGAAGAAGAGGAAGAAGAGGATGGGGAGGATGCCGGCCAGCAAAGCGTGAGCGGTGCGAACGTGGCAAGTGGTGGAAAACTCTGCAAAGCAAAGGCGATGACCTTTACGAGCGGCCGAATCCTCCCGAGCCAGATCGATGACACATATGAAGTGTACGACGACAATGGCAATTTGGTCGATGTTCGGTACAAACAGCAGGTATCAGATGCGTTGGTCGTGGATGTGGAAGCGGCTACAGATGCAGAAGCTGATGTGGATCTCGACCTTCCCACCGCTCCGCCCATGGAAGAGGTCGAGGGATTCGTCAACGACACCGTCGCTCCAACCGACGAGCAGCTGCAGGACTTGACGCAGAGCGGCGATGTTCAGATGTTCGATGAGGATAGAACCTTCATGGGTACCAGACAACACGCTGCAGCGCGCCAATCACCCGAAGTCCGTTCGAGCCCGATGACTGCTGCTGAGCAGTCAGCTTTCACGGCGGTCGCTGAGACCTCAACGCCGGCAGTTCTTGGTTTGGACAGCCTGGATCAAGACGAAGCGAGTCGTGACGGAGCGCAGGCGACAGCAGCGACCGACGATACGCCCACGAAGAAGCGCTCCCAGCGCAAGAGAACGCACTCCACCAGCGAGGGTGCCGGCACCGCTACATCATCTGATCCAGAGGATGGAAACACCGCCGATGATGAGTCACCAAGGCGCAGGAAGAAGATCAAGACCGAGCTCATCAGCAGCCCTGCCAAACCAAGACAGCAGCGGGACGCAATCCAGCAACAGCGTCTGGCCGACCAACTCGCGATGCCACCTCCTCCGTTGCCGACGAGCGCGGTGTCCGAGGAAAAGGCGCAGCGGAACGCGGAGCGCAGGGCAAGGAAGAAAGCCAACAGGAAGGCGGCCCGAGAGTCTACTGCTGAGAGATCGGACCCAATCAGCGTCGAGCATCATGAGGGTCTGGGTAATCGCGAAAGGCGCCGCAGGCGCATGCCACCAATCAGCTCAGACGCTCCGGGGTCGGATGCCCCTGCACGCAGAACCAATGTGGAAACGCGCAGTCACGCCTCCAGACGTCGGACCACTCCTCGCACCACAGCGATTGTGCAGTCGATTGAGGCGCCGGAAGCGAGGCCTAAGCGGCGCATCCCTCAGCAGGACAGGACTCCAGGCAACAAGTCGGGCAATGCGGACCAAGGACTCGGGCTGGGGCCAGACTGGTACAAGGCCAACCCAATTCAGACATCCCCTCTCAAGCCCAAGTACGTGCCGCCGTCACCGGTCAAGCTGCCTTACGACAACGATGCCTCGTCCCTGCCGAGTACCATGCAAAGCAGCATCGTAACTTGATACGGGTGTATGCGAAGGAGGTGGGTGGGTGAATGGCCTGCTGGATGGTGGAAGTGGAGTTTATGGCTGGGCGTTTGGGGTGAGACTGGCTTCGGAGTTTTCAGGTGGCATTGTTGCTGCGACATAGCAACCAAGACGGGAGTCAAGGACAGACTTCAGAAGGAATAGCATGTCCTCAATCGCTTTGCAAGGGATAGTTTGACTGGCGGATGGTCCAGGTGCTAGACTCAGACTGTGTGTTTGGAGGTAGCTAGCTGTTCGTTTCTACGATACCTACTGTACATAACTTATTATCCAATGAGCATTTCAAGAAACTCGCACTTGTTTTCCCAATGAAGATCCATTGGACTGATCACGTGACATTACCAGCCTGAGGCATGCTAGCCAAGAGTTCAACAGCCAATCAGATGGAAGGCAATGGCAAAGCAAAGCAGGAGCTCTTCCGCAGAGGAATTGAATCGTGACCGTCACCACCGAAACACCGCCCGCCACCACCACCAGCAACCCACACCATCCCTCCGCTCCGCTGCCGTCACAGCCAGCCCTCGTGCATTGCGGCCGACTGCCTCACATCATCATGCTGGCCCGATCGAGCCTGCGGGCGGCGCGCTCGGCCAGGAGCATCTCTTCTCCAACCGTCACGGTACGTCCCAACATCCCTCAATCCTCCCTCCACCTCCCTGCGAGGGCGGACATATGCCATGGTGGAATACAAAGTCATCTGCGATAAAGGATTTGAATATCGTTGGAAGCTGACTCTAGAGTGATGCGCAGCGCAATGCCTCGTCTCAGTCCTCCTCCGAGTCGGCGGCGGCGTGGAAGAGCAACGGCCTCCTCGCCTCGTCAACCCTCCTGGCTGTTGGATCGGTGTCATGGTACTACTACCAATTCGGGCGCCCGACGCAGGCCATGACTCCTGCTGAAGAAGGGTGAGTGCGCGACGGGAAGAGCACTGAAAAGCAGGGCACGAGCTGATACGGGCGTGACAGACTCCATGCACCAGTGCACCCATGGGAGCACACCAAACTCTACAAGACGTTCGACCACTCTGCCCTCCGCCGTGGCTTCCAGGTCTACCGCGAGGTCTGCTCCGCCTGCCACTCCCTCCAGCGATTGCCCTACCGCAAATTCGTCGGCAGCTTCATGACCGTGGATGAGGCCAAGGCATTGGCAGAGGAGAGCGAGTACGACACCGACCCCAACGACGAGGGTGAGGTGGAGAAGCGCCCTGGCAAGCTGTCCGACTACATGCTCGCACCCTACAAGAACGACGAGGCGGCGCGGGCTGCGAACAACGGCGCTCTGCCGCCAGATCTTTCGCTCATCACCAAGGCCCGCCACGGTGGCTGCGACTACATCTTCGCCCTCCTCACCGGCTACCCCGAGGAGCCACCAGCGGGTGCGGTCGTTCAGTCCGGTCTGAACTTCAACCCTTATTTCCCAGGCACCGGCATCGGCATGGCGCGCGCGCTCTACGATGGCTTGGTCGAGTACGAAGACGGAACATCGGCGACCACCTCGCAGATGGCAAAGGACGTGGTGGAGTTCCTGAACTGGGCTGCTGAGCCAGAGATGGACGACCGCAAGCGCATGGGGTGGAAGGTCATGGCCGTGACCTCGGTCTTGTTCGGCTTGTCCGTCTGGGTGAAGAGGTGCGTGATGACACTGACTTGTGACCAAGTATTCGACCGCTGACCATATTTCACAGGTACAAATGGTCCAACGTCAAGACCCGCCGGCTTGCGTACCAGCCCCCACCTCCGAACGCGCAGAAGCAGCCAGGCTCCGTCTTCCGGCGATGAGTGGTTTCAGAAGGCGTTTCTTCAAATGAGATGGCGGCGTGGAGGGGTGAGAACTGAATGCATGTATACAGCTGTTTCTACCAAGCGTTTCCTCGTGTATCAATGCTGTGCTTTTAAACATTTTTGGCCCTTTTTCTGACTTTACTTGCGGCGGTCTCCGGCGTGAGGGCATGTTCTGTATGCAACGATTCGACCCCGGAACATCACATCTCTCATCGTTGGATCAGGATCTCGCCGTTTAGTAACGCGAAGCATCCATCCTCCGCGACCGCCCATGCCTCCCACGCCTTTGCCATCTCCTCCAATTCATCCTTGGTTGCAAGTCCCATGCTCAAGGCCTTCTTACCGACTTCACCAGTTCTCGCCCGACTTGCCCACGAAGCGCCTGAACAGGAATCAGCGAACGAACACGACGAACGGCACGATAACTCACCCCAGACCTCCTTCTCCGCCCGCTCACTGTAGCACCACGACCCCTGCGTCATCCTCACCTGCTCCCTTCTCACACCCGCCTTCAACGCCCACGATATCAATTGCGGCCCCGCGACATTGGTGCCGCCGTTCGCCTCGTGCGTCTCCATCTGGATCTGATGGAACCGCTGCAGCGCAGGCAACAGAGGCCAGAACGACCACGACCGCATGTCCGTCTCGCAGATCCCGATGACGCTTCCCGTGGGTTTGGCGACACGCAGGAGCTCCTTTACTGCGTCAACAGGAGAGTCGAGGTAGCAGAGCACCTGGTGCACGTGCACGACATCGAACGAGTCGTCGGGGAAGGGGAGGCTGTAGACGCTTCCGGTTTGGAAGGTGATGTTGTTGACGCCGACTTGTTCGGCGTGTGCAGCGGCGCTCTGGAGGACTTTGTCTGAGATGTCCGTTGCTGTTACATGACCATTGGGCATGTACTTCGCCAGTGATGCTGTGATTGTCCCTGGGCCGGCGCCGACGTCGAGGAGAGTTAGGTTGGGGCTTGATGCAGCTTTCTCTTTGAGAGCGGGAAGTAGATATGCTGCGCAGTTCTCGGCCGTACGTAGTTGATGGTGCTTGACATCTTGATGGCCGGGGAAGTAGGTGTTGCGTTGTGGTTGCGATGTTTGAGCCATTGTGAGGTAAAGCTGTGGAGGAAAGCTTGTCAGCTCTCACGTATACCAACAGCTCAAGACGTCAAGATGCGCAACAAGCTGGTCTGCTCCTTCCTACTCCGGCAGGTGGAGCAGATCGAGTTGCGGAAAGACATTCCATTCGAGACATCCTCTTTGCTCTGGAGATGAGGTCTTCACTCAATACTCATGATGACTCACCGAACACAGAATGGATACTTCCAGCTCTGGAAGATACACTGAAACTACTACACTTGTACACAGCATAGTAAATTTGCTCCGAAGATTGCTCCAAATCGTTCACATACAGCAGCGTCCCTCCTGGCAAGGACGATAGTAACTAACCACCCTCATCTACTCGGGCAACCACCACCTATGACCCAGCAGCCATGTCCAACATCTTCCGCATCGAAATCGCAAAGGAGAATGAGATCCCTGATCTCGCAGCCCTGATGATCCCAACCTTCGCACACTTCACGGTCGAAGCGATGCTGGGCAATATTGACGAGCCAAAGGCGATCGAAGCGGCTGGCCAACGCCACCTGCGCGCATGGCGGGAGCACATGGATGAGACAGGTCGTGCAAGCGGCATCAAGTGCGTGGCCAGTGATCTCGAAACCGGAGAGGAAGTGCTGGCGGCGTGCGCATACTGGTACATCTTCTCTCATCCGCGGTCCGCGGTGCATATGCACAGACCGAACTTTCTGCTCTCAGCAGACTGGGTTTCCGAAGAGAACGATCGACGGGAGAAGCTCAGACGCTCGCTCCAGCCAGTAATCGATATGAGACAAAAGTGGTTGAAGGGCAGAGGGCACGCCGTGCTGATGTTCCTGGCGACGGACAAGGCCTGGAGGAGGAAGGGCGCGGCGACGGCGATCGTGCGATGGGGACTCGATCGCTGTCGTGAGCTGAACGTTCCGGCCTTTCTGGAAGCGAGCGATGAAGGAGCGCCGGTCTATGAGAGGTTGGGTTTTGAGGTAGTGGACGAGGTGGTGATGGAGATTGAAGGCGAGAGGGCGGGGTTCCCGGCGATGATGTGGTGGCCACCAGGTACCAAGGAAGTAGATAAAAGGCCTGCGATGGCATGTTGGACTGGGTGACAGGCCGCATGATGACGGATGCAGCAAGTTGCTGAGAATGGATGGCTTGGTTGTTCAGGCCTTGAGGTTTGAAGAACGGTGCTGGTGGCAACAAAGACGTATTTCGACAAGGGATCGAGCTGGTGGTGTTGTGCCTCGCTGCATGGAGCTGATGACTCCATCGCCAGAAGCAAGTCGACGTAGTGTCGGGATCTGGAGTTTCCGCGCCTTTGTGTTTGAAGAGATGGTGGTGCACGGTTCTGGTGTGGGAGCCGAGAGCACCCTCTGTTCTGCATATATGTAGAATTGCGATATAGTGCATCACGCTCGCCTTTCGCAGTGCGCTGCTTCCAGTTGAACTGATCAGTTAAATCTCGCTCTGACAGTTGCCTTCTCCAACTCAGCAATGATTCCAGAACCAGCCAATGTCCACTTCTCGCTGACCAAACCCTCCGTCACGGTGTTACGCAATAGGCCACTCTGAGCGTAGTACTCCATCACGCCCCTTGCCTCTGACTTGCTGATCCCGGGAAGTTTCAGCGCCTCCACACCCTCCAACGCAGCTTCGACTTTGGCATCCTTGGCAACAAAAGGGTCCCAGCTCGGTGGCTCGGTCTCGTTCTGCACCGCGTACGCGTGCGCAAGGCAATGGTCCAGTGTGGGCGCGGAGGCGCGGTTCGAGTCGCACGTCGCGGCGAGCACCATGCCGCCGTTCGGAAGAGAGGTCTGGCCGGAGAGCAGACTCACGAAGTCGCGGGGCAGAGCCAAATCGTGGGCGTGAATGGGGTTGACGTCGCTGTCGAGGTAAGCGGAGTTCCTCATCGCCTGGTCGACACCGTCCATGGTAACCAGGACAGGCGGGCGGTTAAGGCCTTCTTTGGACTGCGACTGGGAGGGCGCGGTGAGTTCGGACCAGAGGGCTTGCCAGATGGGCCACGCAAGGTCCGGATCTTGAGCACCGAGTTCGACAAAGCGGGAGAGTGACATATTGGACTGCACCGGAACGGGAAGGCGGTGCTGCTTGCTGAGCTGGAGGCTGGAGAGTAGTTTTTGGTTCGCGCGAGCAATGTTCGAGAGTAGCTTTGCGGTGTAGTGTGGCTGGATGTAGATGGGTCCATCGGGGCTGGAGACCGGCTGATACGATGTGTGTGCGTTGGTGAGGTCCTGCGCTTCTGGAACGTGGATGACCAGCCAGTCTTTCAGGAAAGCCATGGCGTGCGCCTGCAGGAGCATCACGCTCTTTCCGTTCCCTCGAGAACCGTACATAACTTTCCTTGCCACCTTCTTCCCATCGCCTTCAGCATCAGCCATCAGATTGGCCAACTGCGCCGTCTCCGCTCTCACGAGACTCGCAGGGCGTCTGAACAAACTCCACGCCTGCGAGGGCTTGAAGGACTCGAGTGCCCGCAGCGCATCGACGGTATCATCATTCAAGCCAAGCACCTGACCCCGGAACTTGTCGAGGGCCACAGTCCCGGGCTCATGCCGTACCAGCTTGTCTCCTGTGAAGTCGGGCAGCCCTTCGATCCGCAGTGCGTTGGTGTTGCTCAGCACGATCCGCTTCTTCAGAGCTTTTCGCTCGCCTACTGCCGGAGGTCGCGCAGTAGCGCCGCGCGTGTTCTTTGCGAGTTTGAGCGTGCGGCCTTTCTTGAGCGCGCCCTGCTTCTTCGGCGGTGGTGGCCCGGCGGAGAGGGGGGCGGTGGTGGAGAAGGCGGCGCGTTGGGCTGGGTCGCGGGTGCCGGTGACTTCGAGAGAGCGCAAAGACCTGCGCAGACAGCGCAGACACATTGAAGACGCCATTATGGAAGAGTGTGGGAGGGTGTGAGGTTGGAAGATGTCCAAGTCAAAGTCAATGGTGAAGCTCGGGGGTCCGACGTCTCGTCTCCGCCAAGCCCGCAGACAAACGTCCCATATGTGCTGTTGTACCAGGAATGAACGACATGGATAGCATTGAGTTGTCATAGACAATATGATACAGACTTGTCGATGCTCGAGTCCCCTTCGCGCTGCTGAGCCTGCCAGCAATGCTGCCGGTCTGATTGCGCAAATTCAAACCATGCTGTATGTCTATTGAGTAGCCATGTATCTTCAGCCGCTCTCTCCATCGCGCACCACACCACATGCCCTCCACCAAAACAAAACGTTCGTCTCCGCCGGACTCACGCCTGCTCGCCATTCTTGATCCTCTCCCGCCTGGCAGCCGCTTTGACTTTCGCCCGCTCTCGTTTCTTTTGGAAATACGCCGCCTTGCCACTACCCTCCACCGGGGCGCTTCTCGGCCTCGTCTCCTCTTCCAGCTGCCTCCTGATCGCCCTCTTGGCCCGCTTGCGCTCCCTCCTGCGCCGTTTGCGATCTCGTGCCCGCTCTTCGCTCTCCCGTTTCTGTGCCTCCTGCTGCGCAGCATCCAGTGGTTGCGTGTGCGTCCGCTCGTGCCCTTGCGAAACCAGATTCATTGCCGTCGTCTGCTGGTGTTCGTCATCATGGTCCTCCGTTGCCGTCTCTCTAATTGGCAGGTGAGTTGAGATGGACCCTTCGTTCCGCTCGACACTTGCGCTGTCGGCGTTGTCTACCTCCTGAGCATCATGTCCATCGGCCTCCAATCTATTGTTCCCTCCCTTTGCGTTGACGTGTACCTCCTGTAGCGGCGCAACGCCCTTCTTTTGATGCGAGGTCGCATCCGCTCGCCTTGTCTTCTTCTTGCTGCGCTGCTTCTTTGTGTGGGTAGCACCTGGCTGCACAACATCCGCAGGTGCTTGGCCTGATACACCATTGCCTCCAAGTCCCTTCAATATGTCCTCCTCTCCTACATCTTCGGAGCTGTCGCCGTCGAGTGAAAGCAATCCACGCGGCACAGGGTTGGGGCTGGACCATGTCAGCGACAGCGATGAGGGGTGAGAAGGGAGACTTACGCCGCTCTATGTCTCTTCGTACGCCGCGTTTTGCCTGTCTTCCGGTCGAGAATGGCCTGCTCGATCGCTTTCTGCTTTGCCCGTTTGCGTCCTGCGGCGGTGTTGTACGGTTCTTCCTCTTCGAGCTTACGCTTCAGCTTTTGGCGATTCTGCAGATCAGCCTCGCTCTCCCAGAGTTGGAGCATGACGGGCCGTAACCAAGATTGTAGGATCCGGAGAAGCATTCGAGTGATATCTTGCGTCGGGTGGGGCGAGTCAACATTTGAATGCGACGCTAGAAGTGATTTTGCCTGCCAAGATTCAGGACTTCACTTCCGAGATCGTCACGACATTGGATGACTCTGTTAACCAGGACTGGGGAATGACAATGGTCGGGGCGAGGGATAACAACTGCAAAGTCCGCAGCATCTGTATCGTCGGTGCCGGCCCGTCCGGCCTGGCCGCAGCCAAGTAGGTATGCGACATGCCCTTGACGATGCTATCACGCATGCAATTGACGACGACAAAGGTACTTCATCGCTGAAGAAGCGTTTGACCGCATTGTGTTATTCGAGCAGCGGGACAATGTCGGTGGCCTCTGGAACCATCTCCCACGTCCGGAGGCAGGGAAACTCGCATCTGAAGTGCCTCAGACGGATCCCAATGGCGGATACGGAGATGGCTCTCCAGAAGATCCACTCGTCTGCTCGCCTATCTACGACCTCCTAGAGACCAACATACCGCGAGGTCTGATGGGCTTCTCTGATCAAGAGTGGCCCTCGAATTGTCAACTCTTCCCCAACCACAAAACTGTGCTTCGCTATCTGGAGGACTACGCGCAGGATGTGCTCCATCTCATCCGATTTAACAACAAGGTCCTGGACATCACGCAAACGTCAAACGGGCGTTGGCTGATTGAGAGCCGAAAGACCACGCACGATCAGTTGCCTAACCAATCCGAGACTTTTGACGCTGTACTGGTCGCCAGTGGCCACTTCGATGTCCCATACATTCCGTCTGTAAGTGGCATTACGGCATGGCACGATACCTACCCCGGCAGCATCACCCATTCGAAGTTCTACCGACACCCATCCGACTTTGCGGACAGGAAAGTCGTTGTTGTGGGTAACTCGGCAAGTGGTCAAGACATTGCGAATCAAGTAAGATCCGTCAGTAGAAAGCCATTACTGCAATCTTCAAAGGCTCCTGCGCAGGCTTCTTCCGCATCAAAGCTCGAGAAGCCTCCGATCGTGAAGTACGAGACGGAGGGTCGCTGTGTCCACTTTGCTGATGGGACCGTGGAAACAAATGTCGACTCGATCCTCTATTGCACGGGATACTTCTATTCCTACCCATTCCTCAGAAGCCTCCAGCCACCAGTCATCACTTCCGGCGAATATGTCGAGAACCTGTACCAACACATGTTCTACCGGCCTCGCCCAACTCTGGCGTTCGCAGCACTCAATCAGAAGATCATCCCATTCCCCGTTGCTGAAGCTCAATGCTCCATGGTCTCTGGAGTGTGGGCGGGACGACTGCGTTTGCCTGAGGAGAGCGAGATGCGAAGATGGGAGCAACGGACCCTCGAAGACACTGGTGGAGGTCGTAACTTCCACGTACTGAAGTTTCCTAAGGATGCCGACTACATCAATATGCTGCACGATTGGGCGATGAACGGGACAGAATCGAGTGGCGAGAGCTGTGCTCGCTGCAAAGAGGCTACACCCTGCAATGGCGCTGGCAAAGCGGCGGTGGGCAAAGGTACGCTGGTGCGCAAGGAGCCTCCTTACTGGACGGAGAAGGAGTACTGGACTCGCGAGCGCTTTCCCGAGATCAAGAAGGCGTTTCAAGCCTTCGACGAGGAGAGGCATACGAAGCGCTCGCTTGAGGAGGTGGGATTCGATTTTGCCAAGTATAAGGGGGATAGGTGGGAGTGGATGGTGTGACACTGTTGATCATAGCAATATCCGGCATGCTGCACCTCAGAGTTGGACATCGACGAGTAATGTTTTACCATTCATTGAGATGTAGGGGAAGCCGAAAAGACCCTTTTGACATACATACAGATACATACAGATATACATGCTCCTGCCGGAGATAGAGGCCATAGTCGATTCAAAGTCCCGGTTTCCGCGCATCTTCCCAGCCGCAATGCTGTATTCAAGAGAATCACCGCGAGACGACCGTATTCGCAAGCTCTGGCGAAAACATTTGGCAACCTTTACAGTGGAAGGGCCATAGCCAGAACCTACATCCAGCGCTGATGTGGTCCACTCCAGTGCCGTCACTTCCATGCTCTTCTGTCCCGCCCGGCAAGAACCTTCTCATACATCAGAAGATTGGTCGGACCACCCCCGCCACCTCAGTCCTGATAGTCTCCATCGCTAAGGCTGTCACTGTCGCTGACGCTTTCCGTCTTGATTTTCTCCGCCCCCGCTGGCTCGATGGATCCGACAACCGCCGTTGACCTGGGAGTTCGCCCATCCTTCCGGCGTCGAGAGTTGTTGGCTTTGGCTTGGCCCTGGCTGCTGCTTGAGGCAGCGACACTCGACCTTGTATCCTTCTTGGTGTTCTCGGCGACCTTGGGCGTCTTCATTGCCGCTTTCGTCTTCTCCGGCGCGGTCTCGACCTGCAAGCCATCGTTCGTCTGAGGCGTGGGCATCGCGATAGGCGATATGAAGAGCTCGAGCTTGTGATCGGTGGTCGTTCCGGCAGCGATAGTCAGGTTGCGTGACGAAGTATCGAACAACGGTGATATCTGGCCCCACAGCGTCCGGATCACAGAGCCAGCGTAGCAGCTTGCGAGCTCGCGCCGGACCCGCATCACATGGTCTGTGTCGTCGCATCCTTTGAGAAGTGGATGCGCAATCAAGGCGGCGAAGGCGTCCTCCTTGGTGACGCTACTTTCGTTCAACACTGCGCCCACCACTCGCCTCGCATCTCCAGCGCGAAGTTCAGAGTTCGGATCGTCTCGCAAGAGGTGCTTCAAGGCGTGCGTCGCGTTGCTGTTGAGTGTGAGTCCACCGGGTTTCTGCCGTTTGTCCTGTGGCTGATCCGAGTCAGGCGTGAGGATCTGTCGACGCTTCGTGGGTTGAGACGAGATTTCAACGAAGCCAGCAGATTCAGAGTTGTTCGGACGGTCCATGATCAGCGAGATTGCAGTGTAGAGCAGCTGCAAAAGGTGTAGACTCAAGTAATTTTGAAAAGTGCAGTGCGCGTCCATGGAGGTACGTCAGGCCCTTGTCAAATGTGACAGATCAAGTGTATATTCGGATGACAGATCACACGGTTACACAAAGCCACAAATTGGGCTGGCAAAACAGATCGATCGCCAAAACCAGCTCGAATCAATTGGATATGACCACAGCTATCTTCGAGTACGTCTCCGATTCCGCCACATTCACCATAAACTCCGCTACGCTTGCTCGAGTAATGCCACTGAGGAGACCAGCGCCTTTCCCAAACTCTCCGAACTCTTTGACAGGCGCTGCATCACCCTCCTTCAGCATCACCGGCCGCACGAGTGTCCAGGAGAGGGTATCGTTGCTCCGTATTTCTGCATCGGTGGCGTGGTGGTCGTTCATCTGGTACGACATGTTCGAATGGCGGAAGAGAAGTTTGGTGACCAACGGCAACTGTGTCTCGGACGAGCCGATCCCAAATGCAGACATCATGACCAGCCTCTTCACGTTCTGCTTTGCCATCACAGCTGAGATGTTTCGCACGCAATCTCTGATGAAGTTTGGAGGCGCCAGGGGCTTCGCGAACGGGCTGTCGGATGCACGCGGTGCGTTGAGTGTGACCACAACCGCGGATATCGGGTCCTGAGATGGTGTCGAGTTTAACGCTTTTGCGATGTCGTCCTGCTGCATTGGTGTTCCTTCGACAATCGTCAAGTCGTCTCGAGGTTTCATGGACGATGCTGTCCTGACGAGAGCTGTGACCTGGTGGCCACGCTTGAGAGCATCGTCTACTACGAGTTGGCCTGTACGGCCGCTGGCTCCGAGGACAAGGAAACGCATCGTGATGTTCGAATTGGTCGTCGTTTGTTCTTGGTGCTAGTTGTGGAAACGATCAAGCCCGCGGCGCTGACTGTGAAAGTGTATTTCGACTGGATGTCTTGGTGGCTGTCTGATGGAGTGCCATTGTCACCGGTGCACGAGACGACACTGTTTTATAGGCAGGACTCGAGAAGCTGGGACAGCAATGGCTTCTTATTACTCAGGCTCGGTCTTTACCACAATCTCGGCCGAAGGCTGATGGAGGAAGCCCTATGTCGCTAACCTCACCACTGCAACCATCCACCTTGCATCGAGCATCCTTCAACACCATTGACGACTTTGTTTTGTTTGTCAAAGTTCAGCTGGCGGAAATATCGAGCCGTCCTTTGTCCCGCAAGAATGTGAGGTACGGCGTTGCGGCTTCAGCGCGAACAATAGTAAGTACAGCACATTGTTTCACTTCCTTCCAGCGATACTCGCATTTCGACTTCAAGCAAGATGGCAAGTATTTTTCTCCAACACTTGGCACTGGTCTGTATCATCGTCTGTTACCGCCGATGGAGGGCACGTTATTACTCACGCCAGCTGCGTTTAGAACCGCCACCCTAGCGCTCCTTCTGGCCGCATGGATCTACTTCCGTCGAAGCACTGCATGGCGAGTTCTACCTGAAGGAATGCCATGGGTACCAGCAGATCTACCGTGGACCAGAAAGTTTCAGCTGCCCTTCACAAGAGTCCGAGCACATCTGAGAGACTTCCAGGGCGGCAGTGATCTGGCCTATGAGGGCTACAAGACGGTTTGTACATCAGTAGCTTCATGAAGGTCATGCACTGATTGATCAAACAGTACAACAAGGCCGGCAAACCATTTGTAGTGCCTTCATTCGTGACATGGCAGCCGGAGGTGGTCCTGCCGCTAGCGCAGGTGAAGTGGTTGGTGGACCAGCCCGATACTGTCACTTCGATCGACAGGTGTCTCGTCAAGGATCTGGAGTTCTTGTACACTGCACCGGCAGCCTGGCAGTTTACTCGGCCCTTCCATGTCGAGGCGATCAATAAGTTGCGCCTGGATTCATTGGTGGAAGACATCGCCGAGGAGGTGCAAGCAGGCGTCGACGAGCAGTGGGGCCTGGACGGCGATGCGTGGACTGAGATCAACATCCACAGCACGATGCTCGCCGTACTGGTTCGCATCACTGCAAGGGTCTTTGTCGGCTCGCCTCTATGCCACGATGCTGAGTTCCTGGAGGCAGCTGCAAATTTCATCAGCAGCATATCTGGCAAGGCAATCATCATCAGCTTCACGCCCGAGTTGCTTCGTCCACTCGTGGCCAAGTTCATCACCAAAGGCCTGAAGCGCTGGAACGAGACGTGCGCGAAGCACATGGTCCCTCTGATCAAGGAGGAGAGGCTGCATCGACGCCCATCCGATCAACGGACAATGCCACCGCCGAAAACACTACTGGAGCAGCTCAGCCGACTTGCCGTCAGAAGCACGCATGCCAAAGACAGGGACCCGTTCAGTCTCAGCTCTCGCCTCCTCGCACTGAACTTCGTTGCCGTCCACACCTCCAACCACGCCCTCGAGAATGCTCTGGTGGACATGGTTTCTCCTCCAGCAAGCACCGCATCCGTCTTCGCAGAGCTGCGAGCGGAAGCGGAGGAAGTCATGCAGCAGAACCACGGAACATGGTCAAAGACGGCGATCGGCCAGCTGGTGAAGACCGACAGTGCCTTGCGAGAGTCTCTCCGTCTCAACACATTCAAAGCGCGAGGTGTGGAGCGCATCATCGTGAAGAAAGGTGGAGTGGTTCTGCCGTCCGGGCAATATCTCGCGGAGGGTACCAAGGTTGGTGTGCCCGTTCTGCCCATCCACCGCGATCCAGAGCTCTACGATGATGCTATGTCTTACGAGGCATTTCGATTCTGCACGACGAATGAAGTCGCTGGTGGAAAAAATGGACGTACCGAATCGCCTCGGAGAGCAGGACATGTCGAGCTTGTCAACACGAGCGAGACGTTCCTCGCGTTTGGACATGGTAGACATGCATGGTAAGCTCTCAATTCGAACCTGCCCAGTAGAACAAATCGGATGCTGACCACCGTGCTGCAGTCCCGGCCGCTTCGTGGCGGCATACGAGCTGAAGCTCATGGTGGCATACATTGCCATGCACTACGACATCGAGCCATTGGCGAGCAGGCCGGAGAATGGCAAGTTCAGTGACTTCAGCATCGGGAGCATGCACGATATCCGTGTTCGCAGGAGGAAGCCAGAGGAGTCGAAATGAGCTGGCTTCTCACGGCAATGATATGTTCGTGGAGCGGATCATGGTCCTGATGACTCGCCTTGCCCACAAAATCGACTTGTTCTGCTGTGCTTCGCATCCAGGCAAGACTGGAAATGAATGGTTCAAGAAAGGTAAAGATCTTGCTTGGTGTGGTGTTCAAACCCCTAACGCTAAGCGAGCAAAAAGATACAAGAAATTAACAGACATGGACGTTATCGATCAGTCGTCTGCCGTAAGAATGGCGTCCTCGGCGACGTCTTGCCGTATGCATTTCCATGGTCTTCGTCATCCTCATCGTCCAGTCCAAACGCATCTCGATCCGCGCCCTTGAGCTGTGCTTCATCCACAGAAGTCTGGGACGCATGGTGGATCCTGATATCAGGGGTTCGGTGACGCTTACGGCCGACGCCGAACGCTCCCAAGCTGAAGCCAGAGTCGTACTTGTCCTCTTGGAAGCTTGCGTGCCGCCGTTCCCGCCAGAGGATGTATGCCCAGGTGACGGCCACGATGGCGACGACACCACAGGCCACCTCTGCGAACAGGCGGTAAGAGAACCAAGCTCCGGACTCCATGTCTTCCAGCTGGTCTTCCATCTTGTCCATCTGCGCTTGCAACTGCTCCGTCTCCGCCTGCAAGTCCTGCTTCTCGGATTCTAGATCCTGCTTCTCCGTCTCGAGCTGCTCCTTCTCGGATTGCAGCTCGTCCACCTCTGAGATCATATGTGCATCGCTCTTGTCATCTTCACTGGATTGTAGGTTGGGTTGAGCCAGCTCGCCCGAGTCCGTGCCCGCATCTTCCAGATCACCATGGTAAACGTCGTCGGGGTTGACGCAGGCGATGTTGGACCCACGGATGATCTCGCCGTTTCGGATCGCACCAACCTGCACGCACGCAGCCTCGTCCACATGAAACACCGTCTCAAAGCCTCGCTTCTTCGCAACACCGACCGACTTCATGTCCGCATCACCGTCGCCGGTGAAGACCGCCCACGACCCGACGTCCGTCGCTCCGTTCCAGCTGACAAACACCTTCAGGAAGTTCTTTCTCTGCAGCCGTGTCTTCTCGACGAGCACCACCGGGTCCCAGTCCTTGGGAGTAGCGTGCCAGGGCATCTTGAATCCTCGATAGCTCATCGCTGCCCCGTTGTAGCCAAACCTTCCCTCCCATAAGAGCTTGCTGTTCACTTCCCCATCCTTGACTGGGCCAAACTCTCGAGCTAGGGGCAGCTTGCCGTATCCCACGAAAGCATTACCGTTGCCAAGGTCCATTTGGAACGAGCCTTGCGTTGCGGCGTGTAATGGATGCTTGGGGTCCTCGAGTCTGCGGACCAAGACAGGCGGGTTCTTCCGATCAGGTGGCAGAGGTACCCAGAAGCCCAGAGCCTGTGTCGGCCGTCGCCCGTGATTGTTGAACATGGTGATCGTCATACCATCATCTGAAATGTTCTGGGCGCGAACATGGTGCTGCACGCGGAAGTTGGCAGGGATGGAACCAAAATCACCGCCATTCTCGCCGTCCAGCTTCCATAGCACGCTGCCATCCTCGCCGCTGATGAAGTAAGCTGCATAGTGATGCCGTGAGCTGATAAGATAGTTCTTGCCAATCTTCTGCACCGCGTTTATGTGGAACCAATCGTAGGGGTTGTTCTTGGTACCGTGCGGGTTGTGAGCCCCCAGTCGCGAGTTCTTGAGCGGCACATGGTCCAGCGCGCTCCAAGAGAACACCACCTCGTCGGTTTCAATGTCGACCTCAAAGAAGCAGCTGTCGACTACCCAGGAGTCACGAGGGCCACCGAGCGGTGAAAGATCGTATGGTGTATTGTTGTAAGACGAGACGACCATAGTATCGTCGTCAGTCATGTGGTGCTCGTGCACATCGATCTGGCCCTTGTTGGCATTATCGAGCGAGTTGATCTTCAAATCGGGGTTGATAGTGAAGTTGTTATAGTCCTGATCGATAAAGGTCACTCTGCCCCATCTGTGGCCCCAGTGCGCGCCGTGTGTGTTACAGCCGTTCCAGTAGGTGAGGTATTTCTTTCCCCGATACTCCTGCGTCCGAAGATCGGTCATGCCGCTTAACCAGTCCTCGCAGTAGCCGTCAAAATTGGACGGGGGCGTGAAGACTAGATCCCCGTCGGTCGTCATCACAAACCCCGTCCCTTCCTCATGTACACCATCTTTCGCCTTGTCATCGTATGGAGTCAAGAAGATATAGCCGTCCGCCAGCTTGTCGTCGTATCGCGTGATGTTCATGTGCGGGGGCGTGTGAGGGGACGTTCTGTAGGAGCGCCATGGCCACAGGTCGGAGTATGAGTCTGTGGTGTATTGAAAGTGATTGTCGCTGGGGAACAGGCGGGCGCTGAAATCGGACAGGTTGGACACTGCACCCAGGGGGAGTGTCCAGGACATTTTGAAGAGCGCGAAGCGAATGAGATCAGACGAAAGGTCTTGTTTTCGAGTAGTGAACGAAAGGAAGACGGTGCGCCGGAGCAGCACTCGTAGTGGTACGCAGACAAACAAAGCAGCAAGATCAGGAGCTGAGGTGCGAAAGGACGAAGAAGTGTGTACATCCACCAACAACCCGTCGCCGGCTGCGTGGGGCTTCGGAGCCGGCAAAGGATACTTGGACTCACAGGGCTACTCACCTGATACAGAAGGCCTCTCCCCTTTTCGCCAGGCCCGCCAGGCCCCCTCAGGATCATGGATGATGGGGGACCAGGGGCATGTTACCGAGATACAGCGCGTCGCGCCACGGTAGCTCGACAAAGGTCAGCTTGCGTGAGAGCCAAGTCGGCCAAGACATTGAAATCGTCGGATGCTGCCTATCACATGCGAGCCGTTGGAAGCATTGACTCCACTGCCCGTTGCCGGAATCAGACATTAAAACGGCGAGGCTGACTCCATTTTTGGTGATGTTAATTTCCGCGCTGCGGATGCGAGGAGAAGGATGCAGAGAGAAATACACTTCGAGGTCTCAGACATGTTGTTCGTCGTCTTGACTGGTGCTGCGCGCCGGGAAGGAAGCATCGAAGTTGGCGCAAAGTCCTGCGGATTTCCCTGAAACGTGCCAGCAGGAGGGTTCCAAGTTGGGGGCGAGATGCTACACCGGCGCGAGACTCGTGAGACTCAGCAATCAAGACTGGATGCGACCAAGGAGGGTTTATCACTCGACGTGCCACCCCAGCAAGGTCGAGCAAATCCAGGCAAACAAGTCCAGGCAACGGCAAGGCAGTGTCCCTTCGACTTCAAAATCGGCCTTCTCCCAATGCCTGGCCAGTTTGTGGGCTGCCGGCACGACAAGGCCTCCAACAAGCAGGGTCTCCGTAGTGAAAGAATCCAACGGTGCATGCGAAGAAGGACAACAGAGCGAGACTTGGAGTTCCATGAGCATCCATCCCGTCTGTCAAAACGACACGCTAGTTCACCAAAGCCGGGGTCGCGCAAGTTTTGCCGCAATGTATGGATTGTTCGAACCTATTGAGAGACAAACATGATTCAGAGAACGATATCGGAGAGCACGATACAGTTCAAACGGTCATGAGAGGAGGCGCTTGTCCACATACATGTACTTGCACGCTCCCGTGGTGCTTACGCGGCCTACATGTACGAAGCTGAGGCCTGCATACGAGGTAGGACTGAAGTCATCCTATGGACCAGATCGATTTTAATAAGCAGTTACTGAATCGTTCATGCAAGCCAAAGGCGGGCTTGCAAGCACCTGCAACTCTTGGTCGCAGTCACTTCCTTCATACAGTATAGGTAGGGTTGTCACATCGGAACCATGCCCGTCCTGCACCTGCCCAATCTCCAAGTATCAGACGGCAAATGTTTTCCACACCATCTCATGGGACAGAATGGCTTATACATTCCACTTGAACTCATGGTTCACTTGGGTTCGAGGAGAGACTACGATCAGCTGGACTTCCTCACCTCCTCCACCCTCTTACGCATCTCCCCTGCCAGCATCCTCCTCATCATTCTCGTCCCAAACATGGTCAACACATTCGCCGTGACGACATGCTTCCAGTGCGCCCACACCATCGCCTTGCTGCCGTCCCCCGTTTGACGCAAGCAGGAAGCAGCGCACTCGGCTGACGTGATCGTGAAGGGCATCTTGTTCGTGTTGGCTGCCGGAGGTGTCGAAGTCAGTACACGCATCCCCAATCATCAGTTTACCAGCAAAGGACATAGTGAACATACTATTCGACTCAACATTCCCCACCACAAACCCCACCACATCCACCCCCTCCACCCTTTCCGCCACCATCTCGTTCTTCAGACTCTCGGTCAGCGTGTGCACATACGCTTTGGTCGCGCTGTACGTCGTAATATACGGCACCCCCACAATCCCCCCCACCGACCCAATATTCGCCAGCAGCGCCGGTCCATTCTCACGCAAAACCGGTAAGAGCTCGCGGATCAAATGCGTGCCGAAGCGGAGGTTGAGGTTGATGATGGCGTCGATATCTTCATGCGGGATCTCACTATGAGCCACCTATCAATATATCTATCAGTCGCCATCATCTCGTCAAGAGACAGGCAGGGGCGTGGGGGACGTACGAATTGCGGCGTACTCATGATCCCCCCGACATTATTCACCAGCACCGTCAACGTGCCCGGCAGAGTCTTGATCTTGTCCACGACAATGCTGTAGCTGTCATCATAACTTGAAGCATCCGCGACGACAATCTCGATTTTGCGGTCTGGAAACTGCTGTGATATTTCACTCCGGACTTTCTGCAATTTCGTAGGGTTGCGTCCGTGAAGTAGGACGTTGAAGCCGTTAGATGCCAGTTCTTTGGCGAAACCCAGGCCGATGCCGTCGGTAGAACCGGTCACGCAGGCCCAGGAGTTGGAGTGGTTGTAGCGGTGGAGTTGTGAGGGTCGAAAGAAGGACCAGCTGGATGTGAGAGTTTTGATGAGGGCGTAGAGGAGAAATAGAGTGCCTATCAGTGCTGTCCAGTATTGAGCAGTCGGGCTTGACCAGAGTGCAGACATTGCAGTCTTCTTCTCGAATTCCCGCGATATCAGTGTCCGGTGTATCTTCTCAGTGGCACGGGCTCGAGGTCGCGAGCGTCAGCATTCCGGGCTTTGTGGAGTGACTTCACGTTGCAGGCTGAAGTCTGTCTTGCTGACGGTGGGTCAAGCGCGTCTTCGCTTTGCCTCAAGTCGAAATACTGCAGGCATGAGAAATACAATGACCATGGAGAAAGGTGATTTGGAGGCCTTTTGGAATAGGGTGCGCACGAGTGAGACGACGAAATGGGAAATTCTTCCAAGTCCGACCACAAATACGTGTATCATTGTACATTCTATCCTATAAGCCAGAGGAGTAGGACGACAGAGTCCTTACAATCCCGCATGCCAGCTTATTACGACAGTATCCTACACTCTCTGCTGGCTGTACGAGCGACCTTGACCGGCGACACTGCCTCGACCGGCGGTACTGCCGGCTCTCATACCGTAGCCTTGTGCGACGCCTGGAAAACGATGTTAGCTGGTGGATCGGAAAACGGGTGAAGGAGTCACTCACTGCCACGACGAGAACCATAGGCGTCCGGCAGGGCGCTAACCCGACGACCTCCTACATCCGCACGAGCAGAAGCCAGCTGCTGCGCGAACGGCGAGCGCTTGCGGAGTACAGGTCCTTTCCAGTAGATGACGTACACAGCCAGGACGAGCACGAAGGCAATGCAGGCGAGGATGGTACAGGCGTATTCCAAGTTGTTGCCCGACGCTGTTCCGATGTTCTCGAAGAATGGAGTTGCCGGCACCGTCAAGACGCCAGCCAAGAAGTCACGAGCCCAGCCGTTGCCACCGGTAGCGGAGGCGGAGTATGGGCCATATGCCGTTATCATGTAGTCGATCGTGGCCATGTAGATGGCGTAGTTTGCAATACCCACGATGGCGGCGAAGATCATCGAGGCGATCCATGGGATGGGTGGGCCCTGAATCGTCCATGCGAAGCCGATCAATCCAATGGGCAGGCAAGGCGCGGTGTACAGCAAAAACCACAAGCGGGACTCGTATTGAGCTTTCTCGTCTTCTGGGTTTTCCTCTCGCTGCCTCTTGTTCCTCTTGAATGCTGGAATGAACAGAACCCAAGCGAGGACGTAGCCGACACCGATGGAGATGAAGGACAAGCCAACTTGCACGGCGTCGAATCCCCACTGCTCGTACACCAGCACGAACGACTGGATGAACATGAAGATGAGGGCGTCGGAGAAACCCGAGAGGAGGGACAAGACGAGGACGATGGGCTCCGTGACGAACATGCGGAAGGGTCGGATCCAGGTGATGAGGATCTCGCGGACGGAGAAGCGATCCTTGAACGGGACCAGCTCGTCCGGGCCCCAGATATTGGGGTTGCCCTCCTTTCTCCGCTTCTTCGCGATCTTGTTCATCATGATGGTGGTGCGGGTCTCGGGGACGGTGAAGAAGTGGACGAGTTGGATGGCGCCACCGAAGATGAGTTGGATCCAGATCGACCATCTGGAGATGAACCTCAGCGAGGGTAGAATAAGAGAGAAGCGTGGGAACTCACCTCCAGCCCAGGTACTGCTCGCTGAAACCACCGACGATTGGCCCGAGGATACTGCCGCCGACACTGCTAAAGACGACGAACGCAACGGCGTACTGCTGATTCTCCGACTCCCACAAGTCGGCGATCATGCCCAGCGTGACGGATCCGCCAGCCGTGCTGAGACCACCGAGGGCACGGCCAACCATGATGGAGGCGAAATTGGGAGCCAACGCAACGGGTAGCTGCCAGACGTTGACGAGGAAGAGCGAGAGCTGGAGGATGGGCCATCGGCCAAACTCTTCAGACCAGGGCGCCCACAGCTCACAGCCGAATGCGTAGGTCACGAGGAAGATCATGGCACCACATCGCGCACCCTGTTCGCTGACGCCGAACTCTTCGCTGATGCCGCCGATGGCGTTGGAGTAGAGCGAGGTGTTGAAGTTCATCGACACCTGGACGATGAAGATGATGGTCAAGACATACCACTTCTTCGCCGAGGACCAGCTGAAGCCCAGCTCGTCGTAGCAGTCATCCTCGCTGATTTCGTACTTGTCTTCATTGCCCAGCTTCTCCTTGATCTTCTGGTGCTCGTCCGTGGGGTTGGGCATGGAGGCGCTGCGGTCGGCATCCTCCTGTTCCTTGTCGGAAGAGATGTCGTCGCCGTTGCTGTCGACCTTTTCGTGCTCCTCGCGCATGGGCTCCTGCGCCTCCGGCTTTTCGCCCGACATGATGGCGGGAGGTCAGTCGGGGTGGCGTGGGGAAGAATGCACAATGGATGGGGATACGGGGCGCCCGGGGCGATATATATACGGTAGTGCGGTCCACAAACCAACAACAAAAGAACAGGATTCTGGGGCGAGGAGGAGGAAGGACCGAATAAATAACGCCGGCGCATCCTGCCAGCGCCGCCGGTACCATATGGAGCGCCGTTGCGATTTCGAAGGAACAGATGACGTCCCTTCCAAGCTCAGACCCACAGCAGCTTACCTACATCGACGCAAGACGACGATGGCTTGGATGACCCCCCTCCGACGCCTCCTCTTCTATGCTCGTACCCGTTGGTTCTGTGCCGCGAATGTAGATACTCCATCCAGTGTGCCCACCCGGATGTACGTCAGGTGGTGTATCTACCACATCTCGCGTACCACAGACACACAGACAAGCGAATTGCTTGTCGAAATTGCTTGCCGCTGCCGCCCTCTCGGCGACGCTCCCGGATCGGCACAGAGGCTTTCAGATGCTTGATGCCATCTGCTTGGCCTTCGTCTCGCAGCTGTTGTCGGTATCACTTCGCAGGAGCAAGCAGCTCGGCGTCTTCCTCACACACGGCACACGCAAAACGCGAGCAGTTAAACGAGCCCTCTCAAGCACCAGCGTCAGAGGCGTCGTCAGGATCTGGGGATGGACCGGATGGTGCAGCACGCGAGCTCGAGCTGCGGCCCCTTCCCCAGCATCCCGCACTCTTCCTCTCGATCCTTGCCAATTTCGTATCGTGTGTTGGGCGACGATCGATGATCACACGTGTCAGCCGCGAGAAGCGGCCACCTCTCCCCGCCCTCGTTATCCTCGTTTTGTGACGAAAGCGACGATCGATCGGACGTAATTGGCTTGGAGATCAGAGTATTCTCGGGCAAATTCTCGGATTCGGAGCTCTCGTCCTGTCCAAGCAATTGCCAGTCGAAGCCTTCGAAGGCGGGGCAAGGCGTCCGACAAGGCGACGGGATGGCTTGTATATACTACAGCCGACTTCACCGACCTCTACAAGCTTCCTTTATAATCTTCATTCACTCGAAAATCTACCGACAACACTGGACGACGGAGCTCTCGGGGATCATTCTTGAAGTACATTCATGTTCTCATAATGCCGTGAGGACAACCTAGCGCAGCGCAATCCTCGAGCCAACGCCAACTCAATCCTGCGATCGAGAGAGTGGCAGCTGTCCTGCAGCTAAACACACCACTTCACCCAAAAGCCATCACTGTCTGCGGCCCCTCCTCCGCCACAACATGCCCATCAATGCACGATGAATAACTGATCTTCGGCTGGTCCTTGAAGAACGCATCATACGTGCTGTTCATCGCCCCGCGAATATCGACCACCTCGCCGCCGGGAAACAGCGTCGCCCACGGATCACGGCAGGAATCCATCTTGCAGCTCTTCAAAACCATGAGCAGCGCCTCCAGACGATGGAACAGCTCCCGTTCCGATCGGCCATAATATTCCACCGCGCTGCCTTCAGGCTTGTCGGCGAGTCGGTTGTGCAGCTGCTGGCTATCCGTTCTCATGTCGTAGAACTCTCTCTCGCCGGTACACCAGGTGCTGTAGTAGAAGCTCTGCTCGTCGCTCATCAACCGCAGCGCCTTGTAGGTGTTGTTGTAGTAGTCGTGCTTCGCCAAGCCGATGGGGGTGTTTCCTGCGTTCCAGAACTCGACATTCACATGCTCCGACTTGGTGGAGCCGGAGAGTTGTTCTTCGGTGTAGGCGATGGGTTGTCCGTCAAAGTCGTCTTGCAGAGGCACACCGAGCATTTGCAGGATCGTGGGGGCCATGTCCGTGTGGCTGTTCGTGATGCTGGAGTTCTTGCCTTTGGCGACGTTGGGGCCTCGGATCAGGAGTGGGATGTTGATGTCCTCTTCATATGGGCACCGTTTGCCTGGGCTGAGACGGTGGTTGCCGATGTGGAAGCCTTGATGCAGGATATCGATCAGCATGCTTTCTTGCCCAGTACAAGAGGGATGGCGTACCATTGTCCGAAGTGTAGAGGATGTAGGTATTGTTCAATATCCCATAATCATCGAGCTTCTGCACCAACGTGCTCACCATGTCGTCAATGGCCGCGATGTTGCCGAGACGATCCTCGAACGTCTTATCGCAGATATCGAGCTTCTTCTCCGACAGCTTGGGTAGGTTGCGCACCCACGACGCTCCGCTCGGTGAGTCCGGATTGAAGTTGGGTGTCCGAGGAGCCTTCGCGCCTGCGAATTTACCTCGCCATGCCTCCGGGACGGGTGGTGGCTTGACTCCACCTTTGAGTTCTTGATGCGGAGCAACTGGAAGATGTCAGTACAACAAGCGCAGCACGGCCTGCATCTCGCTGGACTCACCCGGCGCAACCATCATGAAGAACTGATCCCCAGAGCTGGCAGCGTCATCGAGCATCGACAACGCCTTCTCCTGCGTGACATCCGTCGTATGCGTGCCTTTGTACTCGTTGTATCCGCCATTGCCATTGTTCGACCACCACGAATCGTAGTAGTAATAGGTCGCCGGATCAATCAAGAAGCTGCTGTCCGTCCAACTGCTGGGGTACGTCGAGCCCTGTAGGTACATCTTGTTGAAACCGTTGAGGAGTTTCCCGGCATAGTAGGTGCGGATGCCGGCGTTGCTGATCCAGACGGGGAGGTATTTGGAGTTGAGGCCCTCTTCCAAGAACTTCTTCCATCCGCCGTAGGGCAGGTGGCCTGATGTGACGTTGGTGTTGTGCGCCGCTCGGCCGGTGAGGAAGTTGACGCGGGATGGACAGCACCATGCGACGGTGCAGTAGTGCTTCGAGTATGTGACGCCCTCTTCTCCGAGAAGCTTCTGGACGTTCGGCATGACGGACATCGAGTCGAGGAGCATGTCTGCGAGCCATCAGTCAATGCAATCGATTCGAATAGTGTGATGTTGCTCACCTTGATCGTCCGTCATGACCACAAGGACGTTCGGCCCTTTGTGGTTGTACTCTCGTTCCGGAGCCTTCTTCAAACCTAGGCCCAAGCCCAGCCCAAGGGCAAGAGCGACCACGATAATGCATCTAGCAACGTCAGTATATATGATGTGCGTTGAAGACGGCTTGGGAGCCGCTTTGGTATTTAGTACACTATGCCGATCAGTACAAAAAGCCTTCGTTTGCGACCCGAAGCTTCTGAGGCTTTCTCCGTGCTTCCTCGGCCAGAGTCCCTTGACGACGGCGGTGATGTTCCTGGCTGTGACATGTCCTTGGACGATGGCATTTTACTTTCGTAGAGGTCGGATCATTGTCGAAACCACGAGGTACATCTGGGCCACGGGGAACAAGGACGGGCCACAACGTCAACTTTAAATGCAAGGAGAGCGGCTCACCAGCAAACACATGCATTGTCCCGTCATGGACTCATCGTTGGTGCCTGGAAAGGAGGAGGAATATGAAGTACACGAATACGAGAAAGCACCTACGCCCGCACGGCACAAGCACTGCCTCTGTCAGTACCCTACATGTATCCGCAGGGCGGCTCGCCGTGAAGCCGCATGCAGCGCCATGTGAGGTCAACAAGGTGGCCGCGGGCAGCGTGAAGACGGGTACAATATTGCAGCGAGTCTGCCACGAGGTCGCAGCCCCGGAGTCCAGAAGGTGACGAGAAGAGGTACATGGCACAGTCGTGACTTGTTCTCCGTTGATACCGGTGCCGCGGCGATTTTGCCAGTTGCCCAAAAGGGCAAGTGACCCATTGGTCTTTGGCGGGAACAACATGCAGTGGGACTGACGTCTCGTGGGATCTCATGTAAGGTCTAAAGAAGACCTCTGGATTCGAGTGGAGGCGCAGCTGCTTCGTTTGCCTCGCTCGGAACAACGTGGGAAACGCTTGGTAGGCTTGGTATTGCAGGTGATCCAATGGGTACGATCGGCCACCTTCACAAGCAGAACGTGGTGGAGATGTTGCAGATGAGGTTGTTTCGACCGCTGTGAGATGCCGCGTTGCCGGAAAAGCCATTGGCCAGAGCGGCTGAATGTCGCCGTGTGCGACGGTCATCTGACCAGCTACAGCATAGAGAATTCTGCTGCCTGGAAAGTGACCACCCAGCCGCGTAGACGTTTGCTCCTACACGACGTCGAAAAGTGCATGTACATGTAGTTGCAAACGTTTGTATGTCTATTTTGATGGAAGTACGTAAGCAGACACGTATTCTACGAAGGAAGGAATGCAAGCGTGCAAGGGACACTCACCTGCAACAGCACCTCCACTGACCTCCCAGACGTGTCTTGCAAACCTCACCATGTATGGAGTTAAGCACATCCAAGATGCTCAGCGTGATCGCAGGCTGCGCAGTGTCGATCCTCTTTCTGCTGTGTGCTTTCCCTGCATGGCACCTGTTCACATCTGCTCCGCCCACTCGTCGACCTCTAGACCTTGACGCGAGAATCGAGCGCCTGGTTCGCTACAACCAACATCTCCAGCATGCGTTGGCCCAGGCCACGGAGAGCGCCACTGAGCCGATTACTGCCGCCGTTCCGAACGACCCTCGCCAGGATGCATTCGCCTACGTATTCTACGCCACCTCGGATCCGTACGCCTGCTCTGTCCTGGTGAACATCGAGCGTCTGGAAGTCTTGGAGTCGTCCTTGGCTATCCACGTCCTGCTCTCCTCGGATGTGAGCCGCCAGTATCTCGAAGCATTCCGACAGGCAGGCGCAACAGTCCATGTGCGAGACCCGCCCCCACTGGCGAAAGATCTGGGAGGTTACTACAAGGACTGCCTGTTGAAGTTGCTGGCGTTCAAGATGCATGTGCTCTCGCCAGGGTTGGAGCGAATTCTAGTGCTTGATTCGGAGTATGTCGGCGAGAGAGCCCAATATCTTTCCTAGAGCATTGGTATCTGCAGACATGTGCTGACGGCCCTTCGCTACCAGTCAACTGGTGTTGCAGAACATGGATGCGTTGTTTGATGGTCTACCAGAGGTCGACTTGGCAGCGCCACGGGCATACTGGCTCTCTAAGGACTTCCTGGCTAGTACATTCATGATGGTATGTCTGTCGGACCGCCTTTGGGACAGCGTGCAGAACGGTCTGGCCAGTATCGAGTACAACAAGTTTGATATGGATCTCATCAACGACCTGCTCGGCGACACTGTCATGATGCTCAGCGGCAAGTATGCGACATTGAATTCGCACTGGGAAGATTGGAATCTGCCGAAATGGCTCGGAAGCACCATCAACATGACAACCGTGGATGCTGTGAACAAGCTGGTCAGGCCTCAGCTCGTGGTGCACAAAGCGCCGCCCCCGCCACAGGGGACTTTCAACGACAAGCGGGGCACGGTTGATGGTGCGGCCATGAATGCTGCTGTCGACGGGGTACCACAGCCTGACAGAGTGGCGGACTCAAGTCATGCCATCGAAGTTGATGAACCAGCGACAACAGCCTCGGAACCTTTACTTGGTGGTCTGCCAGATGGCTCCAATCCCGAAGTCGCTCAACCGCTTCCGTCCGCAAGTCCGCGATTCCCGACAAAGCATCCCATCACGCAGGAGCTGTACCTGCTTTTTGACACTGCAGCAGTCCTTCACTTTTCGGCAGTGGGCAAGCCGTGGATTCATACTGAAGAAAGTCTGGCTTGGGCGCACCCTGACGCCCATCCCTTGTTAGCCAAACAGATGGAGATGTGGCGGGAAACCGCTCTGAAGGTCTGTCCGGGCGAGCTGCAGTTCGCGCAGTGAACAACGGGAACATCAAGTTGAATTGCAGACTCGACTGCACACCTGATGCGGCCGGCTTCGAAGGTAGCAGATCGCAAGATCAGGCGATGGGGGAAGGATGCCCAGGTTACGAGGGGCAAAGTGTTGTATCGTGGACGATAAGTCAATGTGAATTGAGGCCCTCAAAGCCAGCGTCGTGGAGGCAGTGATCAGACGTTTCGATCGGAAGTCCTCAAGACCACATCCCTTGGAGAGGTCTTCGGCCATGGGTCCTGGTCATGTCTGTCGGCTCGATCAGCTGACTAGTCCGTGGTACATGCTGGAGGTTGATGTCGGACCTGAGCGCCCCAAGATCGGGCGGTAGCTGTAGGTAGCTGCCATGACAAGATGCACATGGCCTTTCATCATTGCAGAATCCCTCAAGAGTCCGTTGCTGCGCACAGAGTAGTAGGGCAGATGTATCGTGCCACGCCAGAGGGTGCGGTGGATGTAAAGCTCAGGATCTTGATAGCGCTCGTATCACTCGCTTCACAGTTTGTCCGCGGTCGAGCAGAGAGATAGTCCTACGCAATGGAGGACTAAAAGAATGGACGGCAGGAGACAAAAGAAAAAGGCAACCCGGCGGACGGGGGAAGAAGACAGGTGCGCTCCTCGGTGCCCTGCCCCCAAATCCGGCTTGCAAAGAGCTGACTGATGAGAAGCCGAGAAAACGCCGGACGCCGTGTCTAAGGCCAACGACCTCCGTAACATGCCATGCATCGAAGATGGCCTTATTCTAGATCATGAGTGAGGCTGAAGGGATCGCTTCTCGACGTACTTCGTGGACGTCGAAGCGTTCGTCGCAAGATTTGACTCCACATGGATATGTGGCAGATCTACCGACAGTAGACTGCATAGGAGCAGGCAGCGACCTCATCAACGGCCATGGGAGCGCAACATGACCCTGATTCGTTCCCAGGGATGGCCGGCAGCGGCATTGTTCGTGACGAAGGCATCTTCTTCCCGTTTATCTGCCTTGCTCAAGTGGTGGCTGGTGGCAGCAGCGCCGATATCCACCGCGTTATATTGCCGCCGCTACGCCAGTAGTGGCCGGTGGCAGCGTCGATCGCATCGACAGTGATTCCCTCCCTCTTCGCTTCCTTGTCTCAAAAGTGGCTGGTAGCGGCGTCGTTGATGTCGACGTGCTGATGTGCCGATTCGATCCGCAACCGTCGACTGGGTAAAAGTGTGGTAAAGTTCCGTGCCGGACTTCAACATGTGGCACACTCGCCGTGGCCCAGAATCGCTGTTGCAATGGGCGAAAGACAGTGAAGCCCTTATGCAGCTTCATCCTCTAAAGCCAGATGCACCGGAGCTGCGAGCTAGACCGTATGACTTCACCTCCAGAAGCAGATATAGTCGGATCCTCGTGACAGTACGGTAGTAGCTTGCGCTCACAGTCACCACTCAACACTCAGCTTGCTCTGACTGCCAGACCAACACTTCCCGTCTCGAACAGCTCCACTAGTCCACTGCCTACACATTCTTCCAGTATCCACTGAAAGTCAAGCCCCCAGAACTCCTTCCACTTCTTGGTCTTTCCCGGCAGAACACCCGCCCAGTCTCCACGACCGCGCTTCGCCCGACTAGATGCATCGTTCGGGATGTTGCCATCCCACTTCTCTCTCAGCATCTCCACCGTAGCCTCCTTGTGCCGCGGCGAGAGCTGCTTCAACAACGCAAGTAGGTGCAGTCGAGCGGAAGTCAGGAGCTTGAGGTAGGCCCCCGTTGATGGTAATGAGAACCTCATGGTTTGCATGTTGTGTTGAAACTTTGCGCCGGGAGCTGGACGGTTCGAGCTGGTGGCCAATGTGCTCCCACCGCCGCCACTCTCGTGCACAGCGCCAGTTCCTCCTACTGCAGCCAGCGTTCCTGTGGCAGCTTTGAAGCCAGATTGAGAGAGCGTGCTGAGCGAGGAAGCGCCCGGTCGAGCGAAGAAGTCGTTCATACTCGACGATAAGGCGCTCGTGGAGATGAGATAGCCTGCTTGCACCAGCGCTCGCACATCATCGTTCGAGAGTTCGCTCGTTGGTGCGATGCTGGAGCCAGGGTTTGCGTCCATGAGGGCTAGGTACTTGTCTTTGATATCATCCTCCACACTCCCACTCTCGCGGACGCTCGCTTTCCAGTCCTCAGCCAGCACGATGCCTTCGCCAACTGCAGCGCCACCTTTGCCACGACCAGGTACAATGACTTTCCTCACGGCGCCTTGCGAGATCAAGCGTGCCAGCTCTCGTTCCGTCCCAGTACTACTCGCGCTCAGGGCGTGTAGATGCGCGACACTCACTATACGCGGCAGCGTTCGACGAAAACGCAGGACCTCGCCGATGCGCTCAGAGCCCATGCCAGCGGCCTGCTCAGGAATATCAGTCCACATGTTGGCGTGGGTATGTCGAACAAGCGTGTTGACATCCTGCGGGATTCCTCTGGGTGCCAATGACGGGACCAGACCCGTATCATCCAATTTATCGTCCGTGGCCGTCTGCTGGGCTCGGCTGACTTTGCTGGAGCTCGTACTTCGCTTTGCAGTCTTCAGTGGCGATGGAGCCTCTCGCTTCCGTGCAAAAGGGCTCGCAGTCTTGGGCATTGTGAAAACACCTTCGACATGTATTCGCCCTCGTCTCAGCCCTTATTGATGGACAGGCTCCTTCCTTGTCGTCCTCCAGATCGAGTAGGTGGCGTAGGTATGGTGAGCGTCATGCTTCACCGAGCCACAGCGAGCACCAAGTCGCGATAATGTTATTGCGATGTCGCCAAGCTAATCTGATGTCGAGGTGGCCTCATCAAAGAGTGTGGTGAGTAGAGATAGAAGTAAGGTAGAAGCAGAAATCTGCCTTGTACCAGCGAGGCAAGCTTGAAGTGCAAGGCGCTTGGGCCACAAAAGCGGCGTTGGCAAGTCCGAGATAGCCCACCCAACGCCAACGACACGGATACACTCTTTCACTCTACGGAGTACATCCGCCTATGAACTGTGTCTCTCGATGTTGGAGAGCATGCATTGCACGTTTTTCCGAATAGAAAGACCGCGCGATGTCATCACATCCACCTATTGCTTTTGGCTTGTACTCCGGATATTGTTTTACAAAGAACGCCGCTAAGCCGATCAGCGAGAAATGACAGCGATGATGTCCTGAGGGAATGGACTGGTGATCAAGAGATGGAGAAGGTAGGTAAAGACTGAGTTCTGACTGACACTACATTTACACAACTCCCAAAAGACAGACAGTGCCCAACTCCTGACCGTTGCTGTCTTCTCCAGCAGCAGAGCCATGTGAAACAAATCCTTATCCAGTAACGACAGCAGCTCCTCTCCACCAAAGAAGATTGATAATCAGCCCACCGCTTGTTCCCGTAACTCGAGTGACGACTTCACGAATCGAAGTCGTAAATGTTCCAGACCTGCCTGCTCAGATCACACCTCCCCTGGCACTCTGTATGGATTCCGGCTCGATTTGCCAGGACGCCATACCAGCAGATCGGGATAGAGCCGTCCGCTGGCAGCTCCACGGTGTCAGGGGTGCGCTCGTCATTCCCAAGCTGGATCCAATCATCAGCGTGTGAACATGGAGTAAGGGAGGGGATACACACCTTTGAGCACCAGTAGGCGGCTTTGTAGTACTCGACCAAGTCGATGCCGTACTTCGAGATCAGCATGTCGGTGATGGCAGGCTCCGCCATTTCGTACAGATCGTCTTGAGCCTCCGCCTGACGCCAGAATTGCATGCACTGTTGACGGTTAGCATCTGTCTTTGCTGCTTGTCAAATTCAAGTGATACGCACGAAGCTGTTGCCGTCGCCCATGTCCACCCAACGAGCACCATATCCAGAGAAGGCGTTGTCATTGTCGTTGCATTCTTCTTCGCTGTCGACCAGGTCTACGTTGATGATTCGGAGGCCGCCGGCTTGGATAGCCAGATCGATGACTTTGGTCTTGAATTGACCAAACGCCCCTTCAATGGTCTGGCGGAAGGAAGGGTGGGTGGACGAGAGGAGTGTCTTCCCGTCGGCGTAAAATCCACTGTTCGACGAGTCAGCGACGCTTGAAACCACGGACGGGGGAGGTGAGCGGACGTAATCGGACTTGTGTTGGTCTCGCCGCCCCATCCATCCGGTCGCGGATCGCCGTGGGGCAAGAGTCCGAAGGATTCACCCTCGTCGTTCCGCCCTAAAGCCAGCCGGCCGATTTGCTCCAGCTTGTTCCATGCACCCGAGAACAGATCTACCAGGGCAGGCGACAGGTCGCCTGATGAGAGAATTGTAGGTTAGCGAGTGACTGGGCCTCTAAAGGTCGACGTGCTCGAGCCACATACCTGTCGTCACTTGGCCTACGATAGGGTGGGTATGTTAGCATTTTCTCAGGCGAGGACGTATTTGAGTTCTCGCTTACCTTCTGCGTCTTGAGAAGCCGAGATGGTGCTGAAGGTTGACCCAACCACTGCAGGATATTCAGCAAGGGCATACCACCGCAAGGCTCGCAATAATCCACGACTCACGGTATGTGCCACTCGACATCGCGCCAGCGCCACGGCCACCATTTGTAATGGCAGCTTCCCTTTTCCTCGCAGCATCAAGGCGACGTTCCGCCTCATCAACGGCGTAGTTGTTCTGTCGAGCCGCATCCGCAAGAGAATTTGCGACACCGACGGCGGATGCTGCCGCGATGGCAGCGAAGTTGGCTCCCACGCTGGCTACACCTGCGACGCCACCTAAATTGAGATGGATCAATATCCTAAGCTCGTGCCAGCACAGGGTTAGAGAGCGACGCACCGACGATGAAGAAGGCGGAGCTGATCAGGGCCGCCGTCAAAGCTGGAAGTCTGCGATCAGCAAATGTGAACGGCGCGCCGGCTTCTCACAAGCAGACTCACCTTGCGTATTCAAGCTCGGTGGCCTGGAGAAGTCCACCGCGATCTGATCAAGGAGAAGGGTGTTGTTGATGACCTCCTTTGTCAAGAACTCTTGTGCGACGTTCAATTGGGAGTGGAAGCCCTGCACAGCCTTGAAGATGAGATAGAGGTCTGGTCTTCCGAGCTCTCCGACCTATAACAGCGTTAGCACTGCCACCCTCTCGTACTGTCCATCCGGGGGTAGTTACCATGGTGTCACAATTGGGAACATCCAAGTTGCACTCGCCACCAATCGTGCCACAGTTCGCAGCCCCGATATCTCCAGCGTTCGGGAGGTACTCGGACGCCAACGTCGTAAGCCAGCCCTTTTCCTTTCCACCCTTGGTGAAGGTCTCTAGCATGGTGACCGGCGATCCGATGCCGCAGACATTCCTGGACTCATCGCAGTACCCGTCGTTCCAAACGCTAGAGACCTTGGGAGAAGTCAGCGTATGGACTCAATCCAGCTTCTTGTCCCGCTTACAGCTTCGGGATCTTGAGAGGTGTCAGCGCGAAGTCAATACGGTTTCTCATATCACTTACCATCCGTATCGAGAAGTTTGCAAAAGAACTCGGTGTTCTTGTATGGATCTGCCTCTTGGGTGTCTTGTGGCAGTGCGATCGGAGTACTAGCTGCGAATGCAGCGAGGCCAAGGAGGACCAGGCGAGTTGAGATCATGGTTGAAGATGGGTGCAGATTGATGAACGGAAAAGAGTGTTGTGGAACAAGACAACGGTATGAGCCACCTGGCCAATACTTATAAGTTGTAAAGACTCGTATTCGCAAACTTCATCTACACCTCTGCAAGGCTTTCCAGACCAGCCCGGGTGTTTGGGGGGTTGTATGCAGTCACTAACTGCGCTCCTCCAATCCCTCTCCATGGGTGTTCTCGTGCGTGTCCGTTGGGTCCAGCATAGCCCACACGATAGATCTACGCGCAAGATGGTGATGAGACACTGGTGAGCTTGGCACGCCATCAAACGGCAGTCTCGTCCGTTGTCGTTGGTCCATTTTGTCCAAACGCAGATGAAGGATCTCCTAGCAGTGCAACGGTGAGCACTGCTTCCTGCCATAGGAGTGCTAGCCAGGCCCGGCAGAGGTGAGGATTGTATCTCTACGCCAGGCTGTGGATGTGTTCTATTCGGAGTGCCGAAATTCCTGGCAGATGGAAGAGACAGTCCACTTAAATTTTGCCCATCCTCAGCGGTGGACCGTATGTGGGCAATGTTTTGTCACCATGCCACGGTAGCCAGTATGACGCTCTCGAGGCGCTCAATGACGGGTGATCGTTGACCGGCCGGTAGCCTTCGTCACTGCCATCGCACAGCACCTTGCGCGCATGTACACTCCCCTTCGAAGCAACAAAGGCGATCGTGCAGGGCTAGTTAAAGTGTTACCCCTGCCAGGCGCTGCGATAGCTGGGTTGATGTGCCATGTGGTACGCTTCTCCTCGCAAGGAAGCTTGGAAGTGCGATATTGCACCTTGGCATGGTGTTGGTGAAGGACAAGAAGCACCAAAGGGCCAGAGAAGGTGCTGAGGACAAGAGTTAGCGTGCGGAGGAAGCTTGGAGATACCCACGATGCTCGGGTTCGCATAGTTCGCGTCGCCGCTTTCGTACGGCCGAGCCGGCAGCTGTCCTAGATGCTTGTCTGCATGTATTTGATCCCGGTACCAGGTGCCACGGTGAGGCGGAAGGAATAAATAGACCCACCCACGCGTAGTGACTTCGGTTCCGCACGTCCCGGGCATCGTGATAATCCGCAATGTCGTCGTCTCAGCCACGGATAACGATCAGGTTGCTTCCTCGCCGTCCACCAAGCCGACAAGATGGCCTGCATCTTCGAGACCAGGACAGCCACAAAGTCGGGCTACACTGCAGTCCGGTAAGGGCAGTGTATACTTGCAGCTGGCTCGGGCTTGTATGTTGTAGGTCATCTCTGGAGTCCATATCGAAGTAGAAGCGCCGACGTAATCTAGGAGGTACGGCGTGGGCGAATCCTGCTCCTGGGTACCACTCCAGACATATATCTACCTCCAGTCGGACCGGCCAAAGCATTCTTCCAGGTCGCCATTTAAAAAGTCGGAATGTAGAGAGAAGTAGAAGCAGAGGTCATGTGTTGCAGTGCAAGCTTGGGCCATAAGGTTGGCGAGCTCGAGTAACGACAACGCCAACGACCTCTCTTTCATTCTACGTCCGTCCATGAACTCTTCTCCCGTCCTTATACGTGCCCTGTCCAGAACCGCAGGGTCAACAACAACATTCACGCCACTCTTTGCGGCACGATACAGCAGCATGGCGGGCAAGGCGTCCTTGAAGCGAGCAGAGGACTTTGTCGACTTCCTCAATGCCTCGCCCAGTGGTACGAATGTCAAGCACCACGTTGATGGGCAAGACTAATTCGCAATGCAGCATTCCACGCTGTCCACTCAGCGAAGCTCCGCCTGGAGAAGGCCGGCTTCAAGCAGATCAAGGTACAGCAACCAAACCAATACAAGCCCACTATTCCTAATGCATTACCAACAGGAGCGAGACCCCTGGTCGTCCCACCTCCAACCAGGCGGCAAATACTACCTCACCCGCAACGCCAGCACCATCGTAGCCTTCGCCATCGGTTCGGCATGGAAGCCGGGCAACCCTGTAGCCATGGTGGGCGCCCACACCGACTCGCCCTGCCTCCGAATCAAGCCCGTCTCCAAACGCACCGGCGATGGCTTCATGCAGGTGGGTGTTGAGACGTACGGTGGCGGCATGTGGCACACCTGGTTTGACCGAGACCTGGCCATTGCGGGGCGGGCGATGGTGAAGGGCAAGGACGGGAGCATGGAGATGCGCTTGGTGCGGGTGCGGAAGCCGATCTTGAGGATACCCAACCTGGCGGTGCATTTCGGTGGAAGTGTGCCGTTCGAGTTCAACAAGGAGGCGCAGCTGTTCCCGATTACGGGGCTGGTGAGCGCTGAGCTCAACCGGACGGGCAAGACCGGAGAGGAGGTCAAGAAGGAGGAGACGGAGAAGGCTTCAGGAGCGGGCTATGAGCCTTTCAAGACGCCTACACAACGACACCACCCATATCTGATCGACCTGATCGCCAAGGAGGCAGAATGTAAACCGGATGACATTTTGGACTTCGAGCTCGTTCTGTACGACACGCAAGCCTCGTGCATTGGTGGGTTGAACGATGAGTTCGTATTCTCTGCACGTCTGGACAACCTGGGCATGACCTACTGCGCTGTCGAAGGTCTCATCCAATCTCTCACCTCACCAACCGCGCTCAAGGACGACCCTACGATTCGCCTAATAGCCTGCTTCGATCACGAGGAGATTGGCTCCAACTCAGCACAAGGCGCGGACAGCAACATGCTGCCCTCTGTAATTCGCAGATTGTCTTGTATTCAATCATCAGCAACACCAGCCTCATCCGATAGCGAGAAGTCTTATGACCGCGTCAACAGCGGCGATCAAGACACCAGCACAGCGTACGAGCAGACCCTCTCGACAAGCTTCCTGGTCTCAGCAGATATGGCCCACTCAGTCAACCCCAACTACAGCGGAAAATACGAGCCCGAGCACAAGCCGGAGATGAACGCAGGCACGGTGGTCAAGATCAACGCCAACGTCCGCTACGCCACGAACTCACCCGGCATCGTCCTGCTCGAAGAGTGTGCGAAGCGGGCCAAAGCCGCTTCCTACCAGCCACCTGGCTCCAAGTCCAGCGGCAAGGACACCGGCGTGCCATTGCAGCTGTTCGTGGTGAGGAACGACAGTCCCTGCGGCAGCACCATCGGTCCTATGCTGTCGGCGGCTCTGGGCACGAGGACAATCGACGTCGGAAACCCACAGCTAGCCATGCACTCGATCCGGGAGACGAGCGGATGTTATGATGTCGAGCACGGCGTGAATCTCTTCGACAGTTTCTTCGAGCACTACGGCGCGCTGGAACCCAAGATACTCGTCGATTGACTGGACGAGCCGGACAGAGCCAAGCTGTAGCACTAGCATCTATACCCACTACCCAACCACCGCACCAGATCAACCTTTCATCTGCATATCCACCGCCGCCATCTCCAAAGCACACGGATCCCTCTCGTCGCCCACAAAATGAATCGAGAACTTCTTGTTGGTGATGAACAGGAACGTCACGTCCTCATCCGCGGTGGCGCCGTGATACATCGTCCCGCCCTCCGGGAACCAGACCCAGCTGCCCGCGCCGTACCGGCCTTGGTGGGTGTCGAGCACGCCGTCCAGGACGTAGAAGCCGTGGCCGCAGAGGTGGGAGTGCCAGGGGTTGGTCTATTCACAAAGAAAACGGTGGAAGGGTTAGCAAGTCCCACCAATATAGTTGAGAATCCTGAGCGGGTATTTGAGCCTTCAAGCGAGGACGACTTACGAAGCCAGCGCGATAGGTCATCTTGAGCACCATCATGCCGGTCTCGGCGTCGTTGTGGAGGGCCTTGTGCTCGAGGTGGGCGTCGATGTAGGGGATGGGCATGATGTCCCATTCGCCCTGGTTGGTGTCGACGACGCTGAGTTCGACGGGTTTGGCGGGGGGCATGGTGGTGGGTTGTGGTGGTGGTGCTGCGGGTTGGGCTGGGTTTTAGATGCTGGTAGATATATGTACTTGATGTTGCTCCTGCGGTGTTTGAGGTCGGCTGTTTGCAGAAACGGGGCCCTGTTCTTCCCAGCTTACTTCCACCAATACAGGTTGAACCAAGAGAGTGTTCTTGATAGACGAGAATCAAGGTATTGGACTACAAGGCGGAATGACGGCCATATGAGTTCTCAACTTGTACCGGCAACTTAGACTTCAGACCCCTCATTCGGCCATACAGCCATTCCCCTCATCCATGTCAGGGCCCCTCGCTAGGGTCGGTGATATGCCCGACCCCATGAACGACGACGGAGAAAGTTGAGAGTACAGCATTATCGTGCTCTTCAGCGTTGATGGTGGCCCCTCCCATCGGCACGGTACTACGTGCCAACAGAGGTCCAAATGACCTTTCTGTGAGCTGGAGACGCCACTCAGCACCGTTGAGGGCGCGGCCAATGTACAGCTCAAGATAAGTTCGTGGCAGAAGGAGATATATCGGTTCCACATGAGTTGGAGATATGCTGGCCTACCGTGCCGCAGAGACGTCCAGACTGCGGGACTCTGCGTGGAGCTGTCATCTGCCAATGGCTTGGAGCACTGCTTTGCTTGCTAAAGGAGAGTCGTATGACTTAGTGTCGCCGCACGATCGACTGTTCGACTGGCGGCCGCCGCTCTTGGCCACTTCTACGTATTAGCCTGTCGGTTGCCTGCAGACGTGCAGATGCGCGCAACCGTACCCCAGCAATTTGGGGGTATACAGAGTGAAGGATAGACCACGTCTGCGTTGAGGCCGATCAAAATGCTGTACAAGTCGCCCCGCTTACTTTGGGGAAGGCAGTGCTATCGGTGCCGTCAGGATACCTCCCTCCTCTCGCTCCAGGGCCGGAGCAGTCTTCCGCTGGTAGGGTCGGTTTAGCAGCTGGTGCCGTGGCAGCGCAGCATCAGCCAACTGGTCTCCATACTTCCAGGCAGAGTGTTCCCGCAAGCGGCGGCAGGAGGCGCGGTATGGTAATCATGGCAGGTCGAGGAGAGCCGGAGGCAATCAGTCGGGTAGGGCGGTAGTTCTGAGGCTTAGTGAGCAGGCAGCGAAGGCGGCATGGTGCCTGCGATGTGGCCTTGTCCCCATCAAATAGCATATGTAATACAGCTTGTCGTCGTCTCTGCCGGCGGTGCAATCTAGGCCATGCGAAGTTATGTGCTGCCCGTATCTTATCCGTCCCCTCGTCTCCAGGCGCGCTCGAGGCACGCTAGCGGGGAGCTTTATCGGACGAGCTTCTGCTTGAAGCTGACCTGAGTCAACGTCGCCGTCACCGAGCAACATCACCTCTCCGCCTCTGCCTCCGCGCTCCTCGTGCCTGAGACACCTGACCTCCTCTTCCCCGTCTTCCCTTCTACTTCGACTTCTTATCGGGCATTGCTTCCGGATTCCCACCTATTAATCAGCAAGACTCACCACAGACGCTCATTCCCGCTTATCGCGTCATCCGAGGACTCGACCTAAGACGGCCATCACGCGCTGCACCTCGTTCCCGCCGCCCTCTTCCACCCGGCCACACGCAACGGACCAGTGACGGCATCCTGGCCACGTGCTTCTCTGGAAACGGACATCGCTCCAACATCACCTCACCCGGCCTGCCACTTTCACCGCCCTCCAGGAACCGGACTCGGGAGACAGCCAACACGCCAACGCCAGCCTTGCCGTCTATGCCTGCCACCTTCGCCGCCAGACGTGTTGAAGCAAGCTAGGGGACGTGAGAGAGCGGGGTCACTGACAACCGTCCGATAGACCTATACCCACCCACCGCCATCATGGCCACTCCACGCCCCGCCCCGCCGCCGTCCAGAGCGCCCCGGGCTCCTCAGCCAGACCGCGAGCCCAACGACTTCATCGGAGAGTTCGAGCGAGGCAAAGAGATTGGGAGGGGCAGCTTCGCGAACGTATACATGGCAAAGCACCGCAAGAAGAAGTCATACGCTGCTGTCAAGGTCGTCATCATGGCCAGGGTGAACAGCCGGCTGAAGGTGAATTTGGACTCGGAGATCGCCATCCTTCGCGCCATGGACCACCCGCACGTCGTCGCTCTGTTCGCCACACAAAAGACGCCCATGTACTACTACATCGTCATGGAGTACTGCCAGCTTGCCGACCTCTCCCAATTCACCAAGAAACGGCATCAGATCGCCAACTACCCCGAGACCGCGGACATCTTCAAGAGATATCCCAACCCCGAATATGGCGGCCTCCACGAGGTACTCTGCCGCCACTTCTTCAAGCAGCTCGCTAGCGCCCTGGAGTACCTCCGCCTCTGCCAGTTCGTCCACCGCGACATCAAGCCGCAGAATCTGCTGTTGACCCCGGCTCCCATGGATCTGCGCAGACGCACCGCTGAGGATCTACCGTTGACCGCTAGCAAGGATGCTCTGGATCCAACGGTCGGAGTGCAGAGTCTCCCAATGCTCAAGCTTGCCGACTTCGGCTTTGCTCGTGAACTGTCCAGCGAGCAGATGGCAGAAACGCTCTGTGGCTCACCCCTGTATATGGCCCCTGAAATACTGCGCTATGAGAAGTACGACAACAGGTCAGATCTATGGTCAGCCGGAGTGGTTCTGTACGAAATGCTTGCGGGCAGGGCTCCCTTCCGCGCAGCGAACCACGTCGAACTGCTCAAGAAGATCGAGAAGGCGAACGATGAAATTCCATTTGATCAGAGACTCAGCGTTGGGAGGGATATGAAGGGACTGCTCCGGGGTTTGCTGAAGAAGAAGCCGCTGGATCGCTACAGCTACGCAGACATGATTGAGGACCCTGTGGTGGCCGGAGACATCCCTGGATTGACGCCCGAAGACAAGCCGCTTCTTAGGTACCGAAGCGGACCACCATCGGACCCCACTGGTGTCGGTAAGATGATCGTCGAAGAGGACGCCAACCCCACCGAAGCCCCGGAGCAGGTTGTCCAGCCACGTGAGGCGCAGGAAGGTGCTGCGGGGCCATCTTCTAGGAAGTCTTCTGATCAAGAATCAAAGCAACGGCCGGAGGCTGCCACTCGACGCCAGTCAAGCAGCGGTCAAAGCAAGGAAGCTCTACCCGCCGACATGCAGAGACGCCAGAGCCAGCGTGAGCAGCCAAAGCAGCGTAGACCGAGCATTGTCTCTCACGCCACCGCGCCAGCTCGTCAGGATCTGCTTGCTGGTGCCAATACTTCGCAAGCACCTGCGCCACGGATGGAACGTAGACCCAGCCGGACTTCTCCGCTCGCTGGGCCGCCTATGGTACGCGAGCCTTCCGCGGTGGATACGGATAAGGTGGCGGAAAGGCGGGCTGCGCGGGACGCTCGAGAGCGCACTGCTCAGGACATGGCATTCGAGAAGGAATATGTCATGGTGGAGAAGCGCGCAGTCGAGATCAATGCGTTCGCAGACGAGCTCGAGGCAAAGCGAGGATCTGCGGGTGCAGCCATGGTCAGGCGCGCGACAACACAAGGACAGCCAGCTCCGCTCGCGGGAGTTGAGCCGCCCAGCACTTCTCGTGCGATGCAGGTGGTTTCGACACGCCCACAAGGAGCTCACCAGCGCGGCGCTTCCTTCGAGCGACGATTCGGACCCGGCGCACAATCTGCAACAAACATGCTCTCAAAGGCCTTGAATGCGGCCAATGTACGCCTCTTCGGCGCGCTGGGCACTTCACCACCTTTTGGAATGGGCGCATCACCATCCTCTGGCTACTCTGCTTTCCCTACGTATCCTACTCCACAGGGCGCGCTGTTGTTGACGGAGGGCGGCGATGGCAAAACTCCAACGGACGAGGACACTAAGATTGTCCGCACGATGGAGGACGCAGCTCACCGCAGTGATGTCATCTTCGGCTTCGCAGAGGTCAAATACAGGCAACTGGTCCCGGCAACACCGTCGACAGCGTCTGATGCTCTGGGTATTCAGCAGATCGGTGCTCAGGAGAAGCCTATGACCGCTTCTGGTGAGGACGAAGACAAGGACATGACGAACATTGCGGTTGTTGGTGTCGCCGAGGAAGCGTTGGTCTTGTACGTGAAGACACTCGCCATCCTTGGGAAGACTACCAGCCTGGCAGCCTACTGGTGGAACAAGCAGGGCAATCGTACGGAGCAGGTTGCGTCAGAGCAGCCAGCACGACCAACGTCTGGATCCAGTGCGGAGGTCGGCAAGCGCATGAACAACGTGGTGCAATGGGCAAGAGGACGCTTCAACGAGTGCCTGGAGAAGTCGGAGGTGGTTGCTCGCAGACTGCAGACAGCGCAGAGGGAGCTCCCGGCGGACCATCCTTACCACCCCAACAATCAATCTGCAGCCTCTGATAGCGCCAGCGGCGGCATCACGACGTCCGCCCAGCACATCCGCATCACCAGCGGCGTCACTGCCGAGAAGCTAATGTTCGATCGTGCGGTGGAGATGAGCCGCGCTGCTGCTCTTGCGGAGCTGGTGGGAGAGAACCTCAGCGATTGTGAGCTCGGCTACGTTACGGCGATCATGTTGATGGAGGCGGTGCTGGAGAACGACGACGAGCCGCTCATGCGCAAGCCGAGCGCGAAGAAGGACAAGGCTGCTGATGAGGCGATCACTGGCGTGGAGGATGAGAACCGCCAGAATGTGATCAGGCGTGAGTGACACTTTCTTTTTCGAACGCGAATGTTCGCTAACAGTATAACGCCAGTTATTGACGGAGCGAGAAATCGCCTCTCTGGTCTGCGCAAGAAGATGCACGCTGCTCAGCAGTCTGCAAAGCGATCCTCGCACTCTGGCAGTGGTGGTGCGACTCCGAAGCCAGCGGCCAACACCTCCTCGGCCGCTACACCAGCACTCGCTGGCACTCCGCCTAGATGATTGGAAGCTCGGCGGGCTTCGACTGATTGCAATTGGCTTTTAACATGGCGTTTGTGGATACTCGACGATACGGTACAGGCCAATGTTTTTCCTGCGATATACCGACCGCACGGGCGTTTTCTTGGATTGATTGCATCGGCACGACGACTGCGACGATGACATGTGTGACACGAATACGGCGCTTTTGCAAGAATGACACTGGGACGGAATGGTTGACCTGTGGGAATTGGGCGTTGGTGGGTGCTTTTCTCGGCCAGCATGCAGCACTTGTGGGAGTAGAGGGCATTGGCGCACTGTGGTCTTACTGTGGTCGTTGATACCATCATGACAGCACAGGGATGGTCCTACTACCATGTGCCATCTAGCGCACCGGCGTTCGCAGGCTGGGCAACGAGATACCATTAGCATGAATTCATAGCAGACTGTGGCCCTGTTTTGGCGGAGATGGCCTTTGAATTGAGATTGTCTTAGAACTCGTAGCCTTTCTGGCATCTCCTCATCATTTCCAGCGAGAACTCGCTGCTCTTGGGGGCTTGCTTGGCTGTCTGGAATGCTGATCTAGACCTGCATGCATCGACCCCAAATGAGCTCGCTCGCTTCCAGATCGCATACAGGCTGATCAGAGAAACAGCCCCCGATCCAACCAGCCAGCTAACCAACCAATACCGAGACGATCCCAACTGCCGGATGCACAGCACTAAGCAACCTACAGGGTTCCCTCCATACCCCAGCATCTGGTGGCTGCACTTCCCCGCAACTCTTTCACGACGACCACGGACACCAAGACGATGACTGGGGTCGCCATTGGACACCCAAGAGCGCCTTGCAGGTCAGCCCACGCGGCGAGCAAGCACTTGCATCCGCTCGCGAGATGGAACGACAGCATGCGGCGTCGAGGTGGTGCGGGATGCTTGCAGCGAGAGCTCCAGCCTTCATAATAAGGCACAGTCCAAACCTCCCACGAGAATCGCCTGAGCTCTCCTTCCCCCGTCCCGACGCCCATCCTACCTCTCAGTAAACCCAACAACACCACACCACCGCCCACCATGGCCCCGTCGCCACCCCGCCGCCCCTCCTCAGGCTCCGACGAAATCCACCACCACCCCTCCAACTCCGACGACCTAGGCCTCAAGCAGACGTCGACCATGATGACCATCTCGCCCGAGCTCTTCGAGAAACTCTACCTCACGCCGAAAACCCCGCACGTCGGCGGCAGCAAGTTTGCGAACCCGACGCCGTTGGGGTTCGTGGGGTTCGTCATCTCGACGTTTACGTTTAGTATGGTGTTGATGGGGTGGGGGGGCGCGAGCGGGTTCTATCCCGTGGTGGGGATCTTCTTCTTCGTGGGGCCGTTGTTGTTGACGCTCGCAACGATCTTTGAGTGGATTATGGGGAATTTCTTTTCGGTGAGTGGATATCAAGTGGTTTGGGTGGGTAATTCTAGGGATGGCGTGCTGACTGAGGGTGGTGTAGATGATGGTGATGGGTAAGTTGAGCATCCTTTCCCTCTGGTCAACGGCATTCTACTCCATCTGGAGGTTGCGGAGAACGAACAGGCAGAGTTCAATTTTGCCTAACGACTGACATGGTTGATTCACAGGCCTCTTCGCCGTCTTCTGGCTCTCCTTCGGCATGCTGCAGCTCCCCACCCTCGGCCTCGCAGCCGCCTACTCGCCCTCTGGCAACGACATGGCCCAGGGCGCCGCCAGCGCCGAGTACAACGCCGTCGTCGGCCTGTACCTGATCATCTGGGGCTTCGCGCTGTTCACGTACTTCATCTTCACGCTCAAGACGAACGCCGTGATCGCGCTGATTTTTCTGTTCGTGACGATGGCGTCGTGGGTGTTGGCCGGGGCGTACTTTAAGGTGGCCGCGGGGGATTATACGACGGCCGGGCATTTGCAGACGGTGAGGGTGTCTTTAAGAACGGTATATGGGAAGTGAAAGCTGACGTACGGACAGGCTGGCGGAGCTCTGCTGTTCATTGTGGCGATGCTGGGCTGGTATATGTGCTTTGTCATCATGGCCGCCGAGATGCGATTCGGTGAGTCGCGATTGCTCTGTTTTGCATGACACGGAAGACCATTATAGGCCTGGGGCGATTTCCTCCACGATTGAAAGGTTTGGAGACTGCGGAACTGGGACTTTCGCTTCACATGGAGAGGCGGGAATCGGAAAGACGCCCATTCGACTGGTACTGACGATACATGCAGGCATCAACTTCCCAGTAGGCGATCTCAGTCACTTCTGGCCGGACACCAATGTCAAGTTGAGCGACGAAGAGAAGGGAGAGAAGGCCGCTTGATGGCCACAATGAGAGAGAACCAACATGGTTGTACGGTCTTGGAGACATGATCCATAAGTGAAAGAGTGACGATATACCCATGTGAGAGGCAATAATTACCAGCTGCTGAGCCCAGAAGACTTGTGATGTGTTGATGGAAATGATCATTGACTCAGCCTTTTCATTACTTACTCTGCTATGTATGCTGATCCCAAATGAACCACCAAGAGCCCGTCCTTGTCCGTACTGCAAGGCAATCGGGTGGTCATGCTCGACCTTTGGACTTCATGATCGGCCCTTACCTTGGCTTTGGCGGGCCCTTCGATGGCTGGCGGAAGATTGTACTCGATCGCTTCACTTTTGGCATCCACTCCTTCCTCCAAATCCCTCTTCCTCCGGACCGGGAGTCTGCTCGAAACGCAGGATGGGAGAAGGCGACGACCAGTGGCGTATCTCAAGACCATCAGCATCGCGAGAACCAACGGGATCGTGATCGCCACCGCCGCACCGATTGCCGGGACGAGTTGCTGGAGCACTTCTCCGGGGGATAGAGTGTGGTCGAACATCTTCGCGATCGGCTGGAGGTTGTTGGTGTTTTGCGGAGCTGAGATGAAGGACGGCCATTGTGACTGCTGCGGTCTGATTTATGTGTCTTGCCATCTGGTCGGCCATTGTGGGAGAGAATTGTTTTGTGGAGTGTGTCGAGCAGAACAAAGGGACATCCCATTCGCCTGCTTACAATGCCATTCTGACGGCCTCCCCAGACAATGGCAGTGCTCGATGCTGGGTCGCGGGGCTCGATCGCTGGCCTGAGGGAAGACTCCCATCTGGATTCGCGAGCATGCAGCACGCAGCACCTTCATACGGCACAAGTGTGAAGCCTGAGTGGGAGTGAGGGCATATCGTGCCCCGAATCTCGGCCGTCGGGGCTTAAGGTATATACAATTTCAACAAACCAATGCTCCCCAGAGATTGGTAAAGCACGGGACACACCATTCTGCTAGTGATCACGGCTCAGAACCGCCTTTGGCAACCGCCCAAACGGCATAGAAGAGTTTCTGCGAAAGATTTCCGTTGGTCCAGAGCAAAAGCAGTTTGCAAGTGTCGGGTCACGTCCCAACCGTCCACCTCATTATCTCAGCTGGTACTTCTCGTGCCCCGTCAGTGAAGTGACAACAACCGTTAGGAGTCGCGGAACTGATTGGCGGCGGGCCCCTCGGGGAGTAGAGATTAACCCGCCAGACGTGGTGGGTGAACTCTTTTGCTGCTTTGATTGATCTTTGAGTCATTGTCAATCAATTGGCAAAGGAATGTCTAAGCGCATGAATTGAGTGCCGTGTCGTTGGCATACATAGCTTTTGAGTTGCACCCCTGAGTCGGTCTAGACTACCCCGGAAGCGTGACATCACTTTCGACATTCACCTTACATACATGTAGGATGCGACCTACTGATTGTCACATGCTATCTTTGCCCAACAAGCTCTCCCAAAAATGAATACTTGCAAGTGCTTTCGTTGAACGCGGAAGCGAGCATTCCTCGTTGTCACCATTGCCTCGCTCAGGGCAGCACCCGACATTCCCGAATCGAATCTCCGCGCCTTCCCAAGCGAGGTTCGAGAACGAGAGGCTGGAGCGTGCCCTGTAGAAATGCTTGTCGGGCCTTGACTTCGTGAGCTGCGCCCCCCAGCACGCAGCCGCTCTTCCGTAGAGCTATCTTGTTTCTGGCAAACAGGCACGTGTCACAGCCGTCCTCGCGATTGGTTTGAGGGAACAAAGACACTCCGTGGAGCAGTTCCCAGTTCCAGGTTTTTAGGGTCAGGTAGCAAAGGAGTGCCGTAGCACAAGCGCGCAGTCAGCCGCCGCTCGCCGCTCACCTCATCACAGCCCCCATTTACAGCAGGCAGTCGCGTCCAGGATGAAGAAAAGTCGCGTGCCCTGTCAGATTCTCCCCATCACCACCACGACCCGCGAACACGCGCACCCATGGATTTGAGAGGTAGCAGTCATGAAGTACCACCTTCTCCCTGACACTCAGAAGGGTTCGACTTCGCCCAAATCTCTACGGCGCCGGCTACAGCGACAATACTACGCCCTCCCACAATGGCTACGGAGCCTCCTCCTCCTGGCCGTCACGGTAATAGCCGTCGCCGCTGTCACACGACATGGGCAGAACGAGCGTGACCAGGCGTTCAAATCAGAGCCTACCGACTTCACCACACTTAACGCAGCACACCCAGACGCGCTGTGGCATCCGGATCACATCATTCGCCACCGCAATGGCACTCACATCGACGACCGCTACGTTTTCATGCGGCAGCTGGGCAAAGGCTCGGAGGGTTCGGCGGCGGTGTACCTCGACGTTCCAACCGGGAAGGTTGTAGTCGTGAAGACGTTCCATGGCATCCTTTCGAATGACATTCCTGGACCACTTATTCCAGAATTCGAAGACTTCGGACCGAAGTGGCCAACGGAGATTGAAGCGAGCTTGCTGCTCGGAAACCAAACGGGCGTGGATGGTCCTGCGTATGTGCCCGTCCGGGATTACTTCATTTTGAAAGATGAATCCACAGACTGGCACTGGGCTCTCGTCACACCGTATTCCGAAGCCGGCACTCTGGAAGACCTGGCGCAATCGACAAAGTTCCACGAGCGGACGCCGCAGAAGTTAGATAAGATCTTTCGGTCGGTGTTCGAGGTGGTGCTTCAGAATGTCGGGTCCTTGCACACCCTGGGTTACTGCCACGACGACATCAAGCCGAATAACATGCTCGTCGCCAACACGACGCACTGGCTCCTGGGAGATCTGGGGAACGTCCGGGATCTTGCACACCCCTGGCATTCGACGGGCAAGATCAAGCGGGAGAATCATTGGACAGACTGCAAGATGAATGATGTGAGACGGCTGCTGAAGACTTACATGTACTTCCTGCGAGAAGCCAGTGGTGCTGCATCGGGCTTTGACGGTGCGTTCTGGAAGGAGGAGCAGGCGTGGAGTAGGCTGTATTGGCAGTGGATGCAGCAGCCGTTGGCCGTGAATGGGACTCTCGAGCTGTCGAGGGCGATGAACTCGAGCGAGGAGATGGAGTGGAAGGCCGAGGGTGATGCGGTTGAGGGTGCGTGCCTTCGACGCAAGACGGACATGGAGCTGGTGACCACGACATTGCGGTGGCGGCCAACAGACTTCTGGCCGTTGAGGCAGTGTTGATTCAGTATGTAGATAGGTAATGTGATCACGAACAGAGCATTTGGGGCCTGACCCGTCAAATTCATAACATATACCTCCGCAATACAGATGTGAAGAGCAAGTGGATGAACATGAGAGCGGATGAGGTCGACTTAATAACAAAACCTCCCACGCTTTCGCCCGCGCCAGTCTTCACAAGGTTGGCACGATCTTTACGAAGCAGCGATCCATCGTGGACAGCGAGGATGGTAAGCCGATGTTGTGCCAGCACGTGATGGCATCGGATGTACTTCGGGCTTTCGAACGTGCAAGGCAAGCTTGAGCTTCGTCAGTCCGTTGCCTTCACATATCCATCCATCACTACCACACTGACAACACGCTCACACCTCGACCACATCCACCCACTCCTCTCCACGCAGCGGTCACATCACAACTGACTGATCAACATCCACTCGACCCATCACCACCACCCTCCCACTCGGCCACCATGGCCTCCCTCTTCCAGCAATCCATGCCCTCCACCGGCCCCGGCTACTCCTTCGCCTCCGCACCCACCCACCACTCCTCAAGCGGTCCCCGCCAACACGCCTTCTACCCCTACACCGACAACGGCGGCTCCACCCTCGGCATCAGCGGCGCCACCTTCACCATCCTCGCCGGCGACACGCGCAGCACCTCGGGCTACAACATCAACTCCCGCTACGCACCGAAACTCTTCCGTATCGGCGGCGACGGCCCCGAAAACGAAGGCGCGCGCATTGTCCTCTCCGTCGTCGGCTTCGCGGCGGACGGCAACGCGCTGAAGGAGCGCCTCGACACCATGGTGAAGATGTACCGGTACCAGCACGGGAAAGAAATCAGCGTGCACGCGTGCGCGCAGCGGCTGAGCCACATCCTGTACGGGAAGCGCTTCTTCCCCTACTACGTGACGGCGATTCTGGGGGGGCTGGACGACGAGGGGAAAGGCGCGCTGTACTCGTACGATCCCGTGGGGAGCTACGAGCGGGAGCAGTGCAGGGCGGCGGGGGCGGCGAGCAGCTTGATCATGCCGTTCTTGGATAATCAGGTCAATTTGAAGAACCAGTACGATCCGGCGAGCGGGGAGGGGTTGGAAAAGGTGATGAGGGTGCCGGAGCCGCTGCCGCAGGAGACCGTGGAGCAGTTGGTGCGGGACGCGTTTACGAGTGCGGTGGAGCGGCATATTGAGGTCGGTGATGGGTTGCAGATGATGATCATCACCAAGGAGGGGGTGCAGGAGACGTTCACGCCGCTGAAGAAGGACTGAGTGGGAGATGATCGGGGGAGCAGAGTGCGCAGTGGGCATGGCAATACTTCAACTCGGTGGCGAGCGCGAGATGAAGAACGGTTATTGACGATGAGAGAAGTATGCTGTACAATTATCCAGAGCTGCGCTGCAGACCATGCATGTGCTGCTCGACCTCTACCATTAGCATAGCGTGGCGACCGGCACTTCCAATTAGAGCTTCGTGGCCTTTCAAATCCTTAGGTTCATATGTCCCTTCGTCCTGAGCGCTCCCAAACCACTCCCAAACGCCTTGCTCCTCCCGCAATGTACACAATCAAAGCCGTCCGCCCGCCAGCTTGCCACCTTGTCCCGTCGAGCCCCCTGATCTTTCATCCTGCCCATCCCGCCATTATGCCACAAGTCTCTCTCCCCTCTCACGCCAGCTGCCCCGCAAGCCCGATAAACAACGCCTGCGCAACAACCTGCACCCCCCACCACCCCACCTTCCGCATCCTCCTCTTCCTCGCCCCCTTATCCTCGACATCCCTCGCAATCGCCCCATACACCTCCCTGCTCAAATCATCCAACAACCCACTATCAAAAATCGTCCAGCTGCCGTCGAACTCCGACACCGACTTGACGACCCGGCACTGCACGGGGATGAAGGCGCCGTGGCGGGAGTTGATGTAGGCCACGATGGGCCGGACGAGGGCGTTGTTGACGTAGCTGAGGTCTTTGGTGAAGAGGGGCACGCGGGCGCGGATGGAGGTGAGGGTGCAGTTGATGTCGAGGATGAGGGGGCGGTCGTGCTCGGAGGGTTGGGAGTGGCGGTGGTCGAGCGTTGGTGCGGGTTCAGAGGCTGGGATGGGGCCTTCGCGGCCTTGTTCAAAGGACTGGGTCTGTGGATGGCGCGGCTGGTGCTGGTGGTGCTGGATCGCGGATGCTGTCACGCTGGCTTCTACTCGGTCGTAGAATTCTGACACCGCTTCTGCAGACTTCTTCCACGACTGCGTCCAGATGCCGTCTTCGTCGTTGGGGATCATTACGTCCGCAACAATGTCGACATTGCCTTCGTAAATCCAAGAAAAGGGGCCATCAACGCCTCGGTTGAGGTGATCGATATTCAAGCCATCAATTCGCAGTCGACTGTGCTTCTTCCATTGATTACCTTCTTCGTCTTCCCTGCCGTCCGGGTTGAGTGCCACGCCCGTCTGGCCGTGCACTTGACGAGGATGCACAGTGAAGAGAGACTCGTCAAAGGAGCCGCTCATGTTGTTGGCGCTCATGAAGTCGTAGAACAGCCACTGCTTTCTCAGACGAGGCAGCTCGCAGTTGAAGACGCTGACGGTGAATGGGCGGAACTCGTTGGGCTGATGCACGGTGAGAAGAACGTCGCTCATCTTGAAGTCCTCAATCTCGAAGTCGCCCGTATTATGCTTGTGGCGGTAGCTTTTGGGGTCAACATATTCTTCTGTCCGGCGCACATTCGTGCGGTCAATCACCCCGCGGACACCCAGCACCTCAACGTTGTGCAGCAGGCCTTTGCCGTTGAACCATTTCCTGAACGACAATGTAACGTTCACTGTCTGGATGGTCACGTCAAACTGAGTGTAGTTGCCATCATCCTCAGCATCGACGTTTGGCTCTCTTGCTGCCGCCATGGCTGCTTCTGCCGCTGCGGCAGCAGTTGTGGAAGAGCCCTTGCTGACGCTCCGCTCGCGGTTCGTCTGCTTCCCTGGCCGCCGAGACACGAAAACATTGTTGAAAGTAATGACTCCAGACCTCCATGTGGGGACGATAGCGCTCTCGAAGACAACCTTAATGCCCGAGGACTTCGTCAAGTAGTTGCCCACCCATCCCGCTACCGTCTCTTGCGCAAAGACCGTGTTGATGGCCCAGATTGCAAGCGATACGAACGTTGTGGTACCGATCACAATCCATACCACATGTCCGAGAAACACCCAAGAGGCGAATGCGCCTATCTCATCGAGTGTGTAGGGTCGCACGCTCCGGATGGTGCTCCACTTGAAACGAATCCGCATGCGCTGCCAGAAACCGGTCGCAGCGGAGAGCAGCTCCTCTTTCGACGGTCTGTGGAGGTGCGGCAGGCGGTCTAGAATGCTCTTGTCCGCGCCCTCTGGAGCATGCTGTTGCGCCTGATGTAGATGTTCTGATGTTCCTTTCTGGTCGCGAATGGATTTATCGGTGCTCTGCGAAGGTCGTGGGTGTTCTCTGAGAGGCTTGCGCTCGTTGAATAAGCGCCTTTGGCTCCATATCTGTGGTGTTTCCCGTATGCATCCTCGGCGCCAGACCAGTACGTCGTGCAGGACAGCACTTCGCCGTACTGCTTGCGGTGCTATCGACGGCAGCCCGCCACGCCATAATCTCGTATCCTTGGCTGCAGCATTCTGACTTGTGCTGAAGCCTCTCCCAAAAGTACTCGCTGCGACCGAACGCTGCAGCAGTCCTGACGTAACCGGACGAATGGCAGCCGGCGCATCGAGTCGTGGCGGTAAAGAGTGGAGGTGTCGGAGGCCTATGTTCGCGACATGGCGACTCATGTTACCGCATGGTGATCAACGACCTGTAGGAGGGATGTTGTGGTCGAAGAAGAGAGGGAGGTTGGAGTTGGATGATGGCACGTGAAAGACTTCCAAGCTGGATTCTTGCTTCTGGAAGATCGACGCCATCGGACGGCCGGACGGGACGGCTATCTCCGAACAGGCCACCGAAATCTTGCCGCTGGCCTTCTTTTTGCGAACAAACTCGTAGTCCGCAGATATCGTGTGACAGAAAGCTACGACACCACCTAAGTCTCGACTACTTCATCAACCATGCCGGCACCGACCGCTCTCCAACGAGCACCGGAAGAACTCGCCATCGAAGAGACAGTCCACGATGCGCCGCAGACCGCTGTAGAGGAGGATGTTCTCACCACAACCGCTCCACCCACTCAACCATCAGAAGAAGAGACACCCCTAGACACAGCCATGGAAGTGGAAACCTCCGAAACCGAACCTTCCTTCCTCTTCACCCCCGAAAAAGCCACCAAAGCCGCCCACCGCGTGGAAGAGCGCAAAGTCCGCATCCCACCCCACCGCATGACGCCCCTCAAATCCTCCTGGCCCAAGATCTACCCTCCCTTAGTGGAGCACCTGGGCCTCCAAGTCCGCATGAACCTGGCCAAGAAGAGCGTCGAGCTGCGCACGTCTCCGCATACCACTTCCACCGACTCGCTGCAGAAAGGTGCGGATTTCATCACAGCCTTCACGCTCGGATTCGACCTCGATGACGCTATCGCGCTGCTGCGGTTGGACGATCTGTATATCCAGAGTTTCGAGATCAAGGACGTGAAGACGCTGAATGGGGAGCACCTGTCGCGAGCGGTGGGGCGGATAGCGGGTAAAGATGGCAAGACGAAGTTTGCGATTGAAAATGCTTCGCGGACGAGGATAGTGCTGGCGGACCAGAAGGTGCATATTCTTGGCGGATTCAAGAATATCCATGTTGCGAGGGAGGCAGTGGTGAGTTTGATCTTGGGAGCGCCGCCTGGGAAGGTGTACGGCAATCTCAAGACTGTGGGGGCGAGGATGAAGGAGAGGTTCTGAACGATCAAAAGTATGGGAGATGATTTAGCGTGGCGTTCTGGCGTATGGAGGGCAAATACGAACGACTGAGGACCTCGCTCACGACGAGACGAAATATTCTATAGATCGGACTGCGAAACTCCAAGCTTCCTCCTTCACCACCTGCCGACATCTCTCCCTCGATAAAAGCCCTCCATCTCCGCCTTCTGCTGCTGCCACATACCCTTCAGCGTAGGATCATGGCTGGGATCTCCATCCCAGTACTTCGCGTGGAAACTCCTCGCGCCACCCCGCCAGTCCTTCTCCATCGGCCAATTCACGTTCCACCCATACCACAGCGGCTTCCACGGCATATTCCCATCCCGTCTGTGCGCGTAGTTGAGCAGATTCTGCTCAGGAAACCCCGGATCAAATCGCCCCGGCAACTTCAGCAGCGAGATGTAGTAGTCGAACAACGCATTCGAAGGGGTGAAAACAAAGAATCCGCAATTCAAATAGCTCAGATCCGTCACAGGCGGATACGCGTGGTCGTAACCCCAGTAATCGCCATGCGTCGCGAACATGTACGTCCGCGGCAACGGCGCCTCGTCGTCTTTGATCTGCTCCTGGTTCGGCAGCGTCGCCTGCATCAGCGTCGCCTCATCGAAGAACACCCCGTCCAGGCTCTTCGTGACCAGCGTGTCGGCGTCGATGAAAGCGATCTTATGGTACTCCGTCAACTGGAACAGCCGCAGCTTCGCGAGCACGTCCGCCCATCGCTCGACCGCCGCGTGCACCCATTCCGCCTGCAGCTTCTCGACCAGCACGATGGTGGCGCCGTCGCGTTTGAGCCTGTCGCGCTTGCGCTTGCTGACGTCGCGGGTGCAGAGGACGAGGAAGGGGATACTGGCGTTGGTGCCGGCGGAACGGGAGTGCAGGAGCTGGTAGGCGAGCACGCGGGTGCCGAGGAAATATCCATCGTCCGCGTCGTCTACTGCAGCGGATTCCTCGTCGGTGGGTTTGCCATCCGGGTTGGCGTTGGCGGCGAGGAAGGTGGCGAAGGCGACTTTGGGGGTGTTGGGGCCGAAGTGGGCGGAGGGGGAGTGCGATTTGCGGGTGGTGGGCAGCCAGGGGCGGGAGGAGTGGGAGGAGGATTGGAAGGTCAGGGTGAGGAGGGCGGAGGCGAGGAAGAGGAAGATGTAGAGGCTGACGGTCTTGGGATTGGAGATCATGGTGGCATCTTGGGAAGGGAAGCAGATAGGCGGTTGGAAAAAGTGAAAGGTGGACGCGAAGGAGGCCGCATTCCTGCTGGCTTGGGCGCGATGCAAGGACTCGTGTGTAGATTTGAACGGCTTGAATGGATAACTTATTCTTGATGCGGACTATTGCCAACTTACGGTAGTTGTTACCTTTCGTACAATCTCTGCGGTCCAAAATTTGCTCATGTTGAGGAGTGGTATAAGGTAGCAGGCGGTCGTTCCGCTGGAGGGTCGGTGTTGGTCGTTCAACGTTAAGGGCGGAAGGATAGACGACTTGACTGTTTGGGCGTCTGCGAGGATCTCGTCAAGTCAATGATGTCTGATATGGATGCATCGTGAATGTTGCGGCGAGCTGGGATCGAGAGCGTGGTGATGGTGAAGGTGGACTTGGTTCTGGCTTGACGCTGTGTACCGCGACCCGCAACGACTTCACCTCATCTCCCGACCTGCTTCAACATCTTGCGCGCTACTCATGCCACCCATAAGCGACGCATATCTGGTCATCGACCTATCGCGCTTGTGAATTGAAAAGAGGTTGGTGTTGGCGTAGAAAGAAGAGATCCGTCCCGCTTCCAACGCCCCCTCCACCAATCACTCGCTACGGGCAGCCGCTCGCTTGACGGAGAGCATACGCCAACATCGACTACGGCAAGTCAGTCTGGACAACTCAGCTGTGGACCACATGTCCCGCCCGGATCATGCCCTCGTCTCCTTCCCGCGAGGACGAGCAGCCGCGGCGCCGTCGCAAGGAGCCCAAGGACGAGCGCGGCTCGACGTCGTCTAAAGAGCACAAGCACCGCACACAGCACAAATCGAGCTCCGGCAAGACGTACAAGCGACGATCGAGGAGCAGAGAGAGGGACAGAGACTTGCCCAAGGTCTCAACCTCAGAGCGCGGTTCCATGTCGAGGAAGGTGAGCGGGGTGGTGCCAGAGATGGACCGTATCCCCAGCGGTGAGGACCGGCCGAAGACGTCGTACCCGAGCTTCAGCAAGGCGCACAGTCGCGAGGCTGTCAACAGCAGAGAGGATGTGTACAGAACCAAGGGCGCACCGTACACGCCCGAAGCGACGGAGCTGGGCCAGGAGAAGAGCAAGGAAAAGAAGCAGAGAAGGAGGTCGATGCCGAGTGAGAGCGCTGCGCCAGGACGAGCACCGCCAAGTCCGCCTCTCACAGCAAATACTGCGGACTTCAAGAGGCCGAGGAGCGGTTCTAGCATGCGGAAGACGGCGGAGGATGCTAAGTCGGACCTCGAGAGCGGCAGGAAGAGCACTGACGGTGCACCCCGAAGCTCAGCACGCCAGGCCTCGAAGTCCACCTCGAGCTTACGGAAAGAGGCCCGTCTCCCTCAGTCGGACATCTCGAGTATGCCAGGCTCTTTCCCGGAAGATGAGCGCAGGTCGACGCCCACCAGCGGCTTCCAACGTACTGCCTCCACTTCATCGTCTCAGCCAGGCTCCACCCTTACACAAGATACGCAAGGAACCGGAACAGACTCTGATGCGACTTCAGTGGCACCAGAGCGCAAGGGTGCTCCGCGGCAAGCAGATGGCACACCTCCGCAAGACCATTCTCCATCCTCTACTACCGACTCGCAACCAAAAACTCCCATCGCCCAGGAACAACCTTACCCTTTTCGCACCAGAACACCCATCGATGTCGCCAGCGCGAATGCATATACACCTCAAGTCTCTTTCAACGTCAATCCAAAGACGCCAGTGACAGCTGTGCCACCTCCTCCCCCGCCTCCGCCTCCGCCTCTCGTCACAGGGTCTCAGCCGGCCCCGAGAGTAGATTATCTGCTCAAGAACGGCGGGCTATCCTCCATGGTCCCGAGGAGACTGGTCCACACAGCACCCGTCGTGCAGCAGTACGCCATGTACCAATCTCCGTCTGTCACGCAGAATGCGCCCATCGAGGAGTACGCGAAGATCTTTACTCCAGTACACAAGCGTCTGGACGACTATCTGCATGTTCTCCGGCACAATGGCTCACTCGCAGTCGCAACTGGATATAAGTCGGTGGCGAGACGGCTACTGGACAAACTGTCTCAAGTCTTCGCGCGTGACATCTCATCCCAACGCTGCGACTGCGTGATCTGCAAGACGTCACCTCAGCCGGCGCTCTCTGATGAGGAGGACAGCGGCTTCAGCTGGGGTGAGATCTTGGAGTTCGTGTCTGGGAGAAGAGAGCTGCCACAGTGGCCGCCTTTCACCATCACACCCGATGACAATGGGCTTGGAATCAAGGGAGCTACTCACAAGCCTATGCAGAAACTGGACATTGACGTGCCCGAAGAGTACAAGGACCACTACATCCGCCAGAACCAGAAGACGAAGAAGGCGGTGCAGAGCTGGCTGTCGCAGCAGCCAGAGTTTCCATCCAGCCCGCCAGAGGACGCTGATGAAGATACGCTGATGTTCGCCATGATGACCAAGCTCGACGCTCCGCAGCGCAACATATTCATTGCATTGATGCATGGCCAGAACGATGTTCCGACGAGTCGAGCACCCACTCCAGCGGAGCGGCCATCGACTTCATCTGATGCGTTGAGGCGAGCTCGCAAAGCGCTGCAGCGGCTGTATCGGTTGGACAAACCACCCCGAGATTGCGAGAGTGCAATGTATTTGCTTAATAACCCACCTCTGCATGGTATGCTCGCCACGCTGGCTGAAGTGAACGAGTCCGAGTGGGAGATTCTCATCTCAGGCCGCTTCGACGGCTTCCTCTGGTCTGGTGCCGAAGCTCCCTTCCCACCATCTGTCTCTGCCTACAACTCCCCTATCGCCTCTCGCGGACCGTCTCGAGGGCCGAATGCTCCGCCATTCTCTCGCAACACCACACCCTTCAGCGGTATGAGTGGTTTCCAGCCATCTCGTGGCTCTACCCCATTCAGTCCACTCCGCAACGCCATGTCACCGGACGGAACACCACAGCAGAACTATCCACCGCCACAGTCGGTCTTCCCCTCGCGTGGACCAACACCAGCAATGCCCGGCATGTCCGTCTCCGGCGTCACCGCCCCACCGCCGGTGCAGATGGACGAAGACACTGAGATTGCTGTGCTCGCTGAAGTAGAGCGTAATCTCTTCAACGACATGGAACGCTTCGAAGACGCCTTCGAGATCCTGCACTCTCGTGCCGAGCTAGTACGACAGCTTCTTCGTGAACGCAGCGCCGGCCTATCAATGCAAGCTCAATCCCGCCGCGGCTCGGAGGCCTCGGCTATCGGTGTGCGGCTGGACACTCCTGCATCTGGCGTAACAGACTTCGAGGACGAGACAGATGATGATGGATTGGCGGATATGGCGAGTTTGGCTCCCGACGACAGCGCGAGTCAGATCTCGACAAGTCGTAGGCACAGGAAGAGGCACGAGCGGCGCACACCAGCTCCCGTTGCGGAAGAAGACGAGAGCACGTTTGAGGAGCACATCGCTGGACCTACGCCGCCACCGGTCGCGACGACGCCGGGGCGGCATTGGGGCGGGCGGAGGTCGAAGCATTGATGGATGAAGGGATTGTCCAAGATCGGCTCATACGAGAAGATGAAGCATGGCTCAGCGGGATGACATAGCATAAGGGCGGCATAGCGTACTGGCGTTTTTGGGCAACGGTGAGGACGAATCACGGCCAAAGAATCTCAGTCAACGAAAGAAGAAGCGAAAAAGAAACGACGATGAAAATTAGAACGAAAAACGAGTATGATACCACGACGACGCTTCGACGATTGAGACGGCTGGCTGGCTGCATGTTCGTCTAGGACAGATAGAATCTTACAATGTCATCGGAACGGCGAAGCCGGTGGTGAGCAAGGCTTGGTGCACTATTTATCTTCCTCCTTCTTGTCCCCCTCCGGGTTCCTGCATGTTCCTTGCAGCATCGGTCCGACTTCGAATCCTACTACCTACAGTACCGTGTGGAGGATTAGGTTCTGACACCTGCAGCAAAGCGAAACGAGCAAAGTTCTTCTCTGCATGGGCGTGAAACTTTCGGTGACGTGTGTTCCTGCAGGACGCATACGAAGCGTTTTTTGTTCCTGCATGATGCATGAAAAGGCCCGACGAGTGATGCAGGATGGAGCAGGTCTGTGACCCACGTGGGTGCTGATGATAGCCCGAGGCTGCAGAGGAGCAGGTTTGAGGAAGCGAGGGGATTGACCTGACAGAGGCAGAGGCGTGGGGAGACACGATCGGGACAGTTTATGATGGAATGCCGAATACAACGGCGTACAATATACTACAGCTACACAGACAGCCACACCTCCTGGTAGTAGAACGTCGCGCCCAGCGCTCAGCCCTCTTCTCCTTCCCCTCCTCCCTCCTCGTCGTCCACCATGTACAGATTGCATAGCGGGATACACACACAAAGACAAAGGAAAGGTAATATAGTACAAGTCGAAGCCATAAAACCCAACAAGCAGCAGACTCCAACACAGCGTCCTGAATTCCTTTCCTCTCCCGAGCAATCTTGCAAAAAGCACAATAGTGTGTGGCAAATTAGTACAGCGAATGTGAAGAAAAAAGCGGGGCGCGATGGTCGGCGGCGGCGGCAGCAGCAGCAGAACGTGCTGTTGCGTGGCCACTCTCCTCCCCTCGTCCCCAGGTTGGACTCTCTTGCGACGGTCCGGAGAATTTTTGGTCTGTTCCCATTTGGACTGACTGCCCCATCTCTATGATAGCTCGGTCCCCAGCGCGTGACGGCATTACGGTTCGTTTCGGCGTCCACATCTCAGATGATGTAGATGATAAGTGATGTTTGCAGGAGATACGTCGGTCAAAGCCGTTCACGCTTCCCGCTTCCGCTTCTTCTGCGCCGGCCTCTGGTCGGACATCTGGCTGGATGTGTCCGAGTAGGCGACGCTGCTGCCGCTGGAGCTGCCGACCTGAGCGGTGACGTCGAAGAGCATGGCGCCGAGCTCACCGGCGTCAGGGCTAACACGGTGCTGAGGAGCGGGTGGTGGAGGCGGGAACTGCTGCTGTTCGCTCTTGGGCCTGATCAAGCTGCCGGCTTCGCCACCGTTGACCGACTCGATAGGAGGCTGGTGCATTTGGTGCTCGGTTGGTTGGGTGAGGACGCCCATGACCATCGTGCCGGCGCCATGGGTGCGCTGATGCTGGCTGAGGTTATCGGAGCGAGAGAACTTCTTGCCGCAGTCGGTGCACTCGAAGGGCTTGTCGTGGGTGTGCAGTGACCGGTAGTGGCGCTTGAGGTGCTCCTGGCGGCGGAAGCGACGACTGCAGAGGGTGCAGACGAAAGTCTTGGACGGGTCGTCGGTGAGGGACTGCTTGCGTCCACGGCGAGAGACGCTGCCAGATTGCGCTGGTGTTGTCGCGTTAGACTCGGTGGGCTCGGAGGCGGAGCTCGGGGGGCCCTCGGTGTTGTTGGATGACTCCTGCTCATTGGCGGCCTGGGTAGCGTGAGTGGATGCCTCAAACGCCCTCTTGGTCTTGCGCTTCTTGGGCACGTCTTCGGCGAGATCGGGGAGAGACATGTCGGAAGCTGAGGGGGAGGAGAAGCTATTGAAGCCAAATTCGTCCTCGTCGCTGAAGCTTGATTCGCTGAAGAAGCCGTCGTCCTCGACCAGGCCGATGGAAGTTAGCTCGTCCAGCTTCTGGCGCTTGTTGCCATGGTAATACACGGTGTCAACAGCGCCAGTGAAGGGAATGACAGCCCCGAATTCCTCATCGTCAAGTTCGAAGATCGGCTCAAAGCTTGGCAGCCCGCCGAGGTTCGAAAGCTCGTCGGGCGTCACAATCGTCACTTGCTCCGGGTGCGAGTCCGCCTTGAATATTGCGTGTTGCTCTTCCCGCTCGTTGTTGAATGAGGGCATTGGGAGATCAGATTGGTTGCCGACTGTCAAATTCCGCGGGTCGCAAACATCCTGCTCGGATGCGACGGACCGTGGGACTGGCGATGGAGAAGGCGAGATCGTCTGACCCATGCCCGCGGCGAGGTGATACGAATGATCGTGGGAGATATTCGAGTTTGGGTGCAAGAACACTGGCGTCATCGGCGGCGAGCCTGGTCGTGTCCAGTCACCGTTCGCAAGAACCTCCGAGTAGACATCTTCCTCGCATCCCTGCTTGACTGCCTGGAACATACCAGGCATTGGCCTCGGGAAGAACATTCCACTGACCGGCGTTGGGACGACGTCTGCCGTCGAAGGCGGGCTGTCAACCGAGCTGAACGAGCCAGAGGCAGAGAGTGTTGGCGTAGCTGGGAAGTAGTTTGGGCACTCGGTGTTGAGCGGCATCAGGCCATGCGGGCCCTGGTGCATCATGATGCTTGGCTTGTGGTGTTGGGCACGCGGAGATGCTGCTGGAGTGAGCATCGGGTGGGCGATGTATTGCATCGGTGGCTGCTGGTACTGCATGTGAGCACCTGCCGAGTGGGGTCGCTGGTACATTGGCTGGTGGTATGCCATCATGTGCTCGGGGCTGGATGGAAGCATAGGCATCGGCAGACCGTGGGAATGCGGGTGCGGTGTGAAGTGACCGTGCTGTCGGGTCTCTGGGCTCGGATCGGGATTGTAGTAGAAGAACGGTGATTGGGCCATGGGCGGCGTGGTTTGTGCAGAGTAGTCCATTGTGCGGTTGTATCGTCTGCATTCGTACGTTCAGCTGCCATTGCTTTCCCTCCGCGCGAGTACTTTCTACTAACCTATTGACACAGGCTCTTGTCTGGTGTTAGATCAATCGCAACATTAACGTCTTGCGGATCGAATTAGATTGGTATTCCTGGTTGACACGTTGTACAAGTTGTTGTATGGAGGATCGAGATCGTCCGAATGAATGACTGTTGTGGATGGTGTATGCGTGTGGTCGACGTCGACGTTGCGTCGGTTGTTAGTGGTACAGTTCAGATGTGTCGAAGGTATCCAAAGGAATGTGGGCGGTACGTTCGAGACGATTGCACGAATGCACGGATCGAAGAGGTACCCAGAGGAAATAAAGGAACAAGATGAGATGACGATGAAAAAAGAGCGCACACGAAGAGAGTCAGGTTGATAAACCCTGGACGATGGTGGACTGAACGAATGGACGGGGACGAGGAAGCATAAAGAACTGATCGGCGGGCTGACGGCGGCGAACACAGGCCCAAGTGGGAATAGCCAGGCACAAAAGTTAGTGCCAGAGTAGTGCATGCGCGATTCAAAGTAGCTCCCGGGGGCAGTCGGCACGTCTGCTGAGAGGCGCTGAAGCCAGCCTGTGCGCCCAAGAAACCCGACCACTCCCAGCAGAGGAGTCCTGCAGGTACGGCGACCCCAGCACGCACGCTAATGCGGAACCTTCTCACGCCCTTCTGGCGCTGATAGGTGGGCCTTCCACGAGGCAGGCCTGACTTGGTGTCTGCGGCCAGAAGTCGGCGGGCGCGTTCTCGCCTGCTGCGCCATCCCATCCAATGCACGCTGTTATTAACGGGCCAGCAATTGATTAAGAACGTCCTCGGAGGTAGCGTCGGTTCGTCAACGCAGGCTTGTATTCGCCTGGGTAAACGCACCGCACAACAGTGGGCGAAAAGCCGCTGCAACAATCACATGCCGCGAAGTGCAAATGCAAACGACGTCTGGTCGCGCAGTGGCGGCCAGTCGAGCAGCGTGACGCGGGCTGCTGGACAGTGATTGATCGATCTGTCTCGTGTGTGCTGTGCGACTTGCATTCTTTTTCATCGGCCACTCAGTCGTCAACCATTGACGGTGACTCGAATGTGTCATTGTGCTTGCCAGGACTATCGCCTCACACATGGCTCTGCGAGAAGCTGAGCTCTGCGGTCTCTTTGGCTAGACGAACGCCACGGCAAGCCTATCGATACCCAATCGTCAACCCTCGCGGCGTTGTCGATGTGACCAACCGCAGCTGGACGCGAGATGCCCTCACAGGATTCGCTGCCGACAAGACCGTCTGCAAGAAGAGATGTTGCTGTACTTCTTCCAACGGCGCTTCTTCTTTGACACCATCACGTTGGACAGCGGCTCTCGTCAGCACCAACTACATCGCGTTGCACATGCTCGCAGCTCACCACAGCGTCTCTCAGCTGGACGAACGGGTCGAGTCAGCGTTGCGAAAGCGTGCCGACGCGTTGCTGCTGCTTTCTCCGCCGGTACCTTTCCCTTGTGCCTCCGGCAGAGAGGCTGCAGATGTCATGAAACACCAGCAGGGCCCGAACTAGCGCAGGAACATTCGGGCCTGCATTGGAAGGGTGGGACCAACGAGGAACACCCGGCGAATAAACGTAGACGGCGATCCCCCGGCTCTGCCAGCCTCCTCCGCCAAGGCACCACCGACCCTCTGCCCCGCCTGTGTTTCAGCCTGCGACTCAGCAGTTTTCTTCTCGAACACATCTTCTTCGCTTCTCCGCCCGCAAACACGGGAGGATGGGGGGTCGGCAAGGTGGGTTTGTCTGCGACCCGAGCAGCTGGTCGTTTGAGATGCTGCATATCTTCTCTGCGTGCTGTCTCGCTACCACCGTCGACCCTTGTGTACCGTGTTGCAGGATGGCACGTCGTAATTTGCCACGACACCACGTTGTCTTGCTGGGACCGACCTGGCAGAAGTCGTGGGCGACGTGGTGTGCTATTTTCATCATCAGCTACACGCACCGCAGAAATGGCGCTTATGCACGATTGCATCGCGGCCAGCTGCCCTCTCACGGCCACACTTTTGTCAACAAACTACCAGATAGGACAATCGCTTCCGCAAGCAGTAACGGCGACGTAACCTCGAGTCGCCCGTCAGCTACTGCAGGAACGCTGCAGGACGCATGCGTAGGTGCAATCTCCTCTGTGCATAAGGGCGTTTCGGTCAGACTTCAGGTCGTCTTTCACATGCAAGCTACTTCATCCGCAGGTACCATATACTTCTGCAACGTCTTCGTGATCGCTTGCGTCGGTCGCGATTCATATCACACACTATAGACGGCGTTGTCAGATCCTGCCGGGCTCGACTGGCTCGCCCGCGGCTCCACCTCGTTCAGGCTGATTCGTGTGCACTCTATCTCGATTGTCCGGCTTTACAACATCCCCAACATTCTGGACTCGAGGCTCGAACCCTCGCGATGCCAACAGCTCGTGTGCCGATGTTGGCCGCGCGGGGAGGTGATCCGAACCCCATCGCCTGAGAGCTAGACGAGATTGAGATGGTCAGAACTGCTGGACTTGCTGGTGGCTTGAAGTAGAGACTTTCGGCACCTGCCAGCCGGGCCTTCTCAAGCTTCGACAGTTCGCCCGCCGCTCTGGACGCGGGTCGCGGGTTACAATTTCCCGGCCCTGCCAGATTCGTGCTGAGATCGTTGGGACGACGGCCAAGTTCCACCATGGCAAACGGGCTCGAGACATTGTCGCAGTTCGGCAGTTGTGTTGAACGAGCTGCTCGCGAGATTCCTCATGCGGACGTCTTGTTGTCAAGTTGTCCGGACACTGTCATGTCTGCGCAGGTCTCGGTGGTATTTGATGCCCGCTGTTGCTGCCTCAAACTTAACCCACGCGTACCACTCTCCACCTGTGCCAGAGTTGAGGCCGAGGCAGGCGAAAGACTCGTGATGCTGACCCTCCTGGAATGGTCTCGGACACATCACCAAACTCACCAACAAATCTTACCTAACTGGACCATCTGGTTGAGGCCCGGTGGCGAGACGGAGAGAAGGGTACACGAACTGCTGGTCTCTTATCAACAGCATGCTTCTTATCAAGCGGGGAAGCGTGAGCGTGAAGAAGTGAAGCCTGGGAAGATTCGGGCCGGTTTGGAAACATACCAAACTTGGTCTGGAGAAGGCGTTGTTGTAGCCGACCATCAGGCGAACAGGCGCCGCAACCGCCAGGTAGGGAAGAAGTCGGGTTGGAGACAAAGACTTGTGGTTGATACATTACGTGTATGGACGTATTTGCTGTGGGATACCGGGTTGTGGATCATTTGAATGCAGGCACCAAATCCCTCAACCGTGGATCTGCATCGTTCTGTATAGCCGAAGCAGAGTTCAAGACAACGCAAACGCTCGCGGTGCCGGGTAGTCAGAGTTTCGTTTCAGCAAACTCTCCAGCCCTCTGGCCCGACGGACGCGTAAAGTGGTTTCGAGGACGGCAGCTGTAAGGTTCCAGATTTTGTGCAGCGACGCCCACGTGCGATCCCAAATACCTGGTGAACACCATCCCTTGCTTCGGTTCAGACGACCAAGGTGTCGGGTTTTGGCTCAGTTGAGCAAAGGGTTTGAATACTTGGCATGAGTTAGGACTGTCCATGATTTTCAGCAACAATGCTGGCACGTTGCAGCCGTACGGCACACGAGATGTCCAGGATGTCCTGAGATCCGCTGGACTGCAGTAGCCCTCGTACTCTCCAGTCAAAAGGCAACTGCAATGCTCCTCCTACTCATCGACGTCGCTCGCGGTGTCGCTCTTGGTCGCGGATCCGATCATCATCGCGTCGTTTCTCCCGCTCGCCGTCCTGCTTCCTGGAACGCTCACGATCACGGTAATACTCGTTCTCCTCCCTCTCCCTATCCCTCCGTCTCCGCTCCTTCTCCTTCTTCCGCCTGTAATATTCCTCATCACTGTCGTCGTACTTCCTACGATCCCTCTCCTTCCGCTCCTTCCTCTCACGGCTGGACTCTCTCTTGCGCCCACCATTCCGCTCTCCCTCTTTATCTTTCTTCTTCCTTTCTGCCTCCTCAAACTCCATCTCATACCTCTCGCGCTCCTCCTTCTGCTTCCTCTTCTCGGCCTCTGCTTCAGTGAACATCTCTCCAGTTTTCTTGTCCTTCAACAGCACAGGATTGTAGATCTTCACTTCACCGCCCTTGTTGGCCCTCGCTGCCTTGCCCCACGCGCCCATCTCATCAGCGACAGCCGCTTCTTCTTTTGCGCCGATTCCAAGTAATGCTGGCCTGCGCTTGGGAACGTTCGTCTTGACCGCCTTCTTCCCTCGCTCAGCGCCAATGCCTTCGCCGTCCTTCCATCCCATGCCTCGTAGCATAGCTGCGCCGAATTCTTCCACAGGCACGCGATCGTAGTCTTCCAGGCTGGCCATGTCCGGTGCTGTTTTGTAGTCGCGGTCAAATGCCTGGTCTTCGCTCATCGCAGGGAGAACGAGAGTTGACTCCTTCTCCTTGCCCAGCAATGCATCCATGGCTTCTTCATCCGCTGTCCTGGGCTGCTGCGAGACCTCTGCTGTATCATTTGGTGTCGCATTCTCACTCTCCTGCCCTGCTGCCTCCTCATCCTCATTCGACTCCTCCTTCTTGCTCGCAATATTGAGACCATAAGTCGGTTTGCTCCTCTCAACGTCCGCCTCCGTGATGCCACCATTCCCCCCTCTCTCCGCATCCGCAACCTGCGCATACCGTGCCTTCTTGTTCCTCACAGAAGCTTCTTTCCAATCGCGATTCTTCTGCGAGGCAATTACCATCGGACCCTTGTCCTGCGTCGGTCTCTTCTCATCCACCGCTCCGCCAGCCGCTCGGTCGAAATGCGTCACATCCTGCGCCTGGCCTTCGTCCTGCCCGTCCTCATCCTGGTCGCGAAACGCTGCATGTGAGCGCTTGACGCCGTTCGCAGGCGCCGGCTTCTTCGGCCCACTGAGCGATAGTGAGATCTTGCCTGCGCTCATTGTGGGTGGTGACATTGTGATGTCAGGTGTTGTGGTGGAAAGTTTTGGATCTTGAAGTTCGGAAGCGTTCCGCGCTCGATCGACCTCACTTGCACCTTCAGGCGGCGGGGCTCGGGCACAGGAGTCTGAGGCGATCGATGGTCCGTTGACTCCTCTCGTTGAGCTCATCCTTGTTCTCTCTACAGTAATCGATCAAGTCTTGAAGGCCTCGCGTTATTCGACGGGACAATTTGGGAGGCGGCGGCGTGAACTCGAGGTCAGAAGAGTCGAAGTCAGGCGGCAGAGGACTAGGGACTGGTCCTCCCCGATACGTTGTTGGCATCTTGTTGTCGGTCAAAATTTGCCAGTGGTAGATGAACACAAGTTCACGAGGCAGCTCAGACGAGAGTCAAAAGACGAAGTGACATCGAAGTGCAGCAGACTCGAATAGGAGATCGAGACGGCAACAGCGTTCACCCGGAAGGCGCAGTACGCATGCTGGACCAAAGAGAGGCAAGAGCAACTCACAAGGACTAACACTGTCAAATTGAAGATTGAAGTGGTATGGCCGTTACAGCAAGACTATAGGTATGCACGCTCTGGCCTCTATGCATCTCAGACCTCGCTCAGAACCTGCTCAATAACATACCTCATGCATCCCGCGTAACGGCTACAAGCATGTCATACACCTCACTTCTTCCCAAACCCCAAAAACTTCTTCATCTTCGCCTCGATATCCCCGCCCTTCTTGCCCTCCCCAGAACCACCCGGCTTGCTCTCAGGCTTCTGCATGGCGGTCTTATGCGCACTCTCACCCTGCGCCTGCTGAGTCGCCAGCTCGACCTTCAGATCCGTAGCATGCCGCCTATACTCCTCCTTCAAACTCGGGCCTCTCTGTGCGGCAGGACTCGCATCCTGGCTCCAGACCAGCGTCACCAGCACTCGCCCCTTGAAGCCGAAGTCCTTGACTAGTCGTTTCGCGGAAGTGTTGGGGATGATCTCGTGGCCCTTGTTGCCGGTGTATTTCAGCTCGAAGGGCTCCGGTGCTGCAGCGAGCGTGTCCATGACCTTGCCGTAGAGGTCTGCGGCGGTCTCAGAAGCGTACACGGTTGTTTCGATCTGCGATTGATCTGGGTACCGCACTCGAACGACCACGCTTTGCACGGCGGAGACGCGCTGTTGGCGTGCATCTTCCTGTTCGGCGAGCTCTTTGTCGGAAAGCAGGCGCTTGTTCTTTCCAGCGGTCTGCAGGTTGGCTTGGTGAGATTTGGCATGGTCGACTGTAGGCTCGAATGCTGAAGGGTCGTCAGGCTGGAGGGCTGCGGCGGGGGTGCTGGATGAGGGAGGTCGATAGACTGAGATGCCGTTTATCGTATTGGAGTTTGATGATGAAGGAGGTGGCGGTGATGATACGGGCGGTGCGATCTCTTCGTTCTGGGAGGCTGGTGGCTGGGGTTGCGTCTCGGAAGAAGATGCGATCACATCGTTCTCAACTATAGGTGCAGTGGTGCCCTCTGACATGGTCACTTCTTCGCTCGGCTCCTGTTTGGCAGCTCCTTCGTCTGCGACAGCAGCGTTCTCTGCGGTAGCTGCTGGTGCGCTTTCCATGTTGTCATCCGCATGAACAGCTTCAGCCGCCTGGTTGGCACTGCTCCCTGCTGCAGCTGGCACTGTGTCCACCGAACTAAAGTATTCCGTGATCTCTCCCATGGCTTCTTCCAGCGGAGTATCCGTAGCCTTGAAGCTCAGCCTGATCAGGACACTACCACCATTCAGGCCGAGCTGCGCAAAGGTCTTCTGTAGGTCTGTAAAGGTCTCCATGTTGCGGTTCATGAGGTGCAGACATGGTTGCTCGTAGTTCAGCCTGCCCGCACCGCTGCTTCCGGAAGGTGTCCCTCTCTGCGTCAGATTGAGCTTCCGTGGTGGTGATCCTGCCACAGCATCTTCATACTTCCGCAGGACCAGCCAGAGGCTCGTGTTGCTCGGGAACTTGTCGTTCAGCCTCCCACCACCTTCGCTGTCCGGCAGCTGAAGGGCCACAGACACCACGCCCGGCGACTTGCTGGCTTGTACGAGTTGTAGCTTCGCGCCTGCTGACAGCCCGGACAATCTAAACGGCTGCGAAAGGTCCACGACCTTGTTGTTTTGGGTCTTCAGCGTGTGACCTTCGGGCGTGAGCTTCCTGCTCTTGCACGACTCCTCCAACACCTCCCTCATGTACTTGCCAGGCGTGACCTTGACTTGCGTCCTCTTGAAGGAGGAGTCAACAACCCATATTGAAGAAGACATGGTTTACTCCGGGTCTGCTGTTCACGCAGCTGGTGCAGTGTCCGCTGCTCGTGTCCGGCGTTCTCTTTCCTGCCTCTCCTGCTGCTGGCGCCCTTCCCGCACCTCTCGCCTTGCTTCTACGATCGTGCTGTAGACGTACGCGAATAGTCGTTTGCAGTATGGGTAGAGCAGAGGGACACTGACGATGTAGCTTAAGGCGATGACGAGGGAGCGTTCGTTTCTCGTCAACAGAAGGCCACGGTATTCCTCGTTTGGCATCGCTCAGTCACTCATGGCGCAGGACTCAGCAAACTCGATTGATTGAATGAAGTCACGGATTCGAGATGTTTCTTTGCCGCATTCACCACATGGCAGAAGGCAACCGCTCGCTTGGCAGGCACGAAGAAGGGCATATGTCATCCCCGCGGTTGCGCTTCAGAAACACTTTCACATGGCTTCACCCCACCATATAAACTCTTAGATCACATATACCACGACCACGACATCCTCTTCTTCCTCTTCACACCCTCCATCACCCACTACACCACCCCGCCACCATGTCGAAGACCGTCAACATCACCTCCCCCCACCACTTCACCGAAGTCCTCCAGCGCTCGCGCATCGTAGTCACCGACTTCTGGGCCGACTGGTGCGGGCCCTGCAAAGCCATCGCGCCCATCTACGAGCAGCTCTCCCAACAACTCTCCCGCCAGGATGTCGTCACCTTCACCAAAGTCGACACCGACGCGCAGAAGGAGATCGCGCAGACCTACAACATCAGCGCGATGCCGACGTTTCTCATTTTCAAGAGCGGGCGCGAGACCAAGCGAATAAAGGGCGCGGATCCTAAGGCGCTGGACGCGGCGGTCAAGCAGCTGGCGCAGGAGGCGGCGAAGGCGGGAGAGGGGAGTAGTGGAGGGAGTTCAAGTGGGAGTCAGTGGGCGGCGTTTGCGGCTCCGAGAGGAATGGCAGATGTGACGAGCAGTGTGGATTTGCTGGGACTGGACTTTCTGAATTTGGACGGGGAGAAGGGCGACAAGCGGTGCGTGTTTGAGGGTGGGAAGCCGTCAGCACTTTCGGGTGGTGGAACGCAGAAGGACTACATCGAGAGCGATACCGACGAGCAGCTCATGCTGTACATCCCCTTTCAGAGCACGCTGAAGCTGCACAGCCTACAGATCACATCAATTCCTTCTGGTGGCGAGGGCGAGGACGAGACACCCATGCGGCCGAAGTCGCTACACCTCTTCACCAACAAGAGCAATGTGCTGGGCTTCGACGAGGCGGAGGACACGCCTGCGACGCAAAAGGTCGAGATCAAGCCGAGCGAGTGGGACGCGAAGACGGGCACGGCCAAGGTGGAGTTGCGGTTTGTCAAGTTCCAGAACATTGCAAGTCTGGTCATCTTCGTGGCGGATGGCGATGGAGACCGCGAGAAGACGAGGATTGATCGGATACGGCTGTTCGGTGAGACTGGGGAGTCGAGATCGGGAAAGATCGAGAAGGTGGGAGATGGAGGGGACTGAGGGTATGGCTTGTGCTGAGTCGACGGGGCATGATTGATGATCTGCATGGGTCACGCTGCATAGACGACTTATGTGGGCGGCTCGCGATGGGTCTGTCACAAGTAGCACAAGATACACCATGGCATGCACTAAAATTCAACGTCCTTGAGTACCTTCCCATCTTGCCCTGTCTGTGTCACGAGTTGAGCGCCTGCGAAGTGCGCGATGAACTTTGCGCGTTGGAAGAGCCGGGAAACATTGTACTGTTAGGTCGCGGAGGGTGTTTCAATGTTGTAGCATTGGAAGTCGTGCAGACAGCGCACACTACGGCTCATTCATGCCTGGTCGAGCTCCACCTTCCTTCCATGAAGCAACCTTCCATGCGCCATTGTGCTGCTGCCCGTCCACTTCATCCACCACGCTCTTCAGCCCACACTTAGTGGCCCGCCCTCCTGCTCTCCGCAATGACCTTGGTCATCTCGTCCACCTTTCTCTTCGCGCGCCCGAACGTCCCGAGCCTCTTCTTCGCGAGCTTGCGCGCACGCTTGTCCTTGCTGTTGCGGAGGAGTTCGATGACGCGGCGCTCGTAGGGTGCGAGGCTGTAGTAGAAGAACCAGAATCAGTATGAAGTTCGTCTCCAGCGTCTTTTCTTCATCGGGGGAGCATACCCGGAAACCTCTCTCACGACATCTCTTACGAATGCGGTCCTCTTGCTCAGGTGTCCTTTCATGCGCGAGACCCGCGGCTTCGGCTGGCGGGGGGTGACTTTCTGTATCCATCCAGCCATGTTAGCAGGCTCTTCAAAGGTGTGATTTACTTCGTGGGCTTTCGTGGAGGGATGCTGGATATGGCAGGACGTACGTGACCAGAGTTGAGGCCTGCGGCAATGCCGCTCTTCTGCTTGACCTCCTTCGGCATGTTGACGGTGGTTTGTCGTGCGTCCCTTCGATGGTGTGAGGTGGTGGTGTCGTAGCTGCTCACTCGAACTTCTAGGTGCGGTGCGGTCGGATTTCAGCTAGCGCCTCTTGGCAGATTCGAGATATCGGACGTCACGTGATTTGCTCTAAAAACCAAAAATTCAAGTGTTCCGATGAGCGGGAGCCATGACAGTTTCCGAGCCTCTATTGATTGGCGATGCTGTCTGTGCCAATATGGGCGATTGAATGTCTCCCGTGTCGAGCATCTCCCAAGATCACGTGCCGTCATCGCGCCTTCCCGCTCACACGCCACCCGCAGTTGTCCTCACCTCACCTCACGAAAACTGCCTTTTCGCGGACGCACTCACTACAGAAGCAAACTTCAGCGCCGCAGACGACTCTCATTCCCATTCCGCGGACGCTTTAATTATGCACGCGGACGCGCTGTCCAAACAATCTCCTTTCTCCATGGCTTCGGATGTCTGCGGGCGCCGAGCAAAACTTAATCGGTGACGTAAGCCGATACTTCTTCGACTAGACGTCACAACTTTGCTGGTCGTTGAGGCGAAGTAGGTGGAAGACGCTCCGACATCGTTTTTGTTTCTTCATGCGTTTCTGTCACTTGCACTCCATCCCTCATTTCGGCTGCTCGCGCGACCTAGCAAACAATCTTCGTAGCGCGTCGCTGAAGCCGGCTACACCACCCCTCCATATTGACCATCAACCACTATGTTCGGCTTTTCCTACTGGTTTTTGCCCGCGTTCGCCGGGTTGGTATGGCTAGGTGAGTGGTAGAAGTGATGCTCGAAGCAAAAACACGTCTGACGAACTTCTCCCAGGCACCCTCGCGGGCATGCTGGGCTACTGGCTCAATGCTGGATCGCCTCACTATAGCGAAATGGGCGCAAACCAGCGGATAGCGTACATCTCTGATGTGGGCGCGACGTTTCTCAAACCGCTGTTCATCGCCGGCAGCGCGACAATGGTTGTGGTTTTCGACCTCGCCTTCATCTCCGAGCGATGGCTACGACATAAAGCGCGTTTAACACCCACATACTCCAAGGGTGAAGCCGCCTTGAGCATCTGCGCTATCATCTTTGCGGTCGCGGGAGCAGCTGGTTTGATCCTCCTCAGCATCTTCGACACCAAGAACTACCCTTCAGTCCACGATGCTATGCTGGGAGTCTTCATCGGCGGATACGTCATCGCTGCCGTCTTCATCTGCGCGGAATACCAGCGCCTCGGCATCCACTTCCGCGAACACCGCATCCTCCGAATCTCGTTCTGGCTCAAGCTCGCCTTCATCATCGTCGAGCTCGCGCTTGCAGTCGCCTTCGGTGTCACGCAATACCAAAAGCACTACAACGTCAGCGCTGTACTGGAATGGATCATCGCATTGATCTACATCTTCTTCGTCTGGAGCTTCATCATCGACTTCCTGCCCGCGACCAAGACAAGGCGACCCGAAAGCCGATTCCCAGCCATCAAGAAGAACCGCGACCCTGAGGCGGCGATGACACAGGCCAACGGTAGCATGACGAATGGACCGGTGTACAGCAACGGCGGGCAGTCACAGAACTTTTAGGGCTCAGATGTGAACTGGAGTTTGGGTGGCTACATGACTTTTGGGAGGCCAAAGATACCGCCATGGCTAGCTTGAAGTTGGCAGGCGTGGGTGGATGCACGATACAGCACTAATATGACATGTAATAGATGATCACGAGTTTGTATGATAGCTGAGATGATTCCCAGATCCGAAAGTCTTAAGTCTCACTTCCTCAACCGAACAATCGCAGCGCTGCTCCGCGGCACATCCACCCACATCTTTCCGTTCTCGGCCACTGGCACTGTCTGCCCTCTCGTCACGTTCTGCAGGCGCACCGGCATGCCATTCTCCAGCTCATAGTTGTAGCTGTAGCCATCATAAGTAACACCCGTAATCGCGTCGCTCCCGTTCGCCATAAGCCACTGCACATCCGCCTTGCCCGCACAGCTCTCCGGCAGCTGGAACTCGTATCGTTCAACCGGACGCGGGTAATGGTTGATGTACTTGTTCGGCTTTGTAGCGTTGTACTCCATCATATTGATCACGATAACTCGGTCCAGCTTGCCGTCGACGTAGGCAGCGTACGCGCTCTCCTGCTCGTCGGCGAGCGGGAGGTTCACGATACTTGGTGCTTCGGTGACGATGTCGCCCATGAAGGCTGCTACGGCGATGCTTCCGTAGTACGGCGCTTTGGTGCCCTTGCTCGTGATGTTCGTCTCGATCGGCTGCCAGGCTTGATAGCGGTAGTTGGTGCCTTGATGCATGTGGACTCGCTGGATGCTGTTGGTGGCGCACCAGAGGTTGAAGTCGACGCCCCAGAGGGTAGCGCCGAAAGTGTTTGAGAGGCCGGGCCTGCCTTGATTGTACAAGGAGTTCGTCTCGCCCATGATGAAGGGCAGGCCAGGGTTGAGTCGGTCCGGTAAAGCTGATAGCAGTCGTGACTCGTTGAGTTGAGGGCGGATCGATTCTACGGTCGAGGAATGGTTCATCAGTGTGCCTTGCAGCGTCACGCCGGGCACTTCTGCTCCGCTGATGTAGCTGCAAGAGCGGTGGTCAGCAAAGGCCGAGCGATTATCAGAGATGCTACCTACTTGTGAGTGGTGATGACTGCAATGTCTTTGTCCTTGTCTATACCATCCTGCCACGTTATGAGTGGATCCAGTGTGGCGTCTGTGTTGGCGAACGATGGAGCGTAGTATCTGTATAGGTGTTAGAGTTCTTGTTGGGCGGGTATGGTTGTAATAGCCATACTTGTACTCCTTCTCTGACGCAAGACCGGGACATGACTTCTCCATCGCCTTGCGAATGGCCCTAGTCCAATGGAGCCACTGGTGGACATACCAGCGCTCGTTCCAATTTGGAGGCCGGACAGCCCCTTGTGATGATGTAGAGTAAAGGTCAGGCTCATTGCCTAGCTCCCAGTACAGGAGCCGCCCAGCCAATGCCTCGCAAGCGTAAGATACCGACTCAATCAGGGCATTCCGAGCAGCTGTGCTGTTGCGTCCGAGGTTGAAGCCGTGGACGAACTTGACGTCTGGCCATGTATGGTACGATTGGAAGTACTTTGGGCCAAAGGTCAACGTTGTGGGGTAGTCGGGCGACTTCGCAGGATCTACTATCCCTATGGTCGCGAGGTCGAGCAAGGAGCTGTTGAAGACTCTGATATATCGTGAGTCTTACATTTTACAACAACGATCGCGTGTACTCACGCATAATCCTGAGTATTGCCGCCCACTCGAATATAAGGCTTCGTGCCAGTCAAATTGCCAAGGTTGTTCAAAAGATTGTTGGAGAAGGTGTTCGGGTGTGAAGCATTGCCAGCAAAGTCAGGAAAGGACGAGAACTCAATGGAGTATGACACGAAGGCCTCGAGAGGTATGCCAGCGTCTGAAGGAGCTTTGCTGTCCACCGATATAATGGAAGGCTTACGTGGTGGGCGAGGGTGGATGGCTTGAGACTCCGCAGAAGCACTCAGCAGCAGGAGGAGTGCCGACGTCCATGCCATGATTGTAGTGAGCAAAGGATAAGACTCGGAATAGGAAAACGAGACTGCAATACTTATGCTTACTGCTATTTCTCCGTCGTGTCGTCTCAAGGTAACGTTCCCCGCATCTGGTTGCTCCGGAAAATGTCGAATTTGAAGATGTCACACTCCTCGTACCTGAAGATCTTCTCAGTATTCGATGAACGACCCGATGCCCGTTGCCGTTCGTTCCAGCAGTCACCGATGTACATTCGCCGAGGCTGCCGTCTTTACCATATAGTGTTTGTGTTGATTGAGACCATGTATGCTTCGAAATCTGTGATTAAGGTACTTATAGGAAGACAGGGAGGTGAAGTCCCAAGAGCGCGAGAAGGCGAGCAGTGCGCAGAAGTGAGCCCGTCCATAACAGGAAAGGCGGCGGGAACGCCCTCCCGGCCGCAGTACAGATTTCTTCATCTCGCGACCTCGCACCCTTCTTCTTCCTTCTTCAGTGCGGCGGTACGATACAGAAGTTTCCCAAGTTGCTTGTCCACCTTTGCCCTGTGGTGAAGACAGAGCGTCACTCGTACCACAGATCAAACCAATTGCAATTGGCCGAATCAGCCACCCCGTCTCGTTCGCTTTCGTGTAAACCTGATGGCGCGCTGGGGGCCAAACATATCAAAGGAGGAATATATGGTTAGGAGAGAATCGTCTGAACCCAGCCTTGTGGTTGTTTCTGATGTATAGTAGGTATTTGAATGATCAAACCTTCAAGAAGCTCAATCTTCTCTTCCCATACGCAGCCAAAAATATGTCTACACTCAAGGTTGTCTGCCTCATATCCGGCGGCAAAGATTCTCTCTTCTCCATACTTCACTGCATGAAGCATGGCCACAGCATTGTTGCCCTTGCCAATCTCCATCCGCCAGACCACGAACAAGCAGACGCTGTGGAGGACCTGGACAGCTACATGTATCAGACCGTGGGCCACTCAGTGATACCTCTCTACAAGAAGGCGCTTGGTCTACCGCTCTACCGGCAGGCAATCACTGGCTTGGCCAAGAATCAAGACAAATGCTATGGACCGAGCAGTGACGAAGACGAAGCCGAGGCACTGTTGCCACTTCTTCGGAAGGTCATGAGCCATCATCCGGAAGTGAATGCCGTGAGTACCGGTGCAATACTGTCGGACTATCAAAGGACGCGGGTGGAGTCTGTGGCGATCAGGCTGGGCTTGACACCATTGTCGTATCTCTGGCAGTGGCCGAACCTTCTGCCACATTCGCAAGATTCTCTCCTCAAAGACATGGCCGAGGTTGGACAGGACTCTCGAATCATAAAGGTCGCGTCCGGTGGCTTGGATGAGTCGAATCTCTGGCAGAATGTGGCCGACACCAGGACCATTAGCCGTCTTAATAAAGCGGTCCAGCGTTTCGGAAGTGCTGATGATGGTGCGGTGCTTGGAGAGGGTGGTGAGTACGAGACGCTTGCACTTTCAGGGCCTTTTCCACTCTGGAAAGGGCGCATTAAGGTGGACGATGCAGATCTTCAGGTGGTGTCAGGCGAAGCAGGAAGTGCTTCAGTGCGTGTGGCCAAAGCTGAGGTACAATCCGAGACCGGCGCGGGAGACATCACCAACCTTCGCCAGCCGCCTCTGCTAGAGCCACAGTTTCACGCAATATGGCAAGAGCTGCGAGGAGACGACTTCCTGGCGAACACTCAGCACGATATCGATGTACACGACCATGGCAATCCTTCTGCCAGTCCCGGCCTGATCCTTTTGGCAGATATCGTGGGTGATGGAGCCAACGCAGCCGGGCAAATGGCCGCCATCATGGACCAATCGACCGTCTTGTTAGAAGAAGCTGGACACAAGCTCGCTGATGTTGCGTACACGAGCATCGTCCTGAGGGACATGGCAGACTTTGCATCTGTCAATGCCGTTTACGGCTCATACTTCGTGCATCCGAACCCTCCAGCACGAGCAACAATAGCCTGTCCCGACGTTGTACCGGATGGTAAGCGTGTGATGGTCGCACTGACAAGCTTTCGCAACGACAAGGTCAACTCGAGGAAAGGCCTGCATGTACAGTCACGCTCGTATTGGGCGCCAGCGAACATTGGGCCATACTCTCAAGCAATATCAATATCCGAGGAAAACAAATCTGCCGTGACTTATGTTGCCGGACAGATACCGCTGGTGCCTGCAACCATGGAACCGGTGCAAGACCGTGACGAGGGCTCATTCGGGATACAGACGGTTCTTGCACTGCAGCACCTCGATCGCATTGGACGTGCTATGCGGATTCAGCGCTGGAACAGCGCCGTTGCATTCATAGCGACCCGTTCCAACGAACTCGCCGCAGCGTTATCGAGACGTGCTCATCAGGCCTGGCAGGCGTATCACCAACCACCACCCCTTGACGACGGTGCTGTGTCCGAGCCTGAGGACGAGTCATTTGATGTTTGGCATAGTACTTTTGGCGGGAAGAGAGAGCAACACTGGGGAAGCACTCCAGATCACACTGAAACTCGATCTCGCCGAGACACTGCGAGAGTACCGCCATTGCACGTGGTCCGGGTCCAAGCATTGCCTAGAGGGTGTAACATCGAGTGGGTTGGTTTTGGTCTGACGAACGATGGAGGCGAGCATCATGTACCGCATGCCCAGCATCTTCTTCGACTGTTTCAGCAGAACATTATCTGAAAAGTGACACCGATGGTCTTCAACGATTGTCCAAGCTTGCTGCTCCACGAAAGGCACACCCACCAAGAGCTTCGACGCAAACCGTTCGGCTGTTGCGCACCATGTCGCATTCGCCAACACCATCTGGTCGCACCAGCAGAATCACGAACCTTTGTTTTATACGACGTACGGATAAAGCTTGCGCAGCGCAGAATGGCGGGGCTCCGCAGCCCCGCCTCCACCAGACCACGAAAAGCCTCTATCTACTTTACCTTGGTGAATGGGGCGGCTGAACGGTTTCAGCTGCAAGAGCTGCACCGAGGCTAACATCCTTCGCCCGTCTTGGGGCTACTTCACGACTACAGCTTCTCCTGCTGTTGTTGCTTCCTGAGTCCAACTACCATCAAAATTCGTTACGTTCGACATCGCCTTGTCTGATCAACTCAAGCATGGCTCCAGATCTCAATGCCGTGGCCGGCGGTGAGCGCTTCGACTACTCGAAACCCGGATCTTCTGGGTACGAAGTCGATCAGAATGTAACCTGGAACGATCCCAACAATCGCAAGATGAAAGTCATCACTATTGGGGGAGGCGTTACTGGGTATGTTGTAGACAGCTCTCTTTAATAGCAAGATGATCAACTCATTCAACAGCATCATGATGGCCTACCAGATCCAGAAGATGTGTGCCAACGTCGAACATGCCGTGTACGAGAAGAACGACGACATTGGTGGCACCTGGCTCGAGAACCGTTACCCAGGGGCCGCTTGTGACATTCCCAGCCACGCCTACACATATCAATTCGCGCTCAACCCTGACTGGCCACGATTTTTCAGCCGGGTCAGCCTACAAACGGTATATCAATGTCTGGTCAACGCTAACACTTGACAGAGTCCGGACATCTGGGGCTACCTCGACAGGGTCTGCAATACCTTCGAATTGCGAAAATACATGACGTTCAACACCGCTGTGACGGGCTGCTATTGGAACGAGGAGAAGGGTCAGTGGAGGGTGACTCTGCGGGAAACCAGGCCTGGGCAGGAACCGAGGGATTTTGAGGATTGGTGCGACTTCTTGAATCAGGGAACGGGCATCTTAAACAACTTCAAGGTGTCTGGCGTTCTCTTTACCAAGCTGTTGCTGGCTATGGCTAACGAAGAAGCAGTGGCCAACCATCCCAGGCTTGCAGGACAAATTCAAAGGCAGAGTCGTACACACAGCAAAATGGGACAAGGACTACCAAGCCGAACAGTGGAAGAACGACCGCGTGGCCGTGATCGGTTCCGGCGCTTCTTCCATCCAGACCGTGCCGACCATGCAACCCCATACCAAGCATCTCGACATTTTTGTACGGACCGCAGTCTGGGTATGCAAACCCATCTCGTACTCTGCAGGAGAGGACACTAACATCAAACTTTGCAGTTTGTTCAAATAGCAAACAATTTCGGACAGAACCACGAGTACTCCGACGAAGATAAGGCCAAATTCAAGAAAGACCCACACTCTCTGGTCGCACATGCGAAGGACATTGAGGATCAAGTGCGTCCCTCACGTTGAGCAAGCCATATCACACACTGACGAGAGGGATAGGTCAACGGTCTCTGGGGCCTGTTCTATGATAGTGCTGAAGCCCAGAAGATGGGCCAGGAGATGTTCAGAGCCCGCATGGGCGAGTTCATCAAAGATAAACGCCTCCTGGATGGCTTCACTCCCAAATTCCAAATTGGGTGCAGACGAGTTACGCCGGGCGATCCCTACATGGTAGCCATCCAGGAACCGAACGTGGACGTCCATTTCACACCCGTTGTGAGCTGCACCGAAGACGGCGTTGTTGGCGAGGACGGCACAGAGCGCAAGTGCGATACCATTGTGTGTGCGACGGGCTTTGACGTCTCGTATCGCCCTCGCTTCCCCGTGGTGGGCAAGAATGGAGTTGATCTGAAAGACAAATGGAGTGTCTGCCCAGAGAGCTATCTCGGGCTGGCTGTACCCGACTTCCCCAACATGATGCTCTATGTGGGACCGACCTGGCCGGTACGTCCGTCGTCTTCCAAAGCGTTCAATTACAGAGAAGCTGACAGATGGCCCTCAGGTTGAGAATGGGTCTGTAATGGGACCGCTGCACGATGTCGGCCTCTATGCCATCCAGCTCATCAAGAAGATGCAGAACGAGAACAGTATGTTCAAACTCGGCTCAGTTTGTTTGAGGCTTTTGCTAACGGCTTCTGCTTCGCTTCTAGTCCGCAGCTGGGTACCACGTCAAGAGATCACCGACAGCTTCAATGAACACACCCAAGAGTGGATCAAACACACAGTTTGGAAGGATGACTGTCGGAGCTGGTATAAGGTGAGTAACCTCGATCACCTGGAACGACAGTAGCTAAGTTGTCTTCAGAACAACGAGACAGGCCGCGTGAACGCAGTGTGGCCCGGCTCTAGCATGCACTATCAACAGGTTATCGCCACGCCCCGCTACGAAGACTTCGAGATCAAGTACTTCAACAAGAACCCGTGGGCACACCTCGGCATGGGCTGGACGGTGGAGAACAGGAAGGGTGCGCAGCATGCGGATTGCTCGCCGTACCTGAACTTGAAAAACATCGATCCGAAGTGGTATGAGGCGATCGGGGGCGATGTAGATGAGCTCACGCGGCAGGTCAATGAGCACAACATGCGGAAGTAGATATAGGTAGTAGAACTAGAGTTTGAACATCATGCTACTTTTGTCCGAGCTGACGGCCCGCCTCTGAATGTCCACAGCCCATAGCTGATGGCCGACAAGATGAAGTCGCAGCCCATTGAGCTTACAGCTGGATGGTCAAAGAGACCGTCAAGAACATCCTTCCCGGTCACTCCATCCTGTACCAAGCGATATATTTGATATGCTGAACAGCCCAACGCGGCAAACAAGACAACGCTCTGTGCCTGCGAACGGTCGGCCATGAGCTCCCCAACATTCGGGTTGTTGGGTTTAGCAGAGTGCAAGATAACGAGAGGCGCTAGCAGGAAAAACCTGGCCTCCACAATGATCGTGATCAGCCAGGAGCCTCCTATCATTGCTGGAGCGAGAAGTAGGCAAGCGCAGTAAGACACAACGACGGCGAGGAGGTAGGTAATTGGGACCAGCGTTTGTGTCCGCTTGATCGGCTGACGCAATAGGGCCAAGTAGAACAGGTTCTGCATGAAGCTGATCGGAAGGATCTGGCTTAAGCCAAAGAATGCCCAGAGTCGAGGGATCTGACGTTGACGGCCTAGGCAATCAGCTGTGTCGTAGAACGAGGGTGATGAAGACCCACCTTCCACACCCATGAAGATGCATATTGAAAGAGTCCCTAGTAGGGCTGACTGCGCCCAGAAGTAGCGGACGCTGTCTTTCACAATGGCCTCCCCAAAGTCTTGGAAGAGAGTCGAGGTGATCGACCAGTGCCATATCTGAGTCGGACTCAAGCTTGCATTCGTGCTGTGCCTCGCGGACCATGCTCGGTATGACTGAATCAAGACGTTGAGCATGTTGGCGCTCAGGGTTGCGAAGCTGAGGCCAGCCAGTGCGCTGAAGAGCCAGGTATCGCTGCTGTTCTTGATGCCATTGCGGGATGTCCGTTGGCCAGTTTGTTTGATGTTGAGGATAGTCCAGATCACCACGGAGGAGAAGAAGAGCGCGGCCAGGATGTAGAGCCAGAAGATTGCAGCGCCCAAGTAGTTGGTTTCGTCCATCAGAAGTGATTTCTGACTGTCGGAATACCTTTGGGCGTTCGGAGGGCAATGTGCCTTGAAGTGTCAATCTGAAGGTTGAAAATGTCGTCATGAACCACCAAATTTTTCGATTCGTCTTCGAGCAGCAGCACCTCGAATGTACTTCTTCGAACATACCAGACAATGATCGAGCACGTACATGAGCTCCTCTTTGGTGTAGCCGATGTAACGCACTTCGAGTAATTTCAGCATCTTGTCGCGCCCTGGATGGTTCGCCAGCAAGTGCTCAGCTGTGATTACGTCGAACGCCTCATCAGCACCAACATGTCGTCGGATCTGATGCGCTCGATCTGCCTTCCGATATAACAGTCCATTATGCATCCCCCACTGCTGTGCTTGGTGCTTTACTTGGGCATCCGCTCGATGGCGCTCCTGCGACTTAGCGTCAGGCGTCGTCAGGAAGTACACAATGCGTTCCATCTTGGCTGGCTTTAGCCGTAACTTGTTCCTGTACATGGGCGAAGCAAGCATGGCATTGAAACCGAATCTAGCGATGCCTGTCCATGTCTGCGCACGTTCTGCTGCGAGGTCATGGTCCTGAAGGATGTCGTACGCTGGAGTTTCATCTGCTCGTTGTCCCAGCTGTGCGTCTTGATGGGGACGTCCAGATACAGTACGTTGCAATGTGTCTGTCCTCAAGGTCTTCAACTGCGGATCCAGCGCAAGGTCGCTCATCGTTGATCTGGGCGATTCACCAACGTCCTGGTGGTACCCCCTGGGAGGTATTGTCGCGGTGCTGCGTGACAGAAGTCGTGACAAAAGTCGTAAAACATCTCGACCTCCTCAGCCAACACCATCATGCAGACATCCCCAACACATATATGTACTCGAGCTGCTCCTCACCCCTCCTCAGCAACTGAATACACGGTCGACATCCGAGAATCTAGCACGCCTGCTGTTCTGATGTACTCGGAGCACGGCCTACATTGCGTCCTAACCCACCCGCCATCGGAATGCTTCAAGTTACACAAGGTCCACTCGCGTGGGCAGTCTGTGGCAGTTAGGATAGATACTCCTCTATGTCTCATAACTCCATACCCTCTGCACAGTCTCACGAGCAACTGCCTTCATCCTCTCTTCACTGCACGGTCTCACAAGCAATGGCGGCGATTCGACACTCTCCATTTCCTCAAGTGGCCAAGAACTTCCAATCTCCTCGAGTCGTCTGGAGTGATGTCTTTTCCCTGGGAGACAGCCTCACGCGCTTCTGAGAGGCGTGTCTGCCGCTCCCATCTCGCTCCCTTGAGACCATTCTCGACCACGCTGTCTGTGCGGAGGGCATCTTCACTCCCCTCTCCTCTTTCGGGTCGATACTTTCCAGGGTTCTACAAGGCGAAACAGCTCGGCGCAGAGATCAATCGTATCGAGCGTGGAGGGAGACTCGACGATAAGCAGCGGACCCGGCTGTCGATATAGAGAGCTGACCGAGAAAAATTCATGGCTGTGGCGCCCTTACACGCCCGGTTCAAAGAAGCCTGTCAGCCATTGTTTACCAATAGGAAGGGAAAGACCGAGGAAATGGATGCTTATATGCCGGCAGTCTTAAGTCTTCGGGAGCCTCTGACCAATCTTGAGAACGCGGAACTTCGTGCTGCAAAGCTGGTGATTTTTTCGCCTCTGCTGCATGTCGGGCCTTGGATCCGGCTCAGGCGGATCGTGTCGATTAGTATCTGGACCGCAGTGTTTGCAATACTTCGCGTTATCCGTCAGGTGCTCCGTCAGATGCTCTGAGCTGGAGTTTGAAGCCTCATTCAACCGTCCAACAACCCCCTGCGGTCCTGGACACCGAGGATCGAAGCCTTGATACACGATGACCTCTGTATCTTTGGGAGGGCCTGCTAGATCCTTTGCGGCGGGTACCAGCAGCAGCTGTGGCTCAACATCAAAGGCCAACGTGGTCGCCGCGCCTCGTCATGACTTGAACTTCACGAGCTCTGTTTCATCCGAAGAACGAGCCTTCGCTTGCCATGCTAAAATCAAAAGTCTGCGCTTGCCGACGCATAGCACAACACAACACGCTGGGAGATGCGAATCCGTACTTGCCTTTTTTGCATCGGAGGGCAGTTGATCGGCCGGAGGAGCTGGATATGCTGTCCAAGGATCGATGGTATTCTCGTCTTTCTGGGGAGGACGAGGGTTAGCTGTCTTGTGAGCGGAACGGAGGGGTCACGTAGCCAGAGGATCGGAAGGAGTTGCTGGAGTCGAGAGTAGTTTGGGTGGTCCTCGAGTGTGTTAGATGAGCGCGGGACTGTTCGCTGCTTCGGAGAGCCTGCTGGAGGCCGTGGGAAATGCGTATCTTGCCATTAGATCATTATCTTTACTACTGTCCATCAAACCTACACTCTCGCCCCCTTGACGAGCAGCCACAGCGCAACAGGCACAACCACATTGTCGTTGGCCCCAGTAAGTACCGCCTCCATGAAGCTGGCTCCGCACGCACAAAACGCCGCCTTTGCCAGCGTGAACACCCAGGCAATGACACACTGCACCGCGCCCAGCTGACCCAAGTGCCCTGCAACGGACTCGTTATTATCCGTCCAGCCGCCAAACGCAAGCCATGCCTTCGCCGCAAGCAGACCGACCGTAACAGCTGCAACAAAAGCCGCGCTGCCCTCTAAACTTTTGCCGCCGACCCAGATCCACTTCCGCCGGCCGTAGCGTCTGCCGATAAGACTGGCAGCTGCATCTCCCATACCGACGCAGACAACGCCAGCGATCATGGCGACTTCTCTTCTGTCTTGCTTCAGCTCCCAGCCTGCCCATGAGAGCTCGCCAGAACGGTCAATGGAGGCGAGGGAGAACCACATTGGGACTGCGCAGCCGATCAGGAGGAATAGATGGCTCACGACAACTGGGCCACGCAGGTCTCGGCCATCGACGTATGGAGCGACGAAACGGCCGATTGCATTTCCGAGCGGTTGTACTTGACCGGCTCGGATGATCTCCAGGAGTAGGAAGACGGCCAGGATAAGTGTCAGGGCCAGAGCGCATGCGCAAGGGTCGACAAAGGTCGCAGGCAACATCATAGCCACCATGACGCCGTGGAAGACCTTACGGCGGGTGTCGACTTCGACCAGTGAGGTGAGGCTGAAGACTGCGAGAAGTCCGACAAGTAAGACGAGGCCCCAGTATGCGATTAGGAGAAGTCGTACGTTGGCTGCTCCGAGCGTGGCGCGAATGCCTGGTATGTCCAGTGGAAACGAAAAATGGACGTCGCGCCAATCTCCGCCTGGAGATGGCAAAGGCACCCATTCGCTCAAACCTAGCGAGACCAGAATGTCACGAAAGGGCGCGACTTGACCTATGATGTACCCAATGGCCCATCCGATAGGCTCTTTGCCGTCGAGTGCTTTCTGCTGTACGTATGGTCGGACCAGGAAAGCTATAACAGCAGCCATTACAAGGTAGATGTACATCATATACAGCAACTTCCTGCGCTTGGCCTGGGCTGGCGTCAGGTGCAAGTACCAGGAGAGGCTCGTGGACTTGCGTGGTCGACTACTGCTCGGCTGCCGTGCCGAAAGTGGCGGAGCTTCTCGTGGTGGGAGGGTGCTCCTTCTCGGTCGTTTTGTAGAGAGCGATCCATTTGGCTTTGGATCCGGTTCAATAGCAGATTTTGGAGCAAGAGTATCAAGTGTGGCGACCTTCTTGAGGTTGCTCATGTTCAGCTTCGGTTTTGCGGCCGGCGTAGACTGCTTGATTGAGGTGGGGGGCTCATCTTCATCAGCATCGCTGTCTTCTGCCGTGCGTGAAGTAAAGGCTGCAGTCGCTCGCTGCAGGTTCACCAGTTCCGAGACTGAATCCACTAGCGACTTGCGCTCTTCAGCTGTATGCCCTGGCCGCCTCAGTTTCCATCGCGGTACCCTCATGAGCGTGACGTTCCAGTGCAGAACCGGCGCACAAAAGAGGAACAGTGGCACACCTCCAACCCAGAGGCATGCTTTGAGCATGACTGTCTGTGGCGACTGTGCGAGGAGCAAGAGGTTGATCAAGACCACAGAGAGCAGGTGGAGTTCTGAAATAAGCAAGCTTGTGGTCGTGAGATATTGCAACGGTGCCAGCAAGGCGTGATGCAAAGGGTAGAGTGACACCAGCGTCTCAGGCGTCAGACCTGCTGATGGCGGGCACCGAAGGAGGTAGGGCTCGCGGTGGCAGTCCACCGAGGGCCATAGAGTGTTCTCTGAGACAACGACTGGAAGGATAGACAGAAGCCAGTGAAGTTCGTTGAAGCCTCCGAGTCTGCTCGATCGAGGGAAGAGTCTTTGAGGCAAGGATGCCAGCCCAAGCACGATGTTTGGAATGATGGTCGCCGGGTGTGCAGGAGAGACTAGAAGTGCGACCAGAACAGGTAGCAGTGGCGGGTAAAGCACAGTAGCCGGGTCGAAGGACGCTGGTACTCGAAATCGCTGCCAGAACTTCCGGACTTCGGACTGAGTGTCAACAATCGAGAGCTTGACCGGGTATGCCAAGATCAACACCATGATGATGAAGACATGGCTCACCAGCTCCCACCGCCACTGGCAAGCCTTCTCGAGCACTCCGTCGCCGCACAGCACGCATGCAATGATCACCACCGTCAGCCCGACCTCCGAACTTCTCCTTGCGAATTCAGCCAATCTCCTCCGGTATAGCTTCTCCTGCTCATCCTTGTCCTCTTGCTCAAACTTCCGCCTGCCCTGTACTTTGTCGCCGAAGTACTCTTGCGATAATCTGCGCCCTTCATCGTCCAGTTGAGATGGCGTGAGAAGCGCATCCTCATTCTGCTCGCCCGTCTTCAACCCCTTCCTAGGTCTCAGATGTGGTGCCGGCAGAGCCTTGACAAAGCTCGGTCTCTCGTCGTCTGCTTCTGTTCCACTCTCGCTCCATGTCGGTGTTGCCTGCCCGCCGCTTCCATCATTCAGCTGTTCGCTTTCGTCTTGAATACTCGACGTCTGTCCATCTCTCCCACGCCGCGACACCTCGGCAGCACTGTTGTCCGCACCCTGCCATATAGTTTCTGCCTCATGATGATACGGTCGCGGAGTCCTAGTCCAGCTCCGCAAGCTGTCCTGCTCTTCCGCGGTCAGAGCTTCATTGTCTGGCGGCGCTGCATCAGCGACCATGCTGGAGCGCAATGCCACTCATGCGTCGCTTCGTTCGGTAGTCGCTGGAAGTATACTGAAACGACTCAGACATGGTGGACGTGGGTACGTGGCATATGAAAGAGGTTGCGCAAGTGTTGAGACTCCGCCGCGCAGCCTCCGAGGAACCTTGCAGCTCGCATGTGCTGAGCTTTGCTGGTGTTGTGAGAGGGTCAGTAATTGTTGCTTACCTCGTCCTTAGACTGGAAGGCAGGGAGTACTCGATAGTCTGTATACCGTCAAATACTCGACATGTATTACTATCTTTCTTCTAGTCCTAGAGAGTCAGGCCGACCAGCGCTTGGGCCAACTCGCTAGAGGGATATTCTCAATGAGGAAGGTAGGTTCACAAGGGCAATGAGTTACGAGTACGAGAGCAGCTGCAGCACCATCCCGTCCTTCCTTTCACTCGCTTTGATATCATAGATGAGATCCTTCCTGCCCGGCTCGTCGCTGCGTAGAGCCTTACAACGACTCCACCTGTTCGATCATCAGGCAACCAACCCCACCACCCGGCGAGCCTTTGCTGCTTCAACGACCGCTCCGAAATTCAACCTCGCCGCGAGCCACTCTTCCATCTTCCGAACTGAAAGAGCCACCCTCAGAGCACCAATCACTAGACAAATCACATTCAAAAGACACTGCTCCCACCGACGCAGCATGTGCAGGAAAGAAGCAGAGGCGGCGGACGCCAACATGGACATCAGCAAAGGACGAGAGGTGCTGCCCAAGAACGTCAAACCACTACACTACCACCTGACCCTTGAGCCCAACTTCGAGACCTTCAAGTACGATGGAGAGGTGGTCATCGATCTTGATGTGGTAGAAGACACCAAGTCAATCACCCTCAACACCCTCGACATTGAGGTGAAGGAGACCAAGGTCACCTCTGGCTCCCAGACCATCTCATCTTCACCCAAAGTCACCACCGACGATGAGGCCCAGACGACCAAGGTCGAGTTCGACCAGACAATACCCGCTGGATCTAAGGCACAGCTGTACCAGAAGTTCACGGGCACGCTGAACGACAAAATGGCTGGCTTCTACCGGTCTTCTTACAAGGACGAGGCTGGCAACGACAAGTGGATGGCAACTACTCAGATGGAGCCTACAGATGCGAGACGTGCCTTCCCCTGTTTCGACGAGCCGGCACTCAAGGCCAACTTCACCGTGACGTTGATCGCGGACCACAAGCTGACCTGCTTGAGCAACATGGACGTGGCCAGCGAGAAGGACGTGGAGTCGAAGATGTCTGGTGGCAAGCGCCAGGCTGTCACCTTTAACAAGAGTCCGCTGATGTCTACCTATCTACTGGCATTCATCGTGGGCGAGCTCAAGGTGTACGAAACCAACGAATTCAGATTACCTGTCAGAGTCTACTGCACGCCGAACCAGAACCCAGAGCACGGCAAGTTCTCGGCTGAGCTCGGTGCGAAGACGCTTGCGTTCTACGAGAAGGAGTTTGCCAGCGAGTTCCCACTGCCCAAGATGGACATGGTGGCGATTCCTGACTTCTCTGCTGGTGCTATGGAGAACTGGGGTCTCGTGACTTACCGTGTGGTGGATCTAATGTTCGATGAGAAGACGGCGAGTGCGTCGACGAAGCAGCGAATTGCGGAGGTTGTGCAGCATGAGCTGGCTCATCAGTGGTTTGGCAATCTGGTGACCATGGACTTCTGGGATGGTCTGTGGCTGAACGAGGGCTTCGCTACGTGGATGTCTTGGTACTCGTGCAATGCTTTCTACCCGGAATGGAAGGTGTGGGAAGGCTACGTCACCGACAACCTGCAATCTGCGCTTGGACTGGACGGTCTTCGCAGCTCGCATCCTGTGGAAGTGCCCGTCAAGAAGGCCGATGAGATCAACCAGATCTTCGACGCTATCTCCTACTCTAAAGGCTCCTGCGTCATCCGCATGATCTCAAAGTACCTCGGCGAAGACGTCTTCATGGAGGGCATTCGCAAGTACATCAACAAGCACGCATACGGCAACACCACCACCGAGGACCTCTGGGCTGCTCTGAGTGAGGCCAGCGGCAAGGACGTCGTCCACGTCGCTGACATCTGGACCAAGTACGTTGGCTACCCTATCGTAACCGTGACGGAGGACCAGAAGAACAGCTCCGTCCACCTCAAGCAGAACCGCTTCTTGAGGACGGCTGACGTCGCGCCTGAAGAAGACAAGACGCTCTACCCTATTGTGCTCAACCTGCGGACGAAGAAGGGCGTGGATAAGGACTCGATCCTGGACGCTCGTGAGGGTAACTTCAAGGTGCCGGATCTGGACTTCTTTAAGCTCAATGCGGACCACTCCGGCATCTACCGCACGTCGTACACTCCAGAGCGTCTGCAGAAGCTGGGCGAGAATGCCAAGGCTGGTCTGCTGACAGTTGAGGACCGCGCTGGCATGATTGCAGACGCTGGCGCTCTGGCTGCTGCAGGCTACCAGAGATCGTCCGGGCTGCTGACCCTCCTCAAGGGCTTCGACTCCGAGTCTGAATTTGTCGTCTGGGACGAGATCACAGCACGTGTCGGCGCCCTCCGCTCCACCTGGATCTTCGAAGACGACAAGACGAAAGACGCGCTCAAAGCCTTCCAGCGCGATCTCGCCAGCAAGAAGTCGCACGAGCTCGGCTGGACTTTCAAGGAGAGCGACGGCCACATCGAGCAGCAGTTCAAAGCAATGATGTTCGGCAACGCCGCCTCCTCGGGAGACGAAAAGACCAAGGCCGCCGCCTTCGAGATGTTCGAGAAATTCACCTCCGGCGACCGAGCCGCCCTCCACCCCAACCTCCGCGCCAGCGTCTACTCCGTCGTCCTCCAATACGGCGGCGAGAAGGAGTACAACGCTGTCCTCAAAGAGTACGAGACCGGCAAGAACAGCGACGAGCGCAACACGGCCCTCCGCGCGCTCGGCCGCGCCCGCGACCCCGAGCTCATCCAGCGCACGCTCGACTACTCCCTCAGCAAGCAGGTCAAGGACCAGGACATCTACCTGCCGCTCGCGGCGCTGCGCACACACCGGGAGGGGATCGAGGCGTTCTGGAGCTGGACGAAGAAGAACTGGGACCGGTTGAAGGCGAAGCTGCCGCCGAGTCTGACGATGCTGGGCTCGGTGGTGAGTATGGCGACCAGTGGGTTCACCAAGGAGGCGCAGTTGAAGGATATCGAGAAGTTTTACTCCGAGACGAGCACGAAGGGGTTCGATCGCAATCTGGCGCAGTCGAAGGATGCGATTGTGGCGAAGATGCGGCAGGTGGAGCGGGATGGGGAGGATGTTGTTGGGTGGTTGAAGGAGAATAAGTACTTGTAGATTCTGTCCAGCGTGGCTATTTAGACGTTGCGAGTCGATCGCCTCCCCACCCGGTTTCAAAATAGACAGGTACGTCAACGTTGTCATCCTTAGTGAGATCTGGCGATATGAGATCGATTCGTCTGTCACGGTTGATCAACTTGATGCCGTCAGGTATCACACGATACGTCTCACGACGAGCGGTCTGCACCTTCTTGACGTCCTTGGGATACTCTATCAGTTCTCCCATGCGGCGACCGAGGATCGGTTGCTTCACTGCGAGGCGTTGGGCCCACCTAGGAAGCGTAGAGGACGCCCTGCGGAATACCACGACCACGATGCCGAGAGAAGGTGAGTCCACGTCGACGTGGCATGCCCCTGGAGCAGGGAGACAGTTCAACAACCTCAGTACCACCACGATGTCTAACTCAGCGAGAACCCTGTCGAATTGACCCCGCGAAAGGGGGATAGACATCCTGACACCGCGGTTGGTGATTTCGTAGTGCTGTCGTGGGATGGGAAATTTGAGTCCGAGGATGGTCGCCCCTTCGAAATGCCTGGGATGGGAGGCGATGAGGCCGCCCGCGAGCATGTGTTGCATGCAATCATCAGACCTGCCATTCCAAGCAAACAGCGTCTCGTCCCATGAGGTCTTAACGATCTCTTCCTGAAGGCGGAGGAACGCTTTCCCGCCTTCGCCGTAGAGGAGTGGTATGTTCACGCCGAACAATCCGAGGATGCTGTAACTGAGGTCCTCCTCTCGACTCGCCTCCCGCCGAGATGCCCACCTCATGCGTTCTGCGACGCTGGCATCGAAAACGCCCTCGAGGTTCATGCCAAGGAAGTAGACGGGTATCGAGGTAGCCTCGTGGACCAAGTTATCGAAGTTTTCTCGTGTGCCTAGTAGCGTGTACGTCTTACTAAAGAACAGTACAGTCTTCGGCGCCAGCAGTTCTTGCAGTGTCCAGGCTCGCGTGAACCAGACGCTGTTCTTGAACGCTGCTCGACCGCTGGCACGTTGGCGGTTGTCGTCCTCGGTTTCCGTTTCCATGTTTTCGGCTGAGTGATGCAGCATCTCGTCGCCAACGTCTGAAAGAAAGACGTAGCATTCTTGCCGAATCTTGGTACCATTTATACATGGAGTTGATGGCTTCCGTAAGCTCTGCGCTGCTCTTCTTATCCTTCAGCGTAAAATGGTGCCGTCAGCATATATCTGGTGCCGACGTAAAAGTACCTTTCCACGAATTTTGTTGACTTACTATGCAGCACGTATCAATCCAAACCCATTCCAGTGTTCGTTCGCGAGCAATCCGGCAGGCCATCTCGATCTTCTCCCAGCCGTACGACACCTGGTCTGGGTTTTGCCGAGCTGCCATGAGCACTCCGTCGAAATCCTGATGGGAGACCTCTTCATCACTCCAGCGGTGGGATATGATGGCGTATCACGGGATTCTAAGGCCGTAGAACTCCTTGAAGGCGTACGTGGTGGTGTGCAGCAACCTCATGGTGTTGGTTTACGACTCACTCTCGGTGTCAGAGATGTGTTGGAAAGAGTTAGTAGGCGGCTGTGAAGACGAGGCTGCGGCGAGGCTAGGTATTACAGCCTGGAGCTTGTAGCTAGTCAATCGCCTGCAGCGACATGCATCTCAAGCTTCCAGCCACTCGGCTGAGACCCCTGCCCTTTAATCCTCAGAGTACATGTACTGCTCCACAGCCTCGCAAGCCTGGTATGTCAGACTATTGCGAGTTTCGCGAACGAAGAAAGCAGAGATGCATGGGCATGAATTAGGACGCCAATTTTACGTCGATTGCAACCGAAAATGCAGCAAGTCATCCCCATATTCTGGACTTCGCACCCTGGAAGATGTACCCGCTGAGCACACCCCAAGTCAAGTTCACATGCCCAGTCGCCGTCACTCCCACGCCCCTACCAGCGAACTCTCGCCTCCTCTCGGCTACTTCGCAGAAGGCAACTCCCAGATCCGCATAGCTCATCGCAGGCTCATGCTTACCATCCCCAATGGTGAGCTTGTAGCCAGTTGGAGTCGTGCCGTCAGGATCGTGGATGGATGGCGGGTCCACAAAGATGTAGTCCAGCAGATGCGATTCGGAGGCCGCGATGAAAAGATTGCAAGCTCGTTCAAGATCGGCGTAGATATAGTGGAAGCAGAAGGCGGCCATGGTGCGTCCGAGCCAAGCAGAGTTCGCTTTCATGACGGGATTTAAAGATGCACTCCGAAGCTGGATCACGGTCGGTGTCTTGTAGGATGATCCCTGGTCTTTGCGGTGAGTCTCCAGAGCGCTAGTGATGGCCGTGGCGGTGTCGTATGCTAAAGAGATGCCGGGAGTGCTTTCGTTGGTCGCGATACATGCCATGACTACGTCGGCGTTATTGAGGCAATTTTGCAATGCTACGGAGTCATCTGGCGTAGCTTCTATGATCTGGACATCGAAAGGCGTGCTTCTCTCGAGATCAGGGAACTGTTTGAGTAGCTTAGGCTTTGACCTGACGAAGATATTGAGCTTGAGGTCTTTGGGAGGCTGGCGAAGGAGGCAGCGCAGGATAGCGGCTCCTGTTGATCCCGTCGCTCCGAGTAAAGCGTATGTAGGCATTGTTGAGCCGGAAGACCTTGATCTAACAGTGCAATGTTTCTGATATTGAAAGAAGATTGTCTGTACGCGATAAACTCGAGCACTTATATCTCGTCCCGCTTGTACGTCATGACTGGCAGGAAATGGTGGTACTTAGCTGCACTACCGCGCATTAAGCTCCATAACCTCCGTGGGAGACAGAATGCTGTCGGAGGCCGTGTTTTGTTTGTGATCCGGATGGAATATCGCTCCGTCTCGGATGTTCGAATGGAGATGATTCTGAGCAACGCGTGATGTGGTCCGGGAAGGTGCACAGGCCACCGCGTCGGGACTGCGCAGAAATTCTGAGCTGACCAGAGACTTCCGTTCTTCAGCAACAACGCGAGATAGCATTGTTCCCTGGATCTCTGATACACCTGAGACTCAAGGAGGTTGGCCATTTTCACCATGTACCGCAAGTCCACTGACTCTGATCTCTCCGCAGTTAGGCTGTCCAAGGTAAGGGAAAACGATCGTTTTGTCAGAAATTCACCGAGCACCCTACTAGCATCAGTCTATCCTACGTATAGATCACACAAGCAAGTCAGTCCTCGCAGAAGCCGCACCACCTCCATGCGCTCTCTGGTTGTTTCGGTGGCAACACCAATCCTTGCAAGACCAAACCCTAGCCACGCTGTTTGAGGTTCTCGGGATGCCATCTCCTGAACGAGATACCATAGTTGCAGTGGCACAATCTTACCATCTTCACAAAGCTGACACGCACTGAAACGGGGAGATGAGGAGGAATCAATGCGCCTGCTGCAAGACAGCGGCGCTGATAGGTATACACTCAAACTACTCAACCCGCTCAATCGCCCCCTTCCCCGATGATAGCCTCCAAGTCCTTTCGTACAGTCAAATCGCTCCAGCCGTCCACGTTCTCAATCACCAAGCCCTTCTCGTTCGCCAGATGCAGTAAGCAGATGAAGCCGTAGCTCGTGCTGATGTCCGCGAGCTGCTGTTTCGGGTAAACGTGGTGGAGGTTGTTCATGATGTCTGTGAATTTGAGCGCGCCAGAGTCGTCCTGCAGTACTGCTGGCGGCTGAGGTTTTGAGGGTGTTTGGGGAGGTAATGCCTGAGTTGGAGAGATGTCAGCGCTCATATCGAAACGCCAAGACAAGTGCAAAAAGTCCACCACGCTCCCCCATCAGCCAAAATCGAAGCCTGCCCGTCCAAAAAGACATCCCACGACCACTCCGTGCTGGACTGCCGCAATGCAAAAATGCAAAACGTACAGCAGGCGGTATTCCCACGTGGTCACCCACCGTAGTACTAATCACCCGATTCGCAGCTTGAGTACGGCAGAGCGGACGGGATGCCCTATTATCTGCGATCTTTGGCCGTACGTGGATGATGTTGGCTTGCCACGCCATAAGAATGCCCAATCTCGGGCTTCGCACTTCAAGAAAGTGGAGACTCACCTCGTCTTTTCCAAACCCACACCCTCGCCACATCTCTTCTTTCAGTCGTCGAACATCCACCTTCTTGGCCACACGCGCGTATTGCACATACTCGGGTCGTAATCTTCGACTCTGGGCGACGAGATTCGCTCCGAATGCGCCTTCGCCTTGCTCCTGCGAGCCAGCCAAGATGCCGTCGATGCCGGGTCCGGTCGGTCCTCCAGCATCGATCTCGTCCGCAATACCAGGAGAGAACTGCTCACGGGCATCTGCAAAGTCGTCGTCGTCGTCCGGATCCACACCAGCGGGTAAAGGTAGAGCGTCGTCGGCGAAGAAATTGGCATCGTAGTCTCCTTGGACCGCATCCACATCGTCGGGATGGGTAGGAGGTGCGTGCGATGCCGTAGCCCAGTATGCCTCATCCACTTCACCTTCGACGCCGCCATCCCTCCTACCGCCAATTGCTTTTCGCGCCCCAAGTCTGGCTTTTGGCTTCAAGAACAGTTTCAGCAGATCTTTCGAATTGAAATGCTTGTCATCCGGTAAGAGGTTCCTCGTTCGACTCCTCCACTCTTTTCTGGGCAAACTGATCGCGGCGTTCGAGCTCGCTGTCGTGTACAGCTGTGCCGCCAGCTCCTGGCTCATTGGCGCCGCGAAGTCAATCTCGAACGGCTCCTTCTCTTTCCTCGCCTTCTTCTCCTTGTCCTGGGCAGCACTTCTGTTCGCCTCCTTTATCCTCGCAATCTTCCAGTGTTCAGGCCCAGCCCAGTTTTTGTGAAGCGCAGTGTCGAAGTAATTGAGGATGTTCTCTTGGTCGTCGCCTAAGGAGCGATGTTGGAGAGTAACGCCGTACACATTGCTGTTGGTGTCGAAGGTTCCAACCTCGCCGCCTTCTTCGCCTGCTTCCGCGCCGCCATATGCGTCCACCACCCGCATCTGAGGTTGCAGCGCTGCATCGCGTGCCCACGCCTCACCACCTTCACCAAAGCCAGTTTCAGGAGGGAGGTCGAAGCCGTTGTCGTCATCATCTCCAATGCCGAAGTTGTTGTCGGGGAGCACGCTGTTCTCGCCAGCTTCTTCTGAAGACGGCTCAGGCTGTTCATCTCTCCAGTTTTCGGGCGCTTTGAGGAAGGGTAGATCGAGTGAAGCATCACCGGAGCCGAGTTCGAACGTCTTGAGCGTGGGGCAAATGTCTTTGTTGTCGAGCATGCTGAGATCCGGGAAGAAGCGTGCGCCGAGTGCTGCGATGTCGACAGGTCTGTCGTCCTCCACAGCTGGCTCTTCCGACTGCTTCTGCTCGCCTTCCTCTTCTTCACCCTCCGGCTCCATGCTATCTCTCCTGTTCTCTTCGCCGTCGGTCTCTTTCGCGTCGTTGCTGCTGTCAAATACGATCCTTCCTTCTCCGTCAATTGAGAGGTGATTGAGCAGCAGACCCTTCGCACCACCTTCGTCGAAGTCCGCGCTCGCTTTCTTGAATAACGGATCCACTGAGAACTCCAGCTCCATCTTCTTCAACTTCAGCTGGTCGAAGCTGTTCACCAGAGTCGCTTCAGCATTTCGTGCCTTCTTTTTGCCTTTCTTCTTGGCCGCGCCATCCTCTCCTTCTTCGCCCTCCTTGTCCTCATCTTCACCCTCTTCACCCTCAGCGCCGCCTCTCCTCTTCTTGTCTGACTTGCTCTCAGCCAGCCCGCTCAGCAGCTTCCCTGTCTCTGTCGCCACACTATCCACTCGGCTCGTATAGATCTTGACACACCCGTCCAGCGTGCAGCTCGCCTTTTGGAAGTTGACACTATCTCCTTCCCGCAGCAAACTCATGTCGTGGAAGTAGTCAATGAGCGCAAAGTTCCAGCTGTTCGTCGCGTTAATTTTGTTGTCTGTGGCCATCTTCATCCACTCCTCAAAGTTGGCGAGTATGGGCACACGCTTCATAGGCGTCACTCCCGGTCCTAGCACGTTGTAGTCACCTGCATCTTGCTGTGATGGCGTCTCTGGTCCGCCAGTGTCTGCGCCCAGCGACTTGCGCTTCCGTACAGGTGATGCTGCCGCTTTGTACGCGTCCATCTGTTTCGAGTGGAGTGCATGTCGCGACTGCAGCCGCTGTGCCTTCTCTGCGCGGTCATCATTGAGCGCGATCTGAACCGTCTTCACGGGCGAGTCGTAGGTTGTGTTGGCGGCTGCCGATTGTTTGCCAGCTCGTACGCGCGGCATGGTGGAGATGCTGTCGCCACGCGCTGTTCGTGGTTCTTCGGGACTCTAGCACATACGAGCGCTGGTATCCAGTCGAGAGCGTGGTGTAGCTGTCTTCGAGATCGTCGTCGCTCGGCCGCTCTTGCCAGATCAACAAACACAGCGGCTACTCCCGAACTTAAAATCAGCTGCAGGCGGGCGTCATTAGCGCAAGTGGGAGCAGTAGAACTTGGCAGCGATACAGCATCCAGGGCCAGGCCAACGTACAGTCCTGCGCCGCCTTCGACATGCGCCACTGGTGATTGTGGTACCTCCATCTCTATGAGTATAACAACCTAGCCATCCTTCTCTCCCAGCAGCATGCATCGCCAATGGCTCCCGCGACGACCTCGAAGACAGCCAAGCTGCGCGGACCTCTGCAGCGGCCAGCATACCGTGCATCGCGCGCCTTCTTCCTCACCCTCCTCATAGGCGCATGCTTCTTCACCTACGCCATCCTCACCGCCGGTTCAGCTGCCTCCGATCTCCACCTCCAAGACAGCGCCCTCTACAAGCGCTCCTCCGACGATGTCTCCCCCGCCCTCAGCGACGACGAGCAGTGCCGGCTGGTGCACCGCGCAAAGGACCAGTGCGCCTTCGTGCACGCACAATGTCCCGACGAAGAGGCCGGCTTCACGGCCTACCTCGATCTCTACTACTGCCGCCTCGCGCACGCCAAAGCAGCTGCCTTCATCATCCTTATCTCCTGGCTCGGCCTACTCTTTAGCACGATCGGTATCGCAGCTAGCGACTTCTTCTGTATCAATCTCAGCACCATCGCCACGATCCTAGGCATGAGCGAAAGCATGGCGGGTGTCACGTTCTTAGCCTTCGGGAACGGCAGTCCAGATGTCTTCTCAACCTTCGCCGCGATGAGTACGAACAGCGGTAGTCTGGCAGTTGGAGAGCTCTTCGGTGCGGCAGGTTTCATTACGGCGGTAGTGAGCGGCAGCATGGCATTGATACGACCCTTTCACGTGGCCAAGAAGAGCTTTGTGCGGGATGTTGGGTTCTTTGCGGTTGCGGCAGCATTCAGCTTGGTGTTTCTGTGGGATGGCAAGTTGCACTTCTGGGAGTGTATTAGTATGGTGGTGTTCTACGTGTTCTATGTGGCTTTCGTGATGGTCTGGCATTGGTGGTTGGGCAGGAGGAGGCGACGGAGGGAGAAAGAGGCAGCTGCGAGAGGACACTTTCTGCCGCCTGATGATGAGCTGGAGATTGAGGAGGAATACCATGATGATCCGGATGAAAGTGCGCCGAGGCCTGGCGTTTCACGGGGTGTGTCCAGAGAGGACTGGTCTGCGCTGGAGCGAGGTGGTGATGGTGCGCCGCGCATCCAGGAACCAGATGAGGACGACGAAGAAGAGGCACGGGATAAGTGGATGAGCGAGCTGAACAGCAATATGCGCCTCACTAGGCCCTCTGTCAGGAATCGGAGCAACACCACCCTCACACCCGTCAGGCCTTCTCTTGTTGGTGCGCTGGAGTTCCAGGCTGTTCTGAAGTCGTTGCAGAAGTCTAGGAACATTCAGACGTACCCAATGGACACACGACGCTACTCGGACGATCCAACTTTCACTTCAGCGCAACAGCAGGATCACATGTCTACCATTTCCGACCCAGCTTCACGACCACCGTATCACGTTGTCCCTGAAGGAGATACTGAGCAGAGGCGGCCAGGCAATCTGGAAGTCCCGTACACCGCTCCGGCTCTGGGGCGAGGCCGGGCTGTCTCTGCGAGTGACGTCCAAGGCTTGAGGATTGATGAGGATATCCAGCAAGCTGCGTCGAATGGAAGGCGTAGCTTTGAAGGAAGGCAGGAGGAGGACCTGATCGAGTTTGGAGAGCGTGACACTCATGCGCAGAGTCAGCAGGCAACCGCTGAGACACCAGCTCTTCGTGTATCTCCGTCGCCTGCGTTCGAGTTCTCGCCAGCTCCACCCAGTAGAGTGGGTACTGATGACTCGGCGCGAACCCATACCTCAACTTCAGCAAAGTCGTCAAGATCAGCGCATCTTCTGGTTCCAGGCGAAATCACTCGACAAGGCGTTGACCAGCGGCATTTCGGCGATACAACAGACTCGCCTCGCCGCGTGCCATCCTCCAACGAGCTGCCCAAGATCATGATCCCACGCCGTCAAGCATCACATACTTCTACGCCCAGCACTTCGCCATTCCCCCGATACCGAGACTCCCCTTCTCCTGGGAACTCGGGACCGCCGAGCATCAACCTCCCGCCGCCTTCCATCGGATCACCAGAATCCGTACCAGTGTCTCAGGCCATCGAACCAGACTCGTCCAAGCGTCCGTCATTGTTGAGTCGATGGTGGCCGTATACTATTCTGCCGCCGCCCGGCGTGATGATCTCCACGCTCTTTCCGACCATCTATCACTGGCACGACAAGAACCATTGGGAAAAGGCGCTTGGCGTTGTGGCTGCGCCGAGTGTCTTCCTGCTCACCATCACACTTCCTGTCGTTGAAAGTGGCAAGGACGATGAAGAACAGTCTCGCAAGGATACGAGTATGGACTCTGCGCGGTCCAAGGGAGCCAGTATTAGCATAAGTTCGCCTGGAGATCTCACAGCGACCGGTGCAGCAGGCATGGCCAATTCTGCTTCTGTGGCGACAAGCACCGAGCAGAACCAGCGCCAGAACTACGGTGACCCTTCGATCGTCGCTGAAGACAACATCTCCAGCGCACCCCTCACCGAAGAACCCGCCCAACAGCCTTCGCCCACCCTCTGGAACCGCTGGCTCCTCATCCTTCAACTCTTCCTCGCACCCATCTTCATTGTCCTGGCCATCTACACCCAATCACCCGTCGACGTCACGCCCCGCTGGCTCCTCAAACCCACTGTCATCTGCCTGCTCGTCTCCCTCGTCCTGCTCATCCCCCTTCTCCTCACCACGACACCAACCCACAGACCGAGCATCTACCGCCCGGTCCTCTCCCTCGCCGGCTTCATCGTCTCCATTGCCTGGATCTCCACCATCGCCGGCCAAGTCGTTGGCGCCCTCAAGGCCCTCGCGGTGATCTGCAACATGAGCCACGCCATCATGGGCCTGACCATCTTCGCCGTCGGAAATTCTTTAGGAGACCTCGTCGCGGACGTGACAGTCGCTAAGCTCGGCTACCCCGTCATGGCGCTGAGTGCCTGCTTCGGCGGGCCCATGCTCAACATCCTGCTCGGCATTGGACTTTCGGGAAGCTGGATCCTGATACGCGGCGCCAACCATCGGGTCAAGAAGCATCCGGACAAGGACTTCAAGTTCAAGAGCTACCATATCGATGTCAGCAATACGTTGATCGTGAGCGGGTTTACGCTGCTGGTGACGTTGGTGGGGCTGTTGATTTTCGTGCCGATGAATCGGTGGGTGATGAGTAAGAAGCTGGGGTGGGCGTTGATTGCCGTGTGGGTGGTGAGTACGACGGCGAATGTGGTGTTGGAGTTGACGGGGTTTGCGGAGGATGGGAGCGATAGCTGAAGGGTCGATTGGGAAGATGGCAGGGCGTTGGGAATGTACATACATACGCGTACAGGACGCGGTAGTTGGATTTGGAGTGGATGGTTTGTTTGGGAATGATACCACTTTCGTACTTGAATAGGTGCGATTGCTTCTGCTATGCCTCGTATGTTACCACAGAGCTCCAAACTCCTGTCTCGTCCTCCACATCGACTGTGACTATGTTGTCCAGGTCCTTTGTTACCGCCCTAAGCAGACTGACTACTGAGTCCAAATTGCTCTCCTCCCTCCATTTACCCCGGACCGTTGCCTTGTCTGGGCCTGCGTCGCTGGCAAGCCGCCCCAGATTGTCCAGCAAGATGTGGGCAGTGGCTGCGAACCTGAAGTCGTTGCTGATCTGGTCGATCAGTTCTTGAGTCATGTGCTTGAGTTCAAGTGTTGTGGCCTGGCCCGCAGATTCCGCCGCAGATCCCGCTTCGCAGGCATCCAGGATCTGGTCCCATGCTGACCTGGCTTCCGTAGCGTTCTCGATCGCCCTTTCGACGTTTTCTAACGCGCGATCAAGGCTGTCGATGGCGCACAGTGGCCTGTCGTAGATTCGTATGAATGGTTCCATAGGCCAGCGCGGATAGTCTGGCACAGAACCGTCCAGGTCGTCTTGCAGTTTCCGGCTGGCGAGCTGGAGATTGGCGTGGATCGATGTGAGTACTGGCAGAGTAGCATCCATGCCTTGAAGGCCTCTTTCAGCCACAGCCTGCGTCGCAGCATGTTCCGCGGTGGGCGAAGAGCTGGGAGAGTGCGCAGTCCGCATCTTGGCGTTGGTGATAGATGGCGCAGGCATGGTGGGTCTGCGGACTGATGAAGGGCCCTTCTTTGCGTTTCGTGGACGCGTGATCTTGTACCGCCGAGCGGAGCGTACGAAGTTGTCAGATCCCTGGAAACAAGATCGGGAACGAGCCTGGGGATGCGGTAGTATCACGCAACTCACCGCGGCGGAGACGAAGGTTCTCATCGAGCCTGAGCGAGCAGCCCCGGACGTGGGGAGCGTACTAGAAGGGATGAGAAGTCGATACATGATGGGCGGGTTGCAGAATCATGAGATGAATGGGTGTGTGGAAAGGAGCAAGAAGACACGCTCGTTTTTCCCAGTTCCCGGGGTCAAAATGGGAGCTAGAATGACCAAAGGAATGATGAGTGCGGAAAGACTGCTGAGCAGGAGATGAGGAGAACAGGAACAGCATGAGAAGGCTTAGCCTTAGAAACAGCCCTGATGTGCATGAGGACCTTTTAGATCTCCAGGCATCTACAGTACCTTGCTTAATATGACAGCTCTCGTTACACAGCAGCAGGCGCGCTGGGATGTGTATCTCACCGCACCCATCTATGGTCCATTGGTGGCGACGGGGATCTGCTGCTGCTCGAGTCATGATAGTGGTAGCATGAGTCGATCTGCTATTGTAGAGGCGGGTAGGGTTCTTCATACTGATGGGAATGTATCTGGAAGTCTTCCAAGTGAGGTGTGGTGAGAAGAATTGCAGTGGTCGGATGTTTCATAGCGCCACGGCAAACGCGTCTCAGCCAATCAAGCGCGCGCAGCTCTCCTGTTCTGCTGCGTTTCAAACGACCTCACCTTCCGAACGACTACACGCCGTCCACCACCTCCAGTCGAGACTGACACACCCCAGATTAGTACATGCGTACAATTCGTGCCACAGCGCGAGCGTCATGGCGGCTGTTGACTGGCGCTGGATCTCTTGACCGCGATGGCGACCATCCGCGACAGCATGGAATACTGCCTAGGCCTTTCGAGCATGGGGCGTACACTTCATGGGTTTGTTGCAGTAAATATTTCCTATCTCCTAAGCCCACCTTCAACAAGTACACGAACGTGTCGTTTAGCAAACACGACTGCGCTGCTTCATTATTTCTCTTCGTTCGTTCTTCTTTCCCGCGTTGCACTGCAGGACGATGTTGTTTGCTTTCTACCTCTAGCATTTCGTAATACAAAGGCGCCGGCGCATTTGATCTCCTTCTCAGCGACTTTCAACGACCTGTTCAGCCCTTGAGACCGAGCTACGAAAGAAACGATTTTACGAGCCAACGAACAATCACAACCCTATGCCTTTCAAGCAGGTCTTTGAAAGGCGCGTCAACCGCAACATGCGGGAAGGAGAACCTGGTCCAGGACCTGATGAGGAGGCCAGAGAGGAGGCCGATGTCAAGAGCGATCCTGACAGCAAGACCTTCGAGCACGAAGAAGAGGATATCGAGCTTTCGGAGAAGAAGGACCGCCCTCCACGCTTCTCGACTCTCTTCACCCAACCTGCCCCTCCTCAGATCGTCGAACGATACGTCGAGCCAAAAAGGAGGTCCGGAGTGACCCTTCCCACGCCTCTGTTTGTCATCCTGGCGATTGTACTGTTCTTCGAAAGCACCTTACTGTTCGCCTACACGATCATCGGTCTGTACAACAACGTCCCACAAGGTGTCCTACCCTTCGGACCCGGGTCAACAGCGACGGTGGATAGCTGCAACTGCGGTGGAGGCCAAGCAGGCATCAACATCTCTCCGAACTTCATCTTGCCAGGTGGAAATGCAGAGACGGTCACCGTTACCGCGGACACTTCCACTGTACTTGAGAAGACTACGACATCCACATCCACCTCCAGCAGTTCTTCGTCATCATCCAGCTCCACCAGCTCATCCATCGACCCCACAGCGGTAGCCGCAGGTCTCGCCAGCTTCCTCCGCGGCCAAGCCGCCTCAAACTCCTCTCCAGGACCTCGCGTTGCAGAAACGACCAAAGTCGTCACTTCGACCCCAGAGCAGAAGACTGTTCTTCTCACAAGCGACGTCACCATCATCCCGGGGCAGTCGACATCGACATCAACGGTGAAGGTGCCGCCGAAGAGCAGCAGTAACGCCAAGCGCGCCAGTCCTGCTTCGAAAGAAGCTTCTGAAGCGGATTCTGGCAAGACTACGGTCGCTGGCCCGACTCCTTCTACGCTCATGACGGCTGCTTCTCCGCCTGCGACGACGGAGGCGCCAGAGAAAGGCGAGGACGATGGCAAGGATGCGAAGGCGAAGGAGAGCACGACGCAGAAGACGGGGGTTGCGTGTTTTGGTGGTTCTGGGGCTGTTATGTTGAACTGTGTCAGTGCCTGAGCAGCATCGAGCTGGATGCAGAGCAGAGAGCGTTTCGACGACTCAAAGGCGTCTGGCTGTACATTGGTGGCATTTCTGGGAAGTTGGGCATCCTCAGGGCGGTTTTTGGTAGCATGAAAGGATGTACATGTAGAGATGACGCTCATGAATAGATGTGTGTGTGGACATTGGACTTGACAGCCGTCCTAGAGTTGCACGTGCCCTACGATCATGGACAATAGCACAGCCATCACTTGCAAAACTGAGGAGGGATATTTTACGGTCAGGTAGAGAGATGGATGGTGCGGTGAAAGCACGCGTTGCGTTGTTATTATCGGAGCTCGCCGTTGAAAGCAAAACGGAACTCCCCATTCTCTCGAGCTGAACCTCACTTCTGCGTTCAAGGCACTTACCCGGCATGATCACGCACGCATGCTTGCAAGAGAGGACGATGGAGAAGAGATGGACTACAAGAGTGGCTCACTGTCGAGAGCAAATACCTCTGGCTACCGAATGCTATGAACCTCGCGCGCCGAAACGTGGTTGCCCTTTCAATACTCTGCTTCGTGCCGCATGCTGCGAAGAGCGATGAGCACAGCAATGGTTCTCTACTTGCTTGATGCATGCTGTCGAGCAGCGATGGCACAGCAGTGGTTCTCCTCCTAGCTGTGTGTACTGATGCTGACAAGCAGCTATCAATACCTCAGCGTCCATCTATCTGCTTGCTGCGTGATTTCAAGCAAAGAAGAGCATGTCAGGGTTGTTCGGCTGTGTGCTGCGGAAAGTCTATCAGAGTTGTTCTCCTGTGTGCTCGAGGAGCATAGCAGCGACATCATCTCTCTGCTTTCGTGAGCATATGAGGGAATAGTCATCTGTGTGCCTCTGAAGCATATCAGGAAGATACATCTGTGTGCCCGAAGAGCACGTCAGGAAGAATGCGTCAGTGTGCCTGATGGGCACAGCAGATACCGGTCATCTGGAGGTTGTGACAAGTCTGACGAGCAGCGACGAACACATCAAAGTCTGTCGAAGCCGCCCTCGTGAGCGAGATCTGCACTGCCATCTGCGTGGTCCCTCATGACCACGCTCACATCAACCTCTTCATCTAGAGTGTTAATATGGCTATGGCTACTCGTATGGTAGGCCATAACCACGCTCACATCCACCTCTTCATCCGGGGTACTGGTGAACCTCATGCTTGGGTAGGCCGCTATGTGGTTCTGCTGAGCGATGTGCTCTTCAATGGTTACCGAGGTTCTCTGGCAGGCCACCTCTCCTCCGGACTGGCCGCTATTCGTGGTTACACACTCCGAGCAAGGTATGCCTCGTTCCGACATGTCGCACTGGGAAAGCAGGTAGGTCAGTCGACGCATTTTCCCTTTCGCAAACAGGTCATACATACATTCCGATTGCCAATCATCGTGCACGGGTGGCAGATGATGGTTGCAGGGGTCTTGGAAGGCCGGACGTCTTGCATGGTATCGTCCATAATGCTGTGTCAATATGGCGAGTGCTGTGCAAAGTCTGCAACGGAGAAGAAGTAGATCAATGAAGTGACGTCTCCGCTAGCGCGTTTTTGATTGTTTTTCCCTACACGTCGCGCTGCTGGCTTGCTCTACTGGTCCTCACACCCACCACACATCTTGCTTGCACAACAGCACCAAGATGTCTCCGCCGATGTATCGGCCAATTCGAGGCTTCTTCGGATGGATAGAGAACGGAGATGACCCTTCGCAACCACAGTACATGTACGTATCGAGACTGAGGTCCTTCGCCGCTGTGCTTGACGCTGACGTTTTGCAGACCAGCACCGCCTAGTAAACACAAAATTGTGTTCGATGCTTCCACCAGGAAGTATTACGAGGCGGATATAACACCACTGCCCCGCGAAACCGCGCAGCATAACTACGACCAATCGCCAACGCGTGCAGCCAAACGTGAGCGTAACCGCAGCGGATCACCACCGTCGCTCCCGAGGCCATCGGTGGGTGCGCGAGATGCCACCTACTCGGACCGGGCACATAGCGAGCTTGATGGCCAATCTGTCGGGCGTCGAGATGGTCGGCAGCAAAGCACGCCTCCCATCAAGCGCGAGCCGTCTCCGTCTGCTGGGCGAAACCGCCGGCCAACAAACTTTGGCTCGACCAACAACCAGCGCAACCAACCACTACCACTACCACAGTTTGGCCCGCACGACAACAATCGGCCGGCTTTTGGCATGCGCAGAGATTAACCACCTGCCTTTGATACGCGTAACCTGCGCAGTGTTTCTCTTCCTGTCAGCCATGCAAGCATAACCGTGCGCATCCACCTTCTCCGTCTTTGTGCTTTGCAATGATGTACTGACCGTAACAATAGTCGAATCAACCAAAATGGAGAACCACACAGCCGAATCCTGCACCTGGGCCGACTCAACCAGTCCGGCCAGTAACCGCACAACCACGAGCTGGACCAGCGCCCACACCTGTGCCAGCGCCAGCTCGACTCCAGCAACCGGCCATGCAATCACCGCGTACCCTCCGGGACAACCTGCTAGACCCCAGCTTCGACTACGGTTTTCGACCATTCCCGAGACCGCTACATACGAGCTCTTTCGAGCAATGTGCCCACATGAGGCCGCCACTGGACTGAAGCTGATAGCTCCGGACAAATACGCGCAACTTCTTGCGGAGCAGCAGCAGCAGGACAGGAACAACAACCTGGAGCCTAACGTCAAACACGAAGACGAGGGATAACCTGCCTCGCCTGCTGGAGTAAACAATTCGTTAGGATCTCTCGCATGTTGCACCTGACTTGCCTTGCCTTGAGCGGGCAAGAAGGTCGCAGTATGCTCGTCGAACGATGCGCCTCGCTTGCCTCTGCCTTGTGCGCATCCCTCTCGATGCACCTCACTTGTCTTGCCTCGAGCGCACAAGGTGGCCGCTGCATCACCTCTTGGTGCCCCTCACTTGTCTTGCCTCGAGCGGACATGGAGGCCGCCGCATCACAAGCCGTTGCTGAGCCTCGCTTGCCTTGCCACGTGCGGGCAAGTAGGTGGTAGCATTCAGATGGCTTCACATGGTACATATTGGACGAACAAATCAGGTCATGTGCCCACAAAACTCTCACGTCTCACTTCTCACATGAACGGTAGCAACGCGTAATCTTAGCTGTACAAGCAGGTATCTTCAAGCACTACTCAAACCTACAAAAGCATCCCCCACCACCCCCTCACAGCGTCTCCATCTTATCCAGAATCGCCCTCGTAAACTCATGCGTCGTCGCACTGCCGCCCATATCGCGCGTCCGCGACTTGTTCTCCGCAATCACATCGTACACGGCCTTGCTGATCCTGTTCGCGTGGTCGTCCAGCCCCAGATGCCTCAGCATCATGCTGCCGGACAGGATGAGCGCGGTCGGGTTGGCTTGGTCCTTGCCCTGGATGTCCAGACCGACGTGTCGGCAGCCTGGCTCGAAGACGGCGACTTCGCGGCCCATGTTGCAGCCGGGCACGATCCCGGGGCCTCCGACAAGACCAGCGCCGATGTTGGAGAGAATGCCGCCGTAGAGGTTGGGCATGACCATGACGTCGAATTGCTGGGGCCGAGAAACACATTGCATGCTTGCGTTGTCGACAATCATGTCGTTCGTCTCGATGGTGGGGTACTCCTCGCCGACCTTCTTGACCGTGTTGCGGAACAGACCGTCGGCCAGCTTCATGATGTTGGCCTTGTGAACGCATGTCACCTTTCGTCGGTTGTTGGCGAGGGCAAAGGAGAAGGCGAATTTGGCGATGCGCTCGGACTTTGCGCGGGTGATGATCTTGAGCGACTCGACCACGCCGTTGACAGACTGGTGCTCGAGACCGGAGTACTCGCCCTCAGTGTTCTCACGGATGATGCAGAGGTCGACGTTCTTGTGCCGTGTCTCGTAGCCCGGGATGTTCTTGATAAGCACGATAGAGGCGTAGATGTCCAGCTCTTGTCTCAGCGCGACGTTGAAGGATTGGTGTCCGGAACGCTCGACGGGTGTGTGTAGGATGCCCTTCAGACCGAGTTTGTTGCGCTTGAGGGAGGCGATCGATTCGCGAAAGAGCTCTTCGGAGTGTTTGTTGCCCGTGTCGACACCGGAGACGTCGACCTGCTCCCACTCTACTGGCACGTTGTCTGCCTTGAAAATAGTCTTGACTGATTCGGAGACTTCGGCGCCGATACCGTCACCTGTGATGCTCCTCTTAGCTGTCTGTTGTGTCTGCTGGTCTATTGCGGGACGTACCTGGTATCAGCGTGACAGTGTACTTGCCGCCGAACTTGGTCGGCTTGAAGATGTCGGCATTCACGGTGGCATATGCTGTTGGCGACTATTAGCATTGTACTGCTTGAACCGCATTGGCTTCGGCGTACACCTCGCTGCTATCGACGAGTTGGCAGAGCATTGTGTTCGAGTGCTGCGCAGCAGAGCCTGGGGCGGTCGCGGTGTCAGTGTGCGCTTCTACCGGAAACTTAGACTGTCTCATACCCGTGCGGCTTGCTGAGGGCCTCTCGAGAACATCTTGCGGACGATGTGGTGGTTGCAATGGTAAGGTACAGACTAAAGCTATCGCGGTGCAAGGTCTTGAAGTTCCATTGCTTTTGCAGCTAGCCAGACTGGAGCTCGGACCAGGGCGCGGCTTTAAAACCATCAGCATATGAAGGACAACTCGCTCTGAATAGGACACGATCACAGCATAAAACGTAGAGAGAGTTGCAGCACGAATGGAGAGCATCATTGATCTGAGCGTGAACAATTCATTTTTGGTGCAATAGTGGTATCATCCCGTCCCTCCCTCTAACGCCCAACAGCAGCATCCCGTCCCTCCCCTTCCCCCTCCCTCCTCCCTTCTCCCTCCTCCCTCCTTCCTCCCTTCCTCCCTCTCCCTCTCCCTCTCCCTCTCGCACCCAGCCTTCGTTGCAAAGCGGTCTGCAGATAGTCACCACCCGCCACGGTCACCCTCTTCCTCCACCGTCCCTTCCGCTCGAAGTATACCCTACCACGGTGCCTTAGGACAACGCATGGCTAAAAACCTTGGACGCCAGCTCAGACAGCAGCCGCATCTTCTCCGGCTGCTCCAACTCCTGATACACCGAGTAGACACTCTTGCCCCTCTTATCCCGAATCGCACCCAGCCTATTCCCCGCCACGCCTCCCGCAATGGCACCCGGCATATTCGCAACAATAAAGCCCATCGCGCCTCCACTGACCGCTCCAATCATACTCCAGAACTTGCCAGTGGGTTGGTTGTTGTCCTCCGCCAGTCCTTCCTCCCGCATCATCTCCTCAAACACGCCACCGAACTGTTCGTTGCTGTAGCGATTCGCATCGTCCTCCGTCTTCGCAGTCCCCCCAAATCCAAACGCTGACCACGGGAAGCCGCCGGGCATGCTATTCGCTTGCGGCCGCGGTATCTCTTCCTCTGGGTCCTGCGCTGAGCTCTGGCCGAAGCCGTGGAATTGGTTGCGGCTCACATCGTAGTCGCGTCTGCGGGTGGGGTCTGAGAGGGTGTAGTAGGCGTCGTTGATCTGCTGGAACTTCTTCGTGCGTGTTGAGCGTTCTGGCGAGCCTTCGGGTACGCGATCGGGGTGGTGTCGTAGGGCTTGCTTCTTGTATGCTGCTCGGACCTGCTCTTGTGTGGCTTTGGAGTCGACCTCGAGCGCGGCGTAGTAGTCTACTGGCGGGGCGGACATGGCTGGTCGTTGATGGGCAGTCTATCAGAGATGGCGCGTGTAGCACAGGCTGTAGGGTGTAGAAAGCGATAGTTAGAGTTTCACAGGATCATGCAGGTTCTTGCAGAGCAACAGGTGGCTTCACCGAGCAAGTTCACATGCTTTGCCCGCATCGCGCTACGTCATCACCAACCTTACGATCTCAGCCTCTTGACAATCGAGACCTTTCACATGTGTACTAGGCACAAGAAACACTCGCCTCGTATCTCATCACCTATATACACGCCGTCGCGTAGGTGGGATGCGATCGTCCTTCGAGGCGCGCGGCTGGAAGGGCATGCCTCGCTTCTTCAGATGGAAGCGCTCGACTACGCAGGCGTCTCTTGACTGTCATTTGCACATTTGAGCCATGTCTCGGACTTTTGGTTGTGACGATCTACTGAGCGACAGCAACCTGTCATCGAGGCGTTCTCAAGATCTCCATTCTCTGGCGTGGCGTTGGAGGCGCCTGTGCCTTGATCTTCCACGCAATACTTCTCCAGCTCCGACGCTTCTAAGCGGTCGGAACTCGGGGAGACCGTATGCGAGACAACCTCTTCCCTTTGTCTCCCCTCGAACTACCCAAGCTCACCATGCTACCCCTGCAGCCGCAGAGAAGCGCACCAATGCACACTCCACCGGTACAGGACGTATTCCGCAGCCAAGGGCGGGTGTATAACCGACACCGGCAGTAGTCCGGGCGAACTGCCTGTTCAGGCTGGTATAGCTGCTTTAGAGTGAACCGAGTCCATGGCGACGCTTCCACACCTTCAGTCGCGGGAACCAGTAGAGTGGTGATGGATGATCACATCAGATCGGCGGTCTCAGGTTGTTCTCGTGCTCCTACGCCTCGATCTGCTTTGTCCTACCGTCTTGCTCGATCTTCGTAGAGCGTCATACGCTGCACACACGTTGGGATATCTCCAGTGAGCCCCTCGCGTCGGGTCTGCGGCTTCTGCAGTATCGTCTACCGCGCAGACGAACGCTCTAACGCACTGGTGGGGAAGACGAACAGCTCCTCCCCTTGTGCATCAAGCGATCTGTGTGGTGTGGGTGATCTGCGGACCGTCCGCCTACCGGCGCGACACCAGACTAAAGCAGAGCTAAAAGTCGCCCATCGCGAGCTCCTCCAGACGTCGACTTGCAATGCATCGTCTGCAACCGCCGAGATCCATGTCGCCAGCGGCGTGCCGACATCAAGCTTTGGCTGCGGTGGTGGGCGTACCTCTGGCTCACTTTCAGACACATCGTCCCAACCCTGCCCCGATCCCGAGTCCCTGGGTCTGATCTCGCCGCATTCCGTGTTCCCGCTCATCCTCTTTTTATACCCTGGTTCGTGGTCCATCTCTAGCAGTCTTCCTTGACACGCACTTCTCGTGCGTATCCGTTGAGTTGCTGTCGCACGTCGAGACCGTAGATTGTGCTGCATCGGCGAGTGGATGACCTCGATGCGAGAATTGACTGGCTGCAGTGATCTAGCACCACCTTTCGTACCACACATCCGACCACCGCTCGCGTCCTGACCCTTGGGACCACACGTTGCCCCAATTCTCCGATTCGAACCCGAAACAGTGGAAGACAATTACCTGTCAAGCCGTGGTCCCTCGAGACGCAATGGCGCATGAGCATGGGTGCGTGCAGTGACAAAGAAGTAGCGTACCCCATCTGCTCGAGAGGAGCCATTATCTGACCTTCCCGCGCGCCTGGTTTGGTCTGAAGAGCGACAAGGTTCGGCAGTGAGGAGCACACAAAATTCTGACGTTCGCTCTTGCCCAACTCAGCGCTAAATTATACCGCGAGAACCATCTGCAGCTTCCCGCCCTCGCTGTACGATAGTACGACACAATCTCGGAAGGAAGCACCGGCGACACGATGCAGGTGCAATACAACTCCCACTCCCACCCCTCCTCCGGGAACCAGCACCGCTCCCACACCAACGGTACCAACGGTGACCACTCAAACACGCGACCATCCCTCTCCACTCCCACGAACGGACATCTCGAGGAGGGCGACATGTACCCCCACCAGTACAACCTGTACGCCATGGGCCATGGCCCACCACAGCAGCGGCAGTACCAAGCCAATCAGCTGCCGCCCATGTACGGGGCCGGCGGTGCTCCTCCTCCAATGGCTCCTCCTCCGGCATCAGCACCCGGTATGTCAGGGCAGCCCAGCAATGGGCGAGGTGGCATGTATCCCGCCCAGCCTCAACAGCAGTATCAGCAGGAGGCATTGGGGCAGACGAGGTCCGAGGGAGAGCCCAACTTCCTAAGCAGCAGCAATGGCAAGTACAAGTTCGAGCTCAAGTGCGAGCAGCAACCCCAGAGGGCGCGCATGTGTGGGTTCGGCGACAAGGACCGTCGTCCGGTCACCCCGCCGCCGTGCGTGAGGTTGATCGTTACGGATCTGCGCACCGGGAGGAACATCACACCTGACGATCTCGAGCATACGTTTTACGTGCTGCAAGTCGATCTCTGGGACGAGGCGGCCACCCGCGAGGTCAACATTGTGCGCTCTAGTACGGCGTCACCCGCCCACAGTATCAGCAACGCTTCGACAACATCATTCCCTCCGACGGTAGACCGATCCTCCTCTACGGACCACTCGCAGGGCATGATGCACCCAGGACATCACCACGGCATGTACGCTCCTTATCCAGGGTATGGTCCGATGGCCCAAGGTCCTGTTCCCGGCTATCCTGGCTACCCGCCAACTATGGGCGGGCCTGGCTACTACCACCAACAACACTATGCAGGCATGCCCGGCGTCCCCTTCCAATACGCACCGCCAGCCCCGCCCCCAACCCAGAGCCATACGATGTTCACGCGAAATCTCATCGGGAGTCTCACGGTCAATGCGTCTGCACTCAAGGATCTGGACGACCAGACCGGCTTTTGGTTTGTCTTGCAGGACCTGTCGGTCAGGATGGAGGGCAACTTTCGGTATGTCTGCAGCCAAGTCTATTATTATACCTCAAGCACTGACATTACATTAGCCTCAGAATGAACTTCATCGATGTCGGCGCCATGGACGGAGATGGTCTCAACAAGACCAAAGCACCAGTGCTCGCCTGGATCTACTCCGACCCGTTCCAAGTCTTCTCGGCGAAGAAGTTCCCGGGTGTTATAGAAAGCACCGATCTGAGCAAGAAGTTCGCGACGCAAGGTATCAAGATTCCCATCAGGAAGGACAACAGCAAGACGGCGGATGGGGACGACGACGCCGATTGATGGACCTCCATCTTTCATGAGCAGCATCGGCTAGCTGCCGCAGATTTGGACTCGCGCTTTGCATTATCAGCATGGACTTCGCTCCTCATCAGGACATTGGAGCATCGTTATCTTCTCCATGTTGGCTGATCGCTCGTCAGGGGTGTTCGAAAAATCCAGGGCCATTTACATTTTGAGAGAATGGGGATCGAAGTCGTCGAAGCAGGAAAGTGGTCTTGGCAATACTGCAAGTGACGGAGTAGTTCGAGCCTCCTTACACATACTGCACCGGCTGCTGGCTGACATCGTGGACTTGCAAGGAAAAGGAGGACACACCCGACAAGTGGCAGCCGTCCACCGACAAAGCTGTGGACTCTCCTGTGATTTCGAATGAGGAGGGTGTCCGCCTTGATGTTTCGCGGGACGGTTTGCTGATGCCGTGAAGCTCGTCGGTGGTTCGACGGCGTGGTTGAACACTCGGCATATTCGACGGAGCAATCGTGAGAAGGGCATGCCATGGAGAATAGTACCTTGGCTACGGAAGGAGGATCAGATCGTGTTTCTTTCGAGGCTCTTAGAAGCATAGATACAGTTACGGGTATCAGGTCTTGGGGGAAGGAGAGGCAGAACGAGCAGCATTCGGCAGATCATAGAGAACCAGGCTCTACATTTGCCTTCATAATAGCCTCTCCGCAGAGATCGCAGTCCATCTTCGAATCATCCTTACGCATGGTGGATCGGGATGGTGTCGGTCATTGAATACATTCTCACTCCATACTTCACCCCTCCCCCATCGCAACATCACCACCCCTACCACCCCCCAAGACACCCAACATCTGCCGTCTCAGCTCCTCCACATCCCCATCCGAATTCACACCCCCAGGCAACGCCTCTGCACTACTCCAAACACAAGTCCCATCAGGACTAATGACCGCAATACAACCCTCCGGCCCTCCAACTTCCCTACGAAACGCTTCAAACTCCTCCACCACCGTGCCGTCCACGCACGCCGTCGTAATCAAAGGCAATTCCCGCAACAGCGCTCGATCAGGCGTTGCGTTGGGGTTGACGTAGCCTGCCGTCACCGCCAACGCTTGCAAGGAGGGCGAGACGTGGTAGAGGGATGGGAGGACATGACTATCCCATGTTTAGCTACAACATCAATCATTTCTTCAGGTGGTAAAGAGAAGAGCGTACCATAAAGCCTGATACAGCCCATTCTGCTCCCCCACCAAACACAACACCACAAACGAACTCGTCTGGTCCAAGTTCTGGAAATTCGCCGTCACGTAGAACCGCGTGAACGCTAGATTGCTCAAGAACTTCTGCGCGTCGTATTTTAGTAAGGGTTTCGCGGTGACCGCAGCGCCTTTCTTGTTTTGCAGGCGTTTGGAGGGGAGCGATGTTGGGTTGGCTGGGGTGTAGGCGAGGGAAACGTGGGCGGTCTCGTCTTCTTCTACCCAGGCGGAGGAGCGCTTGCGGCTATGCATTTTGGGTTGCTGTTACATGTTGATAAGTCTGGTTGTGTTGTTGAAGTGTTCTATGGTTCGTTAAAGTTGGCATTATTGAGGGGGCTGGTGAGGTGCAGCGTAAGTGGAGCTTCTCGACCACAGACAGGGAAGTCGATTCGATAGACCATTCGAAAAACGTTGTACGAAACGATGTCAATTGAGAATAATGGTATGAGTCTCGTCGGATGCGGAGGACGAGCAGTCTCACCGTTCTATTTTCTGGGTATCTCTGTCTAACAATTCCCGCGCGGCGATGATCTCGGCCGCACTGTACCCGTCCCAGCCCTTTTCGCCTGAATTGCTTCTCCGTACAATTTCTGCGAGTTTTGAGGTGGCCAGCTCGTTGAGCTTCTTGACTGCGTCGACTGATGGGGGTGCCAGATCTCCTCTTACCGGGTCAGAGCTGCTCTGCTGTGGCTTCTTGCTCGTCGACAGGACTTCGAGGAGGCGGGTCGTGACCTATAGAGATAGTCAGCAACATTTCAGAGGCTTAACGTCCGATATGAAGGATATACACACCAGCTTCAACCCATAATGCCCTCTCAAGTAGTCGTCGCAAAGCTCCAAACTCCTGCAGAACCTCCTCATGCTCTCCGAAAGTATCTTCATCTGATCCCCTCCTTCTGTCCTTCCCGAAGCCAAATACAAGACCTCTCCCAGCCGTGCCTGCATGTTCCACGAGTACGGCATGATGAGCAGCACTTCCTCAAAGCTGAAGATGGCCTGATCGTACGAGCCTTGTGTCAAATACAAATCTCCCAATTCCGACCAGGCCTCCGCATCCGTAGGACTTTGATCAAGCAGATTCGTCAACGCCGTGACCGCATCGCTCGTCTTTCCCATGCTCCGAAGCACCGCTGCCCTCCGCTTCCGAATGGAGAAGATTGTGGGATCGCTCTTAAGCATCTCTTCATATTCCCTCAACACCTCCGCAAGCTCGCTTTCGTTCTTCGCGGTGGCCTCCTTGTACAGTCCCTGCAGCGCAACAACGCGGTCGTTGCCTTTGCCGAAGCGATCCGTGAGAGACTCCAGGCAGGCGTAGGCGGTGTTGTCGTCGCCGGTGCGTAAGCAAGCCAGGAAGAGGTTCTCGTATGTCTGCCATTTCTCCTGCGATTCCGTGTTTATGAAGAGGCTGAGGGGGTATGGTATCGCCGAGAGCCAGGATGATTGCGAAGTGATGAACGTGGAGGCTTGCTGGGAGAGATCGATGGCGGTTTCAGGGGAGGATTTTGAGGGTGCTTCTAGGAGAGGGTTCGCCATTGTGGCAGTGTGTGAAAGCAGTCGTTGTTATCGCATTAGCATCGTGATACAGACCGGCTCTGGGAGGTTCGTGCAATCGAGCAGAAAGTCGAGCTTGTGAATGTCGCTTTTCAGGCAGAAAGCGAGGCATCACCTCCGAGATTCACTGCTGCATCAACGTTACCACTTAAATACAACACAAGAAATTCATCAATATGAAGACAACATATCGATCGAAAGACCCGAATATACCTGACCAGTGCCGGTGATGCCTGCGTCCGCCAGTCGACTCGCCGATCTTCAGAAGAGGGTATGGACCGGCAGCATACCACTCGAGATCCGCCTTGCAGCATCAGATTGCCGAACCTACGATGAATCTGAACCATACCTGGTGCAGTGTCCGAGACTGTCGTATCTAGCTTTCTTGCTCCCCAGGCTACACGCTTTCCTGTCCCCAAGCCTCATCAACCCGGACGTCCAACCACATGATGCTTGGTTCTCCTTCGAGGACGTGCCTTTGAAGTGGCATTATCCTCTAGGATTGCTATATGATCTCTTCTCTGGAGCGGATCCTGTGACTCTCGATGGTTCAGGAGAAGCAGGTCCAATATCGCCAGGGAACACGCGCGCTTCGCCACTACCATGGCGGCTTGAGGTCCACTATACCGATTATCCAGACGATCAGCTTATTCGACTGGACGCCGATGGAAGAGCGTTGTTGGATTCCTACATCAACGCTGTCAAGGAAGCCGACTACATCAGAAACGGCACCGCCAGGATGGTGATGTCGTTGGGCAAGGATGACTCGGACAATCTGTGGCGAGCGGTGCAGCATCGTGGGTTAGAATCAACGTGGAAGACGACAACAGACTGACAACCTCTCCAGATGATCTCGCCCTCTTCAACAGTATCAACAACAAGCTGCTATACCCACCAGGAATGGAGCTACGTCATGTGCCTATGAAGATCTACCTTCCCAACTCTGCTAATCCAACGGCGTCGGACACTATCAACGAGGAGACAAGAGCTGCTGGCCACATCCGAGTCGTGCAGTCTTTGGTGCCACTTCAGCTTCCGTCGAAGCAGCCTCAGACCATGGGAACCGCGCTGAACAGCATATTGCCTGCCATCTTTCCGAGTCGAAGGAACCCGCTTCTAGCTCAGCCGGTGCTGCATGGGACGGTCGTTCCTTTAGCTGCGAACGTCGAGGAGCTCGGAAAAGCTGCTGCATATCCGGACGGCTTCCTGCATGTCGCTGTTGTTATGCTTGGGTGAAGGACACTGCAATGATTCACAGTCCAGCGCTACCATCACACAGCACGACTGAGCGCATAGCCTCCGCCTGTAAGGCATGGGTGGTCCTCCCACGGGCACAGTCCGCGACGTTCGCAAGCACTACTATGCATCCGAAAGGTGTATTTCGCCAGATGGCTGCTTGAGGAGACGGAAAGAGAACCCTGACGCAGTGCAATCTTGCAGCGCCTGCTGCAGATGCGTCAACGGCGTCTTCCACCGTCAAACACTCTGACTAACCACCGAAGGTACGACATGCTGCTCCCGGAACGTCTCAGGGGAGGCGAAGTCATACGAGAAGGCGACAAGAACGAAGATGCATTTGCTAGCTTGAGGAAGCAAGTTAAAGATCTACCGAACTCACTCTATGTCCGACAGTCCTCTATACGTGTTCTCGTTACGGGTCTGCGCTGTGAGTTCCAAGCACATTCAGACGCCTCCCGATGATGTGATTTAGCAAGGCTACGAAAATGCCTCTTGGACGATATAAGTTAGCAGTGCAGCCTGTCCGACCCGCCCTCCACCTTCCAACCTCGCTGCTTGTCTTGTTTGCCTCTCTGCAATGGAAAGTCTGAGCTGCCATGTCTAAAGTGCCTCGCCCGGGCATGCGAGAAGGTCTTGCGGACCAATCGAGATTCACGATTCCCCCATGATAAGCTCCAGCTTCCCATCAGGCCACCACCGGCAAACCGCGAGATCCAACACAAGCAGAGGTCGAGGCGCCTGCCACCACTCTCGATACGGCGGTCATGCACAGAGTCAGGGGGCTCACTCAGCCAGCCATGCGAGCACCAATAATGACCGCCAATATCATTGCAACGATCTCGGCCAGCTCGAACTATCCAGCGACTTGTACAGTCCGAGCACATCCCGACGTCAAACTCTCAGCCCAACATGCCCTGCTCAGCTGCGCGTTCTACTCATAGCAAGCACTGGTAGCGACTCTCGCGTTTATCGCCGAGGGACGTGGTGGCACGCGATAAGCTTTCCATTAAGGCCAGCAAGCTAAATTTGGCTAGCGTGAACGCCACTCCACCCCCTTTCGACTTCACCCTTCCACAACAGATTGAAATATCCGGCAGCCGAGACAAGGACTTCACCGGCTGCTTTGACACAAACGATCCAGTGGAGTCTTCCATGCCGTAGATAGCACGCGGGGGCCGTTGGTGTCCCCTTGGCAGGGCGGGCAAAGCGTGCAGCTCACGATCATTCCATCTCCTTGTAAGTACAGAGTGGTTTTCTCCTTCTTTCCAACGCTCTCGCGCGCGTACATTCCTTCGTTACAGAGCTCATCGAGCGAGTCATTCCTTTCAAAATGGTCGCTTTCAATTCAGTACCAGCCTACACGGCTTCTTTCCTTCTCAGCCTCTACTTCTCCTCAGTCCAGGCGCGTTCACCAGGCGTGTTAGAAGCCATCGAGCCGCGAGCACCCAAGGCGAACAATACTGGGCACAGCGGCGACAAGTCCGCGAGCGGTGGAGGGTCCTTCTTCAAGTTCGTGACGAGACCAGACATCGGCGCTCCCAGATGGAACATCAAGATCTTCGACGAAGAAGCTCTGGCACCTGGATACTGGTTTTTGGCGCCCTACGCGAACTTGGGACAGGTATCTTATCCGCTATGGAACGGCCCACACATCTACGACTCCTCGGGAGAGCTCATCTGGAGCGGCGCGCCCATGTTCGATCACCGAAATACGCACGACTTCAAGACGACTGTGGTGGATGATCAGCTTATGATGACTTTGATCAAGACGGACGATGTGCATGAGGCGGGCGTAATCATGGATAATACATACAACTTCCACAGTAGGGTGGACATGCGAGGTGCTCTTGCGGATGCCAACATGCACGATTTTACAGTCAGAGACAACGGCAAGCGTGCGCTGTTCATGACGCAGAAGACCGGCGAGGATTACGATGTGGATATAGGAGACTACAAGGGACCTTGCAACGTTGGTTGGCAAGGATTCCGCGAGCTGAACTTGGACAACGGGATCAATGTGTTCAAGTGGAACGCTCTGGGTCACATTCCGCTCAATGAGAGCACGAAGCTGGAGGCGTCGTTTGAAGAGATGTGCACGGACAAGAAGGATGGGTGGGACATTCTGCACTTCAATGCGGTGGACAAGTTCGACGATGGAGATTACTTGGTCTCCGCCCGGCATACGGATACGATCTACAAGATCTCACACAAGGACGGCTCGATCGTGTGGAAGCTCGGTGGCAGGCACAGCGACTTCGAGTTTCCAGACTTCCGGACAAAGTTCACCAGACAGCATCATGTCCGCTTCCACAGCCAGAACGAGACTCATCAGCTAATCACCCTGATGAATAATGCGGCCGGCCACGGGCACAGCAAGTACGAGAAGCCCAGCAGCGAGTCATCGTGGGGTCTGTTCCTGGCACTGCGAGTTGATCAGACCCCGATGACTGTCGAGCTTGTCGCTCGCTTCCAGCACCCGCTTGGAGAATTCACAACTTCCCGTGGGAGCGTGTCAATCTTGCCCAACGACAATGCGTTTGTAGGCTGGACGTACCGCTCCGTACACTCTGAGCACGCACCAGATGGAAGGCTACTGATGTATGCCGAAGCCAAGCACGAAGCCGCAAACACCTACCGCGCTTACAAACTCCCATGGGTGGGCAAGCCTTCCGCGCCACCAGATGTCCACTCCGCTGCGATGGATTTTGGCGACCAGGGCATGAGCACGATGGTGTACGTGAGCTGGAACGGCGATACCGAGACCAAGAGCTGGAACCTGCTGCACACCACTCCTTCGGGAGATGAAGCCGAGCTAATCGCCACCTCGGCCCGTCAAGGCTTCGAGACCGTGCTATCCTGGAAGGGATACGCGAAGTACGTCCAGCTCGTCGCACTGGATGCCGAAGGTAGCGAGGTTGGGAAGTCGAAAATCATCAAGACCATCCCGCCGCGCTCGCTGGAGACACTGTCCGTAGCGGACGAAGCGAAATGGCTCGAAGACCACTCCCTAACCGCCGTCAGCGACACCGTAGCCGACTCGCTCATCCTCAAACGACTTGGCTGGTTCGGCTACCCGATCGTCGCCTTCACGCTGGGCTTCATGTGCTGCGCCGTCGCCGTCGCCGCTGGCTACTTCCTCTTCCAGGCTCGTGCTAGGTCGAAGATGGAGTGGGTGAAGTGGTGGCAGCATCCGATGCCTGGGTACAAGTCCGTGTCCGGGAGTGATGACGAGGAGAAGGAGCAGTGGGATCTAGAAGACGATGAAGGGCATGAGTTGGAGCAGCCGAAGTCGAAGCATCGGATTTATGTCACGAGGCCGTCGGGTGAGGTCGGTAGGCAGGATGAAGATCGGTTGGGAAGGGGGGCTGTGAGCGGGAGAGTGCCGTTTGTGAGGCAAGTCACTGGGCCGCTTGTGACTCAGTGATGGATTGCACGTTGTTCGGGGTTGGTTTTGTGTGCTGTTGTTTAGCGGTAATGAGTATATACCACTGGGACATATGAGCGTGAGTACAACACCCTGGCCTCTCAAACCCTTGAAGCGCCGTCGTCTATGATATATACCTCGCTACAACTTCGACCCCCCTTCGTCAACTTTCCGCCTCGCTGCCATGTTCCTCTCCGAACCCACAGCGAAGCAGACATGGTTGCTCACGGCCACCAAATCGCCTTCCGGGTCCATGGCCAGGACTTCGAGATCATACCGTCCATTCTTGATCGACTTTGCCTGCAATCGGATGAACAGCCACTTTACCCCCTCCTCCGGCAACGCCTTCTTGATCTCGAGATTCAGGAGTAACGTCGGATACCACATCCTCGCCTTGTGGTTCATGATCCTCTTCTGCTCCTCCTGCGAATACCGCTTCTCGAAATCAACGCTATACGGATCCAATCCATCGAGTGTGTATTGCTCAAGAATCTGCGGAAACGTGTCGAGAATGAACCCGAGACTCTCGTTCGTGAACCGCGATCCTGGATCCCGGAATTGAAACCAGATATCCAGACACGCTGGTGAGTGCTGGCCTTGCCGTGGAAACCAGCTGCGGATCTTGCTCGCGGCTTTCCTGAACTCGGAAAAGGGCCATTCTTTTCTCTCACCCCAATTTGGATCTGTGCCTGCTTCTAGAGCGGCGAAGTCAGGAACGGGTAGTGGTTGGGGATGGAGTTGCCAGTTCGTGGAGTAAGTCACGCCTGCTTCAGTCCGGATGTTGGAGTTCGTGAAATAGCCTACGACCTCCTCCCGATCCTCCTGGGACAAAGTGACGTGCACAATAGTGGTCTGGCGGCCGAGTTTGACATCCTTGACGATGAAAGTCGCTGGGCCGGTCTGTGTTCGTCGGAGAAAGTCCAGGTGAGAGGCGATGGTGTGCGGTTGGTTTTGCTTCTTCAGGGTGGTGTCAAAGTGTTTCCGGACAACAGTGAGGAAGCATGCTGTTACATATCCTCCGTGAGGGACTGTTCCAATGACCCAGTCTGGTGCGAAGTCTGCTCGGTATGTGTGGGAGTCGACCTGCTCGCACGCTGTTGCTGCGGCGAATGGTTTGACGGCCATCTCGTCCTCTTGATGCGGTCCAGAGATGATATATTTGCTATCGGTCCATGGTCATATCGGGGTAGGTGTTCGAACGACATTGATTAGTCTGTCTCTCCCGAGGCGAATCTCGAACGACCTCGGCCTTGTGGTTGTCTCACCACCGTATTAAGTCGGAGTGAAATGCGCCACAACCGCGTGCAGCACGCGTTATGCCGTCGCTGTCGCTGACATTGAAGTTGAAGTCGGATGGAGCCTCGTGTCGGCCAGGCATTATCGAACAAATACTTCTCATAAACAGTACGATTCGGGCGAATCACGTGACCTTTACGCCTATTCATGTGAACGTTGCTGCAGATCGCTGCAGCTGCTACATCTAACTCCACCAACCTCCCCATCCTCCGCCACCCTCCCCTCAGGGTCCGAAGTTTGATACCACCGACAGTGAATATCGCCATCTCATGCGCCGACCTCTCGATCACTCCACCAACAGACTACCTCCGTCGCATACTTCCGCCTCATAGCGATCACCGAGCGCATGTTGCGCGCTTACATACACTGAAGATTCAAGGGGCAGCGAGGCCCGGTGGAGGCCATGGGGAACGTCAGCAGCAGGCAGGATGAGGGCTCCCCCCTCTACATTCGCGACCAGTCACGGTGTAAGACAGCCTTGAGAGAACGGTCGCGAGAAGGATGCGCATAAGCTGACAACATGCCCAAAGTCTCCGTCGCTGGAGCCACAGTCACGAACTCGCGCGGACAGGTGCTGCTGCGAGTCACCCCGAACGAGTACCCGGCGCATACCTTTCGGGCGCAGAAGGATCTGGGCGACGACACGCCGGTGGAATACGTCCAGGTGCGCGAGCAAGTGAACTATCAGCCTTGCGCGGACTAACAACATGCTTAGGACCCCGAGAGCACGGCAGGCGGCCCACCATCTTTTCTACTACGACTAAACAACAGCGATGAGCTAAACTTCAGCTTCAACTTCATAATAAGACAGCAGGGTCAGCCAAACGGTACGTCACAAACCAGCGAGGAGGCGGCAGCGGCAGCGGTGGACACGCAGGTGGCAGGCTTGACATACATTTTTGCTTCGAGCGCGAAGGAGGTGGAGAATCTGGTTGTTCGCGAGTTCCACTCAGATCCGAATCTGCACAAGAATCCCAACGTCGATCTGCTAGGAGACTACACGACAGGCGGCAACCCGAGCGTACAATTCACCTGGACGTGGAAGTGGCGGCCTCCGAAGGCGACAGAAGACCGCGGTGGTGGGTGGCGTAACAACTGCAGCTTCGTCGAGTACAACCAAAGAGCGCACCGGCTGGATACACTGGTGACGTTCAACTTCTGGGTACAAAACACGACTCAATACCTGTCCGCTATGCCGAGATCCCCTAAGATGGAATACAGCATGCCGCAGAGGCTTAGGGTGCCTTCTGCGCAGTCGATTGAGTCTCGTGTAAGCAACGTCAGCGACTCAGAAGGGGAGGGCAGTTACAAGGACTACAAGGAGCCGCAATCGCCGACGTTTGAAGCAATACCGGAGAATGGTCTTGGTTTGATACCGTCGATGACCGGGAATCCAGTCAAAGTGGACGTGGCTACTTGCAAGCCTGGCGAAGATCCGTCAATGAGCGAGGATGGTCCGGTGTTCCGAGCCACCATGCGATCGCTGGAGTCGAAGACGGGCAACATGCGATTACGGATGAAGAAGGTTCTTCGATCTGCGGAGGCGGCAGAAGCGGCGCAGAATGTGTGCAACAAGGCGTACGCAGACTTCATGGAATCACTGCGAGATGCCTCGGGCTCGAATGCGAATGCTGTGAAGCCTGCCCTGGATCACTACTTTGAAAAGATCGCGAAGGAGATCCAAGCCTACGAGAAGCAGAATTCGACGAACCTGAAGCAGCTCATCATCGATCCAATCAGCAAGCTCTATAACATTGAGATCAAGCAAGCAGATTTCAAGAAGCGCGAATTTGACGAGGAGAGCAAAGAGTACTATTCCTACGTCAGCAAGTACCTCGGACAGAGGAGCGAGTCGCTCAAGGAGAAGCAGAAGCAACAGAGTGACGAGAAGTACCAGTCGAAGCGGCGGACGTTCGAATTGAAACGTTTCGACTACAGCAGCTTCATTCACGATCTGCACGGCGGGCGGAAGGACCAGGAAGTCCTCTCCCAGCTCACCAAGTATGCTGATACGCAAGCGAGAGGTTACTTGACCACCGCAAAGAAGGTCGAGGACATGGTACCTCAGCTGGAAGCACTTATAGCAGAAGTGAAGGCGGCAGACCAAGACTATCAACTGCAGAGAACAGAACGTGAAGAGAAGCGGAGAGTGCTGGAGAAGAGTACGAAGCTGATCAACGAGGATGGTGTTGTGGCGCCATCGGCTCTTCAGCATAGCATGTCCCAGACGAACGGCAGTAGAGCTGCTGAGACCGACTTGGGCAGGTCTGCTAGCCTCGCAGGAGCGGCAATGATGTCACAATCGCCCCCAGGCACTGCTTCTCCTGCTGTACAAGTGCCCACCAACGGCTCGCTCAGTGCGCCCAGCGGGCCTCCCTCATCAGCGATGTCCACCAGCCCGAACAACAAGTTCAAGGGCATCCGAGACCTGGAAGAACCCAGTGGCACATTTCTGAATGGAGGCGCGCAGCGGAAAGAAGGCCTACTATGGGCTTTGAGCAGACCTGGAAGCCACGTCGACCCCAGAGGCATCAACAAAGCTGCCTGGCACAAGTTCTGGATTGTGTTGGATCAGGGCCGCCTCTCCGAATACGTGAACTGGAAGGAGAAGCTGGACCTTCACATCGACCCGATAGACCTCCGGATGGCTTCGGTACGGGAAGCTCGCAACTCTGACCGACGGTTCTGCTTTGAAGTCATCACTCCGCAGTTCACGCGTGTCTACCAGGCACCGTCAGAGGAGGACATGAAGTCGTGGATCGCCGCGATCAACAATGCACTCCAGAGCGCCTTCGAGTCTCGTAGTGCTCTTCCATCTTCTCCCTCGCCTATACCAGCCAGCTCAACGAGAAAAGACATCGCTGCTGTGCTTACCGGCAAGAGCTCATCCTTCAACGGTCACCGCCAGGCTTCCAATCCGAACCGCACGGCTGCAGCAACCGCTGTAGGAAGGCATGCCACAACTGGCGACAGATCCACGCATGCTCAGGAGCCGGCAATGTCATCTGCTCTTCTGCAGCGGATACGAAGCGCGGATGAAGGCAACAAAGTGTGTGCTGATTGTGGCGCGGAAGCCAAGGTGGATTGGTGCTCCATCAATCTCGGTGTGTTGCTGTGCATTGACTGCGGTGGCATCCATCGATCGCTCGGAACGCACATCTCGAAGGTCCGATCGCTGGTTTTGGACACTTCGGTCTTCACACCAGATCTGATCGAGATCCTGCTCTTGATCGGCAACCGCGTGAGTAACATGGTCTGGGAAGCGAAGCTCGATCGATTCCTCAAGCCGAGTGCAACCGCCACACGAGAACAACGACTCCATTTCATCACCACAAAATACAGCGACCGGACTTATGTCCAACCTCTTGCATCCTCACAAGGACCAGACGACTACCTTCTCACCAGCATCAAACGCAACGACATCCAAAGCGTGCTTCTCGCTCTTGCTCTGGGCGGAAACCCCAACTCACACGACCGATCTCGCTCCACGCATGCCCTCTACCTCGCCCTCGCAGCCGCCGACCCTGCTCTACCAGCCGGAGGCAGTGGCACGTCTTTCTCCCACAGCCCACTGAGAGGCGCATCACCAAACTCCCGACCTGGAACTCCAACCCGCAAACCCTTCCCTGTTGCTGAGCTCCTGCTGCAGAATGGCGCCGAAGTGCCGACAGAGCAAGCCCCGTTCCCGCTTTCCCAAGCAGCGAAGGAATACCTCGCATTCAAGACCTCGCAGCGACTTGGCCGAGCGCCTAATGCATCGAGGGATACAAACAGTACGACCGACCAACTCTCCGCTCTACCGACTATCACGCAAGGGCAGAGCCTATCACCCTCCAGCATCAGCGCCAAAGAGCGCGAAAGGCTGTTGAAAAGGAGTAGCGGCAGCAGACAGATCCGGCCGGACGCCATCGAGGGCTTTGCCAGGAAGTAGCGCTTCTATTCCGAGAGTCTGGTTGATACATACGCGGGCAGACCTTTGCGCGCCCTGAGGAGGCGGGGCTCGAGATTGAGTGATTACATGCTTGGCTACGATGGAATGTGCGATGAGAAGGACGATACAGAGGGCACCGAGCATGATGCGATGCGATGGAACCTGCTCTCGCGGGTAAAAGAGGGCTTGAGGCCGAGGGCGCACACGGATCCGCCGAGGATCGAGTCGCGCTTGGAGGGTAAGAAGGATTGTTGAATGGCTGTACTGTACTTATATGGGAGGAGGGCGTGATTGCGCCGGGGGTGGATTCTTCGAGCTGGATAGCTCTTCGAGCGGGAGCAGATGATAATGCGTAATGCATAATGATATGTTTGCATACTACATAACTCTCATATCCGCTTCACTTTCTTCTCACCCTCGTAGAGGCAACACATGCTGCACCAGCGCATTCTGCCTGCACAACGGACACATCGGCTGCTCCCTCAACCAATCCGTCACGCAGGTCCAGCAGAACACATGTCCGCACGTCGTCACGGACGGGTCCTTCATCGGCTCCAGACACAACGTGCATTTCCGCTGCTGCTTGCCGTCGATCCACTGCATGACCTCTCCATCATTCAAGTCATATCGATGCGGCTGCGGCATCGGTGTATGCGTGATGCGCGCCATGTGCTCCTGCTGATTCGCTGGGTCGGAACCATGATGCGTTTCGAAGAGCAGTGGAGCGGAGATGGTCTCGTCCGTGCTTATTTCCACTCCACCATCTATCACTGCGCTCCCGCCCGCTGCACCGGAGGCGTTAGAGGGTAGGTTGGTAGTCCGGACGTTGCGGAAGGTATCTTGCACGTGAAGGTAGCCTTGCACGAGCATCTGCAGGACTAGTAGAACGCCCAGGACTTCGTACCCAACGCGCTGATCGGAGTCGGTAAGTTTGCGGGTGAAGATGTAGCGCAGACCCGCGGCGCGTTTGCTGAGGGCGTAGTAGGCGCCGCTGAAGTAGAAGATGGCGAGGCTTAAGGCGTAGATGGGGGAGGGCGATGTGATAGCGTCCAGGTGTTTGAGGATGTATTCCTGGAGGTGGAAGGCCTTGGAGCGGGGCTGTTTGCTGCGAGTGGGGGATGACGCGCGCCGGCGGTGTTCGCGTTGAAGGGTTGATTCCAGTTTAGCTCGTAAACGACGGCGGAAGGCGGGCAGGAATCGGGAGAGGAGGTATGGAAGCAGCACGCTCGAGAGGATGTAGCCTGATCGCCGGATGAGCGAGGGGAGGCGGTGCGTGTTGTCTTCGACTTGAACGATGTCGGTATACTCCTCGCCCAACGTTCGGTTGCCCACGAACGTGGTGAGGCCCAGGTAGAGTAGCTCCGTGAACGTCCTGGCTTCGGCGTTCCAGCTATGTGCGGTTCGAGCGCCATACAATGACCTCACCACTCCTTCCAGACGGGATAGGAGGACGGATTGGAAGTAGGCGTCCTTTTGATGCGCGCGGATGATGTCTGGTGCTGCTGCGAAGGGGTATGAGAATGACTGCTCGGTTCCTCCCAGGCCGGCATTGCCAGTATCGCGTACGTAGTCCGACATCTCGTCACCTGCTCGGAGGAGTCTGATGGCTATTTCGGACTTCAGCGAGCGTTGGCGGACCATTCTCTGGACATCTTTAGAGATGAAGTCGCGTTCGTGAGATGTCTAAGGTCCAGCAAAAGCCGAGGGTCACCAGGAATGGCTAGCTCGTCACATGACTCGCTACCCCAACCCTAATCTTCTGCTATTACTATCACATGCGCTGCACTATTGGCCATGTGAGAACCTAGCCAGAAAGACCATGGTGACCAGCGATAGAGGTTGGTATTGCTGTCGAGATATGTCAAGTATTTGTCAACTTGGAACGTCCTTAGAATGCGTTTGGCGAGCGTTCGAGACTCCAATATGCTTTTCGTAGGCTTTTCTACGAAGTTGGAGGCGAAACAAGTCACATGAACCACGCCAAAACCTTCAACTCAAGACGTGGCAAAGGAGAACAGGAATAATCGCCACTGAGGCCGCGCAGAACCGTGAGAGTTGACAGTCCTCGCAGGCACTCCATTCATTCTTCAATAGCATTGGGTATCATTCATAAACCTGACTCTCCCTCGCCAGCTCCAAACCCACCCCGACTTGCCTCCCTTCAATGCAGCTCGCCGGCCTTCATATCATAACTCTCATACATCGTCCGTCGAGTGCGCCTCCACCAGCTTCGGGATGTCCTCCGGCTTGTTGTTTCCTTCCAGTATGTTGTACACCGCCTCGAACAGCGGGAACTCCTTCTCCATCGCCATCGCCTTCAAAAAGCTATGCACCTCATACGCCGTACTCGTCCCCTGCAGTTTTTGTCCGTTCAGCTCCCTCTCCTCGATCTCCCCAATCGGCTTGCCCTCCTTGACCGCCATCTTCGCACAGCGGAAGTTCCTGCCTCCGCTACAACTCGTGATAATGTCCGCGACACCGCAGCTCTCTTCTGTGAACGTCTCACTGCGGCAAGTGTGCGAGAAGAACTGCATGCCGAACTTGACTTCTTCCAGGATCCCGATGCGGATGACAGCGGACTTGGCGTTGTCGCCCCAGCCGAGACCGTCAACGAAGCCAGCGGCGAGAGCGACGATGTTTTTGAGGGCGCCGCCAAGAGACACACCAGCTACGTCCTTGACCATCCGGACGTGGAAGTAAGGACGGTGGAAGAGGGTGCGGACGTTGGCGTGGTTGAGAGGTGGGTACTCAGCAGGCAGCGCGGCGAGTTTCATGGATTTCGATTCAGACTTCTGGAGCGATGGGAGATCGGCGGAGGATGCTGAAGGAGAGCCAGCTGGCGTTGGCTGCTTAGAGTCCATAGCAGGCGGGTCATACGCAATGGTCGTCTCGCACCATTTCTCAAGAGCGACTTCGTTGGCGATGTTGGCCCCGCTCAACGCTCCGCAGTAGATGTTCAGCTTCTTGCCGATGCTCTCGGAGAAGAGCTCGCAGCCTTGATCCGAGACCGAGACACCTTTAATACAGCTGATGCCGCGGGCGTAGGGAATCACCTTCCCGCGAAGGCCGTCGCACACCCGGCCGATGAATTGATGCGGGAGGTTGAAGATGAGGATTGTGGAGCCCTTGACTGTGTCGGCGACATCAGGGTTGGCGACAATGTTCTTGGGCAGAGCAATGCCTGGCAGATACTTGACGTTCTCGTGCAGGCCATTGATGAGCTGGGTGAGCTTCTGTGGTTTCGTGGAGAGCGCAGAGCCAGCATCGTAGTGCTTGCTGTCCTTGGGTATCTGGTAGTCCTCCTCGTACACCCACATTTGTATCTCTTGCTCGAATAGGTCGCTGTGCGCTTGCACATTCTCGGCCACAACTTTTGCAATGGTTGTTCCCCAGTTCCCCGATCCCACCACGGCCACCTTGTGCTTCTTCGAGTGGATCGAGAGGCTCGCCATGTTGCTGTGTTTTCTACCGAGTGGCTGGATTGCTTCCGCGACGGTCTTCGTCTCGCGCTTCTTGTCTGTCTCTTCCAAGGTTCGTGTCGAAGGAAAGCTGGGTGAAGAGAGAAAGGTTTGGCGAGAATGGTTGAATACAAGTCTTATGGAAGCGTTACCAAACGTCGGACTGGCTTTGAACACCCTTGACAACGAGGAAAGAGCGGACTGCACCAACATGTATGTGAAGGAAGGAGCGACTGGAGTCAACAATCACATGCAATGAATTGTATACGCCCAACCTTTTTGAAGCTCTCAACCTCACGTCATTGGCCTCGGTCCGGACGTGCTCTTCAACATCACCTCCTCTGATATTTATACATTTGTCACTTTCAAAGAGGTGCCACTGCAAGAAAGAAGAGCTCGATTCTGAGCACCATGTGTATACACTGCTAATCAATGCCGCCTACTTTACTCCGGCCCATTGCAGTTGCAGCCCACGTCGTTGTAGTAGTCCACTGGACTTTCTCCTCCGGGAACCTGCATCTGTCTCGACATGTTGCAGCAGAAGTTACCATTTTCGCAGTAACACAAAGTCGATTCCGACCGCTCTGGCATGCGCCTTAGATTGCAGTAGACACCATATTGCCGCCTGTGCATCCAAACATCGCTGGCGATGGAACAACAACCAACACGCGCGGTTTCGAGCTCCACCTTCGGACTACCATTTCTGTCGACCATGAGCCAACCTGACGCATCTCCTTGTCGTGGATATTCCTTATGGTGTAATTGATGCGTGATGCTGCTGAGCAGAACTACGCCGGCCTTCGGAGTGGTAAGTCCTGGAGGTCGAGCGGCCGTGATGGTGAGAGATATAAGATCAGACTGCTCCGGCTGCTTGGACGAGACCAACGCATCCATCCATCCAACCATCGAAACGCTCCAACATCACGATCATTCCCACCAACAACGATGCATGTTTCACTCCCCGTTGTCCGACGCCTCGGTCTGTCGATGCAGGTCATGCCAGCTCTGGCTGCGACGGTAATGAACCCATGGCCAGAAGCCTACCATCTCTAAGACTTTTGCTGACGCTTTCTCCCTCCTCCAGGTCGAACTCAAGGCCACTGCAAACCCAGCCAACCCAGAGCAAGACCGATGCTACGCCATTGTCACCGACCTCAACGGATGCAGCGGCACCAGTGAACCGTTCTGCTCAAACCTGCTGGGTCTCGCCGACGGATGCGGAAGCTGCAATGGGGTGAAGGGCAAGGAGATTTGCGGTTCTGCAGCCGTGGAAATGAACTTCGACACGGGCGAGTTCAGATTTGAGAATGGTCTTCCCGACGGAAGTGCGTCTTGCAACATTGATCCGTTCGGCGGCACTTGTACGATTTGAACAACGGTAAGGCGGATTTGCTCGTGTATGGTCTGTCCAGGTCAGCTAAGATGGTACAGTAATGGCAGCTCTGAAAAATGACAGTGTGGTGAAACAGTAGCATGGAAGTGGTGGTGTAGTAGAAGAAAGGGTAGGAGTAGCAATAGCTACTGGCACATGCAGCCTATCCATAGCAGAACCTCAATACTTACCGTCCACATGACGGACAGTCTGGTGCCCTCCCGCTTTCTGAGGTTGTGGTAGGTTTCAAGATCCACTGGAGAGTCTCCTGCAGTACCGAGTGCTGCGAGAGCTGACTGCCCAAGGACGCCAGCTGCAAGATGAAACGGAGTGCTTCACGCTCATTATTCCACTTACAACGCAGGGCACCATTCGTACATTCTTTGATATGCTGTCTTGGACGATGAGGTCCAGCAGGATGCAGTGCTCACCTCGAAGGTAAAAGCTTATCATCTGGCGCACGGCTCGGCCCACGAGTCTAGATGGACGTGGCTTGCGCCGACGATACGTCTTTCCGTCTCGTCGACTCCAGTAGATGACCGTGTAGATAATAACAAAGGCGTAGGGCCTTACGAGGCGACGCTGTCCCACCGTGTAACTCGACACCGAATACGTGGAGGCACCATGGGTCTCGGGATCCTGGAGGACAAACATCTCCAACATGTTCCAGGTAGCATTCCATAGCCAGAGTACTACGCGCGCAGTACTGATTGATGCGCAGGCACGGCCACACTCGATGACCTCGACCCACTGTCCTCTGCTCCCCGTCACAACAACGTAAAGCATAGCAAAGACGGAACTGTACTCGTCCCTCAGCCCAGCGATGACCCGAACGACCCCCTCAACTGGCCGCTCTGGCGACGAGATGTCATCACCCTTATCCTCTGCCTCCTGTCTGTCATCGCGTCGACGCTGTCGCCCTTGCTCGCCGCCAACACCCTGACACTGACGCTGTACTTCGAGCGAGGATTCACAGACATTGCCCTTCTGACGGGCTGGCATTTGCTGGGAGTAGGCATATCAGGCTTCATCTTCGTCGCCAGCGCAAGAGTCTTTGGCAAGCGCCATCTATACCTCCTCGGGACCATCATAATCGTGATAAGCTCAGCATGGGGCGGCGCAAGCAACCACAACTATAAGTCGTTGGTCGCGGCGCGAGTCTTCCAGGGTGTGGGACTGGCTCCGTTCGAAGCTCTGGTCAACGCCAGCGTGGGCGACCTGTATTTTGTCCATGAGCGCGGCAAGCGCATGGCCCTCAGCAATCTGAGCTTATTTGGCGGAGCCTTCTTTACGCCCGTCATCGTGGGCAAGATGACCAGCACGCTCGGCTGGCAGTGGACGTTCTACTTCATCGCCATCTTCGCCGCCGCCATGCTGCCTCTGGTCATCTTCTACGTCCCGGAAACAGCTTTCGTCCGAGACTCCCACTTCAACACCGACATCACCCACCGTGAAGACATCCAGTTCCCGAAGGAGGACACCGAACTCCACCCTCCCAATTCTTCTGGCAGCGAGTTCTATCCTCATCAACCACATGCCGCCCCTCCTGTCATCTCACGCCAAAATCTTCGCATCTTCACCGGACTCAAGACGGACGAGAACTTCTTTCAGCTCCTCCTTCGTCCCTTCCCGCTCTTCTTCCATCCCGGCATCCTCTGGGCTTGCCTAATCCAAGGCACGCTCATCGGCTGGACTGTCCTGATCGGCATCGTGCTTGCCGCCATCATGCTCGGTCCACCCCTCTTCTTCAACGAAGTCAAGACCGGCTACATGTACACAGGCGCGTTCATCGGAGCTCTGATCGGCTTCGCCCTCGCTGGCGTTCTGGCTGACCGGTCCGCTCGCTACCTCACCAAGCGCAACGCAGGCGTATACGAGCCGGAGTTCAGGATGATCCTCGTCATCCCACAGCTCATCCTCGGCTGCGCGGGACTGTACGGCTTCGGTATTACGGCCGCGGATACGGCGCGGTATGGCTGGTTCTGGCCTGATTTCTTCTTTGCGCTCGAGGTGGCCGGTATGGTGCTGGGTGCTGTCGCCAGCGCGCTGTACGTGGTAGATGCGCATCGGGACATCGCGGTGGAGGCCTTTACCTGCCTGCTGGTTTTCAAAAACATTTTCAGCTTTGGTTTGACCTGGAGTGGGTTCGGGTGGTTGAACCATAGCGGGATCAAGCCGGTGTTCTATGGCGTGGCGAGCGTGCAGGTCGGGGTGTGTTGTTTGACGGTCCTGATGTGTGAGTACATGTGTCTCCTTGCTGTGATGTTGCTGTGGTATAGAGTTGAAAGAGCGCTGCTTACCTCGAGTGTTGCGCAGATATATACGGGAAGCGAAACCGGTCTTTCTTCGCGCGGCACGATATCCTCCGTATGCTGTACTTGCGATAGCCTGTATAGATTACTGTTACGATCCGAGCACCACGAGAACGGACTCACCGTGCCAAAAGACCTCCGCGTCGTGCTGCTTGCCTGTCGAGACAGATAGGCTTGTCTGTCACAAGCAGATGAAGTGAAGTCGAGCACACGACGGTCGGCGCAACCCCGGCTGCCGTCAAAAAACTAATATGTTAACTCTTCAGAATCCTGCATTCCGTCAACAGGGCACAGGCCGGGCGTTGCTCACCGAGCTTCTGGTCAATGGTACACCCTTCCCCGTGGACACGACCGATCGATTTCAATCAAATTTCGACAAGGGTCAGGCCGGGCGTGGCTTACCCGTTAAGCTTCTGGTCAATGGTATCCCCTCCACCTCTGTCGTTCTAATCAAACATCAACAACAGGTATGCTTGGCGTGCCCCTCGAGGGGTTTGGATCAATGGCGTACTTGCGACCGATTATCGATCCGATTCCTGCACCGAGCTTATTCGACGCACCGAGCAGATGAACCCAACCGCGATCCGAGGGTTTCGACAACGATGACGACAGAGAGATGTAGCCTGCCCGGGGGTGAACTCTTTGGATGTTTTGGTGTATCGTTTTTTTGGTATTGTGGTGTGAGGGAGTGGTAGGAGATTGTCATTTTGCTGCGCTGGAGGTCTTGTGTCTCGGTAGCCTGCCTTTTGTAGCAGAGCAGAGCGATCCTGGAAAAGCAAGGTACTTGTACCTTATGAGCGGATGGGCGATGGATGTGTGGGCGCTACAGCAAGACTACAGCATCTCCCGTTGTAACTGGAGAGTAATCTCTAAGCACAGGAGCATGCTTAATGCCTAGCCATGGAGCCTAGAGCATACCACGAATCAAGAAGTTAGGCTCAAGATCAGCACTTCACGTAGAGTTAGAGGACAGGAGGGTGGATATTGAGTGGACGTGATGAATAAGTTTTGGTAGATTGAAGAAAGCTGTGTACATCAAAACAACATGGTATCATCTAACACCCCCCAACACCCATCGCTGTGCCCCAGACATCAAAGGTCATCCACAAACAAAAGAATCCATCAACCCTGTCACCGGTTAAAGTACCCCGGCGACTGCATCGACTGATACTGCGGCTGCACTCCAGGACTTAAGGGCGCTTCAGGAATCGCCACCTCCTCGTACACCTGCTCGCCCGGCGCCGCCTGGAAGTGGCCAGCGTGCGTTTCACGCGGGACCTCCGACATGAGCGGTGAGCGCTGCTCTCCTTCCGAGGGCGAGGGTGTGCGCACGGCGGTTGTTGTTTGTTGCACTGGTGTGAAGCCGGTTTGCTCCATTTTGGGCGTTGCGCCGGAGATCTTGATCGGTGGTGGTTGCAGGCGGAAGGGTGCGGGTTGTTGCTTCTGGCTCGCGTCAACGTATTGCGTGTTGCCGGACTCGACGTCGGGACTTTGGGCGTAATAGTCGGCTGGTGGTTGCCAGCCGCCCTCCCGCGCGCTGTAGGGTGCCAGACCAGGTGTGTTGGGCGCTGATTGCGAGCGTAGCTGGGCGAGGTAGAGGTCTGATCGGGCGCGGTCGCGGTTGGCCATGGACTTGCGGAGCTGGCGTTTCGAGTAGAAGCGGTAGAAGACGATGCCGTAGACGACAATGGTGATGGTCTCGACCACGATCTCGATAATGGCACAGACGAGCGACCAGTTCTGCATGCGGCAGATGAGTTCGTAATCCACCTCATTCTGGAACAAGGTCTTGCGAGTGTTGTCCTTACACGCCCAGCCCCACATGTCTTGCCCATCTGAGTTGGATCTCGAGCCTTGAATGACGCCGGCACCGATACCCCATAGCACGATGCTGAAGACGAAGAAGGCGACGGCGAAGGCGGTGTAGTAGACTGCGGCTTTCTCTGCTCGCTTGTGGCCCCCCTTGAAGTAGGCGTAGAAGATGATGATGGAGCAGACCAAGGAGAAACAGGCGATGCAGAGGAGGGTCACTTGCGGCCAGATCTTTTGGTCAGGTGCCCAAGGAGGGAAGGAATTTCGTGTGGGTAGTGCCCGTGATGCGTTGAAGATTGTGAAGGTCGCTGAAAGCATGGCGAGCACGATGAGGGAGCAGGAGAAGTTGACGCCACGCAGCAGCATCTTTGCCATCCGTACTTTGGTTTTGATGGCCTGTAGTAGCTGTTAGTATGTAGTGCGCCGAAGTAGGTGGAAGCTTACTGACCAAGTCTTTCGCTTGCTGCTTCTCTGTGAACTTGTCCTCCTTCTCGAGCACCTCTTCCTGTGTGAATCTAGGCGTGAATGGTACATTGCCAAAATCTCTAGGTGCAGCACCAGGCGTCTTCATGGCGCTCTTCAACGGGCTTTTGAGAGGTGACTTGGGGTAGTCTGGGTTCTCGGTGTCCGGCATCTCAACAGACTCATGCTTGTTGACGTAGCCGAAGCCAACGTCTGAGGGCTGTGGTTGCGCCATGTAGTGGTTTGAAGGTGGGTCGACAAATGGGTTCCTGCCCGTCTTGCCAGGCTCAATCGGTGAGCAGACCGCAGTCGCTTCTGCGAATCGCGCTGCCCTCGGCGACTTTAGTGAAGCTGCTTTCGTTGATAGTGTTCCGTTCGACGAGTCTGCGGAGGATGCGCGAGGCCGAGTAGATACTGATACTGTCTTGGCCCGTTTCTCTGAGTAATCTGGCATGGCGTCAGAAATGGGTTAATGCTGATCGTCAGCGGAGGCGGCTCTGTTGATCCTCTGGGGCTGAGAGAATGTAGCGAGAGACCAGCTCCGTGATGTTGTTGAAGGAAAGATGAACAAGTAAGAATACTCGACAGAGTTGAAGACAGAGACCAGCTGTGCACGAGAGTGAAAGTAGATATTGTCGAGTGGAAGTGGGTAGGGTGCGGTATTGAAGTGATTCGGCGCTTCGCACAGACAGCTCAAGATTGGCCGGCCGCGTGGAGTCGGTCGTGTCACGATCAGGATAGAAGCACCAGGCTACCAGTTCGGCGGGACGAGAAGAGGCAAAAGAAAACAACGTGCGAGAGACTGACCTTCTTGAACCGCCAGGCGCTTCCAGCGTGTCGCTGTCGCTGTGGTGTCGAGCAGCTGTGATAGGTTGGTCAAGTCATGAGGTCTGGCCCGAAAATAGACGCCAGCTCCAGACGCACGCGGGGTGGACTCGGTGGAGGGAGGGTCTGCAGGGGCTTTATTTTCGTTCCGATCGACAGAAGAGGTCGCGCAGGTGGACCCGCGGTGGAAGGGAGAGGCAGAGCTCGAGAAGGAAACAGGAATGACAGTGGATGTGGAAGAAGAGGTGTCGTTGCGCAATGGAAGGATGAGAAGAGAGCGCAGTCAGACCATGCCGTCTTTGGGAGGCGTCCGTGTCCTCTCGCCGATGAGAACAGGCACTTTGATGGCGAATTTGGGCAGCGCGCCAAAGGTGCTGGGACTGGCACGCAGCTGAGAGTGTTCAAGGATGTGCCCACTCTGCCGTGACCAGTCGGCCTGCAGGCGAGCGCTGTCCATTGCCGTTGCAGCCACCAGATGCTAGCCTGGCGAATCACATCCTCAAAGCCACTCAAGACGTCTCGAGGGAGTCAACGGGCGCTTAGCAGCAGGAACCTCGAGGATGGCCGTCGGATAGCCGGATCACATGATGATTTTGTAGAAAGCTGTCTGTCATGCTTTTCCGGGTGCATAAATGGTGTTTAGATGAAAGATATGGCAGTTGTGAAGTCGTTGTAGGAGAAGAAGAGTGAAGGTGTTGTCGCTGGAGAAAGGTCTCGATTCGGAAGGAGCCTCCGGCTTGAGCAAGTGGACCGACTTCTTGGGGTCAGCACTTTATCACTTCTTTTCATCCTTCAATCTCAGACAACAACCACGAGTTTAGTCGTGAAGCAGCACCAGAGCGGCGTTATGTCTTCGAAGGCCGAAAAGACGGCTCTAGAGTCTTCCAACAGCATTTCGAAACGGTGGTGTACGGAGGCAAGCATCGAAACATTCCATTAAAGCCATGCCATCTACAGCATACTATCTCTCCCCCGATAATTATCCATAACCTCATCATAAAACCCATAGAATCTCGTATCTCTTACATCCTTCCCTTCACTGGAGTCGGGTGCACTCAATCGCGCAGCTGGAGCACTTCCTTTCCGCCAGAACCCCCGTGGACGGACGTACGCCGTGTTGGTGTTGGCTGGAGACATAGCGACCGACTTTGAGCGGCGATGGTCCGTCCTGACAGAGGCTGGAACTTCCTGGCGAGGCATGGAGGAGTCTTGATACCGATCCCTTGATCCTAGCGAACGCTGGCGTGCCTCCATTGCCTCTGGAAACTGCGGCTTCTCGTCTCCCGTATCCGAATATATGCTCGCTTGGCGATCAGCTTCCGGCCGATGAGTGAGGGCAGGAAGCGGCTTGCCATGTGTGAACCAAGACCCACGTGGCGGCTGTCCATGCTTGAACCACGATTCTGATGGCGGGCTATCATCATCCTCATCGTCGTCTGCGAACGGCTTTCCAGGATCCTCATAAATGGTTCGCCGGATACGTACCAGCTTCCTCTTCCCAGGCAGCCTCATATACTCGTCTTTGGGCGTCTGACCGTCTGGCCACGTCGATCTTCCTTGCTGGTGCGACCATGATCCGGTGAATAAGTCCCCTTCATCTGGGTGGTGGTCAGTTCGAGAACTGGATTATCGTATGGGGAAGAAGGATTGAGGCTCGGAAAACGCTGATGCGGAAGAGATTGTATTTTATTACATCAAGAAACTGGACTTACCTCTCCCCTACCAGGACGAAACAACTTACCTCTCGCACCCCTCAAGCTTAGAAGAAATTCCCAGCCGGCTTACCTTTGACCTTCTCCCCATTCACCTTCATATCCTTCTCATGGCACTCCTTGCACATCCCGCGGATCAAATGATCCCAAGTCGGCTTGTCGCATACCTCGCAAGAGTTCATGGCACCTGGAGGAGCACTGTCAGTCATGCCGGGGCTCATATCACTCCCCGCCGTGCCCGTGCGGCCGCGGTTCTTGATGGAATCCGTCATGATGGAGAGGCTGAACGCGACCCTCTCGGACGCGCTCAGGTCGCTCGGACGGGCCTTGGTCGGGGTGCTGGGCTCACCTGTCAGCGAGTCGCGCTTGCCGTGGCGCCACGTTGTGCGCTCGCTGCGGTCCATCTTGACGATGTCGGACATCTCCTTGACGCTGCCGGAGAAGCGGCGGCCGAAGCTCCGGATGCTGCTGGTCACGCTGCTGATCGAGTCGGAGCGCTTGGCTTTGGGCCTAGGGCTTTGGGGTAGATCGAAGAGCGGTGCGTGGGCCAGGTCGTCTTTGGCTGTTACTGTGATAGGGGCCCATGAGCTGTCCTCCCCCAGGTGCTCCTCAAACTTGGACTTCCTGGGGGTTGGCTTTTCGTCAGCAACGGTCTGCTTAGGCTCAGCGAGTGGCGCTGGCTTGCGGTTGATAACGGGAACTGCCTCTGTCTTCGAGGGGCCCGTCTTCTTGGGGACTGGCATACCTCTGGCGTTGTCCAACTTGATGCTGGCCGGAAGAGGGGTGGATGAAGATGCCGGACTGTCGTTCTTCCTGCCAATGCCGTAATGCCTTTCCATGTTATTCAAATCCTCCGCGCGGCCGGTGACCTCTTCTGGTTCTGGCCAGTAAGGCATGTTGATGGTACTCACCTGGGAGTGTTGTGGAGTGCTGTATATGTATTTTGTGTTATTGAGATGGATGGGTGAAGCCTGCACCGGAAACAGATGTGTTATGCGGACAATGAACAATGACCAAAGACGATCGAAGCAGGAGCGGCAACGAGGCTCTCTTATGCACGTCGAGGCGGAATTCACAAAGACCAGACCAGACAAAGTCAAGTTGAAAGAAGTCTTGTATAGCAGATTGAAACAATTCCAAGACCTTGTCTTCGGTGGCTATGTTTAGAAGTCTTCGAGAAAGGTCTTTGTTGGTTAACAATGTATTCATGGACGGACTATGTCGAGAGAACTGAGCGAAAGACGCCACCCCATGCAACGCCGGACACCACAGCCGTGACAAATGGAAGTATACCAATATCTGGTAGCTGCTCAAAGGCCTCGAGAGCCCGAGCTCAGAAGAAGTCTCAACGACACGTTCATGGCTTCTGATGGGATGTCAGTGATGATCAAACAATAGTATCCGTTGTACGTACACTCTGCCAACTCATTATGTATTAAAGGTTTTAAGGTTATAAGAGGAAGGCGAAGATGGCAACGACGAATGCCAGGAAGGTGGAAGAGAACAAGGCAATCGAGCTGGCGCCAGACGCAGGGACGATGCCGGTCGTGTTGCCGTAGTTGATGCCTGGTGGTGGAACGCCGCCGGTCGATGTAGCGCGGCACTGTGGTCCAGGGCAGCTGCCAGCCATGCCTGAAGTCGGGGTCGGGTATGGTGGTGCCATTGGTGCAGAGCCTGGAGCGGACCCGCCGGGCATCGATGAGCCACCGCAGTCTTCGCCGTCGCATTCGGGAGTTGATCCGCCTGGAGTCGAGCCGCCTGGAGTAGAACCACCTGGAGTCGATCCGCCTGGAGTTGAGCTACCAGGAGTAGAACCGCCAGGGGTAGAACCGCCAGGAGTCGAGCCGCCTGGCGGGGAGCCGCCACAATCCTCGCCATCGCACTGAGCCGGGGGACGAGCTGCGCCACCTGGAGGAGATCCGCCAGACGATGATGAGCCGCCGCAGTCCTCGCCATCACACTCCGCTGGTGGAGAGCTTGAACCGCCAGTTGGGGTGGCCGGGCTGCTGCCAGGTGCGGTCGGTTTGGGTGTTGGTGGGCCAGGCTGGCCTTCGTGCGCCTCGCATCCGCAGGGTTCGGTGACGGTGACCATGGAAGTCGACTCGCCGCAGACGTTGCACTCCTTGGTCGTGACCGTGTAGCCTTGAGGAATATGGCTGGGGCCTGGGGTCCAGGTTGGCTCGGGTTCGGTGCAGCTTTCCGTGATAGTGTACGTCTGTGGTACCATGCCGGTCGGACACAGCGACATGTATGTGGTAGTGTACGTCGTGGTGTAGCCGGGGCCGGCGGGGCCTGCTGGCTTCGACGTATGTTGACATTCTGGGCAGTATGTAACAGTGACTCCTTCCGTCACGGTGATTAGCGTCTCCATGGAAGAGCTGGGGCAGTCCGAGTACGTGACCGTGGTGTATGACACTTGATCAGGTCCCGATTCTTGAGTGCGTGTGGCTGCCTTGGTGCGAGATCTGGTGGCCTCCCTCGTTCGAGTGCGTTCCCTCGTGCGAGTGCGAGTCGGTCCTCCTCCATACGCGCCTTGAGCCTCTGGCTCTGCGAACGCAACGGCCGCCAACGCAGCCGTCACGAGGGTGGCGGTGAGCTTCATTGTGTTGATGAGATATTAAAGGTTATGGTAGAGTTGTATGGTGCTGAACGAGTGACTGGGGGTGAAGTTGCAAACAATAACTGTTTCTTAGAAGATCGAACGAGTGAGATCCTCCAGAAGCAGCTGTTGGTTGAGAAAGCTTAAGAAAGGCGGAGAAATGGAGTTCACCGACCTTATAGGATGACCTGTTTGCGTTGGCAATGTTGTTGATACTGCTGCATTCCGAGGGTATATTGCTTGGCTTGGGCCATGCCTCATTCCTCCGCACGGCAACAAACAGCTGGAATCGGACAAGTCCGCAATCACAACGATTTGTGTGCGAATTTCTTACCGCGCATCTCATTTTAAACGATTAATCATGTGCCGTCCTGAGCATGTATAAAACGGGTCTTCGTGTGGTCGAGCTTGGCTCGAAAAGTCTGGCCAGATCCTCCAGACGGTTTGAACCGCATGTGTTCTTCTGATGGTACTTGATGGCTCAAGTATGGCCACCATGGCCGTCCAGTCATGCGTATCACATCCTAAGAGTCTCCCGTTTCATGAGCACACCGCTGCAAGGACGAACGCTGTTCTCTAGTGGACCAGCCAGTCTTCAACGGCCCAGATTGCAGCCATTCTTCGTGCAACGTCTTCGTCTTGCTGAAAACACCACATTTTGAACCATGTGGTTTACCTGCTGAGCAATCAACTGCCTGTTCCTTCGTGGGACTGGACGTGGATTCGCAAGCGGTACTTTGATCCCAAGCGAAGTTACCATAGCGCCGGGTCCGACTTTGAATGTCGAACGTCTCCGGAGATTTGCATACCAGTGGCGGCTGTTTGCAACGTTTGCGGAGCGCCCGGGCCACCATGATGGGTCGACAGTCCAACAGGTCACGTTCACTATTGCGATTGGAAACCGGACGCACGTAGCGGATCGTTCGCAAGCAGATCAAAATTATGGGAGCCATGTTGCACAACTGGCCACACAGCGTGAGGTGATCACAGGCTGGAAGGTGATGCAAGCGCTTGCGTCGTGAAAGGAGTCTGACGCCTCAAAGTCGAACATGCGATAGTTGTACTCCAGTAGTACCCAATCCATGCCCGCCAGATCCGGAAGGCCATGCCGTGCAAGGCTTTGCAGTTTGTGTCTCCTTGACTTCTATTAGCTGTACACCGCTGAGGTCCAGTCAAGTCTCTCCAAGGGGACCACGGCCGCTCAGCCTGCGTGAGATGAGCGCCATTAGTTGTCACCGGATCCATGGAGATCAGCTAGTTGTACGCGGTCCACGACCCATAAGCGGAAGCCTCGCACAAAGGACTCTTGCCTGGCCACGATCGCATCGGCCTTTCTGAGGGTGGCTTCTTCTTGCGTCGCAGGACCACTATGACCTCTGGTTCCGTAGCCGAAATTTGCAAAGCCAGGGGCGGTCGAGATCTGGATCACTCTTCCTCACAGTCTATCCTGGAGGCAATGGGAATGGATGGAGCTGTCGAGGCCACCCCAGAGCTGCTGGTGCACACTGGTTCTCCTGCCTTTGGGTTTGGGTGCTGTCAAAGTAGCGCGAAGTGCCGGAACACGATTGCCTCAGTCGCCGCACGACCATAGAGGACGTCCGATGTATCTTCCCACGAGCATGCAAGATGCGATGGTGAAGGAGAGTCGAACAGTTGCGAGAGCTTTGATTTGGAGACGACGCGCTTATTGGCTCGGGAAGTCCCGCCGCTAGCTCACGTTCAAAAATGGCGAGGTTTTGAGCGAGGTCTTCAAGTTTCGTTTTTCGCGGAGAAGAGGCGCTCGACAGCTTGTCGACTCTGACGGCAGGTTACCAGAAGAACTGACGGCACCTTGACTAACTTTTGACAAATGTCTGCTTTTGCACTCGTTTCTCATCGGGCGCATGTTCGAGGCCAATTGGTGGTTGACTCGATACCGCGACTACAACAAATGCTATCATTCCTGAACTGATCTTTGAGAACAACAGCTCATGTCCATCTCATATCAAGATTTTGAAGAGGCCTGCGAGGTGCTTTGCAAGGCATGGAACAATGCCTCCGGGAATGGCGAGGAAGTCATGATCTTGCAAAGTGTACGCCATCGACCGCCTTGCCTAAACGATCGACGGGCTGATTCGCGACAGTGCGGCTTAAAACACATCCACATCGCGAAACCCGTCGACAAAAAGGAAGACCATCGAGAAGCAAACGAAGATGAATATGGCGAAGATCTGGAGAGAGTCGTCAACGAAGAGGATGCTGAGGCTTTGATTCGTACGTCGCACGACAAGCAGGGTCCTACGGCGCTGTATGACATTGTCCACTCTCCATCGTACCAGGTGGCTGTTCTGTACGTCCAGCTCAGGGACCACACCAAAGGGATACCGAATGGAATGCCCTCGCCGGATGAAATGTACGACGCCCTGGTCCCTGCCGCGTACCGAGCACAGCTGGAAGCTGTAGGTGTGATGGGCGCCCTGAGCATGACGGAGCATCCCATCAGCGGCATGCCGACATATTTCATCCACCCCTGCAGAACTGCGGAGGCTATGAACGATCTCATGAAGTGCAAGGGTGCGGCGAAGCCAGCAGAGTATATTTTGCTGTGGCTCGGTTTGGTAGGCCCCAGCGTTGGCCTCACGGTCCCAGTCGACGTTGCAAAGTTGATTAGGCAGGAATCATGATGGCATCGAATCGGAGCAAGCTTTGATACGTCAGAAATGAAGACTCGTTGGCCGCTGGAGAATGATCATACCTACCCAGTCCCTTAATAGCCATGAGTCCCGCGCAGCGGGCGTGACTGTGACGAATGCCTCCATAATATCGTGAAGATAGTGCCCCCGCGCTTTCATGATGCTTCTTGTGGCGTCCCAGAAATGTGCCAAGGTTCATGCCCATCCACCTCACTCGCTATCGCTCTCACTCATCTCCATTGCGCCCTCGTCGTCGTCACTGCCCTCTTCATCGCTCTCTTCTCTGTCCCTCTTGACGCCTTGTGGGCTTGGGGCACCTTGCGCTGCCGCTTGGGCTACTTGAGGTGGAATGGCGTTTCCAGCTGTAGGTTTCGCGGGCAGTCCCGGCGGAGGTGGCAGCCCGCTCGGTGGTGGTGGCAGTGTGCTGGGTGGAGCGGCATTGGTAGGGGCTGATCCTGGTGGTGCTGGGAAGCTGCTGGGAGGCTGCGCGATCTGCTTCTGCTGTTCACCTGGAGCTGGCTGATTGAAGTTGCCGGTGAGCTTCGCAATCGTGTTCGAGCGGTTCTTGGAGTAGCTGAGTTTCTAAATACATCGCGTCAGCGACATTACTGACCCTTGTGAACCTCAGATATGCAGACATACCATCTCCCTCCCGTAGAAACCAAACCCTTGACAACCTCGTATAGCTTGCGTCGCGCATGATACGTCTTTGAACAGAACATGTGCCTGGCCTCTCATCTTCTGGTTCTTCAGTGCCGTCACATCTATCACCGGCCCATAGGTCGAGAAGAGCATGTATAGCTCGCGCCGAAGGTCGTCCTTCTGAATCTTCTCGGGGAGGTTTTGGATATAGATTGACTGGTTTGGCGGGATCCTCTGCTGGTCGACAGCCATTGCGCTGGTTCCTGGAGGAGCGGCGACTGCCATAGCAAAAGAAGTAGGCTTCGCTTTCCACCAGGTGTTGTGAAAGCGCGCACGAGACAAAAGTTCAGTCGATCTGAGGTCAGCGAAGTCTTGGCAGCCACGACGAAGCCAACCGCTTCGAAGGCAACATCATTCTCGATCTCACCTTCTTCATCCACTCCTCAACAGCAAACAGCAACAGTAGAGAGAACACCACTCCTGTTGCTAATTCCATCGCAACTTACAACCACAACCAACATGGCCTCCCCAGAAGTCCACCACCTCTTCCATGCTCCCATTGCGGACCACTCGTTCTCCACGGACCGCAACACGCTTGCCGTGACCCGCGACAATAATGTTGAGCTCTACCAAAGGTCCGGCAACTCATTCCGCCTCCAGGACGAACTCCGCGGTCACGACAAGACCATCACCGGCGTGGACATCGCTCCCCGCAGTGGCCGTATCGTTACCTGCAGCCAGGACCGCAATGCCTACGTCTGGGAGCCAAGCCCGACCGGAGAGTGGAAACCTACGCTCGTGCTCCTGCGCATCAACCGTGCTGCCACATGCGTCAGATGGAGCCCGTCAGAGACCAAGTTCGCTGTGGGCAGCGGTGCTCGCATCATCGCCACCTGCTACTTCGAAGAGGAGAACGACTGGTGGATCTCGAAGCACTTGAGGAAGCCTCTCCGATCTACTGTCACCTCCATTGCGTGGCACCCAAATGGTGTGCTGCTGGCTGCTGGGAGTACCGACGGCCACGCTCGTGTCTTCAGCTCGTTTGTCAAAGGCGTAGACGAGCGCCCGGAGCCATCGGCGTGGGGCGAGAGGTTGCCATTCAACACTGTCTGTGGCGAGTACCTCAACCCGACGGCTGGATGGGTGCACAGCGTAGCATTCTCGCCATCTGGTAATGCGCTTGCCTTCGTCTCGCACGACAGCGCGGTCACCATCGTCTACCCTTCTGCGCCCGAGCAGCCACCACAGGCTGTGATCAGCATCTCTACTCAGCTGCTACCTTTCGCGGACCTGTTGTGGATCTCTGAGTCCGAGATCGTGTGTGCTGGCTACGATTGCGAAGTATACCGCTTGGCTGGAGATGCATCTGGCTGGCAGCTCACCGGGTCGCTCGAGGCAGCCAAAGGTGGCAGACCCGGCTTGGAGCAGAGGGAGGAGAGCGCGCTGAACATGTTCAAGTCTATGGACTTGAAAGGACGTGGTGGTTCGGACGACACGAAGTTGAAAACTGTGCACCAGAATACGATCAACACGGTCAGGAGCTATCAAGAGTCTGGCAGCAATGTTTCCAAGGTTAGCACTGGCGGGGTGGATGGCCGGATTGTGGTTTGGGGATTGTGAAGATCACGATGGCTTGACGAATTGTGCTGAAGAGAGATGACTATGCGACAAGGATGAAATGCGAAAATTGGCATTTGCCCACATTTCCAGACTTTCAAACTCTACGTTCAACTACTTCATACGGATCCCGGATACAGCTGAGCATTTGCATCGATTGACGAAATCGAAAGGTAAGTTCGTTTTCGAAAGTGCTACTGACATGTCTTCCATGTCAGCATTCCACGAACAATGACACAGTGGCTTCCCACATTCCTGCGAACTACGACATTGATCTCTATCCGGACGACCGATTCCGTGGGGAGCAAAAGTATCCGGTCTTTGTTGCAGCACAGAACATAGTACCCGAAAGCGACCATTTTGGCCGGATGTGGACGAAACCATGAAAAAGACTTACAGTTTCCGCAACCGGACATTGAGCCAACGACTAGACGACGATGTTCCTCCAACCATCAGCTCACAGAAGCCGCACGGCTACACCAGCAACTCAACATCGACAGAAAACGACCTAAACCATCATGGCACGAACCAACAAGCAAGCAAGCACACAGTCAGGCCCTCTCCGCCGCGGACGCAGCGCCAACACCAACTCGACCCTCGAGCGTAGGCTCAGCGACCCGGAAGACATTTTGCGCCAAGCCAAACGTGAGGCTCGCGCTGCCACTGCGAAACCCAAGGGCAAAGCCGCAGGACGTGGTAGGAGGAAGGCCTCTCGTAGTACTCAGGCCAAGGCTTCCACAGCTTCATCGCCGAGCAAGGAACCGACCCGTCAAGGCTCACAAGGAAGTGCTACGAATGCGCAGTCACCGACGAGCGCAGTCAGCCAGCAAGCCACTGCTGAACCTCGGACGACTGAACAGTCCCCAAGTCGTCAGACGAGTCCTCAGCAATCTCCTACTACGCCTGGGCCTCCTCAGCGAACGAGACGCCAAAGCAGTCTTCAGCAGTCGCCAAGAACGCCGGCAGCGAGCCAGCAGTCTCATTCTCCTACAAGCTCGCAGCAGTCGCCCGGCTTGATTCGACCACGACAGGAATCTTTGGCATTGCCCCTGGTTCCGCAAACAACGCCGCAATCGTCGCCTACCACCACTGGACCTGTGGCACAGACCCCACCACAGCAATCACCGAGTAGTCAGGCAAGCCCATCGCTCAGCCCGCCCGGGGCGCCTCGGAAACCTTCTGGACAGCGGCCGAATCCGCAACCACCACTACAGTCGCCAACTCCTGGGGCAAACCGCTGGCCTGGTCTCTCATTTGCGCCTTCTCTGCAGAGGCAAGCGGCTCGAACACCACCGCAGCAATCAACGAGTAGTCAGGCAAGCCGGTCGCTTAGTCCCCCTAGAGCACCCCGGAAACCTTACCAATGGCCAAACGCGCAACCTTCACCACAGTCGCCAACTCCTGGAGCAAACCTTTCGTCTTCTCCCTCATCGGAGCCGCAAGAGTCTGGTCAGCAGGGTCCGATGGAGCAGACACCACCACAATCGTCGGATGGTCAAGCGAGCCGATCGCTTAGCCCTCCTAGGGCGCCGCGGAAGGGTCAACAGGGCCGGCTGAATCTGCAGTATGATACGTCTGAAGCCTCTCAAGACTCACCAACCAGAGGCAGAGGAATTGCACAGCCAGGGCACCAAGACGTGGGCTCTAGTGAGTCAGCCAGCGACTCGAAAAGCAGTTCTGCAAGCGCCGGGAAGCGTGAAAGAGACGCCAGTGACGAGGATTCAGCGTTTGAGAAACGGCAGAAGAAGGAGCCTGCGAGTGAGCCCGACAAGACAGCAGAACCAAGCACAGGAGACCAGATAGGTCTAGGGATCAGCACTTCTGAGTCTTCCTGCGAACAACTAGAGAGACGCTTGAAGACTTACCGCCAGAACCCTCCTTCACAACAACAGGGATACCAGGATCCGGTGGGAGCATATGGTGAATCCATGATTGATGAAGATGTATTCCGATGCATCGCAGCTGTCTCCGAGGCCACTGGATGCTTCGCCAGCATGAGCGACCTCACGATGCGTGTACCACCCACAGATGAAGTTCCGGCCAATCTGTTCATCGCAAGGCCGACTCGTAAGGCGCTGGTCTCATGGACAAGTGAGAACCATACTTCCTTGTTCATAGCCCAGGAGCGATCAGGGGGGCGATTTCCTGCTCCAAGCCACACTCATGTCGAGCTTCTCCACAGAGACTCTGCGAATACCCACAGCCATCGTGGCAATGGATTACAACCCAGCCGACACGCGAGCGAGGTTCGAAGACGACTGGTTAACGCCGGCTGGGTGGGTGGCGATATCCATCCCACCGAGAGGGAAGACACCACCGTAGCCCGGCAATCGCGGAGCTGGACATGTTGTGTCCACACCATCTACAACGCATGGGCGTACGTGCTGGATCTTGAACTGTCTCCACGGCCAGTTGAACCCAGCAGATACATGGACTTCATTATGCGCGGGCAAGAGCTCCTACGACTATCAGTGCAAGGCCTCGTCGACTCTCAACTCATCTGGGCGTTCTTCGATTGCTACGGATTCATTCAGCCGAACCAAACGATCCCTGCCGACCGACGATTTGACGACTCTGTCCCCTTTCTCAACGAAGAAGCTGTGAGAGCTCATGCGAACAGAATCCGTCTGCGGGACCAGATCAGGGATATGAGACGAGACGGCGAGCTCCCTCCAGGCTTTCCGGATTTCGAGACGGCCCTCTCGCTTCCCGACTCCCTCGAAGGTCAGATTATGCCACTCAGTGCGTTGACCGTCGAGCATCTTCTGGCGAGGCACGCGCTTCAAGAGTCCTTGGGCGCGAGTAGTCAGCGAGAGACCTCTTTCCCACCTGATGACATGCAGAAGGCGATTCGGAACAGTCTGGCGGACGCTACGACGCAGCAAACCAACACGGATGCAACACAAGGCGAGCGAGAGTCGACTGTAGATTCTACCGAGGCGCTCAATCAAGCCATTGCTTTGAGCATGGAGCAAGAGTCCACTATGCAGCGAGAAGTATCTGACGACACTGCAGACCAGGCCACCACCGAACCGACCTCAACCTCAGGACTGCCAGACACAGCACCATGCAACAACAGTCAAGGCTCAGCATCCGAGCAGGTTCGCTCACCTCCAGCACCGGTAGCTTCAAGCCCACCACGCCCTAGTACGTCCGGCTCTCTAGGCTCAGTACCCAGAGTGGCATCCAAAATACCTTCCCTCACCGACTCAGAGCCGGGCTTTCTTGATGGAACTCCCCAGGTCTTACCCACGACTGAAAGGAACGGACGCCGAGCACAAGCTCAAGTGCACATCGATGAGGCTCTCCGCTCTGCTGATGCTGCCAGCCCGCCACCGGCTACACAAGCAAATACCCAGCAATCTTCCCCGCCGCCAATTGCGTCGTCTAGTTTCGCAGCCGCCAACGCCGACCAGAGCCCCATTTCCCCCCAACCACCAGCCCAACTCCTTACCAACGCCGTCGAAACATCAAACACCGACGATGAAGACGACTGGACCCCCGACACCGACCGCGAGCTCTTCGGCTACCCGGAAGAACTCGCCGCCATCGGCCCACAGATCAGCAACGACAGCCTCCCCGACTACGAAGACGACGAGGGCTTCGATGACCTGGAGGAGCGCGTAGATGTGCAGGAAGGTGAGCCTTTGACTCCTATTTCCCCTCCGTCGACGCTTGCTTTGCCGCCGTGTCCGGCAGGTTCGTTTGTGGGTTTGAGTGGAAGCTTACGAGGGCAGCAGGACTTTGGTGATGTGGATGGGGACGCTGATGATGAGGATGAGGGTGTGGGTGGCATGGATGATGACGGTGAAGAAGGGTTGGATGGTGTCGCCCCACTGGATGACATGACCGAGAATGACGAGCAAAGAAGAATGTTTGCTCCACAGCCTTTTGACGAAGATTTGGAGCAGGAGATCGAATTCGATGACGAAGCACAAGAGACCGTCGAGGTTCCGCCCATCGCATCCGCCGCCCTGACTCTAGAGGTGATAGTCCAGCGGGATGAGGAAAGAAGGGAGGCTGAGGGATCTCTCGAGGGACACCTGGAGCAGGAGATTGATTTCGACGAGGAAGAAGACTGGCAGTTAGCAAATGAAGGCGGAGGGGCCAAGGAGTACCGCGATTACAGTGATTTCTAAGTTGATATGAATGCACTGCAATGAAGGTACAGAGTAATAATTCCAATTTGCATTCGTTCCCGTGAGAAGATAGTAATAATTTAAATCGTGCTCGCTGCTGCTACATGTACGGATATCTAATACGAAGTAAATCTGACAATCGTGGCTTCCCAACTTCTGCCCCTTGATTACGACGTCGGCGTCGCGCTCGCAGTAGCAATACACTCCCACTCGCAGTCTCCCACCAAAAGACAGGCATACCCGCTCGCGCAAGGACATGCTGCACTCGTGCCGGTACATGCTGACGGATGCGCCGAAGTCGTGTAGGTAGCCGGCGTGCTCGTAATAGCCATTGATCTTGCTGTCGAGCTCGATGTTGTCGTCGTAGTCGTTGTGGTTCTGGTCGGTGTAACAGTGATCGTAGTCGTGCCCGGTGCGAGGGTGATGGTGGTCGTGATTGTAGCTGGGCAGGATGAAGTTTCGACGGGTCGGACGTCGAAGTGAACATGTGTGGGCTGGGTTGGATCCTCAGCAGGCGAGCCATCGAGTGCCATTGCGGCGGCAGCTGGCATCCGGTGAACGGCGTCTCCTAGGTGGGCATTCGCCGGGTAGTGGACCTTGGCGGGCTGGTGGGCGTCCTCATGCGCATCGTTGGGCGCGACGTGAGGCTTGGGCTTTTGATGGTTTGCATGCGCATGCTCGGCCGCGTGGTGGGCTTCTTGGGCCTTGTGCTTTGCTGCTTGAGCCTTTTGCTTCGTTACTTCAGCTTTGTGCTTCGCAGCTTCAGCTTTCGCCCTGGCTGCTTGTGCTGCTGCTTTCGCCTTGGCCTTGCCTTTAGAGTTCTGTGGCTCATGTTCTGAAGGGTGTTCGTGATGCGGCTTTGGGTTTGCGCCTGGCGCATGGTGCTCTGCTGGCCGCTTACCGGCGTTGGCCTGATGTGCTTCAGCTTTTGGCTTGTGCTCGACCGGGTGCTCCTCAGCATGATGCGGTTCTGCTGGCTTCCGGTCGGTCGCCTTATGGTCCGCTGGACGTCGATCAGCATCGCCATGTTGCTTGTGCGCTGCCCCCGCTTTATGCTCTGCGGAGTGTCTGTTGGCCTCTTCGTGATGCGGATGTTTCGACTCTGGATGCCGTTGGATTTCGTCCTGGTGCTTTCCAAATGGTTCCAACGGAGCGTGTTGTATCTGCTTGCTGTGCATGCGATGCCCAACAACACCGATCCTTGGATGGAAGGGGGCCTTCTCCACGGGGCGGGCTGCTCGCAGTGACCCATCTTTCACCCTACTAATAACATTGAAGGCGTCGCCTTCTAGGCGCTCCCTTGCAAACGAGTGTTCCTCTTCAGCTGACACGCTCAAGTACGTGCCCACAAGGGCGGCCAAATACACTAGCCTCATTTCTTCTTAAAACGAATGACTGTAGTTGGACGGCTTAAAGAGAGTTGTACGTCTTCCAAGATAGCAAATATATTGTGGAATAGAAGGAACGATCGGCCCGAGCCAAGTCTTACCTCTCTCTGGTGGGCGCATTGTTGTGGTAGACGCGCGACTGTCCATAGCGACGGGTGCTGGAATGTGGTCTAGATTGACCTCCTACCGACTGCGTGGGCCATCAACCTACTCGTTGTGGCACACTCGGATGTCTCCGCCTTCCTTTAGAGCGCGATAGCCACGGTGGGTGAGGTTGTGACAGGTGTGTAAGGACGAGAGGAGTCAAACGCAAGAGCAAGGTAAGGTGGTGATGAAGATGGATTCGGATAATCGAAGCCGACTTAGGCAGGTCTGGCGAGGCGTCCCGCTCCTTCCCGCGAAGCTTGAGCGATGTTCGCGAAACTTTTTTGAGATTTGTTCGGAGCATTGGCTTCGATGCGAACATCCTCCAATACAACCACACGCATCCTCTACAATGGCGCGCAAGGACGTGAAATCGACCGTACCAGATCAGCTGTGGCCGTCAGCATGGGGCCAACCACCTCCTCTGGACGACGTACTAGGACAGATCGCAGGATTTCTGGGTGATCTGGGATATACCGACGTGCGCAGCAAGCTGCAGAAGCAGGCGAAAGCAAAGGGTTTAGAGATTGAAGGATCTGGACCAAAAGATCCCGAGCAGGGCCTGCTCAGTCATTGGAAGCAGGCCTCTACTGGCAAAATCAACAAGAAGAAAGACGAGAGCTCGAGTGACGAGTCGAGTGATGATTCTAGCAGCGCATCAAGCAGCGAGGAAGACAGTGAGGATGACGAGAAAGATGAAGAGAAGGCAGAGGGTGGCGCATTGGTAGACGACGAGGCCGAGGAGACCAGCGACGATGGATCTGAGGCGGGGACCGCGCCAAAAGCTTCGGCGAAGGTGGGCACGAAACGCAAACGGAGCGCGACTTCCTCTTCTGAAGACTCCAACTCAGAGTCAAGTTCTGAATCCGAGTCGGATGAGGACGCCCTGAAGGTGGATGGCTCGTCTTCGAGCGACTCCAGCAGCTCTTCCAGCAGCGACTCTTCCTCTGAGTCGAGCGAGGGTGAGCGGCCTCTGAAGAAGAAGACAAAGACATCGCACAGCCCTGAGAAGAGTGTCAACGCCAAAAAGAAAGCCAGCGCGGAAAGCAGCAGTAGCGGCTCTTCATCGTCAGGTAGCTCAAGCTCAGACTCGAGTTCAAGCGACTCGGAGTCGGACGCAAAGCCAGGTAAGACTATGTTCTGCCTTGCAGGCACAACCTACATGCATGGTATGCTAACATGTTCTCAGCCGCCGCGAAAAAAGCCAAGAAGTCAGCATCGGACTCTTCATCTTCCAGCAGCAGCAGCAGTGACAGCGGCAGCTCGAGCTCGGCCTCGAGCGATAGCGAAAGCGAAGCAGCACCGTCACCGAAGAAAGCAACGAAAGAACAGAGTCCGAAGAAGAAAGCCAAGGCCCTCGAGGCCTCCGCAACATCCTCATCAGCAACTCTCGGCGCGGAAGACTCTTCTGCAGAGAAGCAAGACACCTTACTCGTCCCCACCGCCGACCCGAACGACGATACTATGAAGCAGATCCCAGCCACGAAGGAGAACGTCAAGAAGTTGAAGAAGGAGGCGGTACCATTCTCGCGCATCCCTGCTGATCAGAAGGTCGACCCTCGCTTTTCGTCGAACAACTACGTGCCGTACGACTACGCCGACCGTGCATATCAGGATTTGAGTGTGACGAAGGGCAAGGGTTTCACCAAGGAGAAGAACAAGAAGAAACGAGGTGAGTCGATTTCTACGGATTATTCATCTTCATCCGACTCTGAGTACGACTGCATCTCCGCGCCTCTGTCAAAGCCCCGGACCAAGGCGAACCCCAAGTTTCAGTTGATCATCCCCGTTCCTCGCCGGCCTCCGGAGTGGCTCGTGAAATCAATGTTGCGGACCTTGTCCGGCCAACGCTTGTCACACCACAAGGGTAGGAAGAAGCGCGGCAAGCTTACAGCTCACGGCAAGCGGCAGAAGAAGGAGTGGAATCGGTGGTGCGACCACGCCCACGCCCTCGGTGTGACGGTCTCAACCTCTAGATACGATGAGCCACGAGACTGCAGCGATTCCGACTGACCATGGGCAAGGAGGGGACAATATCGCGTCTGCTTCACTCGTTGCTCATTCTCCTATATTGTCGTGAGTTTATCGAAGAACTGTGCGCTGACGTGTGATGTTGAACAGGTGCGTACCGCGGCGGCGCCATCGACCTCGCGCCCAAGGGCATCAAGTTCGAGGACTAGCGATCGCGAATGCGTGCTCTGCGACGCCGTACCGAGGCTGGCGGGTCGGTGTGCACGGCGATGGATCTTGGAGCGTTGGCTGCGAAGGCGGAGAGGGAGACGTGAGCATTGCTGGCTGTCGAGGCAAGGCATGCATCAAAGGCAGACTACGTTATAGACGCCGGCAGGTTGGTATAGATGTAGATGGCTGTTGCATAGAGTAATATATCTACTGATCCAAGCATGGCGCGTTCCAGTCCGCCATGCTCGGTTCCAATCGGAGTCAAAACAACTTCAACAGGTACTGCTGGCTGACTCTAGAGCTTTTACGAACCTCACCCTGCCTTGCGGCCTCATGACCTCATACCGCAAATCAATCCACTGCCATGAACAGCGTCTACGTCTCTCGCTTCACCTTTGTCATGCGTGGGGGTAAAAGAGGTCTAAGTTCAAGATACATTCCAGGGAGCGAGGCGGTGCTTCCACTGCCCGCTGCCACGAAAAGAACATACAGCACCTCGGAAAGTCCAAAAGAAACATTAGATCAAGACACAGTCGATAAAACAAGAATACATCCAAATCTACTCATATCAACGTCTTCGCCCCCCGCTTCTTAACCAAATACCACCACAGCCCCACCAAATTACATCCCCCAACCACCATCGTCACGCCCCCAAACAGCTGCAACCCGATATAATTCACCCCGCCCGGACTGTCCTTCGCATTTATCCTCGTCAAAGCTCCCGCAATCGGACTCCCGATCAGACTCGCGATCGACCCAATCCCCTGCGCCATCCCCAACCTCGCTCCCAGGACTTTGGTATCCGGACATATGACCGGAAACACGCTCGGCGGCAGCGGGATCAGCGCGCCGCTGAAGCAGCCGTAGAGCGCAGCGTACGCGATAAACGCCCCGACGCTGTCGACGCCGACCCAGGCGATGCAGAAGACGCCGCTGCACACCGCGCACGTGACCCAGGGGATCATGACGCCGACTTTGGCCGCCGTTTGCCCCGCCACCAGACGGCCGAGGACTGACGCGGCTTGCGCGATCATGATGACGTTGAGGGCCTTGCTGCGCGTCATGCCGAGGGCCGTCTGGCCGTACGAGGCCATGAAGATGAAGGGGATCATGTAACCGAGGAAGATGAAGAAGTTGGTTAGCGTGTACCAGCAGAAGGGGAGGTCGCGGAAGGCGGTGAGGTCGATGAGTTTGCGCTTCGTGCCGGAGGAGAGGTTGCCGACGTTGTTCGCGCGGAAGAGCAGGAGCGGGAAGGCGATGAGGTAGGAGCCGAGCATGACGAACCCCATGACGCGGACGGTCCAGCCGAAGCTCATGCGGGAGATGAGTTGTTCGAAGACGAGGGTGTAAATGATGCCGCCAACCGGTGCGCCGCAGGTCGTGATGGCCATGGCGATGGAACGGTGCGTCTTGAAGGAGCGTCCTACCAGTGCGAGGCCGGGTACGTAGAGGAGACCGTTTCCGAGACCCATCAGCAGACCCTGCGAGAGGAACAGCTGGTAGTACTCGCCGCAGAGACTGAGCATGAAGACGCTGAAGGTCTCGATGGCGGCGCCGGCGAAGAGCATCGTCTTGAAGTAGCCCCGGTCGAAGAAGGGTCCGGACATGATGCCGCCGACGATGAGGAGGAAGGTCGAGACTGTTCCGATCCATGAGATGGTGGAGGAGGACTGGTTGGGCAGGAACGTGAGCTCGTAGTATGTCTGGAAGCTACCAAATGCGAACGTAAAGCCCCAGAGGTTGCCGAAGACGATGAAAGACCCTAAGACTTGAAGCCATGCTCGCGATCCGCCGTCCGCTTGTGGAGGCGGTGCTGCAGGTGGGGGTGCTATCGAAGTGGCAGCAGCTTTCTCTGTTTCGCTGGCATCTGATATTGTCGACGAAGGCGTGTCGACGTTCTCGTTGATCTCAGCTTTGTCATCGCTGGCGGTAGATTTGGGTGACCCCATGTTCGTCTCGCCTTCGTAAGATCCGCTTCGCTGAGCCTGCAGTGTCCTTCGTGATGGCCAGAATCCAGCAACACGCCTCAGTCGTCAATGAGAACGTGTAGTCTCCTCTGCGGCCGTCGAGAATCCCACAAAATGTACAGTGAAGAAGGAGAGTTCGATGCCATCCTCTAGTCTGACGCCGTGCGGAATTATGTCCTATGACGGATCAGATGCCGTCCAAGGCATAGCGTACCGAGGTGAGGTGAGGGAGGGTGCAGATGAAGAAGGCGGGCAGAGCAGCCTCATCTTCTGGACTTTCTGGCGTTCTTCTGTCTTTGGTGTTGGAGTGGATCGGTGTACAGAAGAGGAACTTTTGCTTGCCTTGTTGGCCAGTTTCCGGCCTCATGATGAGGGATCTTGAGATCTGGCAGACAAGCAAAGGGGTCAGAGTTCTGAGCCGATCCTTCCTCCATCGGAGCAAGGTCTCGTTTAGGAAAGTTTTGACTTTTGTGGAGAGAATCTGGAGAAGATCCCAACCACGCACGTTTCCAATCAAACCACGTGAAATACACTCAACCCCGAAGTTAAAACACCGCAAATGACTACAAAAGGGTATCTTATCAAAACGGGACCTCGTCGCAGCGCTATGCACAAACACCACATCACACCCTCCACCATATTAGACACACACCCCCTCATTCACTCAACTCAACCCCTTCCGTCCCACGACCACACCCGTCCATCATCGACATTCACCCACTGCCCCCCCACCACCGCCTCCCAGCCCATCATCACGCCGAGCAAGCGACATGACGCACTGCTGACCGCACAGACGACGCCGTCGCTCTCGCCGAGGACGGCGAGGTCGAGGAGGTAGGCTCGCCCGACCAGCTCGCGCATGCGCTTCGTGTCGTCGGAAGCCGTCGTGGAAGACGCCGCTTTGCCGTTTCCGCTTTGTCCAAGCCCGAAGAAGAGGGAGCGGTAGAAGCCGCCTTCCCAGCCGGAGTTCTCGTCGATGTGTTTGATGTAGGCTGAGCCGGGCTGGCGGAGGGATTCTGCTGGGGCCGCCATGTCGAGTGTGGCCTTTGTGGCGAGCTGGATGCGCTCTTGCGCCTTTTGGACGACGAAAGGCGCAGCGGCGTCCTTGAGCTCGTCGGAGTCGAAGATCTCGGGGTCGTCTGAGCCGAGCAGGAGAGGCGAGTGCACGTATTCGAGGAACTTGTGGAAGTCGTCTCCATCTCTGTGAGAGCCGGGTAAGCTTGCGTGGAGCTGGTTGCGCAGCATACTCCGGGACGCTGAGGCGTAGCGTTCGATGGGGATGTAGTCTTGTGAGAACTGGAATTCGACGGGATGGAGGTCGCCGCGGCGGATGTGCATGCCGACGACGGAGCCCGAGTGCATGTGGGCGTCTTCTTTGAACTTGGCGAGGCGTGAGGCGGCGTAGAGGGCATCTTCGCCTTTCAGGATGAATAGGTCTTCGTAGCCGCGGCGGAGGAGGTCGTATATCCTGCGGCTGCGTTCAGCGCCGTGTTTCCGGAATTGGGTGAACTCCCTCTCAAACGAGTCGCCGAAGGTCCATGGTAGTGTAGCAGAAGAAACAACCAGGTGCTTCGCGCTGTGAGGGCAAGGTACGATGTAATGTCGTGGTGGTTGGACGCATGCTGGCGCGGAGGCCGGAGCGAAGAATGCATCGTACTGTCCATAGGCCCAGTTTGTGTCGTCAATGAAAAAGGCTCTGCCTTCCTTCTTTGCCAACCCGTAGCTAAGCCAGAGCATGAGGATGCTCTTCCCAAAGCTTGCATCATCTGCACCGAGCACGAAGGTCATGCTCCTGTCGCAGACGTCCTCATCAGACGCTGTTTCCGATGCTGGTAGTGCGCCAGTCAACTCGGCCTCATCCACGTCCATATATGTGTGGTCGAGAGAATACTTCCGCCGCCACTCCTTCGCTCTCACCAGCGGCGACTGCCGGGCAATGCGCTCTCGAAGTACATCGCCTTGCTTGCACAACTGCTGGTACTCATCACCATGAAGAGGAAAGGCTCGTTCCGATGGAATAGCATTCGTCCATTTGGCACGTCCGAGCTGGTCAGTGACAGCGATTGCAGCCGGCTCAGCAGGTGGAGTAGAAGGGGTGGCAGAACCAGTGTCAGTTTCAGTCCGACATCCTCCGGACAATCGAATACTCCAAGGCGCAATTGGTTGATAGAAAAAGTGCCAGACCGCAACCATGGCACACACCAATGCCAGCATTCGCATCGCCATCCTCAACTTCCACCTCGCATTCGGCACACTCGAATTCTCCTTCGTCACAGGCGCAGGAAGTGTCGGCGACAAAGGCGGCGGGCTCGAACACCGCTTCTCACCCAAACTCGGCCTTGAAGACCCGCCGACCGTCGAGTTGCTGGTGGATGAAGAAGTCGAAGACACTGACAAGCTGGTATTCCGCCGGTCCCGCATCGTAATGAGCGCCTGCATCAAACGGCCAGATCAACCGGCCAGAGGAGAAGAACTAGAGTCGAGATTCGGTTTGTTGCAATGAAGAAGTTAATGTTGTTCGAATCGATCCAGACGGTCATCCAACAACGATACCACAGCCATGCCCGTCCCACGAACAACCCTTCCCCGTCTCGCGAACGAGTGAACACAAGAGCACAGAAGTTCAAACGTGAAAATGTCGCAGACTTCGCACGCTGAAGCACGAGGACCCCTCGCTGTGTTGGTGTTGCTTTCCCTTGCTGGCACGAAGACGCTCCCTCGCTGGTGTTTGCATGTGCGGATCCCGGTCCTTGCTCACGGCTTCTGACGTCGCTGTCGTTGGTGCTGTAGTGAGTGTGGGGGAAAGAAGGCAGGTCTCAATAGGTGAAGACCAGCTTCGTTTCAGGGTACAAAAGAAAGGTCACGACGGTGAGATGGAAGGAGAGAAAGGTCGGCGGTCAGCACAGAACAGAACAGCACGAATCTTGGGTCGCATCGCATTCGATCGTCGTCGGGGATCTCCAAAAAACTGTCAGACCAGCGCAACTCGGGTTGGAGAGAGTCCGACCACTCAGCTTCACGCAAAACCGGGGACGAGACTTGAAACAGCCTCCACCTGAGACCCGCGAGGCCGTCGCTGCGCACCGGCACCTCTGCTAACCGCGGCCTCTTCGTTTATGCTTGTCAGCAATATATCTCTATACTTCCCAAGAGTCGACGGACAAGCGATTGCTTGGGTTCGGGGGAGTTGGCAGCGAGAGTCCATGGCGCCACTCGAGAAGGCGTTTCCTCCTCGACAAGTGTATACTGTAGAATAGGTAGGCCTCCCAACCAGGAAGGTCTCTTTCAAACCGCGCACAACCATGCACCCTGACGATCAGGAGTCCCACCCGGCCGGAAACGTGACCGAACTTCAAACGTCAACGGGGCCACCACTCGCAGAGCCTCATCAAGCGCAGACACCACCAAAGTCTCCTGTTCGCACTTGTTTTGTTCTGTAGCCGCCACCCCCCAGGAGTACCTCCGACATCCTCACGGGCATATCACAGCAGTACGACCGTTTGACGCCGACCCAGGCGCATCCCACAAACGCACGAGCAGCGTCATCATGTAAGAGGACCCGAGAGGAAAAAACCACCACCACAGCAATACCTTGAGGATCAAACACTTCTCATACCGTTACCGTCCTATCTAGTAGCACAGTCCTCCGTCCTCCGTCTTCCGTCTTCTCCCAAACCCGAGATCACCTTCGTACCCTTAATAACACACCAATACCCCCGAGATCAACAGAAACCATGCACACACGTGGAGCTTGGTGGGTATCATCAATCAATCAATCAATAGTCCAACAGAAAACAGAAGCAAAAGCCAGAAAAGGAATCAAAAGTCGTGGCGCTTTCCATCCACTCCTTCGATCGCCCGCGCTTTGTTCGCGCCGGCGTCGAACGCTCATCCGTCGGTGAGGCCGTGGGCAAACGTGTGGTGATGGTGTAGCCGCCCGTCCGTCCACATCCCGCCGTCGTCCCGCAAACGCCGTGATCCTGCAGGCAACACCGCTAGCCGCCGCGACCACTCCACGGCGCCAGCATAGCACACTCATAGTGCCGCCCAAGTCCTTCATCTTTCAACCCTTCAATCTCCACCCTTCATCTCCCCCTCCCACTTCATCACCCCCCAACACCCTCCCCCTCCTCCTCAAGAATACTATTCTCCACCCCCTCACCACCCTCACCCAGCCCCCTCTGTTCCATAACCGTATCCCGCTTCACCCGCAAACTCCCCCGCTCCCCGCGCAACACCTGCCCGCTCTCCACTTTATCCTGGATCATCTGGTCGAGCAGCATCGTCATCTCGTCGACGCTTTTGCGGCGGAACGCTTTCGCTTTCGCTTGAGCGTCTGCTGGGCGCGCGGTACCGCTACCACTACCATGGGTATGGTGGGAGTGAGGGTGGGGATGGTCGTCGGAGCGATCGGATCCCGTGGGACTGAGCAGTGTCATGGGCGATAAGGGGAGTTTGGAGAAATTCACCACGCTGGAGCTGGAGCGGGAGGCGGTGGAGGGATTGCTCTTGTGGCCGCCACCGTTGGAAAAGGTGGGTTTATGGTGGATCGGGGGCCCGTTGACGGCGATCTTGAGGCTGCGGTTCGAGAGGCGGGAGCTCGTGCGGCGGGCTGCCGTGGGCGTGGTCATGAGGGCGTTGGCGGACGCGGGACGCTGCTGCTGGGTCACTTCTTCCTCGTCGTCGGCGGCGCCGGGTGTGGTAGCAGGGTCGAGCATGTCACGTTTCCGGGCTGCGGAGCGGAGAGCGTTGACCATGCGCGTTTGGTCGTCGAGACGGGCTTTGAGCTCTTCGATCTCCTTGTCCTTTTCACGCAGCACGAGTTCGAAGGCGGAGGTCTCGTTCTGCGAGGCGCGGTTCGCGAGTTGCATGCTCACGCGGCTGTGGCTCGTCCGGCGGGCTTGCAGGAGTCGCTTCTCGAGGGTCGCGATGTAGCGGGTCTTGTCCGTCAGGTCGGCTTGCAGCATTCGGTTCTGCTGGGCTAGGGTCGCGGAACCTTCGCCGTCCATCCCGCCGCCCAGCTCGCCGGGTGATTCGTCCTCTTCGTCCAGCGTATCCTCGTCTTCTTCCGCCAAACGTGACACATTGGCCGCTGGCATGATGGCAGAGGTAATCGAGCCGACCGAGACCGTCCGCCCAATTTTGCTGTTCGGCATCGGAACCTCCAAAGTAGCGCTGCTGTCCCGATTGATCTGGTGGCTCTGCGTGCTGTGCACACTATCCCGGCTATGCTGGCTCACCGGCCGCCCGAACTCGTTAGTGCTCACATTGCTCATGCGATTGACCGGCGGAGCGCTGATCAAGCTCATACTCGACAGCCGACCCGAGTTCACCCCAAGCGACTTGCTGGATAAGATCAGCCGGTTCAGATGGCTGATCCGCTCCTTCAGCGCCGTCCGCGCAAGCTGCATCTCCAGCATCTGCTCCTCATGCCGGTTCTGTTCGGCCCGTTCCAGCTCCTCCTCCATCTTCCGGTCCTTCTCGATCTCCTCTTGCTTTTCAGCCTCCTCCTTGGCTTTATTCTGCTGGTCGAGCTGTGACCGCAGCTCCTGAATCTCGATCCTATACCGGTCTAGGAGTGCTCGACTGCCAGCGTCGCCGGCGTTGGGGTTGGACTCGTTCTTCTTCGCGTGGCTGACGATGTTGTTCTTCGCTCGGCTGGCGAATTTGAGCGTATTCAGCGTCTCGCCGGTGTGAAGACCTGTCGCCGCAGCACTCGTGCCTGCTGATGAGAGCTGGATGGTGCAGAGGATCGAGACCAGTGAGTTACCAGACAGCGCAGGCTGCAATAGTCGAGTGAGCTTGCTGTCTCGGTATGGCAAGTGCTTGAGACCTTTCTCTTTGTCCTTCTCTGATGCTTTGCCACCATCTTCCTTCTCGTCTTCACCGGACAACCGCGCAATGACAGTCCCAAGCGTAAGCAGAGACTTGTTGATATGCGCTCCTTCAGCCCTCCTCTCCTTGTTCTCCGCAGCTTTCTCCGACCCAGCAAGATCGATCAAGGACAGCGTCGAGACGCATACACCTCCAGGTAAGATCCTATCTGATCGCCGTTGCTCTTTATCAAAGTACGCACCATGACTGGGCGCTCGTTCCCGCGATTCCACCACAATCTGCACCACCGCATGAGATCGAGACGAGCGCGCATTGAACTGCGTCGAGCTGGTTCTTCGCTGCATATCACCGCGCGCGATCACCCGCAGAAGCTGGTTAGGCGACTGCACGATCTCTTCCTTCAAAGGTGTGGCATATACACCCCTCTTGGCGTCTTCCCGCAACTTGATCTCCTGCTCTTGCACCACCCCCGGCGTGCTCTGGCTGAGCAGATCGTGGATCTTCTCGTTGTAGATCTCCAAATAGCTGACTCGCAGCAGGAACTCTCGGGCTGGATTCTCGCGGATGTACGAGAAGATGTCGGATATCGCGAGCGGTATCACACCCGGTGAGCCGGCCGTTCCTTGCATCGAAAATGTCTTTCCAGTACCAGTCATGCCGTATGCGAACACTGTCCCGTGGTAGCCTTCCATTACCCTTCGAACCAGCCGTTTCGCTGCACTGTCGTACACCCGCGCATTATCGTCGTGAGGCGAGAACACATTATCGTATCGGTAATCGCCGCCTTCTCGTCCGTTGTATGCTATTAGCGACCGCCGCCCGTCCACCATCCATTCTCCATCCGGCTTCGCATTATCGTTGGCCGCGTCTGGTCTTACGCGCACGCTGACCAGGACATTGCCTTTGCTGTCCTTGCCATCCGGATTGCGCTTATCCGTCAGAGTATCCTGGCTCTTCGGCCGACCGCGCTCTACAGGCTCGTCGAACTCTTCGAACTGTGTGCCGTCCGTATGATACGAGCCATTCGCAGACGAGCTCCTACTTTGAGGCGGTGAAGGCAAGCTCAGCAAGCTATCCGACCCTCTTGCGCCTCTCGCGCTTGAGATCAGATTACTGTCGCCCGTGCCATTGAGAAGGCTGGGTGATGCACCAAAATTCAAGGTCGAGCCTGCCGATGCTCGCGATCGCAGACCATAGCCAGAACTCCTCGTCTTGAGCTTCTTCACTCCAACATCCGAACTTCTGTGCTTTGTCGACTCGCGCTTGCTCTTATTTTGCTGTATGCCATTGATATCGGATGTCGAGGTGGATGTGGAGAGCGGACTGGGTGGTAGGCTGTTGACTCGTGCTATGTTGGGAGGGGCTGGAAATGCGCCGATGCTCGTTGTCTTTCGCAGACTCTTCCCAGGCGTTGGTAGGGCGGATGAGCCAGGTGATGTCACACCTGAGCCGGGTGTTGAGGTTGAGGTCGATGTATTGAGGGTAGGCACGGCCGGAGTCGATTGTATCTTCGTAGGTCGCGGAGTGGGCAAGCCCGAGCTTGTGACAGCTCGTATGGGAGGTCTGCTCGCAGGTGTCGCTATCGACGAGGCAGACGAGGCGGGCCGTGATTCGGGATCATCCGGTATATCAGGAAGTGGCTTCCTCGTCTTCGTCATCGGCAGAGCAGGGAGAGGACCAGAAGGAGGAGCGGAAGGCGGTGGGTTCCGCTGCGGCGGACGCTGTGGGATGGCGGTGGTCATGGTGGCGGTAGCAGACAGCGACATCGCCCTCGCGGCCCAATGGTTCGTGTAACCGTCCGCTCACCTGCACCTGCACCTGGCCGCTTCCGGGATGCTGCGTCCACGAGCGCAGTCGCCCTTGACTTCGCACGTGGGATGGTTCGAGAGAGTGCTTCACCCGAGCATCTCCCCACGCCCACGCCGGGAGCCTGCAGGCGAGTGAAGGGTATATGTTTGATCGAGCGTCGCTGTGCCGCGATCGTGGTTCGGCGGGAGTAGAGTTCAGTGACAGGCAAATCCCTGAGTCGCTGGTGTAGACCCCAGTCCGCTCGTGCGCGCAACGGCACGCAGAGTGAGGTTGACGGGGGTATCCCTTCCGGTGGTGTTGGTTGTTTGGAAGGGAGGAGTCGATGGATCGCAGCGGAAGAATGCACCGCGCCTGCGTCCTAGGAGTGCATGTGACCGTCCGAGAGGGTATGCCGTGGAGTGGGAGGCTTCCAGCACACCGAACTGCTGCTGCTGCCCACACGCAAGTTGCCGCGACAAGAAGTTCTCCTGCAGCCCGGTCGTCGCTAGCGCGGTGATAACCTCGCCCTAGCCCACCTCACTACTGCCTCTTCAGGAGACGCCCCGCCCGCGCGGAGAGTTTGACATGTGCCGACTTGGCTGTTGATACTGCCCGTCCGTGAAGACAGCCTGATCCTTCTTCTCCTGCTGGACCATTGACATACACCTCCCTCCAAGGCTCGGAGATAAGTTGAAGTTATTATTCACAAATCTGCTGAAGGAGCATCCCCACATTCTGCGTGATACAAATCGCGGCACACGCCTTCGACACATGCCTGTGACACCTTGGGATGATCGACACGGGGATGTGCCACCGCTCTTCATCTCCCTGCCGGTTAGGTCAACGGACGGGCACGGAAGCGAGCAACCGAGACACCCTTCCTTCGCCTAACTCGCTCCATTCGAGATGACTGTCACATGCGATGATATCGACGACGAGAAGGACTGATTGAACGCGACAAGCAAACAACGCAAGAACAACCGAACAGCATCTCCGATTCCGCTCAATCACAAATCGCAGCGTGCAGACTTCTCGCCCATTCGACGCCACCACCACCACTCAATCTGTTGCGCCAGCCCCATCAACCGCGATTCAAGAGACTTCCTCCAATCTTGCGACCTGACGAGGCATACACACCTCATTCTTCTCATGCCTTATCAACATTCTCTTCTTTACAGATACATGTACCGGTGTACCATCTCCTGCGAACCAATGCAGGAACCTCACTCCCCGCCACGCCATTGGCATGAACCCGCAGCACCCCCTCCTGCCCTGCACAAGCGCACTGCAGCGCAATCAATTCTCCCTCCTCCCACGTGCCGCCATGTCGTAGGCGAGCAAGGCGAGCAAGGTGAGGTAGGTACAGTATCCAGGTACCCATCCCTTGTAAAGACGCCATAGCAATCTACTCACCCCGTTGATCCTACGATCCCACACACGAATATAGATCGTACACTGTACATACCAGAAATATCTCGCTTCGACGTGGCTGGCGCGAAGGTTCAACGGCTATACATACACCAAGCACTCTCGATGCGATACGGTGGGCCGTCCGCTGCAGGTCGCTGAATCGTTGTGGGTTGTGGGTTGCGAGTCAGGGCATGGGGAGGACCCTGTCGCCAGGAACGGGAGGTGCTCGATATGGACAGTATATCTACAATGAGATTCATCAACAACATCATCAGGCATCCCCTCGTACTCCGACCACGTAGGACTCACTACAAACTCTACGCCGAACATTAAGATTACACTATCATCACTTGTGCGCGGGGCACTGATCCCCCAAAAAAGTCAAATAACAGCAAGACCAGGGTACTGACGAAGTCACCTACCCTTATCCATATACCTATCTGCTTACATATACATGTACCTATATGTACTTCGCCATCTGACGTGGACCCCCGTGGCCGAAAAAGACCATGTGTCAGCTTCAAGAACATTTCAGGCAAACAGTAACCCTCCCTGCCCTCCCCGACTTCGCGCCAGCATGGCCACGCCTTCGAAGCCGCCGGAGTCGTGGGTGAGGGTTGGTGTGAATCAAGCAGTAGTTAAGAGGTACCTATAAGAAGAGTAAGTAAGTAAGATGGTAAGTATCCTGTCTCTACTGTCTTGTGTGCTGCTGTTGTCAGGTATCAGACAAAAGCAAGATGTCGGCCTTCCCAGTCAACGTTGGGCTGCCGATTCCTACTATCGTCTACGTTTATTTGGCGGTGGCGGTTTATGACGTTTTGATCGACCCGCTGGTGCAGTTGTATCAAGGATGCCGGAGATGTGTTGAGGGGTTGGAGAGGGTCAAGTTGGTTCATGAGGAGTCGGGGCCTGCGAGGGAGGTGGGTGAGGTGAGAATGCGCGTTGGCGGGGAGTTTGCTGATGTGCCTAAGAGCCTGGAGACGATGCAGGGTGAATTGTAGCTGAATGGGGGCTGCAACAGGAAGGGCTAAGAGAGGCGTAAGATGGCAAGACACTGATGGCAGGCAAGATGTGCACGGAGGTGAGACTCAATATGCCATGTACAGATCAGTGTCTGCAGGCCTGTTAACATTGTATGATTTCAGGGGGTCTGTACAACCCATCTACACCCACCCACCTCGTCTCTTCAAGCGACGCGGTCAAGGCAACTGCCCAACCACATGCCCATTCGCCTTCCCATCCGCCTGCTCCTCCACCCCATACTCGCCCTGCTTATACTGCCGCACGGGCTCGCACCAACCAAACGTATCCTGCACCTTGCCCGACTGAATGCCTTTCAATTGCGTCAGGAGCTTTACTAAAGCGGGACCGGGCTCATCGCCCCCGCCTTGGTACTTGAAGGTGTCGTTTCTGCTGCGCATGGTGATGGATTTGATGGGGACGAGGGCGGCTGCTGTGCCGGCGGCGGCGACTTCGGTGAAGGTGGGGAGTTCCTCGTATTTTATCTGAAGAACCATGTTAGAAGAGCAAAGGAGGGTAGTAGGATGGCTTTGCCTCACCGATCGCTTCTCGACCTTCCAGCCGAACGTATTCCTCGCAATATCGCACACGCTGTCGCTCGTCACCGACTTGATCACGTTCGCGCTATCCGGCACCACAATCGTAACGTCTTTCGACTCCCCACTCGCGTCCCCCTTGATCCCAATAAACCCACTCGTCGAGAACTCGTCAATCTCCGTCCGCGTTCTACTGTCCAAATGCAACGTAATCCCATACCCTTCCTCCCGCGCCCGATCACTCCACCTCAACACCGGCGCATAATTCCCACCCACCTTCGCCGAGCCCACCCCATTCGGCGCCGCCCGATCAAACTCCTCCAGCACCAACGCCGCCACGGGATGCGTCCCGTGATACACTCCCGTCGGCAACACATATACCAAGAACGTATACTCCTCCGGCGGACTCAGCCCCAACTGCGCCGAGCTCCCAAACAGCAACGGCCGCACATACATCGCCGCGCCCGTCCGATGAGGCGGCACGAACTCCGCATTCAGACTCACAGCCAAATGCACACACCGTCTGAACAACTCCACCGGCACCTCGGGGATCGAAATGTAGGACGCGCTATGCTGCATGCGCTCGGCGTTCTGCTGGGGACGGAAGAGGTTGATGGTCTGGTCGTCGGGGGCGCGGAAGGCTTTCAGCCCCTCGTAGCATTGCTGGCCGTAGTTGAGGCCCGGGGCCATGCCGTGGATGCGCAGGAAGGGCGACTCGACGAAGGTGGGCGTGCTCCATTGGCCGGTCTTCTTGGAGAAGTGCGATTCGATGTGCCCGTTGACTTCGCGCACGCGGAAGCCGATGTCGTCCCAGTCTGTATCATGATGTTAGACAATGGGTGCGTTGGAGGTGTTTGGGTAGTGTATACCAATCGTGTTTACAGGCGGAGGCGGGAAGGAGGAGGCCATTGTTGCGGATTGGCTTCGTATGTGAATTGGTGGTGGGTGCGGGTTGGAAGAGAAAGCAATTGTTCTGGTGTCGTTGGGTGCTTACGTCTTAAAGACTCCAACCGTGATCAGTCGTGCTGCATACAAATTAATTCCATAGCCGGTCCGGTCTCGGCCAGCCTCCCAGGCACACCCCACATCTAGTACGGCAGTATCCGGGCGTCTCAGCTTTGTTGATGTCAAGATTCCAGGTTGCTTTCATCTCACCTCCTGGCGCCACGAACACTCCCTTCTTCAACATGTTACTCCCGAGTATACGATAACAACACCACCACCATGACGTCCCGCCGCCAGCTCATCACCATCCTCACCTTCTCCGCCATCGTCGCCATCATCTTCGTCACCTCCTTCCGCTCCGGTGGTCCTACCATTCAAACCGACCGCATCCCCCCTCTGACCCCCGACATTTCGTCCCTTGACACCTCGGACACTCTTGACCAGACCTCCCTCATCGGCCACGCCATCGCCCCCAAACTCGGCAACGAAACCGCCAAAGCCGAGCTGGGCCGCGCGTCATGGAAACTCTTCCACACCATGATGGCGCGCTTCCCTGAAAACCCTACCGCCGACGAGAGCGCCGCTTTGAAAAGCTACATTCACCTCTTTCAGCGCCTGTATCCGTGCGGCGAGTGCGCAGGCCACTTCGGTGAGATCCTGAAGAGATTCCCGCCGCAGGTTGGCTCGAGGAACGCGGCGGCTGGGTGGGCGTGCCATGTTCACAACCAGGTGAATGAAAGCTTAGGGAAGGACGTGTTCGATTGCAGCAAGATTGGAGATTTCTACGATTGCGGGTGCGCTGATGACGAGGAGGGAGAGGGGAGGAAGGCGGAAGGGGAGTTGGTGGAGCCCAACGTGAGGACGGAGATGTCGCGAGCGGAGATTGAGAAGATGACGGGGAGGAATGGCAGGAAAGTGGACCCGTTCAAGGAGTTCATGGGGCAGAAGTATCAGTATGTTAAGGTGGGATGAGAAGGTCGACTGCTGGAGAACTTCCTTTGAGCTGGATCTCCGGACGAACTCTCGACGATCTAGCCAACAGCTCGCCAACATAATGAAGAGCACACAAATCCGAGGACTCACCAGGCTGCGCGATTTCTCTTGGGCATATGCTTACCACCAAAGTCATCGTGTCTTCGCCATGGGCTTCCTCTGGCCTTCGAGACAACTTAATCCAGCTTGGATGTTCTTCGAAAGTGCTCTAGAGGACAGTGTCCACGGTCTGGAAAGATCTGGTATCGGTCAGGCAGCACTTTTATGACCTTAAATATGGATCGATGTCCATGCGGGAAAATGAGTGCCAGCGCTGTGTCAACCGAACCACATGCAGAACACCATGGCCACCTCAGCAAGCATCGGCCTCACCCAAGCCGACGACCCAGCCATCCCCAACCCTGCAGACTGGAACACCATCTCGGCAGATGAGGTAGTGGGACCCATGCTCCGTGTCTCCGGCTGGATCATCAAAGAATGCCTGAGTCGGGACACGCCGCTGAAGCGTGACCTTCTTGCAAAGTGGGATCCCATTGCCAGCAGGAAGCTCTCCAAAGGCATGCCTATGTATTTGTGGAGGTTCCTGTATTATCAGTGCATGCTCGACGCTCAGGTCCTGCGAGAAGAAATCACTGGCGCCGAACAACAGCAGGCACAAGGCTCTCACAAACAAGTACGACCCGATGATGCCACGGGCTCCGCCAACGTACCAAACAAACCAGATACAGATGCCTTAGATGGCGTGGACCTGTCTCCCGATGCCGTCCCATCTCAGCCTCAACCCTTCCCAGCCCACCTGGACGCCCACGACTTCGGCGCACACGACCAACAGCCCCCGCCCGCTCCAATCAACATGGTCGCCACCACCACCAGCATCATCGACGCCCGCAACCTCCGCACCCCCATCCCCACAATCTCAGACCTCATCGCCCTAAAGGTCTCCCGCGCGGACTTGACCGCCTCGTTACTTCTCACATCCGCCTCGATCGTGGCAGAGGTGCACCGGCAGGACGATCGGCACGATTTGGCGGTGAAGTGGCGCGATGTGGCGAATGATGGGGATACTACCACGAGGGTGGCGGTGTTGAGGGTGCTGGCGATGCAGTGTTTGGTGGATGCGGTGGGCAGTGGGAGGTGGGGGTGGAGGAGGTGGGTGAGTTTGATGGGTTGGAGGGGATGATATTGTTTCGTGCTTTTGGGGCGGAAGAGATTTGTGTATGGGGGGTTGAAGGTGCGGCGCTTTTTGCACGCGGCGGTGGGAAGGGATCAAGATGGTGCTGGGTGCAAATCTGTTGGGGAGCTGGATTTGACCCGGAAGGCCTTGTTGCGATGCTACGGCTAGTTGAGTCAATGCCATCTCCTTCCTTCTATCTTGCCTCGAGATAACTTTGCTCACACGTCTTGCTCCGTCGACAGCAGGCAGATCGCCCGAGACGCCTGAGACCTCTGCTTGGCCGGATAATTTCGAAGACATTCGACGGCGTAGGAACCGACGCCTTCTGCATAGATCAAAGCGGAGGCAGTCACTGTCGCACAGTCAGCGGAAGGTTCTAGCAGACTAAGTAATTTTTCTCTGCACATGAATATATAAGGAAGGCTGGCCGGTGAAGGATATGCTCACCATCATCTGGAAAGACATCTGCGAATTATGGCGGACCAGCAGCGGCAGTCGGCTGAGCACGATACGGCCATGAACGATGGCGCCACGAACAACTCAGCCCAGCACGATACCGCCATGAACAACTCAGACCAGCAGATCAATCCTGTTGATCAATCGAGCCAGCACATCGCTACTGCCAGCACTCCAAATCGACAAGCCACCAACGATGTAGACCGGCGGACTGCCTCTCCTGACGCAACGAACAAGCACGTTATCGACCCCAACGACGTAAGCCAGCAGCCTGCGTCCACCGTCGCATCAAACCAGCAATCCGCCGCTGTCAACAATCCAAACCCGCAGGCCGCGACGACCGACACCCTGCGCGGCAGAACCAACCCTGCTGCCTCACGGATCGGAAAATCCCAGCGCTTCCCATCCGCACCGCCAAACCGCAACCGATAACAATCCAGACCTCACCCGCCCAACCTCATCATCCCTAGCAGCTCAAATCCCCCGGCACGTACCAACCAGACCACACTCGTCATCCCAGGTCGACAAACGCAGCCGACCAGTTTCAACAGCACAATCGGCGGAGCCACCTACCTCCTCCAAATGCCCAACGCCCTCCTCCTCTTCACCAGCACGCTCATCGAGCTCCGCCAAAGGGGCTACGCCACCATCTCACCCACCGCAATGATGCGAGAAGACGTCCCGCACCACATCCTGGTCCAGAGCCTCACACGCACCGCGCGCTTTCTCGCGCAGGCGTGTGCTGCGTGAGCGACGGAGGAGGAGAGGTACTTGTCTGATAAGTGGGCGCCGCTGTTCCGTGATGCTATGAATGGGGGCCTTGCTGAGACGCCGGCGTCGGCGTTGAGGCCGTTGGTGTTTGCGGCGTTGTGTGATGCGAAGGAGGTGCTGCTGGCTGGGATGGCGTAGGGGGGGTGAGGTTGTGAGGATGTATGTAAAGTCGGGTTGGAGCACATGCGCGGTGGTCGGGTGTCTTGGTGGGCTGTTGAAGCGGGCATGGAGAAGCGTTGCACGAATTGACTGTTCAGGTAAGATCACGATCACTCAGTAGGTCTATTCTTTGCGAGGAGATTGGCCTGGAATTCCGTTGCTGTGTTGGAGGGAGCATGGTGTCGTTTGCAGCAATGCTAGGTGAATAGTCCAAATGTATCCCGTCCATTTCGAGTGATTGATACTGACGTCTCTCAGACATAGTCGAGCTCTCGGCCCTCGATACGTGCTTGCTTGAAACACAAACATTCCATTCATGACGGCAGCAGAAGAACATCGGCCGGGATGTTCTCTGGCTCAATACAAAGAGGTTTCTAAGACACTGAACAATCAGAACGACGGCTCCAGAAGGGTCTATCATCAGTGTTGTCTTTCTAGCATTCGCATGAGAGGGAAGTGTCGTCGCTGCAGCCTGATAAACAGTGCCATATTTAATATCCTGAACCGTCAATGTTGACGAGGTAGATCCAGCAACAGCACATCTCCAACATGTCGACCTCCCGCAAGCATTCTCTCACTCGAGAAGAACAGGAAGCTCAAAAGGAAGCTTGCACAAGACAAGCGTCGTCAGAGCCCAGCCGAGTCCCACCACCAGCATCCTGAGCAGCGACTACCATAGGAGAAGATATTAAACAGCAACGCCCGGACAACGACGGGTTTGTAGATGGATTTTCGAGGATTTACGATCCAAAAGATCCGGATGCAGGCATCCCTCCTGACCTTTACGCCGTCACATCTGCCATCATTGTCGACCTGAACCCGCCAGGCACGACCCTTTTCGCGTCAAACCTCTCGCTCCTTCCACAACAACAGCTTGTTGACTTCATCAATCGCGTCCTTCCGTGGATCCTGACGGAATGCAACAAAGCACGCTCAACCGACTATGATGATAAGTGGTTTGGCTTGGAAGGGCAATCATTTGAAGAGCTGCCGTTCGATGTTATTGTGTCTCTGGCGTACCAGTGTTTGGTGGACGCATGCTGTGTTGTTCGACTCGCTGACCCTGCTGCTGCGCCGGCTAGTGATGAAGAGGAAGACCAGAAAGACGAGAGTGAGAAACCAAGCGTGGGGGCTGATGCAACGGGGTTGGGCCTGATGGGGGATGCTGGGGATGATGGGAATGAAGCGGAGCAGCCACAGGGCGGTGAGCAGTGATGCAGTGTCGGTCAGGACGGGCCAGTTGGACGGCGTGAGGTGGTGTGGCGTGTATTTGGCGTGTGTTCACAAGGTTCGGTGGGTCGCGATGCTTTAGCTTGATGGGTTTGTCCGCTGGGTTTGCTGCTGCTAGGGATTGCAGCATCAACAAAGGTCCATCTGGCAAGGTTTGTGTTCGGTACATCTCAAGCAAGCGATTCTTTCATGATCACTCTTCCGTCTTTAGCGTTGTTTTAAACGCATGCTCGTTTGCTCGAGAGGGTGAGGTGACCATAGAAGTCAGCAGAATCCTCCTACATGCATCCATTCTTTAGCACAGATAGAGCAGAGCAAGATCTTCCAATGTCGCTGATAAAACAGCGAGCTCCCTGAGAGGAGTTCCCCTGCCAGCAAGAAGGATAAGCGTGGACTCAGGAAGGAGGAGAAGAAGAAGAAGGCGGAACAACAAGCTGCCATTACTGAGGCGAACAGCCAAGCAGAACACCGCACTTCAATTTTTGCCCAGCAGAATGAGTCTGGAGCCGCCCCTTCTGGAGAAACGAACCAGGAAGTGACTGCCGGTCCACAATCTATTGTCCAGAGCGATCCTGAAGCTGCCACCGATGAGAAGACCACCCAAGTTCCAGCCGCCAGCCCGGAGTCAGAGCAGGTAGACCAGTCCCAATCTGCCGCTGCCAATGAGGCCACTCAACTCACCAACGCCAGTGCGGAATCCAGACAGTCCAGAAAGCCTGAACCTGTCGCCGCCGGAGAGGAATTCAAGTCACAGACGCCACTCCAGGCTCGGAGCAGCCAACTGAGCGCTCGCCCACCGACAACCGCCTCAAGCCTCTCGCCGACCTCAACCCCTTCGAGAATGGAACACCAACTCTCCGCACCAGCTCCATGAGACCACCTTCCGTCTCGGAGCTCGTTGCCGCAGGAGAAGGCCACAAGACTCTCTGCATGTCCCTTAGAACGACTTCCGCCTGGATCTTGAAGCAATGCGAAGTTCCCGGTCGTGTTCCAGACGGCATGCAAGAGTCGTGCGCCGCATGGAAGCTGATCCAGAGGCAGTGGTCGTGGGTTGAAGGTCTTCGTATTGGGATCTTGAGGTATCTAGTGTGGAGGTGCCTGAAGGATGCGTATGATCTGCTGGATAGCATGGAGGCCGAGGCCGCTTTAGTTGCTTCTCGAAGCCAGGAAGCTGAGGAATCTAATGAGGAGGGGGATGAGGAGGGACAGGAAGGAGAGGACGAAAGAGAGGACGAAGACGAGGTAGAGGAAGAAGATAAGGTGGATGGGGGTTTTGGAGCAGTGGAAGACGACGTCCAATATGGTGAATGGTAGGCGAAAAATGCGACTTCGACTCAAGCCAGTGAGCTCAATGACTGCTGAGGCCACTCATGCATAGAGGAGAGATCGTCCGTAGCAGCTACAGAGCATGTCATGTACTATCCATCACAGCTGTCTCTTCACTTGCCTGGTTTCTCGACCTGCCAGTAAACTCCATGTTGTCATTCGCGCACTGTGAGATTTCCACTCGTGGTCACTCAATCGCTCGCTCTCGCATGGCATCTTCGTAACCCGCATGCGCTCCGATGTCTAGACGGATGTTGGCTTGCCCCGCGGATGCGCTCTTTGCTTGTGTTTGCGTCTGATGCGGAGGCCTGCATGCTGCTTCTGCGGTCCGGTTTGCTACTTCCATACGTCCATATAGGCCAGCAAAAGCCGTGGAGGCTGGGCTGTTCTCCGCATCACCAGCCAGCGCAATGTCGGACTCAGAACCACCATCGCCACCCAGATACAAGCGCGCCGGCCTCAGAAGCAGAGTTATGCTAAAGAACCCACCTGAGGTCGCAGATGACAGCGACTCCGAAGATGACAGCCCAAAACAAGAGCCACCAAGCGACGATGACCCCGACAGCGACAAACGAGAAATCCCCGAAGACATCTGTCCCTTCCTCGACTGCAACAACAAAGATCCCGACCCCGCCAGCATCAAATTCTTCAGCGTCTCTGACCTCGTCCGCTGGAAGATCTCCCACCACGAACTCATCAGCTCCATGGGTAGTAGTTCGGGATGGCTCATCAGGCGATGCAAGAAAGCGAGCAAGTCCACGCCACGAATGGAGGAGCTCCATGCCGCCTAAGTAGCGATACAGGTGATGGGACGTGGGAGGGGAGAGTTCGAGAAGGGCTTGCAGGGCCTTCCCGATTCAGTCCTGAGGTACTTGGCTTGTGCAAGCTTGCGGGATGCGTATGATGTGCCGCAGGACGTTCTTGAAATCGATGCGGGCGCAGCTGCTGCGCAGAGCGAGAAGCCTGCTAAGAAGAAGGTGACAGTGGAGGCAGAGGCAGAGGGTTGGGGGTCGACATTGCCTGTGAGGACTGTTGTGCTGGGAGTAGAAGAGAACTCGGCAGGACCGGTCTCGTGCTATCCAGGAGGTTGAGCATTGCCTCGGGATACGGAATGACTGGTGGTGTCTGATCTTTCGCACTCCATTGATTGTTGTGGCATCTGTGGGAAGGAGAGACGAATATGGTATGTGTTGGGATCTGAACACAACCATGTTGATATGGTACAGCGCCTGGCATTTCCACCTCGCCTACATAGCTGCTCAGATCGTCAATACATCCCACTGCACACATCATGCTCACTTACATCGCCTACCCCAGCCATCTGCCATATAGCTTATCGCACCAGATCAGAGCATCGCCCTCAGCCCAGCCTCCTTGCCCCTATCCAAGCCCAAGTGCTCGACCTAACAACATCATCAGTAAACAACCTCAACATCTCCTACGAAAGATAAAGCCAACTCACCACCTGCCCCAAATGATCCACCCCCCAAAAACACTCCTTCCTCCCCTCTCCATCCGTCGCGACAAACCATGGCAGCCCAAACGCCCCCTCGTCCATCGCCCAATCCGAATTCCCACTCAACCGCTCCTTCGCCTCCTTCCCCTTCGCCGCCTCCAACACCCCCTTCGCCGCCTCCACCCCAAGCACCTTCTCCAACACCGGGCCGAAAATCTCCGGCTTCCCGATCGTCTGGCCCTCGACCCAGAACGCTTGGTACAGCGCCGCGAAGCAGTCGGTGAGTTGGGCCGGGTGCGAGGATTGGATGGCGCAAAGGGCGCGTTGGGGGTTGAGGGTGGGTTGGGGGAAGGGTTGGGGGCTGTTTTCGAGCATGGGGATGTTGAAGGCGCGCTGCCAGCGGCGGCGCTCGAGATTGATCCATTTGTCTTTGTCTGTATTCGCGAGAAGAGAGGGGGGTTAGTAGAGGGTGGAGTGGGGAGGGCTAGGGGAGAGGAGAGGACTTTTGATTTCGATTGGGGCGGTGTTGCCGCACGCTTTCATTACGCCGCCGAGGAAGATCGGGACGTAGGTGACTTCGCAATTCTTGAAGACGGGGGAGTTCTGGGAGAAGAGGTGGTTAGCTGCGGTTCTCGATCTGGTGTGAGGTAGGGAGATGTGAAGGGCCGGTTGACGAGGAGAGTGAACGCCATCCTCTGTCTAACAAGTTTGATGACATTGATCTCAGGGATCTACTTACTCTCGTAACATGGAAAGCGATATAAGCAAAAGGACTAATGATGTCCAAGAAGAGCGTGAGCTTCGGTGGCGCCATCGTGGCTCGTTTGTGATGGTGGCGGTGTGTTGTGTGCTTATCAATTCACAACAATCCCGCTGCTCGAGACTTATGGTAGTTGAATAGTCTACGTAGTTGAACGGTCGATTGAAGTTGAATCCATCGAAGAGGACGTCGAGGAGGTGTCGTCCGGTCTGGCGGACAGCCGAGGTCCCGGGCGAAAGCGAAGCTTAAAGCCGACTTCAAGACCTCACCCAAGTACCTGAGAGGCCATTGATTCCAAAGGCGACATCGAAGAAGTGCGCAAAGGCTGAAAGACAAGTAGCGCTGGGCGTCAGATACATTCATGGCCATGCTAAGCTATACATACGCTCGTGATGCATTCGTAGACCTTCCATATTCACCAGCCCAGCCAGCACCAGTCCGGCCATCATGCCTTACTTCCACGTCTTAGCTTCACATCCTCTCCCTCTTCCGCGGCGCCGCCCGGATGATATTGTCGACTCTAAGCAGCAGCTCCGCCGCCTCACTCGCACTCGACACCACCGCCCTCTTCAACTTATAACTCTCCACCACCCCCAACTCCCGCATATCCGCGATCCCGCCACCGGGCTTCATCAGATCCAGCCCGGAACTGCTCATGCCCGAGTACACCGCCTTGCGTAGCCGCGCCACGAGGTCTGAACTATCCAACCCCGCGTTGTCGGCCAGGATGGTGGGGAGCTGCCGTAAGGCTTTGGAGAAGGAGTCGACCGCCAGCGCTTTCTTGCCGGCGACGTTCTGGGCCGCGTTGTCGACGGCTTTGGACATGACCATCTCCGCGCAGCCGCCGCCGAGGGTCGTCTGGGGGGATCCGACGGTTTGGGAGAGGACGGCTAGGGCGTCGTGGAGGCTGCGCTCGGCTTCGTCGAGGAGTTGTTCGGTCGCGCCGCGCAGAACGATGGTGCAGGCGCGCCCGGCTGCGACGCCGGAGAAACGGATCAAAGAGTCCTCGCCGATGATGACTTCTTCGATCAAGTCGCAATGGCCCAGCTTGACGTGCTCCGGGTGGTCGAACGTGCTGGTGATCTCTGCACCAGTAACGAGGGCGAGGCGCTCCACGCCATCAAAGTCGGCGTGCTCAATCGAAGCAATGCCAGCGTCCGCGAAGAGCTGCTCGGGCCAGTTGTAGATGAGTTGGCGGTTGACGAAGCAGTTGATGCCATGGGACTTGATGCGGTCGACCTTTGACTTCATCTTCTCCCGCTCGGCTTTCTCGAGATCTGCGAGCTTGCCTGTGCTTTCCACCTTCACCCGCGCGCCGAAGATCTTGACTTTGTCCGTGTCCATGCTGGTGTTTGCGACGAGGATTTTGGCATTCTCCACCTTCTTCGGTTGGTTGACGCCGAATCGCTTGTCGAGAATGAATCCTTCATCGAGGTAGGAGTCGGAGAGCTTGCCGCCCGCCTTCTTTATGACTTGGATGTGTGTGAGGTCTGTGGAGCCCTTCATGCGGAGGACGGCGTCCGTGGCGAGGTTTGCAAAGTAGTCTCGGTCTTGTGAAAGGACTTTTGAGCTGAGGGTGGTGCGGGCGATGTGTACGAGGTCTTTCCTGAACTGCTCCTGGTTCTTGCTGTGGTCTGTTGCGTGCTCTTCCAGGGCTTTGAGCGCTGCTGCGCTCGCTATGCGGTAGCCTTCGATGATTGTTTGGGGGTGTATCTTCTGGTTCACCAGCTGTTCTGCCTCCCGTAGCAGCTCTGCGGCCAGGACCGCTACACTCGTCGTTCCGTCTCCCACCTCGTCGTCCTGCACTTTTGAAATGTTTACCAGCACCTTTGCCGCGGCGTTGTCCAAGGCTATGCTCTTCAGGATCGTTGCGCCGTCGTTCGTGACCATGATCTCGCCGGTGGAAGCTGATTGCAGGATCTTGTCCATGCCTTTCGGGCCAAGTGTGCTCTTGACCAGGTCGCCCACGGCGATGGCGCCGACTATACATTGTCAGTCTTGCCCTTCAATCTCTCTACTACTCAACATACCGAAAGCACTGAGCCTAGCATTCTCTCCCTTCTCTTCAATCGTGTCCTCGGCGAAGATTTGTGTTGCGGCCTGTATGCTGGTTAGCGAGGCTCACAACCAAATGAATGTAGCTGTATCTCACCATAGTGACTGTCTGCTGGTTTTGTGGTGGTGTGCAAACAAATCACAGCCTTTGATGTTTCGCTGCCTCTCTACGCGCAAGGCGACCTACTTTTTCACGCGATGCACAAAGTTTACGTAAGCGGCTTCTTCTTTGTCTTTGCGGAGAGTGAGGTCTCCTCCGAAGGCACCTCACAAACAGACAGACGATTGGACGACTTCGAGATGGCGAAGAGAGCAGCGGCAGAGCCTTTGGAAGACAGTGTGCCTGTGAACTCGCCGGCATCGAAGAAGGCGCGGATCCAGGACGTGCCGGACGAAGACCTCCCTCCTCCACCTCCACCACCAGAGGAACGCACAAATGGCCATGCGACAACGGGTAGCACTCCGGACATTGCAAGCGCAGACAAGGAGGAACACGATGAGCTCGAAGAGGCAGATGCGCTGGACGATGAGGACGAAGACAATGGGCAGATACGCACCTTGCGACAAAAGGAAGCAATGGACGGCTACCAGGACTTATATCTGGACAGCATCACCAGATCAGCCTTGGATTTCGACTTCCTACGGCAATGCTCCATAACACTATCAAATCAGAATGTCTACGCCTGCCTGGTATGTGGCAAGTATTTCTCCGGACGAGGGACGAAAACGCCCGCCTACTTCCACGCCCTCGAGATAGGGCACCACGTCTACATCAACATGGAGACGAAGAAGGTGTATGTGCTACCGGAAGGCTACGAGGTCAAGAGCAAGAGCTTAGACGACATCAAGTTCGTCGTCGACCCTCAATTCACACCAGAAGAAGTCAAAGCGTTAGACAAGGAACGACCACCCGCCTGGGACCTGGCAGGCCGCAAATACTACCCCGGCTTTGTCGGACTCAACAACATCAAAGCCAACGACTACGTCAACGTCGTCGCCCAAGCCCTCGCCCACGTCACGCCCCTCCGCAACTTCATGATGCTCGAAGACCTCTCCTCCCGCCCCCAACTCCCGCAACAATTCAGCGTCCTGGTCCGCAAGCTCTGGAACCCCAAAGCCTTCAAAAACCACGTCTCCCCGCACGAGTTGATGCAAGAAGTCAGCCTGCGCAGCAACAAGAAATACCTCCTCACCTCGCAAGCCGACCCCATCGAATTCCTCAACTGGTTCCTCAACAACCTCCACCTCACTCTCGGCGGCAGCAAAACCAAACTCCACAGCTCCCTCATCCAGAACATCTTCCAGGGTTCCCTCCGCATTGAGTCCCAATCCATCACCGCCCGCGCCGACGCCGGCGACCGCCTGCTCTTCGAAGACGCAGCGATCAAATCCCAAACCTCCCCCTTCATGATCCTCACCCTCGACCTGCCCCCGGCACCACTCTTCCAAGACGACGTGGAAAAGAACATCATCCCGCAAGTCCCCCTCACCACCGTGCTACAAAAATACAACGGCATCACCGCGCAAGAGCGCCTCAACACCCGCATGCGCTACCGCCTCTTACATCCCCTCCCACCTTACCTCATCATGCACGTCAAACGCTTTTTACCAAACAAATTCCTGCAATCCCAGCGCAACCCGACAATCGTCACCTTCTCCCCCCGCGCGCTCGACGTCTCCCCCTACGTCGAACCGAACCCCCAGATCCACCCGCCCCGGGAGCCGATCCTCTACGACCTCGTGGCGAACATCACCTACGAAGGCGTCAAGGTGCGGGATGATTCGGTGGAAGGCGAGGCGGAAAGGAAAGTCTGGAAGTGCCAGGTTAGGGAAGGTGGGGAGGGGGGCGGGTGGTGGGAGATGCAGGATTTGTTCGTCGAGAGGGTGAATGCGGAGTTGTTGGGGAGTAAGGAGAGTTATGTTATGGTGTGGGAGAGGAGGAAGACGAGTAAGGGGAAGCAGAAGGAGAGGGTGAGATGAGGTGAGCTGGTGGTTATCGTGGAGATGTTGAATTGTATATGAAGTCTTCGCCACACCACTCCGCGTCTTTTCGACCACGCGCTAGCCCAAGCGATCTTGTCCCACTAATCGCCAGCTCCTGCTTCGCAACCCGTTCCTTGCATCCGTTCACTCCTTCCTCCCGCGACGCCACTCGCTCTCTCCAACCGCGCAGTTCTCGCCGCGTTGAACCCTCTGTTCGGCAGCATCACGAACACCACCTCACCCAGCTCTGCTACGCCTTGCTGGACTCGTTCCCCACACCGAGCTGAGGGAAGGGAGAAATTGAGCTGCGTCGAGACGTCCGCTTCGCGCAGTGATTTAGGCCAGCCTGACAATGTCCAGAGATTATCTGCTACTCCGGCGACTCCAGTGCCAATGTTTGCACCGGCAGTCCGGCGACCAAAGCGCGGACCTAGCCTCTATCCGTCTTGCGGGCATCTACCACGCAGCTATTTTACAATACCGTCCGACCAGTACAGGCGTCGTGGAACAGATGCGCGGCAGCTGCTCTTTCGTGCTGGTACCGATGCGCGTCGGCATGCACATCTCCACCCCGTCTGTGGCGGAGCTGAAATCACTCGCTTGCCGTGTCACATCTGTACCTCGACGTCTCTGCCGCTGTGGCGGTGTTGCGGCAAAGGCCAGGACATAAAGCGTAGGGTGTGTCGGCGAGGATGGTAGTCGAGCTGCGCAGATTGCGAGATAGCCGTGGCGGCTGCGGTGGCACGGAGAACTTGGTGCGGTTCGGCGTGATCGAAATGCGACTTGGAAGAGAGCCACGACTCGTGGCAGGTAGACATGAATCAGCCCAACTGTGGTGACAGTTCGATATTCTCGCCTCGTTTCCGCAGCCACTCCGTCTCGGCTCGGAAGAGCAGCCACATCCACCGGCGCATGACTTCAAGCATCTCGAGCAAGAAGACCGTTTTCTCCTTGTACTCGTAGATGTCTAGTCGCGCGGAGAGCTTGCCGAGCCATGTGAATCGGAGTATGGAGTCGACGATGACGATCAACACACATCGAGTGGTGAGGCCCATGATGCGGGTTTGATTGCGGTGGTGGGGGGCAGAGGAGATCATCCAGAGGTCCCAATCGACGAAGATGTCCCACCAGAGTGAGTAGCCGGAGTTGACCACCGCGAAGAAGACCCTACGATCGGTCAGTCAGTCTCTATACTACTCAAATTGAAAACTGCTCCGTACCACCAGTACTGAATATAGCCAGAGCCGTCAATGGCATGATCTGAGTAGCTCATCATGGCGCCCACAATGATAGGCGGGAAGGCCGTCATATACTTGATAGCGTTCGCTGGTTGGCGCGAGAGGAGGCATTGGCGGAAGCGGATCGCGAAAGGGTAGGCGGCCAGGGCTGGGATGATGTAGAATGCCCCCGGCATTGTGGAGACATCTTTTTGGGTGTGCCGGCTATGGCGGGTGGTCAGATATAAACCCATAAGATAGTCGTAACGAACTTTGTAGAGTAAATGTGCAGGTTTGGTACACACCTGGGCAAGAACATGCAAAAAGCCACATAGAGCGCAGCAATCGGCCTCGCGTACGAAGTCAAAGCGTCCGCAAGAAGCACATCGCCAAACCGTGGCTCATCTTGCTTCGCCAGTCCTCCGATTGAAACCCTTTTCAGCGACGACCAGAACCTCGAAAGCCCAGCCCGCGGTAGAGGAAGCCCCTTGATGTGAAGCGGGACAAACTTCAGAATAACCAAAAGAAGCGTAACATTGGGCAAAAAGCGCCAAGTCGCAGCGTTCTCAATATTAGTAACCGCAGACCAAAAGAGGACGGACAGAACGAGTGGCCCAGTAAGGATGCTGGCGAAAGTGTATGTAGTTTGGTGAGTCTGCTGGCCGTGAGGGTGGCCGACCAACTGAGCGAGAGGCTTGACCAGCTGGAGCGCGAAGCCCCAGAGCCATACGCCGCCGACTATGAGGATGGAGAGGCGATACGGTAGGGGGAGGGATATGTCGAGGGGGTCGTCTTCCATGGTGTGGCCTTCTTAAGGAGTGTCGTACGCGACCGGAGCGAGGTGGAGGTCCGCGGATGATGCCATGAGTCTGTCTATGCTGGTACAGGCATCTCTTCAGAGGGTAGCGGCCTGGATCTATGTGTATGGCGGTGTCGTAGGTTCTGATTGATATTCTGTGTAGCAAGTGAGGTCGAGTCGCACAAGATTCGAGATGCGATTTTATGCAGGGATGCCTGAAAAGTCGAAACCTGAATCTCGGAAGTGGAAGGTTCCTGACAGGCGACGAGTGGTTTACGTAGACGGCAACATCTGATTATAAACCGTTCTTCTTGGCCCCGAAAGATTGGATACAATTTGGGCCCATACCAACTCTCTGGACCCGGACGAACACTCTCTCGAAAATTTCGATCACGATGATACACCCATAGAGAACGACAACACCCAAGAAGAAGTCAGTGGCGGATATGGCCTCGACTCAGACGCCGGAGCAGCGCGAGTTGTCGCTCGTTGGGAAGGTGGAGATGAGGATTGCGCTTACAGACTCGGATGCCAAACTCGAGACTACGTTGAAGACTTATCTGGCACCACTCCTGCTCAAGCTGGCATCGGAACATCAGAGCGTACGGAACAAGGTCATATCAGTATGCCAGCACGTCAACACGAGAGTCAAGCCGCAGTCAATCCAGCTCCCTGTGCCGGACCTGGTCAAGCAATTCAAGGCGCAGGAGAACCAGCTCGTTCGCCACTTCGACCTGTTATACATCCAGCAGGGCGTCGGTAGGCTTTCAAGTGGCGAGAAGGCCGAACTCTTGCCTGTGGTTGTCAAAGGGATAGCATCCTCTGGTAGCCATGGTGCTCGTATCTTCAACCTCTTCTTACGCCTTCTCGAGTTCTTCACGCTACCTCCGCGTGGAAGCAAGGACGATCTGGAGCTGAGGGAACGGTTCGGCTTGTCGAGCGCAGACACCGAGTTCTTGGCATCAAACATTGGCAGGCTCCTTCTCTTCGTTCCACAGAAAGGTACAAGCACTACATGCCCTGGCGTAACGCAGGAAGAGTACGCCTCCCTCAACCTGCACGGCAAAGACGATGTATGGAATCCTTCTGCAGGCGGGCTCAATCTCCAGCGAACCAAGGTTCTTGCTGCCAGGACCTTAGCGAGCGGGATTTTCAACGACCAAGAGCGATTCCTACCCGGACTCTTCGCCTCTTCGGACACTTCGTCAAATATCAGCGATGTTGGAGATGACATTCTGAAACGATCGACGCCCGCCATAGACCTGGAGAACGAAGCATTGATCCAAAATTTGTACGATCTGTACTTTGGCACAGAGTCACGGCCACGAGTGCGAGCGCCTCTGCGGCTGAAGATCTTAGGTCTGTTGAACAAATCGATGAGGAGCACGACCTTTGCGAACAAGATCTCGAAGCTCGTAGATGATGGCATTTCTGTACCGACGCTGGATGGCGAGGACACCGTAATGTCGAATGGCACCAGGTAAGCCTCATCGTTTCGGAAATAAATCCTCTGGCAAACGCTCTTGCTGAGCCCACGCTCTTGCAGCTACAGCCGCAGTCAAGATATCCACTGACGCTCAATGGTGCTCCAAGCATAGGCCGAGAGGCAGTGAAACTCCGTTCAGCCATCTTCACCTACGTCAACTTTGTGGCTAGACATGGTGCCTCAGAAACTCTCCACAGCATCGCCAACGGAGTCATCAGCCGCTTGAGAGATTTCATCGATCATCAAGGCTGGCCCAAGGTCGGCCCAAATGAGGACCTGGTTTCAAGAGGATATGCTTACGAAGTGGTTGGTCTGCTTGCCAAAGCCGGGCCTAAGAGCCTTCTGGTGGAGGACGAGCAGCGCACACTGGACTTACTGCGTTGGATGTTCACTTCGCTCGCCAAGGACTCGTCTGGAAGCTCCATCGTTGTAAGCATCGAAGAGTCTCTGTCGACGTTGCTGAGTGCTTTTGCTCGGCTGAAGCTTGATGCGAACGAACAGGCTGTTCTCGAAGATCTCCTGATCGACCAGATGGAACAGTCAGCGGATCTGGCCGGCAATCAGAGGATAAGGAGTACACGCTATGTAGTTGTCCGCTTTGCCAACCGCTGTCTGCCCTACGCATCCGTCAAGGCGCGCTGGATCGACGTCCTGGGCTTAGGAGCCACTACCGACAGGGCAGAAGTCAGAGAAGAAGCTGAGCGCGGACTCAGCCCATACTGGTATCGCATGCTTAATGGATCTACTGGAGTACAAGATCCTGGCATGCCATCACTTCCGTCCTTCCCATCGGTCGTGGATCACTTCTTCGGCGGTAGAACAACAGAGCGTAGCGCGGAGCCTGCGGCAGTTGCAAGATATGCTCACAAAGCATACGCACAATCCTTCCAACACCTGACCTCGTTTGCACGTCATATGCTACTCGCAGAGGCCTTGGAACATGCGGGCGTTGCTGTCAATGCTGACAGCGAATGGGAACGGAAGCTGGACGTTGCCGTTGAAACCGACCCAAAGGCGCGAGAAGCGGTGCTAAGCTACGTGCAGAAGTCCACCAGTGCATATGGCTCTCAGCTGGCTATCCTGCTCTACGCTCTATTCGAGAGCCTGATCGGGACAGTTGTCGACGCAGATAACCATCTGATTGAGTTCCTGGCACTGGCGCCTGACATTCTGGTCAAGACTTTGGTTCCCAGCACGCATCTCCTTCTACCCATACTGAAGACCAACAACTCGAATCGCCGTGCAGCGGCAGCACAGACCTATGGCATACTTTCATCCTACCCGGACTCAGATGCGTCTTCTCGGCAGAAGGAAACACAGCAGCTTCAGGATGTCATAGGAGGCTGGTCAGCGGCGGTTGGCGCTGCATCGAGCCATGTCCATGGTGCTCTACTTGCTCTTGGCTACTACTTCAGTCGATGCTCTTATCGGAAGCGCGAGGTGTCCCCGGCTGCACAGAGTCAGCTGTTGACGACACTATTGGAAGTCATTTCGGACTCCAGAGACAACATGCTCAAGAACGCAAGCTACACTGCTCTTGGACAGCTCTGCATGTACGACTGCGTCAACGTGGAGGCGATTGAGGAGAAGTCCAAGCTGCGCGCTCTCATCGACACCCTGTACAAGACCGCTAAAGAAGGCAACGAGGCGGCCATTCTCTGCATGGGCCAGCTCTCCATGGTTTTGCCTGAAGAAGGCAGCGAAGGAAGTAATCTCAGCTACCTCGTCGAGCAATTGCGAAGGCTTCACGAGATCAAGCAAGCAGAGGTTCACTTCACGGTCGGCGAAGCCTTGAGCTACGTGGCAACTGGTTGGGAATCTGGAGCTCTGGCGACGAAACTGGACATCGAAGGCCCGAGACCCAGCAGCTCGCAAAGGACCTCTACACTCTCGAAGCTAATTGACCAGACTCTGAACGACTGCGCGAACACGAAGCCAGCGCTGAAGAAGGCCGCTGTGATCTGGCTTCTGTGCTTGGTACAATTCTGTGGTGAGGAGAAGGAGGTTCAGAGTCGATTGCCAGCATGTCAAGCTGCTTTCAAGCGGTGCCTATCGGACAGGGACGAGCTGGTGCAGGAGACAGCTTCAAGAGGGCTTGGGTTGGTGTACGAGAAGGGTGACCGCAGCCTCAAGGACGACCTCGTCCGGGATCTGGTCTCATCCTTCTCATCAGACAAACAATCAGGACTCGCTGGCAACGTGTCGGCGGACACACAACTGTTCGAGCCAGGCGCTCTTCCTACTGGAGATGGCTCGGTATCGACTTACAAAGACATCATGAGTCTTGCCTCTGAAGTCGGAGATTCCAGCCTAGTGTACAGATTCATGTCAATGGCCTCCTCGAACGCCATCTGGTCCAGCCGCGCGGCGTTTGGCCGGTTCGGCCTTAGCAACGTTCTCTCCGACTCTAGTGTTGATGGATACCTGGCCAACAACCCAAAGCTGTACCCTAAACTCTTCCGATACCGATTCGATCCGAACGGTGGCGTGCAGAGGTCAATGAACGATATCTGGAATGCGCTGGTCAAGGACTCGTCAGCTACTATAGATGCACATTTCGATGCGATCATGGAAGATCTGCTCACGAGCATTCTTGGTAAAGAGTGGCGGGTCCGGCAGGGCAGCTGTGCAGCGATCGCAGACCTGGTATCTGGCCGACCACTTGACAAGTACGAACAGTATCTGGAACGGATCTGGGGCCAATGCTTTAAGGTGCTCGATGACATCAAGGAGTCTGTTCGGGCAGCGGCAGCCTCGCTTGCGAGGACATTGACTGGTGTATTGACCAGAGCGCTAGAGGCAGACCACTCGTCCACGAAGAACGCATCAGCGATGCTGAAGCATGTCCTGCCTTTCCTACTTTCGCCTCAGGGCATGGAGTCCAGCGCAAAGGAGGTGCAGGCGTTTGCTGTCCACACTCTGCTCGAGATCATCAAGAAGTCCAATGGCAGTACTTTGAGGCCGTTCATACCTGATCTAGTGGAACGGCTCATTGGCTTGCTGAGCTCACTTGAACCGGAAGCCGTCAACTACGTCCATCTGAACGCTTCCAAGTACAACCTCACCGAACAGAAAATCGACGACATGCGGTTGTCCAGTGTGCGAAGCAGCCCCCTCATGGAGGCGATCGAGCGCTGCCTGGACCTCCTCGACGAGCCCACCATGCACGCTTTGCAGCCACGGTTAGAGAGCGCGATGAAAAGCGCCGTTGGCCTGCCTTCAAAAGTCGGCTCAAGCCGTGTGTTGGTATCACTCAGCACTCGCCGCCCCTACCTCTTCCGAGCATTCGCAGACGACTACCTCAAAGTCATCGAGAAACTCGTCATCGACCGCAACGAAACAGTAGCAAGCTCCTACGCCATGGCAGCGGGCTATGTCGCCCGGAGCGCGTCCGACAAGCAGATCCTCCGTACAGTCAACTTTGCCAAACGACTGTACTTCGAATCCGAAGGCGACCGCGAAGCAACCGTCCCACGGCGTAGCATCACTTCAGGAGAGATCATGTTCGCTCTCTCGAAACATGCTAGTGACCGCTTCAACTCCCTCGCCTCCTCCGTGCTCCCGTTCGTTTATGTCGGCCGCCACGACTCCAACGAGCAGGTCAAAGAGCAATTCCAAAACACATGGAACGAATCCGTCGGCGGCTCTAGAGCGGTCCTGCTCTTTCTGGCGGAGATTCTGGAATTGTGTACCAAGCATCTCGACTCGCCGCAGTGGGTGCTCAAGCACACTTCTGCGCGGACCGTGGCGGATGCCGTGACGGCAGTTTCGACACTCGAGGCGAAAATGTCTGAGAAGGTGGGGGAGCAGCTGTGGCCTGCGCTGGAGAAGGCTTTGGGCGGGAAGACGTGGGAGGGGAAGGAGGTGGTTTTGGGGGCGTTTGTGAAGTTTGTGGAGACTGGGCAGGCGTTCTACGTGCAACGAGCGGCTGTAAAGGATGGCATCATTAAGGTAAGGAGATCCGTGACTGTGATGTGGAAGCCATCGCTGATCAACTTCTAGATCGCCGTCCGCGAAGCCAAGCGCCAGAACGCGGTATACAAACCCCATTCCATCCAAGCGCTCGGGCAGGTCGCACAAGCCCGCAGCGACATCGACATGAGCGACACCATCTTCGACATCGTCGGTCCGCTTCTAGAAAGCGAGGTCGACGATGAGGATGCAATGGAAATCGATGGCGGCCAGGCGAAGAAAGCCGGTGATCTGTAAGTCTGGAACGGAGGCGGACACGTTCGTGGTGACACGGCAGCTGACAGTTTCTTTTAGCTTGATGGCCGCACACGTGGCAGCCATCAACGCCTTGTGCGCTGGTGTCAATCCGGCACTGTCTCAGGACGATGCTGTAGGCAAGAAGTTGCAGAAAGCCTTCGACATCGCGGCCAGAGTGATCGCGACGCCAGCAGATGTACGACGAGCCCTTTTCGACAGCGTCGCGAAAGTGTTCGGCCGGATCCGTGAAGCTGGCAAGGGAGCGGATATTGATATGGATGTCACGAGTCTGAAGACTATTCTATTCGGCCCGAACGTGGACATCGAAGCTTTGCGCTTGCTCAGAGCCGATGCGCTGCTTGCGATTAGGAAGGCGGCGCCCGGCGTGATCGCGAAGATGCGCGGCGAGGTAGAGGAGATTCGGGAGAAGGAGGTTTCGGGGGCGGTTCGAGAACGCTTGGGCAAAGCTACTGCCGAGGAGTAGGGCTGAGACGGACAACTGGGAATGTGGTGGTGGGTGTTACCGAAGGTTGTTACCTCCTACTAGAAGGGTCCGGGTACATGGCTATCGGTTTAGTTGTACATGCCACGAGAGTGGCTGTTCTTTACCACTGCTTGGTACGACACGGGTCGTCTAAAAAAGCGAGCCGTAGCCGTCTTAGAGGTTCTGTTGACGTCGAACCAGGTGGGTGTATGCAGACTCGGCGGAGTCGTCTCATCCTCTCCGCGGACCCGGCAGTTGTGACTCAAGGGTTCCATCGGACATGAATATTCCTGCCAAACAATTCCATGTCAGTTTGTGATTGCATCTCCGGCTGTCCACATGCAGTGAGCAGTAGATCTTTTACCTACTCCGTGCTTGTCGTCGAGACGAGGGTTCTGGACCAGTCCATTAAGTCCTACCCACTAAGCACGGTCACGTCGGTCCTGCAATCCTACATCACCACGCCGCGGCACCAACCGAAGCCTCATCACCATCCTTGTCGCGCACATGGCAATAGAAATGACACGTGCAGTAGTCTGTCTCGTTTGTGCTACACTCACTGCACTTAGGCATGCTGGTTCCGGATCGACGTGCTTCTGTGGCACAGCAAGCCTCCAGAGGCTCGACGCAGGAACGAACGCCTCGGTCGGTCCAGATTCGAGCAGGCATCGGTGGCGCCGACGGACTGGACTCCTCGACTACATCTCTCGCTTTCCAGGAGACCAGCATTCGCTCTTCCACGTCCTGAATTGGCACAGCCCGCCAAATGGCAAGACGAAAGCTGCATGAGCATGCTAGCTGATGTCAATGCCGCAACAGCGAGCAAGGGTGATGTACCAATGTGGCGTTTCCCAGCATTCAATAGCCTTTGGCCCACCAGCTTTCGGACCAGTCCACCGCAAGAGTCTGGACAAGTGCCGCGTGCAGTCCTCGTGGCAGCCACGGCGCCACTGATGCTTGTCGTGGAGCACGGTGAGATGCGGCCCTGCGAACTGCCCTTGACTGCTCGCGTGGCCAGCGCCTATAGGGGCATAGTTGTCCCATATGCGTTGAGAGCTAACGAAGAGGCATACGCAGGCTGCCGTCATGGTCGTTCGGTTAGCCTTTTGCGAAGATGCTTGCATCGTCTTCGGTACACAATGTCGAATATCCAGGTGTGAAACTGCCCCTCGAGGACCACCAGAGCAAACTCGCTGGACTACTGTTGGGCTGGTGTAACTTCGAACCAGTCCTTATACTCGGCCGATTTTCCGTTGCAGACGACTCAGACTTGCAGTGATCTCGACCATCGACTTGCACCGAGTGTCGTCGAGCCGCAGCTGTGCTACAGTGGAGTTGGCGGACCTTGTCCTTGTTGCGTTCTCGCCATTGGCTTCCTTTGCTCGCGAACTTTTACCTTACTTCCTCTGACCACTTCACTTTTCCGACGACGTCCCGCTCGCATGATGCAAGAGGGTGAAGAGCCAGGTCCGTCGCAGCCACGAAGAAATCAACTTCCCGCTCTAGCACCTCGTCATCTACAACCTACCGCATCTAAAGACCGGAGCACGTTGAACTCTGGTTCTGGTCGGCCACCTCGACTGTCCCATCGGTCAAGAGCAGGCTGTTGGACTTGTCGAGCTCGTAAGGTGGGTTGTATTCGTTGCTCAATGCTTGTCTACATCGCTGACGCTGCTCAAGGTCAAATGTGACGAAGTTCACCCAAAGTGTGGCGTAGGTGCGCAGCACAAGGTCTTGACTGGTCGTATATTGACAAGTTCATAGCCTTGCACGAGACTAGATCGGCCTTGTGACTGGGACCATCGTTGGAATGTATGTAAAGCCGGCAAGAGTCCTTCAGACAACAAGCCTGACATGGTCTAGTTCAGCGACGCTACTTCCAGCACGCAGAGCAAATACGACAATGTCACAACGACAGGCAACGCGGTATGGGACCGTAAGCATTCTCTTGCGCCACAGACCGGGCGACTGTGAAGCACGACTGGACTGACACGGTCTCCCAGCGCAAGCACGAAGTCCAGACCTCAGTCCGAACCAGCGCCAACATGACGATATGCCTGCATTCGCTGCCCTGACAAGCGACGAAGCCAGAGAACGGAAAGCAGAATCGAGTAGACCAGGCACATTCGCTGTGGTCGTGACACCCGAGAGCTTCTCCGAGCTACCAGAGTACGCTGGAACGAGCTCTCCAGAAAGCAGGCGTGGAAGCGTCCAGTCGTCAGTCAGCAGCCTCGCAGCCCACGTTTCTTCCGCTGGAAGAGCATCAGGCCGAAGCCAAACAGATCCAAACGTTGTGGTCCTGGACCGATTTGAGGATATACCGTTACCACCCGCTGGCTTCTACTCGTCGCCGACCGACGCACGGCGACCGAGCCTCCCGGACCGGATACAGTACCTTTCCATCGACACACGTCGTCCTTCTATGCCGCAGAACCTGCTTTCATCCCCTCAATCTACGCAGATGATTGCCATGGACGATCCGTTCGTATCACACTTCCGGCGATATGTCCTACCGCGGCTGGTACAGCCTCGGTTAGAAGAGACGTCTAAAGACCTGTCGATCTCAAGAACGAGAGATATCTTCGAGATCGAGGCCCGTCGCTTCGCGCCATTACATCAAGCAATCTGCGCATTGAGTGCTCTCAACCTCTCCTACAACGGCGCCGCGAGCGTAGATGCCGCTCACTCGCACTACGGACGAGCTCTCCAACCGCAAACAGCAACGACTAGTCAAGATGAGCTCTTATCGAACGGCGCCTTCCTCCGTCACTTCCTGCTCTTCATCTACGACGTTTGCATCCCCATGCAGCATGATAAAGGGGCAGCGAACATGTGGGCCATTCACCTCGATCACCTACAGCGTATAGCTGTTCTACGCCATGACACGTTGGGTCCTGAAAGACACGGCTATCTGCTTTGGGCTATCTGCGAGCTGGACGTGTACGCCTGTTTGTTGGGCAGTGGAGACTGCAGCTTCGTTCGGACATTACTGCAGCACCAGATGATGCCCGGGTTGGACCAGCAGATCCCGCAGCCGGCGAGCTCGACGGGCCCTTTCTTCCCAAACGAGGTGCAGGTGTTTCCGCCGATCCTTGCTTTACGGCATGGCGTAATGATGCGACTTGCGAAGATTGCTCAAACTGCGCAGACATTCAGGCGAGAAGCGACGAACCCCAGCGGAGTATCACCAGGAGCATATGCGAGATGGCAGTCAATAGCCTCCCAGCTCCAAGCCGAACTCGCTTCCTTCTGGCAGCAAGCCTACCCACCATTCCTGGTACGCTTCACCCTCCCTTCAATCTACTCCCACATACTAACCTCACCCCAGCCCCCTTCATCCCCCACCTCCGCCCATGACCTCTCACCCCGCCCCCGCCAAATCCACGACCAAGCCTTCCTCCTCCACCACCTCGCCACCCTCTACCTTCGCACCAGCATGTTCCCGCGCCAACGCAGCCTCCCGCTCTCCAACCAGCACGAACTCCAAACCGACACCGAAACCCGCGTCTCCTCCATCCTCGCCTCCGCCACCCTGCAACTGCAAGCCCGACAGTTGGAGAGACGGGACGTTATCTTCCCGCTCTTCATCGCCGGGTACGCGACGACGCAGCCGGATCTCAAGATCCAGGCGCTGGATCTGATGAAGGCGTTTGAGGGGCAGGGGGTGGGGCAGAACACGTTCACGACGAGAAGGTTGTTGGGTGCGGTGTACGAGGAGCAGCGAAGGCGCGTGGAGGGGGGCGGGAGGATGGAGGAGGTGGAGTGGATGCGGGTGGCGCGGGAGAGGGGGTTGGGGGTGGTGAATTGTGGGTTATAATCAACTTCGTTTCTGGCTACGGTGCATGTGATACCATTTTGGGGTGTAATAGCGTTGGCGGCAACAACATTGGCATTTCATAGAGCCGCTAATCAACAGCTGGCGATGGCGCGTAATCTTCCAGCATGTCCGCAACACAATACAACACAACACATCCCCACGCTCCCCCGGCGTCCCGACGCTATGCAAAAAAGAAACCCCCTCCACCCACCATCAACGATACACATCTACGCATCCTCCGCCTCAACCCGACAAAGCACCTCCTCCAAAAACCCCTCCAGCACCCCTTCCACTCCATCCCCCATACTCACCCCCGCCACCCCGTCCCAATGATCCACTTCTTTAAACAGCCGCGAGATCTTCCCCATGCACTTCCGTATCTGGTCGTGCGTCTGGCGTTTCAGGGCCATAGATTCTTCTGCCTTGGCATCGGTTGGACCGTTGGAGACGCGAGCGTTGTGTTTTTTCTGTTCGAGGGAGAGTTGGTAGCTGCGGCGTTGGAGAGCGGCTTCGAGGGCGGGGAGGACGACAGAGGAGAGGGCTGTGACGGGTTGGTCTTGTGGGGGGATTGAGGTGGGGGGTGTGGAGGTTGGGGGTGTGGAGCTTCGGGCGGAGTCGAGGGAGGATCTGGATTGCGGTTGTTGGGTGCTTGGCGGTCTGCTGCCGTTCGCGGGAGGAGCGAAGGTGGGTAGTGGTTTTTGGTAGAGTTCGTTAGTCGAGTTCTGCGCGGGTGGGAGGGCGGTGTTTGGAGCTTGCTGAGGTGTACGAGCTTGCGGTGAGCCTTGTGCGCTGGTTGTGGAAGTCTGCGCTGCTGGCTGCAGCTTCGGTCCTGATATTGGTCGTTCTTCGATTGCCAAGCCTTTCATGTACTTGGACATGTCGCTTGCGATCGATTGTTGCAGGAAGTCGTCGTTAAGCATTCGTGGGCTTTGTGGTGTTTCGGGCGGTTTTGGTGATGCTTGTGGTTTGTCACGTTGAGGTGTCGTTTGGAGCTGTGTCTGATGTGGTACCGGCTTTCTCGTGGGCGATGCAGGGAGAGGCACCTTTGCGGCCTGCCCAGGCGATGGCTGAGGTTGAGATGGCTTGGTCGCTAAGGGTGTCTTTGGAAGTGGCGGAGGTGGCATCATGCCTTTGACTGTTGATTTGGTCTCGTCCTCGTCGAAGCTGTTCTCCTTATTGGACACCGAGCGCTTGGTGGGCGATGACGGTGCCTGGCTCCGTCGCGAGTTCATACCAGACTCATTCATCGCTCTCAGTCCACTCGTTCCATTCGCACGTCTGCCAGCCGGCCTGACCGTGCCAAAGTCCCACAGATCTTCCTCTTCGCTATCTCTTGATGGCGAGTCTTCTCTGTAGTCATCGTCGTCACGGTCCTTGTCTTCACGGTGTGTAGCCTGCCACCGCTCGTGCCGCTCAATGAGTTCCGTCAAGTATGCCGTCCGCTTCGCCTTCCGCACCCAAGGGTGCTTGAGCAGATCTCGTGCGCTCGGCCGCTCTTTTGGCTCTTTCCGCAGGCATCGTCCCACGAAGTCTTTGAAGTCTTTGCTGAAGTTGCCATCCAATACTGGCGCTGGGTTCTTTGGGATCAGAAACAAGACCTTCATTGGATGGATGTCGCTGTATGGTGGCTCTCCAAGCGCCAGCTCCAGTGCGGTAATCCCCAGAGACCAGATGTCAGCCTTGTGATCGTAGCCAGACTGCTTGATGACCTCTGGGGCCATCCAGAAGGGTGTTCCAACAAATGTATTCTTCTTCGTCATCGTCGCCGTAAGCTGACCAGACACACCAAAGTCCGCCAGCTTGACCTGTCCATTGGCTCCCAGAAGTATGTTCGCAGCCTTGATATCTCGATGCAGTTTCCCATCACTGTGTAGATACTCCAGCCCCATCAACAGCTCCCGCACAATAATGCATATGTAGTCCTCCTCCAGCACCCTCGGCTTCAACATATCTCCACAACTGCCGCCCGAACAGTACTCCATGATGATCCACAGATCCGAGCCCTTGAGATATGATCCATAGTACTGTGTGACGTAGGGCGACTTCAGCCCAGCCAGGATGGAGATCTCTTGGATGATGTCGTCGACCTCGTCGTCGGCATTCTCAACATCGATAATCTTGATAGCCACCGATTGGCCGGTCCGCTTGTCCACGCCTTTGTAGACCTTGCCGAAGCTCCCTCCTCCTATGCATGCTTGCTTGGTGTAGATGGTCTCTGGGTCGGTGGATCCGTTGCTGAGGGTGGCAGCCATGGCTGCGGTGTTGATCGTGGAGGATCAGGCGAGTGAGATGAGTCCAGGCCGTGTAACTTCCAGTAAGACCTCAGCTAGTGAAGCAGTGTATATGCTCAGCTCAGCCCGTCGTAATAATGTGCTTGCTGCCGTCGTTGTCGTAGCTATGCGCCTCGTCTCGTCTGCGGCTCAGCAAACAATGGGTGAAGTCGTCTCGTTCGTGGATATCATGCAAGGACGGTCGTTGACAACCCAAAACACCCAAACACCGCGTTTCACCACAGCATGCACAGTCCGCCGGTTCGGCTATGTACCAGGGTAGTCGTGGTATCACTGATGCATTGGACCAGGATGCTCCGCGAAGGTCGTGTTTATTTAGCCTGCCTTCCTTAGCGACTGCTCTTGCTATTGGCTCATGAGATGCTGGCTGACGTAAAGCGGCGGCGACGACGCTTTCACATGTTTTTGACATTCACTTCTTCCGAGTCTGTCTACGCATATTTCAAGATGTGGAGGACATCACCATTGCTCAGCGCGCTTGCGTGCACATGTGTTGTCCAAAGTGCCATCCTCCCACAAGAGCCTCTCCTCAATGAAATGAGGCCAACCGAGACTGATCCCAAGCATGACATACTCGCCTTCCACAAGAACCTAACAGAGATCGAATCCATCACCTACAATGAGCAGAAGGCAGGCGACTGGCTGGCCGCCGCCCTCGAACACAACGGCTACACAGTCGAGAAGCAATGGGTCGATAAGGACGCCGGCCGCTTCAACATCTACGCCTACCCGGGCTCTGTCCGCGAAACCAAACTCCTGCTCTCATCCCACTACGACACCGTCCGTGACCCATCCCCATCCTCCTGTAGGTGCCCGTGCTGAGATCCGGTAGGTCCCCCCCTTCATCCCCTACACCCACACCAACACCACCATCGCCGGCCGCGGCACCGTCGACGACAAAGCCAGCATCGCCGCCCAATTCGCCACCGTCAACAGCCTGATCGCGCATGAGCAGATCAGCGCCGATTCCGTAGCCCTGCTCTTCGTCGTCGGCGAAGAAACCGGCGGCGACGGCATGCGCGCAGCTAATCGCCTCAACCTTAAACCCGAGACTATCGTCTTCGGCGAGCCGACCGAAGGCAAACTCGTCTCCGGCCACAAAGGTAATCTCGGCTTAAAAGTTACAGCGAAAGGCAAAGCAGCGCACTCCGGCTACCCGTGGCTCGGCCGCAGCGCCAACGAAGTCCTCACGCGCGCGCTGGCGGCTTTGATGGAGCTGGGTCCGAAGCTGCCGCGGAGTGAAAAGTACGGCGTCACGACGATTAATCTAGGGAGGATTGAGGGGGGTGTGGCGGCGAATGTGATTGCTTCGTCTGCGGAGGCGGAGGTGGCGGTGAGGATCGCTACTGGGACGCCGGAGGAGATCAAAGAAGAAATTACGCACGCTGTTCACCATGCTATTGAGACTTTCCTGGACGATGGGATGGAGCCGAAGGATGTCATCGAGTTGGCTTTCACGAGCAAAGGGTACGGACCGGTGGATATTGATCACGATATCCCGGGGTTTGAGGTGTTTACTGTGAATTACGGCACGGACATCCCGAATTTGGAGAAGACGGTGGAGGGGCAGAAGAGGTATTTGTATGGGCCGGGGAGTATCCTGGTGGCGCATAGTGATGATGAGGCGTTAGAGGAGGAAGAGTTGAATGAGGCTGTCGAGGGGTATGAGAGGATTATTCTGCATGTGTTGGGTAAAAACTAAGCTTGGAGCTGGATTGCGGAGCATGAGAGGCGAAGTGTATATAGTGTCGGTCGATAGTTGAATTAATGATCGAGGCAACTTCAATGCAAAGCCGGCCATGCTGTGTATGTCACCTTATAAATATATATCTCAACACGCTCGCTCGATGGAATCAAATGCTTTCGTAGCAGTACTCGACAGCCTGCAGCGTGACAAGGTGGGCTGCACCTCATAACTTGAACAGCTCTCGTAGCTGCTTCATCGTGTCTTCGGGATCCTTGACACTATGCCCGACCACCCGAGGATCCTCGTAGATCTCATTGTCGTTGCCGCCCTTGAACGTCTTGTCGCCGAAGAAATGGATGGTCGTATAGTCCACACCACCCTGCAAGTTCTTCTCGTTCTCGATGTGCTGCAGACAGTACCGCTTATCCCAGCCGGTGGGGAAGACGTCGAAGGAGATCTGGCCGCCGATGGAGTAGCTACACATTTCGTCAGTACAGAACATCGCGGAGGAGAGAAGGGTACTCACGTCATCCCCAGATCCGGAAACTCCCTCTTAATCGCCTCCACAAAGTCCTTCCGGATATTATGCTGCAAATCATACTTCTCATACTCATTCCGCTCCGCCGTCGTCGCATTCCTCCCCACGGGACTGACATTAATCATCCCATTCCTAAACTCCACAAAAGTCCCCCTCTTCACCGGAATATCCAAATCCGCGACGTAGTGCAAGATGAACCGGACCAGCTTCTTGTAGTTTTCTTCGCCAATCCACTTGATGAAGCTGTGCGCGGCGAGCGACTCGCCCATGCGGAAGGCCGTGAGTCCGTTCTCCGAGAAGCAGAAGTCGAAGAGGGTGGTGACGGGGATGGAGGCGGTGCCGAGTTGTTCCTGCTGCTTTTTGAAGTCGGAGCCGCCGACGAAGCCGATGGCGACTTGGTGGCGGAGTTGGGAGAGGAGGGTGAGCATTTCGGGGGAGACGCTCTGCATTCTGTTAGTTGGGGACTACTTGGATGAGGTGGTGAAGTGGTATACCAGTCTTGCTGGCGTGAGGGTGCCATCGACGTCGAAGAGGACGACGGTGTTCTTGATCGGTCTGTCGGCAAGGGCTGGCACCACTGTTGCGGCAGCTGTTGGTGCTGCCATGTTGGCGGTTGGTATAGGCAGAATTGGAGTCTCAATGGGTGTTTGGTGTTCCCAATGGCTGTCTGAGGATCAAGCAGATCTTATATCATGCGTCGTTCAACCGCCAGCTGTCTTGTGGTAGAGATGAAACGGCAAGCTGTTCCCAATGGCAGACAGCTGTTCAGTTTGTTTCTTCCAGCCACGTCGGACGCGTCAGCGCAATCAGAGGTTGGTCGTCGATTGTCAATCGCTCCGTCGGCAAGGGAGCGGTATGGCAAATCTTTTTGTTGCCGGCGGTGAGCTCGAGTGGATCGAATATGCAGGTCCATCTTCTCTAGTGCAACGTGGGACGAAAGGGTCGAGGTTGAAGTCAGGGCAATGCCCCGCACTTGCATGTGAAAGTGAAAGTGAAAGCATCGATATTTATGTTCAATATCGTCCACAAGTGTACAACCATGTAGCCCACTTGCAACAAGCAGCGGCAAGGCATCCTTCTCCCACATTGCGACGACCACGAACACGAGTTCACGCTCATGCAGTGGAAAGACGTCCAGCTATGACGCCGGAAACGCCGCCTCTGTGTACTCCCAGCCCCCCTTCACTTCTCCTTGGTCGCATACCTCTTCAACTCCGCCAAACTCACAACATCCAGCGCCTGCTCATGGGTACTGGAAAGCAGGATTTTTGGCCCAAGATCTGGCCCCATCTCCCTAATCGCCTCCTTGAAGTCGTGCGCAGAGATACACGTCTTCTCCCCCGCCGAGATGCCCTTGTAATCGTCGTCGCCGTACTCGGATTGATGAAAGGCATGGCTCATGATGGCGGCGACGGAGAGGTGACGCTTGTCGCCTTCGGCGGTCCGGCAGTAGCCGTCTTTGGCGAAGCCGACGCCTTTGGCGAAGAAGGAGAGGGGACCTCCATGAACTGGTTCCGCGGAGTGTTGTTAGTGGGAGGGACACGATTGTCGACGCTGCGCACTCACCATTCTTGCTTTCTTCCGCCATGGTCAGGATTGTGAGAAGCGCTGAAGTGCGGACGTGCTACAGCCCCTACCTGCCATCGGGCGCAAACCTGTTTTAAGGATGCCATGCCCTTCGGGTGAGACGTGGGACGTGCCCTCACTTCCCATCCCATCACCAGCCAAAGACCTGCCTCTGGAATCACAGACTTGAGATCACGAAGGCTAGGGCATGATGCGAACGCTGGTGAAAGAAATGATGGCCGCGGATGAGTCCCACGGCAGGAAGCTCAAGACAATATCATACCTCAAGCAAAGGATCATCTTGGCAAATGGCTGAATGATGGGAGAAGATTATGGTTGAATCGCTTGCTTGGTTCTTCCGAAGACTAGAACTACACTGGCCAAGTTGGCATCCGCTTTGCAGCTCCAGCTACGGTACAAAGAGGTCAGAGAACCGCCACTCAGTCCCATGCAATGCGAACATCTTCGGGCGTAACAAGCCAACCCATCCTTTCGGCCAGCGAACACCCACCCCGTCGAGAAGGCAATACGGAAGGTATATGAGCACCGACAGGATCCGCTGTGCGTAGAGCGCCGGCAGAGACCACGCGATGAGCAGCATGAAGCCTTGGGTAATGGCTGTCGACTTGAACAGCGGCACTCGTCGCAGTGTCTTCTCCAGCAGCGATGGGTTCGCGCCAGGCCCTCGTTGCCGATACCAGACAGCCCAGCATGGGTAGAACCACCACTTGATCAGGAGGCCGTCATCAATGAAGAACGCCAGCGCCATCGTCAGAACGTACAGCAGGAACGGCAAGCGAGGTTCGACGATGCCAGGAGTCAGCGAAAAGACCTGGAGTACCAGCAGCAAGACGGCTGCGATGTGCATGTTGAAGATCAGCATGATGCTCAATGGAAGTCTCGGCTCGCAGCCAACCCGGCGAGCAACGCTCTCAATGAAGGCGTTGTAATCGACCAGCGTACTCAAGTGCGGACTTATATGGTAATGCTCCACTTCGGCAATCTGCTCCCGGCGAGCCCGTTCCGCATAGTCTTCAGGAAGCTGTCGCTTGCCGGCAAAGAGCAAGGCTACGTATCGAGACAGCATTTCTGCCATGACCGGCATGCCACCCTGGTGCGGTCTTGCGTATCCCACGAACGCTAAACGATCTCCAAGACCTTCTGGAAAGCAATGAAGGAACCATGATCGCGGGTTTGTATCGAGATCGTCGACCTTCAGCCATGGGAAGGACGTTGCGAAGCCGGTGCAGAGCACTATCGCATCGAACTGACGATGTCCTTGTACACCATTCGCAAGCTGCAATGTGACAGTATTGCCATTTGCTGACACCTTCGTAGACACCAATGCTTCCAGCTTTCCGTCATGGATGGCCTCGCACATACGCTGGTTTTTCGTCACGTAAGTCGCCTGGTCATTCATCAGCACCGCCGAGGCAGTGCTATCAAGACACATCCGAGCCAGCGTACTGTTCAGCACCCCAGTATGCCACAGGATCCGACGAAAGATCCCATAAGCGTACACGTTCAGAGAAGCGCTCATCCTGTTCGTGGTCGCGGCCTCCAGGAATCCGTTCGCTGGGAAATCGCGCTCTTTGTTGGCAGCAACTTGCTCCATCTCTGGCTTGTTGTTCAGATAGCGTGGACCTACGCACGCCGGGCGTCGTAGCCAGACACTGACATGAGGCGACAGGTCTGCCAGCTCTGCAGAGATATCTGCACCACTCTCACCACCGCCGACGACCAAGATCCGCAACTTCTTCTCGGCGACTTTTCGCCTGAAGTCTTCGTTGTAGTCTGCAGAGTGCAGCACCCGGCCACTGACACCGAGCAGCTCGGATGGCACTGGCTTCGCCACTTGATTTGCACCAGTCGCAACTATGAGGGCGTCCGACTGCATGTTTTCGATATGGTCACCACTCCGCTTGATCTCGAGCGTCCAGCGCCCATCACTGCCCATGCATGCGTTGCACACTTCGGAACCATACATCATCCGTTTCTCCAGGTCGAAGTGCGCGGCGTATGCCTTGAGATACTGCAGATAGTGTTCTCCACTCGGATAACACAACCTCTCAGGATCCGGAAAGTCCGAGAACGCCATTGCCCAGTTCGAAATGGTGAGGTGGAGGTTCGAGTACAACTTGGCACTTGAAAAGACTCCGCCCAAACGATCCGATTTCTCCAGCAAGATAGCATTGTGGCCCATCTCAAGCATCTCTTTCAGGGCCACGAGGCCGCATGGTCCGGCTCCGACTATGATGATTCGCTTCATCCTTCGTCTAACCATTCTGCCGGAAAACTGGGAGGGCTGGCTTAGTTGCAGGAAAGGCGCATCTTGCGTCTACTAGTTGCGTCTCGTCTGCAATTTAAAAGGCTCGATTAAGGCATGCCACGAGAAGGCGACTTCAGCTGAACTGTCAGATTTCATCTGGCCCTATTTGTCGCCGGGCCATACGTGTAAGCCTTCGGAAGTAGTTGCGTTCATATTAGGGAGTTGCTCAGCTGAGTGTTGGAACGCTTGTTAGTGACAATGCAAGCGAGTGACAGTGAAAGCGGCCCACCATGCCAGAGTGAGGCGTGTAATGGCTCTTCTCACAGAAAAGAGATGCCCTCCCCGAGAGTGATGTGGCCTTTTCGGCTGCATTTGGGTTGGGGAGAAGACCGTCAGATGTTTGGCCGCTTTCACTGGTCACTTGCTTGCAAGGCTGAACGTGCGGCCGACAACACCGTGCGGCGACGCTATATCATTTGTCAAAACCCCCGTATGCCAGTCAAGATCCATGTTGCACCCGTTTGGAAGAATAATCAAGTTTAAGTTTAGGTACGTTTCGTCAGTCGTTTTAAATAGAAGGGACAAAGAGCGTTTTCGAAAAGAGTCGATTCTAGAAACTCGCATCTGTCGGGGCCAGCACCATTGACGCCGCGCGAGGCAAGAGGTCGAAGGTGTGTCTTCAGGTAGTCCTCTTCTCCCAAAACGACATTCAAAACCTTTTTAGCAGTGAAAAATTGCATCGGGTACGGTCCCAGCGAAACCATGGAAGGCGAATTTGAAGGACAGCAGCAGGCATTACTGGCCTTGCTGGTCAAGACTGAACGTTATGTCGATACCATGAGTGACGGCGCCCTGGCGACAGACTCTCATACCCGAAAGCAAATCCTGGACAGACTGACGAGCCTCAAACATAAGCTTCAGACGCCGATGGAGCAGGCGTGGGATATCTTCTTCCAGCCGCACCATCTCTCCGTCTTGCAGACGGCAATGGACGCCGGCTGGCTCCAGATCCTCAACGACGCAGGCAGAGAAGGCGTTACGGTCACAAACCTCGCAGCGAAATCTGGAGCAGACGCCTCGCTGGTCCGCCGACTCATCCGCTTCCTAGCAGCCGCCGGTACCGTCAAGGAAGTCGACGTGGACGTCTTCGCAGCAATAGAAATGACCGAATTCTTCTCCTCGCCCGCGATAAAAGCCGGACTCCGACACGCGAGCCACGAGTACACCGCCGCAGTCTCCCAAATGCCAGAGTACTTTGCCAACAACGGCTACCAGTCGCCTCCCAACGTCGAGTACGGCATCTTCGCGCACACGTATGGTACTTCGTTCTTCCGATATCTGTCGCAGCGACCCGTTGCCGCGGCGGCGTTTAATGAGTTCATGGCTGCTTCGAAACAGGGGAGCAGGCACTGGGGGGATGTGTATCCTGTCGAGTGGCTGCAGGTTCAAGATCCTGAAGACGTTCTCCTGGTCGATGTGGGTGGAGGGAAAGGGCACGAGCTGGCGGAGATGGTTGCGCGGAAAGAAGCGTCAGGTCTTCGTGGCAAGCTGGTGCTGCAGGACCTCGCTAAAGTGCTGGACGAAGTGCCAGAGCAACGACGGAGCATGTTCGATGTCGAGGCCCATGACTTCTTCACACCGCAGCCGGAGTCTTGTCGGAACGCTCGAACGTATTACATGCGATCGGTACTGCACGATTGGCCGGATGAAGAGTGCGTCACGATCCTATCGCATCTGCGCGACGCAATGAGGGTTGGGTATTCTAGTGTTCTGATCAATGATATCGTGTTGCCGGATAGGGATATTTCGTTCTGGTCGGCGGCGTTTGATGTCACGATGATGGCGGTGGTTTGTGGGAAGGAGAGGGCAAGGAGGGAGTGGGAGGGGTTGATTGGGTCGGTGGAAGGGCTTCTGATCGAGGGGGTTTGGGAGATTGATGCGAGGGGGCATTGTGTTATTGAGGTGAGGAGGACGAGGTAGAGGTAGAAAAAACTTGAAAGCGAACAGAAGCCAAATATATCTTCTCCGGTCACGAAGTGGTTTGGATCAGGCTCAACAAGACGGACATTCTACGGAAAAAAGTCACTCGGCAGTGGAAAGTGGAGAAGGTTGGGGTCGAACGATTGTTTGGTTCATTCGTGTGCTTCTAGCATCTGGCATCCATTGTCGTTGAAGCCATATATTACACAGACGTATGTCGATGTCTGTCTCCCTGCGGCCATGCCTGCAGTATCCATGTTGGTACATGTGTCCCATCCGTCCCTTTTATATCCTTCCAAACGCCTTCAATGCTCGTACGTGATCCATTCTGTGTCATCCTTCGTCAACCGGCCGGCGGTGTTCGATTACCCTTCCCTTACATGGTCTGCGTTGTCAGTTAGCTATGTCAAGGAAGAAGTCGACCAAGATCTTAGCTTACCAATGCGATACCGCCGGCGAGCAGCAGAGCGCCCAATAGGGAGCCACCGATCCGACCTGCGCCATTGCTGGAAGGCACCATATACGTCGACGAAGGGGAGGTGCCCGTAGAGCTGCTTGTGGTTAGTCCGCCATGTCCGGGATACGTACCATTGCCTCCGTGCGGTGGCGGGTAGGCGCCGCCGGTAGGCGAAGGAGCACCGCTGGAATATCCTGCAGGTCCGGAAGGAGAAGTGCTTTTGGTAGGGTAAGGTCCAGCCGCAGAGGCGCTCGAGTAACCCGCCGGCGCAGAGGCAGACCCGGATGCAGAACTGGCTGGCGCAACAGAACCAGAGCTCGCTCCGTAGCTTGCTGGTGCTGAGGGCGAGGCACTCGAGTACGCAGCAGGCGCAGAAGGAGCTTGGCTCGAATACGCAGCCGGAGCTGAAGGGCCTTCACTCTCATAACCGGCGTAGCCACTCTGAGCGGACGCAGCAGCGGCCATGGCACCGAGACAGGCGATGAAGGTGGTAGAATGCATTGTGACGTGGAGAAGAGTGTTGGTAGAAGTTGAAGGTGTTGTTGTGATTGTTATTGAGTCTTTTGAAGCAGTTGGATGAGTGTGAGAGAAGATGGATGGTTGATGAAGAAGAAATGAGTGCTGATATACCTTTGACCACTGTGGCGGAGCGGCGCTACCGTTGCCCAGGTGCAGCGCCTTGCCGCCGCCGCCTGACGTTGAGCAAGGATTGGGTGAGAAAACAGATGTTGTCTGAGGAACGAATGCCAAGTATACCACCCGAATCGGGAAACATCATCGTCAATCGTTTCACAAAGGGCTTTTGCGATCTTGATTTACCAGTCATTTGTTCCATCCAGCGCAGCAACATAAATTAAGTGGATAATCGTCGAACCTGCTTGCGTACCAACATAGCAACATGATGGGCCTGGCGGCAAAAAGTGTAGTTACAACGCTGAGATCCCAAGAAGCTCCAGCAAAAAGATAGACAGTCTCTAGTGTCAAAAGCTCTTTGCCAGTCAAGCGGTGGACGGTGAAAGCGGCCAACCGGTCATAGCTGGCAGTCTTCTCCGACACGATATGACGGCCAAAAAGACCACATCACCGTCGCTAGTGGGCTGCTATCGTCTGTGAGAAGGTCCCTTACACGGCTCGCTCTGACCTGATGGGCCGCTTTCACTGTCGACATCTTGCCAGTCAGAGAAACTGCATGCTTGACGAATGTGTTTCTGGAGATGTGCCTCTGCTCGTCGAACGGCCAGCCATCAAGAGCTGCAATTCGGCATACCGCCCTCGCCTCGACTCGGACTAGCCCGTTGATCTGTACCTCCATCCCATGGTTCGGCTGTGTCCGATAACCGTGGCAACAATACACTGTTTGGGCACTTCTGCTGGACGAGAGTGAATGTTGTTGCCAGTCTAGGGCTGCACTGCCCAAAGCTGGATCTCGACTGACCCTTACCCACGGCATAAGATTTACAGGATGCGAAGACAAGTTCTCTGGCCCACAATCAACGAAAGTCTCTGGCAATGCAGCAATCTGAGGACAAGTCTCACACCCGTCAGCATCTCGAGAGCTCAGCTGAATGATGGACAACACGCAGCTTCTTTCGGGTCTCATCGAATCTCTCCGAGGATTCCTTCTCTCCCCCAGTGGCAAACCTTGGACCTTACCCCTCTGATCCATCACACGCTGCGATGCTTTCGGGCATGTCATTGCACTCCTGATCACACCATCGGTCTAGCAGCTTCCCGCAAGCCGCTTGTGCGCTCGAAGATAAGACTGATCGAAACCGCGATGAACAAGCTCTCATACAAGCCGCTAAAAATAAGCTTCCTCTCAAACCTTGTGCTAGAGACACCTCCGTTTTGACATCTCCAGGTCGGGACTTGACACTTCCGCTCTGAACGGTCTCCTCCTTTGGGCTCTCAGCAGCCTATTCCGGCCATGGTCGGCCTTCCAGCGGCCTGATTGAGACATAGTTCCAGGCCTTTGTGCAAGATCACAATCCCTCTCTTCTTGAACCCCACGACTGGTCCGGCACTGTTTGATTATGAACATATCCCTCTTCTGACAGAGCTTACAGTGTCTGTGAGGGGCTTGTGGTTGTCAGAGACAGGCTGTTCGGATGGTAGGAAAAGCGATGGCCAGCGATAACCGTGACAAAGCGATTTCCCTCTTCCAGTGGCACTAACGCCTCCTACAGAACACCCGTTCCCCAGTGCTGCATCAACTTCCGTTGGTTCCGACCCCGTGGGGATCGTCACTAGTATCACAATTTCCCCTCGACCGCGACAACTCGCCGTTACGATTTGATTGACTTCTAGCTTACGCCGGCACCTGTACCGCGGAAGCAATACAGCTAAGGTTCCAGGAACCAGCCGGATGTCTCTACTCCCGAAGTCAACCGGGGACCACTTAGCCTCCTGAACATCTATTGAGACCTAATGACCCGTGCGTCTGCTCCAATGGACTGGCAGAAATCACTAGGTTGCTGTGACAAATTCTGGACACTCTAGCTTCGCAGGCAATCAAACACTCCGCAGACACACTCCAATATTGCTGCGGCACAGACTGGTAAGTGGAGAGGGGTGCTGTTCTATAAAGACTTCCTATGATCTCAAGTCAGTCGATTGTTCATCCTCATCATCTCTTCTTTCGTACAGTCGTTACGACATCTTGACCGTCTATTGACAGAGTCAGCCATGGTTGCCATTAAAATCGTCTCAGCGCTTGCCGCTGCTGGCCTTGCAGTTGCTGCTCCTACAGGTCAAAGCCTCGAGAAGAGGGCAAACATCGACAACACCATCCTCCAGTTTGCTCTGACCCTGGAGCATTTGGAGAATGTGTTCTACAAGGAGGCGTTGAAGAACTACACCCTTTCGGACTTCAAGGCAGCCGGTATGTCGGACGATGATGTATTCATTCGGCTGTGACTGACGGCACCTCCAGGCTACTCGCAGGACTACTACAACAACCTGAAGTACATCGCCTACGACGAGCAGGTGCATGTGCAGGCACTGTCTCAAGCTTTGTCGGCTGCTGGCCAGACGCCCAACCAGGCTTGCACCTACCGCTTCCCATCCATCGATGTGTACGCTCCTCCACCAAGTCACCCCTCAATAATCATCCCATTAACAACCCGCACCAGCCCAACCTTCATCACCCTCTCCTCCGTCCTCGAAGGCGTAGGCACAAGCGCCTACCTCGGCGCCGCGGGCCTAATCACCAACAAACAATACCTCACCGTCGCCGGCTCCATCCTCGCCGTCGAAGCCCTCCACACCTCCCTCCAACGCGAGGCAATCGGCAAAATTCCCATGGCCAACCCCTTCGAAACCCCGCTGGATCCGATGTCCGTCTACACCCTTGCCGCGGCGTTCATCGTCTCGTGCCCGGACAGCAATACCCCGCTACCTTTCACGGCGTTCCCGGGTCTGACGTACGATGGACAGAGCTGCACGTGCGAGGAGCCCGACTGCAGCACCCCGAGCGTGTACGTTAAGAGGAACGAGATGTGGGGTGAAGGGTGGCCCAAGTGGAGCAAGCACCACGGCAAGACGTACTCGTGCGCGCCGCCGTCCGCTGGCGCCGACGTGAAGTTCACGGCGGCCAAGAAGATTCCGAGCGGGAGCTACGTGACGTTCGTCAACGGCTTGACTGTCACTTCTGTCCAGGGTCAAGTTTCCGGCAAGGACATCACTGCGACGATCCCACAGGGCATTGCCGGGCAGACTTATGTCTTCGTGACCAAGTCGGACGTCGAGACGACGTTTGATGATTCGCAGGTGCTGTTTGGGCCGTCGATTCTGGAGGTCAACCCGGCGGCGCCGGCGCTTGATTACAGCGTTCAGAAGTGAGGCTGCAGTCGGATGTGCAACATTTCGTGCTGGTTGTGGACGAAGGGGATGAAGTTAGGAGCGCGGAGCTGTCGCCTTTTCCTTTTCAACCCAAGATCGACTTATGTATCAATCAATCATTCTTGCCGAACACTGTTGCGACTTGATCTCCGTCGTACTAACTCTGCTGGTGATTCGATCGGTGCTTGGGATGTTTCGAGAGTCTCTGAGCTCTGCAGAGACCAGAGACATTGTGATAAGAATATCACACCAAGGTGAGATATGTTCGCATCAAGATCTCGCAACCAAGGCCAGCAGGACTGCGAGAATGGCAACGCATACTGCCAGCAGAAAAGACCACCATCGTTCTGGGCACCGAGAAAGCATCATCCGTACATGGGATAGTCCACCGGTCACTTTCGAGCTCCCGCGAAGTTCTTCCTCGAGATCCTCAATGGCTTTTGGCTCGCCTCGTTCTCGTCGTTGCAGGTAAGCCCTGTTGGCTTGGCCCGCGTGTATGCTGATGCACATGGTAGCGGAATGCGAGCCGTTACTGAACGCATCCACGTTTACTTCCTCCCGAGCGTACTTCCTCGTGGTCTCCAAAATCGCCTTGTATGCAACCAGACAATCCTGCTTGCGTCCGACAATGTTCAATAGTTTGCCGTACAGATGCGCTCCGACCTCAGCATTCAAGGCTTCACACACTCTAAGGAGCTCGACAGGTATTTTCTCCTCGGGAGTAATGCTCCTCAAGCCTCTAGCTGTAGCCTGGATGTAGATTTGTCCTGGTGGGAGAACATGCGTCCAGATTTGGTGTCGGACATCGTAAGGCAGGTCGAAGAGGTGCATGTTGGTTCACACAAGTCGTCGAGTCTGGTGTTGTGTACTGTTCAGTTTCATTCTTTATACGGTAGAATGGTATCCTGATGCCTTTTCATCTGTTGACACTTGGAAGTCTACAGTGATGCCTGCGATATCGAACCAGGTCTCGCGAGTGCTTCCATTGGCTCGGGTTGACGGGCGCTAGCTGGTGTCAATTTGAGGTGGACAGGAACACCTGAAAATTGTAACAGCCTCACCTGATACGATCGCTTTGAAGGTTTGGACATATGCTGTCAAGATGCATATGTTTATCAGAAGGTGGTTTCCCCATAACGACACTACACCATCATCGATCTTCTTTTCCTTCAGAAAAGGACGATCAGGAGTGTGTGGACAGCACGTGTCGTCGACACTCGCTTGACTCACAACAACCTCCTGCCTCTTCCGTCCTTCGATCAGCATCTCCATTCTCTCCGTTAGCGTCTGATATCACTCATGTCTCAACAAATCACCGTCCAAGGAAACCAAGTCCTGCTCGGCATTTGCTTGGAAATGACCTCGCAGATCTTAAACCCCGACGCGCGATCTGACAGATCTCACGCGAGTCCCGCGTTTCTGAGCCGCTTCGCTTGTGGCTTGTGGAGGAAAACCACCCCGGGGCGCTGACTGAACGTCACAGGACCGTGCAAATGGACATGGACTAGTATGGTATTGACGTAGGTCAAGAGGTTGGTGATGGGCGAATAAGTAGTTCGCAAGGCGCACGTTTGTGGGGAGATGCTTCTTCTTTTCCCCAGAGAAGCTTTGTTTCTTGGTTGAAGTTTCGTGGGAGAAGGTTTTGTGATTTCAAGATGAATGAGAAGGCGGACAGCGACAGTGTGAAGAGCCATTCTGGCGACGAGGAGAGACACATCGGGAATGTGGGCAACAAGCATGAACAAGATGCGTTCAATGCTTTGCATGATCCCGATGCTGGCAAGAGCGACGAGGAGAGGGCGAGGATTGTAAGTAGTACTATCTGTCTAATGGAGAAACACATGTACTAATTATCCGAGCAGGACAAGAAGCTCGTCCGCCGTCTCGACCTAATGCTCATCCCATGGCTATCCTTCCTCTACCTCGTGAGCTTCCTAGGTGCGTCCACCTCCTTGAGACTCCAACCGTCCATATACCTTGCTCTAACCATGCCGCAGACCGCACAAACATCGGCAACGCCAAAATCGACGGCCTCATCAAAGACCTCAACATGACGAGCGGCGAGTACAACGCCTGCCTCTCCCTCTTCTTCGTCAGCTACGCGGGCTTCGAGCCGCTCACGAACATTTTGCTCAAACGCCTGCGGCCTAGCGTCTTCATCCCGTTGATCATGGTCCTGTGGGGTATCTGCATGTGCTGTATGGGGCTTGTGCACAATTTCAGTGGACTGGCGGCGGCGCGGTTCTTTTTGGGTGTAGCTGAGGCTGGGTTGTTTCCCGGTATGTGCCCGACGGGATTCTCCTGTCCATTGGTAGTAGAGTGCTGACCTTCGCTTCCTACTGGTGTCAATTACTACTTGTCATGCTGGTACAAACGCACCGAAATCGGTATTCGAGCCGCCGTCTTCTTCTCAGCAGCCGCTCTCGCAGGCTCCTTCGGTGGCCTCCTCGCCGCAGCCATAGCACTCATGGACGGCATCGGCGGCAAAGACGGCTGGTCCTGGATCTTCATCCTCGAAGGCCTCGCCACTGTCTTGATCGGCATCGTCTCGTACTGGATGGTCCACGACTTCCCCGACGACGCCCGCTTCCTCAGCGACGACGACCGCGCCCGCGTCATCCGCCGCCTGAAATCCGACCGCCAGTCCTCCGCCGAGCACGAAGAGTTTAAAATGTCCTACTTCTGGGCCTCAGCCAAGGACTGGAAGACCTGGGCTTTCGCCGTCGTCTACATGGGTTGCGACGGGCCCCTCTACGCCTTTAGCCTCTTCCTGCCCACTATCATTGAAGACTTGGGATACGAGAGCAGCACTACTGCTGTAAGACCCCCCTCTCCTGTCCCTCCCTCAGCCCTACCTGACTAATATATGTGTTCTAGAACCTCCTCAGCGTCCCGCCTTATGCTGCAGCAGCCATCCTCACCATCACCATAGGGTGGTACGCCGACCGCACGCGCTTACGAGGCTGGTGCAACATCTGCGTCTCCGTCCTCGGCATCATCGGCTTCAGCATGCTGCTGGGCAGCACCGACCCGGGCGTCAAATATGCCGGAACCTTCTTGGGAGCGTTGGGGATCTACCCTTGCATCGCCAACACGATCGTCTGGTGCGCGAACAACGTCGAGGGCGTGTATAAGCGCGGCGTGACGCTGGGGTTCGTGATTGGGTGGGGGAATTTGAACGGGATTATGTCGAGTAATGTGTATTTGCCTGGGGATAGTCCGAATTACCGGCCTGGACATGGTGTCGTGTTGGGATATCTGGCATTATTCCTCTTTGGAGGAAGCATCTTCACGCACTTCATGCTGATCGGGGAGAACAAGAAGCGCGAGTCCGGGAAGCGGGATAATTGGATCGCGGGCAAGAGCGACAGTGAGATTGAGCTGTTGGGTGATAAGAGGCCGGATTTCTTATACACTACTTAGCAGAATACATGTAGCAAAAAGAGACGATAGAAGCTCTACAAGAATCTTGAGACCAGCTCATCATGACCTCGCTCCTCCATTCACCCTCCCCAGCTCCCTCCGCTGCATAGCCTCATACGACAGCGCCCGCTTGAACATCTCCTTCAAACCCAACCGATCGCCCGTCCCGAACCCCCCAATATTATTCGTCGCACACAACCCATCCACCCACCGCTTCCACTCCGGGCCTAAATTATGCAGGAACAGCAAACACATCATCTCCTCCGGCATCGCCTCCCTGCCCTCCTTCACCCGCTGCACGTGCTGTCCGGCCGTGGCAGGCAGCATAGTGTTGAGCGGGAGCTGCTTGAACTTCTCATACGTAGTTTCGAGGCGGTGGATGTAGTCCTTCAGATCGTGCGAGTTGGCCAGGGTGATGGAGTGGATGTCGATGAACAGCCGGAACGCCATCTCGCAGCCGCGGGGCTGGAAGGTGTCTTCGAGGATGTTCCAGACCGCGCTGGCTTGGGTGATGTTGTGCACGCGGTTGCGGTAGTACTGGGACAGTTTCGGGTAGATGCCGGCGACGATGAGTTCGTTGCGGCGGCGGTAGATGGCGAGTTGTTTGATGTACTCGTTCCACGTCTGGATTTCCTCTGGTTTGCCGAGGGCGTCCGTCGCTGTCTGAGGGCGTTCCGGTTCGCCCTTTGCATCCATCAGAACATCGTAGGTGCTCTCCTTCATTGATGCAATGACGACGGCGTTTTTGAATGCTTCCCAATCATTGGCACCATTCAGGATTGGCAGGTTCTTGTAGCTTTCACCCGTGCCACAAGTGCTCTGGGCCAGATACTCGACCGAGGAGGATTTTAGCTCCAGTCGCTGTGGGGTGAAGTTTTCTTGCTGAAAGCCGCGCAGGTCTTCGAGGATTTGACTTGCCGTCGTCGCATCGACTGGATGCGGCTTGTTCTTGGGAGGTCGGCCACGCGGTCGGGATCCAATGGCTGGGGTGGTAGATAGCTGTCCTTGATTCTGCTGGGCGGGAGGTTGCTGCTGCTGCGGAGTTTGTTGCTGTTGCGGGGTCTGCTGTGGCATTGATCGTGGTGGTGGCGGTTGCAGTGGGCTCGAATCATCCATAGTGGGATCTACCTGCGAGCTAGACGGTCCGCCACTCCCACTCCCAGGGGGCCGGATGGGGATGACGGGCTGAGTCAGATTCCTCTTGGGAGGGTCATAGACGCACTCCGAGCCACGTTTGATACAATTCGCACATTTCGGTCGCTTGCCCTCGCATGCATCATGTTTAGTTCGGCACATGTGACAAGCTCCGCCATACTGTCTGAAGATGGCCTTATTTCGAGGCTCGCTTTCCTTTGGCGGGCCAGCGGAATCACCATGCTTGGTCCATTTCAGCTTCATGTTGGCGACGTCCGTCCGGGTGAAAAGACCATCTGGGTTCGTCCGCTGCAAGAACTGTACAACCTGCGATGTAGGCGTTCCGATAGCGAACAAGCCATTTACGGCTTTCAACACATTGTCGTCCCTGAACCTACGCCGGTGGCCAGCCAATTCCTTGCCCTCGGCAGCCGGGTGATTGTGATGCGTCTTCCTATGACGGATCTGCCATTCTCCCTGAGGATTCGCTGGGTCGACTGCGACGGTCGCCACGCTCATCGGACACTCGGAGGCGTTCAACTTCTTGCTCTTCCGCTTCCTGTCCTCTTCTCGCAGCTTAGTCCTTCTTTTGCCATGCCGAGAGCAGTCGTAGTAGCGCTTATACTGCTCGCCTCGCGCATTCTTCTTGCAGGCGCGACGTACCAGCTCGTAGCCGTGTGCCAGACTCCAGTCGTGCATGGCCTTGTTCAGTTCCTCTTCACTAGGATAGGTCTCCTCCGGTGGAGGTGGCATCCTGTAGATTGGTTCATTGTCGTCGCCGTGATTGGGGTATTGCCCGGCCACGTGCTGCTGCTGCCCTTGTTCGGTGTCGTTGTTCAAGGCGTCCATGAGCTGTCTTTCGAGCTCTGCCTCCGCTGCGCTGTTGTCCGGGCGAGGTGCACCGGGATCCGCCTCTGGGGACGACGAAGGTGACCGGCGTCCATTCTGCTGCTGCTGATGTTGCTGCTGGTATTGTTGGTGTTGTTGTTGTTGCTGCTGAGGCTGCGAGGGTTGTCGTGAAGGCGGTGGGTTACGCGCTTGCAGAGGGGGTTGCGCCGTGGGACGCGAGACGGGTGGTGGTGGCTGCAACTGCTGCGAGGTCTGCTGCTGGAGTCCAAAGGTGTATGGCGGGGCTTGCGACTGTTGATGCTGCTGGGCTGGCGGGGTTGGAAACTGGTATTGGTATCCTCCGTACGGGGAGTAGTAGCTAGGCGCCGGGTAGGAGTCTGTGGTATGATCAGTCCCATATAACGCTGAAAATTGTCTATCGTCGGTAACTTACACCCTTCTGACTGCGAGTTCATCGTGTGTAGCTATCTCGCACTCTCTCGGTCTCGGCGTCTGCGGTCTGCTCGATAACCATCGCTCGTGGTGCTCGATATCACTGCACGGGGCGGAGAAGCGGAGAAGGCGGGATGATCCGGCGCTACCACCAAAGATAGTCGCACATCAGACCTCACTTCTCACCATGAACCTGGTAGCGCTTCAAGCGATGGGTAGAAAGATCAGCAAGCTTCTCGAACTCGGGAACGACACAAAACCATCGTACAACACCTTCAAGACTCCTTGGTGCCCTGGAGAACTTGACTCTCGAGGATATGATCGAGACCAGAACACTCCATCGCGCCCCATACTGTTTGACTGGGACTTCGAGAGCCTTTCCACCCATCATCTTGACGCCGGAAGGATCGTTTCAAATCTGATTGCAGCTATGTAAGACACCTCCTGGATACCATGTCCACAGCATCAAGACTTTTATATATTTCCTCGACCCTTGCCATCAGAATGACCACTTCCATCGTGCAGCACTCCTGCCTCTACTGCTCTCGACCACGTTACTCCATTCCATCTCCCTTGGTCTCCTCCTCGACCTACTCCTCCTCCTCCTCCTCTCCTTTCACCGACACATCGTCAACCCCAGCATCAGAGCCAGATACCTTGATCTTGGACCCCTCACTCTCCTCCCCATCCCCCACCTCCCCCACCTCCCCTCCCTCCTCCTCACCTCGACACTTCAGGGTTCCTCCCAACGGCCGATCGCAAGGATCCGGCCACGGCCCCTTACTCGCACCCCCAAAGAACCCCGTATCTCGATCCACCACATGCCACGCACTCTGCGCATCCTTCACATCCGCAAACTCAAAGAACAGCATGTCATCGTAAGCGCGACCCATGACCAACGGACGTCTGACGCCCTTGTTCTCGTCGTAGAGGATGAAGCGCTGGAACTCCTGCACGACGTCTTCGGGCGTCCAGTTGTGCTCGGGGTCGACGATGAAGAGGACGCGGGTGAGGTTGTGGTTGTGAAAGTTGAAGGCGAGGGTGTTGGGGAGCGGGCGGGTTGGGGTGGGGATGAGTGTGACGGCGGCTTGGGTTAGTGAGGAGGTGAAGTCGGTGGTGAAGGTGATCGGGTGTTGCTGGCAGTGTTTCACGAATGCTGCTGCCCTGCCGTTGCCGAAGAACTTGACCACAGCCGCGTTTGTGGTGGTTGATTGACCGCTCTTCAGCTTCATCCCAGCCATCGTCGCGAACACAGTCGAGACGATGATGCCTCCGGAGACTTTGGCCACGACATCTGCCAGCGTGGTGGTACATGGAAGGCCGGAGATGAGGACGCTGTGGCATATTCCTTCATCCTTCGAGTTGTACCTGAAGAGGACATCCCAACCATCTCGTCGGGACCCCCCACGTGGTCCTCGTGGCCCACGCGGCGGCCTGCCACATCCTCCGACAAGCTCATTGTCACATCCTCCGCCGAGCTCACTGTCGCTCGAATCGACCGGAGGTGTTGGCGGAGCCACCCTCTTCCTCACATGTGGTGGTAAGGATGTGGATGGTTGCACGGCGGAAGCTCCTGTAGGTGTTTTGGGGCTCGGAAGCTGGGACTCGTCCTCCATTGTCTTCTCCAACCCTGTCTGTGCATCTTGACCAGTGGTCGCAATCTGCACCTGGTCGGACCTGGCCGCTTTGGTCTTCGGCGGCGAGTCTTCGTCGTCGCCATCGAAACGGAACATAGATGCATCGATAGGGGCCATGGCATCCGCGGTGGTGACCTTGGGCGACTTCGGCAGCGAATATGGCGATTTCTCGAAGAGCTCCGCATGGTCGATCTGCTCCTTGGGTGCCCAGCGAGAAGCAAGGATACCGCCAGCCTCTGCCAAAGCTTTTGGCTCCGCGTCTTGCTGAGCTGTCTGCTGGTCACCTTCGACGCCATTCGTGGGTTGGTCTGGCGTCTCAGGAGTTGTCGGCGACTGATCTCTGGTTCCGTTCGCCTCGTCCCCTGCATCGTACTCCTTCGCTTCCTCTTCCATCCGAGTCGCAGCGACAGCTTCCTCGGCAGCCTGCCTTGCCTTCATCTTCCGAAGGAACGTGGGCTGCACCGTCGCCTCGTAGTACGCCTTCCACTCCGATGCTGAGTGCCGGCCATCCCTCGCTGCCAGCCGATCCCAGTTCGACATCTGCTCGTCCTCCGGCCAATCCTCAATGAACGTCGCGAGGCCATCGAGCTTCTTGTGCTCGAAGGCTAGGAATGGCTTCTTGAACCTGAGCTCACGCTTCGGTGGAGCCGGGGCAACGACGGCCGTCCATCCGCCGTCTTCGGTTATGGTGAGCTTGGTCTTGGCTGGGTCTAGAGCATGTTCGGCTGCCGGGACTTGTGGAGTGGTGGTAGCTTGCCCGCCCTTGGACAGATGGGAGATACCGAGCCCCCCGGACAAGTCTACCAGGTCGTGGGGTGAAGATCCAGTGCCGAAGGAGGTGCAAGGTATGCCTGCGTTGGTAGTTGAAGTAGTTTTTGGCTCGAGACTTGCATCCCCATCGAGCAGTGTCGTGGTGCTTGATGTGGACACGCTGGGTCTGAGGTCTTCGACACCGAGCAGATCACCCTCGTCCTGCTGCTGCGGGTAGATCTTTGCCTTCTCGCTCCCCGGTGAGGGATAGCCGTATTCGAAGGCGGTCGGACCGAGTCGTCCGCGGCGGCTCGGAAGGTCGAGAGCTAATCGTGGGGTGTTATAGCCGCGGCCATCCTCGAGAACCCGGAGGCAAGCCACCTGGGCCTCCAATTCGCGAATTCGAAACTCGTCGCCGCCGTTGTACCATCCATGGTGCCGTGAGGCTTGTTGCACCTGTAGCTGGAGAACGTACTGGATGGTTTGGTGCGCCTGAGCGAGCTGCTCTTCCAGGTGGCGGACTTTCACCTCGAGCTCGATACTCTTACGCTCAAAGGTGTTCATGGTGGTTGTCGTGGTGGGTGTTATGGTGGTTGCAGTAGTTGTTATAGTCGTGGTCGCGGTTCGAATGGTAGTAAGCCTTTGTGATAGGTGAAGAAGGGTATAGGTGATGAAGGAAGAGGGAGAGGAAGAGGTTGTGGTTGTTGAAAGGGGGAGGTGGTTGGTGGAAAGAAGAGGAAGCAATAGGAGGGGGGAGCCAAGTTATATATTAGCTCGGAGCAAGTTTAGCATGTGGAAGTGAAAGTGGTTGGCAGATGACCTGGACGTTTGTGTGAATCCTGGTGGCAGATGCTGGGAACGTGCCATAATTTGGCATGTGAACACCTGCCATGACAACTGGAAATTGCAAGAGGGCTGAAGGAAGGAATAAGAAGTGAAGCAGGAAGTGAATGTACAGTCGAGCCGCGAGATGTACTTAGCTACAAGTAGTGTTGAGTATGCTGAGAGGAAGGGAAGGGCTACGAGCTGGTTTGAGCAGCTCCCTTTGGCGACCATACCACTGCCTGTACCCAACTGGAGGATTCTGATATCTTCTCGACGGACAAGATTGGCGAAAGAGGCATAGGGAGCTTGGTAGTGATCTGGAGAAACTCATCAGTCTTTCGAGAGCTTATTACATGCTCATGCTCGCCGCTGGCAGTAGGGTCGCAGCAAACGGAGCCTCGCATCAACAGGAACTAAGTATTCTGCCGGTCGGCGGTTTGCACAAGCCCACGCGTTTCTTTCTCCGGCCGAGCGAGTCAATGTGTGACCATATAGCGCTCTTTGAGGGTCGATGGCGAGTGAGTGAACAAGGAGAAGCTGATTTAGTCCCTTGCCGCGTCCAGTGGCATGTTCTCAAAAACACCCGGTGCGCTGTATGCTTGAGGACCTGCGCTGGAGAGTGGTCGATGGCATAGTTGCAATACATGAACACGTACTTGAGGTTGTAGTTGTGATGAAGTCACATGCAGTTTAGGAGAAAAGGAGAAATCTGGCTGACGCAAGCCCGTGCGCCACGCAGCTGCCAAGTTGGGCATCGGAGATCACGGCGGCACCCCCGAGCAGCAGATGCTGGACAGCCACGAGGCAACATCTTGTTCTCAGCATTCTTATACCATCTTCGCGTAGCGCGGCGCGTCAAGACCAGCCACCATGTTCTCCTCTGGCCAGTCTTTTCTCGGCGGCGGGCCAAGTGGTCGGCAGCCGTATGGCCAGCAGCAACAGTCCTTCCAGCAACAGCAGCAACAGCAACCTCAGTATGGCGCCGGCGGATATGGCCAGGCACCGCCATTGCAGCAGCAATACACTGGGTACCCAGGTGGCGGGCTACAACCGCAGGCGACGGGGTACCCGCCTCAGCAGAACCAAATGCAGCAACAGCAACAACCGCAGCAACCCCAGTATACGGGCATGACTGGCTTTCAACAGCCGCAGCAGACGGGATACAACATTCAGCAGCAACCACAGCAGACGGGATACCAAACGGCAGGGCAGCAGAATGGCATGCCTCCGCAACAGACCGCGCAGCCCCAGGTACCGCAGCAGACGGGAATGACGAGCTTGGATATCGCCAACTCCTTCCGCCCGACTCCTTCCCAGCAGCCTGCCCCTACATCATCCTCAGCGCCAAAGAGAGAAACGAAGATACCAAACGTACGCCTCAGCTTCATCACCGCGCAGGACCAAGCGAAGTTCGAGCAGCTGTTCAAGAGCGCGACTGGCGGCGAGCAGGCATTGAGCGGCGACAAGGCGAAAGATCTATTGCTCAGGAGTAAGCTGGATGGCAACAGCTTGGCACAGATATGGACGCTGTCGGATACCACGAAGTCCGGGCAGCTTCTGTTCCCAGAATTTGCTCTGTCCATGTACCTGTGCAACCTAAAGCTGACCGGCAAGGACATGCCTTCATCTTTGCCAGAGAAGATGCGGAATGAGGTCTCAAGCATGGTGGATATGATTTCTTTCGGTGTTGCGGATACGTCTTCACAGAGCGCGCCGTCGACGAATGCGCCGAACTTCAGCGAGCCACCGAAGATCCAACAGCCGCAGCCTCAGCAGCCGTCGAATGCACAGTTAATGCAGCAGCTTACTGCCCAACCCACTGGCTTTGTGGTCCCGCAAGCTACGGGCTACGCGCAACAACTTCAACCGCAGCAGACCGGCTTCCAGCCTCAGAGTCAATTCGGCCAGCAACAGCAACAACAGCAACAACAACAGCAACAGCCACAGCAGACCGGCTATACTGGTCCTCGACCTCCTATGCCCCCTATGCCAACCGGCTTCGGTCCCAATCAAGGGCTGTCTCCACAGCAGACAGGCTATCCTGGCCAGATGGCAGCACCTCTAAACGCACAGCCAACGGGTGCACCCGGACAATGGGGTCTTGTAAATGCCCCTGCATCCGGCTTGCCGAATCTGCAGGCATTGCAGAGTCAGATGATGCCGCAGCCTGGCCGCGAAGCTGGATTCTCTGCGCAGGGTCTGCGAGGTAATGCTACCGTGCCATGGGCAGTCACGAAGGACGAGAAGAAGATCTACGACGACATGTTCAAAGCTTGGGATGGCTTTGGGAAAGGCTACATCAGTGGAAATCAGGCAATTGAGATCTTTGGCCAGTCAGGCCTTGATAAGCCAGATCTGGAACGTATTTGGACTCTCTCGGACCCGCATAACAAGGGTCGCTTGAACTTGGACGAGTTCGCAGTCGCAATGCACATGATCTACAGACGACTGAACGGCTACCCCGTGCCTAATCAGCTGCCAGCAGAGCTCATTCCACCAAGTACCCGAAACCTGAACGACAGCATTGGCACGATGAAGAACCTGCTCTCTGAAGACGCACAGTCACGAAAGAGCAGCGGTGCCTTCCTGCAGCCGCAGCGAACTGGCGTTAGCTATCTCAAATCTCGCTCATTCCACGCCAACGGTGCACCTACGGCTAGTGGACGCAAAGATGCAACAGTCTTCAAGAACAACGATGACGACGTCGGATACCGCTCTTCAGCACGCCGAAGAGTCGGCCAAGACGGCGGCCGCAGCCCAAGCCCAGCAATGAGCGATAGCACTGTCGGCGCGGACGACATGAGCATCGATCAACTCAAGAAGACCATCCGTGAAAAGCAGGTAGTGCTCGATGCGATGGATTTCGAGGACGAGGGCAAGCTTGACGAGGAAGATGCGCTGGACCGCAAGGATCGGAAAGAGAGCGAAGACCTCTTCAGGCGCATTCGCAGGATCCAGGAGGATATTGACGGACACCCTAGCTCTGCTTTCCAGTCCAGTGACAGCGATGCCGAAAGGCGGACTATGCAGCGCAGCCTCCGTGGCCTTCAGGACAGACTTCCTGAGCTCGCAAGCCATGTTCGGAAGTGCGAGAGGGCTATTGCTGATGCGCAGATGGAATTGTTCAGGCTCAAAGATGCGAAAGCGAACCCTGGGTCTTCGACGCCTATTGTCGGTACTGGACTCGGAGGCGCTGTCACGGAAAGTGATCGCCTCAAAGCTCGTGCGAAGGCTATGATGCAGCAGCGGTCTGCAGCGCTGGCGGGCAAGAAGGTCGAGTCGTCTGATGATGGTTCGGCTGCGGCGCAGAGGCAGGAAGAAGAGTCGAAGCGCGTTAATCGCGAGAGAGAGGATAATGAGAAGATGGTCCGTGATGTTGAGGACAGTGTGACAGAGTACTCGAAGAGCCTTGAGCAAGGCTTGAAAGAAGGTGGTGAGTCGAAGTCTGACGAGCACGAGAGGCGGAGATGGGAAGACGGGCTGGGTGTTGAAGACGAGGTGAAGGACTTTATCTTCGACCTGCAACGTAGCTCACGAGCTTCACGTGTCAGGAACGAAGAGAAGAGCCGTTCGAAGCCTGCTGAAAGGGCTGTGGAAGAAGACACGAGTCGAACGAGCACGCCAGTCAGCAGGACCGACTCACCGGCCACGTCTAGTCGCGCACCCGCTGCGTCTACGCCGCAGACATCGGGCAGCAGCTACTCATCCTACAAGACTGCGGAAGAGCGGGCTGCTTTCATCAAACAGCAAGCTGAGCAGCGCATGGCTGAACGTCTGGCTGCCCTAGGTCTAAAAGCTCCCGCTAAGAGCGGCGAGTCTGCTGCTCAGCGCAGTGAACGCGAGCGCAAGGAGCGTGAGTCGCGACTCAAGCAGGCTGAAGAAGAGGACGCGAAGCGCGAGCAGGAACGCCAGGCGAGGCTGCAAGGTGAGGGCTACGCACCGCCTTCTGCTGCCACGCCAGCTTCGCCAGCCGCAAAGCCGAAGCCGCCTCCACCTGCGCCGAGGAAGGGCAGGAGTGAGAGTGTGACGAGCGAGCAAAGTCAGGCGGATGCGGAGAAGAAGAGGGCAGAGGTACAGATCAAGGAGCAGGCGCTTAAGGAGCAGCAGGAGGGTATGGCGGATGAGAGGAAAGGGTTGGAGTATGTTGTCCACTTTCGCAACGATCTTGGAGTCTGTGCTGACTATTTGATAGGGATGAAGAGGCTCGACAGGAGCGCGAGCTGCAACAACAGCGTGAAGAAGCTGAAGCAAGCTTGCGTGCTCTCGAAGAGCGCGTCAAAGCCGGCAAGGCGAAGAAGGCAGAGGAGAAGAAGGCTAAGGAAGCCGCGAAGAAGGAAGCGCAGGAGAAAGAGGGCAAGCTTGCCGCTCAGAGGGCGGAGATTGAGGCGGCGAAGAAGAGAGAAGAGGAGCTAAGAAAACAGCTGGAGAACATGGACGAGGACGACGACAGCGATGACGACGACACGTTTGGCTTTGCGACGCCCGCTGAGAGCGCTGTCACCTCCCCTCCAGCCGTTAACGAGGAGGCTCCAGCCGCACCACCGCCAGCTCCACCCATGCCCGGAGTCCAGAGCCCTCCCGCTGAATCCCCAGCACCCGTGGCCAGCCCACCAGAACAATCCAAAAACCCCTTCTTCCGCAGCATGAGCCAGCAACCCGCCCAACCCTCCCCCGCCATCACTTCCCCGGAAGCCGAAAAGAAAGACACCAACCCCTTCCACCGCCTCTCCACCTCCGAAGCCGCCAAACCCTCTCAACCCCAACAGCAACAACTCCCCGACCCCGCGCCAGCCTCCTCCCGCACTCGTGCCAGAGCTACGTCGGATGAAGACGACTGGTCCGTCATGGAAGCCTCGGACTCCGACGACGATGATGACGAAGACGGCAAACAGCCCTCCGGCGCCGGCAGCGCGAAACAACTCGCTTCCATCCTCTTCGGCACCATGGGCCCGCCGCGTCCCCTGAGTGCAGCGGGCTCTGGTCCTGGCTCCCCCGCACCAAATTCCGCTGGTGTGTCGTCGCCACCGCCTGCGGCACCACCTATGCCGCCACCGATGCCTGGATCAAGCGCGCCGCCTGCGCCCCCGCCCCCGCCGCCTCCGGGTGGAATGGGAGGGAGCGAGATGGCGCCAGCGGTTGGGTCGCCGCCGCCGAGCGCGGATCGCAGTGGACTGTTGGGCCAGATTCAGGCGGGCAAGGGGTTGAGGAAGACGCAGACGAAGGATCGGAGTACGGCTAGTACGGCTGGGAAGGTGTTGTGAGGGTTTCTAATTGGGAGAGGGGAGGGAGAGGATGTGCGGGATGTACAAATAGGAATTAGTGTGTAGAGAAAGCAATGAGGAGTTTTGTTGGACGAGATTTGTGGTGCCGGCACCAGTCGGTCATGACGAGATCGGCCGAGTAACTCGGAATGAGCAGTGGGAAGGCATCTTCTACGGACAGCTGCAGCCCGCCGTCCTTGGTGAGGTGGCCTTTTTGAGTGCGATTGGGTCTTGGAGAATACTGTCAAATATGCCCACATGGCCCGCTTGCCAGCTCGTCTGTTTTGCCAACGTCTATCTACTTGATCCCATTACTGTGCCCGCCCACCCTTACATAGCCCTGCAACCCGCGCACAAGAAGAGAGGACAACCTCCGCACCTCCAAAGATCGTTGCTCCTTCAATCCTCCTCGCGGCCCCCGCCCAGCTACCGAACTAACCTCCGGCTTCCCTCTTGCCCGTCCCGAAGACGACGACGACGTCACATAAAACTTCTGCAGCCATGACAAAGCAGAAGAGTACAGTCTCTGCACCGCCAAAGATTCTCACTCGCGAACACGCCCTCGCAGCGTCCACAAGCCGCCCGCCGCCTGGCCCCGACTGGCCCAAAGTACGAATCGAACGCTGCAACATGTCTTTCCATCACAGTCCGAGGAGCACTCTGAGGAGGTACATACGTCCAATGCGCCCTGCACATCACGCACAATTCCACCGGGCACGCGTTACACGGAAAGATGTAAAGATTTCCGGGAATGTGACAGCTATAGCACGTCATTCTGCGATCGGCTGGCGGACCTCCATCTTTTCCGCGATGTTGCTCCCGGAGGTGCGCCTCGAGTCGTTGGCGACGCTCGGGGTTCGTCCATGCGGGCTTGCATTGCTCGCACAGGCGAACGCGACATTCGAGACAACGCACGACCGTCGTGCCTTCGAAGGCGGTCCCGCAGCTGCGGCACATGGAAAGGGTTCCGGTGATCGTGGCCACTGGTTCGTATGTTTGGTGGTCGCGCTCGAGGTGGCGGAAGAGACGGTCGCGCGGGTTGACTTGGACTCGGTGGATGTCTTGACGTTCGTCGCATTGGCAGCCACCGGGCACGTCGAGTTGGAGGCCGCAGGAGTAGCAGAAGAAAGTTCCGCAGAAGCAGCTGTTTGTTATGGAGAACGATTAGCTCTTTGTCTTGGACGCACCGCCGCAAAGCCAATGAACGACGCTCTCACCTCATGTGACTGCACCCGTCTTCCTTCTCGACGACTCTCTGACACCCTGGACATCTCTTCCAGCCTTCAGTCTTGGTCAACGCATCGAAACGATCGTCCCTGGACGTGCACGGTCCAAAGTACGTTGCAACTTTGCATTTCGCGCAAGTCTTCTTGAAGCACCACTGGCAAGTCGCTTCGCCGTTGCGGACGCTCTGCGGCTTGATGTACGTCGAGCATGCATAGCAGTACGTCCTATCTGTCGCCCCACACTCCGCCAGATGATCGTGGTAACGGCGAAATAAGGCAGGGTTAGATGTGCGCGGGCGACATTGGATGTGAGAAGGGCGGGCGGGCAACATTCGATCCGCTGCAGCCAGCTCCGGCTGAGGGCAGTAGTGACGCGCTCGTTCAGGCAGGGAGGGCAGTGGTAGTGCTCGCAGCCAAACTTAGACATGCGTTCGGTTGGTAGAGAGCTTCCACAAACGATGCAACCAGCATGTGATGGTGAAGCGGACGATTTGTCGTGTTGATGTATCACTGTCTGGCCCCCATTCGAGACGTTCGGAGCTTGATACGGTATCAGAGGTGTCATCGGTCCTGTGGTATGTCTTGTTGGAGGGACGGGATCTGGGTATCGAGGCACTTGCGCTGCTTCATCTTGATGCCACCTGGGCCGGTAGGTATGGTGACGGAACATCCTGATGTTCTCCGATTGAAGGTGTACTATGATGGGAGGTAGGATGCGGAAAAAGTAGATTCTGAGCCAAATTGAGGGGAGATAGGCAGCAACAGAAGCAGGTACTCCGAGAGAACGAGTGAGGGAGAAGTGAAAGACGAACATACGAAGACACCACCGCTTTATTTGCCTTCATGCGAACGAAGTTCCACCAAGTGCGTACACAGCATGTCTGCCAGCGCTCGCGCAAAGGTACACAGCTTGACGTAGCACGGATCGCCCCTCCATGACACCTTCCTTCCACCGACACTCAATACTGTTACAGGCTCCACTGCCTGCAAATGGTCATCTGCGTTGTCGTACCTTAGGAGGGCTAAGGCCAGTCCCAGCCGCTTTTGCAAGAGTTGCAGAAGCACAAGTCGCAGTCGACGCATCGCACTACTACGGGTCCGGCCAATCCATGACAAAGTCTGCAATCCGTTTGTGCTCTGGTGAACTTAGAGACAGCTGCATACTTGCTCGGGTGGACGTGTGCCCGATGTTCTCGCAGCATGCGAGCCGTCTCCTTATTGTCCGCCTGGTCGATTTCAAGGGCAACTTCATTACGCACGCAGCGGCACGATCGCTGAAATGTGCGTTCGCCGCAGACGTAGCAGAAAGAAACGTTGCAAACACATCTGGCCATGACGGTTAGCGAGACGTGGTAGAACAAAGGGGACTATACCAGTAGATGTACTTTGCCTCCCGACACCCATGCATCTTTTCCACGTGCTCTTTGCAGCCTGGACACCTCTTCCAGCCCTGACGTAATGCGAGATCCTCCGCGAGCTCGCGATTGCGAGTATTCTCGGCGCAGGGGCCCCAATGCCACTCCAATTTGCAAACCGTACAAGTCCACTGCAGACACTTTTGGCAGATCGCCTGGTTGTTGTGGGCGCTCTGGGGCTTGATGAACGTTCCGCAGCCGGGTGACGAGCAGTAAGTCTTATTCGCAGTCGCGCGCTCAAAACAGACATCCTGGTATTTACGGTAGAGCGCGCGAGGGAGGTGTGCGCGGAGCACTGTCAGCTCCAGCCGGTGTCCGGAACAGCAGCAGAGTTGACCACGCTCCGATCCTGGCTCATCTATGACGAAATGAACCTGCTTCACCACACATCCAGTGCAGCAAAAATGGTCGCAGTCATATCTCGCCATGCGCCCTCGTTCGAATTCGTCCAGACAGACAGCGCACTGCGCTAGTGTCGGCTGATGTGATTGGGCTGTGGTATTGCTCGCCATGTTGGGCGCTTCGGTTATCTCCGTGTCCATGAAATCGACAACGTTCTGGTGCAGAGAAGACACTGTCTCTTATATCCTCTTGATCCGCAGAGCAGTCTGTCGCTTTGTCCAGTGCGCAAATGTAACAGCTAGCAGAGCCCTTCTCACAAAGAGCTTTGTAGGGCATTACGCAGTTCCAGGCAGCAAACGAAGTACAGACAGTTGTGAATAATGAGAATGACGGTGAATGTACTCACTATAGAATCCGTTCCCAACTCAGAACGTGTGTGGTACACAGCTGTATTGAATGCATGGCACTCCGGCGCGTACCGCGCACATGGTCCTAAAAGGAGCTTTGGTAGGCTTCTAAGCTTTCCATAGACGCGATCTGCTTGTGCGGCCAACACTGTTCCGGTCTTCGAGATGAGTGGGCTACGTTAACGTGCATCTGGCCGACTGTGGCCTCTCGTGCTGCGTAGACACCATCGTAGGGCCAGAACGATGAAGACCAGCGCCGATGGTCGATCTTGTTGTTCGGCCCAAGGACTGCAATTCTACCCATATAAACATCCCATCGTTAGACGTATGTTCGTCAGACGACAAGATGGCGCTCAATCGCGTAGTGTAGTGTAGATGTAGGAGAAGGAGAAGATGAAGTCAAGAAAGAGTCCTTCGGAACCACCGGCAGTATTTAGCCGGCCGCCCAAAGTAGACTAGCTCGGCCAAATGAGTTCACTCAAGGCAAAAATATTGAGCTCTGCGAGATACGTACCTCGAGTGACCTCTGAAGACCGTGACAAAATCCAACAAAATGGCTGGCAACGCGCAGAAGATTGGTATGACTTGCCTGAACAAGAAAGAATGGCGAAGGACTGATCGTGGTACAGCCATTCTGTCAGTCTATGACAAGACAGGCCTGCTTGATCTCGCCAAGGGTCTGGTGAAGAACGATATCAGGCTGCTTGCTTCGGGTGCGTTTGTCGACTTGGAATTATACGGTTTCTGTAAAACTCTGTTATGCTGACTTCAATGCCAGGCGGTACGGCAAAATTGATCCGCGAAGGAGGCTTCCCTGTTGAGTGCGCTCCCCCAAAGATCGCCTGAACAACATCAGCTAAACGAAGGAAATCCACAGAGATGTCTCCGCCATCACCAAAGCCCCCGAGATGCTCTCCGGCCGTGTCAAGACCCTCCACCCAGCAGTGCATGCAGGCATCTTGGCGCGTGATCTGGCCTCAGACGAACAGGACCTGGCTGAGCAGAACATTGACAAGGTCGACTACGTGATCTGTAACCTCTACCCTTTCAAGGACACCGTCAACAAGATCAATGTCACCGTCCCGGAAGCTGTGGAAGATATCGACATCGGTGGTGTTACCCTCATTCGGGCTGCGGCGAAGAACCATGGACGTGTAACCATCCTCAGTGACCCAGAGGACTACCATGACTTCCTCTCCGAACTCGAAAAGGGAGAAGTGACCCAGAAAGCGAGGCAGCACTATATGCTGAAGGCTTTCACGCACACTGCGGACTACGACACTGCCATCTCGAACTTCTTCCGCAAGGAGTACGCTGGAGAAGGCAAGCAGTACCTCAGTCTCCGTTATGGCACCAACCCACACCAGAAGCCCGCGGCTGCCTACACCACCGAAGGACCGTTGCCGTTCAAGGTCCTCAACGGTTCACCAGGCTACATCAACCTGCTCGACGCCCTCAACGCATGGCCGTTGGTCAAGGAGCTGAGCGAGGCCCTGAACTACCCTGCTGCGGCCTCGTTCAAGCACGTCTCTCCCGCAGGCGCTGCGATTGGCGTGCCTCTGAGTGAAATTGAGCGGAAGGTGTACATGGTGGATGACATTGAAGGCCTCTCCGACTCTCATCTTGCGCAGGCGTATGCTCGGGCGAGAGGAGCAGACCGCATGAGCTCCTTCGGAGACGTCATTGCGCTGAGCCACGAAGTCGACGTCCCCACGGCGAAGATCATCAGCAAAGAAGTCAGCGACGGCGTCATCGCACCGGCTTACTCAAAAGAAGCACTCGAGATCCTCAGCAAGAAGAAAGGAGGCAAATACCTCGTCCTCGAGATGGACCCAAACTATACCCCACCCGCTCAGGAGTCAAGGACAGTAAGTACTTCTCCTCGATGCGGCTATTGCGCTCACCTGCTGACTTTAACCAGATCAACGGCATAACCCTAACCCAGCACCGCAACGACGCCGCCATCTCCCCCGACACCACCTTCACCACCATCATCACCCCTTCCAACTCCCCTCCGCTCCCGGAACCCGCCCTCCGCGACCTCACCGTCGCCACCATCGCCCTCAAATACACGCAATCCAACTCCGTCTGCTATGCCCTGAACGGCCAAGTCATCGGCCTCGGCGCCGGCCAGCAGAGCCGTATCCACTGCACCCGTCTAGCAGGGGATAAAGCGGATAACTGGTGGATGCGGTTCCATGAGCGGGCGATCGGGATCAAGTGGAAGAAGGGTACGAAGAGGGCGGATAAGAGTAATGCAATTGACATGCTTTGCTCGGGCGTGGTGCCGGATACGGGCGTGGAGAGGGAGGATTGGGAGAAGAGTTTTGAGGAGGTGCCGAAGATTTTTACGCCGGAAGAGAGGAAGGAGTGGTGAGTTCTCGGGTGGCCTCGTTGCGGGAGGCAGTTTTTTGGTGCTAACTCTTGCTTTTAGGCTCTCTAAACTGTCTGAGGTCGCCTGCTCGTCGGATGCGTTCTTTCCATTCACTGTAAGCCCCTTTCTCCCACCCCAATCCCTCCTCTACATCGTTCTGTCAGGCGAAGAGCGACCGTATAAGGCCTTCTTGATTCTAACAAGGCCGGTTTCTGATTCATCGTCTAAGACATATGCTGACGGATTCTCCTTACGTGATCACAGGATAATGTGTACCGCGCTGGAAGGAGTGGTGTCAAGTACATCGCCGCGCCGACAGGAAGCCAAAACGACCAGCCGTGCTTCGAAGTCGCTGGACAGCTTGGCATCAGCTTCATCGAGCAGCCTATCCGGTTGTTCCATCACTAACACCGCACACATTGTCTGGCGAACGAATGGTCGACGAATGCGTTTGAGCGGTGCAGGATAGATGACAGACCTGCCATGAGTACGAAGCAATGAGTAACGGTAGCGGGGACTAGAGGACAAAAGGATCACTACGATAGCTTGCTTTCACTTGCGTTCAACACATTGGCCCGACTACGATACGTCCTGCTTCACACTTCATAACTATTGCTCCTTTCTTACCCACACAGCGCTGATGTCGTCAGTACGTCCAGGAAGCGCTTGGGGGAATGTCGCAAAACACGAAAGAACCCGACCTCCACGACCTCCAGCAAGCACTCAATCATGTGCACGTTGGCACGTCACAGAAACGAGAAGGGAAACAAGCACCAAGACAAATTGCTTTCCACTCATGTTCAACACTCTAGCCTACGTATGCTACCATATCTCATGCGCTTCATGACCGCTTCGATCGCACAGTGACAGCTTCCACATTCGCAGAACGCCTCACGTACGCCCGAGACAATGCCGTAGAACAGTCGTTGGAACCTCACCTCGCCATGCGCTCCGATCTGCCACGTATCATGTGCACATCCGCTTTCCATGTCCGCCGTGCTCCGAGAGACCAACGCCTGAGCTGGACAGTATGCATCCGACATTGCACCTCCGGCCGAACACCCACCACGAGAATCGAGACAAGCTAACTCAGTCCTTGGCCTCCAGCGGGTCCAGCGTCGTGCCCTGAAGAATAGTAGCCCTAAACCATCACATTAGCTTCACATCCCCACCCATCGAAAAAAAATGAAAGGTCAGACTCACCACCCGATCAAACGCCAATGCTTCTCAATCCTCCTACTCAACGCCACCTTCTCCCCCACCTTCGTACACGCCGGGCTCGTCAGCTGCAACTTCGCCGCGTCCGCCTTCACCGCCACCACCTTCGCGCCCGTCGCCGTAGAGCCGATATTCACCATCAGCACTTCATTCTTCGCCAGCTTGGCGACCTTCGCTTGCTTGCCATCCGCGGTCTTGACACCGAGCAGTCGTCGGAGCAGGAAGTAGTTGACTTCGAGCTCGGTGAAGATCTCCGGTAGACGGCCCTTCAGACCCAACACGAAACCGACGAGACGGTCGGCACGGCAAAGCGTGGGGTCGATCCGGGTGCCGACGCCGATGAGGCCGCCGGGGACGGCGAACTTGAGGCTGTTGTTCTCGGCGAAGAGGGAGATGACGCGGGAGTGGATGGGACGGCATTGGATCTTGCCGTTTTCGTCTTTGCTCACGATGCCGGGACGGATTTCGATCTCGTCGCCGAGCTTCAGGATGCCGGTTAGGATGGAACCGCCGGCGACGCCACCTTGGAGTTCTTCGATTTCCGAGCCGGGCTTGTTGACGTCGAAGGAGCGGATGACGATGAGTTGGGGCGTGTCTTGGAAGTTGCGCGGCGGGACGGGAATGCTGCTGCACAGCATCTCGTTGATGGCGTCGATGTTGAACTTCAACTGGGCAGAGATGGGGATGATGGGGCTGTTGTCGGCGACGGTGCCACGGATGAATTTCTTGATGCTGTCGAAGTGTTGTAATGCAGCCTCTTCGCGCATAAGATCGACTTTGTTTTGCAGGATGATGATGTGGGAGAGCTTCATGATTTCGATAGCCGCCAAGTGCTCCGAAGTTTGAGGCTGTGGGCAAGTTTCGTTGCCTGCGATGAGTAAAAGTGCTGCGTCCATGACAGCGGCGCCTGACAACATCGTGCTCATGAGAATGTCATGGCCGGGGCAATCGACGAAGCTGCGTATACCAATCAATACCCATACTTCAACACACTTTAGAGCTCCAACTTACGAGACATGTCTCTGCAACCGATACCTCCCCTGACACCCGTCCCTCTCACACGGCGGATCGACCTCCTTGTCGCTCTTAAAACTCCGATAGCAGGTCGGTCGCGGACACTCCGGGTTATCGCACTTGTAGATCTTGGCGTTCGCATACCCCAGCTTGATAGTGATGTTCCGCTCCAGCTCGTTCTTGAACCGCACCGTCTGCACGCCCGAAATGGCCTTCACCACCGTACTCTTTCCGTGCGCCACGTGCCCGATCGTGCCGATGTTGATGGTCGCTTGTCGGCAGATGATTTCAGGCGAGAGAGGGGTCAGGCTGGCGACGTCCAGGTCTTGCGGGTCGGGTTGTTCGGGGAGGACAGGCCGTGCTGCGAGTGCTGCTGCGGCGGCGTTGCTCTTTTTGAGCGCGGATTTGGGCATGGGCGCTGGGCCGGGCTGGTGGACTTGCTCTTCTTCGTCTGCTATGGGCTGCATGCCGGGGGATTGAGGGGGCGACTCGTCGTCAGACGAGAAATCGCCGTTGGTCGCCATGATTGCGGGGGCTGTGCTGTTCTATCCGCCTCGAAACAGTTCTCGTTGTCTTGCGCGGGCTGGGGTGGTCCTATGGAGTTTGTGGTTGTCGTGGAGGAGACGCTGGTTCTTCCTTGGTCGCTGGCCGGTTCCCGTTCCTTTTAACGATGGCGAAGAATGTGCGGACCGGAGGCTTGGATGACTCGAGGCACAGGCTGGTCGGTCGTGTCACACAATGAGTCGGTGCGAGGTGTATGTATCCAACTATGACTGTCTCCGCCAAATTTCTCGAAGTCGTTTCTGCCCCACGCTCCGCCAAGACTGTCGACACCTGAGGCAAAAGCGACCAAAAGTCGACGGTATGAGATTAAGGATTCGATGGATTTAATGGGATACAAACTAATCTAGGTGTCACAACCTTGGTGACGAGCTTAACTAGACGTCTGGTATCACGATCCCAATCATTTGCAACTCTCAATTCGAGCAAAGATGCAGAAGAACAGTCATGAAGTGTTATAGATTGCATTGCCTATCCAATTGACCAGTCTAGTTACACCTCACGACGAAAGCTCATCCCACCGTCTAACGTGTTCATGTACCACTCCCATACCGCCGTCTACATCTCCCTAAATATCATCCATTAAAGCGCCGCCATCAGCCCAACCACAGCAATCACACCCGCACCCATCGCCGAGCCGGCACGCACAGCCGCGTTGGCAGTCTGGCTGGCAAACGGCGCGCCGCCGCTGGCAGTACCAGAGGGCGCGCCACCGGGTCCAGCAGCAGCGTGGGAAGCCCCAGCGCCAGTTGGGTTGGAACCGTAACCGCCAGTCGCCTTGGTCAAGAGGCCAGTGGCAGTGCCGGTAGCGTGGCCGGCGACACCGCTCATGGTTCCGTTAGAGCCGTACGGGCCGCTGCCCATGGTGTGGTGGCCGCCTGCCGACTTGGTGGGGGAGGAGTGCTTGCCGGTCGAAGTCGCGGTGGAGGTGCTGTTCTTCTTGTCGCACTTGAGGTCGTAGAGGGGTGCGCTGTTCAGGTCGGAGCCGATGACGCCGAAAGACGGGTTGGGCGTAGTGGGGATGGAGTCCTCGAGCGTGTACCACCAGACGTTGTAGTTGCCGAGGATGGCGCAGGCGACTTCTTGCCAGTAGGTCTCAGCGTTGGAGACGGACGCGACGGCCTGGCCAGAAACCTTGCCAGACACGGGCCAGCCGGTCTCCGTGATCCACACCTCCTTGCCGCCGCCAACGCCCTTGGTCTTGTCGTAGGCGTCCCAGTAGAGCTCCTTGCCGTTGTCGATGCTGTTGGCCTCGGTGTTCTCGAAGTAGGGGTAGGTGTCCATGCCGAGCCAGTCGACGGCATCGGTGACGGCGGAGTTGGAGCCGTTAACCCACGCAGTCCAGGTGTCGACGTGGCCGAGCGAGGCGCCGGAGAGGGAGGTGCCAGAGATGGCCTGGCGGGTCTGCTTGATGTAGCTCACGAGCTCGTTGGGGGTCGCGCCGTAGCCGCTGTCGTTCTCGATGCCGGTGGGCGAGACGCGGTAGAGGTCCTCGCTGCCGACGGAGATGCCCACGACGAGGTCGGTGAACTCGCTGCCGTACTGTTCGATCGCGGCGCTGAGGGCGCTGAGCTCGTTGGTCACAACCTCTTGTCCACCGCTGCACCAGATACCGAGGAGAAGGGAGGTCTTGGTGTCGATGGCAGCCTGGAAGGCAGAGGACGGCGAGTCGGTGGTTCCCGACTGGATCATGGTGTACAGACGGGCGCTCGTGAATTCACCGTCGGTGCCCTGGAGCGACTTCGCGCGCTCGAAGCGCGATTGGTAGTCCGACTGTTCCATGGGCGTAGAGCCATCGGACTGCGTCGCGCCGTAGTTGAAGCCGGTCGAGAGCGCCTGCGCCCCAGCAATGGAGGCCGCGAGGCCGAGGAAGCTCGAGTAGTGCATGGTTGTTGGAGTAGGAAATCGGTGTTTGTGATGTTATTATTGTAGGTGTCGTGGAATCCCAAGCAAGGGTGCTTTTCAAGAAAAACTAGATGTGAAGAAACCAGGTCCTAGAGAACGAGTGACAATAGGCCTGTGAGTAAGGAAGAATGAGGGTAGTGAATGGCTTGGGTAGGTCAGAGGATGAAGAAGGAAAAGCGAAGCAAACTGGAAGCGTGAATGCAGTTTCAAAGCGAACGCACGTCTCTCCCTACAAGACGCGCGCTGTTAGCTGAGTGGCTGCTGCTATTCGCACCTTCGACATTTGGATTACTGGTTGAGGCATGGTGCTTGCCATTAAGCATTTTTCAATGCGCGCCATCCGAGAAGCCACCATTCCAGTGGTGCCAGTTGCCGTTTGGGTCCGTGAAAAGGGGCGCAGAGTTTTGGTTGTTGAATTCTTGCTGACCGTCTCCCGTCACATGACTTTGGCGCTGACCATGATTCTCTCCGTTTGTCTTCGTGGATCGCTTCGCCTGTTCGTGGTCGCTCCCTCGTTTGCAACAAGATCTGTCGCAAGATTGCAAGGGATGTCCTTGGAAGTGCCAACGTGCTTTGACTGTCAGAGTGTGATCGACCTGCACGGCAAATTAAACCCCAGATCTCACCACTCCTTGGCGCGGCTCTGCGAAAAGTCTACTTCACCAATACGAAGCTCTAAATCACTCTTGAAGTCTATCATCCAACATGGATGGCTGGTCAAGTTGCGCACGCAGAGATGGGGAATAATCCAAACTACTACCGGCTGTTAAACTTGGAGAGCAAGCAGCGTGAACCCTTACTCCCGGCTTCTGAGGTGAAGCAGGCATATCGGCGTGCACTCTTGCAATACCACCCGGACAAGAACAAGACTGGCGCGAAGAAGACAGGAGTGACTGTCGACGACATAGCGCTTGCTTACAAGAACCTCTCCGACCCGGCGCTGCGAGCAGAGTACGACCGCTGGCTGCAATCTGTTGCTGAGGATGTTGACCCTGCGACTACCCCCCGGCCACGCCATACTGGGCTCGAGACGGTCGACTTGGACGATCTTGAATATGATGAGGCGTTCAGCCTATGGACTCGAGGTTGCCGCTGCGGCGATGCGAAAGGCTTCTCTGTCTCTGAATCTGAGCTCGAGCAGCAGGCCGACGAAGGCGAGATCATCGTTGGCTGCAAAGGGTGCAGCTTGTGGTTGAGGATACTGTTTGGGGTTGAGGGTTGATGTGCCAGGCAATGAGCGTTGCCGGGAATGTGGGAAGGCTGCAGTCTCTTCGATGTCCAACAATCTCGACCACTCACGAGACGTAGTCTCTTGGAGCAAAGTCGCGGACTCATTGTGGAGCGCCAACCCCGAAGACTTGCCATGGCGGTCATGTCGCTCGGTCCGTTGTACCACAACCCACATCACTCCGGCGGAATACCTAGGAAGAGGTCGCCCATCTTCTTTTGTCTTGGCAGATGTACCTGCGATGTTCTTTGTCCAACTGGCTCACAAACACCGCGGTGACTGGCCGGCGCAAACTCGCGCTGGACCTTTGCCGACGGCAGACGACCTTCCAAGGTGCACGATCGGCCGATCTACTGGCAGGGGTCTGAAGGACTTGGGCTAATGCAACCAACCGACCCGTCAAAGACCGTACGATCGCAAAAGCGTGTCAAGCGTGTTTATGTTGGAGAACACCCGCGCAGATCATTTTGATGCCGGCGGAGCCTCAATGCCGTCGTCATTGTGCTGGCGGAGCCTCATCCGCAAGTAAACGAAACAAGAGTAGGATTGGCGATTGATATAATCGCAGAGTGTCCGCATTGCTGCTTCATCTCGTCGCCACCGAGGAGGGCGTGGTACTGATGACGCGTGCGCGCTCGAGTTAGAAGAGTTATTAGTTGCACCTGGGCTAGGAAGTGCGTGAAGTGGACTTAAAGACGCGGCGTTGAAAGTTCGTAACAAAGTGTTATCAATCCAGCATGTCCCTTGATCTCTTCTTGGAGGGAGCGGCATCATAGCATTGCGCTACACCCGCAGTGGGACTTCAGGACGTCCTCCGCCTTTCCCTGTTGGCTACACGCATGCCTACGGAGGTATCGCCGTAGCTGTGTCGGAAATTTCACCTTCGACTGTGGTTCTGTATGCGGTCCTTCACGGATACCGACAAGTGAGCTTGCTTGGTATGCACAACGGTGGATGTTCCAAGTGTTCCAAGTGTTATTCGTATCGTGAATGCGGCTCTGTCTAGGGACGCTTGTGCCTAAGTGGCATCCTTGTGCAGCCTCATTATGAAGCGGAGCTGGCCCCGTCCAAGCATGATGATCCAGAGAGATTTGCATCGATCTGCCTTTCGAGGTCGAGCGTGGTGGCCGAAAGATGCGGGTACATGGGATCCGCCAGAACAAGCGCCACGCTTGGACGGCTTTTGGCAGGGTCGACAGCGGACCTGAGTCCGAAGTCCATTCGCGCCTTCCTGACGAGCATGTCATGTGCGTCTTCCGTGAAGGCTGTGGAAGTTATAAGGTATTGCCACTGCTCCCCTCCCCCTTTCCGATCTCTCTGCGACCCGCCTCACAGTCTGGAAATCCACCATGGACACCATCCCCGCCGCCGACACGGTCCAGACCTTGCCAGCAACCGAGAGCGCCGATCAGGAATACGCTCGGAAGAAGCCGAGCAAGCGCGAAAGTCTGACGAGAAACGCGTGCGCCGATTGTCGCCGTAGCAAGTGTAAGGTATCGCCGCCCACGTCGTGCTTTGAAAGTACCACGAGCAGGTGTCTCTGACCACCTCCTGCAGTGCGACGGCGAACGACCCGTCTGCGCCCGCTGCGCCAAGCGCAACACCGACTGCGTCTACGACGTGCCCGACGACGGCATCACCAAGATGCAGCTGCTCGCACAGCAACTGAAGAGCGTGGACCACCAACACCAGCCTCTGGTGAACTTGTTCGAAGCCCTTACGAGCCTCCCCAAGCCCCAAGCGGACGCGCTCCTCGTGCGAATTCGCTCCGGTGAGGAGCTCGTGGACATCACCGCGTCTCTGAAGCAGAACGCGCCATCGTAAGCTGTCAAAAAAGGCAAAATGTCGTATCACCAACCACGGGTGTTATGCGTCGACACTTGTCGTAGCTGATAGCCACAGTGCCGCCGGAGAGTCCACCACCGATCCAAGTCTGAGTGAACCACCGCTTCGTCCACCTCCGCCAGCGCGCGACTTGCGGGACTGGTTCCCGAGCGCTGAGCCGGGCGGCGCCGAGTGGAGCTCCTGGAGCCAGCGCTGTGAGAGCAGCGAACAGAAGCAGCCGCAACCCGCCGGTGTGGGGTTCGACGATGCTCGTCAGACTCCACAGGCGAACTGAGGAGGTGGGAGTGTGAGCAGGCGGTGTGTGGCTCTTCAGCGACGACTGTCGCGCTGGAGTGATGGAAGGCTCGTTTGCTTTTGCAATACTGAACCATTCTCACGTTGCTTAACGCGATGGATGAGCTGTAGTACGACACTACATGGCCATAACTGAAAGAGATCCCGGCTTGCTTGGGATGAGGCGCGCCACATGACTCCGCTTTGCATCAAGGTCATGTGCCCAACTACAATCGCCCCAATACGGTGCTGGCAGGGGTACACCCAGTGCCGCGCTGCAATCGCAAAGCCGAGCGGTGGAGGAGGTGGCGCAGAGAAGTTCAACGATAGAGAAAAGAAGCGAGGAGCGTTATTACACGGTGGAATTGCAACAGGGCATGTTGAATTCGTGCCGAAAGGAAGAGTGTTCGTACTGTGCAAGGATCTCTGCTGACATGGACGAACTTGTCAGTAGGTAGCTAGCTCGGCCTATGTACGATTCATGATAACGGGCTGATCTGCTCCTCAACCTTGTGTTGTAATGAATGGAGATCTCACTACTCGGCATAAATGTCTACCATCTGCAGCCGTCGGGCATCACAAAGCACCATTCCCCTGCGAGTGCCGACCAAAGCACACTTCCGACGCCATCAATAAGCCCAGTACATCGCGAGCGCTCTGATGCTCTTCCCAAGCCTGCGTCCAGCTCGAGGCATGCACTGTGGCACGATCAGCGTACTAGCCACACCGATACTAAGCCGCATACTCGAGAAGCCTCAGCCGGTCACTACATGGGCCACTGCCTTGCCTACGTGGGCTAGCACGATGAAATAGCTGATATGAACATGAAGCAACATGTTGCAACGCTGCCGTGGTGGTTCGAGCGTAGTCGGACATCCACGTTAACATCATGCTTTTCAGACCATGTCTCCTGGTTCTCATTAAGTTCGCGTAAGTGTTCTCTCAAATCTTCATCATCCTCGCACCACCTCCTTCCCTCCTGCTCTCCTCCACCCATCGCTGCGCAGGAATCAAAATGTCCACTCCCTTACCATACCCCACCAACTCCATCTTCTCATTCATCAGCGTCACCTCCACAATCAACCTCCCATCCTGAATCGCTTTCGCCTCCGCCCTCATCAACATCCACTTAACCCCCTCCTTCGGCAGCTGCTTCACGATCTCCAGACTCAGCGACTGCGTCGCCGTCCAGAACCGCGTCACAGTCTTATCGAGGTCATCCTGCCGGATATCGCCAGCAACAGATCTCTCCGCCCTGGCCACTACAGCCGAGTAGCTGAAATCAGAGTTCGGCGTGAAATTGTCCGCTTGCCGTAGGTAACTATCCGCGAGCGTCGGGAGGATGGCATTGGTAATGCGAGCGTTGGGATTGTTGAGCGTACACCACATATCGTGCAGCCGGGGGTTTACAGGGCCGGAGCGGGTGAAGAAGAGGTTCCAGTGGGAGAGCGGTTGGCCTTGGCTCTTCTCGCTGTAGGGGAGGTGGTAGAGGACCCAGTTGGGGTCGGTGTTTGATTCGAGCTTGGTGAGGTCTGCGGGCTGGTGAGGTGGGTTCAGGGAGAAGGCTACGTCGGCTGTTACGCCGCGGTTGGCGGTGGCGTCGACGAGGCTGATGGTGGTTAGCACATAGCTAGAAGTGAAAGAGGGTGAGGGCTATACTTGACATCTCCGGTGACGCTTGGTGAGCCCTTTTGACTGAGCACAACACGCAAGCTGGCGTTTGCTTTGCCGACTCTTAAATGCTCGACTTGCAGTTGCAATTCGCTCTTGTTGACCGGCTTGAGGTACTGGGCCTGGCAGGAGATGACTTGTTGCTCTTTGGTCTTCCCAAGAGTGGTCTTTGCATGTTCGAGTGCCGTGTATACCAGTAACGACGCCGCGAAACCCCCGTGCAAGACTGCAATCTATTAGCCGCATGCTCTTCGGGTACCCGCTGCAGTGACTTACATTCACCAAATCGCTGGTCTTGTCCAATCTTAGCTGTGTATGCGTTGGGTCTTTGACGTTCGATCTTCAAGGCGTTCTGGATGATGCTGTTCTCGGACATTGTCGACGGCTTAGATGCTCTCTGGATATTGTCACCACTATCACAACCAATCGAGTAGAATTAATAGATACGAACATTCGAAGGAATAACAAGACATGTTGTTAAGAAGTCCGGAGTGATCTAGCTCTGAGGGGTCGAAGGTTGCATCGAGGAGAACGCCTCCACAACGCCATTTCGCCGAGGCTTGCTGGCTGTGTACATGGTTTGTCCGCCTCACTTGGACATGGAAAACATCATCGGTCTGAGAACTAGATCCAACTATCCAGTGAAGCGTGAACCAGCCGCTACGTTCCATTGATGGGCTCCAAACTCCATCACAAGATCATGATCACAAGAGTATCAAGCAAGCTGAACCTCGACAGCCCAGGACGGTTGACAAAGGGGGATTGAGCATTGTCGGTGGCCTCTGGCGCTACTGATATCGAGATATAGCTAAAACATCGCACATTAGGTACGATCGAGCCCGGGAGTGCCTGGACCATGAACATGTGCTAGGCCTTATTGTAGTGCTGTGTAAAGTCATACATCACCGCTTTAACGCCCTACACGACACATTAGCACAACTGAACAAGTAGGGCACTGAGGTAGGAAGTCGACGCACCTGCTGCATCTCGTTCGCAAACTCCTTGTCCGTCTGTGCGCGCTTCACATTCTTGATGAAGTCGTCGTTCTCCTCGATCGCCTTGGGATCCCACAAACGCCTCAGGTTTCCGCTTGAGATCGGGTCAATGATATCGAGGTACTTCTGACGCCTAATCTCGGAGTACTTGTCCAGGATGCTATCGTCCGCTTGGCCGGAGTATATGCCATAAAGACAGTCGTATAGGCCTCCTACGTCTGCGAAGCCGCCTGTGAGACCCATGCCGCCACTACATCAGTGTCGTCAGCAGTCGTACAATTGAAGATCGGCCTTTGCAGACTCACAATGGGTTGCACAGGTGGGCAGCATCCGCTGCCAGTAGAACTCGTCCTACCCGCAGATGCTCCGCCAGACGTTGATGAATCTTGTACGGGCTAAAGTTGATGAGCTTATAATCCGACGGCTCTGGCTTTCCCGGTACGAAGGCCTTGTACTTCTCTGCGTTCCATTAGTACTTGTACAGCCTCCGCAGTGGTGAGGTCCTACCTGGCTGTCGCGCTCGCATCTCATCGTACGATAACCCGCCGTCCTCGCCGTATGTAACCCTGGTCAGACCGTCGTTGCTGATTTGTGCGATCATAGGGAAGTGGTCGCGGCTGACCATGAAGTTTGAGCTCGTCCAATCTGGCGGGACATGGTTCTTGAGATCCGGCAGATAGACATTGGTGGCGACGATCTGCTCGTCCCAAGTCCTTCCTGGAAAGTTGGAGCCAAATAATTCTCGCCGTATCTTGCTACCACCGCCGTCACAGCCCACAAGATAGGTGGCGCTTAGCCTCTGGTTACTATTCGGCGTTTCGACATATACCCAAGCTTGAGTGTCATCTTGGCCAAGCGCCGTGACTGTGTGCGACCATAGTATTTCCGCAGTGGGCTGCTTGTCTAGGTGAGATCCTATCAAGGGTAGCAGCTCGTCCAGTGGAAGAGAAATGTTTTTCATGTCTTCGGGCGCATCGTCCGTTCTGATCTGAGCCACGAGGGAGTGGTCGATCTGTCTCCAAGACACACCATCGGCGAAGAAGCTTGGGCAAAGGAATCAGCGCTCGCCGGGTTTTGGAGCTCCTTCTTACTGGACGCCATCGAGGACCTACGATTTTGCCTTGACATCGTCGAGAATGCCCGCCCGTTTGAACTCATATGTCGCCGGGTAACTGTAGAAGCTTGCTCGCGGCTGCTTGTCGTACTCGCTGCTCCTCTCAATTACCTTCACGTTGATGCCCTTCCTTGCCAGCAGTAACGCCAGTAGTAATCCAGATGGCCCAGCCCCGACAATCAAGACCTGGGAGGGTTAGTTGACAGTAGGTCAGACTGATGGACATGAGCACGTACACTGAAGTCTTCTTGCTTAGCCATACTTGCACTCTCTTCCCACTCTGTGACTATCTCTGAAGTATGAAATGTTTCAACAATGGAAGTACCTACGAACGGAAGGGAGATACTTCGAGGGGATACAGACGAGATGGAAGCTCGATAGCATATCCTTCAGCATCTAGAAAGGCAAGCCACGCCCATCTCTCCCGCACAAGATGGAGTCTTGAGCGTGACACGGCAGATGTGAGGAAGATCTGGGTGAGGATCGCGCCTGTTCGCGTGCAGAATTGCCGGTGTGGGGTCAGGGGTGTGGAGGGTTGCCGGCGAAGGTAAAGGCACGAGCATGTGATGAAACCTTACATCTTTATCCTCAAACGAAGACACAGGTAGCATCGCCATCACGGTCCCCGATTATGGCATCTGATCGGATCCCACAGCAGATGAAAGCTCAGGTGTTGACTGAATACAGTCAACCATATACTTTAAAAGATCTATCAGTTCCTGAGCTTGCGTCCGACAATGACATCCTCATTAAGGTTGATGCAGCAGGAGTAAGAGACATCGAAGTAGCCATAATGGTAGACGCTGATCAGTCACAACAGTATTGCCACACCGATGCCGTCCTTGCGGCTGGACAGATGAAAGTACGCTCAAGTATCCAACCCAATATCGACTCTCATGCTGACATTGATGAAGCCAAACCCTCCGAAGTTCCCGCATGTTGGTAGCCACGAGTTTGCAGGTACGGTTGTTAAGACCTCATCGTCATCAGACAAGACGTGCCCGGTGGGGACCCGTGTTGGTGTTCCAGGCAGAGGTTACCACATCTGCGGAACCTGCTTCGAGTGCAAGGACCCCAACAACGACTATGCCGGATACTCGAACTTCTGCGGTAAAGGCTTGAGCAACGGATTGAGTAAGGACGGCGGCTTTGCCGAGTATGCTGTCGTTGATGCCCGACAAGTGGCGCTGTTACCGGATGCAATGAGTGCTGCCAACGCCGCCCCTTTGATGTGTGCGGGAGTGACGATATACCGGGCTTTGAAGAGATGCCGGTTATCTGCAGGCCAGCGAGTAGGTATCATGGGATGCGGAGGTGGCTTGGGGCATCTAGGACTGCAGTTCGCCGAAGCGATGGGCCTCAAAACTACTGGTGTAGATGCGGCAGATGGTCCTCTGAAGCTTGCCAACTCTTTGAGCTTGAAGAATGTAAGAGTGGTAGACGCTCGCTCGACAAAGGTAAGTCAGACTTTCGAGAAGCTTTCTCTCACGCTCGCAGCCCAGTCGGTATTCTGGGACATCTGCTGATCCTTCTACCAAATGCTTAGGCAGACGCCCTAGTCAAGGAGATTGGCGAACAGGACGGCGTAGAAGATCGGCCAAATATGGGCCTCGACGCAGTGATCATTCTTCCCGAGAGTCAAGCCAGCTTTGAGTACGGCTGCTCCATCCTGAAGAACCATGGCTTGTGTGTGGTAGTCAGCTTCCCGGAGGGTGGATTCAACGTTTCGGCAAGGGTAAGTCAATCGGGACCACTGCAGGAGACATTTGCTGATAAATCTTCCCCTTTAACAGGACCTCGTATTCAGAGACATATCTGTCGTAGGTAAGTGCACCGCTCAAGGTCCTCTCTGATCGAAGACAACCCTGACCACATCACGCCTCCAGGGACTCTGTTGGGCACCAACTCCGACCTTCAAGAAATGGTGTCTTTTGCATCGAAACACAACATCAAGGCAATCAGCAAGACTTACAGCCTCGCAAAACTCAACGAACTGGTGGACGAATACAACAAAGGTGAGGGCGGCAAGCTCGTTGTTGATATGGCACTATAGCACCGTGATAGCCAGTCTAGCTTTGAGCCATACCCTCTTTTTCATCTTCGGAGCTCATAGGACAGGATTTTCGCAAGTCCCTTTGTCAAAGTACGCGGCCGGGGCGGACAACGCCAGCACACAGGCGTGTATATGTATGTCTCCTGGCTCGCAAGAGGCTGTTGACACGCCGTTACACTGTCATGTACTTTCGTTAAGCCACTTATATACAACTCTTGCATCCTTACCCTTGTACCGCTCATCTGCAGCTGCTTCTTCGAACGCCTGCAGAGTCGGCTTATCTAGTACTGTTCGTGCATTGGCCTGCTTTGCGAGCTCGCTACCCACTGAGCATTGGTGAGCATGGCAGACGGAGCATTGGCAGCATTGATCGGGACGTACTCTCGAGGACCTTCTTGCACAGTTCGATACGGAAACCTCCTTCGTAATTCCGGCTGCTAGGAACGTTCGGTTGCACACCAGGGACCTACCACATATTGTCAGCGAAGCAGCGAAGATGACTCGGACGTGAGCACCAACTGGGTTGATGTTGGAAGTGATCCACGTTTGACCGCCACTGGCGTTGATCACATCAGTCAACCGCTTCGGATCCAGACCAAGCTTGACGCCGATGTTGAGCGCTTCAGAAGAGGCCAAACTTGCAACTGCCGAGATGTAGTTATTGATGATCTTCAAGCAGGTCAGCATGTCTAATGCGAAGGACGTTGCTGATCGTCTAGACCTACTTTGAACGACACACCAGCACCGATGCCGCCACAGAGGAAGATGCTGTCCGGACGGCCCATATATTTTAGGTAGCTTTGGACTCTGTCAAACGCAGTATCGGGCCTGTCAGTGCCGACCATAAATGCCAACGTGCCTCCAGTGGCGCCATTTGGGCCACCAGAGACAGGAGCATCGACGAAGTCCAGCACTGAACCGCCTGGAAGGGCCTTCTCCGTGTCTATTGAGGCCTTTGCGACCTCGAGAATCGTTGCATTCTCGATGGTTCCACATTCGACGATGAGCTTGTTGATGGGTGACGAAGCGGCGGCTTTGCGAACACCAGCAAGTACTCCTGTCGTTTCATCCAGATACACAGACTTCACAGCAGGCCCATCCGGCAACATCGAGAACAACGTATCCTGCTCCAGAGTCAGCAAAGAAGTGTACGTCTTGCGTCTTAACAATCTTGCAACACACCGCAGCCTCAGCAGCCTCAGCACCGTTCTTGACGACTTCGATCGGGCCTCGACTGCCCACTTCGTCCTTGAATCGTTCTATCGCCGCTTCGCTAACATCGCAGATATACATGGTCGTGTTCCTGTCCAGCTTCGTTCGTAAGTTGACGGCCATTCCATAGCCCATAACGCCCAGGCCTGCTGCATGTTAGCGGCGGTTTACTTTTGGGATCGTCCTACCGATGTATGGCCATGTCAATATGCATACCAATAAAAGCCACGCTTTCTGCGGGTGAAGCCATTGCGGTTGACAATTCGTCCCTTCGATCCAGTACGCTTACAGGAATCCCTCGGTCAACGGAGTTCGTTGGACCTTCCTGTCTGCTTACTACCCTGAGCTTGTTAGGAGTGCTTCAAAGTAGCGTCCCTCTGTGACGGTGTGGATGTTCTCCTGGTGATGATGCGGGGCACGCAGGACGGATCGCTTGGAGAAGTTTTGGAGAAATGCCGGTCGTCATCTCATTCTCAAAAGTCCTACCGTTGCACAGAGATGCTCCTTTGCCAAAAGAACTCCACAACGAATGTCATACCACGACTCCGGATGGCGTTGTGCATGTGTTTCTACGTCGCCTGCACGTACATGCAGCTATGCAGGTATGGCCCTTAACGCCCGGATCAATCTGATGGCTTGGAACAACGCATCCTTGCGTCCAGACTCAAATGATTTCGAACTCCATGTTGCTGTTCTGCGGTCGCGGGCCCAATGAGACGCATAGCTAGCAGACGTTCCGTGTTGGAAGCAAGAGAAAGGGCCGTTCTCGGCGACGTGCTTCTCCTTTCCCAGAGCAGCTCGGATATCTCGGATGGCACGAACAGTCAGCCTCACTGTACCTCCTAATTCCGGACACAATCTTCCAGTTTACACGACTTCACGTCAACCCGCAATCGAGGAGGCAATGGAGTGGACCATACGACGAGTGTCTTCGGCTATGTCCGCCATCTTGCAATCACAGGTCTGTCTTAGCATGTTTCGTAATCCATCCTGCACGCACGCACGGCATCTACATGCAGCTCTAGGAGGCTTAGAACAATCAAGCAGCGCCCACCTATCTTGAGATCATATTGGCAGCTTCCTTATTGAGATTAGACTAGGCAATAGTTTCGGAGTCATCGATATAAATGCCTAGGTTCTCGACCTTACCTTCTGTCTCTGGAAGATAAAACACACCAATTCTTGCGGATCAATCCTTCGAAATGGCACAGCCTGAAGCCCTCGAGTACGATGTGATCATCGTTGGCGGTGGCACTTCAGGCTGCGTACTGGCAAACCGCCTGTCAGAAGACCCGAATGTGTCAGTGCTCATGCTGGAAGCTGGTGAGGACCGCAGCGACGATGAGCGTGTCTTCGCTCCAGGTCTAGCAGGCAGCACCTGGGATGACCCCCGATTCGACTGGCAGTACGTCTCTGAACCATCACCTGGCATGAACGGCAGACGTATCAAGCACCCTCGAGGGCGGGTCATAGGCGGCACGAGCGCGATCAACTCATTTGCGATCATCTATCCTTCAGCTGCGGGCATTGATGCTTGGGCGGAGCTTGGGAATGAAGGTTGGGACTGGAACACCCTTGCGCCGTATTTCCTCAAGTTTCAGACCATTGTGCCGCCAAGTGAGGATGTCAAGAAGCAGCTGAACATCATGCACAGTGATGAAAGCATCCGCAAGTCGAATGGACCAATTCAATCGGCGTTCCCATTACGAGTGACCGAATTTCAGAAAACTTGGGTTGATACCTTCCGCACTTTAGACCTGGAAAGCACCCGTGATCCGTTGGACGGGCACGCCATTGGCGGGCATACATCAACTTGCCACATCACTGGAGACAGGCATGAGCGCAGTCATGCAGGTGTGGCATATCTGGATCCAGTTCGAGAGCGAACAAACTTGGCGGTCATCACAAACGCTTTGGTCCGCAAACTGGATATCGACAGAAGCAGTCCAGAACCCATCGTCCGTGGTATCGTGTACTCACAGGATGGCGTCTCCCATGGAGTTCGAGCTAAACGAGAAGTCATACTTGCGGCAGGCGCCTTCAACACGCCGCAAATCTTGGAGCTGTCTGGTATTGGTAATCCCAGTCTTCTTGAACAGCACGGCATTGATGTCGTCCACGCCAACCCGGCTGTCGGAGAGAACTTGCAAGACCACATACGGCCGGGGGTCTCATTCGAGCTGACCGACGACGCTCCGCCGCGGACGACAATGCCTGTTGACAAGGCTCGCAGACTATACGAGGAGAATCGATCCGGGCCTTGGGCGGAACAGGGTGCCTTCGCCTTTTCATACACCCCACTTGTGCCTTTCTTGGATCCACAAGGGAACGAAAAGCTGACGAGTCTGCTCGACCAGCATTTGAAGGACGGTGAGGGCTGGTCGCCATTCATACGCAAGCGCAACGCTTTCATTCGAAACGTCATTGAGTCTCCCAACGAAGCAACCGCTGTAACGTTCCTAAGTCGGAAACCATTCTTCGACTCTGACAAAGGCAATTTTATCAGCTTCTGCACCATGTTGTCTCATCCTTTCTCCGCCGGAACTGTCCACATCACCTCTGCAGATTCTCAAGTTAAGCCAAAGGTCGATTTCAATTACTACTCGCACCCCCTCGATGTGGAGATACATGCTCGACATGTCCAGGTGCTGGACAAACTTGCGAAGACAGAACCCTTAGCGTCGTACATCAAACCCGGCGGGAGAAGGCTTCCAGAGGAGTATCCTGCGGACACGATCGACAGTGCGAAAGAGTTGGCGCGAGCTTATGCAACGACAAACTATCATCCATGTGGCACATGCTCCTTGGGTGAGGTGGTGGATACTCGTCTGAACGTGAAAGGCGTCCGGAATCTGAGGGTTGTTGATGCGAGCATTATGCCCATTATACCAAGAGGTAACATCATAGCAACGGTGTATGCAGTCGCCGAGCGTGCTGCCGATATCATTAGCGAGGATCTGGGCATTCTGAGACGTACGTAGAAGCACGTGAAAGCGGACCGTGAAGGGCAGCCAAGGCTTTGAGAAAGTCCAAAAAAGGATTGCTGTCCGCGACGACCTTACCTAGACAGAGACTTCAGGCGCATGAGTGAAGCCACAACACACTCAATGGCTCGGTGGGAACGTAAAAAATGCAAACGTACAGTAGACGAATTCCCATAGTGTCTCAACATCCGCAGCTCCGAGTGAAACCCCCTGAGTTCCCCGCCGCCAGCGTAGACAAAGTCAGACTCGACACCACCACTCCTCCTGCCATTCATCTTGGCACCTCGGCTGCGAGATAAAAATGTCAATACCAGGCCATTGGTCACAACGGAACCGGAACTCCAACGGTTTGCATAACTTGTGTGACGACGGAGTCACCACCCCTTGTAGATCGACATCCGCAGGAGAGAAGACGAATTTGGCAATGCTCCGGACACTATCAAAGAGAAGCTCAAGTAGAGTTGTGTGAGTAGAAAGGCTCGTTTTGATAGTTGCGATCAGAAATCATCTACTGTCTGGAGACGACAGGATATATAGGCTCGTCAGGGCGCTCTGCCCATGATGGAGAAGCTGGTACCACAAGCCATCAACTTCTGGTCAGGATGCTTGCAGGAGTCTTCAAGGTCGCGGCGTTGGCCCTCGCTGCTTTGCCCGTGGACGCCTTTACTGTCTCTCGAGACACAGCACCGGGAAACGCTGCGTGTGCGAACCTGACGGCCTCACTTGAGAGCAGTACAGTCAAACAGCCGCTCAGTCTAGCATACGCTTCGAGTAGACATGACTACTGGAACGCTATTCAGAGCTCGTACACTCCATCATGCGTGGTATATCCCGAGTCGGCAAAAGACGTCTCGACTGCGTTGATGGCCATCAAAGGCGCAGGATCACGTTTTGCGATCAAGGCCGCCGGCCACAACCCCAATACCTTCTTTTCTTCCGTTGACGAAGGTGTCCTGATCGATCTCAATGAGATGACTGAGAAAACGTACGTCAATCCCATAGATTAGAAGAGCGATGCCTGAGCAAAGACCATTCCGAACTCAACCTGAATCATGGTTCATGTGCTGATCATTCCATCCTCTGTTTAGATACGACGCTTTCACGAACTTGGGCTCATACCAGCCCGGCGGTACATTCGGCGACATCTACAACTACTTCGACCAGTACGGCAGGACCGTTGTCGGTGCTCGACTTGCCGGCGTTGGGACTGGACTGGCCCTCGGCGGCGGACTCAGCTATCTATCGCCTCAGTACGGCCTAGCCTGCGACTCCTTCCGCGAGCTCGAGGTCGTCCTTCCGAATGGTGAGATCGTTACAGCATCTCCGACTGAGAATGAAGACCTCTTCTTCGTCAATCGCGGTGGCGGGGGAAATGCGTATGGCGTTGTCACAAAGTACACAATACAGACCCGACCTTCCGGCACATTCTACGCCGGTAACCTCATCTACGTTCTCGACTTGAAAGATAAAGTCCTAGAAGCCATCCGCGACTTTACCCGCTACAACACCGACCCCAAAGCCTCCATCATCGGCACCTACGAGAAAATCCTCACGCCCTCCTTAGGCGACCTGGATCTCGACCAAGCAATCATCATGTTCCTCGTCTACGACGGCCCAGACGCCGGAAATGTCTTCGACAACTTCACCAGCATCCCGCACCTGCTCAACACTCTCGGGAAGAAGAGCTACCCCGAAGTCGTCAACATGCCCACCCCCCTCTCCACGGAAATCAGCCGCGGCGACAACATCTTCCGCGTCCAAGTCCATGGCATCGACGACGACTCGTACAAAACGGCTTTCGACGCCTGGGACAAGTGGTGCGAGGACAACAAAGGCGACTATATCCTTTCATCGCTCGACTTCCAGCCGGTGCCGAAGTCCCTCACGGACGCTTCGAATTCACAGAACGGAGGGAATGCTATGCAGATGCCTTCCGGGCCCTGGTTCTGGCTGAACTTCTTGCTCTCGACGCCGCCGCTCCTACCGAAAGCGCGGTATGATAGTATCCAAGCGAGTTTTAGGGATATGGTGAACAGCGTGCCGAATGCGGAGGGGTTACCGCTGTTTATCAATGATGCGGCGGCGGATCAGGACCCGTTGAAGACGTTCTCGACGTACAGCCGACTTCAGGAGATCCAGGCGAAGTACGATCCCGACGACTTCTTTGCTGATTACACCGGCGGGTGGTCGTTTGGCTAGAGGGCTCAAATTCAGGTCGTTTCGCTTTTTGGACATCAATCATTACCTAGCGCCGTGCATATGCTCAAAACGCAACGTCAATCATCTTCAGCCCTTCTCACGCTCACGCATGCCCATTGACCCCATTCTCCGCCACCCCGTTCGCCTTACCCTTCTCCACCTTACCCAGCTTCTGCCTCCTCGCCGCTACCGCCTCCGCCAACTCCTTCAGCACAACCTCCGTATCCTCCCACGAAATACAAGCATCCGTGATCGAGACACCATACTTGAGCCCCGCTTTACCCTCCTTCGGCACCTTCTGATTGCCTTCGTGAATGTTGCTCTCAATCATACAGCCCATAATTCCATCCTCGCCGTCTTGGAGCTGCTTCGCCAGCTCGTGCGCGACCTTTGATTGGTTCTTATGCTGCTTCTCGCTGTTGCCGTGCGAGCAGTCGACCATGAGACGTGCGCGGAGGCCTTTCGCTTCCAGTGCGGATTTTGACTCTGCGATGGATTTCGCATCGAAGTTCGTGCCCTTCTTACCGCCTCGCAGGATGACGAAGCAGTCGTCGTTGCCTACCGTTCCTACGATTGCAACGTTGCCGGATTTCTGGACAGAAAGGAAGTGATGGGGGTGCTTTACTGCGCCGATGGCATCAATAGCGACGTCCAGAGTACCATCCGTCCCGTTCTTGAAGCCGATTGGGAAACTGAGACCGGATGCTAGCTCGCGGTGGATCTGGCTCTCAGTCGTGCGGGCGCCAATGGCTCCTACAGACAGCAGGTCTGCAGTGAACTGGGGAGAGATGGTGTCGAGCATCTCAGATGCCAGAGGCATACCCTTCTCAGTAAGATCGAGGAACATCTGTCGAGCAGTGCGAAGTCCTTTGTTGATGTTGAAGGTGTTGTCGATATCCGGATCGTTGACCAGCCCTTTCCAGCCGACCGTCGTTCTGGGCTTCTCCAGGTAGCTTCGCATCACAATCACCAGATCGTCCTCGTATTTCTTCTTCAATTCCAGCAGGCGGTCGCAGTATTCCAGCGCCATGTCGGGGTCGTGTATACTGCATGGCCCAACGACTACAAGTAATCTGCGGTTGGCATCCGTCCCTTGAACCACATCCGTGGCATCGTTGCGTCCTGCTAGAACCGTTTCTTTCGACTTCTCAGATTGTCGGATTTCGTGTTGGAGGAGGTCAGGTGGTGTCAGAGGGGTCATGCCGCGAATGCGGAAGTCCTCTGCTCGCGTGCGATCGCCCACATTCGCATTGGGGAGGAAGAACTAGTTGGTGGTTAGCATGAACTGTGAAGGCTGTTTTAATGGCAGTTGAACGTACTTCAGACATTGTGGATGTTCAAGAGACAACAGCGATCGATTCTAGTGTGAGGAAGGGGGTTATACTGGTGTTGGGGTGTTGTCTGAGGTCAGACGGACAGAGTGACTCGAAGTTCTTCTGTTTCTCCAGAAAATGTCGACGTCCAGAGCGCACGTGCGACGAACGGACCTCTTCCGCGCCACCTCTTCCAACCACGACCGCCTTCGACCTTGACAACATCCCCCACTTCATCTGTGCTGGCAGCCATATTGGACAGGAGGTTTCACTACAGTAGGACTATCAGGAAGATATGAGTCCCAGCCACTCCTACACTACACGCTGTACAAAGAATAGAAGGTAGGAGGAGACAGCATTCAATTTCCAACGTCATCGTTACATCTCGTCTGCTTCGTTTCTTCAGACAAGAACACATCCATCTCTCTTGACTTTCAACTCAAGGACATACCCATCACTAGCCAGCCAGACCAGAGCCACAACCACCAACATGTCTCTCTCCCGCGAATCCCTTCGCCAGCTCCCCCTCTCCTACGCCTCCTGCTCCATCGGCTGCAAACCAGAACACACCCTCCCAGCCCGCCTCTCCGCCATCTCCGCCGCCGGCTTCACAGGACTCGAACTCAGCATGCCGGACCTCGTAGCCTTCGCCAACCAACATCTCCGCACTGACCAGCAATCCCCAGACATCAAAGCCGAAGTCACGAACCACGACTTCGACGACCTCTGTGCGGTGGCGAAAGTCGTCAAGACAATGTGCGATGCGCAAGGTCTGGAGATCATGCTCATGCAACCTTTTGCCAATTTCGAAGGCTGGCCGGAAGGTTCTCCAGAACGAAAGGATGCTTTCGAACGCGCGGATGGGTGGTTAAGGATCATGGAGTCTTGTGGATGTAAGACGCTTCAGGTGGGGTCTACTGACACGCCGGCGGAGAAGATCGGCACGGATCGTGAGAGGTTTGTTGGTGATTTGAGGCAGATTGCGGATATGGCGGGGAAGAAGGGGATGCGGATTGCCTATGAGAACTGGTGCTGGAGCACTCATGCGCCGGACTGGGCCGATGTGTGGGATATCTGCCGTCGAGTTGATCGGGAGAACTTTGGTTTGTGTTTGGATACGTTTCAATCTGCTGGTGGCGAATGGGGTGATCCGACGACGGAATCGGGAATGATCGAGGATGGAAAGAGTGCAGAGGAGGTTACGCAGAAGTGGAAGGAGTCGTGCGACCAACTGGCAAAGACCATCCCTGCTGAGAAGATCTTCTTGCTGCAGATTAGTGACGCTTACAAGCCGAAGGAGGCCTTCAAGGACGAGGCAGACGAGAATGGGATGAGGCCGAGAGCGCGGTGGAGCAGCGCGTGGAGGCCTCTGCCATTTGAGGGGTATCTGCCCGTGGTGGACTTCGCGCAGGCGGTGCTGAAGTCGGGCTTCAAGGGTTGGTTCAGCTACGAGATCTTTGACGGCGGACCGGACGGGCAGGGCAAGGACTACGAGCTCGGTCCGTTTGCAGAGGCGGCGATGGAGTGTCAGAAGAAGTTGATGGATGCTTGTGCGAGCTAGTGAGAGCACGCGAGGATACAAGTCATGATCAAAACCGACATGCAATGCAATGTAGCCAAGAACCTCACATGCAAAGCTGAAAATGAGCAGATCGAGAATCCTCCCAATGCCTTCATCACTTCGATCTTCCTTCATCCAAGCAACCTGATCCTTCCGTCCTCACCATCACGTCCACTTGCATCTTGTCCAGGGTTCGCCCTCTCATAGTCCAAGATCTTCAAGAACTTATACAGGCCTGCCGCGAGCACCGCGCCCGACGCTGGTCCAGCCCAGTAGATCCAGTGCTCCTTCGGGAAGCTCATCAGCACCAACGCTGGGCCGAAGCTCCTTGCCGGGTTCAAGCTGCCGCCGGTGAACCTGACCCCAGAAAGCTCAGCGATGAACAAGCTCAGCCCGATGCCGATCGGCGCCATGAAGGTGGCCGCGTGCTTCTCCCCCGCCAGCATCTGGATTGTGGTGAGGAGTTGGAAGGTCAGGAACATTTCGATGAGGAAGCCTTGTCCGAGGGAGGTCGAATCGCTGAGGGCGGTGGTGACGGCCAGTGGTCCTGGAAAGATGGCGTGGACGACCAGAGAGGCCACGATGCCTCCTAGGATCTGGGAGATGGCGATGAGGATGCTGCGGACTAGAGGGACAGCGCCGGAGAGGTACATCCCTAGCGTGATCTATACGTCTCATCAGTGCGGCTCAGCAGTAGCGAAGTCGGCTGGTGAGACCCACAGCCGGATTAAACAGCCCCCCACTGACCCTGAACCACACCCACGCATTGACAGCTAGACTGAAGCCGAACGCTAAGCTGATGTACAGCAATTGGTTAAGCTCGTTGGCATCCTTGGTCGTGTTCGCCACTTGTGTGCCGGATAGAGCGAAGAAGAGGAAGAAGAAAGTGCCAATGAACTCGCCGCAGCAGGCTACGAAGTGGTTTCTGGCGGTGTTGTTGAGGCGGTCGGCAAAGGGGAGGCGATGCTGCGGGTGGGAGGAGCTGGATTGGGGGTTGAAGGGGGTCGAGGATTGGTCTTGTTGATTCATACTTGCTGGAAGATACGGGAGGATGGAGATAGGAGGAGAAGACGAGAGATCGATATGTATAGGAGATGAGCAGTAGGAATAGAGGTAGAGTACCAGATCCGATCGCCACGGGGATCTTGAGCTCTTGTACTCGTACCATGTTGAGTAGATCCACAGCACCAATGGCGTCAGCTGCCATACTTATCCTCTTCAGCATTCAGGAACACCAATCGTACTCTGGAGATGCGGCGGGGTCGTAATCACACGGACGGCAGCGGTCAAAGAAGCAAAGGTCAAAGGGTGGGAGCTGAGTCGTGCGGCGAGCTAGACGGCAGAGCTTCAGCGTAAGCGGCTTTCGTTAACGCCAAACTCGAGTTTGATGCCCTTCAAGCTGTCGGAGACATCGCACCGCCAGAGTGATTGACAGGAAGTGTCTGATATCCCAGTGAAAGCCGTGTCGTGAAGAAGAAGGCCAAAGCCGCGTGTGAATACGGCCCTTGGAGTCCTCGGGCTCGGTAAGGTATTCGAAAGAAGCAGTTGTCAGTCTCCAACGGCTGTTTTCCATCCACCAGTCGTCCTGACATGCGTTGTGCCGCTCTGTTGACCGAGAAGATTCGAGTGGCATCGCATTCATAAGATCGAGGCGGATGCCGTCGTCGTTCGTTTGGCGGTCTCTCAAGCGAGAGAAAACACGCTAGTCGGCTCTGGAGATACCATTGATCCGCAACGCGTTCTCAGACACGTTCTTTCTCCAGTGAAGCTCAGACAGAAGACTGATCGCCTGCACCGTCTCAGTATGGCGCCTCCTGTCGTGCCAAGCAAGCGACCGGCCATCAGTCACCAGCAGTGAGCCGACTTCCTCAGAACCCACGATCTTCACACTGACCAAAACAGCTCATTCGACGCGCCGGGGTACAGCGATATCTCCGTGAAGTATGGCAGCTATACTCGCAGACTGCATAGAATAGTACTCGTCGATGCATCCGAGCACCTGGCGGAGGTTGTGGAGCAGAAGAATGCACGATTCAAAGGCTGGCTCGACGTTCTGTTTCTCGAAGATAGCGATCCGGACGCAATTGAGGCTGTATTACGGTTTGCCTACGGGTTTGACTACGACGACATCGTGACCCTCAGCAAGGAGAAATCCAGGACCGAGTTTCACTTGAAGGTCTACACTGCTGCGAGCGAATACAAGATGCAGGAATTGCAAGAGGTCGCACGCAGGGCGTTGGACGAGTCCTTGAAGCACTTTACGGCGAGACGCCATCGTCAGCCACACCAGGACGACAAGCGTGCTCACAGGATCTTTGAGCTTGTGAAGCTGCTCACGACGTACCACCACTACGAACAATACTTCGTCGACCGGAGCAAAGAATTGGTCCAGCGGCACCTTGCCATGCTGCTGAAGTTGGATGGCTTCTTGCTCTGGCTGACGCAGGACGGCAGTTGGGCCGTGGATTGCCTTCACAAAGCTGTCGACCAGGGGAGAAGCGTGACTGAACACACGATCAAGTCCTGCAGAGATTGCGAGACGGCATGGGAGGATTGCGGATCCACCAAGCACGTGTGCACTTCACAGCCCGGTATCCAGTCGAACGCGAAGTCTTGTGCGACAATACGATTCACCTGTCAGGTAGGTCAACTTCATAACGTGGAGCAAATAGCATCTGGCACGTGAAGATGGCGAGAGGGCAGTGTGCATGCATAGAGATCGAAGGACACGGTACTCCAGGCCTTGCGATCCAACATTCGCGAGAGCTATAGCAATGGCTGGAGTGTCGAGAAGGAAGAGTTTGATGGCTCACGAGTGGGTCGTACGTTGCTACGCATGACATGTGGGAGCAGCAAGACGGTAGCTTTCCTGCACTTACGATGACACGGACAGTGGGCATCTAACGCCCCTGCGCGTCTCTGTACGCTACGTTGCACGACTTTATGGCTTTACGATACGTTCAGCAGATGTATAATGCACAGCTTTACTGCCGACTTCTCGCTCTGATTCCACCATGCTATACAGCGACTTGCACTCTGTGCGCACTCTGTGCGTGCACCGGAGCACCTCATTCATTCATGATCACCAGTAATCATCTTTTGCTTATCAAAAAATGTTGCGACGGGACCTCCACTCCGGCTGCCTCAATGGTTACATGCACTGCAGCCATCTCATGCTGTGCTACCGGCCTTGCGGCCATCCATGTCGTTTCTTGAAGACCGTGCGTGTGAAGGTTGCGATCTATCAATCGTTCGCAGTCGTTTCCTTTTGTCTTCTTTCCTCTTCCTTTGTCTTCTCTTCGGCCGCTCCATGCGCAATTGTTTCGACAGGGCACCAACTTACATCCAGCTGAGAAATCTGTTCTTGGGGTCATGGCAACGATCAATGCTCAAAGGTGAGCTTATCCTCCAATTTCCCCCCATGCGTCTTCTACGGTACCTTGACATTGACTTCTCCTAGCATCTTTGGCGTGGCTGCCGTCTCCGATGTCGTCTTCCAATGTGGCGAACGCAGCGTCCCATGTTCACGGGCCATCCTCACGGCAGCTTCTAGGCCGCTGGGAAAGCTCGTTGCGAGCGATAGCGGCTTCAGGGAGGCCAAGCAAGAAGTCATCGAGCTCGACGACGATGACCCCGAAGCTGTTCTGGCCATGCTCAAACACGCCTACAGCTTCCCGTACGGCGATATCGTCGGTAAGAACGAGGCGAGGCGCAAACCGGAGTTCCACCTTAGTGTGTACACCGTTGCGCACAAGTTCGAGATTTCAGGGCTACAAAGAGATGCGTTGAGGGCACTTGACGACTCACTTGAGAAGATTGATCTGGATCGTCCCTCGAGCCGAGCTAAACACGATGTGGAATATGTGTTCGACCTCGTGAAGTTCCTTGCGCAGCACAAAGATTTCGACACTGCCTTTGTCAATCGAAGCAATGCCATGATTGAGAAGAACATGTCTGGATTGGTCCGGCTGAAGGAGTTTCTTCTGTGGATAGTTGAGGATGGCAACCCAGCTATCGACTGTCTCGGTAGAGCTGTGGATCGCCGCGCCAAACGGAGGATACACAAGATCACATCTTGCCGTGAGTGCGATCAGGTGTGGACGGAGACCGGAACGCTGGAACATCGTTGCACCCGTCAAGCGACGAGAGTGGACGCCGTTTCTTGCGCAACAATCAGCTTGAGCGTTGCTGGCAGTGAAGTGTACTGGATGCAGCAGACGGCGCCTTCGAAGAAACAACAACACGCTGTCGCACCACGCTGATGAAGGAGTGGGGCGCAAATGAGCAGTGTGTGAGCATGGGGGAGCGGACGAATATCGCGAAGAGAAGGGTTCGAAGAAGTTGGCCAGGGAAGGGTTGGCGAAGGCGGTGAAGAAGCTGGATCGGAAGGCTTCAGTACTGTGCTTGCTGCACTATCAGATCGTCGCCACACATGGCTAGGAGTTTGGCGTGGCCTTTGTATTCTTCTGTGCATATCTCTAGCGTACCAGCGTCACTCAGGCATCCTCATCCCCTTTGCATTGCTCTCCGTAACGTCCAACGCCACCAAGAACCTCGAAACCATGTTATACGCCCCAACAGTAATCGTGAGCTCCATGACCTGCTGGTCCGTATACCTCGACTTCAGCTTAGCCATCAGCTCATCGCCGACTTTAATCTCCTTGGTACTCTGCCGTGTAAACTCCAGGACATCGATCTCCTCCTCGCTAAGCACAGAAGAGTTCTGCACATCCCCCTTCAACACCGCCTCCAGCGCGTCCCGCTTCACACCAGCCTTGAGCGCGAGAGGGGCATGAGCGGTCCATTCGTAGACTGCCCCGTTCAGCACCGCAACGTAGCACACCGCAATCTCCATCGGGGCCTGGTGGAGGGAGGATTTCGTCCGGATGGAGCCGAGGAGCGTATTGAAGCCATCCGCGATGTTGGGGTTATGTAGAAGAGCCAAGTCCAATGGGATCAGTGGTCGAGGGTCGCGGCGTTGTCTGATACGCTCATATATCTCGGTGTTTTCTGGTGTTGGGTCGGCGGGCTCGGTAGGGGCGTATGGGATCCTCATGGTTGATCAAGTCGTAAGATGTGTTCTGGAGGGGGCAAGTCTCGTCTTGGCAGTCGAGGACGTACGAAAGGCCAATGCCGTAAGAAGATGATGGGGCGAAGGATGTTGGAGGCGATGGAGGAGCTCATATTTCCTCGGCAATTGCTTTCGGCTGGACTTTCTCAAGCTCCTCGTGACTTACCTAGTTAGGCTTTCATGTGAAAGCGTTTGAGATGTGATTGACTCGATGGTAACAACACCAATGGCGAAGTGAGTCTTGCGATTTTGAATGGAGAACGTGAGCTGGTGTTCGCACCACACAATGTCCTCCAGGCGCCACCGGCACGAGCCCTCGACGCCACAAGAGGAAGAATAGGGTTTGGACGATCGGCGTACCTGCATGAAAATTATCGAACGATTGTTGACCGCGAAGAAACGAAGTCGCATCATGTCCATTGGCCACTCGAACCACTTCCTTCGACATCCACGACCATAAGAAGTACACCTCAGCATCTGGCAACACCCACTGAATCAGTCAGCTCGCACATGCGCCAATAACAACACAGAAACCAGCCAGAATGGGCGTCCTCAACGAGATCTCCAGCCCTCTGTCCGCCTACCTCTCCACCGCCAGCACGTTCCAGATCGTTGGATTGGGCCTTGCGACCTTCATCGCCGCCTCCATCTTCATCAATGTGCTCAGACAAGTCTTGGTCAAGAACCCGAATGAGCCACCGATTGTCTTCCATTGGGTCCCTCTCATTGGCAGTACGATTACCTATGGCATTGACCCGTACAACTTCTTCTTCGCCTGTCGCGAGAAGTACGGAGATGTCTTCACATTCATCCTGCTGGGCAAGAAGACGACGGTGTGCTTAGGGACAAAGGGGAGTGACTTCATTTTGAACGGGAAGCTGCGGGACGTGAACGCGGAGGAGGTGTACACACCGCTCACAACGCCGGTGTTTGGCAAGGATGTGGTGTACGACTGCCCGAATGCGAAGTTGATGGAGCAGAAGAAGGTATGTGGCGATACATATAGCACACACTGAAGAAGCCAGCTAACAGAAGTGGCAGTTTGTCAAATTTGGCCTCACAACTTCCGCCTTCCGATCGTACGTGGGCCTCATCAACAACGAAGTCAAGAGCTTCTTCTCCAAGGATAACTCGAACAAGAAGTTCGCCTCGAGCTCTGGCACCGTGAACCTGCCCCCTGTCATGGCTGAGCTCACCATCTACACCGCATCCCGCTCGCTGCAGGGCAAGGAGGTCCGAGAACGATTCGACTCGACCTTCGCAGATCTCTACCATTATCTTGACATGGGCTTCTCACCCATTAACTTCATGTTGCCTTGGGCGCCGCTACCCCACAACAGAAAGCGCGACTACGCTCAAAAGAAGATGGCTGAGACGTACATGTCCATCGTCAAGCAGCGAAGAGAAGAGAAGGCCGAGGAGAGGGAAGAGGACATGATCTGGAACCTCATGAACTGCACGTATAAAGACGGCAAGCCCATACCCGACCACGAGATTGCGCACATGATGATTGCGCTTCTCATGGCCGGACAGCACAGCTCCTCTTCAACGATTACTTGGATTTTCTTGCGGCTGGCCACCAGACCCGAGGTTCAGGATGAGCTGTTGCAGGAGCAGAAAGACATCCTTGGCGTTAACGAAGACGGCTCCATCAAGAACCTCGCCTACGACGACCTCTCTCGCCTACCTCTTCACGCTCAGGTGGTCAAAGAGACTCTGCGCCTGCATGCACCGATTCACTCGGTCATGCGCCGCGTCAAGCAGCCTTTAGCAGTCGAGGGCACACCTTATGTCATTCCGACCACTCACACTCTCCTCGCCGCACCAGGCGTCACCTCGCGCACACCAGACTACTTCCCGGAACCCATGCTTTGGGAGCCACACCGCTGGGACGAATCACCATCCGAGAAGTACACCCACCTCTCGCCCGCGCATCTCAAGGAAGGGGTGGCGGAGGAGACCGAGGACTACGGCTACGGACTCGTATCGAAGGGCGCCGCATCGCCATATCTGCCTTTCGGTGCTGGACGACATCGGTGCATTGGCGAGCAATTCGCTTATGTGCAGCTGCAGACAATCCTGGCGATTCTGATTCGGGACATGAAGTTCTTCAATGTGAAGGGTAAGGAGGGCGAATTGGTGGGCACGGATTATTCGAGCTTGTTCTCGAGGCCGCTGAGCCCGGCGGTTGTGAGGTGGGAGAGGCGGGAGAAGTCGTGACCGTCTTTGGAGAGGCAATGATTGTTTTACAAGCGATGTTATAGATGGAGCGCTTAGTCTAGATTTACCACAACAGAAGATTAGACATCAAGCGTAAGACAAGTCCTCTGTTGCGTGATATTCGAGAACCTCGGAAGGCACGACTCCGATGCCGCTACTGGAAATAAAGCGGGCCGCTCATTCCCATCAATCAAGCTTCGTCTTTAATCATCATCGATTGCTCTGCCGCGGCCAGACTCCAACACTTCAACTGTTTCTTCTACCATTGCCACAACCTCAACTCTCCCCTCACATTCACAACACCCATCATGGCACTACGACTCGCGACGCGGCGCCTCGCCGCCCCCATGGTCTTCCGCCGCGGCATGGCCACCACCATCGAGCACACCAAAGGCGAACCCCTCAGCACCGTGAGCGAATTGACCTCAGCCTCGCGCCCACCAGAGCCCGCGTCCAAGACCAGCAACATCCCCGACCCGAGCCCTTCGCAGCAGGCGAAGATGAAGACCTTCCACATCTACCGCTGGAACCCCGATGAGCCCACGTCGAAGCCGAAGATGCAGAGCTATTCGCTGGATCTGAACAAGACGGGGCCGATGATGCTGGATGCGTTGATTAGGATCAAGAATGAGGTGGATCCGACCTTGACGTTCAGGCGGAGTTGTCGAGAGGGGATCTGTGGAAGCTGCGCTATGAACATTGATGGGGTGAATACGCTGGCTTGTTTGTGTGAGTAGCCTCAAGGAATATCAAGAGGAAGAAGCACGCGCTAACATGGGTGTTCATAGGCCGCATCCCGACAGAGACCGCCAAAGAGTCACGCATCTACCCGTTGCCACACACCTATGTCGTCAAGGACTTGGTGCCGGACCTCACGCAATTCTACAAGCAGTACAAGTCCATCAAGCCTTATCTACAGCGCGACACGCCACCTCCAGATGTGAGTTCTACCGTATCTGCAAACCCAACACCACGTACTGACAGATTCTCAGGGCCGCGAGAACCGCCAATCCCGCACCGACCGCGCCAAGCTCGACGGCCTCTACGAATGCATCCTCTGCGCGTGCTGCAGCACATCCTGCCCATCGTACTGGTGGAACTCGGAGGAGTACCTCGGACCCGCCGTCTTGCTCCAGTCATACCGATGGATCGCCGATTCGAGAGACGAGAGGACCGCGCAGCGCAAGGACGCGCTGAACAACAGCATGAGCTTGTACCGATGCCACACGATCCTGAACTGCTCGCGAACGTGTCCAAAGGGTCTGAACCCGGCGCTGGCGATTGCGGAGATCAAGAAGAGTCTGGCTTTTGCCGGTTGAGAGAGGACGAAAGTGATTGTTTTGGAAGGATAGGAATGGTTTGGAGTTCGAGCATGGTAGGGGTTAGCTATGGTTTAGCTTGTGCATATGTTGCTGTATGTTGAATGTTGATGAATAGCATTCTTTTCACCATGCTTCGTCTCATGTGCTTCGTTCGTTGTGCCTAAACTCTAGAAAGGAAAGGGTTGGTGATTCATTGTATGTACCAAGTTACCTGATGGTGCTTTCAGCCCCTCCATCTCAACACCTCGCACACCCTGCCGCTTCCAGCGATAGCTCCGACCGCATCTCGTAGACTTCCAACCTTACACCCAACGCCACCCAGATTTAGTCATGCCCACGCGCTCGCCAGGCTGTTTCACATGTCGCAAGCGCAAGATCCGTTGCGATGAGGAACGACCGGGCTGCAAGCGGTGCGAAACGCACGGCGTCCCGTGTCCTGGCTACCGGGTCGACAAGCCAGGCGGCATTGAGTTCAAGGACCAGACGACTGTGACCAAACAAAAGGCAGATGAGCAGTATCGCGTCAAGCAGGCGATTCGCACAGCTACGGACCATGTTGTGAGGACGAACGGGTTGGCGTCTCCGTCTGATACCCTGATTATCATTAATGACGACCTCTCTACTACGGAAGCTGGATCTTGGAGCGCGGTGGATGCCAGGACTCCTGCATCCCCAGGCGCATCGGCAGTACTAGGCCTCGATGGCCTCTCGTCGGAGCAGCAAGCCGTCGTGCTCGCCAGCAGCAAGGCAGCCAAAACCCGCAGCAAAGCCATCTCGTCACTACACATCAACGCGCCACTGCAACTATACAGTCCCGACCTCGAGCGCGCATCATTATACAGCGCCTTCATCGACCTCTACCTCCCACAGATCGCGGGAAGTGCGCAGAACGGGCACTTCTCGTTCTTCCAGACGATCGCCGAGAAGCGGTCGACGCAGCCTGCGCTGCAGCAGAGCCTGGATTCGCTGTGTCTGGTGCAGATTGGGTCTCTGTATAAAGACCAAGCGCTGTTGAAGCAGGCGGTCAGACAGTACGGCAGTGCGCTCAGCAGCCTTGCTCGCTCGATAGCGAAGGGGCAGTTCCTGTACGATGACGACGTTCTTGCAGCGGTCACGGTCCTGGCGACGTGCGAACTGTTCGAGGAGATCTCGAAGATGGGCGAGGGCTGGGGGAAGCACGTTCAAGGCTCCAACCAACTGGTCGCGCTACGAGGCCCAAACTCAATGCAGTCTGATCTGGCACTCCTACTCTATTCGAACATGCGGCACGGCTCACTCATCCACGCACTCATCGCCCGCAAAGCACCCTTCATGGCCACACCCGAGTGGCGCGAAGTAGCCTTCCGCGTGCCCAAAGCCGTCCAAGACGCCAGCACGAATTTTTACGATCTTGCAATCCAGATACCCGGTCTACTCGAGAGACACGACGCTTTAGATCTCGACTCACAGGACGCTTTGGAGACATTAGACGCCATCTTAGCAGATTCAGCAGATTTGGAAGACGCAATGCGTGACTGGTTCGCCGCATGGCAAGCTCTTGGGACTTTGACATCGGACTCGCCTACACCTTACTACAGCCTCCGTCCTATCGAAGAGTTCCCCTGGTTCTGCACTCTCTGTCCTGACCGCACCTTCGCCGAAGCGTACGTGTTTCCGGATTTCTTGGTCGCCTACCTGCATTCGCTGTATTGGATGGTGATGCACTATCTCCGTACGAACACGCAGTCGCTGCAGAAGCAACGGCATCGACTCGATATCGACTGGTACCCGTCCGGCCAAGCGGTCGTGCAAGAAGATGAGCTGCTTGGTTATATCTTGAATCTGTGCCGGTGCATACCGTTCTTCGTGGAGCCGGTCAGTAGTAGCACGGGCAGTATCGGCATCTTTCTGCCGATGAGATGTGCGGCAATGTACTTTACGACACAGGGGCACTGGGAGTGGCTGAAGTGGATTGGCGCGGTGCGCAACTCGGTGTTCGTTAGAGGGCTGGCCCCGCCAAACGTGAGCAAGGAGTCGCGCACACAGCGCGTGTCGCCAGAGCCTGGATAGCCGTCTGGATCCATGCGATAAATCAGTTTGATCGTCGCCGACTCCTTGGCCTCTCAGTCGCCGTCCGGACCCAGCAATTCGTCCTCCTTGACAGGATCGTACTGCTCCGCAACCCGGATCTGTTCATCGAGCTCAACAATCTCCGGGTCAACGTTGTCACCAAGGTCTTTCGAGCCGAGGAAGACACGTCCTTCCAGCTTCTCTGGCAGATACTCTTGCACAACCCTGCCGTCGAGGAAGTCGGGGTTGTACTTGTACTCTTTGCCATATCCCATCTCCTTCATCAACCGCGTCGGCGCGTTCCGCAGATGAATCGGGATAGGCAACCCAGCGACACCAGGCTCGCTGAGAGCAGTGTACGCAGCTTTGAGGCCGCGGTATGAGCGCGTGGACTTCGGCGCCTGGCAAAGCGCAACCGTGCAGTGAGCGAGATTGATACGGCACTCTGGCATGCCGATCTTCTCTGCTGCAGTGTAGGTCGCAGTGGCGAGCGACAACAGGCTGTTGTCCGCCAGACCGACGTCCTCGCTCGCGATTACGACCATGCGCCTGGCCACGTACAGCGGGTCCTCTCCGCTCTGCAGCATGCGTGCAAGGTAATACAGCGCAGCGTCGGCGTTCGAGCCGCGAACACTCTTGTGGAAGGCGCTGATGGTGTCATAATGTTGGTCGCCAGCTCTGTCGTAGACCAACGTCTGAGTGAGAGATTGTTTGATGTCTTCGGAGGTCGATCCCGGACGTTGGCACAAGTCGAGCGCTAGTTCGAGAAGGTTGAGAGCCGTTCTGGCGTCGCCATCTGCGAAGGAAGATAGATATCGGAGTAAAGCGTAATCATCTGTTGTGAGCAAATGATGTCCACTCTGCTGCTCAGCCCCTTCCTCACCAGCATCTGTCGTCTCCTTCTCCTCGGACGCAGGGCTGGCAGACGGCGTAGGCAACGCATCCGGCACCTCACGCGCCAAAGCACGCTTCAAAATCCCAAACACATCCTCATCCCCCAGCTTCGACAGCGTAAACGTCCTGCATCTAGACAACAACGCATTCACCACCTTAAAACTCGGATTTTCTGTCGTAGCACCAATCAACGTCACCTGCCCTGCCTCGACCGGACCCAAGAAGACATCCTGCTGCGATTTACTGAACCGATGGATCTCGTCGCAGAAAATAATCGTCTTGCGTCCGGTCAGTCCCAACTCATTCTTCGCTTCTGTAAACAGCTTCTTGCACTCCGCCACGCCGCTGCTGGTGCTGTTGATCTCCACGAACCGCGTCCCTGCCGTCTGGGCGATGAGCCGGGCTATTGTCGTCTTGCCTGTGCCAGGACCGCCCCATAGGATCATTGAAGGTACGCGGTCGGTCGTGATGAGGTTGCGGAGCACGCCGTTGGGGCCAACGAGCTCTTGGCCTGCGACTTCGTCGAGGGTTTTGGGGCGCATGCGCTCTGCGAGAGGGGCGTGGGCGTTGGGCTTGTGTTTCTTGGATGGGGGTGCTTGTTTAGGCTGTTCCTGCTCCTGTTTTATATCGCCTCCAGATGCTTCTTGCTCGTCTTGGACATCCTCCGGGGCTGACCTCTTTACGCCGAACACTGGTGCCGGAGCTGTTGAGGACGGCGGCTTCGCGCTTGGTGTCTGCGGTTGGGTTGATGCGAATGCTCGTCCAAAGCTTCCGCTGGCCGGCGAGCTACTGTCATCGTCCTTGAAGCTGACATTCCTCTTCGTTGCCGGCGTGAAGAAGCTCGCAGCCTTGGAGGTCTTCGCCTGTGTCCCGTTGATTTGCGTGCTCGACGGCGCTCCCGGCTGGTCGAGGAATGACAGACATCCTGAGTCCAGATGGCGGTTGATGTCTGCTTCTTTGACGGAGCTATAGCATATCGGACACGACACCATTGGGTCTTGCTATCTGCTCTGAGGGTGTTCCAGTGAGTGGTCTCTGCTCGGCCACTCTACGCGGTGGTGGGAGACGCGAGCCAAACGGTCTAAACCCGATACGGCAGCGACAGTGACCTCACTCCATGGCTTGTTAGATCTTCCATTTCTACTATTCAACGACACCACGGTTCGGGCATGATACCAAATGCGAACGCATAGATAGATCATGGTCGCCGGCGGTACGAATCGTCGGGAGCAGTCAACATGAGAGCATGCAAGTAACCATAAGCTTATAGCACGTTCTCATGGACTGCTGGACTACAGACCCAACGAATGGCGACTCCTACCACTGAGCATAGTCCGTTATACCCACCCAAGAAAGCATCGCACCACATTGAACGAACCAAGATGGCTCCACTACCGTCCACCTGGCGCTGGCAGCCGGTTGACGACGATGGCAGGAAAGTGGAATGTGGAGCGCAAGTATATAGTAAAGATGAAGACGCTCCTGTCCGTTCGATCTTCCATCCCAAATGGCTGGCAATGATGCTGTTCACTGGTCTTCTTGCTATTGCTTTCTTCACCCTGTCTCCTGGCCTTGCGATACCGATCGGTAGCCGAAAAGGAGGCAACAGCATCGGCAAGCCTCTGAGGTTTGCGAAAGACGGGACATTCCAGATCAGCATCTTCGGAGATTTACACTTCGGCGAAAATGCGTGGGAGCAATGGGGACCTCAGCAGGACATCTGGTCGACGTATGTCATCAATCAGGTGCTCGACGCGGAATCGCAGCAGCTGGTCGTTCTCAATGGCGACCTCATCACTGGCGAAAACACGTTCTTGGAGAACAGCACAGATTACCTCAACCAGATTGTGGCGCCACTCGTTCAACGAGATCTATCCTGGGCATCAACATACGGCAACCATGATTCGCAATATAATCTCTCGCGGGAGAATATACTGGCGCACGAACGATTGTACTTGAACGCACGCACCACGCAAATGGTCTTTGGACGAGACGCTGGGGTCACTAACTACTACTTGCCTGTGTACTCGCACAAGAATAAGCACAAGCCAGCATTGATATTATGGTTCTTCGACTCGCGCGGCGGGTTCTACTACCAGGAACAGGACGCAGCAGGTGATCCCATCGGACAACCCGACTGGGTCGATCAGAGCGTCGTGGACTGGTTCAGTACAACGAACGAGCAGCTGACCACCGACCACCGTGGACCCATTCCCAGCGTCGGTTTCGTGCACATCCCAATGAATGCATCTCGAGCACTGCAAACTGAAGTCGGAGTTCGAAAGCACTACCAGCCAGGCATCAACCACGACTATCCTCTTGCCCAGCAAGCACAAGGCTGGTGTCCCGATGGCGCAAATGATGGACCATGCAGCTACGGAGGCCAAGACGTGCCGTTCATGGAAGCCATTGCGTCGACGCCGGGCATGATGGCTCTGTTCAGCGGTCACGACCATGGAGATAGTTGGTGCTACAAGTGGGACACCCAGCTCCCTGGTATTTCGATGACGGGCAACGGCGTGAATCTCTGTTTTGGCCAGCATTCTGGATACGGTGGCTACGGAACGTGGACAAGAGGCTCACGGCAGGTGCTTGTGCACGAGAATATGCTCAAGGATCTTGACAACTTGGAGCTTGAGACGTGGATCCGGCTGGAGAACCAGAATGTGGTGGGCGCGGTGACGCTAAACTCGACTTATGGGCAAGATAGATACCCAGCGACGAAGGACACGCATACGCATTGCCCCACATGTAAGTAGTCCTGGCTTGTAGCTATGTACATTGCAATAATTGTCAAAAGGTGTCTATTGAGGTCACGAAACGCCACATAATGCTACCCACCTTCTGCCCCTCCGTCTCACTGTCAGGAATCAAGCACAACACCTCTTCAATACGTCCAATCATCCGGCACTTCAGCTGCCGGCGCTTCGGTCTCGTTCGGCGCGTCGACGAAAGCCGTCACCCACTGCAGCATACGCGTCAGCACCACTCCAACTGATTCCATGACTAGTCTGACGTACCTCTACCGGTCCCGGCGCAGTTATCGTGACCGCAGCAACAGCAACACCAGACGGCTGCAGCGGCCCTTCAGATTTCGCCTCTACATATGCTCCGTCCACAGCATCATCTACCGCATCGGCCGCCGCATCATCCGGTAGGTCCTGTATAGTCTCCGGCACCGCTCCGTCGACTCCCTTAGCCGCTGTACCGTCGACACCTGCAGCTTCTGACGGGACAGATTCGTCTTCAGCAACCTCCTCCAATTTCTCCCCCACCCTATGCGCCTTATGGCTCTTATGCCCCTTCCCAGGCTTCTTCACAGCAGCCTTCGTGAAACTCCCACCCGCCAGCTTCGCACTCCACTCCTCCGCTTCCACCTCTGCCGCCATCTTCGCATCCGCCAGCGCCTTCGCTCGATCCGCTACCTCCTGCTTCGCCGCCGCCTCAGCATCGAGTTTCTCCTGCAACTTCGCTCTGGCCTCCGTGACCGCGTTGGTGGCTTTGGTGATGTCGTGCCGGTTCCACGCGTCTTCGGGCGCCATGACGAGGACCTTGAGGCTGGCGACTGTGTTTGAGACAGAGGCTAGTTCGAGGTTGTGAGGGCTGTCTTTATTGTTTTCGTCGAAGTTGTTGTCGAGGAGGTCTTTTCCGCCGGCGAAGATGGCTTTGTGGGCGGATTGGAGGAGGACTTTGTTGCTGTTGGTGACTGCGGATGTTAAGGGGGCGGATGTCTCGACCAGTTTGTCCATTAGTTCTTGCAGCTTTGTGGTGTCGAAAGACGACTTCTCGTCTTCGAACTCCTTCTTCAACGCCACTTGCGCAGCGGAAATGCTCTCCTTCTGCTCATCATTCAGCCGATCAATGTACTCCTCCATCCGCTGCTCCGTCAGCGTAATCAACTCCAGCGCATTCTTCCTCGTCTCCGCCACCTTCTCCTCTCTACCCTTCCGTAAATTCCTTTGCTCATGCCAGAAATCCCTCGCCTCCTGCGGATAACTCGTCGATTTCACCGGGACTTCCCAATCATCCAAATGCTGCTCAGCCCGCTGCAACCAATAATGCATCCGCGCTTCCCGGTCCCCGACCCCAGCGAAATGCACAAGCAGATCCCCCCGCCGGACTTGGAAAGGTTGCAACGTCTCGTTGTGCTCGCCTTGGTAAGCGTTGAACCACCGCTGCGGAGCCTGCACGATATGTTTCGCGAACTCCGGCTCCTGCATCAGCGAATTCATCGCCGACTGGTCGCGGAACTGCAGCGGTTCGTCGGGGCGGAAGTGACGGTACGAGACGATGCCTGAGAACAACCGGACGGCCCACTGATTCACGCGGATGGGAAAGACGCCGTTGTTCAGCCCGTTCCAGTCGTTGGAGTACATGAGGTAGACGTCATCGAACTCTGTTCCTGGTGGAGGCAGGAAGGTTTCAATGGGCACGTTGGGGTTGAGGATGATGGTGTCGGCGTCGACCCAGAAGAGCCAGTCGAGTCGCTCGCTTTCGGGCTTCGACATCTCGCGGAGCAGGTTGCTGAGGATGTAGGCTGGTTTGGACCAGACGTCGTCCATGAGCTGCTGGCGCAGGACGTGGAGGCGGTAGCCTTGTACCTTGTCGTGCCGCTCGTGGGTGCGGATGCAGCGTTCCCAGAAGCTGTTGCCGGAGAAGAGGATGGTCATCTTGCCAATTCGCGTTCGGGCACCTAGTCTTTCGTCGTCGTTGACGCCTTCCTTGACGGTCTCGCCGCCTAGGCTGAGTGAAGTCTTGTTCTTGCCGCCATTGGCCTCGCTCGTGTCGTTGTAGAGATCGTGCACTTTCGGTCCTTTCGCGAAGTACGGGTTCCACGACTGGATCTTGTGGCTGACCGCGTTTCGCAGCTCTGCCAACGCCCCAGAGACTGAAGGCTCTCCCTCCTTGCCGTGTTGCTGCTTGCTTGTCTCTGCCAACTCCTCTTCCAGCTCGTTGCCAATGATACCAGGCCTCTTCCCCTTCACTCCATGAGTGCCAAAGCCAGAAGGATCACTCAAAACTCCAGACGAAGAGGTGTCGTATGAAGTCTGCTCCGTATCCACTGCATCCTCGCTCGGTCCCAGCTTCGACGTCACCACCCATCCCAACGCCAAGCAGGCTACTGCCAGCAGGAAAGTCTTGAGTCTGGTATGTCCCACCGTGCCTTTCCGTGACCGCGAAGGACGTAGCCATTGTGGAAACGTGCTCGGAGACAGAGGCGAGAGTGGCGAGTTGGGTGAGCTGTCCCGGTACGGTCGTGTTAGCGAGCCCCATGAAGCCATTCCGTCTATACACAGCCTTCGTAGAGTGGAGAGTGAATAGTGTTGTAATATTTTTTCACTTTTCATGCTGGATATTGTCGCGCAAATCTCGTGTTTACATGCCATACCGCGAAAGCGTGGCGGCATGCAAGGCGTCGTGGAGTTGGAACGCCTGGGCCTTCGTATGGTGAGCCTACAACTCCGCCTGATCAGCTTTATTGTAACGACTTACCCAGTTACTGCAATGGTCATGAAGAGATGGTCAGGAGACCTGTCAATGAAGCAGTCATTGCCATAGTCTACATACTATACATATACTGTTGCCGATTGCTGGCGTTGTAGAAGCTCACTGGACCTCACGCTTTTCCGTCGTCCCATCGAAGAACAGGCGCGCTGAACGCTATTGCAGACGACCATCCTCTTCGCACTCGAAATGACCACTCGGCCAGTACCCCTTTGCCAAGCTTTGACTAGAGCATCACTCCTCCGGCGCTCCAGCCTTCAACGTCTGCTCTGGGTACCGGCTTTCGTTCCCTCCCTCGTACAGGACCTGATCCCCCTTCCCACCCATCTCTATGAACTCCTCCGGGTCCCTCGCGGCCGCCGGTTCAGGCTCGACGGTCTTCTCCACATGCGCATTCGCGTCGTTCTTTCCACCCTTAACGTTGTTCGTGACAAAGCGTGGCCCAGCGTTCTTGTTGAACACCTTAACAGGCGGCTTGTTGTCTGTCGGAGGGTCAAGTACCTGGTCGACCTTCACATCGTTGATCGAACTCAGAAGTGTGCGCTCTCGCTGCGGCTTCCGCTTGCTGAAGTCAAGCCCGGCCAGTGCGCCTGTGAGTCCATCGGTACTATCGGTGACACTCATCGACTGCTGTGTGGTCCAGGGATGCTCCAGGCATTCGTCGATCGTGATGCGCTTGTCCACATCCACGGTAAGCATGCGATCGATGAGGTCGAGCGCCTCATCGCCGACGCTATCCCAGTAGGGTGATGGATAGTCGAAGCGGCCCATCTTGATCTGCTGGGAGAGGTTGTATGGGTTCGTGGGTGAGTAGAGCTCGTCGGAGAATGGTGGAAACCCGCAGAGGCTGATGTAGAGAACGACACCAAGCGACCAAACATCGACAGCGCGGGTGTATCGGCGGTGATTCGTCTGTTGCAGGATCTCAGGTGCGACGTACGACGGAGTGCCACACAAGGTGGTGGTGAACGATTCCTCGCCGATAATCTTCGCCAGACCAAAATCCGCGAGCTTGACGTTGAGGTTCTTGTCGGTCAAGAGAATATTCTCTGGCTTGATGTCTCGGTGGACGATGTTGCGCTCGTGCTAGAGATGATCATCAGTGGCAGTTCGATGAGAAGTTTCGAAGGTTGACTTACCAAATACTTGACACCTTGAAACAGCTGGATGAAAACCTTCCTGGTCTCCACCTCTGACAGCTTCTGCTTCATCACGATCCAGTTGAAGAGCTCTCCTTCGGGTGCAAGCTCGAGTATGAGATACACGCCATCGTTCTCGTCGTACGTGTCCTTCAAGCACAGCATGTTCGGGTGACTGACACCCTTCAAGACGGCAATCTCCTGCTGCAAGCCGTCAACCTTACTCCGCTCGCCGGGACCCCCTCGCTTCTCAAACTTCTTCACTGCGAATCGTATGCCCGTGCTCTTCTCAGTAGCCAAGTAAACAGTCGCGAAGTGGCCTTTACCAAGCTGTCCTTGCAGTGCGTAGTGCGAGTGGAACTGGCCGGTCCCTCTGCTGCGTGGATAGCGGAAGATGAAGCGCGCCTGGTCAAGGATGGAAATCTCGTCGCCATCCGACAGCTCTCTCCGCTTGTTGCGACCGACGTAGGCATCGTTGACATACGTGCCATTCCCGCTGAGATCTTCAAGCACAGCAATTCTATTGCCGCCTTTCTTCTCGTTGAAGAACAGTGCATGTCTGTTGCTCACCGTGAGACCGTTAATGATGCGGTCGCACTCTGGGTGCCGTCCGAGTAGATAGCCTCCGACGGGAATGCCTTTCGTATTCTTGTCGACTTCATATTCGTCCTCCTTCTTCTTCCAGTGCTTCTTGGGGACTTTCTGTCGCCCACTGGCCTCGCCAAGCTTTCTGGGCGGTATTGGACATGCCGCGCGATCACGGAAGACGAGAGGGTCGGAGAAGCCGTCTACTGGTACCAGATAACCCCACACCCCCTCGGCCTCTTCATCTTCTACTTCGTACGCGATGGGCGGGGGCGGGATGAACTGCGAGAAAGGCTGCGTGTCGGACGGTGGTGACGACAGACCGTTGGCCTGGGACGCTGGGGCCGGACTCGACCTGGGGGTTGCGCGCTGCTGAACCTCCTCGTGCTTGGCCGGCGGGGAGGCGGTGATGTCTCTGGTTTGCTCGTCCTCGGTGGTGTCTCGTCGTGTTACCGGGGAGGGTAAAGCGCCCTGCTTGACCTGCTCGCCCTCGTCTTCCACGTGCGATAGGCGTGCTGATCTGCGAGGCTTCTTCGAGTCGACCGAGTCGCCCGCCGATGCCTGCTATTGTCAGCAGTTATCCGCTTGTTTGGGATCATGGTGGTGGGTGAAGACGTACTCTGTTCCGCTTGAGTGAGGCCATCTTGCCGGCCCTTCTGCCTCAGGGTAAGACAGCTCGATGCAGCTTGTGTCTGAGTCTACAAGAGAGGGGGTGTAAGCGAGTGTCTACACAATCTCACACACTATGGCGACACGACGGCTGGCAAGCAAATGGCGTTGTCGAGCGAAGAGCAGATGCTGACGTTCCAGCGAACCCTCGGTCACTGACATCAATCGCTCAACGCTCTGAACTTTGATCTCTCACAACTGCCTCGCTCCTTCCTTCTCGCTACTCGTCGGAGCCTGTTCCGGCCGGCCAATCACCGCTCCCGCGGTTTCGTGTTACACCTCTTCTTCACTCCCTGCATCCTCTTCTCCAACATTGAACTACAAGTCATCCATTCTGGTATGTTGACGCACACCAGTCTGTGCGATACGGCAGCAACATTGTACTGGTATTGATCGCGGTGCACCAAAGCAAACGACTTCGTGGTAGACTTTCTTGGCTGCTTCTTCCCCATCCTTCCTCCACGACTCTATCTACCGTCACATTTCATCTTCTACTCAATCGACATCATACACATCCCATCCCGACCATGCCCTTCTCCCACCATTCCCACTCCGGCCAGTTCTGCGGCCACGCTACCAACACCCTCGAAGAAGTCGTCCAAAATGCCATTAAAAAAGGCATGACCATCTTCTGCATGACCGAGCACATCCACCGCGACAGGATTGATTTCTACCCCAACGAGGAAAAGTCTCACACGCCTAAAAGTCTGGAACAGCTCTACGACGACTTCTACCACGAGGCGTCACGGCTACGAAAAGCCTACGCCGACCAGATCCAGCTATTCATCGGATTCGAAAGCGAGTGGATACGCGACTCAAGCTTAGGTATCATAGAAGGGCTGCTGGCGAATTACGACCTGGACCTGTTCGTGGGAAGCGTGCACCATGTTCACACTTGGCCTATTGACTATGACACGCCCATGTACCATGAAGCAAGAAAGGTAGCCGGTGGTAGTGATGAGCAAGTGTTTGCGGACTTCTTTGACGCGCAGTATGCAATGCTGCAGGTGCTCAAACCTCCTATTGTTGGCCATTTCGACCTCATACGGTTGAAGAGCGATAAGCCGGATGGTAGCTTCAGGGTCTGGGCGGAGGTCTGGGAGAAGATTATGCGAAACCTCAAATTCGTCGCTGGTTATGGCGGTGTATTGGAGCTGAACAGCAGTAGTCTGAGGAAGGAGATGAGTGAGACTTATCCGCAGGTCGAAATCTGCAAGGTACGATTCGCTTCAACTCGCAATGCAATCGATTGCTAACACGACGTAGGAATTCTTGTCAATGGGCGGCCACTTCACGCTCTCAGACGACAGCCACGGCATCGATCAAGTCGGCCTGAACTACGGTAAAGTGCTCGACTGCATCAAGGCGGCCGGTATCAATGAGATATGCCATCTGGCACCGGCAGCAGATGGCGTGAAAGTTAACGACAGCCGCTTCCCCAACGTCGGCTGGAAGACTGTAGCGGTCAACGATCTCGAAGCTCACGGATTTTGGAAGGCGTCGAACCAGAGCTCATCAAGGTGATGTGGAATCAACCCCAGATCCTGCTCGGTCCCGCCCTTCACAAAAAACGCCACATGCAGACCTTGCTGCCGGCAAGAGCTCGCCATCGCCAGCTTTGACGCCACAAGAGGTTACGGATCGATGCGGCCGCAGGCAGTGCTGCAGATCTATCAACCACATCCGATGGCTGGAAGCGTCGACGCCAGAAGAGCTCAAGCGGTGAGCAACTCGAGACGTGGCAGTGAGCTATATCTCCCTCTACCGACATATAGCCAAGGAGAGAGGCGGCATACCACTGCACGCTCGGGTGCTTTCTGCACACTACTGCGAGTGCACGACTTGTGATCGTGTATCAGAATTCTTTAACGACGAAGGGTCGATGGAGAGGCGGCAAACTAGGCTATACGACTTCCATTATCGTCTACCATCTTTTCTGACATTGCCAGGCTCGCCCTCCCCACTGAGTGGAGAATGGTCCGTGTTGCACTGCGGGGACCGCGCAAATGCATGTATATAGCCTACCATATCGTGCTCGGAACGAACACGAGCCTTGAACATCTATTCCGAGTTTCTGCAAACTTGAAACGAAGGCGGTCCGCATCCACCTCCGACGGCCTCAAGTCACCGCCCCAAATGCACCTCTGGGATTTATCAGCACAGTTAGCTGTCGTGGCAGGGATGTCGACGCAATCCATGTAGATCCGATCCCACGGTAGAAAGGTTTCACGACATTTCACGATCTCCCCTTACATGTCAAGCTCAGGAAATGGAGATAAGTCCGCAAATCGCTCGGGATCACCTCTTCCCATCGGCAGACCGAGTCCAGCGCCCCCCAAGATCGAATGCACAAAGACGGTAAGCAGCCCATCTCCCGACCTCTAGACCCGGCACAAGTCGACATGTCGCTCATGACTCGCTGCCGAACCAGTGAGACGGGATATGACGGGGATTGCGAGACACCTTAGCCCTACGTCGCCGATCGCAGAAAGCCGCCGACACTCTGACTGGCTTAAGGTTGAGTTGGGGAAGTGACGTGCGATTCATTTATTATTAAACGTCCGCGTGTCTTACTTGAAGTTTGGGAAAGAGCTCGAGACCCTTTTTCGTTTTCTCTTCTCACCTTCATCTTTGAAACTTCACATCTACACACACAGCTCGACGAAGGATTAAAGGACAGACATCACCATGGGCGTCACGAAGCAGATGATCACCCCCGGCAACGGCGTGGACAAGGCGAAGAAGGGCGATCAGATCACGATGGAGTATACCGGCAACCTTTACGATGAGAGCGCGCCGAATAAGAAGGGCAATCAGTGAGTACTTTTCACTTCCGGTGTAAGCACCGCTGACTTCTTGTGCTTAGGTTCGACTCTTCGGTGGGTCGCGGAGACTTCAAGACGTCCATCGGCACTGGCCAGGTGATCAAAGGTGAGTTGTTGTCCTTTCAGCATGTGGTAGATTATATAATCTACCCTGGACAGGTCGGGAATGCTGCAAAAGGACATGTTACTGACTTGGCTGTAGGCTGGGACGAGGGCGTTCTGAGCGTCGACGGCGGCATGACTCTGGGTGAGAAGGCCACCCTCACCATCACTGGGTATGGTTCACATGAGGTGAAGAGTATGGATTCTTGGACAAGGTACTGACGACTGAGCAGCGACTACGCGTATGGCAGCCGAGGCTTCCCAGGTCTGATCCCGCCGAATGCCACCCTGGTGTTGTGAGTCGAGACTTTGTGAGCCCCTGTGAGTGAGTATGCTGATTCCTGTTACAGCGACGTCCAGCTCAAGGCCATCAACGGCAAGACTATGTAGAGTCGCCGCGATGAGACCTGAAGGAAGATCTTGAGAGCGGATGATGATCGATAGTGCGAGCTGGAGACTTGCTACAAGAAACGACAGCGGAAATGTATTACAGCGGCAGACGAGGCGTTTCTCCCAAGGACACAGAGGTTAATGTGCTCTGTCTTTCTTCTACCACTTGTCTCTTGAGCTCTTTCCCACTCTTTCCATGCAGCACTCAGAAGATTGGCCTTGATTGGCCAGCCTCGACCGCTCAGCCTCAAGCAATGTACCAACTCCGCCTTCCTGCCTTCAAGTTTCCTTCAACCTCAAGTCTGCCATGTTGTTCCACTTTCTCCCTGCTTTGCCAGCCAGACTGCTGACCTGATGGCAGAACCATTCAGTCTGGCAACCGGCGCCATCCAAGTCGCCGGCGCCGGGCTCCAGCTGGCCAAAACACTCTACGAATTCATCGATACTGTCAAGACTGCGCACAAACATATCAATACAATAGCTGTCGAGGTCAAGCTAACCTCTTCCGTACTGCAACATCTCGGGACGCTCTTGAAGGATCACGAGAGCGAGAAGCTATGTTCTGCCGCCATCGTCGCCGACGCTGGATCAGCCTTCAAAGGCTGTGGAGATGCTTTTCGCGAGATTGACGAAGCTTTTAGGCCTATGATCAGACAAGCAAGCAGCAGGGCGACAGGGCTGTCAATATCCGCACTATGGGCATGGCCGCTCAAGAAGGGCAAGCTGGAGACCCTGCAGGCGAATCTGGAGCGCTTGAAGACGACTTTGTTGCTGATGTTGTCGGTCGTTAGCTATGCTAGAGAGAAGAAAACGAGGTGGGTAGTCAAAGTCCACCGCTGGCAGTACTGAAGTAACTGTTTCCAGATCAATCGACCTCACGGCCGAGAAGCTACAGATGTTGAACCTGATGAAGGCGAAGGACGATGCCACCAAGCGCCACGAGGAGCTCATGCTCCAATTCGCCGACTTGCAAAGAGATGCACTTGCTGCGCAGGAGACTGGACCTCGGATTCCATCGGCACCGAGGATGTCTCCGCCGCCTCTAGATTTCCTCAATCTTCCATCGCCAGCAACCAATGTTGCCAGGAGCACCAGTTCAAATACTCAGCCGCCCCTACCTACTTGCTTCCATCCAGGGTACCCTTACTCGCCTTCGTACACGGGCTCAACCGACTCAGCCTCAGATGCTAGCCATGGCCAGGTTCAGCAGCTCCTGGTAGAGTGCGCACGCGTCGCCTCCCAGCTGTCGCTGTCGATCAACAAAGCTTCCATGGACTGGATGACGTTTCAGAAGCTGGACGCTTCCCATATCCGCGTCCAAATCGAGAGATTGACGCCCATGGTGACTCGGGTGTATGCACATGAACAGGAGGCCAGACGTTGTCTCCAAGCCGCCATAATAACGCTATCTCCAGCTCTTGCATGTGCTGCTCCTGGCATGGGCTGTCAGTACCCACCGCCCACCACTACAGTGCCTTTTGCGGCTGCTAGAAACAGGCCCCAAACACGTGCACCAAATGATAGTACTGACGGCCGCCAAAGCGCGGATGTACCCCCTTCTAACTCTTCGGATTCACAAGTCAGGCAGGCCTCGAAGAAATCTGCATCATCCAAGATGTACGGCGAATACCGATTGCACGGCCTCCCTCTGATTCCGTCTCATACCGACCGGGAGGATGGCACGCCTCACGAGCGTCCTGAAGCGCGAACCGCGCGATTCAGCCCTATCCGTGCAGGCGGCAGCGTGGCCAGCTATCCCATTGAGCGAAAAGGGCACAGGGTAGCGAGTGGCAGTCTGAGCGACAATGCCCACAAGAGGCGGAAAGGCAACAATGAGGCTCCAGATGCCAGCGTGCTAGACCATGATTACCAAGACGTCTTCGACGACGTAAAGGTGCAGCCCGGGCCACTGGTAGATGACGCCGAAGGTTTCGAGTCCGCAGCTGGCGTTGTCCATGGATGTGAGACAGCGGAGCGATGGACTTTGGATAGCGTCGATGAGCTTGTGAGGCGGTGGACGACCATAGCTGCGTGATCGGGCGTTGTTTTGAGTATTATGCTTATGCCTTCTTCCCGTCCTCATTCTCAGCCTCCCCACCCATCACCTCCTCCACCGGCCACGCCTCCGCACACCTCCTCTCATCCTCCTCACCCCACACCCTCGGCAAGACCGCGAAAACAAGATAACTCGTATGCGTCCTCACCTCCGGCTCCGTCCTCTGCACCAAATTCCCCTCCTTATACATCTTCCTCCCCTCCGCCTCCCGCTTGATCTTCTCCAACCGCTCCGCCTTACTCTGGATCTTTTTCTGCTGGCCGCCTTCCTCCGCCGCCGCTCGATTCTCATGATACACGCTCAGTTTACTCTCCACATCCCGTAATCGCTGGATCGCTTCTTCAACGCTCGCGGCGCTGGCGTTGACGCCGCGGAGCCCTTCCTCTTTGAGCCCGACGCGGTCGCGTCGCACGTCGATGCGTTTGTGCTGGACTTCGCACATGCTGATCTCGGTCCAGTGGTTTTTGCGCAGGAAGGAGACGGTGGCGGTGACTTGTTCGATGCACGGGGAGAAGGTGCAGAGGTGGGTGGGACCCGAGGGGTTGAGAGGGGCGGAGGGGGTGGAGCGGGTGAGGTGTTTGAGTGCGAGCCAGGGGGCGGGGAGGTCGAGGAATATGGCATCTGCGCGAGGGGGAGGTGTGGAAGCGTCGAGAGCGAAGCCCTTGTTGCAGACGTCTCGATGGGTGAGGTGGACTATACTGTCCAGGCCGTGGTCGTGGAGTTCTTGGCGTAGAGTGGCGACTCGGGGCTCGTGGTATTCGTATGAGTAGACTTTGCCAGAATGCTGCGTACTGGTTGAGGATGAGGAAGGATAGCCATTGAAGACCGCTCGCGCCGCCGCGTGGGTGAAGCTGCCACTACCAGCCCCAGCTTCAATGATCGTGCTTCCTGGCCTCGCTCGAAGCCGTTGTAGTATGTAGCTGTAGTCCGGCGTATAAACGACCTGTGTCCTATGGTCCAGGGACGACGTCCATGCTTCCGGCGTAGGAGGTAGAATGTGACAGAACCCAGATCCAGCCTCGACTGCTGCTTTCGGCACTAATGGTTGTTCGTTCTGCTGTGGAGGCTGCTTCAGCTTCTTTGCTGGACTTGTGGGCACATCGTCAATCTGCGAGCTCTCGTCCGCCTTGCGCTTCTTGCTGCTGTCCGAATCCTTGGAGGCGGCATTAGAGGGTCCACTACGCTCCCCTTGGTCTTTTGGCGGCTCCTTGTGCTGCTTGCCTTTTCGTCCCCGTGAGCCGGTGTCGACTTTACTCGCTCGAATCTGAGTTCCCCATTCAGTGCCGAGCAGCGTGCTATGAGGGAAGCTTCCGAATCGGGTGTTCGTCACTGCGCCCTCTGCGTATCCTTCGTCGGCGGTTGTGCGAAGCGTGAGTGGCAATAGGCTGTCTCTCTTGAGATGTAGGATGGCTAGGGAGTCCGGTCCTGTGAGCGGAGTACTGTGGAAGAAGGGCGATGGTCTTTTTGATGGAGCCTCCAGAGGTTCATCTGCTGCCATGCTGATAATTTTGTTGTTCCAAAGAGAAATGGCAGCAGTGTTTTTGGCAGACCAATTCACTGCACCCTGTAGCATTCCACAGCATTCGTTTTTAGTATTCTGAGTCGAGCTTGATATGCTACACCAAGACGATATCAACTGGATGTTTCGGGCAGAATTTCACAAGACAACATTTTACAATCACTTCTTCTCATAGTCACATGACTGGGCCGAATCTGGAACGAATGCGGCTCTGGCCAGAACGAGTCGGGAGAGTTCCTTCTCTGCGCTACCCCACGGCGAGGTGCAGGTACGAGTGCCGATCGATCCAACTTTTCTAGTGGGAGCCGTAGAGCTCAACGGCAGGAAGTCTTCACCTTTGCCCTCTTGCGCCTGCATCGTACAAACCTCCTGCCATTGAGCGGTCGAGGAAGGCGCTGAAGGAGGCGATCAACGAGATCTATATCCTTCCCTTGCAACTTTCCTCAACATCTCCATCATCACCACCATCTCATCCTCCTTCACCTGATCCTCAGTGCCATTGTACACTTGTGCATCCTTCCTTCATTGCATGTACATTGCATAGGCACCGACGACTACTCCTCACGACTCACGACTCACGACCGCCACGAGCATCCGCAGCGTTGCCATTGACTCGAACTTGTCACGGTAGAAACACAGAAACAGCCGAAGAGACAGACCGCCAACAGTCAGTTGACTCGACCTTGAGCAGCAGCAACATCGTTCAAGACCATACCACAGCCTCGTTCTGGAACCATCGCCACCCGGCAAGATGTCTCCTCAGCAGGTGCACGACAACACCGTCTACCTACTCCCTCTAAAGGATGATGGCACGCCGGATCTGCCGGGCGAACCCCCATACATCTACCTGAGTCCTCCGACAGTCCCAGCATACAGCGTGAGGTTCGAGATCGAGGGCACCAGCTCGATTACTCGGCAAGGCAGCCTGTGGGTGAACATTCCGGAAAGACACCAGCCCTTCGACCGGAAGAAGTTTCGGGAGATCAAGTGAGTTCAAGGCACTCCTGCAAGTGCCTGCTCTGCTGACTTCGGGCAGACTCAAGCCGAGCTTCAAAGATGCCATCAAGATTGATATTCCGATCTACTGTGCCGGCGCTTTCTCCTTCTACTGCACCTACACCCCTCTGCCGCCCTTCACCACGAAGAAGGTCGACCCACCCAAGCCGACGTCCACCCCGACCTTCTACATCGATGTGTCGCCGTCACTGCATGTTCAGAAGTCCAGGGTGCCACTCGACGCCATCTCCTGCATTTCCGTCTTGTCCAAGTTCATGGGCAAGTACCCGGACGATTGGGAGCGTCACCTCCATGGCATCAGCGAGCGCGGGTACAACATGGTCCACTACACACCGTTGATGATCAGGGGTGACAGCAACTCGCCATATTCGATCTACGATCAGCATACCTTCGACAAGGCAATGTTCCCGCAAGGCGAGGCAGACGTCGAACGCTTGACCAAGAACATGGTCGACGACTACGGCCTCATGTCATTGACTGATGTCGTCTGGAATCATACTGCAAACAACAGCAAGTGGTTGGAAGAGCATCCGGAGGCAGGCTATAATCTCAATACGGCACCACACCTCCGAGCTGCCTACGAGCTGGACAGCGCATTGCTGCGTTATTCGGCAAACCTCCAGCAACTGGGCATGCCCACTCGGTTGAAGAGTCAAGACGACCTGCTCCGCATCATGGATGGCATGAAGATTCACGTCATTGGAGCCCTCAAGCTGTGGGAGTTTTACGTCTGCGATGTTGAGCGGGACACCAAGGCCGCTGTCACTGCCTGGACCGGAAACAACGCCGACCTCAGCGATCCACTTCCGGACGATGCGGCCTCATGGAACCTGAAGCAGAAGGCTGAATGGCTGCGTGATCGCGCATGTCCCGGCAAGGACCGCATGGGCGAGCGGTTCCGGCGTCGCATCATCCCAGAGCGCGCTGCTGCGCTGTTGACTAAGCTGTTCGGCAGGTACAATGCCAAGGCCAACGGCGAGGGTGACATGCGCGTCGCATACGGGACCATGCAGCGGTTCCTGAACGAAGTCAACCTCGACTGGTACCGCGAGTATGACGCTGATGTCGCCGCCATCATGGAACAGGTCTTCAACCGCACCAAGTACATGCGCTTGGACGAGAACGGACCCAGGACTGGCGACATCACGATCCAGAACCCATTGACTGAGTCGTACTTCACTCGACTGCCAGTCAACGATACCACGTCGAAGCACGATCCAGACTCGCTGGCTCTTGCGAACAACGGCTGGGTATGGGCTGCAGATGTCATGCGTGACAACGCCGGTCCGAAGTCGAAGGTCTATCTACGTCGTGAGCTGATCGTCTGGCAAGACTGTGTCAAGCTTCGCTACGGTTCTGGTCCCGATGACTCGCCGTACCTGTGGAAGTTCATGACAGAGTACACACAACTTATGGCCAAGCACTTCCACGGCTTCCGCATCGACAACTGCCATTCGACACCTATGCATGTCGCCGAACACATGCTTGACGCCGCGAGACACGTCCAGCCGAACTTGGTCATTGCTGCGGAACTCTTCAGTGGTGACGAGAAGATGGACTTCATGTACTGTCAACGTCTCGGCATCAGCTTCTTGGTTCGGGAAGCGATGCAATGTTGGTCGACCGCCGAGGTTAGCAGACTGGTGCACATCAACTGCGGCAGGCCTATTGGGTCTTTCGAGCGTGACGACGTCGCTGGCTTGGACACGAAGCCGCAGGCCAACGGGACAACCAATGGAGCGCTCCAGGGCAAGGAGATTGTGCACAAGATCAACCCATCGAAGATTCACGCTCTTCTCATGGACTGTACCCACGACAACGAGACGCCTATCCAGCGTCGCGATGGACGGGATACTCTGACCAACTCCGCACTGGTGGCCATGTGTGCCTCTGCCTCTGGATCTGTCTTCGGCATGGACGAGCTGTACCCGCAGCTGATCGAGCTGGTCCACGAGACCAGGCCGTACACTTCACCATACAGCAACCTCAAGCCGGGTGAGAGCTTGCGCATTGGCCCGTCTGAAGGTACCGGCGGTGTCAAGCGCCTCATGAACCAGCTCCACACCATCATGGGCGTGGACCACTACGACGAGTGCTTTGTGCATCACGATGGCGAGTACATCACCGTCCACCGCATGCATCCAAAGTCTCGCAAGGGCTACTACTTGATTGCTCACACCGCCTTCCCTGGCTATGGCAACGGCAATGGTGGCTTCCAGCCGCAATGGCTTACTGGGACCAAGGCGAAGTTGCTGGGAGCCTGGAACTTGGAGTGCGACCAGTCCCGGGAGGCCAAGCAGGCTGCGATCAATGACAAGGTGCTTCGCGGTGTACCCTCGCACACCAACGACCTCAAGGGCGTGCAGGTCGAACAGCGAGGTGAGGATACTGTCATCACCGTGCCAGAGTTCTTCCCGCCTGGCTCCATCGCCATGTTCGAGACCTGGATTCCGGGTGCTGAGCACAGCGAGGGTCTCGACAAGTTCGCCACTTCTGGCGCCCGGGATGCATTTACAAAGGTGACGCTGAACGAGCTCAATGCTGTGCTGTACCGTGCCGACTCCGAAGAGCGTGCCATGTCCGGTGGCGCTGACGGCGTGTACTCCATTCCTGGCATGGGTCCGCTTGTCTACTGCGGTCTGCAGGGCTGGTGGAGTGTGCTTCGCGACATCATCAAGCATAACGACCTCGGCCATCCTATGTGCAGCCATCTCCGTGACGGCAAATGGGCACTTGACTACATTGTTGGCCGCCTTGACAAGCTGGCCGAGAGAGACATCTACTCGCACCTCAAGGGACCGGCTGACTGGCTCCGTGTCCGGTTCGATGCCATCCGCAAGCTGCCGAGCTTTTTGTTCCCACGATATTTCGCCCTCGTCATCCGGACCGCGCACAAGGCTGCCTGCGAACGTAGCATCGAGCAGATGAGCCACAACGTCCAAGCCGGCCAGCGATTCCTCAAGAAGCTTGCCATGGTCAGCGTGCAATGCAATGGCTACATGGAGAATGCTTCGCTCTGGCCTGACAAGATGGTGCCGTCCCTCGCCGCTGGTCTTCCTCACTTCGCGCAGGACTGGGCACGTTGCTGGGGTCGCGACACCATGATCGCCATGCGAGGCCTGCTGCTTAGCACGGGCAGGTTCGACGACGCGAAGGAGCACCTGTTATGCTTTGCTTCTCTTGTCAAGCATGGCATGATTCCGAACTTGCTCGGCAGTGGCAAGCTCCCGCGCTACAACTCCCGTGACTCGGTCTGGTTCTTCCTGCAGAACATCCAGGATTACGTCACGCTTGTTCCTCATGGCGACACCATCCTCAAGGAGACTGTGAAGCGCCGCTTCAAGCCATACGACGATACCTGGTTTGCTTGGGACGATGAGCGTGCGTACAAGGACACCAGCTCTGTGGAGGACGTCATTCACGAGTGTCTCCAGAGGCATGCCGGCGGCCTACACTTCCGCGAGTACAATGCTGGCCCAAGCCTCGACAGCCAGATGAAGCCAGATGGTTTCAACATTGACATGGACGTTGACTGGAAGACTGGCATCCTCTTTGGCGGCAACGAACAGAACTGCGGCACCTGGATGGACAAGATGGGCGAGAGTGTCAAGGCTGGCAACAAGGGCGAGCCTGGTACGTCGAGAGACGGTGCGCCTGTCGAGATCACCGGTCTGCTGTACAGCACGCTGAAGTGGGTTGATGGCCTTCACCGCAACGGCTCCTTCAAATACGAAGGCGTCACCACTTCCGATGGCAAGAAGGTCTCCTACGCCGACTGGGCGGCGAAGATCAAGGCCAACTTCGAGCACTGCTACTACGTGCCAGTCGACCCAAGCGAGGACAGCCAGTACGACGTCAACTCCAAGATTGTCAACCGCCGCGGCATCTACAAGGACGTCTACCGCGGCAAGAAGGAGTACCGCGACTACCAGCTCCGCCCCAATTTCCCCATCACCATGACTGTGGCCCCGGACCTCTTCAACCCTCAACACGCCCTCGTCGCGCTCGAGGTGGCGGACAAGTACATTCGCGGCCCTACCGGCATGGCGACGCTCGATCCTGGCGACCACGAATACCACCCGTGGTACTTCAACAGCGAGGACAGCGACAACTTCGCTACCGCGAAGGGACGGTCCTACCACCAAGGCCCGGAGTGGCTGTGGCCGACCGGCTTCTTCTTGCGGGCGTTGCTCAAGTTCGACCTCATGCGCCGGCAGACGAAGGAGGAGAAGGTGGAGGCGTTCCAGCAGGTCACCGCCAGGCTGCATGGGTGCCAGCAGATGATCCGGGAGAGTCCGTGGGCGGGCTTGACGGAGCTGACGAACAAGGACGGGGCGTATTGTGGTGATTCGGTGAGTGTAGCCAGGTCCCCCCTCTCGAGCGTTTGAAGTGCCATTGCTGACGATGTGGACAGTGCCCGACGCAAGCGTGGTCCGCAGGGTGCATAATAGATCTCTACGACGACGCGAGCAAGTACTCCGACGAGCTGCTGTAGAATGGGGCGCCGGAGCGGAAGTTGGTCCATCATGATACTCTGCACCACCAGTGAGCAGCGAGTTGATGCGTTGACGATGGTATGATGGCATGGTTGAGATGACCTGAGCGAGTTTATTCTTTTTACCTGAGCGTTTACTCTTCCTATAAATGTAGACTCTGTTTTACATTGTACAGACCTCACGAGCTCGTTCCTCTTCGTGTCATCGCAGTGACTTTGGGTTGACCAGGATCGTTGGCTCGGAGCCGCCGCCTTCCTCCGCAGCCCATCGCAGCAGTGCGTTCTTCGCCGCCCCGTCGAGGCAGCAGAGCGAAACCTCCCGCCCTTCTTCGACGCTTCGTCCATGAACAAGATCCGGAACATCGTCCATACCAGCAGCACGCTGGACCTTCTCAGGCGACTCCAGTGGACCCGCCAGCTCCACCAGATAAGTCACCGTGAACGCGCCCTCAGACTCCGGCATCAACTCCGGCAGAAGCGCCCTCTTCTTCTGCAACTCTAGTTCATACTCGTAAGCTTCCCGATCATAGCCCGACGCCACTCGCTCGGCTTCGACGGCTTCCCAGTGGGCGTCTGAGACGCGGATGCGGGTTAGGTTGTTGCGATGCTCCAGGATTCTGTCCACGGCGGTGGATTCGGGGATGGAGAAGAGGGCGTGCCAGCGGGAGATTGTCTGGGAGATGGGCTCAGAGGGAGAATCGTTGGTGGAGAGGTCGGGGTTGTAGGCGTTGGTGGCGAGGGCTTCGAGGGATTGGTGGAAGGTGAGGTCGTCCATCGTGTTGATTTGGATTGGGGATCATGTCGAGCTCGCAGACATTATTACAATGTTGCGTTGAAAGACTCGTCGTTTGTCGACTCACAGCAGCGTTTGACGGCGTATCCTGAGAAGACTTATACATAGAATCAATCCAGATCACACCTTATCGAGCCGAAAAGAAAGTGGATCGGACGTGCTCTAGTTCACATAACGACTCTTGACTCTGTGTTCAGCCGCTTCCGATGAAAACCATTGTGTGGTTATTTGATGAGTTGACTCACAACACCTGCGGTCAAAGTGCACAGCTTCGCTTCCCATCATGCTTCTCAGTCAGCGATTTTGGTTGTCAGCCTTTCCTGATACCACCTGCCTACTATGGGATGCTTTGCCGACGGCGAACACTCAGCTTGATCTCGACTAGGCTCCGAAGCGGATACGGCGGCGTCAAGCGTAGTTCTACCTCTGACTCTATCGACCGTAGGCGACATCATTCCCCGAAGTCGATAAGTACACCTCATCGAGTTCAAGTATTGCAGCACTTGCAAAAGTCAGCGATCAATTCAAAAGCAACCAATCGATCAACGATGCGTCTTCAACTTTTACCGTTAGACAGCGAAGATGCCGACGCCTACTGCAACGTCTGCTGGGCTTCCTTCCAAGACGCCATCATGGGCCTCATGTATCCAAACGGCTACACCCAGCCCGCTCGGGAGTGGGCGATGAACAACCTCCATGAAGAAGTACGCAAGAAACCGGACCAAAACAAAGTCATGAAGGTCATCGATCACGATCTACCGGACGACAACTCCAACCGCAAGATGGTCGGTTTGAGCTGGTGGAAGGTCTTCCCCAAGCAGCGCACGCAAGCTGATCTGGACGCTGAAGCGAAGGAGTCGAAGGAGAGGGGAATGCCGCCGGATGCTAATCATGCTCTGTTGGAAGAGTTTCGTGGCAATATCATGGATTACAAGAAGGAGATACTCGGCACGCAGCCGTACGTGTTGCTGAGTATCCTCGCGGTCGTGCCGGAGTATCAGCGGAAAGGCGTCGGATCGATATTGCTTGACTGGGGGTCAAAGCAGGCTGATGAGCTGGGTCTTCACTCTTACCTTGAAGCAAGTCCAATGGTGAGTGGTGATCTCGACCGTGAAGACGAAGTTAAATGCTGACGACGGTTACTTCTGCGTTTTTAGGGAAGACCGCTGTACGAGAGGAAGGGGTATGAGAAGGTGCGGGAGTTTGAATTTGATGCTCGCAAATGGGGACATCATGAAGATATTGAGCATGTGTGTATGCTGCGACCTGCACGTGATGCAAACGGAAAGGCATAGTGTAGGCTGAAGCTGAAAGACAATAAAGCGGCGACCATTTTGATATCGGGGAATCAATTGGCGCGGCATCCTCGAATATGACTGTCGGATCGTGCACTATCAAGGTGACGAGCTGTTTGCGCACGATTGATATCTGCCCATCCTTGACGGCAATCAAGTTCATGTCCCGGACATTCGCCTTCCAGCACAAGCAATCGTCGGAGGTAAGGAATTGTGGCCTGACAGCTGTTTGCTGCACGGAACAGTGATGTTGAGTTGCCAATTCATGACAGGAAATAGAGTCGGATCGTTTGCTGCGTGCCAGTGACATTCTCGAGGGCATGAATTCGATACAAATATCGCTCTCTGTTCGATCGAGCGTCTCCTGTAGAACTCTGTCAATACAAGAGGAGCCTCCATCCGCTGCAGCTTCTCTGAGTACAGCTGACACAAGTTTGAAGCTAGAAACTTCCCAGGTGCTCCCGCTACAATGCGGCGAACGCTCGACCGACTTAGTCCTCGTAGTGGTAGAAACGATGCTGACGAGCAGGCAGTACGTGAGGCGTCAGGAGAAGATGCTGGAGCCTCGCCTATTGGGTTTTCACCCAGTCAGGTCCCGATGGTCGAACCACCCCGAACTCCGCCCACGGCGCAGATTCCCGAGAGCATGGCATCGCCGGGGTCTCCTACGCCTCGTAGGAACCTCCAAGGGGGACGACGTGAGTCGGAGAATACACTGGCTTCGTCATCGATTCCTCCGCTGAGGGCTGCCTCGTCGCCCAATCACGATCCGATGGGTCGACATCCAGTGAACACCCAGCCAGAGCGCAGCATGAGTTCGCTTGGGAGCTCGGATTTTGCGATCAGATATCCATCGTCCGCAAATGCATCGCATAGAACCACTTTTGCTGAGAGGGACGACTCGTCAGAACTCGGCTCAATCGAGCACCGCCCAGAGCGGACGACCCAGGCAGTGCCCTTGTCGCAACGAGATGTTGGATCACGGTTCGTCCAGCATCTCCCTGAGCCACGGGAGCCAACTCGAAAACATCATTGGTGGAGTCGCCAACTGGCCCCAGGACCCCTTGGGACGATCTCACAACGCTGACCTGCACAGGCGAACACCACCAGATCGTCCAGCCAGAGGGTTTCTCCGAATGTTCCTCACAAGACTACGGTCACTCCGTAGAATGGCAGCTCACCCCTTGCGAGAATGGCGACTCCGGAGGCGGGTCAAGAATGTGAGGCGCCATGGGGAGTCGACAGGATCAGATTCGATCCTTGGGCGTGAGGTATACCCAGAGCCCAACTCCTCGTACTTGCCATCAGAAGCCACAGAGAGTGATCCGTATTAGTTGGAAAGCGGTTATGAGCCAATGCAAGAACGGGATCAAAGATTCGTTGACGATAGTAAGTTCTTCATTGTGACAGAGATTCGATGGATGCTGATCACTGTCTTCAGGAATTCGTACAGTGTATCAGCATCGGCCACGGCACAGCGACGGCGCTGTTGATCTTTTGACGCCAGCGCCTTTGACTCACGGTAAGCTTAAACGGATTCCGTCGGATCCAGGCATGCGGTCGCCAGAGATCTGAACAATCCGCCGGTGAACAAGTCGACTGCCCATGCGAGCGGTCGGGTTGACGAGGTGCTTGCGCCGCTTGAGCTGATACGGTTGACCCCGACATCTGGTGGAAAGCAGCGAGAGCTACGGACCGGTCGTGTCTTTCTAGAGTCTCTTTAGCCTCTCTGTATTCCTTTCCCTGTCCAGCCATGTCCACCAAGAGCACGAGAAGTCCTGACTCGCGCGCAGGCAACGATGATCGAGCGAAGTAGCTCTGATGCCTCTGACAGTACTGTTCTAGTCGCACCGCCATGCATGTCTTAGTGCTTGCCGATCACGGACTCAGCCGCTCAATTTTCCATTCGCCACCATCTCCAACCAGCGTGTACTTGAAGCGATCATGCAGCCGGCTTGGTCGACCTTGCCAAAACTCAACCATCTCCGGCTTGACCCTCAAACCTCCCCAGAACTCAGGCACAGGAATACTCTCCTGATTTTCGAACCTCTTCTCGACATCTTTCACTTGATTTTCGAGCTCTGAACGGTCTTGAAGCACCTGACTCTGCTGCGAAGCCCAAGCACCAAGTCTGGATCCACGAATGCGCGTGTCGTAGTAAGGCTGAGACTCTTCCGAAGTGAGTCTCTCGCATGGTCCCTCCACTCGCACCTGTCTCTCTAGCTCGTGCCACCAGAAAGTCAGAGCAGCCTGCTGGTTGGAGCTCACATCTTTTGCCTTTCGTGAAGTGCCCCAGTTGCTGTAGATGACAAAGCCACGGTCGTCCATTTCCTTGAGGTAGACCATGCGGGCGCTGACTCGGCCTGATGGTAGTTCTGCTGTGGAAAGCGTCACGGTCTCTGGCTGGTAGACATTGGCCTCTTGGGCGTGCTTGAACCACATGTCAAACTGCTTGAACGGACTTGAGTCGAGCTGTGAGATCTCAAGAGAGCCTTTGGTGTATTGTTCTGCTTGTGAGGAGCCGTTGGCGCCACCAGGAGCGAAGATGTGCTTGCTGGCGGTGGAGGACATGTTTCTGATGGTGCTGCTGTGTGCCCGGCTCGAGAGAGATGACCGCGTACAGGAAGCCACTGACTGGAGCATCTACGTAATGAAGTGCCGTTTGCAGTGTCTCGAGATAAGTCGATGAAGAGGAGAAGAGGGAGCGCATGTGATGATGTCGTCAGAACAAGATTTCGCGCGAGTCATGCAAAATCGAATCTCCAATTATTCCTCTTGCTACCACACACTTCTCCCTTTCTACAAACAACAATGTGAAAGACTTCCACCATGGCTGGCCAGCCAGTCAAAGATCCATCCATAGCAGAGGCGTTACTACAACGCGCCCACCCCCTCGAGGCCGCCAACACTATCTTCCGCGAGCGCGTTAAGCAACGACCTCTCCTGCTGCGGCCTTCGTCGCCAGATCCGAATCGCGACAGCCGATCGAAGCGCCAGTATGAACGTCTACAGAAAGAAAAGGCGCGGCGAAAGTCGAAGAAACCCAAGCCACTATCCGCAAAGCAGAAGCGAGCGCTCTGCCTCTACGAGATCCCCAAGGAGCAGCAGAAGTACGCCATCTACGAGCCGTTGCACCGGATGTGGTGTGGTTACATGCGGGAGATACTTGGCTTGAACAGTTCTGGCGATGACGGAAAGCCGGGCAGGACCTATGTCGACGCAGCAAGTGCTGGACCGATCTTGTCTTCGGCAGACTACCATGGTGCGCTGGTTGAGGTTGTGCGAAGCAGATGTGCGAGCAGGGTGGGGCTGGTGGGCATAGTGGTGAAGGATACGAAGTTCACGTTTGAGCTTGTCACGAGGAAGGATGTGCTGAAGACGGTGCCGAAGGAGCACACCGTCTTCCGATTCAGCATTTCCTTTGAGGGCGAGGGAGCGACAGGAGGGAGCAGCGAGGAGGCTTCGGAGAGACGGCCACTGGTCTTTGAGATCTACGGCAGCCAGTTCGAGACGCGGGCGCCGGACAGGGCCAATAAGAAGTTCAGGCTGCATCTTGACCCGGATCTATGAGATGGGTGGGGAGCGGACCGAACGCGAAACGCGGATCACCTTTTCTTGAGGACATGCATGGCAGCAATGCCATCACAGCAACAGTCTTCTTGAGTATCAACGAGTGCTCTGAGTCTGAAGTATGCTCTTCAAGTAGGTGTACACTGTGCCTCCTGGTACACTCTCTGACGGATTTGGGGAGATCCTCTCTCATCTCTTCCAGCTTCGCCGCGCAACTCACGATGGCGCCGGTCGCGCCTCCCTGGCTCGACTGAATAGCTCCTTCCTTCTTCGTCGGCCAACTGTTGCTCAATGCCCAGAACGTACGACGGTCTTACGTTTCTGTTTCAGCTTTCATCCGTTTTCTTCAGTCGCCTTCCACCTCCCCTCACTCTTCCTCCAATCCACCCACCTTAATCTTCTACTCTTCCACACTCGTTCTTCGTTCCACTTAACCCATCTCAGTCTTCTACTCCTCCACACCGGTCCTTCGCCTCACTTCGGCCACCCTATCTTTCTACACTCTACTCAGCCCACTCCACTTTCGCCAACATGCTGGCCATTGGCACCCTACTCCTCTTGACGGCGAACCTCATCGTCACCGCAGCGCCTCATGCACGCGGACAGACACTCGACCCCCGTCAGATCGTCACAGCAAACCCATCCGTGGCCTGCTGCTCAAGCTGCACCGGCGCGTACGACCCAACTACATACCTCAATGGTAAGGCACAACGACGGCCACCAGCGAGCACCACTGACGGCCTGACAGTCTTTGACGACTTCTGTGGATGGGCCAATCTTGGCATGGAGCTCTGGACGACTATGACGTACGTCACCGGTGACTCCTACTGTCACCCGGGCGGCAGCCACTGCATCCAGCTCGCCGTGTCGTATGAGTGTGAGAAGCCATATATTGGTGAAGTGACGTACTCCGGCTGCATGGTACGCATGTCCTGTACTGTCCGTGATCTCATGCACATTCTGACTCCTACGTATAGGGCTATCTCGGCCACGCCATCAATCCGAACGCATGCGGTGGGCCGCTGTATCGAGGCGCACGTATTCGCAGTGCAGATGGCTGCTGGATCTTCATGGCAGGTGAGTCTGAGGTCCTTTGCAGTCATTTGTGAACCCAGGTACTCATGCTGTACAGTCGGCGACAGTCCAGTACCAGCAACGAGCCATGTCAGCCTCCTCGAATGTGATGGTGACGATTGTCGCCCCCCAATGAGGATTGAGACCATGGCCGTGCCAGACGAGCAGTGGGAGGACTATGTCCAGGTCTCTTGACGAGCTCATCAGGCGGACGTTGGGGAGGGCTCTTCCCGGGAGTGGCGCCAGGAGAGAGTCCGGCAGCAGAGCAAGCTCACCTGCCCCTAGGTGAATATGTTCACTAAGCATGGAGTCTCTTAAGGCGGAAGACATGCTCTTGATCATCTCTATCTAGAAAGGTATACCAAAGACATTCACGCCGTCAATCGTGCCATCCCACACGCTTATCAATCCCATCAGTCATTGCTCATCACGGGCCCGGCTTCACGAGAAGCAACGAAAGCCTGTGCTTAGGCCCTCTCAACATACTCGGTCTCCTTCTCTTTACTCAGAACCCCAGCGAGCCCTTCCTGCTTGGCAATCTCCCTTGCGCTATCGTCGACATGCGAGCTCGGCGTCCATTTGCTCCCGGGCACGAACAGCGGATGATCCCGGAACAGCTCGTTCATGTCCTCCAAATTCAGGCCTTTCGTTTCAGGCTGGAAGCACCAGAAGAAGATTGCGTTCGTCAGGTTGCAGACGATGAACACGATGTAATACTTCCACTATACGCAGGTCAGCTTTGTTTTGTTTTCAGTCGGACGACGTTTACATACACCAATCGCCGTGATAGCTATCGGCGTCACCTGGCCAATCATGGTGTTGAAGGCGAACGAGGTCATGGCTCCCCAGGAGACACCCTTCAAACGCATCGCAGTCCCGAACAGCTCTGCCGGAATCGCCCAGCTCAGCGGCCCGCTGGTGATGAAGAAGACGAAGTTGAAGAGCCATGTCAGTACGACAAACGCCCAATGAGCGCCGGTGTTGTTGGACGCGGCCGGAAAGACTTTGATGATTGCCGCATTGACGACAAAGGTAGCGCACAGGATGAGGCAGCCATATATCTCCAGCGGCCGGCGTCCGATGCGGTCGATGGTGAGAATGCAGACCACGACCCCGGCAAACGCGATGATGGCGTTGACGGATTGCAGCAGCAATGAGAGGCCGGTATCGATGCCGATCGTCGCGAAGATCTGTGGGCTGAAATATTGGATCGCGCTGACGCCCGTCATCTGGCAGCTGGCTTGGACGGCCATCACGAGCAGCATGCGGCGGATATTCGGCCAGCCGCGGAAGAGGTCCAGGTACGTCACCTTCCTCTGCGAGTGTTCTTCGGCAATTTGGGCGTTGATGAGGCTGAATTCTGCCAGCACATACGGGTCATTGGTGTCGCCGTGGGCATGCAATTTCGCCAGCGTCTTGAGCCCTTCATCCGCTCGATCGTGGTCGCAGAGCCATCTACTCGTGGTCAGTTGGATCACCTGATGTGGCTATCCACTCACCTCGGAGACTCGGGAAACTGCAAGATCAGAGCACCCAGAAAGATCGCAGGCACAATCTGACATCCCAGCGGTATCCGCCACTCACTGCTGTTTCCCGTGCCACTCCATGTCATGTAACAGCCGTATCCAATCCACGTAGCGAAGACTTGGCCCAGCGCGTTGAATAGCTGTTGGAGGCTCGTGATCTTGCCGCGAATCTTCCTGTGGGCCAGCTCTGCTTGGTATATCGGAATTATCATAGTCAAGAAGCCCACGCCGATGCCCGCCACAAGTCTGCCGACGTACAGCATCGCAATCACCACGCCGCCGGTCTGGATGGCACCCCCGACAACGAAGATGCAGCAGGCGAGGAGGATGGTTCCGCGGCGACCAAGCGGGTCCGAGAAGGAGGCAAAGAAGGCGCCGCAGAAGCAGCCTGCTGTAAACAAGGCCACTACTGTCCCCGAACGAGCGTCGCCATCTTTCTGGAGGAACGAGGCCTTGAATGAGTCTGAGGCGACGACCTCTGCTATCACTCCTCTGCATTATGTAAGTGGATGTCGTCATCAGACTGTCTTCCGTACACTTACAGGTCATATCCGAACAGGAACGATCCAATGGCGGCGAAGCATCCAACCAAGAACTGGTACACGCCGCTCTGCATTGTGTGGGATGGAGAACAACATCGGGTGGAAACGAAGAGGGAACTTCGTTGTCAAATGTAGGCGGCTCAATGCCCGGTGCGATATTCTTCCAATTAGCCATTGATGTGCCGAACACCTGTCTGTGGCCGCCTTCCTGATTCGGCCAGGTGATGCAGATGATGACGATGTCGGGTGCTGCGAGCTCTGGCAGATCGCATGCGCTTAGTGGGCTCTTCATTGACAGCGGTCGGTATCTGAGACAGCTTTGGTGGGTAGTATGTGAGCTCCGAGTGGGATTCATGCCTGCTCCTTGCCAGTCTGTTGCTTTCCAGCCAGGCGCAAGAAAATGTGGTTGAAAGTGATGCCAAGCATTACCAAGCTTCTCGATCTCCGCTTCCCCACGTTTTGATATGGCTTGGCAACACAACCCAAAAACCCTTCGCTCCACGAGTCCTCCTCCATCTACGCTCATCCTAAGCCGCTCAAAGTGTGCAGACAGTGCTTGGAGGTCAGAACTGACTTTAGGCCGACGCCGCCGAGCACATAGGACCAGCAGATTGTGACCCCGGACGCATGTGGGAGATTTGGTGCAGGGGAGAGGCACCGCTCGGACAAAGCATGAGCAGGTCTCAGAGCGCCATCCGCCTGTGGAGACGACTTCTCTAATCTAATCTGAAGGTTTCCGCACGTTCAACCCAGCATATAGCAATGCCTGGATAAGGCCGAGTACTAGCAATGGCCACGGGTATGGGGGAACCTCGGACGGCGGCTCTACCACGTTATGGTTGTATAGAAGTTGCGGTCACCCTCGGAAGCGATGATGAGAGTCCAGTTCGCAGGCATTATGGATCAGGAGTGGTGGTTGCACGGTGTCGGGCGAGGTGAAAGCCGCCGGCAGCGTCTTGGCATTGGTTACGAGCTCGGGTCGGCCCCTTATACCATTAAGTCCAGAGGTCAGTTGCGGACGAGGACGGACATGTTCCCGAGACTCCAATCCGCAGGTAGTTTGGACAGGTAGTGGTCAGGTTGTATTCTCGGGCGAGCTGGAAGACAGAAGCAAAGTCTTGGCATTGGCTTCTCAGAGCTCGGGTTGGCCACCTGTACCATTTAGGCTCGAAGTAGGCTGCGGACGAGGACGGATATATCCCTTAGAGTCCAAAGCGCCGGTTGTGTGGATAGGCAGTCCTGGTTGTGTGCATGTGAGGACGGCAAAGTCCACAGCCCAAATCTTGGCGTGGGGCTAGAGCTCGGGTTGCGCCTACACACACAGTAGTTCAGGAGTTGATTGCGGACGAGGACGAACATGACCCCGAGAGTCCAAGCCGCCAACAAGACGAAGTGGTTATGGCAGCGGTGCGTACTCAGACGACATGGTAGTCGGCAGCTTGCGTCTTCGCGGACCGTGAGCTCGGACACGGCATATGGTCCATTTAGCTGAGCAATCTCTTTCGGTCGTTTTCGAAGATGCTTCTCTGAGTCCACTCCGCGGGTAAGAAACAGAATTCACGGCCGTGGTGAGTTGTCGGGCGACATGGCGGTCCACAGCCGAAGTCTTGGCGTTGGCTTCTTAGGCGCCCACCAGCTCGGATTGACCCCGTGATTCATTCAGACCTGGTATGGTTTGCGGACGGGGTAGCACAGGTCAATTCTGGTTGAGTCCGCAGGCTATGCAGAGGACATCCGTCGTGGGGTGTCTTGGGACGATTCATAGCCGGCGCCTGGGCGACCCATATGCTCGGACGTCTCTTGTGGTCTGCACAGTCTCAAGCTGTATCGCGGTCACGCTCCGATATGCCGTTGTGAGTGAGGCCCGCGGGCAACGTAGAGAACATGTCATAGTGGTGAGTCCTTGGGGTCCATCGCTGTCTATACCAGCGGCTTGGCGACTCTGGTGCTCGGGTGTCTCTTGTGGTTCATTCAGGCTCAGGACGACTTGCGGACGTGGTCGGATAAGTCCATCCACGTTGAGTCCGCGGGTGGTGCGAAGGGTATGTGGCCGCAGTGCACCGATAGACGACCGTGAGTTTCCAGCGGGCGCCTTGGCGGTCTTGGGGCTCGGGTGTCTCATGTGCTTTGCTGAGACTCAAGGTCAGTTGCGGACAGATACGGAGAGTGAGGTCCGCAGGCAAGACAAGAGATGTAGCGCTGAAGTGCGTCGGCGGGAAGTATCACGTCCAAAGCCAGAGTGCCAGGACCATGCAGCCTAATAGTGTGTTGCAGCAAGCTGTGAGCCCAGTCCGCAGGTGATTCATGTCTTATGTTATGGTAGTGTGTCAGAAAGCGATGTAACAGTTCCGACCAGCTTCTTGGTGTTAACAGCTCGGACGTCTCTTCTGGTCTTCTTGTTGCAGAGGTGAGCTGCGGACGAGTTCAATAATGCGATGGGTAGTCCAGTCTGCAGGTGACATGAAGGGCTCGTTGCGATGGTGCGCCCTCGGGTGGAGGTGAAGATGGATGGTGCAGGCTTGGCGGTAGACAATAAAACGTGAAGTTCGAGATTTCCGGATTCGTGCAGATTCGTTCCATCTCGTCTCGGCTGGGATGGCCCTTGGCATTTCGTCTGATCTTCCCAAACTGCAGATGCTGGAAATCACACACGACACTCCACCTTACTAGCAGCTTGAATAAGAGCGCTTTTCTTTGAGAGCGTCACAAGCGCAATAGCTTTAAGATCCCATTTTCAAATGCACTGAGGACGGGTGTTCGAGAAAGCGGATCCGAAGGATGCGGTCCCGATACGGCCAGCTTTTTCTTAGATCTTAAACTGCTTGAGATAATCATAATGCGCCATCTCTGCTTCCACAAGAGACCTGAGATGCCCTGCCACCTCGCCGCCATACTCTTTTCTCCACCCCTCGAACGCTTCGTCGATTGAAGGCACTGCCGGCTAGAGATTGTTAGTCATCAACGTAAAACGCACGAGTATCAACATACCTTCGAAGGCACCCTCTCAATCCCCGTCGACTCATGCGCCACCTTCGTAAATTCCCAGACGTACTGGTTCGTCGGACGCTCCTCGACAGGCGTCGGGCCCCAGCTGTCCTGCACACCGGCAGCATCCAGACCCAGCGCAGCACACACGCCTTCCTTCACCTCGCCGGCACGCCATACGATGTCATCTCCATCGACAACAATTGGTGGGCGACCAGTAGCCTCCCGCAAGTATTCAAAGATCAGCCAAGCGTACTGCAACGTCGTCTGCAGGCGCATATCCTCTCCGTCCGACTCAAAACAGAGATTGAACCTAGTCATCTGCTTGTAGAACGATGGGATGGTGAAGATGGGATGTCTGATCAGGATAATTGGATCAAACTTCAGCAGAAGCGAATCTGGGATGAGTGTTGGATTCGACGGCGCGTCTTGTGGCTGTCTCTCACTCCTAATCACGGAGAAGAGAAGGTCTCGTTTGACAAGCCGATGGCAGTGGTCGCTGACGAAAAGTCGTTGGTTCTGCATCCTCTCAGTCAGCCACGGATTTGGATGAGATGTTTGGATAGATCTCACGACTCACAGAAGCTCGATTGACTGCCTTCTGCAGATCTTGCGTCGCGCTGTTAAACGTATCGGGCACATCTGTCACCCCATACTTCTCAATCACCTCCCTTCGTTGCGGGGAGCATCGAATGTCGCGATAGAAGTTCTCGGGACCAAGATGAGCTGCCAGTAGGTATGGATGATATTCCGTTCGTAAGTCCGGGTGAGTCCCAATCCATCGCCAGAAGAGATGGGAACGTGTTCGCGGGTTGTCGAAGACGAAGATGGGTTTTGATGCCATGATACACAGTCTTGGTCCAGGAGATCTTTCGTCTGCAACACTCATATTCCTGGAAATCTTCCTTGCTCAATCCAGAGTCACAGCGGTCGTCGCCCGCAACAATCTGAGTGGATGCTGCCAGAAGAGTTGATTTTGTCCATCGCCATCAACCTACCGTTGCATCCTGCAGCGAGGCATATCCGCAGCCTTCTAGCGCCACTGAACGCCTTCTAGACCCGCTCTTACCCAGCACCATCAGCTCCTGCAGGATGCTACGGATGCACGAAATCCTACTTTGCCAAGATGGTAAGTAACCGCAAACATGAAACAATTCGGTGATCCAGGCGCTGCTTCTCGTTCCATCCCAAATCCAACGAGACGGAAGGAGGATGTACCAGAACAGCGGGACTGAGAGAGACGATCGATTGTTCCAACCCATGAGCTCACAGCCAGAGCCATCGCCTCTGATCGTTGGTAGAGTTGCACCGCAGCTCAGAAAATTCGCCGGATGACAAGTTCTGCAAATATGCTGGATTCAATTGCTCACGCAGAGACTCGGCCTTCACGGACCATCCTGGCTGTTGTGACAGTCGGCAGAACGACCTGCGCAGGCAAGCAGAACCCTTTCGACCGTCATATCAACGCTGACTTGCATAGCACCCATTCTCGAGGTCTGCCGCATTCTCCACGAAAGAGGCCACCGGGTAGAGTTCGCCTGTCTGGAAGGATGGCAGAAATTGGCAACCCCGCATCCGTTCATATCAAAAGTCCACGTCGTCGGCCGTGACCTCACCCCCGAAGAGGACGAGGAGTTATACCGCCTACTCGACGCCTCTGGCATTAGATCTCACGAGCAGATCAGCAACATGTTCAAAGGCTTCGGCATCTTCGGCGGCTGGTGGGCTGAGACCTACCCCAAGATCAAGGCCTTATGTCAAGCAGAGCAGCCAGACCTCATCTTCGCCGACGACCTTGCGGATGCTTGTGTGGATGTGGCGAGAGATCTTGACATCCCTCTGGCTGGCATGGCCCCTCAACTACCGCCGTCGATGCTCCAAGTGCCATATGTTCCCGGAATGCCAGGATATCAGCTGAAGCATATCACTTCCGAGCATGCCAGTATCTTGGACCGGATCGCGGAAGAACTGTGTCGGATAAGGATTGCGTTTGCATCCGGCGGCGCTATGGGTCGGATCACTGGCCGCAATGCCAGGAGTGGTCCAGCCAAACCAAAACATCTGTTCGTCAAGTGCTAGCCTAGTCGTTAGATGTATTAGCTGATCGGCTGCTGCAGATTCTTCGTCAACAGCTTCATCGGCCTTGAAGTGCCCAAAGAGCTTCCACCGATGGTAAGACCGGTTGGGCCGATACTGTCAGAGGACATATCGCCACTCCAAGATAACCCTGCCATCGCGGAGTTTCTCGATACCCACAAGCGAGTAATGTTCATAGCGTTCGGTACTCACATCCGGACGTCGAAGCAACGCATGCAGCGGATAGTGCAGGGGGTGCGGGCGGCTATGGACGATGGCCTGCTCGATGGGGCAGTCTGGGCCCTCAAGAATGCCTCGACCATCTTGAACTCTCCATCCGAGGGCAGGAACGGATGCTCTAAGGATGACTTCGCGTTAGAAGATCTCTCCCGGGTACTCGCAGGAGAGGATGCCCGCTGGCTCGTCGACAGCTGGTGTCCTCAGCGAGCGATCCTGAACCATCCGTCGATCTGCCTCTTCATGTCTCACTGCGGTGCGTCGTCTACGGCGGAGGCTGCCTTCCACGGCGTCCCTGTGCTCACCTTGGCAGGATATGGAGATCAATGTAAGTCGGCAGAGAAGCCTAATATAACGTCATGCTAACGTCATTGAAGTCGGACACGCGATGAGACTCGAAGCGGCAGGTGTCGCCCTCAGACTCGACAAGCACAGCTTCACAGCGCAGGATGTCGAAGCTGGGACAAGTGAAATCGTTCAAGACAAGGACGGCATGTTCGCGCGCAACGTCCTCCGGCTACGACGTGTCGCCCACGCAAACTCACAGCGCAAGCATTTGGCAGCCCAGATGATCGAGGAGCTGCTGTACGACCACGAGCTCCGCTTTGAGAACCCCCCCCGTGGGCGGGAATGGGAGGCCAGCGGGGGAGACGAAATCACCCAGACGGTTGGCCGCGGTCGCGTCCTGAGGCCTGCTCACCTGGAGACGTGCGATATGCGCATGCCGTGGATCAAGAGGAACAACCTAGATCTGTGGGCACTCTTCCCGGTGTGCGCCCCAATCCTGACGCTGGCGTCCTGGTTTGGAAGAAGTAGCCGGTGAATAGAAGACTGCAGCCCTGCGAACTTCCTTCGTGGCTGTTGTTCGTCCGTCTTTCCGTGCCAGATGTTCCTTTGTTTCATGAAGGAAGTTGGAGGTCACGTGCCGTAAGACTGCCCGCGGAGATCCAGTCCAGAAAGCAATTGAATGCCCCAATGGCCCGGTGCAGAAACAGCTGAGTCCCGTGTGGCCGACGTCCATCCATTGCGATCGGTGGGGATCATGGGTAGAGAAAATAGAAAACAGAACGCTGTAGGATCTCGTTTGGCCGGCTTGGCGGAGCACGGGCCAGCAGCCTCAACTTCGCTTCCTTCGCGTTGTCGACCATCATCACTAAAACTTCCATCGTCGAGTAGGGCGGCGGCAACAAGCATCCCACGATAGCACACGCCCCGACGGAACAGGATGAGGCATGGAGATGGATCCTACAGGGCCAGCAGAGGCTCCTATGGCGACACCAGGAGTGTACAGTACCTCGTTCCTCCGTCTGCACGCGGCGATGTTCTCCGTGACGCAGGTAGGTGGTCGTTTCATCTCTCTCGTTATAAGAAAACACACTTGCGGGCGGTCACTTCCTCCTCACACCACATGCTTTGACGCGGTCTTCTTCCAGCAATGTCCCAAACGCGTCTCCTTGTCTACGGCGACCACCTGGGAGACAAGGTCCAGCCTGTCAAGAAGCTATACCAGGCGGCAAGGACGCGGCCACTCGTTCATACTTTCTTGCAACAGGCCGCCGATGCCCTTCAACGCCAGTTAGCCGCACTTGAGGCCCGGGAGAGATGCAGAATCGGAGCCTTTAGCGACCTTCTCGAACTCGCGGAGCATTATGCTGGCCGCAAGCACAACTTTGAGGCCGTCAGCTTTGCCCTGACCACTGCGGTGCAAGTCGGTGACTTCCTGATGTGAGCTGAGCCTCTGTCGCGCATCATCGCCATCCACATGCTTACGTTTCACAGACAAGCTGAAGACGACACCGCTTTGCTCAGCAACAATGGAGATGTGCGCCACTTCGGGGTCTGCATTGGACTCCTAGCAGCCACGGTAGGAGCCGCGTCGACTAACATCAGTGATGTGTTACGCCTCGGGGTTGAGATTGTGGCCGTCGCCTTCCGTCTGGGCGTTGCATCCTCTCGAAGGTCGACGAGCATAGAAGAGTCTGATGGTCCATGGGCAACGACCTTCGTTGGGGTCGGGCCTGACGAGCTACGGCGGTGCCTAGATTCGGTGAATGAGGTCAGCATTCTCACTTCTCGACAGCACGGCAGCCACTGACCACTACCTCGCTCATAGAATCTGCCCAAGTTGGCTCATGCTTATCCAGGTGTGGTCACGAACGCTTGGGCAACGGTCTTCGCAGTGCCCTCCACGACCGAGATGCTCCGCTCGAGTCCGGGGACGGAACACCTCCAGCAAATCCATGTAGCGGAGGCCGGCAGTGCTGTTCATGCTTCGGACTGGCCCTCATTACCTCTTGACACGATCATGGGCTCTAGCAAACTCCTGGACACCTCTGTACAAGACGATCTTATCTTTCCAACCACTGCCGGCGAGTTCTTCCCCTCAGGGCCACTCCGTGACAGCTTGGGAGCGGTCATCGCCGACATTGGGAACTCGCCTCTCCAGCTGGAAGACGCGACCCGGTCACTTGGGACACTTATGAACGGCGGCAGCGAACTGAAGCTGCACGCCATTGGCCCCCCAACATCACTTTCTTCAATCAGCACAATCCTAAGAGCAACTGAGCGGGAGTTCAAAGTCCTCGACGAGCCAACGAAGACATCAAACCTCCCACCGTCCGACGATACCACTTCTGACCTCATTGCAGTTGTGGGAATGAGCGGCCGTTTCCCGGGTGCCAATGGCCTGCAAGAATTCTGGTCCCTCCTCGTCTCTGGACTGGATATGCATGAGGAGATCCCTCCTAACCGATTCGATGTTAAGGAGTTCTACGATGCCGCAGGGGAAGGCAGGAATGCCATGCGAACACGATATGGCTGTTTCCTGAAAGATCCAGGACTCTTCGACAACCTCTTCTTCAACGTCTCGCCCAAAGAAGCAATGCAGATGGATCCGCTGCAGCGCATGCTTCTGATGTCGACGTACGAGGCGCTCCAACAGTCAGGCTATTCTAAAGCGTCCACCTCACGCGTCTCGTCCTTCTTTGGCCAAACAACGAACGACTGGAATACCATCAACGACCAGCAAGGAGTAGGCACCCATTATATTGCCGGCGGCAATCGGGCGTTCGCGCCTGGCCGCCTGAACCATTTTTTCAACTGGACTGGGTCCCACTACAGCATCGACACTGCCTGTTCAGCCAGCTCGACGAGCGTTCATCTTGCTTGCAATGCTCTTCTTCGGCGAGAATGCGACCTCAGTGTGGTCGGTGGCGGGTCTCTGTGTGTTGTGCCTGAGATGTTCGCAGGACTTGACAACGGCGGCTTCCTGTCACCCACTGGAGGCTGCAAAACGTTCTCTGACAACGCGGATGGGTATTGCCGTGGCGAGGCCGTGGGCGTGGTGATACTGAAGCGCCTCGACGAAGCACTCAGGGACAACGACAAGGTGCTGTCTGTCATCAGGAGCACGGCACGTAACAGCAACGGCAGCAACGGTCAGTCATCCGACTTCGCAACGACAAGCTCAACCTCTCGTCTTTTTGGCTTATGCTGACTACTTTCCTGCAGGCTCCATCACCTATCCCAGCGCAGTTGCACAGGAAGATCTGTTCCGCCAGATGCTGCGTCAATCACAGATTGATGCGAACGAGGTCAACTATGTTGAGGTTTGTCACTGGTCACTCGTTCTCATCCACCGACTAACAGCCCGCAGATGCATGGTACTGGCACCCAAGCTGGCGACACTACAGAGATGGCCAGCGTGCTAAGGGTCTTTGCGCACCAGCGCGCAGCTAACAACCCACTACACGTCGGTGCTGTCAAGGCAGCGGTCGGCCACAGCGAGTCAGCGGCTGGCGTTGTGGCCCTCATAAAGACGATTCTCATGCTTCGGCACGATACCATCCCTCCTCAACCCGGGCCCCTTACCATGAACCGGCATTTCCCCTCTCTGCAGTCAGCAAAAGTCGCAATCGCTGATCGAGCGACACCATTCTGTGCTTGGGACGGCGGCGAGTCAGTGAAACGCAGATTATTGATCAATGGGTTCGACGCCGCTGGGGGCAACACGAGCATCCTCATGGAAGATGCACCGTTCCAAGGACCCAAAGCCGCCGATCCACGAGAGCATCATGTCGTGGCCATCTCTGGCCGTACTCGGACAGCGCTGCTGCGAAACAAGGCTCTCTTGCGTGAACACCTACTTCGCACTCGTGACGTTCGTCTGAACGACGTTGCTTACACTACGACCGCCAGGAGGCTGCACGAGACGCACCGGGAGGCATACGTGGTCGACTCTGTGGATACACTGGCCGCCAAGCTGGCTTCAACAGACCTCAAAGCCGACAGGGGTCGCTCAAAAAGCAAAACGACACCGCTTGTATTCGCCTTCACTGGCCAAAGCTCGCTCTATACTGGAATGGCATCAACCTTGTACAAGACAAGCCCCCACTTCAGGAACACTCTGGACTCATATCAGGCGCTCTGTAACGTGCAGGGACTTGCGACCTTCATGGGCCTCATTGACGGCTGGCAGCCTGTCGCGTCGTCCACGGCGGCGCAACAGCATTTGGCTATCGTCGCCTTGGAGATTGCACTGGCCCGGTACTGGATCGGCCTTGGTGTCGAACCGCAGTTGGTGCTTGGACACAGTCTTGGCGAGTACGCTGCTCTTTGCGTTGCTGGAGTGCTTTCAGTGTCCAGCTGCTTGAAACTCGTGCACACGCGCGCAGAGTTGATCGAGCAGTCATGCACTGCCAAAACACACGGCATGCTGGCAACAGGGCTGTCGCTGGATGACGCGCAAGAGCTGTTGGGGCCGGGCCGATGGACCTCTGAGATTGCTTGCCAGAACGCACCATCCATGACCGTCCTGAGTGGAGAGCTTGGTGAACTACGAGCGCTGGCTGCCACGCTCAAACGGAAGGGCGTACTCGCAAAGCTTTTGGACATCGACTACGGCTTCCACTCCCGGCAGCTAGAGACCCTGCTCGACACATTCGAGAAGGAGGCCGCCTCTGTACACTACGGGACCCCGACAATCAAGGTAGCTTCAACGCTCACCGGACAGATTGTGGAAGACGCTGGGATCTTCAACGCTGCATACCTTCGTCGACAGACTCGGGAGCGAGTCAACTTCACGGCTGCAGTGTCCTCCTGCGAGCTCGAAGGTTACATCTCCAACGACTCTCTCGTCATCGAGATTGGTCCCCACCCTGTTTGTGTCGGCCTTGTTCCGCCGAACATGTTGTCCGCCTCCCCATCATGCCACAGCAGCCTGGAGAAGGGAACAGACGACTGGCAGTGCATATCAACATGTCTCGCCAGAGCCTTCTGTGCTGGTATCGACGTGCAATGGACCGAGTTCCACAAAGACTATCTGGCCAGTTGTCAGCTCGTGGACCTGCCGAATTACGCATTCGACCTCACCAACTACTGGGTGCCATATCAGCCGCAGCCTCTGAGTAGGACTGTGGCTCCAGAGTTACAAGGGACGGCCTTCATCTCATCATCCGTGCAGAAGCTTGTATCATTCGATCGGCAGCCCGGCAAATCGTTGGCGACCTTTGCATCAGACATAATGGAGCCTGGTCTTCGTGAGGCGATACACGGACACTCGGTCAATGGCGTCACCATCTGCCCTGCCAGTGTCTTCATGGATATGGCGATGACGGCGGCGAAGGTCACCTTCGAAAAGTGCGGTATGACTGCGAATCACCATGCGTTGAGACTGATGAACCTCCGCATAACCCAGGCGCTTGTGGCTTGCGATGAGGGATCATCCAACGACATTGTCATCAAAGCTACACTGCACGAGACAGAGCGCAAGGTGACCATTGAAGTCCTCTCTGAAACCAGGCCTGCTGCTACTGTTCATTCTACCTGTGCGGTGGCTTTGCCGGGAGAACCAGGGCCGAATCAAGAATGGGCTTTGATGCGCCGGCTGTTGGAATCGAGGCTGAGTGCCCTTCAACAATCACCAAGCTCCCATCGTATGGCGACGCCGCTCTTCTACCGCCTGTTCAACGACGTGGTCCGCTACTCCAGGCCGTATCAGTCGCTGTGCAACGCACAGATAGCTGAGAGCTTTGATGATGCAACTGCCACCATCCTGCTGGGTCGATCTGGGCCAGAAAAACCAGGCAGCTTCAAATACAGCCCATTCATCCTGGATGCACTGGTCCACCTGGCTGGTTTTCTGCTCAACTCGAACTTGAACAAAACCGACGACGATATGTACCTCGCGAACCACATTGGAGACTTCCAGATCTTTGACCAGCTACCGACTGAGAGCACCGAACGGACGGTGTATGCCAGTGTTCGCGAACCACATGGCAGCAACGACGTCTTCATTTGCGACGTCTTCGTCTTCGATCCTGTCAGCGGCGAAGTCTCTGCTACTTGCACCGACATCCGCTTTCAGAAGATGCCTCGCGATGTCTTCTCGCTTCTCATGGGCGACGAGGTAGTACCCGAGGTGGCTTCCCATCCAATGGTCCCGCAGGCAGTCGCACAGAAGACCGCCGCAACGGCATCGTTGCCACAGTCACACCAGCCTCCATCGGCACCATCAGAATCTCACAGCGAGCTTCTCCTCCGTCTGCTTGCTGACGAGCTCGGCCTTCCACCGGCAAGTCTGACACCAGATTGCGAGTTCGCCTCCGTTGGACTTCACTCCCTGGCAAGTCTGAAGATCATTGCACAATTCAAGAGACAGTCCGGGCGAGATATTCCAATGGCCTTCCTTGCAGAGCACAGCACTGCCGATCGCGTGCGCAAGGCGTTGGGAGAGGACACCGACTCCGAAGGCGAGGAGAGCATTCACAGCAGAACGAAACTCTCCACCCCATCCGAGGCCGTCTCACCCCAAACACCACTTACGCCGATCAGCGAGACACCACCCAAAGCTGCCCAAATGCAACTACAGAAGCCCGCCCACTCGCTCAAGACGCCAACACCAGAAGCGAACGCGCTGCTGATTCACGGCGACCCTTCTTCGACCCTCACGCCGCTCTTCCTTGCCACGGCCGGCATTGGGCTTGCAGCACCTTACATCAACATCCCTCAGTTCCCGGGACAGCGAGCCTTGTACGCTCTGGAGTCACCCTTTGTCAACTGTCCGGAGCAGCACTCGCTCAACGTCGAGCACATGGCCGCAACCTGGATCCTCGCAATACGCCGCGCTCGTCCCAAAGGCCCCTACCTCCTTGGAGGATACTCTGCCGGTGGCGTCTATGCCTACGAAATCGCACGCCAGCTGGCCGAGAACCACGGCGAGAGGATCGCTGGTCTGCTGATCATCGACAGCCGGGTTCCGCAGCCGGTACCTGCTGCTCTGGATATCATCGCTGTGCCTACCAACGCAACTGGACTCTCGGAGGAAATGAAAACGCACATGATCGCGTCCGCGCGGGCGCTTGTCCGCTACGATCCACGCCCATTCCCTCTCACGAACAGCCCTGTTCGAACTCACTTGATCTGGGCGAAGGGAGGCGAGGGTACCGGTGGCTACGGACGCGCGGCGATGGGTCCGATTGGAGAGGGCCGACCGTCGAGGGAGCTGACGTTCGAGGAGTATGAGGCCGAGTTGGCTACCTGGTTCTGCGGCGAGCGCCAGGACTTTGGAAGTAACGGGTGGGAGAAATTTGTCGGAGGGGAGGACAGGGTGATCGTTCACACGGTGGAAGGCAGTACGTCGATTCGCCCAAGTGTGTTGATTGAAGCTCATGCTGACGAATCTGCAGACCACGGAACGATGATGCGCATGCCGCAAGTCAAGCTTGTCGGCGCGGTCGTGGTCCAGTTCATCGAACAGATCACTTCATTCGAGGCGGCTATTGTGGCCGAAGAGGACACGGTCAGGGAGGTTTAAAGAGTCCTTTTCACGGCTGGACGAGGCATCAACTTGCATGCTTGGCGCTTGGAGTCGAGTAGGAGTCGTCTTTGGCTTGCATTAACAATACGCTGAACTGGGTATCCATCCATCATAACTGACCACATCAATCGCGATTCATCATGTCCTTATTCTGGCGGACTCTTACAATGCTGCCACCAAGCCTGCCACGACCATCCCGATGCCCACACCTTCGACATTATGCCTCGCTGCTGCTCCTGAAGACGAACTTGCAGCTGCTGCAGAGGTCGACGACGCCGAATCATCAGCTGCATCGATCGTTCGTACTGGGGCCGGAGCGTTCGTCGTGCCGCCAGCTACAGTAGAGCCAGTGTTAGAAGCCGTCGATGTCGACGCCGTCGATCCTGAGGTCGATGAAGCCGAGGAGGCTGTCGAGGCACAGGTAGCGGTCTGAGGAAGATTGTTGACGTCTTGGCCGGCGCATAGAGCGTTGGCGAACTCGAGTGTTGCTGATACACCATCAGTACGACATCCATTGGAGACACAACGTTGTCACGAACAGTCCTGATCGGCCTTGTCGCAATTCTTGGACACGCAACAGGCCATCTGCGCTATGTAGTCCTGGTTGCTACAGATGCATTGGTAGTCGAATTGCCCGCAGCCGCCGTATCCTGTCACGCAGTCAAAGGCGCAAGTGGGGATGCCTGGGTTCTGTGCGAGGACGCTGCTGGCGAGGAGCGCAAGGGCGGCGATGTAGGTGTACATGGTGGGATTACGGTGATCGTAAGGTGAACAATAGAGTCGCGAGGTGCCAGAGTATTATACAGAGTCCGTCGAGTGTCAGGTCGGGTTCGCGATGCAGCAGAAGAAGAGTCAAGGTGCGACGCGATGGGGTTGCGGATGAAGTCTATAACATGTCTCTCCCCCACACCTTCCTCGCTCCCTTGCATGCGATCCTCGCGAGCTCCACGCGTTCTGGCCACGCTTGGGTTCACCTTACCGCTTTCGGCGGCTCAGCTAGCCTCGTTCCAGCCGTCTCTGCGCACACGGGACGATCTGGGCGGTCTTGACGCTTCACTGCATCGACTACTACCTTCGTCCTCTAGAGTACAGACGATAATTTTCATCGATGACACCAACATTCTGCTGAGATGATACCTCTCTAGAGCTTTATCTTCCCCTCCTTCAATTGAGCCCACTCCTCCCGCCCAAAAGGAACATACGCCGACCCCCCAGGAGGCAGCCAGTAAACCCGGTCTTTACTCCCAGTCTGCTCAATCAGATCTGGATCGACGCCTTCCCTCTTCGCCTGTCCCTTCTGGATCTTGAACGTCCCGGTGTACGACAGTTGAGGCGCGATCCGGATGAAGATGGGAACGGCGTATCTGGGCAGCTTCGTCGTTACATGTTGAGCCAGTGCTGCGAAGTCAAGGGTCTCGGGTGTGGTTGGAGGTTGAGGGACGATCATCGCGCAGCCACAGCGGCCGTCTGCGTGTGGTATCTGGACGCCATAGACGTTGCACTCTGCTATCTGGGCGAAGCCTCCCATAACGTCCGAGACTTCGTTGGTTGACACGTTTTCGGATTTCCTGTGCATCGGGCATTAGCACAAATGCAGGCCAGAGGAGTGATCGATGAACCCACCATCTGAACGTATCTCCCAGCCGGTCAACGAAGAAAACCCTGCCATCCGCGTCTTCTCGCATCACATCGCCGCTGCGAAACCAGAGATCGTTGGGTTCGAAAGCACCACGCATCCAGCGCTTCTCTGAAGCCTGTTCGTTGTCGAAGTAGCCTCGGAAGGCTGAACTCTTCATCTCCTCTGGAATCCTATGCAGAACCTCCCCAGGCTCATCCACCCCAGCTCTTACCACCCATCCGTCCGCTCCTCTCACAATGTCCTCCGTGTCAGGATCTATTTTACCTCTGACCTCGACCTTCCCGTTCTGCAAATGCCAAAGCAGTCCACGTACACCGATGGTATTCCTCGAGAACTCTCCCCGGTTCCAAGTAAAGGTGGAGCCCATACCATCAGTCGCGGCGTACAGCTCGTGGATGACCGGGATGTTGAAACGCTGGCGGAAGACCTCCCACACGTCAGGCCTCATACCATTCCCCCACGCCTCCTCCAGTCGATGGCTCCGTTCCAGCGGATGTACCGGGGCGTTGACAAGGTATCGACACAGCTCGCCAACGTACTGTAAGCGGTTCGCACCGCTTTTGTGAACTTCAGGCCAGAATGTCTTGTGGGAGAACTTTCGACCAAGAGTCATTGATGCGCCGGCGTATATGACAGGTAGCGTGCATAAGCCTTGAGCGGCGCCATGGTAGAGCGGGAGGCATGTGTAGAATTTGTCTTTGGGGGACAGTCTGAGGTATTCGCCCATACCTCTAGCCGTGTTGATCCAGCGGCCCGTCATAACCATGACGCCTTTGGGGAGACCGGTTGTGCCTACGGCCCGTTAGCTGTGGATGGCAGGGCCATTGATGGGAACATACCAGAAGTATAGATCAACGTCCGCACATCCTGTGGTGTCACACCGGCCCTTCGTGAGTTGGGTATTGGCGTGGTGTCATGAAGCGACTCCAATAGCGCTTGGTCGTAGTAGACTGTCTTGATTCCATCTTGTTCCAACTCCGCCACATGCGGCCCTACCAAGTTCTCGATTCCTCGCTCGGCGAGCAGGATGCGAGTACCGCAGAGCTGCCCCAGTCAGGAATGAGACGTGGAAGAGTAGTTTAGGCAAACCCACCTTCGCAGAATGAATCAAAGGCTGCCCCGTCAGATTCGAATTCACATACGACACCCCAGCGCCAATCCCTTCCAGCGCAAACCACAGCAGAAGGTACTCAGCGCTATTCGGCCCGTCCAAAGCAATCATCTCGCCCGGTTGGATTTCGAGCTCGTCCATCAACCAGTTTCCAACCTTCTGCAGGTCCTGGAAGAACTGTCCATACGTCCATGATCGACCTTCGTACTCCAGGAATAGATGGTTGGGTTGGTTTCTGGCGTGGTCTTCCAGGAAGTAGTAGAGTAGCAGTTTACCCTGCTTCTCCTTGTCGATAACGTATTGCTGGGCGATGACTGTGCTGTTTGAGAGGGCTCCCATGGATACATCGTGGCAGAGGTGGAATTTGGCATCGAGGTATGCTGCTGCTGCCGCGGTGCCAGCTATTGCTGCTGTGGCCACTGTGATTGTGGTTAGTAGGGACTGTGCTCTGTGTCGGGTAGGGGACTTACGAGCCATGGCTTCGTGTGGAGTGTCTAGCCAAGTATAACGATAGATGCTCCTATAAGACTGCTCTGAGCGGTACAACGAATGACCATCCTTTGGCTTGGTAGGTATATAGCTCGGCCGTCAGCCCAATGTTCTAGATGTTTTGCCTCGGCTGAGATGCGAGTGGGCCCGTGGGGAGAACGAGAACGATCGCGGAGGTGAAAACGCGGAGTGCGTTTCTCCTCGCCACAAGGGGGTGACCCTCTGAAGAAGCGGACGAGAGTTGGAAAAAGTAGTGCTAGCAGATGACGGCTCATAAAGCCTCACGACATTGTTGGATTGACAAGAACAATCCTCTCAGAGGAGTGCTCCGAAAACGATGAGAAAAAGCCCATGATACAACCTATTCGCCTGAAAGCCTTCTGGAATGGATACTCACCACTCCATCATACGCCGCCAAAGAAGGCCTGGCCCAGCCATCTCATGCCATATCCGACGGCACCACTCTCCTGCTGCAACGCCTCCTGCTGGTCCTGCGCAAGGTCCTCCCATTGCTGCCGACGGTCCTGGAAGTCGTTAGCACACCGCGCCACGACATACTCCAGCAGGACATCCAAGTCACCACACGGCGAGTCCATTCGGGCATTGGCCTCGAAGAATCTACCAGAGTGAATGTCGATTAGATCCTGGGACAGGCTCTCCCGGATACGGCCCCTGTACTCCCTTGCCATGCGTACAACATCCTCTCCGCTTCTGGTCTGGCCATCCGCGTGGAAGAGCAGTTCGATGAGGCGTTGAACGATGAGCTTCCAGTCCCGGTTCTGGAACCCGCTATACGGCCATCCGGCGGCTCGAGCGTATCCCTTCAACAGGTTAGCCATCGCAATGATGTGCGGTCCCAGGAGACCCATATGAATCAGCACGTCTCTAGTCGGAGGTGGATGAGCATCTGCTGCGAGATAGGTGTAAGCAACCCCTGCCGCTCTCTGGATAGTGGTGACCTCGAACGCAAGATCATCGCTATACTCATCGTACTGGTCACCACTCAGGCCCGAATGCTGGAACGCCCGCGCCACCAGCTGAATCCGCTCGTCTCCTGTCGGCCCTCGATCGTCGTCGTTGGCTGTGAATAATGTCTCACGACATGAAGGGCAGGTATTTCTGCCACGCATACTCAGCCAATGGCAAATACATTTTCGGCAGAAGCAGTGCTTACATGGTAATTGGACTGCATCTTCGTACTCTTCTGCACAGATTGGACAGTCTTCATCCGCATTCTCTGGCAGCTGCGTGATCGCGCTCAACGCGATGATTGCCTGGATTCGACTCGGCATCTTCTCGAGTCGCAAGGGTCTAAGGTATTGTGGGCTGCTTCTTACCGTCAGTCTCGTATGTCGCGACAAGAATTGTGGACTCAATGAGAATAATCACAGGGGAAAAGGCGAAGACGGAAATAATGGCATAATGGAAGGAAGGAAGAAGAACAAAGGACTTGGTGCTAAACATGGCTACAGTTCCTTTAATCTCCTGTACATTGTTCGTCGAGCCAGCGACAACGATACTCACAACAATTTCATCATGGACGGCCAACAACGGCGGTACCGGCGTCTTCAATACCGCTACAACACATCACACCAACTGCTCATCTTCTGCTCAACGTTCGCCAAACGCTTCTTAACCCTTTCACCATCCCCGGCCTCGCCGCGTGACGTGCTGCAGCTTCCTGTTCTTCCATCAAGTGTTTACAATAGCAATGGTAAGCCATCCAGTCCAAAACACTCTGGAGATCTTCAAAGCAGCGGTTGCGCACTGAGGGGTCAGCGCTCCGGAACAGAAAAGAAATGCAGTCGGCATCGCTATAGCAGCCCCCTAATCGCTTCTCGACCTCCTTCCTCAGCTTGGCGGCGAACCCAGAAGCGTTGACTTTCTTTCCGTCCAGTGATTGCAGAGTCTTCCCAAGATACACCATGACAAGGCCCCAATCGAGAGTATCTTGCTGATCGTACTGCCTCTCCTGGACCGCCGCGAGGGCCGGGATCAAGTTTCCGACGGCCATCATTCTAGGGAGGAGCACTTCTGCCCGAACGATCCCGAGGCTTGAGGGAGGCACACCGTGTTCAGCCGTGTCTCCAGACAGAAAGTTGCTCGCCGCCGCCACGGCACGCTGCGGTGAAGGAATCGACGGCGGAGGGCAGCCGAACTTGTCGATGGTGCTCAACACATCACGCTGAGATAGCCCAGAGTTGTGGAGGGCCTCGCTGACTTGCTGGCGACGCTCGCGGCCGAACGTCAGGTCTTCGTTGGCTGGTAGGGTGAAGAGGATGCATTTGCACATGGGGCAGATGTTACGCCCATGGGTTGTGAGCCAATGTTCTACGCAGGGTCGGTCGAAGATGTGTTTGCAGGGAAGCATGACGGGCTCGGTGTATGGCGAGGCGCAGATAGGGCAGTCGGATACGTCTTCTGGCAATGGAGTCTTTGTTGGGGTCAGGCCGGTGGCGAGGAAGGTGGTACGTGTTGACATCGCGGTGGTTGAGATCGCTTTGGTTTGATCGAGGTGTGTTGACGAGAAGAAATTCCGATATTCATCATGCTTATATTCATACAGTATTCACCATGGACAGTGATGAGAGAGGTCAGGTGAGAGGGTTTCAGGGACAATTGAGTGCTCATTGTTTACAGCCGAGACAAAGGATCTGTGTCACAGAACAGTCTTACCAGATTCTGTTGATATATTTGAGACTAAGACAATGAAGACATCTTGAAATGTCTCTGTCAAACTGAGTCTTCGACCCGATCAACTCCAAGCGGGTCGCAGTCATTGAAATCATGATTTCCGTTGAACGACAAGTCTTACCTTACACTGCCAGACGAATTGGGATATGGATGTCTTCCACTACCAACGTGAAGATCAAGTTCGCACTGTACGCTTCTCAGAACAAGCACATGTAGATTTCAAGGGCAAGTCTCGATATACGGCTCGTCGGCAACCAAGCAGCTTGAACAATTGCGTGCTGTGGTACGTACCTAACGACATTGCTACCACCCAACTCGAGATGGCCGAGGTCGCATTGAGGAGTAGTTGTCACCAGACAGCATTTCTAAACCAACGTCAGTCCAACTGGCTTCTGCGGTCAAACATACTCAAGCTACATACAACTCAAAAGTCAACTGAACTTCCACAATGGCTGCCGTTCAATCCATGCCCGGCTTGCCATCCAAGCCACTTCCCAAGTACGAGCAGGTGGCGGAGACATCAGCAAGCCGTACGGCATGTCCCTCAACCAAATCACAAGATGGCTAACTGTCTTCAGTCGACTGGGCCGACCTCGTCACCCTCGACCTCTCCAACTTCGAAGCTCCAGGAGAGAGAGAGCGTCTAGCCGCGCAGCTCAAAGATGCCGTCCACAACGTCGGCTTCTTCTACATCACCGGCTTTGGACTCTCGCAAGAGGAAGTCGACAACCAGTTTGCTATCGGCAAGGAGTTCTTTGCCCTCCCCACAGAGGAGAAGGTCAAGTATCGCGCGGATCTGGAGCATGGCAACTACAACGGCTATCGACCGAAGGGAAGTAGTGAAGTCCTGCCTGGGAAGAGGGATAATGTTGAGATGTTCAATGTGTTCAAATTTGTGAGTCTGGTCTCCAACTCTTCTCCTGGTGCCACTCGCTGATAGCTGCTCAGATCCCAGAACTTGAGCGCGGCCAGCCAGACGTCATCAACGACAACCGTGCCGAGATCGAGCGTTTCCAACGGCATATTGCTGAAGACACCGTCCAGAAGCTGCTCATACTGATCGCCATCATTTTGGAGCTTCCCGAGGACCACCTGACGAAGGGACATCAATATGATGACGTCTCTGACTGCCATCTCCGATACATGATCTACCGCCATCGCTCGGCACAAGAGAATGCTGAGTACCAGAATTTGTATTCGAAAGGGCATACGGACTTCGGATCGTTGACGTTGTTGTTCCGACAGCCTGTCGCGGCGTTGCAGATTCGGATGCCGTGAGTTGACGAACAAGTATGATTGTACTGTTATGCTGATGCGATAGCAGTGACGGTTCGTGGAAGTGGGTGAAGCCGTACCCTGGGTCGATCGTAAGCATGCCATGAATAGAGAGTGTTTTCACGGGCTGATCGTGTTACAGACCGTCAATATTGCAGATGTCCTCCAGTAAGTAGATGCCGATATCTGCGCCTCGTAGACGGAGTGTCTAATCTTTCGACTGCAGATTCTGGACAGCTGGCTACCTCAAGAGCAGTATCCACCGTGTTGTTGCACCACCCCCGGACCAAGCCCACATCGACCGCCTCGGCCTGCTGTACTTCCTCCGCCCAGCCCACGACCTGAAGTTGAAAGCACTCGACAGCCCGTTACTTCAAAGGCTGGGCCTCACCTCAGAGAACGATGCTGCCAACGAGATCAAAGCCGGCGACTGGGTTCGTGCTCGAGTGAAAGGAAACCAAGACAAAGTCTCAGAGGGTGGTAACAAGAACAAGCCAGTGCTCGGTGGCATCGAGGCGAAGTACTATGATTAGGCACCCTCTATATGCCACCCGGCCATGAGAAACGAATCGTGTCCTCCTTGATCCCCTTTTCCACAACTTCCAATCCACCACTCTTGATCATCCACTCCAGCCGATGGTCCCTATACTCCCTCCTACGCCCACTGCCAGCCTTGAAAACATCCTTCAAGGTGCCCTTCATCTTCTCCGTAGACGCCAGCATCTCCTCAGTGGTCTGCTTAACACTCGGCACCTGCATCACCCGTTCCCGCCACTCCCTCAGCGCCGTCCCTTCAGCAGGCCCATTGCCGTAGATGCAGCTGCGGTTGACATATGGAGCGACGCAGATGTCAGCGTAGCCAAACTTCTCCCCGTTGAACCATTGCTTCGAGCCGAGACGCTCGGTGAGCCATTCGCAGATAACTTTCGTCTGGGCGGTTGCTTCTCGGTTCAGTTTGTCGGCCAAGTCGCCGGTGGCGCGCTCGCACCAGGCAATTTCACCCTGGCCCCAGTTGATTGCTTCGAAGGCGGTATCGCAGACCTCTTCGATCATGCGGGTTTCTGCTCGAGATCGCGGGTCTTTGGGGAAGAGAGGGTGCTCTGGGTATTTGTCTTCGAGGTATTGGAGGATGATGCGTGCATCGAAGATCTTGAAGTCGCCGTCTTCGAGCGCCGGGACTTCCATGCGTGGGTTTGCTTCGCCGAGACCTCGTATCTGCTGACCTGATCCAACGCCATCGGGAGTAGCCATGTCGAAGGGTATACCTTTCTCACGTAGAGCCATCCGGACTTTTTGGGCATATGACGATGCCGGATGATCGTGGAGGAAGAGCTTGGGCTGAGACATTGTTGATATTTTGCACTTGCTACGGGTTGCAAATTGCGTTGTTCTTTTCTGGCGCACGAGCAAATGAAGTACTTGTAGTCCATACCAAGGTACCTGATCTGTTTTACATACCGTCGGCTCGGTATCTTTTGCCCCACTTGCGGCAAAGCAGTCTAGAGTCCGAGCTGTATTGCCGGCTCAAATTCTGACAGCTTGCTGTAAAGTCCTGAGGTCCTGACACAGAAACCCAGTTGTTTGTTTGGGACCAGCAAACGACGTTGTCCGCGTGCAAGACATGTGACGATGCGGAAGCCTCAGTCCAGTCCCTCAAACTCGGCGTCTTCATGGGATTCCTCCAGTGATCCCACGCCAGTCAGTTCTTCATCTGTCTCGGCGGCCAGAGTTTTCCGATGCACTTGGAACACCACCACGCAGTTCTTCCCATCCTCATAATTCTTCCATCCGCCCAAACGATGCTCCTTCCCCACAGCTGCCGCAATCAGTAACGACTCCTTGCCTCTGTCGCCCGTTTCGACAACTGCTAGATCGTTGACGATGCCATTGATGCGCTTCTCGTCGCTTACGCCTTTGTGCATAGCATCGAGCGCGTCCTTGCTGATGGAGTCCGAGCTGAGACCTTCGCGCTTCAAAAGAGTATCAACGGCTTCCGCAACTCCTATCGCGCCTAGTGGCACGATCCGTCGTTTGTCCTGGCTGATCTTCCACGCCCTGACGTATCCATCCCAGCTGCCGCTGATCACGACATCGCTGAAAGGTACCACCGCAAGCGCAGTGACCCAGCGAGGCTGCTTACCTCCTCTGCCTTTCTCATCTAGCGTCTCGTCAGGTTCCTGCTCCGCACTGGCTTGATTGAGCGCGACTGGCGGATCCAGACCATGCGCGAGCGGCAAGGTGTACACAGCTTTCTTCTTGTTGATGTTCCAGAGTGACATTGCGCCGTTGTCGGATGCCGTAATGAAAGTGTCGTCGTCGACCATGGCCACTCGGTCGATTGACCCTTCATGATAGGCTTCGTCGTCTTGTATCTCAATACCTGAATCTTCCTCATATGCTTTTCGTAATGACTGAAGTGCTTTGTGCGTGCCCGGCGCGCCACCACCGCGGAAGACAAGCTGCGACTCTTCCACAACCTTCCACAATCTCGCCGTCCGGTCTCTCGCCCCAGCAGTGACACACTTCTCTTGGGACAGTGCACTCACAGAGACCACCTCGTCTTGATGCCCGAAAAGCGTCTCCACGTAGGCAAGCTCGTCGAGTGACCATATCTTTACAGTCCGATCTTTGCTGGCAGAGAATAGCTGATTGGACCCTTTTCGAAATGCCAACTCTGTGACCGCATCACGATGCTGATTGAAGACCTTGAGCGGCTTCAGCGATGTGGCGTCCCAGATAATCAGCTTCCTGTCGGCGCCGCCTGTAGCCAGGAATTTCCCGTCTTCAGAAGCAGCCACACATAGTATATCGCTGTGGTGGTGTTGAGTTTGTTTTCCTTTACGGGCCCCATGAGTCCGTCGCATCACTTTCCATGTCTTCCTCGGACGTCGATTCTTCACGCCTTCTGCCGCTTCTGGTGGATCCCACTTCACGATATGCATGTCCTTGCTCACACCGAAGATGTTCTGGCCGTGGATCGCAACACCATTCAGGCTTTTGCCCACGTCCTTCGACCGAAGCACTCTCGTTGTTGCTCCTCGCCAGTCCAAGCCCTCTGCCACCCACTTGTATAGCTTGCCTTTGCTCTCAGCGGTGTCCTGCTTCAGCCTCTCGCCCATGCGCCGTCGGAGATTCTCTTGATCGACCTCCGCTGCATCGAAGCCGCCATCTTCGAGCACTTCCTGCTGTGTGTTGGCCAGATACTGTTCTGCAAGGCGGATGCGTTTTGCCGCTGGATCTTCGTCTCCAAACTCTTCCTCCTCATCCTCAGACTCCTCAGCGCCGACCTCTCGAGCCGGCGCATCTTCATCCGACACATCTGAGCCGGATATTGATTCTTCGTCGGTCTTCGTCGTCCGCCTGCCTGGACCTGAAGGCTTTGATGAAGGCGCCTCCGTTCGCTTTCGCTTTCTCTGCGATGCCGGCAGAGTGAAGAAAGACGACATGCTCAGCTAAGGACGTTGTCGAAATTCATGTTGCTGCTCTCAAACAAAATTTAAGCGGAGCAGAAACTAGAGTTCGACCGACGCCACAGATGTGGCACTCCCGCCGGCGAGAAAAGCTTATGTTCATCTCGCTTCCACGCCTCATTATGGAGCTTCGTTCCTCTCTTCAAATCTCCATCGACACCTTCGACATCCCATTCAAAGCCACGAACAGAAAACACGTGCGCCAGTGTGATAGGGCCTCACCGTCTCATACCATCCGATAGCACAGGGAGTGTCTACCCTCCAGAGCCATTACCAAGAGGCTCGTCTACCAACGGTCGGGCTGCCGCTCTCCCACAACTCATGGTACAGATCCAATGGTCGTCCATGGAGTAGGCGTACTTGCAAAGCTAAGTCTGTCTCCTCTTCCGCACAGTTCCGTCGTATATCCTCCTCTTCCATGGACAATGTCTCGTGCCGTGTGTTGCCCTCTCCGAAAAACAGTCCAATTGTGTCACTGCTTCAAGCATGGGCGTCCCCTCGTCCAAAGGAGATTCCTCCATACAGGATAGATAGCTTTCAAGTCTTGGCTCTTTTGATGAGGCCGGAGATGCCAGCGCTGCGCTCGAGCGAGCCTACCGCAAGGTCGACCGCCGCTTGCTCGCTTGGTATCTCGTCGTCTTGAGCATTGTAAGGCTCGAGGCCCACAACATCGTTAATGCGGTATGAACATTCGTGGAAGTCATTCTTGTGCTACTGCTTACATATCTAGGCTATCATGAACATTGAGGCTGGCATCGACATCAAGCACCAGCTCGGCGATCTCACAGATGTGCAGTGTGCGGCAGTCCTGAGCGCCTTCCATTACCCCTTTATCGTTTGCGAACCTCTATCCACGCTGCTGCTGAAGCAATTCACTCCTCGCCTCTGGATGGGCAGGATCATGATATCTTGGGGTATCATCGCCACTTGCACGGGCGCAGTACAGAACTTCGGGGGCCTCTTCGCGTGTCGGTTTCTGCTCGGTCTAGCTGAGGCTGGCTTCCTACCAGGAATCGTGTTTCACCTCTCATTCCACTACCCGACGGATCGCCTGCCTCTTAGAGTCGCTATACTCGTTGCGCTCATCACCTTCGCAAGTGCGCTGAGTGGCATTCTCTCGTACGCCATTTCATTCATGAACGGCATTTGCGGGCTTGCCGGCTGGCGTTGGCTGTTTCTGATCGAAGGTGGGCCAGCTGTGCTTTGCGGTATCAGCACTTTGGTCTGGCTCCCGAACTATCCAGAGGACGCCAGCATGTTCACCGAAGCGGAAAGAGCAGCAATCCTGGCTAATCGTCAGAAGTCGCAGCCCTCTTCAAAAGAACAAACCTGGAACTGGGCACGAGTCAAAGCTTTGTTGAAAGACTGGACGCTGTATACATTCTCCGTCCTTTGGATCTGTCAAGTCATCGGCGCCTATGGAGTTGCTATGGCTCTTCCCACCGTCATTCACGACCTAGGCTTGACAAGCTCCGCATCCTCACAGCTATTAACGATCCCCCCTTCTATCATCGGGGGCTGTTTACTGCTCGCCATTGCCGGAGCGATACAAAAGAAGAAGCTGAAGCCGTGGCTAGCTGCTGGAGCCCTAGACGCATGCGTCCTTGTCTGCTACATCGCTCTGGTCTTTGTCAAAGGTCCCATCACCCGCTACGTCCTCATACTCCTGGCTCTAGTATTCGCTATGGGCGTGCTACCCATACTGTGGCCGGAGCGAATGAGGGCAACGGATGGTACAACAAATGCTGGTCTGGCCATTGGCATCACATTCGCGGTTTCTTCCCTGCATGGCATTCTTGCGCCGCATGTCTATCTTACTCGGTTCGCGCCAACTTACAGGACCAGCTTCATTATATCTGCCGCCTTGGTTGCTGGCGCGATCGTGGCGATAGCGGTCACGAAAGTCCTGGTGGAGCGGAAGTATAGGAGGCGGGCGGAGGTCGAGTCTGAGAAAGACTGAGCTCCAGGCGTGCCGCCCGATGCGACCAGGCCCATGCGGTGATCTAGCAGAAGCCAAGAAGAGTAGGGTGTGACAGCGCAGGGCCATTGAAAAGACGACCCGAAGCCCCGAGTGGTCGAATTACCAGCACAACCAGCTCCTGTTGCAGATGCGGTGGCAACAGCTCACTGTACAACGACCACAGATCAATGCAGGTTGCTGTCGCCTCCAACCGCACTGACCACAGCGGTAACACAGCTAGCCCACGCCGCATAAGCTGTGAAACCTACAGCTTACCAGCATACTTCGTGGAATCCGCACTCCCGACCAGATCGATATCCAACGTGACAGAATTCAAACCACTTGGCTAACCCTCAAATGCCGCCGTATCGAAGGGCTGGACCACAATTTAACGCTGCTAACACCTGCTGCATGGGCAGCACCACGAAGAACCACATTCCAATGCTCCCTCATGCTGTTCCGAATCGCAGCACGTGCCGTGTGCACGCATGTTGCTTCCGCTATTGGAGCAGCAAGTTTTCTGGCTAGCGCATGCTGCATACGCAGTGCAGCACGAGCACCGAGCAGACTGCTTGTGCCAGTCGAGCAGACTGTGATCACTAGAGGTCCGGCCATCAACGATCATTGGATGCTGCAAACATGCAGCTAGCTCATGCTGCAGATGGGTCATGCACGAGCGACATTGTGTTAGGCTGCGCGAGCCTCCCTCGAATCGACACCTGGGATAAGAGCAAAGCAGGGTCATCGGAATCACTGGACAGACGACATCCGGACTAGCCCATGTTGCATGCGAAAGCACATTCCTGTACCCGCAGCCAGCCTCTCCTTCTATACGGTCCTGGGGAGCACACGTCCACATCCATTGGACAGGACGTTGCGAGGCTAGCTCCTGTTGCATATGACCATGCATATGACACTGCAGCTCTGATTGTGGAGCGCTTAATTGGGAGAGCAAGTGCATGGGCTAGACGATGTTGCATGTGACTGTGCATTAGAGCCGGATTTGGACTGTGCCCATCAATCACGCCCGGGAGAAAGAATGAGCAGGTTGGACAGGGTAGTCTATGTTGCAGATGGACTATGATGTGACGGTGCAAGCACGGACGAGCAGATCATGTGGCGAGTTCATGCCGCCCAGGACCATAGCAGAGACGATGCTGAATGCGAGTATCAGTTGTTGGAAAATATCGACAATACATTCGTTCGTGGTATCCTATTCTCTACACTATTTCCAAGCTCCAGCGTGCTATCGCGATAGGAAATAATCATCATTTCCAGATTTTCATCATTCCTATGTATCCCACACCATCGTGCTCGGGTCCCTTCACTGCCTTCCCCCAACCCTCCTCCCCCAATCCTCTCCCACCCTAGCAGCGTCCACAACCTCCACATCCTTTCCCAACCCCACAAAACTAGCATCTTCCCACCACCGCTCCTTTCCTCCCTTCCTCCGTCTTCCCTCCTCATCTGTATCAGTGTCCGTGTCCACCAAACCACCAAACCCCTCGTCGCCAGCCACCAGGACTGTATGCCCGACCCATCCCTTTAATTGCGCCACGGCGTCGCCTTCCTCTCCGGCAAGCGCATCGCTCACGTAGACCAGCTGCGGGGCGAGGTGCCGGAGAATGTGAACGAAGCCATCTGGAGTCGTGAAAGGTAGGATCTGCGTGGGCGAGGAGACGAGGGCGAGAGACTGGCTGTAGAGTGCATTGAACTGCGAAGAGGGGCCGTCGGCAGCAGCAGGGCGGGGAGACATCGATTGGAGCTCGGAGCCTGGGGTGACGGCGGGGGTGGAGATTTGGGAATAGGAGGATCCCATTGTGGATTGTGGACCTGGGCGGTAAGAGAGGGGTGGGAGGGTTGTCAGGCCGGGTGAGTAGATGAGGACGAAGAGGTCGGTCGTGGAAGGGTCGTGAGTGGAGGGGAGGTGGGAGAGGATCGACTGGAGAGTGTTAGCAAGGCCTGGTTTGATACGTCAGAGATGCTATGGCTTACGGCATGTTCGGTCGTAAACTCGGCGCTCGAGTCGTTATTGTAGCCGATGTCTGCGTTCGTATCGGCGCTCACAACGATAGCGACGGTCTTCTTCGCACTCCGCTTGCCCTTCTCGTCTCTCAGGCTTCGCGCAGTATCGGCTCTTCGTTCGCTCTCAGCCTCGACAGCGCTGGACGATACGCGCTGGCGCTCATCAGCCTCCTCGCTCCAGCGCTCATGGTCGCTGAAGCCTTCATCCGTCCGCTTGTCGCGTCTGCTGCTTCGGCTTCGCCGTCTATTGCCTCGCTCGTCGAACTCTTCATCGCTGCCTTCCATGATACTGCCCAGCGCCGCTCCTGCTGCCGCCATTCCTGCTGCAACCTGCTTCGAAGTCGAGTCGAAGAACTGCTGCGGCGAAGGTGTACGCTTCATTGCGCCTGCCACTCGTCCGTACCAACCGGCGTCTTGCTGGACATTGACGTCCCGGCTCTCGCTTGTGGTGGTCGTCGTCTGGTTGTAGTAACTCGAAGCTTCTCCCCCTGGCGGCGGTGGAGGCGCTGGTCCCGCTGCATACCCGCCTTGTTGTCCTGGTGGTGGAGGCCCAGGGTACGGTTGCGAGCCTTGTGTTGGATACGACGCACCCACCCCGGTCTGTGGTCGCGGAGGCTTCTCGTGCGGGTAGTCGTCGTCCTCACTGTCCGACCGTTCGCTCCAGATCCATGCTGCCAGCCCTCCAATCGCGATCGTCCCTGTCACAACCAAGGGCACCCAGTACCCGAACACCGAATGTCCGCTCGCATTGCCGCGACTTGATGGGGGAGGGGGGAGGTAGCCTCGTCGTCCGGGTCGGTTGCCGGAGTTTGTCGAGCGTGTAGTAGTTCTCCGGTAGTCATAGGACATTGTTTGCGACTACATGCTATTGCAGCGCATTGGAATGGAAGTGGGAGTGCTTGAGCGCATGTTTGGCGGGCTGTTGATCCAGATGGCTGGTGTAACAAGTGGCTGGCAACGCATGTGATTGGCCCGAGCCGAACAGCTTCCTCCCTCGAGTCATTCACGTGAAAATACATGCAACAACCCAACGAACCTTGACTATCGACTGACTAAAATCATCGAACAACCGACCTGACCGAATGCTCCAGAGTGTCACTGGCCAATACACATGCCGATCACCTGCCGCCAAAAAGCACTTGAAGCGCGCCAGCATCACCAGAATTTGGTTTGGACTTTCGACACATTTCAGAAAGAATATATCTTCAATCTTTTAAGAGACAACACCTGGACTTGAACTTAACATGCCTCACGCAACCCTCCCCACCCCCGGCCTTCAAGCCTTCATCCTCTGCGGCCCCGGCGTCTCGCTCAACACCTTCACCAGCACGCCGAAAGACCTGCCCAAAGCCCTCATCCCTATCGCCAACCGGCCTATGGTATGGTACCCCTTGGACTGGTGTTACCGCATGGGCGTGACAGACATCACCCTCATCACGCCACCGGAGTCAGCACAGCCATTGGAAGCCGCACTCGCCACCAACCCAGCACTCACGAGCCTTCCTAACCCGAAGCCTGAGATCTTGGCGCCGGCGGAGCTGTCGCAGACGTCGGGCACAGGGGAGCTATTGAGACTGGAGGAGGTGCAGAAGGCGATTGTCGGCGATTTCGTGGTGTTGCCTTGTGATTTCGTCTCGGAGCTGGAGGGGACACGACTGGTGCAGCAATGGATGACGCTGAATCCGCTGGCTGCTGGGTCGAGCAAGTCGAGGAGGAAGGCCGGAGGCATGGTGATGTTATATCCTACGCATGGGCTGGAGGGTGTGAGCACGAAGAAAGATGAGACGGATTTTCTGGCTACGGTGCAGATTGCTAAGCCAAGTGTGCCGCCGCCGCAGGGGTCGCTGAGGGAGGGAGTTGAGGAGGTGGTCTTCAATATGCCGACCGACACTCTAAACGACAAGTTGGAGGGCGACAAGGGGTACTTGAGGCTAAGGCAGAGTCTTATGGACAGACGTGGCAGGGTGAAGATGAGGATGAAGTGGCGAGACTCTGGCGTTTACATCTTTCCAAAATGGGTGAAAGACTTCGCACGGGTCAACGACCGCTTCGACTCGATTTCTGAGGATGTACTGGGCTGGTGGGCAAAAGCGGGCTGGCAGGACGGCCTGGCGGACAAAGTAGGGCTACGTGAAGTCCTTGAACCACCACCAACCAGCACTTCCACGGATAACGGCGCCGAAGACCCCGACGACCATATTTCCGCGTCCGACCTCTCCTCCACCAAATCCTCCCGCCCTGCTCCTGTTCAACCAACACCTCAATTCGCCTCTCGCGTTCACGTCAACGCGGCTCCTGCCAAAACCCCTCTCACCATCCCGCCTTTGCTAGCCTATGTTCAGCCCTCTCCGGCCCCCAGCTTGATCCGCCGCTGCGACACAACCCCCCAACTCCTCTCCCTCTCCCTACACCTCGCCAGACAACCCCTCACGCACCCCCTCTCACCTGAACACAAAGTCCATCCCTCCGCGCAGCTGGAGCAACAAACCCGCGTCTCCGCCGAAGACTGCCTAGTCGGCGAGAACGTCAAGCTAGGCTTCCGCAGTAACGTCAAAGAAAGCGTCATCGGCGCTGGCTGCGAGATCGGCAAGAACGTGCGGATCACGAAGAGCTTATTAATGGAAGGCGTTGTGGTCGGCGACGGGGTTGTGCTGCATGGGTGTGTAATCGGGAGGCGAGCGAGGATAGAAGGGGTGAAGGCTGTGCCGCCGGCGGAAGGCCAGGAAAGTGGGGAGAAGGCGGAGAAGGGCAAGAAGAAGAAAGGTGCTGCGGATGAGGAGGAGGAGAGGACGCGGCTGACGGAGTGCGAGGTGGCGCCGAACTATGTCGTCGAGGCGGGTACGGAGGCCAAAGGGGAGAAGATGATGGGGTTCGATACTGAGGGGGATGAGGAGGGTGGGTTTGGTGGGGAGGATGAGGAGATGGAGGAGGAAGAGTAATGCTCACGGTTTATATGAAGCATGGAAGAAGTTCTTGCTACACATCAGCTTCACGCTCCTTCGCCGAGAAACCCATCCGCCACGATCGAAGCCTCTGCCTGCAGTGCAACAAACGATAACGCCCTGCCATGCAACCTCCACTAGCCGTACGCTTCCGCCGAGCAATGATTTCACCACGCGTCCGCCAAAATGACATAATACATGGTGACTATCACGACCTGCAACAAAACCTAGCGGTGTCACGTTACAATCCAATCAAATCAGCCAGAAGCACAATGACCACGACACCTGTTTCCGGTCAAACTGCCGTGTGCTGCGCCAAATGCAGCATCAGCTAGTCGTGCTACAATGACGAGCAATGCCATCCACTGGCCGTGGCTAGCTGTTGCCGGTGTGTTGCGCGTCCGTACGCCGTGATACGCGGCGTGAGCTAGTCGTGTGATGTGAGCATCCTACCAGTGTAGACAAAGGGAAGGGATGGAGGTGTGCTTGGCAGAATCATTGTCTGTACATCATCCATAGAACTAGAAGTGTCTTTGCAAACGCCGTGCCTCGCTAAGCCAAAACCGAAGCCCGCTGGTACGCAGTAGCACAGATCGGCCTCCCGTCATCGCTTCACTACCAATCATCAGATCAAGCCCCCACCCTCCAGGATATCCCTGAGCATCACCGCTCCAGCCCCATCCAATGCCCCCTCAAGCTCCCCCCTCCCCACCACACTAGCAATTCTCCTCTCGTCCCCCGCCCCCACAGAACCAAACCCACCCTTACCCCTCCGGCTAGGCGTCTTGCTCGGCGTCATTGGCAGTGCAAAACTCCCCGCCTTCCCTTCCACCGCTGCCAACAGCCCGAGCGTCTCGAGCCCCGAAACAATGTCGCGGAACTCAGTGTTGGTCAACGCATGGAGCAGGCTCTCGCGGTTGCAAAGGCTGGTGTATGCGTCGAAGAGCTGCTTGATCGAGGGAGCAGTGGTGTTGCGTTTCGATGGCGTAGCGAAGACGGCGCGGTCGAGTTGCTGGGATTGTTTGCGCTTCTCGAGCGCGGAGAGGGAGCAGAGGACAGCTTTCTGCTGGAGGTTGAGGGTTGCGAGGCGTTGGGTCGTGCCGTTGCCGAAGACTTGTGATGTGACTTTTGCGACATGCGCGACGGTGGCTTTTGGTGCGGTGTCGATAGTGTAAGCTGGCCGGGCTTCGTGCTTGGTAGGAGAGCGAGGCGTGGGTGGTGATGAGAGGTTGATGTTCTCCATCAGAGGAGTTTTGGAAGGGCTGTCCTGGAGTGCGAGCTTCACGTCGTTCTCCTTCGTCTCCTGCTCCACGAGATCGATGGCACGTCGGCAGATGTCGAACGCTTTTCGCAGATCTCCAGTCTGGCCTGCCACTTTCTTCGCGCAGAACTGGATGGCAGTCGGATGAAGGAGTGGGGTCTGTACAGCGTCGGACAAAGTCTTCAACTTCAGTGTAAGCACTTCGGCGATCTGCCCAGCAGAGTATGGCATGAACGGGAGTAGTTCTGGTTTCAGACTGCGGCTCTTCAGGCGTGGCAGGAAACGGTCTGTCAGGTCCAGCGCGTTTGCGATCCCGAGAAGTATGAGTCGCGAAGAAGGCATCATCGACCATGCAAACAAGTCGTACAGCAGCTCCAGATCCAGATCCACCAGTGTGTCAACCTCATCCAGGATGACCAGGTACTTCCTGCTGTCCTTTGCTTTTCCTCTGACGAAGCATGATTTTAGGTAGTCGAATCCAGAGTCCTCTTCCAGGCTTAGATCTTCACACAGCTTCCCGCTCAGATCCTTGGTCGTCTTGACGCTCATGCAGTTGATAGTCGAGAAGGTGAGGTTGGGCGTATCGTTGAACTGCTGGAGAACCTCGTCCACAAGCGCGCTCTTCCCGGTGCCTGGAGGCCCAGACACATACAGACATCCTCCAGACTTTGACTCCAGGCTCGTACTAACGAACTGCGAGAGTTGCTGCCTCTCTTCATCTCGTCCGATTAGCTTCCCAGGATTCGATGACCGCGAGAACAGCTGCCGTGCTTGATTGTAGACCGCGCTGGTCGCGTTGGATGGGGTGGTAGGTGTCTTCGGTGTCCTGGGAGTAATCTGGCTGGTGGCAAGAAGAGCACGGTGGTGTGGAGTGATTGGCACCTTCTTCGAGAGCGCGTCGCGATGTCTGGGCGTCGAAGGTGTTGATTTGGGATTGCTCTTCCCATCTTCGTAGACATGTATCGCCGCCTTGCCGACTTTGAAATGCGCGTTGATCTTGGCTGGCGAGACTGCAACACGCTGTTCTGGTGCGCCATGTTTGTGTGGTACAGCTCTTCCTGCAGCTCCACGACGCGTCTTCTTCGCGGGTCTGTCGCCATCTTCTCCAGCTTCGTCCACATCGCCGTTCTCAGACGATTGGAAGGGGTTGCTGTTCTCGTCGTTCGGCTCGTTCAAGACGATGCGCCGCTTCGAGCGCGTCGCGACTCCCTCTGCTGCTGCTATCGAGATATTAGTCCCGCTGCGCTTTCCACCTCGACGGTGGCAGCTGCGATCGTACTCACCAGCGCCTTCTGCGGTTGCTCGAGACCTCTTGCCTAGTACAGTCGACACCATGTTTGCGGTTGCTCTGGTCTTCGTACAACAATGGGCAGTTGCGATGTGTTGCAGAAGAAGCAGAGAAGTCGCGATGCTGAAGATGAAAGGGACGACGCGAAGCAAGCGCCGATGGAGACGCGATGCGCGTGAAGTGGTGGGGCTGGAAGCTCAGACCTCAGGCCTCCCTTCCCAACTTCACGTGCTCAACAGACACCACATGCATTTGTGTTATCAATACATGTACATGACCTAGCAGATGTTATGGTCGTCGGTCCGTAGCGTGGAAACCTGGAACGCTCATGAGGTTGGTCAAATTGGTTGGAAGAGCACACAGGGAGGAGCCGCTGTATCGCCTCTTCGGCATCTTCCGGCGGGATCATCTCATCATCAAGCTCTCCTGCGAGGACATTCCCTTACTGTCCATCCTATCCACCATCACAAGAGAAAAAGGCACAGGTCAAGACGTTTGATCATGTTCATTCATCGTCTCCTATCTCCATAACCTCGTCCCCCTCCCGTCCTCCCTCCCATCCATGACCCGAGAGCTGCACTAGTTCAGGCTCATGGAGCGCATCATCACCGTCAAGCCTTCCCTCCACCCCTCCATCAAGACGTCGTCTCAAACGACCGAAATCGAAATGCCCGCCCTCCAACGAAGGCCGAAGCGTTAGTGGGTATATCGTGAAAAAAGCAGGATGTCTTCCATCCCGTCAAAAACCAGCAGGCTCACTAGCCCGAAAAGAACGCCATCGCTATGCGTCGAAAAGAAGTCGTAAAACACATGGTCCGTTGGGTGGAAATTAGTAGCCCACTATGAGGGAACAAAGAGTGCCAGGCCAGGATGACCAGCAGAAGAAGAAGAAACCCATCAAGGGCACACAAATCCAGGACATCAAGCTCTAAATGAGCAAGAAGTCCCAGTTCTTCTGCTGCATCACGTCCCGCCAGTGGACGCCCTGGCACTCCCCTCGGGCTGAGATGGCGTCGTTCTGCTGCCAGATATCCTTGAGCAATTCGCGGATCCTGCCGAAAGATCCAAAATTCGCCGCGTCCCCGAGGCTGTGACAGCGGGCCTCGAACATGGAGCGGAAAGGTGAGACGGCGGTGGAATTGGCGCCGGCGACCAAGAGGGGCCAGACGAGGGAGCGATCGAAACCTTCTGGGCCCGCCGGGATGAAGTCCATGAGGGTGGAGAATTCGGAGATGAGGTGGCAAGTGCTGGGTTGGCTGAAGTAGTAGCCCGGCACGAGGGAGCAGAGGTGGATGCGTGCGGCGACGCGGAAGATGGCGGTGATGTTCGTGGCGAGCTGTTTGGGCCGGATGGCGCCGGTGCCGGAGAAGCAGGTCGTTACGGTATTGGAAGCCACTTCCAGCTGCCGGATCTCGCGGGCCAGGACCTCGACGTACTTGCAGAGCATGATTTCGTTCAGGCCGTCGTTTTTTTGCACGTCGAGACAGGCGACTTCGGAGATCAGGAACATGACTTTGTCGTCGCAGCCCATCAGCTCGTACAGGCCGGCGCTGCCGTGGCTCATGTTGAGGTCGCGGTACATGTCCGAGAAGGCAGGTGACCGTCCAAGCATTGTGGAGCCCAGGATGTCGATCCAGGAAGTCAACGCCATATTGAACGGAGGCTTCTGAGCGCTGCCAGCAAGACCAAGCACGGTAGTCGGCAGATCGAGCTTCTGCACGAGGTTCGTCACAGCTTGGAAATGCTGGTGCCATGGGATCTCAGGCAGCGCATCGTCCGGTCGCCCGACTGAGCACTCGAAAAAGATCATGCCGAGAGTCGCTTCCAGGATGCCGGCGTGGTTGGTGTCTTGACTCAGCGCTGCGCACAGCTCCGAAATGACAACGTACCGGTGGCGAACGATGTCTTTCTCGAGCTGCTCGCTGTCTAATGACTGCGTCGCCTTCATGTGCGCCGCGGCTATGCTGAGACAGCAGTGCAAGTATGCCGTGTTGGACTCCAGCGCCGGCAGAATCACATCGGCGCGCGCAGAACCATGTTGATTCGCATCCAGTATCGGGAAGATCAGCTTCAGCACCTTGTCGAAGAAGTGGTTCAGCAGATACTGATCGCACTCCTCGACGTTGATGACTGCTTCGTGGTTTGGACTTAACGAGTCATGCGGGAACTCAAAGAAGTTGAAATCCACTGGCTCCTCATTGAAGGTCTCATGGATCGTGTCATGGTACTCCTGCTGCACCCAGCTGTCGGCCGGATACGCGGGCATGCCATCCTGTGCAGGCGGTGGCTGGAAAGTGCTGAAAGTTGATATAGTCGAATCTCTCCGGGTGGGAACGTCGTTGACGAAGATCTGGCGCTCGGTCTTGATGTCAATTTCGTAAGGCGAAAACATCGGATACTGTGGGTGGTGCACCATCGGTTGCGGTGGGGGAGGCATTGAGAAGTAGCCATCGGGCGAAATGTGCGCATAGTCATAACCGCCACCGGAGTAAGGTGAGCCCACAGAAGGCGCGCGCGTTTGCGGTAATGAGTCTGGGTAATAGTCCGCTGACGTTGGAACAGAATGGCACAAGCTCGGCGGAGTCGTCTGGTGCTGGTGCGAAGGTTGCGACGGAGTCTGCGCGCTCTTCTTCGACAGCTGCGTGCGCTTGATGATCTGCTTGATGTGCTCCTTCTGCTGTCGTCGCTGGTCGCCACTGCTCCACCACATGGGTCGCTTGTAGTCGCAAACCAGCCCCAGGTGCCGACACGCTTTGCAAGATGGCCTACCTTCCTCACACTTCTTCCGCCGCAGTCGACATGTAAAGCAACCTGAAACAACGGATTAGCATCGTCATAGCTCAGCGATCATGCACCCCAGAAGGGACGTACCCGACCGCGATCGTCTGTGCATCTTCGCGGCGGCCTTGGATTCTGCTGAGGTCGCATGCTTCGCGGCAGCCATCTTGGAGGGCTGTTTCCCTTGCGCTGCTGAAGACATGAAAGGATATGTACAAAACAAACTGGCAGCGACTCCAGAGGGAAGGTCGGACAATGGCAGGAACGCGAACAAGGGTACGCGGGAAAAACGACGAACGACCGGGTTCCTCGAGATTAACGAATAGCGCACCAGGCCTGACCAGCGGGCGAGGGCAGAGAGGAACACGCACAAGGGAAGGGAAAAAGAGGGCAAATTAGTCGGACAGAGGTTGTGCTGGTCGTCGCAAAGGAGGGCGACTCGGTGGCTGTCAACAGTACCTTATATCCCGCGTTCGGACGATATTGCTCCCAAAAAGACCTCGTTCTATTAATGGCAGGGCAGGCGGAAAAGTGCGTTAAGTGGGGACCTGTCCAGAAAGCGGAATCAATTCTTGCTAAATGTGTTGGTGGGGTGTAGCATGTGACTGTCGCGATTCGTGGAGGCGTAGAGTGGCTGCAGGTCTGTGTCCTTGGATGGACTCGCTAAGGTTGTGGAGGCTGCCTCGAGCCGCCTTCCGACCTCCCGACTGGCCTTGCGGACAGATTGACGAACTGCTCTGGCCAAACCTTGATTCTGCATACCCCACGACATGTGTGTCTGTATGGCACAGCATGGGAAATTGTGGGTAGACTCGTACAATTGTTGAGAATGGCGGTCAACGACCAGCCGTTGCAGCAGCCTGTGAAGCCGGCGACCAGCTGCCTACTCGCTTGTTCTTCGCTCGTCGTCGTCATCAATCGCGGCATTCAGGTCTTCATTAAAAGATCGCCGTCGTTCAGTAAGCTCGCTTGGAGAATGGTGATTAAAGTGGTCTGCGTTAGCCCTCGCTTTGGAGCAACTGCCCGATACGGTTCGCTGCTACGCGGGGATCTGATTGTGCAGCTGCAACCGGTTCTTCGTCTCTGTAGCGTTGCAGATGCGTGCAGCGGCCTGCAGAGTGATAGCATGCCATGGCAGTCGCACAGCATATCTTGAACCTGCGTCGGTTGCGTCTTGGTCACGTTCAGTCACGTTCTTGCTCTACCAAAGTCTTACTTCTCACCAGACACTGCGAGCGGCCTTCGCGGGCTATTGCGCCGACAGGAATGTCGATACTTCGGTGAATGTCCAGATGTGGCCATAATAGTCGCGATTGGGAAGGCGTCGCAGTGGATCAAGGCCGTGACGCTCTGCTGTGAGCGCCTTGGAAGCGCTGAATGGTTGCACTGAGAGAGTGACAAAGTCGAGAAGTTGCTTTAGCGTTGCTTTAGCGGCGTGATGAAAGTCATGAAAGTCGCGACCAGCGTCCAACCAGATCGCTCGTGCCCGTTGAAAGAAGATCCCGAGGCGTGCCGACCCCGCCCGCCATCCCCATCCCACGCACGGCCATTACTCGAACTGCGACGACATCCCACACACCTTTCTCGACGTCGCAAGCTTTCCCATGGCAACATGGAAAGGCTGAAGCCATCACAGCGTTCGGCGAGGTTCTGGATCGAGATGACTCGTGCTCACATACAGCATCACGTCCCCGTGGTGTGCGCCTCACGTCCAGCACCCACAACGCCTTGACTCGACATATGAGACGCTTGCCCAACGGCAACTCACTCTCACCGTTCCCGGTCATCATTGGATACCGAGCATCTGGTCGTTCTCGACCGCCTGCAAGCTCAAGACGCTCTTTCGCCGTGGCACCCGAAGTGGTATCCTTCGATACGACGTGGCTGGGGATCGACTCGGACGCGACTCCACTTCAGACATTGTTGTCCCGGCTGAAGGCTGTCGTCGGCTTGATTAGCTCTATCAAGTTTTCCTGGATCTTGATGATCCATTGGAACCGAGGTGTGCGCGAGTGACCTCCGCAAATGCATGGCCGCATGTCTGTCAACCCGTGATATCGTGCACGAGGTGGCTTTGTGGTACGAGAGGTCCATCTTCTCTCATCACCGTCGTATGGAAACACAGGCCCTTGCTTCATGCAAGCACTTTAACATGCGACCACTCGCACGTGTGTAATAGCGTGGCAGGCTGTGCAACGACGAGCCTGCCATGTTCAAGTGTCTGCATATTCTGTGTTCAAGCGCTTACATTGAGAGCCTGTGAACTGCTCCACCTCTGAGGACGTTGTGAACCCTTGATGATCAGCAGTCGTCTCGACATCCGGAAGTCTTTCTGCTGGCCGTCCGGGACGACGCGAGCCTTGAAGATCGACGAGGCGTTGGAGACCCTGCTCTAGCACGAGCTAGAGATGCTATGGCTAATTTGCTCACATTCCTCCTGCTTTATTAAGTTATTTTGGTCACATATCCACGCCGGAACAGGCAGTGACTCGTTTCAGTATGCATTAGACTTCCGCCCAACAACCAATAGCCTGTAGCCGCTGGGATCTGCTGGACGACGTCGGAGCTCGATCTGTGACAGGGTATGCTGGTGCTCGTCACGAATCCAGGGACGAGGAGGACCCTTCTTCCGAAGATTGGCGGGTCTGGATGGCCTAGCACACAGCCCAAGCATGAGATCGACCCTGTGATTAGCGCCGGCACCGGGGGATGCAGAAGCACAACATCTCGCGGACTCATGCACCGGTATAGAAGCAGACGGTAGCGCCCTCGCCCGCGCAGACCGCCAGGCGACCTTCCGTCTCTCCTACGCCGCACGCTTGCATACATACAGCATGATACACTGACAGCTGTGGTATTGCGATCGTTGGACTGACGACAGGATCAACATTCGCTCAAGAAACGAATTGGACGTCGCCGTGATGCAGGCCGTCACCGCGTCTCCCAGGTCAAGGGAGAGTAGGAAGGCTCGGGAGGTTTATCTACCTTCAAAGACACACTCATTTTTCGAGACACGATCATCAACCGCAAGACCAGTCTCAGAGGCAACAGAGATATTCGACACCGATTTCGAAACGGACAGTGAGTTTGAGGAGGAGGCAAGTCATAAACGCAGCTTCGATTCGGTAGGTGAAGTCATGCACTACCATAGATATCTGCTAATACCACCTCAGGAGGACAGCAGGAGACGAAGTCAGACAACCATATCTTCCTACGATGAAGCGCCAACTCCAAGCTCAGGTCGAAGTCAGAGACAATTTGAGATCCGGTTCAAGCCGGTCGAGGGTCCAAAGGGACCTCACCTGTTCCGAGCTTCGCAGACTTCAGTTGAGCTTGACTTCGAGTATGCCTTGCAGATGTCGCCCATGCTACCCAAGGAGGCACCGGCAAGGACAGAGACTGCCTTCTCCCACGACACCGTCACACCAACCAGCCAGCAACAGCAGGGTAGCTTCTCGATAGACGCTGCTCTGGCGGAGACGCGGTGCACAGACAACTACCAGGAAGACTATGTCAGGTTCTGGACCACCCATCAAGTCGTCGACTGGATGGTTGCCAAGGACATTGACGCTCCCATCATCGATACCTTTGAGCTCAACGACATCAGTGGCGCTGCTCTCATGGACCTGCAGTTCGAGCATCTCAAGGAGCTTGATATCCAATCTCTCGGCAAGCGCCTGACATTGTGGAATGAGATCTGCCAGCTTCGCGGTGGTGAAGGTGCCTTGAGTCCACAGCCAACGCCGTTCCAGGATGTCAGCAGGCCATGTACCGCAGTACCTACTTCATCGCCAAGTCGAGGTCGCGGAGCCAACCGAAGCTCAGACGACGGTGATGCCACACCAATCTCGGCCCCTGCTGGTAAGAAACGGCGAGGTCGAAAGCCATCGAAGAACCGCGACATTGTCACACCTGCAGAGTCCGTCTCCATCGTCGCAATTGAACAGCTTATGCCCAAGCCTCACAAGTGCGACAAGGGAGAGCGGTGTGGCAAGTGGAGAAGGCAGCAACGCGAGATCAAACAGCTTCAGGACGACCATGGTCTGGGTACCTTTCCCATCAGCCCTCGAAAGGGTGGTCACGTCTTTGTCTTCGGCGATCCTGGCAACGCTGGCACAGCAGCAAACATCGTTCCCAACGTTCACAAGCAACAGATCGACGAGTCCGGCACGCTTACGTCTGACGTCGTCCCATCGCTCGTCGCCTCATCAGACGCACTTGGTCCTGGACATCTACCCGAATTCGCATTACATGAACACTACCTTGATCACTTGGAGAGTCGCGATCCACAAGACAACGTCAGACAGTTCCTAAACTTCCAGCACATGCAGGTACCCAGTGACGGACCAGCCACGCCGCCAGAAGAGCTCGCCCATCCCGGCTCAATCGGCCGCTCTGAGTCCGTACCACTGTTCCCAGCACAGCACTATCAAGCATACCCATCCCTCAACCCCAATCTACGCTCACACACTGCAGCTCCACGGGAGAGCCACAGACCCTTACAACGGGAGAGCCACAAAGCCGTACAACGCGAAAGTCACAAAGACCTACCACGGCTGGAGATCCCACGACCACCCAGTGCCGGTCCCACGGTCAACGCAGGAAGATCCGCCAACTCCTGCCGCACTGGCTCGCCAGCAGACGTCTACCGCTTCGGCACCCCAGCCTCAGAGATGGACATCCCGCTCACCGCCATCCCAACCGGCCCCGTTGCACGAGACACCTCCCAGTCCGTCCCACCCAACATGCAGTACCGCCAGCAATCACCCCTCTCCCGCTCTCAATCAACCCGCATCACTCCCACATCCCACCGCCGGCCCTCCGCGACCCCTCTCGCCGCAGTCAAAGAACACGAAGTCCTCCCCACCAGTGCCTCCGCCCGTCCCAGCTTGAGCGCCCACCCCAGCAGCGACTCCGCCAGCAGCGCCACCTCGTCGGGCAAACAGTCCATCCCCGACCCAGCCCACCACGTCCCGAACACGCAAACCTTCGGCTACGGCTCCGACTGCACGCACGCCGGCTGGATGAAGAAGCGCCGCACGAAGATGCTCCGCCACGAATGGCAGGACGCGCATTTCCGCCTCAAGGGCACTTCGCTCGCCATGCACGACTCCGCGCGCCTATCCGCCGTGGCAAAGGACACGATCAACGTCGAGAACTACGCCGTCGCTTGCTCCTCGGTGGCATCAACCAACAAGCTCAGTGCGGCGATGAAGGCTTTCACGATCAAACACAACAACAACAGCAACGGTAGTCCCGAGAAAGCCGGCAAAGCTGGCGGGGAGCACGACCCTACCGCCTTCGCGTTCCAACTGGTGCCGAGTAGAGATGGGGATAGGCGGGTGGCGGCGAGCGGGAAGACGCATCACTTTTCGGTGAAGAACAAGGATCAGCGGATCGATTGGATGAGGGAGATCATGTTGGCTAAGGCGCTGCAGCAGAAGGGCAGGGGGTTTGATGTGGAGGTCAATGGGGTCATGCGGTAGAGGACGGTGGACTTGGGCTTCGGAAGGACACGACGCAGACGCACACACATTCGCTTGCATTGTTTTACTCTTTTGGCATATTTTAGTTATACCCAACTCTGCGTAAGATGATATGGTTGAGGAAGGATTTCGGTTGATGGGGCGGGCGGTTTGAGGGTGATGGGGAGGGGTTCGGATAGTTGTTAGGTAGTTTGGCTTACCTTGACGAGTGCAATGAGATGAATGTGAAACGCGCTTCGACTGTGCCTCATTGAATTTGCTTTGTTTCGTAAGCTGCGTGGCAGGCGACGTGGTAGAAGTGGCAGTCTCCGCAGTCTGGACTATAAGGAGAGTATGTATATTCAGAAGCATCTGGGTAGGACTTTGTTCTTCGGAGAAGAGGCGAGGAATAGGCGGATAGCATAGCTCTCCGAGATGGTAGGAACAGCATCGCCTAACAAGAGTCTTCATTGCAGGCGATGGTGTCACGGAGAAGCCAGAACCTGACTGCCACTTCTTCTGCTACGTCGCCTGGTGGTTGATGTTTGTGATCGTTGTAGGCGCGCGCGAAGCCGTACCAGGCGGCTGCTGCGGTCGCGAGTGCGAAGGCGTCGATCATCCCACGTTCTTCTCGTAGAGGTAGAGGCGGACGTGTTCCAGACTCTGCTCTCTTCGGCGCTCCGCTCAAGATGGCATTCTCCCGATCTAGAGTCCATATGAACTGCATTTCGGGGGCGCGTGGTACGGTTTCGTCCACAGCGGATTCGCCGCTGCTGGCCCCACCGCTTCCTCATCTGCCCGGTGAAGGTATGTGATATCCATGTTCGTCGAAACATTCCGGCTCATCACTCATATGCGCCTGCCACATCACGTATACGTCGGCCGTGCCCGCTCGCCTTTCCAGAAGCCCATCACTTCGCCCGTTTCGCCTATGAAGTCCTTGACGTTGTTCACAGCAACCTTCGCCATTCCCGACTGCGTATTACTCCTCTTATGTCTCGTCCGGCCCGTGTACCCATTCGCCGCCGGCTCCCTACCAGGCGAAACAAAGCTGCTCCCTTGCCCTGTCGCGTATTCCGAGCCCATGGACGGCAGCACGTTCTCGCCAGCGCTCAAGCTGACGAACAATGCGAACGGCACCAACCACACGCTCAGCCCAAAGAACGACGCCACCTCCGTAAACGACGGCTGTGCCGCCTGCTCATAGTAATTGTACCTCCCCGTCGTCGACTTCGGCGGCGCGCTAAAATGTCTGAACCACAACCAGTGATTCGCCAACACCAGCACACAGCTGACCAAGAATACCGGATCGGTCAGCTTGACAATCGGGAAGCGCCTCAAATTCTGCATGTAGACCAGATGGCTGCCCATGCTCAGGGCACTGAGGGACCACGGGAACTTGTCGACGACGGCGAGGAGGAGCTGGGCGGCGATGACGGCGTAGATCATGCGGGTGAGGATCTTTTTGGCGACGACGGTGTGCTCTTCGACGATTTCGGAGAGGTAGTAGAGGCCGGAGGCGATGGCTAGGGTGAGGAAGAGGAAGCCTAGGGCAAGGCCGAGGTAGCCCTTTCCAACTTGTTAGTGGTTGTGTATTATAGAGTGGTATGGCAGACTTACGATCAACGGCAGAACCCACATTGTTATTAAGTTACCATGCAATTCAGTGTTGTTGTAGAGTTGTCTGGCATTCGACAAGTGTCAACAGCCCGCTATCGATAAGCCAGCACTGCGCGTTCTCCGCGCGAGCAAGTCAAGTCGCGCTGCTGCACTCGCAGATCTAATGTCGACTTTCGAGAACGGAGAAGGGGCGGGACAGACCGGGCATGAAAAAGTCAGTCCAGGTCTCGCAGAATGGCCGTCGTGGTCGAATCTGCCTCTTCTCCGAGCTCCAAAGTGATCTCAAGGTGCCAGGAGGCGTGATGAAGGTTTCTCATAACCGCCAAGCCGAGCACCCGTTAGCTTCCGCTCTTGTTGGCCAATTAAATGTGTTGAAGCTAACCACACCAAAAAATATGTCTTGCTCGAGCATCTTCACCATCTTTGCAATGGCAGGACTAAAATGACCGCCGCATAGGCATCAAGACGACGTATAAGAGGAATACCATATCGCAGAGTCCTACGCCTCCATCACAACCATGTCCCGCCCGGAGGATACCCTCCCGCCAGACCTCTTCTACAACGATGTCGAATCACGAAAATACACCACCTCCTCTCGGATCCGCTCGATCCAGGCCTCGATGACGAACCGCGCATTGGAGCTTCTGGACTTGACAGAACCATCCTTCATCCTCGATCTTGGCTGCGGTTCCGGACTCAGTGGCGAAATCCTTACCAGCACTGACGAAGCCGATGGTGGCCCTCACACGTGGGTTGGCATGGACATCAGTTCTTCCATGCTTAGCGAGGCTTTGCAGAGGGATGTCGAGGGTGACATGCTACTTGCGGACATTGGGCAAGGAGTACCGTTCCGGCCTGGGTCTTTCGACGCGGCTATTTCTATCAGTGCGATCCAGTGGCTTTGCAACGCTGAGTCGAGCTCGGACGAGGACTCTGCGGATAGGAGACTAAAGCGCTTCTTTGACGGACTGTATGCCAGCTTGAGACGCGGTGGCAAAGCAGTCTGCCAGTTCTATCCCAAGAATAACGCGCAGCGAAACATGATCTCTTCTGCCGCAGTCAAGGCAGGCTTCGGTGCCGGTATCCTGGAAGATGACCCGGAGACGAAGAATGTGAAGTTGTATCTCGTGCTTACTGTCGGAGGCGGCGACATCACCGGCACAGTCAGCGGAATGCACGATGTCGATGTCATGGATGCTCGGCGAAAGGAGAAGCAGCGCAAGGGTGGCCCGCCTGAGAAGCAGAAGGGCAGTAAAGCGTACATCATGAGGAAGAAGGCGCAGATGGAGGCGAAGGGGAGGGTGGTGAAGCATGATTCGAAGTATACGGGAAGGAAGCGGAAGACGGCGTTTTGATGGCTGCGATGATCCGATTATGAGTTTGATGAGTGTTCTAAACAGTGATACCCGATTACAGCCTTTCTACCAATATGTACAGGTATGTTTGCTTCAGCCCTTTCCACTCGGCAGTGGTATGCTACACAATGGGCTGACAATCGTCTCGTAGGGACTTGACGCCTCGCTGGAGCTGCTCCTTCTACTCGCTGAGTCTGTCGCTATTGGCGATACGACAGGCTCTTCTGTGCAGTCCGTTCTCCTGATCGAGCGGCTATCACCCATTTCGAAAGGTCCTGTGCCCGCTGCAGTACCCTCCATGAGATCTTCAGCTTCAGAAGCCTTCTCGACCGGATCTCTCTCGCTCGACATTTCCTTCACCTCAGCCCCAGCTTTCTCAACTGGGTCCTTCTGGCATGACATCTCCTTGATTTCAGACCCGTCTTTCTCCCATCTCAGCGACACTTCATCGCTCCGGTCATCGCCCAGATCTTTTGGCATTACGGTTGCATCCATTCGCGATCGTCTCCGGCGCCGCCGCAGTAAGAGAACCAATACAACGCCGCATACTGCTGCCAGGACCGACACTATCGCAAGAACGATCCCGGCTACTTCTCCTCCAGAGAGTGCTCTATGACTTCCACCACCAGCTGCATCCGCGGTCTTTTGCGGCTGATAGATTGTCTTCACCACGGTCACTGGAGCCTTTGTCGAAGCTCTGACAGGCGCTGAGGTACCTGTTGAGCAACTATCCTTCAAGGTGATGTATCCGGTTCCTGTCGGGTTGGCGAGCAACGCTGTCGAGCCATTGTCCAGAATCTGCGCCTGCAGGGTGGCGATACATGTGGTGGAGGCAGATGTAACGGTCGTTGCTACCTGGACTGTTTGGCCAGGCGTGGCAGTCGTGGAAAAAGCGAACGATGAGATCGAAGCGGAGAAAGACGAGGAGAGAGTGTGGTTGCTCATGGTTGCTAGAGGATAATAAAGCGAGCGACCAACCCAGTCTGTTCTCCGTCTTCAATCGCAGCAGCAAAATCGGACGCATTGCCAATGGACAGGACAGCTATGTTTATCTGTGTACGCGAGGCGGACAGTAGCTCCCGCGAGCATTACGAGGCCTTGCATTGACCACGCAAGCCTGAGTTTCGAACGTTCAGGCACCAGCTTTTCGACCGGCATTTGGGATCCGGGACATTCTTCCGCACAGAACCATAGTCTGACAGACAGCATCGCATCGCATTGGCAGTGACGAAATCTCCGAATGGGCTGGCGACGAGAAGATGTTCTTCGTGTCGCACTTTTGTCCATCCGAAAGAGGAAGCTGAAAATGCTTGGCATCAAAAGGCCTATTGAGCACCATATGCGGTAAGGCACGGCTCGGCTGCACCGCAACCATAATGAAACCTCACTTCATCTTTATACGGCTCACACTTGACCATGCGAGCGAACAATGGCAATCCTAAAGGCTTCCCATGAGAGCTTGGCTCCATGCCAGAGCGTGGTACAGCCCACTGCAAGCACAGCAGCCCTGTGTTCCAGCGCAACCGGTAATGGTCGTCCTTGTGAGCTCTGTCGGAGGAGCACTGAAGTTGTTAGATGCACAGCGAGCATACAGCAGACTCGAGTTCCCCTCCAAAACCATCTCGAGCAACGTCGACCACTGGCCAGCTTCTCCGTTAGGTACACCCATTGTCAATCCTTCCCATCCCACGTTTCCTTCTCCATCGTCAATAAGCCCCGCCTCGGCAGTCTCATTGAGCAAGAATCATCTCCTTTATTCAAGTGCCCTATTGACACCCATATCGAGCTTCACATCCTCACTCTCTCCTTATCCGTCGATACATATGCTGCGGTCCTCGCCGCATGCATCCCCTTCTCTCCTTACTCTCCCACCTACGAGTCGCTCTTTAACCCCGAAATATCCTTATCCCTTTTCCTACCATCTCAAAAGGTCCAGCAGGTCCACATCGACCTCTCAACGCCCACCTTTTGCTACCCCAAGCAAACACCAAACAACAAAAACATATACAACACACCACACGACTCCACTCCCACTCCGCCACCATGAGGACCGAAGCCATCCTCGCAGCACTCGTGCTCGCGGCCTCCGCCTTCGCCATCCCCGATGCCGAGCCCAAGTATCACCGCAAGGGCAAGATTGGCTTCTGCTCCGTCCCCGGCATGTTCTGCATCACCAAGCGTGGCGAGCCGTCCAACGAAGAAGTCGCAGCGTGTGGCGGTCCCGGCCGCCCTTGCAACAGCATCAAGCACGCCGCTCACGGCATCGCTGACGTTCTAGACTCTGCGGAGCGCTTCGGCGACGACGAGCCCAGCTGGTGCCACGCCGAGGGCGCGCCTTGCCACAAGGCCAGCAAGCATATCGGCGCCATTGCCGAGAAGGCTCGCGAGCACTACTCGCACGTCTATGCGCGCGAGGCGGATGCCGTCGCCGAAGCGGACCCCAAGTACAAGCGCAAGGGCAAGATGGGCTTCTGCTCCGTGCCGGGCATGTTCTGCATCACCAAGCGCGATGCGGAGGCGAAGAACTACATCGGCTGTGGAAAGGGCCAGTTCTGCGCGACAGGCGACATCGAGCACGACCGCGAGGCGTACGCCGCCCACCGCGGCCGTGTCGGTCACGCCGGCGAGCCAGGCACCCCATGGCTCGTGGCGCGTGACGCGGAGCCCAAGTACCACCGCAAGGGCAAGATCGGCTTCTGCTCGGTGCCAGGCATGTTCTGCATCACGAAGCGCGACGCTGAGGCGGAGGCCAACCCGCGCTTCGAGGGTGTCTGCGGCCGCGACGCCCACTGTGCCATCGGCCCCGAGGCCATTGAGAAGGTCCGCGAACACCCGCACCTGAAGTCGCAGCTCAAGGGCTGCGGGCCGGAGGGTACCCCCTGCCTCGTGCTCCACAAGGACCACGACGTCAAGAACATCTACTCCCGCGACGCCGAGGCGGACCCCAAGTACCACCGCAAGGGCAAGATCGGCTTCTGCAGCGTTCCAGGCATGTTCTGCATCACCAAGCGCTCCGCCGAGGCCACCTCCACCTTCTGCCCACCGGGCGTACCCTGCATCTCCGGCAAGGACGCGCAAACCGTCGCCTCCATCATCAAAGCCAACGACCCGGACTACCTCCGCAAGAAATGCAACGAGCCCGGCAACGAGTGCCACACGCTCAAGCAGCTGCAACAGGTCTTCAAGCGCATCAAGAACGACGTCCAGCTCGGCGAGAAGCAGAAGGAGGAGAGCGGGGACGAGCACCTGACGCGCTGCACAAAGGGCGATGCCAAGTGCTCGGTGCTTTCGCTGAAGCATGCGCATGACAAGCACCACGGCATCGCGGCGGCGGTCAAGAGCGAGGAGGACTGCCATAGTGGGAACGGGTACTGTGGCGCTATCAGGAGGGATTTGGAGGAGTTGGAGGTGATGGTTGAGCGGGCTGTGGCGGAGGTTGAGGAGTAGAGACCTCTTCTTCATCGCTTGTTGTCTGCGTTCAGGATACCATCAGTCCGGTTCCACACCGTGGACGGGCTTTGCGCTTTTCGATTCTTGGATACTGCACCATTGTTGGGTAGGCGGAGTTGTTATTTCCTTTCGGCGGTTCGGTGGCTCCAGTCCTCGGTATCAAGTACACCATAGGCTTCGAGAGCGAGTCGGTATGTGAGCGTATGCTTCGCACGGCTAGATGTATATAGATGCCATATAGGTGTCGCATCGCAATAATGTTTTCGTCAATCATGATTTCCCTCTTCTTCTCATCCTGAAGCTGTCCCATCCTGACCTGGCCGACGTCGTAACCGGCGGCTAAGGTGTGCTGTCCCTGAGATGGAAGTCGTGCCTTGCTGTGTGTCCTCTGACGTTCACTTATGATGTTACTAGGCACCCACATAGTAAAGAAATGGCACCAGGCGTGCACGTCAACAGCTCTTCATTAATCTCAGCATTCTCATGATTACTTATCTACAACCCCACATCCCAATCATCCCAAATGCACCCAAATCCCATCCCATCATTAAATGCGCAAAGCAACGCCACCCACCCATCCTCCCTTGCCCAACCAGCGCAATGCTCAAATCAAACCTCACTCCTCACTCAAAACCTCTCCCTCGGCCCACTCCCATGATTATCGAACAGCTCCTCCAAATACGCACTCGGCGCTCGACTCGGCGCCGTCGACGTCAGATCGCTCACGCTCTGCCCGCCCACCATCAAACTCGAACTACTCGGCTGCGCGTACAAGTACGTCGAGTTACGATTGCTGCCCAATCCATCTCTACTCTGCGCTCTTAGCCCGTCCCTGCTCTGCCCGCGTAAGCCGTCGCGGCTCTGTGCTCGTGAGTTGGAGGCAGATTGGCGGTAGCTGGATCGTGTTTGTGGAGGCAAGCCAGGTGAGGCAGGTGGTGAAGGGGCGGAGGCGGCGCTGTAGCGGTTCGTGTTGCCGTAGCTTCCGGGCGCGAGGTTGCCACCGATGGCGATATTCGAGTTACCGCCAGCGGCTTGCGCGGAGGGAGAGGCGTAGTAGCCGGACGGCATGTACGCGCTATTCCGATTGTTAACGTTATGCGTGGAGTCGCGGTGGGAAGCAGCTTGTGCCGTTGGACTGAAGAAGAGGTTTGGAGGTGGGACAGCACCGCCAGAGCCGTTGCGCTCGACGACGCTATCGCGGAAGTGCGGTTTCATCGGTTTGCCGGCGGAGGTGAGGTTGTCGAGCGAGACGTTGCTCTCGTAGCCGGCGTCCTTGTAGTATCCGCCCTTGCCACCTGGACCGCCACTAGAGGTCATGCGGTTGTAGCCAGCGCCGCTGCTGCCGCCCCAGTAGGATGAGGTGGTGCGTCCGCCTTTTTCTGATGAGCCGCCCATCGAAGCAAGCATGGCCGTCCGCTTGACGCTACGATTCACGCTCCAGGCGACCATCAGACGCCAGAGGAGCACGCAGGCACCGAAGAAGGCGAGAGTGGCGCCGACGGCGATGAAGAAGGTTCCTTCAGGTAGAGTGGACTTTTGCATGAAAGGTGCGCCGGCGGTCCAAGGGACGACGAGGGTGGGGATGCCGGCACCGGCGATTGTTGGAGCATCTGTCAGATGGGCGGCGGGCTCGGTGAGAGTAGCGGTGGGTGTGCGGAGGGCACCATCGCTAGATGAAGCGTCGGTGGTGGTTTGCGGGTCATTCGTGAGCGCGAGTGTGGACTGCGCATCCTGCGTCGTCCGGCCGGTCGTCTGTCTTGTTGTGCCATCGGTCGTCTCTGTGGATGTCGCTGTCGTCTGTGTCGCAGTCTCGAGATCAGGCACGTCGCTGAGTTGTTGTGCGTTGATTGCGAGCGGCGCAAGGAGGAAGAGGGTGAGCAGCCATCGCGCCATGGTCCTTCCTACCCTCTGTTATACAGATGCAACCCTGTGCGCTTCTTCCGTGCTCGTGCCACCTGGTTTCCTGCCTCTTTCTCTCCCAGTCGTCCTGATGTCTTCAACGCCCTGTCCTGGTTGCCTTTGCCCCTTCCCCGTCTGTGGTATGCGCCTTCCTTCCCGCTGTATATTCTTGTGCAGTCAAACGAGTGTGTCTGCAAGTACTTCTCTCTTGCGTCAGCGAGCGTCGGGCAGAAAAGACGTTGTGCGACAGACAAGGATGGGAGTGTCAAGTGTCGTTCTTACAGGCGTGTGGTCGTACTACCGCGCGGAAGCCCTAGAAATAGATTTCAGGGTCCAGGTACGGTTGGCAGGCAAACCGATCTCATGTGGCGTTCATACTATTCGATCCAACTTCAACAACACACTACATGTATTCGAGAGGAGAAGATCTTTTGCTTTGAAGATATAGTAAACTCCTGATGACCAGGTAAGACGCCCAGATTCCATTCATCCCGTTATCCTGCCCATTTCCTCTCTCATCTCGATGCAGACATCCATCAACCAACAAAAGCCAACTCCCTCCTATCCCTCCAAGCCGTACACGGATTGAACCTCCACGCCCCGTGATACTTCCTCGCAAACACATAGTTAATGATATATGGAACGAAACCCGGCACACTAGGAAAATCATGCATCCCACCCTCAAACGCCCGGTCTGCCGTTCCAAAGACCAGCGGCGCGATCCGTTGGTTGTCGGTGTTCATCAACATCTTCTCGAACCGCTTATAGGCCGCCCGGATCTTCTCGCTGTCGTACTTGTCCAGTGCTCGGAGAGTGTCAATCTCCTCTCGCAAGTGGAGTGTTAGGGGCTCCGCGAAGGCTTCAACTAGAGATGTGAGTTTCTGTGCGTCGTAATCGGCTGGTTTGCACGTATTCGCGTACGCCTGGAATGCCTCGAAACTCGGTGTGAACGCTGCGTGCTGGTCGACGTTGCGTTGCATCAATCCCTTGACGTCGGTGATGGACTCGATGCTGGGGAAGAACTCTTCCTCCTCGGCGTCGTGGTGGTGGTGCATGGATTCGCACCAGCATTGGCAGTAGATGAGAAAGTCGCGGATGATGGTCTGGTCTTTAGGAAGGTGCGGTGCTTGGAGATAGATGCTGTTGAGGCCGCGGATGATGCCGTTGTGGGCGAGGGACATTTGGGTTGCGACGTAGTAGGCAGCGTGGGAGGTCTGTTGGTTGTGAGTGAGGTACATCAGACCTGGGGATTGGAAAGCTGTACGTCTTTTGAGAATGCCAGCGTTGAGATGAAAGGATAAGGTTGGTCTGCCCAAGGAGGAGGCATCTGCGGTTTTCCCAAATGAAAATGGATGGGATGTTGGTAAAGCAGTTGGTGAAGCACACAAGGTCTACGGGTGAACAAAGAAATCGGAGACTTGCGCCCTACCTTTAGACAATAGCTTAGATATATCCTTGGTCTACCAGCTCAGCAACACCGCTCCATGGGTCAGGTGAAAGCGACGTGGCTACGGCGCCCAGAAGCCGCAACGGCCATGCCCCAATGCACTTGCGGGTCCAATACTCAGCCATGTCGTATAACCTTGCCCTTGTCTATCAGTCATCTGCATAGTGGCATAAAGGATCGTACAAATGGCATTCATCTCCAGGCGAGCCTCGGGGCGTTTTCGGGGTCGGTTTCCGAGTGCTGATCGAGCAGGAGGCACTTCAACGCCCACGCGGTGCGTAACGGTGCCGAGGAGACGATTGGGAAGCTCGCGGGATGTTCCCGATGCGCTGCCGAGTGTGTCCGCCATATCCTAGGACCTTACCGTAAGCGCCTGGGTCGATACGCGTGCGAATGGTCGTATGAAAGCGAATCCGACATGGCGTAGCTAGACCTGCATGTGGAAAGGAGTCCATAGCTGCGGAGGTGGAGTTAGAAGGGAATAGTCTGTGGTAGACACTGTCTCTCTTGGTTGCAATGGTCGTTCGCTTCAATTCCAAGTTGGATGTTGTCTGATTGTCGTTGAACTGAAGTAGGAGTCGGCGCTCTCCCCCGCGGCGGGATTTAAGCTCAGAAGCATGGCGCCGATATGGACCTCATCAGCCTTGTCTTCAATCTTCACATGCAATCTTGAATTTTACACGCAACAACACACCTCCACCCACAGACAAGATGGGCGTCCAAAAACGAACCCGCAAGTTCGCAACAACCAAACGCATCATCTCGCAGCGCGACGACCGCCAGAAAGCACAAATCGCCAAACGCGACGCTGAGGCGCAAAAGAAAAAGCAGAACACCGACGATGTGATCCGTGAAGTGTTCGTCCCCACATCTCTTCCTTCTCGAACAGTGCCTTCTCCTGAGCCTGCTCTTTAGCCCTCCACTTGAGCCTTCTCTCGAGCCATCTCTTGCGTCCAAGCTAATAAGACTTCTTCTGCAGGCCCCAAGTCCCCTCTAGCATGTTCTTCCAGCACAATACCGCCCTCCAGCCGCCCTACCAGATCCTCGTGGATACGAACTTCGTAAGTGTACCCAGTGTCCGGGTAGCCGTCGTCTCAGACATTGCGTCATGACGAGCAAGACTCTAGACACCCCGACCCGTCTTTTCGAGTGTCTTGAGACTTGCTAACCTTCATTTTACTTGCAAAGTTGAGCCACACTGTTCATCATAAGCTCCCCCTGCTACCGACACTCATGGACTGTCTCTACGCCAGTTGCATGCCGATAATCACCTCCTGCGTCATGGCCGAACTCGAGAAACTCGGCCCCAAATACCGCATCGCCCTCCAGATCGCGCGAGACGAGCGTTTCGAGCGCCTGCAGTGTGATCACAAAGGAACATACGCGGATGACTGCATCGTGGACCGGGTGGTGAAGCAGCGGGTCTATCTTGTGGCGACGAACGATCGGGATTTGAAGAGGAGGGTGCGGAAAGTGCCTGGGGTGCCGATATTGAGCGTCGCGAGGGGGAAGTACGTTATTGAGCGGCTACCTGATGCGCCTGAGAAATGAGCGGGATGGGTATGAGCTGAGGAAATGTATGAAGGTCGAAGTGTGCACCCAGGGCAGGGTACGACAATTCGACCAGATTGGTGTTGGTTCTAGCGGAAAACAACAAGAATACCAGAGCCAGCGCAGATGGAACGGCGGCATTAGTGGAATGTTCGCTCTCGATAGGCAAACTGCAAAGGTAAGTTGAAACACCTTGGGTGCATTCGGCGGAGTTTGCGCTGACATAGCCAATTCTTTGAATATACAGAACGCTATGCTACAAGGTTGAGAGACTTTTGTTGCCGACATGATGTTCCTGCTCAAAGAAAGCAGGCAAGACTTCGGGGGCTCAAGAGTTGAATGCCGCAACGCCTTCCCGCCATGTATGCAGTCCTAGATAACGCCCTGGAACGCATGCCACAGATTACCTATTCCACCATGCCGGTTCGAGACTCAAGATCCGCTCACCTGCCCTTCTCTGCATCACGAAGCTAGGTTAGCAGAAGCTCGCCATCCTATCTTTCCCGGACAGCCATGCCACTCACCACTCCCATAATAAGACTTATTCAACATCTTCTCCGGCCCCGTCTCAGGATTCGCTTTCTGATCCGCAACCTTGTCATTGAAATGCACCGTTCCGACTCCCTTCATCTGCTCTTGGTTCGACTCGTTGTGCGAAGGATCTCCTGCATCTCCTGTAAGGACATGGGTGAGTCCAGGCCCAGAGTCTTGCGCTCGGCTGCTCTGGGCATTTGGGAAAGCGTACCTCGTCTTGTGCCGACGGCCGGCGTATGGGTATTGGTGCCGCCGCCGGAGGAATGGCGGTCGCCAATCTGTTGCATGGCGGGGGTCTCAATGGTGTCGCTAAAGGAGGGGTTAGCTGGTGCGCTGTACGGTGCTCGCCGGATCGCTCTGGAGCAAAGTTGGGGAGGCATACGGCAGGACCTGTTTCCGGGTTCTGGGGAAGAAACCGAGGAGGGCTACGCTGCCGATTGCACCGGCAATGGCCAGGTTGCGTGGGCGGGCTAGACCTTGGGCGGACATGGTTGCTGTGTTTCGAGGTAGACGGTAGTTTTCGTGTTTTTCGAGGGGTCGCAACTTCGCGGAAAGTGGTGATCAGACTTCAGAGGAAGTAGACTGTGATCAGAATGGGTGTCAACGGTGTGTAGAGAGCAAGATGAAGTGAAGAAGACCGTTAGACTTCAGCGAAGAATTGAGCACTGGCCGATGCTGAAACGTCGTCATCGAGATCGCGCTTTCCTTCCTTAGATGGTGGCGTCCCTGACTAGAGCCACGCTAGGAAAGCTTGTCATCAAACCCACGATCGGTAACAGCAGCCGAGAAACACCTTCAGCAAACTGCACGACATCAGTACTACCTTGATGCAAGAAGCATGGCCTACCTCCTGCCCACCCCCGCCACCGCCGTTAACGACCTCCTCCGCTCCAACAGCTAGTACTCCACCAACAGCGCCGCGAGCATGGCTCCCACTGGCAACCCCACCCCCGCCCGCATCCTCGTCCTCATATCAGGCTCGGGCTCCAACCTCCAAGCCCTGATCGACTCCTGCAACACCGACGCCCTCCCCAACGCCAGCATCGTCCGCGTCATCTCCGACCGCAAAGACGCCTACGGCCTGAAGCGCGCTCAAGAGAACAACATCCCAACAACCTACCACGGCGTCCTGCCCTACAAAAAGAAATACCCCGACGACAGCGCCGAGAAGAAATACGAAAAAGCCCGCGTCGCCTACGATGCAGACCTAGCCCAACTCGTCCTCGCCGACCACCCGGACATCGTTGTTTGCGCGGGATTCATGCGCATCGTCTCGCCCGCCTTCTTGAACCCGCTGCATGAAAGTCTCGTCCCGATCATCAACCTGCACCCTGCCTTACACGGAGATCTTGTTGGAGCACACTGCATCAAGCGCGCCTGGGATGAGTTCCAAGCGGGAGAGCGGACGAAGACGGGCGTGATGGTGCATTACGTGATTGCGGAGGTGGACATGGGGGTGCCGATTGTGCAGCAAGAGGTGGGGATTGAGGGGTGTGCGACGTTGGAGGAGCTGGAGGGAAGGATTCATGGGGTGGAGCATGGGTTGATTGTGGAGGGGACGAGGAGGGTGGTGGAGAAGGGGAGGGAGGGGAAGAGTGGGAAGGAGGAGTGACGCTGAAATCTAATACACGATCTGCTTCCGACAATGCGATTCAGCAACTACATAAGTCTGTCCGCCCTCAGTCCAGCAACCATTTCGAGCAATCTCGACAGCTGCCGTTCCTCAGGCTGCTTCCCTAGGCCGAAGCTCTACTCTAAGCATCCCATACCCGCCGCCTCGACACAGAGAAGAAGTCGAGCCAGCGGAGCGCTCTTCGGCGGTTCATGGTCTCCCGCCACACCGAAAAGGGTATCCCAACCCTGAAGCGACTGATGGGAGCTATTCGACTGGGTCGTTTCCAAAGGCCGCAGGACTTGTCTGGAGTACGACCCTGCCGGTTTGGAAGCGCCGACATCTAGCCTTTGATTGCTGACTGAACCGGTATCTGAAGAAAAGCAGAACTGGGAGGAAGAAACCCCTCATGAAGAGAGGTGGTTGAGCTTAGACCACGCCAGAAGAGGGAGTTTTGTGAGTCATCAATGAGCCATTGGGGTGGCATCATGGTTTGAGAGTCTCTTCCAGAAGTAGGGACGATGTTCTGCTGCGACATCGATGAGAGCGACTTCGAGATCCTTCCGCTCCCAGAAAGTTGATGTCAGCCAATCTGCCACCGGTCCATCAAACCCTGTCGTGCAAATCCAACGCTACTGTGCAACTAGACCTCAACCAAATTCACATCATGGCTCGTAGCTTGTGACGAGGTCAATGTCGGAGTAGACCCGATGTGAGGGATCACAACGCGGAGCGGTCGTTTGCATCAACGTGTTGACGCTCCTAAGAGAGTGGTAGGGTTACAAGAGGGATCACTGTTGAAGATTGCTTGAGTTGTTCCAGCGAGGATGGCAGGTTTCCATCTACCTGTATCAACCAATTATCGACCTGGATGAACACTGCTTACAGTGCACCAAGTGCTCAGATGGCGGCTAGTGCGAACGACCGAAATGCGTCGAATACTACGATACTCTTCTCCGCTATTACGTCTTAGGCATCGCTCTTCGAGACTTTCATTTCTGCAACTCGATCATCGACCGCTGGGTCCAGATTCGTCGCTACGCAGCCATGAGCACAGCAATTATCAACAAAGTCTTCGAAAGCATACCCGAGTGGTACACCAGCCTACGACTGCTTGTGGTGCATCATATCATGTACACGCTGAGTTCGACCGTCTTTGACAAGATCCTGGAGGATTTGCGTCCGGATATGTTGAAAGCTGTCGCGCGCAGAACGGTCATCGAGCGCAAATATCCTCAGGACCTGCGGCTTCCCGAAAACCGAGAGAGGTGCTTTTATCATGGGCATGACGATGAGTACCCGGAGACGGGAACGGAGAGCGAGAGCGAAGGCTGAATGTTGGTCACGACCACACACCGTTCAGACCACAAGCGCCGATCCCAGGTCTCGCTGACACCCACTGAGCACGTGGCTTTTTTGGTAGTCCTGGGCTGCAGGAATAGGAATGCAGAACAGAAAGGTGGTTGACGATACCCCGGCGCACGTCACTGGAGACTCTTAGGAGAGCAACAGAGGTGGCCTAGTGAGCATGCAGTTGACACAAGCGAGCTGATGAGACACGCGCCTTTTGGCGGACACGACAGGGTGGAAGGATTCGATTGGGGACGGCAGAGGCAGATATTGTCGAGCTTATCGAATTCATCGCAGGAAATAGATTATCAGCAGAAAGTTTGGTGATCCTCGAACGTGTCAACCCACCCACGGGACTGACGGAGGGCGTCCGGGAAGGAGGCACCCCGACGAGATAGTCGACGTACTCTGTTGAAAGGCGTTTCCTACATACTATACAAACGAGGAGCCTGTGCGCCCGCCATGCAACCAAGACACCACGCTCACTGCTGCTTCTTCTGCGATCCTTGTCCGCTCATCTCCTTCGAGAAAGCAAAGTAGCTCACTTCCAGCCCTGAAATGGCTCTCAAGCCGACGGAGAGGATGGCCAGGAGGAGAAGGGTGACGGAGAGGCCCATGAAGATAGCTGACATAGTTCTATCAGTGCTCGTCCGGAGATCTCCGAATGGGGAGGTGCTTACGTGGCGACAAAAACTGATACTTCTCAAACAACGGCAGACCGGCCTGCATGTCTTCATCATCCGACTGTCGGGCATGGTGTTCAAAGTCGCGCTTGAGCTCTGTGTGAGGCGCTGAAGGGTATGCGTCGTCCATCTCGTACGGCTCGCCGGTGTGGCTGGGCGAATGAGGTGGGGTGGTGAGGTAGATGAGGACTGCTGAGCCGTCCTTGCCTAGGACTGAGGTGACAGTGTCGGCCATGGCATCGTCTAGTATACAATCAGCGAAGAGCTAGGACAGCAGCAAAGGGGGAATGCGGACCAGTGTCCCTCAACGTCTGCTCTCTTGCCTTCGCCTCTGCAGGCAGCTCGGGTAGCTGCATCTCAATGATCCGATACTCACCATCGCTCTCCGGCCAGGCTGTTTGTCGCATATCCATCAGCATACTATCTCCTGACTCAGACCCGGGCGGTACTCACAATCCACCTCCTTCTTCCCCTTCTTTCCACAGACCTCCTCCAACCTCGTCCGGACATTCCCAACCTTCAACCCCCCATCCGCCACCAAATCCGGTATTCCTAGGAACTGCCCCTCTTCCGTCCCTGCTAAGCTCTTCTGCAGCTTCGGCATGCCATCATCCTTGAGATCGTTCGCGGCGACGGAGTCCTGGGAGAAGATGTAGTAGTGGTGCTTATCGCAGGCGGAGAGGGTGTCTATGAGACGGTTCTCGATATCGCTGGCTAGTGCTATTTGCGCTCGCTTCAATGGGGCGTCGGCGGGGAGGCTATGCGGCTGTCAGTTGGAGGCGACGACTGGGGAATGGTAGGAGCCTACGGGGTAGAGGAGAGGAGGAAGAAGGGGGAGGCGTCTTTGTAGGCTTGCGCGGCGGTGACGGTGAGGAGCAGTGCTCCTAGTCTTGGTAACAACATCTTGATCTTGGACATTCAATATCACAGTCGTCGGGATACGATAGATATGTGGTGATGTCCAGTCCAGCATCGTCGGAGATGGCTCGGCCTCTTCCGTCCTCCGAAGCTTGTGCTGCGATCACATGCACTTTTTCCAACAACCATACCACAACCCAATTCACAGCGCGCTGAAGCATACCGCAGTCATGGCACCACCCGCCAAACGCAGAAAAACGGCCAAAGTCGAATCCCTCACCTTCGACCCCGCCGCGCGACAGGAATACCTTACCGGCTTCCACAAGCGCAAACTGCAGCGGAAAGAGAATGCACGCGAGCTGGCCGTGAAGCGGGAGAAGGAGGAGAGGGTGCGGGAGAGGCGACAGGTATGTTTAACAGCTCAGAAGACGAGTGAGCGCATGAAACTGACGTTGCGCACAGCTACGAGAGCAGAGGAAGGAAGATCTGGAAAAGCATGTTGCGCAGGTCAATGCTGAGCTGCGGAAGCAGAATGCTGATTTGAGCGACTCGGACGCTGGGGAGGAGGTGGAAGTGGAGGGAGCGGAGGACGATTGGGCGGGCGACGAGAGGCCTGCGCCGGCTGTGGTGGACGATGCCGAGGAGGAGTTTGTGGACGAGGACAAGTACACTACTGTGACAGTTGAACCGATGGGCGAGGATGGTGCAACAGTGGAGGACAATGGTGAGGGTGATAAGGCTGTTAAGAAGGACTACCGGAATGCTGAGAAGAAAGGGACGAAGAAGAGACCCTGGAGCAAGGACGGCAAAGCTGCACCCAAGAAGAAGCACAAGTTCAGATATGAGAGCAAGGCAGAGCGGCAAGCGACCAGACAGAAGCAGAAATCGAAGAATCATGCGGCGAAGCAACGTCGCATGGGCGACTGAAACGCACATCTGTCCCAGGCACCATCTGTGATGTGTTCGCAAGGTTGATTCAAAGGGGTATTGTGCATGGTCTACTCCGTGTGCTGATGCTAACATCTTTCCCTCAACTCCCCATCTACCCACAGCGCCCTGCTCAAGCCCGTCTCGATAGAAGCCAAGCCACTTCCCACCCTCACCTCGCCATCCCGCCAACAATTCTCTTCCCACTCGCCTTGCCATACGAAGAAGTCGTCGTCGGTATCACTTCGCTCCCGCAACATCCACATTAGCGAACCCAGACTGACAAGCGAGCGAACGGCGGATGCAGGAAGAAGAGGAGATTGTTGCGTGAGCGAAGATCTAGATGTTACCAATCTCGGCCACGAAGTCGTCGAGCTCCTTCTTCGTGTCGGAGTACTTCTTCGCCATCTCCTCGTACTTCTGCTCCCACTGGTCGCGCTCGCTCTCGAGGGCTTGCACTTTGCGCTCGTAGTGGCCGGCTTTGACGTCTGTTTGGCGGAGTCTGATAAAACAGCGGTGTCAGCAAACCCATTTCTCAACAATCTTGAAGCCCATATCCATAAGCAATAGGACGCAGGGATGACATACTTCTCATTCGTCTCCCTCAGCGTCTTATCGTTGTTCTCCGCCTCCTCCTCCAGCAGCTGCACCTTCCGCTGCAGACTCTCATTCTGAGTGCCGTGCTGTGCGCTCTCGTCTGCGTCTTGCTTGGCCTTGCTGTGCTTCTCCTCCAGCTTCTCGACCTCCTGCTCCAGCACGCTCTGCTTGTGTTGGAGGGATGTGATCTCCTGCTCCTTCTGCAGGTTTTCCTGCTCGAGGGTCTTGACTTTGGCTTTGAGCTCCTCGACTTTGGAGCTGGACTCGTCGGCTTCGATGCGGAGAGCATTCATGCGCTGTGTAGGAGATTTGTATCAGCAGTGTCTCTTATCGTGTACTCGAACGTATGTTGTCCTTTCACTGTTTCCCTCGATGAGGGGCATAAGAAGGGCGGTCTACCTGCTTGATGGCGTCCATGATGCCGGTGTTGCTTCAACGGATTTACTGAACAGAGTCGAAGATATCGAGATGGCGTGAGTGTGGTTTGAGAGCGGTCGAAGAGGAGAAAGACGTCCAAAGTCGCTGCCTCGTGGTGCTCACGCAAGACAACAAGCAGTTGGGGTCGCCCAAATCATCCGCCCGCGCTTTCTCCGCCAAGAGGTTCAGGGTCTCGCCCGATCAGGAAAATTGTTTACCCAACGACGAGTCTGTGAAAGGGAGAAGACGTGCGACTGTATATCACAACGAGCCGCATGTGAAAGCGATATCCAACGACTACCATGTTCGCCGCACGCGCGAATCAGGAGAATGCAATCTACGAGCAGCAGACGGCGGCGGCTGCGAAGCCTCTCAATCAGGGCGTGAAGGGGCTGGCTCCGAAGACACCAGGAAACAAAGCTCCCAAAACGCTTTTTAAGAGGCAGCAGAACGATGAGAACGCTGCGAAGACGGGCGGGAAGGGCAAGCAAGATGGGCTGTTCGGTGATGGTAAAGGCGGGAAGGTCGATAAGAGCGCCTTCTTGACGCCTGCAGGTATGCTTGAACCACGCGAACGACAGCCAACGTTAGCTGACCGTTTGTAGGCCCTCGCGCGAGAGCACCGCTCGGGAACAAGACGACAAATGCCAAAGCCACGGCATTTCAAACTCCTGCTCCGCCTTCAGCACAACCCACCAGCCCTCGCATGCGCCGAGCCAAGATCAAGGTCCACGAAGCAGAGCCCGCGACCGAAGACGACTACGAAGAGCGCGAGATCGAGTACATGCCACCGCGCGAAGTCCCATTGCCCGACCTCCCGGACGACTGGCCAGCCGACAGGACCTACCCTCAGTTCGAAGGCAACAACCTGACTCGTGGCTGGATGTCTGAGTTCAAGACGAAAAAAGACAATGACGACGATGATGAAGACTTCAGCGACTTCGAGGAGAAGCTGAAGCGGATCGAAGAGTTGAACGCGAAGAAGAAGCAGGCGCAGGAGGCGAAGAAGGGGAATGCGGTCAAGAAAACGCCAATGTTGAAGACAGCGCGCGATCCACTTGATGCGAAGCCAACGACGATTTTGTCGGCGAAGGGCGCTGCTTCTGCGTTGTCGCAGCCAAAAGCTGTGCCTAGCTTTGCTGCTCCGACGGCTGCGGCGAAGGCGAGAGCTCCGTCTGCGCTGCAGTCGAAGAAGGCGGGCGGCACAGTCAACCCGATCGGCAACAGTCGCCATACCGCGGCAAAAGTGGCATCAAACTCGACGCTGGGCTACTCCAAGGGCAGAGCAGTGTCCGCTTCGGCGCGCAAGCCGCTTGCAGGTGTGCATGAGGAGGATCTGTCCACTTCGAATATGCCCTCGCCGCCGGCAAAGTGCAGCTTGAATGAGCTGTTTGGCATTGAGGATTCGGACATTACGGATGATGCTGCTGGTGACAGTTTGGTGGAGGAAGACGAGTCGCCAGTCTTTCAGTTGGATCCGGTGGAGCTTTGAGTTGAACGGTTCCAGGTTGGAGGGCACGGCGAAGACGGAAGATTTTGGCGTTCATTGGGTACGGCGACGATACCATTCTTTCAGCGACAGTCGAAAGAGTCTTTCTTCTATGCGGCGTTGGGAAGCAGAATGCAAGTGTGTGTGGTAGAGAGGGAGATACGAATGGCAGTTAGAACTAAGTCCGAGAGCCAATCAACAGCTTTACCTGCGATCCTTTGAACGCCACTACGTCGTCGACTTGGTGCAAAACAACACTGTCTGCCTCCAAGAAGCCAATACAAGTTTGGTTTCAATGGATCCTCAAGCCAATGGAGACGACAGTCGCAAGCGGAAGACGCACAAGAAATCCCGCAAAGGGTGTGGGAACTGCAAGCTGCGGCGGGTTAAGGTATCCATCATTCAATCAACACACATCTGTTCAGAATATTCATCGCTAACGAAACGAGTTCAACAGTGCGACGAATCCAAACCCCAATGCTCCAAATGCCTCTCCTACGGCGTAACCTGCAACTACGACACCGAAGGCAACGGCGAGGACCTCCACCTCCCTGGCGAAGGCGCCTTCACCCTCCTCCGCCCACCCATCGCCACAGCGCCCACGCCCCGCTGGGAGTTGCCCAAGGACTCGCTGTCGCCTGAGGGCTATGACTTTGGTGCCGACACGATTCTGGACGAGACGAGGGAGCTGCATGATTCGGACGAGCCGTATGTGATTACGAAGGAGGATGTCGAGTTGTTGGCTTTCTTCACCGATCGGACGGTTTATTCGATCGGGACGGCGCAGATGGTGCATCTTTATCGCTATCATGTTTCGAACATGGTTAAGCTGCCGGTATGGCCCTTCTCTTCCCTATACCTACCCTCCAAATGAACGAGATGTTTGTTGTTGACACAGATTTAGCACACATCCTACCTCTTCCACATCGTCCTTACGTTGGTTCTAATGCACAAACGCCACGTCTTCGCTCCCAACCCCTGGACCACCCAACCCTCGGAAAAAGAGTCCTACCACTGGTACCACGGCACCGCGCTCTTCTCCGCCGTCCTGCGCTCCCCCATCCCAGAAGAACAACGCGACCCCCTCTGGTCCGCCGCTGCGCTCCTCGGCTGCCTAACCATCGCCTCCATCTCCGCCACCCGCCCGGAAGAAGCCTGGCCCCTGAAACCCCCGTCCCAAGAAGACCTCGACTGGCTCCGCATGAGCGACGGCAAGAAAGAAGTCTGGCGCATTGTCGACCCCCTGCGCGAGAACAGCGTCTGGCGCGAAGCCCTCGACTACAACGCCCACCGCGACCCGGAGCCGTACAAGCATCGCGTGCCAGAGTTGGATTTACTCTACCCCTGGCTGACGAAAATCTACGACTTCGACCCCAACAGCAGCGAAACCTCCAAAGACCCTTACCACACCGCCGCCTCCATCCTCACGCGGCTGATGGAGCTGGATTGCAACCACAGCACGATCATGTACTTGTAAGTACTGATGGGTAAAAGAGTTCTCCGAGACGCGATCGAAGACTTTGCCGCGCTCTGAGACCCTACGCCCGTTGTTCGCAGTTCAGACACACTTGCTGACCCTTCTACCTATCTGTGCTTTAGCTTGTCGTTCATCGGACACATGCAGCCGGCCTACAAAGAGCTGCTGCATCAAAAAGATCCGAAGGCGTTGTTGCTGTTGAGCTGGTGGTATGGGAAGATGTGTCAGTATAATGTTTGGTGGCAGAGTCGGCGGATGGTGTTGGAGGGGCAGGCGATTTGTTTGTACTTGGAGCGGGAGTGTGGGGATGAGGATATTGTGCGGCTGCTGGCTTATCCTAAGATGATGACGGGGTTGATTAAGGCTTGATGAGGCATGCATGGCAGGAGTTTGAATTAGGTCACCGGGTGACAGTGGAAGAAAGCTGCCCGCCTGAGATCTAGCATGAGGTGCAATTGACAGCTCTTCTCTCCGAAAGTCTACATGGCTATGTCATCGTGCGTGAGAAGGTCTGGCCAGCTATAGTCCACAGCTCTCTGCATGCCGCATTCGACCTCATGCACGGTATAGCATCCCTGGTCGATACGTGGCGTTCTCGGCGTACCCGTGCTGCAGCAGCGTTAACCGCCGCTTCCAGCGAGTTACCGCGTTGTCAATTGTTGTCCGTCGTGCATTGGTATGGCTTGTGCCCTTCACTTCTGTCATTGGGATAGATTTCTTGATCAGCGCCTGAGACAGATGAGTTCATCCCGCCACGATCTCGCGATCATGTCAATCCCTGTGCTCAACAGATTGCCCTAGTTTCACCAGAGCATGATCGTCTTCTCTTCGCCCGCTGTCCAGATGAGCACGCTGCACCTGTAGACACTTTCAAGCGTCATTGTACACCTCGAGACTCGTTGCTTGTCACACAGCAAGCCTCAAGGCCTAGATCGAGTCCACTGACAGGTGCGTGGGACAGAGTTGGAACGTGGCTGCAGGAACGCAAACGCCTCTCTGCTGATCGTTGGACCAAGCTCGATTAAGCTCAAAAGCTTCAGGGATTCACGCGAACAAAGAGGCAAGCGCGATGCTGGATGCGGCCATTGTGCAGAAGCCAGCCTGGATTGCTGCTTTCAACGAACCACTTTCACTTTCGCAACGCTCGCCACGCTTCGTTTGCTGCTCGACGAGTCCTCCATGAGTCTGCAATTAAATTACTACACGTCTTCTGCTTGAGGTCTGCAGGAAACACGCATATCGACCCCCCGTTGAGCCCCTTGAACGAGGTTCTCCCTTTACTCTGCGAACCCTCCAACACCCTTCCCATAGCGAGCTCTTCCTGAGCAGCTGCCACAATGGCCTCCTCCACCAACTTCGGAGCGAGCATAGTACCTCCAACCAAGGAAGCCCACACCGACCTCACCATCCCTCCCGCCTTCGACTCGCCCGCCCTCACCCCAGCAGCCTCCCGCGAAGACCTGGCAGATGCCTCCACCGATCACCAACGAGTCCCCATCCACTCGCCCTTCTACACCCACCCTCCCGCCTCCTTCGAGCGAATCCACAGCCGGAACAACAGCACGGCTACCCCTGTCGCCAACGAGAAAGATGTCGAGGCCGGGCTAGCGACACCCCTCACCAACCACCCCTTCCGCAGCAAAGTCAGCATCGACTGCAGCAAGGAATGCAAGATGTGGCCGTCCAAGCAGACGCTCGTGGCGAGCAAGAATGCGGAGAAAAAGCGGAGGCGCGAGAACCAGACGTGTGGCCATCTGGTAGGGCCGGTGCAGGATTGGTGGGGGCTGAAGACGAAGAGGCAGAGGCTGATTATGAAGATCATGCTTGCATTGTTTGTGCTTGGGGTGGTGGTAGCGATTGCGGTGGGGATTACGATCGCGGTCAATGGGTCGGTGTATGTGAGTGACAATCACTCTGAGAAGATCCCGGAGCCGGACGCGAGTAAGTAAGCCGGTGCCGACGTGGACGGAGATGGAGAGAGGATTGGAACGACGTTTCGAGACGGCGGCGGCGCTTGGAAGGTCCAACGGTTGAATGAGGGCGAGAAGCAGGCGGCCTCATACCTCGGCCATGAAGGAGCAATTACCACAGTACATCGGCGACCCTGCACATCATTCTGTACAGCTGCTATTCTTGCATGGCGCTTGGGCGAAGAGCATTCGGGAAAGCGAAAGGGAGAGATACCATTGCAGCATGTGTCTAGGGAGGCATCAGTGTCAGTCAGACTGGAGAAAGATGCTAGGTGTATAATTTCACGTATCACAGACCGCCGCCAAATGAATTACGTTGGCGACCAGGCTTCTTTCGAACTATTCAGACTCTGATATCGGAAGGGACATAGATTTATCGGTCCCGATGAGCCAGTTTTGGTTCGTGCCGTGTTAGCAAGCACGGGCTAGGAGGGCGCTTGCAGAGCGCCTCGCAGCCTGCCAAGGAGCGCATGCATCGCCATATATGGCTTTATATTCGATCGGCCGTATCTTGCTTCTTTGTCCAATGGAAACACGTTTGACACAAAACAGAACGGTGCGAGGAAAAGGCCGGCGGGTCGTTGCAACAAGCCGAGGAAGGAGGCTGGAGCTCGAGTCGAGCTCGAGGGCATGTAAGTTTGGGATCCACTCCGCCGTCAATGCCAACGACATCGCAACATATAAACACCCCCGCCGTCCAACAACATCTACACAACAACTCATCAAACCGTCCAGTGCTCAGACCATCCCACAATGGCCCAAGAAGTCCACATCGTCGCCACCCTGGCCCCGAAAGCCGACAAGGTCGACCGTGTAAGCCTTCCATCTCCTCTTGCCTCACACGGTTCCCTACCTTACATTGCTGACCCTCTGAACAGTTCAAGGACCTGATGAGCCAGATGTGCAAAGACGTCCACGCCAAAGAAGAAGGCTCCACGCACCGCTACATCTTGACCGAGCAGCTCGGCACGCCGGAGGGGGAGCCGAAGTTCGTTATGGTTGAGACGTACGTTGCCCTTTCCCTATCACTTCTCCTGTAGCCGCAGCTCTGTGCGCTTTGTTGGAAGAAAAGGGGTACTGATGATGAGGTGCAGGTACAAAGACAAAAACGCCGCAGACAGCCACACGCAGACGGACCATTTCAAGCAGCTTTTTGGGGTGATGGAGAAGGAAGGGTTGTTGAGGGAGGGACCGTGGTTGGCGCAGACGGTTAGTAAGGCCGGGTTTGAGAGGGATAGGAAGTTGATCTGAGGTATGAGTTGAGGGGGGGGAGGCGGAGACTCTGAAGGTGTGAGTCGTGCTTCCCTGCAGCTGCTGCTTGTACATAGGAGGCATTGTACGTATTGTACAGAGCCTGAGAGCGCTCAAACTGGCCCGTCTCTGATCAGATGACTAGGTTTTCGATGTGCTGATGAGCTGATGTGGTTGCAGAGAGGGCGGAAATGCCTGTATGCCTGTACGGGCGACTGGGGCCAACTATCACATCAGAGGCACAAGCACGACACAAGCACTACGAGCTGAAGACAAGCAACGCATAAGCTGGATCCTCCAATGCTTGGTTGTTCGAAGAAGCTATTACGTCTGCAAAGCTGGAAGGACCGGGTCAGATGCCCTCTCGGAACACTGTTCGAGCACGCAAGTTGCCCAGCTGCACTCATCAGTAGACCGCCAGATCAGAACAATAGCCTTTTCCGGAGCCTTGCAGAAGTTCGATCTGCTCCATCCACTCGCCCCTCTATACGCTTTCGTCGTCGCCAGTGCCACAGCATCGACTGACAGAGCAGCAAGTCACAGACAAAACGGGCAACCGCTCACCCACGACCGAAGGTATAAAGAACCGCCGCTCTCATCTGCCCTCTCATCTTCTCCTGGTCAGCAGCTTGCATATTCTCTAAAGCATACAATATAAACCCAACCCCGTCCCATACTATGAAGCTCACCCTCCTCACCCTCGCCCTCACAGCCTTCGGCGCAGTCTCGGTCGCAGCCGACGACACACACAAGCCCGGCACCGCGTGTCCGGCGACCACGCGCAAGGCGTGTACGAATGACCGGACGCATGTCGTGAGTACCAGCCTCCCAAATCCCAACATACGGTCGATGTTCAGCCCGGAGCGGAGGGTTATTATTCGAAGACGGAGCGTTGCTGACGCTTCAGTGTAGTTGACGTGCGAGGAGGGCGACGGGACTCCACCGCCGTTGGCGTGGAAGGTTACGCATAAGTGTCAGGGGGGGAGGAAGTGTCATAAGGGGAAGTGCACCTAAGTGCACGCTCCGAGGGAGAGAGAGGGCTGCGGTGAGGGGATTGGAGGGAAGGTGGCCATCTGTGAAAGCCTTTGGGGAATGAATGGAGGAGGTGGGGGAACAACGACGGTTAACGAGGGACGCATGGTGAAGGGACGGCTAGGGGTAGAGTAGAATCACTCGTTTACAAGATGGAAGGAAATATTTTGACAACTGATGGGTCCATCAAATCCTTTCTGGAAACTTTTTGGAGATATACCGCCGAAGTGTTGATGTCTGTTAACCGGCACGTCCTTCCTGTTCATTACATACGCAAGGCTGAGCATGGCCGTGTCGTGATCATAAGGGGGTTTGACAATCAGAGGTGACTGCAAGTGAAGCTTCCGAATTCGGCAGTTGCGGGTTCTTGCATCGGCAACCGTCGACGGTTGATCGTTCTTCCATATTTCCTCCTGCACAACTACCCACATATCTACTCGGGGTATTCGCAGTGCACGTAAAAGTTGCATGTTATTGCGCCGTTGTAGACTATCGAAAGTCCGCCAGCCAACCGCGAGCATGAAGCACCATCTCATGATTGGGACCTGGTATGTGATATGTAGCCCTCCTTTCTAGAAGACCTCTTGGTTTATAGGCAACGATGGGTAGTTGACCTTGGACATAATAGGACACCGCCAGGAGCGATCTTCACAGTAGTCTTCGATGACGAGAAACGAACTTTAGAGCTCGTCAAACGAACGGAGATACCGAAGGACGAACCTATATCATGGATGACATTCGATGTAGGCCTCAGACGGAGACGGAAGCTTGAGACAGCGATGACTGACAGACGCACAGCACGCTCGAAAGAACATCTACGGAGCTGGCATGAAGAAATGGGGTTCGTACGCTGTCGACAGTCCGATGGACATCAAACACCATGCTTCGTTGCCAATGGGTGGCCACTGTATGAATGCCCTTGAACCTCCTGCTCTCAGTACTAGACCATGCTGACACGCTGTTAGCTCGAGCGAATGATGCCGATACTAAGACTCGTGCGATCTTCGTGCTCGCAGCGAAGCTTGCGCCATACAATGTCTACGGCAACCCCTTCTATGAACACGCGGGCTTCTTGAATGTCTTCAGCGTGGATTCTACCAGAGCTATTGACAAGAACATCCAGAACGCTGAGCTCGATGAGAAGTCTGCTATCCATGGCATGGTGTTTGATTCGAAGGAGGAGTATTTGTATTCTGCTGACATGTGGGCCAATAAGATCTGGACTCACAAGAAAGTAAGCCACTCTACCTTCCGTAGACGGTCATGCGTTTGCTCACCTCTTTCCAGGACCCGCAAACTGGCCAACTAACCCTCATCGACTCCACGCTCGCACCCTCCCCCAACGACCACCCCCGCTGGGTCGAGATCCACCCCTCCAACACCCACCTCTACGTCCTCATGGAATCCGGCAACCGCCTCTGCATCTACACCCTCGACCCCAGCACCCACAAACCGATCTACACCAACCAGACATACCCCCTCATCCCACCCGACTTCGACAAGTTCCATCCCAAAATGTACCGCTCCGACGTCTGCTTCTGCTCGCAGAGCGGCGAGTACCTCTTCGCTACGTCCCGCTCTAACAGCCCGGACTTGACCGGCTACATCGCAGCATTCAAGCTCGGGAAGCAGGGGGAGGTGGAAAGGCAGATCTGTTTGAACCCGACGCCGACGAGCGGTGGGCATTCGAATGCTGTGAGTCCGTGTCCGTGGAGCGACGAGTGGTTGGCGCTGTGTGATGATGAGAAGGGGTTTGTGGAGATGTATCGGTGGAAGGATGAGTTGTTGGGGCGGGTGGCGCATTTGGATATCAAGGAGCCGGGGTTTGGGATGAATGCTATTTGGTATGACTGAGTAACGCACGCTTTTCGAAGCTATTTGGCCTTGAGCAAGGACACGGCAACGTCGTTTCTCCAGCTGTCGATGGCCATCTCGCAAGATAGCTATCAAGACAGTCAATGCGGTGATGAACCCGTAGTGTTGCACTACAACAAATGTATCGGCTTCGTTGAAGTCGAGGAGGTGGAGTCGATCGAAATCAACTAATCGCGTCCGGACATAGCGCGTCTACTAACGTCGAATGATCTAACAATTTAAGCCAGCGAGGGCAGGTCTGTATGGACTGGACTTCACGTCGTTGTTCATATGTGCGTGATCGCCCCGAGTGGATGAAGTCTCTTACAATGGTACTTAAAAATCTGCACAGCAGGACCGCTGTGAGGGAAGGATAAAGGTGGAGACTTGGTACAACAATTGCTTTCTAAACACTTATGAAGCAACACAAGGCGACAAGATGCCACCCTCGTTGACAGCATGGTGCTTCTGGGCGGCCGAAGAAGTCATTAATTCCTGTAACGCTGAGCGCCAACCCTATGCCCCAGTTGAAGGCGTTCTACCGATCCTTGGACTCCCATCGAGCGCTTAGCAATGCATGTATTGGCACATCATCCAGGAAGTCTCATCGGCTAGCCAGAAGAACTGGTCCCATTCGCCACTCTGTGAGCCCTATGATCCCCCTCGGCTGTACTTCAGGGGATCAAATTTCTTGAGCTGCAGAAGCATTCGACAGCCATTCTCTCGGTTACTCCGGAGTATAACGTCGTTGGCCGTAGACTGGACGACCGATCTGACAAGTTGACGACTCCCAACTCGGTTGAACTTCTTTCGATGGGACCGGATGCGTATGGTATTCGCATCGATGACGAGCCATTGGTCGATTGAGGTGCGTGGGATTGTGGCGTTCTGCGACTGTGGCTTCTGCAAGTGCTTTGTGATAATCTGTATGGAGCTGTGACGGCCATGATTCGAATGTTGCTTGGGGCACGCAATACGCCAGGTGGTGCATAACCAGTAGTCGCAGCTTCGCGGACGGTGGTAGGTTGCTTGCCGCAGCATTGATGTCGGATAGGTCCATATTCACGTCGCCTTGTTGACGTAAGTCAAACCACTTCTCGATCACAGCGTTGCAGAAATGGTCGTCCTGGAGCATGTCGCCAAGCACGTAGCTGTGAAGAATCTGATCAAATTGGTGGATAGGCTTGTGGTCCTTGCTGGGTCCGTCCTCATCATCCAGATCGCTGAGACGGATTTAAACTACACCCTCCTCATTCTCATCACCCACTCCGTCGGCATTGCGAGCTTGCGGAGGGCCTGGAGCCTGGTTTTGAGACTTTTGTGATTGAGTCGCGTCTTGGCCGGTGCCCTCTGAAGACTGGTGGAACTCCGGCAGATCGATCGTTCCTTCACAGAGGTAGGTGAGGTACACATCGAAGTCATCCGCCACGGACTCGGGTAGCGGAATCGCACGCTGTCTGGCCTCTCGCCACTTCCCTGAGAGACAGTCTCGGAAGAAGCGCGAAGTCGCGCGGAGGACATTCTTGTGCACCACATATCTCTTCTTCTCTTCGCCGACGAGCACAATAATTTCTTCAGAGAAGTAGATCCTGCAGTCGGACGGTTAGCGAACCTTGCCTATGACTGTGGTGCATCAGTACTCACTTCATGCGCTTCACCTCGTGCTGTATGGGACTAGGCTGGCCGAGCGCCTTGCGCTTTCTCGATCCCTCTTCTAGTCGACTGATGTAACCGCCCTGGTAGTTCCACGTATCCCGCAGTGAGGCCGGCATAGTGCGCGAAGAAGTTGTCGACAGTTTGCTGGTGTGAGATCTTTTCGGAAGGTGAGATTCGGAAGGCCCGTAGTTGATTGAAGAAGGCTCGGACGCACACTAGCGCGGTTTTCCAGGCTTGCTGTGCATGTGATCGAGGTCGAGAAGCCCGACTTACAACGAATGAGAAGTCTTGGGAATCGCGAACGTATTAATTGCATAATAATCCTGCATAGAAGTTCGCATACGTACAACAGACGAAGACCAAAGAACCCTTCGCCTACTTCATCCCACTAACCCCATAAACGGTCGGCCGCCCCTTCGGCCTGCCAATGTTCGCCCCATACCCACCAGCAATGTTGCCCGGACTCTTGTAATTGCACACCGTAAAGAACGGCATCACGCCGCTCCCCACGCCCTTCAACCCGCCCTTAGCACTGCAATCCTGCGTAGCGCAGCCCACGCTCGTCGTTTTCTTCCACACGATCTGCGAGAAATGGCCCCAGTGGTGGAAGTCGCTCATGTCTGGCTTGTCCTGACCATAGAGGCCGGCAAAGTATGGTTCTTCGTTGTTGTAGAACATGTTCGTGATAATGTCCGAGACTCGCGTCTTTGGTACGCCTGCTGCGATGTTCTGACCATACCCTCCGCCATCTACTGTCGTGTTGTGACCATACACGCAGCTACCAGCAATCCTCGCAGCAGTGGCGGCGAGCTCGGTGGACCAAGTCAGGGCGGCCGCTGAGTGGTTCGCTCGGTGGATGTTGTGGTGGTGGAGGACGGTATTCTTGTAGTTGAATTTGCCTGGATAGCTTGGAGGTGAGCCGCCTGTGCCTGAGCCAGGACTGTTGTTACCATTACCGGTACTTGTTCCACTCCCACTGCCACTCCCAGCACCAATGTCACCAGCCTCAGGGTAAGAGCCTGGAGCGACTGGTCGCTTGATCGGAAACCCAGCGAACGGCTTGGAGTTGCCCTCCTGGTTCGGCTTGGCATCTCCATTACCTTGCTGATCCGGCTTCTTCAACGGCTGCGCGTTGCCCTGCTGCTGAGGATGCTGTTCTGGCTTCTTGAACGGCTCCGGCTTCTTGGTCGGTTGAGGCTTGTTATCCTTCTGCCCTGCCGGCTTGTGTGCGAATGGATTAAGCCACGCAGCAAAACCGTTCGGGTGCGCGTTGGCGGTCGGCACGTGCTTGGTTACCGTCTCGACCTTGGTGACAACGACGACATCACGCTTCTGCTTGTACAGCTCCGGACTCGCCGGGACAGCCGAGACACCCTGGCTGGTGGCCAGGAGGGCGGTGATGATGGTGAGTTTCGTCAGCATGGTTGCTTATGCTCCGTGGGCTTGGGAAGGAGGAGCAGCTGTGTTACGGATGGCGTGTAACGGAACTATATAGCAATTTCGTGTGTGTGAAAGTGGGACTGGGGCATGCCGCTGCGCTGGCCCTCCGAAGAGGGGGCGCCCTCGAAATTCTTTTACTCCATGGGAAACCGTTGTTGGAGAGACAAAGAGCGGACTCGCTTCTCTACGATGTGGGCCAACGATGGGCTGAGTGGGCTGAGCCAGACAGCTGGACAATGGAGGTAAGATTTGAGTTTAGTACCATGAATCTTTGTTTGAATAATCAGCCAAGCCGAAGATATTAGTGGCGCTGAGGACTGACCTTGGGAGAGAACGGGTTGAAGCTATTCTCTGTGCCAAATAGCGACGACCAATTCAGCATAAGCAAATGCCAGCTCGTTCTGGCATGTTTCGGCGTGTGTGGCGGATCGCAGGGTTCCGGCGGTACGGTTATTGATCGCGAAAAGGCATGAAGTCCTCCAGATTTTGCTCAGGTACGGTTGCCCGCAATAGGTGCTGCTTCCAAATCATTCTCGCAGTCGTCCCTAAGTGGCATCTGCCATCTTCGCATCCCTGGCCACAAAGATCTTCTTGATAGCTTCCTGTCCAGCAACCCACTTCTCCATCTCCGCATCCAACTTGGCCAGCTCATCCTTCTTCGCACCCACCCCCTTGCCCAACGCTTCTTTCCTCTTGACCAGAGCCTGCTTCTGTTCATCTAGTGCCTTGCGCTGGGAATGCTCGTCCTCGATCCTGGCGACCGTAACATCGTGCTCAGAAGACTCCGCGTGCTCAGGGTGCAATGCTAAAAACTCCTCGCTCGATATCATAGGGATGTCGGTGTATGTGTGCTTGTAGTCCTCGCATGCCGCGATCTCGCCGTGTAGATGTCGTTGCTCGTAGTAGAGGTTTTGGAGCTGGAGGTGCAGCGAGTCGATCTCACTTCGCGCTTCGGCCGTCCCTTGCTTGGTGCTGCGCACACCGAGGACAGCCTTGCGATTGAGGCTTCGGAGCTGAGCGAGGTGGGCATTGAGAAGCTTCTGCTGCTTTGATAGCTCGTATTGGGAGGCTGTATCGCCTTGTTCCGAGGCGTGGAAGGTGTCAATGAGATCGAGAATGGCCAGGCTTTGTTGGCGTGCTTGCGCCGCGGAGGTGAGGACGGATCGAAGGAGTGGGTCGGTGATGAGGTCGGCGGAGGCCATGTTGGCGTTTGTCGCTCGAGGTGGTGCCGTGGTAGTTGGATTGTCTTCAAGTCGAAGAGTTGAACAGGACAGGGCACTTTCACGTGAATGCAGATACGCTGCGCTCGGGCCGCAGAGTGGTTCACTACCTCCTTCACTTCACATCATCCACCTCTCTCAACTCTCTCTTCCTCGACTCCTTGGGATTTCTGTGGTATTCACAACATATCCAGCATCGAGCGAGCCGCGGATGAATCAACGATGCTTGAAGTTGATGCCGCTTTCACGTGCAAGTCTCCTATGTCGGCATGGCGGGGTTCAATGCTGCAGCAGCACGACATGGATGAGGGGAGCTTCATTTGTAATGCAAAAGGCATCGTCATTGTTTCCTGAGTTACAATCCTTCTCGACTTCAATTCCAAAGTCTTCACAGCATCGAAACTACTCTCAGAAGAAGTTCAACTTTCAATCGAATCCTGAGACTTCCTTTCTCGAACGCATCGGACTACGTCGACGAGAGTACCAGCAAGAACGATCCCAATCACCCACAACCGCCGATATGGCCTCCAACTTCTACCTCGACGGCACGCCGGACGATGTCAAGAACGCAAAAGGGCTGCATCTCTTGACCCAGAACACGCCCAATGGCCAAGGTTCGTCCCTCCAACGTTGAGAAATTAAGAGATGAGATCAATGCTAATCTATTTCAAAGCCGTCCAAATCATGCTGGAAGAGCTGAAAGATGTCTACGGCACCGAATGGAGCACCACCCTGATCGATATCTCAACCAATGACCAGAAGAAGGATTGGTTCCTCAAGCTCGACCCCAATGGTGGAGTTCTCCGTCCACCATAAGCGTTGAAACAACAGCTGACAATGACATGCAGGCCGCATCCCAGTCCTGGTAGACAACAACCAGTCGCCACCTTTCCCAGTCATGGAGACCTCTGCTGAGCTGCTCTACCTAGAGAAGCTCGCCGATAAGAAGGACACCTTCGGCTTCAAGGACGACCTGGAGCGCAACGAATGCTTGCAATGGGTCTTCTTCTGGCATGGAAGTGGTGCTCCTTACCAGGGTCAAGTCACGCACTTTACCCGCATGGCGCCTGAGAAACTGCCATACGTGAGTCCATCCGCACCTTTATGTCTTTGCCACTTCTCATCAATTCCCTTTTTCTAGGCCATCAACCGCTTCAAGAACGAAGTGCTGCGAGTCTTCGGCGTCCTCGAGATCCAGCTAAGCGGCAAGTACACCGGCGAAAAGAAGGAGTACCTCGCCGGAAAGGGCAAGGGCAAGTACTCCATCGCCGACATCAAGACCTGGCCGTGGGTCAAGGGTTGGGACCGAAGCTTCGAGCAGAGCGACATGGACCAATTCCCGCACCTTCTCGAGTGGATCGCCAGGATCAAGGAGAGGCCGGCTGTGCAGAGGGGTATTGGCGATGCTTACATGAAGAACTGAGTTATGATTTACTGCGAATGATGCTTGGCCAACGGGTTGGTAGGTCGAAGCTCTGAGCTTGCGGAGCATCGAGTACTGTCGAGCGAGAGAGATCAGATCCTACACCGTGCAATGCAACATGCATCCAGTCTTCTTTCTGCAGTGTCCATACGTCAAGTTTCTTACCTACCTGTTGCTCGCCGTGGCCTTCGCATTGTTGGGCAATCCTCCGACGTCGTATGCTCTTGGGGAGCGACACAAAGACGTCAACAATGCCTATTGCCTTTTTGATTCTTTCAGCCTCTTGGAGATGTACACGTTGTTCTCTAGGTCCCAGTCTGTGCTAACGTATCCCTCGATCCCTCCCTTCTCACTAGCCCATTCAAGTTACTGTTCACCATCAAACCAGCAACATGCCAGCCAAACGAGCAACACAGCGAGAGTTCGACCAGGAAGCGACCCACGAAGCACACGCCTCCTACACGCACAAGAAAGAGTCGGGTACTCTTCGCTGCACCATCAATATCGAGACGTTCGGTACGTACACAAGCATCCGACGTCTTGATGTCGACTTCTTCTTGCAACTGGCTAACAAGAAAACAGTCACCATTGGCGAGCTGATCGCCTGGTACGTTCGCAAAGACGAACTCACAGCCAAAGACATTCCAGCCTGGATCGGAGAGCTCTTGGGCGCGAGGGCAAAGGCTAGTGATGAAAACTTCACAGCTGAACTCCGCATGGTTTCTAAGATGCTGTATACCAAGTCCGGCGAACCGAGTGACTCCGTGCAGCAGTACAGCCAGCAGCTCGCGACCCCCAGATTCGTCTTCATCGAGATGTTCAAGCTCTTCGAGGACTCGCGAGGGAAGGGATTGGGTCCGCAAGTCTTGAGTTTGTTTCATGGAGCATCTATCCAGATGAGGACGACAACATCGTGAGTGTTCTATCGCTGGCGAGAGATGCGAGCACGGAAGTGGCTAACAAGTATACTGACGTCCAGGTCGAGCAGAAGCTACAAGCACAGTATGCCAAGAGTGGATATGCCACCTGGGTTCAAGGCGACCCTGACGTCGATGGCAGCGTTACGATCATGGGTCGAATCGTCCAGTAAAAGCCTTTGCTGTTGTGAGCGCCTGTTGAGGTGGGGAAACAACTGGACCCAGTGCCGGCGCTGCGGACTCTGGTATGAGTTAAGTTGATCATACATAAATACCTCCCACGGTACGACGGTGTGGATATAAGATGTTTCCTGTACACCCAATAGCACATCGAGACGTACGCTGGGACTTCATCCACAATTGCCTGTAAACAGCTATATCGCATACCCACCGCTATTCTCCTGCCGTGGCTCGCCAGCAGCCTCGAACGTCCCATTCGCAAGCCGCCGCAAAGACTGCGCGCTAGAACTACCAGGTGCCATCCATGTAACGTTATGCCCTCTCGCCTTCATGAAGTCAACAGTCTCCTGCGCAGATTTCGTCAGCATATGACCTAGACATCGTAGAGAGAATAATCGGCAACGCACGTTATCATAGGCATACTCAAACATAATCTGATCCGGAACCAACTGATCATGAAACCTCGGCCTCGCCAACGCCTCCGGAGCAGTCATGTTCTGATCAAGCACGTGCCAGAGATTCTGCAGCGTGGCGGTGATGATTCTGCTCCCGCCGGCGGCGCCGACGACGTAGTAGAGCGAGCCATCTGCGTGTTCGGCAATCGTCGGGGTGATGGAGCTCAAGGGTCGTTTGCCAGGGCGGATGTAGTTTGCAGGCGAGGGAACGTAGCCAAAGGCGTTCGAGGTGCCTGGGATGCTGAAGTCGTTCATCTCGTTGTTCATGATGACGCCGGTTTCTGGGACCATCAGGTGAGAGCCGAACAGCAGGTTGACCGTAGTGGTTAATGATATCGCCATCCCGCTGGAATCGCTGACAGCTACCGCCGATGTACCGGGAGTGTTCAATGACTCGAAACCGGATGGGTCGTATGCAGACACGTTCAGCGTATGGAAATCGTTAATCCTCGAGCGTATCTGAGCAGCAACCGTAGCATTCAGCATCTCCGTCTCAAACTCAAGCATTCCCGGCACGAACTCCGGATCACCCAGCTCGCTGCGCTGACCGTACGCAAAGCGGATGGCCTCGTCAAAGCGGTGGGTCGAGATATTAAGATCTGCAGGCCAGCCTAGAGTGTCGAAGCCTTCAGAGATCTTCATCACCGACATTGCGACAGTGCCAGAGGAAGGCGCACTGCAGCTGCGGATCTTGTAGTTGCGATAGTCGATCGCGGCCGGCTCGCGAAGAGCGACTGCGTAGTTCTTGAGATCATCCATAGTCATCGTGCCATTGTGGTGCTGTAGCGTTCTTATCGTGGCTTCAGCGATCGGACCAGTATAAAAGGCGTCCGGACCTCGTTCAGCAATCGTTTGCAAAGTGTCCGCATATCGTCGGCGCGTGATGGTGTCGTTCAGCTTCAACAGCTTTCCTTCTGGTGCAAAATCAATGGCCCAGGTCGGCTCGTTGACGAGGAAGTTGTCGATCCCTTCGATCGCTAATGCCATGTACCGGACGAGATCGTCGTTGACTGGCCAGCCGTGGCGAGCGACATGGACGGCTGGCATTACGACGTCGTGCCAGGGTAACACACCGTAGTTCTCGTGTAGGTGAGCCAGACCACGCAATTCGCCAGGCACACCACTCGCTAGGCCTCCGTAGATCGAGCTGTTCTGCAGTCACCATGTCAGCGCTGCTGCCGTGCTTCCGCTGGCGGAGAAACTTACTGTGTTGTTGATGTACCTTTCACACGAAGGAGATTCATCAGCCAGCGTCACAGAAAGATGTGTACAAACCGGATCTCGCTCACATATCCTGAAAAGCAGCCGCAGGCGCCGTCTCCCGAAAATCGATATTCTCAAAAGACCCATTACTCGTCCTCAGCAACATGAACCCGCCGCCGCCAATACCACTGTGATACATCCCAACGACCCCAATACACAACACCGTCGCGACCAGGCTATCAGCGGCATTCCCACCACACTTCAGCGTCTTAATCCCGATGTTCGAACATATCGAGCTCTCCGAAGCCACAGCACCAAGCTTGTCATTTCCTGGATCCAGCGGGTGGTGAGACACACCGCGCTCGTTGTACGTCCATGCCGGCGAGGCGTTGCTGGTCTGCGATAAGAGAAGTCCCGGAACCACGGCTGCTAGTGCTGTCCTCATATTGATGGTGGTAGAGATGGAGATGATGAAAAGACAAGAGAACGACAAGCAACGCATTCCCATGCTTTTACCAGGCGGCTGGTACAAGGAACAGGAAGGTGGGATCTTCTTACTTACTCCTCACCTGCGAGATGCGGTTGTGGTTGTGATCGTCGAAGTTCGCGAGAGCCTGCCTCATCCGAAGTCGGCTTCTTGTGATTGGCTGATGGAAGATTCAGCGATAACCGACCGACGACTTCAATCGGACGTGAATGCTACTTCAACAAGCCAGAGCATGATAGATGATTGTTTTGCACAGCGACTTCGATGAAAGTGCTTTTAACATCCTTCGGAGGAATCTAAATGCCGCCCAAAACGTCTGCGGATGATGAGTACGAACCTTCAAGCACCCGCCGTAGAGGAATTTGTGACTTCGTCAACGAGAGATACATGTAGCTTCCGTGCCCCGTGAGTTCGTCGGCGCAATGCCAGCTCTGGCAGTTGGCAGTAAAATCCGATGGATATTACTGGGATTTTACTGGAAGGGGAGCATGGCGAAGAGTGGACTGAAAACGGGCTATATCAGTGCTTTGCAGCGGTCCGTGACGATTAGTTTGGATCGCCAGGGTGTTTGCAGCCCCTTCAGAATGTAGTTTTCTTCAGGCTCACGGATGGGCTAGATGCTGTGAGGAGAGTGAGCAGAGCAGCCCACCTCATGTTGCCATGACTAGCATCAACGACTGCGGAGAATGTGCTGTACTCCGCTGGGTCTAGCCCTCGGCATGGCCTGTGGTGTGTTGTGGGATGCGGTGGGTTTGCTGTCGCTGCAGCGGGTTTCGCTGTAGTGGGTTATTTGAATTCAATCGCAGTCCGTTGATGAATGCAGAAGCATTGGAAATCCTGTCCTACCGTTCGAGCACTGCGCAGCCCTTGGGCACCAACACTGCCGGAGCATCCCACACGGACCGGACTCAACTGCCGTGGTCATGCTAGATGGTCGCTTGCGACTCGAAACTGCTTGATAGCAAAGCACTGTCCATAAGAGCCGCTTCCGCTTGACGAGCACATGTCGCCCAAGCCTCGGAAGCAGAGCCTCCAGGTATCATATGAAGCCGGGCGGGTAAGGATGATAACGATCCTCATGGCGCCACGTGGGTATCTGCGTATGCAAGCACACCTGTAGACTTGCATGTACATATCTCCGGCGTGGTTGCCGTCCATGAGGTGGCAAATCGGTCTCACATATCTGCGGAGCCGGAGTACTCTCGGCGGGTGTGTCCTCGACATCCCGGATGTTGCTCCTCCGATGGCCTCTAGAGCTCGTACATACCGTTGTTCAGTCCAGCCCGGGGCGGCGGACGTCCCTCGCATGGATCCTGCAACTATCAACCGATCACGACCGCATCATGTGGCATTGGGCGGAGCGTCGCCCGGAGGAGGGTGGCGAATGTGTACGTGCAAGTGCGACAGGCAATCCTCGCAAGCGAAGCGCCGGGGCTTACCATATAGCTACCGCAGTGTGTTGGAGCATCTTGAACGGGAGTTAAGAAAGCAGTGTCTGGTGTTGTCAAGAGCTTGAATGCAGTTCGTGGAGAGAAGGCGGACCAATAGGGGGTGGCGTAGCTGGGCGCGGCGAAGGTGGCGCTTTCGACTTCAGACGTCCAAGCATCAATGCCGGATGTGGCAGTTTCAATGCTCTTTCGACGTCAGTGCCCCGCACGCAGCATGTGCCGTGGAATGAAGTGGATTCGGAGCGACCTCCGCAACAGTGGGCCTAGAAGGCTAAATGCGTTTGACGTGGTTCGGCTCGCGGTAAACGCCAAATCAATGCGTGGAGCCCCGCCGATCTTGCCTCGAAGTATGGTATGTGTGCTGATCTGAGCCACGCAGCGAGGTGAGGCGGTGCAGGGCCAGACCGCGTCGGCTTGGACCTCGTCAATATTACTATCACGGGAACGATGGTCAAGCAGGAATCCATGTCTGTCTGTAGACGACCCCCGCGAGCCTCGGAGCATGCCATGGAATTGCGTTCGCCACCGACGCAACACGCAACCACCGGCGCTCCACCCGAGGACTGCTTGCTCGCTGCTGTAACACCCCACCCCGGAGCAGCAGGAAGGTTAGCCCCCACCGATGCCGTGCTATAGGGGTGCTCGCGGTGGTAGGCTCGGCGGTCCGTTGTGGCGAACCACTGGCTCGCTCAGGTACCGGTGTCCAGGATGCTGCTGAAAGAGCCCTTGTAGAGCAGACGAAGGCCATGTCAGACGTGACGAATAGAAATTTAGGAGGCCTGCTGATGTATAGCCAGTGTGCGGCTCAAGAACAAGGCGTACGCCCTGTGCATCAGGGTCTAGCTACGGTATCACGCACGTCGACGGTGGTGCTCAATGCAGCCCAGCCTGTCACTGACAAGCCTTATAGCGGAGTGCCATATAGCTGCCACCACGTGTGCCGCGGCTACTGTACGCTACACCACGACGCCGCACCGCATAGCACTCCCGAGTGACGTTGTAAAGATAGGATCATAGGACGAGGGACCGCTGCCTCCGGCCTCCAGTGCTCTAGATCTTGCCTGGCATGGACTTGCTGCAGGCCCCAGTTGCGCCTCACCCGGGTTCCGCTTTTCCAGCACCCTGGATGCTGGCCATTGCATTTAGATCCGGCAGACAAGGACTCGCTAACTTGGTGCATTTTACCTTAACTCATAGCTCCGAGCGCGGCTTCTTCATATGAGAAGCATGCTCGCGCAACTCTTCAACTTTGCTGCGCTTGCTCAGCACAATGGGTGATATCAACCTCGACAGCAACCAGGTCCGCGGACTCAGTCCCAGCCAAGGCCACGATCAAGGCCAGGCCAAGGCTTTCGCGAGCGATCCCGCCCGCCTGCCTCACGACAGGTAACGTTGACCTTTCACATTGGCCGATTTGGACGCATCGTTGACAACCTTTCGACCTCAGTAGTGCCGCATTTCAATCCCAGCTCGATTGTGTGAGCCAGCCGTTTCCTTCAGCGCCCTCGTCCAACCTTCCGTATGGCCAACGACCGATGGACATGGGCGCACTACGTGCTGCTCTGCCACAACTCGGCCAGGACCACATGGGGTCGCCCAGCCATTACGGCGCCGCAGGAGGTGTGGGCATCCCACCTGCTTACCGTTCTCACCAAACGCCACCGCAGCCAATGGATCACAGAGGATCAATGGACCCCAGAGCGCAGCAACAGCAGTACATGATGCCTCAGTTCAGTTCCATGCCTTCTCAAGGTTCCATGATGCAAAGGCAGGCGATGCCACTTCCCTCGCAAGGACAGTACCAGCAGTTCGACCCCTATGCGTATGGCATGCAGCCTCCCCCCATTAACACTTTTGACCCCCGCATGGCACCTCTCAATGCCTATGGCATGCCTCCGCAGATGGCAGGTGATTATGGGCAGTACATTCGCAGAGGCTCAGAGCCAGGTCCAATTCCGTCCTATCCCAGAGGGCCACCGCGCAAACCGAAACAATCAGGGAACGCTCTCTGGGTCGGCAACCTTCCGCCAAATGCCAATGTGACCGACCTGAAAGACCACTTCTCGAAAGACGCCACCAAAGACATCGAGAGCCTGTTCCTCATATCGAAGAGCAACTGCGCGTTTGTCAACTACCGGACAGAAGCCGCTTGCACGGCTGCGATGAACCGGTTCCACGATTCGCGCTTCCACGGCGTTCGGCTGGTGTGTCGCTTGCGCAGAGGCTCCACATCGTCGACTACTTCGAACCAAAACCTCGCTCCAGCTCAATTGGACACGCCGCCGCCATCCCACCACAGCTCTGTCAGCAGTTCTTCACAAACAATTTCCGAGGAAGCGTCTAGTCCGACCATAGTCGGAGGCAGCGCGGCACCCACAACAGACGGAGACACCACTACATCTTCCGCAGAACAAAACCAACGGGTACCAGAGAAATTCTTCATCGTCAAAAGTCTCACAGCCCAAGACCTGGAAGCCAGCGTCCGCAACGGCATCTGGGCGACGCAGTCACACAATGAAAAGGCATTGAACGAAGCCTACGAAAACGCCGACAACGTCTGCCTCATCTTCTCCGCGAATAAGTCGGGCGAGTACTTTGGCTACGCACGAATGGCGTCGAAAATCTCCGGCGAGCCCGTCAACCTCGGCGCTTCTGTGTCGCAAGCCGAGACCCCATCGTCAGGCGCGCCGCAATCTATCGCGACTCCCGCGACGGCTACCGCGCCAAGGGGGAGGATCATTGACGACTCTGCTCGCGGCACGATTTTCTGGGAGGCAGAGCACTCGGACAATGAGGACGAGGGGTCGCCGATGAAGGCGGACGGAGAGTCGGGCAACCAGAATTGGGGCAAACAATTTTCTGTGGAATGGATGTCGACGTCGCGGTTGCCATTCTACCGGACGAGGGGGCTGAGGAACCCTTGGAAGTAAGTCCAAGCCGACGACTCGAGCTTGGGAGATGTGTTAATGCTGACCACAAACGTCCTCACAGCGCGAACCGCGAGATCAAGATCGCCAGAGACGGCACAGAGCTGGAACCCTCAGTCGGACGACGCGTCGTCCAGATGTTCCGTTCCCCTCAAGGCCCCATGGCGCCGCACCATCCGGGCATGTACCAATAACATCCACCCACGACGGGAACAACGCGATGAGAAAGTATCGCAAACCAATCATCGCGTTCAGCAGCAGCATCAGCAAGGCATAGGAGGGAAATATCGCAAAGCATAGCGAACGGCCGGGAGGCAGGCCGTCCGGGCTATTTTCGTTCGTGACTCGCCTTGCGAGAATGGAATGGGGGTGCAATCTATGATGTAATGTAGTAACCTAGCACACCTGCACATGCAGAGACCAACAAGATCAGTTGTCAAATGGGAACGTAGAGATATGGAAAGAGATCACGAGATCCAAGAGTCATGACTTCTTCTCTCCCTCTCCTTCACCAGTTCTGCATTCCAAATCCTTGCTTACTACTATCAACTGTATGTGGAGGCCGTGAAGAACCGCGATGGACCGGTTCCTGAGCTTATAAGGATCGGTGCCGATGGAGGGAGATGTGGCTTGCAGCTGTCGTGGCTGGAGTCAGATCCGATCTGATCTGCGCCCGTTTTTCCAGCGGGGTGGGAAATGTGTCGAGCTAGGCTTGGATGGTGTGGTGTGGCGGGAGCGACGAGCGAGTGTTGTTGCCGCTGGACCGTTGCATGCAGAGTTTTGCATGTAATGGGCGGGGCGGAGACCGGCTCCGCCGTCGGACTGCGACAGAGTTTGGAGTGGTCAAGTGGTGTACCGATCAACGGCTGGTGCATATTGACATCAGAGGACACTACGGAGTGCTACTGCAAATCGTCTTGAGAGATGCATGTAACTGCTCCTCCACGGACCTTGGAGCGAGATGGAGTTTTGGGTAGGGGATCAGTTGATCATCGGATGGTATTGACATTGGGATATTGCTACCAACTGCACGGCTGTGGTGGTGTATGCCGTCTTCACCAACCCCAATGGGAACTCTGCCGAAGGGACGACGGCATTCACTTCAGGTAGGGCTGCAGGCAAGTCTGCCGATATCGATGTGTCGGTGTTAGGATAGCCTTGCATACCCACAGAATAGCTCGACCAGTCACGAAGCTCAGCGGAATTCAAGTCTGTTGTATATGGATTAGATTTCGGCCATCAGACGCCGGCACCAAAGCTGGATCTAGGTCGCCTTTCTCCTCGCTCCTCGGCTCAGTACTTTTCGCAGACGTTAGCAAGTGTCTCCAAACTCTGGGAAGAGAATCCTGCTCAACGGAGAACTTACCGGTATCCCATTGGTCAGCAACTGATAATAATCATACACGCCCGTCGAATAGCTCCTCTCGCTAACATGCACAAGATGCCTTACAAAGTCAGCAGCCTCCCGCTCCGACTTCTCCAGCACGAATCGCTCGCGGAAATGTTTCATCGTCTGCGGCTTGAAACATGGAAGTCCTGAGTCAAGCATCGTAAGCACTATGTGAGCCAGCTGCTCGACGTACTGCCGCGAAGCCAAGAAAGCTTTCACGCAGAGCTCCTCAAACATCCTGAAAGGCTGTGAGTCCTTTGACCCGCCCATCACAGCGACCATTTCAGGCGTGAGTTTGAACGGCGCTCGCTCGAATTTGACACCGCCAGGGACGACGTCGAAGCAGAAACCGAAGTCAATGTGGAGGATGTGGCCGGCGTCGTCGACCATGATGTTTCCGTTGTGACGGTCTTTGAACTGCAGGAGAAACGAGATGATGGAGTAGGCGGCCATGCTCTTGATGAAGTTACTGCGGGCTTCCTGGAACTTGATGGAGTCTTCGTAGCCGTACTTGGAGATAAAGTATTCGTAGAGGCCGTTGACTGCTTCACGACCGAGCATATCGCGCGAGATGGAGTTGGGCAGGACGTCGATTACGCCGCAGCCAGGTGCTGTTGCCGTGACGCGGTACGGGAAGACGTACACGTCCAAACCGACGTTGTTGAAGATGCCGCGGAAGGCAGCGATCATCTGCAGTGCAAGGACATCCTGGCGGCAGTCGTCGCCCACCTTGAAGATCGCAGACTGCCAGACCTCATAAGTCCTGGGCCTGTGTATGTCACCGTTCTGGGCCTGATGCTGGACGACGGCCTCTGGTAGGACGTCCTCCTTCCGGATGCGGAACGTGGCCATGAAGGGTGCTTTGGCATGACTCTGCAGCGGCTTTCCTGACTTGCGATCGATACCAATGACCACACCATCAGGATTGCTGGGTAGGTAAACGCCGACCTCGACCGGTATCTTACGCAGCTCCTCCTCAATCTTCTGCTTCTTCTCCGGCTTCGGGCTCTTGATAAACGGCTTGAGAGTACCAGAGATGCCAGTGACCTTGCCGAAGAAGTCAAATTCCCGCTCATAGAAGCCTTTGTCTTCTGTGGAAAAGCTGGCAATTAGAGCATCCATGACCCTGTCAAGCACTGGTTTGACCGGGTCAGGCTCCATAGATTCTTCGTCCTTGTAAGCGTTTGCTTTCATGTTCCAGATGATTTGATGGGCGAAAAGTTGTGAGAATGTCGCTGTCTCGATGATGTACCTCTCCACGTAGCCCAGAGCGTCGTATCGGAGGGTCTGCACGATCTGCGGGACGTAGAAGAATGTAATGTCGACGGAATGGCTCTCTAGAGCTCGGACGGCGTATTGAATGACGAGCGGATGATTGCCATAAGCGGGCAAAAAATATGTCACTGCAGCCATTGGGTTGATGGGAGCCCAGTACAGCAGGTACTTCAGCTGCAGTTTGACGTCCTGCGGCAGCGCAGAGCCGAGCAAGACGTACAAAGCGTCGGAACAGGAGATGACCTTCTCAGGTTGGCGGAGGATAAATGCTCGAACATCGTTTACGATGGTTGCTGAGTTCTGAAACCTGGTCGCAAGATGCACTGCGATACGTGGATCTTCGTTCCACGCAGTGCCCAGCAGGCTCGCAAAAGTTGCTTCCGTCGCTGCTCCGGCTTGGGTCACTGGCAAAGAGCCCTTGGATGGATCATTAAGCGGATTGACCCAGACGTCAAGTCTGCCAATTTCATGGTTGAGGAGGGCATCCAGCAGCCCTTGCTTCTGGTGCAGAGGAGGCAGCGAGCGGACAGACTGAGAACCTGTTGAGCCTAAAGTCTTGAGCATCGCCGAGACGTCGCTCAGTAACTTGATCTCAGCCTTCAGCTGGAGTCTGTTGCTTCCATACGACCAGCGTGGCGCGGTGGCGAACCAAGCGAGGCCGGCGGACAAGATAGCGTCCTTCAACCGCCAGCGAGCTGCGGTGCCAAGCTGCGTGCTGTACCTCAACACCTTCAAAGCCAGCAGGACAATGTGGAAATGCACCTCCCTTGCTAGGGGCTGTGTTACCGTATCCTTCATCGCAAGCATCGTGATGCGCATCAAACGACCATAGACATGCTCGACCGACGGCGCGAGCAGTCTCGAAGCGCTGAAGTGACTTGCCAGCACATGCGTAAGCCGCAGGTGAGGAGTAACCAGGCTGTTAGTGAGCTGCTGTCGCCTGCTAATAGCGTCCCATTTCGTAGGAGCGAACTCTTCCTTGACGAAGAAAGGATCTGGGTGGTGGAAGATGGAGCTGAAGAGGCCCTTCTTTTGGCGGATAGAGGTCTCCCAGCCTGCTGCTATCTCAACCAAAACTCGGGACTCCAGGTTCGGATTCTCCTTGACAATGCCAAACCAGAGCGATATGCCTAGGTTGATGGATTGTTTCGTGAACAGAAGGAAAGGAATGCCGACAAGATCTGATATCAATGGCGTCCGATCTGCCGCGCCGTGGCTGAGCACACCCGCGGCAGCGCGCAAAGTGTTCCGGATCTCCTCGTAAGACACGAGCTCATGCTGCCGTAATCGTTTCGCAAGAGCGGCTAGCCTGGTAGCATGCTCCAGGTTGCTGTCGTGTGGGACAAGAGGCGCAGCATTGCGTGACGTGCCGTTGTAGTCAACGAGAGCCCACTGCTCGTCCTGCCCAACAGCATTGTCGCCATGGCGGTACTCCTGACGTGTGGTGTACTGCGCAACGAAGTCCGAGGCCGTGTTCACATCCACTGCACGTTGTCGATCTAAGCTGCTGAGTCGTTGATCGGTAGATGGGATCATTGAGCCCATCTCCACCGCAAACGACCGCCCTAGCGCAATGTGTCCATACGAACCATCGTCTTCGTAGTCTTCGAGGTACGCTTGCAACAGGCTCTTGACGTCCATAGGCGCAACGTCGATAGCCTTCGCAACCCAAAGACGGCACCGCTTGTGGAAATTTGTGAGCGTCGTCTGTCGGTAAAGCACGTCGTCTGAGATCTGGACGGTCACGTGGCCTTTCTGAGACGTATATATGGCCTTGGTCTCGTACTCGTCTGTTTCGGCATCCAAACAGCTCTTCCAGACCAGGCTCAGCAGCTCCAAAAGGGCGAACAAAGACGACCTCTGCGAAAGTGCTGACGGAATCTGACTGATGATGCGATCGGCGGATGTGACCGCAGCATGTTGAACCTTGGGTATACGATGGCATGCGCCCTCAAAGAATGAGACGAGCTGAAGTGCGACCTGCGGAGCCGCGAAAGCTTGTTGTTGGCCGGACAAAGCGCGATCCAGATATCCGTCGACGCTCCTTTGCGCAATGGCCAGCATAACATTCCCCATCGTTGTCGTCTTGACCTTGTTCTCCAGGAAATAAGGCAGAATCGCAGTGCAGTCTCCTGCTTGAGCACGCGCGCTGCAGACCAGCAATGCTGCATTGAGGAACACAGCGTCAGGGTATGTCAGGCCTTTGATGTCTGATTCGCAATGAGGCAGGGCGCCGATGAGGGTGTTCTTGAGCTCCACAGTCCGCTGTCCGCTCGACCCTCGTCTTAGCACAGAGTTGAGGTCAATGCCACTCTCTGGCATGTCGACGCGATCCACATCAACGATTGGTAGACTTTGCTGGGCCAGCAGTTCGATGTCTTCGGCGTGCTCCCTGCTGGTGTTGGAATTGAGCAGAAAGCCGTGTACAACAATGTTGAACCACGCGTCGCGGCTGAGCTGCATTACTCCCTCCCTGTGCTCCAACTGCGGAGTGCTTCCAGCGTCACTCGCTGCCAAGACTGCCAGAGGCCTAAGTAGCTGCGCAATCGTTTTCGTGGCCAGAGCGATATCCATATTCCTGTCTCCAGCAGTGTCGCCACAACTGACCACCAGCTCGAGAAGGTGAGTCAGATACACTTCGTACAAAGGCGAGCTCTTGGGTATCCAGGCCGCGAGCCTCAGTCTGGCGTCCATTGCTGCATCCAAGATCGTGTTGTCGTGTTTGACTGTGGATTCGCTGGCAATTCGTGCGTACAGTCTTGCAAGAGACCTCAACGTGTCTGCGCCGCCAGCAATACCCAGTGCTGCTGTCTCCTTAATGATACGAGCATCAACGCCAGGGCTGATACGGCCAATCTTCTGCACCAGCATCGAGAGCACAAGCGCAATAATCTTCTGGTCGTTGTACGCAGTGGCAATGGATACGATTGCTTGCACCACGGAGCCGTATACTTCTGTCGTTTGCTCTTCATCAGATATCATAAGCGATATTTGACTACCAAGAGCCTGTTGACCGCCGTAGGGGTTTGCCGACCCGTTGACGCTGCCTGTACCGTCCAGAAATGCGGTGGCGCCATTCGGTCCATCAGCAGTCGTATTTGAACTCAAGACATTGCCAAGATTGTACAGCGTGCTGATTACCATATCCTGCGACAGTTGCTGCGAAACCCTGGCCAGTGCCTCGCCCGCCACTATGGCCGTCTGCGCAGGCAGCCTTCCCTGGACCAGCAATCTCGGCAAAGAGCGACTAAGACTCAAAGCTGTCGAGGAGGATGTCCGGCTCAAAACAACCATAGACTTTAGTACAGTCTGCGCAAGGTCTTCATCGGCCATCTGGACTGGATCGGATGCTATTGAGTCGAACCAGGAAAGTAGCAGATCATCGTCTGCAATAGCTTCGTTAACCAATGAGCAGCACAGATAGCTTCGCAGACTACTAGCTTTGACTTCAAGTGCAAGTCTTTGCTGCCACGCTGAGCTGACTTGCAAGTAGTCTGCATCGGCCTCGAGGAAGTCCATCTCTTCGATGATGATGTCGGTGAGATCCTCGAGCATGTCGTCTTTGTATTCAGGTGTCGTCTGTTCGATCGTCGGCCGACGCCTTGTAAGAGTGTCCAGAAGATCCGCCGTGGTGAGAGGTTCGGGCGTGGACAAAAGCAGAACAACGCTTTCCTCTACGACACGTATGAAGGCCTGCTGAAGAAGCATGGCACCCAGTGGCGCACCTCGCGCAGCATAATGACGGTTCCACCTCCTCCACTCTTTCATTGACCGAGAATGGCCACGAGCGTTTCGTACCGCTGAGAGTGCGCCCTCCACAGACACCATCAACTTTTCAGAAAGCAGTCGTCGAAGTTTCTGTATGACGGACAGCCGTTGCTTCGAGTCCCATATTCTGACATACTTGGAAACAGCTCGGAGAAACCCAAGCAACGAAACCGTGAGCTGTATTGCCGACAGGGACTGCTCCGCAACATCCTGAGGGCCCGCGCCATTGCTCTCTGATGCCGCCCAGGAGACCTTCTGCGCTGTCTTGGCCAACTCCTCAATCGTGTAGTCAATGCAACTCAGAGCTTGTGCCCGCAAAGATGGGTGGTTTAGTCCAATCGCGAGGACAGCCGACGTGACATCGAATGCAAGCGTTTCCCAGGGCGGCAGATCTTGGTGGACCGTCGAGTGTTCTAGCCTTTGACGGTGTGCTTCCGGTACGTACGGACCGAGTTGATGTAGTAGGTCCTCTGCATCTGTCGTGGTCTGCAGCAACGGAGCAGCTCTGCACAGTGCAACCAACACCTCCAACTCTTTCACGCTCATGGGAATGTTCGATGGTCCTGATGCATGGCCCTCTCCACCCAAAAAGCCATTTGTGTCGCCCTTATCCTTTCTCCTGCTCAGAGTGCACAGTCTGCGGATGTCCTCTCCATCATCTTGACCAGCGGCAGTCTGCGCTGACAGCGCGGCCAATTTGTTTAGAGCATTGCGCCGGATGCTGTGGCGCTGCCGATGTCCTCCACTCAAGGACATCGTATGTGTAACTCTCGAATATTCACAGTATCATTGTCCGGTGCTCGAGCAATGCGCTCTCTGCTACTGTCTTTCACATGCATCCGCCTGAGGTCTACAGAGACCAAGACTTATGGCACGGTCAAAAGTCGACCTCACTCTCAATACGGCAGGAGCGACTTGTGAACGAGACACGACAAGCAAAGCAGAGTGCCATTCAACATGGCGCCGAAGAAGCAGAAGAAACAAATGGGTGCATCAATGAAGCCAGACATGTCACGCAGCGACTCGACGGGCTGGGAAGCCTCACAAGAGCTTCAAAACAGCAGGATCAACGAGATGATGAACAAGGGCTCTGAACGAGTATGGATTGCGAGTCTCTCCTTTTCTGATGGTAATCTGACGGCTTTCCAGACCAAAGAACGCCGCAACAAGCGCAAGCAAGCCTTCAAGGCCTCGCAAGACGCACAGGTGCAAAGACTGCGGGCGAAGGTCGAGAGTGCGGCGAAGCAGCATGACGAGAACGTGTAAGTCGTCAAAGCGCAGAAGTCGAGACGGTCCAGCGTTCTCCAGGACCTCATTGAATGCGAGACGGACCCAGGGCGATCCAAATGCTTCTTTAACCAGCGACTGACAAACCCGCAGGCGAGCCATCCATCGTCCAGGGTTAGAACGTCTTCTCGAACTGGCCCAGAAGAAGCGCAAAATTGAGAACAGTATCGCGACGTGCCAGGCCGAACTCGAGCAGGCATATCTGTCTGCGGCACGCCAGCTTCAGGTCTCTCTTGAAGGTCGTTTGGAGGAGATGGACGAAGAAGTTTAGACGGAGGAGAGTTCCACAGAAGCCGGTCTTCTAGATCTCGGGTGCGGATGGTCGCTCAGCGATGAGATGGCGGTGTTTTGCTCGATACCCTGTACATTTACGCGTAGCTGTAGCTGTTGCATCTAACTTACTGCAAATCGAGGACATCGCGAAGGTCTTTGCTGATTGCGAGAAGCTGGTTCAGAGTTTGCCCTGTTTTACTACCTCGAACGCATGATCGATGAAGCGGCGCAGTCCGTACTAACAACATGGAGGTGAATACGACTGCTGCTTCGTCAAACGTTCGGGTGTGATGGAGGGAGATGAGAAATCGTCAGCCCCTGTTCGTGAAGTTTAGCGCCACTCCGAACCCTGTCTTCCGCCCTCTTCAACCTCGACACGAGCATGCCGCCGTAGCATACTTAATCCTGACGACAACGTCGCCGTAAACTTGTCTCCAGCGCATTCATATTGGAGGTTGTGGATGGCACAGTAGCGCTCAAACACGTTGAACCAACCCCCTCCGCGCGTCGCGTGCCATTCGTAGCACCCGCCAAGTCCTCCATTGGAACACACTCTTACGGATCGCACGACACAGTCAACGAGGATGGCGTCGGCGGTGTCGAAGCGCCAGCAGGCCCGCAACGAGCGGCAACTCCAGGAGCTAATTCACAGCGTGCCCGGGAACGACAGATGCGCAGATTGCGGCGCAAAGAACCCCGGCTGGGCGTCATGGAACCTGGGCATTTTCCTGTGTATGCGGTGCGCGGCGCTGCACCGCAAGCTAGGGACACATGTCAGCAAAGTCAAGAGCCTGAGTATGGATACGTGGTTGGCGGATCAAGTGGACAGCATGAAGAAGGTGGGCAATGTGCAGAGCAACGCGAGGTGGAATCCGAAAGGGGTACGAGCAGATATACCAGTGGATGCAGACATGGTGGACTCGGCGATGGAGAGGTATATTCGGCAGAAGTATGAGCTACGGACGTTGTCAGACGGCGCGCCAGCGGCGAGGCAGAATACGGGCAGTACTGGTACGGGTTCCTGGAGCGAGGAGCCGCCCGCTCTGCCTCCGAAACCTGGGAAGAAATTTGGATTCAACCTGCGAAGTGCCAGCTCGACGTTTCATCGGACCAAGTCAGACAAATTCATGCCTCCGCTCTCTCCAACATACACCGGGAGTGATAGATCGGCCAATGGAGATCCCCCTAGTCCACAGAAGAACAAGCCGAGCCAGTTGTTTGGGATGAAGATCACAGGCGTCGGTAACAACTTCGACGCTAAGCTCGCGACGTTACGAGACATGGGCTTTGGCGACAACAGGAGGAACTCGGATGTGCTGAAGAGTACGGATGGAAACCTGGACAGGGCGATTGAGACGCTGGTACGTGTCGGCGAAGGCAGCAAGGCAGCGTCTAGAGGACCGACGCCTGTACCTCGGACGATGACGCCTGTATCTATGGCGAGCACTGGCATGAACGGAATCACTGTAGAGAAGACGAGGCAGCCTGAGGCGAAGGCAAACAATAACCCCTGGGAGATCTCGGAACCCCCCCAGAGAGCAGCTACGCAGCCAGTACCACAAGCTTTCGATCCACCCCGGGCAGCGAGCGCCGGACCGGCATCGAATTCGTGGAACCCGTTCCTGGCGCAGATGCAACCTGAAGCGGGTTTGGAAAACAGCTTTCAGAAGCTACAAGTTTCGCAGACCGGTCCTGAGCAGCAGATGCAGCAGTTTACTCAGCAGCCACCTGCTGTTCCGCAAATACCTCAGCAGTATCAAAGCAACCCTTTCCCTCCGCAGGCGCAGGCGCAGAACCAGGCGACGTTCAACCCGTGGTTAACGCAGCAACAACCATATCAGTCTTTCACGACGGACTCAATGTATTCGCAGAACCAGCAACCGGCCGCCGCGCAGTCTCAACAGTCTGGCAACCCGTTCCTGAGGAGTACCAGATCTCAGACCTTCACTCCCAGCAATCCATGGGACTCACAGTCTCAATCGCCAGCGCCCATGCAACAGCAGCCGAATCCATGGGCGACACAATCGCAACCGCCGCCTCCAGCGGTCCAGCAATCAAGCAACCCATTCGGCGCGCCTCCTACGCCCTGGCAAGAGCAGAGTACAGCATCTCCAGCGCCGATGTTCGGACAGCAAGAGTACTTCAGTCAACAGCAGCAGTCGTTCGCGCAGCAGCCACAGACACAGCAGTATCAAGCCCCGCAGACGCAAAACCCATGGCCACCACGACAGCAGCAGCAGCAACAACCTATGCAACCCCAGCAAACAGGCATGCCTCCACCTCAACAGCAGTACCAACCTCAATACCAGCAACAGCAATTCCCACCTCAACAGCAAACCCGCCACGACAAATCCTCCATCCTAGCCCTCTACAACACGCAACCGCCGATGCAATCCTACCGGCCCCTCCAAACCTTACAAGAAGACCCAACTCCACAACTCCAGCCAGCATTCGAGCAACAGCCTCAGCGCTCCGCTACCATGCCCCTCGGCAACATGAACCCGTTCATGAGCGCCGCACCACAACCACCAGCGGCAGGTCCTCCGCAGACTGCGACGACACATGGGATACGGCATGTGAGCAACGACAGTGTGGATTTCCAGGGTATGGGTGGGAGTGGGAGGCATAGTCCTGATGCGTTTTCGGGGCTGAGCTCAAGGTATATGAGATGAGATGATAATGCAAGGTTGTGGGGCTGTATACTTTGGCGTTCCTTTTGCTTTTTGACTGCATTGCGCTGGCATCGCATGGTCCTCACGGGTGGCCAGTTCTCAGCATGGCGTGGCGGGAGCGGGGTGTGTAATGGCTTTATGGAAGGGATTGTATCGTTGAGCGCGGCGCGTTTGGTATTGCATTTGCTGTACAACTATTTGAGTAAGACATCCACCATGAATCTGCCATCTCCTCCGACTTCTCTCATGTTTTGAAGTCTGCGGTGGTATGTACATCCCTTGAATAGTCCTCCAGCGCCATCGTAACGGGCACAGGAGGGTGGAGGGGAGGCGCAGTGCTGCTTACACCGCTCCCGCGAACGGGTTTCGATTTTCCACACATAATGAAGTAGCTAGGAGGCTATGGGGCGAGAGCCAGAAAGCAGGCATATTGTGGTAGCATTGCTGCTGCTGCTTGGGAAGGGCAGTCCTTGCAAAGGACGGGTAAGTAGAGAGGACCCGAATCGTATGAACCTTGAAGGCGTTTGTGCGCCGCAGGAGGTTCTTCGAGGTAGAAGGAGAGACATGATGAGTATCGCAGAACTCTTGCTGGTGTTACTCCCATGTCGTTGAGACCCGGGTGCCATCGAGGCCTAGATGCAAGAGCCGTCGATCGTTGAGCCATGTATGCTCTGCTGCATTGTCGCGCTCAGAAAATGCATGAGAACGGCCATGTACCTGTTGCCGTAAGGCATGCACCTCGAAGACTGCGGCATGACGCTGGGGCGATGGTATGGTTGAAGCCTCGACGTCTGTTCCACCGCAAGCTAGGTCGGGCAGGTCATACCATCGCGATCGTGTGTTCCGAAGCATGAAGGAAGAACAGGAGAACGACGTGAAGTCCAGAAAGAGCCTTCACCGCACAGACAGCCTTGGCGCGCTCGCAACCTCATCTCAACTTCCGCTCTCCAATTCCTCGTCTCTTTCCTCTTCACACACTTCATAACACGAACGCACAATCAACCGCTTGTCCACACTTCAATGGATCTGTAGGTCATATTGGCGTACAAGAGCGAGTACTAGAGGCGCTTTTAGGCTTCTCTGCCTGCTTTCCATGGCACTGCGAGTCACCTGCGTTTTTGCCTCACATTTCAACCTACAGAAGGGTGGTGGATATCCATGAGAGATACGATAGAGCCTGCTGATGATTATGGAGAGTTGACGCGCAGTGCACGATGTGCTGCCACTTTGAATTGACGGTATAGTCTTCTACGGCTTCATACAGCGGGTACACCCCCTCCTTTCGAATCGCCGTTTCACATTTCTATCTGCCGGAGAGGGCCTGTCAGTCACTCATCAACACCTCTCACAGCATGCTATCACACCTTTAATGGCACTAATCCTGTCCCAACCATTCCCTGGTACCGCTGTCCTTGATACAGTAAGGTATCTCCTTCATCTTCGAAACCTCCCTACCGCCTTTACTCGTCCAAAGCGTCGTACCATCTACCACACCTCGAGTTGACACAGTGAAGACCCTCATCACAGTCTGCAAACGAGCACCGCGAGTGATCCACCTCGCTGCCGGACAAGTGCCCTTGCTTCTCTCGAATCTTCTTCATATCCACCTGCCTGGTTCCATCATCCTCCTCTGAGTCTTCATCGGCGAACAGATACCGGATGCCTTCTCTTAAAGCAGCTAGTAGCTCATCCTTCACCCTGCTGCCCATGTCGACTTCAATTTTCGCAGACTTCAGAACGCACTCAAACACCGCCTCAGTCGGATCGTCCAGCCGTTTCTCTGCGACATCGCTGTGCGAACATCTCACGTACTTTCCACGGAGGTAAAGAGGCACAAGCGCGCATAAGTCTCTCCTGGTGAAAACGATCCGAAAGTCCTTCAACCCCGTCATCTGCTGCAGCGAACGCAGGTCCGCAATACCTTTGCACTTACCGCCGCTCTCCACGACCGTCAGGATCAGCAGCCGCTTCACCCACCCCGACGGCAGCAGGTTCTGCGGCAGGACGCAGAGTCCGCCAGCTGGTTGCTTGTAAAGCGAAGCTTCAACCACGAAGGTCCGGTCTGCGAAGCAATCATCCAGGATTTCCGCGCGCATCCGCTGGCAGATTTGCAGGAGGTTGATGAAAGGTCTGGAGACGGCGTTGGGCTTGGTCAGGCGGCCTGGGCTGCGGTAGAGGTAGGCGTAGCGGTTGGAGGCGCGTGTTTGGATGGCCGGGAAAATTGGGACTGGGTGGTTGGCAGTGCCATTGTTCGGACTGGTTGATGGTGAGGTAGCGGTAGATCTGGAGGCGCAGCTCGGTGGGGAGGCGAAGGAGGGGTGATGAGCCGTTGGTGGGTGGCATTGATGGGGTAGCTCTGAGGATGAGCGGTTTGCTGTCGATCATGGGCGTGTTTGGGATCGACTGTTGTTGCCAGCGGCGGTAGATGAAGGTGCTGGACATCTGGGAGGCTGTCGAATCCTCGGCGCGTGAGGGCGCCGAATTGTCCATCCTGGACTGCTCAAGGACAGAGGAGTGAAGAAACCTTGTTGTGGTGCTTGGGCAAATACTTACGCTCGAGCGTACGGCACGTGTAAACTTTCACTAAGCGGATATGGCAACGTCGTTGCAACATTCACATGATCGAAACGAGGTGAACATTCACTTCCGACTTTAAGACCAGTATGTTGTCAGATGTCAACACCGCCTGATCGATCACTGCTGGACACCTGACACTAATAATTGAATTACTTCGACGACCACAATCATCAGAACACCTTGTGACCGGCGTGGGAGATCGTGAAGATATGAAGATGTTTGGCAGGCGTTTGCTTATATCAGTCCATCTCTGATTGGTTTCTCGGACGCCGAACGTTTCTCCAAGCCCCTCACTTGCACGTGCGTTGGTGTCGAACTTGGAGAAGAAGCGGCGGAATTCCACACAGCGAGATACTCGAGACGACATTATTCATGGCGAACGCCGAATAACTGGAGCTGTCTGCCGCTTTTCGTCGCTATCGCCCAATCGAATGTCCAGCAAAGTCACCGTCCCGGCACATGACAGGCTTCAGAGCGGGCGTTAAGCCTCTAAGTGCAGGTACAGACGAAGTGCAGTGCAGGAATGTGCATGTGGGTAGGTGGCTTCTACCTTTTCTTTGATCCTCCCGTTTGTGTGTTCGTTCATACATTTATCTAAACCCTCACTCCCTTCTTCTCTCTTTCCTAGACACCGCCCGGAAGACCTTCACGTACCGAACAATACACCCACATCAAGAGGAAGACACCCCACCACCGCCGACCATGTCTCCCACAGCAATCGACGAACATGTGCCCAATGGCCACGCCAATGGCACCCTCAACGCCAAAGCCGCCACTTTCACTCCGTCTTCCCAAACAACGACCCACCATGCCGCCTCCTCGTCGGCTGCCATGTCCACTGAAGCCACCCACGCCGCCCACAACTACCACCCACTTCCCATCGTCTTCGCCCGCGCCTCCGGCTGCAGCGTTTGGGACCCAGAAGGAAAGCACTACCTCGACTTCCTCTCCGCCTACTCCGCCGTGAACCAAGGCCATTGCCACCCGAAGCTCATCCAGGCGCTGACCGAACAGGCCAGCCGGCTGACACTGAGCAGTCGTGCCTTCTACAACGATGTCTTCCCCAAGTTTGCAGAGAAGATTACGGGCATGCTGGGCTTCGATATGGTGCTGCCGATGAACACTGGCGCTGAGGCGGTTGAGACATCGGTCAAGATTGCGAGGAAGTGGGGTTACAAGGTCAAGAAGATCCCGCAGGACAAGGCGCTCGTATTCAGCGTGCAGGAGAACTTCCACGGGCGGACATTTGCTGCTATCACAATGAGCACGGATCCGGAGAGCAGAGACAACTACGGCCCTTACCTGCCGAACGTGGGTGCAGTGTGTCCGGCGACGAAGAAGGCAATTCCGTACAACGATATCAACGCGCTAGAGCAGGCATTCGAGGCGCACGGAAAGGAGTGTGCGGGGTTCTTGGTGGAGCCTATACAGGGGGAGGCGGGCATTGTGGTGCCGGATGAAGACTACCTAAAGCGTGTGCGGGAGCTGTGCACGAAGCACAATGTTCTGATGATCTGTGACGAGATTCAGACTGGCATTGCGCGGACGGGGAAGATGCTCTGTCATGAGTGGTCGGGCATTAAGCCGGATCTTGTGTTGCTGGGCAAGGCTATCTCGGGAGGCATGTACCCCGTCTCCTGCGTGCTTGGGTCAAAGGATATCATGATGGTTGTCGAGCCAGGCACGCACGGCAGCACGTACGGCGGCAACCCGCTCGGTAGCGCGGTGGCGATCAAGGCGCTGGAGATCGTTGAGGAAGAAGGTCTAGTAGAGCGCGCAGCACGACTAGGCGAAGTCTTCCGCGCCGGCCTCGAAGCGATCAAGAGCAAAAACGACATGATCACCACCATCCGTGGCAAAGGCCTGCTCAACGCCATCATCATCGACGAGAGCAAGGCCAACGGGCACAGCGCCTGGGACCTCTGCATGCTGATGAAGGAGAAGGGACTGCTGGTAGGTCGGGCGCTGAAGATCTCCCACGTGCAAAAGACGACACCTTCCCCGAACGAGACGTTGATGAGCGAGCGCGCGGCGTTGAGCAATGGGGATGGTGCTGTGGGACATGATGGCGCTAACGGGGGGAATGTACAGGCGAAACCGACGCATCAGAATATCATCCGCATGGCGCCGCCGTTGGTGATTGACGAGGAGCAGATTAAGACGGCGCTGGGGATTATTGAGGAGGCTTGTAGGGAGTTGCCGGGGTTGAAGGGGAAGAGGGAGGATGAGGTTATTCCGCCGGGTGAGAAGGGTGTGCAGATTGGATTGGAGAATTGAAAGGTGGGTTTGAAAGGAGATGGGAGGCGGAGGTGAGTTAGGTTTGCCTTTTTCTTGAGTCCTGGTGCATTCGCTGATGGAGTTCACAGACCACCGCCACGCTCATGCTTACGTTACGTCCAGACGATCAAGGGGACAAGTTCAAGACTGCCCGACGACTGATTCAAGTGCTCCACGACGAAAATGTCGGTGCTATGGTGTGGGAGACGAGAGCACGACGGTGGATGAGAAAGACCCGGTAGAATGTAGATACCAACTCGTTGCATAGAAATCGTTGTGGCTCTCACGGCCCGCACCACGCTCATTGCAAAGTACCATTGCAAAGTATCTACCTCATCCAGCCGCCTTGACCATGAAAATCTCCTGCATTGCCCGCGGATCCATAGATGCCATGCGCTTCTGCTGGATGTACCGTTGACGTACGGCTTGTCTGTTGCCCATGCTGGCTGGAGCAGCCTGTCGTTGTACGGGCGATGGTTCTGGCGGAACTTCTGACGCTTCTGGTGCTTCGTCGGATTTCGACTTTCGCAGAGCTTTCGCTTCATTTCGCAGCCGTCGTTCCTCTTTACGTTTCCGCCGCTCTTCTTTGCGGGCGCGCTTTTCTTGCTTTCGGACGGCTTTATCGTTTGTTGTGTTCTTCGCTGAGTTGGATTCGTCCGTACCAAGCTGTTTTTGGTCGGCTTTCTTCCTCTTCTGCTTCTTCTCCTTTCGCTTCGCCCTCTCCGCGTCCTTTTCGACATTTGCGGCGGCTAGCTGCTCTACTTCGGTCTTGCGCTTCTTCTGCTTCTTCGCTGTCACCACCGCAGCATTCGCGCCATCCTCTTCGTCCGGGATCTTCCGCTTCTTCGTCTTGCCATCATCTCTCCCATCTGACCCTCTCTCCTCCACCTTCTTGATACTCGGCACAACCTCACTCCCCACTAACCACCCCCCACTCACGAATCCCATCGCCCCATACCTTCTCCTACCCTCCCACTCCCTCTCCCTCTCCCTCTCATCTTCCAACTCGACCTCACTCTTCCCATTCAATCGCCCCAGCACCCCAGAGAACAGACTCAACCCAAACGTCTCGGCGTTCCCACCAACCTGTGCTCCCAAACCAAGATTGTCTTCTCGCAGCAACACTCGAATATGAGACGCATTGGCGGCGGTGTAGTGCTCAGAGTGTGGGGCGTCTTCAGCACCGAGGTAGGAACCGGGGGACCAGCCTTGGGAGGAGAGGATGCGGTGGCCGTAAGAGGTGGTGGAGCGGGACCAAGCGGTGTTGTTGGGGTCGGCGGAGAGTTTGGTGCGGCTGGTTAGGATTAGTAGGGACGCAGTGATATAGGGGCTGAGGGGGTCTACCGTTTCTGTGCGCCGAGACCCATTGTAGTTGTCACATGGAGTTGATGTCCCAGTCTCGAAATTTTGAGATGGACGTTATTTCGAGGTGGCAGCTGTGGCTTGCAGGTGTGGCGTTATGCTTAACCCGCGGAGAGTTTCTTGGCAGCGCGAATGGTTGAAGGAACCAACTTCTTGACAAGCGCCGGGATGCGCCTGCTCGTATATTCCTCCTTAACCCTTACAGACGACCATTACCAGTCCGCTGACAGCCGTATTGGAACGCCATACAACGCCAACTCCTTTTTGTGGTATGCAACAACAGTATCACACCAACGATCTCACTCAACCGGCTTCAAACGCCCCGTAGCCCGGAACGACGAATACGAGCGCTGCCATTGAGCGACACAGGCACGTGAAAGACGTGACTACACTCTCTGAGTCTACTTCTCGGTCAGAACACAGCCTTGAAGAGAGCCAGTGACCATGTCGAGCTTTTCCAGCGCCTTCTGGACGCCGGACTACGCTGCAGGTGCGGGAAAGCGGTCCCAGGAAATGAGGACGCTGTGCTAACGATCAGGCAGGTCTCGGTGTACTATTCGGGAAGCTCCAGCAGGGTGTGCAAGAGAATGAACAGATCCTCACCGTTGCGCGCATGCGCGCTGAGGCGGAAGACATCTACGGTGCCCGATTAGGAGACATCGAGGCAGCCACAGGCAGGATAGATGGCGGCTTCCAGCGGGACGATGGTGCCAGCGTGAAGAAGGTGAGGATCTCGAGCGTCTTTCAAGTATGGCGAGGATACTGACAACAATAGGCATACGAAGGTGTGCGGATAGAGATGACTGAGGCCGCGCGCAACCACCGCAAGATTGGCTCCAACATCCGGGAACTAGTCGTCAACCCGTTCGCGCGCTGGTGCGAGCAGCATGCAGCAAGAGTGCAGAACAGCCAGGATGACTTGCAAGGGCGCATCCGCAACCATGACCGTCAGGCGGAAACCGTGCGGACGTACCGTAGTGCTTACTTCAACAAGTGCAGGCGAGTGGAAGACGTGGATGAGGAGGAGAAGCTGGCTTTTCAGGATCCAAGCTCCGCTTCCACTGGCTCGCCGAAGCAAGCACCGCCTCCACCGCAGAGTGTGCCTAGCATCAAGGTCGACGGAGAGGAGGACGAGCCAGAGCCGATCGAGCTCGGAGACCAAATATATCAGCCAGAGCAGGTCAAGAAGATGTTGACCCATGCATTGGAGAATGTGAGGCTGGGTGAAGCGAAAGTGCCCATTCTGGGAACGTACCAAAATGTCACGTCCGGCGCTGAGATTGTGGAATATATCCAAAAGCACATGGGCGGGTCAACGATCTCCTACGCGGAGAAGATCGGCCAAGACCTGATTGACAATGGCTTCTTGCGGCTGGTAGGCAACATGGGCAGCACATTCGCCAACAGTAGCAAGATGAACTATCAATGGAGGACGAAGGTTTTCGAGTTGACAGGCATCCCTGAGAAGCGACCAAAGCTCATGGGAAGAGCGTCTACTATTGCATCGAACGCCTCCGGCTCTACGCCTCAGAGCCCGGTTGTCGGAGACCGTATGTCGGATCTGTGGTCCAGCGGCTGGAATCCGCTCAACAACGCTCACCCGAACGAGACGTCAGCTGAAAAGCTACGACGAGAGGCAAAAGAGGCCGACGACCGGTACAAAGCTGCTGTGCGGAAGCTAGATGGCCTGCGATGCAATCTCGAAGAAGCGATCGTCCAGCATCTGGACTTCATGGAGCGCTGTGAGCTGGATCGACTGAAGGCGATCAAGAGTGTCGTACTGGACTTTTCTGGCGCCATCGGCAACGTAATCCCGAGTCTACAAAGCGGCGTGGACAACATGATGCTGTTCCAGGAGACGGTGCAGCCACTTGGAGATCTGCGGTATCTGCTCGAGAACTACCGAACCGGCAGCTACATACCGAAGGTGGTAACATACGAGAACTACTACAATAAGGTGGAGGAGCAGACGTTTGGCGTCGACATCGAAGCGAGAGCACGAGCGGATAGGAAGCGTGTGCCGCATATCGTGACGACGATCCTCATGTTCCTCGACTCGCATTATCCAGACCTTGAAGGCGATGAAGCACGGAGAAGCATATGGGTCACTCATGTGCCTTTGGCTGGTACACATTCGCTGCGCAACAACATCAACACCGGCAAGCAGATCCCGATGGAATTGCTGGAGAAGTACGAGATACCGATCGTCGCATCCGTGCTGAAGCTGTACTTCCTCGAGCTGCCCGACAGCCTTGTGAGCTCGCACGTGTACGAGATCGTCAAGACCATTTACACATCGACACAGTCTGGCTCTGAAGACGCGCGGATACAGGTCATCCAATCAACTTTGGGCCAGCTGCGTCTGGCGAACATCGCGACATTGGATGCTATCATCACCCATTTCTCGCGGTTGATCGAGCTTACCAGCGCTGATGAGGCCTATGTAACCCAGCTCGTGAACAAGCTGGCGCCGTGCATTCTCAGGCCCAAGCAAGAGACAGGGCTCAGCATGACGGAGAAGTACAATGTCCGTCTTCTGCGGGACCTGCTCGCCCACAAAGACGCCATCTTCGGAGAGTTGAAGCGTCAGTCGAGTCTCACGCACACCAACAGTGGTGCCACGAGACCAAACCGCGCCATCAGCACCGACGAATCGAATCGAAAAGAGGCCATGGAAGAGCGGCAGCGCGCCATTCTTGCCGCACAGCATGCTCAAGCGATAACGGGTAGCAGTCGAAGCCGCCAGCCCAGCCCCGGACCAGGGGCGCGAGTCCCACTCGCGGATGGCACGCACCACCGCAGAGACCGCAGTCGCGGCCCCGAGACACGCTTCCCAGTCTCCACTGCTGCGGCGCCGGCTTCCATGCAATCGCCAACCGAACGTCGCGTTGCCTCACCTACCTCCTCCAGTTCTTCTAATCACCGCGACAGCTTGACCGTGCCACAATCCCCGCCAGTATCGCGTACACAGCCCGCATCCAACACAACAACCTCGCCACCAAAGTCCCAAGAGCCAGCCCGAACCAATGGCATCCACCAACCCCCGCCCGCCGATGACAGTCCCTCTGAAACAACGAGCTCCCACCGCGACCGCAGCGGCACCGACACATCCCTCATCAACAAGCGCCTCTCCCTCCAACCAACCATGTCCGCCTCCCTCTCCGGCCCAGGCGACTACTCGCCCACACACTACTACAACAACTCGGTCGACTCGCCCACAACCACTCAATCCCCCACTTCCACGATCGCGAGCGGGGACGTACAGAAGAAGGACTCCCTCAGCCGCAGCAAGAACACGTATATGCGGAAAGGGCAGCCGGCGACGGGGCTGCAGAGGCAGAGTTTGACGAGCGAGAAGGCTGGGGGTGGTGCGGAGGCGGAGAAGGGCGTGCAGCTGGAGGATCGGCCGGTGGACTTTGATTAGGTGTTGAGTCCATGGGGGGCTGTTGATGAGGTTTTGCGGGTTGGGGTTGGAGTTGGGGTGGAGGATTGAAGCGCGGTCGTATGGATTGCATGGATATTGCATGGATTGCTAGGATGTCTATTTGGAATGAGGAGGCTGCGATGTATGTATGTACGTGTGTATGTGCGAGAAAGGAAGGTATGCATACGTGCATGACTCGAGTTACATTTCTAGTGCTCGAGAAATTCTATGTCTACACTGTCACTTTCCTGCCCAGAGCCATCTATGGGCAGCACCTGTGGTCGTCCCCACCCAAACCCTTCGACGCCCTGCCATCTCGCGGATCCCCAGACAACGAAGAAGGCGCCAGCCTCCGCTGCGCTGTACAGCGCCAGTCCAAGCCCAAGTTTACTCAGATATGCGGTCCCGAACTGCCAGGATCCGAATGGTGCGAGTCGGTTGCTTCCAGGTATGAGATAGTTCGTCGCTGCACTGACTGCCAGGATCGTCTTGGGTAGGGGGGATGCGAGGTACGATGAGGTGATGGAACGCAGCATTGCGTTCTCGAACGGCAGTAGCAGGAGGCGGACGAGGAAGCGGTCGATGCAATCCGCAAGATATCCTGGTGCGAGGAGAGAGAGTGCAGTCGAGCGGTAGACTTCGTCATTAACACGGCCTCGGTGGTCAATACGTCTGTTGTTCTCATATAGTATTGTAGCATACTCGGCAGGGCGATCGTTGCGGAAGGAATTCTCGTTATGATGGGCGCCATGCAGATTGTAACCGAGCAAACGCAAGATCTTCTGGCGCAGCAAGGCTGCTTGGTACAGGACACGGCCGAGTGGGTCACGTGGACGCTCAGGGTTCTGGTTTGCCCGCGGGTATGCAAAGTCCGCGAGGCGGTTGAAGGGCGAGTATCGCTTGGCGCAGGCGTCGGGGTAGCTGTTGCGGGTCAGGAAGGCCCAGCAGAGCATCAGGACCGCTGGGGAGGTAAAGTGGCGGAAAATGCCGTGCTGGACAACCGGTCTCCAGACATAGGCATGGAGAGACAAGGAGTCTTTTGGGAGGAGGATCCTCCAGCTGGGTAGCAAAGGCCATGCAGGTGCGAGACCGAGCGTGTGCGCCCAGGTGTGGTAGTGGAGTGGGAGCAAGGCTATGTCGACGGCAGTGCAGAGCGTCTCCTCGAAGGCATTGAGGACGGTTTGAGCTCTTCGCGGGTGAACTTTTGGAATCTCGTCGAAGAGAGTGCTATTCTCAAACCTGGTCCGAGCCTCACTAATGATGGCATGGCACGCGGAGTCTATCAAAGACCGGAGCGCTTGTGTTGCCCTCCCAGGCAGGAGGACGGAGAGTATACTTCGCCAGCCTCCATTTCTGCACAATATCCACTCGCAAACGACAAGCCGTCCAAGTGGTACCGAGAAAGGCAGGATGCCAGCTTGTATGCGGGCAAGCAGAGTTTCCGAGAAGACTGTCGCCACTGCATAGACAGCGTACCCGAGTGATTCGAAAGTATCTCCCCAATCGTGCTCGTCATGCAATATCATTGCCCGTTCCTCGGCACGCCGTTCTTGCTCTAGCCTGGCGGTTTGGTCCTTGCTCTCGACCACGCCGACAAGTTCCAGGATGGCATTTTGAGCGTGCCGCAGCTCTCGGTTGTGCTTCTCAGTTGCTGGGTTGATTGGACGGCCTTTGCGGTCGTACTGCTGCTGGTAGTGGCCATTGTCCGGACTTGAGATTCCTCCCTGGCTGTCTACTTCGGGTGGCGAGTCCTCGGCATCGATGCTCTCGAACGGAGACCTCCCCAGAGCCAGCCGCTCCAGATGGAATAATCTACCCATCAATCGGGCAGGATCACATGATGTTGTCCACAGGATGGTAAAGGAATGGCACTCAGAAAGGCGTGATCGGCAACATCGCGGTTGCTATCCCATATAAGCAATAGGATACTTGGAAGGAAGGACGCTTGTGTGTTGCTGCTTGACGAGTGGTCCAATCGCGTGCAGGTGTCTTGTTGTCGCCGCTATATCTCCATGGCCACTTTCGACATCTAAGAGCCGTCCGTCTAGCTTCGAGGAATGAGTCTACCTATAGAGTATATGATATTGATAGGTGAGGTCCGCGGAAGCCGGATGGCAGGCCAATGTCGGGGTCTTTTAGCGTGCAAGTTCTGAAGCTTAAATGCTGGCAAAACAAGCATCGCCAAGGCCCTGGACTCTCCTTCGACATCGCTGATGATCAGGACCGCGACGACGAAGGTGAGTGAGCTCTTCTACTCTGGCGCACACCCCAATCGCATATCCACGACTCCGCCCGGTGCCCTTGAACCTGGTCAGCACCGCTCTGCCATTGTTCGGCGACGCGACGACGACTCTCGGGCGCAATATGATCTGGAGAGGGCGTCACTGCTCCGCCGCGTCACGATCCCAACATCATCCCACTCGCTCGCCGACCGCAACCAACTCCTCTCCTCCCCTATATACATTCCCCGATAGCGCCAGAGTGGAGGCTGAGGTGGATGGCAAGGGCGCCTAGCTAACGATGAGTCGAAGTAGTCGCGACCGTACACCTCTCGTCGGCCGCTTATCAGCTAGCTCGAGCGAGCGAACAAGGTTAGGAAGACACGCGGCGGAGGAAGCATGATATTGAGAGGCTGCATGACCGCTGTTTAAACGAGTCAAGCCGGAGAGGCATGCCTTCCACGCCCGATGCCTCGCCCACTGCATACCCGTCCCCTTCGCCTGGCCGCCGCTTCTTCAACCGTATCAGTTCTCCGTTCGGCAACAGAGCTCGCAACATTCCAGAATTCGAGATCAAAGCAGACGATCCACATAAACAATACTCGCCGGGTGACGTGGTAGCGGGAAGTGTGCGTCTGCGCGTGACCAAGCCGACTCGCGTCACCCACATCGTTGCCCGCCTGCATGGCTACGTGCAAGTCTTCAAGAATCCAGGGTCGCCTGGAGAAAGCTACCGCGCCAATCCCGCCTACCTGACCACGCATCGAGGTAGCAAGTCCGGCGAGTACTTTGGCAATGGCTTCGCATCTCTTTTCGAGGACGAAGTCGTTCTCTGTGGCGATGGTAGGCTCGCAGAAGGCGCGTACCAGTTCAATTTCGAGCTCGAGTTTCCGGACCGCGACTTGCCAAGCAGCATTGAGTTTGAACGCGGCACCATCTGCTACCAGATCACGGCCACCATGACCCGGCCGACGACCATGTCACCGATCTTGACGACTGAATCTAAGGTGTATTTCATGGAACGGATCGACATTGCTCCGCTGTACCCGCCCAAGCCGACCACGATCACACTGGAACCAGTTGCACGGAGACTGCGTGTCAAGAAGCAAGCACGAAAACTGGTCGATCCAGCTGACAGACGGAGTCGGAAGTCTGGCTCTGGTCAACAAGGTAGCGATCCCCATCGAGATAGCGAGACTTCTTCGGTTCCAACATCCAGCGTGGAAACCGATGTACCACAGAGTCCTGGCGCGAGTGAGATGAGCTCGACCAGCGGCGAGGGTAGCCAAGGCCAGGAGTCTCGATATGAGATCAGGCAGACGACTTCTCCAACAGCATCTAGAGCTAATACCAGCAAAACTTCACTGCCCTACAAGGTCATCACCACCAGAATCGAGTCACAGGCAGGCGGATGCTTGAGAGGTGATAGTATCCCTGTCAAGATCAACGTCGATCACACGAAACAGGTGAAGAGCATGCACGGAGTGATCGTCACTTTGTACCGTGTGGCTCGAGTCGACATGCGACCTTCAATCCCATTGGGACCGACCGAAAAAGGCAAGGATGCTAAGTTCGAGGAGTACTACCCCAAATCAATGACTGGTCTTGGCGGTCTGTCCCTGTCTGGAGCAGGATCCAGCCATGTCTTTCGAAAGGACTTGTCGCAGACTATGGCTCCGCTCTACATCGATCCGCAGTCGCTGACGGCGGAGATCAACACACGAGTACGAGTGCCGGAAGAGGCTTTTCCTACCATTTCGACCGTACCCGGCCAGATGATCAGCTTCAAGTACTATGTTGAAGTGGTGCTGGATGTTCAAGGTCGCTTAGCAGGTCAGGACCGGACCTTCTCGAACCTGCCTGGCCAAGCAGGATTGCTGAAAAACAATCTTAGCATGGACGTGAACGACACAGAGCGATCGGCGTTTACGCCGTTTGGGTCGACTATCATTGACACTGCCTCTATTCGTCGCGATAAAAGTGTTGTCGCCAGTAGCTTTGAGGTCATCGTGGGGACCAAGGACAGCGAAAGAAAGAAAGGCAAGCGGAAGATGGTGGACGCTGTGGCCACACAACAGGATGCGCCCAATGAGTGGCCAAGAGAACACGAAGAGACCGAACAACCACACCAAGCACATAATCCGCACCCCGGATACGATTGGTACGACGCAGCGGCGTACGAGGATCCGAGGTACTATGAGCAGCAGTACTGGTACTACCAGCAACATGGACACTTCATGCCAGAGCACCCACCCCTGGCCGCTCAGTCCCAAGGCTACGATGCGCCGCCTCCTCTGCCGATGCCGCAATTGGAGGACGAGTCTCAGATGTCTGAAAAGGAGCGCATACGGCAGGCAGAGACGCGATTACTACCCAGTCAGCCTCCAGGCATGGAGCCAGATCAAGAAGACGGACATCCTTCCTCCGCGCCCACTGCGCCGTACCTGCCAGAGGAAAACGGGAATGGACATGCGCCTCCAGCATGGCATGCCGGACCAAGTTCGCAAGCGATGTCGTCCGGCACCAATCACCAGAACGGAAGCATGTCCCCGAACGGGCACCACCACGCCAGTGCGCCAGCCTACGAACCTCCCGCAGCCGGCTCATCCGTCCACGCCGCTGCCACTGCTGGCGCCACAGGCGACAAGCAAGAACTTCACCGCCAGCAGCTCGAAGCAGCAGCCTCTGCTCCGCCGATGGACGACGATGAAGATACCGACGCCGGGCCTGCGACGGCACCAGACCACGCACCGTCCGCTCCTACGTTAGAGCAGGCGAGCGGGGGGAACGAGGATGTACACGATAGTCACGCCGACGCGCAGGGCGAGAGTGCGCTGCCGAGGTATGAACGATAGGGTTATGAGGGCGTTCGAGGAGCGATGTATGGGATTGCGTTTTGTTTGGATTCGGAGGGAAAGGATGATACCTGGTGGATTTGTATGGGATTGGGTGGAGATTTATCTTAGTTGTCGTCGAGTAGTCACTTGAACTGACTATGAGATTCTCGGACCCTGAGCGCTTTCTTCTACAGCATTGAGGCACGGTTTTGCCAAGATACCGAGCGGGCATTTTGCAATACTCTGTGTCTAAGGTACTTCATTGACTGCCAGCGGTCTCGACCTATCCGTGGGTCATGTTAGCCATTTCCGCGTTCTCGGCCTCACCTTTCCATCATCGTCCCCACGAACATGAACTCTCGCACCGCCATCAGACGGCAAACGGCACAGTAACTTCAAATTTACCTGGACTGTATTCTAATTCTTTCGGAGGGCATACCGAAGCACAAGACTGCACCGTAGTAAGGCAGGCCAGAACGATGATCGTCATCTACGCCTTCCCCCTCGAGCAAGGTCGGTCAGCGGTCTGGATCTGGCCTTGGCTGTGGACCGCCTCCGCCGTCTTCACTGCACGTCCCGGTCCACTGGCCGTTGGTGCTTCAACAGGATGGGAGAGTTCAGACGTCGGAGGCGGAGGAGCGTCCTGAGTAGGGTTCAAGGTCAGCTTTTAACGGAAAGCCGATCTTCCGCAGGCTGAAGGAAGGTTTGGGAACTTTGTAGTCGCGGAGCACCTAGATGCCCACTGGACAAGCCACTGGTGGTGCAGGGCTTGGTGGTTCGTCGTAAGCGGCGACGAGCCCTGCAGCGGTAGCTGGCGTGTGCGTGGGTCCGAGGTTCGTGCGAGGTGAGGCCATGAGAGTATCTTCATTTCCAGGTTTCTGTTGAAAGACGGGCAGCATTCGGTGCTCTGGAACTGCTGGTTTCCGGGGCAAGTATTACCTCCATCTAATCTGTTGCTACGAACAAGCGACTGCAACAAACCTAGCAGATTGTCGTACACGACCCAGCGCAACGGATCACAAGTTCACAACCTCGCAGAAGACTCCGGGAGTCGGTGCCGGCGATCTGGCGATCCAGAGTTCTAGGCCTGCGAAAGACCCTTTGTGCGGCCCCCACGCCGCACCACTACGACTGTAACCTGACCACTCGACCGTTGGACTTTGAACGATCAAGTTCTATTTCCAACCTCACCGCGCACCCGCACAGATATCCGGGCGTCACCTTGAAGGGGGTTGGAGCAGTCGAGACACGCCAGCGACGTCCAAGGCGTAGTCTGGAGTTTGAAGGAGATCCGCTGATCAATCATGCCACTTGCGCCTGGACTCTGAGCCTTGCTTCCGGGAACATCGTGGGCCTGGCCTCGGGACTTGACGGGCATTCTGCCGTGTTTCATACTTCTGGGCTTTCGGTCAGGCACCTCTGATCAGTGACAACACCTTACCAACTGCACCGACTCGACGGATGGTCTGGCTTGGACCATACGCTCGATACTTCGCCAAACTGGCTCCAGGGTTCGGTCAAGCTGGAGGAACTAATGGGCGATTTACCGCCTCCAGAAGAGACCATGGAGCGGCGAACACTTTGCTTTCCGCATTTTGGGACTCGGAAAGTGCTGCAGACCGGTGACCCAGGCTTCAAGGAGGAGACAGACCGTCTCTTCCACAGCGCGAACAACAACGCTCTCGAAGCGCTTGTCCACCTCAAGACGCATCTACAGACACTCTCGACCGAAGACTTCTGGCCCGCTGTGGTAGAGGGGATCGCCAACATCATCGGCGCGCAGATCTCATTTGTCTTCAAGCGGATATTGGTCGACGAACATGACTCTGCGGTCGAGATGCCGCCGTATGGAGAGCCGGGATCTTGTCTAATGGCCTCGGCCGTCCACTATCGGACCAACGACGGCTCGAAGGACACGATCAAGGAGACCAAGTTCCATGCATACGGCTGTCCATGCACGTATATGCGCCACGACAAGGTCTTCCTCATCCCGGAAAGACTGACTGACTTTGTCCCACACAATCCGAATCAGCTTCCTACGCCGGCGGATGCTTATATTGCCTTGCCGCTTTTTCTGGACGGCAAGAATGTCGCTCACTTCGGAGCTATGTGGTCGAAGGAGGGCGCAGCCGAACGAAAGCTGTCCTGGGCGTTTATCGAGCTGCTGCTTCATTCCCTGGAAGATGTAGTTCTTCAGCGGTTTATTGAAGGTTCCAACTTTGTCCGACCTGCTACTGTTGTCAATGAGCGGCGCTCGGTTATTCCACACGATGCTATCACGGTGGCTCAATCCCTACGACCTTATGCTGGGAGCCTGTCTCACGAACTTCGAACGCCTATGCAGGGTATTGTCGGGATGCTAGATGTCATGTACACCACAGTGCAAGAAGCGGTGGAGACGCAGGCGGATCCGTATCTCCGCAGGGTTTTCGCCGAGCTGAAGGAAGGCATTGAAGTGGTGCAGGACAGCTCGCGACGAGCGGTGGAGGCCGCAGACAATGTTGTGCATGCTTATGACATGGACATGGTTGTGCCAGAACCACCGCCGCCATTCCTGGACGACATCGAATCTGCATCGCCTTTCTCGGCCGCGCCAATGGACAAGCGACCCGAGATTCTTGTAGCTGGAAGCAACTTACCCTTAGGTCGGAAGAGACGGAGGGATGAGGCGTTTTCGCGGGAGGGCAGCAACGCGAGCATCAACAAAACGGCAAAGTTGGAGAATGCCAGATGCGCGTGGGCGCGGGCTTCGCAGCCCAGCGATGAGCTGAAGGAAGGTGTACGTCAAGCTGGAAATCTGCAAACGCATATCAACGCCGGGGCTACGGTGGATGACGCACCGACAGAAGAAGATGCCGAACTCGCTACGAATTCGATGTCGACAGTGCACCGGATGATCGCGCCCGGGCTTCGACACACGAACATGCGTGAGGTCTTCCAGCACGTTATCAACGAAGGATTAAAGGTCGGTGGCCGGCCAGACTCAACGTCGGCGCAGGAGACAGAGACGGGCGAGATCATTGAGGTGCGGACGAGAGGGTCAGACGGGACCTCGAAGACAAAAATCATCGAGTGGAAAGTGCATCCGAATATGCCTGAGACGCTGTTCACAGACGAGAAGGATTTGAGCAAACTGATCTCGTGTGTCTTCTTGAATGCCATCAAGTTTACGGATCTTGAAGGTGGTAAAGTGGGTGTGTATGCGCGGATGAGTGCGAGAGGAAGGTATATCTCGATCAGAGTGTCGGATAACGGACCTGGGATTCCCGCTGCTTTCTTGCCGAAGCTTTTCAAGCCTTTCACAAGAGAGAACGAGTCGATCACGAGGCAAAGTGAAGGTCTCGGGCTAGGATTGATGGTGGCCAAAGGAATTGCGAGGAAGCTGGGAGGAGATCTGCTGTGCACCAAAGCCGTGACTGAGGGCTCTGAGCATGGGAGTGAGTTCGAGATCAAAGTCCCGTTCACAGCAGGCGAGACTATCAGCAGACCGGCATCGCCTTTCAGCTCGCCAGCACCCAACGGCACTTCGCTAGCACCCCTGGACATTCCAAAGACACCCCCACAATTCGCCGCAACCCCCTTCACCCACAGCCCAACAAAGCTCTCCCGAGCGCTTCACGAAGCTATCGAAGACGACCGTTTCCACGCAACTCCGCCCTCCCCCAAAACCAAAACTCGCCTCGACGCCCTCAAACCCGCCGTCACCGTCACCTCCTCCCCATCCACACCTCCCAATGGCTTCCACGCCGGCGCCGCTCGCCCGCGCATCAAGAAGAGCTTTTCCAACCCCGAAATCGACCGCGATCTGGCTTCAAAGTACCCTCTCACATTCCTCGTCGCCGAAGATAACAAGATCAACCGGAAGCTGCTCGTCTCCATGCTTTCGAAATTCGGCTACTCGCACGTGCACGAAGCATACGACGGAGCGGAGGCGGTGCGGCAGATGGCTGTTCCTAGAAAGAACGGGGAGCGGATTGATGTAGTGCTGATGGATCTGTGGATGCCGTTGATGGATGGGTACGAGGCTACGAGAAGGATTTTGGAGGGGCAGGAAATTGAGGAGAAGCCGACGGTGTTGGCTGTGACGGCGGATGTGACAGAGGGTGCGCAGGAGCGGGCGGCGAGGGTGGGGATGAGGGGGTTCATGACGAAGCCGTATAAGATGACTGATTTGCAGAGGCTGATTACTGAGTATTGTGCGAATCAGGCGGGGCAGAGGGTATGCTGAGGCCGATGGCCCAAGGCAGAAGCGAGGGAGGGAGCAAGATTTGATAAATGCATATACACTGAGATGGAGGACTTGATGACTATTATATACCTAGTGATACACCCATCGATCAATCGATAAATCAATACATCGAACAACACTCTACAATCTCAGTCTCGTTTAGACTACATCTCCTTCCCCTTCGGCACCTTCTCATAAGCCGCCTTAACCTCCTTCAACTCCCCAACATTGAGCAACCACTTCTGCACATTTGGATACTTCTCCAAACTCAACCCAGCAAAGCCGTGCTGATACACCCAAGGATAGAAGTGCAAGTCCACCGCACTCGGCGTGTCGCCACCAAGGATGAACTGGCTGCCAGACTTCTTCAGCTGCCCGTCTAGCACGCCGTAGCAGCGATAGCTCTGCTCTTCGTACCGCTTCAGGGCATCGTCGTTCTTTTCGCTGTGGTAGTGGCGGAACCAGTTTACTTGGCCCATCATGGGGCCGAGCGTAGAGATGAGGAAGCTGGTCCATTTGTCGAAGTCGACGCGGGCTTGTTCGGTGTCGCCGCGGGGGCCGAGTTTGTTGGTCTTGTCGTAGACGCGGAGGAGGTATGACCTGGACGGAGGGAGAGTCGAGTCAGCAGGTTACTTTGGTAAACATTTGGGACGAACACGGCTGCAGAGTGCTGTGTGGTGCGTGATGGTGTCGTCGTACATTACGGCGGCAGACTCCCAGCTAACAACGCCGGTGTTTGGATCTTCTAACGCCGGGACTCGTCCGTTCTCGTTGATCGCGAGGAACTGGGGGCCTGGAGGAACGGTCAGCGGATGGTAAGGATGGATGCTGGGTCCTGATCGTACCTTTGACACCATTGGGAGCATCACCAAATTGCCACAGTTTGACTTCGTATGGCAGGCCCAAGGACTCAAGGGCTGTCGCAATCTTGTAAGGGTTAGGTCCCGTTCCGTGTGCGTGGAGAGTGAGAGTTTTCATGTTGCTGGCCATGGTTGTCGTTGTCAGTTAAGAGGGAGTGTTAGTAGAAGATACTTCGATCACAAAAGTGAAATCACTCTTTGGCTTCAACATTGCGTCACAAACTCCACATGAGAGCTAATGCAGGTACATTCGATTCAAATGTTTGGATCTGGTACGGCATTGGCACGGCTGTTCTGTTGCGGAGTTATTGCACGCGGTGTTGGTACCGATCGTTGAACAATGAGCGTGGGCGTCGATGAGCTCCCAGCGTTCAATCGTTCTACATTAGGCTACGGGAACGGTCTCTCGAATGGTAAGTTAGATGATGAAAATATCGCTAAAACAGTTCATCCTTTCCTCTGTGGCTAGGTGACCACAATGACAGGCCACCAAATGACTGGTGTTGACAATCATGGCTTGCAACAACCAAGCGATCGATCACCGACGGACAGCTGCTGTCAGACGACCATGTCGTATGCCAACGTATCATCGCAGAGCTTTTCCCGCAGTTTGTGTACGCTACATCTCCGTCAGCGCTATTCATTTCGGCGACCATGGTACTGGTAGAGGGCTGTCTAACTTCTGGTGAACGGGGTGCTCCGCATAGACCTTGACATCGTCCGGCTTCTCCAACACCGCGATCAAGCCTGCATTGTAGCCTTTCGCGCGGGCAGCTGTGCTTTCCAGTGGCGGGCCGAATTCGATCTTGACTAGACCTTGGTGACAGTCAGAACGAGAATAGATTGAGTAGTCAGTCATGGGACAAATGGTACCTGGTATCTTGCCAACCATATCCTTCACCGTGGCTTCTAGCTCGGAGACCTGTTCTTTCGTTGTTTCTGGTTTGAGCTTGAACAGCACTTGACAGGATGTCAGCTTTATCTACGCATGTTTCCGAGGTAGATGCTGTACCTATGTGATGGACCACCATGATGAAGACCGAGTAATATGCTTGAGATCGAAAGACTCGTTGATTGGACGGGGTTAGAACGTTCCGCTGTGTTTGTGACTGCTGCCGAGTAGTAGAAGATGTGCGCAATAGATCAGAGGCAACCAACCGCAAGTCCAACGATCAGCAAGTGGTTGTTGGACGACAACCGACGTTGAAAGACGGTAGTGCACCTGATCGATGTCTGTTGTTCTGTAACCCTCCGGTTCCGGCCATCAAGAGCTTCATGAAGCTCACTTCTTCCGACCTCGCCTGCCTCAGAAGACCAACGTCACATGGCCAAGCTACTGGCACCAGACGTTCGTTACAACGACACGACCGCAGACATTGCAGTATCCCCTACTTGCCACAAGCAGCAAGAGGCAGGCTGTGGACTTGGGTAATGGGAATGTTGTTTACGGTTCTAACTTTCGATTCACTTTCCTTCAGCGTCTCGATTTACCTGGCTACGACCTGAATCTTGCGCAAAAACAACGACCGCTTTGCACCAGGCCTACCGTCCTATAGCGTCCACCGCCACCCCGGCACTCCATGATAAATGACCTCGCCTCGATCCGCCACCCTGTTCCGCTTGGCAAGAATGATCCAAGCAAGTACGCAGGTGCAGATCAAACACCCATTGAGCGCCATCGTAGTCGCCAGACCAGGCAGGTACCCTGGCGCAGTATTGCTAGTGTAGATATTACTGGCCACAATACCGGAGAGAGCGCCAGCAGCGATGTTGAGGATGGATGCGAGGTTCATCTTGGCGGAGCCGACGATGTTATTCTGCCCGAAGATGAGGATGGCGGCGTTGTTGGCTTGGCAGGAGGCGATGGAGAGGAAGATGCCGGCGTAGCGGGCCTGCGAGGAGAGGCTGGGTTGCGACATAACTGTGAGGCTGGTCAGTATGTCACCAATAGAGAGATGTCGTCGCGCGGCGGAAGGGGTCCTTACTTGCTAAGCCAACTATGCCGAGACTGGTTTGGACGATAATGATGGGTAGACGACGGTGGATCTTGTCTGCAACAAAGCCTCCTATGAGGAGGAATCCCAGTCCTACGAGGTAGGGAGGCGCAGAGTATAGAGCTGCCATGACACCCGAATATCCCATGTCCTGGGAGGGATTGTCAGCCACTGAACACGTGTTTGGGATGAATATGCACTCACGGCTATGATAGAAGGGACAAAATATGCAAGGCCGTATACAGCGACGACGTTGCAGAAGTACATCCAAGTAGTCACCCACAAGGTCAAATCTGAGACAATCGTCAGAAGCTGCCCGATGGTCAATGGTCTCACGATTTACCTTTGCTGAGGTCCTTGAGGTTCTTCCAAGTGACCTTCTCCGTGGTCGCATTGCCGCGGTCTGCAGTAAGACGTTGCATGACTGTTTCTCGTTCTTCTGCGGAGAGGAACTTCGCACGATCGGGAAAGTCGTCGATGATGAAGCGTAGGCAGATGCCGATTGCTATGGTTATCGCGCCCTCGATCTATGAAGGCGGTACTGCGGTCAGAGATCTTGGAAGGCGATGTGGGTGGGTAGCTTACCGTGAAGATCCATCTCCACCCTCCCCAGCCGCTGAGTCCCTCCATCTGACCAAGACCATATGCCAAAACACCAGCAAAGCCGCTTGCTACAAGCCCGATGCCGTACAACATGGCGAGTCTCAAGTGGACTTGATATCGAGGATACCAGCTCGAACAGAGCAGAATCACGGCAGGAAAGACGCCCGCTTCGAAAAGTCCCAGCATGAAACGCATAGCAGCCAAAGCCTGCCAGCTATGAACCTGACCTTGAGCAATTGTAAAGCAGCCCATGCCGATGGTGAGGACGGAAAGGGTGTTGGCGACCTGATCAAAGGGTTAGTGGTAGCCTCGCAGGTGCTCGCAGTGTGTCACTTACGCCAAATTTGACAAGAGAGAGGTTACTCGGGAGCTCGCCTCTGCGGAAGCGGTTAGCAGCCGTCGAATGCAGATACGATGCATCTGGCACTCACAGGATGTAGGCTGGGAAGAACACCATCAGTGCAATGTTGTACCGAGAACCGACTTCCAGTTGCAGCTCCTCCGCCATGCCGACCACATTCGCCTGGTGACGTTAGCATTGGGTCCTGGGGTTGGATGTAGAGAGGACGTACTTGGCCAATGTTGATACGATCGATGATCGAAAGTGCGTACACAATGCCGACGGGGATGATCAAACGAATGTCGATTTTGAGCTGCGTCTTGCGAGGGAGTCGGGAAATCTCAGGAGTGACTTCCTGGACAGCGTTCGACTCGATCTCCAACGCATGGCCAACCTCTTCGAGGTGTTGCTTCTCCGCGCTGAGGCGTGCCATGGTGATGGGCTGAGAATGCTGAACAGAATCTGGTGCGATGTTTGAAGAAGGCAGAGGACATCTTTGAGCCACTGTTATGTTCTCCAACAGCTTGGTACTCCGCAAGTGTCACCAGCTCGTGCATATTCCCCGCATAAAGCAAAGCCGAATCGGGGTCGGTGGGAGTGGGATGGCGTATCCCCACAGCAAAATTGCCGGATTTTGGAGTTGAAACCAAGGTCATGCGAGGGTCGTCTGCGAGCGACTCCTCAAACGCGAGATCTCGAGCGAGCCAGTCGTCCCCTTATCCGATAATGAAATCAGAATCCTGAAATGACCAGCCAAGGGTAGCTCCGATTGATATTGTTGGCAGCCCAAAGCTGGGCAGAACGACCCGGGACATTGTGGCCACGGCGATCCTCAACCGGTATGCAGCGGCGTTTGGAAATGCTATAACCCAGGCTCGCAGATAGCTTCAAAGTCCGACTGTCGAGACGAGCTGGTTGGCTGCCTCTGGTTGTGCAAGTACATTCCCGATAGACGGCTATGGTGAGGCTTCCACTGCCAATGCAAGATGCTCGGCGAAGAGTGCAAGTGAATTGCCCATGACCTTGATGACTGCGAAAAGTTTCAGCCAAGGTAGAGATTGCCGTTGCGGAACGGAGACTCACCTCCCCAGACGCAGACGTTGTTGAAGATGGATGCCCATAGTCTCAGAACAGACACCGAGAGAATCGCGCGCCCACCATGCGAGCGCACGCATTCTTCGCCGCTCTCGTCAATGAGGTTGCTGACTAGCTCTTGCATTTCTACTTCTTCGTCCGATAAATCGCTGTCGGCATCTCTTTCCAAGGACAGCAGATAGAAGGCCAAGAACAGCGCGCACTCGAACCCAGTGAGGAAGTGCTCAATGGACCAAGTCAAGCTTGCCGTATGAGCGAACACACGCACGCCTGTCCGAATTGGTATTTGCAAAGCAGCGATAGCAGGATAAGTCGTCTCTGTCATATCGGCGGTGCGTTGTATAGGAGATCCGCTGATGCCAGCAATGGCCTGGAAGACCCTGTGGGCATCTTGTGTTCTCAAAGCTCGCCGGACGCTGGTGAAGTCGCTGATGAACGATGTTAGTAATGCTAGATGGGTGATGCATCTGACATACCTGTATAGCCGTAGATTTGTCACCCGGAAATGCGTCGTAGAGTTGAAGCTGATGGGACCGCATGGATTCGTGGGCGACATCATTGCTTCTGAATTAAGTCTCCATCCTGACTGCCACCGCTTCAGGGCTCTCTTCAAATTCGTGATCTGAGATTTGTCGAGGAACTGCTCTTTGAACGCACTGGGTGCTTCGCTGATGTCAAGATCCTGAGTTATGACCACTTCATCCGCGTGGAAAATCGTGCGAGGATTCTGTGAACGCTTCGCTACCGACAAATGATATGTCTGCATGAAAATGCTGAGTATGAGGACATGCCCGCCGAGGGAGCTGTAGCACGGAGCTATCAACTGTGCATCTTTCGCGCTCTCGTCCGTGCACGATAAGTAGGCAGTTAACGCTGTTCTGAAGTTGGGCGTGGCCACATGGTTAGCGGAGTAGAACTGACACCATCTTTGTTCTGACGATGCAGTCCACTCTGCTTCACTGCTCGGCAAAGCTATTGCACAATCAGCTAGAATTATTGGTGCGGAGACGCCATACACTTCTGTGATGGTGAGGCCAAGCGCAAACACGCAGAAGTAGAGGCGGCGGAAAGTTTCCAGTTGAATGAACTCAATCCACGAACCGGCCGTCGATGGCGCTTTGAAGTGGTCGTTCCCGGACTCTCTGCGCTGCGCTTCGTTGTGTAGCATGATGACAAGTCTTGACGCATCTCCTTGGCTTTCTTCAAACGTCCGACAGTCACCACTCCAGGCCGCAAAGGAGACGTTTAGCAGAAGACACTGCAATGTTTGCAGGTCTTCTCCGCCACTTGATGGATTCCTTGACTTGATCGCTATCTGCACCGCAGCACAAGAGGCCTGGTAGAAGGCCCACGCCCGGTCGCGTTCCAGGCAGTAGAGGGCACCAATCGAGAGGATTGCCAACACAACGGACGGCTCCAAAAATTCCAGTTTCAATGTAGGTATGTGCAGAAATGGCATGTGTGGATGAAACCCTCGGAAATAAGCTTCCAACCATCGCTTGAGGACGCGGTATGGAGGACAGTTGACCTGCCCGAGCAACGGCTCGATTCTGGCCTTCACTATGTCGTAGCTTTCACCAAGTAGAACCGCAGCTTCATGAAGTTCACCTGAATATCCTTCGCCGCTTGGCTCACTACGGCGCGATTCTTCCAGAACGCCGAAGCTGCTACCATCAACTGCGTACGTATCAGACATTCCTGGATTAGGTCGACATTCGTGAGCAGGCCCACGTAAGTCAGTAGCGGCAGGCTGTCCGACGTAGGCTGAATTGTCCATGTTAGGGACAACAATTGGTGCATCATTGTAGCCAGGAAATGGTAGAGCCCAAGGATCCCAGAAATGGAGAGGCTCTGCTTCGCCGGTGCTGTTGAACAGATTCACGAGGTCAACGTCAGTCAGCTCCCAGTCGAATGCGTAAGCATCGGGCAAGTCCATATGTGGTCCCTGATGTAGCGACTGAAGTGCTTCCTGCGGGGCTTCCGAGAGATCTGGATTATCATCTGGCAGTTGGCTTGAGCTGTCCGACACGAGTGACGCTTCGACATGGGGTAATGAGACGTCCGGTGGAGGTTCGGCAATGCTTTCGAGAGCGGGACTCTCAGAACCCAGCTTCCTACGTTTGCGCCTTTGCTTCCCATTCTCAGCCTTGGGTGCGTAGTCGGCAACAGTCCGCATTCGCATCGATAACCCAGCATTGGCACTGTGAACTCCTTTGACGTGACGACTCAGTACGTCCTGACGGTTGAAAGCAGCGGAGCAGAATGTACAAGCGAATCTTCTTTCCTTGGTATCTGCAAAGCCCCTCGTTAGGGTATGGCATATATTTCGTGTCTAGCATTGGAGCATACGTGCGCCTCGAATGTGCCTCGTCCTGTGTTCTGCTCGGACAAACGCCTTTGGACAATACGGGCACTGCTGAGACCGTTGCTGCTGTGGCTGTAGGTCAGGCATTGCTTAGCATCTCCTGCTTCGGACGAACACGGCGCTCATCTGTGCCGCGCAGCAGTGTCTACGGTGGGAGAAGGTGAGGTGAGGTGACATCTCGAGCTTGGAAGTTGGGGGAAATGGCTACTCATTTGATTGGATATGGATGATTACATAAGTCCCGGTTGCCGAGGTCTGCGCTAAGAAGACCACTTGATGTGAGAGAAGTCAATGCCTTCTTCCTCCGCCTGCGCCCACTCGTCCCTCATCAACCGCTCGTGCTGCTCTGATCTGGGCGTGATGGCACACTCAAATGGCTTCGGAATCGTCCCACTCCCCGGCTGCATGCCCTTGATCGTGAAATCCAACGGGAAACCATCGACGGCAGCCATATCGAACCCCCACATCAGTCTTGCAATGTTGATGAACAGACTCTTCTCCGCCACATGCATTCCAGCACATATCCGTCGGCCTCCGCCATATGTGAAGTGGTCTCTCTTCGTGCCATCCGCGATGGCAGCTGCTTGCGCAGCAGTGTAGGGGTAATCAAGCCAGCGCCCAGGCAGGAATTTGTCAGGTTCTGGGAAGCGGTTGGGGTCGAACTGGATCGCCCACCAGTTGGCCATGACGATGGACCCCTTTGGTATGAAGTATCCCTTGTACCAGTCATCTTCAGTGTTGCAGTGGTTGTTGCCGAACTTGTTGATCGGACGGAGGCGAAGAGTCTCCTTGACCATCCCACGGATGAACGGCAGATCACGCTCATCCGCGAAGGTCGGCGTCCTGGAAGTTCCTACCACACGATCGAGTTCCTCATGCGCCAACCGGATGGATTCGGGGTTCGACAGCGCGAGGAGAATGAAGTTGTTGAGCGTCGAGGACGTCGTTTCGCTACCCGCTTCCAGCAATCCGCCACTATGGCGAAGGTCAGTCAAACTTGTTTCTCTCTGTGGAAGTACGGACACACCATATCCAGGCCGCTTGGCTCTCATTTAACCCTTGTTTCTCATAGCTCGATTGCAGGACCTTACCAAAGCAATGAGCCGCGGTTCCATCCTCTATCGACCTCTTCAGTCGGTTCCAGAATTCCATGAAGATGGCGTTGTCCTTGTCGTGGAAACTGCGTCCGACTTTCTTCCAGTTCGAGAACATGTTGAATATGGGATCGTCTGCGAAACCTGGCACGACATCCACCGTCCACTGTCCTGGCCGCCGGACCTGCACGAAGCGACCAAGAACGTCAAAGATGTTTCTTACATCGTCACAGTCCCACTCCGGGATCCGCCACCCGTAAGTCACCTGGAAGATGACGCTCGCTGCATAGCGCCGGTTATGCTTGTAGAAGTCGCGAGGCTTGTTGAGCAAATCGACGCTGAGTTGTTTTGCCTCGAAACCTTGGATAACGGAATATTCTTCCGCCATCTTCGGGGTGAGAACTTTATGGAAGACGGCGCGCGAAGTCCTCCAGATTGCATTGTACGGGGAGAGAGTAATTCTTTTGCCTCCCGTTGCATATTGAAATGCCATTGGCATCTCATGCCGACTGGAGTAGATCGCTGAACGCCTGTCGAAAAGCTCTTTGACGGATTCAGGAGAGTTGAGCCAGATGAAGGTTGTGACCCCGGCCTTGGTCCTGAAGATTTCGCCGTATTTCTCTGCCCATCCGCGAAGAATGGGCGGTGCGTCTTCCTGCTGTTGCAACAGTGTCTGGTTGACAATTGGCCATCCTGGAACTTCTGGAGGTAGGTGCCGATGACGTTTATCGTATGTTGCAATCTTGTACCCAACGAGTGCAAATCCAGCGATAACCAAGGTGGAAAGGAAGAAATGATGTTGAACGAAGAGCAACAAGCCTGAGAAGCGGTCGTTTGCAGCCATGGTGAGAGTGGCGATGGGCTCAGAAGCGCAATCGCGAGTGATCTCTCTCCTCCGCAGCGAACCTGTAGCTTAAGCTTCTCCACGCTTCCCATTTGACTCAGTATCCGGGTGTTGTGCACACTGCCAGTGGAAGATGTGGAGAGATTGCCCTATTGGGCATTTATCCCACAAGCGGGTGAGCTGTCGATCAACTCGGCTAGCAGAGGACGACCTCAAAGACAGCACAGCGTTAGAACAAATCCACGGACGGCAGTTGGACAACGAGAGCGGCACTCGACAGTGCTAAGAGCAACCGGAGAATCGACGTGTTGCCGAGAACAAGCTCAATCCGTTAAGCAGAAGACATGGTGTAACGGACCAGCATACTATCCTGGAGCTTCTGTCCCTCCAATCTCGTTCACTGTGCGCTTCCTACACACTTGTTCATGAGTCTGGGTAAGATGGACACTGAAGCGGCGGCTATCGTGGTAAGGTCCGATCTGACACAGTATCAAAACTCCCTTGACCGCATTCACAGGTTGGCGCAGGGCCAGTTGGCCTTCTGGTCGCGCTACGGCTTGCTCGAGCGGGCATCCACACCACCGTTCTGGAAGCATTGCCGGCCGTGGAAAACTCACCGAGAGCTGCGGTCTACCAGCCAGTTGCAGTCCAAGAACTAGATCGAGCGGGTATCTTGGGAAGATGCCGCGAGATTGGTACATCGAGTAGCAAGATCGCATGGCGAAAGGTGAATGGGGAAGTCATTGTCGAAATGTCGCGCGCCGTCTCTGCGGAAGAACCATACGAAAACTTGATTCTTGGTCAGCACGAACTCGCACAGGTCATTCTTGAGCATTTCAAAGAATGCCAAAGCTCTCGCATTCTGTTCCGCCATCGTGTTACGGCTTTCGAACAGGACGCGGAGGGCGTCACCTTGACGGTGGAAACGCCAGATGGTGTTAGGAAGTTCGGCACATCGTATGTGGTGGGTGCGGATGGCGGTCGTAGCACCGTTCGCCAGTTGTGTGGCGACCCGTTTGAAGGTTTCACCTGGCCTCAGCAGATTGTGGCGACCAACGTCGTGTATCCCTTCGACGAACATGGGTACACCACAGGAAATAACATTATGTGAGTCCGCTCCCGCTCGAAGCGACGTCGAGTCCTTGCTGACGGCCTTCAGCGATAAAGATCACTACTGCATCATCGCGAAGCTGAACGAGTCTGGTCTGTGGAGGGTCTCGTACGGAGAACCTGGAGGCCTTTCGATTGAGCAGCTTCGCGAACGACTCCCGATGAAGTACGAGGCCATCTTCCCGGGCCCCAGACCACTTGAGTACGACTTGAAGATGTTCTCGCCGTATCGCATTCACCAGAGATGCGCGAAGTCATTCCGGTTTGGGCGTATACTTCTTGCAGGAGATGCCGCTCATATATGCAATCCTTTCGGCGGGTAAGCATCATACGATGATAATGTAGCTGCGATCACTAACGTTGCACAGCTTGGGACTTACTGGAGGTCTGCTTGATGCAGGAGCCCTTGGAGACGCTTTGATCGCAACGATGAGGGACGGAATGTCGGACGCAATCCTCGACAGATACTCCCAGATAAGGCGCGACATATTTGTAAACGTCGTCAATCCAACGACGCAAGCGAACCTCAGACGGTTATGCGAAAACGATCCAGATACGGCTGGAGAGTCAGATCCTTTGTTAAAGAACATTCGGCATGCCACTGATAGCGACCGTCAGGTGATTCGAGGGTTACAGACGATGCGGACGAACTTGTTTCCGCAATTGTAGCAGCAAGAATGGACGTCGGGGTGTGTAGCGTATTTGATTGAATATCAACTGCGCCAATCCAATTGCAGGCGTGTCTTGTTGCCGAAACAGCTTCCCACACAGATAAACAGGTGATCGAATGTTGTCAACAGATGCTCGCAGATAAAAAAGCCCGCACCTTACTGTTCGTGATCGAGTCTTTGAGTCTGTTGTCCCAATTGCTCCGCTTCCGGCCATCAAGCTCTCCACAAGCTCTCAACCAAGCCCACCACTTTCGACGTCACCTGCACTTGCCTAGCTACAGCGACCAGTCAACGTCCCATATCCGTCCAAATGTCTATGCGAGTGGGCGAAGGTGGAAATCGCCAACCTCTTCCCTACCCGGACACTCCGAGTAATGTACTGCAACAGTTCAACCTCAAAGGCAAGACCGTCGTCGTCAATGGCGCAGCTGACGGGATCGGATATGCTGTCGTTGAAGCAATGGCGGAAGCTGGTGCGGACGTAGCCTTATGGTACAACAGTAACTCGGCAGCGATCGAGAAGGCGAAGGGACTGGCAGACAAGCATGGTGTCAAGGCGAAGGCGTACCAAGTTCCCGTCACGGATCCGAAGAAGATCAAAGCAACGATGGATGAAGTGGTGAAAGACTTTGGAAGAATGGATTGCTTTGTGGCCAATGCTGGTATGGCGATTTCGAAACCAGTGCTGGAGATGTCGTTGGAGGAGTTTGAGAAGCTTCGGTCGGTGAATTGTATGTTCAGCAATGGTCTGCTTACAGTAAGTATCACTGACATGGTACTCAGTCGATGGCGTATTCTACTGTGCAAAGTATGCCGGAGCGATTTTCAAGAAGCAAGGCTTTGGCAACCTCATCATTACTTCAAGCATCTCAGGTCACATCGTCAACGTTCCCGTGGATCAGCCCGTAAGTCCCATACTATCTTCCAGATGTCCATCGCTAATGTGCCTGTCCAGGTCTACAACGCAACCAAAGCAGCTGTAACACACCTGGGCAAAAGTCTGGCCAGAGAGTGGAGGGAGTTTGCTCGGTCAGCAATCCAGCTTCTCTTGCTCCCGCAAAGTCGGCTGACCATCATGACAGCGTCAACATGGTGTCTCCGGGCTTCTTCGACACCGCGATGGGCTCATCACCCGAAGTCACTCCTGAGGCCTTGCGAATGACGCCACTCCAGCGATCGGGCCATACGAAAGAAATCAAGGGCCTGTATCTTTACTTGGCCAGCGACGCTTCGTCTTATCAGACTGGTAAGTGTGAGGTATCTAATCGTGGTTAGGACAAGGCTGATTTTTATGCTTTTGATCTCCAGGAAGTGATGTAATCATTGATGGTGGCTATACTCTACCGTAATGCGAATCCATCAAAGTGGTGGCATGGCCGATCAGCCGCTCATGTCTGTGGCGGAAGGCTGCTCTTGGTAACTTGATCCGCCCAGTCACGAGTCTCGTCACCGCCTACCGCATCAACCGCAGGCTCGACATCCTTAGCGACGTCCACTTCCGTCTCCTTCTCATCCATGACTGCTTCGTCAATCCTTTCACCCGATGCCTCACCTCCACTGGCACCACCAATCTCTGTAATGCCCTCATCAACTCTCGCAGCGGCCGCCTCATCACCACTTCTGCTGTTCTTCCCACCGGCCGCCTCATCACCACTGGCCCCACTGGCCCCACTAGCCCTCTCCTTCTCCTGTTCAGCCATCTCCGCAATCTCCCAGTCGTCCACCACAACAGCCTTCTTAGGCTTCACCTTCTCCACCGGCTTCTTCTTCGCAAACGTCACCTTCCCATCACCAAGCGCAGAGAACGCATTGGTCCCTCTCGAACCAAGCCCTTCACCAGGAATAGTGGCCCCCTTAGAGGACTTCTTCGCCGCAACCTTCGACCAGCCATCACCCGGTATTCCATCTGATTCTCGGCGGATGACGTTGAGAGAGCCATCAACAGCGCAGAGCTCTGCGTTACCGTAGCCTTTGCCTGATATGGCGGTGATGAGCGGTGTCTTGACGCCCTGCAAGACTTGCTGCAGATCGGAGCCGGTGAGGGTGCGACTGATGGCTTTCAACACCACCTCGTCACAAGGAAGGAATTCGATGTCGAAGATCAAGCCCAGAGCGTCATGAACCTGCTTCTCAACTTCCATTCTGAGCTCGTCGATCGTGAGCCCGAATTTGGGATGAGAGATGACGAATGCATTAAACGGCTCGCTGGAGGCACGCTTGGCATTCGTCTTCATCGCGCCTTCAGTATCCAACACATTCGCGCTTGCGGTCGTGGACCTCTGTGCCAGCTGCCGTATCCTCAGTGATTCTGCCAACGTCTTATTTGGTGCCGAGACAAAGCGAGGCGTCTTCCAGATCATGACATGGCGGTGCGGCTCTGGGTCCATGCTCTCCGAATCCAGCCCAAAGTCGCTTGCAAGTGCGTGAACGAAAGCACGCTCGTGCGCTTTCATCGGCTTGAAGCGGAGCCTCTTCTCCTCTGGCGACGAGGCAAATACCCGGAACTCGCGTTCTTGCGTCTGCGCCCACTTGAAGTGCGCTGCGAACAGATCGAGCGTCACCTTGTCGTAAGGAATGTGGTCGCCGCCTTCGACGTGGGTTGATTGGTCGATATCAAGTGCCAGTGCAAGCTTGCGGTTACGCTCGAGGCGTTGACACTCCTCGTTACATGGCAATGACCTCGCCGCGTTGCCCTCACTTGTTTTCGAAGCGCCACATTTCATCTCCTGCTTCTGCGCTTGGCACTCACATGTGATGTATATCTTGCTTTGACACGGCTTTTCTTCCTTGCATGGGAACGGTGCATGGCAGGTACTCTCCATGTCCGGGTGACCGCACGCCTTCTTCGGCTTCCCGCAGAGCTGTTGGCATAGCTGTCCGCCCGCGTCTTCGCATTCGCCAGGCCGGTGGCAGGGTTTTCGGCATGCATGCGACCCGCAGCGCAGTGTCTTCCCACAAACTTCACCACAGCGCACGTCTTGAAGCCAACACTGCTGATTCTTCAACTTCTTCTTCCCGCACATACAGTTCTTCTCGATGAGGTAAGGGCATTTTGGACATGCCTCGTCATCGCCATGGCAGTTGTGGGCAACTTGGGGATGCCCGCAGGTTTTGGGCCTGTTGCATGGGTAGCGACATGGTGGCGCCTTAGTACCGCATGGTAGGGGAGGTTGTAGAACGGTTCGCCCGCAATGGCAGCTGATCTCTTCAAATATGGCTTCACGGCAAGTACCACAAGGTCCACGATGGCAGAGTTCCTGGCAATGATGTGTTCCGCATTTGAGTAGCCTTCCGCATGGCAGGGTACAGATGTGTTCGGCCTCGAAGCTGTCGTTGTAGGCTCTTGTCGCAGAACCTAATGGACGCTGTTTCTTCTTCACACTTTGTCGCTCGGCTGCCTTTCGTTCGCCTGGACAGCAACGCTCATCGCAGTTATGACGGCCACAGTTGAGCAGAACCTTGCAAGTCCTAGCACATTGTGGTGGCTCCTCCTTCCCTTGATGACAAATCGTACGTGAAGTGGTGCGTCCGCATCTGCATTTAATGTCGACAGTCTTCATGCAAGATGCACAACCGCTAGTGTGGCACAGATTCTCGTCCTGATGCCCGCAAGGCAGCGTCTTGCCGCATGCTTCGGGACAATGTGGAATCGGATCTGAGCAGCTTTGCCGGGTGGTATCCGTCAACTCCACCAGTGGCGTCTTCCCGCAGGGACAATGGCTGACAACATCCGGTGATCTTGGGCAGTGTCCGGCCTGCGCATCCTGCGCATGGCAACGCTGCTGACAGCTGTGCTCGCCGCAATCGAACAGCCTGCCGCATGTCTTGCCGCAGTCGAATGATCCGATCCAGGACTCTGCAACATTGTCACCATTCTCGCCAACATGGGCACGGCTACTCTCCGTTTCTTCACCTCGGTCATCGCACAAGACATCCTTCTCTACCTGTCCGCAATAGCATCTGGCTGGCACGCGCACTTCACAAGCACCGCAGAGTCCTTCGTGGCAAGGTAGTGGGCATGCGTGCTCACCACAGGGCATGAGCTCGCTGCATGTCTCTCCGCAACTCCAGCCTGTCTCGTAGTCGGTCTCCGAGCAGCGCTTGGTGACCTCATGCTTTCCGCAAAAGCACACCTGCATTGGACCCATGTGCGCGCACGGAGGACACGGGCCGGCATGACAGGTAAGGTCGCAGTGGTGAGGGCATTTCTTCGCGCGCTCCTTGCCACACGTGTTTCCACATGAATGCGGCGGAAGGCCAGCGAGCGGCTTAGGATCGACTTCCTTGCCACACCAGCAAGCGTAGACCTTCGGTGTCTCGTCCTTTGGTAGATTGCAGCCTGGACATCTCCATTGCCTTGGCTGATCGGCCTGGCCGTCCTGAAGCTGTTGCTGTGCTGCTGTAGACCCTTGGTTGGATGACCACTTTTTGATACACTGCAAGTGGAAGACAGTCCAGCAGGTGTGACAGGCCCACACCTTCGAGTTGCGGCGTACTTCGCTCGTACAAATGGGGCATTCATAGTAGCCGTGATCGATGTCTTCGTGGGTTCGGGTTGCGATGTCTGGTGCCTGAGATTTCGAAGGCCGCCGTCTGTGTCGTGGTTGCTTTTGCTGGGTCGGTCTTTGAGCGGCCGGCTGTCCTGGAACAAACGCAGGTGCATCTGCTTGGAGTTGAAGCGGAGGAGCAGATTGATCTGGTGCAGAATGTTCTTGTGTGGTTAGTTGGCCACCGAACTGTCTTCCACTCACAGTCCGGTTCTGAGTTGCACGACCACCTCTGCCTCTGGGCCGTGCTCCTCTTCGTGATGCCTCCGCTGTTGAGTCGTGCTGCTGAGACGAGCCTTGAGCGGCGGGCTGATTCTGATAACCTTGATTTGGCCCAACGCTGGCAGGTCGAAAGCTTAGAGAAGTATTCCTATCCCCTCGTTCCCGTCGAGGTCGGCGGTGGCGTTGTCCTCGAGTCGTTGCGTTATCGGTCCCAGAAGACGGCTGAGATGGCACAGCGGGCTCCATGGTCGACACTTGATGGATTCCTGGTGTCGTAGTCTCCTCGATCGCGATGTTCGCTTGTGTCGGGTCCAGATGTGTGCGGTCGTAGCTGATGTTTGTTTCTAACGGTAAGGAAACGCAGGCTTTCACAATTGCAGCCCACTAAAAACGGAATGCAGCAAATAAGGCCAGGATAGCGCCCCCGCCGGTGAACAGTGAGTGACTTAGTTGTTTCGGTGAATACCCTAACTTGTCGGTCGTGTGGCGAGAAGTCGTTACTCATCGTGACTGGAGCCTCTTTTTGGTGAAGGACCTACTTGGGCCTAACCCACGGCAGCAACCGGCGCTAGTATCAGCAATTCGAGATCTGAAGCCGACATTCAATCTTCCAGTACCTGATACTCTCTCGCCGACTACACAACATGGCAACGGACGGAGAAGTGCCCCAGCAGGGCACGAAGAGGACTCGCGATGAGTCGGAAGCAATGAATGGTGATGCGCCACCGCCAGACGACGCCAGCGAATCCTCAGACGACGACATTGGCCCAGCGCTTCCAACGGCAGACGCGACGGCGCCTGCAAAGAAGCGCCGCAAACTGCCATATGAGAAGCAGTACATTGCTGCTCTCCCGCTGTCGAACCGCTACTCGAAGTCGTTGATGCACAAAGATCAGCTCAGCTTCTGCACCTTCACACCCCACACCGACTTCCTCATCACAGCCTCAATCGACGGCGTGGTGAAGTTCTGGAAGAAGACTTTTGGTGGGATAGAGTTTGTCAAGGAGTTCAAAGCGCACGAGAGCGAGATACGGGGTGTGACTGTGAGCGCAGATGGGCGGAGCTATGCTACTGCGGGTGAGGACGGCACGGTGAAGGTGTTTGATGTTGTTACCTTTGACCTGCTTGCCATGCTGGAGCCGGAGAATGGTGTGAGAGCAGTATGCTTTGTGCATGGCGCTGGTGCAGCCGTGCCTCTCCTTGCGGTATCCAGTGAGAAGGATGGGAAGATTTTGATATATGACGGTCGAGGCGAAAGACAGCAGCCGTTGCACTCGGTCGCTGGGCTACATCGCAAGCCTGTCCACCTCATGGCCTTCAACGACACCTACGACTGTATTGTCTCCGTCGACGAGAGTGGCATGCTGGAGTACTGGCGCCCTTCTGAACCGTTTGAGAAGCCCGACAACGTTTTCGAGATCAAGAGCAACACATCCCTCTTCGAATTCAAGAAGGCCAAGTCCGTGCCCAGCTCTATCACAGTATCGCCAACAGGAGACCAGTTCGCCACGTTCTCGTTTCCTGATCGCAAGGTCCGCGTCTTTCACTTCGCAACCGGGAAGCTCTATCGCACCTACGACGAGAGCATCACCACAATCACAGAAATGCAACAAGCTGGTACCCTCACTAATCCACCGATGGAGGCGATGGACTTTGGGCGACGTATTGCTGTCGAGCGTGAGCTTGAGAACCCGGCATTGCGCAATCGCGTCAACGTTACTTTCGACGAAAGCGGGCACTTCATCTTCTTTGGCAGTATACTTGGAACGAAGGTCATCAATACCCTTTCGAACCGCGTGGTCAAGCTGTACGGCCGGGATGAGCCATTCCGACCCCTCAACTTGACCCTATACCAAGGCCAGCCTGAGAAGAAGGACTTTGTTACTCTTCAGATGGCCGCTTCCTCCAACCCTCTCCTGGCTGAAGCAGAGGCGCGCGACGCCATGCTTGTTTCGACTGGCAGAGGCAAGCTACGTTTCTACATGTTTACCAACGACACGAATATCTCAAAGTCCGATCGCGATGTGCATAACGAGAAGCCGCGTAGCCTCAACAATACGAAGAAAGCACAGCAGGAAGCTGAAGAGCGTGAGAGTAGGAAAGCAAACTCCGCGACGATCCACACGACGATGGGCGACATCAGCATCCGCCTCTTTCCCAAACAAGCTCCCATGGCTGTCGAAAACTTCACAGTGCATGCTCGCAACGGATATTTTAACAACATCCTCTTCCACCGTGTCATCCGCAAATTCATGGTCCAGACCGGCGATCCTCTTGGCGATGGCACAGGAGGAGAAAGTATCTGGGGCAAGGACTTCGAGAGCGAGTTCACCGACGATCTAAAGTTTGATAAGCCGTACATGGTCGCCATGGCTAATGCTGGAGACGGGATGAACGCCAGTCAATTCTTCGTTACTACTGAGAAAGCTCCTTGGCTGGACAGAAAGCACACCATCTTCGGACGAGCGACTGGCGGAGCGGAGGTGGTGCACGGGATCGAAAATGTGAAGGTGTACAAAGAGCGGCCGGTTGAGGATGTGAAGATTGTCAATGTCTCGCTCGGCGGCTAGCGGACCAACTACTCAACTACCATTGGCGACCGACTTCCCGCGCTCCTTTTTAAACTCCTCTCGGATGGGAGCATACAGCTTGTCGGTAAACGCCTGCATCTCCGGACTCTTCTGGTCTGCGTCAATAATGACGATGCTCTGCGCACTTTCGAGCTCATTACGGAGCGCACCCTTCTTGGTTTCCAGCAGCGCGCCACCCTTATACTTTGGATCCTCTACCAGCTCTTTCATCGCCTCTGCCACCTCGTCGGGAGTGATGCAGATGTCGTCGGTGTACGAGAACTGGCTGTTGACGTGCTTTGCGTCGGCGCCGGTCCAAAGGGGCGTGCTGACCATGCCAGGGAGTATGCAGACTACTTTGATCGATTCGTCTTGGTCCGCCTGCGCCATGCTCTTGCAAAATCCTACGACAGCGTGCCTTTATTCGTCAGCGGGTTGTCTTACGTCTACCAAACCGCTTGAGCAACTTACTTGGTCGCGCAATAAAGCGCAGCAGCATACGATCCAGTCACACCAGCTCCGGAGGCCACCAGACACACCACCCCTGGCTTATTCGCACACAGCAAACTCCGCATCGCTATCCTTGTCAACTTGATGGGGTGCTCGGCATTGATCTTCATCTGCATATAGGACTCATCCTCCTGGTCATACAAAAACGAGCTCCATTTCGGCTCAAATATCCCTGCGCCAGGCACCCAAACATCCGCTACCGCGCCTTTTCCGAACGCCTTCTCGACTTCTGAGGGGATGGCTTCGAGGTCTTTCCACTTGGAGACGTCGCAGGTCATGAAGGCCGCGGAGCCATTAGAGGATTCGACGAGCTCGGCGGCTTCGGTGGTGAGTTTGAGGTCGGCGATGAGGACGCGTGCGCCAGAGGAGATGGCGAGTCTGACAAAGGAGAGATTGATTCCACTTCCGCCGCCTGTCACAGCAGCGATCTTGCCGGAGAGGGGGAAGTGTCCTACAGGCATGGCTGTGGTAGAGGTGGTGGGTCGGAGGTGGGGAGAAGGCAAGGTCTGAAGGAGCGCAAGAAGGTACCGCGATAGTCAATGGAGGACGGGAATGCAGAAAGAAGAAAACAGTTTACTGTCCTACGATGTCGACCGCGTACATTCATTCAGTGCGAGGTGGGGTATTCGGGAAGCCTATCGTTTTCCAATGGTAAACTCATCGGGCTTCGGGCTGCCACTGTAGGTTCGCATGAACGTGTGATCGTTTGTGCAAGCCCCCAACACATTTGTACGCAACGCATGTTTCAGTAGCACTTGTCAAGAGGTGAGGTTGAGACGGGATGTCACCCACCCCCGAGTCTCGCGTGCACCTGAGAGATCGGCGCCTGACCTCACCTCGGCGAAAAGAAAATACGCAAGCTTCAGACCCTTAATATCCGACCCTTTGGTTCACTATCACAAGATAATGCGGTGGTGATGACAGCACGTGCTATGGACCGATAAGACTTGAGCTTCGTCCCTACAGTGCAGCCTTACCCTGTCATCCACCCAGCATGGCGGATAACCACTTAAAGCCCCAACCGGCCTCGACAGCAAGGCCTATCGCTGGCTCACCACGGGCAAGCGAATCCTTCCACTCCCATTCACCCTCGAGAGCGTCAGCGACAGCACGGTTGGCCACGCCGGTAGCAGGCTCGCCAGGAGGACGATCTACGGCACTCTCCCACGACGGGAGTAATTCAGGCACGCAGACACCCCTCGCCGGCGCAACTGGCAATTCTCTTCCAGGACCCGGAACCTCCTCGCTCTCGCAAGCATTGCGAGGCGGCTTCTCGCCGTCTCCTACAAGGCGACCGCAGCCTTCGATTCGCGAATCGGGCACGGCAAGATTAGGCAGTCCGCAGAGACGGCCGAACGAGACCTATGGCTCCTTCAACTCGTACAATGGACAACTAGGAAGGAGCCCGCGAGGAAGCGAAGACATTGAAGTGTTGCGGCGACATCTCGTGGGACCTCCACGGCCTGGCTCGGAGCCTGGCTCATACCGCCGGCCCAGCGAGCTCGAGCGGGATAAAGCTCCTGCAACGGACGGCGAGTTCTCGAGTCTGCAGCTACAGGGAGGCGATGTTACGAGACACATTTACAGATACGCGGAGAGGCGGGAGCGAGAGCAAGCAGAAGAGCTCGGGAGCGGTCGATTACGGCGCAGTTTGAGTGTGCATCTGCCTAAGCCAGAGGCTGAGGATAACGAGAGTATCAAGAATATCCAAGTTCCGGGCGGTTTCAGAAGAGACCATCTGCGACGCACAGCTGGCTCGCCTGCTCCGTCTAGCACGCAGCAGAGACCTCAGTACGGCACTGTGAATCGCGCTCAGACTGAACCGGCAAGGCATGACCCACGATTCGTTACCAGCAACTTTATCGAGTTCCTTACGCTCTATGGTCACTTCGCGGGCGAATCATTAGACGAAGACGACGAAGCGCTGGGACCGGATGAGTACTTCTCTTCAGATGCCTACGACGAAGCTACGGAAGCAGAGGATGGCAACTCTTCCGACGGGTGGGGCGAGGACTCTGCCCTGCTCACGCCTGGCAAGCGGAAACGTCGACGAAAAGCTCGTGAAGGAGGCAAAGCGTCACCACTGGGAGCTGCATTACTCCTCCTGAAGTCGTTCGTCGGCACAGGCGTGCTATTCCTACCACGCGCCTTCTACAACGGCGGCATGCTGTTCTCCTTCCTCGTTCTGATCGTCCTGGCCTGCCTGAGCTACTACTGCTTCATACTCCTCGTTGGCACCCGGCTGAAGTCCTACAAGAATCTCTCATACGGCGACATGGGTGGTGCAATTTACGGCAGCACCTTCCGCAACCTCATCAACTTCTCCCTCGTCATCAGCCAGATCGGCTTCGCCTCCGCATACATTGTCTTCGTCTCGACCAACATCCAAGCCTTCATCCTCGCCGTCTCCGACTGCCGCACCACCATCTCCATCAGCTGGGTCATCTTCGCGCAGATGCTGCTCTTCCTGCCCATCAGCCTGTACCGCAACATCAACAACATCCAGAAGATGGCTTTGGTCGCCGACCTCTTCATCCTGCTTGGGCTTATCTACCTTTACTACTACGACCTCCGCACCATCTACGTCAACAATGGAATTGCCGACACCATCAACTTCAACCCCTCCACCTGGACCCTGCTCATCGGCACCGCTATTTTCACCTTTGAAGGCGTCGGCCTCATCATCCCGATCCAAAGCGGAATGGCCGAGCCGAACAAGTTCCCGAGAGTGCTGGCGATCGTCACAATCATCATCTTCTTCATCTTCACCTCCATCGGCATGCTCTCGTACGCTGCGTACGGCTCCTCGACCAAGACCGTCATCCTGCTCAACCTGCCTCAAGACGACGGGCTGGTCAATGGCGTGCAGTTCCTGTACAGCTGTGCAATTCTCCTCAGCATCCCGCTGCAGATCTTCCCGGCGATCGAGATCACGAGCCAGCAGATGTTCAGCAAGACCGGAAAATACAACCCGTACATCAAGTGGCAGAAGAACTGCTTCCGGTTCTTCATGGTCATGCTGTGCGCGGCGGTGGCGTGGGTGGGCGCGAATGATTTGGATAAGTTTGTGAGTATTGTGGGGAGTTTTGCTTGTATTCCGTTGGTGTATATCTATCCGGTGAGTCGTCCTTCTACAATCTACTGTGATACGATGATGCTGACGAGCCGTAGCCTCTTATGCACCAGCGTGTCGCCGCTACTCGAACCTGGCAGAGAGTTGTTGATTTCACGCTCGTCGGCTTTGGATTCTGTATGATGACTTATACCACGGCGTTGACCATTATGAGTTGGGTGCAGGGGACGTCGGATGTCACGCCTGGGTATTGTGATTGAGCTGGTGGATGTTGTATCTTGTATTGGGGAGGGAGAGATGCATAGCCTTGCGTTTGGTCGAGTAATGTGATTTTGGATGGCAGTGTTGGCGCATTTATGCTTTTCAGCGAGGCGCATGAGCGAAACAGGTGGGATATGTAGATTTAATAGATACAATCGGAGACGGTGTACAGTGATGTGTTCAACTCCTTACAATGAGTGAGTGCTAAAGACCAGACATTGGATACATGCTGGTATTTCGCAGTCCGTCCACGGAGTACCGAACGCCGCCTTCTCCAACTTCCACAACGATCTCGTGCTGCTGCAGAATTCGAAGATCGCATTCAGGCCCGAGATTTTGGACCTCAGCTAGCGCGGTCCAGTCTGTGGCCAATCAGGGAGAGGCTGTCTGGCGTGGCGTGGCCTCTTCTCGAACATCAAAAAATGTGCTGCTGAAGTGCCTGAGAATCGGTTCCGATCACAGATTTTTAAACAGCCGTTAGCGTCATGGGGTTTGGAGCCAATCAGAGCACAGGTGAAACATCGAGGGAATTGGTGAGAACAAACTGGAATATTTCTCTAAGTCAGACGCAATGCCTTACGTTGTATAGTATCTGTCGGCTGAGCGGACGTCTATCCCAACCACCGCGATGCCCACTATCATCAACCGCAGTCTACTCCTTTCCAGGCACACTCCGCTTCGAAAAGCCCTCCTTGACCTTCTCATACACCGCATCCTTGTCCACGTTGGCATCCACCTTCACCACCTTGCCCTCCTTCTCAAAATGCTCCACCACCGGCATACTTGTGTCGACGAACGTTCTAAACCTCTTCTTGATTGACTCCTCGTTGTCGTCCGCCCGCCCGCTACTCCTTCCCCGCTCGATCAACCGCTCGTGCATGGTACTCTCAGTGCAGTCAAAGAAAAGCGTGAATTTGCTCGGCACTACCACCTCCTCGAACTTTGTCGCCTGGTCCATTTTCCGCGGAAAGCCGTCGATCAGGAACTTCCTGTTCCCACTCTTCTCGATTTCAGAATTCATGGCATTTTCCAGTAATTGGATCGTGACCTCCATCGGAACGATCTGACCTTCCTTGATGTAGGATTTGATCATGTCGCCGAACTCGCTTCCCGGTCGGTCTTGCTCTTCTCGCAGCAAGTCACCCGCAGACAGATGCTTGAAGCCGTAGTCTCGCACGATGTTGGAGCACTGGGTGCCTTTGCCTGCACCTGGACCGCCGAGAACGAAGATGACCAGGGCGGAGTCGGGACCAGTGCCTGGAGAGAAGAGTGGCGATGTACGTTTGGGAGCCACGAGGGCGGGGTTGTTCTCTAAAGCGGGCATTGTGTTTCAATCAATCCTCGTCCTGCTTCGTCTTAGGCCACTGTTGCTTCGGCGGTGCTCGTTCGGGGAGAGTGTAGTGGCTTGATCCGGAGCCTTCGCGGGCTTTGGCTAGCCAGTAAAAGGAGGCACTGCCCAAGCAGAAGATGGCTACGAGCGGGAGGAAGGGGAGTTGCGAATCGGTGGTTCGTGATCGTGGCGTTGGCGGGGACTGGTAGTTGCCGGTAACCGGCTTCTGCTGGTCGAGACGGCGGTGTGACTGGTGCAGAGAGCGGCGTGGCTTGATTGGTAACGCTTTGAATGTAGTACGTTGGGCGGTTCGTGAGAACATGATGGTAGAAGTGGTTGACGAGCTTCACTAGCCACGAGGCAAGCACTTTCCTTCTTTCGTGCTTGGCGTTGTCGGCCAATCATCGGCGCTCAAACTATCGATAACAGCCGCGCCTGCCTTCGCGTGCACCGCGTCGTTCAGCATCACACACCAAACATCCTGCAGAGAATATAGCCAGGCAACATGAACAGCCTGCAGGATCAAGGCCGAGCGCTGTATAAGCGCGGAGACTATGCAAAAGCTATCGAGTGCTTCGATCGCGCCATTGGGAGAGCAGAGTCTGTCCAGCTTGTGGACAACCGCGCAGCTTGCCATGAGAAACTCAAGGATCTCCCGGCCGCTCTCAAGGATGCAAAGAAAGCCATCGGACTGGGCAGAGAGGACCCAACTGGGTACCTTCGTGCTGGCAAAGTACTCACGAAGATGGACAAGCCGGCCATTGCTCTGGACATCTACTCGCATGGATTGAGGTCCGTCAGGCATGTTGGGCAGGGGTACGAAGTAGGTGTTTTGGTTTCCATTTCGCAAGACTCCGGCATACTGATGGCCTTGTAGCTCCTCAAAAAGGTGCACAAGGAAACCCTGGACATCATCTCGCCACCAAAGAGTGTCGACCCACTCACCATGCTGCCGCGAGAGCTTGCGGAGACCATCCTGGAGCATCTCTCCTTTCGAGAGCGTGTGAACGCAAGTCGAGTATCAAAGGGATGGGCCGCATTCATTCGATCAACGCCGAACCTATGGACGCATCTGGATCTTTCTCACGCACACAGAAAGGTTCCGGCCAAATTCATCAGCCGTGCTATCAACGTAGGACGCTCGAGACTCCGTAAGGCTTCGCTCAACCGGCTTTGGGACTTTGACAAGACTCTTGTCGCGCTCGTGAAGCAGTGTCAGCTGGAAGAGCTGGTCCTGCTTCAGTGTGGGCTTCAAGGAACCAATCTAGTTAGAAGCATTCATTCAGCCAAGCATCTGAAGTCATTCAACTTTGGAAGAGACACGCAGATACCGGACGAGGACCTCGCGGCAATACTCAAGGCAATATCCGATCGCGTGGAAGCAATCTCGGTCACTGTGGGCGATCAGTATAAGTGCATACCAGCCAGTGCTCTCACGCAGCGGAGCGTTGTTCGCTTCGACTCAGTCTGCGAGAAATTGACCTCACTGACGTGTACGTGGGTGAGCACTCGCTGCGCAACGACGCTTCTGGCGACAGCATCGATCCTCTACCCCAACATCAAGTTCTTAGCCATACATCAGCGACTGAACGAAACGGTGAGCAGACCGGGCCGGCAGATTCCGCTTGCCGAGTGCAAGCAGCTGTTGCAGCTAGATCTCGAGGTTGATCTGTTCAATGAGGATAGGCTGACCTTGCCTCCGAGCTTAGTGAGGTTGAGATTGGCACCGATAGGCAGCGGCCATCGGCCGGAACCTTTCTTAAGTCTTGCTTCGTCGATAACAGCATTGCCATGCTTGCAAGAGTTGTCGATCGTTGGGTGGGGGCACGCGTGGGTGCACACACTGTGCTACGTGCTTCTCAGACGTCATGAGAATGATCCTCCCAATACCAGGAACCAAGAATCCGCAACAGACGACTCTCTACTAGACCTGCCGAGCAATGCACTCGCTGAACCACAGTCTAAGCTTCGCAGGCTTGCTGTGGATTATGGGATCCACGAACAGAACGGAAAATCCCTTTGCGCCTTTCTCGACGTTGAGCGACTTCGTGAGCTTGAGCATCTGGCGTGGACCTCCGCCGCACTGTGCGACGACGACGAAGTAAGCGACATTGTCAAAAAGCAACCAAAGCTGCGGACTTTGGACCTCACGGGCTCGAGCGTGACTGGCGTTGGTGTCAAGGAGGCCGCGAAGCTGCAGAATCTGGAAGAGTTGGTACTGGACGACTGTCGCTTCCTTGGGGAGGATGCTGTTGAGTGGGCACGCGCACAAGGCCTGAGGGTGCGACACAAGATGAAGAAGGAAATCAGTGGGGCGAAAAAGGTGAGGTACTAAACGCCAACCCCTGGAGCAAGGTCGGAAACATGGCTGTTAGGGCCATGGTCTCCATCTCGAGCGTGGAGTGGTGTGGGCACGCTCACACTGGAGGGACGCGAGCTCGGGTCACTATTTGTGGTGAGTGCAGCACAATGCGGTGGAAAAAAGGTCATCACAAGGCCCTGAGCGGCCTCACCGGCTGTGTTGTATATGGAGCGAACATGACAATCATCTGGACGAAAGAGCAAGCCCAGACGAATGCGCATATCGTAATACGCTTGTCAGAGCTGTCTGCAAAAGCTTCGATGTGTCCGACGAGACCTTGACTACGACAAAAGATGCGTGTGTTTTATATTCGTCTCCAGTGGCTTGAAACACTAAGCCTCGGTAGAGTTTGGGCTGATATAGCCGACATCGGCCTCCAACGCGTCTTCCATCTTTAGCACATTGCTGTACAAACACATGAAACATCGCAGCATCTGATCTAAGCCAAAAGTAAAACACAATGTCACGCGTCTTCCGCCGCCTAGCATCGACCACGTCAAAAACATCAGCATCCGACGCAGCAGCAGAAATCCTACAACGTTTCGGAAACAAGCCCATCTTCGTCCGCGAGCAACTAATCGACGCCAACCAAGCTCGTCTCCTGACCGCCACCCTAGGCCGGCCTAAACTTCATGAATCCGACAAACTGCTCGCCGACGGCACTCCCATGAAAGGCACCCCCCTGCCACCTGGTTATCACTGGGCTTACTTTACTCCCACGTTTCTGGAGCAGGATCTCGGCATCGATGGCACAGATAAGACGCTCAACCCTCTGGCGCCATGGACGAGGAGGATGTGGGCGGGAGGCGAGTTGTTGTGGCAGCAGAATCCGGCGCAGTTGCTTCGGGTGGGGAGTACGGTGACGGAGATTACGAGGATTGTGAGTGCGGAGGCGAAGACGATGAGGGATGGGAATAGTATGGTGTTGGCGGGGCTGGAGAAGACTTATGAGAGTGATAATGGGGTTGCTTTGGTTGATAAGAGGTCTGTTGCTTCGTGCAGCTGTTGTAGTGGTTGCTTGCTGACGATTTGAGGGCAGGAATTGGGTGTTTCGACATGAGATGACGGAGAAGGAGCCGCTCCCACCTATGCCGGAGCAGAAGCCTTTACCAGAGGCCAAAGAGGGTGTGGACCTTTTGAAAATACTGCAGGTTTGTTGGAAGTGCCGCTGATCAGTGAACAGGCCAATACAGCCGCGATTTCCAGAGAACAGACGTTCAGTTGTTCCGCTTCTCAGCCCTGACGTTCAACGCTCACAAGGTAAGTTGTTGAACCTCCTCACGGGCGTCCAACAACGCTAACAATCGTCAATCAGATTCACTACTCCCGCGACTGGTGCCAGAACGTCGAAGGCCACCGCGATCTCGTCGTTCACGGCCCGCTCAACCTGATTAGTATCCTGGATCTCTACCGCGACTCCAACGGAAACAGCTCTCCGGAAACGGTCCCTAAGTCGGTTTCATACCGAGCCATGTCGCCGCTGTATGTTGGAGAGAAGTACCGGATCTTGCTTGAGAAGGACGCAGAGGCGAAGAGTGGAGAGAGATCGAAATGGAATGCGGAGGTTAGAGATTCTTTTGGGAAGACGGGGATGAAGGGAACGATTGTTGAATAGGAGAATGTAGTGAGGGGAGGTGTTTGTATATAGGAAACGCTATACCTGTAGATAGACCAAACTGATGCTCTCGAGCTCGAGACAGACACTGTCTCGTGGATCAGACCTGCTGGTGAACGTTCAATGATTGGAGACTTGTGACAAGACATACTTGTGCACTGGTCGGCTCGAGAATTCTCTCTGGTCAATAGTGAAGTCTTCTGACAGTGAGCAACGGCAGTACAGAAGTACATGTACCCCTCTTCGGCTACATGACGACCAGCAACGTCAGAAAAGTGCCAAGGCCGCCGCAACGCCTTCACATCGGCGGTGAGGCTCTTGCTCGAGTCGCCGACATGGTTTGATAACCAGAGACGCCGCCAAACACAATCCGGATGTCAGACAACACCGGTCCACCGCCGCGTAAAAGGGCTCGTCAGGCTTGTTTGGCTTGTGTAAGTACACGTGTCTCGAGCTCCCATCATGCGTCTCGCTCGAGCTCGATGATTTCAGATATACTCAAGCGCAATACCTAACACGTCTGCAGAACGCACGACGAGTAAAATGCGATGTGACTGAAAGGCAGCCATGCCAAAACTGCGTGGCTGGCAATGTTACCTGCGAGACGCGCGAAAGCCGGCGTGGGAAGCATCCACGGCCCAATAAGAAACGACATTCCCTGGATAGCAGTGCCTCCGGAGCTCGCAGTCAGCATGACGATGAAGTAGCCGGAGCCCAGGTCCTTGCGTCGCTGCACCGGGATATCAATGCCACTCAACCAGAGGCGGCAATCAAGAGCTTCCTGCCGGGCGAGCAGCCCAACGGTCCACGCCCAGAGGTTCGTCTGGAGGAAGACGGCGATGTTTTCTTGGGGGAGGCAACATCTCTAAGATACGTGCATGATGCGCCAGACTCCGCGGCACCTACGTCCAACTCGCCGGATCAAAGTGCCAGACTGCGCTACGCCGTGCCCTCTGCAGTCAAGGCCGAATCGCTCATCCCCGACTGGGAAGTGCAGCGACGGGAGAGGAGGAAGGAGCATCTAAGGCAGGATGGCGCACTCTCCTTCCCGGATTCATCAGTCGTAGAGGGGTTGCTAAAGGCCTACTTCCGCTGGTTCCATCCATGCTTCGCCGTCGTGGACGAGATGGACATCTGGGCGCAGCACAGCCAAGGCACGCTTTCGCCTCTGTTACTGCAAGCCATGCTGTTCGTCGGAGTGCTTCACTGTGAAGATTCTGTGCTTCTGGCTTTGGGCGAAGGCACCCGACATCGCGCCAAGTACATCTTCTACATGCGGGCCAAGGACATCTATGATGCTGAGGTCGAGCAGAAGAAGATCACTGTGATTCAGTCGCTGTTCTTGATGAGCTTTTGGAGAGCCGGCGCATTGCTCGAAAAGGACACCCGGCATTGGCTCGCTGTAGCGATATCTTTGGCCCAGACGAAGGCTCTTCATCGATCTGCTGGCAACGCTGATAGCCAGGCTGCGAAACTGCGACGACGAATATGGTGGTCGTTGTATACTCGCGACCGGCAATGCGCCGCAGCGTTGGGACTGCCAAATCGAGTCCGGGATGAGGACTGCGACTTTGAGTCCCTCGAGAGATCCGACTTCGATCACGCCTACCACGACAGTGTGCCACAAAAGGCTGCAGACCAGTACATCACTTATGCCATGGGCATGACTGAATTGGCGAAACTGCTGGGACAAATAGTGCACTCTGGCTACTTGCCCAACAAAAGGCTCACCAGCGTGTACAGAGAGCAGATCCGGAGCAGGCTGGCCCAGTGGAGGGATCAGCTACCGATAGCAATGCAGCCGGACAACAACAGCGGAGAGCCGCCGAGCTTCTACGCCAATATGCAGCACTTGGCTTACAACAATCTTCTGATCCTACTTTACCGGTCCGGCTACATCGGTGCCCAGGAGGAAGACCGAGAGGTTGACGGCAGCATAGCAATCACCGCTGCATCTCGCAACACTCGCATCGTCGAGGACATGCTATCGGACGAAACGCTTCGGCACGGGCAAGTACATGTCATAACAAACCTGTTCAACACACTCTGCATGCACACGATCCAGTTGCGCCGCTCTGTGGGATCTGGACGGACGGTGGCAGTCTCGCGAGCAAAAATCTGCCTTAATGGCTTGCAAGAATTGCAGAAAACGTGGGAAGTCACGAACTGGGTCCTAGAGCTCTTTTTCCAATACCTCGATCGCTCGACGGCCGAGAGCCTGCAAATGCAAGACCAGCAACAGCCGCCTTCCACACAACCCACGAACGCCCGGCCACTGGAGGCGAAACCATACGTCAAGACTCCACAGCCATCCACGCCGCTCTACCCGGCTATGCAAGCTCCGTATTTCAATCCAGGCACCTCTCAGTCTATGTTAGATGCGGCTCCTGCTACGCCTTGGGAGTCCGATCCTAACCGAACCGACCAGTTTTTGTTCAGCTCGATGGAGCATGGCTTCGCGTTTGGAGAGGGTGAGATTGCCGAGTGGAATCCCACGGAGCTGGAGTTTAATGCTTCTTTCTTTCCGTCGGCCAATGCTGGGATGCATAACTTTTGGGCTTGAGAAGCGTCAACGATCACTCGGGCTCTACTATGGCCGGCGTGATTAGGCTCATCCGCTATTCACGATGCAAGTGACTGAGATGCGGGAGGTAACGATGTATAAAGACAATTTATGGTCTATGCAACTGTATCCCTCTCCATGCTCTGCTCATCTGCGACAGCTAATTCCTCATCCAACACCTGGTCACGTTTCGAACGTCCAAAGCAACATCGACCCATCCATTCCTCCAACTTGAAGCCTCCTTCTTGCCATGCTCTAGCCTCTGGGAGATCGTCAAAGGACTGACCAAATGCTTTCGCTCTTCTTCGGAGCTCTCGAGTTCGTAAGAGCCAGACGCCATGTGAGATGAAGACTCCGTACTCCACTGTACAACTGTGGTATCGTCAACTAATGGCTACACCTGTTGAATGTTCGCCTGGGACTTACCAGACTGCGTAGAGCGTTCCAAATTCGATATCGAACGTGTTCTGGAAGACCAACGACAACAACGAGAACAGCGCTCCCGACGAATCAACCAAGAGGAACCAGAAGTCAATGCCCACCACCCTCCCACGCCTCTTCATCAGCTCAAAGGGTATAGGCGCGTAGCCGGAGAGCAGCGTAATGCAAGCAATGATCCCAAACGTCATCACCGGCCACGAAACTCCCCGTGAGTAAGGTCCGCGGATAACGAAGACAAAAACGATCTGTAGCGCCGCTACGAACGTCAAGAGCACGGTAACAGCGAGGATACATTTCCATGCTTTCCAGCGGCGGCCGTAGTAGAGACCTGCCCCAGAACATCAGTTTTGCCCGTCCGTCGTAGTAGATAGCTGCTCGATCTGATCGTGGATGAACTCACACTGCCCCCAACTAACACCACAAAACAGCCCGAACAGCTGCGGCTGGATCTGCAACCCGACATTGAACCTCTGCGTGATCGAGTAGACACCGAAAGGCAAAGAGGAAAGACTCCAGAGGAACATCATGGCTTCGGGCAGGCCTTTGGTGGATTTCGTGCGGTAGGAGTGCCAGATTTGCGGGAGGAGTTGGATGCACCATAGGACGGTCTGTGGGTGTTTAGCATTCTCGTGTGTCTGTAACGTTTCGCGGTGGATGGGTGACCCACGCCTATGGCTCCCAGCACCGTCGCTGAGGTTGGGATGCTTTCCTGCGGCGCCATAGCATGCTACTACGAGAAAAGAGTGCTCGAGGCTAGATGTAACAATATGTGGATAGAAATGCGAAAGTCACACAGTATTGAAACTGTGCATGTGCGTCTGACAATGTCATTGTGTCCGCATCCATGCAGTGATCCCAGCATGTCGAAGTGGGTTGAACAACACTGTGGGTCGGCAGAGCTTGCGCAGAGCTTGTCCGCCACATGGCCTGCATCACGGTGCGGTACCTTCCTACTTCGGACATCGTAGGCGATGGACGAGGCTCGAAGGTGTGATCAGTGAGCTTTTCACATGTGTCTTGTCTGAACACACGCGTGCGGAATCTAATCTACAAACGGCTTGAACGCTGTCAAAAAGCACACAACAAGCCTCAAAGCACTACACCTCCGTCTCAATTCCCGACTGCTTGGTATGGTGATGAAACAGCCCGTGGAGCTTCGACTCCGTCCGCTCAAGCTTATGCGAAGCCCACTGCGCTGTTCGAGGGATCTGCGAGAACGTCAGCAAAAGTCGAGCCATGGGCAATACTGATGGTGATCATGGTTATGTCGAGGGTTACGAACCTTCCACTGCATCACCCCCCGATTCTGCCGACTCAAATGCCCCTGCTGCTTCTTCAAATCCTTCACCTTCTCAACCGGACCTTTCTTCCCTTCCCCATCATCACCCTCAACCTTTCCGTTCCCATGTTCCTCGTCACTGCTATCCGTATCCTCACCGTCCACGATTCCGGCTTCCTTCTCATGCTGCATCTCCTCCAGATTATCCCGCGCCGCCTCCAGCACCTCGACCACATCGCTCACTTCCTTTTGCTTGGAAGCCCATTTACTATGGGCAGAACCGAGCCCGTTCCAGAAGGTGAGGCGGAGCTTGATGGTGCCGACTTTCTCGCCGCATTCGGGGAGGGCGTTTTTGGTCGCGCGCTCGTAGTCGCCTTTCCAGACGTTGAGGGTCATTTCCTTTTCTTCTTCGTCCGGGATGTTTTTGAGCCATAGTACGGCGAATGCTGGGGTTTGGTCCCGGAAGGTGCCGGTATGGCGGAATTCAATCGCGAGACTGGTACTGTACCGCTTATGCACGGGAAGTTTGAGGCTCTGATCATGCTTCGACTTCCAAGTGCCAGAGTGCTTGTCAGGATACATCTTCCCGCTTCCCAAGTCGGTGTGGAACTTCAGCTTGAAATGCTTCAGCTCCTCCGATACTTCGACCTCTGAGATTGGAGATGGGATTTCTAGCGTGCCGTACTGCCAGCCGAGAGATTCAGGTGGAGCTTGTAATTGTACGCTTCGCCAAACCATGGAGAGACGGATGCGGCCGTATCCGATCCCGCCGGCCACAGGGTAGAAGCCGTTGACTTGCGAGCGCTCCTTGAAGACCTCCCACAGCGGTAGATGGACAATACCGAGCAGTGGGTCGTCCTCTTTGACTCTCGCGTCGCGCACAGAGACGTAGACCTCCGCGCTCCGCCAGTCGGCGAGATAGCGTTCGGTGGAGGCGTTGTAGAAGGGCTTCGCGTTCTTGGGCTTCGTGCGCGTCTTGAAGGCTTTGTTGTGGTTGATGATGACTGTGCAGTAGGCAGACGGGAGGCCCTCGCCTTCTTCCTCTTCGTCGTTGCCTTCTTCGGCTTTCTCATTCTGAGTCTTGCTGACTTTCTCAAGCTCGAGACCTAAGCGCACGTGAGAAGAACTCGTCAGCAGATGTCTTAGACAATGAATCAGAAACCGGCCTCATTAGAATTAGACAGGCCTTGTAAGGGCGTTCTACGCCTGACAGAATGATGTAGATGAGGGATGGAGTACGCACCCGTAATCTGGTGGATCTGAATGCTGAAGACGCCGCTTGGGAAGCCGTCCGGCGGAGGAGAAGAAATAACCATGGCATCCTGCATGCTCTTGAACTCCTGCGCCTTCTGCTGCTCCAGCTCATCTGCGTCGCCTTTGTGCCGCCCCTCCTTGATATGTGCCTCACGCAGCTTTCGTTGACAGACTTCGTCGGCCTTCTTCTCGAGTTGTTCCAGACTCTTGATTTGGGGATCGAACGTTTGCTTCTCCAGTTGACACTGCTGTATCCGCGCCTTCGAGAAATAGCCAATGCTCCATTCCAGCTTGCCGGGCATGTTTTCGCCCTTCTTAAGAGCGCGGAAGCCGTCCTCCCGATGCCACATCTTGCTGTTGGACTCATCGCGTCGCATGATCTCTTTGAGGTCTACTTCCACTCGACCGAGATCATCATCCGCAGTCATCCGATCAGAGTCCCAGAGCTGCACTCTGATGCGCTCATCCACATTCAGCTCCTCTGGCGTCACCAAGACGTAGGCAGTTTCGTCCCACCAGGGCTCCATCTCGTTCAGCAATAGCCTTGTAGACCACATCGGCTTCCCGAACTTAGCCCACCCAACACTGACATAAGGATCGGATGAGCCATCCTTAATGAGCGGGATCCCCTGATCGCCAGTCTTGAAGTCATACCCCCGCTTGATGTTCACCACCAACACTCCTCTCGCATCGGTATCCTTCTTGAAGTCGTCGCCCGCTAGCATGTCCTTGAGGTCAAGGTTGAGACTCTTCGGCGCGACGTATTGAGCCATCGCGGCATCGACCGAGCTTTGCACAAAGTTGCTGATGAGCGGCACCTAACCGGCATAAGTGTTAGCAAGTCTCAAGATACTCGAGATAAAGGAGCAGGTAATCTCAGGGTATCACCCGTCTTGAGACAATGTTTGAGACGAGCGGTACCCTTTTACCGGTCACACTTACATCCATAATATTGACCGCATGCTTCGAAAGCGGCGTGCACGAGAGCTCGACTTTCGGCTGGCCCAGGAATGTGAACGTGCACAAGGAGAAGAAAGGAGGATCCGGACACAGTTGGAGTCGCAGTCGCACGGTGCCTACCACACCGCGCAGATCCACCCACACTGGGAACTTGACGCCTGCTGGGAGGTAGAAGGCCATGTAGAGGTGCATGTCGTTCGCTCGGTCCTTGATGCTGCGCTTGCCAGAGCGTGCACGGTAGGCAAAGGAGACTTCCATGTTGATGAAGTCGCCATCTTCGGCCTCCAGACCTTCGGCGGTTTGCTGTTGGGATCCATCCTGGGCCTGCTCTGTCTGATCATTGCCGTTGCCGTTGCCGTTCTGGCCCTTTTCGCCGTTCTGCACCTCGCCTTCGCCCGAGACCTGGCGGTCATTTGCCTTGTCCTGGTCAGATTTCTCGAGTTTTCCATCTTCATTGACAGCCCGGGCCGCAGCGCCTGTGGGCAGCCACCTGATCCCGAGAATCCGAATGTTCTCGCTTCCCTGGCCAATGTCATTGACACTGACCATCTGCACCATTTTCGGAAGTGACGCCTGCATGACATCCTCGAGAGTATCCGCTAGGCTTGTGAAGAGATCCGGATTGATCAGCGGCCACACCGACCCAAGCAGAGCATTGAGCCAAGCAACCGATTCGGTGTCATGTCCCTCTGACGATGCAACAGTCTTCTCACCATTCGCGTTCCAGATCTCGTCATCCCACAGGCTTTCTATTCGCTTTCCCATCCAATCTCTCACAGCCCAGATCAACGCAGCCACTGCGCCCGATGCTGCCGATCCCAGAATAGCCCATAATGTGAGGCGGACTGACCACCGAGGAATGCTCGTTTTCTCGTTCAGGTGACCAGCGATAGAGTCGGAATTGACCAATCGCTCCAATGCACCAGCGAGCACCAATAGCACGACGACACCTATGAGCCCAATGGTTACACCGCGTCGAGAGATGTCTGCCAGCTCTGTTTGAATGGTGTCGAAGTTGGGTGGCGGGAACAATGTCCGCATGTCATCGTGACCTTGCTGCAGATCTCTCGTCTCCTGCTGGAGCTGGTCTCCGGACTTCCGCTTGTTGCTCAGCCCGGTAGCAGTCCTCGTGGTAGATCCAAAGGGTTCCTCGTTCTCGGGAACCTCTTCCAATGCGGCGGAAGTCAGGTCATGGATCCAGACTGGCAGATGGGTAACAGGATCAGTAACTTCTCTATCAGCCCTCTCATCCTTGCGTTTCTTCAAGTCTTTTCGCCTGGTCCGCGGGTCCTCAGCACCGGCGTCAGCCTCTGAAGTGTCTACAGGCGATTCATCGTCCTCCTGCTGGTTCTGCGATTCGCCGGCATCAAAGTCCTCGGGCTCATACGGTCGGTCGACTTCTTGGCGCTCACCGTAGTCGGTCTGGTCACCCTGGTCACCGTACTGTTGGGCTGCGGACTGACGTGCCTTCTTCTCCTCGCGATACCGGCTGATGGTGGGTATCTGGTGCTTCTCGGTGTGAGGCGGCCTATAGCGGTGCTGCTCGTCGGCGTCATCGTTGCCCGACATGATGGATGGGCTCGATGGGCCTATTTGCTGTCCTCGAGGTGATCACGCGGCCGAGTGTTCACCGGGGAGTCTCGGCCAGCTCACACATGTCGTTTCCTTGCCTTTCCAGTGAATGTGCGTCCTCGCCGGCTGGCAGGAGCTTCGCGTGAGCGTCTGAAGCTTGATGGGAAGGTGTTGAAGCAGGCGAGTTTCGAAGAAGGTCAAGAAATGCAATTGACCTACTCTGTCACAAACGGTGCGCTGTGTCGCACTTGCAAGCTTGATTTAGAAGTGCTATAGACTGGCATTGGCTTGATTCACCGCGGGTACAGTGGAGAGGACGCGGCGAACCTGCCAAGGCCAAACGTCATCGCGCGTTAAGCACGTGACAGCAACATTCTCAATCGAAGTTCTTCTCGCCATTTTAAGCATCCGCGCATCGCATGAATGGAAGACGAAATCTAGGCCTCGCGGAGCTGGGAAACCTGTTCGTCGGGCCTGCAGCTCTGACGGGCCTGACCAGATGGCGTTGCGAAGCGCCAACATGCAGAGCTGCCTCAGTCATGTCGAAGGCACATGATCTGCAGGACGGCCAGCGAAGCGCTTCAACTGTGCGTTGTGCGAACCGCGAAGGCAAAGTACCTTACTTTCAAGAACGGCAGAAGAGGTCCGACAAGACGCCGACAAGACGGCGAATGAGATGGAATCGCGTTCGTCTGGTGGTGACTGTCGATACTTATAACACACCTCTTGCATCTCTTCGTCTGGTGATCCGATCCCTGCAGCTCCTCGATCTAAGCCTCCTCCCCCTCGCAGCTATCTTCCGCACCTCCTGCTCATCATCAACGTAGAGGATTGCAGTGACTGCATTGACGATTTGAGCCTGGCGGATGCCTCTCGTTCTGCCTTAGACACTCCGACATTATTCTTTGTCTGACCTGGACGCACGGCAGGCGACCGGTGAAGCTCTAATTCGCCCCCATTCACCGGTCAAGGTGGGACTCCGCTTGAATCGGAGAGCCTTGCGCTTTTCTCGACGCTGGGGGACGAAAGCGCTATTTGTGGTGCATTCAAAGGCGAACGATCTGTCGGGAACCGTCATCTAGCTTCCGAGAATGGCGCACCGCCTGCGGTGAGACATAGCGACTCAGCTGTTGTGTTTGTACGCTCCGGTGAGAGGGTACGCATGCCTGAGGAGCGCCTCCAAACATAATGGCGGCGGCCGGCACCCTCGTCGCACGGCCTCGCGAGGAGGAAACGTACTACAACGACCTCAACCAGCTCCCGAACATACCGGGTTACCAGTCTACCGACGACCTCCTAATGCGGGCAGCGCCTGACGAAGACCTGCTCAGCAGCCACTCTTTCCGCCCCGGACATGCAGAGACTTCACCGAATTTATTCTACGATGGCGTCAGCTGGCAACTCTTGGGGAGTGTACTGTCAGACGGTGATGGAGACTACCCCATCTCGGATGCACCTTGGAACAACTTGAGGATCCATCAACCCGGGTTTCAGTCGGACGAGCTCTTTGGGCTGAGGTCTCAGCCCGTGGATTCGTCGCCGAGTACTGGCAATGGGAATGTTTTCACCCCAGGCTCATACGGAGAGGACCAAGAGAATGCCAACTCCGGCGGAAACAACTTTGCGACGTCGCCCAGCGACAGCTTCGTCATGGTCTCTAAGCCGTCACCGACGATATCAGGTGAACAGCTTTCCCGTGATGCAGCGCGGATGCACATTGGCGAGTCTCCAACTCGAGCGCGGGCTATTCCACGATCTTCCGGGCTTCCACATCCAACATACGAGTCTTCGACCGCGCTTTCACGGTCGATCAGCAGTGGTCAAGCCACCTACGCTGTTACACCTAGTCCTACATCTTCGGCGAGCTTCGACCAGCAATGTCCCGACATAGGCAATAATCTGTTTGTGGACAACACTTATGACGGTGGCTCGGCACATGCAACCTTGGTGTCAAATGCACACATGCAACAGCTTCTAGGAGGTCAAAGTACGACTGACAGTACACGACACCGTACGCTTCCTGCATTTCACCCATTCGAACATCCGGTCACAGCACCACACTATTCCCAGCATGGACATCCGTATGTCTACAGTCAGCAACCAGAGCTGTGGTACGGGAATGCCGTGGTCGACCAAGGGCCATCCCTACATATGCCATATACCGACATACCTCCCCATAGCGGCCCTCCATCCCAAGTGTATCAGCAATCGTCTCAACCGGCAGCACCAAACATCCCACAACACTTCCAAACGTTCGAGCTTCCTGCTGTTCCCAACCAGGCAGAACGTCAATGGCCGAGTGTGGTAGTGCCCTCGCAACGTTCACCGATCGACGCATCGGACTTCAGCACTCAGGAGCAACGCATTGTCAACCAAAGGATCAACGGAGGTCAGGAAAAGCGTACTGCTGTAGCTCCGAAACGACATCTCCAGGCTCTGGCGAAAGCTCCGCAACACGGGCCCGCCAGACCCCAAAACCAGCAGAATGGTGGCAGAATCAGAGGCGGGCGAAAGAAAGGGGAGCATCTTGTCGACGAAAAGCGGAGGCAAATTCACATAATGCGCAAGATAGGTGTTTGCTGGCGGTGCTCTTTCCAACGAGACGAGGTACATTTTTGTTTCACCCCTCCATCAAGTGCACGTGCTGATTATTTTGCAGTGCACAGGCGAAAACGGTTGCTGCCATCGCTGTATGGTGGCGAGCGAGAAGGGTACTCTGGTCTTCCACTGCAACCGGGAGAAGCTACCAGATCTCATCCATGATTTCCTGCCGCGTAAGTTGAGTATGACTTCGCCTCGTGAGCTACACGCGCTAACGCTCCGCTTAAGCCTCAATGACTGTGATGCACCAAAAGCAAGGCATTGAAGATACTGTCCAAGAGCAAGTCAAGGGCTGGGACTTTGCTCGTCCCATTGTGGTCGAGCTTTCTTGCGGGTACGGCCCTGCTCAGAAATGGCAGCTATACGAATTTGAGCCGACGTCCAATGATCTGCTGGGTCAATTGCAATACCTACAGGATCCGAATACAGGGCTTCTGAGGCATGTGCACAAATTCTCACCTCCCCTCGGCCTGGTCAAGCTCGATGGCAGCGACGATGCGCTGGTTGAAGGTTACCTGGACGAACTGCTCCGACCTGAATATCTCGGCGATTTGGGTTGGACCTGCTTCGAAGAGGAGTCGCAGGTGGATCCCGACCAGTTTCAAGCAAGGCTGCTCGATCAGCTGTGCTCACTCTATATCGCCACACAAGAGGCAGAGGTGAGTACTCCCCTCCTCAAAACATTCACCGGCACCTCATCTCACCCTCTCACAGCTCAAACTCGTCCTCAGAGACATCCTCCGCATGATGGTCATCACCTACATCATGGGCCACACCCTCACCATCCCAGACTCCCAACTCCCGCACGTCTTCTCCCACATCAGACACTCCGACTGCGGCGAACTGCTCCCGCACACCTCCCCTCGCCTCGCGAACCGGCAGATCAAATTCTACTTCGACGTCCTGCGCGGCGCCGTCTACACCAAAATGCTCAACTGGCAGCAGCAGATCCTCCGCAGCAGCACGCGGAAAGAGAAGCACTGGCTCTCATCCTTCTGCGCCATCCTCGGCTTCGCCATGGTGTTGGAGGAGGTCCAGCGCACGCTGCAAATCCAGGCCGACGCGAAGATCACGAAGAGCGAGATGACGGAGACAGCGGCGCTGTTCGAGGCGCGGAATGCGTGTTCTCGAATCGACGACCGCTTCGAACTGCTCGTGTATCTGTTCCAGGGCAAGTACCGCCACAAGGCTTGGACGCAGGGCAGTTTTGGGCCCGGGACGCCGTGTTATAAGGAGGATCTTGCTGCGCAGACGTTTTTGAGGAATGTTAGGCATTTGTTGGAGGAGAAGCGTGAGTCCTGCATCTTTTCAACGCCGTTATGTGCGGATGTGACTGTGATGCTGACACATGAGGCACAGGCGAACATCTGCAGTCACGCAAGGATGTGACTTTTGCGCAGCAGAACCATTGCTTGTATACGTCGCGCCTGGTGGCTCGGTTCTTGCTGCCTTTCTTGAACTTGCCGCCGAGCTGATGACGGTCGAGCACTTTGATGAAGCAGATACGATGCATGAGACTGACGCTTTTGCTGCTTTGCTGTGCTGCGAGACGTGAAAGCTACGACTTGACGATTGACGAAGAAATACCACTGGTAAATTGTACGCATGGGCTGTATGCAAACGAGGTAACTGGGGATGAGAGGGAATGCTCGCTGCTGGCTGTATAGTTTTCCGGGATTTGTAGCATTCATGTCTCCTTCTCCATGAGGCTTGTCTTCTGCTCTCGCTACGATGTTGAGTCGTGGTATAATAACATGCATACATGTACTTGCACAATCACGTGCGTCACACTCGCTCCTGCCGCCTGAGTCGCTAGCGTGTTGTGCTCGGAGGCTGGACGGAGAGTCCGCGGTTCCTTCAACCGACGTTGCGAGGGCCTCTTCCTCTTTGCTTTTACATCTCAGAGACTCCGAAGTGCTTCGTTTGTCTTATGTGTGTGTCGTGACGTTCAACGAGAGTCTTTGTGTCCTGTTATCTCCCGGCGTGAACGTGGACTCTCCGAACATGGCGCAACGACCTCGCCAAGACCCTGTCTCCTGCGAGAGCTGCCGCAAGAAGTCAGTACTTCTCTCTTCCGAACGTAGAACATGGTAGAGGACGTCTACTGACGAGCCATCCTACTGTGCATCAGGAAGCTCAAATGCAGCCGCGAAGTACCCTGCTCCAACTGCGCAGCTCGCAGTATCACATGCGACTATGGCGTCGCTAGACCAGTCGAACCCAGACCTTCTTCCAAGCAGGATGAACTTTCGGTCTTGAGGACAGACAATGCTGCTATCAAGGCGCGGTTGGAGAGGCTGGAGAGTCTTGTCTGCAATGGCGGCTCACCAGCTTCTGATGCTCCTGCGGAGTTGAACACCAGACCGGCGAAGACGAGGAGGTTGCTTGAGGGGGAGGCGCTGCCGTCGCCGGCGACGACGGTTTCGAATGCGAATGATGCTGAGGTTGCTAAGGAGTATAGGGGGGACTTTCAGTGGTTGGAAGGTGTTGGTAAGTGGCTTGACTCATTTCCAGCATGTAGGCAGGTTGGGGTCGCAACTCAAGGAGTATGAGACTGCGCATCAAAGCTGATCTGATGTCTTCGTCCAGGTTCCCAAGAGAACACAAGACTGCCACAACTGTCAACACCACTTCCCGTGCTGGTCGTTCCTTTGGAAGAGATCATCAGCCATGCACTGTCGGCGCCAGACCAATCTCAGCGAACCATCCTTCTTCCTCCGTATGAGCAAGCAAAGTCGCTTATGGAACGCTACATCGAACAGCTGGACCCCGTCCAACATCTGATTCACTGTCCAACAGTAAGGCGCGATGTCGACGAACTTTACAGTCATCTCATTCAAGGCCGTTCGGTTGAGCCGGGCCGTACAGTGCTTCTGCTTGCCATGCTGACTAGTATGGGCTCTTACTGGGGCATGGGAGGCAATGAGAACCCGTACTTCACTACTGGATCTGTCGCTTCGAAGGTCGGAATGTTCTGGCTGCGCACGGCTATGGATGTCCTTGAACATACGAGACGGTCGGCTTCTGCGAGTTTGGAGTGTGTTCAGGCTAATATCATTTTGATGTTCTTGGTGTATCACATCGAAGGCTTCAGTCCAAAGGTCAGAGCACTACACTTCGCAGCACTTGCGATGGCAAAGGACCTGCGGTTGCATCGAACCGACGATCCTTCGCTGCCCGTGGAAAAGTCGAACAGCTCCACCAAAAACATCGTGGACAAGGAGATGCGACGGCGAGTGTGGTGGCACCTGGCTGCCTCTGACTGGAGTCTGTCCACCAGCGGTGGACCACACGAAGGTACTTACAATGTCAACCCAAGACACATGAGGGTGAAGCGCCCTCGCAATATGTCTGACGAAGAGCTGGAGACTCTACCCGAAGACTTCGATACTCCTTTGTCCAGGCCAACAGTGATGTCGTACTACCTGCAACGAATCCGTCTATCAGAGATCTGCCGAGAGATAGCGGACTTTACCTGGACGTGGGATGGCGATCCGGAGAGCGTCAGCATCGACGACATTCAACGCCTGGATGCGAAGTTCGACCGCTACTTCGCCGAGCTGCCGACCTTCCTCCAGCTCGACGATTCCGCCCAAGAGACTGCGGCACTCGATCGACAGACTCCGCACATTCGACTGCAGAGCTACATCGTCAACCTCATCGGCAACGCCAGAAGATGCAAATTCCACCTCCCCTTTCTCCAACGAGCCTCCGTCGACAACACATATGCGTTCTCCCGTCAGGCCTGCCTTCGTGCAGCACGAACTCTAATATACATCAGAGACGGCCTCATGGAAGCTGACGCTGCCATGTGGATTTCCAACACTCGACTGTGCGGTTTGGTCCATATATCGTTCTATGGCACCGTCGTACTCGTGATGGATCTGATCTGCAATCGTGGGACGGACTGCGAAGTGCAGCGCAAGGAAGAGATTCAGACGGCGTGTGCCTCCCTCGAAGTGAGCAAATCGAAGTCACCCGCGGCTGCGATGTTCCTCGATTCCTTGCTTGCCGTGCTTCGGAAGCACAGGATAAACATCGAGAAAGCTCGACAGGACGGCGAGCTTGTGAATGGTCCAGTCTCTGGAGATGCTGTGGGCAGCAGTACCTTCGCTCCCGGCCACGGCAATGCGTTCTCCCACAGCGCGCCTCTTATGCCTGAAACTGAGGCGTCGTTCAGTGCTATCGACTTTGACAACCTCAACTCAGACGAGCTGTGGCAAAGCTTCATCGATATGGACGCCACCATTGACCCTCAGAGCTGGGATGCGTTGATGAATGATATTGAGACCATGAGTTCAAGGCGTATCTAGGCAGAACAGTAGTGAGCTGTGGACTTGAACAATACAGTGGATCTTGCAAGCTTGTTGGAATGCTCTGGTGGTGCTATCGAAGACGTGAGTTTGTGACCTCTTCGACAACGCCAAGAGATGGTCCTGTAGACAGAAAACGAAGACAACTCTGCACCTCCATTGCTAAATGTGAACAAACTCTGAAAGCTCTCTACTTGACACTACGACCTTTGTTAAACGTGAGTCGCGGGAAGAGTCTTAGATCCGTCTCCGAGCATTTCGGAGGGCCCGCGGACTGTCAGTAACGACCTGGTCACTGCTCATGATGTACTTAAAGGAGCCTTGTACCTGTGACCTCTTCAGTCGTTGACTTTCAAAGAACAGTCTTTCTTCCTTTCCTTTAAAGACTTCTTCGCCATCGATTCCAACCATGTCGGACCACGCACGCAGATCGAAAGAGATGGGCTCCGAAGCCGAAGAAGAGAAACACCATGAGCCGGAACTAACGTACGATGTCCTACCTCTCACACACACTGCCATGTCTGCCACTGACACGCAACAGTCTGCGATCCGGCCTCGCTCTCGCTGGCGCCGCGCTGGCCTACTTCGTTACAGTCGGCTTTCTGAATGCCTTTGGTGTGTTTCAAGAGTACTATACCACGGTGGTGCTGCGAGACCAGTCCAACTTCGAGATAGCCTGGCTCGGTTCCTTTGGCACGTTTGCGGTGTTCTTTTTCGCTCCATTTGCGGGCCTGTCGGCTGATAAATGGGGTCCGACGGTAAGTGACGTTGGGTGTTGCATGGCAGAGATCAAGTGCTGACTGAGGTTCAGATACCGATGGTTGTCGGGGCGGTGTTGCAGCTGGTAGCGATCTTCATGATTTCGCTGTGTGAGGAGTACTATCAATTCTTTCTTGGTACGCTCGATTCCACTCCTTCGAAATGGCGTCGTGCACTGACGTTCTCCAGCCCAAGGTCTGCTCCTCGGCGCCGGTATGTCCTTCATCGCCATTCCAGCATCAGGAATGTGTCCACGGTACTTCAAGCGAAACCGCGGCGTCGCACTCGGCATCTCAGTCTCCGGCTCGTCGATTGGCGGAGTTCTGTGGCCTGTCGCATGCGACCAGCTCCTCCACGAAGACGGAGTGAGCTTCGCCTGGACGATGCGCATCATTGGCTTCATCATGATACCGCTCCTCGCGGTTGTACTGATCACCGTTCGACCGCCGCTGGTGGCCAAGGCGGCCGACGGACAGGAGAAGCCGAAGCCAGATCGCAAAGAGCTGCGGAAAGAGATTGTCAAGCCGCCGTTCCTGTTGCTGTGCGCTGGCTTGTTTCTGGCTTACCTAGGCTTCTTCACACCGTTCTTCTACGTCTCTGTGTACGCCACGTCGCATGGAATGTCGCAGAAGCTTTCGTTTTACCTCGTGTCGGCTATCAATGGCGCTTCAACCCTTGGACGGATTATCCCTGGATTCCTGGCTGACAAGTACGGCCGCTTCAACATGCTGTTTCTGTCGGCCTTTACGGGAGGCATCGTCGCCTTTTGCTGGACCGCAGCGACTAGCGAGGCTGGTCTGATCGTATGGTCTTTAGCTTATGGTTTTGCATCGGGGGTAAGAAAACTGATCTCGCATTCCGAGACACAGAGAGCACAAGCTGACGTATCTTCGCAGGCTATCCTGAGTCTCCAGGCTGCCTGCGGCACAACTCTAGTCAGCGAGCACGCTGCCGGAGCGGCAATTGGAGCTGCCATGGGCAGCGTGTCACTGAGGTAAGTCCATGCCGATCGAAAGTTCTCGTGGTCCTCCGTCTGACCAGCATTCAGCGGGCTGTTCGGCCCTCCCATCAGCGGCGAGCTGGTCAAGCATGGCTACATCGCGCTCGCTGCTTGGTGCGGCTCCTCGCTCATGGCAGGGGGAGTGCTGATAGGCTGTTCCCGCTTGTGGCAGGACCGTCGTCTGACTGCTCGAATCTGATGTGGCGGAAAAGACGAGAGGTATCGCCATGGACGAAAGTGGAGATGTGCCGTAGGGAGTACTTCGTTGTAAAGACCTCCGTGCTGAGGGGCGGTTGAAGAGTCGACCAAGGCTCAGAGGATAGATTGTGTCACGAGAACGTAGCAATGGCTCAAACAATGCTGAGAAATTACTCCACTCAAGCGGTGCTCCCTTACCTCGCAGTCTTTTCAAACAAGTTCCTTATGCGTCGGCGCCGGCGTAAGCCCCTGCCACATCGATCAGGGCCATCCAGCAGAAGACCGCGAAGCACAGGCATGCCGATATCGGGAACTGCCCTCGATGTAAATTTGAACAGAGTGCTGGCCTTCGGTGCCAACCAAATGTCTCTGTTCTGGGAGAAACGGTCCTCTTGGGTCTCCTGAGCTGGCGAGCATGGGTCCTCAGAACTGGAAGCTTACAGACCATCAATCAGCAAGATCAGCCAAGCTCTGGCAAGTCATCTTATCTCAACCTGGGACTCTCAACCAAGTGCTCCTCAACCCTGACCAATACATCACTGACCGTGCAAGGCTTCGAGAGCACGCTGTCCACCCCAGCCGCGAGCGCCGCGTCTTTCAGCTCTTGGCGGACATTGGCAGTCACCGCGATGATAGGTAAATGCCTACTGATCTGGCCAGCGAGCTCGAATTCTCGGGTGCGTCGGGTACATTGCAATCCATCCATGACCGGCATCTCGATATCCATTAGAATCAAGTCGGTGCTAATCAAGTCGGCGTCTTTGTCTGAAGTAGAATGAGGAGGTTGCTCTATGTTCTGCGATATATTGCTCTTCTCGAGGATAGAGAGGGCTTCTTCGCCGTTGTTTGCGACTGTGACGGTGCATTGCGCGGTCTCTAGTTGTTTGGTCAGGATTCTTTGGTTGACTAGATTATCTTCCACAAGTAGGATGTGGAAACCTCCTTGATGTCGGTTTATCGTTCGCTTAGACTCGAGGCCCGGGCGGTGTGACAAGTCCTGTGAGGAGTGCGACGTTGTGCTAAATTCTAAGCTTCCAGCTCTGCTGATGGACAATGGCTTCGAAAGACGTCCTGACAAACCTGCTGCTGCTTCCTCGGGTGTAGCTACAGCTCTGGTTTCGATCCAGAAGGCGAAAGCCGAGCCCTTATCCGGGTGCGACGCGACACCAACTCCTCCACCTTGCTTCTCTGCGAGCTCTCTGCAGATATATAGGCCCAGTCCGCTACCGCCGTAGGTCACGTGAGTCTTGGGCGTGGCTTGGGAGTAACGATGGAACAGCCGTCCGATCTGTTCTGTAGTCAAGCCTGGGCCGGTGTCGTGGACGCAGAAGTAGAGATGGAGTTTTTTTTCTCGATCGATCAGGTCTGGCAATGTTATGTCTGTCGGCGAAGACCATCGAGGCTTAGGCGCGCAGCGATGGTCCCCATTCGGCCACTGGGCCCAGGGAAGTTCTGAAGGAGTTGTGTTCTGTCTTCTGTATGGCCACCGTCCAGGAACCGCTCGTCGACACGTCTTTGGGTCTCTCGACGGCCGAGGTCTCCGGTGAAATGCTATGGCCGCGTCCCGTGCCAGCGCAGCAGCGGAGTCATGATTGCATATACTGCTAGACAATGCGGCGAGGTCTTTACTGACCAGGCATTCTTTTCATCTTGATATCACCTTTCGAGAGCAACCGAAGTCCAGACCCGGCGCGAGGGCCGCTGCTGCCGTGAACAACTTCATCCATTCCATGTTGTACGCAACGACTGTGTAGACCACATCACATTTCCTCGAGATCGTTCAACGCGAAACTTGCGCGTGGTGATGGCAGCATAGCACCAAGATGCCAGCCGCAACAAGAAGCGCAACCAAGCAAGTGAAGCTCGAGGACGTGGGAGCGGGCGATGCGAGTGCTTCAAAATCTGCTGGGCAGAAACGCAAGGCCGATAGCCAAGGCCAAAAGGTTGAAGAAAAGAAGCCAAAGAGAAGCAAAACAGCGAGCGCGGAGGATGTCAATGAGGATGATGACATCATCATCATCAATCGCGCGCCCGTACTTGAGCTGTGGGCTGCCTGTGTAGCGCAGACAGTGTATCCTTCGCTGGCTTGGGAGACATGCCTAGGCGTAGGTGGCGCCATATCTACAATCACGGCGATATCAAAAGGACGCTCTATAGGTACGATGAAAAAAGCCCGATCCTGGTGAAGCGCAGGAGAAGAAGGAGAACCGCAAGGAGACGGCAGAGAAAGAAGACATTGATGAGGTCGAAGTGATGTCCTTTCGTCTCAACTTGGACAAGAACAAACAGGCTATGGTAGGTGGAAAGCCTAAGAAGGCGAGTGAGGAGACTCTCGGCAAGAAGTATGGCGGGTCGGAGCAGTACAATAGAGCGAAGAGCGCCTTTGAAGAGGCGTTGGCAGCGTGGAAGGGGAGAGAGGATGAGCTGGACAAGCAGGCCTTTGGATTTTACGAGGACTTCAGACCTTCGATACCGCCTGGACAGAAAGGGTGGGGTCGAAAAGGGCAGTTGAGGCTACAGACTGCGAAGGACGTAGTTAGAGGTTGATCTACTGGTATCCGCACGCAACGATTCAACCAGTCCGATGGTCAAGGAGTGGGAGCTCAAGCACAGCACTTCGATCTGCCGCTACGCTACAAGCGCTGTCCTCTAAAGCCTCGCCTTCTCGGTCGCATCGCTCAGCCACGCATACTTATCGTCCTTAAAAAACTCGTTGAATGGCTGTGGAGCTCGTCCGGAGATACAGCCGCCGTGGAGGATGTAGAAACCTTTGATGGCAGAGGTCGACAGAAACAACGGCGAGCCCTGCTGGTCGTCAGCTCGAGTTGCCTACGCAAGAACGTCGTTGAGGATAACGTACGCAGTTCGAGCAAAAGTTACGGTTGACTGTCGCGCCACTCTTGGTATTGCCGTCCTTGTACTCTCGGACAACGTCTTGTCCTTTCTTGAACTGCAGCTCCGCCTTGGTGAATCGATGGTTATGGGCGAAGGCACCTTAACGGCAGTCAGCTTTCGCAATCATTTTAAAAAGAGAACAGGTGATTCTTACTCCCACTGGCCTTCTTGCAGTTGTCACAGTGGCAAAACACTGTCCCCTTGTCAACCTATTTTGATGGGTTAGTAGATGTCTACACGGTGGAAACAACGATGGAGAGGTCTTTAGAGCGTCGCGCCGTGAAGTCCTTGGTCGTTGGACGGCTCCCGCAGAACCCTCAACGACTTACTCCTGTTACTATAACCTCCACCTGTCCGCAGTTGCAGGTCGACGTCTTGGTCACTTTCTGCTCTGGTGCTTTCGACATATTGAAGGATTGGGTTGATGAATTGATGGACAACAGTTGGTATCTGGTCCAGTCCGAGATGCAGTGTTCAAGGAGCCGAGGCTGAGTTTGATCGTACGTCATCTGCGATTGAAGGTAACAGCAACGAACATGCCGAGCAACTTCCAACGACTGAGTGAATCCACAGTGTACCCATTGTCATCCAGCTCTGGAACACGTAGTAGGTCCGGCATGTTACTCCATTGTCTTCGCTTGAAACAAAACGAAGGGCTGCCCGTGAATTTCAGCGGCTCGATACTTCAGAGGAGTACCTATGCCAACGAAAGATATGAAATGGTACAGCCCATGCTGCGAAACGGGCTTCAAGATGACTGAAAAGCAACATACCTCCGACACGCATGGATGCTCTAGTATGGAACGCATCGCATCGCAGTAGGACTTGGGTATCGTCAAGCCTCTCCCTGGTTATGGCATCCGTTACGAATCATCCAGGTACCATACTCTCGCGACTTGGGCAATAAAATGAAGCCAATGGTAGGCCTAGATTTCAAAAGCGAACTCCTCCATTTCCCATTGTGCCAGATTTTGCGCCGCCCAAGGTGCCTCTCCAGGACATGCCCGACAACATGACACCAGCCCCAGAGTGATGCCTCTCAAGTCCGCAGCATTCCGAGAGACACATGACATTCTTGAACACAGTACGAACCTTCGACCCTACGGTCATTGAAAGGCTATCGTCGGGTGATGATAAGCCCCTCAAGTTTACATGGACGTTGCCTCCACCATGAGGCCGGAACAGTCCCGGCCAGACCAGTAATATGAATTCCAATTTGATAAGTACACGAGGCAACGTTCCGGCCACGGGGACAAAAGAGCGTTGGATCCCCAAATTTGTCTGTCTTCCTTTCATTCCTCTTCGCACGCTTCCATCATCTCATCTTACACATTCATCTGCACGTGATTGTGCCAAGACTCACATATATCATGAGCCCATTCATGACAGACCGCAGTGAGGTCTCTCGGGACGTACAGGATGACAGTGTCCGATCAGCTTTCCCTAACATTGATGCTGACCCGTATACCCTCCCATCGTCGCTTGATCCCTTCACGATCACAACGTCTACTGGCTTCATGCCATTGCGAACGCCTATGGTAGACTCTCCACCGCTCTTCGAACCGTTGATGAAGCTGGTCAGTGATCTTCCCGTCGTAAAGCTTGACGGCTCGCCGGGCCTCCTGGCCAAGTACCAGGTCGGTCCTTCCATTGTTGAACATCATGCCTTGCCCGACTTGAGCGAGGCCATCGACCACCTGACCACTGCAGACGGCAAGCCGGATCTCACCGCCATCACTGCTGTCTTCCGCGAGTACGCCTTCATCGCATCGGCGTACCTGCTCGAGCCCTGCTGGGAGAGACAGTGCAAGGGCCTCGAAGGCTACGGTCTCGGTCGGCAAGTGTTGCCGAAATGTATTGCTGGACCATTGGTAAAGACTGCGAAGATGTACGCCTCACTATCCTCCATTCATCACAGAAGATGCTGATGATGGGTAGGCTCGACATCCACCCGTTCATGTCTTACGCTGCCGCCTACTGTCACTACAACTACAGCTTCGCAGATCCGGCCATTGGCCTCAATGAGTACAGCAATTTGCGTCTCATCCGAGCGTTCGAGACAGGATTGAATCCTACCTCATCTGAAGCGGGCTTCGTGTTGACCCACGTTGACATGGTCAAACATAGTCCGGGTCTCATTCGAGGAACAACCGACATTCTCGACGCCATTGAATCAGGCAAAGGTCGATCGGACGTCACTCATGGCCTCGAGATCATGTTAGAGACCATGCGTCGTATCGAAGGTAAGCACTGTCGGGACATAAGTGTATATCTTGCCTCACCGAGCTTTCTTGGTCTGACACTCTTTGCTCTTTAGCATCGATGGAGACGATGTGGGCCAATTCCAAACCAAAAGACTACACCACCTACCGCACCTTCATCTTCGGTATCTTAAAACAGTCCATGTTCTCGAATGGCGTCATTTACGAAGGCGAGAATGACAACGAGCCACTCTACTTTCGAGGTGAAAGCGGCGCCAACGACTCGATCATCCCCTTGATCGACAACTTGCTGGAGATACCGATGCCCGAAAACCCGCTCACGGACACGCTCAAGGACTTCCGAAGCTATCGCCCGAAGCCACATCGTGAGTTCCTGGCCTTTGTCAGGCGTCGAGCCGGCGAACTTGGCGTGCGAGAGTACTGCTGTGGTGACGTGGAGACGACGGTGCTGTATTTCCGACTACTAGATCACGTGCGCAGCTTCAGATGGAGGCACTGGTTGTTCGCACGGGAGTACATTATTCGCAGGAGCAGTCATCCGACGGCGACGGGAGGGAGCCCGATCGTTACTTGGTTGCCTAATCAACTGTTCGCTGTCATGGACCTCATGTCCGCTGTCTGGAACGAGATCGACCCTGAGGACAAGGAAGAGGTTCCTGCTTTCGTGTTCGAGATGATGGACAACGTCGAGGATCAACGGGTGAAGCTTCGGAGAGAGGTTGATCGCTGGTGCAGCGAAAGAGGAGTTTCAGTCAATTGACTATGCCTGAGCATCGCACGCGATGTCTTTCTACTCAACTAGACTGCTCGGTTGGTAGCATGGTCACTTTCGCCACTCTCTCCAAAAACTCATTCAAATACGCAGAATCCGCCAGTTCCTCCACACGCTTCAACTTCGTTCCATCTTCAGTGAACGACAAGATCATAATACACTCCATCTCAAACGGCCCAGCCGGTGTCTCGGCGTAGTTGATGGCGTGGATCACGCTCTTATGCGTCTCTGCATCGTGCGTTGTCTGCAGGACCTCGAGCTTTTGTTTTGTTGTTAGCGCACACACAGCATATGCCCACGGAAGAGACTTGTTACCTTGTAGTCGGTCCACAGGGCCTTCAGCGACGTATAGAACTCTCTGAACTCGTCATTGTTGCGCGGCGGGTGACCAAGCGTGGTTGGCCGGAGGTGGTAGATGCAGTCGTTAGTCCGCAGTTGGATGTTGGCCTCGATGTCCCATGCTTCTTCGATCTTGATGAATTTGGCAGTCAAAGACTTCTGGTTATCCAGGTTTGAGGACATGATGTCGATTGGTGTTTGATCGAACGATGACGATGGCCGGCAGGGCGTTCATATAATGTCCATCTTTCTGATCCTGGTGTCCTCGTGTCAACACTACGGCCGATGCATCTGACACCTTTGGCCTGACTGAACGAAAGCCGCTTTTCTCCGATGAACGTGTCTCAAGCTTTCAATTGGGGAATTGAAGGTAGCGAAGCTTCAGCTCTGACAAGCCTCGCAAGCGATATGCGAGGGAGATATGCTGTCAGCTTACATCACGAGCCGACAGAGCGAAAAGGGTGAGAATATTATGTAAGACGTGCCTCGATGGCAGAGGATGGAACGAGAACGGAGATATTCACCGTGCAAAGCAGTTGTGAACAATCGGAGTATCGGGTCACTGTCCAGATCTGGTCAGTAGTCAGAAGCGAAAGCTTGCTTATCGTAAGGACGGTATTGTTGATGTGCTTGATGTGACTACCGGGACGGCCGAGGCCGTATTTGCTAGTAGAATCGCTTTGCTTTTCGAGGATGGGCGGGCAGTTCTCCAGACGGTCAATGTTGGGCTGAGGACGAATCCTTCGTGGTTCTTCGCGAAGACTGTACGCCATATGACCTGGGTAGTGGTGACAGAGGACGGCGAGATATCCAAGTAGGACTATTCGAAGACACTGCAGGAGCAGCGAGGACCCTCGAGCTGAAAGGGAAAGTAGCAGTAAAGGCTGAGAGCAACATTGTGAAAGACTTACTCTAGGAAAAGACTGCCAGAAAGACGGTTGACTAACCCCAGGCATTGACTGGCCTTTCGGGGGCATACCTACCTTACCTTTTCTAATTAGGTGATCTGTTGTCTTCTGAATGTATACCATCAGCTGTTGTTTCCGCCATCAAGGAGGCGAAAGCAATAGTGATACCGCAAATCCAAGGATCAAATTGCCGCCCACCTCTGCGAAGGGTATATAGCTTGTAAACTTCATGACCATGTCCAACACCTACTTCCCAACCACGATCGCTTCTGCACTGTCCTGTTCACCACTCCCTACTGGACTCTCCCACCCCATCTCTCCTTTTCGTCCCTCTCACCCCCTACATAAACGCCTTCGCAATTTGAAAGAGTCCTCCGGCATTCTCCATCAGCCCACCTCCTCCCCCACCACCCCCAAACAACCCTCCCAATCCCCCACTACTCCCTCTAGAGCTATACCCCCCATACCCCTCACTTCCGTAATACCCACTCCCCATCCTCCTCCCCCCACCGCTAGACACACCAAACTGCCTCGCCAGCCCCGAAATCGCCCCACCCGCACTCAACAACGGCACAATAATTGCAAAGAAAGCCTTCATCGGATGCCTTCTCGCATAATACCACAGCTCCCTAATCATCCTCCTCAACTTATTATACAGGTAACTGATATACCCCTGCCGCGGACTCCGCTTGTAATACGAACTCCCCGATCCTCCACCCCCGCCAAACCCGAATATCCCGCCCCCGCCTCGTGAAGAGCCGCCCCGCCCGTTGTCGAAGATTCCGCCTCGCGAGGAGGTGTGGTGCGAGCTGTGTGCTGGGCGGACGAAGTAGGATTTACTGGCGCTCGAGTGCGCGGAGCGTGTGCTGCGGGCGGGGGAGTGGGTGCGGTAGGCGCGGGAGTTGCGGGCGTGGAGGTCGGAGGAGGAGTAGGAGCGGCCGCCGTCGAGGAGGCCCATGGTTGGGGTTTGTGTTCGCGGGGAGGTGTGCGCCTTGTGAGAGGGTGGGCTGTTATTGGTTGGTCGGTTTGTTGGTTGATCCGCGTGAGCGGAAGGGTGTTGCGTCGCACGATGGCCTATTCCGCGCGCAGTGCTGTGGTGTTATGAGAAGGTATAGGCATGAAGACGAGGTTGTTGAACCGGCCAATGCGAGCGTCTCAAAGGACTGGTGGAGCAGAGCACTCACCGCTGCCAAAGTGGGCGGTTGGGGTTTGAGGGCTGGGCAGGGTTTGCCTTGCGCCTCTAACCAATTCTGGCTTAAATCACATGCAGCTCGGAGAGAGCAAGAGAACACAACACGAATGGCATTTCACCAATGTTTGAATGCCCAACGGACTATGCATGACCATCGGAAAGTGCTTCTCAGGCTATGGACTTAGGTGTCAATCGCTCACACCGGTCCACTATGCTTTTCGTGCCGCTAATCGACGCCCAATGTTGCCAAAGCATACGGCGCTCACGAACAGCACGCTCGCGATCCAAGTAGCAATGCCCACGGATTCCGGACTGAAGACTCCGAGGACGAGCTCTTCGCTTCCTGAGGCTGTGGATGCGGAGCTGTTGGCGCTCAAAGCATCCCCACTGCGCGCAACGAGGCCTCGCAAGACCTGCGCCGGTGATGGCGATGGTACCAAGGCAGGGTTAATGCCCAGTAACACCATTGTGCCGAAAATCGAGAAGGATGATGATAGGATGAACCCAGGTGGCGAGCGGTCGATCAAATACCACAGCGCAGGATTGGCGAGCGCCAGAGTAAGCGACAGCTGTAACGTCGATTGCCACGGTAGTTTGCGGATGGCGAAAGCGATGCCGACAAAAGCTCCAATCGCCCGTACAACGTCCATCCAGCCATCCAGGCCTCTGTCTTTCCGTTCTCGGTCGTCCACAGCTTGGGCGTCGTCGTCCTCTCCTTCTGACTCCCAGAATTGATCTATCCATGGTAATGCCTCGCCCAGCAGCACACCTGCTAGTCCCCACATTGCGAGGTATGTCCAGCCTCCACGGTTCAAGTCCACTCGTACGGGTGCCACACCACGGTGGTCGTGTAGATGTGTGATCATCAACGCATACCCCACCCCAATGGAGAACATTGTGACCGTCCTCGCAACAACCGGCAGCACCAATCCTCTAAATCCTCTCTTAGGCATGTGATGTGGTCTTTGCTGAGGAGGCGCTGCGCTCTTCCGTCTTATTTGCGTCCCCTTCGACCCATTCTGCAGCACCGCGTCGGGTATGTTCGCTCGGGACCAGTCCATCGAGCTCTCCCTGCTCACTGGGCTTCGCTCAGCGGGCGTCTGGGCACCTGTCCCAAAGGGAGTCGTGCCGGTCCATGGTGTGGCATCGCCATGCCGTGCAGAGGTAGTGCGTTCCTCTCGCTCGGGTGCGTAGCCGGTGGGCTGGTAGATGCCGAATAAAGTAGAGCTCGTCAGATTGAGAAAGCTGCGAGATTTGCTCGGTGTTGTGCTGCCCTCCATCGCAGTAGCCGGCCGACTCTGTGCCGGTGTGTTCAGGTATGAGGAAGGGAAGCCCGTCTGCTCGGCGGGAGGTGTAGATGGAGCCGAGGGCGGGGGAGAGGACAGCTCGAAAGGATGGCGAGGTTTGGGTTTGAGGACTATGTTGTAGTCGCTGTCTTGGTCATCGTGGAGAGCAGGACGGCTCATGTTTGACAGCGGAAGCGGAGGCGGCTGAAACAAGGTTTAGGTCACGCGAGGCTGCTTTCTGCTTAGTTGGGAGCGGCAGACGTCAGAGCGTTGAACTAGAAGAACATGGTATTTTCCAGACGAAGAGAAGGAGAGGAAGGAGATGTTGGACTTCCAAGAGGCTGAGACAGCAAAGTGGAGACGGGGGAATCACATGCTCGCTCGTGCGCTGCTGCGAAGGTCAGACGCTCGGAGAACAATGGGAAGACTTTCATGTGAAAGCCAGTCAAGCGAGGCGGGAGCTGGCGATAGCCGAGAATCTGCAGGGTTTCTCCACACTCTGCGGCGGGCGGAAAAAAGTTCCTACATCCAGACGACTGGACATATCGAAGACAACATCACGCTCGATCATGGCGGCGACAACAGACGCTCGTCCGGAGCGGACGGCGCAAGTCAGAATACACTTGACGACACGCAGCGATGACATACAGTTGCCGGAGACTGGACCTATCCTCGTACCTACGGGTAAGCCGTGGAGCATGTGAAGTCGTTTCGTGTGCGGTTACTAACGCTGGACAGAACTACGTCGCTACCAACTGTCTACCCTTGTGAACCGGCTGCTGGAGACAACACAACCCGTGCCTCTCGAATTCTTGATCAACGGCCAATTCTTACGGACCTCTCTCGATGAATTTCTCACCCAGAACGGCATCAGCGCGGAGACGACGGTCAACGTCGAGTATGTCAGAGCGCTAATACCGCCGCTGCATGTTGCGTCCTACGAGCATGACGACTGGGTATCTTCTGTGGACGTGCTATCGAATACCGCAAAGGCGATCCGGATGCAAGAATCCAAACGAAAGGCTCTCTATGCGCCACGAATCCTGTAAGTTGATCTATTAAACAAGCGCACGGACATGTGCTATCTAGCTCGGATGACCTCTCCAATACGCTTGCTGACTCTTCCTGAAGCTCTGGATCCTATGATGGCATGCTCAGGATATGGAACGAAAGTTCCGAAGTGGTGGCAACAGGCACAGCGCACACGTCCGCCGTGAAAGCTGCGAAGTTCCTCACACCGACTGTAGTTGTGTCTGCAGGCATTGATCGTACCGTTCGGATATGGAAACACGACTATGCCGAGACTGGCTACGAAAAGGGCTCTCTGGCCCCAACACTCGAGCTTTACGGACACAAGTCATCCATCGAGAACCTCGCGGTCCACACTCGAACTTCCCGCATTCTATCCGCTTCTTCAGATCACACCATCGGGCTGTGGAGCAACCGAAAGAACGACCTCCCTGCAGCAGCTGAGTCGCTTCTACCGATCGCCAACAAGCGCCGCAAGCTTTCGAACGCCCAGCAATGTCCCCAACGAGGACCGTTGAGCCTACTCCAAGGCCACCAGAGCCAAGTCTCGGACGTCTGTTTCGACGAGAAAGATGACACGGTCGCTTACTCGTCCTCTTGGGACCACACGGTCAAGACATGGGATCTCACGACAAGTGCATGCGTTGATACCAGAACTACGTCGCAGAGCCTGTTCAGTATCTGCCACCTCTCCGATGCAGGCCTTCTCGCCACCGGAACCTCCGCACGGCACATCAGCCTCATCGATCCGCGAGCATCTGCTACGACCATCTCAGCCATGACATTACGTGGACACACCAACGCCGTCGTCTCACTCGCCGAAGACCCTAGGTCACCCCATCAACTAGTGTCAAGCAGCCATGACGGCACATGTCGCGTCTGGGATCTTCGCTCGGTCAAGCAGGGATCTGGTACTGAGCGGACAGGAGAGAGCGTGTATGTCATCGAACGAAACAGTGCGAAGGGTAGGACGAAACGACCGGAAGCGGGTGATGGGGTGAAGGTGTTTGGGGTGTGCTGGGATAGTACTGTGGGGATTGTGAGTGGTGGGGAGGATAAGATGGTGCAGATTAATAAGGGGGGGGAGTGAGGATGAACGCTGAGTTGCACAAGCATTGTTTGCGCTACAAGATGCGCGACGGTACCCGACCAAGCCATTTCCCTTTCATCTTTACCGCACAGCCAAGTCGCTCAGTCATAGGATCCGCGTGCTCCAGCATCAGCATCAGCAGCCGCGCCCACCTCACCCTCACCATACCAGCTTCTCGAACCGCCTCACCACCAAACCCTCACCCTCGCAAGGCCTTCTCACGGCTCGTCTGCGCTCACGCCGCCAGCAAACTTCGCAGCTTCTCGTGCGCTCAAGATGGGTGCAGCCAGAACACCTCCTCTCGAGCTTCTGCAGGGTGGATGACTGGGTGTCGATATCCATCCAGCCTCGAAGTCTCATTGTGGAACGGAGTCTCTATCACTGTCACCACCGGACATCCGCGTGGCGAAAGGCTCTAAGCGCCGTCAGCCGATAGTCTTCCATTCCCATCTCCCTCTCTCATCGTCCGCACACTCCGCTTTCTGCTCAAGAGAACCTAGAAACCCTCACAGCTCAATCTCCACCTCCCTGGTCGCAGGATAACTATGGCATATAAAAATCCCGTTCGGCCTATCCCCTTCCGGCCCGTAGACCTGCCCTTTCAACAACTTCACTTCACAGGTCCCGCACATGGCGCTCCGGCAGCCGAAGGCGGGTTTGAGACCGGCTTTCTCGGCGAGCTGGAGGATGGAGAGTGGGGGTGTGTCTTTGCCGGACCAGGGGACCGTGATGTCGGATTTGGTGAAGTGGACTTGGGCTTCTTCTATGTCGGAGACCATGGTTGTTGTAATCTTTTCTAAGGGTGGATTGGATGGGGATGGGTTTTTGAGTGTCCAGAGATCCGCGATTTAAGACCCTCGGGTTCTCCGATTTTTGGGCAGTCCGTTAGTGAAAGTCGGTCTTTGTAGCAAACAGTGACCTAGACTTCGAAAAGAACTACCAGGAGTAGCATGTCGTCGATACTGTATGAGTTCGGCAATAGTCGGTAGTTGAATCCCTGCTCAAGCTTCCCGATGCCGATGCCGATGCCGACTTCATCGCGTCTACCAGACTTCAGCACCTCATCATCCACCAATACACCCAACGCTTACCACCTTCCACAAGCTCCACCATGCTGACCTCCCGAACCCTCGGCTTCCGCAGCCTACCTAAACTCACCAACACCTGGCGACGTCTAAACTCCACATACGAACCTCCGACAGCACCCAAGAGCAATCGACACGGCAGCTTCTACCGCACCTTTGGTTCTCCGGTCATCAAGAACTTCCTGATTGCACTATGCACTTTTCAGGCGATCTACTGGCCGTGGTTGAAGCTGGAGAGCATTGAGATGAAGAAGAAGGGGGATAGTGAGTTGAGGATGGCGGAAGGGAACTTGAGGAGTATTACCAGCGATGGATGAGGGCCATCCAAGGGCGTAATACAACATCGCCGTAGCTTCATTGGCTAGCAACAGGATCAGATTGAGGGGCGCGCGAGGGTGTGGTTCATTACCATTGTGGCAGACTCAGTTGACCCGGATGGGAAATGGTGGATCCGGACTCACTGGCAGAGGCCACGGCCTCAAAGTTGCATCTAAGTGCCACACAGCATTCTTTCTCTTTCAACATATCACATCCATCACTATGCTGGGAGAGCGCTGCCTGTTCCGACTGCTATGCCGCCTCCACCTGGCCTGGCGACTGTCACGGACGAGGCCAAAGCCAAGCGATCCTGTACCGTGCGATCCAAGTTTCAACTTCTTCGGCCTCCCTCCTGAGCTACGGAATCTCATCTACGAGTTCATGCTGGCAGACTGTCCGAGGGAGTACTGGTTGGACAGCGACCAACCCTACCTTATTGTGCCCCCAATCCTACAATGCAATCATCAGATCTCGCGCGAGGCGGCTGGATACTACTGGAGATCAGGACGATTCGACTTTGTCGTCAAGTTCGACGAGATGGCGAAATTTGCGCAGCTGTCGAACTTCATTGGCCGTGATGCGACGAAATTTCTCTTCGCCAAAAGTGATGTCTATATACACCTCCTCTTGCCTCGAGACAATGCCAACTATCAAGACTTCAAGAAGCACGCCGTTCTGGGCTGTCTGTTCGGCTGTGGGTTCGGCTCAACAGACGCCACCCGGAAATGGCATTTCGTTTTCCAAGAAGTCGATGTGACGAATCTGGCTCAGTACGTTATCACGGAGTCGTCGTCAGGCTGGCGAGGATCAAAGGCCATAGCCGCACGGTACAAAGCGTTTCCTGCCGAGTATCTTCCGCTCGCAACCCAGGTGTATAAGCAGCTGGAAAATCAGTTGACCAAGGTTGGGAAGGAAGTCATGGAACATATCTCTACAGCTACTGGAGAGGGTCACCTCAGTCCACTACTCCTTTCGTCCAGTTATTGAACATCATACATCGGACCCTCCCTTGGATGCTGCTTCAGCGCTCTCCACGGGTGGAGGCCTTTGCAAAGGAGCCGGGTACCTTTCCAGCGTCAACAGGCTCACTAGCAAGCTTGCAGCAGAAATATACGTTGTGATCCTCATCTGTCCGGTGAAGGCCTGGCCAAAGACCTTGGCAACAAGCATTTGCTGCTCGGGCGCGAACGAGGCAATGTGCAGCGGCGATTTGAGCAATGCGGACATGTCAGCTGGACTGAGAGCATTTGCCAGCGCGTCTGAGTGTCTGATCCCGCTGTTGAAGACGATCACGCCTGTTGCCAGGCCGATGCTGCCGCCGAGCGAGCGCATCTGCGTGAGGGCGCCTTGCGTGACGGCTGTTGCACAAAGTCAGCTTTGCTACGGTCTTGGGTGTTTCTCTGACTCACCGATCCATTGTGGTGCAACCTGAGTCTGCGCGATGATGGTCACGGCCGGCATTGCCAAACCGAACCCGAAACCAAGGAACACTTGGAAGCCAAAATGCTTCTGTGGCGTTGGACTGGCATCACCAAGCGTTGTCATGAGGCCGTAGCCCAAGAGCTGAAAGGCTGATGAAGCTACCAAGACGTACGACGTCCGGTTGTGACGTGTGTTGACACCCCCACCGACGAGGGAGCCGACGGCGGAGGAGACCATCATTGGCAGCAGTTTGACGCCGGCGACGACTGGGCTGTTGGCGTCAACTATTTGGAAGCGCTGCGGGAGGTTGACGATGGCGATGTAGTAGTTGAAGCCTGCGAAGACAGTGATGCTGTTCTTGGTCAGCTTGCTGTCAAAACATTTCTGCGATTGACTCACAGTATAGCGGCTCCCACGACTCGTTGGCGGAGCACGCTCATGGGAAAGACAAGCTGCACGGTCCATTGTGGATGTGCCGCGAGACACTGCTGCCATGCGAAGAAGGCCACGAACCCTAGGCCCGAGACCACCAGGCATGTGATTATGGTCGGGCTGCTCCAAGCATAGACGAAAGCGCCGCCTTCCTCCAGTGCAAATATCAGCAGGACCGATGCGGCCAGCAGCAACATACAGCCGAGCACATCGATCCTTCTGAAGGAAGCCTTTGAGAACGCCTCAGTCTTCTCTCTCGGCCATGCCACCAACAGCGCCACCAACGCCAGCCCACCGACCGGAAGGTTGAGATAGAATATCCACCTCCATGTATCGCTCGTCGGATCGTTCGCAATCGCGCCGGACAATATCGGGCCCAGAACACCAGACGTCACCAGCACCATCCCAACCGTCGCTCCTATCATCCCCATCTTAGACGGCTCGACAATTGTCAACGCAATAATCATCGTCATGGAGTATAGCCCACTTCCTCCGATCCCTTGCAGCGCCCGAAAGATGATCAATTGCGTCATATTCTTGCTCAACCCGCACGCCAACGAGAACGCCAAAAACAGCGAAAAGGACGCGACTTCCACTGTCTTTTTGCCAAAGATGTCGCTGAAGCGGGATATGATGATTGCGAAGGCCATGTAGGTGAGGAGGTAGGCGGTGAGGACCCATGTTGAGGAGTCGAAGTCGTCGAATTGCGTGGCTATGGTTGGAAGGGCGACGGCGACGATGGTGGTGTCGAGGAAGCTGAGGAAGAGGCCGAGGAAGAGGGAGGTGAGGATGAGGTTGCGTCGCCAGCCGGCGAGCGTTGGGGTTTGAGGCTTGTGGGTTTTTGGGGGTGCGATGGGAGGCTGTTGTTCGATGTCCGCGATGGGTGTCGCATCGTCGCTGATCTTCTCGTCCTCCGATGATGGACGGGTGGGCGTGACTGCCAGCTCGGATTCTTGCTTGGTGGTGGACATGGTCAATTAATACTAAGCTTATGCCTAATCGTATCGAAACACACTTGCAAGTAGAACAATTCCCTTCATACCATCAACAAGTCTTTATCAAACCCTCGCCATGGTTTCCCGATCCGGCCATAGTGCGCGAAGGCAAACCATACGCCCGAAACCGATTCCTCCTCTGCTCGTGAGCAGCTCGAGATTCGTTAGCAGCGTTGCAGGATTCTGGGAGCACTGGCACAGTGGGGAAGTAGGCGTTCTGCTTCCGAGGGTGGTCGGAGGGTTGATGCTCCGTACGGACGTAACGACCTATACCGCCTGGGATTCTTTGGCTGTGGACGATTCACTGTATATGCTTGGGCCTGATGGCTCGTTTTGAGTGACTCTTTTATAAAGAAGTCGGAGATTGATTAGCGGAAGACGTTGGAACGGACGGATGAGCGGTGCTCGTGGGTGTGGGAATGCGAGTCTGTTCGTCTGGCGCAATAGGGAATCATGAATCGTGATACTGTGAGCTACCTGATCGATCAAACAGCACAAGCCGTCGCACTGGACAATCCAACAGCCCTCTTTGCATTCAGTCTCAAGTCCGTTCGTCTCCATCATCAGCAAGATTCTCCAACCTACCCTCCGACCGCATGCGACTATCGAAGATATTGTTCGCAATCATCATACCCAACGGCACACCGCCGACTGGATGCTCTCCGTCACATCCCTCCCTCGGTCCTTGGGCTGCAAACCAATCCATTTCTGCGACCTGCTTGTACTTGGAGCTTCCATCTGGATGTACTTGGTATTGTTGCTTGTACTTCTCTGGCCGCGGTTGGTTGTTGTCTATGCCCTCATTTGCTGCTCCTGCTTCATCATAATCCACAAAGACAGTCTCGCCGGCGAATGCGTCAAAGTTCCAGTGCACACCAAGCCAGATGCGCGACATGCCGTTGGAGAAGATGGCGTCCTTGAGAGATTTGAACTCGATAGGATGGAGTGTGCGGACCTCGCCTGGCTGGTCTTCGATTGCCGTGGCCGGCTTGTAGGGCTGGTACAGAGTGCGTGAGATGCCGTTGAGCTCGTCGGAGACAAACTTGAACTTGATATCATCGTTAGCATCGTTCCTCGGATCTTTCGGTTCTGGGTCCGGACGCTGTATTGGCGACTGCGAGCCATTCTCTACTTTGACAAAGTCTTGGGAAGCTCTCTTTGCGTCTTGCTCTGCTCCCGGCCCTTCGACATTCCTCGGCTTCAACTTCTTGTCCCCACGTTGATCGTAGAAGAGACGGGCCATCTGGAAAGCGGCGGCAGCGAACGTCGCATGCCCAGACGGATAGGCTGGGAACGGGGGCTTGAAGCCACCTTCATTGCTGTTCGTGGCAGGAGCACCAAGGACTCTCCAAGTAGGTCTCCCATGGCCATCAGGCACTGGTCCCGTAGGGTCTGCTCGGACTCCGGACAGAGGGCGCCAGAGTTCGTACTTGTATTTGTCGCGCCAGCAGAAGACGCCAGCATCGGCCATGGCGACATTGACGAGGGCCAGCAGGCGGATGAATTGGGCGTTGTTCTCGTCCGAGTTGAGGCCACCAGATGTATCCTGCATGTCGTACGCGATCTGTTTGACGATCTGGTTGTAAAGACGAGGAGGAGTGCCGATCAAGTTGGCACCGTCGTAGGCCCAGAAGAGACCACGGGCTGTTTCAGCGGGACGACGCTTGGTTGTGGCGATTTCTTCGACGCCGCCCATGCGGTGGACATCCTCTACAGCGTGAAGGTATTCCAGATCATTCCCAGCGGGCGCGCTCCGCGGGTCGGTCATAGTTGGAGGTTTGGAAGGGACAACAGGAGGATCTGCGATCTTGATATCCTGGGTCGTCGCAAACACAGCCGCTGTCGTTCCATAGCGCGGGCCATGGTACGGACGTGTTACCTTGTCGCCCCTTCCCGGGTCATTTGGGTCCACCGGACGTAGACGAATGGGGTGAGATGGATCGTCGTCAAAATAGTATGGAGCATTTGCATTCGGAGTGTAGTTGCCAGAGTCCACGCCAGGCTCAGCAGCTTTGGTCTCAAGTTGTGCAAGGATCACGTCGGCGATTTGTGTACCGAAGATGTAAGCTGCTGAGCGGAGGTTGATTCCATTCGCCTGCAGGTAAGACCGTGCGGTGGTGTCAACGAAGTCGCTCAGCGCTCCTGCGGCTTGCAAAGACACACCCGGGTCCCTCTTGTCGGGAGCTTTGAACAGCTTCTGGAGGACTGTGATCGCTGCCCCAGCCACTGCAGTCTTAGCATGGGCAGCAAGTTCTGCTGCACTACTGGTGGGACTCGCGGGTCTTACGCCAGCGTCAAGATACGGCTCGAACTTAGAGATGAATTCAGCCTTCTTGGCCGGATGGTCATCGTACGGAAACACAGTAAAGTACGCATCGTGCACGGCAAGATGCAGGATGCCCAGGAACCGGGCCGTCAGAGGAGGTCCACCCTGGGGTCCACCGATCGTGTGGGTAAGCCGAACCAGGTCGAGTGCCACATTGTTCCAAAAGAAGACGTAGTTACTGTTGTAATCTCTCTTGCCACCTCCTGCCGGCAGTGCTTCCACGACCTGCGGGAGGACGGGCAGTGACATAGTGGATGAAGGAGATCTCTCTTGACTGTTGATTTGAGAATGTATGGAATGAGGTTGGACTAATGCTTGGGGATTCGTGCAGGAGAATGTTGAGCGGCCGGAACTTACATCTGAAAGATGATGAGCAATGTGACAACATCTTATACGCATCTGATCCCGTCTGGAGGTGAACGGGTACGTAGAAGCCTCTCGCTTGTCTGGTACACTTCCAGCTGATCGTGCGTCCCAAAATCCATCATGCCATTGCTATGCCGTTCTGTATAGCCCAGCTGAGGCGATTTCAGTGGTGTGAGGACGAACAGCCAAGGCATGAGGCGAGGCATGGCTGCCTTTTGGAAAGATCCAAGGGTTGCGTGCAACGGCGTCAGGTCCACCGGCGATCAGGCCCCCAGCATCTTCAATTGCGTGCCTCTCGACGCATGTAGAACTACTGAGCTGGACTTTCATATGCAAGTCGCGTGATCGTCTCACTCAGTGGTGCCACGATACGAACCTGAGGGTGTATTTGGTCGTCCTTCTCATGAGCGGCCAAGGACGCCAAGCAAGAGCCGGTCATGCCATTACCAAACAAGCAGCTGATGGAGACCGCAGTGGGCTGAGTGATGGTGACAGAATCAGGCTCGCAGAAAGCATCTAGACAGTGTTCCAGAACCCCGTCAAGATCAGATTCGAAGCGTCGGGTGCCAAGCGTGCATTGAGCGGGCCGCTTTGCACGTGATCCTCAGGTTGTTCTTGTGCGACTCACATTCAACGCCTTCACCAAACGCGTTGCTCGATCGTATAACGAAGGAAATATGCTTGCCTCGATTGCTACCTCGAAGAAGAAAGCAAGCACCAAGGATCACTTTAGTGTACTCCCACACCTCGTTGGAGTCGATGACGCCTCCGGTAGCATCCATTAAGAATGCCCACCACAGCCTTTTCTTGCCTGGACGAATGTGGCGAAAGAAAACGAAATTTGTGCATCAGGACGACATAATATTGCCCGAGTACTGACTCCTCTCAACATGGACTCAAGATACCGCAAGCCTTTGCCTCCCAGCAAATAACATCACCACCCTACAGCTTGCTCTTCACGGCCTCCTCCCTATTTTTCAGTCCAGGATGCTCGGTGATAATCGCCCTAGTCACCGCAAAGAACGCAACACCGCCGCTCTTGCTGCTGAAAGTCGCCTTGGAGCCGACGTGGAAGAATGCCCAGTCGCCAGTCACGAGATGGTGCGTTACGCCAGTCGCTTCATCCAGGACGTCGATCTGGCCAGAGAGAACGTATTTGGTCTCTTCGTAGGTGTAGGTGGGGATGTTGCGGGCGGGGCCTGGTTGGATCTTGTAGAAGCCGGAGGTGAGATAGGCTGGGCTGTCGGTGGTCTTGGTGCGGACGCTGGGAGGAGATTGTTCAGTTTGTGGAGGAATTCAGCGGATGCATAAAGGCTTACGAGTGGAAGTCTGCGACAATCGCGCTCTCGCCCTGCGGGATCGGGATATGCTCATGGCCCGCGCCCTTGATGATCGTGAGGGGAGTGTATTCTTGAGACACTATTGACATGGTCAGTAATCGTCTGCCTCGCCAGCGAAGTTTTGACTGACTGTTGAATTATAGCAACTGGATCGGCGGTGATGTCGAGATTGGAACATGAGGGCCTTTGGCCGATATAAAGAGACTCCAGTGCTGGGTATTGTGGACACGAGACAAACTGATTTACCACCAGCGAACCATGGCTCTCTTACCTATCTTGCGCATGCAGTCTCGGTCGAGTGTTACTCGTGATAGTTGTCTGAATTAGGGAAGCAGGACCGGTGGTCAGCCTCTCCTAGCATGGACATTTTTGACCTCTGGCTCTCATATTTTCCAGACTGCCTTCCTCTGGCGAGTGGAAGCACATAACATCGTCTTGATGTCGAGCGACGACGTGGACCTGTTCCAACTGCATTGTGATGTGATGGATGTGATGGTACCTCAGAGGTGACAGTCGTCCCAACGGCCTCGGAGATCATGATGTACATATGGGCACAGCGTGATGTACTCTGCGCACGAGGCCCTCCCCTGGCTCCCAACGAAGACTAAGGTACAGCCAACTGTTGCGGATGATCTGGACATCAGCGGACTGTGAGATGAGAAGGCCGTGACAAATAGTATCAAGGTATCGTTCGACAGCACTTCAGAGCTTGGAATCCCTTTGGCTTCGAGAAGGCAATCGGCTGCCGTGTCGTACCTTTCAAGAAGGCCGGGCAACAAGGTTCTGAAACAAGCCAACACATGAATGCTGCCTGATCGTTGGAAGCGGTGGTGCCACGATGCGAACCTCAGGTTGTCCTTCTCGTCGAGCGGTCCAGGACACCGAGCACGAACCGGGCAGACTATGGCTAAAACATCAGTTAATAGAGACTATAGTGAGCTGAGAGATCATGACGCAATCTGCTTCGTAAAGAGCAGCGGCAGAAAGACGGACCGCCGGCGTTCCAGAACCAGACTCACTAAGGAGACGAGATGGAAGCGTCAAGCGTGCATTAAAGGGTGCACAGCCTGCACGTGTTCAGGTCGTACATCTACCTGTTTGCGGAGTAGCCTCGTCCTACCTTCTATGCCCTCTCTCCCACAAGGCCAGCCCGCCCACTCGGCCATTGGTCTGCGGGATATCAGCCGCATAGCCTATCCTCTACATCTACCACTGCCTCTGGCGAGAGTAAGAAGGCAACTCAGTATCTCATCAGTCGTGGCTTGGTGTTGGTGATGATGAACTGTCCCAACTTCTCTCGAAGGGCAGCACAAGTATAGCGCCATCTCTAGCCATTTGCAATACTAGGCTAACACCACAGCCACAGTGACAACTCGAATCTCAATGGCGTCCAGTATAGGGCCAGACCGTCCAAGCGTACGGCGATATTTTGCCGTCTCGTTTTCGCGCATCAATTCAATGCCATACATTAACCAAGCATGCGCCCCAGCTATGGAGTTGGAGAGTCAAAAAGGTTACCAAGTCGTTCGTTAAGTATGGCGCCAACCGGGTTACTCTCGGTCCTTCTGCTGCTTCTCCACGCCTTCATTGTCCGCACCAACGCCGCCCGCGAGTGCCAGTCCACGGACTGCTACCGATACTACAACAAGCAGACCCGCAAATACTTCGTCGAGAAGTGGCCCTTGGTTAATTGGCCCACGGGCGAGTTCTACGCTGGCAACGTCCCCATCGACGAGTCTGATCCTTCCCGAAGCTTGTTCTTCGTCTTCAAGCCCGCTTCGGATGCTCCAGTGAACGAGACAACCATCTGGCTGAACGGCGGGCCGGGATGCTCGTCACTCGCTGGCTTCCTGCAGGAAGTTGGTCCCATTGAATGGGCCCCTGGCCAACTGAAGCCTGTCAAGAACCAGCAGTATGCATGGTCTAAGATCACGAACATGCTGTGGGTGGAGTATCCAGTGGGAGTGGGGTTTACGACCGGTGAAATCCGTGCGAGGAACGAGGTTGATGCCGCAAAGGTGAATGACCCCATGGCAAACGCCTACCATGTCTGAGAAGTTTGCTGACCCTTTTGACCTTTTGTTTGTAGGACTTCGTGGGTTTCTTCAAGAACTTCCAGAAGCTGTTCAGCATTCAGGACTACAAGACATATGTCACGGTACTGTCTGAACAACAATGAACTTGACCGCTATCTTCTAACATGTGCAATGTCAGGGAGAGTCGTACGCTGGGCGCTATGTGGTACGTTGACAATGGGCGCCTTGCACAGGCAAAATGTCAGAACTACATGCTAATCACGTAATAGCCCTACATTGCCGCCGAAATGCTAAAACAGAAAGACAAGACGTACTTTGACGTTGCCGGCAAGTGGCCAGCTTCCATTCTTTCCACCAACTGCTACACTCGCTCATATATCTAGGCGCCCTCATTTACGACCCTACCCTCGCCGACTATGGCCAACTACAAGCCAACATCCCAACCGTCCCATTCGTCGAAGCCAATAACGCGATTCTCACACTCAACGAGTCATTCATCGAAGATATCAAAGCAACCAGCGCCAAATGTGGCTTCGACAGCGTAAGCTTCCTCCAGCAGCACTATCACCAGTGGGAGCATCGCGAGAGTAGACATCGCTTACGTTCTCCACAGTACCTAGACAAATACCTCAGCTACCCTCCACCTGGACCCCAGTCACCCAGCGGCGCCTACGATCCAAAGTGCGACATCTGGTGAGTGATTAAAGCGTAGATCCCTCTCTCTACGAAGATGCGTTCTGACCACTCCTGCTCACGCGTCTCTCAGGTCCGAAATGGCCGCCGCCTGGTTTCTAGTGAACCCCTGCCAAAACATCTACAACATTGCCGACGGTTGCCCGATCCCAAACGATCCCCTCGCCACCCACCCAAACTACAAGCCGCAAGTATACTTCAATCGCCCAGACGTTCGCGAAGCGATCCACGCACCGAAGAACACGCACCACCTTGGTCCTGGGAAGATCAACCACCTGGTCGATACGAACTGGTTCGAATGCGGGTTAGCGCAGGTCTTCCCCTTCGTCCCCTCAGGCAACAAAACCGGCCCTGAAGGCCAGGTAGATCTGTCCCCGGATCCGATCCAACATGTCCTCCCCCGCGTCATCGACGCTACGCAGCGCGTCCTTATCTCTAACGGGAACTACGACGCTCTGATCCTAACGAATGGATCGCTGTTGGCGATCCAGAACATGACCTGGGGCGGCGAGCTGGGTTTCCAGAAGGCGCCGACGGAGGACTTTGTGGTTCCGGGGCAGGGTGTGATGGGGAAGGCGCACGAGGAGAGGGGGTTGATGTGGGTGGAGTCGTATGCATCGGGCCATATGCAACCACAGTACCAACCTCGTGCGACGCTGAGGCATTTGGAGTGGATGCTTGGGAGGATCGATAGCTTGTGAACGGGGATGTCGGGATAGACATGAAGGGTGTTGGTTGAGACTGGAGGTAGAAAGCTTTCTAATTCTTTTGCTTGGATACTTGCATGTATGCACGTTCTGATGCCATCCTCGCTGATTGACTCTTTGTGTGTGAGAACGATGAACACCTGAAGTTATACTTCTAGAAACCTACTGTTGTGCAGCGCATTGACCTGTCGAGGAGGGCACATCTGCCGAGGCCGAGCAGAAGGCACTTCAGCTCCATCCTCTGCTCCTCACTCTTCGACGTGCAGCTCTCGTCCGCCGAGAGCATTGAGCTTGCTTGCTGCACACGCACGTATCCGTGTACCTCAAGCACCTTTCGAGCGGAGACTGCATCTTGAACTGCCGATGGCCAGCGTTGTCAGCTGCTCGTCGAGGAGTCCCAACTCTCAAGAACCCTTTTGCTAGAGGAGGACGCAGGCAAGTATACTCAATCCGTTTTGTTCTTCAATCTTATCGACATGGCCACTACCACCGCTCCCGTCCGATACGAGGATTCGGAAGTGCAGAAAGCACATACAGACCTCTACCAAGACTCATCCAAACGGCCACTGTATCCCGTGCTGCCACCTGGTTTGAGCCAGAGCGAGTTCGACGAAGCAATCAATGAACTTGTAAGTGTGTTGGGCAACAAAAATGTCTTCGCCGGAGAAGCCTTGCAAGACTACATCGACCCGTACGAAATCGACGAGCCAGGCGTTGAGCGGAAGATTCCCGGTGCAGCGGTAACGTGGGTCTCCTCAGCATTGACGGGGTATAAAGCAATAACAGATCTGCCAGGCCTCCAACCACGGAAGCTCTTCAAGACATCCTGCGAGTCGCTAACAAGCATGGCATACCACTATGGACCTTCTCACGAGGGAAGAATATCGGCTACGGCGGTCCTGCTCCGGCGCTGCCGGGGTCTATTGCCCTGGACCTCCATCGTATGGATAAGGTGATTGAGGTGAATGAGAAGTTCGCGTATGCAGTTGTGGAGCCTGGTGTGAGTGTGCCTGCGGGACTAGAACTATACAAGTTCTTGTGCCTTGAATGAAGCGATTTGCTGACAGCGAAAAGGTGACCTTCACCGACCTGTACAACTACTGCGTCGACAAAGGGCTGAAGGTCTGGCCCAGCGTACCGTCCTTGGGGTGGGGGAGTGTGATTGGCAATGTGAGATAGTCTTGCCTTACTCGTCGAGAACAGCGATCTAACATCAGGCAACAGACGCTCGACAGAGGTGCTGGATTTACACCCACAGCCTCTCATTATGAGCATATAGCAGGCCTCGAAGTCGTCCTCGCCAATGGTGACACCGTCCGCACCGGCCAGTGGGCGCAATCGAACTCCCCATCCGCTCATCTATCAAAATTCAGCTTCGGTCCGTCGGTCGAAGGCCTCTTCCTCCAAAGCAACATGGGCGTTGTAACGAAGATGGGCATCTGGCTCACTCCACAGCCACAGGCGTACATGTCTTGCTCCTTCGACATGCCCAACGCCGAAGACGTGGGCGCCATCTGCGACGTCTTCGGCGATATGCGGCGGAGCGGGATCTTACCGAACATCGCCTACGTCTTCAACATCATCGAGTGGTCCGCTATCGTCGGCAAGCGCTGCGAGCTGTACGATAAAGAAGGGCCGATGCCAGAATCCAGGATTAAGGAACTGCAAGAGCAGATTGGGGTAGGCCACTGGTCGGTCAAATTCAGTCTGTACGGACCCAGAGCGATCTGCCAGGCCCAGTACGACGAAGTCCAAAAGATCGTGGCCGCTCAAGCTCCAACAGGGCGTCTCAAAGGCACAATGTTCTCGGGCGAAGGCGACCGCCTGCTCGACCCCTCGAGTGTCCAAATGCCCCACGGCGGCATGTTCGTAGGCGTGCCGAGCCTGTGGAGCTTACCACTCACCAAGTACATGCTCCCCAAAGACGAGTCGGGGGCGGGGGCCCATGGTGCCTACTCTGCCATCATCCCGCTCGACGGTAAGGTCATGAACGAGTGGTACGACTGCGTACGGGAGGTGTATGCAGCGGAAGGGCTGGACGCGATGACGGATTTTTTCATGCATCATAGGCATGCGGTCATGGTGTGTATGCTGTGCTTTGACAAGATGGATCAAAAGCAGTGCGAGGCTGTGGAGAGGATTTTTCATAAGTTGTATGTGGAAGGGAAGAAGAGGGGTTTCAGCAAGTATAGAGCGCACGTCAACCATATGGGTCGGTTTGGACTGAGCTCGATGGTGAGAACAGCTACTGATAGTTGGACAGATATGGTTTCGCAGCAGAACGACTGGAACGATCACGCTTACATGCGATTTCTGGAGACGATCAAGGTATGTCGTCAGGAAGTTGCGGTGACATTGGTTACTGACCTGTTTTACAGGACTCGCTCGACCCGAACGGCGTCCTTTCTCCCGGCAAGATGGGCGTCTGGCCGACGAAGTATCGGCATATGAGAGATTCCAAGCAAAACGGCCACGCTACGAATGGCACGAACGGCGACGCTTAGTAGAGAATGTATGCTCGATCTCCTGTATAGGAGCTACTCAAGGTCTGCTGCTTGCAAGCCCGTCATCGAATGGTACTCTCTTCTTCCTCAACAGCATCCCGTACTCTCCCCATCCACTTTTTATCATAAAAAACCCCTGATGCTACCCAAATACTTCCAAGCCGTCCGCCGTGCTCGCAGCATCGGACATCATTAGATCCGCAAGAGCACTGCAACCGCCTTCCTCCCAGTCTTACCCTCCTGCCTCGCAACCGCCTTCCTCACCAATCCAACATACTTAATTAGCAGCGAGTTGCTCCTCGTCTAGCCCTACTGTCCGGAGTTACGAAATGTGGCGGAACCCTTCCCCGGAGGTTCATGAATGCCGGGAACAGATGTATGGTGCTTCAACAGGAGTTGTCGTGCTCAAGTCATGAGCGAAGACTTCTGGTAAAGGTCTGCATGGAGTTCTCTTAGCAAACACGAATCGATCACCTACATTGACCCAACTCGCCTGAGAACGCCGTAGTTGCGATCTCGATATCTGTACACTCCTCAACATTCGGGGCCTCACGACTCCCGGAAAAGCTCGACAGACCCGGCAGCCTCGGCCTTGCAATCCAGCTTACGCCGCCTTCGAAGCTGATGCGCCTCACGGGGTTAGTATGATCTAGTGAGTACTTCTCGCTAAGGCGGCAGGGTACCTGGCGCATCTCCGAAGCGATGCTAGTCAGAGCAGTCTAGTCGACGGCAGCTACGAACAACGTCGCTCGCCGGTGAAGTTCGACGCCATCTTCTCTGCCGCCCGAGGTGAGCCAGGTGGAACTTTAGATAGTGACAGACGTGCTGAGGACTGTACAATCTGTGATGTGTATTGTACGGGATGTAAAGAAGTCGTCTCAAGCTCCAACTCGCGATGCGAAACGTGAAGGCAGAACGAGCAAGGCAAACAAGCGTGGCTTGGCGAAATCATTCTGGACTACATTCTGTATCGTGGAGATCAACGATGTCTCAGGAATTCCATTGAATGGCGCCCACTTACCCTAGCAGTCCGTATGCAATGCCGCAGCAGCAGCGCATTGCACGGCGCCTGCACCACGCACCACGATCCACGATCCATGCCCGCGTTCAATAGTGCCCGTACTCGGTCGGCCGTCCACCGTATTAAACATAGGCAATACCCTGACCTCCTCCTCCCATCCCCCACTTCTCCCACCCCAGTTAATCGGCCCTACGGAGCCACAAGAACCAATCAAGCCTGCCAACAGCAGCAGACAGATCTACCACACCGTTCCGCTCCTGAAGACTCAGCCACCCATGCATCCACCGACCGATTCACCCGCCATGGCCAATGGCAAGAGCGAAGTGGTGGAAAACCCGACCGACGGCCTCAAGTACAAAGTCCGCTGTCCCAACAAGCAGTGTGGGAACGCGGTGAAGAAGGGGACGAAGTGTCCGGTGTGCGGGACCAAAGCGCCGAACTAGATGGCTGGAACGTCGAGAGGAAGGATGCTTGAGGCGTGGGAGCTTGCGTGGTGGGAGGTAGTCTGCGTATCTCATGAAAGCCGCCAGGCCTCTCCGTCGAAGTCTTCTCCGTGGGGGTAGCAAGCAGATCGTTCGTGAATGGTCTCGCCACGCTGTCTCGTCGAGTAACAAGACCGTAAGGCAGTTGTGGTACGAGGTCTCTGCATGTGCAACCGCCTGTATGACTCAGCGAGGAGCCGCGTCGGAGGCCCTCGAAGTAAAAGCTGTATCGACCTTTTTAGCTCCTCTTCTTTAATCCCTCTTCCTCCTCCGTTAATATCTGCGTCACCGCAACTGGACGTTTTACCCTTCAAACGCATCCCCGTGACGCCATGGCTTCACCAACACCCGACGAACTCCCTCTCCCAACCCTCTATCTCCAGATCGAATACGCCGCACCCCCGTTCGCAGTTCTCGACATAGACCCCAACTCCACAGAACCCCGAGTCCGCGAAGCCTACCACGCCCTCGCTCTCCGCATCCACCCGGACAAAGCACCCACCTTTAGCCTCCGAGAGCTGCACACCTCGCTCTTCCAAAAGGTTCAGAGTGCGTATGGAGAATTGCTCAAAACCCACTTCGGCCGCTCAGAAGGCGAACATTCTGCTGCATCCAAGCGACTGCCAGAAACCCTAGCGTCGCTACAGGCTCGCAACATCGCGTTCCGGGAAGCGCTTCGGAGCGAGCGTGAGCGGGCGTTGAAGATGAAGCAGGCAGATGATGAGCGGGAAGCAGTGAAGAAAGCCGGCCTGAAGGCGAAGAAAGAGAGGTTGGCTGGAAAGAGGGAGGCGAGGGTGAAAGCAGTTGAGCTGGCAAGGGTGAAAAGGGAGAAGGAGATTGCAAGAGAGTGTCGGAGTCAAGGAAAGGTGCAGCCTCATCACCCGCTTGCAAAAGGAGACGAGCCGTCGAAGGGAAGTCCCACCCCCAAGAGCGAACCACTGGCCGACTGGGAGCAGGAGGAAGACCGACTCGAAGCAGAAGTGGAAAAGGAGAAGGGAGCGGAGCAGAATGACGATGGTGTTGCTTCCAAGCCAGCAAAACCACCCTCGCCGGCGAAGCCAAAGCGTCCTCTGCAAAACCAACCTACTTCCCGAACCGCACGCACCGCATGGCAAGACTCCATCGACGAACGTCTCGTCCCCGACGCCGAGATCACAAACCGTTGGAACAAGAGTCTCTTAAGCGGCGGCCGGGGTGGATCCGTGTCGCTCAGTCAGAAGAAGCAGAAGGCTCTCAGTGGCGCGGCAAGGATGCACAAGCACAGCATGGCGTTGCGTGAGGACGCGGATGGGATTGTGAAGCCTGCTTTGACGGGGAACAGGACGTTTAGTGCTTTGGTTGAAGAGGCGATGATGGAGGAGGCCTTTGTCGGGGCGGAGGCGCGGGCGGAGGCGAGGACGGAGAGGGTGGTGCGGAGGTTGATGGACGGGGATGTCGTGGGGGAGTATTTGCTTGAGGCTGGAGATAAGGAGTGGAGTGCGGCGCTGGGAGCGTTCTGGGCGATCGAGGAATGTCTGGCTCATAGGGAAGCAGTGGTAGTTCTATTCGATGCGGAGAGGGTCGTGGATGAAGGAGAGCATGCAGGCTGCCTGTCGGACGTCTTCACCTCATCAGGTCACTTCTGCAAGCCAAGCAATGAGCTTGTCGAAAGTTGTAGGTCGGTCCGTCTCGAATAGCTTGAGCATCGTGCATATCCCCTCACCCCTGCTGTGGAGTCCCCGCGGAGTGGTGGAGATCAGGTGGGAGGGCTACCCAATACCTCCAAAGGTTGACTGAGTCGACAAGGCCATATCGCTCATCCAGAGAGCTAGAAGTGTGGTGTTGATGTCCTGGTAGGCGGACAACGGCGGAACTGGAGCAGGAGGAGGAGCAGGAGGGGGAGGGGGTCATCTGACGTTCAGGGACAAAGAAAGGGCTGGACTTTGAGGTGCAAGGATGAAGGCGGGCGATTGTGGGGTAACTGGGACTAGCTTTGTTTGGGCATATCTTCGGTTTCACTCCTCCCTCCCTCTCTTTCCTCTGCACCGTTCCCCTTGTTCCATTCACCACAACAAACTGATTTGTAACGAAGCGGGAACACGTATACCGATCGTCCTTTTTGTCCGACTGCCAGCTTCTTGACAACAACCACCCGGCCATCGGATCTTATCACGCCATCCCGGTGACGTAAACACAACACGGGCCATTGAGATACAACGATACCTGCCCGGCGCTTGCAACAGCTCCACCCTGTAGCACACCACCTTCTGTTGTGTTCCAGTACCACCGACACGACACCGAGGGGACACCAACAACGGTAGAGGTGTTATTGGCCTTCGAGCCAGAGCACCGAAACGCAGCTCCAAACTCGCCGCCTTACGCCCCGAACCCCCTGTCCACCGCCGCCATGTCAGACGAAAATCAGCCGCAATCCCCTCCAAACCGCGACCGCCGCTCTTCCTTCGCAGGTCAAACCTTCGCCGACCTCTTCGGCCCCAACCGCGGTTCCACCTCCAAGCCCTCGGGGGCACCAGACTCCACCTCCCCACCGACCCAACAACTCCCCGGCCCCATCAGCCAAGCAGCCGCCCAAGCCCAGCGCCGCCGCATGTCCCTCACCACGCTCGGTCTCTCCGGCTCCCCCAACCAGACCTCGCCCTTCGGCTCCTACCGCGGTGGCCGCCGCGACAGCATCGGCTCCGCCAACAGCGGCAGCTTCGACGACTCCGCCATCGCCGAGGAAGAATCGCCTGCTCGGGATCAAAACGATGGGAGTAACCCGCACACCCCCTTCGCTCGACGAACGAGCTTCGGTGCACGCGCGTTGAGAGATATTCGGACTGGATCATTCAGTGGAGGAGGTGGTAGTGGCGGACCAGGGAGTCCAGGGCAGAACGGTACACGCTCACCACCTGCGTCGTCGAATGGCAGATCTGCACCACCTAATGGGACGATCTCTTCCCGAGACTCCAAGGGTCGAGGTCTGTCTCTTATCACGCCCTGTCTCTTCGTCTCACCTCGCTCATCTCGCCATGTCTCATTACCTGAATATGTACTGACATTGAGTTATGACACAGGCTCCGGAGCCGAAGGCTTCAATTGGGCCGACAACTTCCGCACCCGCGCCGAACGCACCTCCATCGCCGCCCAAGGCAACGGCGGCGTTGGTCTGCCAGCGGGCAGCAGCCACGCGCGAGCCAAGAGCGTTGCCGTGATGGAACCACCACCTGCTGCGCCGCCGAAGGCTAAAGAGCAGAAGAGGCCGGATCACTTTCAAGAGCGGATCTTGAAGGGAGACTTTTACATGGATTGAGATGGATGATTGAAGTGAAAGCAGGAATGGAGGTGCCACAGCAGCAAGGTGCTCGAGGCGTTTGACGGAGGGCACAGTCGTTTAGCAGGTTACGAAGTTATGAATATTATGGACGGATGGGACACAGCTACTGCAAAGGCGAGAATGAATGTACGAGTAAGGTAGTTGCGATATCGAGAACAACTGACAAATGCAAAAGTCATCGCTCCTGGTGAGTGCTTTTTGACGAAGACCACGTACGGCAAGCATTGCGAAAGGTACAGGAGAATGCATCCCCTTCCTTTGGCATCGCACGTCGCCTTTTTCGTGTGCACTAGAAGCACGTCTGCGCCGTTGCGACAATAAACGGGCTTACCACCAATACACTCGTCAAGTCCATAGTACTCCCTGAAGTGGCCGAGACTGCCTTACCGGCGGACTTGTGCTATGCTGATGAAATTTCGGTTGTGCTTAGTGCCCTACCTAGCTGTGCTCGTCGTATCTCTGCGAGCTGGGATGGGTCGAGTAGGCGAGATCTCGAAAATCGTCGACAATGCAGGCCATGCTCCTGGAGGGCGCTTTGACGGACACGTGCAGTAAGGCTTCTTAACTCAGCATCAATTGCCGGAATTAGTTGGCATGGGCTAAGGTATGGTCCCGCATTTAGAAGGCATAGTTAGCAGAGCCATGCTTTTCCACACCAACGACTATCGACCTGCCGTCTTCTCACCACTAACTCCTGCCTCCTCTACGTGCTGCCCGTGAGGCTTCTCGTCGCCAAACTCGACATTCTTCGCCTGGTCCAGGCGCACAGCAACTTCATCACCGAACAAAGCCGCAACTTCTTCCAGCGGCACATTGGCCGTTTCGGGGAATTGGAAGTAGAACTGATTCCAGAGCCGTCAGCACGTGTCCGTGGAACGAGAAGGTTCTGCTCGCTCGAAGCGTAAGGTACGTACCACGACCACGAAGATGGCGTCCGTAAAGATGAAGATCATGAAATACTTCCAACTAATCGCCTCCACAGCAATAGGCGTGACTTGCACCAACATGATGATGACGGCGTTGAGGGTCGCGAAGCCGGCTGCCAGACCGGTGGCTCGGATCTCCATGGGCTGTCGAAAATGCTTAGTCCTGCCCTCCCACATATCCAGCATGAAAACGTAGGTACTCACCAGAATCTCCGGCGTATAAGCATACCCGAAACTATTCAGAATCCACGCATACCCCACCAGATACACAAACATGGCCCACAGCGCCAGACTCCCCAGCGTCTTGTTGGTGTTCCCGCTCGCCTCGAACCGCGCCCAGAAGATGACGAGCATGATCGAGCCGAGCAGGACTCCAGTCATGGAGATGAAGAAACTCTTCCTCCGCCCCAATTTATCGAAGAAGTACGCCCCGCCACAGGAGAATATCACGCCAAGGGTCCCCCAGACCCCGACCATGATCAACGGAGTCTTGCCCGTGACGCCGAGGGAGGTGTAGAGGATGACTTGGTAGTTCTGTAACGGAATGATGGCGGTGAGTTGCTGGAAAGCGAAGAAGAAGACGATGATCAGCAGGCGACGGCGGTAGGAGGGGCGTTTGAAGATGGAGACGATGCCGAGTTGCGGCGTTGCCTGTTCGAGACGGATTTGGGCTTCGATTTGGTTGAATTCGAGGCGGTAGAAGGGTGTGCTACTGTGTTCGGGCGAGGCTGAGGTTGAGGGGGTGGAGGAGCCGTGGAGTTTTTCGAGGATGGCGAGGGCTTCTTCGTGGCGGTTTTGGACGACCAGCCTAGGGTAAGCTGTTAGTATGGTGTGGTTTCTGGATAGGTATGATGAGGGGGCTTGCCAGCGAGGAGATTCAGGCATCCAGATGGAGCCGATGAGCATGATGGCTGCGCAGAGGAGTTGCAAGCCGATGAAGAGACGCCATTTGAGCTCGCTGCCGGCGATGTAGGAGAAGCCTAGGCCCATCCACTCCGTCAGAGCGTACGATACGTTGATGTTGATGCTGGAGACTGTCAGCAGCTGTTCTTGTACAAGGGATGAAGCACTCACTTGTACAATCCACCAACCCGACCCCGAACATGCGGAGGCGAGATCTCTGACGCATAGAGCGGACACAAGGCAACAATGATCCCGCAGGCTGAAAGCCCAACATCAGCGTCAACCTCGCCAACGTAGACCAAAGCAGTTCCTCACCTATCCCCCCAATAGCCCTCCCCGCCAACAACACCCCCAACCCCTTTGCCCCCGTCTGCATCCCCGCCCCCAAAATCGATACTACACTCGCGAACCTCACAACGTTCAGCCGCCCAAACTTGTCCGGCAAGTACATGTTCATCAGACTCCCAGCGAAGTTTCCGGCATAATAAGCTGATCCAAGGGCGCCGAGGGTCGCGGGGTTGAAGGCGAAGTAGGATATGAATTCTGGGTATCCGATGATGGAGGTGGTGAGGCCGGAATCGTAGCCATAGAAGAAAGCGCCGAAGGAGCACTGGGACGAGTTTAGCATGGGTGAAACTTGACGTGGGTTTAGGTGGCCGACTTACGTAGAAGATGCAGAGGAGGTTGTAGTTGTTCATCTTGACGAAATGACGGAAGAAAAGGTCTGAGATGGTATAAAGGAGGTCATTGTTGGAGGATGAGAGCACTTATACCCCGTCAAGCCGTTGTGGCCGTGGCATGGCCCGTCTGCACGTCTGCATCACGGCGGCCGCCTGTCTCCACATTCACATGGCTTCGCGGCTATAGTATGAGGGGTCAGTCTAGGGTCGACATGGAGAATCCCAGCGATAAGAGACCCGCGGGACGTACCTTGCTGACTGCCTGGAGAGGTGAAGTCGAAGCCGCCTCGGTCAATTACCGAGGTGCTGGTCCTTTTATGCACGCAATGTACATGTATACGTCGGTGTAGCAGGCGACTGCTTCGACGTGAATGGGAGCCTTCGCGTATTGATACAAATGTACAGTACATGCAATGTCTAAGTTTCCCGCCCATTCATGCGTGAAAGAACCTCTCTGCAGACCACTCGAGTGGCCAGCAGTAAGTGGCAGGAGGAGCAGCTCACGCTCAAGACCGTGGCCCACTCCCATACCTACTCGGTGCCCCCTCAAAGTCCCTAAAAGCCTCCTGCGGGGTCTTCTGCTCCACCACCTTCCAATCAATTGCATCCCACCAAGTCTCCAGGTAATTCAGCTTCCCCGGCAGCCCGAAATCGTAGATGTACACATGCTCCCACGTATTCACACACAGCACCGGCATCAACGACGTGCCGCCGGGCGGTATACTCGCATTCTCCCTCCCACTCTTACTCGCCGGGCCCATGTACCCGACCGTGTTCGCCGGCTCCCCGGCCATGTATTCCTCGTACTTTTGCGCGTTGCTGACATTCGTGTCGATGCCTTGGTGTCGGAATCCGGCTTCTGGATAGGGGGTGCCGGCGAGGTAGGTGGTGAGGATGCGCCATTCGCCGCGCTTGATGCTGCCCTGTTTGCGCGCCCACACGAGCCAGACGAAGCCGGGCCCGAACATGGCGGCGGCGGTGTCGAGCATGGTGGTGCGTAAGGTGTCGATGCTGCCGAAGGTGTCTTCTAGGTTGTCGCGCAGCTGGGGGAGGTCGTCGAGGTTTACGGGGGAGGTGCTGAGGCCGGAGAAGAAGAAGTGGTTGTTGTGCGCCATGCTGGCGTGATTGAAGAGGCTGGCGGCGGAGGGGTCGCGAGCAAATTGCGTGACGAGTTGTTTAGGGTTGTCGTTTTCGAAGGGCTCGCCGGCTGTGAGTTGGTTGAGCTTCTTAACGATCATGCCTTGGTACTGCTTCCATCCTATCTCGAAACCGGTTGGGCTGAACAGGCCGGGAACGCCCTCATCTCGGAATGTCTGGTCGTATTCTTGGAGTTTGGGGACGTCATGTCGTCTTCGTCTTTGCTCGGCGATGCGCTGTTGGAGGAGGGAGGCTCGTGTCTAGGCAGTGTTAGTGGTATAGGATGGTTGTTGGTATGACTGTACGGACACAGGAGGGGCATATCCAGCTGCTGGATGTGAAGGCGCCCAATGGCCTCGCTAATCGTCTCGTGATCATGTTGTATGGCGGGTGTAATGGTCGCTGGCGCTTCTCAAAATGGAACGCGATGTCGTAGAAGAGTGAAATATCTCAGCACTGCGAACTTCTCAGACCGGCGAAGTGCCTCCAACCAATCACAGCCAGCAACTCGACTTCACCTCTTCGATGCTGAGACAAGCGCCAGCATCGTTTCACACAATTCATCTTCCACACTCTGTGGCCGCCATACACCTCTGCAGCCCTATTCTTGTCCTTGACAATGATGTCAGTTGGAGCACGAGGCAGACCCATTCACTGTATTAAGATGACCTGGCGCGTCCTGCCTGCTCAACCCCATCCTGCAGCTTTCACGGCCACGACCCGACACATGGTAAGACTTGTTTTGGTCATTGTCTTCGATCCTGCATTGTTCTCCGTCTCTGCTGTCCTCTTTCCTTCCATCCTCACGTCCGCTACCATCTGGCGACCGTTGCTGTCGACACTACTTTTCATCTCTTCGCGCTGTGCGCATTTACTTGGGCTGGTACCGAGTTTCTACATCTCATAATGTTCACTACAGCGCGCTCAGTCATCTCCACTCTCGCCTTCTCAATCCTCCTTCTACCGGCCACGGCGCGTGTGTTATGGATTCCAGAAGAGTTCGACCCTCTGGAAGCCGACTACCACCTACAACCTCGAGATGTCGGAAAGTGCGGCGGCGACTCATCTCTCACTTACTGCGGTGGCGGTATGCCTTCTGGTTTCTGCTGTTCGGCAGGATATACGTGTCTGGCCCTCCAGACGGGCGTATCGGTTACGGCGGCCATGTGCTGTCCCGAAGGCGGAAACTGCGCCCAGATCAACCCGATATCCTGCGATACCAGCCTTCAAAATACCACAATCACGCAGCTGCACGCAGACCCACCGCAAAAGTTGAAGTCGTGCGGGACAGCTTGCTGTCCGATGGGTTACGATTGCAAGAACGGACAGTGCGTTGCGAAAACCACACCAAAGCCACCAGCGGGTGCACCGAAACCTACCAGCCCGACAACATCTTCCACGGCAACGGGATCATCGCCATCATCATCGACTACATCAGCAACATCGAGCAGCACGACGTCACCGTCACCGTCCAAAACAGCTGCTGGTGCTGGTGCTGGTGCCGCTGCGGCTGACCAGTCTTCTCCTTCGCCATCATCATCATCCGGATCTGACTTCAACGGCAAATCGTTCGCAGCTGGTTTCGTTCCAGGCATAGCAATCGGCGCGTTCATTGCGGCCTTGATTCTCATGTTGCTCTTTCGAAGAAAGAGAGGCGAATCCGATTCGTATATCGACGAGAAAGGCCGAGGTCGGGACACCCTTACCGATCTTGGACCGCTCGAGTACCGCCGGCCGACCATGCACGGCCGCTCCATCTCCGAACCGCACGCAGACCCATCTGCAGGCCACCGGACCGACTTCCTGCGCAGCACACCTCCACGCGCCGTTGGAAACGTCGGCGCAATGCAGAATGGCTACGTCGTAGACGTCCACTCCCCTGCCTCAGCCAGCCCACCAAAAGTCCGTGCGCTCTTCTCCCACTCGCCATTTATGCCCCAATATCCCTCCACCCCACCCTCCGTCCACCCACCGGTCCCTGCACACCTCAAACGCGGCACCCTCTCCTTCAAGATCTCGCCCATCCGAGTCCTCAAAAAGCAGAAAAGTATGCACTCCCTGCGCCGTCAAATGACCGACGCCTCCGCCGGAACCTCGAACAGCAGAAACGATGGCCGCCATCGCAGACCACGACCGGAGCACAGCCGCAGCGCTAGCACGGAGACTATCCAGGTCTTGATGCCTAGTAACGAACCCTACACCCCCGAGCGACCGCTGGAGATGCCGGAGCATATCCAGACGCTGGCGTCGACTACGTATCAACCGCCTAGCTCATCTAGTGGCAGCAATAGTACTTGGAACTCGAGAACGAGGGAGAGTCCGGTCGATCGACAAGCGCCGTATGCGAGTTCGAGTCGGTATCCGAGTGAAGTGCAGCCAACACCTACGCGGCCGCCGGTGCCGAGGATGCCGACGGGGATGGCTGGGTTGGGATCGCCTTATACGCCTACGAATCACAAGGGCAGTTTGGGTGGAGGACTGGGGGTCAAGAGGGAGAGCTTGAGGAGGCAGACGACGTTTAGTGAAATGATGGAAAAGGCAGGTTTGAGGAGGAGCGATTTGATGATGGGTGGGAGATGAGGGGAGGCGATGTCTGGTACGGCTCTATCGCACGGTCTGGGTGTGGAACAAGTGATGATTTGTTTGTAGTCGCTGGGAGAGGATGATACCCAAAAACATAGCGAGCGCATCTCGAAAGACCTCATAAAGCTGCTCCCTCGTCTGCCTTCTTGCCAACATCAAATCCAACCCGACCGTTGAGGTGTTCCTCGGAGATTATTCAACCGGCGCTACCTCCTACGCCATCATCCCTGCCTCTCGACCCGTGGCTTGTGGGGATCTGAGTTTAGAGTTGGCGCCCGCGCCGGGCTGATAAAGGTCAGTGCGTTTCCAACTTCACTTGCTTCTTCTCAGCCACTCCAAAGGACGGGACGGCAGAGTAGAGTGCAGTGGGATGTTGACTGTACTGTGTGGGTATGATTGGATGCGTGTAATCAATGGAGAGGGAATAGGCTAATGTTCCGTCGCAGAACTACTACCGTTACCGCTGGTAGTCTTCGTCAGTGGGATAGGCAGACCTCTCGTCAACACTCTTCCAAGGTTCCCAGAGGTGCCCTCGCATGGCGGGGGATAGCGTACGGGAAGTACATGAGGATGTAATGGGAGATGCTAAAGCCATTGCGATCCACAATACAATATCTCCGGCATGCCGCCTTGTCGACCATTACAGAAAGCCACGATTTAGGCTCGACGTAGCGAGGAGCCGATCTTCCTCTCCCAGCCACGGCCACAGGTTCTCGCGACGACGCGCCGTAGGTCTGCTTTGCTCTGTCCTCTTTCGGCATGCCCATAAACACATGGCCAGTTGCGCGGCAACAGTTCTCGAAGGCTGGGCTACCATTCACATTCAACCACTATTCACCTTCCCGTGCGCACGGCTCTTGCACGTGCCTCCCGCCCTCTCAGAATTCAGCAAGCTCTCTACATTCACTCGCCATCTCATAGAACTTTTTCACCCTCCAGCCATCTACAATCATGGCCGGACTCACACGAGTAAGGGATATAAGCAATCGTGGTAAGTACCTGCATACCATCCTTACTCGCCAAAAGTATCATACAACATGTTCTCAAGGCATCCCTACTCGTCCATCTTCCTCTTCGGCGCATGGCTGTCATCAAGCCATGTCGCAGCTGCGCCTATACCATTACCTATGCGGACGCATATCAACGGCGAGACAAGCATTTGGGTGACGAGCCACAACACACTTAACTCCACAGCATCGCTTCAAGACAGATCGTTAAGCCGGCGACAACGAGGTGGCTTTTTGGGAAACCTCGCCGACTTGTCAGACTTGTGGAGTTCACCAGGCCACGATGACCATGGGTCTGGTCCAGCAGACTCGGTCGGCCCTCCGTTCGATCCTGCTCCTGGTCCGCCTGGTGGCCCACAATCTGGAAATACGCTCTTGCCGACGTTCTCGACTCAAGACAGCACAACAGCAGAAGGGTCAACGACGCCGACTACGTCCAGTTCGCAACCTCTGGTGATATCGACAAGCGTATCGTCTACGCCCTCAGTGACATCGAGCTCGACAAGCGCAAGCTCTTTTCCAGCCTCAACATCGTCGACCAGCCCCTCTTCCTTGATACCACAATCCAGCGCACCCTCGACCTCACCTCCTCCACCACCCTCTTCGACAGGCATCGCGCCTTCGTCATCGCAGCCGACTACCAGCAGTGAGCCTGGCTCTTCCGCACCACGCAGCGACGCACCCTCATCTCCGCCGACACCGTCGTCAACATCAATCTCATCGCAGCTTAGCGCGTCCGCTACCCCAACTGCCAGCTCACAAGTTGTGGTTCCAACAAGCGGTATACCCTCTTCGAGCACAGTCGCAGCACCATCTGCACGACCATCGCCGTCTGGTAGCGTAAGTACATCAACGGGCAACACGCTCCAGATCTCGCTGGTCAACAACCTTGGCAGCAGCGACGTCCATGCATACGTTACGGGACTGGACAGCACTGGGCAGGTCGTCATGCTGACCACTTCTGGCACCTACTTCTATCCCACAGCATCTGGGTCAGGAGCGCCGGAAGAGATCAACGCTGATGTGGCGCTGCCGATGAGCGGACCAGGCGAAACCACAACCATCAGGTTGCCAGACTACCTCTCCAGCGCACGGGTATGGTTTGCCGACGGCAGTCTAACATTCTATGTCGTGGAGACACGATTTGGCCCTGGACTCGTCGAACCTACCGCAATGAACCTCAACGACCCGTCCGCAGACGTGAATTGGGGTTTCGTCGAGCTCACATTCCAGGCCGACTATGGCCTTTTCGCGAACCTGAGCTTCGTCGACTTTGTCGGCCTCCCACTCGGCATCCAGCTCCAAGCGGCATCGAACGGCGTCTTTACTGCCCCTGGCGTCCCAACAGACGCCGTCAGCCAAGTCTGCGACCTCCTCCAAGCTCAAGCAGCCCAAGACGGCCAACCCTGGGACGACCTCTGCGTCAGCGATGCCAACGGCAACCTCCTCCGCGTCGTCTCCCCCCCCACCATCATTTCCCAAGACCCTACCGCATTTGCCGGCTACTTCGACTCTTACGTCGATGAAATATACGAACGATACACCTCCTCGCCGCTCACAATCGACACCCAAACCTCCGCCGGCCTCGTCCCCTGCACCAGCGACGGCGAATCCCTCACCTGCGCCGGCGACCCAACGCCCTTCCCAAAGCCGACCTCCGAAGACATCTTCGGCTGCAACTCTGGCCCCTTCGCCATCTCAGAATCAGACAACGACGTCCACGCCGCTATCGTGCCTCGCTTGTGTGCAGCTTTCAACCGCGCAACGCTGCATCTTCAAGGCGGCGACGTGCAGCCTTCTCTACCGCCGAGCAGCTATTACACCACGAGTCCGACGAACTGGTACAGTGCGTTTGTGCATCAGGTGGAGATTGATGGGAGGGGATATGCTTTTTCTTATGACGACGTGACGCCGAGTGGAGCGGAGGATGTCTCGGGGAGTGTTTATGCGGCGGACCCGGAGGTGCTTACGGTTTTTGTTGGGGGGACGTCTTCGTGAGGTGGACAGAGGATGGAGAGTCTAGGAAGAGAGGATTTGGGATGCTCAGGCGCACGTGGGATGATTTTACAAGGCAAGGACCAACAGAACACGACATGACGGATGGATGATACCCAAGGACATACCCAGAATGGCCGGGCTGGGAATGCAAAGTGTAGAAAATAGACATTAATGTATCTTACTACGACGTGCTCATGATCATCTTTCCAATGTACATGTTGTTTCTTCATTAGATATACATACAGCTCGCTCCTTGAGCGGCTTGCACTGCTATTGTGCATTAGACAATACGATTTAGCCTCTCCAGCCGAGTCTTCTGCTCAATGTACACGCTCTCTCCCTGAACTTCTGCGGTGCACTTGCTACGGCGCAGGATCGTCTCCAGTGAAGGACGCTGGTGGAACGGCTGAGCAGCACAGACCTGCATTGGTGCATTCGGCCTCGTGCCACTGGTCGTCCTGAGTTACGCCCGCAGTGCCATTGACGAGGAAGGGTCTGTCGGGGCTGCCCTTTGGGCTGTTGTCTCTTCTTCATCGGACTCTTCGCCTACAGACCCCCGATGTAGATCTGAGACAACCTCGCCAAAGTCAGGGCCAGTGACGAATGCTGAGAAGCTTGTCGGATGGTGTCCCACTTTCGTGGCGCGGAAACCGATGATCGTTGGACTCCGCTTATTGTTCGCTGCGCAAGGCGTGATCCGATGTTCGTTCCTCGAGGTGCACGTCTGGATTATTTGCCTCACCACTCCTCCTTGCTCACGCTCTGATACTGCCGTCGTCGTCGACGATCCCGGAAGAAGATTAAAGCCCAGACGCCGAGCACAACAACAATCACACCAAAGGCCACTTCGGCGAAAAGCTCATAAGCCTCCCATGCAGCGTTTCCCAGTCCATCCACTTCAGCTTGCAATCGCCGGTTCTCTGCCTGCAGCTGAACGTATTTGGCATCGGAACCCGCGTCGTCGCCGATGCAAGAAATGCTCGAATTCCGGATGATCTCGCCGTTCCTGATAGCTCCGACCTGAACACATTTCATCTTTTTGTCCAGCTTGAAGACCGTCTCGAACCCCTCTTTCTTTGCGACGCCGATGGACTTTAGCGAGTCCTTCTTTTTGCCGGCAAAGACCGCCCAACCCGTAATCTCGGTTGCTCCATTCCAGCTCGCATAGACTCGTGGTGTATGAATCCTCGGATTCTCGATCAAAGCAATGGGATCCCAATTCTTCGGCGTGCCGTGCCATTCCATCTTAAACCCACGATAGCACATCACAGCGCTGTAATCCCCAAACTGTCCTTGCCACAGCAACTTCCCATCCGATCCGAACTCGCGGACTACAGGGACAGTGCCGTAGCCGATGAAGCCGTTTCCGTTGCCGACATCCATTTGGTAGGAGCCCTGCGTACCAGTAAAGAGCATCTCGTCCTGAGTCTGGAGCTTTTTCACAAGGACAGGAGGGCTGTCGTGTTTAGGTGGTAGGGAGAGCCAGAATGCAAGGCCGTTGGTTTGGGTCTTCTCGTTCTTGGGGCCATTGACCATGTTGTTGAAGACGGAGACGGTCATGCCGTCTTTCGTGACGTTGTGCGCTCTTGCGTGATGCTGCCAGCGGAACTTGGCTGGAATGGAGCCGAAGGTGCCGCCGTTGAGCCCATCGAGTTTCCAGAGGACGCTGCCGTCTTTGCCACTGATTAGGTAGACTGCAAAGTGGTGTCTCGCGCTGATCAGATAGTCTTCGCCCACTCGCTGGACGGAGTTGATGTGGAACCAATCCCACGGTACCCGCTTGGTGACTCCAGCGCCTGCGGCATGAAAGCCATAATGAGACGCCTTTAGCGGTACATGCTCCAGTGCTCGCCACTCGAACAAGATCTTGCCCGTCTTGACTTCCACCTCAAAAAACATGCTATCAGCCACCCAAGCGTCTGCTGGACCGTCCATCGAAGTCAAATCCCACTGGGTGTTATTGTAAGAAGTCACGACCATCGTATCGCGGTCCGTCATTTGGTGCTCGTGGACATCGATGTTGCCTCGCGTAGCCGGTTCGAAGGTATTGATCCCGAGATCTGGATTGAGATCGAATTTGGTGTACTCTTCGTCCATCATGGTGACCCGCCCCCATCTATGGCCCCAATGTGCTCCCAGGGTATTACATCCGTTCCAGTACGTTATGTGCTGGCGCCCTTTGTAAGGCTGAGCGCGAAAGTCCGTCATTCCTGCAACCCACTCATCGCAGAAGCCCATGCCGTCTTCGTCGGCGGCAAAGATAAGATCGCCGTTGGTGTCCATGATGAATCCAGTGCCGGAGAGATCATACGTGCCATCTTTCTTGTTGCTGTCCACGGGCGATATGAAGACGTAGCCATCCGCCAGCTTCCCCTTGTGTTGTGTGATGTTCATTATAGGTGGATTATGACTCGAGGTCTTGTATGTCCGCCATGGCCACACTACCCGGGAGGTGTCGGTTGTGACCTGATAATGCGCCTTGCTGTCGATTGTGGTCGTATCGTAGGGTTTCCCATTATCGGCTGGTGCTTTTCCAGCTGCCAGCGCAGCGAAGGACAGGACGAACGCGCAGCATATGCGCGCCTGGTTCTTGGGCATCTTGAAGCATGAGGAAAGGCAGCGGAGGTAGCTTCTGCACTGGGACGTGGTGTGTGGTAACCTGATGCCGCACGATGGTAGGAATCGCGAAAGACACGAGTACCTGTAAAAGAAGAGATGAAACAACCTACATTTCGGAGCATGCCCCCACAGTGCGAACGGCTGTAGTTAATATCCAGGCCCAAACCAACCTTTCGCGGGACGCGAGGTGTATGTTTATCTAACACTATCACATCCGTCGCCCACCTCACACTCATTGCGGCTCTCGCGGATCCAATCAAGCCGGCCGTGGTCCGCCTTGGCCCGCTTCTGTATCCGCGGCAACTGTCCGGAAGCGGTGGCGATGACGGCTGCCCACGCTGCTGATCGTGGCACTTGCAGGTGCAAAGGGTAGAAGGGGATAGGTAGTTGTGCGCTAGGCGAGGAGTATGCGCGTCCTACTGCATCGTCTGCGTAAGTGAGTGGGCGGAGGAGAAGCGAAGGACAAGACATCGGCCCCGCGGAGAGAGGATTCGATCTAAACCGTGTTTACCGGCTCTCCAGGCTTGGCAGGTGGTTGAATTACGCAGATCTTGGTGATGCCAGCGTCAGCCCTGGCGGAATCTTCTCCAGATGGGCCACGGGGAACTCAGTACTTCATCGACAGCAGCTCCGGCGAGGGTTTCGATTTAGAACCTCAGTTGCACCAGTCCAAGTTACATCGTACGCCCTGGCACGGCGGCCCAAGAGCCTCAAGTCTCCGTCGACCGGTGACGCTGGGCTCGTCCGCAACGGCGTGCAAGCGTGAAGTTGTAGTTGGCAGTATCCAGAGTCACGTGGATGCGCCAGGCCATCTCGCGTCGTCAGTCGGGGTGAGAATTGAGCTCAGAATGTACACTTCGTTGGCAGTGGTGAAGAGCATCTCTGGGTGGCCAAGCAGGAGATTCATTGATCTCGCAGTCGGCACCGCTGTTTCAAGACGTGGCCTCATCATCTCGAGAGAAAGGACAGATAGGAGGATGGGGGAGAGAAGTGATGGAGATAATATGCAGAAGGAATGAATGGCAGGCGCGACGTTACACCCGAGCCTAAGTCAACCTCACCTCCTCCTAAAACTCAGAAAGCAGACGCCCTCCTTGGTCGCGGAAGCGCGACTTGTTCAATGATACGCTACGTAGATTGGTAATGTTACCATGCTTTACAGGTCCTAAAGAGATGCAAATACAGGAGCTGCAGGGGGCGAACCAGCCATGCCATCCTTTCTATGCTATCCTACCGGCCCAAATTCCTTCATAACCGACTTCGGCTCATAGTAAGCAGGACCCAGCGGCCGGAAGTCCATATCATAACCAAACTCCTTGGGCCCGCCAGTCGCAACCCCCTTCGGTGTATACCAATGCGGATTCGCCACGAAGGCTACAGCACTGACCCGAACTCCATACCGGACATCCTGCGTCCCAAGCGCATACCCATCGCTTCCTACCAGCGAGATCAGGTCAGGCACAGTGCACAGCACCTCGCCTTCCGGAGCCTGCTTCTTCTCGCTCCCACCCGTGGCACTGAGCCGACTATTCGGTGTCTCTGGATCTATCAATTCGGCAAGGAGATATTCATTCTGGAAGGGGAGGTGAAGATGTCGAGACTCGCCGGAGACACTATCGCCATACTCTTGTTCCTCGCTTGAGATCGGTGCTAGTCGAACGCTGCCTTCTGTGTAGCCTCCGCTGGAAACGTAGCGGTGCACGTGGACTATCTTGCCGGTGTACAGGACTTTGCCGCTCGGGTTGGCCGCGACGATGGCGTCGGTGATGGAACGCTTTTCTTGCCGAGCTTGGTACACTGCACGGCCGATGTACCAGGCCAGACTTGTTGTGCCGAGGCAGGCGACTTTCTTCGCTGTTGCGACGTCCATGGGTGGGATGACACTACAACGGAAGTTCACTGAGTCAGCGACTGCTCGTTCTGTAGGAAAACGATGGACGTCCGGTCCATGCGCTCTTGACTCCTCCAAAAAGCTGATTCTCATTGGATGCGAACTTACAGTTGGCTGAATAGACCTAATTCGTGGCCGGCTTTCCGATGGATCTTCTCGACTTTGCGAATACTAGTGGCTTTATTCACGGTTACCACGTTCCCGTTGCCGTCAGCTTGTGTTGCAGGCATCGCCATCCAATCGTACAAGAACGGCGTCTTGAGATACAGCCGCGGATATGCTCGGCCCATGAAATCTCCGTCGACTGTCGGCACGCCGTAATGGATACCTGTGATTAGAGGACGGATGGCATTCCTGGAACCAAGAGGTCAGCAAAGTCATCCTCATTATAGCTGCCCCTGCGGGTGTGTGCACTTACATCCCACCAATCTCGAGGGCTATCTGAGCACTCATCTCAACGCCGGGAAACATTGTGAGCATTGCATCCGTGGCATCGATGCCTGCGAGAAGTGACGCCAGTCAGCGAGATGGCCGCAGAAGAACTCCCACAACCGGGAGCAAATGCGAGCACCTTGTGCCTGGAAATTAAAATTTGCTTACCTTCAGTACCACTAGGCGTACGCTCCAAAGTAACCGTGGGCGCGCCATAAGAGATGTTTCCCATTATCCAGGCATCGTCCGGCAGAGCATCAATGTCGATGACCGACATTCGTTTGCCTCGACGAATGGCATCCCTTCCGGCCATATAACACAGATATCCTGGTCCACCACCACCACAAGCCAAGATGGATGCACCCATGGCGAGGAACTCGCAGTCAATTTCTGAGACCCACCAGACGCCATTTTCGTCGACTTCTGGCCTGTAATCGGCCACTTCGACGTGGGCGGACGGGCTTACGATGAAATCTAGCGGATTCTTCTCAGCGTTTGATTGTTCTTGCTTGCTTGAGATCAATTCTGCAAATTCTTTGGTGTTCACTTCGCTCGGCAGGCTGGCTCCTCCCTTCAGTAGCGCCTTGCGCGCCAATGGTCCAGCGGCCTTCACCACGAGCCGAGAAGCCCGTGTCGAGACGTACTGCAGCGGCAAGTTCTCGATCTCTGTAATCTTGACCTTATCGACGTCTGCTCCGGCGTCGATCGCACGTCTTCGTGCTTCATCGCAAACCTCCGCGATAACCTTATCTTCTTCGAGACCTTCGAGGACTTTGACGATATCTATTTGCCCAGAGACTCTGGCGATTGCGGCTCCTACTGCGTTGGCACAGTCATGGAACTGTGGCCTGATGGTCTGGCCGACACCTCTGAGCTCATCCATTTGCACAATGCTCCCACCGCCTACCATGACGCAAATGCAGTCGTCTGCGCTGAGCTTCATGGAGTCGATTGCGGCTTCGAGGAGGTGTTTGATCTTCAATCTGGCTTGCTCGATGACGTGAGAAGGCACATGGCCGACTTTCGAGACGTCTCCGATTTCCGCTTTCCCGCTTGCGACGACAACATCTGTGGTAGTCAAGGTGCTACCGCCAAACACAAGCCCTTCTTGGAGAAGACGATGGCCAGTGCTTTCAGGTCCAATGTGAACTTGACCATCTCGCTCTTCAACTCTCGTCCCTCCGCCTAATGCAACCGATTGCACTTCCGGCATTGGGAATGCACATCTCACACCACCAATTTCGACCCAGGTACCGGCTTGACGTGGAAAGCCGGACGGCAGAAGCGCACACACATCACAGGTCGTGCCACCAACATCTGCGACGATGACTTGAGCTTTTGGTAGATTGCCTGAAGCGGTGTCCAGTCCAGCCAAATACGCAGCGCCGCTCATCGAGTTCGTGGGGCCAGAGTTGAACGTCTTGATGGGTGTCGTCTCAGCAGCATCGGCATCGATGATGGTACCGTCATTCTGCGTAAGAAACAGCGGACACGACAAGCCCAACCAATCCATGGCCTCCTTGAAACCTCGGATCGTCTTCCTTGCAAACTTGAGAATGGAAGTGTTCAGAATGGTGGCGTTCTCCCGCTCCAAGAACCCCAGTTGGCCAACATCACGGGAAAGGACCACATCTGCGTCCGGGAGTTCCTCGAGAACAATCCGCTTCACCCGTGCTTCATGCAGACCTTCAAGGTCAAGCGGCGAGAAGATACCACAGACAGCAACATCAGTGATACCTTTCTCTCGGAGAGCCTGGCATTCATCCCGGACTTGCTGCTCATCAAGCTCCATAATCTCCCTCGTATCGAATTCAAGTCCACCGTCCAGATACGCCACACGCCCGTTCATGATCCTCGCCAGCACCGGAGGAAAATCTAAGAAAGCCGGGTTCTCCTTCGCATAAGGGCCACAGATCCTGAGGACACCAACCGGACGAAGACTCCTCTCATCAGCTTGGACAACGGCGTTGATGAACGAGGTGGTGCCGATCATAACGGCCGAGATGCTCTCTCGAGACAGCCCTGAGCATTGTGAGATGGCGCCTTCAATGGCTTTGACGATGCCTTCGGTGACGTTGGCGGTTGTTGGAGTCTTCACTGCGCTGAGGATGCCGCGATTTGGAGTATCGGATTCGCTGGGGTTGAGGATCACGCAGTCTGTGTTGGTGCCGCCGACGTCGACACCGACGCGAAAGACTTTTTCGATGGCCATGCCTGCAGACAACCTTTGAGGAACTCGGGATACAGACAAGTGGCATGCGTTGAGACGAATGCTTTCATGCTTTGGAGGAGGGTCTCGTCTTCACTCGAACCGTGAGGACATGCAGCAGTCCGCAACAGCCGGTGGTAACTTCGAGGCCGATATCAGACGTTGATATCTCGACCCACTGTACGAGTCGTGTATCTTGTGTTGGAGTCAGTGGGCTGATCAGAGTTGCCCGGTAACAAGTCATTCGGCCTTGTCCCGGTGTTGCCCTATCACGCCAAGATGGATGTGAAGCCGGGTGTCTGCTGTTATCAATCGCCAATGGTCGGATCATTCCCGACATACTGGAAAACCACGTGGAATCCTGCAGCATTCTGGATCCAGCTCGCCGACCGACCGTGTGGAGAAACGTTATCAGCAGCTTTGGAGACCGGCAGGCTGGTCGATAAATCTACAAATGAGTAGCTGCATTCCTCGCGTCCGTTCAACACTCTTCATCGTCTATTGTTCTTCGAAACAATGGCAGTCGTTTTCAGAAAAAGCATCCGCAAGCTGGAGCTCTCAGAAGAGGAGCAAGGCGATCGATGGAGCAATGAAGATACACTGCCCGTGCCGCCAGAGCGACAACTATGGGGTTGGTGCAATAACAACTCAGTACAAATCGATCCTCAGCTGATGATCGTGAGCAGGTCCATTGCAGTTTGTCGAGCTCTGGTTCCTCGTCAACATGAACCTGAGCTCGTATTCGACCGGGTCCTCTCTCATGGCGAACGGACTGTCGTACTGGCAAGCGATCGTTGTCATCATCGCTGGCAACGCTCTCGCAGCGCTATTCGCCGTTCTCAACTCAGTCTCGGGCGCCAGCTCTCACCTCGGCTTTCCCATCGTCTCGAGAAGCGTTTGGGGCATGTGGGGGAGTTACTTCCCTATACTCAACCGCATCTTGCTATCCGTTGTCTGGGTGAGTGATCAACCATTCAACGATTCACATACCTCGTTCTCGGCTAATCCACAGCTTCCCAGTACGGCGTCCAATCTGTTTTTGGCGGCAACATGATCTACGTCTGCCTCCGCTCCATCTGGATGGACATCGACGACCGTATACCCAACACCCTTCCAGCCAACATCGGCATCACCAGCGCTCAGTTCGTCGGGTTCTTCCTCTTCAACGTGCTGTGCGTAATCTTCATCTGGTTCAGACCTAATCAGCTGCGGCCATATTTCCATGGGGCATCCGCGTTGGTGTGTATCACCCAGTTCGCACTGCTTGGCTGGGCCATCGCAACATCGAACGGCTGGGGATCTGTTAAGACGACATCGAGCGAGATCCCTCCGTCGCAGCTTGGGTGGTCGATGTGTTCGGGTATCATGTCGGTTATCGGGAGTATTGCGAGTGGTATCCTTAACCAAAACGACTATACGAGATTTGCGAAGAAGCCCAGCCATGTCACTTGGTCGCAGTCCTTGTCGTATACCTTCTCAGGGAACGTCACATCGATCATTGGTGTGCTGGTGACAGCTGCGACTCAGAAGCGTATGTCAAGAAAACCCGCTATGATCCAGTTTGCTGACTTGGCTTTAGAATATGGCCACGGCGAGCCTCTGTGGCAACCAAGCGACCTATTTATCGCGATTCAAGACCAACACGGCTCGAAGGTAAGTTGGGCCTTTGTAGGCTATGGAACTTACAGCTTGCTAAAATCCATCGGCAGGGTCGAGCAGCAGCTTTCTTCCTCGGCATTGTGTTCATCTTCAGTCAACTCAGCATCAACGTGGTAGGAAATGTACTAGCTGGAGGTCTCGACGTCGCAGCTGTACTACCCAAATACATCAATCTCCGCCGCGGAGCCTACGTTATCGCCGCACTGTCCGTCCTTCCGAACCCCTGGCAACAACTTGCATCTGGCTCCACGTTCCTGGCCGTGCTATCCGCCTACGCAGTGTTCCTGGGTCCCATGATCGGCCTGCTCTGCGTCCACTTCTACATTATCCAGCGACAGAAGTTTCACTATCCGGATCTCTACACCGGTTCGTCGAAATCATGCTACTGGTATACATACGGCGTCAACTGGCGGACGGTGGTTGCATGGTGCCTTGCCGTTATACCGTCGATGCCTGGGTTCGTCAACGATGCAAACCCTGCGTTGTACGTTCCCACTGGTGCTCAGCATGTGTACAGCCTGAGCTTCGTGCTGGGTTTCGTGCTGGCGTCGGTCATTGCGTTCCTATTGCACTGGGCTTTTCCAGTGGAGTATCCGTCAATCACAGAGCTCGAGCGGGAGCAAGAGATCCAAGGCATTGACCCGATGGGCGAGCGGATGGGCGCTGTGGACGTTGCAGAAGGGCGGACCGAGAAGAAGATGGCAGAGGCTTCTGTAGCAGGCGTTGGTGGGCCTTGAAAGAGCATGCGGATGACTGGCGATTGACGACACTGCCATTAGTTCTGTCTGAACAATACGATACTATTGTAACTTCTGCATCCGAGCTTACATCTCGACTTCACACCCCATCAGATGACATCGCACGATCGACGCAACGTCTCTTGTTGATCCCGCTGTCTGCGAAGCCTCATCTTGTACCCAAGAAGCGAGGCGGCCTGTGCCGAAACGGATGTGTTGGCTGCATGGCCAAGCCACTCGCCAGCAAAGCCTTGTCACCTGAGACGCCTGCTCACCGGACTCGTGATGCGACCACCTACGTCTGGCATACTCGACAGCCTCACGATGTGACACAATCTCGACGCGCCATACGGCGGTAGCACCGCTTTCGGGCTGCAAGCATATGCCCGTTGATCTTTATACCGGGAACACGAGTCAAGTTTCACAACATACAGCGCCAGATGTCGACGTGTTGTACCGTCCTACCCCCTCCAGATGTCCTTCTTAACACGGATTCGCGCTTGTGTGCGAGCATTTTGGAATATGGCCATCAAGTGGGTGTATCTTTGCACCGGCACAGCTGGGTTTTTTCTCTTTTGCAACTTGCCACTGCTCTTTAACATCGGCTCATGGGACCTGGATCTCGACCTTCGGTGGGCTTCGCCATGGATCCAGGCCATCCTCGCTCTGGTGATTCTGATCGTGATCATCGTGGTTGTATTCTTACTAGTAGCTGCAGCCGCCATCATTCCAGTCCATGTTGGATGGGTGCTGATTGCCGTGGTCCTAATATGGAACAACGAGCGGCGAACCTGGTCAAACATCAGGACGGATGAGATCTTCAGCGTAGGTGAACCAGGCCAGCCTGAGCCAACAGCACGATATACCGACGAAGACGACGACAATGACGACCCAGATGCCTCAAGCAGCAATGTCAATGTCGATGAGAGGGCGCCGCTCTACACGAACTTACAATTTTCTGGCATCACTGACATAAGGCTGCTCGAGCTCGAACCGCACGGGGCTGAGGCTGAGGCTGGGCATGGGGATGGTGCTGGGAATGGAGATGGAAGCCCAGGACCCAGACTGAGGTTCCTGCTGAAAGTCTGGAACATGAATGACGCAAGACGGAAATATTCAGCTCTCTCATACTGTTGGGGCGACGGTACTGATTCCCAACCAATTCACGTCAATGGCACAACGGTGAACGTTCGCTTCAACCTGCATCGTGGTTTGCGTCAACTCGTATCGGAAGGGCACAAATACATCTGGGTGAGAAAGTTCCGTCTCCGTAACATGGTAGTAATATTACTAAACTGCATAGGTCGACGATCTCTGCATCAATCAAGCAGATAAGGGAGAACAAGCGAAACAGATCGTTCGCGTAGCGCCCATCTTCCAGGAAGCCAAGATTGTAATAGCCTGGACGTGGACGACGAAGTCCCACCCGTCCGAAGATGCGACGGCGTTGGCGGTGGAGGCAGTGGAACCGCAAGCGGATGATTCAGACGCGCCGGAACCGTCAATGGAGGAGGTGAAACGAACTCAGTACTGGCACAGGATGTGGCCTGTTCAAGAGTTTGCCGTAGCCAAGAACATCCGAATCCACGTTGGAACCTCCAATAGACGGAAAATCAGCGCGGACGAGCTCCAGATCAAACTCCAGAAGGCAGTCAGTTCCTCGAACGACCACAACGCCTTTCCATTCCTTCGCAACGCCATTGACATTCGCAAAAAATACCAAAGTCTCCAAGACTCAAGTCTGCTGGATCTCTTACTGCGCACCACGGCCAACAAGAGTGACTGGAGACTTGACCGCGTCTATGGTCTCATCTCGATGGCCAGAGACGGTCGAGACTTCCTCACCGAACCCAGCTATGATATGGGTGAGAAGGAGATAGGCGAGGAGAAGCTGTCTAGGCAGATGACCAGCTTCTACATCGAGAGACGAAGCAGTCACCTCGATATCATCTTGCTGGGACCCTGCTTCGCACAAAGCTCGCTCTCTGTTTCCAGGTCGCTCCGCTGGCCATCTTGGTGTCCGAATTACTGTCGCTTCGACAAATTGCCGGACGACAGACGGTTGTTTGGCTATGTCCGGGACCTGCTCGATCGTGGCCGTAACAGGCAACCGCCTCCAAACATCGACAGCGACGCCAAAAACCGGCCTCTATTCTGGGCGACGAACGAGTCGGTATGTCGAGCTAGAGTAGACGAGAGTTTGACGCTGCACACCGAAGCAAAGTTCCTGGGAACGGTTGCCAGTCTCGGCTGGATACCATCTGACGGTCCGGGAAGCAACTTTCCCAAGACCGAGTCCATTGCAAAACCGACCATTTCAGGGATCGAGGTGGCCGCCGGCTTGTGGGACTTGCTCCAGACCCTGTCGCAGCGAGATTCCTGGAGAGCTTATCTGGACCGTAGCACGCCAGCAGCTGCGGATCCTATCCTGGACCACGACTACAGGACTTGCACAGCTGCATTTCGAAATTTCATGCTGCTTGTGTTCCGTCACAAGACACTGCCCGATCTTGAGAATGGTCCTTATGGGTACGTTGCCTGGTTCGCCAGATCGGCAGAAACTCTTGCTGACCACAGATATGTTTATGCATGTAGATGGTATGCGCAGTGGTTGTGTCGCAACCAACAGTTCACTTTCGGCAGCCGAACGTTGCATGAGCATGCTGCTGACGTAGCGCCATGGAGACTGCTCGGCCGCAAGAAGAACCTCTGGCGTTGGTCGGAACACATGAAGGACATGCTCGATGCAACAACAAGGCACAGCGAATTGTGGAGCTGGAAGCGAATGCACCAACCGCTGTGGACCGTGGCACAGCAAGGCATGCGTCTGACTGAGCTTGCAATGCAAGACCGGTCGGTCTTGGGTCTGGCACATCCGTCCTCTCGAGAAGGGGATGCGGTTTGGCTGCTTGCCGGCTGTTCGGTTCCGGTCGTCCTACGCAAGCTTTCCAATCTCGACAACGGTCCTGACAGGTACAAAGTAATCGGAGACGCGATCATACCGGGAGCGATGTTTGGTGACGCTTGGGCTGATTTGCTGTGGGGCAATATTGGGATCATCTGATGTGCTTTTTGGTCCTTTGGCTTGTCTATCCGGACACTCAACGAACGCCTACTGAATCTCGAGTCATCCTTTTCTTTGTCATCCTCGTGCGACTCTAGTCGTCGTCTCCATCGTCGTCGTCGTCGTCGTTTTCATCATCGTCGTCTCCGTCATCGTCATCATCGTCGTTCTCATCATCGTCGGTGTCAGCCTGTGCTTGTTGAGCTCGATTTCGTAGCGCCAAAACGACTTCTCTGTATTTCGCTGGATCTCGAAGTTCCATCTCCCTTAGTCGCCTGGCCAAATCTTCGTTCCTTGACTGCTCCGTCTGGCTCCTCTCACGCGAAGATCCAGCGACAACACTGTCACGCCGAGTCGTGTGTTGAGTGGCCGCTCGGGGCTCTTGTGTTTGCTGCGTTGCAGCCCTCCGAAAATACTGGAAGTTGTGCTGCAGAATGTCTGCGTGGTCCTGATGAGCTTTGCCGAGACGGCGTACCGGTACACCCTCTGTAATGACGTAGATCTGAGTATAATCCACTCGCAAGGTAGACGGGATTCGTGCGTTTCGGTCATCGAGCGTTAGTCGCAGAGGTTGAGGAAAAGATGTGACTCGACCGTTTGGCAGCCGTTGTGGGACTTCGTCGGCCAGTGGCTCTGGAGCATGTTGTCCTGTGTAAATCATGCCGCGTGGTTTCACTTCGCTATGCGTCGGTTGCTCGTTGTCATAACGCCGGTCCGCAATTAGAAGCACATGAAAGTCGTTGCCACTCCTCACGACCACGAAGAGTCGGCTTTCTGGTTCATCAAGCTCCAATGAAGCCCCAGCCATAGGGTTGCGCATCTGTCTACGAGTAGGCCAAGGGACTCCGAAGACACAACCTTGGGGTAGCCTTTCGCGAGACGCTTTTCTGAATCCTGCAGGCATTCTCGCATCGGAGCATTCCAGAATCCCTTGGATTGCCTGGGAAGATCCTATAGCCTCACTTCTGGCCTCATTCCACGGTCGGAAGCTGAAACGGATGTGGATATGGATGGGTCCAATGTTGATATCCCAATCCATGGACTCGAACCCTTCCGGATTACCGCCGTTCGTGACCATGCCTGACCTGTCTGCGGGCGATGTTTCGTCTTCATCACTGTCTTCAACATCAATCGCAGGATCACTCACGCCTCTGGAATCAGCTTGTTCTCGAAGCCGCTGTAGTGGACGTGCCTGCTTAGGCTGAACAGCCCGCTGAGCGGTTGGTGGACGACTAGCTTCTTGCGAAGCTGGTGGGATAGCTCTGACTGAGTTCGACGAAGAAGCAACTACTGGATCTTGTGCCCTGGATGTGTCTCGCGCCGAGCTGGAGGCGTGTCTGCTACCCACGACACTTGACCCATCGGCCTGGGGTGGAGGCACCGGTCGTCCGTTGCGATCAACCCAGCAACGCCTCGATTTAGACCAGCGCGGCCATTGACTGCTGGAGTCCTCGTCCCGCCGCGGTGCCATGGAAACAATCCCTACTCTCGCTTCGCCTACGTGTCCAGATGAGAGGGTATTGAGAGAGCTTTGCCGGTGTTTCTTTAGACCTGTTGGTTACCTCGTGGATGCGTGGGCTTCAAGAAATTCCTCGAATCTTAATACACAATAGCTCATAGTTATAAAGAGCTGTCCAGCTGTGTCGTGTCGTCGCGAAGATAGCCGAGCCGGCTGTAATCGCAAACAGGTCTGCTCTCCCGGTGACGATGGACAGATCAGGCGAGCGCACTCCAGTTCCAGTGAGAAGACATCGTCAAGACGGCCACTTTGTGAGTCGAAAGAGGCGGTAGAGACATGCTACGCGAACCAGCAACCCATGCCGCGCCTTGTCCACGTGGTGTCCCTCCATGCGCTTGGACCGGTGAGAGCTTCGCTGGCGCCCGCCATTGGGCTGCAATGCAAAGAAGCGACAGATCTGCATGATGGCCAATGACAGCAGGTTATACGGCCGTTCCTTGTACTGTGACAGCGGTGTTGCGGTCGTCCTGGTCTTAAGTCATAGAAGTATTGCGCATGTAAAGGTGTCGGAGTAAGGTGAGGTTGGTTTAGGCTCTGGTGCAAGGTCGCACTTACTCATAGTCCCCACTTCACACTGTGAACTGAATTGAGACTTGACCGCGTTTACTTCGGGCTCTTGAGCTCTGTGTAGACAATACTTGAGCATATACAGTACATAAAACAAATGCCGATCAAACACAGCCAGGTCTCAATGCCCTCAAGAAATTCAAGCTTTCACCACGCCAGCAACTGAGGTTCTCCATTGCTTAAATCTCTGCCTGTCCGTGTCTTTCAACCCATAGTATCTCCTCCACCAATCCTGCTTCAAGCGAGGAGGCATAAGCGACCAACCTAGCAAAGACTCCACCTCCTCAGCCGTCAAATCCAGGCGCCTGTAGACTCGCGAGCGTGACTCCATGTCTGTATCTCCATCGTGGCGTTCGATCCTGAGCTTTCCGGCGACAACGGAATGGTCGGTTCCGATCGCATAGATGGCAGACCACGTCGAAACGATAAGTACGAAGACCGAGATCATCTGGTTGACAAGGCTTGCCATCCCCAGGGCAACGATATGGCAAAAGAATCCAATCCAGCCAACAATTCTTACCGTCCGGTATCTTGTCTTCCGTTTGACCTTCGGTTCGGTCAAGATGACTTCTGTTATGATGCCCCTTGGAGCATATATCGTAACGGCCTGGCCGGCTGGCGTAAGGACCAAGCATTTGACATCAACGTTCGCCCAGGTTTCGTGATTCTCCTTGTACCAGTTCTGCCGCAGACCTTTGGCTCGCTCCTCTAGCAGATATCGTCGTACTATCACCGATATGGCGAGAGCTGACGCATTTGCGAGGCCCCACCAGTCTCCCATCACGGCGGCAACAGCAATAAGCGTACCGTTCACAACAAGACCACAAGCCAACGAGCATATTGTTGGCCACCGTAAGCGTCTCGTCCGGCTGAAATGTACGGACAAGTACGTCGAGTTCCAGGTCAGGTCTTGCATGAACAGCCAGCGCGAGAACCATGGCGAAATATCGTAAGCTACGATTCCGTCTGTGACGTTGTACAGCTGGAATCCCGGGATAGGTTCGTTGAAGGAGTCGCCGGCCACGACGAAAGCTGCTAACAGTGGCAGGTAGTCCGAGACGGGGTGTGCGATGAAGCAGCCGAGAGCCTTGTTGACCTGTTCTGCGCCGAGGAGGGTGACCAGTCCGAGGGCGTCAATTTGGAAGGGTTGCCAGTTCTTCAGCCATGTGAGGGTCATGTTGAGTCTCGCAGGAAAGGATATGGTTGAGCTGAGAAGTATAGACCCAAGTACTCACGACGTCGCCTAGCCTGGAGGGAGGGGGTAGTTGATATGCCTAACCATGGCCCAGCCTTGTGTGGCGCTGAGCTGCAGGCTAAGCCTCATTGTGCTCCGCTGGCAGAAAGACCTGAGGCTGGGTAGGTACATGTTGGTATCATACGAGAAAGATGGCAGTACTATGCTTTCACTTGACTGGTATTTAGATGAGAGAAGGGGAAGAGTTTGGAATGTGGCCTCGTAAGGAAGGAGCAACGTACGCAAATGCAATGCATAAATCAACCTCACCTCGTTCTTTTGCACTTCATCCCGTATTTCTGGCCTTCAGCAGATAAGATCTTCCGTCAAGCACATGTCTTCCCGGTACAACAAGATCGCCGGCTGCGGTCGCGGTCGTGTTGACACAGACTCTGGATTGACATGGCGAAATACCAACGCGAGGACCACCATTCCGTGGCTTCAGGACGTCTGGAATGACCGTCAACACTGCCACCTCCAGCGAGAGTCTGATATGCTCGATACCAAACAACTGGTCAGGCTCGGCCGCCCAAGGATTCCACAGCATCCGCTTCGCCTTCACTGATCACCAGGCAGACCTGCATACCATCTGCCACATATCGGTGCCTGTTCGCTGGTACGTAGGTTTCGGTACCAGTGCAGCTGCGCCTGTACTTCCTGCGCCAGCGCGACTGTGGCACGACAGCTTGCAGCAGAATCACTTGGGCAGCCTTGTTTTCGCAAAGATGTTCAACCTGAGTCTCCCGAACGTCTGTTGGCGCATCCTCAGCCCGCCGACGGGCCATCCCGGCGTATTCGCTACATGCACAAACCCTATCTACCAAGAACGACAAGCAATTCAAGGTCAGCAAAACCAGATTGTTCCTTTCGCAACTTTGGTAATGTCACAAATTTGGATACTGGATCCCTACAAGCCGCTTCTTGCGTAACGATGGGCGCCGAAACGCCCGCGGAACATGAAACCTACCGGCTGGACCCTCCACCTCCGCGCGCAGATCCAACAGGGGTCCTGCGTTTCTTACTTTCTTCGTAACGGTCAGCCTCGCACAGCTGTGGTCTCGAGTCAGCCTTATGGGCTCTCTCTCCTGACCTCACCTCTATCCTCTACACTGTCGTTTTCCCACCTTCACTCTAGTCTTTCATTCAGCGCACCGACACCATGTCTTGGTGTGCGTGCTTTTTTGCGTTACTTGCGCTCCCACTCCGCTTTTCCGCAGCGGATGCGAACCAGTGGGGTCACGATGAGAACGGAGTCGACAAGTACATCACCAGACCCGATATCGTGTCGCCGCGGTGGGAGGTCAAGATCCATGATGAGAAGAACATCGCGCCAGGGCTCTGGTTTGTGGCACCCTACGAGAGGATTGGCGAGCGGAAGCCTGGAGGTGCGTGGATAGGACCACACATCTACGATGGCAATGGAGACCTCATATGGAGTGGATCGTACATGTGGGATGATAGGAACATCATGGACTTCAAACTGTCAAATGTACGGGGCGAGGACCTGTTGACAATGATGCTGCCGCCGGACGAGGACGGGATATTGTTGGACAACCATTACCAGATCGTGGAGAAGGTGCCGGTGGGAATTAAAGGGAAGACTTTGAACATGCATGAGTTTACATTCGTGGAGGAGGGCAAGACGCTGCTTTTAATGAAGAGGAATGTCACACATGCGACCAAGGACCAATCGTCTGTGGTGGGCTACGAAGGAGAGTGCGCGGTAATGTGGGCAGACTTCGAGGACATCGACACAACAACATGGGAGACACGCTTCAAGTGGACATCCGCAGACTGGATAGGTCTGGAAGAGAGCACACAAAACCTCAACCCCGTGGACTCGCGCTGCGGCGGCGGAGCCTGGGATTACCTGCACTCCAACGCCCTGGACAAGTTCCCCGACGAGCACTACCTCATGTCCGCCCGGCACTCCGACACCGTGTACAAGATCTCCAAAGACGACGGCCACATCATCTGGCGCCTGGGCGGCCCCAACAACGACTTCGAAATGGTGAACGGCGCCAACTTCTCCCGCCAGCACCACGCGCGTGTGCGCTCGCAGAACGACACCCACACCATCATTTCCCTCTTCGATAACTCCAAAGGCGAGGACCGCCAGCCCGCCACCGCCAGCTGGTCGCGCGCCCTCCAACTCGCGCTCCGCACCGACACCGACCCCATGACCGCAGAGGTGATATTGGCCTTCGACCACCCATACCACGAACACGCCTGGCGCCGGGGCGACTACCAAGTCCTCCCCAACGGCAACGCCTTCATCTGCTGGTCCGAACACTCGCTCCAATCCGAGCACACGCCCGACGGCAAAATGCTCTGGGAAGCCAAGATGGAACCGAGCTGGATCGGAACCTATCGCGCGTTCAAGTACGAGTTCACCGGCTTACCCGTCGACCCACCAGATCTGTATTCACAAGCCTACTACCACGACGACGAAAACAACAGCACCACCACTACCGTCCACGTCTCCTGGAACGGCGCCACCGAAGTCCGAAACTGGCACCTCTACCACTCCGACCCTAAAGGCCACAACCGCGTGCGCATCGCTTCCTCCCCTCGCAAAGGCTTCGAAACAGCCATCCAATACTCCGGCTTCGCCGCTTACGTCGTCGCCGAAGGCATCGACAAATTCGGCGGCTCGCTGGGGCTGAGTAAAGTCCTCAAGACCATCCCATCGGACAATATGTCCACGCCCGCCGTCGAAGAGGAACTAGCATGGCTCGAGTCCCTCGGCAGCCCGAGCAGCGCCGTCGTGGACGAGGCGAAGGAAGTGATGATGAACCCCGTCACCACCTTCTTCGCCGGCGTCTTCGCGACCGCAGTCGTCGTGTTCGTCGTTTGGAGGTTCCGGCAACGGAGAGCGGGGGGGTGGCTGCGCGGTATCCGTGCTGCAGGCAATCGTGGAGGTGCGCGGGGGGAGGGAGGACGCTACGCCCGCGTTTCCGGAGCGGATGCGGCGGATTACGACGAGACGAAGTTGGATGATATGAGCAGTAGCGATGGGTATAAGGGGAGTCAGGAGCGGTTTCAGCTGGAAGATTCGGATACGGAGGAGGCGGGGGTTAGTGGGAGGACGCCTTATGTGAGATGAGCCTCTTTCTGCTTTGTGATTTGCTTTGAAGGGATGGGCTGACGCGCGTTGCGCAGTAGAAAAGGGACGTTACGCCGTTGCCTGAATGGCAGCAGTGGGGGAGTTCGAGGGCAGGTGCTGCGTCGAGCGCTTGAGACTTTTTGTCTGTGGGATTGGCGGGCTGCATAGCATTGGCGTGACGGTGCATTGGAGACGGTGGGGTCGGGATGGGATATGTCTTGTGGATCTTGTGGGCATAGAAGCAAGCTGCTTGAAATGTACAGATGACATCTACGTACTCGCACGAACGAGCCTTGCACTACCATCTCAGCCAGTGTGTACTTGCAGCCTGATAAGCGCAAGCATGAGCAACGGACTCTGCAACCACCACAATCTGACCTGCCTCACTCATCCTTCCACGCTTCCCCTTGCTTAACCGACTTACATCTAGTCAAGAATCTCCTCACTCTCATCCAAAATCTCCTCAAACACCTCCTCCACCTCCCGCCCGGCATCCCCTTCATCCTCCTCATCCACCATCAGTGCCTGCTGCTCCTCGCTCAAATCCGGCAGACCCAGATCCTCCCTCTCCTCCGCCAAATCCGCCTGCATCCGCTCGCGCCACGCCAACCACTCGTCTAGCATCCTCCTGCGCGCTTCGACGACCGCCTTGTTGGCCGAAGACTTCTTCGCCTGGTCGATCTCGTCGAACTGCTTGCTGTACTCGCGCAGGTTCTTGCGCACGTTCTTCATCTCGTCTTTGCTGAGGAGACGCTCGGGGCGCGGGCGCCAGGCCCATTGTTTGAAGCCTTCGAGTGGCTCTTCGCGGAGGACGGTGCCCGAGAAGGTGTGGAGGTGGTAGCCGTTTTCGACCTGTGATGTGTTAGTAACCATGTCATGAAAGTAGTGGCAAGGAAGTGATCGCTTACCCTGTGCTTCCACACCGACGCACTGCTGGCAACGAAACGTCCAGAAGGATCCCACTCGATGTCCGTGACACCATAGTGATCCGCTGTTGCCATGAGTTGCAGGTTGGCCGTCAGATCCCTGTCCTTCTCCTCCTTCTCGCCCTCAAAGTCAAAGTCCCAGAAGTCCATGTCGTAAGATTGCGAGTTCAGCACCGTCGCCACAACCACGAACCTGCCGTTCGGCGACCAATGAATGGCGTTGTTGTTCTTCTTGTCCACCGTCCGGATGAGCTTGAAGTTACCGACAGTGTTGCCCTTCGCCTTTTCGGGGCAGAAGAACGACACTGCAGTCTTCGGAGGTACGGCAGAGCCTTGCGGAACTTCACCAGCCGTGATGAGAACAAAGCGATCACCATGTGGCTCCCAAGCAAAATTGATGACAGTACCATCAAGTTGGTCGACGACTTCCACAGGCACACCCTTCTCACGCACTCGGAAGATCTCAAGGTTGGTGGCCATGGTCTTCTTGCTCTTCGAGTGGCGATCCACCTTGACGCAGACGTAGGAGGAATCGGACTGCCAGTGGAGCTTCGCATCGGAGACGTTGAACAGGTTGCGTGTGCGGACAACTTCCTTGCTTGGAATGCTCATGAGACCGACCTTGGCTGGATTAGATCCTAGTTCTGGGGTCCAGTAGCAGAAGAGCTGTTCATACTCTTTCCGGTTGTCACGGTGAGGGTTAGCAGGGCACCACTCGAAGTCCATGACGCCTTCAATCTTGATCGATGTCTTGTCCATGAGGTTCATGCGTGGCAGTTCGTAGACGCTAATGCTCTGGCCTTGGGTCATACGCGCGACATACTTGGCGTCCGCACTCCACTTGAACGCCGGCCATTGAATCTTCTTCTTGATCTGGTTGCCTTCTGCGTCTACTGTAGGGCCGGGTACGTCGAGAGTCACAAAAGAACGGAGAGGCTTGTTGGTGGCGACGTCCCAGATGATGTAGTTCTTGCCGTCTTCTTCGAGTGAGAGAACAGGGTTGCCTTCTTCGACCACCATCGGGCGGTGCGACCATGTAGTCATGTATCGCTCGTCGGGAGAGAAGTCCACAAGGTTGACGCCAGGGTGCATGAACCGCTTTTGCTTTGACCAATTTGGCCCGCCCCAGAGCTGGACACCTTGGGCGTGCATCGATGTGAGGTAGGTACCTTTCGGCGACCACTGCACAAACGATTCGGTCCAGTGGTCTCGCTCGATGACTTGCTGTGGTGAAGCGCTGGTTTCGTTCCAAAAGACACCGACATGCTCGCCATGGAACATGACATACTGGTCGCGGCCCTCGCCATCACCAAGCCACCACCTCAAGTGTTCCTTCTCCTCGAATGGTGGGATCTCAGGCGCTTTGTACGTCTCGTCAATTCTTCCTTCACGGCCATATCTCTCAATGTCGGTGAGCTTGTTGACAGCGATGGTGTGCTTCTTGTCGAGTGCGGTCGCATGCAGAGCCTTCACCGCCGCGGCTGCTTGAGCGGATGTCTCGTACTCCACAAAGGCGAACCCTTCACTCATATCACCTGCCTCGTTCATGGGCATGTACACATTCTCCTCCTTGGTCTTGCCGACAGATGTGAGCTTTCGCAGCAGGAATTTGACGAGCTTTTCCTTGCTGCCCGGGGGGACTTTCGGCAGGCCGTCAATAACGATGAATGTGTCCAGTCCCTCCTCCATTCGCACATCGTACTGTTCTCGGAGGTCTGCACACCGTCAGCATACTGTCAGCTTCATTGACCTGGTTATACCATACCAGAGTAGTCGATATCCTCCTCGCCATCCTCGTACTCGGTCTCCGGGTCTAGCTGCTCGAATGATGGTGCCATGATTGCGGTTTGCTGGTGTCTTGACGACCGACTGCACTGGTAATGGTCCTAACGACTGTTGGGAGATGTGTCTGTTGCAGTTCAGCGAATGTGTAGATGCGATGTCTGATGTTCGCAGCAAATATTCCGTGGGGTCGGCTCGCTTAATCTTCGGCAGCCGACTAACCAGCTCTGGACGTCACGTGTCGATCATATGCTCGCAGTCATGCACCTTCACGAGCAAAGTCGCCAACTTCTGTAGTGAGTCGACGTCTGACTCTTCTCCAAGCATCTGATTCACCACTTGGATCGCACCGATCGAAGCAGAACAAACAGCAGCAGCCCCCGGCACCTCGATCTGCTGCCGGCATTCGGAAGCTTGAACCAGCCATCGCCGAGACAAGCGTCGCTCAATGCGCTGAAGTGAACAATCGACGACGCATGAGCGCTGTCTCACTTCACGCATACTGCTGCACCTCTTGCAGCAACAAAGCACACATTGACCGCACCGATCCGTCACGACCTATATACCACCATCCATCCGTCTACACTACTCAACATTGTCCAACATGGCGTCGGACTGTAAGTCAAGCACATCAAACAAACAGAAGTAACAGACTGACATACAACAACACAGTACCGCCGGAGCAACATGCCTCCTACAGCGCCATCATCGACAACATTCTCGCCACCGCCGACCTCTCCACCGTCTCCGCAAAGCGCATACGCAAGGGTCTCCAAGAACAGGTCGACTACGACATTACACCGCAGAAGGTGAGTTTGTTCGAACCCAGTACACTTCCACTCGAACAGCTAACTCAGATATACAACAGGACGCAATCACAGAACTCATAATGCAACGCTTCGACAAAGTCTCCAAAGCCGCCGCCTCTCCCTCACCCGCCTCTGCTGCCGAACCAGCTCCCACCGCCAACGGCCACATCAAACCCGAACCCCAGCCCGAATCCTCCGCGCCCACCTCCCCACCTAAACGCAAAGCCTCCGCCTCCGCCGACTCCGATCTCAGCGACGTCGCCTCTCCGCCCGCCAAAAAGCCTAAGAAAGCGCCGAAAGTGAAGACCGAGACCGACGAGCAGATCGCTAAGCGCATGCAGGCGGAGTTTAATGCGTCTTCAGGCCGCGCGACTAGGGGTGGTGGCGTGACGAAGCGCAAACCCGTGGCGAAAAAGGTCAAGACGCCGAAGAAGAAGAGCAAAGCCAAAGTCAACAGCGACGACGACAGTGAGGTGCACAACTCGGACTCCGATGCTAAGGAAGCCAAAGTGCGGAAAGGCGGCTTCCACGTACGTCCCCCCTCCACCCTTCCCCCCTCTCCAATCCCTCACTAACATCCCATCCGATGTGCAGAAACCAATGCACCTCTCCCCCGCCCTCACCTCCCTCCTCGGGCACTCCGAGCTCTCGCGCCCGCAAACGGTCAAGAAAATATGGGCCTACGTGAAAGAGCGTGACCTGCAAGACCCGAGCGACAAGCGGCAGATACGCTGCGACGAGGCGATGCGCGCGGTGTTTAAGCAGGACAAGGTGCATATGTTTACGATGAACAAGCTTTTGGCGCAGCATTTGTGGCCGGTGGAGGATGCGGGGGAGGGGGTGAAGGGGGAGGTGGTGAAGGAGGAGGAGGATGAGGAGGAGGAGGATTAGGATAGCTGGACTGGGGGGTTGAGGGGGGCGGTGGGAGTGGAAGGGGGGTGATGGTTGATATTTGCGGGTTCGATCTAAGCGCGTTGCTGTGAGCCGGTTTCGATGCGCTGGTTCTTGTGGGTAGCGAAGGCGTTTATTTGAAGCGCTGGCTGGATCTTTGCGAGCGCATCTTGGAGCAGGTGAAGGACGAAGAAAGACTATGGCCATCCAGGACAGCCGGAGATGATAGATGAATGGACAGAATCGAATCAGTTGACTGATATGTTCTCCTGTCCCGCAGTCTGCAATACAGCGCTGCTGTTCCATCTCTATTACGACTCTATGCTCTATGTCAACCTCCATGACCCATGAATTGGGTGAGCAGAGTAAGGTATCATCCCAATCCCAGCAACCCCATCGCTCGCTATGCATTTCCCAGCAACAAGACAAAACACCCACGACCTCTTGAGAGGATATCACGCAGCAGCCATCTCAATCTTCTTTCCCTTAACACTCTTCCACTCCCAAAGCGCCGCGAACACCCCACTCAACACCGCCACCGCCACTCCGACATAAAAGCAATTAATAATCGCCGTGTTATACGCCTCCTGCACCGCGGGCAAGAACTTCGGATCAATCGCGTCCTTCAGACTCGTCGCCCCGGTCGCGAGCACAACAGCCGGGTTCAGCCCCGGCACGGCGTCCTTGAGGTTCTTGAGCAGCTGGTTCGTGAATACGTTCTGGCCCACAGACACGAAAATGGCGCCGCCCAGGGTCTGGGAGAACATCATCATCGCCGTGCCGATGGGGACGTCGCGTTTCGGCAGCACCGTCTGGGCCATGACGAGTGATTGCTGCATGCCGAAGCCCACCCCAGCGCCGAAGATGATTTGGTAGCCGATCCACTTTGGGCTTGCGGTGTCGCGGTCGAAGGTGGAGAGTAAACCCGCGCCGATCGACATGAAGATGGACGAGGCGTAGACGAAGGGGGTGTAGTAGCCGAGGACGGTGACGGCGATGCCGCCGATCATGGAGACGACGACGAGGGCGAGCACCATGGGGATGTTCATGATGCCCGAGCGAACGGCGGAGACGCCTTTGATGGCTTGGAACCAGATGGGGATGTAGTAAACGAAGACCTGGGGATAGTGTTAGGGTGGGAGGGGTGGAGGGGGGGTGGGGATGAGACTTACGAAGAAGGATGCGCCGATGCAGGCAGCGAAGCAGGCGCCGGACCAGATGCTGCGCTGTCTGATGATTCGTGGGGGCACGGTGGCGTTGTCCTTCTTCCAAAGCTGGATGCCGCCGAAGACGATTGCTAGCAGACCGAAGACGACGAAGAGCGCGATGATGCGGCCGTTGCTCCATTCGTATGTGCTGCCGCCCCACTGCAGAGCGAGAAGTAGGCAGACGACCATGGGAAGGAAGACAAGCGTGCCATATATGTCGAATTGTTCAAGACGTGCTTTCCAGCCTTCGTTCAACTTCTGAGCTCGGGCTGCTGCTGTGGGCTTGTAGAAGAAGACGATGAAGAGGCAGGTGACCGCTCCGATGGGGAGGTTGACTATTTCATCGTTAGCCAAGTTCAAGAGCATGCATGGAACAATACTCACTGTAGAAGCACCACCTCCACGAAACATTATCCGTCAATGCTCCTCCAAGCAGCGGACCAGCAACACTCGCAATCCCATACATGCCACCAATCAACCCCATATACGTCGGCCGCTTGCGCAGCGGAATCGTATCGGCGACAATAAGGATAGCACCCGAGAAGATACCCGCCGACCCCAAACCCGCCACCGCACGTCCGATGATGAAAGCAGTCGAGTTCGGGGCGGCACCGCAGACAGCACTACCAATCTCGAAGATCCCGAGGGCGGTGAGGTAGATCCATTTGAGCGAGAAGAAGGTGTACAGCTTGCCGAAGAACAGCTGGAAGGCACACGTGCAGAGCAAGTACGCCGATCCATACCATCCCACGTCGTTGATCGCGCGGAACTCGTCTGTGATTTTCGGGATAGCGGTGGCGATGATGGTGTTGTCGAGGGCCATGCAGAAGACCGAGAGGCACAAGGCGACAGAGATGAGGGCGAATTGGGTGGATTTCGGATATCTCGACTCATCGTCCTCCTCTTCGTCGTCCGGGCCTAGTTCTGCAATCTTCTTCTCTGCTGGGTTCTCTGCGGCTGCAACCTCCGCCTGCTTCTCGGTCATGTCGCCGTGTTGCGAGGATGTTCTTGACTCGGGGGCGTCGACTGTGGTCTCAACATTGTTCTTCTCCTCGTTGACTTCTGATGGTGCGCCGCTTTGCACAGGAGTGGTCTCGTCTGAGCGAACTTCTGGCTCGGTTGTCGACGTCTCGCCGGTGGGCTTCTTGTTGAAGAAGCGCATCGTGTGTTGAGACTGGTATAGAACTTCCTAAAAGAGAGAAGATGAAGTTCTTCGAAGTGAAAGATAAGGCGACGTCCCCACAGCGAAAGCAAACTCTCGTAGCCTTATACTGCAGTGAACGGAACGCCTAGAAAAGGGAACGGAAGATGTTTTGAAAGGAGAGTAACATCCGGAGAGTCTTGCTTCCGTGGGGCCAATGAAGGTATGTACCTCTGAATGCCTGAAAGGCTAAGGGCGATCTAAAGGAGAGCTGGAGAGTGCGGTGTCCACTCCATCATCTCCCACAGCAAAGGCCGTTGCTATTTTTCCTTCGGATGCGGTTCGAGAATCGTGCCGGAAGAATGCTCGTGATTGTAGGCTTTGCCCCTTGAAGCTTAGCTCGCTCGCTTGACTTGGGAAGGCGATCGAGGGAATCTGGACCACACACCATCGCTTCGATCATTCGAGCACACTATCCGGTCTCAAACGATTCCTTGGTCGCTCAGAACGATGCAGAGCATGTCCTTGCTCCTCCAATCCGGTTTCCGTGCTCTACAACACAACGTACGCAGCAGCAGGCCGCACTTAACCTCGCAACGACCTCCCGGAATCGCCATGCTAAGCTTTCAGCGCATTGGAGTCATACATTTGCTAAGGCGCCACGTTTCCCACCAAGACGACCCGGGTTCGGGGACAGACATCCATCCGGACACGTGCCGCACGGAGCGGACGATACTTTACTCTTCCACTCCGCTTCGCATGGCATGCCGATGAACGACTGTAGCAACCGATGCTGACTGCAGATGTCGTTGCCATTGGTCCTCCACAAGACGCTGCAGACACATTGGAGAAAGTCAGAACCTTACCCTGACCTCACTCCGCTGCTTTGCTGATGAGTCTCTGTTGAGCTTCGCTAGAAACGACCCGGCGGTTTTACTCTGGTCCGCTGCTTTGTTGCCGACTACCGATGGAAACGCAATCATGGCTGAAGGATGTCAATACTGTATCCATGAATACCTCTTCAAACGATGGAAGCGAACTGCGGCAAAGCCGAGTCCTTCGAATGTGCGGTCTCCGACCGGTGTTGGGTTGAGTAATCTCAGGATTTGAATCTACGAAAGTGACGGTGCTGATGCCTCCCGTTCAACCTGACCTGCCATTCATGCTAATGTTGCTATAGTGGCTATGTACAATGACGCATTGGCAGTCATCCCTCCTCGCTGCTTCCTCCAGTTCGAGAGAGCATGCGCCGCTCATACAATCGCACTCAGCACTGAATACCGAAGTAGGTGTTCGGTGGGTCCACGTTGTTCGGGTCTATCCAATCTCCAGCATCCTCGCACCTCCACTGCGCGTAAATCAGATAGTCGACGTTCTCTTCGTCGTTCTCGGGGTAAGGGCAGTCAACGGTCTCCCACACATTATCATCGCTCCGCTGTCCGACCTTGCAAGTATCCGGCGGATAGCACGCCGCCATAATCTGTACGATGCATCATCAGAACAAGCGGCTCGTCTCACAAGGGCGTTGAACTCACCAGTTCATTGTCGTTGATCTTAACATCCAACCACTCGCCAGACACGTCCGGCGTGAAGTGCAGGACATCGCCATCCTCCAGACCACATTTATTGACCCAGCTGGAGTCGACGGTCATCTCGAAGGCTGCCATCTCCTCGCAGCCGTACGAGATACCTTCTTCCATGTTACCGATGATGCTGTCTTGGGCTATGCACGCGCCGGTATCGGTTATATCTGGAAATGTGTCGGTCGGCCAGATTCCATGGTAGGACTCGATGCCATCGCTGGTGAGTTTGTCGGCATAGAAGGCGTAGAATTGATTGCCTTTCACCAAGGCTGGAAGCACGAAGCTCAGCAAGGCGGCGTGCTGCAAACACTTGCTGAGTGAGGAGCGCATGACTGGTGTCTTTTGGGTGCTGCGGAGCCGAGTGCTGCGAATGGCGGAAACGAGGAGAAGATATCTTGGCCGGAGTGTGTGCAATCATGATGGAATTGTCGACGTCTTTGTACTCGCTCTTGTAGGATCAGATGAGAGGTCGTTTCGGATTCAATCCCAACTCCATCCACCCAAGAACTGCTCGAATCCATCCATACCATCCGCAGGATTCCGCCAAGACCGCTATCATTCCCCCGTTCTATTCCGGGTTTCGCCAGACCGCACACAGTATATGGCTCCAGCATCCATCGAGATGTTTGGATCTTTGTCCGTCGCAGGACGCATGCCAATGCATCCGTCGCGCTCCTCGTTGTGCCAGAACCGGCTCCACGTCGTTATGAAGAACTTGGCTAAAATACGAGACTGGAGTCGATGCACAGAACGTCGCAATACCGTCCAAACCCAGACAGGTACTGCTTGTCATTTCGCCTCGTCAGGAAGGCTCTTTTGCGCAAAGCTGAAATCGGCGCAACTCGCCATCGCATCACTAGTTAAAGGAATACCATGAGGCACAAGTTCGATCATTACAGCAATACTTACCTCCGCTCTCCACCTTTTAACCTACCTTTCACACCATCAACTACCAACTCACCTCCCTCACAAAATCCCCCTCCAACCCATCGCCCAAACCCATCCTCGCATCCCTCCCCTCAGACCTCAACGTCCAGCACACCACCTCTCGACTTACTACATACCCACTCTTCGCCCACCGGGCATTGAGCCAATCCGTCAGCGCATCGGAGGAGTGCGACCAGTCATGGGCGTCAAAGGCGTCTAGCACGACTTTGACCACTGGCAAGGGGAGGGGCTCGAAAGCCGTAGAGCGAGGGGAGGCCGGGGAGATCGGGGGCGAGGTTCGGGGCGAGGTTCGGAGGAAGAGGGTCCTGGAGAGTTTGAGGCGGAGGGCGGGCATGGTGGGGGTACTTACGTCCGCTGCTCTGGGCTGGGAAGGGAAGAGAATGATGGCTCGCGCAGCGATGCCGATCGAAAGGGTTGAGAGATGCGTGAATTGCTGGTCTCGGACCCAGGCCTGAGGTCGAATCTGCCGCATTGCGTCGTGTGTGGGGTATATACCGTGGTTCTATTGTTTGCAGCGCTCGCTTGTTGAGTACAACGATAGACTGTCGAGCCTTTGTTGTCAAAGAGCGATTGTTGCTATTGTAAGAGATGAGCTTGCTCATACTGCTCTTTGTCTGTAAGAGAGGAGTGACGTCGCGCCATCCCCATCGCATGTGACAGCCGGCCCAAACTCGGCTCGCCGGTCCAAAATGGCCAACCTATATGATAATTATCAGCAGTCCCAGCACTATAACCAAGCGTAGTCACTCGAGTAGCTTCAGGTCAATGGTTATACCACGCCCTCGTCCTCAAGCCGCCACCAACGCCAATCACACCAGAGTCGAGCGTTCGACTCACCGACAAGTCAATGAACAGAAAGAGCAAGGACATATATATACCATACCGTTATCTGTGACATGTTGTAGGCCGTCGCCCTTTCGTGATCCTATGTTGTAGTCCAATTAAGAGCAAACTGATCAACAGTGTAGCCCAATCAAGAGCAAACCTCGAGGTTTCTCTTCTCCCTCCGGGGTTTTCTCTTTTGCTTATGTTGGTGTCTCCTTTTGAGTCTTTTGGTATGACTTCGTTTTGGAGTGGTGCTTGAGACGAGCAGCTGTACTGTATAAATGAGACCGTTCTTGATCTTTTGACCGTTAGGAGCGGAGGAATGGCTTGGTGTGCAGCCCAGAGGCCGACACGTGGTGGAAGGGCTCGATGCAGCGTGCTTCATCTTTCACTTAGTAGCATGATTTGGGTATACGTACTCCTCACAGCACTCTTATGGCACTCTCCTCCCTCAGAACAACAACCGCCACACACCAAGAATAATAGCCGCCGTCCCCGTACACACGCCCATCATCCACTGCAACGTACTGAACTTGACCCCCTCCAACCTCTCCCGCAATGCGGCCGCCTCTTGCTCAATCCTCGTCTCCGTCTCCCGGATCTTCAAATCCTGACTATTGGCCTCTTCCCGAATCCTTCCCTTCTCCAAATTCAAATCCAACCGCACACTCGCCTGCGTCCTCTGCACCTCGTCCCGCAACCTACTCCTTAATTTCTCCAAGTCATTCGTCAACCGCTCATGACTTGCGCGAGTCAAGCTCGATTCCGTGCTATCCGCCGACAGCAGCTCTGAACGGAGTTTGGCAAAGTCGACTTTTTGCGTGTAGGTGGCTTTTTCTTGGTCTTCGCGCAGGACCATGGTGCGAGTGAGGTTCTGAATGGATTCTTCGATTACGTCGCCGAGGACGCGCATCATGGCGACGGCTTGGGCTTCGCTGAAGCCTTCGGATTGGAGGCGTTGGACGAATTTGAGGGTGTCGAATTGGTGGTCTTTGGGGCGGGAGGGAGTGGCGGAGAAGGCACGGCGGGGTGGCGATGGGAGGAGTTGGGGTTGGCGGCGGTGGTGCCATTGTCGGCGAGCGTGGGCTGTGGTCGCGGAAATGCGTCGGTCATGTTCTCCGTTGATGGTGCTGTATTGGGCTAGAGATGGGATGGCGGAGGGACGGATGCTGCTCGCTGTCCATGATGCCTGCGGCGCAACTCGTGTGAATGGTCGCAGGCTGGCCATGGTGTTGTATGTCGTGTGTAGACTGCCCGTTCCACTGCTGTGAATTGAGACTGTTCCTCCGGAGAAGAGGTGTAGTCTGGAACGAAGCCCAAGGATGACCGGGATGTCACATGCAACCAATCAACATCAATCCGTCTTATCAGGTCTCGCGGTCGAACTCTCTTCTCATCCTTCTTCCATTCACCACACCTCTAGTCACGGTGAAAAGGCTTTCGACGTCTCTGCAAGTGCCAGGGAACGATATGTCACCCAGAACGACCAGTGTAGGTCGACGCTGCCAACACCCCTTCCTCGCTATGGCAGTTGGCATTACGTACACGACATCACCACGTGCCCCGCAAGGCATCGTCGAACTCTGCACACTGTTTGCCTTGGCTCGCGAAGAGTCCCAAGGAACTCAATCTGCGAACAAGATAGGTCATCTGCTTGCTTGAGAATTCGTCTCCTCTCTTCACCGTTTCATCTCCTCTTTTCAGCGTCACCAGATCGTTAGCAAAAAGCCAGGAGCCCATGCGAAGGAGCAGCCAAACGCTCGACTCAGACTACATCCAAGCAATGCCAGACATGGCGGACCAACAGCAGAAGAAGCCGGACCTCTCGAAGACCGCGACGCACGGGCGAGGAGGCGCTGGGAACATTAGCAACAAGCCGATGAACGCTGTGGGCGCCAATGACCTCGAGACGCCGACGATCAAGTCGCAGCTGTACACGACAGGGCGTGGAGGTAGGTCTTTGCGTTCATTGGCCAGCATTGCTCGGCTAGACTGACGTGCTATCCAGGCTCCGGCAACATGGCCGCAAACGTATCCCCCGAAGAAGCCCGCAAAGCTCAAGACATCGACACACCTGCACACCACAAGAACGAGCCGAAAGGGACGTACCACTGGGGTCGCGGCGGAGAGGGCAATATGATGACGGTGGGGCAGAAGGAGGGCGAGAAGGAAGAGAAGAATGGGGTGAAGGGCAGCCCTGTTATCCGACCAGCCGATGGCCAGAAGAGGAGCGGAAGTTTTCGGGATGCTTTCGGGAAGGGGAAGGAGATGCTAGGTTTGAAGGGGAAGGGTGAGAAGGGTGGGAATGGAAGTGCTGTGGAGGATTGAGGAATGAGACTTGCGTCGGAGGTTCGTTCATGGTGACGGTGGGAAGAAGGCGTTTCTAGGCATACCCATTATGTTGTTGCGTTTCTGGCGAGGGCGGTAGGTAGTATCAAGCTCTGCAGTTCTCCTAAATCTCAAATTCTGAACAAGCTCATATCCTCGCAAAGCGCTGCATATCATCTCGTCACGTTTTCGAGAAGCCTTCCACGACGTCGGCTCGATGCAGCCATCTCGAGCATCTAGACTTCGCCGAAAGTATACCAGAACGCCGCATAACGGTTGATTGCGTTCTCGGAGATCGGATCGCAGGCGAAAAGGCCACAGAGCGTCTCATAGCACTCGATCCTATGTCGAAGAAGCCTGCACAGGGAAGAGGATGTCGACGAACAACATTCATTCATCTCCGCTATCAAAACAACCCTCACAGCCCACCCCCACCCCCTACAACCCCCCATTCCCCTCTCGGAGAAGCCCGCCTACACGACACACTCCCTCACCCACTCGCTGACCGCCCGTATACTCATTGGTGTCCTCGGTGGGGTATATGGGATACTCAATGGTGTCTTCAGGGACAACCTCAGGGGTGTTGTCAGGGGTATACTGGGTGGCGTCCATGATGGCGATGGGAAGTCGTGATAAGTAGAGATGGCAGTAGAGGTAGAGACGCGTGAGACCCGCCGAAGCAAGATGAGTGTGTGTATGTGTGCGTGCAGAAGGCTTCCGACCTCAGTGCTGGAATATTTGTTGTTGTGTTTGCTTTCGATGACTCAGCAGTAGATATCTTCATGTATCGCCTCCACCTCTTGACCCCATTGTTCGCATGCAGAACCCTTCTTCTCCTTCATCCAACCGAGCCGTTACATGATCGAGCACCCGACCCCATACATCGCTCTCTCAACGTCGCCCTTGACCAGATACCAATCCGCTCTCCGCTCAGCGAACTCATACACCTCCTCCGCGCCGAAGATGCCATGATAGCGCTGCGTATCCGCAATAATCGTCGCCAGCTCCTTAGCCTGCAGAGCCGTCGGCGAGCTCTTCGTCGACAGCAAACTCGCACGCTTCACCTTCGGATTGGTGCTGAAGTACGCAGCCGGCGGATCGATATGCACGAGATAGATCTGCGACATCTCCCTCAAAGCATGGAAGTACGGCAGCAGCGGCTTCTGGCGCAGGGAAGAGACGAAGTCGCTGTAGAGATTGACATCGCTAATGAGCTTCATGGCGCCATCGACGCTGATGCGCTGGCGCTTGAAGTGCTTGCACAGTGTGGCGAAGAGGCGGAGACCAACTTCTTGCACGAAGACGTCGAGCATATTCTTGTCGGTCGTGCCTGTGAGCATGCCGGTGTGGCCGCTTATCATACTGACGATCTGTTTGGCAGTGTCACTTGCGCCGATGTCGACCATGGAGGACATGCCGTTCGATGCTCCGGTTGTGCCGCCAGGATTAAAGTCTGTTGGGAGCTGGGTGGTGGCGCAGATGTATTCGACTTCGTCCATCAGCACATCGATACCACGGTTCAGACCTGCTGCGACCCGCTCGTCCAGCATCTGTTCGAATTTCTTCTTCTCCTTCACAGCTGGGTCAAGGAAGTCATCTCGATCGGTGAGCTTCGTTGCGATCATCTCCTGAGCGTAGAAGACATCGACCATCTGCTGGATCAGGTCGCCGACATTGACGAGCTCCAAGAAGGTCACCAGAGGCTCTACACCCGTGGCATTACTGACTGTGGTTCCTCCATTGGCACTTCCTTTCGACTTGAGCTGCCGAACTTCTCGTGGGTTGTAGGTGCCAAGATGGCCAATGGCCTTGTCGAAGCCATTCCGGATGTGTCTATCGCCGAGTACCTTCAGCAGTGTGACGAAGATGGCCTCACACTGCTCTTTTGCTTCATCGCCATAGTGGCCACCCATACGGACCATAATCGCGGCACGTTCAATGCAGGCTTTGGCCAAGTGCGTCAGGTCGAGCGCCACTTCAATGCTGAACAGCGACTTGATGCCTTCCAAGCGAGAGTTCATGATCGCTGCTTTGGCTGCAAGCTCGGTCGTTGGAGCCTCAGCCTGCGGTGTGCCCGGGCGCTGCGGCGTGTTTGAACCCGTGGTAAGAGAAGGTGATCTGGGTCTGCCGCCAGAGTAGGATGCTTCGGCACCGTTTAGATTCGCGCTCGACTTTGTCACCGCCGTAGGTTTCGCTGCACTGAAAGCCGGCAAGACGTTGACCGGCATCATCACGACCTTCTTAAAGGAGGACAGAAAGTCTCGTTTAGCCGCCGATCGGTTGATGTTCGACATGAAGTACGACTCAGTAGATGCTTCCTGCTCAGACAGCTCCTTCTCCCAGTGGGAGACTGAAGCGCCCGACTTAGTGGTGAATACCGCGAGCTCTTCTGCCAGATACAGGTCGATGTGCTTCTCATAGCACTGAGTGACCATTGCTTTTGCTTTGTCTGGCATGTCAGCCGGCGACGCCTTCGTTGGTTTGAGCGAGGCTAGAAATCGCAGCGCCTGCTCGAATGTGCCTGATACGGCTTTCACGTAGGTCTCGATGCCCACTGAGTGGGCTTCGTCGAACAGTGTCGTCAAGTACTCCGATAGCATAACCTCACATAGCCGCGAGAGCAAAGGAGTAAGGACATCCACCGAAGAAGGAAAGACTCGATCGATGACCGCGGCTTGTTCCACTGTCATGACCGCAAGCCTCTCAAACATCTGTCTCGACGGGTTCAGGTCAACGTGGCCTGGTGCTACGGCCTCGAGACAAGCCAGCGGGTTGCCCATCCGGCCGTCTCGAGTCATGAGTGGATTCTTGGTAATGAATGCATCCACCCCTGCGTTACCGCCATTCAGCGAAACCAGAACATGGGCATACCTACGCATGCGGCCATCGACATCGTTCGCACTGATGCCTTGCTCGAACTCCCGCAGCACGGCATTCTCGAAGACCCCAATCATGGAATCCAGCTTCTGCTCCCGCTCTTGCCAGCCGAGAGCGGAATCACATTGTGCAAATTGCTTCAGAGAAGACAAGATCTGGGCTTGTTGTTCCGGGTCGCGATATGTCCTAAAGATAACAGCATCTGAATGGCTTTTCGATCGGGCAAGATTCATGTGGAGCGGACCTAGAGCTCCATAGATCTTGCCGAACTCCTGCCTCGCGCGTCCACGTATCGAGCGTGCCTCGCTGAGTACGCGTAAAGCTATTGATGGGTCCCATGGCTTGACCGAGGCCTGCCCGGGCGAGGAAGGGGAGATCGTCAAATCGTCGAAACCGTCCGCAAGAGTCCCTCGACGTATGGGCGTCTGAATGGCCGGCTTCTCCAAACTCCGTCTGTACTTGGACTCCTCAGCACCCGCATCGAAGAGTGTAACACTTCCAGCATGCTGCCTCCCCCCTCCAGCAATCCCATTGACACTACCAGGCAGATTCACCCCCGTCCTCTTCGCCTCATCTGCCTCTCTTGCTCTCTGCGCCTCCACCTTCCTCTTCATGGCGTCCTCGATGCGTTGCCTAGCTTCTGCTTCGTTCCACACCCCAATCGCCTTCAACTTTTGTATCCACCGGGTATCATCGTAGACCATTTCCTGCAGTCTCCGCGACACCCGAGCGCATTGCATGAGGTCCGGCACGGGTAAGTAGTCCAGTATCATAGCCAGCAGCTCTGCTGGCAGCACTGGCTTGGAGGCAACGACCTGCGTCGCTCGCAGCGAAGCGAGGACTTTGTCGTTGCTTCGTGGTCCATTCATCTGGGCATTTCGGACTTGCGAGAGGCTCCTCTTGTTCCTCTGCTGCGTAGCCTGCACGGCTTGCGGCACTGGTCGGCCGCTCATGGTAGCAGCATCAACAGGATTTCCGTCTGTATCCTCCTAAGCGTTCATGGGCAATTGCCCGCTCGGTAGAGGAAATACACCTGCCTGGAGCTTGGCAGTAGAGGTAAAGGTTGTGGTTCACCTTTGCCCGCATGGCCCGTGACGACCGCAACGCAGGGATGCCGATCAGAAACATGTGATTGACCACCACAACGCTCTTTCCCTTCTACCTCTTTCATAAAACCATCACTGACATCTCCTCCAACGGCTTCCGTACGACCACCGAGCACATCCGCACAAGTGAATGAATACCGCATTGCGCTACTGAGGAAAGCTTGCGATTGGTGCCCAACCCATTGACCCTGGTCCTGGAGTCTAGAAACAAGGCGGGCGCCCGCCACTCCCACCGTCATACGCAGCGTAAGATATATTAAACTGACTGTATTCCGTGCCGCGTTAGGTTGGCAAGTATTCTCCTCCCTTTGCCTCTCTTCATTCCTTCTTCAGCATTGTACAGACGATATCACATTCGCCCGGATGATGCTCTAACACACCCCCACCAACTTCCGTCTACCAGTCAACAGTCCATACCGCCTTAGCATCCCTCCAATGTGCCTGCTCAAAGCTAGAGAAGAGCCAGATTACTCGGTACCAGCACGAGTAAGATCAGTCAGACGAACGCGCGACTACTCCGCCTCGCCTCCCAGGACATCCTACTACTCCAAAACTCGGGTCGTCGAAGAACAAGGCCCACCGCGCTACGATCCGCCAGTTCAGACCCTTCCACCCCCTGCGCCATTGCCTGTGCAAAGCAGCCATTCCTCACGCACAGAGTACAAGCGCTCACTCGCCCCAAGCCCTCCGAGCGTCCACAACAGCGTCACCGTAATCGAAACCGCGCCACCTCGCGCTCCCAGCACAGTCAGACCGCCTCGATCGCACTATGTAGAAGTCGAGCGCGACGACTCGAGCGATGAGTCCGTATCCTCCAGCGATGATCTGAGATCTCGAACGACGCATAAGACTAGCAAGACGGCGCATACGAATAGATCATCGAAGACAAGGGCGACTGTCCCAAGGTCGGAGTACAGCATACACGAGAGGGAAGAGGAGATTCGACGTGAAAGGGTGAACTCGAGGCCGAAGGACGAATACGAGACGTACCGATATGTGAACGCGCCGAGGGACGTCGATCGAAGGAGAAGCGGCAGCCGCTATGGCGACCCCAGGGCGAGCAGTGGCAGCTATGGGCGCGGAGGCCAGGGCTACTATCGCTAAGGGAATGTTTACGAAGAGCACTGAGTGAGACAGACAAGGAGGCTCAATATCTTGCCGGAAGATGGTTTGCTTGGATGTGTCTGTGTATTGCGGAGGGTCTTTCGAGCGAATGGCGCGGATCTTGCTGCTTTGTCTATGGGTCTTTCATCTCAAAGACACTGTTGTTCTCGCGTTGCATGTAGCGTGTTGTGGATATCTGTGCATACGCATACTGGTGTACATAGCGATGAGGCCATGGGCTACGAATGAACGTGAAGGTGATACCCTCTAGTTCTATTGCATTCCACCCTTTTCCATACTATATCGGAGTGTCTCCAAATCGTCTACACGCGTATACGCGCTTCTGCGTCCTCATCCGAACGTTCCGCTGGTCTGCTTGGTGTAACGTTCAAAAGCTCAGTTTTTGGAACAGGCCACGCCACATGATCACCTTCTCTTCCAGTCAGCAACACTCACCATTCAAACATCAACCTTCGCCACTCCGAAGCAATTTGGATCGCTGCATATGACTTGGGCCTGGACTTACGCTCGGCCGTCTATCGCACGTCTCGAGTCTTGAGACACCCTCTGGCTTGTCCACCGCATCAAAGTCCTCGAAAGCATGCTTGCCTACAATGCCGATCAAGGTGTTCATGAGGGACGCGCCTCAGCGCGCCATCGCCCTCAGCACAGAGACGCACGTCTTGATCTTCCGGCATAGTCCGTCTACATTCAGCTCGAAGACGAACGCGTCCACACAGTCCTTCGCAGACGGCTCGCCTCCGAAATGCATCGTCGAATTCTCGCCATGGGACGCCGAGGGCCTGGATATGAGCGACTACCGCACCCTGCCATCGCTGGACACGAAAGGCACCCTTGGTCTCATCACAATCAACGGCGACATCTTCCTCGCCGTTGTGGCGGACAGCAAGAAGGCGGCAACGGTGCGGCCTGGAGAGACCGTCCAGCAGATCCGCAACGTCGAGTTCCATTGTCTGAGCAGTGGCGACTACGATCACCTGCTTAATAGCCAGGTGAATCCATTCCCGGGCGACGGCATGGACACCGACGGCTTCGAGCCTCCCATCAACAGAGACACGGCCTTTGAGCATCCCTGCCTTGCTCTTAAGAAGCTGCTGAGCGGTGGTAGCTTCTACTACAGCACCGACTTCGATCTCACTAAGAGGCTACAAGACAGACCGACAGATTCTACGACTGTCGCGCTTGATAGCTTAGATGCTGGGTTTCTCTGGAACACACACATGATCCAGCCCCTGGTTGAGTTCCGGTCACGGCTGGCGGATCGCGAGAAAGCCGCTCTGGATCAGTCTGGCATCCTCACTTCTGCTATGCGCGGATTTGCAGCGACAGTCAACGTCCCGGCTTCTTCCTCTCCGCTCAGGTATAATGACATCGGTATGCCATCGACTATGACTCTCATCTCTCGCTTGTCATGTCGGAGAGCCGGCACTCGGTTCAATGCGCGAGGAATAGATGACGACGGCAATGTGGCGAACTTCGTAGAGACAGAAACGATCTTCTGCACCGACCAGCTCTGCTTCTCGTATGTGCAGTGCAGAGGAAGCGTGCCACTGTTCTGGGAGCAACAGTCCGGCCTTCCAACACAGCAGAAGATCCAGATTACACGATCACCAGAAGCAACCAAGCCAGCTTTCGACAAGCACTTCGAAGGGCTGGTAAAAGCATACGGCGACGTCTACATCCTGAACCTGCTAAGCGACGAGAAGCCCCAAGAAGCACAGCTCATCCGTTTCTACGAGTCGCAAGTCCAGGCAAGCGCGCTAAATGAGCATCAAGGGAGGAATGCTGAGACTGAGGAGCACAAGCATCTCCAGTCGCTCACATATGACTTCCACTCCGAGACACGAGGGAACTATGATGCTGCAAGAGGCATTCGGAGATACATACTTGAGTCAGCTATGGCGTTTGAGTACTTCTTGACGGAAGACACGGTGGAGAAGGTGGGCAAGGGGGAACGAAAGCACTCTGTCTACGGTCAGAACGAGGTATTGACGCAAAATGGAATCTTCCGCACGAACTGCCTCGACTGTCTCGATCGCACGAACGTGGTCCAAACGAATCTCTCCGAGATGATGCTCGAGATTTTCCTTAAGCAGCAGGGTGAAGATCGGCCAACATCAGACTTCTGGGCGAGACACGGCATGCTCTGGGCGGACAATGGCGACACGCTAGCAAAGATATACACGGGCACGGGCGCGCTCAAGTCATCATATACAAGAGCCGGCAAAACATCCTTCGCCGGCCTCTTCGCAGACGCCCGCAAGTCGGTGCAAAGACTATACATCAACAACTTCGAGGACAAAGGACGTCAGAATACCATCGACATGCTCCTCGGACGTCTCGTCGGGCAACAGCCCGTCACACTTTTCGACCCGATCAACGACTGGGTCACGGCAGAGGTCGGCCGAAGGGCTCCGGAGTATACTTCCGCTGAGCAGATAAACATTTGGATCGGCACGTTCAATCTTAATGGTAAGACTGAAGGTGTTGGAGAAGATCTCTCGCCATGGCTGTGTCCGGATATCGAACAGGAGCTGAGGCTGCCGGAGATTTACGCGGTGGCGTTTCAGGAGATTGTGCAGTTGGATGTGCAGCAGATCATGGCTACAGATCCGCATCGGAGGCAGGTTTGGGAGGATGCGGTCAGGAAGACGTTGAATAGAAATGCGAAGAGGTTTGGAGGAGAGGATTATGTGCTGTTGAGAGGAGGACAGCTTGTCGGTGCTTCGCTGTCTGTGTTCGTCAAAGCCAGCGTTCTGCCGCTCATCAAGAATGTGGAGGGCTCTGTGAAGAAGACCGGCATGAGCGGCATGGCTGGCAACAAGGGTGCTGTGGCCATCCGATTCGAGTACGCAGACACATCGATCTGCCTCGTAACGGCTCACCTGGCCGCTGGCTTCCAGAACTACGACGAGCGGAACCAAGACTACCGCACCATCAGCGAAGGGCTACGTTTCCAGCGGGATAGATCTATCTCAGATCACAAGACCATCATCTGGTTCGGCGACTTCAACTACCGCATCGGCATGGGCAATGAGCGAGCCAGACATCTCGTTGAGAAGCGTGATCTGGGCACACTCTACGAGAACGACCAGCTGAACCTGCAGATGGTGCACGGCTTGACCTTCCCTCACTACTCAGAGAAGACACCAAGTTTCCTGCCCACCTACAAGTTCAATCTCGGAACAGACGACTACGACACCTCAGAAAAAGCCCGTATCCCGGCATGGACCGACCGCATCCTCACCCGCGGCGATAACCTTCGCCAGCTCTACTACGACTCCGCGCCCCTCCGCTTCTCAGATCACCGCCCGGTCTGGGGTCTCTTCAAATGCACAATCAACGTCATCGACCAGGCGAAGAAAGACCAAATCTCAGGCGAGCTCTACCTCAAGCGCCGCGAAATGATCGGAGACCACGTCGCCAACCAGAGAACAGAGGATAGTGACCTCGAATCTCTCGTCGGCTACGACTCCATTGCGCCTGGCTTACCGCCTGCGAGCTCCGATAAGCGGAAATGGTGGCTTGACAACGGCATGCCTGCTCGGTCAAACATCCAACCTCCGAAGAACCAGCAAGTGCCCAACCCAGCACGCCCTCCGAACCCCTGGACACCAACTTCAGAACCCGATTGGGTCGAAGTGGACAAACCACCTCCCATCCCCTCTCGTACACCCTCAGTCTACAGCACCGCTTCCCGCACCGACACCATCCGAAGCGAGATCCCATCTCGCAAAGCCGCGCCACCACCCGAGCCCCTCCCTCCCCGTCCCGCTACCTTCCACACAGACGGCCCCTCCGACTCCGACAACCGCGTGCACCTAAAGCACACCCTCCGCAAACCCGCTCCCCCGCCCAAGCCTGCGAAGCCGAGTCTTCTCCGCGGCGAGAGCACGCAGAGTACGGCGAGCTCGAGGGCTGCGGTGGCGCCGCCGGTGCCTGCGCCGCGGAGAGGCGGTGCGCCGGCTGAGAGAGGGGGCGGGAACGGTGGTGGGAATCCGCCGTTGCCGCCTAGACGGGCGACGGGGCTGATGGATGAGGCTGGGGGTGAGGAGTTGAAGGGGTGGGAGGCGCTGAAGCCTTCGTAGTGGCGGTGCTTCTCGGGATGGGAGAGGAACGTTGGGGGAGTGTAGGGGTGGTGATGGGGTCGAGGTGTAGTGCGTAGATGGGAGAAGAAATGAAACTCGTTGAACTGTACAGCGTCTTCTCCTATGTTGCAGTGATTTTGCTGCCATTACAGCCGTAGCTAGCAGTTTCCAGACTTGATTTGATGTAGGAGAGCTTCCTCATCGTCAAGATCCGGCATGCCTCTTCTCCATGTCCTACTTCAGCGTCCTGCCACTGCACCGGCCGTTGAAGCTGTGTCGTAACAATTGAGAAGATGAGAACAACATCATCAACAGCTCGAGACGAGCACCCATGTGCTGTTCATCCCGTCTCAATCATGTCCAGCTTACTACCTTCGGAACGGTTCCGAAACCTGCATCGGAAAAGAAAGGTTGTTTGGCAAGGCGAACATACTCTCGGTATTCGGTAGAGCGGTAAAGCTCGGGGGCGGTTAGAGATTGGGCTCGCGTGCATGTGCATGTGCATGTGCATGGTTGTTCTGGAAGCCTTCTACGCCGGCAACGACATGATTATGCTCGACACCACTTTCTCATGTCCCCATCAGCGCTCGCTTGCGTGTGGTTATAAGACGATCGATGCCCTGCGCGTGCGGTCATGAATCGCAAAGTCCAGCCATCCAGGCCTCTTGGGCATCAGTCGGCGCTTCTGCTTCTGCCCGATTTTGTCGATCATCTCCAACGTGCCGGGCGAAGGTCGCACACAACGGCGATCAGCGCTCACTACCGATGCGTCTATCCGCCTCGTGAGGCGGTAGCGGAGCATTCGGCGATGCGTCTGCCCATTTGGCATATGCCACAATCAGTTGCGACTCAGGTGCTGTCCTGTCCGTGCCATTCCCGCAGCAAAATTGGTCTTGTTTCGGCTTCTCAAGGATCCCTAATACAGAGTCGATGGCATTGATCGCTATAGCGACGACCCTGACACTGCAGCCTCATCTCTCGTTCCTGCAGATGTCAGTTCGTGCCAGCATGAGACATGTTGGCCTTGAACTCGAACCGAATCGGCGAGACCGGGCTCCGAAGGGGCAACTCGTGCCTCCCTGTTCCCGACAGGTGCCCACTCTATCAAGTGGCCCTTGCAGTCGATGCAGACTCAGCGCGGCTAACTGTGCTAACAGAGGGCAAGCGGCGGTGGGATGATTGTGATCAAAAGTGAGCATCCTTGTGGGCTCCGACCCAGTTACCTGTGCGAGCCCAGGTTTTAATCAATACTCATGCCCAAGTCATCCCACCTGTCGACGGTCACTTCTCGGTTGTGTGCGTCCAAGAGGCACTTACACCAGGATCCCCTCCAGTGCATTATCAGAACACGAAAGCACTTGGGCTTTGACGTGCGCAGACACCTCCATCGAGAAGTCACTTATGCGGTCCTTTACGCCTCATTCTTCCCTCCTCTCTCGCGCCGTCAAGTCGTGCAGAGCTTTCCCGCAATGTCCTCGGTGCTACGGCTCGCAAGGAGCCTTACGATGCAGCCTTAGTTTCATTCACATACTACGATGGGCCTCAAGATCTGCATCTGAGGTGCCCTTTTCGCTACGTCTACACGCACTGCTAAGCGCTAGCCATCGTGTTCGCAAGAAACTTTAGCCATGTCTTCGAAGCCGCCGCCCGAGAGGATCTCGCCGAGTCCATATGCCACCAGCGGGCCTTCAAGAGCGAACCCCCCGCCCAGCCGATTCGAAGACCCAGCTACGAGACAGTAAGCACCCCCAACCTCAGCTACTGCGCCGTTGGAGGAACGACTACATACTAATCCCAATAGACAAAGACTTCAACGAACGGGGAGTTTCGATCCGTGGTTGCAAGGCTCGTCAGCGTTCAGGTATGAAGACCATCTCACATCGACCACCCGAACGTTTACTGACTTTGACGATCAGTGGGATCAGCGCCAGTCCGAGCTCTTCATCGTTCCCGACGTTCGCTCCACAAACACAACGACTGAGAGACGAGTGGATCAACCGAGAGCCGTCCGCTCTGCAAGAACTGAGGTCATCGTCACCTTGGCCCGGATCACCGTTGACGGGACAGTATCCGAATCAGACTCCGATGTCTTTCAACCCTCAGTCGCCGCAAGCAGGCTACCCAGGCTGGTCCAACTCGTGGCCGGCTCCCTTGCTGCGACGGACGTCCTCTGAAGACGCACGACTGAGCCAGTACGGCGGTTCTTACTACGGCGGCGAGGCATCTTCCAGCGTTCCAAGCCTCTCATCAAAAGCCTACCCGCAACGACGCCCCTCAAACCGCGACGAATTCGACGGACCCTCCCAACTCCTCGAAAAGCCGGACGACGCCGGCTACGAGCCCAAAGAAGAAGACCTCCCCCAGCTCCCCATCAATCTCTACGCCCAAGAACAAGACGAGATTCTCTCCCAAGTCAACGACCGCCTCTCCCAATGCGCCTTCGACTTCGTCGCCAAATACCAATTCCCCATCCCCATCGAACCCGACAAACGCCCCGTCCGCGTCCCCAACGACCGCGAATGGTCCGAGTGGGTCTACCTCCTCAAACGCCTCGCGACCAAACGTCGCATCCCGGCTCGCGTGCTGTACAACGGACAGATCAAGCAGTTGATCACGATTCTGGAGAATAGCCTCGAGATGCGGCATGCGGCGAAGCATCAGAGCCGGCCGTTGAAGGATGATAGGAATATCCTGCAACTGATCAGTTCGGGGTTGCAAGTGGCGAAGATTCTGAAGGACGCGAGGGCGATGCAGCGGCTCGATGGGCTGTATGTGCAGACGGAGAGAGTGATTCAGGGGAGGAGGGCGACGGCGCAGGGGGCGTTTGGCGGGACGATGTGTATTATGTGAAAGAGGCTTTGCTGTGGGGGGTGGTTTTCTTGTCGCACTTCTACATAATGTGGGTGGAAAGCACGCGTTGCTACGGCGGCATTCAAGAGAAGCAAGCAATGGATTCGGCAGCAGTGAGGACAGCAAGCTGGAGGGCTCATCACACTACCAGAACCGAGAGGCCAAGACAGCAAGCAGAACTCGACTCATACAAGGCGTTCAGGGTTCAGCATTGGAGATGCATTGCAGCGGCACTTGTTGATGAGACACAGAAGCAGATGAGCAGTATCTCGATCAGTGGAGTTCATAGACGGGTGGAATCAATGTTTAGTGTTCATCTTGTGAAAGCCTCACTTCGCGAAGTCAAAATTGAATTCACATGCCCTATTAGGAAGTTGTGATGTTGATCAGCTCGTGTGAGGCGGCGCTATTGAGATATGAGACATGGGTTATATTGTCTCGAAAAAAGAGTTAGGACTCGGTTGCGCAAGCAGGGAATCAATCGTAAGTGACCGTGTTCTAGAAGAAGCGGTTGAAATAGGCTGTGGTAGGAATCGTGAAGCTAACAGGCCACGCTCAATTGTCAACTGTACAGTCGATCTACAGCAACGCGTACTTCTGACGCCTGCTGCCGACAAGTACAACCCTTCAAACATGGTCAACAAGCCAATCCAACCCCTTCCTCACAGCTTCCCACTTGGCTCCCAAATCCGTTGTCCCAACCATCGGCGGCAAATCAAACATATGCCCCTCGCCCTTCACAACTTCCAGCCTTACCTCCCTTACCCCCGCATCTGCCGTCGCCTTCTCCGCTCTCTGCGCAAGCTCCAGCGAGCTTCCGGGCACGTTGTCCAGTTCGCCCTGAACGAGCATCACCGGACACCATTCAGGCGTGATGCGGGTCATGGGGTCGAGGGTGGCATAGTCGCCGTCTGGCTGGAGGGTGGGGAGCCATTGACCGTTCTTGAGGGTGTGCATTTGCCATTTGTTGCGCGGAGCTGGGATGGTTCCTGGGGCTGCGAGGGGGGTTTCTGAGAGTTGTTTGCCTTCTGGGGTGATGGTTGCCCATTCTTCCAAGGTTGGATGGAAATCTGGCATCATGCCGAAGGGCGGGGCTGAGGTTGGTTTGTGAGCGGATGTTGAAGAGTCGGAGGCGAACAGGGATGGGTAGAAGGCTGTGACTGCTTTGACTGGTTTACAGGATGCGAGGTGCAAGGCGATGGTGCCGCCGGAGGAGTGGCCGAAGGCTACGGTCCTTGTGCTATCGAGATAGATGCCGTGCTGTGATCGCATGAGGTCTGGAAGCGTGCCCACTGCCCACTCGTAGGCTTCCTCGCAGTCCGCAAATACTTCTTTCGCAGTGACTTGGGGAGCCAGACGGTAGTTTGGAATCACGACCGCGAAGCCTCGCTCGACCAAATAGTTGATCTGAGATTGTGGGACCATCTCTGAGCTGCCAACCATCAGGCCTCCGCCGTGGTATACCAGAGCTGAGATTTCGTCAGTACTGCTCTTGGGAAGGCCACTCCGAGTGATGATACTCACCTGTAGGTTTGGCTGATTCGGTGCCTTTTGACCAAGCAACCTTCGCGTAGAGCGGATTGCCAAAGACATCGGTCTTATATGGCATGCGGATGATCTCCATAATGCTGTGCGTTCCTCTAAGTTCGTTGGCTCTTGAAATTTCGCTTCCCAGTTCCCCCATGAAGCGTGTAGCAGTAGGAAGACATGACTACGGTGTCGTCCTTGTCTCCTTATGTACCGCAGAGACTTCGAAGACGGCCAATATCGATGCCGCCATACTCCACCGTAAATAGGACGAGTTCTATTCAGCTTCCTCAGCTTCGGGTGCTTGAGAAGACATCACCCGAGTTGTTGACTCGAGCAATGCTCGTAAAGGCGTTCGAACCAATCGCAAGGCATTCGTCTTCGGTGTCGTCGGACGCCGAGCCTTGCAGCCACCCAGTCATGCCTGCTGTTTCTGGACTTCATTCTACGAACTCATCGCGCATACGTTCCGCTGTATTGTCATCATGATCCTGTTCGCGTTGCTAGCTTCACGAGCATAGTGATGCTTAGGGGGGTCGGAGCGGAAGGGCGCTGTCCAGAGCGTCCGCGGCCGATGTCCTGCTCGTCCCCTTGACAATCGCCATCGTGTGCACCGTGTGCATGTGCTTCACTCGGCCACAGTGGATCCAACGATAAGGAAGAAGAAGTGCAGATAGTGCGTCGCGTTCAAACTTGGTCGACCATCGCACAAAGGGTATCAGGTGGACACTGAAACGCAATGGTATATCTCACAAAAGCGCCACGCATACACCAGGGTGTAGTGCAAGTCCTCAAGAGTCTGTGAATGTGAGCAGTGTATGGTCGAGCACATTCAAGAGGTGAGGTCTTGCTCTGTCGCTCCTTCCATCTCTTCAAGCCAACCTTGCTGCTTCGAGGCACACCGTACCTTCGACGTCCTCTCATACTTCTCCGCCACCACTGAACCACCTACCATCTCATCTTTCTCTACGTACAGCAGAGGCATACTTTGACACCCAGCACTTCGCAACCGCAATGGCCAGGTTCCAGTGGCTCCAGGTCATCGCCGCCCTCGTCCTGTGGATCTCGAAGGCTGCTGCATCAGACATCTCAGCGGGCAGTGAGCCCTACGTTTGGTGTTACAACTGCGGCAACGGAGTCACTCGACTCGACGCTGGCATTGCAGTAGGCCATGCCTGCAACTACTACATGAACCGGATGATGTCCAAGGATGACGACACTGCTCCGGGTCTTCGCTTCACGTAGTAAGCCAATTTCACATCCTCAGAATACCAATATTTACAAATGGCAATGCTAACACGAACGACTCTAGCCTGTGGTCCGCTTACACCCACATCACCCTGAGCGTCATCCCCCAATGGTTTCAACCGGGCTGCACGTCCGACACCAACGACTTCATGTTCGACTTCGACCGTTGCTACTACAGTTTCATGGCGCCCATTGACGAGTAAGCACCAGCACATCATGAGGCCCGAGAATGCTGGGCTAACAAAACCGTAGCTGCAACACTGGGGGCGTCAATGGCAAGAAGGGAGGCTGGTACATGTACTACTGCGCCGCTATCATGACAAACACCGCCCCGGAAGAATGTCCTGGCGGCTACATCGTGGGAAAGTCGTCTCGCATCACAGCGGCTCTGGACGCGGACGCCACTTCTACGATCGAGACATTCACGTACCACGCTTCCGAAGAGGAGCACCAAGCGGCTCGGGCGGCCCTGCTCGGATCCCCAGAGTTCGCGGACGAGTGCGCCGAACACGAATTCACCACAGCCGACGATGCTGAGCCAACCGATGAGGCCGACGCAGGCGACAAACTCCCAGCTCCAGCGCCAGCCTCAGAGCCTGAACCCCTGGCCAACATCGAAAAGCGCGACACAACCACAACCTGCTTCGGCCCCGCCTCCAGCACAATGGAATGCTACGGCATCGACCGCTCGCTAGCCTAGTCCGCCATCGAATGGTTCTGCACCAAGCACGCCGGCACCATCCTCGACTACATACCCGACGAATACGGCAGCGTCAGCGTTGCATCAAACTAGTAAGACTTTCCTTCCCCCTCCCCTCCGTCTCACCATATCCGTCACTCACTTTGACTGAAATCCGCTGACTTCGAGAAACAGTACTTACGAGCCCTCCAACCCCTGGCTCATGCGGCGGGAACATCGATATCTCCATCTCTCTAATCCTGAACCAAGATAGCACCGCGTGCGGATCTGCGAATATGAGGACGGTGATTGGGTATCACGAGTGTAAGCGGGGGCTTATGAGCGCTATTGACAAGTAAGTGCCTCCCCCCTGTACTGTGACGGGGTTGGGGGAAGGCGTTTGGATGAAGCGCTGATATGGGAGGCAGTTGCAACACCAACACCATCACGGACAAGCAAGGCGGGCGGTACGAGACGGCGTGTCTGGCGTTTCAGGTGGCGCCGCTGCCTTGTGTTGGGAGGTGATTACCAAATCGACGCTGTGCTTCGCGACCGGCCAGGCTAACTGCCTTCCAAGGTTGTCACGGTGAAACGTTCTTTCGCTTGTCACCAATATACCTTACTTGTTATGGCGATCTATCAGCTTTCTTCACGTGCACAGGGTATACATCTGAAGAGGAAACGGAATGCACAGATCTCAGAAAATATCATGTAGCCATTTCATCTAGCCCGACTGTCAAACTACAGACGTACAACAAGCCTCCGATGTAGCTTTTGCCAAACCTAGTACCACAGTCCCAAGCATAAACGCCTGCATAATGCCACACTCGCAAAATTCATCTCCTACGAAGCAGTAGCCACCCGACTCTTCTTAGCAGCCGGCTGCTCCGCCTCCTGATCAGCTTCGGCATCAATCTCCCTCTTCTCCCCCTCCTTGCTCAACTCCTTCTCCTTGGCGGCAAAAGCCTTCTTCTCCTCATCCGTCAGCGACAGCAGCGGCTGCTCCTTGTCCGCGGACAGGTTAAAGTGGAAATTCCGGATAATGCTGTCCGCGTCGTCGATGGCCAGGGATCGAACGTCCGCCAGCGCCTTGATCTTGAGCGTCACGGCTTTGATCTGCGCGTCGCTCATTTGCAGCCCCAGCTGCTCCGCGCGGGATTTGATGGCGTTCCAGCCGGTGAGGCGGGAGGCGAAGTGCACGTACCGGCTCATGCCGAAGTCGGAGGGGGTGATGATCTCGTACGTGGAGGGGTTGTTGAGGATGGCTTTGGCGTGGATGCCGGCCTTGTGGGTGAAGGCGCAGAAGCCGGTGATGTAGTTGTTGAAGGGGACGTTGATCTCGACGGCGTCGGCGACGAGGTCCTCGATCTCCTTGAGCTTTTCGAGGCGGTACTTGGACTTGACGTAGTCGCGGTCGGCGACGATCATGCGCGCCATCAGGCCGCCGAGGGGCGTGATGCCGTTGCGCTCGCCGATGCCGATGACGCTCGTGTCGATGTGGGTCGCGCCGGCTTCGAGGGCGCAGTAGGCGTTGGCGATGGCACAGCCGGTGTCGTTGTGGAAGTGGGTTTCGATGTCGCAGCTCACCACGCCGCGGAGCGTGCGGACGAGGTCGTAGACTTGGCGGGGGGTTGCGCAGCTGCAAATACATTAGCTTGGAATAGGAAGACGGCTGGATGGTGATGCATACCCAACAGTGTCGGCAATACCGACCCTGTTCACTCCAATCTTATCCACCGCGCTGTAGATGGTGAGGAGATCCACCAGATCACTCCGGAAGGAGTCCTCCGAACTGAACCGAATCTCCTTGCCCTGCGACTTGACATACTCAATCACCTCAATCGCAGTGTTCTTGATGTACGTCATGTCCTTGCCATGGCTATGCTCCATCAAATGGCTGCTCGTGCCAATAACCACATCCACGCCATCCACACCCGTGCTCACCGCCAATTTGGCATCGCTCATATTACATCGCACGTGCGTCAGGATCTTGGCCTTGAGACCGAGCTTGCATATCGCCTCGCAGTCCAGTCTGCTCTGTTCGCTCGCGGCGGGAGAAGTCAGTTCGATGTAGTCCACGCCGAAGTCGTCCAGCGCCTTGGCGATCTTGATCTTGGTCTCGGTGTCGAAGAAGGCGTTGGCGAACTGCTCGCCTTCTCGTAATGTCGACTCGATGATCTGGAACTTGGAGACATTGCTGAGGAAGTCTTGGACGGGTGCGTAGGGGTTGCTGGACTGTGGGCGCGAGGCTTGGTGTGTTGGGATTGCTCTGTGGGGGTGGTTAGGAAGCATGTCTCGCGCATTGTTCTGCTTGGCGAGTGTACCTGAAGCCGTCGTGGTTGCCGTTGGTGCCGTTGGTGCCATTCGCAACACCATTACCGTTCACGTGTCCATTGACCTCGCCGTCTGGTGCCGGGCACATGGTTGCGTGATCGGTTGTCGCTTGGGCTATGACGTCGCTCTTCCGGGAGATGAGTTGGTGTGGGTGTGAAGGGAGGTGGTTGGAATGGAAGACGGTCAGAAATGGTGAGTTGGAGGTTGATGTAATATGGGTTATGTAGTGAAGAAGTGAGTCAATGGCAGAGAGAGAAAATGTGAAGTGAGCAAGCTCTCCGAGCAGCGAGTCCCGACCCCGGTGCAAATGACGGAGAAACGCTGAAAAATTGGAAGGAACGAAGGAGAAGGCGGGGGCCGATCCCGGCTTGTGAATGCAGGAGGCACGTGCTCGTAAGAACTGAGCGACTTCGAGTGAATCCCGACGATACTGCATGTAACCTACTCCGTGGCCATCCTAAAAGTACGAGTCCGAAGAGGGTCTTGACAGCCACGGAGTTGAAAGCTCGTTGAGAGAAGAACATGGGCATAGTACGCGCGGGGAATGCAGCATTTCACAGGACGATATATCCAGATGCTTGTGCAAAGACATACATTGTGAGGATGTTGTATGTTGCGACATACAGGTCTACCCAGATCAAGTATGCCAGGAGTCAGGTACAGCAGTACTGTTATCCGTCAACGAGACGCGCTCCTCCCCCTCCCACCCGTGCAACGTGTCTCTAGAGGGTAGCGTCCGTCGGTGATGATTGACAAATGCCCAACGACCCAACGGTGTCTCGTTGCGCTGCAGTACTCGCTTGTCTTCCATAGGGCGTAATATAAGAAGTCGTCAAGAGAATTCCATAGAACTCGTCACATTCACCGGTGGGCGTCAGATGTAACAGCTCCCCCAACAACAACAGGAAACGGCTTCTCCTCGCAGACACCGCGGCTCAGTGTTTGTGTATTACGAGGTTGCCGGACCGTTGACTATCTTCCCGTAGGAGAAACAGGGGACACCTAGGTGTACGACGCGCATTGCAGTGTCGTTGTCGTTGTTTCCTTCACCGGCCACGCTACCTCAAGTCTTGGCAGCTGCGCTCGGCTCGGGTCGAGCAATTGCGAGCAAGCCTCTATCACAACAAACCACACCTTCTCCAAGCACCTCTTCACCACTTCTGCGAATCACCCCACCACCAACACTCCTACCAACCCAGTCGCAAACAGAACCGAACCGAACAGAACAACAGCCATGGCGAACGAGGTGAGTTCCCATCCACGTCCAGACCGCTGCCTGCCGCGTCAATATGTCTTCTTCCCAACAAATGCCTCAATCGCATCTTGTCGCTGCTGAACACTATGCTGACCTCAACTGTGCACAGCGTGAGAGGTACGCCATGCCGACAGACGAATTTACTACGTCCCAGACGGCCACTAACTCAGACGATAGCAAGACGTTCCTCGCGCGGCTGTGCGAACAGGCCGAGCGCTACGATGGTACGTCATCCGCCGTCTAATCTGTGGTCGCACCAGGGCTAATACACAGTACTGCAGAGATGGTCAGCTACATGAAGGTGTGTGAACTTCCAGACCAGAAATTGCAATTCTCAATACTGACATGTGATTAGGAAGTCGCAAAGGTACGACAGCACCCTCAGCGTTCCAGCCACGCGATAACGCCCTGCGATAACAAATCCCCATCCCCAAGCTGTAAGACTAACGATATGTAACAGATCGGTGGTGAGCTCACGGTCGACGAGCGCAACCTGCTTTCGGTCGCCTACAAGAACGTGGTCGGCACGCGTCGTGCTTCCTGGCGCATCATCTCCAGCATCGAGCAGAAAGAGGAGGCCAAGGGCGTTGAGAAGCATGTCGGCATCATCCGCGAATACCGTCAGAAGATCGAGGCCGAGCTTGAGGGCGTCTGTGAGGATGTGCTCAACGTTCTCGACGAGAGCTTGATCCCAAAGGCGGAGACCGGTGAGAGCAAGGTGTTCTACCACAAGATGTGCGTGCAGCAAGATGACACGACAAATGACGGCATGTACTGATGAAGTGACACAACAGGAAGGGAGACTACCACCGCTACCTCGCCGAGTTTGCATCTGGCGAGAAGCGCAAGACCGCTGCCACCGCTGCGCACGATGCTTACAAGGTATGACTACACTCCCAATGCTATCGCATGAACCGCTCACTGACTTCACCCTCAGAACGCCACCGACGTCGCCCAGACCGAGCTCACCCCAACCCACCCCATCCGTCTCGGCCTCGCCCTGAACTTCTCGGTCTTCTACTACGAGATCTTGAACTCACCAGATCGCGCATGCCACCTCGCCAAGCAAGCCTTCGACGACGCCATTGCCGAGCTCGACAGCCTCTCCGAGGAGTCCTACCGCGACAGCACTCTCATCATGCAGTTGCTCCGCGACAACCTCACCCTCTGGACCTCATCGGATGGTGGAGAGCCAGATGCCGCTGCCGCCGGTGAGGCCGCTAAGGGCGAGGAGAAGGCACCTGAGGCAGACAAGCCGGCAGCTACGGAGGCTGAGGCGGCACCTGCGTCTTAGATGCCAACTTCGGGCAAGATGTGGTAGGCGGATGAGGTACGAAGAGCAGATGCAGGAGGCGTGATGAAGCAGCAGGTCTAAGAACGAATGGTCCACGATGCTTGAGCAAGAAACCACTACGAAGTATTCCCCAAGCTGATATGGCGCACGAAGATGAACGGAGCAGACTTTTTCCTCAGTACAGCGTGTCAACCCCCCGTCAAGCGCGGCGCACTCGAAGTGCCGTGCCAAACGTCCTCCTTGGTTTTTGCAAGCAGATTACCCGGTGTTGCGTCTGGTGCGTTGTGTGTGTCTTTTTTTGATTGCAGACTACGGTCTTGCAAAGGGCGGAATGTCACCTAACCCTCACGGTCTCTACCTTATGTTGTCTGGTTGTTAATTAGCTCGGTAGCGTTAGCAGCAGGCAAGGCATGAATTGGAAATATATGATTAAACAATACCCGATGTTTCGATTGAGCGTGATGAGGTGAGGTCGTGGATGCTTTCTGATCACTTCTTTGCGAGGATGTAGACTTACGGTGATGTCTGGGCTAGTATTTGCTAGATCAATGAGGTAATTGTCTTAGCGAAGTGCATGTCGTGCATGTGAAAGCGTCAACTCAAGCTTGCTATTGTTCTCCGCCAAACAACAACCCCACATCCCTCTCCATTGAAACAACTCTCTTCCCACAACTTACAACACCCACTCCACCTCCACCTCCCACCCACAAACATGGGCAACATCGACTTCACCTCCCCCCTCTGGGCCGACCTCACCCCCCTCCCCACCGACGAAGGCGGCGACCACCCCCTCGCCGCCATCGCCTACACAGAAGAATACGCCACCACCATGTCCTACCTCCGCGCCGTGATGGCGCTCTCGGAGCACTCTCCCCGCGTCCTCCTGCTCACCGCCGAACTCATCGACATGAACCCCGCCCACTACACCGTCTGGCTCTACCGCGCGGAGACGCTCTTCGCTCTGAGCGCGGATCTGCACGAGGAGTTGGAGTGGTTGAACGAGACGGCGTTGGATCATCAGAAGAACTACCAGATCTGGCATCATCGGATGTTGATCGTGGATCGGCTCGGGGAGAGCGAGGGAGAAGCGGAGTTCGTGGAGCAGATGTTTGAGCGGGATGCGAAGAATTATCACGTCTGGAGTTATCGGCAGTGGATGGTGAAGCGGTTTGGGCTGTGGGAGAAGGGGGAGTTGGAGTTCACGGAGGGGTTGATTAGGAGGGATGTGAGGAATAATTCTGCGTGGAACCATCGGTGGTTTGTTGTTAATGGGCGGGAAGGGGAGGGGGTGGAGGGGGTGGAGGGTGTGAAGGGGGATGAGGGGGTGAGGGAGAGGGAGGTGGGGTTTGCGAAGCGGGAGATTGGAAGGGCGCCGCAGAATTTGTGTGGGTGGAGTTATTTGAGGGGGGTGGTGAGGAAGGGCGGGATGCGGTTGGGGGAGTTGAAGGAGTTCGCAGGGCAGTTTGCGGGTTTGGATGGGGGGGAGGTGAGGTCGAGTCATGCGTTGGATTTGATGGCGGAGATTTTGGCGGAGGAGGAGGGCGGGAGGGAGAGGGCGGGGGAGGCGTTGGATATGCTTATGGAGACGTATGACCCGGTTAGGAGGAATTATTGGGAGTATCGGAAGGGGATGCTTGGGCTGCCTAGTGCGGCGGCTTGAGCGTGGAGGAAGAGGGAAAGTTGGAATCGGCGTTGGAAAGGAAGATACCCAGGGTCACGATGTTGCTATACAATGCTATCAAGTCTCATTACGCTGCTACGGGAGCAGTCATTGCGCTCGGTACGTTTCCATCTTCGAGGTAGCCAGTGTCTGGTGGAGTCTGCGGCGGAGTCCATTCGTTCAAGGCGCCGTTCGTGTAGCCACTGGTCTTCATGTCGTCGTGTGCAGTGACGGCGCTGGGCACACTGTCATCGTTGCCACCCATCGATACGTCGGCGTCGACGTCGCCAAACTCCCGCTTCCACTGGTCAATCATACCCAGTGTCACACCATGGCCGCCGCAGACGATGAGCACGACCTTATCATCTGGACGTACAGGCCTGCCCAATGCTCGCTCCAATCTCCCACCGTAGCACAGCGCCACCGTAACGCCGCACGAGAGCTCGACCATGATCCGCTCGTCATCCGCAAAGCGCCAGCACCCCATCGCCGCTTCTGCATCGGTGAACACAGCACTCTTCACCTTCCCCGACGCCTGATGCCTAGACGCAAGCTCATACGTCCGATCCGACACCCTCACCGCCCCGAGCGTCTTCGCCTGCGACGTAATCCCGGGCAACGTCGAATGCTCGCCCCTCTCCAACGAGCTCGCCAACGAATCCGCCCCCAACGTCTCCATAGCCAGCACCTGCGTCCTTTCCCACCCGTCCGCCCCCTCTGCCTCCAAATTCTCCATAGCCTGCAAGACCCCGTTCAACATCCCCCCACCCCCAACACTACACGCCACGACCTCCGGCGCCTGCTCCCCCATCCCCTCCATCTGCTCCCGCACCTCCTCGATCATCGTCGCGTTCCCGTCCCAGATGTCTTGATGATCATACGGCATAACATGCACGCCCTCCTCTCCCCTCGCCTCCGCCTTCTTCATCACCACCTCCCGCAAATACGTCTCGCTCTCCCTCAGTCCACAGCCGTACTGCACGACCTCCTGCGCGCCCGCAGCTTTGATCTTTGCAACCATGACATCGCTCGTCGTCACTGGCACCACGACCGTACACGGCCTCCCCAAAAAGTTGGCAGCGTGCACGGCGGCGATGCCGGCGTTGCCGCCGCTGTTGCTGTAGAAGTGCACTCTATCGGGGCACGGGGAGCGTTTGAGCGCGCGGAGGCAGAAGTTGGCGATGCCGCGGGATTTGAAGGAGCCGCCGGGTTGGAGCGTTTCGAGTTTGAGGAAGATTCTGCTTCTACGGTTTAGTAGGCTGGTTTCATCGTGCCGTGATGGCAGGTTTGGGGGAAGGGGGAAGAGGAAGTGCAATCGTACCATCCTGCTGATTCTGATAGGACGGAGGATTCGATCAGAGGGGTGGTGTTCCAGGGTTTCTTGTCTTTGATGGCCATTGTGACTGCGGCTCTTGCTGGCGAAGAGATATAGAAAGGCGGAAGAATATATGTAGACAGGCAGAAGACAGAAAGAAGATACAATGAGCAGCGAGAAGGCAAGAGTGGTTGATCGCACGATTACATGTACGCAGAAACGAACGCAACGAACCATTGTTACTTATCTCCCCAACACCCTCATCATTCCGAAAACACCCTTATCGCGACAACACCCCGTGGGATCTTTGACTCCATGGAGAATGTGGACTCGAGGGTTGAAGTAAAGCTCTTTGCAGACCAGAAGTCGAGATTAGATGCCCGCTGGACGCAGGTACGGAAAGCCGCCGATAAGCGCCTAGAAACCGGGGACTTGCTCTCCAAAACGGGCTCGCGGTTACGGTATCATTACCCTAGACTTTCTATCTTCACCCTGGTTGAGACTCCCTTCGTTTCCCGTCAGATGAGGAGTTGCATCCGGCCAGACAACGTGTCGTCCTAATCAGATGATGCGTCGTTATCGTCAGGCTTTCTTCACGGCCATCGGACACTCGAAGTTCACACATCCTTCTGCGCAGGTGCGTACATGCTTCTCTTCGCACTGGCTCTCTGGGGTGTGTTTGTCTTCAATGCAGCCGGTTTCGGACGCTTCTTGTTGACAGCAAGTCCAATACTTCTTATCGTCAACCAGATGGGTACGGAAGCCTCTCCGGTAAGCCGCGTCGCTCCAAATAAGCTGCGACCGGATCACAGCATCAGCGTATGGTTTTTGTTCCAACTTTCCGTCGTGGTAGCAGCACTCTCCGACTTCGTTTTGGGCGACCGGGTAGTCACTGCCGCAGTGGCCGCAGTACTCGAAGGCCTTCTGCCTCTTATCGTCGGAGCCTGGGATGGGTAGAGTGAGGTACTCTTTGATGAGGTTGTGCGCTTCTGGGAATGTATGGGCAAGGTTCATCAAGCAGACCCGAGCGTTGAAGAGTGGTGCTGTGTCGATGGCTCCATCTACCGTGACTTCTTGGGGTTCCGGCTCTGGCGTGCTGCTGTCGCTGTCGCTGTCCTGCTCGCCGTCTGCCTCGTCCGCGCGCCCTGACCGCGAATCCGCACGCTGCAATTCTTCCTCCTGCATCTCTTCGTTCTGCACGTGCACGTGATGTGATGTTGTCGCGGTATTCGATTCCTCGTGGTGAGGGTTTTCGCAATGAGACTCGCCTTTGTGAGACCAGTTGTCGTGAGAGCCCTCGTGCTGCGGGTCTACGAGATCGAACACTGCGTCGCGCGATTCTTCGTGATGTGAGGTTTCATGCTGCATTTCCCGGGCGCTCAAAGCATAGAAGCTGGTGTGAAGTGGCTGAGCCTGATGTGAGATCGTTGGCCGTGATGTGAGGTCGTGGATCGAGAAGAGGTTTTTCGCTAGAACGTTCTTTCCTGCCGTTTGCGCTCAAGTGGCATTCACTGAAAGTTCTCCGTTGCGATAGGCATGCGCGGCAATCACACTTCAGTCGTGGAAGTCACTGAAGGTAGCGGAGAAACTGCACATGCTCGCTGTTCGCTGTGAATGTCTCAGTGTCACCCATTCACCACTGCACACTCTCCAGTCAGCAGACAATAGTCTCGTACTTGAGCGGAGGCCAGATCAAGCTGGTGGGAGGAGGAGATCGTGTCGGCCGCTCGAAACCGCTGTGCGGCATGGTGGTCATCATGCTGAGGCCATGGACAGATGTTTCTTCCCTCCTGTCAGAGAAGATGGCAGTGACCTGGTCATCCAGCTTGCATACCATGAATTGCGAGCGCGCTTGACGGAACTCTGGCTTTCCGGCATATGTTTCGATGCCACGCAACCAGGCTCGTCCCATCTCTCCCAGCAGCAAGTCCACAGAAAAGCACCAGAAAATTCTTCTTCATCCGGAGGGCTTGGAGAGCTCCCATCCTCCACGTCCGCCCAAGCATCATGGTCTCTATCCTCTTCGAGCTCGCCTTGCCACGCTCAGCACGATGAATCTGCAGATGTATGATTGCGAACATGGCTGGATGATAGAATGGACAAGCTCCCACCCAGTTATGCAACACAGCATAGTCGCCTCCGCAATTACCGCACATCTCATAGCGCTTCCGCTTCTTGTCTTGAGAGCCAGCAATTGGGGCGGTTAGAAGTTCTCCGATGAAGCGATGCGCCGCTGGCTGTGAGCGAACCAGCCTTCTGAGCACAGAACGTACTCGCCACTCTGCTGCTTCGTCAATGGCAGTGTCCAGAGTGACCTCTCGCGCTTCTGGCGATCGCATGTCTTTGGCTGATTGAGTGGCGTTTTCGCTGCTTTGCAAGGTTTGTGTGGAGGCCCGTAGAGTTTGCGGGAACTTCTGCTACCAGCCGGAAGGTCAGTAACTCAAATACCACAGGGCTCGCATGGCGGCTTACGAGACGGAGACATATCGGTGTTGTGTGAAGTCCAGCTCTCAAAACAACTCGAGTCGGGTAGGTTTCAGGCTCTTCTGGGTAATGGCTGGAGTGTTAGCTGTGAAAAGATCTCGCTGATCGATTTAGCCACTGCTGCGGAACGAAACGCCCTGGTGCCACGGAACTGTATGTTGTGTATCAATATCAAGCCGCGAAGCGCCGAAAGCAGAATGAATGTGTGGTGGCTTTCGATAGTGTCCGCGCACTGCGATCGCCCGGAGAGGATCTTTGCAATTGGAAGTTGATGAAGGCTTGCACGATTGGTGTTGAAAACTCCATCGCATTCAGAGGCGTATCGATATTCTGTTTTGAGGGCATACAGAAACTGTAGCGTTGCTCCGCTGGGTCTAGGCAGGCAGAGCTCGCCGAGTCCTAACATTGTATCTTCGAAATGGATGCTTCGGTCAAGTAAGCAAGTCAGACACTCTTCCCTCGACCCTCAGACGTGCGACCTTGTTCCCCTTCGGCACATGCCTCGAGACAATACATCCATCTTCATCCCCATGGCGGTCGCAACAGTCGTAAATGAAGGCTTCCGGGAACTCCTCTTCAGTTGGGTATTCCCATTCATTGTCGGCGTCGGCCCAACAATCGTGATCGTGATCAGGCTCCTTCTTGCCTGCTTATGTCTCAGTGTAAACGTTTGGAGCGACCAATGAGCTGGGCGTACCCGGGTGATACACGCAGCATCCCACCACATTCTCACTGACGTTGTAGTCTGAGTCGCAGTTGACGCACATCTCGTTAGCCCTTCGCTTTCTCTTCGAATTGGTGATCGTGGTGGTGAGGCGTTGCTCGATGAAATCCTTTGCTGCGGGTTGTGCCAGAATGAGTTCCTTCAGAACGCCGCGGAGCCGGTTATGCGACTCCTTGTCGATTATGTTCTCCAATGATGTGTCTTCGGGCTCTCGGGGAAGGTGCCTCCTTCACGGTCTGATACTCCTCGTAGACTTCGCCTTCCGAACCCTGCTCTGAGCCGGATTCGTCTGAAACGTGTGAGTTGGACCGAGAAAAATTGCCTTAAGGATTGACTCACTGGGTGAAGACATGTCGGGAGACTTGTCGTGTTCAAGACCGACGTTCGTGGCTAGAAGATGCAGTTTCGAGTTCTCTTTGAGCACGCGTCCGTGCGCCGAAGGGATGGCTGTACGAAATGCTCAGCTTCCTCGGAGCGGAAGAAGTCTTCTGCAAGAGCACTTTCGCTGCAGCAGCACACCGTTCAACCCTTCAAGACATGGTCCTGGATGAACTCTTCGATGTGGTTGAAGTAGCCTCGCTCGCCGACGGTGTTGTTGTGGTCGCCATACGGTAGTTCCTTCCAAACGACTTTCTTCGCTCGGCAGAGCTTGAACAGTTGCTTCATATGTCCTGGTCTGCGAAATGATAAGCTTGCTGAGTAGGTCCCATTTGACTTAGACAAGCCACTCACGGTACAATCTCATCCTGCAGCCCGCTCAAGAACAGGACTGGAATATCCGTGATCTGCGGCAACATCTCCTCACTCTTCCAGTGCTCGTGACACAGCGGAGTGAGGTACTTTGCAGCAGGCATCACACTTGGTATCATCTTTGCTATGCTCAGGAAGGTGTTCTCGAGAATGAGACCCTTGATGTCGCCAGTACCTTTGTTCTTGGCGACGAGATCGATACTGACCGCACCACCCAGACTTTGACCATACACGAGGATTTTGTTGCCTTTCAGATCGTCCCGCGAGCGGATGTAGTCGAGTCCGGTTTGCGCGTCGATCATCAGGCCTTTCTCGGTAGGATTGCCGGTAGACAGGCCGTAGCCGCGATACTCCAGCATCAGAGTCGTACATTGGATGTCGTTGGCCAGGATTCGGGCGATGGGGAGACGGTGGCCAATATTGCCAGCGTTGCCATGGAAAGTCAGAATGGTCACAGGTCTTGCTGCGGCCTTGTTCGCTGGGCGGACGAGGAAGGCGCTCAAGCTCTCGCCGTCAGAAGTGGGTAGGGTGAGCTCTTCATAGTCCTCGATGCCGACTGCTGGTGGTCGTGGGACGTCTGTCCGGGCACCTGGTGGGATGTTTCGAGGATAGATGATCTCACTGCAATGGGTGGTCAGTCAAGGGTTTTCAGAGGCGTACATAGACTCGGATACGCACTTCTGCCAATAATACAAAGCGCCTCCCGCTAAGCTGACGAGACCACCACCGAAATACAATGGGAACCTTGCCCAAGTCCACAAAGCAGAAGCCATCCTAAGTCTTCAAACGCCGTGTGAAGCCGCAGGCTTGGAACAGGTTTCGTGGTCAGTTGCTCGATCTTTTACACAATGAACAGTCACTCAAATGCGACTCCGGTTGTTCGTCAAGTTGTTCTAGAGAGTCGTGGTTGCGGTGGAGGTCGAGGACAAATTGAGAAGCAGCAACGGCGAAACTTCGGCATCTGCGGTCCAACGCGTCAAGCTTCGGCCTGGCAAACTGGATGTCTTTGAAACAGCTCTCTACTAACATCACCTCACCTCTCTCGACATCTGGCAGTCAAACACCAAACCAACGTCTCGACAAGCACATCACAATCGACTTCGGACTCCACTATACATTCTTCACCACCACAACCAGGCGCAAAGATGCAGCAAACGGGGATGCTGGGTGAGGGTAAGTAGCGAAGGCTCATTGGCGGCAATGAGCCTCAACTAACATTCCTAGATGGCATCCACATCGACATGAACCACCTCAAGAGCGGTGAAGTGAACCTCGGAACATCCATCATGGCGATCAACTTCAAAGACGGCGTGATACTGGGCGCAGACAGCCGAACCACCACCGGCGCATACATCGCAAACCGAGTCACAGACAAGCTCACACAAGTCCACGACACCATCTGGTGCTGTCGGTCAGGCTCCGCAGCGGACACACAGGCAGTGGCGGACATCGTGCAGTACCACCTCGGCATGTACGGCGTGACGAATGACGAGCCTCCCACCACCCAAACAGCAGCCGCGCTGTTCCAAGAGCTGTGCTACGACAACAAGGATGCGCTGAGCGCGGGGATAATAATAGCGGGATGGGACCACAGACACGGCGGACAGGTGTATGCGATTCCCCTCGGCGGTTCGCTCCACAAGCAGGCGTACTCTATCGGCGGCTCTGGATCGACTTACATCTACGGTTACTGCGACGCAAACTGGCGAGAAGGCATGTCGGAGCAGGAGGGCATTGCGTTTGTGAAAGGTGCGCTGCAGGAGGCGATCAAGTGGGATGGCAGCTCGGGCGGTGTGATCAGAATGGTGGTGCTGACGGCGAAGGGTGCTGCGAGGCATCTGTACCTGCCCGATCGCAACTACGAAGGGCCTGGGACGGACAAGCCATAGGCGCCTCTCTGGTCAGAGACGGTGTCCTCGAAGGATGATTCTGCTCGGCGTGGGCGTAGAGGGATGTTCAGCAGCGGCATTTCAAGCATGGGCATTTGCTGCGATCGTGTACCAATAGGACATGGCATATACTCTATGGTGGTAATCATCTACCCAACCGATTATGATGCTCCAATGCCTGTCGACGGATGTAGCCTGCATAACTAGTCCCGCTACGGCCGCGGTGCTTACGACACGAGCCCGGGATGACGGCTTGCCACGCTGCTGGTCGAAGAAGCAGACTGGTTTGCCGCGATGCAACAAGTGGCCAAACGAACAATACGAGTCCATCAAACGGAGACGCGAACGATAAATCTATCATATGCACATGTAATCTCCAGGACGCCACAATTTAGTGTTGAGAGCTAAAATGACATCGGGGCCAAGCGTTGTTGCGGCAGGGAAGCGGGATGTAGATCCATCGAGTTGAGGTTGCTGCTGCTGCTTTCTTGCATCCACTTACGACAACTACACTTGTCTCCCTCCTCCATACCACTCCCCATATACCACGCATTGCAGCTGTCTCATTGACTTGAGCACGGCAGCACAGAAGAGGCTGCATCGGACGGGCATGATCCAGGTATGTCTGTAAGATTGCGCGTGTTGTTGAGACGTTCTTGCACGACCAGCCGGATGCCCTATCTTTTGACCGCTTTCTGGACGAGGACCTCGTTATCAGCGCCACCACTGGTTCACTTGGGCAAGAGTTGCGATATTGAGGATAACCGACCGCGTGGGCATGATCACACCTACACGACCAATTTCGATTACGATCTGGGTACAGCGGTACATTCACATGCGCGGCACGTGTTAACCGGCCAGATTAGCCTCGTTCTCGAGCCACACCACGACACTCCACCTGTCCTCAGGCCTCTTCACTTTGAATAAGACTTCGTGGGAATACCTGAAACTGACTTACACCTCGTCCTAGACACCTCTCCCAGGACCAGTCGACGAGCTAACATGTCGGTTGTACTCGATGCGGTGAACAACTTCTTTGGGCCCAGTCACTCCCAGTTCGCCTATCACGAAGCGCCACGAGCGCACGACACCGAACCTCCTCCGAAGAAACGTAGCCGGACGCCAACGAGGTCGGACACACCTATGTCCGCCTCCCGGCAGCGAGCATCGAGCTCATCGACCTCGCGCACAGCACAAGAGCAGAATGTGCCCTCCCAGCAGACATCGCGGACACCCGCGCAAACATCAGAACAGAGCGCAACGGAAGCGCCTGAGCCACCTTTAGCGCCAGTATCTGCCCCGCCCTCAGAGGCGTTGCAGCCGGCTGCAGAAGGACAGCACACCCCAACAGCACAAACAGCAGATGCACGACAAGGTCGGCCTGCTAAGATCAAAGTGCGCGATTTGGAGCACATCCAGAGCTTCGCGACGCAAGACATGGGCGCATTCTCTGAGATAAGCAGCCGCAGCCAGTCAAGATCGCGGGGGCAGCAGGACGAAGCGCCACAATACGAGATCAGTGACATGAAGGTCGAGCACATCATAGAGATGGTCGCTGGACTTCTGACGAAGATCACGACTACGAACGACCAGCAGCATGAGCATTTGCATCGCCAACCGCCTGCGATGGACGGCGCAGCACACCTGAACCCAACGACGAACAGCGTCCTTGCATTCCACGGGAAGAACGTGCCTAGCATCACCATCCTGAGCTATCTGAGCCGCATCCACAAGTACTGCCCCACTAGTTACGAGGTATTTCTGAGTTTGTTGGTGTACTTTGATCGCATGACGGAAAGGGTCAATGCTGGGCCGATGCAGTCTTTGCGGCAGGCAAACGAGGCAGCATTGGAGCAAGATCGAAGCGCAGGCGGATCGAGCGAGTCATTGACGGACCAGATGGAGGGAGTAACAGCTACTACACCCCAGGGTACCCAGACAGCGACACCGCCGGCTTCTGGCGGATTGGAGAAGGGACAGCACGATGGACGGCCAGGGACACCTCACAGCAGGTCATACCAGCCAGACTCGCCTTCGATACCACAAGAGCCGACAGCAGACCCATACAACCTCTCGCACTTCTTCGTGGTGGACAGCTTCAACATCCACCGGCTGGTCATAGCCGGGGTGACGTGCGCCAGCAAATTCTTCTCCGACATCTTCTACACGAATTCTCGATATGCGAAGGTATGCACACCTCAACCATCACACCCCCAAACTATCCACTAACAACCCTCACAGGTCGGCGGCCTCCCCCTCCCCGAACTCAACCACCTCGAGCTCCAATTCCTGCTCCTCAACGACTTCCGCCTCTCCATCCCTGTCGAGGAAATCGAAGCCTACGGCACTATGCTCGTCGAGTTCTACGCCCGCGAAGTCGTGGCGCAGCAGCGCGCAGCGCAGGCGCAGGCCATGCAGGCGCGTTCGCTGAGTGAGAGTTCTTCGGATAGCACGTCGACTGTTCGCGCGGTTGCGTGAGCACACTCGAAGCATCACCCCTGGCCTTGCAGCACGGTTGGGAAACATTCTAACGACGACACGAACGGCGTTCTCTGGCGACGACTACGGCTTCTTCACGTTTGCGACTTCGACTTCACTTCATCCGAATACCCGAGACGACCTTTTTTCTAGACACCGATAGACTTTTGCCCGCCGCGTTTTAGGGGCTTCTTTTTCTTCTTCATTACTGGCTTTTGCAGCGCTGTTTGAGTAGTGCTAATACCCAAGTTTGCTTTGTGCAGCGTTATGTTCTGAGCGAGTTTTGAGGGCGGGGTGGGAGCACATAGAGTTGTTTTTATGACGGTGGTGCGGTAATGGGGGCGTGGCGTTGGGGATTGGCAGGCTGGTAGGCAGGGTTCTAGATTGAGCGTATTACGGTGGTTCTTTTTCTGGGCTGAGTTGCCTTCTCGTCGAAGTTTCACGTTTTCTGAGGACCTGATATTGGTATGACAGTGACAGCATGGTCTCTGAGCTGGCTGCGACTTTCGACTAATGCAGCAGGGCCAATTGAGGTGGCTGTTTGATCTTTGTGATGCTGGAGTTGCCTGTGCTACTGTATACAGGGCAGAGTAAGCGTTTGAGCCTTGCTGTTGTGATATTTCATCGGGAGTGACCGGTTCGCCCGGATGCCGACGTTGCCCGAAACTCGTCCCGATCGATCGGGAATGAGGCGCATGCGTGCAACCGCAGAGCCTTCCAACGGTTATGTATCTTCCCCTTGATCCATGCTACATCCGCGCGATGCATCGTTCGCATTCCGGAGCACAGTGCAGTTGCCCCGTTTGCTGGGCCACTAGCTGTCCAACGGCCAGAGTATGGGAGCAACAAATACGTCTCGCATTGCTCGCCATGCCCACGAGCAAGCACATGGAGTCTCACAAGATGGTCATGAATCGGGAGAAGACTTGACGTAATCAGTAAGGTACAGGTATCTGCGGTATCACAAGAAGATTTTCTTACTGCGCGCTCACGTGGCTGCCAAATTGCTGCCCTGCGACTTCCCTATCATATGATACAAAAATGATGCATGCTCGCGCTCTATAAACAGAATCGCACCGCTACACTGGACACCTTCTAGCCCATTCACCAAGTTGTCCTCGCCTGACAGGCCCAAGCCGCGGGAACGTGGAACCGGTGTTGATATAGCACAAAAGTGACGTGTGATCGCTGGGCTGCACGTGAGGGAGGTTGGACTTCAAAGAGCAGCTACGAGCCTGCGTCCCTTCTTGACGATTCCTTCAACCTGCACTAACATAACTTCACCTCGTTCGAGGTCTTCGAGGATCCAGAGGCTTGGTGAAGGTGCCGCTACGGGTAGCTGACACCATAGACCGAGTCTGATCTTCGAGATCAACCACGGGAACGACTTCAACGTCAAGCCGCCTCCTTTCAGCACACAAAATTTCATTATGGCCACACCGCACATTCACGTGGCGGCACTGTAAGTACAATGAAGTCGCATTCTGGCCCCATTTTCTTACAATTCTACAGCTTCCAACCCTACACACTCCGCTTCTATGATGGAGATGAACAGCCGTCAAGCCCCGAAGCACCACCTCCTCCTCACAACACATCAGTTCCTGAATTGCCATCCCGCCTCGATGTCCAAAGGAGCTCCACCATCGACCTGCCCACTCGCCCAAGCACGACAAGCCTCTTCCATGGACCGACCCCTCCATTAACACCAACAGCGGCTGCCCAGGAGTTCTTTTCACCCTTGGCCACTTCTGAATCGCTGAAGTCTAGCCGGCGTCACTCCCGGCAACTTGGCGACCCCCGATCACTAGCACGCAGCGAGCTGGACGAGTTGGCGCGGGATCCAGTGTACAACCAGCCACGTTCCCGCGCCGGCCCACTACCTTCTGGTTCTATCCTCGACTTCGCAAAGGTCCATGAGCAGCTGAAACAGGATAAGTTGAAGGAGGCGAAGAAGAAAACCTATTCACCACCGCAGTCCCGAGGTTCGCGCAACCATAGCCACGAGCGAGGCTTTGAGGACAAACCCTGGACCGTCGAGCCAGCATTGATGGGCAATGAAGGGCTTATCAATGCTCTGCGCTCGCTAGCTAGCGAGGAGAGTCTCGAGCTATCCTGGATCGGCACTCTCGGCTTCCCTACAGAGGCTCTGCCAGCTAGCGCCCGCGAGAACATCGACGACCACATGCTCAATGAGTACCAGTCTAGCGTCGTCTACGTAAGCGACAAAGACTTCGACGGACACTACACGCACTACTCGAAGACGATCCTGTGGCCGATCTTCCATTACCAGGTCCCTGATCATCCGAAGAGCAAAGCCTACGAGGACCACAGCTGGGGATTCTACGAGAATGTCAATCAAGCTTTCGCTGACAAGATTGTGGAGAGCTACAAACGTGGCGACACTATTTGGGTCCATGACTACCACCTCCTGCTTGTTCCTGGCATGGTTAGAAAGAAGTTACCGGATGCCTCCATCGGCTTCTTCCTTCACACTGCCTTCCCATCATCGGAGATCTTCCGCTGTCTCGCCACTCGAAAGGAACTACTGGAAGGGATGCTTGGTGCCAATCTCGTCGCTTTCCAAACCGACGAGTATGCGCAGCACTTTCTGCAAACGTGCAGCAGGATCTTGACGGTGGAGACGACCAGCGAGGGCGTCCAGCTCGAAGATCATTTCGTCAATGTCACCAGTGCTCCGATTGGCATCAACCCTGCGGCTATAGATGAGTCGCGCGAAGATCCGGACGTCCAGAAGTGGATTGACGACATCGGCGAGCGCTACAAGGACAAGCTGCTCATCGTGGCTCGAGACAAGCTTGACAACGTCCATGGTGTACGCCAGAAGTTGCTCGCATATGAGCTGTTCCTCAACAAGTATCCGGATCTGGCCAGGAAGACTGTGCTTATTCAGGTTGCCACTTCCACGAGCGAACAGAGCGAGCTAATCACAACGGTCTCAGACATCTGCTCTCGCATTGACAACAAATACTCAAGCTTAGTTCACCAGCCTCTCGTCTTCCTCAAGCAAGACATTGAGACCTCGCAGTACCTGGCACTCATGTCGGTCGCGGATGTGCTGATGATTACTGCACTCCGGGACGGCATGAACCTGACATGTCATGAGTACATCTACTGCCAGGACGGCAAGGCGGGAAGCAAGAAGCATGGTCCGCTTATCCTCAGCGAGTTCACTGGAAGCGCGGCTGTCTTCAAGGACCATCTCATTATCAACCCGTGGGACTACCAGAAGATGGCAGACGCAATAAAGATTGCGCTGCTCATGTCCGACGCTGAGAAGGAACATCGGTGGAGGGCCATGCACTCAGTCATCATGGAGCAGACCGGTGCTCGCTGGGCAAGGCAGCTGGACAAGGCCTTGGCCAAGGTCCACGAAGAACACAACCAGCGCTCTTCAACCTCTGTGCCCCGGCTGTCCACTGTCGCGGTGAGCGAGAAGTACAAGCGCGCCGGCAACCGTGTCTTCATCATCGACTACGAGGGCACTCTCGCACCACACAAGACCCGCGAAGGCATTCCACTCACCTCTCCAACTCGCGTGGTCGACACCCTCAACGACCTGATGAACGACCCCAAGAACACCGTCTATATCATGTCTGGCCGCAAGCCCGAAGAACTCGAATCTGTCTTCCGCACCGCCAACGGCCTCGGCCTCATCGCTGAGAATGGCTGCTTCGTCCGCAGCTACGGCGTTCCCGCGAATGGCTGGGAAGTGATGGTCGACATGGATGACGTCGAGCGCTGGAAGGACGACGTGCAAGCTGTCCTCAACTACTACCACGAGCGTATGGAAGGCAGCTACATCGAAGAACGCCACTGCAGCACCCTGTTCCGCTACGAGAAAGTCGAGGACCAGGAAGCTGCCATCCGCACCGGCGGCGACTGCGCGGACCAGATCAACAGCGGGTTCCAGAACATGAGCATTCACGCCGTGCCTATCAACAAAGCCGTCCTCATCGAGCAAGTGGAGTTCAGCAAAGGCACCGCCGCTACCAACGCCTACAACACGCTGAAGGATAAGAGCTCCCGCGGCGGCTCTTCGCCCGTCGACTTCTTGATGGTCGCCGGCGACGACCGCGAAGACGAAGTCGTGTTCCGCTGGGCCAATCAGCTCGGCAAGGACAAGGAAGTCCGCGACGTCTTCACCGTCTCAGTCGGGCGGCGCAACACCGAGGCGCAAGCGGCTGTGACGCAGGGGTCGACGGGGTTGTTGGGAGTGTTGCAGAAGTTGGGAAAGATCTCGTTCGATTCGGCGCCGGTGGATTACTTCAATAGTCCGAGGAAAGCTAGGGTGTCTGGGCAGTGAGGTGGTGGAGGTGAGAGGATGGGCACGGGGACGAGGGGAGAGATGAGCGCCGGCGCTCCGGAAGGGCATGGCTATGGCGTCGTATGGCGTTTGGTGGGTATAGATCGTCTTTCTGCCGGTTTTGATTGGCATGATACCCCAGGGATGCATGGCTGCTACACGATTGTGTGCTTTAGCTTGATAGAGACTTGCTTCACAGACAGTTGCGGAGGGAAGCTGAAAGACATGATGTGATGATTCAACTTCGGATCCTGGGCTGCTCATTATACGCTACGATCCTATTCAATGATCGGCTTGAGGTTACCTGGGAGGATTGCGTTGCTTGTCACTCGTCCCTCCAAACAGTTGTCCTCACTACAAGCGGCTGACACTTTGCATACCTCGAACGCTGATTGAAGACGACCGTCTCCAACACGACCTCTCGCACCAAAAACCATGCGGCGGCTCCTCATAGTTGCCAGCGCGGCCGCGGTGGTCGTCACATTGCTGGTCCTCTTCACGGCAATCCCTATCTTCACACCCTCCAGTCGTCTCGAGCGACGTGGGTCTAACCCACCACTCCGTGGCTTCACAAACAAGCACGAAGCTCCCTTGTATTCGTGCGAGCTCCCCAGCCGGGAATCAGGAAGCCATTGCATCTTCCTCGAAAAAGGGTACTCGCTCGAACGACACAAGCTGGCGCTCGGCAATGCCACGGATCTGGAGTCCAGCATCAGCCACGTCTTTCCCGAAACAAGACGCCATGGACTCTGCTACTGTGCTAACCAGCTTGACGGTGCTGCTGTGGATGCTGTGCGTGCGGACAGGGGGGTTGAGATGGTTGAGTACGCTCCGGTCGTGTATTCCATTGAACCCGTCCATATTGAAGTTGTTGAGTATGAGTACGGACTCGTAGGAGCAGGCATCGTTAGCGAGGAGTAAGAGAATGATGGTGATGGGGGCGATTTGATTCTAGAAGCCTTGTGATAGGACCTTTCAGACCTGCTACCTTGTGCAAGTAATTGGATTTGCACATGTACGGCAAGGAGGCTTATGCACAGAATGCCTCTCCCAGCGTTCCTCCAGCAGAGGACCATCAAGCGTCAGTCAGGGCGAGACCACGAGCACGATCAAGGTAAGTCTCCAACCATCGGCCAACAAGGCCAGAGCCATCGCTGACGAGACTTGACCCCCTTAGCCCCCTCAGCTATCTCGAAGGCCTAGACTAGTGCCGGAAGCGTGGACAATGATCTCCTGAGACCGGTGAGAGAGTGGCTGCCTTGAGCAAGCAGCAGTAGGTCTGGATATCCAATAAGAGTAGGCCACGTAGCTGCAGGGAGTGTCCCTCAGCAACCCTCCAGAAGCACGCCACTGCTCGTGGGGAGAACGCGAACTTGCCATCAGGACAAATGTCAGTACTCTCCCACCATCCGTCAGCCAGATCAGACCCATCGCTGACTTGGCCTCTAGCTCCTTCCTCAAACTAAACCTCTCCAAACCAAGCCCATCCGACCGTCGCTCTCAAAGAAGAACTCTCCGGTCATGCTGGCCACCACCATCCCGTTCCTCCTCCTCTCCATGACAGCATGTGGGAACGCCGGGCCAGCAGCCTACGGAGTCTGCCAGGCAGGATGCGCTGCGGTGGTCACGGCGTGCTACGGCGCCGCGGGTTTCGTGAGTCCATCTCGAAGGCTGAGACCTTGTTCTGTGCTCGTGACATGCTGACTCTTTCTGCTTTCATGCTTGCAGACCTGGGGAGCAACTCTTGGTGCCACCGCTCCAGCGACTATCATCGCGTGCAATGCGGCGTTCGGGACGTGCCAGGCTGCTTGCGCGGCGGTGCTTCTCGCGCCGACTCCTTAAGCGCTCGTTCCCATGCAGCAGAGCACACCTGAAAGATTGAGAAGACAGATTTTGAACAGTATGATGGGCTCCAGACACTGCGATAATCTTTGATTGCTGGGCTGATTGCGGTACCGTTGCAGTGAGAATACCTCGGTGGGACCTCGACCAATGCACAGTCGCAGATGATGATCTACCTCGCTTTGACGCTCGCAGCTGAAAATTCAATCTTTACATCTCAATGATACCGCTGGCTCGTCCCATGCATCTCGTAGGACTGCTGTCCGCTCTGCGGGTGGTAGTAATCCCCCTGCGGAAACGGAGGAACACCCGGTTGCTGTGCTGTCGATTGGTAAGGCGATGGGCCTCCGAAAGATGTCTGAGACGGGTTCCGGAAGGGATCGGGATGCGGCACTGCGTAGGTCCCGGTCTGTGGTGCGTATGGTGCTGGTGCTGGTGCGGCGCCTGTGTATGCTGTCTGCCCTCCTCCCTGAGCCAGTGAGTAGTTGCCGCGGTAGAGGGTGCCTTTGCGGTGTCGATGGACAATCGTGGCGCCGTAGATGAGCTGGCCCATGCAGGTCAAGCTGTATCACGCGCCGTTAGCTGCGATTCAAGCCTTGCGAGGAAGCATTGTTGAACGTACAATAGCACCACCACCAAGAATATTGTCAGCCCAGTTGTGGAACTGACGGCGGCCGCATAGATTGTCAGGAGCAAGAATGCAGTCCAAATGGCGGACTTAATACATTGAAACACAATGAACGTGACTGGGTGGAGCCTGTGAATAGCACTTTTGTCAGCAAATGTTTCCAGCGTTCACCACTCAGGGTCGAGAAGTCCATGGGTTGGTTCTGGGTAGCATAAACCACCGTTTCGTGAACAGCACAGGAAGTGTGCTTCCTCTCAGGGTACGTACCTGTGCATACACATCATGATCATCTCGGCGACGTCAAAGAGTATTGTGAGCAATGCGAAGGTCAAGTCGACTGCGGCTCCAGTGCTGAGATCTCGTCAGTCTCCATCAAGCATGCAACGTTTGCTTGCCTTACTTCAGCGCTGCTTCGACAGCCGCATCGGCGTTCACGTTGTCCACCACATACAGCCCTAGCGCAGCCGCAAGAATGAAGACCAAGCATATGAGTATCTGGATGACCCAGAAGGGGATCAGGACCCTCTTCTTCCATATGTGGCCTTGCATCTTGTCCCCGTTGGTATATGGTCTTGCAGTAGGGCAGTCGGTCGTGCTTTGGCTCTTGCCTGTCTCCAAAACTTCTGTTCGTCCTGTGATTCTATTCTTGCTGGCTCGTTTCGTTGGAGGTTCTGGATCGTTCGTGGTCTTGTCGTATACGCAATGCAAGCAATATGCGCGGTAGAAATCGAGGAGAGAAGACTGAAGGAATGTGAAGACGCAGAAACTGACCTACCGTTTCATCCACGGGCTCTATTGATCCCCAAGACACGCGACAGCGGTTCCATCACGCGTGTGGCGTGACGGGTATGCGGTGCCAATCTACAGAGCGCTCAAAATAGGGTGTTCCCCTGAAGAGGCTGAAAGTGCCCGTGGAGATGATGGGGCCAAACCATCGCCGACATTCACCCGAAGGAAACGTTTTCTTGGTTGCATGACGGTATTCGTTAACAGTGCCTACGGACTGGTTGTGAGGCACGGAGTACCGGTAGCATATACGTATCCATGGCCGGTGATCAGCTATGACTACCCTTATTATCTTCAAGGCGGTACCGAGCCATACTCCTACAGCATCCAGCAAACCCACTGATACATGCCGGGCCGAAGGCGTTTACAAGATCACGAAGGGAACTGTAGGAATGCAATGCTCGTCGTCTATAAAATGTCTCGAACAATCGTTGGCTCAAAGTCCATTCAGACAGCGTGTTGTATACTGCCCGGGCATGCGGGTGCCAAAGGCTCGCCTTCCGTGGTCCAAACGGAAATCGTACGAACTCTGATGAGTGTAAGTAGGACGGAAAGTTATCTATGTCTTCAGCACCTGAGCAAAAAGGACAGGCATGATCGCAAGAGCATGACCCTGAACCAAAACAGTCTGCACATAACGCTATCGTCACCCAACGCCGACCCTCTGCCACATTCTTGAGTCTCTGGCCTTACCAAAAACGTCCTCCGAGAATTAACTCATGCTACTCGACTGAACTCGCGGTTGTTAAACAACGGGCAGACGGAGAATTCAGTAGTCACAGCCCTACAGTCGATGCTCGCACACGCCTGCGGCCGCGGGCCTAAGGTGATGGGTAGGAAGGTCAGCAGACGTCTCGGTCATCGGAACAAGGATAGGAGGGTCTTCGAGCGCCGCGCAGTCCTTGGAAATTGATAGTTTCTCGGAGAACCCTCTCACCCATCAGTTTGACGTACAACATCACTGCATCCAAGCACACACTCAGTGTCACGCGTTGTGCGCAAAGGAGGATGACGGCTTGTGATCTGCCTGCAGGCGTGGTCGTACGTGTGTTAAACGCACTTGGCCGCGCTTTCACCATTTTACAGCCGGTCCTCTTCCGCGCGCAACTTCTCCAGCCGCCGTCGCACCATCTCCCGCCTCTCGTCTCGGAGACTTGTGAAGATCTGGGCGAGGGTCAGCAAACAAGGAACACCACCACACGACGATAGAACTGTCTGACTCACCCAGAACCAAGCAGCAGTCTCAACGAAGGCCCATGTGAAGACCATACTATTTCTGATGAGCTCGCCAGCGCCTTCCTGGCGGATAGCCGAAGAGCCGAGCAAGCCATCCTCCTTGAACAGGTAGACGTAGCCAGTTAAGCCGAAGAGGAACAGTAGCCGGACAGGAACGTTGGACAGCCAGTACTCGATCGCAATCTCTTCATTGAGCGACGCTGCCGTGAGGTCCGCAAGGCCGATGAAGGCGAACAGTATCGCTATAAAGGCTGATGCTTCGTTTGGCTTGTCGAGAGATGTCACATGTGGCTGCAGAAGTCAGTACAGGATACATGCAGATGCTTAGCTGGCACATACTACTCTGATCGCCTCTCCCAGCACGTAGACGACATTTTGATCCGCGATTGTTCTAGGGCTGGTGAGGAAGATGTAGGCAGCTGTGAGGTGGAACAGCGATATGGCGCGAATGATCGTGAAGGCAGATATCAGAGCCATGGTCGTTTCTATGCGACCTTGTCGTGATCCAAAGAGCGAAGTCAGAGAAAGGATGTTATTTCATCTCCGCTTGGACCACCAAGAAAGAAGTGAAGTCGGTCTCGCTTTGACTTTCCCTGCGAACTGCGAACCTACTCCGCTTCGGACTTCACCTCTCTGAGATAACCCGATCTCCATATTTCGATCAAGATAAGGTCAACTCTCTTTCTCGTCTGTCCGTCATCCTCTTTCCAATCACTCTTAATCTCGCCTCAAGATGAAGGCTTCGTCAAGCATGGACGAGAAGCCAGTGCTCGGGGCCACATCTGGACGCCGTCACGAGGAACCGCGTTCACTCCGGATGGCCGTCTTCAAAACCATAGCTGCTGGTCTTCTATGCTACGGATATCTGTATTGCCAGCCCATTCTAATGCCCCACAACCCTCTGAGGCCTCAGCTGAGTGGTGCAGCGAAGATACTCGAAGATAACCCTCTTATCGATGGCCACAATGACATGTTGATTCTCATTAGATCAATATGGCACAACCACGTATACGGTGCCAATTTCACGGAGCAATTCGAAGAGGGAGGTATGCCTGGCCACTTTGACCTCCCCCGGGCCGACAAAGGCCAGCTCGGGGGCACGTTCTGGTCGGCTTGGGTCCCGTGCCCGAAGGATGGACTGGATTTTTCAGATGCCGCCTACGCCCCGTTTGTCAAGGCGACACTGGAGCAGATCGATCTCTTCAACCGGCTGGCTGAGACATACCCAAAGTACTTCACAATATCCCGCACTGCCAAAGAGGCGGAGGAGAACTGGCTGCAGGGCAAGCTCATCTCGCCTTTGATCATCGAAGGCTTGCATCAGATTGGCAATTCACTTTCTACCTTGAGACTGTACCACCAGCTCGGCATTCGATATGCTACGCTAAATTGGAATTGCCACAACAAATACTCTGATGCCGCTGTCGTCAGTATCGACGGCCAAAGTCAGGCCTCGACACCCTATCATGGTGGAGTCAGCGAAGCAGGCCATGAGCTGATCCTCGAGATGAATCGTCTCGGTATGATGGTAGACCTCAGCCACGTCAGCGTCGACACCATGCGCGATGTTCTCGGAGGCAGTCCAGAGAAAGGTTGGAACGGCAGCCAGGCCCCGCCGATCTTCAGCCATTCGAGCGCCAAAGCCATCTGCCCGCACCCTCGCAACGTTCCGGATGACATTTTGCAGCTAGTCAAAGAACGCAGTTCCGTGGTCATGGTCAACTTCGCCCCGGAATTTGTCTCCTGCCGAGATGTCGGCGCTCCAACTGGTCTACCCGAGTTCGTGGAGGAGACCAATACACTGGAGCATGTGGTCAAGCATATCATGCATATCGGCGAGCTGATCGGCTACGACCATGTTGGCCTGGGATCAGACTTCGATGGCATTTTCAGCACTCCACGAGGACTGGAGGATGTCTCGAAGTTCCCAGATCTCATTGATGCCCTTCTAGAAAAAGGCGTGAGCGAGAAGGACGCGGCAAAGGTGGCTGGCCGCAACATCTTGCGTGTATGGCACGAAGTGGATAGGGTAGCGTCCAGACTGCAAGAAGAAATGGATCCCGTGGAGGATGATCTGTTGGCCAAAATCTTTCCTGGAGATGGTGCTTTAATCGGTCTTGAGGCAGAAAGATGAGGATTAACGTGATTGGAGAGAATATCCGCGCCGTCTCCGATTTGAAAACAAATTGAGCTGCTATTCGCATACCGCTCAAACCTACTTGAAGTCTCGGAGAACCCTGCAGGATCAGCCTTGTCATTTCAGCTTCTCCGCCCTCAGAAGATATCCCTATACTGCTCACACCTTCATGGGCTCGTAGAGGATGTCGGTACTGCGGCGCCTCCACATCAACTCCCGAGTCCCAGGACACCTGCTGGTGCTATTCACACGCCCCCCTGACACACTTCCAATCTTCGAGAAGGCTGCAGGATCAGAGCCGTCATACGGCCTTCTCCGCCATCCAAACCACCTCAGCTACTACTCACACGTCTTTGGAGGTCACATTCAAACTTGGAGAACGTCGCCATGCAGCAGCCGGCCAACTCGTCTCTCGGATTCAACAACTGCTGCTCATGCTATGCACACGCCAATCAGACTCACTTCCGCTCTCGGAGAACGCTTCACCCGCCATAGCCTTCCTCCATCATCTCCAGCTTCATCTGCAACCCACGCATCTCCTCATCCTTGCGCCCGTCTGACTCGATCAGGGTGAACATGCTCATGCGCTCACGAACCAGCTCGATCTTCATCTCGGTGGCTTTGTTACTGATCAAGTTGTACCTCCTGATCTCGTGCTGCAGCTTGTTGTTATACTCGAGATGTGTCTCCGCTGCCTTGTTGATGTGGTCGTTGAGGTCTTCGCGGAGCTCCTGGAATGCGTTCTGCTGTTCGGAGGCTTGGTGGTATGCGTCGCTGACACGATAACTGAGTCCTTCGATAACGAGGTCCTTGTGGTTGTTGCCGGCGAGGAGGTGGCCGTTGCTTGCGAGGAGGTTTCCGATCTCGACGTCCTTCTTGTTGAGATCCGTCAACAGGCCCCTGTTCAGCTTCTTGGCCTTGTCGTCCTTCGCCTTCATCTTCTCCACCTCCTGGTCCAACTTCGCCTTGTACTGCTCCCTCAACTTGCTGATGTCGGGATTGGTGGTTTTGAGAAGCTCTTCGAGATGCTGGATCTTCTGCTCGGCTCGCTGGTTCTTTTGATGGAGCACCATCATGTACATGCCCGCATCGTAGTGCTCCGACTCGCTGGTCTCCAACTTCTTCTCCACGGACATGTTCTCGTACTCAGGCCCTGTGTACTTCTGCATGTTAGCGATTCGTTCTCCGAGACGCAGGGCACCTGCAAAGGTCGATGTCGATGTCGTTGGGTTGAGAGAGAGACGTCTCCTCCGAGATAGATACGACACGTCGTGGCCGCTCTTGGAGACGCTGTAGACCCCTTCTCCGGGTCGCAAAATACCCTCGATGGCCGACGGCGATGTACTCGAGATATTGCGAGTCGCTGTCTCGGGGACGGCCATAGGTCATCACCACTCGCAGAGATGTCGCTGTGAAGACGCCTTCTCCGAGCCACTTCGACTTGCTTGCGGCTCGGGGAGCTGCTGTTGGGCCCTTGCGAAGTTCTAGTCTTCGAGACCAAAACCCGCAAGGCCGCTTGTGAAGGTGCTGACGTGCTGACGTGCTGACGTGGGGAGGACATCTTCTCCGAGTCGCAAATAATCCTCAATGGCCTACGAGAGCGCCGTTGAGCTCACACGAATCTCACGTCGTCGAGAAGGTCCCCCTCCGCCCGCTGCCCAATATCCCGCCGCCTGCCCATGCCTCCGCCAAAGAAGACAAAAAGGAATGAAGACTTACTCGTGCCGCCTTGGAGCTGGAGGCGTTCTCCAGCTCCGTAGACGCTGCACGCTTGCGCGGCAGCACCTGTGGTGGCGCCGGGGTCGCCGTCTCCTCGCAGATCTCTCTCTCCGACATGGTGGTGGTGTTGTTGTTGTTGTTGCTGATGATGTTTGTCAGTGAATTGGAGGAGGATGGTGAAGGACGGTAAAGAATGAACTCACTTGTGGTGTTGGTGCTGTGAGCGACGTGTCAGTTACGATCAGAGTGAAAGACGGCGATCAGGGGAACTTACTGGTTGTGGTTGTGGTGCTGAAGGTGACGACAGAGATGTTGTTAGCAGAGTCGAGTCAGCAGAAAGGGAAGGGTGACTTACGAGAGTGGTGGTGAGGGTTGGTGGTGGAGGAGGAAGGGAGAGTGAAGGCTGGAGGTTGAAGTTGAAGTCAACTGGGAGATGAAGTGACGTCGGAGTTATGGCTTGGTTATTGCAACGAACTGACAACAGCAACGGGGTGCACGGCCATGGGATCACATGTCGAGAAGAATCTAATTTTGCTACGAGAAGTGAATGCTATCTGAAGTCCATCGGCCTCCAACTTTCCAACCTCTCCCAGCTCGCAACCGATAGAGAGCTCACGAAGTGTCCGTGCTACTCTCACGACCGTTCAACTCCCTGAGCCTGTCGATGAGCTTGGCCTGGTTGACTGCGATACTCCGCGCCTCGCTGGCGTCCTCGAAAGCTGCTTCACCAGCCTCTGTCGCTTCGTGAGCCATTTGACGCATCTGCGCCGCTTCTTGCTTGAGACCGCTGTTGGTGACCTGCAGCTGCTTGACTTTACCCTTGAGACGAGCAACGTCCGCATCACTGTCAGCGACCTCCTGCTTCAATCCATTGACCATATTCAACGTCTGCTGCGCCTGACCCTCCAGCGCCAGCTCCAGCGCAGTCTCCATCCACGCCTCAGGTGCAGCCTTAGACAAGCGTGCGTATTGCACGTTCAGCGCTTTTAACTTGGATACCTTCTCATTGACCCTGACCCGCAGCTGCTTCACCTCAAGGTCGAGCGCCTCGAAATCGCTGTTCCTCCCTTCGAAAACGGCCGTCCCCATCTTGAAAAGCTCCTGGTGATTCTCCAACTCTTCCTCAAGCGCGCTCTTCTCCTCTCGAAGCTCCAGCACGGTGGCGTGCTTCTTCTCAAGCTTGCGGGTCATCAAATGAATCTCCTCGTTGTTGCGCTTCCTCTCCCCGGAGATGGTGGTCTTGAAGCCTTCCACCTTGTCTTTTTCCTTGCGCAGATCCGCCTTCAGTACCTCGATCGTCTCCTCCTGTAGCTTCAGCTTGTCTTGCTCCGTCCTGGGGAGCCACTTAGGCGGGTTGAGTGGCCGTCGCATATTGCCTCGCGCCGTCGGACCTACTCGCGCCGCCAGACCTCCTCGTGGGACCGGGCTTCCTCGCTCCGCCAGGCTTCCTCGCCCTACCGGACTTCCTCGCATGACCGGAGTGCAGTTGGCCGGCGACATCACGCTGTCCCTGCGAATAGCAGCACCGCGTTTGCGAAGGCCTCCCGGTCGGCTGTCGAAGAAGTTGGGCGGCGCCATCGTGGACACCGGTAATGATGAAAGTGATCTTTTGAGAGGTCACAAGAAGAGGTGGTGAACGACTGAGAAGGTTAGAAAATCAAACCAAATTGTGCCAGCCAGCCGGAGACCGGGATGCAGGATTCCGCTCCTGCTTCAAACGGAGATGATTGGCGGATATGTGCATGTGAAAGAAGAGAGAAGAGCCAATGAGAACGAGAGCTTTAGCTATTACCTTCCCCAAAGGTCCTTTGCCATCCCTCAGCTACAGTGTCCGTGATGATATCTACTCAACTGCCCAACCCAGGTCCAGCAAGCTGGGTTCCGCCCGCCCCAGCAGCTCCATACGGAATCGCCAACGGAGCCTCGTCAACCGACCTTCGCAATTCCCCAAGCATCCTCTTCATCTCCGCCCTCACGTCCTCACTCTCCACCAGCTGACCAGTCGCGCCACACTCCGCTTGCACCCAAGCCTCGATCTCCTCGACACAGACGAAGAGGTGCATGAGCTTATGCCGCATCCCGTTCGCGTTGGCACCGTTCGCCACACGCTCGTTTGCGATGGCCGGGAAACGTATGAGAAGGTCTTTGGTGAGGGGACTGAACGCGTAGAAGTTGGTAGTTGTGTCTTTGGTGAACCATGGGATGTCGCCGAATGTGACACGAGCTCCGAGTGGTTGAATTGGTTGGAATTGCGCGTTGGCCATGGCGGACGTGGTTGTCGGGTTGTTTTTGCGGGCGCTTGTGTTGTAGTAGGCCTCGATGTGTATGCAGCTGGTAGTGATAAGTGACAGATACTCACGACTGGAGGTGATAAGAGTGACGAGCGTCGGCAAAATGGGGTTGAAGTATTGATAGGAACCAGATTCTCGATCGGGTATCTATACATCTATCAGCAAGCCACCATTCCATATAGATACACATCCGCTGTACACCCTTCTCTATGTTCCGGCACCCAGTCCTCATTCACGGCACCTTCTCGGCCTCCTCCAACAACTCCTCAACCTTGAAGCTCTCATCGCCACCGCTGAATTGCTCCATCAACTTCTTCCGCCTGCCAGCATTCTGCTTTGCGCCTTCACTGTGCGCTTCAAAGCCGTAGAACTTCTGCAGGCAAATCAGCAGCCACCGGCCTTCGTCGACGCTGATGCCGCGGTTCTCCATGACGCGGCCTTCCATCAGGACTAGGCCGTTGTTGTCGGCGAGGTCCATGTGGTGTGTTACGGTCGTATGTGGCTGTGCGAACTCGCCTCGTAACTTGAACTCCGCCAAATGGGTGAAGAGGACGGTCGCAGTCGTAGGTGAAGGAAAAGTCCATTGCAGGAAATGGATCTCTGCCCCTTGCTCTTCCCGTGGGAGAGGCAGGATGAATTGTGGGTGCTTCCGCGCCGTCTCTGTGATCCTCCGGAAGGTATCCGTCTTCATCACCGCACAGAGACTCTGCGGGTCTTTGACATGCCGTAACCGCCAGATCGTCTCAACCTCCTTTTGTGGTAGCTCCGCAGTCTTCTCGACATCGATAAAGCTGCTCAGCGTCTTGATTCCATCCTTACTCTTCGGTACCTGCGGTGCAACCTGCTTGGGCTCCGGCGGAGGAGGCGTCTGATACGGTATACTTTCGTCCACCCTCTGGGGCTCTGGCGGAGGTTGCGCGTTCAGCGGCGCATTGGCTCCAGGTACAATCGCCTTCTTCCTGTACTCCTGGATCTTATCCGCATACGCCTCCTTCAACTCCTCGGCGTCCTTCAAACCCTTGTCCTTCGCTTTCTGGTCGAGTTTTGCCCGGTACTTGTCGAGGACCTTGTCCGACTGGTTTTGCGAAAGGAAGCGAACATCATGCACCTGCGCCCATCGGCGCTGGTAGCAGCGGAAGGGCGCCTGGACGGTCCAGATGCTTCGGCGGAGGATGGGACCGGCGGACGTGTTCATAGCGATGATATCGCTCTCCTCGGGCTTCATGTGAGGTTGGATGGAGTGAAGTGGAAGCTTTTGGTGGCGTCAGTATCGTCCAATCGGCCCAAGATGGCAAGCCGAGATCCGAGCCGCGACATCTCGTCCGAGATATAACATCACGACCTCACGCCGTGTTGCTCATACGTCTTGTTACGTCTGGTACTATCGAGAATCTCACCATGCCTGCTGAATCACCCTACCCATCTATTGATATCCCGGACTGCGGGATATGGGATCTGCTATTCGATCGGAAAGACCGCAACTACGGCAATGAACAAGGTTCAATCTGACGCCGTTGAATGACTCGACAAATACTAACCAGCGTGCAGTCATCTTCCACGATCCATATACCTCCCGGAAGTACACATATGGCCAGCTCAAACAAACCGCAGCCGACTTTGGCAAAGGCCTCCGAGGACTCTGGGACTGGCAACGAGGAGATGTCCTTGGCGTCTACTCCCCCAACTGCGTCGACACGCCATCAGTAACATGGGGTGTTCACTTCGCCGGCGGCGTGGTCTCTCCCGCCAATCCAGGCTACACGGTCGAAGAACTGGCCTTCCAACTCAAGGACTCCGGCGCCAAAGCCCTCATCACCCAAACCGCACAACTCCCCATCGCCCTCGAAGCCGCCAAACAAGTCGGCATCCCCAATGACCGCATCATCCTCATGGGCGACCAGCGGGACTCCCGCTTCAAACACTTCACCTCCATCCGCAACACATCCGGCACCGCCCGCTACCGCCGCGCCAAAGTGAACCCGGATAAGGATCTGGCCTTCCTAGTCTACAGCTCCGGCACCACCGGGAAACCAAAGGGCGTCATGCTGAGCCACCGCAACATTGTCGCCAACATCCTACAAATGCAGAGCAAGGAAGCCAACATAACGGAGAAGGACTCCATCCTGGCCTTTTTGCCGTTTTTCCACATTTATGGACTGACTTGCATCATGCACTTCGCCCTGTACGTCAAGCTAAAGGGTAGCAGGGCTCTCGCAGCCACGTTCAAGGTCCAAGGACTGCGCGACGCTCTGAACCCTCTCCATCTTCATTCCACATGTCGAGATATCTGCTGACCATTCTACCCACCATTTTAGTTACAAAGGCGCCCGCTGCGTGATCATGCCCAAATTCGACATCGAAGACTGGTGCCGCATCGTGCAAAACGAAAAGATTACCTTCGCCTACGTCGTGCCACCGGTCGTGCTTCTCCTCTCCAAACACCCAGTAGTAGAGAAATACGACCTCTCGTCCCTGCGCATGATGAGCTCCGGCGCCGCACCTCTCACAAAGGAAATCGTCCACGCGGTCCACAAACGCACATCCCTCAAAGTGAAGCAGGGCTACGGCCTGTCTGAAACCTCTCCGTCGACGCACATGCAGCAGTGGGAGGACTGGGAACGGCACATAGGGTCCGTGGGACAGATGCTTCCGAACCAGACCGCCAAATTCATGGACGCTGAAGATAAGGAAGTCCCCGTCGGTGAGGTGGGAGAACTCTGGATCAAGGGCCCGAATATCTTCAAAGGCTACCTTAACAACCCGGAAGGAACGAAGAATGCTCTTACCGAGGACGATTACTTCAAGACCGGCGACGTGGGATATCTCGACAAAGACGGAAACTTCTTCATCACCGACCGCGTGAAGGAGCTGATCAAATACAAGGGGTTCCAAGTCCCTCCTGCCGAGCTGGAAGGCGTGTTGGCGTCCCACGACAAAATCGACGACGTGGCGGTGATCGGCGTCTACCGCGAGGACATCGCGTCTGAAGTTCCGCTGGCGTATGTGGTGCCGAAGAAGGGCGTGCAAGCGGGCAAGCAGCTGGAAGGCGAGATAGCGGAGTGGTTGGCGAAGAAAGTCGCTGGGCATAAGCGTCTTCGCGGAGGGGTGAAGTTCACGGATGAGATCCCGAAGAGTGCGAGTGGGAAGATTCTGCGGCGGTTGTTGAAGGGCAGGTATGAGGAGGAGATGAAGAAGGGGGTGAAGGCGAAGTTGTGAGGGGTATGGAGGGTCATATGTACATTACGAATCGCAGAGCCTATCCTTGTGAGCGTACGAGACTTGGACATGTTGCCTGCCGTATGTGTCGTTGCACAATCGATCAAGTATAGTGGAGTTCTCGGGGTTTGCTGGCTTTGTCACTCGTGCAGATTGGCGCTGGCCGGTCTTGAATACGACGGCACTGACATGCCATCACTAGGTTCGGAGTGATCGTCAGGTCCAAGTAGTAACACATCAACACATAGCTGTATATATCTGTACAGAATCCTCTCCTCCCCCTCCAAACCCTACTTCTCCCAATCCCTGACCGGCCCAGATCCGTAGAAAGACCTTTTGACCCAATCCAAGCCAAAGTACCGAGTACACCCTACTCCACCACCTCTAACTCCCCCTTCCGTCCCCGCGCAAACGTATCCTTCCACTCTTCCCAAATCCGCATCAATTCATCAACATACTGTGCATGCAGGTGATCGACGTACGCCGGGTCCGGGTTCGCGGACTGCTGGACCTCGATGGGCCGGCCGACGACGACGTTGATGGGGCGGCGGTAGGGCATGAGGCCGACGTCGTAGTTGAAGACGCCTGCACACCGACAACATTAGCACCACTTCAGGGAAGGAAGGGGAGGGTGGGGGGCTAGAACATACCTCTCGCATGAAAAAGCGGCACAGTAAACCCCATAAACTTCTTCACAGCCATCTGTCCCTTATGGATCCAAGGATGCTTTTCAGTGTCTAGCTGGTCGTAGATGTCGTTTTCGCCAAACGAGAGCACAGGCACTAAATCCGCTCCCGTCCTCACCGCCAACTTCACAAAGCCTTTCCTCCGCTTCAGCACTAAACGGAGCTTGCCTGGTTTGCCGTCGAGAGACTCCCTTGCACCGCCTACGACGATCGTGATGGCGCGGCCCATGCCTTCGCCGTTGGGCCCCCCTTGGGTTAGCAGGTTCTCGCAGGATTCGCGGGAGACGCTGGCGAGGCCCATGCGCAGCGCGTAGTCGCGGTAGAGGGGGATGCGGAAGTTGGAGTCGAGGGTGAGGAGGGTGTTGGTGATGCCGGGGAAGAGCTGGGAGAAGCCCAGCGCTTCTGTTGCGAAAGCTGCGAAGGCGCCGTGGGAGATGATGCCGTGCGGGTGGTAGCCGAAGATGTACTTCCGTGTTGGCTGTAGTTCTTCCGTTCGGTGGAGACGGGCAGGGAAGTAGGAGGCGAAGAGAGACCAGATTTTGCTTTGGCGCAAACGTTCGCTTCGTTGGCTGAGCTTGCCGTCGGTGGCGGCGCGGGAGAGGAGGACGTAGATGAGGTAGGGGAGGAGGATGGGCCAGAGGAGGGGAATGGAGCAAAGGAGGCAGAATAAGGCGAAGAGTCCGGCTATACTGAGGGTGTGTAGGAGGACGAGTCCGGTTTGGAGGCGGCGTTGAAGAGGGGTGTTGAAGGGAGCCCAGCGGATGGCGCTGCGCTGCCAGTTGGCACCTGCGCGGCGTCCAGACACTAGCTCGCTATCTCGGCGGTTGCGCGAATTGAGCTGTGGCCGGCCGTCAAACTTGGGCGGTGGTGCGGCGGAAGTGGCTTTATTTTCTTTCTGCTCCATGGAGAGGTAGTAGCCATTGCCAGGTTGGAGCGAGGCCAAGTTATCGCCGGACTTGCCGTTCAGGCTTTCGAAGACAACTTCGTGGTTGTTGACGGCTGGATCGGGGACGAGGGATTTGGGGGAGATCAGTGGGGATATCTCACCCGGCTGGTCGTTCTGCTTGATCACTCCGTTCAAGTCTTTCGATGAAGCGCGCTTGTGTGTTCGTCGTAGTGTCGGCGTCCGAGGGACTTCGTCTTTCCCAGTGCTCTCAAAGACTTCCGGCGTCTTGTTGCCCTCGGTATGCTTCTGTTCGCTAGTCGCATCGCCGTTGCCGTTGGCTTCCGGCAGGCCTTCCTTGACAGCATCTGCGTAGGTCTCCCTGTTGTCAACCTCTTCCAGCCTGCCCTTAGTATGCCGGAGCGACGGACTCGACGTCAACGTGCGCGCCTCATCCGCCTCGTCGATCATCTCGCCGAGTGGTCGTGGTTCGCTGCTCTGGCGGTTGTGGGTAGGTCGGGGTGGGCTCTCTTTGATCGAATCCTCGTCGATCAGCGTGTCGCCTTCCCCATCGTAATCATCGTCATTCTGCTCCAGGGCGTCCGCATAACTTTTGGGCGGGAGGTCCTTCTCGTCCCGTGCGATAGGGTCCGCCGGCTCTGCATTCAAAGCCATGGCGAGGTGAGTGAGAGTGTTTGAACTGCTGCCGTATACACCTGGTACTACCGTCGCCGTCCCATTGCGATTCGATTTTCCCTCCCCGTGCTGTCGGGTCGATGCGAAACGTGGTACACAACAGCGAGAGTCCTCAACAATCCGGTGGCTGTCACAAGCATGGGAGCTCCTCGGGATGACGCCAGCCCGCCTTCCGCTTCCGGCAGCTTAATTCAAGTCGCGTTCAGACGCGTCGTCCATCCCCAACTACACCACCACCACCCAACACCGCCATGGCCGTCGACCACACACCCTCCGACAATGCACTGCTTTCAGCACCCTCGAAAGACCAACGTGAAACCCTCAATCGCACGCCATCGCACTACAATCCCCTCACAACCTTCGACCTTCCAAAGGGCGAGCAACGACATTACCAGCAGCAATATGCCGACATGTACTACACCCGCCTGGCCAAACTCAAACCCGCCGTGGTGAAGGTCGCAGCAGACGCCTGGTCCGAACTCGACATCGGCGGCGAAAGCCCCCGCCAAGTCGAACGAGTGCTGGATGTGCGGCAGGGCGATCTGTGCTGGGTGGTCGGGACGTGCTACATGGAGATGCCGTTGAAGCCGAATGTGCTGGATGACATTGGCAAAGAGCACTGGATCGCTGCTCCACCGCCACGAGTGAAATATGTGGAGGATGAAGGGAAAGAACAGATGATGCTGGAAGACGAGAGTGGACGGCTACGGCTCACAGGAGGCGTATTGAGCGAGGTACTGCTGGTAACAGGCGCCATCATCGCAGTAGTGGGCACCGAGAACAAGGACGGTGACTTCGAGGTCATCGACATCCGCGTCCCAGATCTCCCAGAACAGCCCCAACGCTGGGAACGCGACGACGGCTACTCTGACCTCCCCAGAGACAAGAAACCTCCGCCCAAATCTCATCCCAAAGGCGGCAAAGTCGCCATCGTCTCTGGCCTCAGCATCAGCGGTGACGCTGGTGACACTCTAACGCTCGACCTACTGCTCGAATACCTCCTGGGCGAGTCGACAGGCCCAGACGACCAAGCCGAAACATCCACAATCTCACACCTAATCATAGCCGGCAACTCCCTCTCCAACGCCTCCCCTATCCCCTCACGCTCCGCCCTCGCAGCCGCCGCAGCCAAGAACCGCGGCGCAGCGAAGAAATACGGCTACGACAGCAGCGCCTACAACGCCGCCCCCACCGACCGCCTCGACACCTTCCTCGCCAACCTCCTCCCCTCCATCCCCGTCACCCTGTTACCAGGCGAGCACGACCCAACTTCCACCTCCCTCCCCCAGCCCCCAATCCACGCAGCCATGTTCCCGTATTCCCGCGCCTACATGCCGCACCCTTCTCAACCCACGAGCAACGAACCACACTACTTCCACCCCACCACCAACCCCTCAACCTTCGACTTATCCGGCCACCGCTTCCTCGGCACCTCCGGCCAACCCCTCGACGACATCTACCGCTACGTCCACGGCGATTCGCGTCTGGAGATGATGGAAGCGATGCTGCGCTGGCGGCTCGTCGCCCCCACGGCCCCGGATACGCTATGGTGCTATCCGTTCCAGGACGGAGACGCGTTCGTGATGGAGGAGTGTCCACACTTGTTTTTTGTGGGGAATCAGCCGAAGTTCGAGACGGGGTTGGTGGAGGGGCCGGGGGGCGAGAGAGTGCGGGTGGTGGCTGTGCCTGGGTACAGGGAGACGGGGGAGGTGGTGGTGGTGGATTTGGAGAGTGACGAGTTGGGGGTTGAGGTGGTGAGGGTGGAGGTGTTTGAGGGCGGGTGAGTCTTCTGGCTGGCTGGCATGAGGATTCTTCATTAGAGAAGTGGCTACAGCGGCGGGAGGAACGAGGAGATGATCGAGAGGGCTCGTCGAAGATACAGCATGGGAGAGCCGCTTCTGCTTCTGCTTCTCGAGGTGGTAGCAGGAGACATTCCTCACCTCCATCACGATTCCCAGACGACGACGCCTGCGAACGCACACCAACAGACCGTACGCCGTGGCTCTCTAGCTGTCCAACGTCGCTGGAGAAGGCGGCGGGGCAGAGAAGGCCGCTGCTAAAGCGGTCTACACAATTCAGCACTGGCAATCCTAGCCCCATCAGCTTTAATATGGACTTTCAGCTTAAAAAACACTCCGGGCGAACATACACTAGTGCCGGCCGATCGCAACCAGTAAGCTTCGATATGGAGTTTCAGACAAAAAGTCCACTGTTGACGGACGTGAGCTAGCGGGAGGGTGGGCAGCCAGTGATGAGGCGTCCTGGTCGGTGGGCAGCTTGAGATACATGAGGAAGGGTGGCAGAAGAGCAATGTCGTCTACAACGCAACAGGCGAGCTCGCTTCGTCTTGTTATGGGAATAGCCAAGGATTGCGCATGCAATATTAGAGAAATTGCAAGCAGAGGCATTTTCCCCGTTGATAGAGAGATAACACTGTACATGAGCTAGCCGTGGCCATTTTCTGCTAAGCCTCCCAGACTTCTCCCCAAGCGTTCCTCTCGCTGGACAAGGGCGGGCGTGGGATCAACCAGCAAACTCATCTCGACGTGCTATGCTCACCCTGCCAGGTATCCGAAGCGAAGATACCGGACGTACTGCGAGCGTTTCGGCGCACGGCTTGTATGACTGGGTATTTTGGGGCGTAAGGTAGGCACCGGAGGATGACAACAAGGCTGATCGCTCAGAGCATGTCATGCCGTACGTCTCTTCAGCCGCATTGTGTCGATCGTGGTAGTTCTCCGCATACAGAGGCTCATACCCGGCTGGCCATCCCATCTTCCAGGAAGCCACCGTGGTCCATGCGGCAATCCTCCATCATCCTTTTGAAGGTCTCCAAAGTCCAATTCCCCCTCTCATCCTCGCTTCCTCACCTCCTTCTTCCCAACCTTCCCCCTCGCACTCTCCTTCGCCCCCGCATTCTCCGGCTTATCGTCCACCTCAACCAGCCAATCCCCTCCTTCATTGTCCTTCCCCTTATACCCATACTTGGCCACCCAATCCCCCTTCCCCTCATCAAACACCTTCTTCCCATCCTTCCTCTTCTTCTGAATCCCCTTCTTCGCCGCAAACTTCTCCCACTTCGTCTTCTCCTTCTCCTTCGGCACGGGCTTTTCACGGGGGAGCTGGTATTCCGGTGCGGGAAGGGTTATCTGCAGGTCTTCACCCTCGGAACGCGAGATGGGGCAGTTGGTGAGGAGTTGGTTGATCAGGGTTTGCGCGCAGTCGCGGGCGGTGGAGGCGAGGATGGCTTCGCGGTCCGCGGGGGTAGGGGCGGAGGTGAGGGAGGGGAGGGGGTTGGGGTCGGTGCAGAGGAGGTGGCCGAGGTCGCAAGCGAGGGGTTGGGGTTTGGCGTCTTGCATTTCGACTTCGGGGGCGGCCATCGTTGTCGTGTGTTGGGGGTTTGATTTCTGAGTATTTTCGAGACAAGTCGAATTGGAAAAGTCGAGGTCAAAATCTTGGCGAGGTTGTTCGCTCGCTTGTTCGGCAGGATCCGCTAGCGCCGATCGGTACGTCATCCGCCCAGTGTGGCAGTTGCGCGTGTTAAGCGCCCCTCTTGTAATAGGGAGATGGGAGTGCGTGTACGTATTCTTGCACACGGTGCTAGACGTTGTGCTTCCCAGCAGTACTCAAACACCTCGTAACGACTCCTCCGCGGGGCCGGAAGAATGACGACAGTTAAGCGCAGGACGAAGCTCAGCTGGCGAGCTTGAACAGAGCAGCCGTTGGAGCTTCGTCGTTCCCTGTTTCAATGCCAGGTGGAAGCAGTTGGTAGTTCCTTCATCCTCTTTCGAATCACCACAACATCGCATTCCCTACTCTCTCCGTCGTGAACACCTACATTGCCCCACATACCATATCAACCCTGTGACCACAATCCACAGACTCCCGACACATCAAAACAAGATGCCTCCCACCCTCACCCCCTTCAACCCACCCCTCGGGCCCCAACCCCCCAGCACCGCCCTCTACCACCCCAACCAAGTCACCCTCGCCCTCAAAGAGCACGTCTTTACCCTCTCCGGCGACGACTTCACCGTCAAAACCGCCGAAGGTCTCGACATCCTGCAAGTCAAAGGCAAAGCCTTCTCCATCCGCGACCAGAAGAAGTTCTCCGACATGCGCGACAACGAGCTCTTCACGCTCTCGAACAAGATGATGGCCATCTCCAAGTCCTTCCACGGGACGAGCCCGAATGGCACAGCGAATTTCGAAGTCACGGGCAAGATCAAGTTGATGGGGAGTCGGAGTGTGGTCACGTTCAAGAATGCGAGTGATGGGAAGGACGTGGAGATGGAGGTGAAGGGGGATTGGTTGGACAGGAGTGCGGAGATCACGTATCAGGACAAGCCGGTCGCGGCGATTTCGAGGAAGTTTTTCAATGCGAGGGAGTTCTTTGGGGACAAGCAGACGGTGGGTGTTCGTCGAAAATTATGATGCAAGACAGTTTGCTAATGGATGTGCAGTACTTCGTCACCGTCGCTGGTAACGTCGACTTGAGCTTAATCGCCGCCTGCTGCGTTGCGCTCGACGAGAAGGAGAATGAGAGCTAGAGAACCAGCACTCTCGAACGCCTATGAATATGAGGTTACGTCGTACGAACCAGACGTTCCGTGATTTTGATTGACAGTTCCATGACTGGCGAAACCTACATGCAATAGTGGTAAGCAAGTTTCGCGGTATAAACTCTAATGATCGGTATGAACTTTAAGAATCAACATGAACTCTAATAAAGCGATGTTCTCTTCTCCGTCCATATAAACCCCCAGGCGCCCCTTGTCTCCTATTCCATACATCTCCTCAACATTCGATTTTCTACATCTCGCCGGCCAACATCCTTCTCCAAAAGAAAAACAAAGATGGCGCAACCACACTCAACGATCACCAAATCTGAGCCTTGTGGCAGCAATGGGAGAAGAGTCACCATCGTCCACATGTCAGAGGACCACTTCTCCGTACAAGCATCTCCCCCGCCGCCACCACAGCCGTCGACATACCTCCAGCTCCCCGAAGGCGATCGCTCGAGAAGGCCCACAGCCATCCATGAACCATCCTCATGCTTCTTCGCCAGACGAGTATGCGAAGAGGAAGTACAGTCACCGATGTACCTCCACTACCCACCCAGCGGTGTGAGAACGTCCTCAGTCGCGCTCACGCCGCCGTCTCCCGTTCTCTCCGCCAGCGAACCGGGAACGGCGCCGCTACAGTCGCTGTCGATCTCACCACGGCCTTCTTGTTATGATCGAGAAGAGTCCCAACCTCTCTGTCTGGACCCGCAGCTCTCCGCCACAACACCAGGCCAGTCGCCAGTACAGCGACCGACAAACCCTCCGAACCCCACTTGTGCGTCTGGAGAAGCTGCTCAACCGCCAAAACGCCTCCGGCGCTGTACACCGCCCCTCGCTCCGGTGAGACAGCCTTCTCCCAAGGAGGTTAGAGAGCATGCGAGGCAGTGCCGCAGACGCGTGTGGGAGGCCAAACGTAGCATCTGGGGCTGGCGCAAGGTGCCGGATTGGAGGGCGCAGCCGGTGTTGGTTTTTAGTGATGATGAGGAAGATGAAGAGGGGAAGGAGGAGGAGGATGCGTCCGATGAATCCAGTGAATCTGACGAAGACTCATCTTCGGACGAGGAGTCGGATGCAGAGGGGGGTGAAGTTATGGAGGATGCAGCAAGCCCCCGCCGCGAGTCCCAGACCAGCTGGGACGACATCTGGAGCCGCCCGCAAGGCGCGAAGCGCAAGCGTGAAGACAAGCCGAGGGGGGAGAGTTGGCAGGAGGGGGGGATGAGTGATGTTGCGTGGGCGGAGCTCTGGAGCGGGCGACCGAAGCCGAAGCGGAAGTGTGAGGATCAGGCGAAGGTGGAGGGGTGGCGCGGGGAGGGTGAGGATGAGATGGATTGGGAGGGGGATAGTACGTTTGGTGAGTCTTTGCGACGATGGTGGGTTGGGGATTTGGCTGACTTGTTGCTCGCAGATTATTTTGGGAGGAGTGGTGCTGAGAGGTACATGTAGTGCGACGGTGGTTCTTTGTTGGGCAAGTTGAGGCTGGGAGTCTGGTCCAGTACTGCAGTGATGGCATCTGGCGTCGAAGGCGGGATGCTCGGGACGAAGGGCATTGGCAGGGGTGTTGAGTCTGCCAGAGGACTGTCTTCCGGCGAGCGTCAGCTCCAGTTCTTCGCACATCGGAGAACAGACCGATGGTATATCAAAGTCAGACCTTCGGTTGCTCAACCCAGGTCGTCGGGTTCGGTATGGTGGGTGTCACCGAACTCTAAATCCTGTTGAAATCTTCCGGTGCCAGGGATCAGCATGACAACCCAGCCTCGATTATCTTGTTTCCATCCCATCTCACTTCATCTCACTCCTCTGCACACCATTCACACGGCACACGCGGACGCACAGCCAAAGCAGATGCGGACCACAGTCCCGCAATTGCGCACGCTCAAGTCAGCTTCGCTCGCTGGGTCGCTGCCGTCAGCAACCCAAACGCTTGCATCGTCCATCCACACCTCAACGGCGTCTCCCTCTGACAGCCAGCTCGCACAAGGCAGTGCAAACGCCTCGCTTGGTCGTTTGACTATTCCACGATAGGGCTCCAGTAGGCGTGCCTTCTCTTTCGTTAGGCCACCTGTTGGCCCAGAGAGGGAGTACGTCTTCCCTGACGCAAGCCTTTGCATTTGTGCTTGCACACGCTTATACAACGGTCATGGGACGCTCATTCCACCGACTGGATTGCTGACAGCAGAACAAGGCTAAGTCCGATTCCAATATTTCATGTTTCCATTCCAGGGCAAGCGGGTGCCTGGCATGGCCAACGTCAGAGATGCGGTACTTCTACTACCCCTCGGTGGCTTGAAGCATGAAGGCGATGCATGTCTTGTACCCGGCGAGAGGAGCTGCGAATAATCATCTCGTATTTCTTCCTCTATTGGTGTATAAAATCTACGGCTGCACTTTGTTGTTGAAGTAACGAAGTAAACATGGCGCAAGAAGAGATGGCACCGGCATCTGCGGAACAGTGCGATTTGAAATCGAAGCTATCGACCGAGGACGAGAAACCACAACAGGACGCTGAACCTTTGCGCGTGCTGGCGTTCGACACGCAAAGTACTTGTGCGCAACTGTTCAGCAAGCAATTATCGAGTTATCTGAAGCTGGGCCAAATACACCATCCGTACGTACTGGCGGCAACTCTGGGACCCGAACGCATCCACCGGGACATCGGCAGTGAACATACGAGGCAGCTATGGCACGGTCGGGCGGAGGGAGCGAATTGGAAGACGAGGTCGACTACGTACCAAGTCGCGACGAACGATCTTCTACGTAAAGCGGACAAGATTGAACAGAAGGTGAGCATTCAGCAAGCTTTCCCACGTTCGTCAGATCCATGCTTACCTCCTCGCAGGGCCAAACGGTCTTCATCACCGAATACGCACCCTTCATCATAAACCACGACATCATGGCCTCCGTCCTCTCAAGCCAAGAAACCATCGTCTCCCGCCTCCAAAACCCGACAACGATCCCCGACGACCTTCTCAAGCTCTTCACCCCCATCATCTTCATCTCTCACCCAGCCCTCATCATCCCCGCCTGGTTTCGCCTCGCCAAAGCCGAATACGGCGTCCATCCCGTCGACGGCGCCGACTTCACCGTCTGGACCTCCCTCCGCTGGTCCCGCATGCTCTTCGACTACCTCCGCAACACCGACCACCTGAAGCGGCAGGACTCAATAGGCTCAAAACGCTCCTCCGGTCGCTGGGAGCCCGGGTACGTCGCCACCAGGCCATTCGTTATCGATTCGGATGATGTCGCGAACAACACCCACGCCATGGTCGCCGCGACCTGCCGCCTACTCGGCCTCGACTACAAGGAAGTCGGCACCAGCTGGCTCAAGTACTTCGAGCGCGCCGCCTCCACCGTCATCCGCCGCGCCATGCCGGCGGGCATGATGACCAACTTCTCCGAACGCATCCTCGGCTCCCAACCCACTGCCATCTCCCTCGACGCCGAAACCGCGAAATGGCGTGCCGAATTTGGCGCCGACGCCGCGGGCATGCTGCGCAGGAAAGTCGACCAGGAGATGGTGCATTACAAGTACCTGCAGAACTTCAAGGTTAGAGTGCTGCCGAGTCTGACGACCGCGGCGCTGGTGCAGAATATTACTGGCGTGCCCGGGAGGAGGAATAGTGCGGTGTGGCCGAGTGAGGGCGGGGAGTGGGAGGAATTTGGAGCGCAGCATCCGTTAAGGATTATTCAGAGTGCGATTGAGAGGCCGATTTCGCCGAGGAGGGAGTCGGATTGGCGGTGATAGGGGGGTAGGAATTGTGTTGTGAATCAAGAGTGCTCATCAAGGAGTGAGAAGCAAGTCTAGGGGTCGAGGAGAAGGCCGAAGAGGAGCAGCGGGCTTCGCGACCAAGCTCTCCAATGAAGCACTTCCTGGCGGAGGTCAGGATGAGTGTTGCGATTGCGGACCAGGGTATGGTCTTTCTGCTGCGCCAAAGCGCACAGCGTCGCCCTGGACCTCGAGAAGCACTGCCGAACGAGACCGTGCCTTGCGAGCAAAGAATGGAGTGAACACCTACACGCTCCAAGCGCTCATTAACCCCGTCACCCAAAAAGAATAACTCCAAGGCAGATCCAGGAAACGGAGGAAAAAAGATCAAAAGAGAACGCCCCGGAGGGAGAAGAGAAACTCGCATTCAATGTCTGCTGGTTTACTGCTTCGTTTGACTACAACATTGATTCACAGGATGGGACTGGCTGGGAGGTGCGTCGCATGTCACATGTTGGATCACCATCGCTACGGATGTCATACTCGACACATCACCTGGATACACTACATCCAAATGGACGTCGTTCATCCTCTCATCACGCTGGAGTACGAACAAGGACGGCAAGCATATCCACCAGCAAGGCTAGCTTTGTTTACACGCCCACCACGCTCACCCAATCTCGTTACCCCTCCAGACTCCCCCCAGAAAAGGGCTGGATCTCCAACCGCGATTGACATATCACAACAGCCGATTGCTTACTCGTGTTCACCGCTGCAAGACTATACAGCGCCTGCTGCACGTGTCCTGCAACGCGTAGCAACATGGCGTTGAGGTCGTCTTCGAACCATTTGCGGTTTGCGGAAGGTTGTGAGGGCGTTGGGGGAGGTGGTGTCGATGTTGTGCCAGAGGGCGTCGAGGCCGGTGACTTCGATGGATGGGTCGGCGATTGAGATTGTCTGTTTGGTGGCTTGGGAAGTTGTGTGAGTCAATGGTGTCTGGTGGATGAAGCGGGCTTACGTCCGGGGGAGGGAAGTTGTGGTGGAGCGATGCTGGGGAAGGGTCATGGTGGTTTTGTTTGCGATGTTATTGAATGGGCTTTTGGAGTATGATACGGAGTTCGATGATTGTAACATGCAGGTGGCACTGCGAATGCCTTCAACGATCACATGCACGCCGGCTGAATGCATGATCCCTGTACAAGCTGCACCGGCACTGTGCATTGAGGACAGCAACGTCTTCGCTTGGCGATATGAGAACGTACAACGCTCCGAGCTGCGATGATACAATGTTACCGGTCATCGATCTGTAACCGTCTTGAATTGTTCTTCACGCCATCGTCACCACATTCGCAGCAGCATTGACTATGCTGTCCCACACCGCCCGTCCTCGCTTCTCGCCCGCTCAGCCGGGGTGGCGGCGACGGCGGCGGGGTCATATCTCACCAACCTGCCACCTTTGTCCTCGCGCCCTCGCTTTCTAAAGTAGTATGCACAGCTGCATGAGGGACCTGCAGCGGTCGGCGTGGGACGAGTGGGGTTGATTTAGCTTTATCTTCAGAGGCAAGTCGCGCAAGCTTCTGGTGTTGCGAGCTTGTTACTGCCCGGCTCATACCATTACTTCCTGTAACACCGACTGTTCATGAAGTGACACCAATCACCATAACAACAACATCACTCAGAGTGTGCAAAATTTCTCCATCGTGACAAGCATAAACGAGAGGCGAAGTGCATTTGATCGAACTCAGCATGAAGATCACGACCACAGCAGCGATTGCCTTCTTAGGCCTTCCTGTTGCTTTGGCTGGTAAGTTGGCCCCATCCATCGGAGCAGCATCTTGCGCAGTCTTGAAGAGCGCCGCCGCCCTCTCTCGCAAGAAGCTGACATACATCTCCTCCTACCAGCTATCGCATCTCCATTCGACCACCAAGATGCCTCACCCACCCGTCCTGACCCTGCTGTCCTCCTACCTACACCAAGCGAAGCACCTCCAGCAGCTCCAACCACAAAAAGCACAGCAGGACCCTTCAACCTCTTCAACATCAACCAGCTCCTCCAAAAGATCTGGCAAACACCTCCAACCTCCGAAACCAACCCCCTCCTCCTCGAAGACACCACGGAAGTAGTCGCCCCCCACGACCTCCTCAAACCCCGCGCCCTCTGGAACCCCTCCTCCTCCCACTCCCTCCCCCTAATCAACACCTTCACCACCCTCACCTCCCCCGGCAGAATCGCCACCCGCACCTCCCACACCGCCAAAGCCATCACCCCCGCCGCCTCCTCCTCTGGCGCGGGCGTGACGAGGTTAGCAGTCTTCACCGTCGCAGGCCTCCCCTGGACAGTCACCTCCGCGCACTCGGTCGAAGCCGTCGACGGCTTTACGCTCACGCCAGGCGGTCCGGGGGTTAATTTAGCGGGGCAGCAGGTTAGTGTGGGCGCGACGGGGGGGCCGGTGTTGGTGGGTGGGGAAAAGGTGTCCTGGACGACAGTTAGTAGGGTGGCAAGCTCCAGTGAGGCGGCGAGTAGTAGCGCTGGGGCGGGGAGTAGTGCGGGGGTGGGAGGGAGTAGTAGTAGTATGGCTGCGAGCTCGGGCATGGCGTCCGCGAGTGGCAATGGTGGAGGGGGTGGAGGGTCGAGCTCGAGCACGGGCGGAGCGGCGATGAAGACGGCGGCGGTTGGCATTGTGCTCGGTGCGATGGTTGGAGCTGTGGTTCTGTGAGGGTCATCGAGACGATGATGCTGCATAAAGCTTGAAGTGAGTGGTTAGCGCGTGATACCCTTCTGCAATGAGCGGTACGACGAGATGATGCGTTGTAGCGATTGATGACAATGGTTCAGCACTGGGATGATATTGAGCATGGCTTTCATTGTTCGACTTTGACTACACCTTCTTCTCATTTCATGCCTGCTCGATCCTTTTTGGTGGTAGGAATACCAAGCCCCAACGCCATCGCTAATGCTCTTGCTTCACTACTTCGCGTCTACCGTCCGACGTCTGCCGTCTGCTGCTTGCCATCTGCCAGTCGTTCGACGAGTGTGTGTTCGCACCGCTTGTCATGCTGCCGCAGTGCCAACTGCCTTGTTCGGCGACAGGAGCTTCCAGAGGTGATCGTGTTGCCCGTTTTGACGCGTGCGAACTTCATCTGCCAGGGAAGCCGGGTGGTCCGCCAGGCGGTCCGCCAGGATAGCCACGACCAGGCGCGAAGCCAGCTGCGTGGAAATAGTCAGTAGGAGCTCGCAGGATGGTGTTGGAAGTACTCACGTGGTCCTCCTGGTGGAGGAAATCCTCCGCCGGGAAACCCAGGCGGTCCTCCTCTCCCCTGAAAGCCCATGGGCGGTCCTCCAGGAAATCCAGGCCCGCCCACACCAGCAGCCGGTCCCTGTAGTCCAGCGCCTCCAGCACCACGCCCAGCAGGCCTCGAAATCCCCGGTCCTGCTTGCATCGCTGTGGGAGCGCCTGAAGGCCCTGTTGCGCTCTGGCCAAGTCTTGCTGCAGGATCAGAGGGCGGTGGGCCGTCGACTGAGCACGAGACGACGTGTGCGCCGCGAACGATCGCGAGGCCTATGCTGCGCTTCTCTTCGGTTTCGACGGTTTGCGCGGAGGATGCGCCAGGTGCGCCGCTGCCCTTGGTCTTACGCTTGACTTTGCGGAACTCTTCGCAGTCGGCGAGGACGAGGTTCATGTGCTGGTATACATTAGCACTGTGTGGTCGCGAGCTCTTCACATGCATAAGCCTGATGTACCTTATCGAATGCCAGCATCTGCCCGACCAGCTGTCTCCCGTCCTTCATGGTGGCTCGCATTCTGTAGTTGACCTGGAGGAATATAAGCGACTGCACACACAGTACAAAGTGTCGGGCGGGTACTCACGAAGCCAACCTAGACTGGGTATCAGCGAACTGTCTCTGTCAACGCAGGGTACCTCATTGAAGGCATAAGGGAGGACTTACCATCTTGCCCTGCTTGTTGGGTGCCGCCATCTTCACGCCGTCGCGTGCCCGAGCACGTCTTGTTGTCGATGCGGTCTTGTGCGATCGGGGAGCTTTCGCGCGTGTAGTGTGCTTGCTTCGAACGTTGGTAACTGGTCCACGTGAGCTTCGAGCAAAAAGATCAGCTTCACGAGGTCGAAGAAACGCTCGGGCCACATTTGAACGTCTTGGCGCCCACACAGCAACTTCTTCCGCTTTCCGCTCGAACTTCGCATTGAACGACACCTCTACATCGGCCATCGCCAGGACGTGAAGACTTCACCAGCACAATGGTACGTACACGTAACACTCCACGGCATACTCAGCGCTTCTCCCACGCAGCATACGACCCCAAATGCGCAAGTTCCAGCCTTCGAACAACCACTAACAAATCATGTACAACAGGCCAAAGGCGAGAGCTCCCAACAACAGGCCGATGGCCAGAACGTCAAGACCCAGGGCGCAGTCGAGAAGGCGAACAACCCCATGCGCGAGCTCCGCATCCAAAAGCTCGTCCTCAACATCTCCGTCGGCGAATCTGGTGACAGGTTGACAAGAGCGGCAAAGGTGTTGGAGCAGCTGAGCGGTCAGACGCCTGTGTACAGTACGTGAATACCTACAACGCACAACGTGCTGGGAAGAGGACATGCGGGCAGCCGTGCTGACATGATCGACAACAGGCAAAGCACGCTACACTGTCCGAACCTTCGGTATCCGTCGTAACGAGAAGATCGCCGTCCACGTCACCGTCCGCGGCCCCAAGGCAGAGGAGATCCTTGAGCGCGGCCTCAAGGTCAAGGAGTACGAGCTGAGGAAGCGCAACTTCAGCGAGACGGGCAACTTCGGCTTCGGTATCTCTGAGCACATCGATCTGGGCATCAAGTACGACCCGGCGATCGGTATCTACGGCATGGACTTCTACTGCTGCATGTGAGTTCGGTCGCATTGCCGATGGATGAGCTGGGAGTATGTTTGCTGACATTTATGATAGGACCCGCCCCGGTGAGCGCGTTGCCAAGCGCAGGCGCTGCAAGTCCCGCATCGGCGCGTCGCACCGCATCAACCAGCAGGAGACGGTCAAGTGGTTCAAGAACAGGTTCGAGGGTATCGTGAGGTAGATGGTGTCTCACCCGTGGATGAAAGACTGCATGGCGTCAAGAGCATGGCATGGGGCTAGGTAGCACATGATACTCTGGCCTATCGGAAGCTGCTACTTCACCTTTCTCCCCAGCATGAGCAAGATCACAGAATGGAGGCTTCACCTTGATGTGACTTGCCGCTTAACCATTGATCGCTGTCTCATTGCGCCTTTCTTCAACCATGGTAGGTGGATCATTTCCTTCTTCTCCATTGGTGATATCTGCACCCATATGTATCGAGACTCGGCACTCCTGGCGGCGCCTCCACTGCAATTGTAGTCGAGGCATTGTATGTATGGTTCCCGACCAAGCAAACCACGTCCTGTGCTACTTTGCGGCTATTCGGCGCGACATGAGCCCTGATGCTACAATTACGAGTTGTACGGACAAAATGTCCGATGAATGAGCGAGAAGTATACCTTGGTGAGCATGTCGCTGAGCTGGTTTTCTTTGGTTTGGTCATGGTGCGATTTACGTAGGATGGTGGAGAGATCTTCGTAATGCGCCCGTTGTTATAAATGGAGGTGATCTTGCTGCGCTGCCTCTCGATTGCCGTGTCTAGAGCAACGTCCTGGTGTACGTGTGCCTACAATATCATTCTGCTTCTATGAAAACAGTCAAGATGCCGCTACGTCTGTCCTGCTACCATATTTGTACATGAACCGCTTACTGTCAGATCCCCGCGCTGTCTATGTGCCCCATCAAACCTCCTCCAGTGTCCATGCTCCAACGCCTTGATGATTGTATTACCTTCGCTCTTGTTCAGAACCGCGAAACGTCTCGCCCGAACAGCCAGTTCACAGCCCTGTCACGATTGTCAGCCAGAGCATAAGCCACGCGCACAGTGCAGCGACTTACCAATACACCGGTATGAGTATCCGATTCCGCCAGCTGACCGACTTGGCCAAGTACGCACTGCGCCAGAGAAACCACGCCACTCGCCCCGAGATGTCTGTTCCGGAAGACTGCAGGATGGCGTTCGAGTTCCCGACATAAGCCATCACACCCAGATCTTTGTAAGTGAACTTGCTCCGCTCAATATCGCCCTTGTTGAACCGCTTAGCCAGCCAATTCGCCTTCTGCGACGCCACCTGCGCCGTGGCAGGATATGCCGTGCCTTCGAGCACCGCACAGTCGCCGAGGGCGTAGACGTTGGGTACGAGCCCCTTGTCCTCGCTGTCTTTCACCTGCAGACGCTCGTTGGTCATGATCCCGCCTGTCTTCTCGTCACGCTTGACTTTGCCATCGAGCGCTTTCTGCACGAACGGGTTGACCATGAGTCCGGTGCTCCAGACGCACATGCCGATGCCGATCTCGCCTTCTTCTTTGAGCTTGATGGTGTAGCAGCTATCGTCAGCTTCGCTGATGTTGGATTCCTGCTGCACAGCGACTGGTGAGCCTTTGCGTAGTTCTTCGACGTGGTGGCTGGTTTTGATATCGATGCCTTCGCGTTTGAAGTGGTTCATGGCGAACTTCGAGAGCTTTTCGTCGAACATTGAGAGTACAGTGGGAGCTACATCGTAGACGGTGATCTTGGCGTACTTGACGAGGTCGGGGTAGATGCGTTTCATGTCTTCGCCGATGAGGTCGTGCATTTCTGCTGAGAACTCGATGCCGGTGGGTCCGCCGCCTACGACGGCGAAGTTGAGAAGCTGCTTCCTCATTGCTTCGGATGTAGTCGGTAAGGCAGCTGTTTCGAAGCATGACAGGAGGCGGTTGCGGATCCGTCGTGCGTCGCCCACGTCCTTGAGGAAGAAGGCATTCTCTTTCACGCCTTGAGTGCCGAATGTCTGGTTGTAGCAACCCAAAGCAATGATGAGCTTGTCCCATTTGACGTCGAAGAGCTCACCCTTCTTGACTTCGAGCTGCTTCTCCTGGGCCCGTTGATTTGGTGATGCGTCCGCATGTCTGTCAGAGACCAGCGAGCGACCTTGCCATGGGTCTTCGACAGCTTCCTCGATGGTTAGAGTCTTGCTGTGGAAATCCACACGGTCTGCCCACGCCTGGAAGAACTCGACCTTCGTTCTTCGTGATCGAATTGGTTCCAAGGCAGTCCGGAATTCGAGTGTACCGACGGATGTGCTTGCCAGAAGTGGAGTGAAGACGAAATAAGATCTCGGAGAAACGACAACGATTTGGTACTTGCTGTGGTCGAGGTCTCGTGCGAGGGAGTAGCCAGCCCATCCAGATCCGACAACGACGACTCGCTCTCTACCGTTTTGGTTTGCATCCAAGGCCTGAAGGGATATACATCGTCGCTGGAGTTGTTTGAATGTGCCATGGTGAGGTATGCGCCGACTGAGCAGACTTCTGGTCGTCCGGCTAGCCAGTAGGCTGGTCCTCGTCAACGACATTGCATGCCGTAGTGAGCGAGGTGTAAATCTCCATTTTGATAATGGCTTTTGATACTTTTTGGGCCTGATCAAGGTGACATCAGAGCTTGTCGGTCGGAAGGATACGGAATGATGTAGCATGTGCAATTTGATTAGAAATTTGATTAGCTCGCCGGACTTACTCAGACCTCACCTCGACCTTGACTCGCTTCGTCTTCCATCCCATCAACGCTATCACCGGCAAACGCAGTCAAGCAGGCCTGTCATCGATGCTCACCGCACTTCGCGCTGCTCAGCGTGTTCCTCGACACCTCGCGCCGTACACTCGACAGCTTCAGCGACCATCGAGAAGATCTTACGCCTCCGTAACCGACCTCGAGCGACTGCCCAAGCAAGGAGCGCAACTCCATGGCTTCACACTCCAACGGACGAAGCATGTGCCCGAGCTAGAGCTGTCCGCGCTGCACTTCCAGCATGACAAGACGGGAGCAGACTACCTGCACGTAGCACGAGATGACCAGAACAATGTATTCAGCATCGGCTTCAAGACAAATCCCCCGGACGCCACGGGCGTGCCGCACATACTCGAGCATGTTACATTGTGTGGATCGGAGAAGTAAGTGAGATGGTTCGCATAAAAGAAGGTACATAGGCTGATGGATATGGTAGGTATCCTGTTCGCGATCCCTTCTTCAAGATGCTTCCTCGATCGCTGCAAAATTTCATGAATGCTTTCACGAGTTCTGATTACACGATGTACCCATTCGCTACGACCAATGCTCAAGACTTCAAGAACCTCATGGATGTGTATCTTGATGCTACTCTGCATCCTCTGCTCAAGCATGCCGACTTTGTGCAGGAAGGCTGGAGGATAGGGCCGGAAGATCCGCTCGCCACTTCGCAGGGCCAGGGCGATCTGATCTTCAAGGGTGTTGTGTACAACGAGATGAAAGGACAGATGTCAGATGCTCAGTACCTGTTCTACATTCGGTTCATGGAGCACATCTTCCCGTCCCTCAACAACAGCGGAGGAGATCCGCAGAAGATGACCGACCTCACGTACGAGCAGCTTAGAGGCTTCCATCAAGCGCACTATAATCCGAGCAACAGCAAGATCCTGACCTATGGTGATCAGCCTGTGGAGGACCATCTCAAGATGCTCGAGCAGCATCTGGCATCGTTCGATCGCGGTGACGTGGACTCCGACATCAAGCTTCCAATCGAGCTTGCGAACGGTCCTAAACAAGTGACATTATCAGGCCCTGTAGACCCTCTGACACCTCCGGATGCGCAACACAAGACCTCCACTACTTGGTTGATGGGCGACACAACCAATATTGCCGAGTCCTTCGCGCTTCAAATCGCCACAAGCGTGCTGCTTGACGGTTATGGTTCGCCGCTGTATCGAGCGCTCATCGAGTCTGGACTAGGGACAGATTTTACGCCAAACACGGGCTACGATACATCAGGCCGCAAGGGCATCTTCTCCGTCGGCTTGACCGGCGTGAAGGAGGCGGACGTTGCGAAAGTTGATGCAGCAATCAAGGCGGCTCTGCAAGAAGCTGTGGCTAAAGGCTTTGAACGGCACAAGATAGATGGGTTGCTGCATCAACTGGAGCTTGGGCTCAAGCACAAGACCTCCGGATTTGGCATGAACCTCATTCAGCGACTGAAGCCAGGATGGTTCAACGGCATTGATCCGTTCGACGCTCTGGCTTGGAACAAGATTGTGGAGGAATTCAAGGCTGAGTACGCCCAGCCTGGACGTCTCGAAGGGTTGTTGAAGCAGTACCTCGACAACGGGAATACACTGACCTTCACGATGGTGCCGGACGAAACATACGGAGAAAAATTGGCCTCGGAAGAGGCACAGAAGCTACAAAGCCGGATCGTGGACACCGTGAAGCAGTTCTCGTCGGAGGAAGAAGCGCACAAACAGCTCGTTGAAAGGGAGTTGAAATTACTCCAGGAGCAGACTGCCGGCCAGACCGAGTCTCTGGACTCGCTGCCAACCTTGCACGTCAGCGACATACCTCGAAAGCAACAGCCGGTACAATTGAGAGACGCCAACTTCTCAAATAATGCGAAGGTGCAGTGGCGAGAAACAGCAACCAACGGCATCACCTACTTCCGTGCTCTGTCCTTGTTCAAGGACCTACCGGATGAGCTGCGCATGCTTGTGCCGCTGTTCTGTGACAGCTTGATGCGCATTGGAACGAGGAACAAGTCCATGGAGGAACTTGAAGACCTCATCAAGCTGAAGACGGGTGGCATCAGCTTCGGGTATCACGTCTCTACCTCGCCGCACGATCTTCAGAAGGCTGAAGAGGGACTCGGACTCGTCGGCCACGCACTCGATGGCAATGTCTCGGCAATGTACGAGCTCTTCCAGATGATCTTGTTGGAAACGGACTTCGACTCTCCCAACGCACAGAAGAACATTCGCCAGCTGTTGCAGACCAGCGCAAGCGGTGCTGCTGATGCCGTTGCCGGGAGCGGACACTCGTATGCTCGACACTATGCCACCGCTGGTCTGACGCCTCAGGGCAGGCTAGTGGAGCAGACTGCCGGCTTGACACAAGTCAAGCTCATCACCAGCCTCGCTTCGGCCGAGGAGAACCAGGAGGCAATGGCAGAGCTTGCGAGTAAGCTGAAAGCAATCCAAACACTCGTAATCGCCAACCTCAACCTCAACACCCGGCTGGCGCTCACATGCGGCTCTGATGCCGTGAGTGAAAACGACAGAGCTCTTCAATCCTTCCTCGGAACGATGTCTGCACACAAACTCTCGCCGCCACTGCTTGCAAAGCAGGGTTTTGTCAAGCCCCAACAATATCCCGCCTCCGGCAAGACGTTCTTCAAGTTCCCATACCAAGTCTCCTACTCCTCCCTCGCTCTACCGACCGGACCGTACACCGACCCAACCTCCGCGCCCTTCGCCATTCTAGCCAAGCTCCTAACACACAAGCACCTTCATCATGAGATTCGCGAAAAGGGCGGCGCGTACGGCGGTGGAGCTTTTAGTGGCGGCAACACGGGCTTCTTCGGCATGTACAGCTACCGTGATCCTGCCCCGGAGAACACGCTCCGCATCATGGCTGACGCCGGTCGTTGGGCTACTGAACGGGAGTGGACGGACCGTGAGCTTGAGGAGGCCAAACTCGCTGTTTTCCAAGGTGTTGATGCGCCGCTTGATGTTAATGCGGAGGGTATGGTGCGTTTCTTGAGCGGGATCGATCAGGACATGGAGCAGAAGAGGCGTAAGTGGTTGTTGGACGTGGATAAGCAGCAGGTCAGGCAGGCTGCTGAGATGCTTGACGCGAAGATGAAGGATTCGAGCGTGGCGTTGATCGGGCAGAAGAAGGAGTTCGTCAAGGAGAGCGCTGGGTGGCGGGTCGAGGATATGGGGATGGCGGCGCCTGAGCAGGTTGAAGCGGCGGAGGATTCGTGATGGGTGGTGTAATGCTCGCCTCTCTAGTGTAGATTAGTGTAATTGTACGATTGTTTTGATGCAAGGGGTGGATTCCATCTGCTCATGCCGCGTGCCACCACTTCTCAAGGATTCGAGGACTCGAGGACTTTGAAGATCGGTCGCCTGTTCGATGATGCTTCGGGACGATGCCAGCTGATTTGGCGGATGGATGGTATTGCAGTGCACCAATCCCATCCGTTCACCGATGTCCTCGCCTCTCGAACTACCACGTCCTGCGCATCCAAAGTGGACTGTGGGTTGCTGTTGGCGCGCTCTCAATAGCTCCGGTGGTGAAAGCGATGTTTTCCTTTGTACTCTCGTCCTTCCTCGCTGCTCTCGCGGTCGACTGGTCGCTCGGTGGCATAGCGTCTGATCCGGAAGGCATCTGCTGGACGTGGTAATGGTTCACCTGCACGTATGAGGCCATTTCTGTGGCGATGGCGAGTAGAAGGGGGTGAGGCGGTGTTGCTAGGAGGTTGTTAAGGCTGCTATTGTACTTGTTGTTGCATCTGTTGACCCGTGAGTGCTCCTGGCCCTTCCTCTTTCGCTTGCCGTCGTCTGTTCTTGACGGTATACCGCTTGTACTGCGTACAACGACAAGGGGAAGCCTTCCCACGCGCTCTAGACAGGACCCTCGATGCTTCGGAGAGGCTGTGGTGAGGCAGCCTTCACTTACAACACCGGCCCAAGCCTTCACATGACGTGAATACGTTGGAACGTTTCCCTCATTGACCAACAACGCTGCTAGAAACGCCCCAAAACAACGATAACAACGACGAGCCTCCTCCAACAACCCCTACAAACTATCTCATCTACTTTTGCTGTCCATCCGCCCCGTAGTCGCCGAAGAAGGAAGGTGCGGGAGTGGCGGAGCGAAGAAGCGCTTCGGTATTCAGAAGCGTAGGGCTTCACAACACCACCACAACACTGCAAAATACGACTCTAGGGACAGCGAGATTGTCGAGAACCACCATGAGACCGATCTCGAAGACGTTGGCTAGTTGTTCGAAGCCTAAATGCAACAAAAGGAAGCCGCGGGCAGAGTAGCGGTGGGAAGGTGAAGAGCTACGAGAGCGTCCACCAAGAGCCGGGCCTATAAACAACATAATTCAAAGATGCTACACGACCGTGGTGAGGGGATCGTTGAAACCATGCTCTCGACAACGACAGCCATCGAAAAATCCCCAAGAACGAACTCTGCCGGATCAGGAAGTTGCGGGCGTAGGCGGTGGCGTCAGGCGCTTCAAGAACTTTGCGACAGAAGCTCGACACAGCACCACCTTCCAAACAGCGCATCGATGAGTTGATCTAGAAGAACAGCTCATCCATTGGAGCCGTCGACGGGCGGTTGCGCGGTTGCGTTATCTTACACCTAAACCGCATCTGCTTCCGTCGGCCAGCACTACCTTCTTGCCACGCAAGGGTTTTGTGTTGGCGACCTACGAGCGACGCGGCGCTGACATTGCCGCCCAGTCGTCGCACCGGTCTTTGTTACTCCATCGCCTATCAACACCGACATCGCCGAGTCACAACCATCGGCATCAGGCGACGGCACTTCAGGTCTGCGGGACGCGCTTGGAGTCCAGTGCCGCAACGGCATCGCAAGTAGGGCGAAAGAATCTGGAATTGTCCTCTCCGTGTCAGCCTCCAGCTCACCAGCCGGAATTCCGGCTGTTAACAATATTCATATCGATCGCATCGAGTCACCTCGAGGGACATGTTCGATCTCGAAATTTCCATGGTGGCAACGTGGTATCGAAGGCGCCACATCGCTCTCTATAGAAGGAGATATCCTAATCCCGTCTCCGGAGAGCCACATCGACTCACTTTCCTCCAGTGGATGCAGTATACCGAGTCCATCTGTTCGTGACAAGCCGCCTACTGGATCGGATGCCAAAGGGCATTGACTCAGTTGCTTTGTTGCTTGATGTACCTCGAGGCCAACGGAATGGAAGAAGCAAGGGCTTGAGTGGCAAATGTACGTTGCGAAGAAGGTTTGAACTGCTGACCATCCGGTCGCGTTCCGCTGGTTGAGCTGTCGAGCCTTCGGACGCAAGGAACAAGTCGGATTTTGAGTTGCCATCTTCAGCACTCACAGCCATGCATACTAGAATTCTCCAAGTCTTCTTCCGCAGCAGAGTCGAGGCATTTCTGTGTCTCCGTCGCGCAGACAACCTCGAGAGGACACCGCATCCGCTCAAGCAAGTGTGAACGATAACAGAGAAGCCGGATTCAGCAATGTCGAACGGCATGGGTGTTGTCCTCCAACGCTAGCGGTCGATGGAAGGCTATCTTCTCGGATACGAAAAGGCATGGAAGACAGCGCATCATGAGACGCAGCATATCGTTTGAGCTTCGCACGTTGGAGATACCTCCGGATGTGGAGTGAAAGGAGTTGCCGCTATGCAGCAAGTTGGACCGGATTGCGTGGCATGGCACGGCAAAGGCACCGCCTTGTGCCGCTGTTCTCGAGGCAGCCAACATTTAAGCGGTCATTTCATCGCCCTGCGTACCACCTTTTCCTCAGAGCCGAGAAGATGGCTGGACCACGCAGTCCTTCCCACCTGACCGGCACTCTCCGGTGATGGCCCCTGACGAAAAGCTAGAGAAGCCATCTCCACGGCACCAAAAGGCTCTCTGGTGAGCACAGCACGCCCGACAGCATCTTATTCGAAGACCAATACGTCGTATCCCCAGCCATCATCGAGGACACATGACCGAGGTCAAGCCATGAAGTTGGATGTCGAGCCTGTCAACGCCGCCCTACAGCCCTTCTCGGTGCCGCCGATAATGCCCTTCGTGACCACGACAGCCCTCACGGCACCTTCTCTAGTCTTCGAGAAGCAGACAGCTTGCTAATTCGGCCAGCAGAACAACGCCCAGTGAGTCCTTCTCCGAACCGCCAACGACCAGTACGGTGACCCCGAAAGCCCCCTCGACGTCAGATCCGGACCTCGAGGAGCCTCCGGCCAGCTCATCGAAGGGATGAGAGGCAAAGCCGTTGAGACCATCTCGGAGCGGCAGAGGTTCCATCTGCTCCCCTCAACGACGCCACGGCCAGTACACCGTCTCAGAAGGTGGAGAAGACGACACTGCCATCGAGTCCGAATATACTGAACGGACTCGAAGAAGGCGGACGATCAAGACCTTGGTCCGCTGCTCCAATGTTCAAAGGCCATCGAGAGGACAACAACACTCTCGACCAGGTCTGCGCACCTCCTCAAGCACACCGAGACGCCCGCTCCCTCCCGGGCGCGGACGTTCACGTCCAGCTCTTCCTTGCTCTTCCTTGCTCTTCCTTGCTCTTCCTTGCTCTTCACTGCTCTTCACTGCTCCTCACTGCTTTTCAAACAGACGAAAGGAAACGAAAAGAAGCAACCCAAAGTGAGACGGACGTAAGGAAAGAACGACCAACACAAACAAGACTTCGCTCCCTCAACTCAATCAAGAGTCCAAAGAGGAAGGAACGACTGGCAGGAAAAGTGCATTACACCTTCCTATTTTAAACCATCTTCTTTTCATCGGTCCCCAGCAAGAAGAACAAGAACGCCCAAAAACATCAATCCGATGAGCATGCAGTCTTGATACTCATTTCTCGTGGCTCATGTCATTCCATCATAATCATATACTCGTTGATAAACATGCTCAATGTTTAATCACCACCCAGAAAAAACCCGACCGACCGCCCATTATCGAACAAACACATTATAACCCCTCCGTCCAGAGGAGAGAAGAACAACACACACACACAGCAAGGAAACGCAATCAATCAGTCTTGCGACCCGCAAGCCAACAGGAAGGCGAGCGAAGGTCGTGGTCAGCGCCAAAAGGCGCCGGCGAGGGTGCCAGCGACGAGGACACCACCCCTTCTCGAGGCGGAGGAGGCCGGTCGTGCGGCCGTACGCCCCGAAGGGAGCTCAGCTGCTGCTGCTCGGCGGGGAGACGGTGCCCTCCGAGTCTGCGGCTCCTGAGCCGTCGTCGTTGCTGCCGAGGATCAGGTTCTGATCGACGGGCGGGAAGGCGGCGGTTGGGAGGTCGAAGGTCGGCATCATCATTCCGTCCAACGGGTCGTAGGCGGGAGCAGCCTGAGTGTTGCCGTTGTTGGCGGTCATGCCCGGGCCGAAGGAGTTGATGGTCGGCGGGCGGGAGGAGGGAACGGTGCCGGCGGCCTGCTGCGGCGTCCCGAAGACCGCGGGCTGCGACGTGCCACCGTAGGACAGGGGGTTGCTGCCACCCAGGACCGCTGGCACGGAGAAGTTGTTGAGGAACCCGAAGCTGCCGAAATTCGGGGTGGTGAGGCCCAGCGGGTTGCCGCCATCAGTTGAGAGGAGCTGTGGCGCGAACATGTCGTGGCTGTAGCTGCTCGTGTAGTTGAACTCCTGCTGGCCTTGCATGAACAAGCGTGGCTGCATTGACGGCTGCTGCTGGAGGCCGGAAGTGAGGACGGGGAGCCGGGTGTTGCCGAAGGTGATGGCGGGACCACTGTTGTCGTGGTGGACGCGGATACCGCCCTGGCGACGAGAAGATGGCCCACCGAATGTCATGCCGTCGTTAACGTCGTTAAGATTGACGTACGGGAAGGCCGGAGCAGAGGGAGCTTGCTGCGTGTTGCTGTTGACCGCCAGTGCCGCGGCCCAGCCACCCAACTGAGTGGCAGCCTTGCGCTTGGTTGGTGCAGCACGAGTGGCATAGGCCCGTTGCTTCTTCTTGGGCGGCGAGGACGGCGGCGTGGATGGGCCCTCACCGGGGAGCACAGGCTGCCCGTCGTCAGAGTTGGGGAAGCCGGTGATCTCTCTATCACGACACGGCACACCACCGATCGAGACGATCTCACGCGGCGAGATGCTCTTGCTCACGTTCTCCAGCAGGACGATGGCACTGTCGTCTTTCTTCTGGTTGCGCATGCGCTTGCCCTCCTGCGTGGCGCAATCCATGACGTTGCAACCTGGGAAGTCGTGCTTCTTGCGCGGCTCGGCATGAGTCTTGGGAACTCTGATACCCTGATACAACTCATAGTCGTCATCGTCGTCGACTTCGGTGATGCTCCTGGTATGCTTGTTGCCGCGAGCGCTTCTGCGTGGTGCTGCCTCAACGTACGGCGAGTTGCTTGAAGAATCGGTGTCGATGCTGTCAAACACGGACGGCTCTTGCATGGTGGACGGCACGGGGTAAGGAGTCGTGCCATAGCCGCTCATTGGTGGTGCATAGTGTGGACCGGCGATCGCAGGGTTGTAGGCGTACGGGTCCGAGGTAGGCTCATCCTCAATCTTAATGTGAGCATCGAGCTGGGGGTCGATGGTGTTCTCGCGGAGCGCTTGCGGTTGACGGCCTGCGGCCTGCGAGCTCCTAGGGCGGTTGCGAGAAGTGGTCGAATTGGCCGCTGGGAGAGGAATGTCAGCAAAAGTGGACGGACGATGAGATAGGGGTGCAATGGTCACTCACCGCGACGAGAAGCGTTGGTGGCTCTGGCCCCATAGCCACGCTGACTGGTGTCCTTCCGGTCCTGGCGCTCCTTGCACCGCTTGGTGAGGTTGTTGTCCCGCATCCATCTGGTGTAGTTGTCCAAGATGGCGGCAGCAGCGGTGTCGTCGGACGCGTTGAGCTCCAGGACGTTCTTCTTATGGAGATGAGCCTTGGACTGCAAATGAGTGAGAAGATGGCTCAGATCAGAGAATGTCGGCTTGTTCGGGCAAACAATGCACTGGAGAGTGATGTTGTCGTGCATCGGTATCCCGGCGGCGTTGTGCCGAGGCATGTTGATGATGCTGCTGATGATGTCGGTTGAAGTGAGTGAAGTGAGTGACAGAAGGGAGGTGAAGTGAGCTCGCTGGTGATGCCGGATGTGCTGCTGGCTTGCTGGATGCTGGAGTGAGCTCCTGGATGGCAGCGTGCTGCTGCTGCTGCTGGGTGCTGCTGCTGCTGGCGGCGAAGGAGTGACGGTGAGGGTGGTGATGCACCCGTCCGGCTCGATTATGATTAAGGGGCAGCAGCGAGATGAGCAGCGTGGTGGTGCTGCGAATGAAGGAACAAGAGCTCGTGTGCAAAGGAGCGACGGCGCAAAAACAGCCAAGAGCAGCGGAATGAGAGTAAGGAGGGAGGGATGGTGGTGAGCAGGAGGGCGGAGAAGAAGGTCGCGTCTGAGATGGGAGTGGCCTCCTGCCGCTGCCTCTGCTGATGGGGTGGTGGTGCTTGCTTGTTGTCGTCTTGAGTTGCGGTTGTGTGGAGGGGGAGGTGGTGGAGGAAGCTGCAATGGTTGTCAAGGCAAAAGCTGCTTCCACCGACTCTTCGCAACCACGCCAAGCCCAATGCAGCTCTCACGTGCACAAACAATAACGTCACGCGTGCGAGGTGCAATCTTAATCGGAACAGAATCACAAGGGCGAGAACAATGTTGGTATTGCGCCCTACAGTCTACGAGCCAGGTTGAGGGGGCTCAAGACATGCTGCCGGAGGGGGAAGATGGGATGTGATGAGCTATAGTATCCCAGGCACCGCTCAGGGGGAACCGCCCAGGACAATTGTCAGAAAGCTCAAGCAGCTTGCTCTCCGCTCGCATTGTAGCCCAGTCTCATGGAGGAGGTCAACTTGGGTTATTAGATTGCGAGCGGCGGTGTCAGGGGACCTACCACGGCGGCAGCAGCAAGAAGCGGTGGGCGAGCCTCGCCACAAAGACCAGGGGCTGCCTTTCCATGAGCTCCCTCAATAGAATCGCTGTCGCGTTCTATAGCAAAGCAATCAACACTTCATGCATCACTCAAGCAGTGCCTTCGGGCAAAGCTCCTCCGCGCTTCAGTGACACCCCCGTTCAGAGCAGGCCAGCGACAGTGAGTTACCAGACCTTTCCCTGCAATAAGCACACGCGACGAGACCTCGCCCGACGGCAACTACAAGAGAGGACACATTCACTTACTGACGACGTTGAGCAGACGAGCACCCCCTTCCCACCGTCGTCCTGCGCCAACTCATGCGCGGCCATCAAGGCCACAACCCTCCCCCTTCTCGCAGACGATGAGACGACAGAGCACACCAAGCATACCGTAATTACTGTCACCTTCCTCTTGCGCAGCATGCGTGAAACGACAACCCACCCAGCCCCATCGCGTGGACGACAAGACGATCGAGCACACCGAGCACACCGCCAGCGCTACCACCCTCCTCTTGCGCAGCAGGCGCGAGCGACTGGCTCTCCATATCACTCAGCATCTCCCACGACGAAACTGCAAGCAGTGCACCACAGCGTCCGCAACAACGACATCCTCCTGCTCCGCCTCGCGAGAAGCACGCGAAACAAGCCGCTGGCGCAGTACAGAGGACCGTCCAATCGAGCAAGGTCAACTCCTTCACCATCATCTCCGCCGCGCGATGTTACACAATTAACAAGAACGGTCAGCATCCACCTTGGTCACAGCTCAGCTCAGCAAGAAGTTCCACTCACAAAGCAGACGCCAGGTCTTCAAACCCATACCTCGCCAAACTCCCTCATTGACGATAACAGCAGGACGAAACGACGCACACCACAAGCTCCAAGAAGCTTCCTCCCTCCTCTCACCCCTCCCAATCGACTCCGTCAACGTCAATCGAACGCGCAATCCACAGAACCATCGGAGCCGCCTTCACCACCTCAACCGCGCACAGCGACCGCGAAAGATGAGCTGGCCTTACCCAACGACACAGATCCGTCCAACGCGAACAATAGGACGACGAGCCAACTCCAGAAGGCGGACAAGACAATTGGTTGGCGGACCGGTCATCTTCTTTTGCTCAACTCCTGGCGAGCAAAACCGACGCGTCTTCCTTTATCTATGGCAAAGCAAAGAAGCCAAGGAAGCAATCAACAGCCAGCACAGCAAGCAATAAGGTACCTCCGTCCTCAGTGCGATAGAGAGGATGGACGATAAGCTTCCAGCATGCCATGACTCGTATTTGATCGTGAAGAGGACAGCGCTCTAATACTCCGGGAAGAGATGGAGAAGATGTGCTGAGCTGATCGCTTTTCTCTTCTTCGCCTGCTCAATCTCGAGCCAGAGAATTGGTGGGCGTTTCCTGCGACCAGCGGATAGAAGAGATGGATATGCGGCATAAGGATCCTGGCACTTCCGGAAAGGAAGCGTGGGCGACCAGCTTTCATCTTCACCTCCCGCCTCAATCCACTTGCCGCCACCAGTGCTGCGAACAGAGAAGCCTGTCGAAAGGAAAGAGCCTGTCGGGAACGAACGGCCATCACAAAGGTGGCAGGCGGCAGCAGGCATCAAAGCAAGTCGTGGATCGTCTCCTCCGCAACAGGAAGCCGCCGGTGTTCAGCTTGGGAACGAGCCACTCACTTACGACTCAAACGGTGAAGCCGAGGAAGCTATCCAGAAGAACCCAAGCAGAAGTTGCCGTAGACACACGCGTCGAGAAAGTCCAGTCTTTACCTTCCACCACGTCGCCACCGCGATCACTCACACCACGAGAGAGAAGGGCAGTGAGATTGGCGCCGCGCAAGAGACACAGCGATCGCAAGGAGACTCTAGGTACCGGACTGTTCAGCTGCTCCTGCATCATCACGCATGGGACTCGGAATAAACATTCAGTACTCACCATTCTCAAGAAGTAACCTTCGAGCGACCCTCCGGCACCACACGGCCAAACGAGTCCCGACGACCTTCCATCTCGTCCTCCCATCTTCTCTTGGCACAACTCAGAGCAGTGGACGCTCGATAATTCCACCGCCGCCATTTTAATCGGAAAGCGAAAAGAGCAGGAAAATGGATAAGATGAGGACAGGAAGAGGAGGCAGGCAGGCAGGCGGATCATCGCGAACATCGATCGGCAGGCATCGGACACAGTAAACGGGCAGTAGGAATCGAAAGCGAAGACCAGTCGGGGAACGGCAAACGTTGGACTCGAGGCATCGGAGGCATTGGAGGCAAGTGGGCTCGTTCATCGTCTGGATCGGTTCCATCTCGTGTAAGACTCACGGTGCTTCATTAATTCATTCTTCGTTCTTCACTCACCTTACATATCACCCAGCCGTTACAATATCCGCCGCCACAGGGCAAAATGGTCAAGAACATTGAAGCTGTTTCGGGCCCTCCTGTTCCACCTCAGCACCATGTCAGATAACCACCGTTCGTTCACTCACTCACCGCAAAGAACTCTTGAGCTACGGACGCAACGCCGCGAAGACACAGAGCCCAGCGACGGTCATGCATGCATGCTCCTCGTCCTCTTTTGCCTCACACAGAGGAAGCAGCGCGCCGGTTCTCATCTGCCTAGGACTCTATCAACGACCTCCTTCGGCATGCAACTACAGCCACACACATTAGCATCTTTGCCCTCCAATCCACACCCCGCGGAGAAGAGAAAGGACTTACTACGCAGCATCCACCGCCCCCACCCCCTCACACCCCAGCAAACTCAACCCCGCGACCCCAAAGCACGTATGGAACACATCCACCATATCCCCCGGCCGATCCGCCATCCCGCCCTCCTCGGCATCCTGACACCGCAGAATAAACCCCTTCAACCTCTCCCGATCAATCCAATCCAGCTTCCCGATCATCGCGAGACTACTCCCGACCCACCAGCTATAACACACATCGACCAGTTTCATCGGCCGGCCGTTGAAGCCGCCGCTATCGTCGAGTTGGCGTTCTGAGAGCCAGGCGCCTAAACGGTCTTTTCCGCTTTCGCCGAGGAAGGAGTCGAGTTCGCCTGTAATGGACAGCGCGCCGAGACAAGTGAAGATTTGCCCTGCGTGCGACTCGGCGCCGGGGGAGACGCCGAAGCCGCCGTCGTGGTTGAGGCAGGATTTCACGTGGTCGGTTGCTGCTTTGATGTCTATGAGCGGGGGTTCGTTGGGTCGTTGGGAGGGCAGCATGTTGAGTAGGGAGAGCGCGTTGAGGGCGCCGTAGAGGAAGCGGGTGTCGGTTTCGCCCCAGTCGTCGCCGGCGAAGGTGCCGTTGGGTTGTTGGAGGCCGGCGATGTACTCTGCGACTTTCCGTTTGCCGTTCGGAACACTGTCTTCTAGCTCGGCAAAGCCGTCGGTCATGGCGAGGATCTGCACGGCAGAGACGGTGTACAGCATATGCGCGTCATGACCGGGAGCAGCGCCGAAACCGTCGTTAGGGTGCAGGCAGCTGAGGACGAAGGCGACGATGCCTTCGCGCGGTAAGGCGGAGGGGTGGTGCAGGAGGTGTAGCGCTGTGAGGCCCCAGTAGATGCCGCTGATGCGGAGGTGTTCGGTGAGGTGGTATTCGAGTTCGTCCCGGCGCTACTATGGTGTCAGTGTTAGCATGGGGTGAAGGAAGGGAGGTAGTGGAAGTACAGTGTCGAGGGATTGGATGTAGGAGACGTGTTTGTCGACTACTAGGCGCAGCTCGTCGGGGAGCTGGTCGGAGATGGTGCCGGCGCGGCCGGGGCCTGCTGCGAGGGACATGGTGGAGGTTGTTGGAATGAGGGAGTGGATGAGATGGTGGGTGTAGGCTTCACTTTAATGCTGAGACGAAAGTGTTTGCCTGAAGGAGGCGGTTGGACCCCGCTCAAGGTTCCCCTCAGATTGCGCGCTGCGTGTTGCTGTATAGACGACACTTTGGGAGGTATCCAAACCCTCGTTACCGTTCACATAAAGATAGAATGTAAGTACACTGAAAGTAAAAGAACGAGTGAGGTCAAGCAGCTCCGCGACAGGCTTGGCATTCAGGCGGGCTTACAGGGAAGGGACCTTGACAGAATGACTTGCCTTAGCGCTGCACTGTTTGGTGGAGCAAAAAAGGGTTCAGGGAACGTGTGACTTATGCAATGCGCAACCACGGTTCGATTGACTACTAGCTGCCGAACAATATCTCGCATTGGAGAGCTTGGTTGACTCGCCAGGAGAAGGAGGTGCCTCTACCGAGTCGTCGAGGTCCGCCCCGCGCCTTTAACACTCAGGCAGGCACACGGGCGACGAGCCTTGGGTGGAGTGTTTCAGCTGACTCCCTCCCGCTGCCATCCCGCAGTCGAATGCACACCAGAGAACTAGCCGCCTACTTCTATACATCCCCTGCTGCCCTCTGCATACCCGCTTCCGAAGAGCTCGCCCACAAAATCCCGACCGCCTCCCGCACTCGTTCAGAAGTCGGCGGTGTTGACAGCCTCGCCGGACTGTTTGCGCCGGACCAGCAGCGATATCCGCAGCACACGGTCAGCGTCAGACCGCGTGTGTTATACGAGGAGGAACACCCCGGAGTAGTTCGAGCCGAAAGGGCGACGACAAGAGGCGCAACGCCGCAGGGTACGTCTCTTTGTTCTCCCCACCCCTTGCACATTGTTTGGGGTTGCAGTATATCAGCCCACAACAACAGCGCTTCAAGAGCATTCAGCAGGAATATACCCAGATCATGTGCTGATAGATCCTCGCGCACGAGCAGGCTGCACCCCATGTGCCCGTAAGATCACAAAAGTCCCGCCCCGGCTCGCTGGGCCACCTACCACGAGCAGTGACCCCGGAAGCGAGGAGGGTTCCTGCGCATTACTGCCCACACCGCCGCCATGCCTCGACAATCCAAACCCAAACCCGCCGACCTCACCATCAACGCCAACGTCTCCTCCAGAAAAGGCAATGCAACACCAGACCCGAAGAGTAGCCCGATGAACCTGGAGGGCATAGACCTGTCGTCCTTTGGCGGAGACATCGGAATGGACATTGCTGAGCTGCCACCGCTGCCCCAGTCACCGCCCCTACCGCAGTCGCCTGGTCGGCACAACAGAGAGGCTTCCAAGAGTGGTGTCAATGGCGCGAATGGCACCAAGAGCCGGTCAATAGCAGTACCTGAGGGAGCGGCAGAACATCGATCGCAATTACGACACGCCAAAGACGATGAAGACATCCGGCCGAACAGCAGCAGCATGTCAAAAATATACCACCTGCGCAAGAACCCCGGCAGCACGCCCGAGCTCAGTCTGGTCGGCAGCAAGGAGAATGTGCGCAAACAATCGAATGAAGGTGAGTCAATGTGAGCTTTGTGTGCTCGTGAGAACGTCCGTGCCTGCCTTATCTGGCTGTGAGAGCTGTAATGATGTTTCAAGTGGTGGCGTGACCTGGTCTCAATCTCACCTCACTTCGGCTGGTTCGATTGAGGCTTCAGTCGCAACTTCAGCCTTGCTCGATCCACCACAACAACATTGCGCTTGCTGGTGCCGGTGCCGGATGGTGCACCACCATTTACGCATTGCATACATGTGCTGACAGTTCGATTTCAGGCAGTCCAGTACCGGCTGACATCAGGCCGCAACCGTCACCGCACCACAGTGAAAACAGCATTAGCGTGAGGCGAAAAGACAAAAACTTTCGAAACCCGCTCGCACGAACAAAGTCGATACGGCGAGACTCTCACTCAAAATTGAAACCAAACGGTATACCAACATTCCACCAGCCACTGAAAACCGCACCCTTGGCGGCTGAGTCGAGAGAAACTTCAGATATGTGGTTTCTCAAGTCGAAAGGCCAGGACCGCCGCGGCAAGTCCGCTGACCGCTCAGTGACCAGCCAGAGTCAAGAGAACCTTGCAGCACGAGCGGGCAAGGAGAAGGATGGGAAGGGATTTGTGTCAGGCAGCAGGAATGTCATGTCAAAGGCGGTCACTGGAGGTGGCAACTTGTTCAGTCGACTGGGCAAGGTGGGGAGGAGCGGCAGTAACACCGCAAAGGAAGTCCCGGACAGCGAATACGTGCCGAAGATCATCCATCTTCCACTTGTCGAACAGACGCGGATCACGAGAATTAGCAAAGATCTGAACAAGTGTCGCGACAAGACGGAATTCTGGATGCCGAGCCTGCCGTGGAGGTGTATTGAGTGAGTTTGCGCTCAATCTCACTTCATCATAGGTCACATGCTAATGTTCGACCAGCTATCTTAACCAGAACTGCGAGTCCGAAGGCCTGTACCGAGTTCCAGGCAGCGGTCCGCAAGTCAAGCACTGGCAACGCCGCTTCGACACCGAGCTCGACGTCAACCTGCTCGACGAAACCTCCCTCTACGACCCCAACAACATCGGCAGCATGTTGAAGTCCTGGCTGCGCGAGCTCCCCTCCGAAATCATGCCCAAGACACTCCAGCACAGCCTCGCCGACGACCTCGCCCGCGAGAATCCCGACTACCAACGCATGGGCCAAGCCGCGCCGCAGCGTCTGCGAGATGCGCTCAGTCATCTGCCCCCGTTCAACTATTACCTCTTGTTCGCGATCACGTGTCATCTTAGTCTGCTGCTCAGCCATCAGGACAAGAACAAAATGGACCTGAACAACCTGAGCATCTGCATCGGCCCGTGTCTGGATCTGGAGAGGTGGCTGTTCAACTATCTGGTGGGAGATTGGCGGAATTGCTGGCAGGGCTGTTTTACGGAGAAGGTGTATCTGGAGGCTGAGCGCGCGCATAGGGAGGGCAGGGAGTACGTCATGCCGGAGAACCCGTACCTTCCTACTACGCCGCCGGAGCATCAGCAGGAGCCGCGTCAAGAGGAGCAGCAACGCGAAGAAGAAGAAGAGGAAGCACTCGAGGACGACTCTCCCTCAGCGCCCACCACAACCACCACGACATCATCCTCGCGCGACCGCGAGCGTGAGCGTGAGCGCAACCTCCACAGCAGCGGCAGAGGCAGCGACCGCTCCCGCGGCACCAGCACGCAGGGCTCGCGCTACGAAGACGCGCGCTCGGCGCCGCACTCGCCTATGCCGGAGAATGTGCGTCCGGACCTTTCTCAGACGCAGAAGCCTTCATCGAGGCACGGTGGTGGTGGTGCGAATGGGAATGCGAACGTGGGTCCTGAGCATCGGAGGCAGATGGGGGCGTTGGGTACGGGTGGAGAGTTGAGGAGGCCGAATACTGCGGGGAGGGAAGGTGGAGGTGGGGGAAGTGGTGCGCAGACGCCCCGGCAGAGCCACAGTCGCAGCCAGAGCGAGTACAGGCTTAGTCCGGTGATGCCGGGGTCGCCTGTGGACTTTCCGTTTGGGTTGCGGGAGGGCTGAAGTATTGGTACCGATTTCCAAGACACGATCATACGACCACACTACCACGGCATGATGGCGTACCAACACACACAGCATCGAACGAGCGAGCCCGCAGCCGACGAAACGAGCAAGAGCCATGGCCGAGCGAGCGAGCTTCAACACGGCGCGATATCACAATACGAAATACCTAACACGACTGACTGCATTTAATATGTCCTTGACTCCTGATACCCCTTCTTGACGGCGACGGCGTTTTTCACTGGACGGATGTTTTGGAGATGACGGGAAAGGAGTTTGAGCGATGTTGAATGCATGATTCTTCAATCAACCGAATGATTTGACGTGCGAGGCGTTTCGGGCGTTTGTCGGGAGACTTACTTGACGGGACCTTATGGATGGGCTAGCGTTGGGTCTTCTTCTGCTCGTCGAGAAGGCAGAGGCAGAGGCGGTTATGTATCAGTAGGCACTATACCAATGATTGATCGATTGACAGCCACGTGAAGGAAGCAAGTTAGGACTGTCGCTACAATCACTTCGTCAATCCCAACGATCTCATGCCCTCTCTACTACCCTTCTTCACACCACTCACCCGTCTGAACCTCACCACGCTCCGCGTCCCAGCGCACTTCACGCACCCTCCCCCTTTCTCCGTCCCCATCTCTATGCGTCAGCCATTCGGAAGCCAATACCCCAACCTCCCTCCTCAACGCCTCAGTCCCGGCTTTTGCACCCTTGCCCTTCCCCTTCAAACCCAACCCGTGCGCCGCATCTTGTACCCTGATCAGCCAACTCCTTGCCTCCATCCTCCCGCGCACAGAGTTGAGGTGCGGGAGCGGACACATACTATCCTCAGTTCCGCAGATGAAGAGGACGTCTATGTCTGCTGGGAGGTCGTATAGGATCTGATCCCGCACATCGCCTTTGGAGGCGCCGATGAGCGGGTAAGATGCGAGGACGACAGCTTCAACGGCTGGACTGCGCTGGGAAGCGTTGGCGTTGGTCGCGGCAACAACAGCGGCGCGGGCGCCCATACTCGTACCACCTAACGCGATCGTTCCGCCGTTCGCCTTCACCACCCCTTCGTCCTCACCTTCACCCTCACCTTCACCCCCAGCCCCCGCGTTCGAGAGGTGCGCAAGCACGGCGTCAAACCCACTAACCCGAGATTTGAGATTCATACTCCCCTCAAACGCCCACACCATCCTCCCTGTCGCAGCGAAGCCCTCGCAGAAAAGCTGCACGCCCTCGTTTGCTAGGTCTCCGCCCGCGCCGTGCGTGAAGACCAGAGAGGGAGGGACGGAGGAGGGGCCGTGGCGCTGGCATTGAATGGGGCCTTTGTCTTTCTGGGGGTGGGGGATGGTGGAAGCGTGGAAGGCATCCTCGTTGGGCGAGTTGGTGGCGGTTGGTTCGGTGCTGGCGAAAGACGAAGTGGGAATGGGTGGTTTGGGAGATTCCTTTTGGGCTTTGGGTGGAGGAGAGGTGGTGGTGGTTGAGGGTGCGTTGGGTGGTTTGTTGCGAGAGCGTGTTACTCTGGTTGTACTGGCTTCTGTGGTTTCGTCCTTAGAAGTAGAAGGGGTGGATTCCTCTGCTGGAGGTTCGTTGCGTTTCCGTTTTGGCATCGTCGATGATGATATGGTAGGCTTCCAGGAGAGATTGGAATGTTATGATAATGTCTTCTCCTACCTGGAGTTGCTGCGGACGGTAGGGCGGTTGTTTTGAATCGAGAAGGAGTGGTAGAGACGATCTAGACAAGAGACAAATCGGACAGTCTCGATCCGCTGCCTTGCCAAAGCCTCTCCGCGCCGTCTGCTCGCGCATACAAGGATCTTGCCACCACAGCATAAGGTAGAAGGCAATTCTCAAAAAGGCAGGTGTAAACCTCTTGCAAACCCCTCACTGTCGGTATGAACTCATCAATGCGTTGCAATTGAGACAACAATCAAGGAGCAAAAAGTTGAGACAGCCGTTATGCGATGGATACTTTCACAACCACACACTAACTATACTATACACACCCCCTCCCCCACCTCCCTCCTTCGCCTCTACCACCTCTCGAGCCTGAGCTCTTTCTAGCTCTCCCTCTCCTGCCCAGTTGCCTTTACCAATGTTCTTCCAATCCCATTCGAACGCTATCTTATACCCCAAAAGCCCCCGGAAACGCCCCAAGAACGCCCGTCCCAAGTCCCAATCACAAGCTTCTTTCTGCATTACTCCGCTACGCAGCGCTAATAACGCCAATCGCGTCGTTCCGTCAGGTTCCAACAACCATCGCCCTTTTCCCCAAGGCGCGAAAGCGTTGCGCGTGACGTGGTAGAAGCAGTACTGATACAAAAGAAATTCGTTGCCGTTGTCGTTGCGCCTTTCCCTCCCAGCTCTTCTTCTTCTCCTTCGTCCGTTCTGATATGCCCTGAGGAAGGCCAAAGCGTCCCCACGTCTCTTGTGTAGTAGTAATGCTTGCTCTGCCACAACCCTCCTAATCCTGCGACAAAATAACAAAATGCTGCTCCCAAATCCACCCCAGACTCCCCGTCGCATCATCCTGGTTCTTCGCCAACCACAGCTCCCCCTTCTGCGCGACCACGTCAAACACCTCGCCTTGGACGTAGGTGAGGTAGGGATATCCGCCTTCGCGGCGCGTCTTGTCGATGCTGAACTCGAACAGGCTGGCGCAGACGAACATGGTCTTGAGATTCGCGCCTGTGAGGGGGAGAGAGGGGGTGGTGTCGGGTGTTTCGGGTGGGACGGCGGAGCTGAAGGCGCCGCTGTAGCGGCCGTCGTCCGGGCCGGGATGGGCTGTGTAGTATGTTGCGCCTGAAGCCGGGCGGGGAGACCGTGGTGCCTCGGCGCTGGTGCGTGGGGGGAGGAGGACGGGTTGTTGAGTTGAAGGTTGGTTGGCTGTTGCTGGGCGACTGAGGCTGAAGGAGGACGTGGGTGTGTTGCCGTTGGACCAGGGCTGGTTCGCGAGCATGCCTGAAACCGGTGCCGACGTAGGAGCGCCGTTGTTAGACATTGAGGAGTTGGAACGGAAGCGGGCGTCTTGGGCGAAGGCGAGGTTGTCCCCGCCTGTGGCGGCGTAGCTGCTGCTGCTTCGTTGGTAGGCACCAGACGGTCGTAGGTCTGGTGAGGCTTCACTTCCAACTGACATCGTCCGCTTCGAGCTGTCGAGTGTGGAAGGCCGCTTGGAAGAAGGCGTCTCCGCACCATCAAAAGTCGTCGAAGGCGAAAGGAAGTTCGCCGACTCTGCCAGCACAGCACCGTTGCAGATACCCAACTTGACCAGCTCATTCTGCATCAGGTCAAAGTCCGCCCGGAAAGCCGGCTCGATCTGATGAATGCTCGTCGGAATGTCCTTCGCCTCGAGCACCGGCCGCAGCTTGCGCTCCCACGTGTGATGCCACGAAACCTGTACCTCCAGGAAACAGTTCAGACACCCCTGCACCAGACTGCCAGTAAGACTGTACAGCTTCGGCAGCTCAATCTTCAACTGATCGTTGAGCGCCACGTACAGCTCCGAAGCCTCGATCATCTTCTTATCCGGCTTTTCGCCGCGCTTCTCAACCGACTTGCACTTGGCGTAGTCCACGATGCGGCGCTTGCGATTCGCAATGGCGTTCTGCGGACCGCGGTGCAACTCTATACACGCAATCATAGGGTCGATGACGCGCTTGTGCACCGCGGCCTTGTGCTCTTGGAACGCGATCGAGGTGATTTCGCGGACCGCCTGTCCGTACTTGCGCCATTTGCTCTCCTGCTCCGAACCGCTGCTGACAGTGACGTCGGTGAAGAGGTCGAGGGCGTAGGCGTAGTTATTGACCTGCTCCATCGCCTTCTCAGTCCAATTCATGTAGTTTTGTACATCCCGCAGGCAGATCTGCAGGCGGATGAAGTGGCCACCAAGCTTATGCGCAAGCTGCTCGAACTCCGGGTCTTGGAAGGCTTCAGCGATGCCCACCCGCTCCTTGAGCTTCTCCGTGCGTCTGCCAAAGGCCTTCGCGATACCACTTCGCACATCAGAGTCCTTGCGCTTGCCATTCACAATCTGATCCACGAGATCTGCACGCTTCTTCGCATCATTGATGCGGGTGAGCATGCTCACCGAGTCCCTCGCTGCAGACGACAAGGCTTCTCGATCCGGATGGGCCGATGGTGTGACTTCCAGAAGCTGCTGAAGAAGCATCGGATACTTGGCGATCCTCTGCGTCGGCTTGACCAGAAGAGAGTCCAGATCCCAGGCAGATGTTATATCGCTGGCATTGTTGTGGCACTCCTCAAGCCAGCACTTGACTGTTGGCGTGCTTCGCAGAGCTGACAAACGCTGATTCGCCGCATCGTGATTCTTGAGGTAGCAGCTGTACACCACCTCCATCCGCTGTAGGTTGGACAGGAAGACCTGGCCAATCGTGGTCGTCTTGTCTTTCTCGTCATCGGCACCTTCGGGTGTGGATCCTTGGGTAGTAGCATCGCTCTGCGTAGTCGAGTAGCTCCCTCGCTTGTTCATCCACCGCATCGACTTCGCAGGCACATAAACAGCAGTGACAGCTTTCCGCAGGTCGTCGTAAAAGTGCAACGAGAAGTGCTCGATGTCATCGCAGTTCCCGAATAACACCTTCTTGTCTTCCGGTGAGATGAGGTCTGCCACAGCAGTAGCCTTGTAAATGTCCTCAATAATCTTGAGATCTTGGTGGTAGGTGTACTCGGTGTCGATGAGCTCCTTGATGATGTTCCGCCGGCGCTGCAGTCGCTTCTGCTCTGGCGACGGCGAGGTACCTTTAGCGGCACGGTTCTGAGCACCACCCTCTGTGTCCAGCGAGATCTTCCGTCCAGACTCCGTGAAAGAGCTCATCGACACCGACCCAGGTACTGGAGGTGGCCCAGCCGGACGTTGACTGTCAGTTGATGGTCGAGAGGAGCCCGATTGAGCCCAGACACTCTTGCGGGCCCTGGGTGACATCTCACTCGACTCGCGCTCAGAGTGGGTGGCCGACAGCTGAGGAGCCTCAGCCATACCAAACGGCATCCGACTCGCGGAAGCAGCAGCTGGCGGAGGTGCGGGCGGAGCATAGCTGGGCTGGGGTGGAGCACCAGTCGTCGAGGTCGGACTCTGCGGCAGCTCCGATGCCTTCAGCTCTGCCGGGCTATCTGTCGTCTGCATACCAGGCATGTCGAGCTGCCCACTCGTCGAAATGCGAAGACCAGCAGAGAAGTCGGGAGCAAAAGTGGCGCTATTGGGTCCAAGGCTGGATCTGGGGGTATACCCATCGTCCTTCGGCGGTGGCTGTGGCCTATCGGCCTCCTCATGTTCAAGTCTGAGGTACTCGCCACGTTGCTGCCGCTCCCATTCCTCGTCTGCCTTCCGGATCTTGACGTAGAAGTCTTCTTCGTCCTCTTCGTCTTCGGCCGGCGCTCCGTCTTCCGTGCTGTTTCTGAAGACAACCGCAGTTCCAGTTCCAGCGTCGTAGTCCCACCCAGGAGGCGTGTCCGGAGTGACCTCAGGCACATCATAGGTAGTGGACGGCAGAGTCTCCTGCTTCTCCTCCTCCGGCTCACGGCTCTGCTGACCTTGAACATCAAGAATGCTGTCCAGCAAGCTCTGGATCATGAAGCCATTCGAGCCTTGGTTGTTCGACATCCGCTGCAGATCAACCATATGCCTCTGCATTTCCTCCATCATGCCTTGCGAAAGCGATCCACTTTCTTGGTACTCAGTCAAAGCTCTCGCGACAGCTGGGTCCGATGGTTCGCCATTCGCGTCATAAGCCAGCGATTTTGCAAAGTCGGCTTGGCGGATTGTGTCGTCTCGTCCAGGCCTCTTGCGCGGCGTCACCTGCACATCGGCCTCATGCCCGTCGCTCGTCGGCGAATGCGTGATTCCGTTCGCGGTGTACGCACGGTCATTCAAGTACTGCACCTCTTGCACATCATCCGTGCCAGTACCAGCATGTCGAAGCTCATCGTGCACGTTCTGCGACCAACTTCGCGTAGCTTGATGCGTCTTGTTCGGAGGCTCGTCATCGAGCATGATCTTGATCGAGCCTTGCACGCTCTGAAGTCCATTCGCCAGGCCCCAGCGATCCTCAAGATCACTCGGACTGTCCTCCGGAGACCCAGTAGCACTGTTGTCAAAGTAATCCGACTCAGCCTGCGAACCGCTTCGCTGCCGCATACGCATCACATTCTCCAGCACACTCGGACTCTGCACCTCCTCCCTTGGCGCCTCCTGCTCAGTCGAAATCGGTGTCGGTACTCTGGGCGGTGGCTGTCCATAAGTGGCTGACGTCAGCATCTGGAGTCCACTGGCCCTCTTCTCAGCCCCACGATCCTCTTCTATAGGAGGTCTTCCCAGCACGGGGCTCTCTTCCAAGTCAAATTCAGTCTGCGCTGTGTTGGCAGTCCGCGGCTCCGGCTCGCGCTCCTGCTGACTCGGCACATTGAACGTGTCGACGCTCAAGCCTGGAGTCGGCCAGCCACCAGGCATACTCTCCGTCTCTCGATCCATCAGCTCAGCTTGACGCTCATCCGCGCTGTTCAGCCCCTCTCCTTCTACAGGTGCGCCAGCTCTTGCATCCAACTCACTCGAAACCTGCCTTGACTGCACCTGCCCACTCTTCAGACTCTCATGTGATCGACTCTCTTCCAAGTTCTGCGAGATAGCCTTCTGTATCCTCTCCCTGCGCGCTTCGAAGTCGATCTTGCCCAGCTCAGGTATCTTGCGCCTCGAACGCTCTTTTTGCGGGTCGTACGGCTTTCCCAACCATTGCTCGCTCGGCCTCCGCCCGTCCTTGGAAGATTGTCCCTGGAAGCGCTCGGCGGCTCTGGCGCGGCTGGCAGACGTCGTCGCTGAGCTCACCGGCTGCCTAGGCCGAGATGAGCGTAGCGGTGGTGAAGTCTTCGGCAGCGGCGCCACGATCTTGGCAGAGAGCGATTGCCCACTGTTCGTGGAGTTCAAAGCGGCCGGGTGGTAGCGAGCTCGAGGTACGCTTGAAGGTGTCACGTTCTCTTTGCCATTTGGCTGTGTCCTTCGGGTAGGTGATTTTGAGAGGCGGTTTCGGGAGGCAGGCGGGTTGGACATTGCAGAAACCGAGCGTGGCTGGGCAGCTGAAGTGATAGGTGAGTCTCTGGACATCCTTCGGTTGCTTACAGGTATTCGTGAAGTGGGTGACGCCTCTTTGAGCAGCGCATTCCGCGATCCCGAGTTCGGTGGCGTAGGATATATCGGCGGTTGAGGGTTCTGGTAGAGATTCGGCATGCTCGGGGCAGCCACAGGATGGTTGAAGGCGTCCATATCACTTCGGCTCCGTTTGTGGCTGAGACCATGCGATTGTGGAGGTGACAATGCAGTGGTGGATGCCGGCTGCAGGATGTCCTGATGCGATTGACTTCTCCCGTGCCCAAGTGCAGCACCACCATCACTTGACCTCCGGTTTGTCGTTGCGAATGAGGGCAGAGGTCCATAGTTTCCAAGCTCGAAATTGCCGTTCCATCTCCCATCCGAAGTGATTTCGCCAAACAGCGGCCTAGCACCGGCGTACGGCATCCGCGCCTGCTTCTGCGGACTGAACGCCATATGTGGCTGACTCTTCGTGCTCATGACCGTAGACGTAGACCCAAACGAAGTTTCCGTCCCAAACGACGTCGAAGCAGACTTCGTAGGTGATCTCTGCCCCGACGCCTTCTTCTGCAGCTTGCGTCTATCATCCTTCGCCGGGCTCTTCTGCAGCTTCCGCACCCCGTCTTTCGTCGGCGACCGTGGCGTCCTCGCAACAGGCCTTCTATACCTCTCCTCGCTCGTCCGCACCGTCAACTGTGGCGGCTGCTGTCTCCCATCCGCCGCACCCGCCTGATCAAACTTGTTCGCCATGTTTCGCACCCTCCCGCCTCCCGGCTGCGACGGCATCAACACCGGAGTCGACTTCGCATTGCTCAACGTGTGCGTCTGCTGCTGATTCGCGCCCAAACCCGCACCCGTCCTCTGCTCCTGCGGCCGAGCCATCTGCGCTTCCGCCGACGTCTGTCGCTGCTGTGACTGCAAGTACGGTGATCGAAGCTCACCAGGCGACGGCGCAGGATCATGCGCAGGCCAAAACAAGTGGTCCACCGGCCCCGAAGTCGCGCTCATGACCGGGCTGTCATCGGCGGCAGCGGCAGCGGTGCTTGCGTCCTGACCGCCCGGCCATTGGCTGGCGAAACTTCCCTGAGACTGCATCCCCTTCTGCAGCGCGCTTTCATGGCATTCTTCGAGAACCCAGGCAAGCGTCGCTCGCTGGTTGGTACCTTGCTCGGGTCCTCCGCAGTGCTCTCGTCGCTCCTCCGGTTTAGCGCGACCGGCAAGGTTCTCGTGTTCCCTGTTCGATTGTCCGGGGGTGTTCCCGCCTCGGATGGCGGAAGTGGGGCGTGAAGGAGGTGGTGGCGGGTGGTGTTGTGAATGGTATATCGAGGATACGGTGTGTGATGTTGTGGTAGTCGGAGTGAGGTGACGTGCGATGTGGTCGGGAGTGGTAGTGCAGATCTCGTGATTGAAGGTGAGGCTTGGGCACCGACAAGTCAGAAACGCTCGACCCGCTTCCCACTTCCGAAGCACTTAATAACTCTAACTTTCACTTCTCAACGGGGCGCAAAAGGCTAAAAGACAATGGTCGTCGAAGAGTGACACATCAATTTCGACTATCGAACCTACAGCAGAAATAACCACAGCTACCATCTCCTGCTGCTCGCCACGCGCCCGCGCTGTTGTTGCTGCGAGACCGCATCATCTCCGCCTGACAACCCGGTCAGAGCCAGCAGCGCGCCCCACGAATCCTGCAGCATTCGTCAACTCTGCAGCGGCCATGCTCGGCCTTGATAGGTCGCTTGTATACTACAAACGCATCTTGATCCATCCCCAGGCCCGTTGTCTATCTGCAACTGCTCGAGCCTTGCGTCGTGAGCGCATCGTACCTGCAGACCTGGTGAGCGTGCGACCACACCGTTCCAATAATTCGCGTGGATAGCCGTGCGACTCCAGCCATCAGCGCGATGGGATCGTGAGATAATTGGCTTGAGAGTGTAAACAGAGCACTGAAACCGCGACCATGCGAGCAACGGCCAGGCTGCAGACCTGAGACCGCGATGGTGATGCATGCAGGAGTGGAGACAAGAGTGCAGCGTCCTCTTTCGTCCGGTAAGACGTGCTGTATGAAGAGACCAACGACCACCAGTCGCATCACGGCAACCGTCCCGCTCGCCGAGAAGTCTCCTCAAGCATCGCTGGGCCCATCTGCCTCCCCCTCCTCCATCTTCTTCAACTGATTCTCAATCTTCCGATGCTCAAACGCAAACCCGGGATACAAAAACGGCCTCAAATCAAACCGATTATCATCCGGCGTATAACTCTCCAAATACAACCCAGGCGTCATCGTAGTCATCTTATGCCTGTTGACCGCATAAAACCACATAAACCTCCTCACCTTCTCATACACCGCCCGCGGGCTCCTCTCGCTCCACTCCACCAGCAACCGCTCCCACATCCCCACCATCCCCAACTTCATGCTCTTGCGCAAGCGCCCGAGGATGGAGAGTTCGTCGTACGTGAAGCCCATGTCCGCTTCGTCGCTCTGCACGTACGTGTCTGTGATGGGCTCGAGCTCGGCTGTCGGGACGGCGTCGAGGAAGGAGCGCAGGATGGGGAGGGAGAAGTGGGTTTCGCTCCAGGCGATGAAGCGTTTGAGGTCCGTTTTGGAGATGCCGCCGATGGGGTTGATGTCGGCGGAGGAGCAGTCGTATTTTGTGAGGTAGCCGCGGAGGCACTCGTCGACGTTGGCGGAGCCGAGGATTAGAAGTCCGCCGGTGCTGCCGCGGGAGGTGGGGATGAGTTGGCCCAGGGCGTAGGCGAGGACCATGCGGGAGCGGGATTGGAAGTTTTGGAGGGCGAGGTTCTCGGATTGCGAGCCGCCATGGACTTTGAAGCGGGGCTCGAAGTTGAGGATGCCGGTTACTACTCCGTGCAGGGACTGGACCATGGGGTCGATGTTGGTATCGATGTGGTGGGCGCCGATGGCGGAAGCGAGGTCAGACGCGCGGCTGCGCGTTTCGCGCGAGGATTGCTGTTGCATGCCCATGAAGACGGTGACGAAGAGTTTGTTGCAGAGTTGGGCGGCAGTGAGGTTGGTTGGGTCGGTGTTGTTGCAAAGGCGGGTGGCGTCGGCCAGGACGACGGAGTTGCCGGCAGCGAGCTCGGAGACGACAAGGCGACACATGCTGTAGACTATCACGGAGGTGGCACAGCTGTCGATGCCGCCGCTGAGGGGGATGAGGTAGCCTGCTGCTTTTGAGCGGCGGAGGTAGTCCCAGATCCAGCAGGCTGGGCCAAGTGCGATCTCTTCTTCGGGGAGATGGTAGCGTGGCTCGATGGGTTCTGTTAGTCGTGCGCGGGGGCTGATGTCCTTCCTGCATAGTCGATAGTTGACTTGGACGCGCTCAAGCTTGTGCACCGAAGGCTCGTTTGCCTGCATGCCTCTGCTTCTCGACGTCCGATACGACCAGATCTCATCTAGATCAACCATGGCAGTCTTGACTTCCACGTCCTTGAGTGAGAATTGCGAGCCCTGCGCAAGTACTTTGCCAGAGTTCAGGATCAAAGCACAGCCGTCGTAGTAGAGTCTGTCGCCGTCACAACCCCTCTGATTCGAGTACATGTACACCCCGCCCGTCTTCGCCGTAGCCTCCGTAATTAGATTGATCCTCGTATCCAGCTTCCGTAGCTCATGGTGACTACCACTCGAATTGAGAATAATCTCGATCCCCGCCAGACTGTACAGCGAATGCGGCGAGTTGGGCGTCCACAACTCCTCGCACGTCTCAGACGTAAACGAGCCATCTAGCGCTTCAAACGCCACCTCGCCGATCCTCGTTCTAACCTGCCCCTTCGAAAGCTGCTGGATGACATCCGGCAAAGTATAGTCGTCTACCCGTCCTCTCGGCCAGGGGGTAAAGTACCGCATCTCCCGAAAATTGCCATCGTTGCAGAGGTCCAGCTTCGGCCTGATCGCCAGCACCTCGCCATTCAGAGCAACTAGTCGAGCATTATAGCTGCACCCTCGATGTTGAACGGGGAGACCAAGGTCGACGATGATGTCCTGGCAGTCTTGGTTGGAGATTATCTCTGCGGCGATGTCCCATGAATTGGCGTAGACGTCGTTCTCGAGCCAGTGGTCCAGCAGTCCGTAACCCGGTATACACAGCTCCGGTGTGAGGATAATGGAAGCACCGGCTGCTTTGGCCTCGCGGATGGTTTGGATGATGCGGTCTCGGTTGCCGTCGTAATCGAGCACCCACTGGTTGAGTTGTGAGGTCGCGAGGATGCACTTGCGGGTCATCTTGCTGAAGGGTAGTTGATGTTGTCGTTAATGGTTCCTCGATTTCAGATTTGTGCGATCGAGAGACAGTGCCCTTGGAGTCGCGATGTATGACTGGATCAAACAAGGCAAACGGAGGGCGATGTGGCAGGTGAGGTCAAAGCGAGGTCTTCGCAACCCTAACCGTTGCTAATTGGACCACGAAGATCTCTCAGCCACTCCGATGATTATGTACCTTCAGCGCTTGCGTTCTTCTCTTATTGTGTAGTTCATCCCTGGAAGAATCCGCTGTGGTTGGTCACAGAACAGAAGCCGCTAGCTCACGTCAGCCAAGAGTGGACTTTGACCTCAAGAGTCCATTCCGAAGCTTACTAGTAGGGAGTGGCCGGCGCTAGTGGATGTTCGTCAAGTGTCGACTTGGGAGTTCAAAGTCCACGTCAAGGAGTGTTCTTGGCTCGAAGTTGAACGACGCTAGCTTATGTTCATGTGGCACGACGGCGATGCTGTAGCACAACGCTACGATCGGATCCTTTCACGAGTCTAGGTGTTGTGGACTGTAAATACCGATATCCCTCCCCAACCCCAAGCCCCTCGCCACACCATCACGCCCTCCCCTCCCTCCAGCCTCCCCAAAAGTCCCTCCTCCAAGCATTCGCCAATTCCTTAACCCTCTGCTCCCCCAAAGGCAGCACCTGCGTAGCAAAACACCCCGCCACCCCCTCCTCCCTGCCCACAAACCACAGCACATTCGCCGCGCCACCCCAGACCATCAGACCTGCAGGCTGCTTGATCTCCGGGGCCTCGCCTTGTAGCAACAGGCCCAGAAGCCCGTGGTTCACGCTCTCGGAGGGCACGGGGCCGGAGACCATGTCCCATGCAGGACGGAGCTGCTTTAGCATGGGGATGGCGGGGGAGGAAGAGGGGATTTGGGGTTCGAAGGCCATGGAGATCGTGGCTGGTGTCAGGAGTTTCGGGTCACCGGAGACGAGGTCGGCAAGCACGGCAGTGAAGTCGCGCATAGTCATCGTGAGGCCGGCACCGCCTTCTTCGTCATCTGGGTTGTCGCCTACAGGTAGCTCAGCGGGCTCAAGGCGGCCTGTATTGGAGCGCTTGACCATCTGCAGTAGCCGCGCTTTGTACTCTGAGTGGCGGGAGAGGTGGAATGTAGGGAAGGGAGCTGAGCGACCGACGGGTTTCCAGATGCGCTCGATCATGTAGTCTTCTAGGTTCATGCCTGAGATCCGCGCAACTGCCACGCCAGCCCAATCGAGTCCGCAGCCGTATTGCCAGCCTTCGCCGGGTTCGAAGAGGAGGGGGTAATTGTACTTCTCCACGACCAGATTAGTGGGTGGACGTTGTGCGTGATTAGCCCATTTGGTAAGTAAAGGATGCAGGAAGTAGTATCCGAGCCCTGAAGTATGGGTTAGAAGATGCCTCGCTGTTATAGGAGTGGTGCTAGGACGGTAGACGGGACCGGAGTCGGAGAAGGATTCCAGAATGGGGCGAGAGGCAAGTTCGGGCAGGATGCGGGAGTGGGCTCGTCGAGGGTGAGGTGTCCGGCTTCGATGCATTGGAGTAGGGCCATGGAGGTGAAGAGTCTGGTTGCGGAGGCCGCTTTGAAGACGAAGTCATCCTGGAGAGGAGGAGCGTTGGGGAAGATAGAGGCGTGGCCTGATAGTTTGGAGTAGATTTGGTTGCCTGCATCAGTATTCAGTAGTGTGACACTGTGGGGTGGTGTTGAGACAAACCGTTCTTATCTACGCATTTGATACCAACGCCATGAACATTTGCTTGGCTTTGCTTAGTGCTTCTGGCGAGCAGGTCGTCATGGCTTACAAGAGTCGCTAAAGTCAGCGGTAAAGTAGCGCCTTTTCAATTTACAATCACGAGCCAAAGAAAGTTGCGGTGTGCCGCTCGTGGTAACTTAGCTTCATCTTGACCTACCCCAGATGCGGTAGATATATGCAGCTCACGGAATTGAGCAGCTGTGCGAAAGCGAAGTCCGTTCCTCGTATCTCTTGCTGAGTACATGTACCCTCAGAAGGAAGCGTGTCAACAGAAACAGAGTATGCACAGCGGAGAGAAAACTCAATCGAGTCAGTGCGGTTGACAGGTGAAGTCAATAACCCGGAGCCTCCTCGGCAGGTTCCAGATCGTCAGCCCACCGCCAAACGTCTGGGGCTCGCAGGCTCGCCTTTCCGAGGGACCGCCATCTCCCTGCCTTCGTGCCACCGCTCTGAACCCACCTCGCCCACCACAACGCCGAGGAAGTTCTGGCGCCCAGACGTGCGGTGGCAAAGCGCCAATGGAAAGACGACCTGCCTTCTTGTCGATAGCGGGGCCGTTGCTCGTTTTCCCAGCTGCAGCTGCGTCTGGTGTATCTAGAGCTCAGAGCCGCAGCCGGTCTGGGCTTAGTGCGATCGTGACTACTGCAGCTTGCCGTGCCTGCAGCACCCAGCCCTTGCCACTTTGGCAGATGCATTGCGCGGCGGCAAGTGCGACCTTTCATCCATACCGCAACGACAGCGCAGAAAATTGAGAATAAAGTAGATGATATGAAGATGATGGTGCTCGTGTCAAGCAGATTAGAAGTCGTTTGCAATCTCATAAACCTAACGCCAACCGAGATATCAGAAATGAGACGATTCACGCTCGGGAATCTGTGCGCCGAAGCCAGGCGATGCTTCGAGACTAGCGCGGCGCAAGCAAGAGCGTAGTGCATACATTGCCCGCCTGCCCGCCAACCCGCCTGCCTCTCAGCAAGTGCTCAAAAACCCGCCTCTCGCCTTCATCACTTCCCACTCCTGCTCCTCTTCCGTCGCCAGCACACACAACACACCCCAACATCATCTCCATCCACCGTCGAGTCCGCTCATCACATCAATAACGACGAGTGCAATTGATTGCTTGGTGAGTAACTCCGCCATCAACAGAGCTCTTGTCAAGCTCTTCTGCAGATCTCCAAGCACACATGCTGACGTGGTCCATTCTCCAGCATTGAAATACTCCATCCTTCCACACGCCACCCACACACCTCACCACCACCACCGCCGACATGTTCTACTCCACCCTCCTCATCGCCGCCACCACCCTCCTGGGTGCCGCGAGCGCGCAAAACACCACCACCGGCCCCATCGAGATCGACCCCAACAGCGTCAACGAGACCACCCGCCAGACATGGTGCAACTACCAGCAGCAAAACTGCCCGCTCGTCTGCGGCGGCCGCGGCAACCTGGAAGAGAACAACTGTGATGCCGTAAGCACTGCACCCTACTCTCGCCCACCCAAACCACATACACTAACTGCCTTGTCTTCACAGAGCGATCTCACCTGGGACTGCACCTGCGTCAGCAACACCCCCAACATCACCTCCTTCACCAACATGATCCCCTCCCTCGAGTGCGGCGTGTGGGTGGAGCAGTGCGTCGCCGCCGCCGGCAACGACCTCAACGCCCTCACCGCCTGCCGCTCCGTCCAGTGCGGCAGCCGCGACCCGGGCTCCGTCGACTCGGCCGGCTCCAGCTCCGGTGGCAGCAGCAACAGCGGCGGCTCCTCCTCGTCCATGGCGGCTTCTAGCGCATCTGCCTCGGCGACCGGCGGGAGCGGCGGCAGCGGCAACTCGCCCAGCATGTCCTCGAGCGCCTCGGCGGCGGCTAGCAGCACCGGCGCGGCGGTCGCGTTGAATGTCGCGAAGAATTACGGGACCGGGATCGTGGCGGCGGGTATGCTGGGTGTGTTCGGCCTCGCGCTGTAAGCGTTGTGCCTTTCCACAACAACACATCATCATCATCAGTCGGATCGAACAACGGTGGAAGAGGGTCATCCCTACTGCAAAGCATTCGATGGCCGATGGATGGAACGCGGGCGGAGCGGTTATCATGAAGTAACGAGAGCAGTACTCATCAGGCGTTTCCAGCGTTTTTAGCGAAGGTTGGAAACCTTATGTATGCATGTGCATGAGATAAGGGTGTCCCTCTCCGATGCGAGCGGTGGGATGCGTATGGTAATGAGGATGGGAGAAGAAACTTGTGCATTCAACCAACTTCACTACTTTTCTTCATGTCTCGCTTCATACATCCTTGCTTCCTATTAGGTCGTTGAGTAGGACGTATGAGGCCGTGACAAGGTGCGTGAGATGGTGATACCAGCACCGTGGTTCGCCGTTCTTACTGTGTGTGTATGCTACTGGAGGTGTATCATCGTACCGTGGGTGGGTACTGCTTAGGCTTCACGCGAGCCATACGATGTATACCGTCAGTACACTACATGCGTTGGCGTAAACACTCGTGGCCACATCAGGATCTCCCAACCAGTCGCCTCGCCGCCATCAGCGACCGTTCATCGCTCCGTTCCACACCACCGCACTCCCCTCGCCACTCCATCCCACAAGACTACTTCGTCCCCGGAAACGCATCCTTCCCAGCCGCCTTACTAGCCTCAAGCGCCCCCTTGAGCTGAAACTGCGAGCCGATCCCCTCGACCCGATGTGTCGAGTTGATATTCTTGACCAGCGTGATCTGGTAGCACGTCGCGCTGCCCTGGCGCGAGATGATGGTGCTGTAGGCGAGGAAGAACTCCCAGATCTGAGTGATTACCGCCGATTAGCACACAATGGCGGTGGTGGGCGGGTGAAAAGAAGGAGCACATACTCTGAACCACTTATTCCCGTACTTGGCGACAATCTTGTCCTTGTTCGCCATCCAGTTGCGATACCACCTCCACAGCGTCGCGGAGTAGTGGACTCCAATCGTATCAATCGCCTTGACCTCAAACCCAGCACCCTCCAACTTGTCGACAAAGAACCCCAACGGCGTCGAAGCGTCCGCCCCGGGGAAGATGTACTTGTTCATAAACAACCCCCAGATCAAATCCTCATACTGCCAGCACTTCCGCAACCCGGCGATCTGCAGGAAGAACACCCCGTCATCGTCCAGCATCTCATAGACTTGGCTGAGGAAAGTGCCGAAGTAGCGCACGCCGACGTGCTCCGCCATTTCGAGACAGGTGATTTTGTTCCACCCGCCTTCTGGGGTTGGGATGTCGCGGTAGTCCATGCACAGGATCCGGCTTTGTTCTTCGCCGATGCCGGCTTTGCGGAGCCCGCTGTTGCCCCAGGCGGTTTGGTTGCGGCCGAGCGTTACTCCCGTGGCTTGGGCGCCGTAGTTGACGCTGGCGAATTTGGCGAGGGTGCCCCAGCCGCAGCCGATGTCGAGCAGGCGCTCGCCGGCTTTGAGGCCGATCTTCTCGCACACGATGCCGAGTTTGTTGTCTTGGAGCTGCTCTAGCGTCTCTTCTTTTTGGATGTCCGAGATGATGCCGCTGGTGTAGATCATGCGTGGGCCGAGAAACCAGCCGTAGAAGTCGTCGCCGCGGTCGTAGTGGTCGCGCACTTGTTCTTCGTCTTGGCTGCGCGTGTGCATGATCACCTCGGGCATCATGCCTGTGAGGAAGAACCAGAACAACGACAGCGTGAAGCGGAAGTTCGCCCAGTCGTGTCTGTACTCTAGCGCTTCCAATGCGTCGCCGTTGAAGTCGACTTCGCCAGCGAAGTACTTCTCATGGAATGTCTCCATCGGAATCCTGTTCTTGCCCCTGTACTTGCGCTTGTCCGCCTCGCTCTTGAAGGTGAGGTAGTGCTCGATGGGCGCCCCAGCATACCGGGCCTTCTCTGTTTTGCGCGGGGACATGGAGGAGGCGATCGTCCAGAAGGCCATGAGGATGGGGATGGCGGTGAGGATGGCGAGGGGGACGAAGGTGTAGAAACCACCTCGCACTGTCCATGTTAGGTAGCCTGGGATGATGGTGAGGAGGGTGAAGAGGAGGAAGTTGTTGAAGGTGTCCGAGCCGGGGCCGTCGGCGGGGAGGGGGGCGTTTTTGATGGCGGGATACTGTAGTACTCATGTCAGTATGCGTATGTCTGCGGCATTGGAGAGCTGGTCCTACAGAAGTCGTCCGCACGCCATAATCGTTCTTCTCCGGTGCAGGACTCGGCGCCGCTGGCGTTTCGACGAACTCGAAGGAGTCTTCCGAGACTGCTTTGCCGTCGGACGACATGATGGCGGTGGTAACGAAGGTCAATGGCCTGGGAAGAAGCTGCAGAGGTGGAAGAAGAGACTCGGTGAGCTCGAAATTCTGGGCCTGGGAGATCTGCAAACTGCAGGGTTGCTGCTGATCAGGGCCAAAGGCAAGTCGGGGCGAAGGTAGAATCTATAGCCGATGGCATCTTTCCTAGTTGGGTCAATCACATGAAATCCTACTGTATCTTCACGCTGCGAGAATCGTGTACGAAAAGCGCACAGAAACCGAGAAACCACTGTCGGCGTAACCTCAGAAACTCGGGAGACCTCGCAAGTCCAGTAATTATATATCCATTCCAAATCCAACGTTCCACCAAGCAATCAAACTGCTACGCCATTGAATGAAAATGGTTATGCTGTTTGTTCTTGACCCGCAAATCTCAGAGATATCTAACCGGCCTTTTCATTAACGAATTAGTTGGCATAGTGAGTCTTTCAGCGAAGATCCAGTCCCGTAATTATCAAAGTAAGCGGCTGTGGGAGTTGATTGACGGTTCGACAATCATGATAGTTGGGATTCCACAGATGAAGTGGGACGAATGAAGTGGTTGAACTTGTTGGGGGGTTCTTTTTTGTTCATATTTCTTTTGAATCAGTGCGATTCGACGTTGCTTTGTCTTTTCGTTGGGGGTAGGAGTAATGAGTAGATCGGTCAGAATACTTTCTCTCGGTTCGTCCACTGACAATTAACTATTCGAGTCCAGAGTATTCAACAGCTCTCGTTCATTGAACATCTTGGAGATAGACAAGCGTATCTACCCAAGAGGAACATCCTGTCAACTGAGTTCCGATGTTGTCAACCGTCGGCTACGTCTGACAGACTTGGTCTCAGCAGCAGGCGTAGATTGAACAACGACAATGTTGCTGCTCGCATCCGTGACCGATCCTTCGCCATCCATCTCCAAGGCCGGCTGCTGCTGCTGCTGCTGCTGCTGTTCCTTTTCAACTTCATTCCAATGCCCATCAGCAACAACAGTATTAGTCTCCACAGCCTCCGCACCAGCAGCCTGCGCAGCGAACTTTCTCTCCTGCGGATCCTGAAACTCCATCTCCCCCTTCACCGCCTTCTCCATCTCCTCCTCAGTCGCCGCCCTCTTCTCCCCAGTCTCATGATCCCAAATCCACCCCTCCCTCAACCACATCCACCGCAAACAAGCCCTCAGCTCCTTATCCAACGGCAAAACCCTCTTCCACTCCGGCTCAAACACCTCCCCACCCTCTCCGACCCTCGCGCCCTTCCCGTTATAGTCCTCCGCAACCCCCCGCACCACATCCCGACAAAAGATCCTCCAACTATCCCATGCATACGGTCCACACCCGGGTACATGTCCAATCTCCAACCCCCCTTCCACCTCCACCGCATCCCCTTCAATCAGAGCCCGCTTCTTCAACTCCCTCCCATCGCCTTTAGCCGGATAATGCAACGTCCGCCACCTCGTCCCCTTGACCGGCGGCTTCTCCACCCACGCCTTAGCCATCTCAATACACCGTCTCGACCTCGCTTTGTACAACCCCAACTTCCAAACCAACCCCCTCAACTCCTCCTCATCCGCCTCCGCCAATCCCTCAGGAGTTCCGTACTGCTCCTTCAACCCCCAGAAAACCGGCGCCGCGGCTCTTCCGGTCGTTTTGTTTAGGAAAGTGGTAGCGATGAGGAGCCAAAATGGCTCCCGCCAGAGTTTCTCCTGGATGATGCCGAAGTAGGGACAGCTGATGGGTGGAATGGGGGCGATGGAGGTGCCGGCGGGGACACGGGCTTTGCGGCCGGAGGCGGTGGTGTTGTAGAAGTCGACGCGGTCGATGAGGGTGGGGTCGAGGAGGGGTTTGGGTGGGGTGAAGTAGGTGCTTTTCTTGCCAGTGGATTTGCGTTTTTTCTTGGGCTTGACGGGCGTGGGAGTGGTGGGGGTCGGTGATGGCTCTGCCTGTGAAGGTTCTTGGACGCAGATGTTGGCAGCAGCATCTTCGACTACTGGATTCTGATCCGGGTCCTCCGCCGGCACTGGCTGGCTGTGTCGACGTGTTGCTGATTTCGCGGCCTGTGGCGCCCGACGTCTTCGGATCGCTGGTCGTGCACTGAAAGTAGACTTCATCATGTCTACTGCTCCAGAAGTTTCTTCACATGGAGTCATCTTTGCTTCTCTCTCCTCATCTCCGGCGTCAAGTGTTTGCTCTACGCTGACAATAGCAGGCGCCGTCGTTCGCCTAGGCTTCTTCTCTGGTGAAAAGTGCTTGCTAGTCGTGCCAGTCATCTTGCGCTTCTTCTTTGGCACAGACTGGACCGCAATAGTGTCATCGGCGGATTCAGTACGATCGCGGACAGGAATTTGATGTGCGAGGTCGTTTAGAGGAGGCTCGGAACGCGCCACGGGATTAGGCGGCGTAGGTGTTCGACTGAAGTTGCTGAGCGGACTACTTGAGTCGGAGTTGCTCCCGGCTGGGCCATGCATAGCAACATTGATGTTCTCGCCCATGCTGCTCTCGGATGTCGCAGGATTCACGTAGAATGAATCCGTCACGGCAGTGTCGACATCGTCTTCCACCATTCGCGCAGCATTGCATATTACAGAGACAGGCAACGCCGGACCCAATTTCTGAGCGTCTTTGAAATGCCAGAATCCTTCTACCATTCCACGGCTCCAACGTCGATCACTAGAATCCACATCCATAAGTTTTGTCCCTTCCAATTGAACAGGCTCCGGCGGCGAATCAAACTTACTTGCAGGGAGCGGCCTGGTAGCAGTGAGCATGCCTTCCGAAACCTCGTCCAGAGCTAGGAGCGCTGCATCAGCGTCTGCTTCGGTGACATCGAAAGGATCTGGCTGTGAGGGCGATGAGATCTTACTGGCTCGATGAGCTGAACCAGTCCCTGACGGAGCCCCACCAGTCTCCAGGCCTAAAAAAGAGCCTTGTCGTTTGATGCCGACGTTGGCTGGCCAGGAGGAGTTGGGTGCTGATGTTGCTTGAGCGAGCTGTGAGCTCACACCGTTGGGAAGTGTCATCGCTTCGTCGGAGGACTGTTCATCCTTCGAGATAGGGCGAGGAGGCGTCTCTGCTGCACCAGCATCGCTCTCGCCTTCGCTCTCATCCTCGCTAGATTCAGTGATGCCGGCAGAATTAATTGTGTCGTCGCCAGCGGTGCGTCGTTGCTGCGAGTCCGCTGCAGCGGTCTTATTGTCGGCAACGGTAATCCTTTCACGATTATTGCCCTGGTCTGTATCGACCTCAATTGACTGATCTCCGTCAAGCTGCGAAGGCTTAAGAGTTCTGGTTTGCTGCTGTGGTTGTGTAGCGAGAGAACTGTCTGAAGCGTTTTCCATCCTATTCCTTAAGGCGGTCTCGGTGAAGACATCCGGTGTTTTATTAGCTGTTGAAGAGCTGGGCCTACCACCATTTCGTATTCCATCTGCTGGCTTCGCAGGTACTGCCTGTGAGCGTGGCTCCTCCTCTGACTCGCTCTCACTATTCTCGCTCTCATCATCACTGGAATCTGAATCTCCACCATTGACGAAAGCGCTGAACCGCCTGAATGCCGCTTTCACATCCGAGTCCTCAAGCTGAGAAGGGACGCTGTTGGGCTTCGAGCTGACAGAAGTGGTCCGAAAGCTCACAGCTGCCGGCGGAGGAGGCTGCAGCCGTTGCAGTTGCTTGTATTCTGCTGGTGTCGCCTTCGGTATCGACTCTGGTATTGAATGCCGTGAACTGGAAGCTGATGGTGATGCGCCGCGTGAGCTGACAGAGTTTGTCTTAGGCGGCTTTGGGTCGCTCTGAGGAGCAACCCGCTCTGCCGACCTTGGCGCCGGCCCAGACGGTATGGAAGCTGATGAAGGTGATGAGCGGCTTGATGGACGAGATGCAGCTCCCAACTCTGGCGTACTATCCTCGGCGCATTGTCGAGCTGGCCCTTCTCCATGGTCCTTCCACTCCTTGGCCTTCAGTGGCACCAGCCGCGTAGTGGCGAGCCGAAGAAGAGCGGCACGGTCCAAGCCCTCGCTGATCCCATGCTCGGCTCTCGATTTCTTCCGTCTTGATAGCTTAGGTGGCTTTTGGCCTGCAGAACTGTCGTGTTGGCTAGTAGATGCGAACAGCTCTGATCTCCGCCGGTCTCTCCTCCAACGCTTCCTTTGGCCTTTGCTGAGGTCCTTGGGAGCTTGTGGTGTAACACCTTGGATTTCCTCTGGCATCAGGATGTGACTGTGCGTGATAGATGGCGTGCCTTCGACGGCGCCGGTCGTTGTAGCCTTCTCGGCGGGCACGCTCTGGTCGGAAGTTGCTTTCAAAGCCTTCGAAGCCTTGCGCTGTTTCCTTTTCCTCGAGCGCTTCTTAGCGGCTCCAGTGTCCTTTTGATCAGACGGACCCGTTGGGTTTGCGTGGTTGGCAGCTCCACCGGCCGGCCTGCTTCCTGCAGTCGAGTGTCGGCCATTCTCTGAGGCTTGCGGTGGCGGACTTCCTTTGGACTCTCTTCTAAACCTTTTTTGGGCTCTTGATAGCTTCTGAGCGCCCTCTGTAGCTTCTACGCCCTCTGTCTCTGAGCGTTTGCGCTTCGCCATCGTTTCTGATTATGTCATGCTGCAGTATCCAGGCGGATGTACAGAATGCAAGACATTAAGGATCCGGACACGCCTTTAACAACCCATCAACATATCCTACAGCGTTGAGTTCTCCGAGACCAAGACGGATTAGAAGTGGCGGGAACGGTAAGACGGTGCGACGTGATGAATTCGCAGGAGGGAGAAGGTAGGTCAGAGCAGACTTCGAGGGTGATGTGAGGTCAAAGTTCAGCGCACAGACCCACAACGAAACGGAAGGCAAAATGCGACAGGTGACAGCACTCCCTTAAGGTTGCAGAACAAGTTGCAGGTTACGAAGCAGACGCTAAACAGAGTGCTAAAAGTGCCGTGTCTATCCCCAGCAAAGCAATCAAATCACAGCATGCATACTCGCGTAATGCTCAATCGCTGCCCAGCGGCCTGGGTACCGCATCATCTACCCTATCTCGTGTGCTCGAATGGAAGGCCGTTGTAAGCAGTCTGCGCTCACATAAAGTCATCACTGTCATTAGGTTAGCACAGTGAACTCATAGTCTGCACGGAGCAACTCACTCATCAAGCCCGTCGTCGTAATTCGTGACATCCGCCTTCGCCGACACATCCCTGTTCGCACTCAAACTCGTCTTCGTCTTCACAGCCTTCGTCTTCTTGCCACCCTTCTCTGCCGCCTTCTCCTCTTTCATCTTCTCGTTGCTGATGGTCGACAAAGCACTGCTAATCTGCTTCACCTGATCGCTGTTGAGATCCTTGACCAGCTGCTTACTGAACTCCTTCATGAACGATGCGTACTGCGGCTTCTTCGAGTTGGCCGTAAGTAGCGGCACAAGCGCCTCTCGGAGCTGCGTGAACTGTCCCAAGGTGCTCGGGTTGAAGATCTTTAGCTTGCTCAGGTCGACCGTGCTCGTCGGATCATCGCTATCCTGCACAGTCACCGGCTTCCCTGCTGCACGCGTGTTTGGGACACCACCGACGCCGCCGAAAAGGTCCTCGGCGTTCTTGAGGTCGCTGGCCTTCTCTGACTCTCGGAGTCGTGCACGTTTCGTCGCCTCATCTTCCTCCTCGTCGCTGCTCTCGTCCTCCATCTCCCGCCGTCGGCGCATGTTCTCCTGGCGCTTCTCTTCTATCCGCTGGGACTTGGACTTGTGGCTCGCCTTCGCAGCAGCGTCGGCCTTAGCTTTGGCTTCGGCGGCTTTCTTTGCTTTTTCGCGCTCCTCCTCGCTGTCTTCGGCGGCGTCCCATGACTCCAGCACGTCGTCATCTTCCTCATCGTCGAACTTGCCTCGCCGCGCTGCGACGGCTGGAGGAGAAGAGGGAGGCGTGCTGTCGGAGTCTTCGTCGTCCCACGAGGTGGGTGCTTTCGAGGGCGCCATGATTGCGGTTGCGATTGTTCGTTTGAGTGGCGCTTTGTCTTGCTGCGATCGCGTCAAGTCTGTGGGTGTTTGCGGTGACTGGTGCTGGGCTGGCTGTCAAGAAGCGTGCTGAGAGTGGCAAGTGTCGAGAAGACTGTGTCTGAAGAGTTGTTGAAGGGGTGAAGAACAATTTCGGAAGAGCGTTTGAGTGTGAGTCGATGTCGGAGGACGACGTGGGGCTTTATTGATCTAAGCCGCTCGGATCGTGACGCCACGTTCTTCCGCTGATAGTCACGAATTTCTGCCCAACTCCAATATTAGCTTGCTGCAAGATGTCGAACATGCAGGAAGCAGTCATCACTGGACGTGAGAGGTCAGAACTGCGTAAGAGTCATATTGTAGATTTGGTGCCTTCTATGTTTTGGCAGCTGGGAGCAGTGGAGATGCTTGTAGGTCTGGTATAGCCGTGGCACGACGAGGTATGAGGCATTGCAGCAGGTCTTCGTATATACACACTCTCGCGCTCTACATTCTGGCTTAATTGGAAACAAAAGTGAAATCAGAGTAGAAATATGGAACATAGCATGTGCACGTGACAAACTGCACGTGACCGCCAAGATCAATTCCCTTCCTGGCTAGCGGCTCGCCATCGCGACAACTCCAGCTCGAACGCCAGCTTGCAGCCGACTTTTTGACCACCATCAACTCCTTAATACCACCCCCTCCACCCACAGCGCCTGTTACGTCGTCACGAGTCTCATTCGCTCCTTTCGAACCTCTGCTTCTCCGTCGAAAGCTTTGCCCCCAATTCCATCCAGCGCCGAGCACAGCCCGGGCTGCAACAAGACGTCGACAACAGGAACACGGCGTTGCGCCAGTACAGCCATTTGATGCGGTTGTCCCGCTGAACACCACACATCATGGCTAACAGGCCGTTGCCCATCAAGTTCACGGAGATTCTCCAACTGAACTCCGTGGGCATCCTGGTGAGTCGGATCGCGGCGCAAACGAAAAGGAGAAGTTACGCAAGCTGACAAGCAGCAGCAACAATCGATAGGATTCAACTCGACAACATTAGAATCCGACCACTTCATATGTGTGCGCCAGAAGGCTGACGAGAATGCCTCGCCTGAGGTCATCATCGTCAACCTCAAGAATGGCAACAGCGTGATGAAGCGGCCCATCAAGGCCGACAGCGCTATTATGCACTGTGAGTCCGACTTCATTCCACCCCTGATCGCGCGCATTGGCTGATTATACGACTTTAGGGAACCGCGAAATCATTGCTCTCAAAGCAGGCGGCAGAACCCTTCAGATCTTCGACCTGGTGCAGAAGAGCAAGATCAAGAGCACGGGGATGGGAGAGGATGTGGTGTTCTGGAAGTGGCTGAGCGAGAGCTCTTTGGGACTTGTCACGGATACCAGCGTCTATCACTGGAACATCTTCGATCCATCGCAAACGCAACCGCAAAAGATGTTTGACCGCAACCAGAACCTCGCTGGCTGCCAGATCATCAACTACCGCGTGAGCGATGACGAGAAGTGGATGGTCGTGGTCGGCATCTCGCAGCAGCAAGGACGAGTTGTGGGTAGCATGCAGCTGTATTCCAAAGAGCGCGGTATCAGTCAAGCCATTGAGGGACATGCGGCGGCATTTGGCACTCTGCGTATGGAGGATGCTTCTTCGGACACCAAGCTCTTCACGTTTGCCAACCGCACGGCGACTGGCGCGAAGCTACACATCGTCGAGGTCGACCACCAGGCACCGAATCCCGTCTTCCAGAAGAAGGCAGTCGACATCTACTTCCCCGCCGAAGCAAACAGTGACTTCCCAGTCGCGATGCAGGTGTCGAAGAAGTACAAGGTCATCTACCTCGTGACCAAGTTCGGCTTCATTCATCTCTACGACCTCGAGACCGGTACCACCATCTTCATGAACCGCATTTCCAGCGACACCATCTTCACCACTGCGGCGGATGAGGAGTCTTCTGGCATTATCGGCGTGAACAGGAAGGGGCAGGTTTTGTCAGTCAGCGTCGACGACAACACCATCATCCCATACCTGCTGCAGAACTCCGAGAACGCAGAGCTGGCCTACAAGCTGGCATCAAGAGCTGGACTGCCGGGAGCCGACAACCTCTACCAGCAGCGCTTCGATCAGCTGTTCAACCAGGGAGACTTCACGGCAGCCGCCAAAGTCGCCGCCAACTCCCCACAAGGCTTCCTGCGCACGCCTCAGACTATAGAAAAGTTCAAGAATGCGCCTGCGCAGCAAGGGTCCTTGTCGGTCATCCTGCAGTACTTCGGCATGCTTCTTGATCAGGGCAAGCTGAACCAACACGAGACGTTGGAGCTTGCGAGGCCAGTACTTCAGCAGAACCGGAAGCATTTGCTCGAGAAGTGGATGGGTGAGGGCAAGCTTGGCTGCTCTGAGCAACTTGGTGATCTAGTCCGATTACACGACGTCGCACTCGCTGAGCGCATATACAAGGAGGCAGGAAGCAGTCAGAAGGTGATTGCAGCCATGGCCGAGTCGGGGAACTTCGATCAGATCCTGTCGTACTCGCAGTCGGTCGGCTACACCCCTGACTACAACTCGCTGCTCCAGCACATCACTCGGTACGTTCTCGAGCACCGAAAGTGCTATGCTGGTGATATCGTTGCTGACAATCTCTTTTCCACACAGTGTCAACCCGGAGAAGGGATCCGAGTTCGCCACTAGCATCGCGAAGGAGAATCCGGAGCTGCTCGACCTTGACCGGGCTGTCGATGTCTTCCAATCTCAAGGCATGATTCAGCAAGCAACTTCGTTCCTCCTCGATGTCCTTGGACAAAACAAGCCAGAGCAGGGCGCTCTCCAGACCCGTCTTCTCGAGATGAATTTACAGAGTGCACCGCAAGTCGCGGACGCCATTCTGGGCAACGAGATGTTCTCATACTACGACAGGCCGAGGATTGCGGCGCTCTGCGAAAATGCTGGCCTGCTGACCCGCGCTCTGGAGCATTACGAGGACCCAGCTTCGATCAAGAGGATCATTGTTCAGAGCGACCGCATTCCCGAAGAGTTCTTGATCAACTACTTCGGCAAGCTCACCGTCGAGCTGTCGCTGGAGTGCTTGGACGAGATGCTCAAGGTCAACATCCGCCAGAACTTGCAAGCGGTCATCAACATCGCGAAGAAGTACTCTGACCTCCTTGGACCTACTCGCATCATCGATCTGCTTGAGAAGTACCGTACTGCGGAGGGCCTCTACTTCTACCTTGGTGGTATCGTCAATCTTAGTGAGGACAAGGATGTCACCTTCAAGTACATCGAGGCGGCTACGAAGATGGGTCAGCTGCAGGAGGTTGAGCGCATCTGTCGGGAGAGGTATCTTCTCTTCCCATAAACCCATTTGTGATTCAAGATCGCTGCTAACAGATCTCTAGCAACTTCTACGACCCTGAGAAGGTCAAGAACTTCCTCAAAGAGCAACGACTGACCGAGCAGCTCCCTCTCATCATCGTCTGCGACCGCTTCGACTTCATCCACGACCTCGTGCTCTACCTGTACAAGAACCAGCAGTTCAAGTCGATCGAGGTGTACGTCCAGCGGGTCAACCCTGGCAAGGCTCCGGCTGTGATCGGGACTCTCATCGATTTGGATTGCGAGGAGTCTGTGATCAAGTCGCTGCTCGCATCCGTGCCGCCAGAGTCCATCCCGATCGACGAGCTTGTTGGCGAAGTCGAGAGCAGAAACCGTCTCAAGCTGCTTCTCCCGTTCTTGGAGTCCACGCTTGCGGCTGGAAATCAGCAGCAGGCTGTCTACAATGCGCTGGCGAAGATCTACATTGGTACGTATCAGACTGCACCCTTTCTCCGGGCCCTGGTCCGCCACTGTGCGACGACCACCATCTTGCCAAACTTTCTTTGCCCTCTCGGCGTCGGAGAACACGGTATCGGGCACAGCTCGCGCCCTGTTTAGGACCTGTTCTCCGAGCCCTGCAGTCCTCTCATTGCCTCCACAGCACCTTTCTCCTATCGTCGTGCCCGTCGCGCTTTCGGAGAATTCGATCACTTTATGAATCTGTGGGATAATTCGTACTGACTCCTCCTGAAGACAGCAACAATAACCCGGAGCAGTTCTTGAAAGAGAACAACATGTATGATACGTTGCAAGTTGGAAAGTACTGTGAGAAGCGGGATCCAAACCTTGCCTTCATCGCCTACCAGAAGGGCCAGAACGACCTCGAGCTCATCAGCATCACGAACGAGAACGCTATGTTCAAGGCCCAAGCACGATATCTGCTTGGTCGCGCCGACCCAGAGATCTGGCAATACGTTCTCTCGGACAACAACATGCATCGTCGGTCTCTGGTGGACCAGACCATCTCCACTGCCGTGCCGGAGAGCCAGGATCCTGAGCAGGTGTCTATCGCCGTCAAGGCGTTCATTGATTCTGACCTGCCAGTTGAGCTGATTGAGGTACGAACCATAGCGATAAAGCCTTGCCAAACCGTAACATTGCTAATGTCTCTCTCCTGTAGCTTCTCGAGAAGATCATCCTCGAGCCATCGACCTTCAGCGATAACTCCAACCTGCAAAACCTGCTCATGCTCACAGCCGCGAAGTCCGACCGAGGCCGTGTTGCAGGCTACATCCAGAGCCTTGACAACTACAGCCCCGATGACATTGCCCAGCAGTGTATTGAGGTTGGCATGTACGAGGAGGCATTCTTGATCTACAAGAAGGCCAACAACCACACGGAAGCCGCCAACGTCCTTGTGGAACACGTTGTCAGCATTGACCGAGCCCAGGAGTACGCTGACCAAGTCGATCTGCCGGAAGTATGGAGCAAGGTTGCGAAGGCTCAGCTCGACGGTCTCCGTGTCACGGATGCGATTGAGTCGTACATTCGAGCCCAAGATCCTTCGAACTTCCTTGAGGTCATCGAGACCGGCACGCATGCTGGCAAGGACGAAGAGCTCATCAAGTACCTGCGCATGGCCCGCAAGACTCTCCGCGAGCCTGCTGTCGACACCGGTCTCGCCTTCTGCTACGCCCGCACCGACCAACTGCCAGAGCTTGAGGAGTTCCTGCGCGGCACGAACGTCGCCAACATCGAGGAGTCTGGTGACAAGGCCTACGCAGAAGGCTACCACGAGGCTGCCAAGATCTTCTTCAGCTCCATCTCCAACTGGGCCAAGCTCGCGACCACGCTCGTTCACCTCGAAGACTACCAGGCGGCCGTGGAGTGCGCGAGAAAGGCCAACAGCGTCAAGGTTTGGAAGCAGGTCAACGAGGCGTGCGTGGCGAAGAAGGAATTCCGTCTTGCTCAGATCTGCGGTCTCAACCTCATCGTGCATGCGGATGAGCTGGCGGATCTTGTCAAGCAGTACGAGCGCAATGGGTACTTTGATGAGCTCATCTCCCTGCTTGAGGCTGGTCTGGGATTGGAGAGGGCACACATGGGAATGTTTACAGAGTTGGGCATCGCGCTCAGCAAGCATCATCCCGAGCGTGTGATGGAGCACCTGCGGATCTTCTGGAGCGTAAGTCCAAATCGACCTTCCCCGAGATACGATTGCTTGCTAACGTATTATTCAGAGGATCAACATACCCAAGATGATTCGCGCATGCGAGGATGCACACCTTTGGCCCGAGCTTGTCTTCCTGTACCAGCACTACGATGAGTACGACAACGCGGCTCTGGCGATGATGGAGCGCGCTGCCGATGCTTGGGAACACCACACGTTCAAGGAGACCATCGTGAAGTGTTCAAATGTCGAAGTGTATTATAGGTCAGATCCACAACCGTTTGCCATGCTGAGACACTTGCTGACCACATCAACCTTCTAGGGCCCTCAACTTCTACCTTCAGGAGCAGCCTTCTCTCATCACGGATCTTCTTCAAGCTCTTACGCCACGCATCGACGTCAATAGAGTCGTTCGCATGTTCGAGAAGTCGGACAACATCCCACTCATCAAGCCTTTCCTGCTCAACGTGCAGTCGCAGAACAAGCGCGCCGTCAACGATGCCATCAACGAGCTTCTCATCGAAGAGGAAGACCACAAGCAACTCCGCGACAGTGTTGAGAACTTCGACAACTACGAGGCTGTTGCGCTTGCCCAGCGGTTAGAGAAGCACGACCTCGTCTTCTTCAGGCAGATCGCTGCGAATATCTACCGCAAGAACAAGCGGTGGGACAAGTCGATCGCTCTGTCGAAGCAAGACAAGCTGTACAAGGACGCCATCGAGACTTCGGCCATGTCGGGCAAGACGGAGGTCGTCGAGGAGCTCATCCGATACGTAAGTCCACTCCATCATTTTCATAATTTGGCCTTCGCTAACAACCCTTGTAGTTCGTCGACATTGGCAGCAAAGAGTGCTACGTCGGCATGCTCTACGCCTGCTACGACCTCCTCCCGATGCACACCGTCATGGAAATGTCGTGGCGCCACGGCCTCAACGACTTCACCATGCCATTTATGATCAACTACATGGCACAGCAGTCGGCCACGATCTCGGAGTTGAAGCGTGACAACGATGAGCGCAAGGCTCGGGAGGCAGAAAACAAGCGACCTGAGGACGACGGGCCAATCTTGGGGGGCAGTCGTTTGATGCTCACGCAGGGAGGCATGCAGGCGCCTTCTCCAACACCGTATGGACAACCGAACGGCATCATGCCCCAGCCAACGGGCTACCGAGGTGGGTTTTGAAGTGTGAGATGATGGAGAGCGTTGCATGGACGGCAACAATCAGAGCTGTGGGTAGTTACGGAACGAGCGTGCATGGCCAGCGGGAGTTTTCGGCGAGGGAGCCAGTGTGGCTCAGGAACTGCTTGCCCTGTACAGTAGTGGAGAGAGAACATGTGATCTTAATCCCGAGTCTGCTATGTGATACTGTTGATCTGTTCCGTCTCACATGGTCTTCTGAACCTCTTTGTGTCTTGGAGAATAAGACATTCGAACGGTCTTTTACGTTTTGCTTTGGGTTGTTTACACCGGCAGCGGTGTGATAAGAAAAAGCATGTGGGTTCCCCATCGATAAGAAGGCGTGGCAGTGGCCCGTGAGGTGTTACATCATCAGATGAATGCTTTGTCGGGTTGGAGAAGCATTGAACGATGGTTGGAACAACGAACGTCTCCGTGGTATAGGACAAACTAGGAAGTAACATCAACGGGTACCTGAATATCAACCCGCTGCTTCGGGAGGACGTGGGACCAGGATAAAGCATTCCTGACGCCCGAACGCCCTCGGCCAGTGCGCGGTGCGCGGGGCTGGGTGGTGGAGATAGGAAAAGATGAGCTGCAAGTGGGAGCTCTTCCAAACTAGCTTACCATTGACGAGCTTCTTGCTTTTGCCTTGTCAACACAAAACTTCTCTCCCCTCTGAACGTGCCTGATTACCTCCTCCTGCAGTCCTCTTGGTCATCGCAGTGGTGTGGTCATATATCCTTATCCACTCGGGCGTGTCAACGTTCACTTAACACCACCTCCCCTCGCACATGCTATAACCATCCCACCTCCAACCAGCGTGGCATAAGCGACCCACCACTCTCCCCTCCCACCACCACCACCACCACCACCATGTCCGTCCTCGCCGAGCGCCCCGAAGGCGACTACGGCACCAGCGACCCCGACGGCGAGACCCACCATGGCAAAAACACCGTCCACCAGCGCCTGCGCGCCAACAGCTCCATCATGCAGCTGAAGAAGATCCTCGTCGCCAACCGCGGCGAGATCCCGATCCGGATCTTCCGGACGGCGCACGAGCTGTCGCTGCAGACGGTCGCGGTGTTCAGTTACGAGGATCGGTTGTCGATGCATCGGCAGAAGGCGGATGAGGCGTATGTGATTGGGAAGAGAGGGCAGTTTACGCCCGTGGGTGCGTATTTGGCGGGCGATGAGATTATTAGGATTGCTAAGGAGCATGGTGAGTTGGGTCTATATCTTTTCTTTCGAGGAGTGTGGCGGTGATGTGGAGTGGTTGGGTGGTGAACGGCTTTGGTCTTAAAAAGCTCTATGCCAGCATACAGATTGCCGGGCGTTGTCTCATTCTTGGGCGGGAGATGAACGGTGGTAGTTGATCTTTACTGACTATTTCGCAGACGTCCAGCTCATCCACCCTGGCTACGGCTTCCTGAGCGAAAACTACGAATTCGCCAAAGCGGTCGAGGACGCAGGTCTGATCTGGGTCGGACCTAGCCCAAAGACGATCAACGATCTCGGCGACAAGGTGTCAGCGCGTGAGCTTGCTTTCAAGGCGAACATCCCTACCGTGCCAGGCACACCAGGCCCCGTGGCTAGGTACGAGGCCGCCAAAGACTTTACGGACGAACATGGCTTCCCAATCATCATCAAGGCTGCGTTCGGCGGAGGCGGGCGAGGCATGCGTGTGGTCTGGAAGCAGGAGGACCTCAAGGACTCCTTCGAGCGCGCGACGTCTGAGGCCAAATCCGCTTTCGGCAACGAGACTGTCTTCATCGAACGCTTCCTATACCGACCAAAGCACATTGAGGTGCAGCTGCTCGGTGACAGCCATGGCAACGTGGTCCACCTGTTCGAGCGAGACTGCTCCGTGCAGCGCAGACATCAGAAGGTGGTTGAGATGGGACCTGCAAAAGACCTTAACCCTGAGACTCGCGACAACATTCTGAATGACGCCGTGAAGCTCGCGAAACAAGCCAACTACCGCAACGCAGGTACCGCAGAGTTCTTGGTTGACCAAGAGGGACGCTACTACTTCATTGAGATCAACCCGCGTATTCAGGTCGAGCACACTGTTACGGAGGAGATTACTGGCATCGACATTGTCGCCGCTCAGATCCAGATCGCGGCTGGCGCATCATTGCAGCAGCTTGGGTTGACGCAGGACCGGATCTCTACGCGCGGATTTGCGATCCAGTGCCGTATTACTACTGAAGACCCGGCACAGAATTTCAGCCCTGATAGCGGCAAAATTGAGGTTTATCGCTCAGCTGGCGGGAACGGTGAGTCTCGAATGCTGTGGAGGAGACAACATGTTGCTGACTATTATATATAGGCGTCCGTCTCGATGGTGGGAACGGTTTTGCCGGCGCTATCATTACACCACATTACGACAGTATGTTGGTGAAGTGCACATGCCACGGCTCAACCTACGAGATCGTGCGCAGGAAGATGCTGCGAGCACTCGTCGAGTTCCGAATCCGAGGCGTCAAGACCAACATCCCCTTCCTTACCTCCCTCCTCTCCAACCCTACGTTCATCGAGGGCACCTGCTGGACGACCTTTATCGACGACACGCCATCTCTTTTCTCCCTCATCGGCAGCCAAAACCGCGCACAGAAGCTGCTCATGTACCTCGGCGACATCGCAGTCAACGGCAGCCAGATCAAAGGTCAAATCGGCGAGTCAAAGTTCAAGGGCGACATCGTCAAGCCAGTCTTGAAAGACGAGAAGGGCAACAACCTCAACGTCTCTGAGCCTTGCAAAACCGGCTGGCGCAACATCCTCGTCGACCAAGGTCCAGAAGCTTTTGCCAAAGCCGTCCGCAAGAACAAGGGCTGCTTGCTCATGGACACCACATGGCGCGACGCCCATCAATCACTCCTCGCGACCCGCGTCCGAACCGTCGACATCTGCGAGATTGCACAAGAGACCAGCCATGCCCTCAGCAACGCCTGGGCGCTCGAATGCTGGGGCGGCGCAACTTTCGACGTCGCCATGCGTTTCCTGTACGAAGACCCATGGGATCGGTTGAGGAAGATGAGGAAGCTGGTGCCGAATATTCCATTCCAGATGCTGCTGCGTGGCGCCAATGGTGTGGCGTACTCCTCGCTACCGGACAATGCGATCTTCCACTTCTGCGAGCAGGCGAAGAAGAACGGCATGGATATTTTCAGGGTACGTCAAACTGACGGGTGAAAGGGTTCTCTGAGACACGTCCAATGTTTGAGGACAGTGCGGCGCTCTGAGACCTTGTCACCTCCCCTGAAACCGTCGAGACACCTGCTAACCCTTCTACCCTGCACTCTAGGTATTCGATGCCCTAAATGACGTGGAGCAGCTCGAGGTGGGCATGAAAGCGGTGTTGAAGGCTGGGGGTGTTGCTGAGGGGGCGTTGTGCTACTCCGGTGATAGTAAGTGTTCCTGTAGCCCCCTGGGCGCGAATGGGAGTCGGGAGGCCAGATTTCTCCCACAGTAGACTGCCGCTGGTGGTGCTCATGAGTTCGATAAGCTCTTGCAGGAGGCAGTCTGGATGCTCGAGATGGGTTTACTGACTTTTGCTCACAGTGCTGAACCCCAACAAGAAGTACAACTACGACTATTACATGGACCTCGTCGACAAGATCGTGGGCATGGGCGCGCACATCCTCGGTATCAAGGACATGGCAGGCGTGCTGAAGCCCAAGGCTGCTACTATGCTGGTCGGCGGCATCCGCAAGAAGTACCCAGACCTTCCCATCCACGTCCACACGCACGACTCTGCAGGCACTGGCGTTGCTTCTATGGTTGCTTGCGCTCAAGCCGGCGCCGATGCGGTCGATGCGGCTACAGACAGCATGTCCGGCACGACTTCACAACCCAGCATCGGTGCCATTCTGGCGTCACTCGAGGGCACTGAGCACGACCCGGGTCTCAATTCCACGCACGTGCGCGCTCTCGACCAATACTGGGCGCAAGTGAGGATGATGTACTCTCCGTTCGAAGCCTGGTTGACTGGTCCCGACCCAGAGGTGTACGAGCACGAGATTCCTGGTGGTCAGCTCACCAACCTCATCTTCCAAGCGGCTCAGCAAGGTCTTGGGAGTCAGTGGGCACAGACGAAGAAGGCGTACGAAGACGCGAACCGGATCCTAGGCGATATCGTCAAGGTCACACCCACCTCTAAGGTCGTTGGTGACCTCGCGCAGTTCATGGTGTCGAATGGCCTCACCTACCAGGAGACTATCGACAAGGCCGAAGAACTCGACTTCCCGTCCTCGGTCCTTGAATTCTTCGAGGGCCTCATGGGCCAGCCATATGGCGGCTTCCCAGAGCCTCTCCGCACACGCGCTCTCCGTGACCGACGCAAGATGGACAAGCGACCAGGCCTCTACCTCGACCCCATCAACTTCGACGATGTGCGCAAGAAGCTGAAGGAGCAGTACGGCGGCTGCTCGGAGACGGACGTGGCCAGCTACGTCATGTACTCGAAGGTCTTCGAAGACTACAGGGAATTCTGCTCCAAGTACGGCGATCTCTCCGTCCTGCCTACTCGCTACTTCCTGAACAAGCCAGAGGTTGGCGAGGAGTTCAGCGTCGAGCTCGAGAAGGGCAAGGTGCTGATCCTGAAGCTTCTGGCTGTCGGCCCACTGAGCACGCAGACTGGTCAACGCGAGGTGTTCTTCGAGCTGAACGGTGAAATGCGATCAGTCGCTGTGGATGATCAACACGCAGCCATTGAGACTGTAAGCAGGCCGAAGGCGGATGCCAACGACAGCAACCAGGTTGGTGCGCCGATGAGCGGTGTGGTGATTGAGGTGCGGGTGAAGCAGGATGCGGAGGTCAGCAAGGGCGATCCTATTGCTATCTTGAGTGCTATGAAGATGGTATGTCTATCCCGCCTCGAACACGCACTTTGTGACGAGGAAGCTAACGTGTGCGACAGGAAATGGTCATCAGCGCGCCTCATTCAGGCAAGGTGGGCGACTTGGGCGTCAAGAGTGGTGACTCGGTCGATAGCCAGGATCTCATTTGCAAGATTGTCAAGTGATGGGGCTGTTGGAGCTGAGTTGGAAATTTATGCTACTATGAAGACGGCTCATGGGTGTAGCGGCGCAGCAAGAAGACCTAGCAGAGCAATCAACCTATCATGTCAACAGCTTTCTTGTCCACATCACGAGGCAGCAGAAGTGTGTGTCTTCCAATGTTCCAGACTTCCCTTCTCAAAAGCTTCGCCAGCTCAAGCTTTCCCACATGACGTTCTCGACTTCCACCTCTTCCCTGCGTTTCACCAGCTTCGTGTTCTCCATCGCGCAATCCAATCACCAACCGGCAGCAGCTGCCTGTGTCAGCAAATGCCATCATCTTGCGTATCACGCTTGTCACGATCGTGCAGGATCTCGTGAAGAGATCTTTACAGACCAATGGCTGACGCACGATCTGGGTGCTAATCACCCTAGGAGGTAATGTTTGTCCGCTCGGCCCCTTGCGGACGATGGCACGCGGTGTCGGGCGTACAGGAACTAGTTGGATGCAGTGAGTCTGGCTTCGTGGCTTGTGAGTGCGTGACTTCTGCAGATTCTCTTTGTCTTTGGAGCTCTAGAAGGTCGTCATCAATCACGCCCTTTCTCTTTCTACCATCAACAACACAACACACAGCTTCCCAACAAGACTACAGACTACAAGACCACCACTATGTCCTCTCAACAGCCTCAAGACGGAGTGGGCGACCACAACCCCATGACCAGCGTGAAGCACGACGGCCGCAGCGTAAGTCCCTCTTAGCCATCCCGACGTCTCAATATCAGGCTAGATTGCTAATACTTCCTAGTCCTCCGGCCAGCTCTTCAACAGTATGGAGCAAGCTAAGCGTCACCCCGAGAACGACAGGGCCGAGACCAAGCGCCAGAGTCTTGCGGACCAGTCTGAGCCCAAGGGAGCTTTGGGGAACGTGTGGGATAGGTGGGTGCTCACTGCAACGAACTGTTGGCTCTTATGAATTGCTGACTTTTGATGCGTAGTATGACGAAGCCACAGCCGAAGTAGCGTGTGGATTGGGGAATGTAGACGAAAGCATCCATCATAACAACTTTGCTCAGCATTCGGTCTCTGTCCTCATCCAGCTGCTAGTCTCCGGCCTGCTACGAACCTCTCGGAAACCCTGTCGATCCCTGAGGGTTTGCCATTCACAAATGCACTGCATCTCTCTTCACCAGCTCCACAATCTTCTTCCAGAGCATCATGTCCATCATCGCCATAGCATGAGCGGTTTCGGTATCTCCACCGACCCACGCCCCATCCCCGCCCTCCGTCTGACCTCCCAGACCGCGCCGTTGGTGGTCGCGCTCGATCTCTTCCGTCGTGCCGATACCCACAGTTTCCTCCATGGTGAGATTTGTCATGCGCTCTATTGTGTGCCCAACAATGTCGTCCTGGGCTTCCTGAGCCGAGAACTTTTCTTTCGCATCCTCCAAACTGCGTTCCGCTCAAGACGCTTCACCTCCTGAGCCGTAGCAGACTCTCCAGTCTTCCGAACCGCCACCATCCATGTCGCACATAGTCAGGTCGTCCATACGCTTCGTCGTACTGATCACCTCCGTCTTGGCGTCCGAAGGAACGATCTGATCATACATGTAACCACTATAATCTCAGTATTAGTGAAGGCCAAAATCAGAACCTGATCGAACTGCTTACCTGTGCAACTTCTTCCTTTCCCTCCCTCATACGGACAACACACGCGCGGCGATCGGCCTCGATATCGAGCGTGCGGTACTCGACAGCACGCTCCCTGAGCTGCGGACACAAAGTCCCCATAACGAGCTCGCTAACCATGAAAACCTGCTTGTCGGAAGAGTAGACAACCATGTTCGTGAGTTCACCAGCCTGGGTCTTGAAGTCGTTCTTGAGGCTCAAGACAATCTGTTCTGGTTCGGTTGGCAGCGTGCCATAGCGAGGTGCCTGGTCAAAGAGATGGCTTCGATACCACACCCTGTCCGCGGCCATGAAATCGTCTTGTAGGCGCTTGATGATTCGTTCCATAACCGTCTCTAGTGTTTGGAGGGTATGGTCAGTTCGGAGAGGTTGCTGAGAGTTATTTGGTATGAGTAGGTGAAGAATCGGGATTGTACGTGTGAGGAGGGCGCCATACAAGGGCCAATCGGCAAGCTTTGACTCACCCTAGAGCCGGAACGGGCAGGAAGAGCATGTGAAAAGACATGCGAAAAGGCATGTGAAAAGGCATGTGAATGGAAAGCAGACGTACCGTTCACACTCGATAGTGGTGGCTAGATTGGAAAGACCGCTTGGTCACAGAGTAGCTTTGACCTTCTGCTCGAGTGGCCAAACCATGCTTCTCCGAGCCAGCAGCCAGTCTTCGATCTCCCAGCACCTCTACCGTTACCCTTTCAGACTTGGAGAAGCCCTGCAGACCCGAGTACCAATCCCCTCCCCTCAGCTTTTTGAAAGCACACCCTTCCACTTCTTCGTACGTTCCCTGGGCCTGCTGTACCAGCGGGCCAGCGCCTCCTGCGTAAACCCCTTTCCCATCTCGTCGAAAGGGTCAGTAGACTTTTCGCCGTCTTCCACCGTCTTGTCCTCAGCAATACCCTTGCCATAGTCACCACCGTCCGCCATCGCCACATCAACACTCGCTCGATCGTCCACAGTAAAATCGTTCATATCCTGCGTCGTGCGCTGAAGCATCCGCTCGCTTCTCCACCTGGAGGGCATCTCGTAGACCTCGTCGAGGAACTAGCAAGCAAGCAATCTCTGTCAGCGAGAGGAATTCTGTGGCGCTCGATGGGATCAACCGTACCTTGCTGATCTCGTCTCCAGTTTCGTTCAGCAACATATGCTTCTGCACCTTTCCAAAGTCGGCACAGCGCCACATGAGGTGCGGGCATTTTTTCTCGAGCACCATCTGGTGGACTTTGAACAGGCGGCCATCAGAGGATTGGATGGTGAGGTCGGAGTGTTCGCCGGTCCTGTACCCGTCCTGTATGATCTCGGAGGTGGTGGGCATGCACGGCATGGTAGCGGGATGATGTCCTGAATTCTCAGGACAGAGGTACGAAAGCGTGGTCTTGTTGGGGAGGGGCGCGCAGTCTTGTAGCGAAACCTGCTGGACGGCCGCTGGAAATTGGCAATCACATGTAACATTCACTAATCTGGAAGCGCACGTGATACTCATGTGAAGAAATTGATGAAGGTTGTTGAGGACTCACAAGATCCAAGCCATAGCCTCCTTCGAACCAGCAGCCGGTCTTCGATTAACCTCCCGTCAGATTGTCAGCAGTCAGTTGTCCTTGACAGTGAGACCTCTGCCATCCGTCCAATCATCTCATGCTTCTCCTCTCTCGCCGCATCCCCTCCTCCTCGCCCTGCGCTCCGAATTGCGCTCCAGACGAGCTATCTCCCGGTGGATAGCACGTCTAGCAACAGCTGAAGCCTCGAGAGCCAACTCATCTTCACTCTTCTCCTCCATAGTAAGGTCCTCCGTACGCTTCGTCGTAGCACCCAAGTCGTCTTTCGCCTCGGAGAAGGCGATCTTGTCGTATGCCTCATCGAGCAACTGTTAACACCAGATCAGTCCTGCTTAACGTCCAAGCTATAGCCGGACCTCCTACCTTCGCAACCTCGTCTCCACTCTCCCTCATCACACACCCGCAGAGAACCTGACCGTTCTCAAAAGTGAACTCTTGGTCCGCAGCAGCGCGCTCGTTCAGCTTCGGGCACAAGGCCCTTAGAACAATCTCCTGAACTTTGAACTGGCGACCATCGGAGGAGGCGGTGATCATCTGTGTATTTGCCGGCCTGAGTTTTGAAGTCGTCCTTGTAGCGCATGACGACTTGTTCGAGCGCAGGTGACGTCGTGAAGGTGCGCGTTTGCTGGTTAGGGTTGCTGGGGAAGGTGTTGCTGTTCATGATGACGAAGTCGAGCTGCATGAGCTTGATGACCTGGTTCATGGCGGGAGTGGTGCAGTGCTTGCAGCAGCGTGGGTCTGCCGCTTGTGCGCAGGCGCAGTGGATGTGAAGATTCCAAGCGTGGGAATACAGCCTGGGGAGAATAGTGGACTCGCAGACTTTCGCTCGTGCTAACGCCCGATTGGGCAGAAAGCGCACGTGATACGCAAGCGAAAGGTCCTCGCCCACTACTTCTGATCAAAGCGACTGCGCCTCTTACCCTCTCCCCCACCACCGCTTTTCGGCGTCCCCACCGTACTGCTCCCACCAGCCTTCGCCGACACAAACTCCACCTTCTCCCTCTCCTTCGCCTTCTTCTTCCGCCACCGCTCATTCTCCTTCGCCAATGCCTCAACATAATGCCCCTCGCCCCATCTTACCGGAACTCCTCCTACCTCCTCATCCAGCGTACTACGATAGCTGTCCTCCTGACTCACGCCCGCGAACTCCATCAGCTTGGGTAGCAGACTCGGGTTGCGGAGCGAGGAAGAGGATTGGAGACGAGCGTTGAAATGTACGCCTTTCTGCTTGAGCTCGAGGAAGCGCTCGAACTTCTTCGTGGTGGCGGAGAGGGCAGCTAGGGAGTCAGGTGAGGTCGGCCGCGGCGGGGACGGCGGAATGTCGAAGTTCGGGTGGGCGGGCATTGTGAGGTTGCGGATGCGGGTGCGGGTAGACGTGTAGGGTGATAGAGGTGGAGTGACCGGAGCTGAACTTGTGGTGGTAGCGTTGGGGGGTGCTGTACCTGGTCCTGGTGCTGGTCCGGGAAGTGGTTGTGCTGCGGGGGTCGATTGCTTGACAGGATCGTCTGGCTGAGGTTGAGGTGGGGTTGCCGTTACAGCATCCACTGCTGATCTTGATGTTTCACTGGCGGCGCTACTGTTGACTGTCGTTGCTCCGGTCGTTTCGTTCGCCGCAGTCTTCGCTATCTGGCATGCCACACATTGTTAGTAGGTATCCGTTGCCTTTCAGTGGTTGAAATATGTCATGGCCTACCTTGGCTGGCTTCTGTGGTTTGATTTCGTCGTCATCGCTACTCTCGTAGCCCACCAGCGCATTCATCTTGCCAACGATCGTGTTGGCTCAAGCATGTGAAAGTGGTGGAGTTGTAGTTGGAAGTAAAGCTAGAATTCTGCCGCCACCTGACTCGCTCACCGCCTTTGAGCGAGCTTCACGCGTCAGTGCTCGCGGCCTGCTGGACTTCATTGCTGCTGTTTCCAATACACAACTCACATCCCGACCAGCAACACCAAGTTTCAACCTTGATATCAGCCTCACTATCGCCGACGAAGTGACACACCACGCGCCATCCTGGTTACCATCGTACGATCGCCACCACCATGAACCACTTCCCCGAAGCCTGGGGCAGAGTACGTCGCGAATGAGCTGCTTCTATACCACGCTCATCCACTAACAACATAACCAGCCCCGCGACGACATCTACGGCTCCTATAACGCATCCTATCTCCCTCAGTCCCGCGGTGGTCTCCAATCGCACCATCAACCAACCACCCATACCCAACAACCCATCGTAACCGGCACCTCCGTCCTCGCCCTCAAGTTCAGCACCGGCGTCGTCATCGCCGCCGACAATCTCGCCTCGTACGGCTCCCTCGCCCGCTTCACCGACGTCCACCGTCTCAAACCCTTCAACAAGCGCGCTGTCGTCGGCTTCGGCGGCGATGTGAGCGATATGCAATACCTCGACCGCCTGCTCAACAGCCTGGACGTCGAGGAGAACTATACCTCTCCCACAGGTGATGCGAAGAGCGACGACGATAGAGCGCTAGTGGATGCGCCGTTGATGAGCGCGAAGAACCTGCACACGTATCTCGCAAAGGTCATGTACAAGAGGCGGACGGACTTCAACCCGCTGTGGAATGCGCTATTAGTGTGCGGACTGGACGAGAAGGACCAGCCGTTCCTTGCGAGCGCGGATCTGCTGGGCACGACGTTTTCGGCCCCGAGTATGGCGACAGGGTTCGGAGCGCATTTGGCGCAGCCACTTCTGCGGAGGGTGGCGCCGGACGAGGCGGCGACGCAGGAGCTGAGCAAGGAGAAGGCGGTGGAGGCGATCAAGGAGTGCATGAAGGTGCTTTTCTACCGCGATGCGAGGAGTATGAATGAGTATTCCGTTGCGGTGATTGACCAGAGTGGCGTGGAGCTGAAGGAGGACGAGAAGTTGGAGAACCAGAGCTGGGCGTTTGCGGATCGCATCAAGGGGTACGGGACGCAGACGGTGTGATGAGTGGTGGGGACAGGAGTAGTGCGAGGCAAGCGTGGTGAGTGTTCATGCATGAAATCCGGAGTCACTAGAGCGTGCGCGTTGATGGCATGGCTGAGATGGCTTTACTGTACTATATAGCCGCAGCATACGACAGCGTAAACCTGCAGCTAACATCTCTTGCATTGCATATCGTTCCACACTCTCCACTCTTGGTCGAAGACACTGGCGATCCTGTGACTCTTTCACATCAATGCCGAAGCCGAGAAGCCTGTTAATCCTTCTACCCGCCACTCTCAGTACAACGGAATGGCTCGAATCAAAGAACAACAGACACGGTATCATACTCTTTCCCCTCGTCTACAAGAACGCTAAGTTAACCCAACACCCATGCCCCTTCTCCCCCCATCGTAATGTTCCTACCGCCCATACTCCAAACTCGGAATAATCACCGGCCCATACTTCATCGGCTGCCCAAAGCTCCCCTCATTCTGCACCATGAAATCCGCCGCCAGACTCAACCTGCCCTTCCCCCCACCACCACTCCCCGGCCCCTGCTGCGAAAATTGCCCCTGCACCATCTCCGGATCATACGCCACACAAGCCAAATAATTCCTCCGTCCCATCAACCGTCTCAACTCCCGCGGCCGGCCATCCACGTCCGCGGCGAAGATCTCCATCATATCCTCCTTCGTGTCCGTGGGTACGTTGGGGGTGGAGCGATGCCCGTTTTGCGGGATGTAGAGGGGTTTGTTGTTGTGGAGTAATTTGAGGACGTAGCTGGGTGTAGGCGCGTTGACGATCGAGGAGGAGATGAGCTGGTACATTGTTTTGTGGTCTGAGGGTTTGGCCGGGTCGTGCACGAGGCCGGCGCCGCAGACGTTGACGCCGCCGGAGAGGAAGGTCATGCGTAGGGATTTGTTGTGGGCGATGCCTTGGAGCGTGCGGAGGATGTAGGTGCGCTCGAGGTCCTGGATGAGTAATCAGTAAATGGATTTTAAAGGAAACGATAATGGATGGTAGGCTTACCTTCGACTCGTGCGTCCACAGATCCCTCAGCTCATCCAACACATCGATCTCACCAAACGGACTCAGCACGCCCTGCATCAGTCCACTCTTACCGACAGCCTTCTTCACTCCATCAAACCCACTATGCACCACGCTCTTCGCTCCCACTACACCCGCCAACCCGCCGGCGAGCTTTCCGCCCATGTTGAAAGCGCCAGTGACAAACTTCTTGCCAGTCTGGACACCATGCGCTACCGACTCCACGGCCTCCAACCGAGGATAGATGATCGGCACGGGCATGAGCCAGAGACAATGCTGTACGCTTGGCGGCAGTACTGCCACCTTCGGGAAGAGACCTTGGTACGTCGGCCCGGCCATGACTTGGTTTGCGTTTCGTTCTGACCGCGTATCCGGCCCGACGATGACGACGCTGGGACCGAGGTACTTGACGAAATGCCATCCGTTGCCTGTAATGGTGAAGAGATCAATGTCATTGCTAACGTTTCGCAGAATCTCATGCGTGGTGTGGTGCTGGAAGAGGAGATACATGTCAATCCCAATTCGCCCAATAGCTTTGAAAACGTGGCTCTGCTGCATGTAGTCTGGATAGCTTCCGAAGCCATCGAAGATGTCGTGGTCATCTAGACAGCACACCTGCGGGATCTGCGCGAAGGCTTCGCGGATAGCTGGCTGGTCGAAATGGGAGGTGTAGTAGTGGAAGTAGGCGTGCATGACATCCTCTTCCAGCTTCGCGCTCCAAGGTGCGTTCTTACGATTCTCTTTCCCGCTCGTCTGTGTCCATTGCTTGAGCGCTGGGATATCCTTCCACAGGCGATCTGCGTAGATCTGGCCGCCAAGTCCGATCTGAGCGTGGAAGCCGCCGCACTCTTGATGCTTTAGTAGCACATCCTTCCACATAAGCGGGATGCCACCGAGTCTGCTCCTCTCATTGGCAGAGACATTGAGCGCGAAGTCATTACCCGAATGCGTGACAAACCGCCAACTATTCTCATGCCGACTGGCGACCAGGAACTCGTAGCGGGTGCAGCCAAGATGACTGGTAATGGCATACGTCCACTTCGCCGGTCCCTGCTCGTCCATGCGCAGGTCAACGTCATACCGATAGAAGATCCAGCGCTGATGAGACTGAATCGGGTGCGCCTTAAGCTGCCGCGGATTCGGGCTCAGATCAATGCTCTGGTGGATGTGGATGGTAGGCGGTTGTTGGGAGGCTTCGCAGATAAGCATGATTGACCCAAGCCAGAGACCACGTTCGAGGTCCATGTTGGTGTAGCGCAGATAGGGACCGAAGTAGACGCCGTTGGTGGGCGCGATTTTGTACATGTCGATGCCTGCTGAAGGTGGTGGACCAGTGAAGCCGGCAGTCGTGGGAGAGGCGATGCTAGCCATGCTCATACGGTCGTAGTTGGCAGTCTGGTGGACGGGCATTCCGCTAAAGCCGGGTGATGCGAGAGGCTGCTTAAAGACGGAGGCGGAGGGTGAGAGAGGGTTACCGACGAATGTGCCAGCAGGACTCATCGGCTCTTGTAAATTGAGAGGCGTGGGTCCCTTCGGAAACTCCCATTGCGTGCTCTGCGTTGGGAGATGGATGTAGTAGTACTGGCCAGAGTTGTTGTCGAGGTGGGCAATCCAGCCTTCGGGAAGAGGTGGAGGACTAGCCGGACCTGCGCCCGAAGGTCCAGGAGAGGCACTATGCTGATTTGCCTGCGCAACATTAACGGGCGTCATGCCTTGCCTCGCACCGTTTTGCTGCTGTGCGCCTGGCTGTGGTGATGGAGTTGCTCCTGAGCGGCCATCATTCGCGAATGCAGGATGCTGTCGGACGTTCGGATCGACAACGGACGGCTTCACGGCAGCTGCAGCTCCAGGCGCAGGAGACTGCGATGCGGAAGCCGCGTATCGCCCCTTCTCATTCGGGTATTGCGAGTTTGACGTTCCTGGCATTGGGGGAGAGTAAGCTGGCGGTGGCTCTTCATGCATATTCATGCGACCCATTTCAGATTCAAGCTGCTGACTTGCTCCCGATCCTGTCCTTTCTCTGCCTGTGTTTCCAGGCACATCCGCGCCTCTCGACTGAACTTCTTCATTGCCTTGGAAAGTGATTGGAGGGCCATGGGGTGCTGAACCTGGCCTTTCCGTTGGGCTCCATCTCCCACCGGATGCAGCCCCTGCTTGAAGCTGCGGTCCTCTCTGAGGCTGTGGTGAAGCGTAGTTTGCTCGCCTTGCTGCAGCAGCCGCACTCTGCGCTTGCATTTCATTCAGCGTATTTGTGCCCGGTATGCCACTCGCAGCATAGCGCGCTTCAATTCCAGTAAGCCCATTCGCAGGTAGCGTGTCCGTCGCCGGCGTTTCTGGTGGAGGGGGCGACCCTCTTGAAGCTCTCGTGGTAGAGGTCGATGCCGTGCTGTCCAGTCTGTTGACTCCGGCAGGGTTAGTTATGTGTAGCTGGCCACTTGACTGCGGTTGGGTCACAACAGGGGGCGTTGCAGCCAGTGGAGGAGGGTAGAAGTCGACATTAGAGCTCTGTGTTGGAGCAGCAGTCGGAGCAGGCTCGCTCGCTTTTCGTGTTGGTGGAATGGCGAATAACGTCCCGCCATCGTACGTGTTCACCGGCTCTGGACTCTTGTGAGGCGGCTCGGGGCCACCAGGAGAGTCGGGTGGGATAATGTTCTTAGCAGCAGTTCCCCTCCGCTCCGCCAGCCGTCCAGCGCTGGAGAAGCCTGGGTAATTCACAGAAGGCCTGTTGGGGTCATCGGGTGAGAACCTCGGACGTCTGTTGCTCGATCCACTCCCCGCTCCGCTCGAAGCGTCTGAGTTCATGCTCGTCCTGCGTGGGTAGTATGGCCCACCGCTTCTTCCCTCTTCTGCAAGCTCTTGCGGGGTGGCCGAGCGACTCGGCGGCTTCTGTCTTCGCGCGCGGTCGTCGGGGTATGGGAGGGGGATGTTCGGAGGCGGACTACTAGGCGCTCCCCATCCGCCTGCACTGGGCACTCTGTACTCTGCAAACTGCTGTGCTGGGTCGGTAGAAGTGGCTGGGGACTGTTTCTTTGCAATGCGCAGTGGTTGCGGCGTCTCAGACTCGGAAGTTGCTTCTTGACCGCCTCGATAATCCAAGTACAGCTCGTCGTTCTGTGATGCCATCTTGCGTTCCTTGCTGTATTGCGGTGAGGTTACGGCTTGTGCTCCGCTGCCGTATCACGGGGATGGCCACGTCAGAGGAGGGGTCTTGCGATAGTGGGAGGAAGAAGTTGGTATACAGCGGATATATTGAAGGCTACAAGTACCTGCCAGCAGCACACTCGGGATTCCCTCGTCGAGCTCAAGTGTCGCGGCCGCCACACATCGGCCGTCCCACGCTCCTAAGCGCTGGCGCTGGCGGCTGCGGTCTGCAACCTGACGTTGATGGATCGCAAGGCTATTGGACAGACGAGCAGCCGCTTGTCCTCCTCTCCCAACCTTGGCCCTCACCCCTGTCCGGCAATGAAGTGATCAGAGTGCAATTGTCTTGTTCCTGGCGGCCCGAAAATCGTCTGTCACATGCTTGCGAACGTAGAGGCGAGGACAACCCAGAGCACGGAACTGAGGGTGCCGTTATTGCGATAGGACCCCGCCAAGCTACCTTACCTTAGACTTCTAGCTTCAAACGACACATATGTCCTAACGATCGTCTTGTTCCTTAAACAACGCAATCATGGATCTCCTTCGCAACCTCGCCGCCATCCTCGACCGGCCATTACCATGGAAGAAATTGATCTTGACATTTGCGGTCGGAGAGTTCTGCCTCGAATCAGCGCTTCTGTACCGCCAATACCTCGTCCTCAAGCGCACCACCATCCCGTCGTCGATATCGAAAGAGATAGACCAGGCCACATACGACAAAAGCCAGGCTTACGGTCGGAGCAAGGCCAAGTTCTCCTTCATCTCGAGCCTTTGGTCTCAGATCAAGAACTACTACATCATACAGCATGATGTGTATCCAAGACTATGGCTCTTGACAAGCACGTGGCTGCCTCTACTACCCACCCGCTTCAGCGGAGAGATCACCCACTCCCTCCTCTTCGCCTTCACCTACAGCTTCGCGGAAACCCTCCTCGGCCTGCCCTTCAGCTACTACTACCACTTCGTCCTCGAAGAGTCCTACGGCTTCAACAAACAAACCATCTCCCTCTTCTTCACCGACCTAGTCAAAGGCCAAGCGCTCTCCCTCGCCTTCGGCATCCCACTCGGCGCAGCCTTCCTCAAGATCATCCAGAAGACTGGCGACCAATTCTTCTTCTACCTCTGGGCCTTCACGCTCCTCGTCCAGCTCGGCGCCATCACAATCTACCCCATCCTCATCGTCCCGCTCTTCAACAAACTCACGCCTCTCGAGCCCGGCCAACTGAAAGAGCGGGTAGAAGGCCTAGCAAAACGTCTCAAATTCCCGCTCGCAGAACTCCAAGTCATCGATGGCAGCAAGCGCTCCGCGCACAGCAACGCCTACTTCACCGGCCTGCCGTGGAAAAAGAAGATTGTCATCTACGATACGCTGATCGAGAAGAGCGAGATCAAAGAGGTGGAGGCGATTCTGGCACATGAGCTTGGACATTGGAGTATGGGACATACCACGAAACTGCTTGGGATCAGCAGCTTCCATCTGTTCTATGTGTTTGCGCTGTTTAGCGTATTCATCAACAACAACAGCTTGTATGAGGCGTTTGGGTTCTTCAATGAGAGGCCCATTATCATTGGCTTTATCCTGTTCAACGAGGTATTGTCGCCTACGGACAGCTTGATCAAGCTGGGGATGAATATCCTGACGAGGAGGTTTGAGTTTGAGGCCGGTGAGTATTTACAACATCCCTACACATTGTTGTCCAATGTTTACATCTGCTAATCTTCCTCCGTCCACAGACGCCTTCTCGAACCGTCTCGGCTACAGCGCCGAACTCGCCAGCTCCCTCATCAAGCTGCAGGTCCAGAACCTGTCTTCCATGGATGCCGACTATCTCTACTCGTCATACCATTACTCCCACCCCATCCTCACCGAGAGGCTGAAGGCCATCGGCTGGAAGGGCGACAAGAAAGTCTCGACAGCCAAGTCGGCGAATGGCAGCGCCGATGGGAAGAAGGATGAGCTATAATGCTGTCTCCAGGGCCAATCGTTCCATGGCATGGCGATGGCGTTTCGTATTCGGAAGCTCGATGCCTGGGCAAGGAGGCTCAGCAGCAAAAGTGTAGACCAGCATATATCAATGCTTCATGATCTCAACACACTGCCCACGAACCTCCCACCAGCCAACGGCGTAGCAACAGCTCCAGTATCCTACCCCGCCGAGCCCGCCCTGCCCGCCTGCTGCGCCCTGAGCCTCCTCTGCTCCAATTTTTGCCGCTTCTTATTCTCCTTCCTTGCCTTCTTCTCCGCCTCCGTTTTTCCTTCCCCATCATGCTTCACAATCTCCGGCACCTCGCCATTCTGCTTCACATTCGTCGCACCTATCCGCTCCCCCAGTTCGCCCTCAAGCATACCCTGCTGCTTCTCATACTCCTCCCGATCCTGCCACTCCTGCTCCTCATACCCGTGATCTGGCGCGTGCATAGGCGTATTCGCGAAACTCTCCAACTCCTGCCCCGTAGCTCCTCCAGCCATCGAAGACGTATCGTGCGCCCAAGCCTCGATCTCTTCTTCCCTATCCCTCTTCCTTTTCCCCTTCCCCTCTGCCCGTTTCTGCGCCGCGGCCTCCGCGATCGAGGCGTCTAAGCGCCCATCATCGTCTGCCCCTGCTACCGTCCCGGCGGCATCGCCGAAGAGCCGTTCGAGTTCCTCTTTCGTCTCGGCCACGAGTCGCTCCCCGCGTAGTCCCGCTTCGATGCGGCGGAGGTGGTGGATTGCGAGACCGCCGCTGGAGCTGGATGTAGCGGCGAAGCTGGGGCCGGAGGTGTTGAGTTGGCTGTCCGGGTGGAGGTGGGGTTGCGTGGTGGAGGACTCGAGGTAGGTGTGCAGGAGTTCTTGGGCGGTGGAGGGAGGGAGGGGGCGCGTGAGGGAGGGGTGGTGGTGGGTGGGTGGGAGAGGGGGTTGGGGAACCATGATGGTGGTGATGTGGGGTGTAGAGTTGTCTTGCGACAGAATCAGATGTTTGAGAACAGCGCTGAGCTTGGACCAGCTCGGGACTTTTTTGGCTCCTTCCCTTTTGGGCTGTCTCGATGGGGTAGGGAAGCCGCAGGCCGCATCTTTGGCAAGAGCTCAGATGCATACTGGCATCTGGATATAGCATGACTGGCACGCATACCACCAGAATACAAAGAAGGCGACTGACGCCACAATGTTCTGCACACGCTGCCTCCGCAGCGCCTTCGCGGCGCCTATACGAACCGCTACTTCCACCCTCCGCCAGCTACCCAAACCATCACCACAAGCATCACGGTACGTTGCCTGCTCGTTTTCCTTCCCTTCGACAGCTGCTAACAACTCTGTTCTAGACCTCTAAGCATCCTCTCCCGCCTCCCCACTCGACCAACACTACCAACATCCTCCTTCTCCGCGCCATCCACCACACTCCCCGGCGCCCTTCCTACGTCATCCACACAGCCGGCACCACAACAGCTCGCATTACAGGTCCGGACGGCGATACGAGATACATACAACCCCAGCCATCGGATACGGAAGCGGCGGCATGGCTTCCTTTCGAGAGCGCGGACACGGACGGGGAGGAGGACGTTGAAGCGGCGGATGGCGAAGAAGAGGAGCACTTTGAGTCATTGAGGCATGTAATAGCCAGCGTACTGAAGCAAATCGAGCAAAGATGCAGTGTACGAGGGTCAGGATGAGTACAGCTGCTTGGTCTCCGAGGGAACGATGGGCTAAGCCATTCGATCTGTCCACCTTCGCCAGGTAACCACGCTCTGAACGAGGTTTATAGCAAGAGCATTCATATGGACAATCCGGGTGAAGCTGGGCATCTTGCTCCTCCACCCACCAACTCCAGCCGTCCCAGCATCCTCTGCATCCTCTCTAACTTTCTCCTTCTCGTCCTCGGCATTATCCACTACACCTTTCTCAAGTCCTTCCTGGAGATTCCGGGGTTGGTCTGCTGGCTTGCAGGAGCTTTCTAGCTTTTCCAACCTAAACTTGTTCCAGCTCAACAAGATGGTGAGATTGATCGCCCATGGCACGAAGACGCCCAGGATATACCGGTCGTCTTCGCAAAGGGATATGATGTGGTTGTCGAGGTAGCAGGCGATGGTGATGCAAGAACAGAAGATGGCGAGTTCGCGGAGGATTGTTGGGATGGTGATTTTGGCTGGCACTTAGAGTTAGCATGCTGCGTTTTCGCATATGAGGTTGTTGGAAACTACCTTCTGAGGACGCCATATTGGCGGTATTCAGATTTGAACGGGAAGTGGTCCCGGCTCGTCTGAGAGACCTGCTTGTTTGGTGGCTCTATGAGGGCGTTGTACGTGTATTTAAGCTAAGTATTTGATGTGTTATAATGAAGGATGGGTCTTTCACACCCTCAGCCTTGCTGTACCACATACACTGCCCACTCTCTGGCCGGGTTTCACGTCAAGGGAATCGATTGGTTCATTCGGCTTGCACGGCTCAGCTCTAATTCCTTCCATCTTGCTCCGCGGAAAATCCACAACCTCCCTTCACTACAATATCCACCACCGAGGCATGACCCCGACACGTCGTTTCTGCCCACGCAACTTCGTGGGCACCCAAACGAACAAGGTCCAGCTCGCTTTCGGTAGGAGGAGGAGTCCAAGACGATGCGGCCGCCGGCTCAAGCAGAGCTCCCCACCTGGCTTCTCCTCCTCCTAAGCGCAATGCTACCCAAGAGCGCCTTCATGCACCGAGGCACCGTTGGAACACTCCCGAGAGAGTTGTAGACCTTGCCCGCGTCCGGTCCAGCTGGCGCTTCGAATACTATTAAAGGGTAGGTCTGCGTTAGGAAGGATTGATCTATTCAGCTTTCTTTCCTGTATAAGAGGAACGATTCCTGTCGGTTGTGCTGGAGAGAAGACGGGACAGTTCTCAGACGATCAGAGTACTACCAACAGAGCAGACATGTCGATCCTAGATGGCAGCGTCGAGACGACGAAGGCTGAGCCTGGGTTCTTCAGTATCCAGGACAGCGATCTTACTTCACTCAAGGACAAGGTTGTCCTGATTACTGGGGGCTCTTCTGGCATCGGTTTGGCCGCTGTGAAAATATGCGTTAGCCTTAGAGCAAAGGTCGTTGTGGGCGATGTCAACGAGTGCCCTGAGAAGTCGGACGCCGTGACGTTCCAGAAGGTGGACGTGACGGACTGGAAGCAGCAGTCGGCATTGTTCAAAAAAGCCATTGAGGTGAGTATTCATGGGTTAAAGGGTTCTCCAAGACACGATCACACTGCAAGCGGCGCTCTGAGACCCTTTAAACCCTTCCTCGCCATCGAGACACTTGCTGACCCTTTCACTCCTCGGTGCTTCAGGTGCATGGGGCAGTGGATCATTGCTTTGCAAATGCAGGTATGTATTCGAGCTCTCAAAGAGCCATACAACATGCATATACTGACTCCTCCACCAAGGCATCGGTCCCACGGACACCTTCACAAAAGACACCTTCGACTCCGCCGGCGAGCTCGAACCGCCCAACATGAAAACCATGGAGATCAACCTGAACGGTCCGATCTTCACCTCTAAACTCGCATTGCATTACCTCCGCAAGAACCCGGAAGGCGGAAGTCTAGTCATCACCGCGTCCGCCTCCAGCTTCACGCCCTTCGTTGCCACCGACTACGGTGTCGCTAAGCATGGTGCGCTGGGTCTGATGCGGAATCTCGACGCCAACTTGAAGGACAGCAACATCCGTGTGAACTGCATCACGCCACTCTGGACCGCTTCCGGCCTCGTGCCGGCGGAGATGATGAAGGAGCATCTTGGCATTATCTCCCAGCCCCCGGAGGCCGCGGCGAGAAGTGCGTTGCTGTTGATGGCGGACGGAGAGCGGAGGGGCCAGACGATGTTCTCGAAGCGAAGCATGTTCAAAGAGATCGACAGTATTGCTATGAAGGCGATGGTAGAGGCCGTTGCTCCTGGTCCCGGTGATGTGCCGGCTGATGAGGCGAAGGGGAAGGCGTTCAACGAGATGTTCAGTAAAGGTTCATGAGCTGGTGCGTGAGCAGTCGGACGGACTATGGGTGCCTCGGTTGCCTCTAAGCACGAGGTAGAATGTTGCGCTCTGAACATCTCTTCTGCTAAAGGCTCTTCAAGTCGTCTAGCTATCTACGGCTGTTTACCAACTGCCTACTCCAGTGACAAGCATTCGTACTGCCGCCGTTGTCCCGGTTGTCCTCTGAATATAAGCTAGCGTCGTCCACTCTCGAGCCAGTGACCAGATGCGCCCGTGGGCCATATCGTCACTCAATGTCCCACGGCACGTCCTAGAAAAGAAGTCAGTCATCCACATCCCACCCTTTCAAAAGCCTCTGCGGTTTCACTTACCGAGTTACGCATGTACGGTGCCAACCGCGATGTATCTTTAAGCATCTCCGCCTTCACCCTGCCGTTGCCGAGGAAAGACCACATGTTGCCGTTGTAGCGGTGGTCGTAATGCTCCCACTTGACCTCTTTGATCGTCTTCATAAAGTGCAGAGCCTGCAGTATATCGTCAGCGGCAGCAGCGACATCTCCACTCTGGAGAGGAACACTCACCGAACCACCCCAGATCCACAGCTTCCCTCCCCGAATGTTGTTCTTATACCAGCTCTTGCAATCCTCGTTCCACACGCTTCCCGGATGCTCACCCTGCTCATCACTCCCCTGATGCCACGCATCGATGTGTTCGTACAACTGCGTGATTGGTTCTTGTTTGACCTCGAGAGCCCGAATGTTCTCGTTCTGGATCTTCTTAACACATTTGAGGATGTACTCTACACAAGCCTCGTGTCCTGGAAGAGATGTCCCGTTCGCCCAGTTACCCCGAACGCCATTCACCACGAAATAATTAGGAAACTTCGGGACAGACATGGCGAGATAGACCTGCGGCTCAGGATCAAACTCCTGCCGCATGTTGGCGCCGTTGGTACCGTAGACTTCGAACGGCGGAGCAAAGGCGATGTTGAAACCCGTAGCACAAGCGATGATGTCGACCTTGTGCAGCTTTCCGGATCCATCAAGTAGGCCTTCGGGCACGATCTTCTCGATCTCCTCATGGACAGTCGTGACGTTCGGCTTCACCAGAGCTTCCAGATAACCATCCCCAGGCGTGATACGGCGGCAGCCTGGTGACCAGCTTGGAATGAGTCGGTTCTTCAGCTCTTCGTGTCCTGGTCCAATGCGTCTGTTCATCTCCGCACGCATCATATCGTTGGCACCTTTGGAGACGTCGGAGTTGGAGATGAACATGTCGAACATGCTATTTACCGCCGACTCGAGTTTCTTTCGATACTGGAGAAGATGCTCTGGATCATCGCGGAAGCGCTGCTTGTCCTCTTCAGTGTACCAGTACTGCTTCATAAGTTTCTTCTCGTCCTGCGGCTCACGTTCGGATTGGCTGGTGTGCTTCTCCTTTTCGGCTTCGATTTCTGCTTCGCCAACCACGGGGGAGATCCAGGTGACTGAGCGCATGAATGCTGTGAGATGTGAGGCTTTCTTCTGGACTTGTGGTACGATCTGGACTGTTCCGCGGTTAGCACAGCATGTTCATGAGAAGCAGTTGAAGGCATACTAGCAGATGATCCAGTCCCAATCACGGCCACAGTCTTGCCATCGTAGTCAACATCCTGGTCCCAGTTGGCGCTGTGAAGGAGCTTGCCTTGGAAGTCGTGCAGTCCTGGTATCCTGAGGATGGAGTCAGCGAGCTGTTCCAGACGATTCTCGGCCACCCACTTACTTCGGCCACTTCCAGTCGTTGAGGAACCCTGTACCGTTGACGAGGACATGGCACCAGTCTTCAAGTTCCTGGCCTTCACTGTTGATATTGAGATTGTAGATACCCTTCGCCTCATCCCACGTGGCGCTCGTCACCTTGGAGTTGAGCTTGATGTACTTGTTGAGGTCGTACTTCTCCGCGAAGCCCTCGAAGTACTGCTCACCGTTAGCTGAAGATCGTCACTCGCGATGAATGTACCATACCCGCTTGATCTGCGGAGCGTAGGCAAAGCTGTAATATCAATTGCGTCAGCATCCCTTCGATACTCAGTTGGGTCTTCCCATCAAACCTACAAGCAATCCCACTCGGGATTCGGCTCAAAGCTGAACGTATATGCATGGGCGGGAACATCGCTGAGCATCAGTCAGTCAGCCACATCCGATGATATCAATGTGCCCTTTCGATTCATACCAGGCGCATCCCGGGTACCTATTCTCATACCAAGTGCCTGCCACAGACGGGTTTCTGGCGGGATGATCAGTAGTGCTTGATAATAGGCAGTCTGGGCGGACATACTTCTCGTAGCAGATAAGTTCATAGTCCGAGAACAGCTTCTTCATCTTGTACGCCATCAACAATCCCGCTGCCCCGGCGCCGACATTGATGACTCGGATCGTTCTGCCCTGCGAATGATACTGGTTCTTCACCCGATAAGGCTGGGTCTCTTCGAGTTGAGGCATAGTTGTCGATGGCAAATTGATGATAAGAGCAGATTTGAGCAGTCTTGAAACGGAGGAGGGGACACGAGTACAGTGGGACGCAGTAAGAGAGGCAGTCGTAATGGGGGACAACTGAAGCTTTATGCTGAGGTCTGAACAGCTGAACGCTCTGTTTCCTTACCTGGAAGGACACGCGAGAGCGATCGTACAAGAGTCCTCTGAGGCGGGTGAAGGCGTGGTGATACAAGGTTAACTCGTCTACCTCGGGGTTAAGCCGTGGTGATGATGTACCCCACATCCAGGAAGAGGGCACGGTAGGGTTGGACGTCGTGTGCGCTAACGTTGCTGCTTCGAGCTATTGAGCGCTTTCGGTTGGTCGGCTCAGCCTCATGATGTAGAGAGTCTCGTTCAGATCGACAGACCCTTGCCGCAAGTCGTATTGCTGGATCCAGCTCGTGGTCACTGGAATTGCATCGGTGAGCATTTGTGCATGTTGTTGGCACCTTGCAACAACCATGTACAGTATCCTTGCAACTTTTCTACTGCCGTCACGAAGACCCAACTAATCCAGCTCCATCGCATCACTCCTCCTCTGCTCAGCAGCCTCAGCCCGCAGATGCCTGGAGACTATCGGGTGCTCCTCGACGCTTGTCTTCACGCCAGACTTCTGCGCCTTTCCGAACAAACACTGCCAAAGATCTTCCTTCCCAACGAGCTCACCACCGCCCTTACCAGCGACCAGTAACTTCGACAGCGGAGCCGACTGCATCTCTTCCGAGTTAGCAGCATCAATCGCATTCTCTTGCAACGGTGCAGGAGTAGCTGATCTTGACTTCTGTGCTCTGTTCGACTGACGAGCTTGGGCGTGCGCCAGACGTCGGGTGACTGAGATGTCGTAGATGGCCTCCTCCACGGTGTCACTGATGAGATACATCCAGACCGTCGTCGGCCGCGTCTGTCCAATCCGATGCACTCGAGCAATCGCTTGCAATTCAACGGCAGTCTGAATCAGAGGTTCGCAGATGAAGACGTGCGTAGCGTTGACGAGCGTCATGCCAGACGAGTCCGTCTTTGCGTCGAGCAAAAGACAGTCGATGGTAGGATCCTGCTTGAACTTCTCCACCGCGCTGCCGCGACCAAGCCGAGCGTAACCAATTCTGAAGTCGCTGAGAGCGGTGCCGAGTACGTCAAGGAACTCTCGATATTGGCTGAACACGACGCTCTTCGCGCCAGGGTCATGCTCCCGTAGCCAGTGCAGGTGGCGGCCCAGTGTGTCGATCTTCGTGCCGTAGCTTGTTGGTAGGTCTATGGACTGGATCTCCTGTAGAAGCTGTGAACTCACACCAGAGTAGATCGAGTTTTGTTTGGGAGAGCTGTCCTGGTCCGATGGCGAAGAGCTGCCAGACTGGATCTCCTCGCGCGCTGCCAGCTTCAGCGGCTTATAGGTGATGTTGTGCATGTCGGCCGGAGTCATCTTTCGCCTACAGACGGCGCATTTCTTATGCATCCCCAGCCAATTCTGGGCGCACTCCTTGCAGTACTTGTGACCACATACTGTCAGGACTCCGCTCAGAAAGGTGTCGTTGCAGATCACGCACGTCTCATCACGGTCCTCGACGTTGTCTTTCTCTCGGAGATGTAGCAGGAAGGTATGCTTCGACCGCAGCTGTTTCAAAGCCTCTGTCTGACTCTCCTCGTGCGACGTCGCATCTTGCAAAGCTACCATGTCCAGTGTCGGATCAAGCTCCTCTTTATACGGTTGGACAGCGTCCGAGAGTTCCTGCAGCTGCCTGTAGAAGTCAAGTCGCTGATTCTGAGTTAGCCGGAATAGATCGACTTCTCTCTGGACTCCCGTCAGAGCCTTGTTGTAAGATGAGAATGTGGCTTGCAAAGCATTGATGTGTTGGCGAAGTATCGCGCGCTCTGCCGCCCGTATACCACTTTCGTTGCCCTGCAGTGAGGCCTCGAGCCCACGAGCCTCTTGGATCAGGCCTCTGATCGAAAGACCGTCGCGGCTGCCACCTCTGAGTTTATTGCGAGTTCCAAGCAGCTCCAAAGTCAATTCAGGTGCATGTACCCCTTGGTTCTTCATTTCTTCAACAATGTCCTTGTCCAGTGCAGTTCTTGCGGCCCTCACCATAGTCAGCATCTCGTGATCGATCAAAGGAGCCTTTTCGCCAGTGATCGATGTCTGGAGATCCGCCAGGATTGCTTTGACTGCATCAAAGTACACGAATAGCTCGTCCTGCAACTTTGTAGAATCTTCGTACTCATCGCCAGTGGTTTCCAGGCCCTCGTCCGTGTCCACAAGCGGCTTCAGAAGATACTCTGCCATCTTCGCGCGCCAGTCAGCGATCAGCGCCCCCTGTTCGCGGATCTTATCGAACAGCTCATCACTCTTCTCAGTGATTCTGCGGCTCTCGATGCCGCCCAAACTTTCTAACTCCTTGATCCTAGGCATCTTAGTAAACTTCTTCTGCTCCACGGCCATGCCAATTCTCTGCATGAAGACCTCAGACTTCCGCGAGCTGTCCTGCAATATCTCTTTTCGAAGCTGCTTCGCGTGCTCGTAAAGCGCAGTCTCATGGTCTTCGAGACTCTTGTAGCGCTCGGTCTCCGGTTCCGTGATGTCAATATTGGTCTTCTGCTGATATATCGCCGTAGCGGCAAAGAAGGTACAGGTATGTTCAAGCTGGAGCGCTGTTCGGAGACTATTTTTCAATCGGCCAACTTCCGGAGTAGTTTCGTCCGCTGAATCTTCATCGTCAGTCTCCGTCACGACTTCGCCTTTGTCCCGCCGAAGTTCCTTCGTCGCAGCGAGCTTCTCCCGAGATTCCTTGACCAATTCAGCACTCTTTTCCATCGCGGGCCGATAGATCTCTAATGCCTCCACGCTTCGCCGGTCGTTCTCCTGTGCATTGCCAACGACATGACCTCGCAGCAGTTGCGTAGCCAACAAGGCGCGCTCCTCCGTACGGAGAGTGGTTTCGTTCTGCTCGATCATGACTTCCAACACTTCCGCGACTGTTCGCAAAGGCCCACGTCCACGACCAAGAGCCTTGCGGTTCTTCGCGCCGACCTGCGGATGCAAGCAGGCCTGTCTGAGCTGTACGAGCTGGCTTCGCATCTCCTCCACCACGGCAGGGTCTGTAGGATCCCAGTCCTCTTCATTGGGCGAGCCATCGCTTCCAACGCCAACCGCATGGCACATCTTCTTGAACAGATCGTTGTAATTGGCCTGTTCTGTTGCTGAAAACGGGATGGTAACAACAACTCGTTTCTGTTGCGGCAGCTGGATATCGTCCCCGACCTCGATCTTCGAATGCCTGAGTGCGATGGTGTTAAACACCTTCCTGAAGAGGTGTCCATGGCTGTGAATAAGGTGTTTCCACAGTTTCGTATTGTCAGCTAGAGGCTGAAGACCAAGGAAGATAAGTAGACCATGAAGATCTTGCACGTCCTTCCTTAGTGGGGTCCCAGAGACTGCCCACCTGTGTACTGATAGGAGACGGCGAGCCACCCGAGCTGCCGCACTCACACCTGATTCGACCATTTGTGCCTCGTCCAGACATATGCGCCACCACTGGAGTCGTACGAGTGGACTTCTTTTGCGCTTGTACTTTCGTGCCTGGCGCATGTCGCGCTTAGGAGGGTCTTCTGCGAAATGCAATTCACGGGTAAGTGTCGAGTAGGTCGCGAGCACAACGTCATTGACTGTCATCTCTTTGAGGATCTGTTGCTCTGCTTTCGGTTTCTTCGAAGAGAATCCTTCGTAGTGGAACACTCTCAGCGCTGGAGCATGCCTCGTCAGCTCCGACTTCCACTGTTGCAGAATCGAATTTGGCGTGATGATCAGAGTTGCCCGAGAGGGTACGATTTCCATCTCAGAATCACCATCGTAGTAAGCCTCTGGAAGTGGATCTGCTCGCTTGTGGACGGACAAGAGCGCCATCAGCTCGACGGTCTTGCCCAGACCCATCTCCTCCGCCAGGATTCCACCCGATAGGGCAGACATGCGCGGATCCGGTCGTGTGCGACAGATAATGCCTTGCAGGTGATTCACAAAGCATGTTCCACCGTCGACGTCTTGTATAGGCCGGTAGAAGTCAACATTCCTGGCACGCTTTGAGTCCTGTAGAGCATGCAGTCCATCACATTCGTACTTCATCCCTTCTCTACGAAGCATCCAGTGCACTGCACGCTTCTGGAACGGATAGAGATCGCTGTCCAGCAGCGATTGGAAGTCGTATGTCGTGTCTTGATCTTTTGGCGGTACGTGGACACATTCGTAGAAATCTCGTGGACTCCAATCTTGTTTGAGGCCTGCTTCCTCCTTCTCTACGTCAGGAAAGGTCCCAAACAACAATTTGTACTCTTGCTTCTGTTCGGAGTACACTCCAGGAACTCCGCTTGAAAAGGCTGATGCTCCTGAGTTCCAGTAGAAGTTGATCTCCAAGCGGACCACTGTGAACGGCTGTCCGGATGATGCCGTGAGAGTGCACCTCTTCCAATACGTTGGGTCATGCCCGGTAGCAATCTCTGCTTCCCGTAGTCGAGTCAGCGCAGCGTGACGCAGCGCACCTCGAGCATAGTCTGGCAGCTCCGTAACGTCCACGACCAGCACTTCTCCATTTAATCGTGGTAGAGCCAGTCGCAGCCTGTGCGCGTCAAAACGATCCATAAACGAAGCGTCCACTTTCACAGACTCTGCCCCTTTAAAGGAAACGTCCTCTCTGATCTGCGCTGACCCAACTGATCGGGCGTTGAGGGTAGTTGGGAAGTCCAGGTCGATCGCCACTCTGGAGATGGGGATGTGTTGCGCGGGATCGGGAACCGCGCACTGTACAGACCTGCTCTCGCCTAGTTTCCGTCGCTTCGCAGGAGGTTCAGATACGTCTTCTGTCGCAGAGGCCGGGTTCAAGGCTTGTGACAGGAACCATTTCATCGGAGTGAAGCCACCTGCTTCGACAAGAACTGTTGACTCATCATGGGACAGAGCTGTCGCCGAGAGCGCAGTTGTAACGCAGTGCTCGTTGAGCGGCGCCATGATGGCGACCGGCCGACTGCTTTGTTGAAGGAATGATGGAGAAGTGTCTCGACGAGGAAGTGAAGTTGGTGGAGGAAGGTAGACGTTCAGCGAAAGACGTTCGGCTATATCACGCTAAACTCCAAACGTGCAAGCTGCATTAGCGTCTTTCGCTTACTTTAAGATATTACTAGACTCTTTTCACGTGCGTCATCCTTCGAGACCTCAAGTCACTTCACACAGACAGGACAACGACAGGACATGAGTCCAGTACGACTGGCAGGCGTTCGAAATAGTCGGACACTATCACCATGGACCATACCAAGGCAGTGGACGATGCCACCACGCCCCCTCAACTGGACAAGGTCCGCCCTCTTCCTCCTCGTAAATCAATCCAAGTACTGAGCTTGTCTACAGAAACGACAAGTAAAGTACTGGACGAGATGTGTCAAAACACTACTACCATTCCACTACATCGGACTGGACAGCAACCGGATGTACATGGGCTATTTCATCCTCGCAGCATTAGACCTTCTGGATGTCTTGGAGACAGTATGCAGCGAGACTGAAAGGCGGGACTTTGCAGACTGGATATATAGTTGCCAGAGTGTCGACGGAGGATTTAAGATGTGGCGAGGGACTGATTTTGGGGATCAAACCAATGATCTAAACCGCAAGTGGGATCCGGCGAATGTGCCTGCGACGTACTTTGCGCTTGTGGCGCTGCTCGTGCTTGGAGATGATTTCAAGCGGGTAAAGAGGAGAGAGACACTGCATTGGCTGAGGAAGATGCAGCGGCCTGATGGATCTTTTGGTGAGACGCTTGTGAACGGCCAGATTGAAGGTGGCAGAGACCCAAGATACGGGTATTGTGCCACTGGAGCTCGTTACATTCTGAGAGGCGCGAGATCGGGACCCCTAACTCTCGACGGCGAAGATATTCGAGATATTGATGTGGACGCGTTCGTTGAGTGCGTTAGGCTGGCTGAGGTATGACCGCCTCATCGCAGCAGCCCTTGACATGAAGCTCACAACGATGTAGGCGTTCGACGGAGGGATCGCAGACCAGCCTTACAATGAACCCCATGCCGGCTACACATACTGCTCCCTCGGCGCTCTGAACTTCGTCGGCCGTCTCCAGAAAGCAGACCTCCGGCCTTCACAGCTATCTTCGCGGTACGGCCCCTCAAATCCCCAAGAAGTCGTCCGATGGCTCGTCCAACGCCAAACCGAACACATCGACCCCGACGCCAGCATCGACTCAGATACCATCGGCTCAAACCGAACCTCCAAAGTCACAGACCGCGAGCTTGAGAACATCCTCCCAAACAACCACGGTGCCCCTCCCAACAGCGAGCAAACCCCTTCCCAAACCGCACCGCCCGACCATTCCTTCACCAGCGCGGCTGCAGCAAAATCACAAATCCGCAAACCCTCCTACACCCCCCAACCCTCAACCCTCCCAGACCATGACTCTGCAACCACAGCAATATGCGCCGGCATGAACGGCCGCGTGAACAAGACCGCCGATACCTGCTATGCCTGGTGGTCCGGCGCCTCCTTCCACGTCTTGGGGCAGCCGAAGCTCTACAATCACGCCGCTGTGCAGAACTACTTACTCGAGAAGACACAGAATCCTGTCTTGGGAGGTTTCGGGAAATTTCCGGGCGATGCGCCGGATCTGTACCACAGCTACCTGGGCCTGACCGCGTTGAGTTTGGTCGGATGTGAGGGGGTGAAGGAGGTGGATGCGGGGATGTGCGTTAGTCGGAATGCTAAAGGGAGGTTGAAGGGGGTGTGGGAGAGGTGGGGTGTCGAGGGGTCCTTGAATTGATATGCAGACGCTGGAGCTGGCTGGCCGGGATGAAAGGTTGGGATATCGACATTGTTCATACAGCTACACCTGATGATGTGATCATGAAACTCTACAAACGGTCGTAAAAACGCTCAAAAAGACTCAGCAGAAGAATTTATAAACCCTCCTCCAAGCCGGCCAAGTCGCTCGCTCAGCTCTTTCCTCCGCGATCAGCTCCGCGACATTGAGGTCCCGTATCCCGGTGTGCAGGTCCATATTGTAGCTCCGTATGAACGGCGTCCGGTACCATAGCTTGTAGACGACATACATGATGACCACCACAGGCGCTGCAAGGTAGACCTGAAAGAAACTCCTCGCGTGCCCCGTTGGCGTCAGCGGTGTATCTCCATCGTCGACTATCGGCCACGCGCCGGTCCAGAACTGCGCGACGAGCACGAGGCAGTTTATGATGAACCCGATCCAGGAGCCGATGACGCCTGGTTGTGAGCGGAAAGCGAGTTCGTCGAGAGTGTGGCCTTGTTTGCGCCAGCCGCGCCGGAAGCGGATGTGGGCGAGGCAGATGGAGGCCCAGGTTACTATGGACGAGAGGCCGGAGAGGGCGATCATCCATGCGAAAGCTGCCTTTTGTCTTTTGGATCCCGCGAAGAAACCGAGGAGGCCGAGAAGGGAGGCGATGCCGATGGAGACGATAGGTCGGCCTTTGCGGTCGATGTAGGCTAGTATCTTGGGTGCTTGGTTTTGCTCCGCCAGCGCGGCAAGAGTGCGGGAGCTGCCGTAGATGGAGCTGTTTCCGACGGAGAGGACGGCGATCATGATGACGCCGTTGAAGACGGAGGGGAGGCCGGTGATGCCGGCGTTGACGATGGAGATGACGAAAGGGGAGGCGGTGGCGTCGGCAGCGTTGGTGGCGGAGAGTAGGCGCGGGTTGGTGTAGGGGACGAGCAGGCCGACGAGGGTGAGGGAGACGACGTAGAAGAGGGTGATGCGCCAGAAGACTTGCTTGATGGCGGTGGGGAGGGATTTGCGCGGGTTGGCTGTCTCCGCGGCTGCGAGGCCAACGAGCTCGGTGCCGGCGAAGGCGAAGGCGGCGTTGACGAAGACGGAGCAGAGGCCCTTGAAGCCGTGGTTGAAGGCGCCGGGGTTTTGCCAGTATTTGCCGCCGATGTAGCCGCCGTCTGGTCCGCCGCCGACGTTGATGATGATTCCGAGGATGATGTAGCCGATGACCGCGACGACCTTAATGATGGAGAAGATGAACTCCGCTTCACCGTAGCCCTTGACGCCGAAGAGGTTGATGACGATGATCAGAACCAGGAAGACAGCAACCCAGGCGGCGTTGTTGACGGAGCCGTGAGACCAGTATTCGACGGTGAAGGTCGCAGACACTATCTCCAGAGGCAGCACCACGAGCCATTGCATGGCGTAGCTGGCACCCATTAGCACAAGCACATATTCGTCTTATAATATCCCACTCACTTCCATCCCATAGCAAACCCCCACGCCGGATCCAAAAACCTCGTCGAGTACGCCGAAAACGACCCAGCAACTGGGAAAAGCACCGCCATCTCCCCCAGCGCATGCACCGTACAATACAGCATCGCCCCGGTGATCATAAAACTCAATACCAACGACGCCGGCCCCCCGATCGCCAGCGCATTGCCACTCCCAACGAACAACCCCGTCCCAATCGAGCCTCCGATCGCAATCATCTGCAAATGCCGACCCTTCAAATGCCTCTGCAGCGGGGATGAAGCAGTCGCCTGCGCCGCGCCTTCGACGTCGAAGATCTTGCCATCGCCGCCGACGGTGCTGCCTTTGGGGACGGCGTGGGCGTTGGGGTCGCGTTTAAAACTGTCCACGAAGCGGGTTGGGAGCGAGCGGTTGCGGTGGAGTTGGATGCCGTAGTCGATGAATTCGCCCGAGTCGTAGGCGGAGGGGGAGTACTCGCTGCGGTTCCAGACTTTCTCTCGCGGGTCATCCATTGTCGGCGGCGCTGATAAGCCGCTCCACGGTGGGAAATGGAGCAGCAGAGTCCAGTGTTAATGGCATGAGATGGAAAAAAGTCAGCGCGCCCGTGCTATGTCGTATATTGGCCTTGCTGCTCGCGTACGAGGCGCGCACCACAGGCGCAGGACCGGTCCCTTAAAGCGACTCGCAGACAGAGGCTCGACGTCTTGAGATTAGACTTCGGGAAAGGAAGCGTGGGAGGTGGAGGATTGGCTGCCGATTAGGACCGGGGTCGAGTGGCGAGCGGCAGGCGAGAGCAAGCCATTTGTGCGACGGGAAAGGCTGAAGAGCCCTGTCGTCGCACTGCTCTGTGCCTGTTGTGTGACCGCACCTCTGATCATCCTGTCGATGGCATCGAAGCAATTGAAATTCCGTGTTCCTTTCCGCAGCTGCGACGTTGGATCACGCACGTTTTTCCAAAGGAAGATTCGATGCTTGGACCACCGCCTCATCACCCTCTCCCACGTCTTCGCCCAGCCGTCTCGTATCCGTCCTCTCCGACGATAACTCCAAGAATCCCAAAGTACCTTACATATCACCCACGCATCCCCCTCATCCCCCTTTCTGTCTGCTACAGCCAGCGTCCCGTTCCAGAAGCACAGCACACACCCTCCTGACCGCCACAACCACCACGTACCACGACCTCCTCATTGCAAGGGCCGCAAAAGCACTATGATGACAATTCCCTCTCCCCTCGCCGTCGTGTAACAACAGGCTGGCTCCACCCTGCACGCCCTCGCAGCATCCGCATCCGTTACACGTGGCCCCTCGAATGGGCGGACTTGCCGTCATCTGCTCGCGGTCATTGTTTCTGCGGGTGGACTGTTTTTGCTTGCTGCGATCTCGTGGCTTTGGGAGGATGTGATGTATCGAGATGTTCGCTTATGATTGTGCATATGGCTTGCATTTAGGCGCTTCAAATATTGGTGGAGTTGTCGATTGATAACACGTTCCTCCCAAAAGGCGATTACAACACGCACGCTCACCGTCAAGTGAGGAATCCTCGCTACCTCAAGCACGTTGTTTACGGCTCAGGAACTGAGACTCCCACCTAGTGGTCCTACATCGCAAAGACGTTTGATGCAGGCGACAAAAATTGTCCATGTACAGCTCAAGAAAGCCAAGGTATCGTTTCGCCAAAAACATCGCTCAAACGCCCATCAAACACACCCATATCGCTACACCCGTCTTCATACACCAGTTCCACTAGCCTGCCGTTCCACCCTCTCATCCTCCTCCTCCTTAACCCGCAGCGCCTCCGCCGTCAACGGAACAACTCCGCTCCCGTTCCCCACTACCTCGTCATGCTGTGTGCGAGGAAGCGGACTAATCGGACTCACCGGCTCCGTGTACACCGCCTCGCTTTCCTCGCGCGCAGCATCGTTGATGTGAGTAGAAAGCACGAGTTCCGGACCGAATTGATCCACTTCTTCTACTTCCATATCTTCATCTTCGTCTTCTTCGGTGATTCCGGGGATCATCTCGCCGCTCTTCCGCGGTCCGACGCTGGTGGGTCGACTACTCGACGTGCGCGCGAAGCCGGACGGTGAGCCTGAGAGGCCGGGACCTTTGAAGACGGATCGCTTCCTTCGCGCAAAGACGGGTAGGCCCGGCGACCCGGGGACGGAGGTGAACGTCCCTCTCGCCTCGTTGAAACTCGGTAAGCTGCCCAACCCAGACGGCGGAGGACGTCTGGATACGCGAATACCAGATGGAAAGGCGCCGCCAGTTGGTGTAGACGGCAGTACTTTAACCGAAGCGTGCGGGGAGCGGCCGAGACGGGAGCCAGAGGCCGAAGACAGACCTGAGGGTGAGGCGATGGAGGCGCTGGACGTGCTGGAGGCTTTGGAGTGGGAGTGTTGATGCGTGCCCTGGTAGGCTGTGCGGATGGAGGAGACGGAGCTGGAGGTGGACTTGCGACCGCGGAGGCCGGCGGAGGGGCGGCGGATGGAGGAGTGGGGTGTCATGGTGTGCGGGCTGAGGCTTTGTCGTTTTCGCTGGATGCTGCCGCTGCTGGTGACGGTGCTGTTGGTGTTTACTCGTGGTCGAGCAGGTAATGTGGCTCGAGTTTCCAGGGCTGGTCTTTGCCCGATGCTTGCCTTTCGATGCTGTTGCAGGATCATGTTGCCCGTGGCCGTCCGCTTGAGATCTCGCAACTCACCATGTGACACTCCAGCCTGTCCATTGGCTCCAAGTTGAGGCGTATGATTGCCGTCCTTCCTGGCTCCTTCGTTCGGCGACTTGCCGATTTTGTAGCCTCCATCCTTAAACCAGTGCTTGACCCACGCGATCTGCTCACGTAGTGGTTGTTGCATGATGGTGCGCCGCTTTCGCTGCGGAGGTGGCACATACGTCGGACTGAGGAGGTCCGGATTTGTGGTCACGTTCCGAAGCATGCTGCCACTACCTCGTGACACATTTCGTGGTCTTCGTGGTGGTGTGATGTGGTAGTCTTTTGGCGGAGGTGGCGGTCGACTTCGAGATCGGCTCTCCTGTCGTGGGAGCTCCTTCGGAGGAGGTTCAACTCCCTCTGCTGGTTCCGGTGTTGGCGTCTTCGATTCAGCTACTTTGGGTAGATCCGTGGCATGAGCTGCATTGCCGTTCGCTCGTGTCATTCGCCTGCCACGCGCGCTGGGTGAGTCGAGGACGTTGCCCTCTTCATCTTCGTGGATCCCGCCGAGAGACAAAAGCCTGCCACTAGCAGCGCTTAGCCGGCGGATCGACTTCGCCTCTGCTTCGCGATCACGGCGCTTCCGCTCTCGTCGCTTCTCCTTCCGCTGCTCCTTCTCGATCAGTAGTGCCCACCAGCCCGCGAGACCATCGCACCGCTGCGATAGAACCTGCTCGATGACCATGTCGATATCGACACCGGCACTTCGCATGCGCTGGAGCGTGTCTTTCTCGAGCTGTGTGGAGAAGGGAGCTGGCTGCTGGACCTTGAGAATCTCCTGCTGCTGCGGTGCGAACTCGGCCAGCCAAGGATCCTTGAGCACATCCGAAAGTGGTGGCCGGATTAAGGGCCGCTTCGATAACAGCTTCTTCATGAGCTGCACAGCACCCTCGGGTATGTGGTCTGGGTATTCCAACTCCTCCTTCAGTATCCGCGCCTTGGTCGCTCCGTCATCGTCCTCATCCCAGGGTAGTTCTCCGCATAGCAGCGCATACAGGATGATACCCAAACTCCACACATCAACCTTTTCCCCGGCATATTTCTCGCCCTTCAGCATCTCCGGCGCCGAATAGCACACTGTTCCACACCAAGTCTGCAAGTAGCTCGTACTACCCTGGTACTCCCTCGTGAAGCCGAAGTCCACCAGCTTAACATTCCCATGCTTGTCCAGCAGAATATTCTCCAGCTTCAGATCTCGATGCACACACTGCTTTCCATGCACATAGCTCACCGCGCCCACTAGCTGCGTGAAAATCTTCTGCACCTTCGCCGGCTCCATCCGCCCATGCTCCAGCAGATGGTTGTACAGCTCATCCCCCGGACAGTACTCCAGCACCAGCCATACCAGGCTCTCTGTCACTATCACCTCGTACAGTCGCGCGATGTGTGGGTGGAGGAATTGTCGGTGGTGGTGGATCTCGCGCGCGAGGTTGGCATCGTCCTTCTTCGCTGACTTGAGGACGACTTTGGAGCCATTGGTGAGTTTGTGGGTTGCGAGGTAGACTTTGCCGAAGCTGCCTTTGCCGATGAGTCGTCCGAGGGTGTAATTGCCAACTGATTGGAGGTCATGGGAGGAGAACTCGGTGAGGAGGGACTGGTATGAGTTGGCGAGCTGGAGGAAGGTTAGTTATGGGCGCATTCGGCGCATTGGTTCAGGCGCATATAACCCACCTTGTTCCGCTGTTCTTGTCGTTCGTGCTCGGCCTGTGTCCTGGCCGGTGGCATTAAGTGCGATGCCGTCCTTTCACTCCCGCGGAGACTGCACGTTGCCGTGTTCCCCTACTTCAGCCGTATGAAGATCTGACAATGCGGTTGTTCTGCTCTTGAGTCGGGTGGTGGAATGGGGTCTTGGTTGGTATATCGAGGGCATTGAGCACGCTTTGAGGGTGGTAGTTGGTATGATGGAGTTGTGGAAGCTTAGAAAGCGCATTACTTTTGATTCATGTCCCTCGAACATCCTTGACATCCTGCCGCGACTGGACTGGACGCGATGTCGGGGTCGACTCCGATCTTGGCTTCGACCAAACCTGGAAGCTGGAACCTCAGCACCTCCCGTCTCATGTCTTCTTCTTCTTCTTCTTCTTCTTCCGACGAACCACTCGGTATTCACATCCAGGAGGGCGGCTCTGAATCATCACAGCGCCGCTCTCCAGGAACATGATGCATATCTACGACCAACGTACTGCCCGCCGTCGCTGCGACGGTAATCTCGTGAAGAGCGTCAAGCTTTCTCTGCATCGATCGAATGGTCAGACAGTTTACCACGAACATACGAACCAACCGCCATGAACGCGAATCTCAGCATGTTGGCTAGCATGACTTTTCGAGCCCTGCAGGCGTAGGCACAGGTAAGGCGTTACTTGACGTACTTGAACGATCTTCTTTCACTCGTCTCAGACCACGATCTCTTCCTACGCCTCAAGCAAGAAGCAGACAACATGGCTGGCCAAAAATCGGTCCCTTTCATATGCCTCGCCGACGGCAAGTTCGATCAACAAGGTCAGATCGAAATATGAGAAAGCGGGGGGTCTCACTGGGCAACCTGGACACCGCATCTCTCCCGCGGCGCTGCAGAATCAGCACCTCGATGTTGGCTCTCGCAGCAGCTCCATCTATGCAAGCGGCCAAACGGCCGACAAGGTCTCCGGCGCGACCTCAGCCGTAAAATGGGAGGTCTATCGTCCGTTCTCAGCGTCCACGGCCGCATCTAGACGGCGAGCGGAACGCTCAAGACCCTTCCGGTTCGTCGATCTTCCTGCAGAAATCCGGAATCTGGTCTATGAGCAATTGGGCCTCGAGAGAAGCGGCAACTACGCTGATCTCCACGACCAAAAGCTCGGCAGTCTACTGGACACTTTACCGCCTCTTCTTTGTGTCAACAAGCAGCTACAGGAGGAGGCCGGCAGCTACTTCTTCAGCACCCACAAGCGTTTCGTCATCACACTCCCTCGAAAAGATAAGAGCCTTCTACCACGATGGCTTCGACTTATCGGCCCTTCCAATCGCAGACACCTAGCCGCAAACCCCAACGTGATCATCTGCCTCGCGTTCTCGCAGTCGCCGAGTTTCTCCGAGAATATGACAGGTCTCCCGCTTCCCAGGTCTACCGATTATAGGCCTACCGGACACAGACCTACAGGGCACAGTCACCTACCTCCCACTCCGCGAAGCTGCTTACGGTTATGACTGGTTATCTTTCTCCACTTGCGATGGAGTGTATCCAGCTGTGAGCTCGTGGAAACTCGCATCAACAAAGCAATACTGGGTGAAGAGATGGCGGCAAGACCGTCGGCACCCGAGAATTTACGACCCCTATGCCCATACCGGACATCTCGCGCATGATCTCACGTTCATGGATCTGCCTCCAGTACGGCGGGTGATGAACTTTTGTTTTCGAAGTCTGGGCTTCGAAGAGGACATGGAGAGTAGGGAGCGATGGTGGGATGCGTTTTTGGATGATTTCGTTGAACGCGGTGTCCGTCATGGTTCAAGGGACGGGGATGGGTCGGCATGGGCTTTGAGGAAGAGTGGTGGGTTTGATGCAATCATGGATGTACTAGTGGATCTTTGATCAGCTCAGTAAGAGTGGCACACCATTGTTGTCATGTTCATACTGGGGACTTGACAGCAGTGAGAGAGGAAGGGATGAATAGCTTTATAAGTTCAATCAAGTCATGCTACTTGCTTCAATCATAATATATTGAGGACAAGAGTCTGGTTGGAGGCCCACCAGTACCTGCTTGCCAGTAAATGGACGAAAATGGAGGAGAGAATGGAAGGAAGATGACGAAGACGAAGAAGCAGAAGCAGAAGAAAAGGTCCAACATGGCTTGGAAGGGCGTAAGGGAATAGGATGGGTAATAATGTTCAGTCAAGCACTGCAGAAATATGTCAAGCCGAAGCGTCCGTGATCAATGTCATCGCAATCATGAGGTGCTCTTCTCGCTGCCAACAATATAAGTATGTGAACAACAATATTCAGCTGTCGTCATGTCTGCCATCGTGAGAAGCCGTTGGCAAAAGACATCGGGCCCACAGCCAAGCACCTCACTCGAATCTCACTTCCAGGTTCCATACCATCCTTCGATTATCACCAACACCATCACTCCCCCTTCTTCCCACCACCTCCTTCTTTCTCTTGGCTCGCCTGCTCCTCCATGCGCTTCCTGAGGTCGGCAAGGCTGGCGAGATCCATGCCACCCTGCTGCCCCGCCTTCACCCGAAGACTACAATGGTACCTTCAGCGCTTGCGACGGATGGGAAGCTATCAGCAAGGTCAGCAGTGCATCGGCTGAGAAAGAAGCAATTGGAACACACTTCGTGCACACCCAGCATTCGTCTTGATGGCTACTCCCCAGTGACACCCTCAGCAGCTCTCGCAGTGGTCTTGAGCATCTTGGCCGCTTCTCCGGCAACCGAAGTGGCACCCTCCGCGGTGTCAGGCCCCTCTGGAGCACCGGCTGCGATGGAGACGCCTTCAACACCATTCGTCATCGTCTTCACGGGCTCCTCCGGATCTTGCTTTATCTCAACCTCCGTAGTACCCAAGAGGGTCTCTTCACCTTCCTCTGCACCTTCCTCCCCCTCCTCTTTCTCCCACTCCTCATCACCACCACCCGGCATCTCATCCAGCAAAAGCTTCTTCAAAGCGTCGAGTACTGTCGTAGATCTGCGAGTGCTTCATCAGCTTTCAGATCGACACCCTCTGGATAGTAATCTTTAGCGACCATATAGAGACGTTCTGCTTCTTCGCTACAATTGTGCATGTCGGTCCATTCTGCGAGTGAGTAGGCGAGGAGGATAAGAGTTTTGATGCGGTGGTATCGAGGCTGGTCCGGGTCGTCGAGAAGGTCTTGCGTAGATTCAACACACCCTGCCATGAGTCCATCCTCGTACATTTGCCGGATTCTGTTGTACTCGCAAGACCATGACTGGGCGACCTGCTCGTCGGAAGACATAGTTGATGTGTTATGGGATCTTTTCGAGAAGGTTGAGGTTGAGATTGCTCTGAGATGCACAGGTGTTGATAGCGCGACGGATTTCGACCTTGAAAGTTTTCTGTACATATCAAGTCAACCTCACTTCATCTCCCCCCGCCCCTCATCGTGCATCACGACCTCCACCCCCTTCTTCAAATCAGCAGCATCATCAACATCAATTCCACTTCTCTGCACAAGCCGCCCCTCAATTCCAAAGATCCTGCTCATCTCCTCTAGCGTTCGTCCCTTCGTCTCGACCATGGCGAACTTCACAAACATGAACGCCACGACGCAGATGCAGGAGTAGATGATGTATAGACCCCAGCCGATGGCGTCCGCAATGGGCGGGGACACTTGCGCGACGATGTAGCATGCGATCCAGAGAGTCATGGTGCTTAGGGCGTTGCCTTTGGCTCGCATGGAGAGGGGGAAGATTTCTGCTGCGTATCTGTCGGGTCGTGTTAGATCTGTCCCCAATGGCTTAGCTTGAGGGCGACTTACGTCCAACTACCCACGCCCCAGCTGACGTTGAAGCTTAGATAGAACAGGTACGGAAAGGCGATGATAGCGTAATTGCCAGAGTCTCCAGGGTTGTTTTCGGCGTGCCATTGCAGGACAGTAATGCCGATCATTGCGCAAGCCATGCCCACCGTCCCGAACATGAGCCAGGTCCTACGGCCCAGACGGTCGAAGAAGAATATGGGTATCCAGGCGGAGACGAATAGAACGATGCCAACGCCACCGGTGCAGAGGTTCGCTGTCTTGGGGTTGGTGATGCCGCCTTTTTCGAATAGCGATGGCTGATGTTGTTAGTTGGTGTCACTTGCTGGAATGTATTGGTTTGTCGAGACTTACAGTGTAGTACAATATCGAGTTCGTGCCTGGAAGCATCGCATATGAGTCAGCATCGCTATTCTCCAAGTACACAGCATTTCTGTCCAATTCGAGGCATACCGGTAATCTGCTGGAAGAACTGGATTCCCATCCCAAGCAAAGTTACACGCAGCACCGGCGTACGGAACATATCAGCCCAGGTTGCTTCAGTGACGACCTTCTCGAACTGGTCTTGCCGACGAATGTCCTGCATCTCGGCCTCCGCCGCTTCGGTACCGTGCAGTCGAGTCAGAACCTCCAATGCGCACTCCAGACGGTCTTGAGCAACGAGCCAGCGGGGCGAAGGCGGAACGTAGTACCAGCAGCCGATACCTACGCGGGTAAAATGTGTCAGCAATGCTACAACAGTATCTACTTTTCCATTCGACGCTTACCGAGGATGGCGGCTGGCAGAACCTGGATTGCCAGGGGGATTCGCCACCACGAGTCAATGGTGAGGTAGTTGAAGCCGTAGTTCAACCAAAAAGCAACCAGCTCGCCGAAGCACAACACCATCTGCTCAATGGCAATGATACGACCTCTGATCTTCGGAGGAGCAATCTCTGCAATGTACAGCGGCACACCACCACTGCAGAGTCCGACGCCCCATCCGAGAACGATCCTGCCTACAGTGATTGTCGGGACGTCGTAAGAAGCAGCTTGGATGATCGCACCGATGATGAAGACGATGCTGGCTAAGCTCAGAGAGCGTTCTCGACCACAGCGATCGGCTAGAAGACCGATGGACATTGCTCCTAGGAAGCAGCCGATATCGTATAGAGAGACCACGGCTCCGGTGACCCACTAGTCCAGCATGTCAGTCGCTTCCCATGCGATGCTCATGTCCGACGTACAGAGTTGGCAGGGTTCATCAAGTTCCTCCACCTGCGATCGGCGACGATCAACCCCATGACACCTTGATCGTAACCAAAGAGCAATGCACCGAGTGAGACAAATGCTGTCAGTCCGTAGACATATTTCACATTCGGTGGTCGAGTCTGAGAGGCATCCACGCCCGTAGGTGGCCGTATGGGCGCTGTTTGCTTGATTGTCGGCATCGTGGTCGTACAAAGAGCAGACGGGCAGAGACAAGTTGGAGTTGGAGTGTTGGGCTGCTCGTCCTTTTGTAGCGGGAAGAAGCCATGTTCTTGAATCAGGTCCGTCCTCGACGCGGTTTGACTATCTTTCTGTCCCTGCTCCGCCAAAGACGTTTCGCAGATCAGTCGTAGTGTATTTCCATGCTGGGTTGTGGAGGTGTGGAGGTCAGGCTTGGCGTGTGGAGACAGAAGTCAGCCACGTGCAGTCGTAGTGAATTGCCGTTTGGGAAACTCTGGCTTGACTCGAGCAGCAGTTGCTAGTCGTGAATGGTAGTGATGGAACGTACTCTTGAAGACAGCTGAGAAGGCCTGCTGACTCCTTCCTGGTCCATCGTATTGGTCAATGTGTCGTGGCGGTCCTTACATCGTTTGAACTTTTATGCAGCGCCTGCCTAGCTGACCGAGTTGGCCAGCCGGTCGTTCTCTCAGTCTGCTCAACGAAGCGATGTAATATGTGTTGTTCGCGTAATTCCTTGAAGTGGCTTCCATGGATGGAAATAGCCATAGAAGCAACAAGCATTGCGGGAGGTGTTTGTGGGTTTGCTCCGGCGATGCCAACCATGCGTAAGACAATCTCGCGGGTTCGTTCTTCTGCAACAGTCGTTCTGGTTTCCGAGCCACTAACTGTATGAGCAGCCAAAAGCAGCGCCGCAAGTAGATGATACATCGCGCCCATGACGTGCCAGTCCGAGAGATACCTCTCATCCGCAAAGATGGCAGTTGTAGTTCCTGTGTAGAAAGGCTCAAACGAGGCGGGACGTGAGTCTCTCCAGTGCCCATGCGCGTCGGTCAGTCGACCGAAAGTTAATGCATTGTGGTGGTCGCTCCCAAACACGAACTGCACTACGTCGCAGCAATGCAGAACAGCAAGATTGGCCCACTCTGCTTCGTGGTGTTGCGCAGAGTCATGAGCAAATGTCCGCGAGGGCTCGTGTACTGCTCTGACCAGGTTCAAGATATCAACCTGCATCGCACGTCGCTTGGTAAGAGCCATATATAGATCCTGCCTCAGTGCGGCCATGCGCACTGCTCGGAGGAGGTCAGAAACAGTATTCTGTCGACCATTTGAGTCCTCTTGAGCCTTGATTATGGCCTGTGTACCGAATAGATGGCTCTGCGAATCGTGTCCAGTAAGAGGCACGTCAAGCTCCTCGAGCAACCGCAAGATGACCAGAGCTGATAGTATAGAGTCGTCGCTTGGAACATCCGAGAGCATAGGAATTAGCTGTTGCAGACATTTCTGGTAGTAGAAATCCGCTACCAGTCCGTCGAACTCTGCCACCCGACTGAGATGGCGTGCTGAGAGCGCCAGGATTGCCGTGCAGAGCGTACTGCTCGCCCTCGCCTTTTGAGCCACGTCACGGCCGAAGTGCTGCTTGGGGTCACAGAAGTCGAAGAACTTTGAGACCGTGTCGACGAAATGTCGGAATACCAGAGCCTCTTCCTCTGTGAACGGCTGTGGCTGAGAAGAAAGTGAGCCCAGCGGACTAGACGAAGGGTCACCGGCAGTCCCTGAGGATCTGTCTTCCAGGTGCAAGGGGTAGTCTTGCTTCTCCGAGCCAGTATCCTTCGAGGGACCTTCGCCAAGGGCCAGCACCACGTTGTTGGGCTGAGCTAGATGGGAGTCCCTGGTTGATGCTCGCTGCTCTTCTTTCCTTCCATCGAACCGGTGAGCTTTAAAGCGGATCTTTGGTTGTTGAACACATTCTCGCCCAGCACGTACGCATCTGGTACATCGTGGCAGTACGCCATCGCCTGTCGGCTGCCATTAGAGCTGTCGGGACGTGTTATCCTTGATGCGGCTCACACTTGTAGTGGTGCTTGCGGCATGCTTCACTGCGCACTCTTCGTTAGCGCCGCTGCTGAGAAATGTGCGCGGTACTTACCATGACATGCCCGCCGCCAGATCGGATGGAAGCTCAAGGAGTGAATAGAGTAGAGTCGGAGTCGGAAGCGGAGAAAGTTGGTGCTCTTGTCCAATGTCTCAAAAACGGCAAGTGCGTCCGACTTCTCGTCCCCGCCCTTCTCTCCCTTCTCCACTGTCTCTTCCCAAACAATCGACTGTCCCGGTAGTAGACGGGCGTTGGGTCGCACAGATCTGTGATAGCATGTACATATACATCAGAAAGGTAAGGTAGGCAGGTACGAGCTCTTCATCACATCTCTGCCCCTTCAGTTCGATCTTCAATTCCAACCGATCAATCTTCCCGTCATGCCACACGCTCAAGAGCCCGAGACCGGTCATCCAAACATGCCCGATTTCCATGTCAACGACGGCCAACTAGAAGCCCATCAGATTAGCCATCTACGCCCCTCCACCCTAGACATCCCCCTCGACGAGCTCCAACACCGCTTCGAAACCGACGGCTACCTCTTCGTCAAACAACTCCTGCCCCGGGACGTAGTCCTTAACACTCGAGAATCCTACTTCAAATTTCTCGACCCCACAGGCGTCCTCAAGCCCGGCACCAAGCCCATCGAAGGCATCTTCGACCAGGAGAAAGACCGTCTCGCCTTCCCAGGCATTGGCGCCGGAGCAGCCGGCGGCAACGGCCATCCCGGCGACCACGCTGCGAGTTTCGTGGACCGAGCACTAAAAGCCCATTACCAAGACTGGTACGCCGAAGACCTTTGCAAACGGCCTGAGCTCAAGGACTTCGTGGCCAAACTCACCGGCTGGGGTGACAATACGACTGCATTCGTTCGGACGTTGCTGCGCAACAACATCCCAGGCAACAAAGCGATAGGCGTACACTACGATCAGATCTTCCTCCGCTACGGCGAACCGATTAGTATCACCGCCTGGGTGCCAATAGGTGACATCGCGTACGACGGCGGGGGTCTGATATACCTCGAGAACGGGCACCTGCTCGGCACAGAGGAGGAAGCTCGTTTCACGGAGAAGGCCACAGCATCCGGCCTAAGCAAGGAAGAAGCGAAGAGTGCCTTTAATCAGAATATGATGAGCACCGGGCTTCTATCCGAGGGGCCGAAGGAGTTCGCAGAGCGGTTTGGAAGGAAGTGGTTGGTTGCGGAGTATGAGGCGGGGGATGTGGTGTTGCATAATCCGTTCGCTATCCATGCTTCTACGATTAATCACTCTGAGCAGGGTGTGATTAGGCTGGCGACGGATTTGAGATTCGTGGATTCGAGTCGGCCTTGGGATACGGTGAGTCGAATGTGTTGTGATCAACTGGATGAGTTTGCTGACTGGAGAGCAGAGGTGGTCGAAGCCTTACACGCTTGGTGATGGGGTGTAGCTTTCGAACGGCTCGCTTGCATTCGCTTGGGTGTAGACGCGCACTTAGTTGGAGCCTTATGAATCATTTCGGGTGTGTTCTCCTTAGGCGTGTTCTCCTCAGGCGTATCCTTAGACGTGTTCCGCTCTGGTTTAGAAGCCAACCCAACCTTACCCGTTGTCCCAGTAGCGTCTGACGTGCGTTGGCAAACACACCCTCCCAGAAGAAGACACGCGACTTGATCTTCTCCATCCCCGGGGAGAGCTCGTTGCGGTCGTCGGGAAGCTCGAATTAAATGCATAGCCAGATAAACACTTGATCGATGTTCTCCACATCCGTAAGCGTAATGGTAAAAGCTCCTTTAATGCTGGAAGAGAAGTAACCATCCGCAGCATACCGTGAGACCTTCTCGTAGTCCCCGACAACCACCACAGTCCTTCCTCGCAGTGCTGCCTACGTATGGTTTCACCCGCCCATCCCTAAGCCAGATCTCGGCCATGTAGACAAAGGTAGCGTCGAGCATTTGCTTAGTAAAGCCGGGGATCTCGTCGAAGGTAACACTGGAGCGCTGGCTCGCAGGCGCACCGATATAACGGAGCATGGAGAGGTTGGTGGAACGCTGGAGCTCGTCCTCAAACCTTCCATCGTACCGATTGAAGCCATTGTACGGATGGAATTCCCGGTCTTGTCATGGTACTGACTTTCATCCCTGCTGCAGTGTTCTCATGCTGAGCTTCTGTCACAGTGACCTTGAGCCCATGAAAAGTTGATCACTTGTTCAAGCTTGAGGTGGGGAGGCATTGTGGCTGGGCTCACACTTGTCTTGCGCGTAGAGAAGCCCTTAGCCCGCAGATCAATACCTATTCTTCAAGACTGTGATCATCAGTTCTCCGGAAGCAGTGCGAGCCACTGAACGACGAAGACTGGGCGGAGAGCATAAGAAACTGGCGTCTGCCGGAGAGGTGGTGATGTGCAAGGAAGCAGAGAGCTCAAGCGGACAAGTCCGCCATCCCTCTGATGATGTGGCAGATTTTGACCTGGGGTGAGGGCTGGTCAGGCGCTGCAAGGCAGGGTTTCTGGCTTAGCACACGTCGTCCTTACGCATTGCATACCCACTGTTGGCGTCAGGGGCTTGAGGTGAGCGTTCTGTCAACCCCTCAAGGTGCAATACGGAAGCAGTTTGGATGGGAAAGACATGAGCAGATTCGTGCTGCATCCTGGGAGCAGAGACCATTGATGTGAAGATGTGAAGGTATCGTTAATGTTTACATACGCTAAAGCAAACGAATCGTATCCAAGAGGCAGTCGGTCCACGGGCGCCAAGACTTGGTCAAATGCCCGTCCTCGTCCTCCAACGGCCTGCAACTAGATTAGCAGGTGTTCTGTCATCAATAGAAGACGTGTAGGCGGTCAAAATGAGCTCATTTTCATGAAAAAATTAGAGAAATTGTTGCATTATTGGTCACCAGAGTGAAGTAAGAGTTAAAAGAGTGTAATCCTTGGAGCAGAGTGAAGTAGGAAGGTTGGAGACGTACCGTAAGCCGCGCCAGAGCAGCAGCAGCGCCGTTATTGATTCTGCGATGAATTAAGGATGCGAAGTATCGATAAGAAGCTGTAAGACATCAGTTGGTGTCACAGGAGGCAATGAACGATGGCCTTGCACTCACAGGTTGATGACATCCAGGTACAAGCTGATACTGGCGGCAATCTCCTCCTCTGGCGATGCATTAGCGGCGGCAGACATCAAAGAGCACGATCGAATACTCACCAACATGGTAGTGCCTTATGATAAGCTGTGTGTCCACAAGGATGTAGCCTGCAGAAGTCAGCAAAGCGGGAAGGTAGCAGGACAAACACTAACCTGAGAAGATCAACGCGGACACGATGCCATAGCCCAGCTCAACCTTGGAGTTGTATGGGAAGAACGCCGCCATGAAACCAAACAGGATCAAAATCCAAAGACCGCCGAAAAGATATGGCATCCACGAGGTGAAGTCGTACTTCGTCTGGCAGGCGAAGGCTGTCAGGAAGACGAATATCGCGGCAGTAAAGATCAGAGCCTGCAGAACAATCCTGCTGCTGTAGAAGCTGGTAATCACACTGATCGAATATGCCTCCAGCCCAGTGAAACCCGCCAAGAACAGCAAATTCGTAGGATAGCTCTTTCGCTTCCAGAAGGTGAGGAGCATGAAGCCGATGGCGCCGAAGAGGCTGACCCACATCATCCACTGATTGCTCTGGATCCATGATTTGTAGGAGCTCGACCAGAAGGAGACGGCGCTCAGGGCAGTGGTGAAGAGGAGTTGGACGGTGAGGATGGCGTAGACTTTGCGGATGAACTGCATGCGGATGGGTCTTGCGATGGAGTGTTAGTCTGCTATCGTGATAGGTGATGATATTGCTGCTGGTGCGCTGTCGCCATATCGCGCACCAAAGTAATCAAGCCTGGGATATGGCTGCGCAGTCTTGCTTGTGTACAACTTACAGTGTGGCCTCCGCAACACTTCCACCAAACTTGAAGTCATCTGGCACATTGTCGTCTTCCGACCGCGCCTCTCCGAGCACCGGTTCTGCCTGGTATGAAGGCGGCGCTTGTGTGTATGGCGGTGTCTCTTCAAATGAATCGCGCGACTGCACCGGCTGATATCGAGTGTTGTTCGCCATGTTAGGCTACTCTGAGGACGTTGCGGCGCCGATGAAGGTGTTGGAGTCGATGGTGGCGGTATTAGTCGTAGGTGGAAGGAGAAAGAAGCTGGTGATGAAGTCTTCTGACGTGCCGCGCTTTGAGGCCCGTGCCGGCGGCTGTGCCCCGCGCCAAGACCTGCGATGGGCTACCTGCCCGTCTGGCGACCTACTACCATTGATGCGACAACTCCCACCCACCGTCCAGTATACCATACCCGTCCTTGCTCATGCCCCTCTCACCACCGCCATGTACCGCTCTAACGACCCGCGCTTCCGGCGGCGCCTCAACGAAATCGGCCATTCCCTCGAGACCGCCAACGAAGCCGCGCAATCCGGCCTCTTCGTCTTCGGCCAGAACTACGTCCGACCCTGCTTCGACGGCGTCACCTCATGTTTCCGGAATTGCGTAGACGCTTCATGTCCTACTCTGAACCTCAACGCGACGCAGCGCGACCGGCTCCGAAGACAACGAGGCCAGAGTCGCGGACGCGCGGAGCTCAACTTCGATTTCTACGATGACTGGGATGAGGACGAGAACGATGCGCTGATGGGTTGGGGAGGCGGGGAAGAGTTTGATCGATTGTTGGCGGGCAGCGGTGGGTATGGGACGATAGCGCAACAGCCGGGGCGGCAAAGAGGGATGAGCTACCCAAAGGCGAGGCGGAAGAGTGCTGGGGTGCAGTTGAATGACAATGGGGAGGATCCAACAGTGATACCGGCGAGTAGTGGGTTCTTTGGGAAGTTGTTTGGGGGCAAGGCGAAGGGGCTGAGATATAAGCCTTCCGCGGCCGGGCTGCAGGAGCACCCTGGGAAGAGGAGGCTAGAAGGTGGTCTGACGGAGGGCGAGGCGCTGGTCGGCTCTGGGAGGAGGCATGGACGGACGAGAAGTGGGACGGCAACGTCAGGGGAGACGACGGACAGCCTGAGCAGTCGGGGCGACATCTTTCCGTCGGATGAGGAGCTTGATGATGCGGTCCCGTTGGATGACGAGTTCGCGATGGTGTTGGAGAGGCGAACGACACAGTCAATAGGCGCGTCTGGCCCAGAGACGGAGAGCAGCTCCAACAAGACAAAAAGCGACAGGAAAAAGAGTAAGAGGCCTTCCACCGGGAGTAGGACGTCCACATCATCAAGAAGTCGAAGAGGCAGGAGGTCGCGAAGTCAAACGAACAGCAGTGCAGCTCCCACGCCTACCGATGAGAATGCGCCGAATGTGGAGGGTCAATTCACGCTGCATGACTTGAAGCAAGAAGAGCGCAGGATTGAGGAGGAAGAGGAGGCGGACGTCGAGCGCAAACGACTCGAAGCGCAGAAGATTGCCGCCGAGCGAGGACTCGCTCTCTCACAGGCAGAAGACCTGTCGAGCAAAGAAGCGACACCGCACGTTCAGTCACCTGAGCTGCAGCCTCAGCGTCCCGATGACGAGCCGAGTCAGCTTCCAACACCACTGGCTACGGATGACGAAGAAGAAAGCGTCCTGAGCACGCAGCAGACGAGACGAGAGGGCAACGATGAATCCAAGCAATGACATGAAGCTTGTTTGGTCGACTTCCGGTTTTTGAGCGTTCGAGCGTGCTGTTGGATGAAAGATACCACGATAATTGGTCCACAAGGTCTTGCGGACGAATTCTTATTCGAGTGTAGATTACATTACTCTACAATGCCTGCACCAAGGCATGTTGCTGGCTTTCCATGCCTGCTTTTTGCTCATCCTCCAATATTCTTCGCTGTTGCTCAATGCAGCACAGGTGCTTCTTACACCAGCCCCAGCTTTGCGCCTCCCACTGATCTAGGCCCAGTCTATGTTGCCGGCTCATTTTTTACGTTCTCAAGCATGCCCGGGCCCCTCAACCACAGCCTTCACCCTCTTCTCAAATGCCTCAATCATCTTCTCCGCGACCTTCGGCGCCGCCGCCTGGCTCATAACCCCATACATCGGATTCGAGAACCTGTACTGAATGCTCAAGTGCACCTCACACTTCTCCTGCCCGGGCAGTTCACTCGTCTCTTGATGATTCATGTGTGTAGTGTCTGGCTTGATAGCTGAAGTAGGCGGAGGCTTGTAGTGGTATGGTCGTAGTGTCCACCGGGTCAGAAGATGCGACATCACCGTATCATTCCGGCTCTTGTCCTCGCTTCCCTCGGGTCGTGCGGAGTGGTGTGTGATGTCCTCTGGCGACAGACTAGTCTCCGCACTGCCGCTTACTGCTTCCACCACGCGGTCGGGGACGCAGTAGACTCGGCTCCAGAACTCTTCGCTGACGTTGTCGTTGAAGCCGATGGTAAGTTTGGCTTCTTCCGGATATGTCTTCCCATCGGCGGCTGGAGAGGAAGACTTTGTGACAACGGAAGATTGGCAGTAGGGGATGAAGGCGCTGTAGGAGCCTACATCAGAGATGACGCTGTATATGGCTTTGGCCGGGTAGCGGAGGATGCGGGAGGTGATGAGTTCAGTGCCGGTGGAGGAGAGGGGGTTGCCGGAGATGAAGGAGCGGCGTTGGGTAGGATGTCTGTTGTGGTTCGAGGGTCTGACGGTCGAGGCGAGGAGGGGTGTCGTTCGGCATTGGAGGGCCAGTGGTCGGCTCGAGGTTGGCAAGGCGTTCGCTATGGGTCGTAATGTCTTCATGGTGGCCATGGTGTCGAATCTGTGGTATGAGTACGATACAATCGTCTACCCTCAAACACTCATGTGGAAGCCATTGGGTCTGAAAGTTCTCTAGATGATGGCATCATCCATTTGAGATCGCGCTAAGGGAATAAGCTCCTGCCAGATACGGGTGATCGACAGGCACACACATGACTCGAGTGAATACAAATTCTAGACCTCATCGCACCTTCAACTTTTATCACCGACAAGTGGGAGCTTTCCAAGATGGCCGAGGCGAACGATGCAGCACCCATGGACCTACCAATACGGGAGAAGCAGCCCAAACAGCAACTCACAAAGGGCATGGAGCACATGCGATCCTACGTAACCATCCAGGACAATGCCGCCGCCACACCAGCCAAGGATACCACAGACCCCGGCTCAGATGCCTACGGAGTCCCAGCAACTTACGCTCCAATCCGCCAGCCAACCTCAGCGCCTATACAGAACAACCCAGAAAAACGCAGCGATCCCTTCCAATTCGGAACCCGCTACCTCGAGCAAGGCGACGACATCTTCTCCCACAACGCCTGGGACCACGTGGAAGTCGACCCGCAATATAGCGACTTCATCGTCGAGCAGACAGAATTTCAGCGCTCGAATCAGGTCTCGGATTTCGACAAGCAGCGCTTCAACTCCCAGCCCGAGAAATGGTGGGATAAGTTCTACTCCAACAATGCGGCGAATTTCTTCAAGGATCGGAAGTGGTTGGGTCAGGAATTTCCGGTGTTGGGAGAGGTTACGAGAGAGGGTTATGGGCCGGTGACGGTGCTGGAAGTGGGAGCTGGAGCCGGGAATACTGCGTTCCCAATCCTGGCGACGAATGAGAACCCAGAGTTGAGGTTGCGTGCATGCGACTATAGCAAGAAGGCCATTGAGATCATTCGAGCGCAGGAGGCATATACGGCTCAAGAGTCGCCGGCACTGCAGGCAGATGTATGGGATGTAGCTGGCGAAGAGCTTCCGCCGGGTTTGGAACCTGGATCTGTGGATGTCGTGCTTATGATCTTCATCTTCTCGGCTCTCTCACCAGATCAATGGAAGAGAGCTGTGCGGAACACCTTCACACTTCTGAAGCCCGGGGGCGAAGTTTTGTTTCGGGATTACGGAAGGGGGGATTTGGCGCAAGTGCGGTTCAAGAAGGGACGGTATCTGGACGAGAACTTTTATGTGCGTGGAGATGGGACGAGGGTGTACTTCTTCGAGGAGGAAGAATTGAGGAGGATTTGGGAAGGCCGTTCAGCGGAAGATGGCGAAGATGCCAATGCCGATGACGAATCCGAGGACAAGAAAGAAGCCGCCCCGAAGTTTGAGATCGTCAACCTGGCAGTCGACCGAAGGATGCTGGTCAACCGGCAGCGAAAACTCAAGATGTACCGCTGCTGGATGCAAGGACGATTCAGGAAGCCTCCAACATGATCTGCAGAACGGATTGGACCAAATTCATCTGTATTTTGTGGTCGCACTGGCGAAAACGAGTGACTAAACAGAACGGGTCCAACCATGACAATATCTCCACGCGAGCCTCTCCATCCTTAAAATCACGCAATAGCCTCCAACTTGGGTGTTACCGAAAGCAGACCTCCTTCCCAGGACAAACGAAAATGGCTGACGAGGCCTTGTGATCAATTTGCACCTCCTCTTGACAGAAACCAAGCTTGTTCTCAGCCAAAAGCATCTGTCCCGAAGTCAGCGAACCACGAAAAGAACTAGATGCATGCAACCCGGTGGACTTACCAGCATACACCTGCCTCAATTGTCGCACCCATGCCTGGCCCTGCGCATCTCTGATCACCTGGGTGCAGAAAGCATGCAGCGGACCTCTGTTGCTCTCATCCTGAACATATTCGATCGGCGCTCCGGCAAGCACATCCACGAACCGACCCGGCTGCGCTTGTGCGGACAAGAAGCAGCGATATGGGTTGAACGAGGCTTGGCTGGCGTACGAGGGGCGAGCGGCCACATTTGCGTACCAATCGTTGTCGTTTCGACCGATCCAATTTAGGACGTACATCAGAATCTGGACAAGTCTTTGCTGCTGCGCTGCGGTCATTACCTGCCGATAAGTTTGAAAAAGGCCTCCGATGGCGACAAAGAGGTCTCTGAAGTCACTAATGGTGGAGGGGACGTCTCGGCCTGTGGATAGGTCTCGTCTGTTCTCCTCCAGCCGGCTGACAATGAGACTGGGACGCCTCGAAAGACGGTCGGCCAGTTGCGTCAGGCAGAATTGGCGTGGTGCAGCATTGCGGTAGGCCTGGAGTGTTGCTACGGTGGTGATCGTAGTAACGGCTAGCCTCGCTACTTGGCGGAGACTGCGGCTATCGAGATTATTGTTAGTTGGCTGCTCTTTCAATTGTTTGGGCGCTGCAGACTTACTCTGCTTCATTGGCAGCGGTACCCGCAGCATCACCGTTGATTGCAATACCACGAAACTCTGCTGGGGTAAGCAGGCCATGAGTGTACACCGAGAATATTTCTGAAACAATGATGGCGGCTTGTCGCTGTAGGTTCTCGTTTGCATCTCCATCGTCAGAATCGTCGCCATTGCCATCGTCGTCCGAGTCGTCTTCATCGTCGTCATCGTCAGCTTGGGTAGCTGGCGCTCTGCCTCCTCTCGTCTGTTGTCCCTGCGTTCCAGCGGACTGGCCGGTCCTTCTGGTGCCGCTAGTTCTGGAAGGGCCTGCTGCTGCCGGCGAGTCGCGGCCTCCTCCGCTCGAAGCTGCTTGGCGAGTCCCATGTCCTTGATCGCGCTTCTTCATCGCCCGGGTTTGGGCGGGCATACTGGCCGTGGAAGAGCTCGAAGACCCGTCCAAGTCCAGACGGCCGATCGCTGAAGTTGGGGTACCGTGCCGGGACATTTGCTGAACGACGGTGTCCGGCGAGGCTGTCGATGCTGGCTTCGAAAGACAGGCCATCCTTGCTATGTTGTAGGTGTTCTTTATACACCCTCCTTCTGCTTTGCCGCACAGCACTCAGGCAGACTCACGTCGGCAGAGTCATCAGACTTTCGAGACATGCGGGTGCCGAAACCTTGTCGGCACATATTGAGGCACGTCGGCCAACGGGAGGACGCTGAGGAGTAATCCAACCATGGTAGCCAGTCGGAGCGTTCGTGATGGTACGGAACCGGCGGCGTACCTGGAGTGACTTCATCTCCTGGGTTTGACACCTGCAAGCCACGTTGACAGTCACAGAGGAGGCCGCCGGACATAATGCTGGAAGTGGTGTAGATCATGGTTCTTGACGGTTACGGATGGGTTCGGCTGGAGCGCCACATGTTGGCTGTTATGTCGGCCGCATACCACGGCACAGCCTGAGGCCGCGACCTTCGAGACCCGATCGATCGACGACGGCTGCATACCGCTGGCCTGAAGGGGAGTAGGAGGACGGCACAATGTGAATCGAGTGAACGTGCGGGAGAATGAGCTGGGAAGAATTGACTCAAGAGCTTCGCATAACATGAACGCCAAAATCGCTGGACACTGGCACAGCACTCACGGCAGTACTTACCACCATCACTCACACGACCCAAGGCCCTCTGTAAGAGACTTAGATGAGCAGTGGAAGACCATGCCTGAGCGAAGTCGATGGCTGAAGGTCGCACCAAGCCACCGGATGCATCGCCGTCCTGCAAGAACACCTCGCCCTCGCAAAAGCCCCAAAATAACATCCGCTCACCATCGCGAGAATTCTACCGAAACAACGAGTGGTCGTGGATGTTCGAGAAACAGAAGAAGTGAGGTCGAGGAGGCCGCACGCCAAGCCTCGCTTGTTCGAACCAACAACACCTCGTCCAGAATCGGGCGTCTGCTCTGCCTCAATTCGGACGCCATCGGACGGGTGAAACGACAGCCTCTCATTTTCGACGGTACGTACTGTGAGTGCGGCGGGATGACTGTCCGAACCCTCATTACAACAGAAAGCCCAAATATGCGTGTTGGAGGCACAGCGACGCCTCTCGAATGTCCGCAGTGCGGTGTCCCGACAGCAACTGTGATGGAAATGTGATAATGAATGCATCCTGCTCTAACGAAAGTACTCTTGGTGCCTCAAATCTCCCACTCACTCATCTCATGTTCTCATTCCTCCCGTGACTTCATCGCTTGCGATCATGAAACAATGCAGAATTATGCAAACCATACGCTCGGCCGTCCAGCAGCCGTCACGCCTCACAGAGTCACACCTCGTGCCTCATCTCTTTCTTCGGTCCACCAACACCGGTCCACGCTGAGAGAGCACAATAGGAGGAGCTACCCGGACCCTCCACTGTGCCCAGGCGGGGCTACCACGGGCATAGTCGTCGATGAGATGAAGCCCTAGCCTTCTCTCGTGTCAGCGGCGCTCATCCTCGCATCTTCATCATCTGCCGACTCACCCAGCCAAGGAATGCCTTACCTCGAGCTCCCGCCGCCGCGGGATGCGGCAGGGTAGTTTGAAGTCTCCCTCGAGCTCAGCTCTTTCGTCCTTCCCTTCGAGATGACGTGCCGAAGCGAGATGCTGCCCCAAGGCAGGCCTTCTTCGCCTGTGTCTGACTTTTCTGGTTCTGGCGTTGTGTACGAGCCTACCGCATTTCGCTGGTTCTCGGCGTTTCGCTCCGATTCTTCTCGCTGCTGGCGGACTTTGTCTCCTGGGATGCGTCAGCGTGCTGTGATGCCTGCCGCCCTGCTCGTAGACATACGAAACTTGCGCTGAGCAATGCGATTCTGTATCTTGCGCCTTTCGTTCGGGTCTTTCACTGAACTCCAGTCGTCCTCCGGTGATGCCGAAGCCTGAGCAGTGCTCGACTCTGCTTCTGTGCTTTCCTGTGCTTCCTTCGAGCTCGACATGATCGGGTGCAAGGTGATGCAGGCGTGGAGTGTGTGGTCGTGGCATGTCACACAGTCGAAGAGGTCTGTTCATATATGGGTTTTGTTGCGTCCGACTTCAATGGAGTTCAGGCCCTCCACCATTGATCTGGTATTTGAGATATAGTACCTCAATACACGGTGCTGAGCGAACGCACTGCGGACGGCGGTGGCCCAAGATGTCGCCGATTCTCCGTAGTAGAGGGGGTGTCGACCTTGCCCGCAGGTGAGGCAGTGGTATAGGACAGCAGTGGCTGGCTGAAGAAAGAAATCAAATATAAGTCCAAACAGAAGCGAGGTTGAGAAGGCGCAGAAGAGGGTAAGATGGTTTCCAAATCGCAGAAGAGGCTTCTTGTGGTAGTTTCTGTAGACTGCGGTCATCGCTATCGGAGTCGGCATGTTGAAGGCCATTGAAGCGACGCTGCCTAGCCCTGAACGAAGTATGACTAGAGAGGAAAGAGATGAAGCATTGGAGGAGAGCGAATCAGAACATGCCTACCGACTTACATCCGCCTCCAAGACAGCCAGCTTGCTGCAGGGTCGACATGTTATCTCAAGCGTCTTGAGGTCTGTCGCGCGCGGGTGTGAACAGCCTTCCGCGTAGGGTAGAATGCAAATCAGAGCCAACACAATGGTGGGTTCGGCTGCGAGGGTGGTGCTGAAGTCGGATCAAGCGCGCCGTTATGTCGCAATGGCCAGCAGCGTAGCCGGGGTTCGCGCTAAAGATTCCAAAAAGCCACAGGGCTGAAGTAGTCAGTCGTCGTGAGCCTCAAGAAGGGACTCGGTGGACGCATGATGTGCATGCGAGATGCATCCATGGAGGCCATGGGTGCACGGGTAGTCTTGCTCCCATACCTGTGCGCCTCAGATCTCACAGCCGCATTTGGTGGGGATTTGCAGGGAAGTGAATCGTTATTGAGGCTGTGCACCGCCAGATGACAGAAACGCGACGATTTCGGACGGCGCTTGTTCGTAGTCCCCCCGACTCTCGTACGTAATTCTCGAGATATCGAAGTCCGTCCTGCCGTCCATAATGGCTTTGATCCTTGGCCTGGGATGTTTACAGCGTCGGTCTCGTTGAGCGGAGCGAGAACGCATCGTTCCTCCACCGAAAGACTTCCAGCTTCTTCGTACGCCAGGCCAATGAGACGTACGTTTGACTGAAGGCAGCCGCTTGAATCAAGACGCATGCTCCATACAGGAATACACCGCATGATGGAATAGAGTGAAGTGAAGTTCGGAGAGAGCGATGAAAGCGAGAGAAAGTCGAGACGAAGGCAAACCGGCGTTCGCGAGGGTCTTGGCACCGATCGCTGCTCCCAGATCTCATTCGCCACTCCATCTTGAGCCTCACACGTGCTAATGCACATCTTACAACACCTCGGTACCTTGCAGATGAGGCAGACGACAGCTCTTTGAAACGGCATCTCATTCGTCATAGCATTGACGACATCTGGAATCATGCAGTTCAGCTTCAGAAGCTGAGAGGAATCGACGTTCGTTGATTTGAGCGCATACAACATCATCCTGCGAACGCTCACGAATACAGTAACCCTCGCTATCCTGATGAAACACCTGCTCCCAAGTACCGTATAACACCAACCCAGGCCCCGCTTGAGGCTGATCAAAAGTCATCATCGTCCATATCAGCGTCGTCGGCTTCGATGAAGACCAGCCGTGTCCCCTCCGCGGCGGTCTGCCAGATCTGTTCACCAACGTCAGTATTCGCAAAGTGAAACGATGAACGACTCAAGGACTCACATCTAGATCAGCGTATTCGTTCAAACAGGCTTCCAGCTGCTGTGTCGTAAAGCCCTTCGCGAGCACTCGTTCCCTCACACGTCGCATGTCAAGCTCACCGCGACCCTCGCCAGTGGCAGCAGCACCGCTCTCTCGCATACCTCTGACGAGGTTGAAGATCTTAGTGCTCGCCGAATGGTCGCCACGACGGTCTCTCCTATCGTCGTACAAGCTAGCTTTGCTAACTTCAACCAGTCGCAGAGCCTCGTCGACGTCATCCGTGATGACCTCCTCTGCGAAGCGTAACCGCGCAAGAGCCTGCGATAGACGGAGTACACCTAGCAGCGTACGGGCTGAAGTATGTGTGAAGGTCTTGTTGCCAGCTTCATCGCGCTTCTGCTGCTGTCGTAACCGCACGTAGGCGCCGACGACGTAGTCCGAGACCTGCTTTGGTACCACAGGTCGGAAAGAGCGAGCTCGAGCGACCCATTGCCGGACCTCGTTGGGAGAGAAGATCAGACCACCTCCTTGCGGCTCTGGATGCGCGTTGTGGATGTGGACGTGCGTGACGTGTCGCGCTAGCTCCTCGTCTGCGTCGCGAGAGGGAAGGTCCAGTATCAGGAACAGAACGTCAAATCTGCTCAGCAGCGCAGCAGGCAGATTAATGTTCTCCACAGGCGAGATGCGTGGGTTGTATCGCCCATACAGCGGATTGGCAGCGGCAAGAATTGACGTCCTGGCATTGAGCGTTGTCGTGATTCCGGCTTTCGAGATTGAAATCGTCTGCTGCTCCATGACTTCGTGGATAGCAGTCCGGTCGGAGTCGTCCATCTTGTCGAACTCGTCGATACAGCAAGTGCCGTTATCAGCCAGGACAAGTGCACCTCCTTCGAGGACCATTTCATCCGTAACGGGATCTCGCATCACAGCTGCTGTCAGACCAACGCCACTGCTACCACGGCCGGTCGTGTAAACACCGCGCGGAGCAACTTTGGTGATGTACTTCAAGAGCTGAGATTTTGCAACACCAGGATCACCCATCAGACAGACATTGATATCGCCACGAATGCGCATGCCGTCGCCCATCTCCTTGGTGACACCACCAATCAGCTGGAGCAGTAGCGCCTTCTTGACGTCCAGATGGCCGAAAATCTCGGGTGCGATCGATCTGCTGAGGTACTCGTACAATTGCCCTGACTGCTCCAGCTCAGCCATGCGACTGATCGTGGTGGGAGCGAGGACCATGTTGTCGTACGCTTTCTTGTGCTGGCGGACATTCTGTGCTTCGAGGTAGGTGTCTGTAAGAAGGCCAGCTTTGATCGCCTTGAAGCCAGTGTACGGGATTGGTAGGAAGATCCCAGCAATGTCAATGACGTCTCCAGGGTTGACTTGTCGGACAAGGGCGCCGTGACAATGCACTGTAAGCTGTCTTGGAATGTGCCCGACGGGCACTTGGTCTGCCATCTCCTGAATCTTGATCTCCTGGAAAGGCAGGAATTTGGAGGCGCGGGTAGACAAGAACAGCTGGCCCTTCGCGTTGTTGTTCTGGCAGTCTTGAGAGGTACACTCAATCAATGGAGTGAACTGCTTCGTCGTGACCGGCTGGAAGACTTCGTGCCCGCAGCGATCGCAAGAGTAGGCGTTGACCAATACAGATGGCTTAACATCCGACACTCGCGTTGCTATGCCTCGAATGGTGATGAGATGGCCCAGATGCTCACCGCGCACTTGCCTGACGGCCATGGCTTTTGCTCCCTTCTCGTCGCTTGAACCAGATGGCGTGATGGGCTTGAAGTTGAGCGTGTATCGGCGGGTAAGCTCTGGTGGGAACAGGCTCTCCGGCGCATCGTCCATATTTGCTTCCTGCTGTTGTCGCACTGCTTCGTTCCACGTCGACCGCTGAGAGATCAGGAAATCCACCATGTCGTCTTTGAAAGTCACATCTCTGTCGGGCTGAGGTAGAATGCTGTCGACCGCACGCGACAGGATCTCGATGTAGTGCGCCGCGTTCTTCTCGATGGATGACACGAGATGTAGCGATGTTCCATCCTCATCCAGATTGTTCTCGTATTGTTGCAGATCGTCCAGATCTATCAAAACCTGCGACTTTACTCTGTTTGCGACGTCCTGCAGCATGTTCATGTACTTCGTTTTCGATCTCGTAGCGCCCCCTCTCCGTCTCGTGCGCGCGCCGTCTGCTTCTTCTTCCATGTCGTCCATGAAGTCATACTCGTCGCTCGTGCCGTCGCCATCGAGGCGCAGGTCTTCCAGCGCATCCTCGTTCTCTGTCGCAGACGACTTGAAGTTGCGCAGAAAGTCTTCGAACGCGGCTGCAGTTTGTTAGTGCCAAATCCTAGATAGTGGGAGATGGACCAACCTTGCTGCTCCTCGTAGTTGACGATGTACTTGTGCTGTAGGAGCGCCATGATAGGCCGTTGGTCTTACTGGGAAGGAGTGGTAGAGGGGCAGTACGAGGGACAATGGCTGTTTGAAGCCCAAAGTCGCGTCGCGCTCGCGATTCGCGCGTCCTTAACCTCAGGCATCATGCTTGGCACCTCGACATCAAATTTGCTCGCTTCTCACATTCTCTCTTCCTTTCCTCATTATGAACAACGCAAATTCAACACTGCCGTAAAAGCATTTTCGAATCGAGAGCCCGCCGTGCATAGCGCGATGAGAGCTCCATGACGACGAAAACCGTCTGTGCTAGTGGAGAGCAAAGGCCAGAGGATCTTGGGTGCCGTTGGCTTCTCGTCTTTAAGACAGTGGAGTCGAGGGCAATGATCAGCTGTACATACTACGATTGGATCTTATTACTCGCGCGGCCGTGATGTCTGGATCCGCTGCCGATAGTGAGAGCGGCCTACTAGGTCAGATTGCGCCGTGTGAGGGACCTTCTTACAGACAATGACCGTCCGCTAACGAGAGTGAAGTGGCCTTATTGGCCGCAATCTCGTGTCGGAGAATACTGCCAGATATGCCCGGCTGGCCGGTCCTTGCTTGCCGGAGCAAAGGGAATACGTTCTGTGAAGCAGGAAGGTGTATGTAGTGCTGAGGACATGTTCTGCATGGCTAGAAGTCCTTGTTGGACTTCGGAATACCTGTCTACTTCTCTCTATGGCAGTCACTGTACGAACCACCGCCATACCTGACTATTCACTCCTCCCGTCCCAGCTAATTCCACCTCCACAGTACCCACATCTCCAGATCTCTCGTACGTGGCTACGAGTCTTGCCGTCCGAAGTGACCTAGGCGTCCTTGAGGGCAAAGGCAAAGACCATATTCGGGTAAGATGATGCTTGTGGAGGCTGTTGTTGTGAGGGATCTGTGTGCCGTAGTCCATTTCTCGCGACGCGAGGCAAGAATTTCACATGATGCGCCAAGCCTGGGCGAACGCCATTCTCGGAGACATCTAATGCAGAGCGACCTCATAGCAACCCACTGTGATGTAGAGAAGGCTAGGACAGCTCCAGTCATCCCATAACTCGACACATGGTAGGCGTCGCCGGGCTGTGGATCAGGAGGTCGCTGGGGGGAAAGAGAGCAAGGTCTGTACCCATATCCACCATTTCTCACGGCGAGCAGCCAAGCATGCGCTCTATCAATCAGTCCAGCCCCATGATGCCCGCAAGCGCTCGATTTTGGCCTTCGGTTGGGTGCCCGGGAAGTGTGACTCAGCCTTCATCAGCAGTTCGTAGGCGGCATTTTGCTCTGCTTCGGTCTTGAGTAGATGGCCGGCTGGACGTTGCTGTCAGCGAGTCTCGCTATGCGGTATGGCACTGGTGCATAGAAGATGCTTACCATAGCAAATGACGGAGGAGGTCTTGATCAGGGTGGGCACCGAGTTGATGTGGTATGTTGCCGTGCCACAGACTCTTCGGAGTGAGGAATATGATTGATGCTGTGGTAGAGTGAGTAAGCGTTCTCGAGAACAAGTGCAAAACTCATGGGTGTGCGGCTTACCTCAATCTCCTCGGGAGTCGGGATGTTGTAGTGAGAAGAGTCGCAATCAGGTATGTTGTTGATCAGCAATAGCGTAGTCAACGAGTAGTAGATGGAAGAGGCCACTGCGAGCGTCAGCAACTTTTCTTACAGTAGAGTGTAATGTAGGTCCCCGTTTACCATGTATCTCACTCGCAAAAATGGTGCGCGGAAATGGCTCTCCCTCCGTATCCTTCTCTGCGTATATTGGATCGAGTAGTGGCGGCCTGCTCAGTCGGAAGATGCTCAGACTGGCTTCACCACTCATCCACCGCTCCATGGTCTTCAGTTTAGGTCCATAGACGAAATTAACCGCACGGCAACACTCCATCAGCGCACACCACTCCCATTTGCGGGAATCCTCTGGCATCGGCAGTTCGTGGCAAAGCCATTCGCAATTCGAATCCATCAAGTCCAGAGGTTTGTCGTTGGACAAAGCGAGGTGCGTGTAGAACCTGAGGACATTGGCGAAGATAGCGGCGTGGACGTTGGAGTCCAGATTGGCTCTGAGGGCGTCAAGGTTGACGTTGAGACCCAGGAAGAAGTCTCCAACGCCTATGTCTGAGCTGACCGAGTCTAAACCACGGTTAGCACTTTGGGATCCGACCAGAAGTAATTAGGCATACCTGTCATATGCTGGACCGTTCGAAGCAGCAGTACAGCCGCAAGACCTGAGGCGGCGAACGCCTTCTCTTGTAACCGGGGCAGGAGTAGCTTGTAGCAGGCATCTGTATAGTGAAGAGACACTGCTTCAGGCAACTTACCCTGAAGACTGAGGTGCTTCGCCGAGAAGGCGAGAATAGCATTCATGAGCGAAGCACACCCTTGTGCCAGCTGAGGTATCGCAAAGGTGAAGTGCTTCTGGGTGTCGGTCTCATCGAACCAAGCAGCCAGGTCTGTCACGTAGTATCGGAAGAGCAAGGCCTCGTTGTAGTCGTGGATGTGCCATCCGAGAGGTGAATCGAGGCCTTGATGAAGCACAGGTTTGGTTGTTGTGTAGTTTCCGATGTTGCTGAAGATAGGCAGTCTGGCAGACGCCCTGTGAACTTCCTGCTGCCCTTCACGCGATCGAGACGTGTGATTGACCACGGGCTTTTCATGGGACCCTGTACTATCATGACCTTGACGCTGAAGCGAATCTTCCGCGCTTCCAGAGCTGGACCCAGCTGAAGCGCTGTCGGCCGCAAAGCGAACTGTATATCATTAGTAGAGCATCTAGGTCTGTCGCTGGGCATTAGAATGCACCTTACCCTTCTGAGGTACATCTACCCACTTTGTGCCCTGCTCGAACGAAAGATCGTACTTCCTCTTCCGACGAACGACAGTGGGATTGGCAACAGTCTGGAAGACATGAGGTTCCTCCTTCCCACAGGCACGGCCCGACTTCGTACAGAAAGCACACGGGAGTGAGCCATCGCACTTCAAGTGGCGCGAACGGCATTGGAAGCTATTCGTCAGTTAGTCAAGGGCTCTGGAGTATGGCGATGGTTTTGGACATGTACCATGAAAGCTGCTTCCGTCTGACCATTCTATTGGCCTCGAGCGTGGGTGCGCCGCGAGACTCTCAGGCGAGTAAGACGGCAGCATCGAAAAGTTCCTGTCGGATTGCTACATGCGAGGGAATGTGAGTGAAAGGACGCGCCTGAAGATGGGTTCCGCCAAAAGTGGTAACTTCCTCCGGCGGCTCTGTCAGCAAGATCAAGAACAGAAGACGTAAAGACGAACGGTTTCCTAGGAGTGATGAAGATGAAGGTGAAGGGGAATCGATAGTGGTAGTGAAGGACGGTGAGAAGTGCCCTGCGAACTAGAAGGGCGTCCTGACTCGGCTAAGCAGTAGCGACAGCAACAGCAACAGCTTCGCATCTCATACAGAGGTCCGATCACTCGCCAAAAGCACCTTCAACACTTCCATGAAGCTCAGCGAACTATTCTCCCAGCATATCTAGCGAAGCCAACACACTCTCGTCCACTCCTACATCCAGAGCGTCCTACCACTCAATCAACGTACTCTCACTCCCAAACGAAGCGTCCACATCATCCGCGAAGATCCCCTCCTGCATCCCGCACTGCTCGTCATACTCCCAGTAGATCTCATCAGGCGCACGCTGTTCCCCGCCCTCTTCAATCGAATCCAGCGTCGTGCCCCAATCACCCTTGTCCTCAACACCGCCCGCCTGCACCCGCTGCTTGTGCTCGAACTGCCCCCACAAAAGCTGGAGGAAGTCGGCCGGGTCAATAGGCTCAGGGTTCCACGAGACGTGCTTCTTGAGATTGAGAAACGGTTCCGGGTCAATGCCGGCGTTTGGGATGAAGTCCTGGTCTTCAGCTTCATCGGTGGTCAGGCTGGATGATGAAGATGCCGTCGTGGCCTTCTCATAGTCCGCGAAGCTCGAGTCGACCCGTATGACTTCTTCCGTACGTGGAGATGTGTCGATACTGACGCTCGCCAGCTGGTTCGTGGTCTCCTAGATCCTCGAACCGCCCGCAGCAGCGCCAATCTCGCCTTTTTCCATCCGCGCAATGAAGCCGGCCACCCGACGCACAAGATCCTGCACAATCGTCTCCGCCTGCGCGTTGAGATTGTGCGTCGCGCCTACTACCACACCGCCGTTTAGACCATCCACGCTCCCGCCGCCGCCTTCTGTGATGTGCATCCACTTCTGCACCAGCCTGCGCTTGTCAACGTGCTCCGGCACACTTGCGTCCGCGCCACCGTACAGAATAAGCAGCGGCGTACTCGCAGGCAGCTTCCCGAACGTCCCGCGCAACCTCTTGTCCGGCAGATCGCTGCTGAAGTAATCGTCCGCACCCTCGTGATAAGGTCCTGGAGAAGAAATGTCCACCCAGCGCCGAGCCGTAATCGCGATCCGTCCAAAAACCTGCTTCGTCAAGCGATTCGGCATGGCGTCCTTGTCCTTCCCATCACGACACATCTGCAGCGCCAGCTGGTTCGCCTCATGCATAAAGGCTTCGGGTAGGTCGTTCATGATGGCCTCGCGATCGGACACCGGCGCTTGCAGTATGATCCCATCCACAGCTGGTCGCTTCTCCGCATTCTTGCCTACGATATACTCCATGCAGTCTTGACATCCCGTGGAGTGGCCCATGATGATGATCATGCCGCCCGGGCGCAGCTCCTTGATGTATGCGACGATCTTGGCCATGTCCTCTGCGTCTCGCGCGATGCTGCTAACGCCCCAGCTGAGACCGCTCGAGCCGAGTAGGGCGGTCATGACGGTCCACGTTGGGCCGAGGGACTGCGCGATGGAGAAAGGGTAGGAGACGCTTCCCGGGGTGTCGAACATGCCGCCAACCCATAGCAGGGTGTTGACATTGGCGGAGCGGACGAGGGGCTTGGTGGGCTCGAAGGCGGAGAGGTTGGGTGGGATGTAGTGGAGGGTTCCTGTAGGAAGTGTTAGTTGCGGCGCAGGTGAAGAATGGATGGGCGGAGTATACCTGGGTGCGCGCTCGCTGGAAGGTTCGCTGGGACGTCCATGTTGGGCCCTCAATGAGCGTGGTACCTCTTAGGATGAATATGCCTTACACGGCTACAATGGTTGCGAGCGAGTGTTGTTAGGATGTGGTACAAAGTTGTTGTGGTGCTGCAGAAGCTTGCCCCGCCGCGTTGCTAAGCTCGAGATGGAGCTAATCATGCAGGCACTTTCTTGGAGCTCGCGTCTCTCGCAAAACTTCGACGCGATGCTGGTGAGGTCGAGATTCATAAGTTCTGTCGAGAACGACCCTCCCCGGGTTGTCCAACATTCAGGAGCTGGCGCCTTCACCTCTTGGAGCGCGAGCACACACCAAGGACCACCGCAGGCGATACGAGGAGACCCACTAGAACGACGGCTGGCACACCGCGGGAAGACGCTGGATGAGATGCCGATGGAGTCTTCATTTGATGAGAGGGGTGGATCATGCTTCTTCTCCAGACCACAGTGGTGAGACTGCGACGACCGATGAAAAAGGGAGAACACCAAAAAATGTACTGTATGCGGCCCCGAAGGACAACAACAGTACCGGACTACCGCGCTGTGCAATGCAGAGTCCAGTACTGGGTGGGTGGCATGCTTGAGCGCCGTCACCACAGCAAGGTAAGTATGCTAAGAAAAATCTCGAGGACGACGGAGGGTTGAAGCAGTATATATACAGCTGTGAGCACCGACGTGATGGGATATGTACTAGCGTGAGGAGGTCAACCGGTTCAGAGAAGTCGTGGCTATTGAGGGCAAAGGAGCAGTGGGAGGAAAGGACTTTTGGCCATTGGGGGCGGTAGAAAGGGGACTTCCAGGATCCGCCTTTCGCCAACTCACGGCCATACAACAACAAGGTCCTTCGATGGTGGCCCGAGGGACATTGATAGCAGCGGAGACGGTCCAGAGACCCTGAAGAAGACTGCTTTTCAACTCCCAACCGCTGGTGATATTGCAGTCACCTGGATCGCTTGGATGACAGCTTATGAGGCCGCCGGTCATGCAATGCCTGTGCTGAGCTCCTCCAACGGACGAGGCAACCACAGGGGAACGAGGAGAGACATCTCGCTCCAACGAAGGCCATGCCACCTCGAGAATCCCTTCGCACGTTCTACGGCCACTATAACTTTCGCCATGTTAATTGACCAAGCTTTCTACGCTAACGCAGGATCCATGCCTCAAGCATGCAGATGCAGACGACCACAGCTCTTAGACAGCTTCTCCGAGCTAGGTGTAAGTGTGGGGGCTTCCATTGTCTTCACAACTCCATTTAATACTGTCGATGCTGTCGAGGACATAAAAAAGATCATGCACATTGCTTCAGCTTTCATTTCCATAGCTGTGCTATATCTATCCTACCTTGTCATCTATCGCCTCGTCCTTCACCCGCTTTCACGAGTCCCAGGCCCCAAGCTCGCTGCATTGACCTCATGGCACGAATTCTACTACGATTGTATGAAGGGTGGCGGCGGCCAGCATGCGTTCAAAATCAGGGAGATGCATGATCAGTACGGTATATCAATCCTACCTTCAGCCTGGCGCCACGGATTTATATATAACTTACAGGTCCCGTCATCCGCATCAACCCCCGCGAAGTCCACATCGACGGCAGAGCAGACCCAGCCTTCTGGGACATACTCTACTCACACTCGAACAAGCTAGACAAAGACAGCGCCTACTACGACGGCTTCGGTGCTGGTCTTTCAGCCGTATCAACCGGACCAGCTGACCTCCATCGAGCGAGGCGAGGCGCCATGGCAAACTACTTCTCCATGAACAACATCCGCAAGTACGAGCCGATGGTGCTGGAGCAGATCTCAAAACTCTTCGCTCGGCTGGAGAAGTGTAAAACGAATGATGAAGTGGTTGATCTTGGCAATGCATACAGATGCCTCACGACAGATGTAATCACCTCCTTCGCCATCCCCGAGCCACGAACGATGCTGGATCTGCTAGATTTTGGCAAGGACTTTAATCGACTTCTTCGAGATTTCGCGAAACTGATCACTTTTCAACGACATCTAAAGATTGTCTTTCCGTTGCTATCAGCCATTCCGGACTGGCTTACAATACGCATGGACAAGACAGGAGCCTCCTTACAGATGGTGGACTTTCAACGCTCTTACGAAAGGCAGACACAACTTGCGATCGATCGTAAAGGCAATCTTGCAGCAGACCAGAGCCCATCGATCCTCGACAGTCTAGCCACTTCCTCCGAGCTCAAGGACCGCGACAAACTCGCCCCTCGTATCATTGAAGAAGCACGCAACACTGTAGGCGCCGGCACCGAGACCACCGCCTCCACCCTCACAACCCTAACCTTCCACCTCCTGTCCAACCCACCCATCCTCGTCAAGCTCAAGAAGGAGCTCTCATCAGCCAACCCATCCTCTTCCACCGACGAACTTCTCGATTACCGTACCCTCGACCCCCTCCCCTACCTCAACGCCTGCATCTCCGAATCCCTCCGCCTAACCAACCCCGTTACAGGCCGGCTTCCCCGCATCAACCCCCGCGCGGCTACAACCTGCACCACCCTTTCCGGTACGACATATGTCTTCCCACCCGGCACGGTGATGAGCATGAGCATGCCGGACATGCACTCGAACCCCTCCATCTTCCCCTCCCCATCTTCGTTCAAACCAGAAAGGTGGCTCAAGTGCACGGACGAGGAGAAAGCGGGGATGCAGCAGGCTTTCGTCCCGTTTGGACGCGGGAGCAGGGCGTGTATTGGTATGGAGTTGGCGCGGATGGAGGTGCTGCTTATGGCGGGGAATTTGTTTGGGAGGTTCGGGATGGAGTTGTGGGAGACGAGGGAGGAGGATGTGGGGTGGAGGCATGATTTCTTTGCGCCTTTTGGGCCGGCGGATAGTAAGGGGTTGAGGGTGAAGGTTGTGTAGGGTGAAGGTCGGACGGAGTGCCAGCAGAGTCGCTTTAATGAGGGCAGAGGTGGGCTTTAAGCCAGCTTATCTTATGCAACCAGCGACTTCAACCTGAGAGCGACTGCGCCTTCTATATGGCAACACCCAGGTCAAAGTGATGGTTGATAGGCTTCTCCGAGGCGCCATGAAGCGCTGCGCGGCGTCCTGTAGCGTTCTGGTTTCCATCATACGCTCGAGACACCTGCTCGTTCAGGAGCGGACAGCACGTTCCTCAACAAGATTGTTGAGACTTCATCGGCGCTCTACAGCCCTTTGGTATTGGTCCCGATTTCGGGAACGTTGCTAGCGCTTTAGGCATCGTACAATCAATCAGCCTGCTTACTGGACTCCAAACCAAACGTCTGTATAACCGTGCTTGCATCCGCTTCCTACCGCTCCTTCTTCGTTCCAATTATCGACACATCTGCTAATCCTTCTAAACATCCCGTTAGGTTCTCGATCAGTTATCCTCCCCGCATAAGCCGCTGGCTGAGAAAGGGAGGCGTGTCGTCTCGTAAAAAGGCCTACCTTGTTTTTGAAAGAAAACTTGTCCGAAGAGTGGCTTCCTTCGCCAATAAGCTTGCTTCGCATGTTGCTAGTTTCATGTCTTGCTCTACACCATATGAGTTCCAACCTTCATCAGCTCCCTGTGTTCCCACGTGCCGCTATTCCCGCATTGCTGCACCTTATGATGGTGTCACCATCATTTCCCCAAACACCGTTCAAAAACGCCTCGCCGCCTAACGCTCCGATGCCACCAATTGCCATCCCTAACGCCCTCACCACCCACCTCATCCCATTTAACCACCCTACTGCATTCCCCTCGTACTCCCCATCCCCTTAATCTCCCCCTCTTTCTCATACTTCTTCCCCGGCGCGCCCTTCTTCGGACTCCCCCCGCTCGAGACTTTCTTGCTATTCGGCGCATCAATGCCCAGACCCTCTTTCTGCGCGTCTCGGACCTGGCTGACTTCGTTGTTGGCCGGGGAGACGTCGAGGGGGTTGGTGGATTGGCCGATCTGGTTTTGATATCAGCACATGATTCCTCCTTATTGGAGATTAGGTGTTGGGGTGGTCGATATGGCGTACCTGTTCGCTCTCCTTCGCAGCTTTCTCCCGGTGCTCGTCGGGATCGAGGTTCTGCTTCGAGTATGCTGTATCAGCGGTCTCGGAGGCCCAGCTGTCGAAGCCGGTTTTGGTATTTTCTTGGTTGTCGACTACGATGTCGTGGCGGGAGGTGTTTTGCTCGCTTGGAGGGACCGTGGGCTTTTGCTGGGAGGTGGAGGTTGCGTATTGGCGGAGGAAGCGTGTGGATAGGGACTGCTGAGGGCGGAGGAAGGATGTCCGGGGGAGGGGGATGCGGGGTGCCATTGTTGTAGTCTTGAAGAGTAGCGGTGTTGGATTTGTGCTGGTATGGATATATCGTGGTCGATGTGAGGTGCTCTTCCCTTTGGAATGCAGTCCTGTAGAGAAGCGGCCTCCGGAGGTACTACCGACTTACACGCAAACACATCTAGACCTTACCTCCCTCTTCAAACAGTCTTACCTTCGCGGGCATATTATGTCATGATGGTCGTGCAATGACACACGGAAACAGCGTTGCAGTAGATCGTCAGGAACCGAAAAGCGGAGTGGCAACAACTGCCGACGCATTGCTTGAGATGGAGAAGCTTTGAGTGCAATGCAAGGTGCTGTGCTTGTATTCAATCAATGAACGCTCGCTATGTATAATCACCGCCTTCAACTGTACACGCTCGCCATGCAACAACCCGGATCCAATCACGCAGCCACCGCCGGCACTTTCCCCTCTTCCATCCTCACCGCCACCTCCTCCTGCCACGCCTTCTTCTCCTCCTTCAACTTCCTGTTGACATACCAAAACGTGCCAATCGTCCAGAAGCCCGCCCACACAAACGGCAAGCTCCAGCCGACAGAGTACGCGGCGTCCTCGCTCAACGTAAAGATGAGAATCGTAGTCAAAACCGCGCACCCTTGCGCACCAACTGCCCAGTACATGCCCAATCTCCGCAACATGGCGCGGAAGATGTGGCTAGCTTCGTAGCGTCGGTTGAGCGCTTCGCGGTACTCGGTGCCACCAGATCCGTCGACGGCGATGACGTCCTCGATGATACTGTAGATTCCTGGACGCAGCTGGGCACCTTTGGGGATGGAGGAAATGCGGCAGGGGGCAGGCATTTGGAAGTAGCGCATGATGTCGATGATCATGAGTTCGGTGCCGAAGGTGTAGACCATGCTGGCGAGGGGCATGGCGACGAGGCGAATGGGTGGGTGTTCGGGGACCGTACCGCTAAACATCCCATTAGTATTCTCATAGCGTGGTAGGAGATAAGATGGTATGAGCTTACACAATGAGTTCAATCATAATGATGACCCATGCCAGCGTAAAGTTCCAATGAAACCAGTCCAAGTACATCCTACGTGCTCCAATGACACGGCATGTGCTGCCCTTCTTCCACAGCCGGTAGAATCGGATGAAGTATTCGAAGATACTAATCCCGCCGAGTGCAGCCGTGACAATCGAGAACACCGTGTTTGGCGAAAGATCCGTGTAGTACCAGAGGCAGAAGTATAGCACTATAGGCATAGCAATACTGTCGATGAGGATCAATGACCAGAACCAGAGGATGCTCCACTTTCGCGAGATGAGAGAGTAATTCAGAGGCGGCGGCTCCGGTTCGAACGCATGGTCGCTTGACTGCATCGTCTCAACGCTCGGCGGGACCTGGTCGCTGGGTGGCGGTCCATCATCTCTGTTATTATCAGAATCGACCACGGCCGAATCATCCTCAACAGGCATTGTAGGTGCTCTGTCCGGCGAAGCCACACCCATGGACATCTGCGAGCTCCTCCGTCTCGTCATAGTGAGTGACGGTCTTCCAAATGGTCCATCTCTTCTTTGATCAAAGTCCCGACTCTGACGTCCCCACGTGCCACTTCGAGATATCTGCGTGCTGCGTCTTTCACTCCGATCGAGCTGCATGCTTCTCCGCTCAGGGGGCGCAGTCATCGGCGAGAAAGCGTCTGGTTGCGACTTGCTCTTCTTCGACGTGTTGTGGTCTTGATCTGAGACCGTTCTCCTGGGCATGTCGGTCTGTATCTGCACGGAAGGCCGCGGCTGGGCTGGCTGGATAGGGCCATCGTGCCGCTGGTCGAAGTCGTGGTCCTTTGGATCTTCCTCCATCTTGGGCGAGAGATCAAGCAATAGTCGTAAGAAATGCTAAGTTCGCTGCAACGCCTCTTGAACTTGTCGTGACGCGGCAGTCTGCGGACCGGCCGGATAAATTGTAGAATGCCGACTCCAATGGGTCGCCTGAACACGTGAAGCGGTGACCAAAGAACCAAAGTTGGCGGGGGTTATCGAAACAAGAATGGAAGAGCGAGTGTGGAAAGAAAAGTGGCAGTGGTGCAGGAGAGAGTAATCGCAACGAATGCGCCGAGCCTTCCAAGGCCCAGAGGCTGCCGGTTGGGAGACGGGTGGTCCGAGTGCCTTGCCTTGCATCATGGAGTGCTGATTCACGCTGACATCGCTGACTGCACCGCCTACTTCCTCCTTCCTACCTCCGATACCCGTTTGTGGGTGGTGTTGCGCTCCGGATCTTATTACGCGTCGCCGGCCTGAGTCGACACCCCCGTCTCCCAGGCACGATCTGGTACTGCCATACTGCCCGCGACGGTGCGGACAAGTGCGGACAGGTGCGGACACTGTGGCGACTGTGGACCGTCTTTGACTTCATCTCCTCCGCGGCGGTGGAGCATGTGATTGACATCTCAGAGAGGAAGCTATGCGCTTTCTACGCGGCTACCTGAGCTATGGCTCTGCCCTGGCGAGCGCGATCACGGGCGAATATGCCTTTGCGGAGGAACAGACGCCTCTTCTCCGCCACGCAGACAATCGCAATGTCTCACCGGAATTATTCACAGAGCTAGAGGAATTGGCGCGAATAGTTGATATCAGTTACTGCGTCGGCCTCACCAGCTTTGGCATCATCAAGCCGTTTAAGTGCCTGTCGCGATGCTCAGATTTCCCAGACTTCGAGCTGGTCACGACATGGAATACGGGACCGATGCTGAGCGATTCGTGCGGCTACATCGCGCTGGATCATGGCAATCAGAGGATTATTGTCGCCTTTCGAGGAACGTACAGTGTTGCAAATACTGTGGTGGATCTATCCACAATACCACAAGAGTATGAGCCTTACCCCGGTGACGACGAGGAGCTGAGTGGCACGGCACCTCTCGATGTGGCGAAGGATGTTCTCGCTGGCATAGGCCATCAGAGACGAGACGAGTCTGTTTCTGTTTTGGAGAGGACGAAATGCGAGGACTGCACCGTGCATATGGGCTTCCACTCCGCGTGGCTGAACACCAAAGACAAGATCCTGTCGGACCTGCTCCAGCAGCTATTGATCCACCCGGACCACCAGCTCAACCTCGTTGGTCACAGTCTGGGCGGTGCAGTAGCAGCGTTAGCAGCTCTTGAATTGAAAGGCCGTGGCTACGACCCGATAGTCACCACTTTCGGCGAGCCACGCATCGGCAACAAAGGTCTTACAAAATATCTGGACGACCGCTTCAATCTATCAGTCTCGACCGAGAATGACCTGCATCTGAAGTACAGACGAATCACCCACATCGATGACCCCGTCCCTCTCCTCCCCCTAACAGAATGGGGCTTCGCAATGCACGCCGGCGAAATCTACATTTCCAAGCCAGCTCTCACACCCGACATTTCGGACCTCGAGCATTGCGCTGGGGACAACGATCAATCCTGCATCGCGGGCCAGGACTCCACGACTTCGCGATCTGCTGAGGCAGCGACTCGGAAGCGCGACCTCTTGACCTCTGTGGAGGATGAAATCGTTGATGTGGTTAATGAGCCCTGGGGTATCCCGTCGAGGTATAAGCTTTGGCAGCTGTTCTTCGCGCATCGGGATTACTTTTGGCGACTGGGGCGGTGTGTGCCCGGCGGTGATCCGTTGGGTGGGGGTGGTAAGTATGGGGAGGAGCCTAATGGAGAGCTGTGACAGCCGTGAACTGCGAGTTCTTTCGTAAGAACCAGTTGCGGATGATGAAAAGGATTCATTCGCACGATCGTCTTCCGTGCGAGTATCGCTGCTCGAAAACACCAATACCCCAGTGTTCAGCTAAAATGACTTCTCGGCCCCGTAACCACACTCACGCTTCAGGCTGGTGGCTGTTGCGCCCAATGCTTCCAGCACCTTCAAAGATGTACATCTGCTACAGCATTCGGCCAGCTGTGATGGGACCATGCCCATCCTTCGCATGATTGGTGGTCTTCACGCCCAGTATCTGCAGCCTCGCTTTGCACATGCAGGGACTTCCACAACTCGCGTGGGCAAGGCTGGACCGCAGCACAGCTCATGAGGCGCAGGCGGACGAGGCTGGCATACCGCCGACCTTTTGACAGACTTTCAACACTTCGTCTACTCTTTTTCATCAACATCATTCACTTTTCATCACCAGAGTGCCTGCATCGGCGGCCACGATGGAGGTCGTCGCCGCAGTAGCGAGTATTGGCGGCCTCGCCTCGCTCGGGATCCAGTTGATGGAATGCGCGTCGAAGCTGGCAAACTTCTACGGGCAGGTCGAAAAGGCTCCCAGGACCTTGAAACGGATATCCCACGGTCTCCGGATGTTCGCCATGCTTCTCAAACGCATCGAAGGTATATCAGCGTGCCATGATGGCGAAGACGCTGCCACACTTGCCGAATTCATCGAGCTTTGCAAGGAGGCCGCCCAGGAGATAGTCGAGATCACGGACAAGCTGCAATCGATAATGCAAAAGAACCATGCTTTCGGACGAGTCCTCTCTGCCTTCAAGCTTCTGGAGGTCAATCAGCTTTGCACCGAGCTGGAACATTGGAAGAGCTCGCTCGTGCTTGCTTTCGATGTTCTCAAATATGAGACGCAAGCCCAGATTATGGGAGCGACGCACGATACTACCCTGCAGATCAGGTTGCTGCTGACGCGACGGGACCATCAAGATGGTGCGACCCTCACGGGAAGCTCCAAAACGGTGCAAGCAGGTTCCGCTGTGCAGCAGGCTGCTGACACTGGCGACCGTGTTGTGGAGATTGGAGAATACGGTGAAGCGTTACCGCTACATCCTCACCGCCGCAGGCCGCGGCGGCGTCAGGCAAAGACGCGTAGCTTCCGGATTCCTAGCTGGTTCTCGAATAGAGTCTGGCACCTGTCGGTTGCACACTCGCAGGGACGGTGGGAGGTCAACCTACAGACGTGGAACTACTTACCTGAATCCTCCCCTGCTCTAACATACGTCGAATCCGGAGATGCGGAAAGCCTGAGAAGGATGCTGCAAGCTGGACTGGCATCGCCGTACGATGTATATGGTCGCTTGACTATGATACAGGTAGGTGTCTCATGAAGTTGAGCGGGCACACAAGATCTAATTCGTGGCAGTGGGCCGTCCACCACATGCGATACGAAGTGTGCAGTTATCTCATCGGTCAGGGTTTCGCTCAAGAGATACTGAGAGGTGCATATCATTTCTTCCGGCGTGACCATGGGCCCGATTACGGGCAGTACAGATGGCCTCTTCTTATAGCCTGCCTCGAAAATGAAGATCTAGAGGATCATCGCGGCGCTGTTCTTCCCTACGGATCATACCTGGGCGGATGTGGTTTTTGGGTAGAGGATTTGCCGGTAGTTGATCGCCAGTTCGCCTTTCCCATGCGGACCTGGTCAGTCTCACAGCGTTTCAACTTTCTGATGCTCCGCTGTACAGACCTTCGACCAGCGGTGCTACTCAAGTTCTGTCCGATCACTAATGACTGCTCCTCGCTCACAGAACTGCGTGAGCATGAGACCGGGCGCTCAGCCTTACACCTTGCTGCACTTTGTATCAATCTCATTGGGGTGTGCGAAGGACGGAGGCCGGATAGTCTGGCGGATTGGGGTGATCTGCTAGAAGAGCTGCTCGTCTCTGGCTCTGATCCTCATGCTCAAGACTCCAAGGGAAGGACCCCACTGACTGTGATCCTTTCTTTTGTTCAAATCTTTGAGCACGCAGGCGGCAAAAGGAGAGACACAGGTCACGGAGCGTTCCGGTACTGGCTTACCCGCTTGTGGGCAGCCGGTATTGATCTTGTTGCTTATGGAGCAACAGAAGCCTCTCTGTGGAGTCTGAATCGTGCAAGCAGGCTCTCAATGGCTTCCCCGTCAACGCGGCTTGATCAGCCTTTGGAACGTCTCAGGTATGGACCCACACCTGCCGACTGGGGCTTTGAAATTAGGGAAGAGGCCGTAGAGATTGTTACGTACAGAGCACGCCGTACCCCAGGAAGCTGGCCAGTCACCGGCGCTTTACCGAAAATCATTTGCTGGGAACCGACCTCCCTCGATGGAGCGGACGACGTGGTATGGACTCAAGATCAAGTAGTCACTATTGCTTCACCTCGTCTCAGGACCGCAAAGATATTCGACTTGGACCATAGCGAAGACACCCTCTTGGTAGACAACCCATTGCATGGCGCGCAGGATGACGCTCGTCCAACTGCGCTGCTAGTACTTAGCCTGGGCTGTAAGCCGCAGTTTCCGCGTCGAAGGGCCAGCGAGCCGGCGGTCGCGAAGTGGCTTATGGAAAGTAGCAGAACCCGGCAGCAAGGCCTTTGGCCGCTAGCAGCGCCTCATGTCTGTTCACGGCGTTCTCTGTGGTCGCGCTATTACGATGCTACACGCCCTGACGGTTTCGATGATTTCGACAATTTCGACGATTGGCTGTTTCCTAATCCAAAGCCGGAGATGCCGTCTTGTCTACGGTGGTGTCTGCAAGAGCGCTGCAATTTCAACCTTGACAACAGCTGGACGGGCCATCGACTTATGGCGGCAGTGCATTCGTGGAAGCAATTCTTGCAGACCCATGGAGTACCACCAATAAAGTGCACAGGCTACTACATCAAAGTTCTGGTGACCGTGGATCTTCTGTTTGAGGAGCCACCATTTTGCTCGGCATTTCCGCATTGCGAGCACCAGGAGTTGTATCTGAAGGTTGTCTAGACGGACCAAGGCCGATAAGAAGTCGTTGGCTCTCGAGTTGCACAGGTTACGATAACCCATCCGACGAATGGGTCTTGGAGAGCCCTACCCCTGGCCTTGCACCCCAGCCTGGCTCGTTTGGAGCTTCTCTCCATCAACATCTCTGCGCACGGAAGGATGTTGCCACTTCCGACTAACAGGCAGCCAGACCCCGCGGCCCCCTTAGAGCCAGAATATGTTCGAGCTTTGCCGATGGCTGATGGCAATAACACATCGGATATCCTCTTTGGAGGACATGAGTGTGCCTTGGGCAGGAGCGGAACCGGTTCGTGAACCGTCAGCATACCACACATTTTCTTCGAAGATGTGCGCAATGATCGAAGAAAATTGTCGGAATTTCTAAGATCGAACTGCGTTGAGGACACATCAGCGTATCAGACGGCATAAATTGTTGCCTTGGAGAAGGCGCACCCACGGAGCTTGATCTGTAGGGTTCCCCAGATCGTACGCAAGTACTGTGTGGCCTTTTGTAGCACTGTGTGTTCAATGATACTATCCCCAGACACCTGCTCGTCTACTAGTATACATAAATACGTTCTTAGGACCTCACCAAGTTTCCAAAGGCATCTTGCATTCATTCTATATCACTTCCGAGCTCGCGTATCTTCTTCCCATCTATTTATCTCCCTTGACTTCTCCACAATGAATATAGCATCGTACATCAGATTTATGTCGCTCTCCAAGTTGCTGCGTGTAGAGCACCATGTGCCCCACTTTTCAAAATGGCTGACGACGTCAACTCCAACGATACATGTACCCATCGAGGTCATATATTGTCTGCACAACCACTCGAAGATCTTCTATACTTATTTGCATTTGACGAAACCTTTGCAACTGAACTTGTCTCGTCCAAGAAGTCTAGACATTTACAGGCTCCATCCATCAGCTCCATCAAAGCGATTGTACACGTCCAGCGAGATGTCAGAGTAAGCCCACCTCATTACATCTCACCACAACATGAAGCTAACAACCCCCAGCATCAAGAAGATCGCCCTCAAACTAGGCACTGACGGCCCCGTCAAGACCCTCCCAACTCCTCGCAAAGTCCAGATCTTGTTCGGAGGAACCTACATCATCCGCACAACCAACGCCCACTACGTCTGGGAACACCCCTTCTTCCCGCAACTCTACCTCCCCCTCTCCGAGCTCGTCTCCTCCAGCAAGGCCCAAAACTTCTCCTTCACCCCCGGCTCAGACATCAAATCCGACTCCGGCCATGCCCTCGCCACCCAATACACCATTGCCTGCGGCTCCAAAACCACGGACCAAGTCATCGCTTTCTCAGATAACTTGACCGGTAAACCCGCCGAGCTCTCCGGCCTAGTCAAGATCAACTTCGACAGCATGGATCAATGGTTCGAAGAAGACACCCCTATCCACGTCCACCCGAAGGACCCCTTCAAACGCATCGACATCCTCGCCTCCACGCGCCCAATCAAAGTCTCCGTCTCCGGCCGCCAAATCGCCTACACGGAAACAGCCATGCATCTCTACGAAACCGGTCTGCCAGCGCGCTTCTACATCCCGTTGACCTCTATCGACCCCACGGTCTTGCGGCCGAGTAGCACGCGCACGAAGTGTCCGTACAAGGGCGAGGCGGAGTATTATTCCGTGGAGATCGACGGAGAGGTACACGAGGATTTGTTCTGGTATTATACGCGCCCGACGGTGGAGAGTAGTAAGGTGGAGGGGCTGGTGTGTCCGTATAATGAGAGGGTGGATATTGAGCTCGAGGGGAAGAAGTTGGAGCGGCCGAAGACGCATTTTGGGAAGCCGAAGGAGGGGAAGAAGCCGGAGGTTGTGTAGTAGGAGGGCAAATGTTGCCGTCGAGATGAAAAGTTGAGGTGTTGTTTGTTGTTCAATGTACTCATACAACGTATGGCTATCTATGCCTGATTGCCCCCATCCGTAACCACTCTCCACCCCACTCATCCACAAAGGAGAGGGAAGTGCCGTACCGTGCTCGCTCGAACGCTAATGCCAATGGCGTAATGCAGATACAAGAAAACAATTGGGGGGGTATGATGCAGGGGTATAACCAGAAACAAACACTTCGCCACGCCATCATCCTTCTCAACCGCTCCAAGCGCCAGAGCCTTATGCTTAAAAGCTCGCCCCCTCATCCTCCCTCAGTCTTGACATGCTCGACTTCTTCGGAATCCCTCCGCCCATATTCCATCCAAGCATCCCGCTCTCCCTCCTCTTCGACTTCGTCTCTCTCGAGCTCGGGCCGCCGTTCGCAGACGTCTTGTAAACATTCGGTGAGCGCAGCGCGTCGTTCAAGCTGCCGTATCCGCCGTCGCCTTGTGGCGCCATTTGGTAGTTTGCATAGGTAGGCTGCATGGGGATCATGCCGGTGTCGTCGCTTCCTGTGCTATGCTGTGGGGTGCTGTAGGAGTGTTGGAAGGTGGTTTGGTTGTAGGCTGGGGTGGGGAGGTCGGAGAACATTTGCTTTCGTGGGGAGCGTAGGTCTGTAGGTGCTGAGCCGTTCGCGGTCGCTTCCTGGTAGTGTGATGAAGTGGTCGGTGCGTCGTCCATGGGCGGGCCGAAGATTGCTGCTTGGTCTTCTACGAAGGACGAGATCAAGGGCGCTGGGACGTTGAGCGTGGGTGCGAAGACGATGCCGACTGCAGCAGTGTTAGCGGGAACCTGATGTGGAAGTTGTGATTAGACTCACCATTGCGGACGTTCATCTTGTTGACCTCCGCGTTATTCACAATCATCAGCAAAAACGACGACAGCGCATCCAGCAGCGCACGATTCGCCGGCGGCAGCCTGTTCACCAAATAATTCAACGACACAACCTTGTCCCGCCCATGAGCCTCCAGACACTGCAGGAACTCCAAATGCAGCTCCCGTGTCAAAATGCTCGACGGCAGCTCACGCAAGTAAAGCTTCAGCAGACTCGCAACAGCGTGGACGTCGTGGTACTTTCCATCGGCGGCGAGATTGATATCGCCTTCGGTGTTGAAGCGGTCTTTGAGACCCTTGATGACCGTGTTCGAGCCAGATAGGCGAAAGATGCCTTCCTCGGCGATGGCGTTCTTGACGAGCAAATACTCAATGCATCGGTAGACCACCGCAGGCAGCTCGGTCTCAACATCCATCGGCCGTGCGAACTCAACCGCTTCTCCCAGCGGCACACCGAATACCGCGCGACCACCAGACGTAGCAGTAGCGTAATGGTCTTGTGGAGCCAGACCAGGCGAAGGGAACTTGTCATTAGGTCCCAGATCCGACGACGAACGACCTCGAAAGCCGGCGAAGATACTACGCTTCTTGTTATTGTGATCCTTGGCTTGAGGTGTTGGTGGAGGCTTCATGCCCCAGTCGCTGGTATTCGAGATGACGTGCAAGTTGGTAGGTCCCGAGATGGTAGGGTGGCTTGGAGCGGCATGCTCAACCGCAGGACCGAAGTTGCCGTCGTGAGGCGGTGATGGGGTGTCTGTCTTGCGTCCGTTGCCAGGTCCAGGACCCATCACAGGTGCGTCGCCGGCGATGGTGTCGTCGTAGCCAACAGCTCGCAAGGAAGCAGGCTGCACCTCAGTAGCCTCTCGGCTCCGGGACGGTGGACGCATTTCTCCATACGAGGGCTTCATCCGTGGACTGCGAGCAGCGGCAATATCTGGCCTTGGTGCCGGTGCAGGTATAGATCTCGTCGGCACCTCATCCTCATCTTCACGGTAGTCGACGTATTGCAACAGAGCATCAACCCAGATGTCGCGCTCCTCATCACTCTCAGCGCACAACACGTGCCTCACCAGTGCAGACGAATCCTTCTTCTTCGGCTCCAAGATCAAGAAAGCGTGTCGGAACTGGTTGTCCTCGTCCTCTTGAGCGTTCTGGCTACTGTTCGATTGCTTGCCAATTTGCGCGTTCTGCAGCTTGATCGAGCCCAACTGTGCGCCACCTTGGCTGTCGAAGTATCTGAAGACTGGGCCATCCAGCACGAAGAATCGTGCCTTCCAGCCACCAAAGTTCTTGCCGCGCTTGGTGAGATAGCCTTCGCGATGCGGCTTCGCCTTAGTCTGCGGTGTATCAGGCCTAATGTCCACCGATCCCGTGGCTCCGCCGAAGTAGTCGCTCGCTTCGTTTGCAGAAATCGCATCGGTGCTCAGGTACCTGCACATGACAATCGCAGGTCTTTCGTCCTTGATCGCGTCAAGCATGCGCTCGAAGTAGCCATCCAGAGCTGCTCTTCGCGCATCGATCTTGGCAGGCGCGTGGCCGCTGAACATTGTCCTCTCTGGCAGTCGATCTCTGAACGAAGAGATCTGCTTCACCTGCTCGTCAAGATACGCCAGGGATACAAACGTCTTCTCGATGCGCCACAGCTGCTTGTTGTCTGACCGCTGGTGGACAGCAAGCGTAAAGACAGGATTGTCCTCTGGTCGTGGCGCAATGTAGCTCATGCGAGACGGCTTCATCCGGGACGAAGATGTCTTGACGTAGATCGAGGGCAGTGCGTTGGGCGGTAGCAGGAGGTCGGGGTAGTGATCGGTGACCAGACCCTTGTATATTTCGCCAGGTGTCACGGCCATTTGATCGCTTGCTGTGGAAGGCCGCTCAGTATCTGGGGTGCTGTTGGTAGAGGTCGACTTCATCTGGTTCGACAGAGAGCTCGACTGCATCATCTGCTGCTGATAGCCTTCGGCGCGTGCGAGATGAGGTGAAGCGAAGGAAAGCGGTGTCTGTGGTGGCATCGGGATGGGCTGTCTTGGCGCACGTGGTGAAAGTGGAAGTCCATTGACGCCAGACTTTGGTGACATCGGTATAGAGTTCAGGAGCTTATTCGGCGCACGTGGCATGGGTGAATTCAGCGGCCGATCGCCTGGTCGAGGACTCATTGGCAAGCCCGGGCTCAGCAGCGCTGGAGCTGTCGCACTCTTCGGCAGCGCTCCAGATTCAGCGGTCAAAGCTCGCTGTCGCACAATCGAAGCTGGGTCGGCACGAGGATCGTAAGCGATCACCTGCGGCCTGGGTTCGTCCCCAGTACTAGCAGGCAGGTGTTCCACTGAGCGTGACGTCGGCCCACTTTCAGCTTTGCCACCTTGCTCGGCAGGCGGTTTGCTCTTGCTCTTGCTCTTTTTGTCCTTCTTTGACCTGCTGCGGTGTTGGATTGCCTCCAGCTCCTCCTGTCGAGCAAGGACTTCACGCTCACGATCATCCTCCTCACGTGTTTTCCGTCTCCCACGTGCCATCTGTTCAGCGCGAGCACTATCTGGATCCTCCTCGTACTCTGAGTCCGATGCGTCCATGATATTATTCGTCACATTGATGGCCTCAAACTTCTTTTGCGGTCCGAGATCGAGAGGTGCTGGTGGCGCTTTTCGTGAAGCCAGGGACTTCGGGCTCGAAAATGATGGCGCTGAGGGAGAATGACCGCCGCCTGAAGATGTCGAGATAGTCTTCTTGTGTCCAGCTTCCACACCGAGGCTGTTCATCGGATCTCGTTGCAGCTCGCCAAGACGTGGTGAGATCGGAGGTGTCTGAACTACACGACGCTCAACGTTGATCGGTGCAGGCGGCTTCGCGGTCGCTGCTGTTGCGGGTGTGGAAGCATTGTCGAGCCGCTCGAGCTCACGTATGCTTGCACTAGCACTGCCGGCAGATTGCGGCGTTTCTGGTAGTACAGATGATGGTGCGGTCAAGGCGTCCTGTGGCGTCTCCGACCGTCCTTGTCCCAGCGAGGCTATGTCTGAGGTGTCACTGACTTTGCGGCTGTCCATGCTGATGTCACGAACGCTGGCTGGCTGTGGTGTAGCCAGGACGTTCTCAGCTACCACAGGCGACTGACTGTTGTCCCTCCCCACAATGTCCTCCAGCTGTTGTGTAGCCGTAGTCAGAGCCGGCGCAGACTCGGACTGAACCAAATGCTCCTTCAATTTCCTCCTATACCGGTCTTTCTCCTTCAATGACTTCTCCAGATCCTTGTTCAGGCCCAGGATCATGGACCTCTGCTTCTCCACCAACCTCCATAGCTGCGCATTGTGCGATGCCGCCTGATTCTTTTCATTCAACAGCTTCTGCACTGCAGCCTCCGCTGAACCCGCCGCTGCTATCACCGAGGCCACATCCTGCGGTCCGCTGGGCTCCGGAGACACGCGGTATGCGGTGGTTCCATTTGCCTTTTGGGCAGCCGACACATTCGAGACCGTCGAGACCGTCGAGTCGATAGAAGGGTTGCGCGGCATTATAGGTTGCGAGTCGGCGCGAACAACAGACTTGGGTCTGGTAGAGGCCGGGTTCATATTGGGCGAAGTAACAGCTGCGGAGGTCGGGGTGGACTCGTTGCGCAGACTGCTCGATTGGAGTCTGCTGGCCGCTTTCTGAGCCTCCTCTCTCATGGCATCCCTCGTCACGGCGCTTCGTATCTCGTCCAGGGCAGGGTTTCCGGGCACTCTCTTTGCGGGATTGGGCGCGCGCACGCGGTCGACTGGCAGAGAATGGGATGGGGCAGCTGTGCCTGCAGCTGCAGATGGTGCGCCGGTCGTGCCCGGGGCGTGACGTGAAGGTGGTGTCTGTGACAAGGGCGCGGACGAGGTCGAAGGGACATTCTTTGCAGCTAGTGGCCTGTCGCCGTGCATCGCCCGCCGCCCTGGGTCGCTTGGACGGCCACTCATGTCGGCCTCCCTCGGCGACGACGACATCGCATTGGTGTTAGTGCGCCGGGCATGAAGGCCAGTCGAGCGGGCGTCAAGTTGAGTGATTGAGGTGAATATGCGCAAGACCAGGATCCGCGCTAGCGTGCATGGAAATGAAATGTAATTCGACGAGACTAGCCGCCCAGGCTCGTGACAGAACCTTGCCCGCTCACCCAGTCTTATGCCGTGGGTGCTGGTTATAGGTGATGGTGGTCAGACTGCACACACTACATACAGCTCATCCCCGTGTACCTGCAGACTCGCAATATGGCACTGCCGTCAAACTACCGCGTTCCTGCATTTATGTCCCGTACACAGCAGCACTCCAGACCGCTCCACAGCGGCCAGCGGCCAGCGGACTGACGGCTCTAATGGCGCCACATCCGCTCTTGCACCACCCCAAATGCCCTCCACCACATGGTCAGGGCAGTGAATCGTCCATGACTCCATCCCCTCTCGCAAGCCCAACGACTTCGCCGAGAGTGTGGAGAGTCAATATCGATATCACACCTCCTGACTCCCTCTCACCCCCTTCCAGGAGCAGATTCCGCGGCAGGCGCACTTGAAACGACGGCGATCCGGTTTCATTCGCGTCGATCTTATCACAAGCCCTGCAAGCCCCCGATAAACCCAATCTGATCCTTTCGGTTGCAACCGAGCGAGGCGAAGACGATCTTCGTGTTTGTCCATCTCAATTTCTGCATGCATGTTGGACATGACTTGTTGGGGTTTCTCTTATGCGCTGAGATGTTCGACAATCCCACGCCATGACATGAAATCGTTGTATGTATACGCGAGGCGACTTCGACACTCGCTTGGCGAGAGACGATGACATGGCAACGTCGCCAGCCGAACAGTTTGTGCTGCATTCGGATGAGAGCGCCGGGCGGCCCTGGAAAATGTCTTTTTTAAGGCCTTACAGGTCTCGTGGTCATCCTCGATTACTACATCCATCGAAGACATGCCTGCGCATTCGCTTCGCGGGGCTCTAGAACTTCAGGCCTCCTATATTGACCTGTGAGCGGCCTGCTGAGTGAGACATCTCCCGCATCATCACCACCACGAACGAGTGGTATGAGCGGCAACGGCCCAAATCGTTACAATCTGTCGCGGTCCGGGCCAGGATCTCAGAAGCGAGAGTTTCTGAATGAATCATGACGACTAACGTCCTCGGAGATTTCGGCTGCAGAGATCAGGGGAACCATATGCAACTACCGCATTTGACAGCGAGCCTTGACCAGATATCCCACGTGGACCGTTGGACTACTGTACACGAGCCTGTTCTCACGACTGCAGAGTCAGACCGCATCTTCGCTTCCGCTTTGACCGGGCGCCTAGGATACGACTACACCTGCTCAATATGAATGATGAGTGGTGTCTTGGACGTCTGGAGCCGACAAGAAGGTGACAGCACGGCAGTGCGAACATGGCTATGAACTTGATCAACATCTTCACAGCAACACCCTCCTTGTACGGCAAAGAGCACTTACTCATAGAACTTTTAGCTGTGAACTCGACCATCTGCAGCCTTCTCGCAAACTTGAGCGTTCTGCTCCTTGTCAACGGACACCAGCTGAGCCCGTGGTTTACCGGCAAGTCAAGATGACGCCCGATGCATATACCTTGCAGCCTGGAGACCTTGAGCTACTGTTTCCGCAGTACGAATTCAACCTTCCGACGCTTGAAGAACTCTTTTTCTCGCTGCACAGTCATCCGATATGGCTCGACTGGCTTCTACCAGCGCTGCGGCACAGCTTTAACAGGAGTGGACCGACTCTGCCGGATGATGACGCTGGATGGCATGGCAGCAAGAGGTTGCTTTTACCATCTGTTGCATGACCGTGTTCAAGTGAGTTGGACCTTGAATCCGACTTCAGTGCTACCTACACTCGAAGCCTCTCGACTCACAGAACTAGACAGGCTTCTGGAATCGGCGGCTGGGCTATAGAGTAACCGCCCCGTTGCTACCTCCTGCACTCCGCCTGAAAATGAACGCAACTCCAAGCTACCGCCCGTGGGCACTGTTTGTGAATGGCAATCGGCTTCGCCCACAATACTATGGGATACCCGCCGGCTTCTGCGATATGTTTGGTGTTGGAGTATTGCGGCGTACTACTGCCAAGCCTTGCATCGAGTGCATAAATCCAACAACCTAAGCGCGCCCTGATATGGCTTCTGTTACAACGACAGAAATAATGCCTAAGCGCTTTCGACTGTGCCGTAACATACTCTGAACACGAACATATAATGAGGTAACTTCGCCTTTTCACTCACATCTCTTTTAAACACGCATTCTACTATCCCCCAAACACGCCAAGAATCAACCATGAACATGGCATACATCTACGAATTCCCCTTCATCACCCTCTCCCTCCTCCTCTTCACCCTCGGCATCGCCGAATTCCACTACCAAGGCTCTGTCGTCCAGAAACTCCGCCAGGCAGGCCCCGAAATCATGGGCTGGTCGGCTTGGACTCACCCAGAATCACTTCCAGACCGCATCTTGCGAACAAGGCCATTCCACCTCAACACCATGGTCGAGAAGCTCAACGTCGCCTGCGCTTCTATTGCCCTCGTCTGTGCGCTCCTGTGTCTGTATCGCAGCATCCAAGCGGCGAAGACGAGGGCGAACAGGAACACCGCCGATTGCAAGACATTGGCGCATCCCGGCCTTGTGGTCCTCGACAGAGCGGTTCAGATGACTAAACAGGAGCGTAAGGAACGCCACGTTCGCTGGTGGACTTTGTGTTGCGCTACCGTCACCGGCATCTGCGCTGTGTACGCTCTTACCTGCATCATCTACACTTTCACCAAACTCTACGGAAGCTCGACATGGCATTACACTGACGAGCTGTCTTCGTCTCAGCATTTTACCAGGGAGTCCTGGGCGTGTCAGATGGCGGTGCAGTATCCGGATGGTGTGGTGGATTGGGCGCACATGTGTCGTGATGGGGTGAGTAGCGTTTTGCATTTTGGTCGGTGATTTGGGCTGACTGGATGTGATGGTAGCGGACGGGGAGATGGCTGCTGGTGCCGATGTTCGTTTCGTTCACGATGCTTACGGCGCTGTCGTTCGTGTGCTGGAGGAATCGGGAAGGAAACGATGATGAAGCGGAGCTAGAAGGGTGCAAGGAAGGTGGTGTTGCGGTGCAGCATGCTTGATCTTTCGAAATGCATCGTTGATTGTCGATGTGATTATCTCGAAGCTAGTCGAGTACAGCGCAAGGCGTCAAGGCCTACATGACCGGCTCTGTTTCTACCACAATTCGGAGAGGCTCGACTAGCATGGCTTGCGATCGCCTTTACATAGCCACTTTACTCTCGTATGTTGATTGCTTGGACATCTTCTCTTGCCTCAAGCATATATCAGCATGACAAACCTACGCAAGTTTGACTCTCCCAACCCCCTCCCAGCCCTCTCTCCCCGCCTTTGCGACAGTCTCGCAAAACCCATCCAACCCTTCCGTTCCAAACATGCCTACCGCTCCCGCAATCTTCTCATCCTTCACCATCACAGCCTTGACATCCGCAGCCTTCACCTTCTTCGCACGCTCCTTCGCATGCGTCTGCAGAGCTTCAAAGGCGCTTCGGATGTCCTTCTGTGACTCCTCAAGCGCCTCGGCTTGGCCGGTACCTTTCCGCTTCGCCAAGTTGAGGCTGTTGTAGGCGGTGCGGAGGACGTCGAGGTAGGCGTAGGATTGTTGGAGACCTTCTGTGAGGGTGGTTTCGGAGTCGGTGAGCGATGCGATGTTGAGGGTTGCGAGTGCGCTCGACAGGGCCGAGATGTGGTCGGCGAGGTCGCCGCTGTTGGAGTCGAGGTTGAGGAGTAGTTGGAGGGTCTGGTGGGCGAAGAAGCCTGCACGGAGCTCTACGGTGTTCATGCCGGAGCCAGAGCCCGCGACGTCGTTGAGCTGTAGTTGCGACACATCTGGCTGTGCTTGTTTCGTCTTGTCCAGCAATACTTGCAGGTCGAGCACAGGAGGTGGCTTCTCATGCGCCAAACACCATGCCGCATCCGCTACCAGAGCATTGAGGATCCATTGCTCGCCCGGCACACTGCCACCGTGACTCTGCAAGACCTTCTCGACATTGCAGCCATAATTGAATGTCGCGGCGAAGTCCCGATTATCAACAATCTCCGTCCAGTTCGCCGTCACCCTTGGTCCAAGCTCAGCCACACCGCGTGAAATCTCGTTGTAGACCAGTCGATCAATCCGTCTCTGCTCCAGAAAAGTGATCCGCCGTGATAGACTCGTCCGCAGCTTATCCCTCAATTCCTGAAGGTCAAAGACCATACCCGTCTGGCCATGAGCGAGCACACCGGCTTGGGTTTCAGCGAGCTTGTCTTCGCATCTGATGTACATTTGCAATGCGTTAGAGACCATCTTCAGCGGGTCGAGTGTTTCTTTCTTCGTTTGTCCGGTGCTGTAGGGGTGGACGAGCGAGAGGCGGGTGAAGAGTGCGTGGCCGACTGTGTCGTTTTGGATCTCCTTGACGCGGAGGGAGTCGAAGAGATGGAGGGCTAGGCTGCCGAGGTTGAGACGCATGTAGAGGTAGACGAGGATGAGCCTGGACTCGTGGATGTGTTCGTTTTGTGCGAGGAGGGCTTCCGTGATGTGTGCGGCGTTCAGCAGGTAGCTCGTTTGGTCGGTCAGTTCGAAGGCTCTCACCAGGCCAGAGACGGCGAGGAAGCAAGCGTCGACTTTCAGTCTCCGCCGGTTGCCTTCGGAAGATTTGGTGCCTTTGTGGAAGAGTTGAAGAGCGTCTGAGGCAAAAGATATCACCTCCTCAATCTTCGCATCCGACTTGACCAACTCCGCAAACCGCTCCTTCTCCTTCGCCACCTCCGCCTCATACCCTTCCTTCGCGCCATCCCCACTGGCACCCTTTACCTCCCTGTTCGCCCCTCCGCCATCTTTACCTCTCCTCAACGCCTCATAAACCTGCTTACTCTCCCCGAACCTCCTTCCCTCCAATCCAAGCACCTCCTCCCCCGTCCCACCCACCGCAAGAATCTGCCCCGGCACCCGACAATCCAACCCCTCCTCCCCATCAAACCCCTCCTTCACCGCCTTCCTCGCCAAACCCAGCGCCAGCCTCGCCTGCAAATCCTCCTTCGAGCCGGAAAGCAAATACGTCACAGCCGCGTGCGCCATGAACAGCACCCGGTTCCGCGGCTGCATCACCTTCAGCTGAATGAGGGCTTGTTGGGCGTCTTCGAGCCGGGTGTTGGCAATGCCTTGCGAGAAGCGGAGGGAGAGAGCGTCGAGTTTGGAGTTTGTCGTGGCGTTGGGGGCTTCGAGGGCGAGGTCCCAGAATTTGGCCATTTGGGGGCCGAGGGTCTTGGGGATGGGGAAGTCGTTTTTCTGGAGGTCGAGGTGGAGTTGTTCCAGCTGGATGAGTTGGTTCAGGTCTTGGATCGGTGGTTGGAGGGCCTGGAGTCCATCCAGGGTGGGTGTGGGGTCCTCATCTTTGGCGGAGAGGAGTTGCGCCTTGAGGATGAGCAATTCCGGATCATTGGGAGCCTTCTTGAGAAGGTCGGCGGTGCGTTTGAGGCCGTCGTTGTATTTGCCGGACTTTTGGTATTCTTCGAAGGTTGGGTAGCGGGCCATGGTGAGATAGTCCAGCAGTAGGCCAAGGAGCATGTGTCATAACTGGTTGAACCAAGTCGTCAGCATCTTTTGTTACCAGAGAAATCCGATCGATCAGTCTTGACCGTGTGGTGTGTCGTCAAGCAAACACATGATGTGTCTGTCTTTCATGGGCGCTGAAGTCGGAACTTTGCCTCCAACGCCACACCCCGTTTCAGATCGCAGCGCGCAAGCCACACTTTCCAACAATGACCGGGGTGTCTCGCGTGGAGAAATATAGATGACATTTGTTAGGATTGGTTGACAATCATACCTGTCCTTTGTTGGAGCAGCACAGTCACAATTACCCTACCTGGACGATACTTAACCGCTGCTCTTCTCGCGAACTCCCTCCAACAACCACAACTCCAGCTGCACTCCTCCCTCCTTTAAGCAACAGCCAGGACAGACGAACAACCACAACCATGGTCAGCATGCCCCTTCCCATGTCTCCCCATAGCCTTTTCTCAAGCTAACGGTATTTCAAAACAGGCACAAACTCCCCAACAACGCCGCGCAAACCTCGCCTACGCCCGCGCGCAAGAGCAGAAAATGGGCAAGCCCCAGAGCGCCGTCAAGAAGCAGGAGAAGCCGCAGAAGGCGCCGATTAGTAAGGTGTGGGTTTGTAAGTGAGCCCCGACAGTACTCTTGAGAGCTGGGGTGGGAGGGATGGATAGGGATATTGGGTGGAGGAGTGCGAGACAATGGAGCTGACAGGAGGATATAGATTTGCTGTTGTTTGTGGTGTGCGGAGGGTTGGTGTTTGAGCTGTTGAGGATAGTGTTTGGAGCCTTCTCATAAGCGACACGGATGAGAGAGGGTAGGGCGGGAAGGCGAATGGGTATGAGAATGACGGGAGGAGAAGAAGCATTGTACGGCGTAGGCGCGCGTGGAGTCGGCACCAGCAGCCCCAAAAGGGTGAGTATACATGGTATGGCATTGTAAAAGGGCGGCGATACCCCTTCAACATCGCATTCAAGACTGCTACAGAAGTAGAGCTGTATTCACAGTCACAGCTACGATCTAGCCTTCGCTTTCCGCTTCCTCGTCTCGCCGTTCGAGTTAGGCGGTAAAGCGGATTTGAGCAGCGCATCGCCGTCTTGGTCCTGCTCCTCGCCGGCCGTGACTTCCCACTGCACGTGCTCGGCCGTCTGTTTGCTCAGCGCTCGGCCGAGGGTGATGTTGTAGAGGAAGATGGGGCCGCGGACGAGGAAGGTGTCGCTTAGGCGTGGTTGTGGGACTTCGTTGGGCTGGACGTGGGTGTTAGTTTGAAGTCCTTGGTTGGAGGTGCAGGGTCATAGGTACTCACGTCGAGCAGGAATTCCTGCCGATCGCCCTCCTCCGTCTCATCCTCCAGGAATACGTTCCCGACGCTGTCCACGATCAAGACCTTCCCATTCTCGGCGACCGTTCGTTTCTTCGCTCCCACAGGACCGGAAGTGATCTCTGCCTCCTGCGGCGTGCTAATGCCATCGTTCTTCGCCTTGTCCGCTGCCCTCGCACTCTTCACGGGTGCCTTGGACTCCTTCTTCCGATCTTTCTCCATCGCCCGCTTCTGCTTCCTGTTCCACTGCATGCTCTCGTCTCCATCCTGCATAGACTGCTGCTGCCCACCCGTAGGCGTCGAAGTACCGCTGAGTCCAGGAATCGCACCAATCCCTCCTTCATCGCCCCAAGCCATCCGTCTCGCATGCTTGATATACCTCTCCACAAACTCCCTCTGCCTCTTCCATCCCAAGTACAGCGCAGCATAATGGACCCCTCCACCCACAAACACAAACAATCCGAACAAGACCGTGCCTAGCCCAGGCCTGAATCGCTCATAATAGTACCCCGTCCCTCTCCAAGTCGGGAACCCATTGCTCAAGAAATAATCATACCGCTCCCTCTCCGGCCCCCGCAAGATATTCGCAACCAAACTCAACCTCTCAAACCTCGCACTCGCCTCTTTGTCAAACTTCTTGATCTCGCTTTGACTCGGCTGCTTGTGCTTCTGCACATGCGTCGTCGGCTTCGCTCCAGCTTTCGTCGTAGTCTTTTTAGGCGTATTGTACGTCGCGAGCCAGTTACTCCTCGCCTTGTCAGGGTGTATGGTCCGTGAGAGTTTGCGGTAGGCTTTGTTTATGTCCTCCTGACTTGCACTCGGCTTCACGCCAACAAAAGTGTAGAAAGTCGCGTTCTGGCCTTCGGACGACTGGACTTCGTCTTTGAGACGGAAAATCTCGTGGTCTTCTTTTGTCCAAGCGAGGGTGGTGGGGAGGAGGGTGAGCAGCAGTGTTGCTGCCCAAGATATCCTCATGGTGCCTAAATGTTGGTGGAAGCTCTGCGGAGTGGAAGAAAAGTTGCTTTGGGCTTGAAGGAATGCGTCTGCTAGCGTTGATTTCCTTGAGGATTGGCTGGCTCCTCCCAAGCCCTCTCCGGTACGTGGCACCTCACCTAACCAATGTCGTGCTCTGGTGGGGCCTGGGGCGGAGGAAGAGAAGAAAAGCTGGTGGGTAGAAAGAAAGCTGGCTTTCCTGTCCTTCCTCGCACCGCTGCTCTGCTTCTGCTGCTTCCTCTCTGTCACGCCGGCAGCCGTGAAGTCGTGTTGGACAGACACTTTCACGTGCGAGCAAGACGAAAATGACTGTCGGCTGATTGGCTCAGGGGGGAGGGCCCTTGCCAAAGCTTGTGCCTGACCGACCCCTGGTTGCTGGTCAACGCTTCTGGAATTCCAGATCGACGACTGCACTACATTCACCTCTACCTCTCTACCTTCGCGACGACGACTGTCATCGCCGACTCCTCGACCACTCACCTTCCAGTCACTCATTTAGACAGTTTGTAATGTAAGCGCATCTCCGCTTCCAAGCACTTCCGGCAGCTTCTCCTGCAGGTCAGCTTTTGCATGTGCAAGTTTGCTAACTCCTATTCAGCCTCTGCTATACCTCTTAATTCGCGTCGTACAACCCCCCTTACTCCCACAAACACCGCGAACATGGCACGAATCAACATCCCACTCGATGCGCTCACCAGCCGGCTGAACCTTCAAGGCCGCTTCGACTCGGTGCGGTCACAGTCCATAGCGAACCGCTTCGCCAATCTGAAGCCCATTTCAGAGTTCCTCGACCTCAAGCGGCTGTCAAAACCTAAAGACTTCGGGGATGTACAGAACCGAGTCAACTACAACCTGTCCTACTTCAGCAGCAACTACGCCGCAGTCTTCCTCATGCTCAGCATCTACAGCCTGCTCACGAACCTAACTCTGCTGTTCGTGATCGTGCTCGTAGTGGGAGGCATGTTCGGCATCGGCAAGCTCGGCGGCCGCGACCTGGACGTCGGCTTCGCCCGCGCAACAACATCACAACTCTACACTGGCCTATTCGTGATCGCTGTCCCCCTTGGCCTCTGGGCCTCCCCGATCCAAACAGTCCTCTGGCTGATCGGCGCCAGCGGCGTCACGATCCTCGGCCACGCGAGTTTTATGGAGAAAGATGTGGCGGCGTCTTTCTCCGAGGAGGCGGTATAGGCGGTCTGCCGCGCCTTCCTCGCCCTATGACACGGGAAGACCGCCCGGAGCGCCCAGCGGTGGTGGTATGCGGAGAAGGTACATGCAGGACTGGGAGCTTCGTGATCCGAGATTTGAGGAATTGGATGAAAGTGACGAGGAGGATGGGCAAGGCGTTTCGTTGGATCCATATGATGGACGGCGCTTTGTGAGCGATGAATTGTTTTTTGACGGGTACGATATTGGACAGGATAGACATTCACGGCGTGGGATGTATGATCAGGGACGGTATGGGCAGGATTTTGATGGGCAGGGTTACAGAGAGCAGAGGGGTATGGCGTTTCAGGCGAGGGTGAGGGAGAAGGAGGAGGTGTTGATTCAGTCGGCGCTGGGGAGGATTGCGAGGGCGAGGGCGAAGGGCAAGACGAATGTCAATTTGTCCGAGGAGGAGATGGAGGCTTTACAGCGCAGGAATAACCCGCAGCCGGAGCCTCCACCCGCTTTGGCTTCACCGCCACCTACGCCGGCTAAGAATGGGAAGGGAGGAAAAGTGGGCAGTCGATCGAACAGCTCGACCAGTTTGGCCAACCAGAAGACTCGCAAGCGAGGCAGTACTGGACTTTTCGGGAACGGTTCCTCCTCATCGCCAGCGAAATCGAATTCGAAAGCGAAGGTCAATCGCAAGCCATCGGCGGAGCAGCAGACTCCATATCCTATGAACGCACCAGGCATGATGGTCCCTGGACCCGACGGCATGCCCGTCTTCGCACCCATCGGCTACGGCGGCCCTCCAAGCCCGGAATATCGCCGCAACAACTCAGGCGGCTCTCAACCTTCCTCCCGCTCCGCTTCCAAGCACTCCCGCCGCGAGTCCACGCCACCAGAACGAACAGATCCTTACGCCCAGTATCCGATGCGCTATTATCCACCCCATCAACAAGGCATGCGACCGCCTTCCTCCAGCTCCAACCGCTCTTTGCCAGACGACATAGACTGGTACCCACCCGTCAACCCGCGCACACGCTCCGCCTCCCTCGCCTACGACCAGGACGTCCCTCTCGCTCTCCCCGCCGCCCAAACCCAAAGCCCCGGACGGCGCAACGTTTCAAACCCAGCATACGCTTCTCCACTCCGCCGGACCGCAGCCGGTTCTTCGCCTTTGGCCTCACGCCCGACGCCAGGATATCCAAGCTACTCCGACCCAGCCATCACAGGCCACAGAGGCAGCGGTAGTGGTTTGCGGCAGCAGCATGGCGTAGCAGATGAGAGTTCGAGCGGGAACGAAGGGAGCGAGGATGCGGGTGTGCAGGTTGACATTCTCCCTGATGAGGGATTCGGTGGGGGATATAGTATTAGTCGGAGTAGGGACCCTGCTCCTGTGCTGGTGGCAAGTAGTGGGGATGGAGGGAAGAGGAGAAGGAAGGGTGTACGTGGGTAGACTAGCGCTTGTACTTTGGGCGCGGAGGAGCGTCTGCGTCTGTTTTCCGGTTCAACGTGGTTGAAGTCTCATGCTGCCCCCTTCTCACGTCCCAGGACTAAGTCGGTGCCGCTATGGTCACTGATCTCCCCTTCTCCTCTCCTTACCTTCTTCGAGAGGCTTGCACCAGCCCACCCGGCCAAGTCTCGCTGGATCGACCTGCCAGCTGCCCTCGCGGTCGACGAGCCACTTCTCCAACTTCGCAACAGTTCTTGTGGTGCTGAGGAGCTGGAAAAGACTATGACCATTACTGCCAAGCCGAGCATGAGCTAGCGCCTCTGGAGTTTGGGCCAATCACGACAGACGTTGAATTCAAGGCTTTGTGCTGTTCATCCCGTTTGCATAACATCTTCTGCTTAATCATCTCTCTCTCTCTCCAATTACAGTTTCGACTGCCCATGGGCTCCGGTTGAACTTTTCATGTACACGTTTGATGTCCATGGCTCAGGTGGATCCAGGGCGTGGGGCGACTGGCATGGCCTGAGTGACTGCTTACCAATGTTCATAGACAGCAACAACACCAATAAGTACCGGGAACAGTCTCTGCATCAAGCCTCCTGAATCTCACCACCATGCCTCTCCCAACAGAATACCGCGCCTATAGACGCACCCATGGCGACCTCCCACGCACCATCGAGCTCTCGAAGGAGACGCTCCCCACCGAGCTGGCGGCCCATGAAGTCCTGATCAAAATCCTCGCCGTCTCGCTCAACTACCGCGACGTCGCCATGCTCGACGGCAAATACCCCGTCGAAGTCCAGGACCGCGGGATCCCGGCCTCCGACTGCGCTGCTGAGGTCGTCGCCGTCGGTTCTGGTGTGAAGGATTTCAGACAGGGCGATTACGTGACGCCTATCTTCAACTTGACTGAGCTCACCGGTCTCGAGGACGAGAGAATGCAGGCGCTTGGGGGGGATGTGCCGGGGGTGCTGAGGGAGTATGCGGTTTTTGGGAGGGAAGTGCTTGTGAAGTTGCCGAAGGCTTTGTCGGCGGAGGAGGTGGGTGCTTCAATTTGCTGTGGTGGAGTTTCGAGGCTGATGTTCTTTTTGCTCTAGGCGTCTACGTTGACCTGCGCTGGAGTGACTGCGTGGACTGCCCTCAACTGGCCCGCTTCGATGTCGACTACCCGATACGTTCTGCTGCAAGGCACTGGCGGCGTCAGCATGTTCGCCCTCATCCTCTGCCACGCCGCAGGCATCGCCCCAATCATCACCTCGTCCTCCGACGAGAAACTCGCACAGATCCAAAAAATCTGGCCCGAAGTCAAAGGCATCAACTACAAGACGACCCCTGACCAGGAAGCTGAAGTCAAGCGTTTGACAGACGGCAAGGGCGTCGATGTGGTGGTCAACAACACCGGCGTAGGGTCTGTGATCACCGATCTCAAGTCACTGCGAGCGAGAGGAGGGGTGGTTTCGATCGTGGGATTTTTGGCGGGGATGAGTGGGCAGTGGGCGCATAGTGAGCTGATGACTGTGATGTCGAAGAAGGCACAGATTAAGTGAGTTGTTTCTCTTTGGCCCGTTGTTGTCTGATGAACGTAGCTAACGCGGTGTTTGACCTACAGGGGCATCGGTGTCGGGTCGAAGATCGACTACGCATGTCTGAATGCTTTCATCGAAGAGCACAACGTACGCTTCAAGCCATTGCTCGATCGCACATTTTCTTTCGAGGAGGCGCCGCAGGCCTTCGACTATCTATACTCGGGGAAGCATGTGGGAAAGGTTATTATCAAGCTGTGAGATCGGAGCATGGGCCAAAGCAGAGCAAGGCGGCGTCTTGTTGCTGGACTATCCATTAGCAGGTACATTGAGCACAACATTGCCGGCGGCTCGACTGAGATTTGTTGGAATCAATCCCTGCCAGGAGTTCTAATGCTGTAGGGGGACTTGTGCACTCTTCGGTTGGTGTGAGGTGGACGGGATTATGATGGGCTGTCCGGCGTGACCTGGCATCTCAAGCAGGACTGTCTCGAGGTGTTGACTTCTGTCAAAAGCTCACAAAGGCAGGCGGCTGCCCTGCTGGAGTATCCGAGCGTGCCCGAATCAACGCCGTGGGTCAATCTTCGCCAACAATGAAAGCTGGTTAGACAAGGAAGACTCTCCGAATAAGCTTTGGTCAAGGTAACGATTTGCAAGGTGGGTGGTCGTGGTGGTGTTCTCGGGTTGTAGCGACCTTAGACACGCTAGATCCTTCGCGCTGGAGTTACCTATCTCTCATGATACTTTTTCCTTCGGCAGCCTTGTCGATTGGACTGAAGGTCGCCCTACCGATCCTACCGCTTGCGCTCATAATAAGGTACGTGCACGAAGGTAGGATCGACTATATTAGCGGCACTGATTGGTGAGGGATTCCTACAGGGCTGAGAGATTGGGGCGGCCGAAGAGCAAGGATTTCTGGATACTGACTGAGGACGTGTCTTGGTAGTGCCTCTTAGCCGTCCTCAGAGTCTTGGTAGTCTGGAGAAGACCTGGGGAATCCCGGGACGTGGGACGTGGACTCGCGAGGGTTGGCGGAGCTGGGGACGATCCATTGCAATGCTTGGTCGCAGCATGATCCTGCAGAAGGTAAGAAGCTTCCTTTTCGTCGACAACATCTACGATGCTATCCATACCACAGAGCTGGTGACCTTCCGATCCCGGAACTCATCGCCCACACGTGGTTGTGCAATGACGAGTACCTATCAGCCTCGTGTCGACATTTGCCTTCAGCGTGCTCTGCGCTAACAAGGCCGGACGCAATCCTTCGCTGTAGCACAAGGCGTGGTCCACCAACAAGAGGATGGCTTGGCTAGAGCCGCATTGCACTACAGTGTGCACCGCATCACCTTGACCACACTCGATCCCACGTTTCTCATCACTCCAGCTCAGGAATACAGCAGTAGCTGAGCCGACAACCGCCTTGGGTAGCAAGGGTACCAAAGGTAACAAGATCTTCATCGTCACTGGAGACAAGAAGATGCTGACTCTTGGCAGCTGGGCCAGCGCTCGTTGCTGGACCAGCAAGACTGGCAGTCCCAGGAAAGAAAGTAAATGGTGCATATCTGCATCGACCGAAGAGTATCGATAATATCCAGCCTGGTCCCGTCAGAACATGGACGGCTCGCGCTGCACTGGGGATCGAGACAAAGTCTGAATATTAACGAACGGCGGCTCCCCCGACCACCACGACGTGAAGAGCAAAGGCAGGCTCGCCCGATGGTGGACCATCTCCGCACTGCAACGTTGTTCTAGCGGGATGATCTGCGTGTTCTATACTGGCATCGAGTGACAGTAAACGCTGCCCCTGCGCATCTGGTAGTCTTCTCCCGAACTCAACTGCACCCAAAAAGGCCGCGTCGCTCTCCTCGACAGCTTCTCCGCTGACATCCCTCACCCTCATCGGTCGGATCACTCCCACCATCGGTAGCCCAAAGGCTATCCTTGACGGTCAAGCCGTGTAAAGCAACCTTCGTGGCGCTTAGCTCCTCTCTGAAGCAAAAGCGACCGCTTTGACATTGCACTCATACCACGTCTGCATGCTGTACCGTCGTCATTCGAATCCTTCTCTTGTTGATCGTGCCTGCGATTGTACATGATCAGTCGTGAGCAACTGACGGTCTTGCATTGCGGTGCAGCGGCTATCCTGGCAGAGTCGCATTGGACAAGTCTGCCAAAGCACCACATCCACGGGAGGATCACGTCGATGATGTGTCGTCAGACGGGCACGCCGATGTGGAGGATGCATTACCATCGAGGCGATTGTGTCGGTGCCAACGGACAACCCTCGGGGGACTGGCAACTCTGGTGTATATAAGGCGAGTGGTTTCCTCCCAACTCGATCTCCGGGACATCTCATCAGCATCTCTAAAGTCTCAGTTCAGATACAACTCAACTCGATCCAACAACATCTCCAATCAACCACCACAGCCCAACATGCAATTCACCACCCTCGCCTTGGTCGCCGCACTCGCGGGAAGCATCACAGCCAGCCCCGGATCGGCAGAGGTACGGAACGATATGGCTGCTCGCGCAGCTTACGAGAATATGGGCCGTATGCTATACGGTAAGAATAGTCCCCCCTTTGGTGCAGAGCCAGATCGTCCTAACGCGAGTTACAGCCCGCGACCACCTCAACACCAAGCGGGCCTGCAACTGCGCAGCCAAAGCCACCTGCAATGAAGGCTGCAAAAACGGTTTCGGCTCAAACCCTACTGGCCAGGGCGTATGCTACTTGACGTGCGCCGATTCTGCCGGCTGTGGCACGAATGAGGCCTGCTGCTGTTGTGCGGACGGTAGTAAACACGGGGACATGGGAGAGAAAAACGATGACACCTGCGCCAACGTCTGTGCCCCCTACGGTGGGGAGGGTAGTTGTTAATAATGGCAGCATGAATTGCTGTAAATTGTCGACTAGCAGAACGCAGTCGTTTCGGACACATCTGTTCCATTCTTGTCGTGACTTTTGTATCCGCCTCTAGTACCATGGTTGACCGACCAACAACTCTCGTATGGGGCTGGGGCGCTGGGCCTTGTCGTGATGTTGCGCACGTGAATGCGGTGTTGGGTTGTGCTGTAACGGTGCTCGTTGTGCTCCACTCAGCTGTTGTTCCCGACGCTGCTGCGTTGATCGTGTACACCTCATCGTCATTTTCGAAACCTTCCATCGTTGATCATAACCCCGATGGTATGGGGTCGCTCGCGTAACGGTCACGATGTTGCATTGAACCTGCAGCAAGCGGAGCAGTATCAAGGACCTATCGTCCAATCCACACGGATCATCGTGCCGATGCTGTCTAGGCTGGATCGCTTTGAAACATGATGTGTCGGCCACGCAAACCCTGCAAGCCTGGGATATTAAAAGCCCTGTGACCTCGCTCGATCCCAATTCCTAAACAGCTCATCAGTCCAGCATTTCTCGAGAAGCACCTTAGAAGCACCTGCCAGACGTTCCACCTACGGAATCCTCCACCACCTCAGCACAACATGCAATTCACCACCCTCGCCGTCGTCGCGGCGCTCGCAGGAGGCATTACAGCCAGCCCGGGCTTAACGGAAGTACGAAGCGACATGGCCGCCCGCGCTGCGTACAAGAACATCGGCCGCACACTGTTTGGTAGGTTCCATTCTGTACGAAGTAACGCCGCCCTAACACGAGTCCAGCCCGCGACCACCTCAACAAGCGGGCCTGTGATTGTGCAGCCGCAGGCGACTGTAACTCCAACTGTGCTGCCGGATTTGGTCAGAACCCTGCTGGTCAAGGCATCTGCATAGCTACTTGCACCGATGCGGCTGGTTGTGGCCAGAACGAGCTTTGCTGCTGCTGCGGTGATGGGAGCATTCAGCCTGATGGAAGCAATGGTTGCGACTCTGCCTGTCCCAACAACGGAGGTGTGGCGGACGCTTCGACATGTGGTTGATAGCTGTAGGCCAGAAAGAAATGTTGTTCGAATAGATTCAATGAACCATCTTCGAACACTTGCTCGGTCCACAGTGTGTTTATCTCTGCCGCACGCAGATCAGTCCTGGCATGAACGTTAGCTGAGGCAAATGTTGTCTTGTTGTGCACATGATCGTGGTGTTGTGCCATGTTGTGCTCGATTGTTGTGTTCGCTGTATGTGAGCTATGCTAATTCGCTCGGTGAGAGCCGCCGCTAGCTCGTGCTGCAGATTGTTGTGTGCATGGGCCAAATTGTTGTGCGCTTGGACCATGTTGTAGCATGTGAAAATCATACCGGCTACACAACACAACAATTGTGAACACCAGCTAGCGTCCGCGCATTCCGAGCCAATCATGTTTACCTACGATGTTTTCAGCACTCTCCTCACCTGTTCCACGGACTTAACCTCTCACCAGAACTTCGGCTTGACATGCTCTGGCACATCCTCCTTCCCAATCCAGCGCGTCACTCGACCGACGTCTTCAAAGTCGTCTTTGAAAGCATTTTCTGAGCCATCACCAAGTTCTTCTCTGACTCCCACCACTCCAACTTCGTTTTTGTATTCTTCCCACAACTTCAGCAGAGCCTCGAATTCTTCTGGCTGCTGAGCACTGATGTCCTTCGTCTCCCCCGGATCATCCTCGATGTCGAAAAGCTCCCACCTCTGCGGACCATGCGGAGCTGGAACATATGTTATCTTGTATCTTCCACGCCGCAGCGCACCGCTTCCTGCGCATTCGAAGCCGGTAGCATGGTCCGGACCGTGGATTGCAAAGACATCATCAATCGACGGCGACGAGAGGAAGTCCTTCCAGCTTTTTCCACGCATGGGCAAGATTTCGCGGCCTCTGTAGTTTGGGGCCGGATGTTGCAGGCCAGCGAGGTCGAGAAGGGTTGGTAGGATGTCTTGGACGGTGCAGAAGGCGGGGATTATTGCATTGCCACTCGGTCGATCGTTCTTCTGCTGCACTGCTGGCTTGACTACCAACGGAACATGACATCCACCCTGCGTGCTGAACATCTTGTACAGTCTCGAAGGTGCCGTTGCTGCCTGCGCCCAGCGGTTCCCATACCAGACAAACGAATTCGCCCGGCCGATGTTGTCTAACGAATTATCGTAGTACTTGGCAATATGCGTCAGGATGTCCTCCCGGATCATATCTCGAGCCTCGTAGCTGGCTCCTTCGGCGCCGTTGTCGGACATGAAGAGGATATAAGTGTTGTCGTACTCGCCGGAGGCTTTAAGACTGTCGAGAATACGGCCGATATTGTGGTCCATCCGATCGACCATGCCTGCATAAGCCTCCATTGAGCGGGCGGACTTTGCTCGCTCGTAGTCGGTGAGGGTGTTCCAGTGGCCTTGCTCGCGGCCCACAGCTACGATCTCGTGGGGCACGATGTTCGGATCCAGGAGACCAAGCTCTTTGAGGCGATGTAGCCGACGCAGCCGCAGAGCATCTGGTCCATCGTCATACATGCCCCGGTACTTGTCCATGGATTCTTTTGGCGCTTGAAGAGGCCAGTGTGGTGCCGAGAAGGGCAGGTAGGCGAACAAGGGCTTCTCCTTCTCCTCGACCGACCTTTCGTCGAGGTACTGGATCAATTTTGAGGCAAAGGCGTCGGATGAGTAGAAGTCTTCCGGCAGTTTGTTGATATATTGTCCATCCTCAGCATGCAGTGCTGTAACAGCAGTTTCGAAGAACCTTGGCGGCTCTTCTACTTTCTCGTAGTCTGGCTCAAAAGCATAGTGGTTCGCGCAGCCAGGGAGTAGAGAGAACGACCTGTCAAACCCTCGAGCTTTTGGTCCGTACTCTGGCTTGAGGCCCAGCTGTCAATAAGAACAGTCCAAGGTTTAGCATTGCTCAAGAGAGAATGACCGTCGATACTTTGGACTTACATGCCACTTTCCAGCCATCATAGTGTAATACCCCCCATCTCTCAGCAGCTCTGGCATCGCAGCCACACGATCAGTCAGATAGCCTTCATGACCTGGCTTGCCTTGATGAGCGGGCGAGTTGCGAACCATCTCTGCCAGCTGTCCAAGCCCAGTGAGATGGTGGTCAGTTCCAGTCATGAGCATCGCTCTGGTGGGCGAACATGCTGCTGCAACGTGGAAGGAGGTGAAGCGTTGCCCACCATTGTCTGAGGCCAGGGAGTCGATGTTGGGGGTGTAGATTTCTCCTCCGTACGAGCCAATGTCACTGTAGCCTGCGTGGGTTGAAAGGGTCAGTGGTGTACTTGACAAGAAAGGACAGTGCTCATTTCTCACCCAAGTCATCAGCCACGATGATGAAGAAGTTCGGTCGATCCGGCATCGTGTCTTCAAGGCTTTAGCAGATGCGGAGATGATACAGTTCTCACAAAGAGTCGAATCAGGTGAAAGGGCTTCTCCGGCATAGCAAGAGCACAGGTCGATCACGACTTCCTCCAGCAAGAATGGCCATCTTTCCTGCAATCACGCCTTATTGGCCTCCTCGGTAGTCTTACATTCTACAAGCTCCCTGGCCTCACGATAGAAGCCTGGAGAGGTTCATACGGTAAGTCCTGCCGTGCTCACGTTGACCGGAGACGGGACGGGTTGGGGTGAAGCGCAGAGTACCACGAACTTCCGCCGGGTCATGCCTTCGAATTCCGTCACGACGCCGTTCTCCGACTATCACGACAGTGCCTTTATTGTATCATACAGTAGAGGCATCATGTCTTCCTTGACAGGTCAAGATGCAATCCCTCCTTGAAGCACCCTGGCGCCATGGACGTGCACGCCGATCAGACGCGTCGTCGCGCTCCGTGCCTTCTGGTTGCACAAGACACCAATGGGTCGTCGGATAGCTCGACATCTAGCAAGATTGCTGCCCCTTGAACGTCCAACTTCGAGCCATGGCCGGAGATACTTCGCCTCACACCTCAGAAGAAGTCCGCACGAAAGGCAACGATCTCTACCGTAGCGGCAAATTATTAGGAGCCGTCGAATGCTACAAACGTGCCGCAGAACTCGCCCCAGTCAAGCAGCACCTTTGTCGAACCTGTTAGCGGCTTACTATGAGCTCGGCAAGTACGCGGAAAGCCATGAGGCTTCACGGTCAGCTTTGGCTTCGTTGGACAGCGACAGGGAGGCGGCGAAGCAGAAGTTGCGTTTGCGGAAGGCGAAGAGTAATGTGCACTTGATGAACGTGCGAGCGATGCTGTGCAGGTATTGGGGCAGGGAGAGGAGAGGGCGGCACTAGAAGCCTGTCTAAAGGCACACGAGAAGCATCGAGCCAACGTGCGAGATATCAAGGCAACACAGGCCCGCCCTATACTAGAGCTACCGCGCTTCAAACCTGCAATGTACGAGAGTCCGCATCGTGATGTCTGAGCTCATGCGAACCATGTTTGCTAATGCTAGAACAGGCAGACTTCGCTTGAATACTATGTTTTTGGCCGCGACACCCCGGAGTCCCTCTATGACGCCGACGTGCTCCAGGCAAACAGGAATAAGGTGACGATGATGTTCGCCGGCATTGGAGATGCTCGCAACCTGCACGCCTCGTTGGTGCACATAGCTGGAGACAAGATCAATGGCAAGCTGGATGGCAAGCTCTTCCACGTGACGCTTGTGGACATCAAGCCAGCGGTGATTGCTCGAGACATTGTCAACTTCCTCCTCCTAGACGGCCTCAGTGGCTGCGCCAACAAGCCGGCATCGGGCAGCCTCCTGGCTTGTCTCTACTACACTTATTTGGCGCCAGTGATGCCCGCCCGGCTCTACGAAGTCCTCCAGGAACACATCCAGTCTGCCGTAGACATACTCGAAGACCGCCGGCCCCTTCCGAAGTACCTCGATATCCCGCACTTGTATCGAGCGCCTGTGCTGAAGGTCCTAAAAGAGTGGCAGCACGATGCTAGTGCCGAGTATCCGGTACGTCGAATGAGGGAAGAAGTTCCTCAGCAACAGATCCGCAACAAGTTACGACTTCAAATGCAGTTCACGCAGTTCATGGGGCTCTTCGAAACCCCTCCAGAGACGCCAGCAGAATGGCAAAAGGAGCTTCCTACCCTTTGGCCTCACAACTCCGTTACTTCCAGCCATCGACACTATCCGCAAGTACCGAGTCGTCTTCAAAAACGCCAGTGGTGACGAAGAGAACGTCCCGGTCTTCGTGCTGGCCTTCTTCGTCGGTGGCTCGTTGCCGCTGCGATCGAACATCCGTCCTTTCCTGCTCAGCGACGAGAAAGCAGACTCCGCAGCTAAAGCAAAGCAGTTACGAGAGGAAGGCTCGCATATCGTCAGCACGTGGAGCTGGTCGAAGAGCGAGCGGTCGGCGACATTCTGGCTGCGCAAGGATGCTATGGATCAAATGCAGCAACAAGGGAATTGGGAATTGGCCATCTGGCGAACGGACAACTGGCTGCGACAAGGCTCGCTGGCTGCCGTGAGGGATGTAATTGATACTGGGGATAGTTGGACTTCGACGCAGTGAAGCTCGCGAGCATGAGGAATGCACCCTCAACCAGATCGAACAGTTCAGTGCACATGAACTTGCGGCCGAGCATTGTAGCCAATGTCAGCATGTACAGACGCAGGGTCGCGAATGCTGTCGCTGCACCTCTTTTCCCGTCGCTACACTCTACAGCTTCTTGTTCCGAGACGGCCCAACTCTTCAGCATGGCCAGGAAACGAACGGGAATCATATCCCTCGATGGCCCGAAGTCGGTCTCTGAGTTCCATGTCGGCTACATCACAGCTTCTGACATCAGAACGACAATTGCACCCCGCCAAACCTCCCCCATCTTCATCCAACCCCTCCTTACTAAGGTGTTCCACGACGGCTGGAAAAGACCCTGTTTCACAGGAAGACGTCAGAATGTGAACGTCTGAGGTCAAGAGCAAAGAAAGCTAGGTGCTCTTTCAATTAATCTCCTTCTGCTCTTCCTTGTTGTCCATCCATACATCTCCTACTTACCACATCACAACAAAACACTGCCAACATGGGCGTCGAAAACCTCCCCAAGAAGATGAAGGCCATCCAGGTCGTCGAGTTCAACAAACCCTACCAAATCAACGAAGTCAAGGTTCCCACGGAGCTCCAACCGCCTGACATCCTCGTCAAGGTCGCTGTAGCCTCCAACTGCCATACCGATGGCATGTAAGTGGCTCTCCAATCTCATTACGCTCTACCCAGCTAATACCTCAATCCCAGGGTTCAACAAGGCGTCATGAGCGGCCCCCTCCCCCAAATCGCCTCCCACGAAGGCGCCGGCACCATCGTCGCCCTGGGCTCCCTCGCCGCCGAACGCGGTTTCAAAGAAGGCATGCGCGTCATGTGCGGCATCCCACTCCACCCCTGCGGCCAATGCCACGACTGTCTGGGCCCGGAATCTAGACGCCAGTACTGTGGGAACATTGATGGACATATTGGTGTCACGACGGATGGGTGTTTCGCGGAGTATGTGAGGGCGGATTCGGCAAGCAGTACGCCCTTACCGGATGAGGTGACGTTTATGAGTGCGGCGCCTTTGGCTTGTGCGGGTAGGACGGTTTGGAGAGGGGTGTTGCAGACGGGGTTGAAGAGCGGGGAATGGGTGTGTTTGGTGGGGAGTGGAGGTGGGTTGGGGTGAGTTGAGCAATAGGCCTGCAGAGACGGGATATGTGCTGATACTTGGATAGACATTTAGGCATACAGTTCGCCAAAGCCCTCGGCCTCAAAGTCATTGGCATCGACGCTCGCGACGAAGGCCTCGAACTCAGCAAACACTACGGCGCCGACGTCGTCATCGACGCCCGCAAGGGAAAAGACGAAGTCGTCAAACAGGTCCAAGAAGTTACTGGTGGCGATGGCGCGGACTCCTCTGTCGTCCTCTCCGACCACAAAGACGCCACCTCCATCGCCTGCGGCTGCACAAAGATGCACGGTGTAGCGGTACAAATCGCGCAGCCGGACGACATTATCATCCCGTTCAAAGAGATTATCTTCCGGGATATCAAGATTCATGGGAGTTTGGTGTGTAGTCAGGAGGAGAGCAAGAGTATGTTGGAGACGATTGCGAAGCATGGAATTACTGTGACGACGAATCCGTTTAAAGGGTTGGACAAGATTGAGGAGTTGGTGGAGATGGTGCATGGTGGAAAGATTAAGGGCAAGGCGGCGATTATCATCGATCAGGCGCAGGTGGACCATGAGAAGACAATTGGGGCGAAGTATTAGATATTGAGAGGAGCAAAGGTCGTGGTGAGATGTATGGGTGCACGCATCCTGTTGTACATATGGACATCCTGCTCCGAACAAGGATATATGCTTACTGAAACGCCTGCTCCATGCTCTTGAACGCCCGCGCACATGATGTAGCCTGTTCCTTCGCCGTCTCCTGCCAATCATAGCATGTTCTTGTTCTTCTTCAAATTGAACGCCCGCTGATCCTTCAACCACCGCCTGTAGTCCTTCACACTCGCGATCTTCTCTCCATAGTAATCCGGAATGGGATTCTGCGGACTCGAGCTCGCCGGATCAGCCCTATACCTTCTGATCCTCGCAAAGAACGACTTCTCCTTCTGCACACCCATTAGCATTCCTCCTCACCTCCATGGTCTGATACTAGTACTCACCTCAGCAATCGCCCCATTCCACCCCTTCCTCCCCGCCCACGTCTTAAACAACGCCGTTCCAAAACTCGGCCCACACAGCCAGCCTCCCGCCGCGACCGCGAACGTCGTCGCTCCGAGCACTATTATCGGATCTAGACCCGATATTTGGGCTGCCCAGCCATCAATGTCTTGTTGTGCGATTATGGGACCGGCGACGCCTATGGTTGCGCCGGCGGTGATGAGGGAGGACCCGAGGTTGAGGTAGCGGCGCTTGCGGCGGAGGTCGAAGAAGCGGTTCCAGGTTAGGACGTCTTCGGGGGTTGTGGTTGACGTGGGGGTGGAGGAGGTGGAAGCTTGGCGGAGAGCAAGGGCTGTGGGTGCGGTGAGCGGTCGGTGGGGTAGTTGTGTTGCTTGTGGTCGTCGGGATGGTGGTGTAGGTTGTTTCAATGCTCGCGTGCTGGTGGAGAAGGGAGATTGCGCGGTCGGCGCTCTCCTCGATACTGTATGCCTGGCTGTCGGCAAAGCCGAGGGCGACGCTCGGATATATATGAGCGAAGCCATGGCGGTGTGCAAAGGTCTGCGATGTTGATCTGGTGGGAGCGTGTTGATATGAGCTTCTGACGGAGGTCAAGCCCGAAGGTGCACGGACCCGGCAGAACAGCTTGCATGTGAATGTCGTCTCCAGACAATGTCTGTCGCCTTTACTCTCACAGCCAATGAATCAATACGATGTCGATTCCTGTAGTGCTCATATTCAACACAAGGCAAGGCTCTCGAAGTGATGTGATTTGTCTGGAACCAGCACGCGATACAATGTGCTCACGCGACACTCAAGACATGTTGGCAAATAAGGTAGAGTTGACATGATGTTGTGCTATCTCATCCACTCCTACCATCGATTCGCGTAGAACTACAGCGTCAAAGAGCATCCATCAGGACCGCTCATCCTTCTTTCATCAACCGCCCTGGCTGAACGTCCCGCCGTTGACTGTTCCGCTCTGAAATCCCTTGTTGTAGGCACCAGAGTGATTTGTCGTAGTGGCAGGGGCAGGGTGCTCCATCTTGATTGCATCCTTCAGCACTTCGTCTTGAGCTGCCTTTTCCACCAACGTGCTCAACATCTTCTCCACCCCTTCAATCCCCAGGATGCGAACTTCTTCCCTGGCTAAGGTTGACCGCGCCTGCTGGCATTGCGGGAACAGTGTCTCAACAGCTGTCATGATCTCGGTGATGTCGTTGAGCAACTCTCTGAAGATCGGCTTCTCGTACAGTGCCCGCTTCATCTTCGTCATCAGCGGTGCTTTGCGGTTGATAGATAGTTGACGTACTCCTTCGCTGAGTCCTTCTACAACCAAGTCTGGTGCAGCTACTGAAGTGGCTGTGGATCCAGACCTGTGCTCGAGTAGTTTCGGCAAAGAACGTGACTTGTGTACGCGGTCGTGCTCGGTGGCTGGAGATGTCTCGTACTTCTGAGCTTTGTCATGGGCTTCGGCTAACAATACTTTGATCTTCTCCAGGTTCTCGTACGCTGCCTTGCGGTCCTTCTCAGGCATGAGCTTGTTGAGCGTGGTATGGTCAACTCTGTTGTCGATCTCGTCCACTTCGGCTTTCGTCAAGCCCAGCGCTTCCCCCCACCGGCTGAGCCTGAGTTGTGCGTTGGCTAGCTGAAGGGCACTCGTATGGTAGCTCGTGTCGAATTCTTTGATGGCGTGGAGGAGGTGGATGTCTTCCAGCACGACGTTGAAGACACTCAGGATGCTGAGTGCCAGGCCTGCTGCAGTAGCTGGATCCATGTTCTGGCTGTCAGTCTACGCCGTCAAGAGGAGAAGTGCATAAATAGTCCGCTCATCTCTACTAGAATCTGCGAGAACGGACGATTGCCGGGCTCGTTCTTGGTTGTCTTCTGCAACCATGAAAGACTGTCGACGACACCGTCCTTGTTTGCACTGAAAGTGAGATCTGCAGCTTCAGGCATATCGCCTGAGGACCGCGCAGTGATATCAATGCGCTTCTAGCCGAGACCTGCTCAAGGGTAGTCTGCGCACGGAAACAGATAGTCTCTTTGCAAAGGAGCCGACGGCACGGGAGATGCCTCTGAGCTAGTGGTTCACATGGCCAAAATCGATTGCCACTGATCAAGAGTTTTTACGTCGGTAGCTACCGCAAAATCTGTTCTGTGTAGTCTTACAAGGCCGATCAAAAGGCCCTAGTGATGTTCCAGAGACTGCGGAAGGGCCAGAGATGGGGAAATGGGCAGGCCGTGCAGGTTGCCGGCATTATGTCAGTGCTGTGTGTCACCCTGCGCATGTCTCGCCGTGACTCTTTATGCATAATATTGACTCACGCATCCAATCCACAATCGTTGCGGCAATGATAGGACGTAGAAGAGATGGAAGGGTAGAGGTGAGGATAAGATGTGCTTGGCGGTCCGTGCTGCGTCACGTGTTGAGCCAAAATCAACCACACTCGACGCTCCAGCGACACGACTCTACCTTCGCTGTCTGCATTTCAGAACACGGGATGAAACACTCACTGGATACGCGAACGGACCAGACCGAGCCCCTGACCAGAATCTTTGGCTCTTCTTTGCACGGATACGGAATCCCGCTTTGTGGTCCAGGCCAATGCAACACCAGACCAAGGAACCGCAGCTGGCACGGTTAGCAGCATGGAGCCAATGCATCCAAAGCCACGAGACGTTAAAGCTTGCCCATCAGTGACGACTTGCATACGCCTGTTTGCCATGTCTCGCAGTGGCAGGCTCGGCGCAGGTGGAAAGGGACGAAACGCAGCTCTTTTGGGTTGTCACTTGTGTTTTCACTTTCTGATCTCTGCTGTCCACTTGCTTACGTTCTATTCGCCTTAGAGTGCCAGGCACACAGTCCATCATGACTTCTTTGAATGCACACTTCGGACCTTACAATACACGACTGCAAGCTGGGATCATCAACAACAGCAATTTCTATGGCTTCGAACCTGAGGACATACCAAATGGTAAGTTCCATCGACAGCATGTATCGTATACGATGATACGCTGACGCAGTCCAGAATGCTTAAAGTCTCTTGCGTTCAAAGCCATGAACTCGAGGACCTTTCTCGGCGAAGGAATTCAAGGTACTGGACAGTGGATGCTCAACAACAAGGACTATCTCTCCTGGCACAATAGTGGTGGCGTACTCTGGGTGAGAGGTCGTCCAGGCTCCGGCAAATCGGTGCTAATGGACTTCCTGGCGTCTCAAGAGCGGCGCACCCCCTCATCACTGACGAGCGTTGTTCTCTTTCTTCTTTCATCGGAGGGGCTCGGACTTACATCAATCGAAGTCCGGTATGTACCGAGCCATTCTGTTCCAGGTACTGTGCCAGGATCCACAGGCTCTTTCGGACTTCATTGGAGCTAGCTGCTTTGCTGAACGCTGTCAGACTCAGGGCCGGCCAAACGAAGGCTGGGAATGGCATGAACGCGAGCTTCGAGAACATGGTGAGACGGCCCTTCGCGCGCAGGCTCTCAAGGGCCGCAACGTGCTAATCTACATCGATGGGCTGGATGAGAGAGGAGAGATGGACAACGTACGCCTGGTTAAATTCTTCCAGACTCTGTCGACGTCAACAAAATACGCCATCAAATGGTGCTTTTCTTCAAGGCTGCACATACTCACAGGCGCAAAGAACGACTTTGCCATCGATGCCCACCTCCACAATCGAAAGGACATTGAGATCTTTCTTGATGATCAGCTCAAGGTGGCCGTGAGCAGAAGCAAAATGGATCGTCGCTAGCTTCAGTCTATTAAACTGAAGCTGTTGGATCGGACCAACGGTGGGTTTCTCTGGATCCACCATTCCGCTGACAAGATCGAGGAAATGATGCGCAAAGGCGAAAGTGCGGAATACATCCTTGCAGGAATCGAGGTGCTTCCAGAAGAGTTGCAGGACATCTACCAGGATATTCTTGACGGCATATGTACCGAAGTCGACATCGCGCTACAGGTCTTTCAGTGGGTAACGCTCGCATTCAGGCCTCTTCCGCTTGAGGACCTCAGCCGTGTTTTGTGTTTCACCGAATCAAGCAAGCCAGAATCACAGACGGCGGGGTTGTCGTGGTGCGTAGATTCTACGACATTCGAGGAGCGTGTCTTGAGAGTCACTCGTGGCCTTGTCAGGAAGCGCAGAGTAATGCCAATCAACCTCCGCCGGCAGGAATTGAGGGTCACCATCATAGTGCCTGAAGGACGGAATGATGAAGAGGCTCGTCTGGCCGGAGCTTCACTACAGTCACAACTCTTACAGCATGAACAAGCTCGCCAGTGGTCGTCCGCTTTTGTGTTGGACCACGAGTCAGTCTATAAGTTCATGGCGAGGAAAGGATTGCAATCTCTCGCCGCTAGATGCAAGACACCCGCTGTCTCCATCTCTGTCCCAGAAATCCTCATCTCATTGGCAAAAATATGCTTGCGATACCTCTTGACTCAGGAAGTTGCTGTCTTCGCAGACACGAGGATGCGAGAGATGGGATACCTGGATGACCGTGAGCCTTTTATACAAACGGTCACATACGCCGACCACCTGAAAGCCCCTCCATTCGCCCTCTATGCAGGGCAGGGTTGGATACGGCATGCAAAGGCGGCGGAGAAGGGCGGCGCCTCGGACGATAGCATGGTATCTTTGTTCTGTCTACCCGGCATCGTCGGCTGGCAGGAGATAGAGCGGACGTCTACTCTAGCTGACGCAGGCGTCACTTCTTCGAACCAACTGAGTGTGATCCACAGACTCGTGACGCTCGAGATGCCCCGGACACTGGACGCCATTCTTCAGCAGGAGGCGACATGTGTGTCTGTTGAAAAGGCGGAATGGCTGGCTCATTGTCGGAGAATGGTCAATGCCATAGACGGCCCATCGCCTCCAATAATCCTCGCCTTAGATTCTGGGAACGAGGCGGTACTTAGCGTGCTGCTTCGCCATGACGCCAACGTCGATCATCGAAGCCCAGACGATCGGACAACAGTGTTGCATTTCCTTTCGATATGTGGGGGCGTTTCCCTAGCTAAAAGCCTGCGACTGCAACTAAATAGCCACCTACACAAGATCTGTACTGGGAACAGCCCTGTGTTGAAAGCCGGACGCGAAAAGGCGCTGAGACTCACAAGAATGTTGTTGGCCAAAACCAAAGTTGGCGTGCACTCGGAAGATCCGCCCCGAGAGCCTTGGCTGCGAGCTTCATACGAGACGCCGCTATTGATTGCGTGGCGATACGGAACTCCGGAAATGGTCGAATTGCTGTTGAGCGGGCCTGGAGTGGACGGACGCTTCAAGGACAAGGACGGTCTGTCGCTGATGCATCCTATCTCAGAACCTAGCCACAAAGATCCATCCCAGAAACATGAGGAGTCTTGCCCAGAGTCAACCGCCTCTTACCGTCAGAAAGCTCGCGTCATGATCAACAGTGGGAAGTTCGACTTAACGCTCAAGGCCCCATACGATGCAATACTCTTCGCCTACGCTGTCGCTCATGGAGCTCAAGACGTAGTCAGCATTCTCTTGGAATGTGCTGTCGTGGACGTGGAAGAGAGAGATCACATGGGGAACACCCCACTGGCGCGGGCAATCCTTTCGGGTGCCGTAGGAGTAATCGAGCTGCTCATCAAATCTAGGCGTGTCGATCCGAATGCAAAGAGCACGGGGGACATCACTCCTCTCGCATTAGCCTGCCACGCAGGCAGTTTGACAATCGTCAAGCTGTTGCTCAGGGACGACAGGACCAACAGGGTCGAAGAAATTCATCTCAACCGTGGATCAACGATTGCAGCGATGCTGGATGGGCATACGGAAGTGGTCAAATGCATGATCGAAGCCCTCCCTTCATCGACAGTGGCTTCATTTGGTGGAGCCAATGCGCTATACTTCGGTTCACTGTTCACGAGGGTCAGGCGGGCCGAAGACAATGAGGAAGACATGCCGCTGGCCATGCAAGCTATGCGAGAGTATCGCAACTTCCGTGGCCAAGCTGTCTGGGAGGATGAGGCAGCTTGTGTTGAGCTGTTGAGACGTCACAATTTACGGCACTAGTGTACACCACATGTACATAGGGACAAGAGATCGCTCACGGGGCCATGTGATGTCTGCGAGCTTACTAGATGCGGGAGGTTGTCACTCACGCTGCTTAAGTGCAACAGCTACTTCTCAAGCTCGAATTCCGCGCCTGACTGTGCGGTACATTGCAATTGCTACATCCCCCCAAACAGTCCTTCAAAATCCTCACCCGCAATTTTCATGATATCCTGCCCATATACCATCTTCTGCACCTCCGCATCAGCCCACCGATCCGGAACCGGCCCTCCTTTCCCACCCTTCAACGCAGCGAACTGTCGATCCCTCTCCTCCTTATCCGCCCCTTCTCCCAAATGCATACTCCTCCCTGCCGCTGCCGCGAGCTCTACGAGCGCATATGCTCGATCCCTCCTCACTGCCTCATAGACCTTCAAGCCTTTCTCTACTGACTCTGGACTGGTGTCCGGAAGCTTGGAGAGCACAACACCCAGCACAGCGCCGTCTTCAATCGCCTGAGCAGCACCCTGGGCCATGTGCGGGAGCGTAGGATGGCAGGCATCGCCTACCAGAGCGGCGGAATGGTGTGTCCAGAACGGCAGCGGTTCGTGAACGCGGAGTTTCCACTCACAAACCTCCCCATCTGGAACAAGATCGAGCATACGCTTGACCATAGGGCAGAAGTCGGAGTAGACGTCCATCATCTGCGGTTTGCTTCCTCTGGTTGTATAAGTCGCTGAAGGAGCATCGGCGAAATTGAGATCTGGTTGGGCGGTGCTGAGGTTGTAGACCGTTTTGTTTGAAACGGGATAGGCGATGATGTGGCGTTTCTCGCCGATCCACCTCGTCGCTCTCTCTTGATCGAGGAGAGCAAGGAGTTCCGGGTCGCCGGCCATCTGGTCGCGGGTGATCATGATGCGGTAGGCAGCTTGGCCGGAATCGATTATTTTGGCGGAAGTGTTGGTTTCTTTTAGGATTTGATCGCGGACGACGGATTTGACGCCGTCAGCTGCAAGCAACACATCACAATCAACCCGATATGGGTCGCCTGATTTACGAGGAATAGCTTCAAAGGATGGATTTGGACCCCAGGAGTAGACTTGGCCGATTGCTGTGGCGAAGAAGAGGTTGATGGACTTTTCGCGTTTGCAGCCGTTGAGTAAGGAATTGGCCAGAGAGGAGCGGTGGCCGACCATATGCGGGTAGGAGTAGGTGGATCGGACGTAGTTGAGGTCGACATGGCCTAATTCTTCGTCTGTTGAGCCTTCTGTTGATGGTGTTAGCCAGTTGTTGTGGCATTAATTGCAATGTAGGGGAACGACGAACGTCGAATGCTAGTATCTTTAAGATCAACTGCCTCCTTCTCAATCTCCTGCCATACGCCCAGTCTATCCAGTATCCGGGCCATATTCGGAGCGAGCTGGATGCCAGCACCAACAAATCCTAGAGCTGAGGCAGACTCAAAAACGTCAACATGGCGGAAGCCCTGCTTCGCCAATGCCAGAGCTGTGGCCAGTCCACCCATGCCTGGAAACCATCTTAGTCTCTTGTGCAGGAAGGGTAGTGTGGGAGAACGAACCAGCGCCTATGACACATATGTGCAAATCGAGGACCTCTTTCGGCGCCATGATTGAATACTGTTATTTTGTTGGAGTTTTATGATCTGGTGTATCACGATGCTCCCAAGATCTGTCGATGATGCGGAAGGTGAAAGCTAAGTTGTCTGATTGAGAGAGGGATATCAAGGTCGAATCAACTAGCATTGAACAACGATCTGAACGATGAGAGATATCAGGCGGTATATAATGCCGAGACCAACAATGGTATACAGCTGCCGTTCGCCGAAACCGCAATGGAGGTGTTGTCGACCGGTACATTCTCTCGGCCCTCTTCGTCGGCGGAATTGAAGCCGATGGTTCCCCGGGACTTCACCTTCCTCGAGCCTCCTTTTTACTCATTTTCACATGCTGTCGCTCGCCATTGAAATTAGCCAGGCAGCGCGTTGATCCCCAGAAGGCAACCGATCTGTCTGCCTTGCTCGTCTGGACGTTTGCTGCCGCCATTGATGACAGTTGGAGGCTCGACTTCCGGTGCCGCTTGGTCCACAGCCCGGATCTTGCCCCTGTTCGAAAGTACTGGCAATGGATAAGATTGTCCTTCCCTTTGCTCCACCGTCGAGAGGACACCTCTGGCCATACCATCAGCTCGTGTAGGGTCCAGAACATGCACCAAAAATGCGTTGGATGCATCCCAGGCCCAGGCGAGACGAGACGAAACGACCGAGGCTTTTCTGCCTCGGCTTCCATCCCCCAGCTCCCCATATTACCTCCACGACCACCCCGCAAGCATAACCGTCTCCTACAAGCTCTTGAGACCATTGGTAAGAGGCCTTGATTCTCGAGACATCTCATATCCCATTTCCATTTTCTTCTTTCTCTTCCTCAAGCAACAGAAACAACCGCAACAATGCCCCGCCCAACCCTCCGCACCCCCCTCTGCGACCTCCTCAACATCGAATACCCCATCCTCCTCGCCGGCATGGCCCGCACCTCCTCCGGTCCACTCGCAGCCGCCGTCTCCAACGCCGGCGGTATGGGAACAATCGGCGGACTCGGCTACACTCCAACCCAAATGCGCGAGATTATCCACGAGCTCAAAGATAACCTTTCAGACAAGAGTCTGCCATTTGGCGTCGACCTTGCACTACCTCAGGTCGGAGGCAGCGCAAGGAAGACGAACCACGATTACACGCATGGACAGTTGGATGATCTGATCAGTGTGGTGATTGAGGAGGGGACGAAGTTGTTCATTTCTGCTGTTGGTGTGCCGCCGGAACGGATTATTAAGAGACTGCATGAGGCGGGGATTCTGGTGATGAATATGGTTGGGCACCCGAAGCATGCGCATAAGGCGTTGAAGGCGGGTGTGGATATCGTGTGTGCGCAGGGAGGTGAAGGGGGTGGGCATACTGGGGACGTGGCGACGAGCATTCTCATTCCTTCAGTGGTGGACGTTGCGAGGCAGTATACGAGTCCTATGACAGGGAAACCGGCGATGGTGGTCGCAGCGGGCGGGATCTCGAGCGGAAGGTCATTGGCGGCGAGTCTGTCATACGGAGCTGTGGGAGTGTGGGTAGGGACGAGATTCGTGGCGAGCAAGGAAGCGGGATGCAGTCAGATGCACAAGGAGGCGGTTGTCTCGGCGACATTCGAGGACACCATCCGGACGTTGGTTGTTTCTGGACGGCCGTTGAGGGTGCGGATGAACGACTACATCAAGTCGTGGGAGATCGATCGGCCATCGGAGGTTAAGGCGCTGTGCGATAGTGGCGTGGTGCCGATGGCAAAGGACATGGAGGATGAGAGGGATGAGGTCGATATGCCGTTCTTGATGGGGCAGGTGGCGGGTGTGATTCAGAAAATTCAGCCCGCGAGGGAGATTGTCGAGGAGATGGTTCAAGAGTGTGTGGATATGCTGCAGACTCAGCAGAATTACTTGGGCAATGGCAGGAAGAGTCGCTTGTAGTAGGGCTTCTGTAATTGCAAGTATTATCGATGCACATAGAATCTAGTTGAGATTCCAAACTCAACTGAGGGTCTTGCATGGAAAAGTAGAAAGAAGCGTAGGCGTTGAAGGCTCTGAGAAGGTGTTGTAAAAGCGACTGTAATCGACGACAGGGTATATACAAAAGCACGTCGCTAAAACGCCAGACGCTTCAAAACGCAAGCAAAAGATCACACCATCTCCCACCCCTCAAGTCGCTATTCAGTAGCCTCCTGCAACCATCATCCGCGAAACCGGAACATCACATCCAAATCGCCTCACCCTCTGCCTTCCTCTAACTCTCTCCTCCTCAATGTCAGCCGCCTGAACACTGTCTTCAGGATATTCCGAGCTCGCATCACTCGCCACAGTCTCTCCACTCGGCGCACGACGATGGTGGGCAGAATCAGCAAACCGAGACGTCGGTGGGACGATCAGGCCGCTGGGTTTGTAGCACCCCGCCGTGACGCTCCAGCACATGGCGGAGACGCCCAGGTTTTGTTTACTAGGGCGGTAGGTAAGTTGTCGTTTGGTCAGAGTGTCGATGTCGGTCTTGGTGGTGGGGCTAGAAAACGGATGGGATACGGAGGTGTCGGAGTAAGAGGAGATGTCGGTGTCGATTGAAGAGGTGTCAGGGAGGAGGGATGAGCGGTTGGAGTCGATGTTGTCGGCGGTTGTTGTGGAGGTGTAGCTTTCTCGCGGGCTGTTCTCGACGGCGCGGGGGGTAGCAAGGGGACTGAAGCCTTCGCCCAATTGATCATGATCGAGGGTCGGCTCTTCACTTGCGTTGTCAAAGCCGAAGTTGAATCCGTTTAGGTCCTCCGGAGATTGCTGTGCATCGTCGTCGCCAGCATGGAGCGCTGTTTGAGGCCGTACCTCTTCTCCCGCTTCGTTTCCACGGACAAGGCATCCGTTGCCGTAGTCCTCCACCACGATCTCGCAATACGACGACATCTTCCTCGGCTCCAAGGGGAGGCTAGTTCTTCTGCTGTTCCTCCTGTTCAAGCTTCCCACCAGAGACCGCACACCCACTTGCATACTGTTCCGCAACGAGTTCCTTCTCGACAACGCTATGCCATTTCGCGATGGCAGTGCCATCTGATTCAGACTCGCCGACGAGTCCGATCGCGAAACGGTGTTCGACGCAAAGTAGTCCTCAGCGCTGTCGGCTTCGCAGTCAGGATGGATCGAGATCCGAGATGGCGAACGATCGTGGACCGGACGACCTTCAAGCGCAAACAGCGCATCGGGGACTAGTGATGTTCGGCGCATGATGTGTGGCGAGCTTTTCCCCATCGCAGCCTTGGGCGTGGACTGCGGTGATACTGATTCGACCTCTTCAATCTTATCGTTGAGGTCTTCGAAGGTAGGGCAGCCGGTCGTGAGAACGCAAACGGGGTATGACGTGCGGTCAGCGTCTTTGACCTCCGGCGGGCCCTTCATAATGCTAGTGAGCATCTGCAGGACACCGTAGATCAATAGCCACCTGACTTTGCGAGCTTCAGCGAAGTCAAGCTTGGATTCTCGGCGGGTTCGTTCGAAGCGCTGGTACTGCTGGAGCAGTGGACGTCCGCATTGACGTTCATCGAGTGTATTGGTCGCAATCTCCAAAGCTTGGTTTGGTGTGAGTTTGGCATCAGGAGCGGTTTGGTTCTTGCCCAGCTTGAAATTTCGAAGCGCTGTCTGCGAGCTGATGCTGCGCCTTCGAGTCATCGTGGGCTCCAGCGGAAGCAGAGCCAGCGGATGTGGTAGCGGCTCGTAGCCGTGTCGTTCATCGAAGGCCTGCACGTTCTGTATCATGCAGATCCCACCGGTCACTCCTCGATTGGACCTCCAGTCTTGCGAAGATTCTCGATCCACGAGATATTCGTAGAGCGCCTGAAAGTCTTCGTACATCTCCAACCATGGACGCTTGTCCCAGGTGTTGCGGTGCCGAGGAGGGAACCAGCCGAACTTGTCTACGTAGTAGGAATGTAGAAGGCTTCGGAAGTGATCGAGGTGATCTCGCGCCAGCTTCGAAAGCCCCAGGCGGTCTGAGCCAAGCTCTTCTTCCAGAAACCCTCCCAGCGCCTTGACGACACGGTTGATATGTAGGTCCATCTCAAGAGACGCGCGGGTGATGAGCGCGGCCGTAGTCTTGCTCACCCCAGCGAATTCTGGACTCAGGTCCAGACGTGCGTGCATCCCGGAACAATGTGCGAACGCATTGATCCATATGTCTCGAAACCCTGTCTCTTCCGCAAACTTCAAACAAGCCAGAGCATGTTCGGCATTCTCGGCAAAAGCAGTGTAGCCCTGCTCCTCGAGATATGCAGAGAATGATGACCTCAATGCTGTTCCCGGTAGCCATGCTCGCAAGCGTTTCCACAGTGCCGTCAGGGCGCCGCTCAGCTTCTCCCCAACGATCGGCTTTCCCACGGCGTAGGCGATGACGTTTCGAGTGGTGAGGTGGTAGGCAAATGCTTCATCTCGGGAGATTGTTGTCGGCGTAGGAATGAAGAGGTTGTGGTACTTGGGTTGTCTGTAGTCGTCTTCGGGAGTTATTGACAAGGACGATGAGTATCCACTGTCACCGCCATCATCGCTCGGGGACGGAGGAGTGGCATAGTCTTCCTGCAAGCACTGATCTGTCAAGAAGGCACTTCCCAGCCTCTGTATAGCCTCGTAAGGCACCTTCATGCTAGGTCCTCGTTGAGAGCTGCCATGGGCATAGAGGTGCACTTGGCAGTTGGCCTCGTTGGACCACAGCTGGGCGTCCTGCTTTATGCGTTAGCCATGGGCCAACAGAAGCTTCATCATGTCGAGATCTCACCTTTCTTAACCCGTCCCAATCAGCTGTCCTTCGTGAGCGGCCGTCGAATCGTCTGACCTTCGTAGCACCGCCCCGAGCAGGGAGACGAGGTGCATTGTCCAGCGCGGACTGCACCTGTACAGGATTGAACTCGTTCATTGTATTAACATTACAAGTGTCGTTGCGTCCAGCGCTCGATCCACTTCCAAGGTGCCCGGGGAGCAGGTCGCTGTGTTGTAGAAGACGCAAAGCGAGCGGAGTCGGGGGATTCGGGGCAAGGGTGCATCAAGTGCTACGCTTCACCACAGTCGAGTATGCAGGCATTCTCCGAGATGCAGGTGAGGTCAGGGTTTGGGAGTGGAGAAGGACGCGGTGATGTCTCTTCGATTATGCAACCCGGCAGCACAGAGCAAAGGGCACGAACAATGATGCGGAGAGAGTACTGTAGATCTTGCAAGGGTTGGTGAGATCATCATTGGCGTCGACAAACTTCCGCCTATCACGGCCAGATAGAGACGAGGTTGATTGAAAGTGGCTGGCGTGGGCACTGATACCACACGGCTCTGGGTCGCCGGCCAGTGCTGGCGATAAGGCGCGCTCCACGGCAGTGTGGATTGCTGCAGGACTGCAACGGACGAGAACAATATTCCCGGCGGGTCCTTCATGATGGACAAAGACACGAGTGCCAACGGCTGCAGCGCGAAAATGTAGCGTGCATGATGTCGGTCTGCTCGGTGCTGGAGCTCTGTGAAACAGGCACGGTGGAGAGCCGAACGGTGTTTTAGCGCAGCCACGGAAAAGCCAAATACATCGATACTTCCCTCCTCTGCCGCAGCTCAAGATGAGATGCCAACATCATGAGACAGCGCATCGCATCATGGAATGTTGTGCTCATCTACACGTCTAGCGCCTAACAATGCTGTATAGCAGCTTCTGAGGAGACATCGACCTCCCAGTCGTGGACGGACGCAGTGCCCAAGTGCGTTCGTCGGAATGAGAAACAGCATTACCAGCGTTGTTTGCCTCTAATGTCCGCGGAGGACAAGAGGTGCTTGGAGTTGTCGAGGTCTTGGTAATGAAATCCATCCATTCCGAGCACAGAACAGGCCAATGCCCCTCACCAATCTTCTTGAGAATGTGAGTCTTGTTATATCGTCGTCATGACCACTCGAAGGGTTCAGAGAGGTAGGGATCTTGATTGTGGAGAGCTCCAGAAGTATGGCGCCACCGCGATGATCACGATCTCGCTGTCCTTATATGCGTAGATCTCGGCAGCTCCCGAGTAGTCTGCGACGTAGACGACTTCAAGACATTGTCATTCGTCTTCATGCTCTCGAAGGTCTGCTGGGCCTTTGAAGGTCCTGAGTAGTCGTCTTGACTCGACAAGACCTTGAGACCACCTCTACCCGCATCACCAGCTTCTCCGTTGCAACTCCCACAAGCCGCAACTGCAAGAATGCTCTTCAAAAGCTCCACCACAACGTGGGTCCGGCATGGCCACTGCTGCCACGCCGTTCCAGCGACCGAAGATTCACACCCGATTCCGTGGTTTCGACCGAACTCTCATGAGCTTCCGCAGCCCACACCTCCCGGCATGCACTCCGGTGCCGTGGGTCGGTGATGACACGACTCCATGTGGTGCAGGGTATCACAGATAGCCTTGCAGCTCAACACAGATAACCTCACGATCGAGCCGGGAAACCCCTTGCATAGTACGAATGTAGGATCTTGGTAGATGTAACGGCTGTGCATCATGAGTCCACTCGGCGTGTTGTCCGAATACCGCATCGCGAGAATGCATCGTGGTCTCTCGACCGTGGATTGTTTTCTTCTCCGAGAATGTTAGGAATGACACCGCGGCTGACGATGCAATAGCTCAAGTGGTGCTCTTGCCGCTGCTGCTGCGTTACTACAGCTTTCGTACCAGAAGAACACGATCGCTCGGCGACTTCATTAGTTTCATGGCAATGGTACTGCAGAAGAGGCTGCGTTCTGATAATCTCTGCATGCAGTAAGAAAATTTCGACACAGAATTAGCTTCGTCATCATGCTGCGGCCTTGTCGACGTTCCAGCCCTGGTACTCGTTCTCAAGCGACTTTTCCAGTGCATCGAGATATGCCGGCATGCCGCCAGCCCTGGATTGCATGCGTCAGCCGACCTCGTGCCAATACATGAGCACAGAGTGATCGCTTACCAATTCAGCGGCTCGACAACCTAATGCATGAGAAAGAAGGGTCAGCTATGCACGGGACATATAACGAGGTGGGGAACGTCGCTGTCTCGTACCTTGCCCGGTATGTTATTACCTTCGTACAGTCAGCACATCGCTTGGAAGACCATCCCTACCAGGTGAGCACGTACCCTGATACCAGCTTTTCGCCTTTGGGAAAAGCGTAACGTCCCACGCATCTCGCACCCTCTTCCGCCAATCCTCCTCGGTCTCCTTGGTGCACTCGATCCTACCAATGCCATCATCTCTCGCCTTGACGAGGAAGTTGACCAGCCACTCTGCCTGGTGCTGCGTGCAGCTGGGTCCGTTCGCAAATGCTGTGGGAGCTTGAGGTCTGGCAGGAATGTCAGCAAGCGATGACAGCTGAGTCCACGATGACATACCCATAGAGGAAGAACATATTAGGAAACCCGTTGATCGAGATGCCCATCCCCGTCTTCACGCCATCCTTCCAATGCGCAGCAATCGGATTGCCCTCGGTGTTGCGAACATCGATCTGAGATAATGACCCTGACACGGAGTCGAAGCCAGTTGCAAGAACGATCACATCGACCTCAACAAGACCTTCATTCTTCGTCCGGATGCCGCCTTCCTCTACACCCTCTATCGGCGAGGCATTGACGTCGATGATGTCGATATGTGGCTGATCCACGACTTCGTAGAACCGCTGCTCTAGCGACGGCCGCTTGGTCCCCCACGGGTGTGGTGGGTGCTCGGGAGCCAGGAGTTCTCTCTTCTTAGGGTCCTTGATGCGCTTGCGTACGGTATCGCGCCAGAAACTGTAGGCTTCCTGGGTTGAGAGGCAAGTTAGTCTACCAGCGAACGGCCACTTTTCGTTGACCGGTACTTACATCGTTCGCCTCCTGCACGAAAAGCATATCCTTGTACGTATTGAGCCAGTAGTGAAAGCCACCCTCTTCATTCATCAAGCGATGATAGTTCTTCTCTCGCTCCTCGGGCCCATCATCAAACGTGTTTTTGTCCATAAAGTCGTAAGCGAAACCAGCGAATGTATGCTTAGTCTGCTTCATTGCCTCCTCGTACTCTCCACTCTCTTTCTTCCTCTTCTCCTTCTCCGGATCAAGCTTAGATTGGTTCATTGGCAAGCACAGGTTGGGCGTTCTTTGGTAGATGGTCATATGCTTCGTGCTGTCGCCAACCTCCTGGATGACTTGGATACCCGAGGCGCCGGTCCCGATCTGCGCCACTCTTTTACCTTTCAGGTTGACGCCGTACTGCGGCCACACGCCTGTGTGGTAGACTTCGCCCCGGAAGTTGCTCAGACCAGCCATTGGTGGTGTGTACTTTTTGGCTGCGAAGCCGATGCAAGGTAGGAACCATTTACACCATGTCTGGCTGCCTTTCGAGATGTGAGCGAGGAATAAGACCATCAAGTCAGCGCAGGAGAATAGTCGTACCATCTGAGCATTCCACGAGCCACTTCTTCTGCTCTTCGTCAAAGGTGGCCGATTCAACGTTCTTGTTCCATTCTGACCGCGGGTTCAGCATTGTATATTGTGGATTCAATCAGCGGCTCAGGAAAATTCGACAATGACTGACCAAAGTATTTGGAGACCTGCCACTTCTGATCGACATGCTTGAAGTAACGCCTCAGCTCTTGCCATCCGGCGAACCGCTCTCGAAAGGTAAAGTCTTCCCAGAGTTCTTTGTCGAACAGTTGATAGATTGGGGTGTCAGTGTCGACCCGAGCTCCGGGATAGCAGTTCCAATACCTGCAAACAGAAGGGCAAAAGGGTTAGCCAGTGTCTCAGACATGGTAGGGTTTTGCCCATGAGTTTGGTACCAGATGCCACCGAAGTTAGAACCCTTCTCGTACCTGAAGTAATCGATTTCAGCAGATGTCTCGACAGCTGAAACATAGATGAGAGATCTCAAAGAGCCATGTGCGCACGAGTTTGACGTACACTCTTGCCTCAAATCCTTCTTTGAGGAGTCGATGCAGGAGCGTCACAGCCCCAAATCCGGCACCGATGATGAGGCACTCGACCTCGTTGATCTCAAGTCCCGTGGAGCCCATCTTCAAGGATGAGTAGTCGAGCCGTCGCTATGGTCACAGTCGTCCAACCTACACAAGTGACCGCCGACATCGTACTCGTCTGGAGTCTTATGCATGCCTTCTGTTGCGGGGTACAGCATGAGAGATTCAACCTTAGCTCCGTTTCGATGCATGTCCATTCCTCCGCACCGACGATCTGTAAAGGTTAGCCGGGTAGCGAGGCGTACTGTGAGCTGTGAGCGATGACCGTGAGATACTTCGGTACTTGGTGGAGCTTGGAAGCTCAAGAAGCTGCATCCTTTGGAGCTACTCCAAGTAGTGTTTGTGAGTCGCCATCGTGCATAAGCTACCCCACGGGGAGCAGTCGCTCATGCAGGCAGTGGGTTCAAAGGAAAGTGTGTTGCTAAGCTCTTCAGCCGCCTGAGAAGTCCCTGTGATTCGTATTGACGAATGCGTGGTATGGCAGGCAAACTGCTCTTTTGCGCTTACATGTCGATGATATGGCCTTAACGTCCGAGATTTGAGCATCCACGGGCATGAAGAAGACCTCGGGTTTGAGAACGAAGTCCCAGAATTGGGGAAAAGAAAACAGACCTTTTCTGCATAGGATGGCTTAGACAGCCTCCAGTCTTCCCGAGTAGCACGTTGCCGCTGGTAAGAGAGGTAAAATCAGCAGGGATGTAAAGAAACGAAGCGGTACGGTACAATTAGGTGCGATGCGCGCTCAGTATGTTGCATCTCGGCTGCGAAAGTGGAAGTTGCTGCCAACTTAGCGAAACATACATGTACCTACCTTCTCACTGATAAAGCGATATCTCATCTTCTTCTAAGTCTGCACTGCAATAGGTTACCCTGAATGGCGATGCCTCCACGGGCTTCATGGCCTGCCGCAAACAGTGCATCCATGGCGCAGCTCGGCGCCCGTGGGATGTGCTTCGTACACAGCAGCGGATGGTGAAGCTGGGATGGTATTATTGTCGACAGACCTTGAGACCGTGGTTGCAAGGAGTGCCCCAGGTTGTGGGCTCAAGATCCCATGGCGTCGCGAAGGCGTGCAGTCATTTTGGACCCGTCAGAAGATATCACGAAAGTGTTTGGCAGAAAATGTAGCTTGGGATGGGTTGCGTTGGGTATTGCAGGCGTAATGTGTAAGGAAGAAGTGTACCTGAAGTCGAGATGGCGGCGGAACTTCCAAGTCAATGCCAAGACTTCTTGTATGCGCCTTCTAGACCTCATCGATTGATCATTCAGTAGATTCATGGACTCGCGGCCACACTTCTCATCTATGGCAACACTTCAACCTCGAATACGGCCACACAGGATATGATGCATCGATTGGACTCCATACTGGCGTGCGACACCGAGCGCAAGAGTCAGCGGCATCCGGCAAGATGTTCGAGAAGGACATCTACCAGCTCATTCGCGGGCTGCGCGCACACAAGGGCAATGAGCCGCAGTATATACAGGAGAGTCTGAAAGAATGCAGGAAGGAGGTCAGAGGACAAGACATGGACCAGAAGGCTACGGCCTTGCTAAAGCTGGTCTATCTCGAGATGTTCGGGCATGATATGTCATGGGCGTCATTCAACGTCCTGGAGGTCATGTCTTCGCAGAAATACTTACAGAAGAGGGTCGGATACTTGGCAGCTGTGCAGAGCTTTCGACCGGACACAGAGGTGTTGATGTTGGCTGAGAACCTGTTGAAGAAGGACCTCAACTCTCCGGACAAGGCAACAATGAATTTACCACTCACGACTATACCGCATGTCATCAACCCTTCTATGGCCAACTCACTCCTCACGGACCTTCTTCCAAGACTGTCTCATTCCAACCCGACTGTCCGCAAGAAGACCATCGTGACCTTGTATCGCCTGGCTCTGGTCTACCCGGAAACGTTGCGACCCGCCTGGCCTAAGATCAAGGATCGATTGTTGGACGACAACGAGGATCCGAGTGTCACGGCCGCCATCATTAACGTGATATGTGAGCTTGGCTGGAGACGGCCACAAGACTTCCTACCACTTGCGCCTCGCTTGTTCGAACTACTCACGGCGGGTGGCAACAACTGGATGGCCATCAAGATCATCAAGCTGTTCTCGACTCTCATTCCGCTCGAACCTCGGTTAGTGAAGAAGTTGGTGCCTCCGCTTACTACCCTCATCAAGACCACGCCGGCGATGAGCTTGTTGTATGAATGCATCAATGGCATCATCCAAGGCGGGATCATGGAAGCAGCCGACGGCACTACTGAAGGCGACGACATTGCACGACTGTGTGTCAACAAGCTGAGAGCAATGCTTGTAGTCGAAGGAGATCCTAATCTACGATACGTTGCATTACTGGCTTTCGCTAAGATCACAGCCTCTCACGCCGACCTGGTGTCACAACACCAGGACGTGATTCTTGAGTGCATTGACGATGCAGACATCTCCATTAGAACCCGTGCGCTAGATTTGGTGGTGGGCATGGTCAATGCCAACAACTTACAGACCGTGGTCGAGCGTCTACTTCATCAGCTCAAGACAGCCGGCAAAGCAACAGCTTCTGATGAGCCCACAAACGACCGTGGTATGCACGACGGCATCATACCGATGGCGGATGACGATGAGGACGATGCCATGACCAGGATAACGCCCAAAGAGCCAAAGTCGGCTCAAGCGCCGCCATTGCCGGACGACTACCGAACGTCCGTGATCGAGCGGATCCTTGAGATGTGCTCGAAAGATACATACACGAACATGAACGACTTTGAGTGGTACATCGGAGTCCTCGTAGAGTTGGTCAAGCAGTGTCCGATATCTACTGCTACCGGCGATTTTGGCTCTCACTCGGAGACTTCATCCGCGAAAAGCGGCGTCGCTGATGCCATTGGGTTGGAGCTTCTGAATGTCGCCGTCCGTGTCAAAGCAGTGCGTCCAGAAGCGACAGCTGCTGCGCAGTCTCTGCTTGTGCTGGACACCCGTCATCAGCTCTTTCCCACTTCGAATAGCGGCGGGAACGGCGTTCTGGCATCTGCAGCATTCATCGCTGGAGAGTATGCAGATATGCTCACGAATCCGGAAACCATTCTGACCTCCCTACTACATCCTTCCAGCTCCGGCCTGCCGGCCGAAGTGCTCACAAGCTATCTCCAAGCCATTCCGAAGATCTTTGTCAGACTGACAAGCGAGCAGCTAGGTGTATGGGAGCAGTCGACTCAATCGCGTGTAGTCTTGCTTACCGCGCGAATTGTGCACTTTCTCGAGCCACTGACCTTGCACCCGAACCTGGAGGTGCAAGAGCGGGCTGTGGAATACCTTGACTTGATGAGATTGGCTTCTGAAGCTGCGTCAAACCATCAGACAGGTGTCGAGAGTGATGTGCCATTGCTGCTCAGCCAGGCCATACCCATGCTATTCTCAGGAGCAGAACTGAACCCAGTCGCGGCAGCGGCGATACGGAAAGTACCACAGCCTGAGGAGCTCGACCTAGATGCACCGATCAACAGCAGCCTGAACATGATCCTGTCGCAAGCGGAGTACGACACTGACTACGCAGACGACGACAATGAGGTATATCGCCTGTACCATGAGAAGCCGAGTGCGGTCGCCACGAACTATTCACGAGCTGCAGTCGATACCCTTGAGCCTCCCGAAACAAGTCGAACTTCATCATATCAAGACACAAGACCTGAGTTTGACGCAGAAGCGATTGAACGGAAGAAGGCGGAACGACGGGAGCGTTACAAAGACGATCCCTACTACATCGACTCCGAACGGCGTTCGGGGACTTCCACACCTATGCACAACATCCTTCGCAGCGCAAATGGCGAAGAACTCGATGTCGACTCGATACCTGTCATGGAGCTCAAATTTGACAGCCGGGATACGGCATCGGATCCAGAGCGTTCGAGAGCCGCAAAGCCTGTGCGTAAGCCAAAGCGGCATTTTGAGATTGCTGCCGACGAGACGCTTGGCGGAGATGAGCCTTCGTCATCCCTACCAACCGGTGCTTCGAAGCCGCCAATGTCACGAGCGAAGAAGTCGCTACTGGAGGTTGACAGTAGTGGGTTGTCCGCTCTTTCTCTTGCTGAGTCGGCGGATGCTCGGAATGGGGGGACCGCATTGGACTATCAGCGACGGCAAGCCGAGGAAGAGGAGATGGCTAACGCGATGAAAGAAGTAGAGCGGTTGCGGTTGGAGATGCAGCGGGCTCAGGAACGAATACAGCCCCGAGACACAGCTGAAGAGGGTATGGTCGTGAAACGCAAGAAGAAAAAGAAGGCAAGAGTCGAGGCCCTTGACGACCAGCCAGCTCAAGAAGACGCAGTTGGTGGCGAAGGTGCTACCGTCAAAAAGAAGAAAAAGAAGAAGCCAAAGGAAGACGAAGCTCAGGCAAGCACAGAGCAGACCCAAGAAGGACCCGAAGAAGTCGTCCCAGTCAAAGCCAAGCGGAAGAAGAAACGCCAAGTCACCTTTGACGACGACGATGCAGCTGGGTAGACAGCACAGCAATCAAAAGAGTACTTCTACTTCTAATATCATGCCGTTACATGACATCTCACATCTCGCCCAACTCCTGTCTCGAAACCGTACCGGAACGCTCATCAATGCTCGTAAATGCGTCATCGCCTCTGGTCAGCCTCAAGCCTGCGCCTTCTCGCCCTTTAGATATCTCGTCGTGTCCTGTGTGCCAAAAGTGAAGGGACTTCGAGTGGTTTCCGCCGGACTTCGCGGGCTCATGGGCAGTGCGAATAGGTCGTCTCTGTCGTCGGCAGCCCCAATAGTTCCTGAAGCGGCGTCGCCCTGTGCGAATGCATCGAGCGATGCCATGCCACCTGCTTGCTGTCTCTGCTGGGCTGCTACCGCCTCTGGAGGGCTTTGCGCCGCTACTTTGCGCTGTGCCCCTGGCGGTTGCCTGGATGCGAGTGGAGAAGAGTTTGGTGGTGCTCCTTTGATTGCTGCGAAGCTGCCGAAGGCTCCGACTGCGATGTCCGACGTCTCTGGGCTGAGTGGGTTGTGGTAAGTGTCCGGCTGGCCTGCTCCAGCCCCTGGAGGCCTGCTCTGCAAGTCTTGCTGTGTTGTCCCGACTTTCAAACCTTTCAGCTTGTCCATAAGCCGACCTCCACCAGGGCTGCGAGGAGATGAAGGACTCCCACCCAGATTCACCGAAGCCATGGCAGGTTGATTCGACAGTGCGATACTCCCGGCTCTCGCTGCGACACCGAAGTTCTGCTCTATCCACTCCTTCTCCGCGACCGCCATTTCCAACCCTATACCCTCCACATTCTCCTTCAATTCATTCTCAATCTCCTGCTGCAGCACCTGCAGCCTCTTCTTCGCCCAGATCGTATGCAACACCCCCCGCTTCCCCGCCTGCGTTGCAGTATACCCAAGCTCCGGCGAGAAGATCGCTGGCAGCGGGTTCGTCCTCCATATCACATTTCCCTTCTGCAACTTCACCGTCGCCGGGATAGCGACCCCTGGGCCGAGAAAGAAGTACAGCCGGTTGACCGGTATCTCCCCTCCGTCTGCAGTCTCTCGAGCAGGTAGAACGGTCCGCTTGCCTTCCCAGCTGACTTCCCAGTCTCCTCGGATATGCTGGGTAGTAGGATCGTCTTCCCACTCTACCATCAACACCTTTGTGCCTTCTTTACTCTTCCCCGGCTGGAACTCGAAGCGTGCGAGCGCATTACTGCTCGATAACGATGGTGACTCTACATCGTCTCGCGCGCTCACTTCGTTGGGATCGAATGCGGTATCGACAGGGTCGAATATCGGCCTCGTAGAGGGCGAAGTGGAGGTCATGGTGTGCTCGTTCTTCACAACGTGCCGATCTCTAAGCGGGTCTTCTTGCTGCTCTGCCCCACCCAGGACTGCTGAAGAGTATGGACTATCCCTGAGTTGTACGAAAAGAACGACCGTCGAGCTCTTGCTACAGTTAGGGGAGGAAGAAAAAGCTTATACCAACCATGCTTATACCTAGGTACTTCTCGTCGTCCTTCGCGAGTCCCAGTGTTAGGATCGACGAACTAGGGCCCCCGTCGGGGAGCGTCTGACGAATCTGCCGGGCTGGGAGGTATTTTTGGCTCAAGGGACCTTCTGCTCTGGCCACAGCACGGGAATGCGGAGGTACGGAGGTCCGACCGATGAAGAGAACTAAGGTGGAGACCGCGCTGGACCGCGCTGCCTTGAGCTGGACCGTCTGTCTGATGCTGTACAACCACAGACACGTTGCCATTGCATATGCAACTCGTGTTGTGTACGACAGACTACTCCTGTTAACGATGCTCACACGGATCCCGTCGACACCACCTCACCTGGCGAAGAACTCCCATGCTGCCTTATTGAGCCAAAGACCTGACGGCATTTGATCCGTATACCACAGCAGCCTCGACGGCAAAGCTCTATCGTGTACGAGCTAGTTGACAAACTCTGGTATTGAGGTTTGCAGTCCTTAATAGTATGAGAATCGAAACCTTGCCAAACACCTCGAAGACACCTGAACTCAGATCCACCGACTTTGAACACAATCGGGCAAGCACACTTCATCCCCAAGCAGAATTCTGGTAGATGGGTGCAGATCCAAGTTACAAGTTCGTTCTAGCAAAGTACTTTGACGAAAGTCCAAGCAAGTAGGTAAAGACTATAAGTTGTTTCTTTCCACTCCAACAGATGTGCTAAACCCTACAATCCTCTTCTCTACCCAATATCTCACACAGTGTGCTCGAAAGTTCGTGAAAATGGCGGGTACGTGTGAGGTGCGGCTCCGCTATCGCTTCAAGTGAAGGCTGACGTAGACGGTATAGAACAAGCAGTGGTCATCGACAATGAGTATCGTGTCCTCAGATCCGGGAGCGAAGCACGACGCTGATTACATGGTCACAGTACCAGCATGTCGCGCGCAGGGTTTTCTGGCGACGCTGCACCGAGTGCGGTGTTCTGTATGGCGGTCCTGGCCCACGCCTAATACTCCATCCAGCTGCTAATCGCCAGAACGTAGCTACGCCCGCGGAAAATTCGTGGCAAGATGCCATTCAAACCCAGCTCGCAATACCCGCCGAACGTAACATGGTCCTGATCACAGAGCTGACGGGGACTGACAACTCGGCACGGGAGACGAAGATCCAGTACTTCTTCGACACACTCAATTCCCATGCCTTCTATCTGGCCAGTCGGGAAGTACTTGCTCTGTTCTCCACCAACCGAACGACCGGTCTTGTGGTATACTTCGGTGACAGTGTTGCTTCCGTTATTCCAGTCAACGAGGGCTGTGCAGTCAAAGATGCCGTTTCGAGCATCGAGGTAGCTGGGGGTGAGATTACGGATGCCGCAGGCCTAGAGGGATCCGGTGTTGCGCAGGCAGTACAGAACAGCATTAGTGGCTGCGACGTCAACATTAAGAAAGATCTGTTTAAGAATATAGTTCTGGTAAGTAATCAGTGTTTCGAACAGAGCAACAGAGCTAACATTGTTTCTCCAGGTCGGCAACGTCAGTTCATCTGCCATGTCGGGTTTCATGGAAGAAGAGCTTCGGAAGGCTGCTCAAGCAAACCAAAAACTGTCTGTCGAGGTTCCACAAGACCCTCAAAATGCCGCATGGCGAGGTGGATCCATTCTCGGTGAACAATCCTCCTTCAGGAACTCTTGGGTGACAAAGGCAGCTTGCGACGAGCAAGGAGCGGCGATTGTGCACAAGAAATGCCTCTAGATCGCAGCCGGTCTTGAGTCGGCAGACCAGTCGATTCTCAGCTACTGCAGTCTACCGCCTTCAAAATGCGGAACAGTCATTCACTCATCTCACAAGAAGTCTCACCGCCCAATAGACCGCCCCAAACAGTACCGCCCACGACATCAACCCCATCACCATCAGCACCCGCCAAATACTCCTATACTGCGCCTTATCATTAGTCCGGGGATACTCCCTCACCATCCCCTCCCCATCCCTCGGCACTGGCACCCCCAAAAACTTACACAACGGCTTCCACCCATCCGCCGGATTGAACTCCAGCAACCGCTCCCTAGGCACGATTCTTCGCACCCAGTCGTTGTGACGATGGTAGATTTCAACCGAATCACTGGGCTCAAAGACATCGACGCCGCCATGGCGACGACGTTCGCAGATCTGGCCGTTGCAGAGGGTGGGATGGAGATTGAGACGCATGGGCGGGAAGAGATAGCAGGCGTAGTAGAGGGCTTTGCTGTGGGTTAGGGCGATGGTTGAGTTGACGGAGGCGCGCCAGGCGGCGGGGGAGGAGCGGACGCCGTGGATGAACTGTAGGACTGAATCAGCAAGACGCGGTGATTCGTTCTGGTGGAGTTTTGATGGAGGCATACCTTCGCGTTAGGGTACATGTGGACAAGATCATCCACGAACAGGGCAGTTGGGTAGTCACATCCCGACCTGAAGCCTCCATTCTCATACAGGCCACGTAGAATCTTCTGCCTCGTCTCCCGGTCCTCAGTCACCATCGCCTTTTGCCATTGCCGACTGTTGCGGTATGGGTAGCTTTCGCCAACGAGGGTTTCCGTATGATGACATGGCCCATACCCAAGTATCTCAAGAGCTTTCATCAACGAGTTCGTTCCAGTCCTTGGTAGACCAGCCTGTCAAACATGTCAATAGGTGTGTCTTTGTGTCGGACGGATGTTCTACAGGGGCAAGGAAAAGGAGAGAACGAACGCCGATGACCTGCAGACCTGGCTGTTTCTTAGAGTCTCTGTCCTCCATAGCACCGATCGAAGAAAGCTGTTGAAGGACGGAATGTTTTGAAAGGTGCTTAACCTGGTTCAACGCTCTGCAGCAAATCCATTGGGCTGTACTATATACGGGCAGTAGTTCAGCCCCCAAACCGCAGGTGCGGGTCAGGAGCCGTCTCATCAGCTCGTTCAGCGCTCATGTTCGGTCATAGCATTCACGAACTCGATTGGACCTTCACCACGGGTGCAACAGAAGTCCTCGGCCGATGAAAAAGCGAGCCACCAAAGGGCCGGGACAAATCGGTGTGAGCCCTAGAGTATCATACAACTTCGCCGCTTGCCATAAGGTACAGCACATTATCGCTACTGGTACACGACTACATCTGCTCAACAGCAGCCAACATCCTCTCGAGCCCCTCCGCCTCTCCCTCACCAACCATCTCTCCCACGATCCTCGACAAATGTCCCATCCGCCTCCGACTCTCCTCCTCCTCCATCTGCTTACTCCTTCTCCCCGCCTCATCAAGCAGACTCTTCGGCAAACCAGCCAGTTTTGCAACGTTAAGACCGTAGCTACGATGCGCCACTCCAGCTCCCACTTCGTACAAGAACGTCACGTCCTTCTCCCCAGCCTTGCTGTCTTGCTCCGTAAAGCGCATGTGCACGTTCTTCAGCTCGCGGGAGAATTTATCCGCGATGCGGGCGAGGGATTGGTAGTGCGTGATGAACAGCGTCAAGCTCTTAAGCTTGCTGACGACATGATGGAGCACTGCTTGAGCGATAGCAACACCGTCGTGTGTAGAAGTGCCACGACCCAGCTCATCGAGGATGATGAGGCTGCGTGGCGTAGCTTGCTTGAGGATATCGCTCGTCTCGGACAACTCGACCATGAACGTGCTCTCGCCCTTCATCATGTTGTCAAAAGCGCCCATGCGTGTGAAGACTGCGTCGAGAAGCCCGAGGTTTGCTGAGGTGGCGGGGACGTAGGAGCCGATTTGCGCCATAATGCATATGAGAGCGACGGAACGCACGTAGGAGCTTTTGCCGCCCATGTTTGGACCTGTGATGAGGAGAGCGCGGGTTTCGTCTGAGGACAGGTGGACGTCGTTGGGTACGAAAGCATCGAGGAGGAGCTGCTCGACCATTGGATGGCGACCGCCTTCGATGTCTATGCCGTTGTCGTCGGTGAACTCTGGCTTGCAGTATCCGGGTTGACTGGCTATGTCTGCGAGCGACAGTAGACAGTCTAGCAATGACAGCGACTGTATGCAGTCGCGGAACGCCTGGTACTTTGAGCCGATTTCCGCCAAAAGCTCGATGAAGGCGGCATCGCAAGCATTTGCCAGAGCCTCCTTATGCTGATCGCGCTCTCGTATCAACTTGATCACCTCTGGAGCATGGTACCGCGAGACCTTCTTCGTCCCAGAGATCTTCGCCCACGAAGCAGGCAAGTTCTTCAGCATCGTGTTATCGAGCTCGATCAAGTACTCGATACCAGCCACAGTAACATAGTCGACTCGCTTCTTCTTCAGCTTCTCAGCAGCAACCGCCTTGAACTCGTCAAGGTCATGCTCCACTGCCGCAATGCCGCATTTGTGGTTCGTGATATCGTCTGTTTCGTACTCGTCCCGGAAGAAGCTGTACTTGTCGTCTTGCTTTGCGGCTTGTGCGTTGATTCGATCGAGGAACGAGACGACCTCGTCTGCGATCTTCGGCAAGGAGGAAATCGCTTCGTTGAGTATCTCTGTCTCGAAGCCAGCATCTGCCGCGGAGACCACGTGCGCATATTCCTGCGCGATCGTCTGCAGTGTCTGCAGAACGCTTAGAAGCTCTGGCCGGGTGCATTTGCGGTAGTAGATGCGGATGAGAGACTTCTCCAGATCGGCCCTCACTTTGCCCATTAGGCGCTTGATCCGGTCGACAGCTGCTGTCTGTTGGGTGTCTTTGAGCTCTTCGACGGCTGCCACCCGTTCGTTCAGCCGTTGCCGGTCAAGCAGTGGTCTTCCGACCCACTTTCGTAGCAGACGCTGTCCCATCCGTGTCTGCGTCCGGTCCAGCGTCCAGAAGAGACTGCCGTGCTCCGAGTAGTCCGTTCCATTCCGGTAAATCTCAAGACTAGTCAGAGTGTTGCCATTGAGTAACATGTGTGACCTTGCACTGAACGACTGGAAGTACTTTGTCAGATCGAAGACATGCTGTAAGCCATAATCAGTAAGGTGGGTGATCATCGCTGAGAGACATATCGTTGCATTCTCCGACAGCTTATGGACCTTATCCAGAAGCGTGCCAGTCTCTTGCGACGACTCGACCTGTGAGCTAGACAGCTGGTCAGATGCCATTTTGTCGGCATAAAACTTGGTAATGTGGCTGTATGACTGGGCGGCCATCGTCCTCGGCTTGTCGACCCGCTCAACACGGGCTCTGTCGCCGAACACGTTTGTCTTGCTGCCTGAGAGATGCTGGACGAGCTTCTCGGTAGCCTTCGAGACGTCACCAACAATGACAAACTCGCAAGGTGCAATGTGCAGTAGCCGGGTTTCCAGTTCACTTCGCATCCAGCTGTCTTCGAAATCGTCGTAGATGATGTCGCCGGTGGCAGGCTGCACGGCCACGAGTCCGATTTGAACCTTCTCATCTGATCCCCAGCCTTTTGGGCTGGTCTCAGTAAGGCAAAGCAGATGGCCTGTCGCTGGTGCACCTCCTTCTGGTGCAGCTACAGGGGCCTCCAAGCCTTCTTGATCGTCAATGTAGGTGCCTTTGGTATAGAGATTGGTCAGGCCTCGTTCGAAAGTCTTGTTGCGGTTGTCTCCAGCGGCTTTCAAAGCAGCCGTCTCAAGTTGCCGAACAACACCAACCTTGTGACCGGCAGAGACCAGCCGCTTTACATGAACATGCAGTCGATGCACTGGTACGCTGGCAGACGCAAAGCGATCGAGGTGTGCTTCTGATGGGTGTTCGTCAAAGCGCATTTTGCCAGGGATGCAGACGATGCTCAGCTCTTTTGCTGCTGTACGAGCGTCCTCGCCGAAGAACTTAAACTTGTAGCCAACCTCAACCACGAGCAGAGTGTCCATGTTCTTCCGCTTGATGTCGATGACTTGCCGCTCCATGGGCGTCAATTTGTCCTTGGCTTTCTTTGGACCTGGGCCTTTTCTGCCTTTTCCTTTCGAAGCTGCTGGTTCTAGCGCCTCTTCCGGCTCCTCATCTTCTGCCGCATCCTGGTCCTCCTGCGTGTCCTCTGAGATGATGTGGTTTCGACGTTGCAGTTCTGCTATGCTTTCTGGTCTCCCGAGCTTCTTGACGAACTTCTGATGCATGCGCTCCTTGTACCTCCGTGACTCCTCGTCCTCCTCTGATTCGTGGTTTTCGTCCTGAGGCAGTGGAGAGCTCGAGAACATGTATTTTGACGTCCTTCCTGTGATCTTCGGCTTCTTTGCTCCCGCGACGTTGCTCGACACAGACTGCAGCGAGGCTCTTCCGCCTTGGGGATGACTTTGAAGTCCATCCTCTTCGCCATCTTCGAGACCAGGCTTTGCTCGCTTATAAGGAGGTGTGTCGTCCTCGTCCTCTTCTTCTTCTAGAGCACGCTTCGGCGTTCGCGAGTTCCTTCGCAGCCCATTGTTCGGACCTTCATCGTCGCTAACGAACAGGTTATCATTCTCCTCGAGGCCATTCTTCCCTGACTCTTCGGATTTGATCGCGGGCTTGCTCGGTGTCGGTGCTGGTTTGGACGAGAAGAAGTTCGATATGGACTGCTGCTTCTTCTGCGATGTCGACTGGGACAGAGGAGGTTGCGACACCATCTTACATTGACATGTTCTGGAAGGAGGTGGAGTCACGAAGTCACGTAGAACGCGCGACGCGCCAATGGACTCATGCTTCCCAAAGAGGAAGGAGCAGCTTATGTTGACTTCATCTCATTTGTTCGGAGCGGAACATCATTCTTCATTCATCTTACTTGTCCGAACTCCATGTCGCTACCGAAAGGAACACGATTTAGAACAGAATAGTTGGTCAGAGGTTGTACCGCTCCATAATATCCACCATGGCGACCACGATACCCGAGGCTTCGCTGTTAGGCCTGCCAACTGAACTAAGGCTCAGGATATACGATTATGTACTGCAGGCAGACATTAACTGTCCCATCGTCGTTGACATTGTCCATTCCAGCGATTCCAATGGGACACAAGCTGCTCTCATCCCGAATGCAGAGGCCGCCTTTTCTTCGAAGATACCATGGCTTAACTTACGGACGACTTGCCGCCGCATTTCCCACGAGCTGCAGTCTTATGTCCAAGACTCGTCGTGTCAGAAGAACGACTTCAATCGCACGTACGTCTTGGATCTCGAAGTCAGCAGGCACTACGACAGAGGACCGGCGACTCGTACAGTCACCTGGCGAAGCATCCCCTGCGCTCCAGCCCAAGCGAGATACATCATCATGAATGTCATCACCCGCTCCGGCCCCGGACCCTGGACCGACGGCGGTTCTGCATCGCTCGCACGAGCAGTGTATCAGGTACTCAACCATGCAGTGCACATGGGCCCACGTATCTTCCGGAAATCTCTACTCCCCCACCACATGAAGCTACAAGACTTGATAATCAACATCGACATCGGCGTATACTGCAGTGCGCCCATCCGAGGCTGCAACACCAATCCAGAGATCAATGGGTCATTGTTCCAGAGCGGCTGGATGCAGATCTCGCGGACTGGGTTCTGGTCTGGCTACTTGGAGAGAACCAGACTTAAAACCAATGGAGAGGAAGAGGTTGTCATTCCTACAGAGTGGCAGATGTCGCCTGCTCTGCCTGGGTATTGGAGAGGTCTGGGGTTTCAATGGGGCATTACGGGGTTGCAGTGTGCTAACTACTTTACACTGTGATACTTTCATTCTCAAAATCGTGGACCATCCAAACGGATCCTTCCTCTCATGGCTTACATGCGGGAACATCGCCTTCTCTCGATTCCAGCCACAACCCACCCAGCCCAACAGCGCCGTCTCGAGACCGCCGAATCAGGATTCCAGATCTCAAGGTTTAGCGGATTCATGCCGGATCGACCTCCGTCATAGACTTGGTTCGATCCGGACTGCTGTTCTCATGACGGTGGCGCCAGTGTCGATCTATGCAGACGTACCCTCGAGCCTGGATAACCCGGAACATCGCTGCTGTCAACTGTACTTGGAGCAGGCTCTGTTGGCCTCGAAACCAGGGGCAGAAGGTACTCTTCGAGCTTCTTGACGTTCTCGGCAAACTTCCTCATGGCCGCTGGCGTAACGGTGACGTAGATACAGCACTACAACTCAGCGGAGCACCGTAGTTTCGGGATGCCACGAGCATGGTTGGCTCGTGAGAAGTAAGCGACCCTGCCAAGGTCGCGATCATTCACGTTTTGCTCGAATGGACATCTGGGATCCATGGCTTGAGCGAGCTCGTCCTCTTAAACCAACAACTCTACGGTCTGCAGGTTTGGCAATCGGCTCCAAGGAATGTTGCCGAAGTCAGAGACCGATAGAGTGGAAATAAAGGCCGCAATGATGCCGTACTTTTCATCCAGGAACGAGATGCTGTAAATCCCCTGGCGGCTGATGTATGCCTTTGCCGCAGATCGGAAGTATCTTTTGGACACCAGGAAGTCGCTGGCCTTGCATTTTGTGAACGGTGGTTGGGGTCCTCGTTCCAACCCATTAACCCCATCGACCCATGGGACCCTGCGACCCTCTCTTTCCTGCCAATTCGCTTTCGAAAACCACTTTAGCTCGATTTCGTCGACTTCTTCATTGTAAGCGAATCCGAGCATCATGTCCAGTATCTCCTGAGGAAGGGTCATGAGGGTAGGGGACTCTCTCTTGTCTGAAGCTGGGGATGACATGCTGAGCAGGTTGGCAAGCTGGAGGATGCAAGAGAGGATTTATGATCTACTGAGCTTTCTCGGCCAGGACTGCGACTCTATACTCTGCGTCTCACGGGCCAGCGTTGCTGAGACACATGGTGTCGTCTTACGATGCTTGTCTCAACACAGCGAGACCGAACAGTATTTGGCAAGCTCTCAGACGATGCTAGACACCGCCACTACCATGTCCCGTCCAGCTCGCAAAGAGTGATGACTCTTTGGGATCTGTTATCTAACGCAATGTTTCGCGAAACGACAAAGACTCCGAACACCTTCGATATTACTACGGGCACCGGAGATCAGCAGACTGTCTGACAAAATTGGGCGTGCCAGCACAAGCATGCGCTGGGGTTGCTTACTACGCGAACTCGATCGCCGATCGCCACAGCTGCACTTTCTCCTTTGGACGTAGTGGCGGACAAATGATACCTGTACGGACTGCTGGGGAGGGCCAGGATGGCTTCTCCAGCTCAAACGTCGGACTCCATCTATCGCCCTACGAAACTTCCTGCCGCGACACCTATTCAATGACAAGTTCGACATTCACCCCCAAAGCGCTCTCCTGCGTCCCGCAGCCGTCACAATCCTGGCCTGGACCTTTGCTGCACAGAGGTCAGCTCTGCATCCTGGCCATGTCTCCATCCTATGCAATTCACTTACCATCTTGTCCTCGATCCTCAAGGTCGCAGATCTCTTGGTACAATTGGCGAGCCACGTGTTCGTCGAATGTTGGTACTTGCGTGCCGTCTTCGAGCGTTACCGTGTTGTTCTGGTCGTCAACACTGGCTTAGAATACCAGAGTCAGATACACATCAAGCAAGCTATCGTCTTCGGAGCATGATTGCTTCTCATTACTCACAATTGTGACTTTCGTACGACACCTCAGCTGCTTCCACAGAGCTATCGGACGAATACGACTCGGTATAGTACTTCCCGGTGAGTTCGTCTCGCGCTTGAAATTGAATTCAGACGTGCCTGTGTCTTCCGGCTCGCTGATTTCTTCGACCATGCATGGACAATTGCTGATCATGATGTAGTCTCCTTCTTGGATGTCCGCCACTGCTTTTGACATGATCATCTCGACTATTATGATATGGCTCTCGGTGTCTGATGGTGTGCTTCGATATTCAAATTCCTACGAGGGGGTACGCTGTGTGCCCAATCACTACGTCAGTCGTCGATTAAGTTTCAACGGCTTCCGTAACAACCTGATCGAGGTTAAACGAGGTGAATTGACTCAATTCTGGAAAGAAAACGGGTTTGCTGGTTCTACACGATGCTCCGCTATCGCACAATGTAGTCACTTTTGAGCAACGATTACGTTCTCCTACAGTTGACGAACAATGCGAAAGATTCCGGCGATGACCTTCCCACGACAAAGAAACTACTCCTCCGTTCCCCACGAAGGAATCCCGTCGAACCAAGCTCATGACCGGTCCTTTTCCATGCCCTCGCTCCTGTCAATACGTCCTTCAGTCCTCACATGCCTCAATAAACAGGTACGCCACCTTCTGACCCATCACCGAAACTCTCTTCAAGCTCGTCTTCCAGCTCAAGCTGGACTGTCTGTTGGCTCGCAGCAAGCATGCGATCACTCCGCGGTGCCACCTTGTTGTCTTCGCATAACGCGTCGATGAGTTCCAGCATACGATCGCCATCCGTGTCAAGCATGCGTTTCAAGCCCGCAACGTCCTTCGGCATGTTGTGTAGCGTGAGCTCCGTCGACTTGTCAACAACCTTGGGCGTGGGACGCTCCCAGCACACCTTCGAGCCATGGTACAATGGTGTCCCATTGTCCTGAAGTATATCCCTCTCTTGTTGATCCTTCTTGTGCTCTCGGGGCCTGGTGACAATTGGCATGAGCAGTCGCTCGAGCTTCTCCACGTTCAACTGGAAGTCTGTACCCTGGACGATTTGAGCAGGCCTTGCGTGGAACTCCGTGATACCACAGACCTCAATGATGCGGGTTTTGGTGATCAAGCGCCCGAAGTCCGTAAGCGCAAGCATGTCGCCCGTGGTGCGACGGGTATGAGATGAAGCGAGATCGTTCCAGTGGACATCGAGTGTGAGCTTCTTCAGATTGGGTAGTTGGTCGAGCAGATCGGGTGAGGAAACCTCAGCAAAACGAAACGGTAGGGTGATGGCGGTCGCAAAGGCTCCAAACACACCAAGCTGACCGTTGCAGTATAGTCCGAACATGCTATCTGGGACTGAGTTGAGCATATCGAGCTTTGGGAACCACTTCCGAGTCGCCCGGTCACTGGTTGCTGCCACCTTCACCAGTCGATCGAATTCCAGCCTTGCAGCGTGGCCTGAGATACGACGGTTAAACAAGGCAATCAACTCGTCCATATCGATGCCAATGGTAGGAATAGTGGCGCGCACTTCGTCAAGCGTTGGAAAGGAGCCGCTGATTACGGCTTGAGTGCTGCCGGAAGGCCGATCGAATGACTGATTTCTTATGAAGACCTCCACAGCGCCCACGAAATACTGCTTTGAGACAAGCAGCTCGCACACTTTAGGCTGTGGAAGCGCGTTGTTGTGCGGGCCCTCGTACCAGTAGCCCACGTTCGCCCCTATAAGGCGACAAGCTCTTCTCAGTCTGAGACATTCCAGGGTCGCCCACTTGAACCGTTTGGTAGCGGAGTAGACGAGATCGAAGATTATGTCTTGCAGTTCTTGTGGTAAGCCGAGAAGGTTGCGCTTCGGGCGGAAAGTCAGGTGCTCAACGGAATGCGTCAGCCCGAGGAGAATGGCATCGATGTCGCGATTTTGACGTGTGCTTCGAAGATGGTAGTTCACTTGGTAATTCAGTCTCTTCGCCATCCTAGCGCTCTTGCGTGGCTGTGGTGGTGCAGCCGTGTCAGCTTTCGTGGTAGGAGGCACTTGCTCGCGATCAGGGGTGGTTTCGTAGACTTCGACGTTGCGCTCGATGCCTCTCGCATCTGCGCCTGGCGTGATGGTAGTAGCTGGCTTCTGTGAAGACGTCGGGATGGCTTGCGTGGTAGGAGGCACTTGCTCGCGATCGGGGGTGGTTTCGTAGACTTCGACGTTACGCTTGATGCTTCCTGGCACGTTCAAGGGCGCGTCCAGTGACAGGCGGCTTATCTGTACCAGGCCTTCACTCGACGTGTCAAGGTCCGAAGTCTCGAGCGCGGCAAGTTTGACGTTCGTTGGAAAAGCGGCCAGTGGCTCTGCAGGGCGGCGTAGAGTCGGTTTCAACTTCAACCTCATGCCACCTTTGCTGGCGGTGGCGTCGGTCGACGATTTGTCGGTGCTCGCATTAGTGAGGACAACGTTGGCCGAGCGCGAGTCAAAGTGGTGGAAGGAAGACGCTGCAGGGTTTGGGCAGGCTTCTGTGAAGTTGTTTACTTGTCTTGTAGACTTCACGTGTCAAGGAAAGCTTGTCTTGGCACACGTGCTTTGGTTGACCCAGCTGCCACTTCTCCAGATACCTTACGTAGCCTGTACATTGGACTCAACTAGCAAGAAGACTCGGAGATGGAATGCGTGAAACAGTGTTGAGCAGGTATGAAGCATGAGGTAGACAATTCTCAAGAATGACTTACTATAGCCAGCAAGCATGCCTCTTACCTCATAGCAACCCAATCGACCCAGCGTACCACCCCCACCGCCTATCACATATTCATACTACTCTCATCCCAGTACGTACTCTGCTCGCGCCTCGCGCCTTCTCCACCAAAGCACACCCACCACGCTACTTCCATCTCCTCACGCCTCCTGCCCAGCTGCATCCTCGAACGAATCGACTGTCCCACCTTGACCTGCAAATTCTTCTGCTTTGGACTCCTCAAACTCGCACTTCGACCCATCGTTGTCCAGCCCCGCCACCAACTTGGTGTATCACGAGTCACATTCCTTCAAGGTGAGGGTCTTACTCATGAAATCAAGGGACTGGAGGAACCTGACTTCGTCACTGTCTGTCATTTGCTTCAATGAGTCGAGATCCTTCGGAAGACGCTGTACGCAAGCATTTAGTGTTATGCGGATTCCTTTCGATAGGGGTTCGAAGTCGTAGCGCGAGGAGCGAGAAGGCTTTGTTGGGTGTTCGAGCTGCTTGAGTTGCGAAGGAGTAGAGAGTGTCCCCGAACTGTCAAAGATAGTAAGTCCCTGATCGGGGGCTTCTTGGCAAGTGGCATCTGGACACTCTGCGAGCTGTGAGCATGAAGAGTCGCGGAAGACATTCGGACAACCAAAGAGTGATGTTCTGCCGTCTGTGAAGACTGAGGCGGTGTGCGCTTCGGTCGCAATTCTGCTCCCGCGGCCGAGTGAGGAGTGTAGATAACGTGCGGCCAAAAATGTCGACGTTGCTCTCCCAAATCGCTCGCTTGGCGGCCGAGTCTGCGTACTCGCATTCATCAGCCTGAACGTGCAGCTGCAGCAAGCCGGAGACCTTTCTGATGTCAAGTGCTCGGGCAACAGTGAAAAGCTCGTCCTCTGTAAGATCAACCTCCCACACGAACCGCGGCTCGACTGCTTCGAAGCAATCTGGTTTAACAACGGCTGTGATCGTCGTTAGACCGGGGCAATCCGGAAGCGTCCAGATGCCATACAATGTGGACACTTGGAGTCTGACGCTGGTGATGAACTGTCTAGCTAGACCACGATCTTTTAAGAGTAGGTAGAAGGCACCTCGCATTGGGTCTGAGGTGCCCGCTGTGTCGAGAACTTGGTTGCCGAAGAATGCTTTGGAGGCGGCCAAAAGGTACCTCTTGCACACAAGCAGCTCACAGACATTGGCTTTCGGGAACGGTCGTGGAATGTAGGTAGAATCGCCTCTCCGTTGCCGCATCTCTCTCTACCCATAGCGCGCGGGTGGTGGGATTGAAGTTTTGGACGCTGGGGTATGCGAGATCGAAGATGATGTCTTGGATCTCCTGTGGTAGGCTGAAAAGATGGTGTTGTGGTTTCGGGTCGAGTTTGAGGTTGGCAATGGACGAAGTGAGGTGCAGAAGCATGTCGTCGATTTGCTGAGTTGATGTAGCGTCTCGAAGCTGTCGTCTTTTCTCCGTCTTGAATCCAGTGACTTTGATCTTTCTGAAAGAGCCAGGCGCCGGCGGTGTAGGTTCGGCGGTGTATGGAGACGTGTACAACGGGATGTTTAGCCTGAACTCACCAGCAGTTCGAAATCGCTTGTGGGCGTCTTGGTTGTCATCGCCAATCTCTCGCTTCAACATCGTGTCGCGAGCGGGCTTGCGCGGCTCATATCCGCAAAGTGAGCATCGCACAGCCCAATCATAGGCACACACAAGACAGACAATAAGCTTGCAGCACAGCAAGCGTTTGGCTCCGATGACCAGGTGATGGCATAAGTCGCATTCATAGTCACCAATTCGATTGCGCTCTTTGGCGGGCGCCGGTGGTGGCGTTTGCCGGCGTGAGCAATGCGCTACAGGGTTGACCGTGCCTGAAGACTGCACCGGGTGGTCCATGGTTGCGGATTATTCGCACGCGCGGACGCCAGGAATCTGCGTTATTGTGAAGAAAGATTGTGCGAAGGAATAGGATGTGAGGTGAAGTTTCCGTTCCTTAGCGTGCTTACCTTGGGAGTCTCAATTCACCTGCACATTTCTTGGAATTCGCATTCACTGCCGTCTCACATCGACTCGGAACGCGTTATTAGTCTACGAACTTGTCTTGAACATCCCAATCAAGGTAAGGCGACGTCGCGGCTTGCACGTCGCGAATACGCAGCGGGAGTTCATGATCAGGAGGCGGAGCCCGGGTACCGTGAACGGTATTGGGTGGTGTGTCATCGTGAGAGTGGAAGAGTCAAAGTCAAGACGGAGTCAAAGGGAGATGTGGTCGAACGAGAGTTTGGCTGCTGACTAATCGCTTGGCGGAGGACCTGACCTCATCGCTATCCCACTTGTAATTGCTACTACTTTCTTGAATACAGTGTTTCGAGACGCCGAAGACCAAGGATATTCCTCCTTAAGAAGTACTGCCACCTCACCTGATCGCTATCATATCCAAACCACGACCTTCGCTCATCCAGCAATCTCACATAACCCCCACCACATTCAGTCACTCGCTGCACAACATCATCCCCCGCTCAACCAAGTATGGCGACGACAGGACCGACTACAGCTGGCGGGGATACCCCAGGGGCACCCAACTCACCCAGGCGAGGCGGCAACCGAGGCAGAGGCCAGGGCAGACAGCCTAGAGGAGGCGTTCACCCAAACGGCATATCAGCGATACCCAGCGAAGGCGGCGACGGCAATCCTCAGGCGCAGTCTCCCGGCAACCGCGCGCGGGGCAGAGGCAGAGGCCGCGGCGGCAGAGGTGGTCGTGGCGGCAACAGGGACCGAGCTCCAAGCATTCCGCAGACAACAGCATCTGTACCCGACCAGAATCCAACCGCAGCACAACCACCACCGCAGCCCGGCGGAAACGGCGTCTTTGGTGGTCGCCTGACCAAAGACGCCGACAAGAACAACACTACAGGCGAAACCGCGCAGGGTGGGGAGGGTGAAGAGGAGGCTGAGGTCTGCTTCATTTGTGCTTCGCCGGTTGCGCACCAGAGCGTGGCACCCTGCAACCACCGGACTTGCCATATCTGCGCGCTGCGACTGCGAGCCTTGTATAAGACCAAGGCTTGCGCGCACTGTCGGACTGAGGCGGGTACGGTGATCTTCACGGACGATGGGGAGAAGAGGTTTGAGGACTTTGAGAGCAAGGACTTCTCTAAGACAGATGCGAACCTTGGTATCGCATATGAGAAGCCTGAGATCTTCGAAGATACAGTGTTGTTGTTGCGCTACAACTGCCCGGACAAAGACTGCGATGTCGCTTGCTTGGGCTGGCCAGACTTGCACCGACACGTCAAGGCCGTGCACCACAAGACTATGTGCGACTTATGTATTAGGAACAAGAAGGTCTTTGCGCACGAACACGAGCTGTTCACCCAGCAGGAGCTACGAAAGCATGAAAAGTATGGGGATGACAACCCAGGCGCTGTCGACCAGAGCGGATTCAAAGGGCATCCAGAGTGCGGGTTTTGCCGGCAGCGCTTCTATGGCGACGACGAGCTGTACGCCCACTGCAGAGACAAGCACGAACGATGTCATGTATGCGATCGCAGGACTGGAGGTCAGAACCCACAGTACTACCTCGACCACAACGCTCTAGAACAGCACTTTGGGCGCGACCACTTCCCTTGTCTGGATACCGAATGTCTGGAGAAGAAGTTCGTCGTGTTCGATTCTGCCATGGATCTGAAGGCGCATCAGCTGGAAGCACATCCCAACGGCATGTCGAAGGATGTCAGGCGAGATGCTCGAAGGGTAGACATCTCAGCCTTCGACTACAGGCCACAGTATGTGGAGCCAAGACGTGGAGGTAGGAGAGGTGGTGGAAGAGGTCGCGATCCCAACTCCGAGCCCATGCCTGCGGCACCTAATGGCCACATGAGCCGTGCAGAGCTTGCCCATCAACGTGAGCGTGAGATCCAGAGCGCGCAGTCAGTGTCCACTCGCACATTCGGCGGACAGCTCTCCACGCCATCTGAACCACAGGCACAGACAGTGCACAGACCCGCTCAAGCACAAAGCCCACGACCAGCAGCTGCTCGACCAGCAAATCCTCTCCTCCACGATCGCCCACCACTTCCCACAACCACCGACACCCGTCCAACTGAGTCCCTTACCCCACAAGAACAAGCTCGCCGTCTACGCCACAACGCCGTGACCGAGCGCGCTGCCAACCTCCTCGGTAACGAGCAGACGAAGCTCGCCGAGTTCCGAGAACGCATCTCCGCCTACCGTACAAACAAAGTCACGGCCACCGATCTCATCGACGCCTTCTTTTCACTCTTCGACACCTCCGCGGCCGAACTAGGCAAGCTTGTGAAGGAACTCGCCGACCTGTTCGAGATCACCGAGAAGAAAGACGGCCTCCTCAAAGCCTGGAGCGACTGGAAAGCCATCAACGAAGATTACCCCTCCCTCCCAGGACCTTCAGGTAGTTCAAGCACCGCTGCAAGCGTTCTCGGAGCCGGAATCGGCGGGAATAGAGTTCTCAAACTTAAAAGCTCCACCGCCCGCAGCGAACGCGCCGGCCAACAACGCTCATGGAACAACACCGCTGCTGCGACGACGGCTTCGAAAGGTAATGCCTTCCCTGCCCTCCCGTCCTCTGGTGCTGCTCCTCAGCAACAACCGTCAGGCTGGCTCTCGCTCCGCCCTGCCGCTGCTGCAAACTCCAACTCCAATTCCGCGTCCAACTCCACGCGGCCTTCGCCGACGCCCAGCCGCGCGCAGTCGTCTGCGCAGCTCAAGAAGGGAGGTGAAGCCTTCCCAGCGCTGCCGCCTGGGAAGAAGCCGACGAGTACGGTGTTTAGTCCGGGATATACTGGGTCCGGCGTGATTCGGCAGAGTAGTAGCAATACGTCTGCTTTTAGTTGGGGCGCTGGAGGCGGTGCTGGGGCGGGGACGGGTGCGAGTACGCCGCTGAGTGAGGAGCAGGAGGTTGTTGGCGGTGGGAAGGGGAAGGGGAAGAAGGGGAAGCAGGTGTTGTTTCAGTGGGGTTGAGGAGGTGAGATGTGGATGGCGGATGTTTGGTAGGGCCGCGAAATCGTAGGAGGTGTTGATATGCGGACGGTTGTCGTTTGCTCAGGCGGCAAGATCATATGTACAAGTTGGTCATAGAGCTGTAATTGATCAGCATGTCCCTTCTAGGCCGACGAGGCTGGCGGAGCTCTACGCGAGGCTGCGTCTCTGCGCTGTGCTGTGCCGCGCCTCCACTCAGGTAGCTCTGCCACCTCGTCTCAACCGCACATCTACCTGCTATAAGCAGAACATCTTTCGATCTTCTCGAGAAGGCATGCTATCGGTCCTGTCACGGGAATACCCACGAGGTCCTCGACAACATGGATGGACTGGATGAGGTACAACATGCACCCATGACGTTCACAGTCGACAATGTCCTCAAGGACGTGCCACCTGCCAATCTTCTGGACATGGCTTTCAAGGGCTGTACCAGTGAGCACGCCTTCGCTTACGGCTGGGAGAACATGGTCGATGATGAAAAGCCTGGCCATCGCTCATGCCTAGGGCCAGCACGAAACAATCGGAACTCTATCAATGGCAGTGTCTGTCGCGCAGAAAACGTGCGCGATGCTGCACGACTTTGGGAGGCTCTATACTACGTGCGCGATTCTGCACGACTCCCGGAGACTCTATACTCGTACCAACCCATCCCGGAAAAACAGCATCCGCTTGTTGCATCTTGAGCCCGCAGAAGACGATCAAAAACTCATCCGCTGTTCCCTACGCACTGCACAACTTGAAGATGTGAAGAATCAGTACGACGCTGCTACTTACACTTGGGGATCCGATGAGCGGCAGCGAGCCATTGTCGTCGATGGCAAGCTTCTGTGGATACGGAGGAATTTGTAGGATCTCCTACGGACAATGCGGCTGTACGGCGCAAGGGTGCTCTGGGCGGACGCCATCTCCATCAACCATGCTGACAACGAAGAGAAGAGCCAGCAAGTAGAGCAGATGCACCAGATCTACCGCCACAGCCGCATCACGAGGCTATGTTTAGGCAGTCTGGGGAGCTTGGACGCCAAATCAACGGCACCGACCCATGCCGGGGAAGGCTACATGTATCGCCCGTGGAGGTCGGCCGAACGAGAATATTTTGACATCCGAGACCGCTGGTTTGGACCAAGGGAAGATTGGAATTTGTACTGCCGATTTCCCGCCATCGTGTCTAATTCTTACTGGATGCGGCTCTGGATAATCCAAGAAATCCTCCTTTCGCATCGGCTCCAGGTGCACATGGTGGAGAATCACGTAGCCTTCGATTGGTCTTGGGTCGATGTCGTGGCCATGGGTCAAAAGCTCAAACGAACTCGCGAGATTGCACGCAGTCCAGGGTGGAACATTATGGTCTCCCTTAAACTCCAGCGCAAAAAGCCTAGCGAGCGAGATTTTCCGATGTTGATCAGTACTTATTCTCGGTCTGAGTGTTCCGACAAGCGCGATCTTGTCTATGGGCTCAAGAGCCTAGCAGTGGATTTGGAAATTCCCATCGACTACTCCCTATCGCATGTCGAGCTCTTCGAGCGGGTCGTCCTCGCATATCCCGGTCAACCAGCCGGGAGGTTGGCAGATCCACTGTGCCGGGCTCTTGAGCTCCGGCAGCAGCCTTACTTCGAGCGTGACCAGCGCTGGTCGATGATGGAAATCCAGCTCTGGGCACTGGGCGAGGTTATACCGATCGAAAAGGATAGTTTGATTTGCCATGGTCATCTTGGTGATGCTCCCCTTGCCCAGTGTTTCACGAGCGCCCCTTTGAAGCTACTGCGAGAAGGAGATCTACTCTTCACCTTCCACCCAAACTTCAACAACATCCATTCGTTGCCACCGTTCGGCGTTATGGCGCTCAGGAAATTGAATGACGAACCAGGACCAGAGGCTGCGCTGCGTGCGAGTAGACGGCACACTGTCATTGAAATGTACGCCTTTCACTCACACATTCCAATACGGATACCGCGGGAAGTGGAGAGGCCGACCAGCGTGACATGGGAAGGTGCTGAGGCTTATGAATTGGGTTGCTCAACTTCTCTGACTCTTCCTCGGAGAATCACTTTGAGCATGGCCGTCAAGGACTACATCGCTGTCGGACAAGACTTTCGCCCTTTTCTCCACAAGAAAGCCATGGCATGGGGACGCGGTTTGAGGTTACCGGTGAGCATCCGCTCTCATCAAATGGAACAACAGGTTCAGCGTAAGAGAAGGACACAGTATCGACAGCAGGCATACAGGCAGGTGCAGAGATCTGTCATCACTGGGGATTTAGATCCGTATCCAGCTTCGGGGACAGAAAATCCACCTTGACCATAAGAAACCAAGTGTTTGATTTTGATCTGGAGAGGGCTGGTGACAGAAGCGAGTTCGTCTGCCGGCGGTTCGAGGAGACCCTTGTCCACGCAACGACTGTCCTGACTTACTCCGCCCTGGACACTACGCTAGCATGGACCCTTGTCCGCATCTCAGCCGGGGTTTTCTATCAGATTTTCCCGCAGGCAGCTTACGCACATCTTTCGCGCACTGCCATCTTGACCACTGTTCAACAACATCTCCCAGGATCCAACTCCCACCCCATAGCACCTAACCCAGTACCGATACGTCAATGAACAGTCTAGCCAAGCAAACAACAAGACCCACAGAGAAAGGTGAAAGATGAACCGAACGGCGTTGAACCGAACGGCGTTGAATAGAGTAGAGAGCAGAGCAGAGAGCAGAGTACACAAACTTTTTCACATCGTTTGCACTATTACCTCTTTCAGTCCCCTCCATTCCCCTCCATAAATCGCAAAACCGTAACGCTCATCCATGCTCATTCCATGCCAAAACATCGGGTAGTCCTTCAAGCCATATCCTCATCTCCACCCCGCCGCGCCCAGCGCAAGCGACCAGCCCCATCCCGCCATCATCAACCCCAGAAGCCATGCTCGCAAGCTCGAAAATAAGTGGTATCATAAATCGCATCAATCGCATCAACCGCATAAATGTCCAAGCAAGAGAGGCGCATACGAGATCCCAACCCAACCACCCAACAAACCCCATCTCAAGATCACCGCAAACATCTCTTGAAAATCTCAACGCCAGATCACACCCACCATCCTCGAAGCTGCCAACCAAACCCCTTCGCTGCCTTCACCTCTTCTTACTCGAAACCCCGCGACTATTCCCCGCAAACCACGCCGCCAACCCCGTGACGTCCTTACCCTTACTCTTACTCCCACTCCTGCCCTTCGCCTGCTTGACCTTCTGCGCCGCCGCTGGCATCGGGTAATCGTCCGCGAAAGCCATCCCAAGCGGATCGGGCAGCATACCGGGGGGGAAATTCGGGGGCGGAGGGGGGATGTCCGGGCCGACGGTGATGATATTCGCGTCTTGTCTCTTAGCCGTACCGGATCGCTTCGCGCCGGCGTCTTTGGCTTTGCCGCTGCTCTTCTTCTTCTGCGGCGGCATGGGATCCATGATCCCCAAGTCGCCGAGGCCGAGGTCCATGAACGGGTCGTTGAGCGCGGCGAGCGGGTCCTTGGCCTTCTTCTCCTTCTTCTCCTCGGCAATGGGCCACATGTGCATCTCAATCTCCCAGTCCGGCTGGACCATGTTCTCCCACACCTGTGGCAGAATAATCTCGCCATCAGGTCCAGTAAGATCGTACCGTCCTTGCCGGACGTGCTCGCCGATCGGCTCCATGGCCATGAAAGCCTGCTTGATGAGCCCCTCCATGCCCTTCCACGTCTTGCAGAGGTAGAAGGGGAAGCTGTACTTGCGGTCCATGGCGTCTTTGAATTTGATGTTCTTGCCGGCGTGGTCTGGAGGTTTGAGCTTGGCGGCTTCTTCTTCGAGTTCCTTTTGCTTTTTCAGAGCTTCTTCGCGCGCGGTCTCGGCTTCCTTGAGCTTCTTCTCGTGCTCGTCTTTGGCTTTCTTTGCTGCCTCTTCGGCTTTCTGCTCCGCTGCCTCCTTTGCCTTCTTGGTGGCGTCGGCAATCTCTTCCTTCTTCTTCTTCTCTTCCTCCTCTCTGGCTCTCTTCTCGGCCGCTGCCGCCGCGTCGGCTTCTGCTTTGGCCAGAATCTCCTTGTGCCATGCGGCACGGGACTCCTCATTCTTTGTGAAAAGCGCCTGAAGTGCCTCGAGCGAGTCGTTTTTCTCCTCCTTCTTCTCAGCCGCTGGTGCTGGGGAGCTTGTATGGGAGGGAGGGTGTTGATACCAGGGCGGCATTGGGTAGCCAGGCATTGGTGGCATGGGGTACCCAGGGTACTGCGGCATTCCAGGATGGCCATAGGGACTCATCATTTCTGAGCCGTAATGGGAGCTAGGCGCGACAAAGCTCTGTGGTCGTGGCGGTCCCTGAGGCCGGTGATGGTGGGTTGGCGGCGCATGCGGATCCATGGCAAAATAGCTTGGCCCAGAAGCAGCACTCATTGGCGAGAAAGGATTCTGCTGTGACTCCTGCGGCGAGAAGGGGTTGTTGTGGATCGGATAGCCGAATGGATCCTGCTGCTGTTGCGGCATATGCACCAACGCTTGTCGCCCGCCGTAGCCACCATCAGGGTAGCCTGGCTGAGAAGTCATAGCGCTGGGAGGGTAGCCACCATGGCCGGGCGGGACGCCGTGCCTGAAACCTGGGCCTGGAGGAGGCGGGTAGGCTCGAGGTGGTGGCATGCCATGGTGGCTGTAAGGGTAATCATCGTGAGACGACGCCACGGTGCTGGACGACTCGTCGGAAGGAGCGCGATGCGAGTCGTGGCGTCTTACGCGGTGACCAGAGTGGTGCCTTCGAGACGAATGTCGTCGCCGAGGCTCTTCAATCTCGGGCTCCAGATCTGGCTCTGGCGCCTGTTGTCTGATTCTTCTTGACGAGTGTCGTCGAGTCGGCTCTGGACGTGCGTGTTGGGTGGTGTAGCGTCTCGGCAGTGGTTGACGCGCGCGCGATGCTGAGTCTCCAGGCTCAAGGTCGTCCTCCTCTTCGTACTCCTCGTCGTCTTCGTAGTGTGGTTGATCAATGATCTTCCAACTCCCCTCCGACCCGGAAATGCTGTGACGGCCGCTGCTACCGCTGCCGCGGCTGGTGGGGTGCGAGCGGATGGATGCGCTGCGGCCGGAAGAGTGGCGCGGTCGGTCGTCGAAGATGACTTCCACTTCGGGTGCAGGGGGGACGAAAGCGACTGTGGATGGCCTGGAGTAGACACGACGAAAATGTTAGCTTCTGTCTGTTGTTGCGGCGAGGTCGACGCCGTGGGGCCGCTTTTCCTGCGCTAGCGACGCCGGCCGCGAGACCGGTGAGGCATTGCAGGTGACTGTCGAACAACGGGAGGGGAGTACTCACGGCATGGATCAGTCAGTCAAAGTATGAAATGGGAGAGTACAAGGACACTCGTCGTCAACGACAGGATGGTCGCCCGTGGGGGTCGTGGTGGTGCTGGTGACACTCGTTCCCGGGGCGATGGATGGTCCCGCGTTTAGCGATATCGATTGCCGTGTCAAGCGTGTCTCGCGTTGTTGCAGCGACGTCCTCTGTGCCACCCTCAACAATGCTTTGTCGGGGAGAGGACGGTGTGGATGGAGGTTTTCGAGCGGAGGTGTTGGAGTGTCAGCAAGGGGCAACGACACGCACTCCTTCGCACACTCCGGTCGACAGTTGGCCGCCGAGACGTGAGAGGGCCAGGAAGCGCGCGGTGGAAATGAGACACTGCTGCCCCTCACACGTGCAAGGGTGAAACGTAAAGCTCCGATCGGGCTATATCAGCCCTCGATGGTTCGTTTCTGACTTTCAGACTGCTTCTCGTCAGACTATGAGTCGGTCTTGGATAAGATGGAAAATGGCGTTTGCGGTTTGCTGGCGTTGCAGATGCAGAACGTCCGATGACGCAGCAAAGATAGGTCGATTGCTGAAGGCCCAATGCTAGCAGGGTAGCTGTGCCACGTTCGGTCAGATGCTGCAATCTGGAGACTCCCAGGACGTTAGCAACCGCTTTGCCAGGAAGACGGACGAATTTCGAAAAAGTGTCTGCTGCTGCAGGACGATGAGACCAGTCCAGCGACTAGCGGGACAGACCGGCTGCGGCCTGCAGGTAACCATCAAGCGAACTGCAACGGACTCACCTTAGATTGTGCAGTTGGAGAAGAACCACTGTCGACTCTCAATCTCAAGCGGGTGGGAACCGACTTTGATGAACCCGTCCTTGTGGTCACCAAACACCAGTGGTTGCCCAAGCGATATCGCAGACCCCTCTGTTCTGCCAGCACCGGTACCACTTCGAAGAAGAAAATCGTCACAAAGGATCCTGCGCATGCACCTTACGCACTCTGACGACAGACTGCAACTCTCCAATCAGCACCGTTATCAATTCACCGGTCCGGTCTCCGAAGGCGGGCGAGGTCAATGCTGGTGATTCTCTGGATATGCGTGGAAGACATCTGCTCTGGGAAACTGTCGCTGCGGGGGTGGATGAGGTAGGTGGGCGTGGAGGGAGCTGGATTGTGGGACGGTGTGCGTGGGCGGACGATTGGCGAGGATGTGGTGTTACTTGTTTTGCCGGCTGATGTGGTTTGAAAATTGGTAGGTAGGGGTGCACGAAGGTAACGAGGTGCCAGTTTTCTTCACTTTCCGTTCTGTTCTGTCGTCTAGAGCGAGGCTACTACCCTCTTATACCACCACACCATCCATCGGGCTCAAACCCACTGCGAGATACGAGTCATCACCTCCAACCCAGCCCAACCTGAAAATACCAATTCCCCTCGGAACAAGCACTCCCTCCCACCCGTCCACGTCCCTCGCCACACCACTATCGCTGACCCAAAGGTTCCTCCTTGCATCCCACAATCTCCAGCATTGGTCGGCTCATATGCAGCTTGAGCACCCTTACTACCATAGAGACGCCGCCACGTATCGCCAAGCGCCGGCTTCGCTGCTGCTGTGTCTACCCGCACCCATACACAACCCATCCACCAAGCACTTCGGGAGAGGCGTGGGCTGTGAGAGGCCACACCCCATGTGCAAAGCTGCACAAGTGAAGTGTGAAATGCGAGACGACTGGGCCGGCCCGGGAAGGCGTTGCTGCCCGATCGGTGCCCAACGTTGATGCGTAGGGCTGGCCGCTGGGTCGAATATTTACTTTGAGATAGGAAGACGACGAGTCGGGTGGGGATGGGACCTGACGGCATGGAAAGGAAGGGAGGGAGAGTGGTGGAAGGAAGGGGTTTCGTTGCTGGGTATCTCTGAATAGCTATGTAGGGTAAATATGCGTGGGCTGAAGCTCGCGCCAAGCAAAGCGCTTGTGTGCATGAGCGATGAGCCAACATAAAATTCATACTAGTCGTCTCAGTCGTCAGAATCGTGCGTTTCGTTCAGTTGACATGCACCATCAAGCAGTCCAGATCCGAGATATCGGTGCTCTGGACTTCATGGTCTGGATTTAGGCGCTCGCCGTCGAGTTCGAGGGAGATGGTGGCGCTGTCGTCGAGGTGATGGGATTTGCGGTAGGCGTTGGCGATTTTGCTGAAGAGCGTCGTCTGCAAAGAAGTTAGCACGGGTCAGTGGTAAGTGTGGTATGCGTGAGATACGTACCGGCTTCACCTTTATCCTCAAGTTCTTCGTCCCCTTGCCCTTCAGCGTCAGACGGATATGCTCTTCTGGCACCGGAGTCTCCTCCTCAGCGCCAGCGCCGTCTTGTGGCTCTTCTTCGGGAGGCAGCTCGCCGCTCCGCCTCTTCTCCTCTATTGCCTTCTGCGCCTTCATCTCCTGGAATATCTCCTCCGTCACAGCTTCCAGATGCACCTTTTCCACACCATCCTTATCCTCTGCACCTTTCATCACGACGTTTCCAAATGCATCAACATACAGTCCAAGACTTCTGCAGGTAGTGGCGTCGTAAATTTTGCGCATGCGATGGATGAAGAAGACATCTCGCGTCATTTCCTCCGTGAAACCCTGCCGGCCGCACCATGCTGTCCGCACTTCCTGCGTTCGCTGCGAGATCTTCCGGTGCACAATAAGAGGGTTGGTGTTGGGTATCTGCGACGTGACCATGATCTCCACGACCGGGTCTGGGGGAGGTGTCGGCAGACCGCCATGTCCCGTATCTGACGCCCCCATGCCAGGACTCGGTGACGGACCGCCTAAGTCTGGCGTCTGCGACTTCTTGCTGCTCAGCTCTTTCTGTTGCCGCGCCAGTCGTGCCTTCCGCTTCAGCTCGGCGAATTCGTCGTCCGACTCCTCTTCAACCTCCACCGGCTCAGGCGGCGGCGCTTCATACACAATCTGTTCCTCCTGCTGCCTGACACCCTCCTCATCATCATCACCAACCACCTCAACAACCTCCCTCCCCCTCCTCCCCCGCCTAGGCGAGCTCACATCCACCCCCCGCCTCATCCTCGGGCTCCGCCTAACCGGCTCCTCGTCCTCAATAACCACCGGCTTCCACTCATCCCCCCCTTGCGCCCCTAAGTCCACTTTCGACGAAAGCCCAATGCTTCCTAACAAATTCTCCCCATCCTCCTGCGTAATCCGCCGCTTCTTCAAACATCCCCCATCCTCCCTCGGGAACTCATCCTCGACTTCCCGTTTCCCGGAGTTGCGACGCTCCTCTTTCACCTTCTTCCGCTCGAGTTTTTCGCGCTTCTTGCGCTCTTGCTCCGCGACGATTTCGCGGTACGAGCGCGAGGAGTGCGAGAAGATGTTCGTTTCGCTGTCGTCGGGCTCGTCTGAGGCAGCTGTGGGTGCTTGTTTCGCCCAGGCGGGGCGTTTGAAGAGGGACATTGTTTCCTATTGAGATTGTGTCGGCATGGTGTTGGAAGTGAGCTGTGTCACAAGTTCGAGGTTTGAGGTTGCGCCCGTAGCGCGTGACTTTCACTTTCGAGGTGGTCTGTGCGTTGCTTTAGGTTTGGCGAAACACGAAAGTCATGTGAACGTTTGTGATATCTTGATCAACCTCACCTGCAAATTACAGCCAACATGAGTGCGCCAGCCGCAGCAGCAAACGGCGCGGCAGATGCGAAGGACCCGTCTGGCTTTCTCAGCGAGATCATCGGCGCTCCGGTGACTGTGAAGCTCAATTCTGGCGTGGTTTACAAAGGTTGGTGGCCAAGATATGGAGGAAGAAGTGAGAATAATTGCTGACAGGTCAACAGGCGAGCTCCAGTCCGTCGATGGCTACATGAACATTGCGCTGGAGCAGACCAAGGAGTACGTGGATGGCAAGATGAGGAGGAATTATGGGGATGCGTTCGTGAGAGGGAACAACGGTGAGTTCTGCGTTGATTACAGTTCGGTGTTGTTGCGTGGCTAACAGCTTCTAGTCATGTACATCTCTGCGGACTCATGACGAGTCAGTGAAAGAAGGGCGACTTGGTGCACGTTGGAATGGTGACGGGAGGGTCGAAGGAAGACCAAGGACGTGCGACTAAACGGTGGCAACGATTGCATGAAGCATGCTCAAACCATCCAAGGACGGTGTTGCGAGCAGTTTGTCTACCAGTCTACGTCTATCTATCAATCCAGGCACTGAGCACTGCTCGAAGCCGCGAAAGCATGCCCGAGACGCTGAAGGGGATGAGGCGGCGAGCAACCCAAGCAAAAAGCACTACTACCACCAGCAATTACCACTTCTCCGCAGCTCCATCCACCCTATTCCGCCGGTGGCGTCCCGACAATATCCCCAATATCCCCACTCCCCTCCACCGGAATCTTGCCCGTCCACACGCACTTCGTATGCCCATGACACACCACCCTTCCCTCCCCATCAACCTCCACATCCTCCCCCTCTAAAATACTCATAAACCTGCTCCGCACCTTCCCCTTCTCCTCTTCCCCCAAATTCGCAACCTGGCTCAACGTCGCATACCGCTCCCACAACTCCTCCTTCGTTAGTCTGACTTCGAACTTCTCTTCCGTCTCCGCTAACGGGAGCGAGAAGAGCTGTTCAGAAGAGGAAGCGATGATGAGTGAGAGAGGTGATGATTTGGACTGCTGGTCGAAGACGCCTCGCCAGGCTTCGTGGCGGTAGCGGGGGGCGGAGTCGGTGTCGTCGAGGCTCCAGGTGAGGGATTGCAGGGCCGATTCGTAGTTTGTGGTTGCGGGGTGGGATTGGGGCGCGTTGTACTGAAGAAAGAGAAGGGTTAGGAAGGAAAGGATAAGAGGGAAGCGAGGAGGTGAGGTGGGATGGGGGACCTACATCGTCGACGTTCCACACCATACCAAACCCAGCATGCCGCTTCAGCACGCGGTGGATCTCGCGGAGTGCGTCCATGTTGGCGAACCAATGGAATGCCTACCTTGCACGCTCAGCTACCGTAGCTGACAGAAAACTCGTAGAACATAGTGTATAGAGGATATTCCCCTACCTGCGCAACAACCACCCCATCCGCCCACCCATCCCCAATGACCCCCAAATCCTCCCCCCTCCCCTCCACCACTTTAACGCCCCTCAACCCCTTCCCCTCCAACACCCTCCTCATCTCCGCATGCGGCTCGACAGCCAAAATTTCATACCCCTCGTCCCTCGCCGCGAGAACCTCGGTGAATTTTCCCGTGCCGGCGGCGAGGTCGATTATGCGGGCGTTTTTGACGCCGGCTAGGTTGAGGTTGGAGAGGAGGGTGGTGATAACGGAGGGGGTGTAGGTGGGGCGGTGGGCGTCGTAGGTGGAGGCGGACTGGAAGCCGGACTGGGCGCGGGGGTTGAGGGACATGGTGGACAATGGACGGGAACTTAGAGATGGTGGAAGCCGAGAGGAGTTAATGCCCGAGATGCAGCTGTAGCTGTGGTGGCACGAGAGTAATCAGTAGCAGCAGCTGCAGTGGAGACTGAAGAAAGTGGGGTCAGATCGTGCGGCATTTCAGATCTCCACAATCTCAACCGAAACTGCTGTCCACCAGCTCCCGTCCACCAGCTCTCTTTCAAGCTCGCAAACTCTCGAGCGGAGAAAATATGAACGCTTGCGTTGCTTGCATGAAGGTGCATTAGATTCTAGAGAAGAGCTTCCGCGTGGCTTGCTCGTGCAGCAACACTGCAGGACGAGAGGACCCGCTGGTGCGGTCTCCGGATTTCGGAGAGCCATGGGTGTTGATGCACGAGGATGAGCACGAGCACGAGGAGGGAGTGGTACAACAGCACTTTGCGAAGGTTGGACAACGGTGAGATGACGAGGGGAAATTGTCGTTGTAATAATAAGGCCGGGGATCTGAGAGTTTTACTGTCATGGTTTGATTTGGTAGATCGCGCAACGGTTGCAACGAATGCGAGATTTCGATCGGAGAGGCGTCAGATCTTGACTGATTCCAGCCTGCGAATATTTGGGTGATGCATGCGAGGATGGGGTGCCGGAGGTCAGCCGCGGTCTTTATTCTTCTTCTTGTGTTGGCGGGTCCACATTGTTCTGGCTGGAGGTTGGTCCACCCGTGTGTGTGGAGGTGGCCCTGCGCCAGTCGACGAACTCCACTCGTGAAGAGGCGAGGAACACCACTCTCCAGTCGTGTACGGTGGCATGGTCAATGGTGATGCGTGGTCGTGCATGAATGATGATGCAGGCAACATTGCAAGTCCGGCAAGATCCAAGCCACGCCTGGACGAAAGAAGGAATTGGGCGTGGTCGGATTTGGGAGATCGAAGATCATGTCCAATCAATGCGTTGCTTGTCTACACGCCCTTGCGGTTGTTGATGTAGCGACAAGTCCTAGGATGTAGTTTCATGTGTGGTACGAGAAAGGCACCGAGCATCTTTCCACAGACCGTACGATCGTTGATGGCTGGTGAGGCTGTTCGTCGAGGCAGCCCTATATCTCGCAATAGAAGAAGAGGCAAAAGCTTAAGAGCTCGTGATAATCCCCGTCGCTTCTCCTGAAGGCGGAAGGCCGACTCGCCGAACGAATGTCTGTGCGATGCGTGCTGAGGCCCGGCGTGCGACGGTGAAGCGTGGTCTGTAGTCGTGTTCCCATCAAGTTACCATTGTGTATTCCACCTTCTCTCGCCTTGCCTGCCATCATCGACAAGCCATCTCGACTGAGAAGGTTGGGGAGAATCATTCAAAAGAGATCGGCGGGAGAGCTAAAGTTGGAGTAAGTCGTTGCGCCACCCATCCTGCCCCATCCCTCGCCTGCCATTTTCGAGAGCGAACTAGGCCGGAAGAGTGCTGTGCGGCAGCAGCAAGAAGCGAAAGCACTTCTCTCCTCACATCACCATCACCACTACCACTACCACCACCCTCCCCCTCCTCACTCGCTCTTGCCCGACACCACAGACTTCACGTGTATCACGACATTAACACTCGCTTGCGACGCATCAGCCCTCCAGCTTCGACAGCAGCACTTTTGGACCCTGTCCGCCATTATTTACGAGCCATCTGCATGTGATACGCGCACTACGACCCTCGCCCGGTGTACATAATCCGAAGCATCCATACCCACCATCCATTGTTCCATGCGGCAGTCTTAGGGAGTATCGCGATACATCGCCCTCGACGCTCCCACCGCGCCGCGACCTCCAACAAGGGACAGGCGTCAGCACCCTTCGAACCACCCTCCCCCAACACCGGCTACATGCCCAAGAACCCGCTCAAGTTCGCCCGCCGCAAGTCCTCTGGCAACATCCTCGACGAAGAGTCGCCCGCCGCCTCGCCAGCCCAAGCTAGCTCCTCCTTTCGCGTCCTCGAGCGGCCCGAAAAGATCAACCTCAATGGCGACAACAGAGGCGCCGCGGACAGGTTAAGACAGGTGCAGCGGCCTTTCAACTCGCCGCTGGTAGGCCTGCGCGGGAAATCGGTGGAGAATTTGACTGCGGCGGTGAATAGGTGTGTCGGAGATGCAGGTGATGGATACGCTGCGAGCAGGAAACTAAACAGCTACAGGGGCAGCGCTGGAACCACCAACTCCGGCTCAAGCGGCTACAACGAGTCTCTGTCGGCATCTGCACGACATAGCTCGTCGTCTACCCTTCCGTCCTCCGTGGACGCTGAGCGGGAGCCGGACGAGGACGACTTGTTTCCACGCAAAGTCAAGACGACGCCCATGTACCCAGGCAGCACACCCAAGGCTGACGCGCCACTCCCGCCGCCTCCTTCATTCTCCACCCGCGCAGCGAGGGCTCTCTCCTGGGGCCAAAAGCACAACCGGAACGGCTCGGGAGTAGCCAATGCGCCGCCCGTACCTCCTGTGCCCAATGTGCCCGAAAGAAGCCACAGTCCTCCCCAGAGAGAACGCGCCTTGACAACCAGCAGCTATGCAAGTACTGCTGTGCCTTCCAAGCCGACCTTGGACCTCAATCTCGGATCATCAGATCTCGGTGGTGACTTTTCGAGCATGTTTGATGGGTCTAAGGGACACAGCCCAAGTGATTTGGGGCCGCCTCCTCCACCGCCCAAGCTTGCGTATCATCGAACCGTACGTACGGCTGAAACGATTACTCAGTCAAATGCTGACGTGATACAGGAGTCTGAACCAATGTTTCCGCCCAAAACACATTCCAGACAAGCTTTTGGTCGTGCCCCGGAGGAGCTGAAGAGCATCAGAGATGCTGCAGGATCGCCATACTCGCTCGATAGCCAAAGCTCGAATGAAGGTTTAATGGCGGGTGCGTCACCCATGGGATCACCTAGGTTGCCTGAGGATGCGCCGCCAGTACCCGCACATGGATCTGGCCTCTCAAATATGGCTCCGGCATTCCTGGGCAAGTCGAAAGCTGGATACGCACCACTATCTGACCGGACCTCACCTGGCTTCGATTCGCGGATGTCGCACGACAGCCAGAACGGCTACTCTGGAAGCGATGTGAACGACGAGGCTGACAATTACTCTTCCAGCGAGGACGAAGCGATTAACTTTAAACGTGTCCAGCCAAACGACAGGAATAATACAGACGGATTCTCAACCAGCAGAGAATCCAGGTCAGCAACCGTCACGAGAAAGCCGCTTGCCGGTCCTTCAAATGCGTCTCCGGCAACGCGTGCGCCAAATGGTATGCTTTCACAAGCATCCGCGGGAGCCTCGAGATCTGGCGCAATGAGCCCAGCAAGCTCAGAGGGTGGAGGGTCGCTTTGGGAGTCGAGTAATACCACACCTCGAGCAGCGACCGCCAAGCTCTCCAACAGCGAGACAACCTTCGATTCATCACCGGTCGGGCCTCCGAGTCGAGCATTGAGACCTCAGCATATGCGGACAGAGAGTGGGACACTGAAGAAGATGACGAAAGAGCAGTTTGAGCAGTTACAGCGCGGCGGTCCCAGCAGCGCGGATCAGAGCGATGAGGACGATAATTCTGCGGATGAATACGATGCCGAGGACGACGCGGACAGGGCGAAGAGGCTGGCTCGGCAACGGCAAAAGCAAGAGGCGAATATGTCGGTCTACAGGCAGCAGATGAAGAAAGTCACTGGAGGTGGTCCGGCAGATCTGCCCTCTGCGGCTCGACCCAGTATGGACCGAGCGGCCGCGAGTGCACCTGCGGCTGCTGGACTTTTGCATTTTGGCGGTATTGGAGGGCAGCCGCCTCCAGACTCTGTCCGTGGGAAGCAGACAGACGACGATGACGAGGATGTGCCGCTCGGGATACTGCAAGCACATGGATTTCCCAGCTCATCACGACCACCGACACGGCAGGGCGAGAACGATCTTGGACATCAAAGACGGATGTCTTCGGCGACGTCGATTGCTGGCGGCGGTGCAGGTCAAGGGAATCTGCCTCCGTTTGCGAGGAGATTACCACAGGATCCGTACTTTGGCGCGAGTGTGGTGAACCAACCACAACGCGAGTCGCTGGGAATGAGCGGCGCTGCATCGGTCTACGGGGGCGCGTCAATGATGCAACAGCAGCAACCGATGATGCAGCCTCAACAGCAGCAGATGGGCCATCCTGGCGGTCTGGTCGGTATTATTGCTGGCGAGGAGCGTGCGAAGGCTGCAAGACGCGGCAGTCCAAACCCGGCCACTGGGGCATTCCCAGGAGCTGGCGCGAACCCTGGGATGGGCATGGGACGGTCCATGACGATGGGCAACCTCCAACCTCCACAAACCTACATGCCGAGCGGTGGCATGATGCCACAGATGCCCATGATGCCGGGCATGCCACCGATGCCTCCAATGCCCATGATGCCGTCCACCCCAGATCCGCAGCAAGAGCAGATGAAGCAGTTCATGCAGATGCAGATGCAATTCATGCAGAACATGATGGAGATGCAAAGCCGGCAATTAGGCCAAACACCTCCACCTCAAACACCCTCCCCAGACTTCCTCGGCGTCCCCATGCAAGGCAGTCGCCAGTCAATGATGAGCCAGGCCGGTCCAGGGACACCTTCCATCCGAAGCCAAGCACCACCCTACCAAGGCCGCGCAATGACCATGACCCACCTGCCCACCCGCTGGGACGTTCCACCGGGCGCCCAGCGCCCCAACAGCGCCATGCCCACCACCTACGCCCCCTCCGGCATGAACGTCCCCGGCGCCGGCCCCGGACCCGGCTACGCCCCCTCCATCGCCCCGAGCGAACGCAGCAACGTCGGCATGCCCTCCCGCTACCGCCCCGTGACGAGCGGCGGCAACGACGGCATGGGACGAAGTCAAACCATGACCTCTTCCCTCACCGTCAACCCATACGCGCCGCAACATCAACAGCAGAACCTTTCGCCCGCGGTGCAGCAGCAACCGCCGCCGGAGCAGCGGAAGTCCTCAATGATCCGGCTGGTGGAGAAGCAGAAGGGGGCGCCGAGGGTGATGGCGAAGCAGGTGCAGGCGGATGAGGAAGAGGAGGAGGGGTGGGCGGAGATGAAGAAGAGGAGGGAGAGGAAGAAGTTTGGGTTTGGACGGAAGAAGGATAATGGGGTGGAGGGGTTGTATCAGGAGTATGAGTGAGCGGCGGAGGGAGGATGTAATGTCTTGACTGGAAAACCGCCGAGTGAAGGGAGGGGAAATGCAGCTGTCCGCTCCGCACCTTGTTCATAAGCTACGACTTGCATCAGCGGGATACAACTCTTGTTTGGGTAGACTGGGACCGCGGCAGGCTGGAGTCAGGACGGGAAACCAACAAAACGGTGGGGCAGTGTCAAAGGAGGCTCATGGCACAGCGAGCAAAATTATTCTTTACCTCACCCAGATTCAGAGGTGATGGTTGGGGGGGGGTTTTCGTGTTCGTACAATGGCGCTGAGCGGTGTTTGAGTGGGAAGAGGGAAGAGGGAAGAAGGGGTGGGGTTAGATGTTTGTTGTGTGTTAATACTTAATCCGTTGAGCAACCTCACCCTCGCCTTTCACCGTGCTCAATCGCAAAATGTCGGCCGAAATGCCATGTGAAAGCTACTAGTATCCCCAACCACGATCACGTGCGTAGGCTTCGGTTTTCGCTCTTCCCGCTCCTGATTGGCCGCTTTGAATCTTTAAATTCACTTCACATCCCACCACCACCTGCCTCCTCCTCCCCCACAACATCAAAAGCCATGCCCGTCCGATAACCGAGAAGTGAAGCAAGAGATGAAACTTCTCACCCTCAACTTCCTCACTTGTGCCCGCAAGACGTGCAAATCCGCCCCGGCCGCTTTTCCCCTCCACCCCAGGGACGCGGAGTTGGAGCAGGTGGAGGTTGATTTGAACGCTGTGTTTTTGCGTAATATGCTTCCGCGGTTGGAGTGGGATGCTATCCGCACGATAAGCAGCGAGGTACGCCCTCTTCCCGTCCCCTTTGGCTTTTACCGGGTCGTGGTTGTGGCGCTCGTGCTAATATATGGAGTAGCTTGGTCTGCCCGCCCTGCCAGACGAGGTGCCTAAACCCGAAGATCTTGTTGACGGGGAAGGGGAGGCGACGCAGGTGTTGAGGGACTTGCATGGATTGTTGATGGAGACGGGGGTAGTGAGTGGGCGGTTGGTGTGTGGGGAGTGTGGGTTTGAGTATGCGGTTAAGGAGGGGGTGGGGAATTTTTTGCTGCCGAGTCATATGGTTTGAAGTTGTCATTGGGGATTACGAAATGAGGAATGGGTGGTGAAGGAAAAGGGTGGGAATGGCCACAGGATGAGGACGGAAGTGGGTGGTGGAGGTGAGGAGGATGGAGTGCTGGCTGGTCGGTGGTGGAGAGTGCCGGTATGGTCGCCGTCTTGGTTGGGCTTGCGCACATGCTGCTACTGCGTGGGACGTGCTTCCGAGATGATGTGCGGGATTCGATGAATCAGGCAGCTACGGCATGTGAGTGCAACGGCATGAATGAGGCCACGAAATTTGCTACATCCATGCACAGCTTGCACACGATGGCCACTGCAACATGAAAAGACTGTTATCAGGAAGGTGGTTGGTATCTCTCACAACATCGCAATGCTACTCCACCCGCTCAAACACGATGTCGACTCTGCGATTGTTGCCCGTCCCTGTCGTCCACTGGTCCTCCACCGCGCCACGATGTCCAACCTCACCTCATCGCCGGCCCAATCTCCGCATTCCGTATTTCAACCCTTATATATTAATTCCAAAATTCATCACTCCATCGACAGGGCACAGGCCGGGCGTTGCTATCCACTAGCATCTGGTCAATGGTAACCCTTCCCCGTGGAACACCGAAAACCTCAATCAAAACTCGACCAGGGTTAGGCCGGGCGCTGTCTTACCGGTTAAGACTTCTGTTCAATGGTATCCATCCTCCTCTATCGTTCTAATCAAACTTCTCACCATAGATATGCTTGGCGTGCCCCTCGAGGGGTTTGGATCAATAGCATATCTGCGACCGATAACCGATTCTATTCCTGCACCGAGCTCCCCACGCACCGAGCAGATGAACCCACCGATTTGGGGGTTAATATAATGAATGATGCAAACCAGACTTCCTCCTCGTGGTTGTTGAGTTTCTCTTCTCCTTCGAATTGCAGCTTAAGGTCTTCTCTTTTGTCTTTTTGGAGTTCTTCAAGATAAGATATCAGTCTGTCGACGGAGGATGGTGGATGATGTGGAATTCTTTGGGTCAACCTTCTCAGAGGGAAGGGGTGAAGGAGGTGGTGTTATATTGTACGCTTAAGCATCACTTGGATCATGGTGCAACACTTCTTTTGGTGGTGCTCAAGCAGCAGGACCTGGATCTCACCTTCCGAGAGCATTATCATGGCTTCCGCCACATGCAAATGCTCCCGTTCACTTCTTTCAAGAGGCGAAGAGGCCATCCACTCACAACGTAGGAGCCGGGCAGTGTGTATGGTTCACGGGCACTGTACAGTCAGATATGCATTCTGGTGACGGTCATCAACCAACTTCACAGCCTTTGAGCGATCACTTCGAGCAGGCTGCGACGCAGTGGAAACAGTGGAACCTGTTAGTAGAGCAGCAAGGCGAGCAAGCTGATGTACGTGAAACGGTAGAGGGTTTGGAGGTAGAAGTGTGTATATTACAGATCCTTTCGCTATGCTCTCAAATGCCCACGGGATCGCGAACGCCGTGCTCGCTCACTCGATCCGTCCGCTGTCTATACCCGAAGTCCTTGCCGCCGGCAACACGGCCGTGTCCACCACTGTCCCGATGCAGAGGCGTAGTCTTACAACTTCTGGTACTCAAGCTTGCCTGTATCGCAATCGTCAGCGCAATCCATACATCACCATGTACAAACGCAAAAGTAAAACTCACCCTCCAACTTCTTACTCTCCACCACCTTCCTGACCGCCTTATTGAAATCATCCTGATTGATCGCATCCCGATAATCCTTGATCGCAAACAACCCCGCCTCGGTAACCACATTTCTCAAATCCGCTCCGTTCAACCCATCAGACATCTTCACCACCGATTCAAAATCAATCTCCCCCTCTTTCGCCACACCACCCGCATGGATCTTCAGCACTTCCAACCGTCCCGCTTCATTCGGGAGCGGGATCTCGATCTTCCTGTCCAACCGTCCAGCACGCAGCAGAGCAGGGTCCAGGGTATCGGGCCGGTTCGTCGCCATGATGATCTTCGTCTTGCCGAGATAATCGAAGCCGTCGAGTTGGTTGAGGAGTTCCATCAGCGTGCGCTGGATTTCACGGTCGGCAGAAGTGCCCTCGCTAAAGCGGCGGCCGCCGATGGCGTCGATTTCGTCCATGAAGATGATGCAGGGCTCGTGCTCTTTGGCGTAGCCGAACATTTCGCGGATCAGGCGGGCGGATTCGCCGATGTATTTGTCTACGATGGCGGAGGAGACGACTAGACATAAGAATTAGTAAGGGTGGCGAGGGTATGGGTGGAAGAGGGGTTACGCACCTTTGAGGAAGTTGGTTTCCAGACCACTAGCGACTGCTCGTGCGAGAAGTGTCTTGCCTGTGCCGGGTGGACCGTAGAGAAGCACGCCTTTAGGTGGTTTGATGCCGACTCGGAGGAAGAGTTCGGGGTTCTTGAGCGGGAGTTCGATGACCTCTCTCAGCTCACGGATCTGCTCGTTCAGGCCTCCGATGCCGCCGAAAGATACTTGTCCTGGGTCTTCGAGCGACATGTTGTAGACTAGCGGGTCGACTTCGCGGGGCAGCATGCGCATGATAGTGAGAGTGGTCATGTCGAGGGCGACGCGCGTGCCTTGTTTGAGCTTTACCTTGTCCACCTTTGACCGGCAGCCGACGACGTAGCGGGGGCCGGAGGAGGCTTTGACGATGACTGTGCGGTCCATACTGTCAGCGCATGCCTTCCGAAGGCTTATAATGGATGGCAAGGCATACATCTCTCCTCATCCAGCTGTTTGAGCACCTCGCCGATGATCTGACCCACGCTCTGCAGCGCCTTGATATTGTCCTCTGACACATCGAACTCGCGCTGCAGATCCTTGATCTCTAACCGTAGCGCCTTCAGCTTGGCCTCCCATTCTCTTGATTCTAGCAGCTTGTTCTTGTAGTCCTCCAGCGCCTGATCTCTCTCCGGGTCCGCCGACATCTTTGCCTCTTCGAGTGGCTGTTGCGAATGTATGGGACTGAGTGGCCCTGGCTGTTTAATGGATTGTTGTGCGCTTGGGTCGGATGTCGGATCGCAGTATATCGGGGTGATGGTGAAGGAGGAGGTGGTGAAGATGGATGGCGATGTTGTTCAGGACGTGAGGCGGATGGCACATGCGCAAGTCGATGTTAAGATGCGGAAGCTTGCTTAAAGTAGCTAGCATGGTCGGCTCGCCCCCTTAGCGCAACCTTATGCAGATCGACGGGTGCCCCTCCAAAAGCAACAGCGAACAGCCCCGCGGTCGAGGCGCACCTTCCCAACGCCTGCGTCACAAGCTCAAACAAATTCTGAACCGCCAACTCTCACTTCACCAGCTTCACTCAACGCTTACACCACTCTTCATAAGCAACCGACAGACATATACCAAGGACAAGAACCACAAGCAACCAAAGAAGTGAGTGCTACCTTCCTCATATCACCAGCATTGCACCTAGACACCATTGAGCCAAGCACTCTCAACTCTGGAAGCTCTTTGATCGATCGCTGCCTCACCCTTACTTCTCACTGCATCAGCGAGTCAGCAGACTGACATTAAGCTTGAGAACAGACAGACACCGACAAGATGGGCATCACCAAGATCCACGCCCGCCAGGTCTACGACTCCCGCGGCAACCCGACCGTCGAGGTGGACATTGTCACTGAGACCGGCCTGCACCGTGCCATCGTGCCATCTGGCGCCTCTACCGGCTCCAACGAGGCCTGCGAGCTCCGCGATGGCGACAAGAGCAAGTGGGGTGGCAAGGGTGAGCACACATCATCACTATTCTAGTATTGACAGCCATATCTGACATGTGATGTACAGGCGTCACTAAGGCCGTCAGCAACGTCAACGACAAGATCGCCCCAGCGCTGATCAAGGAGAGCATGGACGTCAAGGACCAAACCGCCGTCGACAACTTCCTCAACAAGCTCGACGGCACGCCAAACAAGACCGAGCTTGGTGCAAATGCCATCCTCGGTGTGTCAATGGCTGTGGCCAAGGCCGCCGCTGCTGAGAAGCGTGTCCCTCTCTACTCCCACATCAGCGACCTGGCGGGCACGAAGAAGCCATACGTCCTGCCCGTGCCGTTCATGAACGTGCTCAACGGCGGCTCGCACGCTGGTGGACGACTCGCTTTCCAGGAGTTCATGGTTGTGCCGACGTATATACTGTCACATCAATCAACAATATCCATTTTCTGACATTGTGCACAGCGAAGCACCATCCTTCACCGAAGCCATGCGCCAAGGCTCCGAAGTCTACCAGAAGCTCAAGGCTCTCGCGAAGAAAGAGTACGGACAATCCGCCGGCAACGTCGGTGACGAAGGCGGTGTAGCCCCTGACATCCAGACTGCCGACGAAGCCCTCACTCTCATCACCACCGCCATTGAGCAAGCCGGCTACACGGGCAAGGTCAAGATCGCCATGGACGTCGCCTCCTCGGAGTTCTACAAGAAGGACGCCAAGAAGTACGACCTCGACTTCAAGAACCCCGACAGCGACCCCTCGAAGTGGGTGACGTACGAGCAGCTCGCCGACCAGTACCGCGAGCTCGCCAAGAAGTACCCCATCGTCTCCATCGAGGACCCGTTCGACGAGGGCGACTGGGAGGCGTGGAGCTACTTCTACAAGGACGCGCCGTGCCAGATCGTCGGCGACGACTTGACCGTCACCAACCCCACGTTCATCAAGAAGGCCATTGAGACCAAGGCGTGCGACGCGCTGCTGCTCAAGGTCAACCAGATCGGCACGGTCAGCGAGGCGATCCAGGCGTCCAAGGACGCTTACGGCGCGGACTGGGGTGTTATGGTGTCGCATCGTTCTGGTGAGACGGAGGATGTGACGATCGCGGATATCGCGGTCGGTCTACGCAGCGGGCAGATCAAGACGGGTGCACCGGCACGGTCGGAGCGTTTGGCGAAGCTCAACCAGATTCTGAGGATCGAGGAGGAGCTGGGCAGCAACGCGGTGTATGCTGGGACCAAGTTCCACGCTGCTGTGAACATGTGAGCGGGTGCTCCAACGTCAACTCATTATGCGAAAAGGCGATGAGTGAAGAGGAATCCCAGCAAGGACGGTTATGGCTGCGAGCACCTATGAGTGACGATGGTCAAAAGTGCAGAGCGGGATGCATCTCGGGAGGGAGTTTTCGTTGCTAAGCACGTCGAGCAGACGGAAGGATCCACCGTTCGTAGCTACCACCAGATCACCGACATGAGAACTAGTTGAACTCACCTTAACATCTCCATCACTTTCATTCAACGCCTGGACCTTCATACGTCAACTGCCGTACCTCCTCCCAACCCCTCCTACCCTTCAAATCCTCCATCCCACCGTACCAGCGTAGCTCAACTTCACCAAAGTAGTTCGCTTTGCCCTCGTTCACCGCTGTGAATCCCAGCTCCTCGAACAACTTGATAGACCCGACATTAGTCTCATTTATCCTCACACGCAGATGATCCAGCCGCAGCGGCTCGGCATCGTCGGACGAGGAGGTAGCAGTAGCTGTTGACGTGCCACCGGCGTACTCCCGCGCAATCTCCGCCCAGTGAGCGAGTACGTACGAGATGAATGCCAGCAGGGCTCCGCGCCCGTAGCCCTTGCGACGGTGGAGGGGTGAGGCGATCATGAGTTCAATCTCTCCAACCACACTCGAGGTCGGCGGAGCTGCGCTTTCGTCTTCGTCGAGGTCTAAGGGGTAGATGAAGAGGTTGACGTCCCCCACCATCCGCTCTAGGTCGTCGTACTGGCCGGCTTTGATGGTCTCCTCCCCTTCATCCCCAGGCAGCCGGAGAGGATGTGGCAAAGGCAAGCAGATAATGAAAGTAAGTTTATCCGGGTCTAAGCGCCAGGAACGCTGCATGGCGTATTCTTCGGAGAGGGTTAGGGGGTCGGAGGCTGTGGCAAGTCGGAGATCCGGGGACTGCATCCACTCATGGTAGGTGGGGACGTGGAGGGGAGTGTAGGGGACCAGGAGGGTGGTGGGGGTTGAGAGGGCTATGGAGAATTGTTAATGAGTGGTTAGAGACCGGGAGGGGGCAAGGGTACCGGTACGGGCGTTGAGTTTCATTTTGGACTTTCATGTGATTTTGCCCGTCTGATTCCGCCAAGAAGGGAAGTTGCGAGGGATGGATGCAATGACGGTCGAGGTTGCGGGTGCAGGAGTTGAATCATCCTTGCATCAGGACTGCATTGAACTCTTCCTACTGGGTCATATCAGCATCCACATTGTGATGCTTGAGCGCTGTCTATACAGCAGCGGTGCGAGCGAGCACTCGGAAGGACTCTATCCCCTGTTGATGACATGATTCATCAGCAACGACCGGGGTCAGCCGGATGGTGGTACTGGCATCACCTCGTTTAGAGAGTCTTCGCCATCTTATCCTACTTACAGAACGATCGATCTCATAGTAGACACAATGCGCGGACCAAAAAGAAGTCTCGAAGTCCTCATGACGGGAGGAAGTGGCTTCCTTGGACGCGGGATCGTCGAAAGGCTCCTCACACAACATCCCGAGTGGCGCATCTCCATCCTGGACCTGCATCCTCCCCCGGACAACCTTCGAAAACGCATCGCACAGTTCATTCCCGCGGACATCTCGTCCGCGCAGTCGGTGAACAATGCTTTCGTCGAGTACAGTCCAGATCTCGTCGTCCACACTGCCGGCATCGTGCCAGCGAGGAAGGATCGCTACAGCACGGATCCGAAGCAATGGGAGAAAGTCAAAGCGATCAACTACGGTGGGACACGCAATGTCCTCGACGCGGCGATGTCGTCGGGGTGCCGGAAGTTCCTGTATACGTCCAGCTGTACCGTGATTATCGACGACTTGGACCACGATTACTACAACATGGACGAGAGCATTCCAGTCGGTCGCGCAACGCTGCACTATGGGAAGTCGAAGGGAATGGCTGAATCCTACGTCCTCGCCCCTGAGCTCGCATCGCTTGGTCTGCAGGCCTGCGCTCTTCGCCCAGCTACCATCATCGGACCAGAGGACACGGCGGTCATGAGCCTGATCCACGACCTCATTCGCAAGGGCGAGACGTACTTCATCGTCGGCGACGGTGAAAATTTCTACGACTGGATGTACATCGACAACGCCGTGCAAGCGCACATTCTCGCGATCGAGAATCTTCTCACAACGCAGACAGCTGCGGGCCAGGCTTTCTTCATCTCGAATCAGGAACCGGTGTATTTCTGGGACGCTTTTGCTTTTATCTGGGCGCAGTTTGGGCATGTGCCGAAGTACCGTATTCATATCCCGACGGCGATTGCGTGGTTTGTGGCTCTGATACTCGAGATTATGACGTGGTTCACTGGAAATGCTCCGACGATTGATCGTGGAAGTGTGAAGGATGGTATGAGGACGCATTACTCGAATAATGCCAAGGCGATGAAGGTGCTGGGGTATATGCCGGAAGTGCCGCTGACGGAGGGCATACGGAGGGCGTGTGATGGGTATAAGAAGCATTTGGCTGCGCAAGCGGCGCAGAATGGGGAGACGAAGAAGGAGCGATGACATTAACTATTCTACCTAGCAGCGTACGACTATCTTACCCGGTACAGTCAGCGTTGTCAGTGCCTTCAGCGCTTCCTCCGCCTGCTCGAACTCGAAGACCTGCGCTACTGGTGGGTGAAGGTCGTGCTTCTCCATGAACGCGGACATTTCTTCGAAGACTTCTCGACTGCTGGCGCCTAGCTGTCCTTGCACTGCTTGCTGGTCAGCCATGTTCACTTCCAATGAGAGATCAGCACTTACAGGTCTTAGCACCAAACAACAGGTCCGTCATAATATCCACCGGCTTCGCGAAATCCTCTCCCAGCATCCCCATGACCGAAACGAAGCCTCCAAACGCCGTGGCTTTGATGGTCTTCTCGATGGACCCGGCGCCAACGACATCGCAGACGAGATCCACCCCCTTCCCATCTGTCACGCTGAGGACCTCTTTGTCCCAGTCAGGATGCTTGCGGTAGTTGATCAAGTGCGTCGCTCCAAGCTTCTTCGCAAACTCCAACTTCTCGTCTGATGAGCTGGTGGCTACAACCTCTGCGCCTGCTGCTGCGGCTAGCTATACCTTATCAGTACAGCCTTCGCACACATGTGGAGAGCTGGACGTACCATAATAGCAAAACAGCTCACCCCACCCGTCCCCTGCGTCAACACCCTCACCCCCGGCCCCGCCTTCACCGCCCCATTATGAAACAGACTCCTAAAAGCCGTCGCGCCAGCCGTGAACATCGTACTCGCCTCCTCCATCCCCATCCCCTTCGGCATTTTGACCAGATTCTCATCCGACACCACCATCCACCGCCTCGCTGTCCCATCTGTCTCCCCGCCTCCAAATACCGTGCGGACATCGAAACCCCTCGCATCGTTCCCGTGGAGCCAGGGGTTGGGGTGCAGGACCACCCTATCCCCGGCCTTCCAACGGGAGCCAGGACCTACGGTGGAGATGACGCCGGCGCCGTCGCTGAACGGGATGAGGTTCTGTTTGGCTCGGACAGGGTAGGCGGGGCTGTGGTCAATGACGAGGATGTCGCGGTAGTTGAGGGAGGTGGCGTGGAGGCGGAGGAGGACCTCGTTAGGGCCAGGGGAGGGGACGGGGGTGGGAAGGGTGGTGAGGGTGAGGGTGGAAGGGGAGGTGATTTGGTAGGCTTGGCTGGCCATCGCGCTGGTGGTGGGAGAAGAGAATGAATTGTGAGGATGAGATGTATTGAGATGCTTTACCGTTGTGGTACTGCGCTTGGGTCTTATATACATAGAAATGGTGTGGTGTTTCGAGGGATGTGATCAGTATTTCCTGACCTCAGCATTGTACCCTCTTCGGGTTCGCGACGGAGTTATCGTTATTTAGAGACTATATGCGATGTCGACATGGGAGGCATCAAGATAGAGTTCTGCTTTGTTCAGAAAGATGAAGTGTCGTTAGAGGATGGTGACTAAGATGCGTCCGCATGCTGGCGGAAGAGAGTTGATCCTGGGCTGTTGGTGACAAACCACGATGTTGACAACGAACTCGAGATCCGTACTTCTGAAGAACTCATGTATTCAAGGCGATTCCATCTTTCCAGGGAGCAGAGTAGCTGTGATAAGAAATGCAAGAGCAAGTGTAAGTCAAAGGTCGTTTTGTTTCATAGTCTATATATTTCCGCCAACTCGAGCACTCAGCAAAGGGTACAACCTGGACATCAGGCGATCGATCGATCGACCGACGCTTACAGTTCCTTTTGCTCAATATTCCGCTGCTTCTCGCTCATATCAACCGTATCCAGCCCCCCAACCTCCGCCGCCATCTCCTTGGCCTTGTGCGTCGCCTCAGCACCACCGACGACAGCGTCGTCACCATCAAAGTGCTTCGCAATCTCCTCGAGGGGAGTGTATCGTGTCTCCACGTAGCTTTTACGGAGTTAGCCAGCGTCTCAGACATGGTAGGGAATCACCCAAGGGTTCGTACAAGAAGTAGACCACACAGAACTCAATGAGAAGCCAGACGCAGTAGACGATATAGTATCGCCACTCGATGTTCTCAAGAGCGATTGGGTTGACGAACTGGTTGAACCAGAGCGCGCAGTCGACCATGAGGAACATGATAGTAAGGCCCTTGGCACGGAGGGAGTAGGGGAGGATTTCGGCAGCGTAGCCGACAAGGAGACCGGACCAGGCCATGTTGTAGCTATTATGTGGGTCAGCAGGGTCGCGATGGGGGTTTAGTGAGGTCCCGTTACGAACTACAAATAGAAAATATACACGCAAGCGACAACGAGGTGGCCGCAGGCGACGTTGTGATGCTCGGTGTACTCGCCCGCAGCGGCAGTCCACACGATGAAGGTGGCAAGCATCCCGCCAGTTGCGACCAAAAACAGAGTGCGGCGGCCGACCTTGTCGACGACGAAGCACTGGCCGACGGCGACAATGATGTCGAGGATCTGCAGGCAACCGTTGATGACCAGCTTGGTGGAAGTAGCGGTGATGCCGACGTTCTTCAGGACGAGGTTGAGGTAGTACGATGCGATTCCATTGCCAGACCATTGGGAGAAGAGACCAAGCGTCACCAGGATGAGCAACCGCCGGCGGTTGCCCTTGGTCTTGAAGAACTGCTTCCAGCTGTTGCCCTCGAACTCCTTCTCGAGGGTGATGGTGTCCTTGATCTCCTGCAGCTCGAGCACGACGACCTCGTCATCCATGTTGCCGTTGGCGTGGACCTTGGCCAGGACCTGGTGGGCTTGCTCGGAGCGGCCTTGGGCGATGAGCCAGCGAGGAGACTCGGGTATGAACCATACAAAGATGAGCTGGATGATCGATGGCAGGCCTTGGATGATCGATGGCGTTCTCCAGGACCAGTTGCTGGTGTGCATGAACGATGTCCCGTAGCAGAGCCAGGCGGCCAAGAATGATCCAAAGTACCAGGTGGTGTTGTAGATCGTCGTGAAAGTGGCGCGGTGCTGAGGATGCACGAGCTCGGTGACGAGAAGAGGTGATGCACCATGTGCGATTGCAATACCGAAGCCGAGGAAGAATCGAGCCGCGATGAACATCTTGAAGTTGATACTGATGCCCTGGAGGATTACACCAAGAATCATAATCAAGCAGCCGATGATGATTCCCCATCGACGCCCGAGTCCATCAGCGATGTAGGGCACGAACGGAATGGCCACAATCGAACCGACAGCCATGATAGAGGTGAAGAGTCCTAGCATCGCGCCGTGAGGGTGGTTGAAGTAGTGCTGCCATGGATGCATGGTCTGAAGGGCGTTGACGATTGAGCCATCGTATCCGTTGGTGGCAGCGGTGATCACCACCAGCATCAAGCATAGATAAGTCCTCCGCAACGATGGATCCGTGTACCAGGTCACCTTTGGGAACTCACGCCCCGCAAGGCGGAAGGTGCCCTTTGTTGGAGCGTCCATTTTCGGTGATGTGCTGTGCTGTCAGGTATGCTGTGTTGGAAGGACGGGTGGTAGTCAAGTGATCGAGCTTTGAGCAGCACGAGTCTCTCCACCCCAAGATCGGGTGAACTGGAGGCCTCAGTGAGGTGTGAGGAATGAATGCGGGAGAACTGGTGGAGAGTCCTGAAACCTCTGGGCATTGCAGGCCTTATGAAGTGCAGGCTTCGAGTAGTAGGAAGCAAGCACATTCATCCCATTTTACCCGAACATATAAGATCGCCCGTACCTCTACAACCATCCCGTCTGACCCCAGAGATGCCCTTAGGGGCGTGCCGCACGAGGTGTGCAGGTCAAGTGCCCAACCGAGCAAAGCGGGCAAGCGGCAGACAATTCTGGACACGAGAGCGAGCTGTCCAGGACCCCAACGAGTGAAGCAAAGGCCGGCGTTGATGTGGGACCACTTGAGTTCTCGAATGGCCACGAGCGAGGAAAAGTGGCCCAGTACCCACACATCTCCGGATACCGTATCGAAGCAAGTCTTTTCGCGAGACCAACTCATACTCTCACGTGATGTGAGCGGCCGGGTAAACTCTTTGCTTTTAGCCAAGATCCTTGCTCGAAGCTTGCGTTGCTTGGTCTGCAGCCACTGAGAGCCTCAAATGCCGATTCAACATTGCGCCAAAATGACGAATGCTTTAGTCGGCCAAGGATACCTTGTCTAGCTTGTTCCAACCAGTCTTTCAGAGTCCGTCACCGTCCACGATCGGAAGATTCGACATCGAAAAGATGCGGACCCGCCTGCCCGTGGGACACCACATTTTCTGTGGACCGACTCCAGATGGGCCACGTGAGGTTCGCGAACGCTCCTGGAGAGCACCAAGACAGCTTCAAGACGAACTTGGAAGAGTTTCTCCTCCCCGACACGCCGGCGGGGACCGTCCCTGGTAGATATCGTTGGATACGCAGGTCGGATGGCCGGCACATCATGAAATTGGCAAGCAGTGCATCTGCCGCCGGTCACAGGTGTGCGAGTTTTGTGAGCTGAAGGTCTCGCGATCATTAACCTGTAATGACAAACATGTACCACGTACTCATTGTACCGTCAATCTTGCCCCTCAATCTGTGTCATACAGTCCCTGCTTCCAGCAGACTCGGGCAGATCAACATGAGAAGCGGGCGGGTCGCGCAGTTGCTGGTGTCCATCTTCTCTGTGATAAGAAGTCCCCACCGCGCAGGAGCAGCTCGGCCAGTGATAACGGATCGCACGGCATACCGAGAACACCTTCGTTCCCACCGTCTGGTAATTCCAGAAGGCTCCTACAGCTACAGTCTGAAGCAGAGACCCAAAGGTCCACTCGCCGCATCGTTTCCGAACGGACGGTAATCACTCCAGCATGGATATATTCTCAACTTGGCGATGGCATGAAGACGTTCAGACAAGCTTTACGGCGTTGCACCCCGGTTGCCGTGGCTGCTTGGATAAAGTATCTTACGCCACGGTGCATTCGTGATGGTTGCAAGCTGTCGTACCTCTGGTATCGTGACTTGGGCGATCTTTGCAATCCTCTCAAGCTCATCGCTGTGGGTCTAATCCCCGCATGTTCGCTTCATTGTGCCATGGGGATCCGAATCTCCAGACCTTGGTCCCCTTGGTCCCGTCCCGTGTAGGAGGTAGCAGCGCATATCATTGTCCTGTCATTACACTTGCCTGCCACAGTCGCGATATTATCGTCCAGTCATCGTGGTTAGATGCCAAAGTCGCGATTGATTGCCTCGTTCCAAAGATCATCGTCACCCTTCTTCCTGAGCAGGTTCCAAAAGCGCCAGATCCCCCGTCTCCCCGAGCGCCTCCCTCGCCGCCTCCTCGATCAAGATTCCCAGCGCCAGCAATGCCGTCTCGTCCAGGGTCCTCCAGTCTTTCTCCCCACCATCCTCCGCGACCCTAGCATAGCAGTCTGACGCATACCGATGCAAAGCCTTCAGTAGATCCGAGTCCGGCAGTTGCTGCTTCGAAGGGTCCAAGTGGCGATCTGCGTTGTAGATGTCGTCTTCTTCATACCTCACCGGCGCGCCCTTCTGACGGAAAAGAACGTCTTCGGGCGGGACAGCTGCGCCGGCATTTTGGCTGATGGTGTCGCGGTGTTTTGATGGCTTTGGCTCGGTGAGAAAGCCTTCGACGCCTGCGCGACCAGCGACGGCGTCGTAGAGCGTGACCTTTGCTTGTTCGACGTTGCGCCGCTTCCGCGGTCTACTGGAACTTTTCGCCATGGTCTCATTTCTCCTCGCTCGAGTATCGTGAACAGCAACCCAAGACTCTCAATCTTTAACGCATCGCGAAGTGTGGCAGTACTTTTGTGAGTCAAAAGTCGAAGTCAGAGATCCAATTGGACAGAAATCCATCTCCGCAATTTAACTTCATCAACTCAGCGCCAGCAGCATCTCACAGCAAACATGAGGCTACTGACATAAGTAGGACCCGAAGACTCTCAAAATTCAAGAAAATGAAGCGCCTCAATGAATTCCTTCCTGCTCAACCGGCAACTCGGATCCATCAGCCACCAGGCTCTCGCGACAGCCCAGAATGACCGCCAGCTCAGGTCTCTGCAGGCAGCGCCAGATATACAGTTCGTACGTGAACGACCCGCCGTAGACGAGGACCAAGATGGCGCTCAGCGGTATCCAAGAGTAGCCGTCGCGGCAAAGCCACATGCGGCCGGCGTGAGCAGTATTGCTATCGATCGATTTGAGGGGCGATAGTACGTTGACCATATCTCAAGACAGTGATGATCCAGCCACTGATCGATCAAACAGCCTTTTATCTGCAGGAGCAGACTCATCAGTCGCCATCTGGGACCTTGAATCCGCTCCACCATCAGCTGACGGCAAAACTCTCCACGCGCCCCTCACCCACGTCCCTAGAACATCCACCACAGAATCCCTCGGAATAACCCACACGACCTTCTACCCCTTCGATTCCCTCGCCTTCCTCACCACGGGCTACGACCACACCCTCAAACTGTTCTCCTCTGAAACTCTCCAACCATCCGCCACCTTCGACCTAGGCTCCATAGTCTACTCCCACGCCACCTCACCCATCGCATCACACCTCCTCGTAGCCTGCGCATCCCAACACCCCGCCGTTCGTCTCGTAGACCTCCGCTCTGGATCTTCGACGCATTCTCTGGCCGGCCACTCCGGCGCCGTGCTCTCCGTTGCCTGGCATCCGAGCGAAGAAAACATCCTCGTCTCCGGTGCCACGGATGGCTGTATCAGGACCTGGGATGTGCGACGTAGCGCCTCTAGCCTCGGAGTTCTGGACATGGACGACAGCATCGGCGTTGCTGGGTACGACGGCAAAGGCACCGGCGCACGGCAGCGAGAGCGAGGGCGCGCGCATAACGGGGTTGTCAACGGTATTGTGTGGAGCGAGGATGGGCGGTATTTGGTTTCTACGGGGCATGACGAGCGGATGCGTGTTTGGGATATGGTCGCCGGAGCTAATACGCTAGCGAACTTTGGGCCGGCGTTGAAGAATGCGCAGATGACTGGGTTAGTGCCGTTGTTGACTCCGAAGCATTTGACGGCTGCGGGGAAGGAGATGGTGTTTTATCCGAACCCCAAAGAGATACTGTCTTTTGACCTGCATGCTGGGAAGCTACTGAGCAGGCTGCGTGTAACGACGCCACAACAGCATGAGGGCTCGACATCCACCGGGACGAGGAATCTGATTCCAAGGACTACCTCGTTGGCGTGGCGGGCTCATCATGTTGAGATGTTTTCTGCGCATGCGGATGGTGAGATTAGATGTTGGCAGCCGCGGACATGGGAGGATCGCTTGAAGGAGGATGAAGATGAGGAGAGCGCGGAAGGCGAGGCGGAGCATGAGCGGAAGAGGAAGAGGGAGGAGTTGGAGCAGATTGTGCGGGATTTGAGCGGGAAGAGGGTTACGTATTCATGAGTCCAGACGTCTTTGTGACCAATGGCTTCATCAAAAACGGACTCTTCACTGGCGACGCCCAGCCGCACCACGCCGTTGGGCCAGATCGTGAATGGAAGCTTGCTTCTTGATCAATTCGAATTCATGTAGATGCTCAGCCTGGCATATGCCCTCTGAGCTGCTCCGGACGCCTCGCCATGCTAGCAAAGCTCATGCATATGTGGTTTGTACCACCTCCATCGTCCTCTCCCATCGTACATCTCCCAGCTCCTCTCTAATCCTGTCGTCCCTTCAATAGCCTCTTGGTCACCTTGTCCTTCTCGATGATGTAGACGTGTGCACCCCACCCTGACAGCGCATCGCGGTCGACGGCGTTGAGCAGTGCTTGTGAGATCGTCTCGAAGAGGTCCTCTGGTCCGAGATTGGGCTCCCATAGGCCTTCGCATGTGCCGAAAAGTTGGTCGGATGCTGTGCCGGAGACGATGAAGTCCTTTGCGAAGTCGATGCAGCCGATAGAGTCGAAACTACAATCACTATATCAGCTTTCGCCCGCTCCCATACCCTCGCCCCGCGAATGTATTGACTCACCCGCAAATGAACGGCTTCCCATCCGTCTGATTGATCCCCGCCACCACCGGGCTCACAAACCACGGCCCAAACCTCCTCTCATACAAGCTACTGCTCACCAGATTCGCAAACGTCTGCGGGCTGATGTCGCGCTCCTCCCGCAACCGGTACATGTTCACCTTGTATCGGAAGAGCTCGCTGACGGAGGAGACGTCGGTGGCGAGGCCGGTGAGGCCGAGGTGCACTTGCGAGCCGTAGGAGAAGATTTTGGGGAAGTTGTTGCTGACGGTGAGAGCTTGGAGACCGAGCCGCAGGTCGCACGCGATGGCCACGCAGTCTTTGCCGACCATTGCTACGCAGGCGCCGCCGTCTGTATACTACATTAGTGTGTGGTACGAGTAGGTCGTGATGCTGGGTCGTACTGATGGAGAAGGGCGAGGCCATGTTGGCGTTTGTTCAATTCGAGGCTTGTGGAGAGAATGTGTTGTTATCTCGCGCGACACCTCACCAGTTCCGTCTTTCTATGGCAGGATGCGCAAGCCGTAGAAGGTAGAGTGATGGGAGGAAGGTCTGGTGAAGGTGTAGTCGCTGAAGCTAGGCACGAGGTGACGCGAAACAGCTCTCGTGAGAGCGAGGGTTGCGTAACCCTGAGCACCCCCGAGGTTCGCCGCAATATGAGCTACCTCACTTTGAACGATCGCGATCTCATCATGAACATCAACCACGGGACGACAATGGCAGCCATGGAGTCCTCCATCTCCCTTGCTCGAACGCTTGACCCCCGACTCCTCCGCTTCTTCACCCGATTTCCACCACCAGCACTTCGAGGTCTCTCGCAAACACCACAATCACCATCCCCAGAAACAGTGCAAATAGCAGAGAACACCTCCTCAATGGACCCCAACGAGGGCGCCGCAACATCCACAATAACACCAACACCGAATTCATCACCCTCACCCTACCCCACTACCAACGACGGCCGCAAACACAACCCTTTCCTCCCCTTCCGCAACCCCAGTACGGGAAACTGGCACTCCCCCCACTACTCTCTCCGCCGACAAGCCGTGCTGTTCAAACTCGCGCAACAGCACAACGTCCTTCCTCTGATGCCTCTATCGCCAAAGCATCCTGAGGTGAAAGCGACGAAGCGGTTAGAGCAAGGACTAAGAGTGAAGGGGACGGGAGAGGGACAGAAAGTCAAGGGGAAATTGTGGGAGCGGACATTGCAGGGACGCTTGGAGGCGAGGAGGAAGGCGATGGAGGGGATGCCGGAGATGGTACGGCAGTGGAAGGAGAGGGGTCATGGCAGAGGGTGGAAGAAGTGGCCGAGGTGAGGGAGAGGACAGATGGGTGGGTTCGTATGTGTTTAGCGTGGAGTTGGAGATACAGTGTGTGTATAGATATGGATATATGGGATATATGAAATCTCCATGGAACTGCCGTATGGACACATTGCTAGGCTCTTCAGGTTCCGCTTGCAAGGTGTAGTGCTGCTTTAGACTACAGCTCCAGCCTGCTCTGGCTTCGACCCCGTGCGCTCCTCCACGCCCGCGCTACTCCTCGCCACTTCCGGCAATCTCTCATACTCGGCCCAGTATCTCGCCCTGTCCAGCCGATACCTATAACGCTGCTGCAAGCTGCTTTCCGACCGGCCAGGAATATCATTGGCGATCTGCGCCCAGCTCTGATTCACTGCCTTCAGCCGCACCAACGCCTCGTCCTCGACATCGCTGTAGGGGTTTTTGTGTTTGGCGGGGAGGCTCTGGAGCTTCCGATAATGGGCTTGTACCTTGCGATGGCGACGCGTAGGGAAGTGGCGCATGACTTCGGGCCAGCTCAGCCTTTCTTCGTCCCGCAGACGGAGAAGTTGAGCTTCTTCCTGTCCTGACCAGGGTGGCTCGGAAGAGCGTGCATTGGAGCGAGCCGTATCGTATGAACTTATGAGCTTCAGCTTGTAAAGACGCGCCTGCAGATGGTACGCAGAACGTGGTGGAAATTGACTGGCGATGAGACGCCACTTCGTGCCTTGGCTCTTCAAACGTAGCAGTCTGGCGTCTTCCTCCGGCGTGAAGTCCGATGTTGAACGACCGTTGAACATACGCGTCCCCGTCTTCCGAATCTTTAGCTGAGGACGAATGAACCGGGACCATCTGGTGACGAGCGTCGCTCTAGTTCTGTGCGGCAGCTTGCGCTGGATCTCCGGCCATCCTACTCGGTTGGCGCGTAGCTCTGCGATCAGTCGGTCTTCGTCTTTGGTGAACAGGGACCTGTCCCGACCTCCTCCAGGAGATAGGTGTTTGGCCCATCGGTTTTGCAGGCTGACCGTTGAGCGGTGTGACAGAGCTTGCTGAATGCCGGCCCATTTCATGCGTTGGGCGCGAAGCTCTGTGATGGTTTGGTCTTCTTCACACGTGAATCTTGGTCCGACTGTTGGACGCTTCCCGCCCTCAGGGGCCTGGCGAGCCCGGCGGAATACAGTCGCGTGGAAGTGCCGTTGAAGTCCAGCCGGCCAGGAGGGATGGCATTTCGGAGAATGGAGTAATGTTCCAGACAGAATAGTATCTGATAAGTAACGATCAAGCAAAGTATGCGCCGCAATCATCACAGATTCGTCCTAGAGGTCAGGGCATTTGTTGAGGGTAGTCCAGTCCAGTCCGCCTATCGTGGTTGAGACTGCCATGTTTTGCAGGCTCATGCTCTCAAGCTATACCTTGTCCATTACAACGTTCTGAGCCCGCTTCATGCCTCCCCATCTCGCGCGTTGTGGGCTGAGTAGGACGGTTGTTGTTCATCTTCAAGGAGGCGGCTTCACGCCGCCCTGTGGTCCGAGTCACAAAGCTTAACTCAACTGCCGAGGAAGCTCCGAAGACCCTCGAAAGCTCGATCCAACCTTCACCTCAGCTTCACACCTTCGACTACAACAGCCCGCCGCAGTTGCCAGACCGATGGAAGCTACGACATAGAACTGTACCGTTCTTGCCGCTGACATGTCTGACTTCAGCTTCTCCGACGACCAGGAGCTGGTTGCGCTCAACGCGCAGGTGGTGAGTACCTACTACAGCCTCCGGCGCGACCGCAAATTGCAGTGCTAACGACTTCGCAGCACGCGGACCCCGAAGAGTTCGAAGCATGGGATAAGCTGGTGCGTGCGGCCGAAGCACAAGAAGGTGGACTGCACCGCAACTCGAGTCCGGGCGCGATCGCATCCACCCGCGATGTCTACGACAAGCTTCTCTCGCGCTTCCCGCTGTTCTTCGGCTACTGGAAGAAATATGCGGACCTTGAGTTCGTGATTGGAGGCACCGAGGCGGCAGAGATGGTAAGATACAAAAGCTGAATATGATACAGAATGTCAAGAGTCGCTGACACACAGGCAGGTCTACGAGCGTGGTGTCGCTAGCATCGGCACTTCGGTCGACCTCTGGGCCAACTACTGCGGCTTCAAGGTCGACACGAACCACGACACCGATGTGATCAGAGAGTAAGTCCGTAGGCAGTCCCTTCCACCCCCACCACTGCCAACACACATTACCAGCACATGACCTAGACCTGGAGTCTCTTCTCCATGATCCAGGACTATTCGCTCTGTCGGTGAGACCTCCAACCCACTAGCTGGTCCTTTTGAGAGTCTCACGTCTACTTATCAGACCGACCTCCGAAGACCTCTGCCGAAGTCAGCAGTCATCTTGTCCCTACTTTTTTTGAGTTTCCTCGCACGCGCGCTGTGGTGTCGTTCTACACTTGGAGCTTATGAGCTCTTCCCGAGACATGTTTGCCTCCATTTTTGCTTCCTCCCGAGCCCTCTGATCTCTCCTTCGAAGCCTCTTACTGACCACTCATTTCTAGGCTCTTTGAGCGCGCTGCGGACAGCGTAGGCCTCGACTTCCTCTCTCATCCGTTCTGGGACAAGTACCTCGACTTCGAGGAGCGCTTCGAGTCGCAAGAGCGCATCGTTGCCATTCTCTACCGCCTTATCCACATCCCGGTGCACCAATACGCGCGCTACTTCGAACGGTTCAGAACCATGGCCGCCAATCGCCCAGTCACAGAACTTGCGCCACCGGACGTGCTGCTTCGGTTCCAAGAGGAGATCCAGCAAAGCGGAGCGACGGGCAAGGATCTTGAGCAAGAGCTGCGGGCTCGGATCGACGGCTGGCATCTAGAGCTCTTCAACCGCACACAGACCGAGACCACGACGCGCTGGCCGTACGAACAGGAGATCAAGCGGCCCTATTACCACGTCACCGATCTGGACGACCAGCAGCTCGTCAACTGGAAGAACTATCTCGACTTCGAAGAAGGCGAAGGCGACTACGCACGCATCAAGTTCCTCTACGAGAGGTGTCTGGTCACCACAGCTAGCTACGAGGAGTTTTGGCTGCGGTATGCGCGGTGGATGAACAGCTACCCGGGCAAGGCGGAGGAAGTCAGGAACATCTACCAACGGGCGTGCGGCACCTACGTTCCTATCGCTCAGCCCTTGATCCGGTGGTTCTACGCCGCATTCGAGGAAGCAGAAGGACGTCCTGGTGTGGCGGCGGAGATTCACAGCGCGATACTTGAGAAGATGCCAACCGACATCCAGACTATCGTCTCGCTCGCGAACGTGGAGAGGCGGCAGCATGGGGTCGATGCAGCAATCAAGGTTCTTTCGAACTACACCGGCGACCTCCTCGCCACCAACTCTGTCGATAGCGGCGCTCTGATCAGCGAATGGGCTCGTTTGGTAGAGAAGAACATGGGCGACGTCCAAAGCGCACGCAGCGTCTACGAGAGCAACGAGTCATCCAACTTTAAAAGCTACGCGTTCTGGCGGGGTTGGCTGCAATTCGAGTGCGAGCAAGCCACGTCTGGCGGCGATGAGGCGAGCCAGTACCAGCTCGTGCAGTCGGTGTTCGGCAAGGTCAGGCATCAATCGGGTATACCACGCGACAGCTTCAAGCAACTGGCGGCGATCTACTTCGAGTTCTTGAAGTCGCGCGGTGGCAGAGAGGCTATGAAGGAGTTCATGCAGCTTGATCGCGAGATCTATGGGCCACCTAGCGTCGCTAATGGCGCGAAGGAGGTCTAGAGTTGCATCACTCCTGTCTTCGGTCTCTCCAACACCACAGGTACGACACGGGCATTCGCTAGGTGGCGGCCCTTGAGAGGTGGGAGAATTGCGGACAAAGTCCGGCGATTGCAATCACAGTGAAGGATCATCAGGCAGGCTAAGCCTTCTTCTTGAATGTGTTTATAGCTGTAACATACTGCTGCTGCGGGCCCTGACTGCTGCGCTCACCGCGCTCGCCGTCGCTTTGATGGGCGTCAGGTGGCCTTCTTCACGGCCTGGGCGGCCATACAGCAATAGTGAAGTGGCGAGCATTGCTTGCAACCAATCCAGATCAGATCAAATCATCCAAACCACGATTTCCCTTCCTTTGCCTTTCGTTTCTGGAGCTGCATCTCCTCCATCTGCCGTACATCAGCATCTCTAACCCCACGACACATAAGCACCGCCTGAAATACCTACCCATTCCTTCTTACAAGCCCGATACGCACTACACACCTTGTCAGCCATCCATCCCAACCTCGGCCTCTCGAAGAGAAAGTACAGGATTGGAAAGAAACCTACTCAAAGTAATCCTGACACATCGCCCGATCCCCTCCGTTGCGACGAAGGCATTTCAGACTTCGGTCCGCGACATCCTGGCAGGGGTCGAAGTATTCGCTATGGCGTTTGCTGTAGGTGGCGTTAGTCGATCGGAAGGTCTGGTCAGAAGTGGGGAGGAACAGACGAGGTGAAGCGGGATGCACCCTTCTGCCAGGTCGATTCTGCGTCAGCCGAGGGGTCGGACATGGGGAGTTCGATGGGCTATCGATTGGGAGGGTGATGTGTGGTTGTGCTGATGTTGAATGTCCGGTGTGCCAGGACTTTTAGTTGCGGCTGCGGATCGGCGCCGCGAATTTAAGGTTTAGCGGCCGCAGCGCGGGCCACCGTGTCGCTTCACGTTTCTGGCTGCTGGACAAACGTCACGGCTTCACATTTGCTCGGAACACGAACTTCTCTACCACGCCCAGACAGTCTTACGACCACCGGACTGTGGGCAGAAAGTAGCCACGGCCTCCATGAATTGAACCACCACTATTCGACTTCCCACTCCCAAGGCGGCCGCGACCACGCGCCTGCCTGAGCCGTCACTCATTCCTAGCCTCGTCAACAGCCTGAGCTGCAAACGCGAAGATGGCGAGCCACGAGGGTTCACGAAAGCGACTTAAGATGTCCCGGAGCGAAGCAAGAACAGCAGGCACAAACGACATGGTATCCCTCGCCTCAGCATCAACCTCTGAAATGGTACCAACCACACAAGGCCCGTCATGCCACACCGGCGCCTGCCAGCACGAGCAGCATTTGAAAACCCTCAACACCGACGTCGACGCCATGCGCCAACTCATCACCTGCAAGATCTGCGACCGATTGCTCTACGAACCCTACGCTCTTTCATGCGGACACACCTACTGCTATCAGTGCCTGCGACAGTGGTTTGACAACAACCGGCACAAGAAAACGTGTCCCGACTGCCGCATGCTCGTCACCCAACAGCCGACACCTTCTTACGTCCTGCGAGAGCTGGTGCTGATCTTCGTGAGCCGTAACGAGCTGCTGCCAGATGGCGAGACGTCGGATGAGCATCATCAGTGGTCGAAGGAGGAGGCGGATTTGGTTGCCAAGGACAAAGCTAGTACTGATGCAAGAGAAGGTGGGCTTTTCAAGGGCATGTTCAAGAATGTACCCAGGCTGGTAGGAGGGCTGCGGGATGCTGGCGATGGCGTGGACAGGTGTCCACACTGCATGTGGGAGCTCGAAGGACCGGTGTGCTCGCATTGTGGTGAGAGGGTGGATGATTCGGACAGCGATATCACGGACGATGAGCTCGATCATGAGATCGACGCTGAAGATGCAGCGGCGTTCTTTGGAGCGGACGGTGCGGACGATTTCATGGACCCACAGTCCTTCGACGGCAGCTACGACTCAGAGCCAGACGGGCTTGGAATGGCACGGCTTGATGCCGAACAAGATGAGCTAACCAACTACATCAATCAGTATGGCGGCAGGAGGAGAGGTCATCGAAATCACCACACGATCGACTTGGTGTCCGAAGACGAAGAGGATGACTTTGATGATGATGACGCGGACGTGGATGGGGAGATGCAGGGGTTTGTGGTGGACGATGATGATGTCGATGGCCCGATCGAGCAGAGTGGATCAAGTGAAGACGACACAGACGTCCCGCGTCGACGCTTGGTGCGTCGCAGGAGCCCCATCACGATCTCGGACGACGAAGGCGATGGTGCTGCATCTGCCGGTGCGCCAGTGACGGAGGAGGATTCAGAGGACGAAGGGCCGATCGCTCGTGGCAGCCAGAGGAGCAAGCGTGGTGGGCGGGTACCCTTCAGAGGAGCACCAGCTTCACATTTCGTGGAGAGCTCTAGTGCCGGACCGAGCGATGGTGAGGATGACGAGATGGACCTGCCCGGGCGGCTTGCCGGCTTCTCGCCGCTGGACCAAGACGACAACAGGTCAAGTGACGGATCAAGTGAAGGGTCAAATGATGGGTCAAACGACGGCTCGAGCGATGAGCAGTCTGAGCCAGTGAGCTCCATCCATCCGATGAACGCCAGCGACGACGAGCTAGAGCTAGACGTTGATGACTTCGACCACAATGGGTACGGCGATGAGCATGACGACGAGGATGACGACGGGTGGGGTTCGCAACTCTCCTTGTCGGTTCAGGCAGCGAATGTGACTAACGTGTCGAGCAGGTACTGAAGTCGAGACGCCTCGCCGTTCGAGACCAGCACTGATGGCGGCTTCGCACCGGCTGCATACTGGAGCGCAACATAGACAGCGCCATACCTCCAACTTCAGCAGCCTCAGCAGCAACATAAGATCCCCACCACCACCTGCAAGGTACGCGTACATGGGCCACCGCACACTCGACCTACCAACCACACGCACGAATGCTCCTGGGGAGCGCACACGACACCGCAACACCCCAGCCACTCTCCGCCACGCTCAACCCGCCTTCAGAGCCCCGGCTCACCCTTTTCAACTCAGCAACACATTAGCATCCGTCAATAGTGCGTATAACCAGCGCGCTCATCAGAACACAGCTCAGCGATCTTCTCGCTACGAGCCGGAGTCTTCAGGCGAGAGCGGGAGTAGCAGAACCGTCGGGACGAATGATGGTGGTCGGGGGAGGAAGAGGACGCTGAGTATTGCATCTGATGACTTCCACTTGCCGTCTGACGTTAGCGTTCCGTCTGAGGGGGTTGAGTTTCAGAGTATGGTGCAGCGTGGGGAATGGGATGAGTAGCGCGGTGCGCGGTTTTATGAGTCTATGAGAATCACGCTGGAGATAATGATGGCTGGTGGGATTGAGTGCGGATGGTTTGACCACGACATCAACCCGGCTGGGGTGCATGCGATGTGGTGGGTTCATGATGTGGTGGGTTCATGCTGTGGTGGGTTCATGCTGTGGTGGGTTCATGATGTGATGAGCGATGCGCTGGACCAGCCTAGTCGTCTTACGACGGTGCTTGAGAAGCTTTATCTACGATAGCTTGTATTCGAGCCTTTCAGGTATTGAAAAAATACTCCCGCTCGCCCATATACAATTATGCCGATCGAGTCGTACTCTCTCGAAACTTGTGCAGGTACACGAGCTCAGCGCTCTGTGAATGGTGGCGGTTGGCATATGCCAAGCTGTGTGTTCAGACGATCACTTTGCTTCTTCCTCTTCCCCAAAATCGCGCAGTCGTAAATTGTGTTTGACGCGCACGCCGTCATCCATTCCCTTCGTCCACCTCGAGAACAACATCTCCATTGCGAGAGCCATCGCGACAGTATTTACCACGAGGCATTTTGGAAGGTGAGCGACGAGTCGGGCATGCGCTCCGGGAAAAGACACCGCCTTCAACGCTTGGGACTTTGCGGGAAATTTCTTCGCACTTTCTCCCTCTTCCTCTTTATTTCCTGCGACATTTCTTCTAACTCCTCATTCACAGAGGAACCTACAAGTACTTCGCATCGCCTTTGAGTCACATCAAAGGCTCTTCTAAACCTCACAATACGGTCATCAGCATCATCAGCAAAATTGCATCGCCACGAGCCTACCGCGACATCCTCAACAGCAAACCGCCACCCATTGCCTTCACCATCCGACCTCGAGCGTGTGTTGTTTGACCTGCAACACTCAGCCTCCGAGTCGCCAACCCCTCAGCTGCCGCATAAGAGCTACCTTGGAGTCCTTCCCTTCGCAGGGGAAGAAGACTCTGACGGGTCTCGCTACCTCAGTCTAGTACGCTTGGGCTTTGCGCCCTTCAAACCACCCTAACAGGACTTTCGAACGAACGGATATTACATCAACCAACCCTTGGGAGAACGGAACTGTTTCTTGCAAGGGAATGGCAGCTCGTGTTAGCAACACCTACACCCAGGAACACGAACAAGAACAACAGTTTTTGTCTTTGAAGACGAGTTACGACTCGTCGGACAATGTGTCCAACTATGATAGTGGGACGGAAGAGTGCTATGATGGGAAGAAGCTTGCCAAAGAGATGATTGGAGCTGCGCTGCAGAAGCATATCAGGACCGTCAACCCGCATGAGTGCGAGGATGGAGCCGAGGACGCGTTCTTCGTGGCCGACCTGGGAGAGGTCTACCGCCAGCATATGCGCTGGACGAAGCATTTGAAGAGGGTCACGCCGCACTACGCGGTCAAGTGCAACCCTGACCCGACTGTGATCCGCCTGCTGGCCGCCATGGGAACTGGTTTCGATTGTGCGAGCAAGACCGAGATTGAGCAGGTGTTGAAGCTCGGTGTGGACCCGGAGCGCATCATCTACGCGCAGCCGTGCAAGACGAAGAGCTACTTGCGATACACGGCAAACCAGGGGGTGAAGCAGATGACTTTCGACAACACCGACGAGCTGTACAAGATCAAGCAGATTGCTCCGGAGGCTGAGCTGTACCTGCGCATCTTAACCGACGACTCGGCCAGCTTATGCAGGCTCAGCCAGAAATTTGGCGCGAGCATGGAGAACACTCAGGAGCTGCTTTCACTTGCGAAGGACTTGGATCTTAACGTCGCAGGCGTGGCCTTCCACGTCGGCTCCGGCGCCTCCGACCCCAGCGCCTTCATCAAAGCCGTACAAGACGCTCGCACGGTCTTCGACCAAGCCGCCACGCTCGGCCACAGCCTCCACACGCTCGATGTCGGCGGCGGCTTTTCCTCGGACACCTTCGAAGAAATGGCCGCGGTGCTTTCCAAAGCTCTCGACGACTACTTCCCACCCTCCGTCCGCATCATCGCTGAACCGGGACGCTACTACACCAGCTCCGCCTTCACGATCGCATGCAACGTCATCGCACGCCGCACGGTCGAGGACAAGAGCCGAGGCGTCAAGAGCTACATGCTCTACCTCAACGATGGCGTCTACGGCAACTTCAGCAGCATCATGTTCGATCACCAACACCCTGTCCCACAAGTCCTCTCCACCGTGCGTCGACCAGATGGCTTCAATTACAGCGCCGACTCGCTCACTGACTCCGGGTACACGTCCGCCGAAGACTGCTCTCCAGGTCCGAGGGACGGAAAGATGATCGAGTACTCTATCTGGGGCCCGACCTGCGACGGGATCGACTGCATCTCCGAGAAGTGGACGAGTCCCGAGACGGTGGATGTCGGGGATTGGTTGTACTTTGAGGATATGGGTGCTTATACCAAGTGCTCGGCGACGAGATTCAATGGATTCACCGATCAGCACAAGACGATTTATGTTAGCAGTGAGGCGGGGGTTGCTGGGTTGATTGGGTTTTAGAGGGTTGGAGACGAGGTTTGTGGAAGTTTTCTTATTGCTATTGCGATAGACGGATATAGATGGGTAATGGTAACCGTATTTCTTAGTGCTATCACAATGTCTTTCCTGAAATCACATGAGGTCGAGGAGGTGAGGTTCACTTGAGCTTCACTTGAGCGCGGATCAGCTGAATATGGCAGGCGCGTTGAGGACGTGCCTTCCATGTGCGTGGGAGCTGCCCACAAAACCAGGTCTTCTGCTCTTCTTGCTTCCTTTCTTTTACATCTACCTCTACCTTCTCTTCATTCGACTGTACAGTACTACTGCCACTTGTGCTTGGTGCTTCACCATCTCGAGTCTGCTGCGCGCTTTCATCTGGTGTTCTCACGCTGCCCGTCACTGCCATCACCGCCCTCATCAAGACGGTCTCTCAGCAATCCCCGGACACCTGGATAAAGGTTTACACCACAATTCCCACCCACTCATACAACCAACATGGTAAGCTTGCCTCTCACCTCCATCGCTTCTCATGCTTACATCTTCAGGCGCCCAAGGTCAACTGCAACCCACTCAAGCTATCCAACATCGTGACCTACTTCCAGAAGTCTCGAGTCGCTCACACCCTCAAGGATCTGGAGAAGGCGCTGCCGAGCGTGGCGAGCATCAATGGGATGCAAGTGAAGGGTACGTGATCTCACTCTCTCATGGATCAAGATCAAGCTGACATTGCCTTAGACTACCTCCAACATCTCCAAGACGAGAACAGGATCTCAGTCGAGAAGATCGGCTCCGGCAACTGGTTCTGGTGCTTCCCGTCTGAGCAGAAGAAGATCCGCGAGCGAGCTCTGGCGGAGGCTCAGTCAACTCATGATAAGGCCGCCTCCGTGGTTAACGACCTAAAGCAGAAGCTCGCCGACATCAACGCTCAGCACGAAGACGAAGCCGAGATGCTCGACAATGGCGCCGAGAGCCGTGAGGAGCTTGTGGAGAGCAAGGCCGCCCTCCAGAGCGATGTGAAGAGGCTGGAGAAAGCTCTCGAGGCGTACCGCGACACTGACCCGACGGAAATCGAGCGCAAGAAGGCCGTGGTGCAGCTCTTACGCGATCAAGCGACCCAGTGTACCGAAGAAATCTATTCCATGGAAGGCTGGTTCAAAGAGAGGACGGGCAGTGACGAGGTCATCGCGGCTCTCCGCCAGATGATCGACTATGGTGCTGAGCTGGACGAGGAGGAGGGTGTGCTGAAGGAGCTCGTTTGAGGAAAAGATTCGAGAGATGTTGTTGCTATCTACGGCTGGAAGCATCTGAGGTCAGTTTGCTTACGATGTGTCTTGTACTTGCAGTTTGCTGTTACTTCTTGCCCCATCTTCGAGCTTTGTGCCCCTTCTCCGAAACAAGGTATGGTGCTACAGATCTTCTTGTTCCTTTTTCAGCTTGTCTCTTTCTTGGAGAAGATCACAATGACTGGGAGCGCTCCTGCCGTTTCTGGTCGCTCGGGAGCTCCCGCTGTTACACAGCATGTGACGATAAACAGCAAACTCTGCCGCCTCTCAGAAACCACAACAACTGCTTCAGCGACTTCTCACCAGCTACAGCAGCACATCACACACCACGCTTTCTGAGAAGCGGTCATTTTCTAGAGCATTGACGCATCTTCTCCAGCATCTAGAGCAGTTCTCAGCAGGTTTTCTTCCGCTATAGCAGCATACCACACACCACACTCTTCGAGAAGCGGTCACTCTTCTACAACATCAACGCACCCTCTCCGACATCGAAAGCAGTCACCAGCACTCGCTCGCTCGCTATAGCAGCATGCCAAACATCACGTATACGGAGAAAAGACATATTAATCGCGTTATCGAAAATGTCTCTCCCAATGCAAAACATAGGCAAAACGAATCATTACTCGCTATAGTGGCGGAATCAGCTAATCATAATAGAAGAACAGGCAGCAAAGACGTCCAATCTGACCGATCCCCAGCCCACGGCAGAATCTCGTATGCAGATGCGTGCTGCATATGACAGCGTCCGAGGCCGCAAAAACAGTCAGGGATGCTGTAAAAAAGCATCGCTACCCCAAAATCGATCAGGGAATGGCTGAAGGTGAGCAGAAGCATATGAGAATTACAAGAAGATGTCTGATCGCCGGGATCTGTCAGCGTTAAGGGCGAATGCAATTGCGATGAACTGGAGTGAGTTTGAGGTGAGCACTCTGCTGTCTTCTCTGGCGACGGCAGGCAGTGAGCAGTGGGAGATCGGCCGCGGTACTTACGCAGAGGCTGTTCGGAAGACGGAGAGCTTTGGGAGTCGTTCGGTGTTGGAGTTGAAGGCGAAGGCGAAAGAGTTGAAGTGCGAGTATCTGGATCGCGGAGTGGAAGTGCCAGCGGAGCTGGGGTGGGTGAAGGTCTTGTGGCCCAGACAAGGGTACCGGGGTGCATTGCGTGTTCTCGGCGGCGGAGAGGATGGGGAGGGCAGTATAGCGGGTGAGGAGGAGGCGGAGGCGTCGTCGGACGACGGAGAAGGCGAGGAGTGGGAGGTGGCGGGTGGGTGGGAGGGGCGGGGGGTGAACGTGGCGTTGCCTGTTCCCGCTGCCGGTGCTCGTCTGGTGGAGGATTCTCGTGGCGTACGTGTCCGTCGCGATTAGCTACGGCGTGGAGAAGGGATGCTGGTGTTGAGATACTGAGACTGGAATGTACTTGGTCTCCTGTACTATGGCCTCATTTCTGTGGTGTGATCAATGATTGTAGGGGGCGCTTGTTTCCTAACCAACTGGAGAAAAGGCGGCGTATCCGTGAAGCTAACATGCACATCACCCACCCATCTCCCAAACACCTTCACTAACGCCGCCAGCATAGCCACTGTGAAACGCATGGGAACAGCTCAATATGACCGAGAACATCCTTTGCACTTCATTCAAAACAAGTACACATCTAACACTCTCTAATCTCCAACCCTCACCTCCTCAAGCTGCCTCAAAACCTTCCAATACCTCCCCCGCGCACTCTCAGGCAACAGCTCAAACGCCTGCCGCGCCCTCTCACTCTGATACGGCAAGTCGTTGTCCTGTATCACAGCCAGCACATAATTCACCACCGTGGTCTCGCTGAGCGGAGGCTTGCGCAGCAGTCGGGCGACTTCGCGGCAGTTGAAGTTTTGATGATGCCAGAGGTGGTAGGCGCGGAGCTGGGAGGGCCTGCATTTGACGCCGGGTGCGAGGGAGGACATCCAGGCGCCGGTCCATTGTTGGGCGAGGTCTACCTCGGGTGAGGATGGGAGTGCGGATCGAGAGGAGGGCTTGGCTGCTTTGCTCTGCTTGGGCTCGGCGGTCTCTTTTTCTTCAAAGGAGTCCAAGGTCGGTAGTGACGGGTACGTAACGCGGATCCCAGCCAACGGCACACCTGCGGTGACAGAAGGGCCGACATCATGGGTGTCGTAGCTTTCCATTGCCTCGAAAAACTCGTCATCATCGTCATCGTCATCGACGGTGACTGGCTTCTTCTTTGCTGCAACTGTCGTCTTCTTCGCTGCGGATGGCTTCGCTGCGTACGGCTGCGCTGTGATCTTCTCCCCGTTGCCCAACGCCAACGGCTCGTCATCCTCCCACAGCCCTGGTCTTGGTGGCATGGGATCCATCTTCTTCCGCTTCGCCTCCAGCGCTTGGTAGAGTTGGAAGCCAGCATAGGCATCCGACGCCGCGTACTCAAGCTGATCAGGCTTCAGCTTCCTGCTCCAAGCGCTCGTGCGCACCTGACCTTTGTACAAAGGCAGCAGCAAAATCTCTTGAACCTGAGCAGCAAGATTCTTCAGCGTGCGATTGACCATTCTTGGCTGGTTCTCCGAGAACTTGACAACCTTGTAGAGATGGCTGAGTTCAAAGTAACCACCAATGCGCACTTTGAGGCATTGCTCGAGGCGTTTAGCATCGCCAGCAACATTGACGCCGGTTTTGGCTATGCTCTTGGACTCCAGAATAGTGCGAAGAGTCGGAGGCAGAAGCTCCTCCGCTGTCTCGCCCTTGAACAACGCCAGCTGAAACAGACCAATCCTGTGTTCGGACGAGATTTGGATGAGTGAAATGCAATCTTTGGTGCTGGCCCGGAAGGGCCAAGCGTTCATCTCCCATTCCAAATCAAAGCCCAGCACAGATTCGTCGAGAAAATGTTTCGCCTGGGTCTCAGCTTGTTCGTACGTGGTGCAGTAATGGACTGTCGGGTTCTGCCCTCTTTCATTTTTGTAAAGCTTGTACGACCAGAAGGCGGCATTGGTGCTTGGAGAAGCAATGGCAGCTTTGCGGTAGTCCTCAGGTGATATGCGGTAAGAAGGTTCAAAGTGCTTGTCGAGTGGAGTGCTGGGAACTGGAGCGGACCGTCCGCCTTCGTGTGACTCCATGTTCTTGTCGATGATGCTGCTGGTATCAGAAGCGGGCTGGGCGCTGCTCTCCCGTTCCATGTCGGACATGGCTGATGGCAAAGATTCCGCTCTGTCAGAGAGATTCATCTCGTCGTCGGCTGGTAAGAGCTTTTCGTCGTCTGAGAGGCGAAGAGTCGAGGCAATCTCATCGTCGGACGGTAGATTCTCCGCGTCGGCTAGGAGGTCATGGTCGGCATCATATGGATGGTCCTTTGATTGCACATGGCCGTGCTCATAAGAGGCATCTGAATCCACATCGCTCACTCCGGTAGACCGTAGATTGTCTGCCAACTCAGCGATGCTCATAGTACCCTGCGCAGGAGGGGCTGCCCACTGATCCTCCTGATGGAGCCGCGCCATGAACACATGCACTTGCTGGAGCGGCCGAGTGGGCTGAAGGTTCAGATGTCGATGACCCTGCCCAGCTTGAGGTAAAAGGTAATGGCTAGCCTGCTTTGTCGGTTGTTTGGCTTTCCTTCGAGCCGCTCTCAGCTCCCGGCGCGATGTCGCTATTCTGCGGAAGCTGCTGGACGGCTTGGTGCTGACAGTAGGCTTCTGGCCTTGGTCCTCTGTCTCTGTACGACCAGCTGACTCATCGCTCGCAGACTGCTCTGACTGTCCATTCTCTACCTGGTGCGCTGTTCTAGCCAAAGCTTTCTCCGAATTTGCTATCGCCGCTTCCTGTCGTTTGACCTCGTAGTCATGCTTCGCCCTCGCTGCGGCGGACGTCGCGTCAGCCCGCTTCACCACCAGCTTGTCGCGATGAAGCTTCTGATATGCAAGTTTGGTCCGGTCGCGTTCCGCTTGTAGGATTTTGCGAGCTTCGCTGCCTGGCAGGCTTGCTGCAATCTGTTTGTTCAGCTCCTCTAGATGCGCCTCCAGCTGTCCGAGTGGTCCAGAGGAACGCGCACCGACAGATCGAGGTCGTTCGGGCGCTGCAATCTTCCGCTGACGCTCGCGTTCTTCACTGATCATCTGCCGTTGTTCCCGATGTGTGCTTGGGATACGACGCATACTCGCTCGGCGCCGTCGCGTCATGCCGAGGAGCACTTCATTGGCGACTTCCGACTCGCGCTTGATCATAGTGTCGAATTCGCGGTCGAGTGCGCGCCCGTCGGCAGCGCTTTGATCGAGATGTGCCTCGAGAAGATGCTTTCGTCGTAGGATCGGTATGACCTCGTCGATTTCGTGCTTCAGTGCAGCCCGGCGCTTGTCGAGGTCTCTGTAAGCATCGGATGCCGAGCGACTGCCTTCAGGGTCGGTGGGTTTCTTTTGTATGAGATCGTTCATGCGGCGAATGACGACCCTCATCGCTTCACGTGCAGGCATCAGGTCAAAGAACAATGCTTTCTCGTGTAGCGCGACATGCTTGAGGGCAGTCAAGCGTTGTACGCTCTTGGCCTTTGCAAGATATGTCATTAGATTTGCAGAGAAGTCTAAGGCATCCGCCGTGGATTGAATTTCGTGTGTCAGGTCTTCTTTTCTTTGCGACGACTGAGTGGTGGCTCTGCGGTCGCTGAGAACCTTGAGCTCCCGCTGCTTCCTGGACATCGTGTTGCCAACCTCGTTATGGTCATAATCGTGGAGCAGGGCTATCGCATCGCTGTCGTTTGGTGCGTCCTCAAATCGATGATATTTGGCGAGTGTGCGATGCATATGTCCACGAATCCATAGCTCGTCATCAAGGTAATGCAAGCGATTGCAGTCCTGGTCGTAAGATTCGAAAAGTTCCCGAGCGCGATTTCGCCCGAGTGTAAAGTACTGCTCAAGATGGCCAGCCAGTTCTGGGTAGTTTTTATGTAGGTGTTCTGGTCTACCAACCACGAACTGGTTCTCAACATCTTCCCATTGAGCGTAGATGCGCCTCATTTGCGCCAAGATATCCCCCAAAAGCATGCGCACCTGACGTTGACGTGTCAGAGAGTCCCGCACGTTGGACCAGACTGCGTGGTAAGCATCGTAATTAGATCGACCAGTTTCCTTCCGAAGCAGAGCATCCGTCAAGGCCCTTTGATGTTCTCGCTCTTCAATTTGATTCATGTCTTGCTGATAGCGCTCCATCTGCGCCTTGAGATGCCGCATCCTATCGGCCATGGAATTCTCAGAGAACTTGTGCGACTCTTGCTGTTGTCTTTCGCGGAGCAGCTTCATTTTATGAACAGCCTTCTGCTCCTTGTGGACAGCTGCCCAGTGGTTCCTCAAGCGTTCCTCCGCTTGCCGATCCGCCGTGACTTGGGCGCCCTTCCGTCCCTCCGCCAGGGTAGTGTCGATTTCCGATTCCTTTTGCCGAAGTCGCAGCTGTTTCGCCTCAAGCTGTTTGTCTAGGGACTTCAAGTCGCTCTGTCTCTTGTCGAGACCATCAAGCACGTCCTTAGTCCTTTCAATCTCCTGCTGTGCCGTCCACGTAGCTTCTTGAATCTCTTCCTGTGCCGTCCGCTTAGCTTCTTGAATCTCTTCCTGTGCCGTCCGCCTAGCTTTTTGATTCTCTTCTTGTGCCGTTCGCTTGATCCTCTCCGTCTCTGTGCGTGCTGCTGCAATGCTCTGTTCGACTTTTTGCTTCTCGTCCTTCATATTTGCGAGAGCGCGCTTGAGCTCCTGTATCTCAAGGGCCTGCCCTCCTTTGTCTCGAAAAGAGCTCTCGTTGGGCTCTGGCTGTTCTCCACGGGGAGAAATTCGACTGGGCTGCGATGGCGGCGCTCTCGGGACAGCTATTGCACGTTTTGCAGCGTAGCTACGCCGTGACCCCGGCGATACAGCGAAGTCCACGGACTTGTCGTTGAACCATCGAAAGCCACCGACGTCGCGCGGCTTGCTAGATGCAAGTCTCCTCGAGTAACTATTGCGCTGATCCGCGTACCGTATTGACCTCGCTTTCGTCCGCGACGTTGGTGCTCCAGTGTTATCGCTGTCGGCCCCAGAGAAGGATGGACTGCTGTAACGCCGCCACGGAAAGGTTGCGATCTCGAAGATGTGGTCGTGGCTCTTGGGTCGTGATGTGGATGCCACAGCGTCCATATAGACGGGACGCAGCGCCTGGCTTCCCATCGCTAGCCATGTTGCTGCCTACTCCTAATCGTCCTGGTGTTTCAATGCAGCGTCGTCGTTGAAGTGTTTCCAATGAAGTCCGACCTTCCCCAATGTCTCAAGACGGCATGACGGGTGGTCCCGGAGCTAGAAACGCGAAAGCACGTGAAGGCAAGTATTTTTACTTCCTCGACTACACAAATCAGACATGCCATCCATCTGCTAGTACGCACTCTCCGACGATGGCATCGCAGCTGCTCCCTCTCGAGCTGATCGACCGGTGCGTGGGTTCGCGGATATGGGTCATCATGAAGGGCGACAAAGGTGGGCTTCACACCGACACCGATATGCTGCATTCATTGATATAGTCACAGAGTTCAGTGGCACGCTGCTCGGCTTCGACGACTTCGTCAGTACGTGATGGCGAAATGCTGACGTCTTGCTCCAACGCTGACTGCTCACAGACATGGTGCTGGAGGATGTGACCGAACAGTATGAACAGCCATCTTATGGCGCTTGGGCGCAGCGCTGATGTTACTCCAGCGACTACTCTGGTGCTCAAACCAAGCTTCCCAAGATCTTGCTCAATGGCAACAACATCTGCATGGTACGAACGCACGAAGATGGCCATTCCATGTACTGACGTTATGCAGCTGATACCAGGAGGCATGCCGGAGGGTGATGAATGAAGCGGGATATCGGTACAATCGAAACATGTCAATCCACGTGCTCCATCAACCGCGTGATGAGTCCACGGAAATCGAGGCGAAAAGCGTTGGAAGATTCATTGACCAAGCGAGCCAGCCGCTTGAAGGGGCATGTCCAGAGAGATCAAGCCAGACCACCTCCATGAACATCGTCTAGCAGGAAAGGGGCAGAACGATATGCTCGCTGAATGAGGTAGCCCTCGCACAATTCCTCTCCCGATGAGTGAGGCATGCAGGGGCGTCTGTCGAGGCGTTCCTGCATTGCCTGTGACTTTGAACATGCCTTCTTCTGTGTGGTCCGCTCAATATCGGGCCCTCCAGCGCTATTGTCCACATCGCTCGACAGAACGGCTTTGCTCAAACCCCCCTGCGAGCACATCATCTCATCGGCCAATTTGTCTTGCTCGCATCTGTGTGAGCTGGCGAGGGTGGTGGCAGTCAATCATTGTTCGATGTCAACCGCATTCGCCACATCCGCCCGTCCGCACATATCAGCATCACCCGCAAACGCCTCAACAGTGCCGTGATATCCTGATCATCTCCATACTGCGTCTCCACAATCTATTGACACCTTGAAAGACCAGCATGCTAGACTGTATCCTGCTTAGCCTGAAACCGGCAATAGACATGGCCGCTTGCATCTCAGGCACCGGATAAAATCCAACCTCCTTCCCCAGACCCACCCCAGCACCTCATCTCCATGCAACTGTATTTGCCGATGCGGCTCAAAGGACACTGCCCACCCTGATCGAGCCACATGGGCTCCCAGTCTGGGGAAATTGAGGATCATGCACCGGCGCCTCGCTAATCTAAATTCTTGTCCAGAACCACGATGCTTGACTACAGTCGACAATCGACAGCGAGCAGGGACTCCCTCTCCCACTCGTCTGGCTAAATAGCCTTGCGATATATAGAAGAGGGTGCGGCACATGGTGCTGCTAGGTCTTGAGGTTTGTGGATCCCTTCTTGCCTTCACGTTCATTCGTTCTTTTACTCTCCTTGTTGACTACAGCTCAACATGTTTTCTCTCCCAGCCTTGGTAGCAGCAGCGGCGCTGGCGGGAAGCCATGTGTCTGCTCAGACTCCCCAGGCGGTCACGGCAAGCAACGCCGGCACTTCCTTGACTTTCATCTACCAGAACAACCTCAATGCCTCCGATGACTCCAACCACCGGGGCGCCATCTTGCTCGACCCGATGAGCGCGGCGGATGGCAAGGCCGCATGTGCTGCGCTGGGTGAGACTCTGCTGCCGGCGAGCACGATCAAGAACCACAGGTCCGACTTCGTGCACTCGCTTGCTTACCTCGAGTTTGCGAATCTGGCCAAGCAAGGCCAGCAGTTCTACATCGACAAAGGCGTGGTCACCGTGACGGAGAACCCGGAGAAGCTCAAGTTCTCGAAGCACAACCCAGGCACTGGTGAAATGCCGGTTCTCTGCTCGCAATCCAGCAACCAGAACAACCCGAGCAACGCCAAGGCCAGTTCGTCGAACGAGATCACGATCAAGTCTTCCGGAAACACCTACGTTGGTTTCAGGAACCAGAAGTCCTTCCGATTCGTTGGGATCCCATACGCCAACCAGCCCGGTCGCTTTGAGTACTCGACAGTCAACGACCAGAAAGGTCAAGTCATCTCGGCAACCACCTACGGACCGGACTGTGCGCAGCAGTACGACAGCGGCAGTGAGGAGAACTGCTTGTTCATGAACATCCAGACGCCTTACATTCCCAAGGCTGGCAGCAGGAAGAACCTTCGTCCGGTACTCATGTCCATCTACGGAGGTGGTTTCACCGGCGGAAACTCAGGACCTAACAGCGGACTGGACACTGGCAACTTGGCTTCTCGCGAAGACATCGTGGGCGTGCAGTTCAACTACCGTCTGTCCACGCTCGGCTTCCTTGCTATTCCAGGTACCAAGTACCGTGGCAACTACGGTATCTCCGACCAGGTGACCGCACTTCGATGGGTGAAGCAGAACATTGCGCAGTTCGGTGGTGATCCCAACCGCATTACGATCATTGGCGAAAGTGCCGGTGCTGGCTCTGTCAGAGCCCTTCTCGGCTCGCCGCCAGTCATCGATGAAGGTCTTATTGACGGGGCTGTTGCTCAGAGCAACCTCGGTGGCGGTGTGACTCTCGGACTCAATGGCGATTACGGCACTACTTACAGCTCCTACCTCACCGTTCAGCAATCCTACAGGCAAGCAGGTCAGCAGATCTTTGAGGCTGTGGGCTGCAACCAGACTTCGCTTCAAGACCAGATTCGCTGCTTGAAGAACGTTCCGTGGTCAGACATCCAATCCTTGTCCACTGTAGCCCGTTACGTGGTCCAGGATGGCTACTACGTCAATACCGAGCAACTCGACGTCGTTAACACCAACGGCAGCACTGCCGACGTTCCTGTCATATTCGGCACGACTGCCAACGACGGCGCCAGCTTCTCGAACTTCCCACCGAAGAGCATCACGAACGAAGCTCAAGGCATCGCAGCCTCTCTTGGTATCTCCCTCGACTACGCCCAGCAGATCATTCAGAGCGGCCTCTTCCCTTACTACGACACCGGCAACCTCACCCTCGACAGCTTCAACGTCTCCCAGCGCGTCGCCACCGACAAGACCTTCCGCTGCATCGACGAGGCCACCGTCTACGCCGGCGCAACCAGCGGCGCCTTCGAAAAGGCCTACTACTACACCATGACCCGCACCTACGAGGGCTACGACCCCAACGGCCTCGGCGCTACCGGTCTCTCCCAAGGCCCCATCTCCCCCGCCTACCCCAACGGCAATCCAGAACTCCCATACTTCCGCCTGCACGGCTCCGACCTCGGCTTCACCTACGGCAACCAGAACCCGCTCCGCGACGCCAACGACTTGAAAGCCAGCCAGCTGATCTCGGGCTATTTCGCGCAGTTCGCGAAGACGGGTGACCCGAACCCTTCGCTGGAGTATCTGAAGGTCAGAGGGTACACGAACACCACTCGAGGCGTGAAGACCAGCGGTCCATGGAACGAGGTCTCAAGCCAGACGGGACCGACGAAGAATCTGGACTGGCCGGCGCCGACCGTAGAGTTCCCGGATCTGCCGCAGTGTGCGTTCTTGAACTACTCGATTAGCTACTATCTTGATAGCAACAGGGGTTGAAGAACGTCGTGGGTAGTGGTTTGGAAAGTGTTTGTTGTATAGTTTCCGCGATAGTGTCATCATCAACTTGAGAGCTCAAGATTTCTTCCAACTCTTCGATCGATTGAGGACGCCCAAGACCTACAGTCCCACCGGAGACGCGGTCTTGTCACTGTATCATGTGGCGAGTGCTGCGCCGGAGTGCGGAAGAAGTTCGTAGGAAAATTGATTGCTATCAACTTGAGCGAGGCTCGGAGCTATACACGATGCTTGAGGGGGTGCACCTCAAGCATCTCAAGTGCGCCCGAGCGTTCTCAAGTGCTCTCGAGTGGTCACGTGGAAGGTGGTTTTACCACAGGACTTGTAGAGCTGCGACACGTGACGATCAAACGACAGGAACGAGGACCGAGAGGGGGTGGGGAGTCCGCGAAACTACTGCAGCTGTCGGAGCCTATTTCAGAGACATTGCCACGAAAGACATTATCGTCCATTCGTTCACGGTACACATTCAAAGTCCAGAACTAACATGTCGAGGTCGTGGAGAAGTGCAGTTGCCGGAAACTCGCAGTTGCGAAGACATCTCCCTGAGCAGGCTGGAGCACTACGCCTGTATTCCAGAGACACATACTTCCAAAGTAGGCTCAATGGAAACACCACCCGGTCGAAGTCAAAACGCGAAGGACGGTTTGACTCCATGATATGATGAGGAGAGTCCACCGGCTCCGAGGCATAGGGCATACCTTGCAGAGCTGCTCGACATGCCCTGAGAACCTTCCTGTATACCACAATACGAAGTTATAGCAAGAAGCGTTCCTCCCTGAGCACCCCTGGCTCTCATCCCACCAGCAGGAAACGAACATGCCACACAGTGTACCTGGACAGTCAAAACTCAAGACCATCCTGGCTCTTCTGCTGGCGAGATCAAAGATGAAGTCGACTGGTCTGGAGGACATCAGCACCGAGTTGGCTTCAGCAACCGGGATAATCGTCAGCCAGGTCTTACGCACCACGACGATGAGCATGAGGATGATAGTCGACCGCAGGTAAATGGTGGAACTGAACCCCAGAGCAACCCATCCTCGAACGAAGGACTCCTGAGCTTCCGAGACATTGTTTCTTATCGCCGAGATCATAATACTGCCAATACCGAGGAGCGGCCGCAAGGATGGCGAGATGTGTTCGATTATACCGAGGATTATGTTAAGAACACTGAAAGATGGCCTGCTAACATCAAGCGAGAGCAACAACAAGCCCAAAAGAAAAAAGAGGCAAAGGCTGAAAAGTCACAGACTGCTAATTACTAGTTTGCTGGTACGAATGGGTCCGAATCAGGACAGGAAGGTGAAGAGGCAAAGTGGAAGCGGCAGACCGGCGCGAGGGATGCGCATCACGGTGCACGTGCAGTAGGTCAGTCAAATGGAAACGATGTTCAAGACAGCAAGAAGGAGAACGAGGATCAAGAGCTTCTCAAACGCTACTCGCCGCAGGAGATTGCACTTCTCCGAGCATTACAACACGAGAAGAAGTATCGTCAGGGTCTTCGAGCAAACGATGGCAAACGCAAAAGTCCACAGACTCACAACAGGTCCACCATTGCCATTGATGTGGCGGATCAGTTCACTCCCGATAACTGGCTACCTAGGTCTGGCCATCTCATCCGACTGACGAGCAATCACCCGCTGAATGCTGAGCCAGAGCTGAGTCTGCTCTATCAAGCCGGCCTGATCACGCCTAACGAACTCCATTGCGTGCGCAACCATGGCGCTGTGCCACGCCTATACTGGAATACTCACAAGCTGGATATTGAAGATGGGAAATTGGTCCTCTCCATGTCTGACTGGACGAAAAGATTCGAGAGCATCAACATCCCGGTATGTATTGCCTGCGACGGTAACCGCCGAAAGGAGATGAATTTAGTCCGCAAGTCAAAGGGCTTCAACTGGAGCGTAGGAGCAGGCGGCTGTGCCTATCGGAAGGGCGTACCCTTGTGTGATGTTCTCGCTGCGGCTGGCGTTCGAGCGGATGGGCAGCGTTGGGTCAATTTTGAAGGTGCGGACGAACCATCTGAAGGAAAGTATGCCACCTTCATCCCCCTTGCGTACGCTATGGATCGGACCAACGACGTGCTTCTGGCGTACGAAATGAACGACCTCCCACTGCCGCCAGACCATGGATACCCGCTTCGGCTGGTCATTCCAGGCTACGTAGGCGGGCGACAGATTAAATGACTAGCCAAGATCTGGGTCTCAGAGACTGAGAACACAAGCCACTACCACATATGGGACAACAGAGTACTCCCTTCGTTCATCACCGAGAAGGACAGCAGCTTCGCAGAGACTATGTTCTCTCACCCCGACACCGCTTGCAACGAACAGAACCTCAACTCAGTCATCGTCAAGCCATCTCAAGGAGAGAGGTTAAGTCTCGCACAAGCCAAGGTCGGGCAGTCATACCGCATCGAAGGGTATGCCTACGACGGAGGCGGCAAGGAAGTCGAACATGTCGAAGTGTCGCTCGACGATGGCCAAACCTGACTCTACTGCATTCGAACGTTTCCAGAATATCCCATCCGCCACGGCAAGAAGTTCTGGATCTGGCTGTCCTGGCATGTCGATGTCTCTATAGTGCATCTGCTTCAGGCCAAGACTATCACAGTCCGAGCATGGAACGTCTTCAAGAACACTCAGCCGGAGCATCTGAACTGGAACATCATGGGCATGATGAACAATTGCTGGTACAAAGTGAAGACCGGGATCGATTGCACGGATGGCGCAGGTCCGTTTGTCTTGTTCCGTCATCCTTGCGAGCCCACGGGGAACGGCGGATGGATGAAGACGAGCGTTGAGAACCAGATCCAGAGCGCGAAGCAAGAAGCCGGCGCACCGACGAAGCAGTTCACTCGGCAGGAGGTTGAGAAGCATGACAAGGAAGACGATTGCTGGCTTGTTGTTGACGGGAAAGTGTACGATGCTACTTCAGTCTTGTGCTGGCATCCTGGAGGCAAAGCCTCGATACTTGGACGCGCTGGTAGGGTGCATCACGATACTACAGACCAGTTCGCAGCTATTCATGACGATTTTGCCTACAAGAACCTGCACGAGTGCGCCCTGGGTGTCGTCACTGAGAAGGCGGCGAACTTCATTAAGGCCGAAGCTGAAGAGACTCGCGAACAGGAAGGCGAAGGAGAAATCTGCAGGAGATCACGTGGTGTTGCGGAAGAAGCGGTGGGTGCCAGTGACTCTAACGGCTGAGAAGGAGCTTTCGGAGGACACAAGGCAGTACACGTTTCGCTTGCCAGAGGAGAATCTGGGTCTAAGCACATGTCAGCATCTAAAGATTGGTGTCCACATAAGGGATAAGATGCTCATACGATCATATACGCCCACGAAGCCTCTGTTGCCTAGTCCAAAACCAAGCGATGGAGCAACCAACGGCGAGACAACCTTTCCTGGAGCGGACTATCTACCAGACGGGGAGTCAGCCTTCCGACATTGTCGTCAAAACCTACTTCCCAACTGCCTCCGTACCAGGCGGCGCAATGAGCAACATCCTCGACTGCATCCCCATCGGCGAACAAGTCGATTTCCAGGGCCCCACAGGCCGGATCGTCTATCAAGGCCAAGGCAATTTCGAGATCGAGGGCAAGCAGAACACGTTCCGCAAGATCTCGCTTGTGCTGGGTGGCAGTGGCATCACTCCAGGCTATGCGTTGATAGCGCGAGTAGTGGCGACTGCGGACGAGGATGTGGAGGTGCGGGTGGTGGATTCTAATAAGACGGAGAAGGATGTTCTGCTTCGTGAGCAGCTTGATCATTTTGAGAGGACGAGTGGGGGAAGGGTGAGGATTGCGCATGTTCTCAGCCATCCGAAAGAGTCGTGGGGAGGTTTTAGAGGCCATGTGGAAGGGAGGATTATCAAGGAGAGCTTGTTCCCGCCTGAAAATGACAGCGTCGCTTTCTTGTGTGGTCCTCCGGGGATGATTCAAAAGGCTGCTTTACCTGCGTTGAGAGGTATGTCTCTCGCTTGTGCCAGACCATGGTATCTAATGCTGACGTGGTTTTAGAATGGGGCTATGTGGAAGATGAGAATCTATTCGGCTTCTGAAGGAATAGTTCAGGCTGTTCACTTAACAGACGAGCATAAGAATCAATCCAACCCACTAGACAAACTAATCCCCATTCAAGATTTCATACGCAATCTTCTCCGCAAGCCCATACACAGTACCCTGCGGGTGACCCGGAATGAGCTTCGGGAACGAGCTCGCATCCACCACTCGCAAGCCCTTCGTGCCGAAAACCCTCGCCTTAGAATCCAGCACGGCCATGTCGTCGCTCTCCTGTCCCATTCTGCACGTACACGCCGGATGAAACACCGTATCAGCGCTGCGCCGGATGATGGCCTCGATCTGTGCATCCGTCTGTACATCCTCGCCAGGGTAGACCTCGCCGCCGATGAGCGCCGGCTGCATCGCCTTGGTCTCGAAAAGCTGGCGTACCCGCTTGAAGGCTGCAATGAGGATTTCCATATCACGGGGGTCGGTCAGCCAGTTCGGGTTTACGAGCGGGTGGTCGGCAGTGTCTTTGCTGTTGATCGTTACGTTTCCACGGCTGAAGGGAGCGATGATGGTTGCAGCCATGGCCGTGTAATTCTTGAAGTCGGGGGCAGAAAGGAGGTAGTCGTCGTTCGTGCTTGCGTAAGCGTCCTGGTTGAAGTACTCAACATCGGGCCAATCACCACCAAATTCTGCATCGAGATCGTCGCGAGTGGACTGGCTGATGCTGCCTTCGGGAAGCCTTTCGAAGGATATGATGGTGCCGCCGGGGTTGGTGTTCATTCCGGTGCGGCTCTCGATGTACTCTGCGTTCTGAGCGGCGAGGTAATCTGGGTCCGCGAGGTAGGCGATGGTCTCGACGTCGACTTCGCGGGTGATGGCGGACCAGATGTGGTCCATCATTCCCTGCCCCACGCCTTCCAGAGCGGAGACTTCCTCAATACCGTTGTCGGACAGGGTCTGCGACGGTCCTACGCCAGAAACCATAAGAAGTTGAGGCGAGCGGAAAGCGCCGGCTGAAACGATGACCTCCTTGGTTGCATTCAGCATGAAATTGACCTTGCCGCTGCCGATGCCTGAGACTTCCAACTCGACGCCGTAGGCACGCTTGTTGTCGTTGAACAGAATCTTCTTGGCCAGCGTCTCCGTGAAAATCTGGAGGTTGAAATTCTTCTTGATGGCATCCCGGAGCATTGATGTCTCTGAGCTGGATCGTGTCTGTGTGATAGGATCGATCGTGTCGGCGCAATTCATCCAGCCCAGAAGGTTCCCATCGACCATACCAGGAAGCTGCTTGAGACCCAACTCCGACAGCCCAGCACCGATGTAAGCGTTAGACGGCTCCAGGAACCGGGCATACGAGACCTGCAGGGGTCCGCCGTTCTGGTTGTAGTCGCTCTCGTCATAGAGCGGCGTCTGTTGGCAAGTCGACTTCTTCTTAGCAAGCCCAGGCGCTTTGGAAAGACCAGGAGCAGTGGCAGGTGGCCCGTGTCCTTTGCCATTTCCATGCTTCGCTGGGCTGGAAGAACATCCAGGAGGAACGGAGTCCAAAGACTCAGGCGGCGTGAACTGCACTGGCTTCTTCATGAACTCGTTGAACGAGTCGAAGCTCCAGCTGTCGTCGCCAGTCATGTTCGCCCATTGGGAGTAGGCAGTTCGGGCACCCCTTTGGTACCACATGAAGTTGCGAGCGCTACCACCACCTAAGGTGTGGCCTTGGGAGAAGAGCACGCTGTCATCGTTGAGGCCGGCTTGAGGAGTGGTTTGTTGGAACCAGTCGATCAGGGGGTTGTTCCATAACGGTGCCTTCCCGAGGTAGTAGACTGAGTTGGCTGGTACTTCTGTGAGGTTGGAGTTTTGGATTCTGCGATAAGTTAGTGGCAGTTCATGGAGAGCGGAGCATGGGAACGCACTCGTAGAACCCTCCAGCCTCTATCACAGCTACCGTGTTGTTCTCAGCCAGTCGATTCGCAACAGTCAGCCCACCAGTGCCGCCGCCGACGACAATGTAGTCCTGGACATCGTCAGACACTCAAATTTCCGTCTCATACAGCAAAGGGAAAACTCACGAACGTCTGAGGGATATCAATCAACCCAAAATGCGACCCGAGCAGGCTCAAACTCTGCAGCCGCTCATTGTAAGGGTTCTCAGCATCAAACCCGCTCTGCCGTCTCGAGAGCGCGGCCACCAACTGCACCCCAAACAACAGTCCATAACAGAGCTTTGCAACCGTACTATTCCCTGCCATAGCGACGATTATGCAATGTACGACAAAGGAGTGTAAGAAGTAGAGTGAAGAGAGGTCGGACTACTGCGTCTGCATCAAGCCACCCGGAATAAAGTGAGGCCCGTACGAAGATTATACCTTCTGCAGGCCAAGGCGGTCGACCACATGGCTGTGGGGCGGAAACCCGTTCGTCTCGAGTCAAACAGTCTCAACCCAGATTGGCTTCTGCGCTAGAGAAGGCAATGTGCAATTCCCGAAGTTGCGCCCGGTGGTTAGCGATAGACTTATTGTTCCTTTGGGGCGGAAAGTGTGGATCATTTGGTTGGCTTTGTTGCTTGGTTCTGGATCCCGCCAGATGCGATCAATGCGTGGTAGCAGCACGTGGTAATCTTGTAGGTCCGCCATGACAGATTCGACATGGGGGCGTTCATTGATCACGGAAGGGGCATGCCGAAAGGTGGAAATATTGCGCATGAGGCCTTTACAGCCGATCAGCAGCGCGAGGCACAACTGAGCAGGTATTCTACAGCATACATGCATGAAGGTCATCCTGTTGAACCCTCGTATATGTATCATGTAAGGTACTGTTAGCCCTTATACTCAAGACCACCTCTCAGTACTTCGACCTGCCCATGTACTCTTCCTCCCAGTGGAAGTCGGTCTTCTGGTACACCACGTTCCTAGATCCACAGCACAGATGATCAGCATTCTACCACCGTTGCTGTAGCACAGCTGTGCCCTAGAACAAGCGCAGGAGATCACATACCTATTCAGCGAGCTCTGACTTCCCGTCTCAACATTGTCCCTCACGTCCATCTCAATCTCATCCCCACGCCCGGTGCAATTGTTATGCTGCTCAGCCGTGGCATCTGGACGAAACGAGTGCAGCACACCTCGAGAATCCTGCTTCTTACTGCGCGTCCAGTTTCTCGAGCCACCGTCTTTTGAGGCATGGCCGTTGCTGCCGGACTTCACGTAGCTGTCGTAACCGCTCCGCGTCAAAGCCAGGCCGGCTTGTCGGGTCTGAATGTCCGCGATGAAGCTGTTGATGCGAGGGATCGTGGCTGTGATGATTGATAGATGGACGATGGATCTGCTCTTAGTTAGCCTTCCGGCTTCGATTTGCTGCGATCAAGGTCGGCCTCACATTGTAATAGTCCAGTACGTCACCTCTGTCCAGGTGTCGTCGTTGCTGTGGAACGGATGATTAACCCGGAGGTGCCCAAGTACGCCCAGCTGCCCGATCTGGAGCGCGCAGACCAGGACTCGAGAGCCCATCAGCATGATTGGGAGGACTCGGTCCTTCGTACGGGCCTGCAGCTTCCAGATCCGTGGCACCATCCACACGGCCAGCATGAGATCCGTCACAAAGTTGAGCGCAATGACCACGAACTCAACCCAACTGCCGGCGGAGCATGATGCGTCCCAGTCGACCTGGACACCGCAGGAGAAAGCGGTGCCGATGAATGCGAAGACGACCCAGAAGCCGATCGCGGATAACAGAATCGTAATGCCCTTCTTGTCCTGCCGCGGAGCAAGACGTTCATACAAGAAGGCAACGCTGACCTTTGCCGCAGCTTGAGACACAATTCCGAGCAGGCCGGTAGCATAGGTGAGTCTCGTGTACGCTTCGAGCTGGGAGTGCATCAGAGTCGCAGCATGTCGTCCCAATCCCTCATCGACCGCTCGTTCGAGCAGGATGCTCGTTACAACGGCGAGCAGCTTCGTTCTGTTAGTGTATCTCTTCTTGTGAAGCGGGGAGGATGACCATACGGCTCCAGCAATGAATAGATAGTCATCGCGCCTCAGATCGTGCTGCTTCTTGAGCGTAAGACCGACGCGGATCAAAGACACGAGGACCGTGATACTGGCTCCGATGTAGCCCAAGACGACTGGAGGTGCCCCTTGATCATTCTTCGTGTTGGCGAACAGCGGCGGGTATGCGTTGGAAGGCATTGTGCATGCTGCTCTATCGCCGCGACAGTCGAACCTGCTCAATGTGTGCGGACAGTATCGTCAAAGGCAGCGCGGATCGGTGCGAGAGAAGAAAGGCTTGCAGGATCGATAAGCAGGAAGTCCTGACTTGGTTCTCCAGGTGGGCCGCATTAGCTGTTGGTGCCAAGGTAGGGAGGTAGTTTCGCGCAAGACCACTCTGATGATCATTAGTCCTGATGGCCCTATGTCGGGTGAAGAGGCCACCGCGGGGATGAGGCCAGTTCGTTTGGTCTTTTCGAGAAGCGCGGACGCCAGGAGAGCAGAGTTCAGATTGCGACAAAGGGCCTCTGCAGAAATGGTCTCGCAATAGGGCTGGCAGGGTGACATCGCACAGGAACCGGAAGCTTGAAGCCAGAAGCCGCTGAACTCTCTCTTGATGAGTCGAGATGTTGAGAGCGGAGGGAGGGCATGGAAGAACTTCGGCCAGGCATTCGAAGCTCTTGGCCAGGGAACAAGGTGGAGTGTTAGGTTCGACCATCAATGCTTGAGAGCATGCCAATGACAAACTCACATCTTTGACTCGAGGCGGTCGTCAGGGCTCTCGAGTCTTGATCCCCACCGAGGGCCGGGACGAAAACGGATACAACCATACGGCCGATTCAGCATAGCCAAACTCTTTTCCCTTGAATCAATATGCCGGCACATTCGGCACCCACCTGTGGACCCCTTCTCCTCCACCAGGCTGGACGTGATGCTACTGCAATGACCGACAAGTAGTTCGGCCAACGACCTGGTTCCTGGGACGTCCTGACCCTTCAACTCAAGTCCCCCTGCTATACCTGCAGCAGGCGGCACGGTACCGCAACGAGACAACCGCAGCAGTACCAGCGCCGGATCACGATCTTGACGACACCACGCGAAGATGAAGAACCCCAAATCCAGCATCTCCTTCACCTCCAAACCCGTCGACGGCGCAGAATCATCTGGCTCCGCACCCTACGATGGCATCCACAAAGGCCACCAGGGCGGCAACGACGCCCACCTCCGCACAATCGGCGGCGGAGCAAAGCTGAGCAAGCAGTACGGACCCGTGGACAAGCTGGATCGCTACCTCTCCTCGAAACCGATCATCTCCTTTGGCCTGACGCTGCAAGCCTCGTGGGAAGCTGTAGCAATCTCCTTCCAGTCGACACTTCTCAACGGCGGGCCATCGACGCTGGTGTACGGTATGCTGTTGAGTACGTTCGGCTCGAGCGCGATGGCTGCGACGCTGGGTGAGATGGCTTCGATCAATCCTTCCGTTGGCGCGCAGTACCGGTGGACTGCTATGCTGGCACCGAAAGGGTCAAACCCAAGGTTCTTGGGCTACCTGCAAGGCTGGCTTACGGTGTTCGCATACAACGCTGCATGCGCTCTCAACCCCTTCCTCATGGCGCTCATAATACAAGGCTGTATCATCCTCTGCGATGAGACGTACATTCCTGCGGCATGGCATACCACTCTTCTCGCATACGCCTCAATGGGCATACCTGTACTCTGCAACATCTACGCCCGCCGACTGATTGCGCCTTTGGAAATCGTTGCGGCTATTCTCCACGTCCTGCTGCTGATCGTTTTCGTCGTCGTCCTCACCACGATGGCTCGGAGAAGTACCGCGGACTTTGCCTTCAACACCTCGTTCTTCGGCATCTCTGGCTGGGAGAGCCAAGGCATACAGTGGTCCGTCGGTCTGCTGGCAGTCATCTTTCCACTTGGAGCCTACGATTCGTTGCTTCACATGGCGGATGAAACGAAGAATGCCGAGCGAACCGTACCACAGGCTATGTGGATGTTCACTGCGCTTTCGGGCGTGGTCGGCTTCATCTTCGTCATTGTGCTCATGTTCTGCCTTGGGGATGTCGACAAGGTGTCGAACACACCTACAGGTAAGCAGACGGTTGTATAGCCCGCATTCCGCAGGTCGGCTAATATGTTTCGTAGGCCTGCCCATCATCGAAACACTGTATGAAGCCACCGGCTCCAAAGCCGGGACCGTCTTCATGATGCTGTGCATCTATGTGATCATCGGCGCCTCACAGTTCAACATCCTCGCTTCCGTCTCGCGACTTGCATGGTAAACATCATATATCTCTCAATCTTGGTAGCAATACTGACCCACCACCACAGGGCCTTCGCAAAAGACGGCGGCCTCCCCTTCAGCCACATCTTCGCCCGTGTCCACCCCACCCTCCGCATCCCCGTCAACGCCGTCATCCTCACAACAACCGTCTGCCTCTTGATCAACATCATCCCCATCGGCTCGACGACAGCTTTTTACGCGCTCACCTCGCTGTCAACGCTGGCGCTGTATTTCAGCTATTGCGTGCCTGCGACCTTGATCTTGATCCGCAAACTACAGCGTACGTTCCCCGCGTACGGGCCTTGGAAGATCCAGGGAGGATATTGGACTGGGTTGGCTGTGAATATCTTCGCGTTTTCGTGGGGCTGGTATTGCGTGTTTTGCCTGTCCATGCCAACGTTTATGCCGGTGACGGCGGCGAATTTGGTGAGTCCTTCCACAGATAAGTAACACCGAGAGTGACAGTGCTGACTGCAGCTTTGCTAGAACTGGGCCGGTCCTATCTTGCTGGGTGTGATCTGTATCGCCATTGGGTCGTGGTTTGGTGGTGGCCACCGCAACTTTGTCCTACCCAAGGACGGCGTGGACCAGAAGGAGGGCATCGATTGATTGATAGACCGGCAGAATCTTGGCAGTATTTGGGATAGAACAGAACCAAGATACGCTGTACCAAAGTAGTTCTCCAGATCCGAGACATGGTGGTCCTTCACGCCGCGGTCTCTGGCTCTACATCATCTCATTGCCATGGCCAAGCGCCATTGTGTTCGAATACTCGCTCCTCAAGCGCGTTCTTCGACATGACCGTGGCACGATCGTACAACGGCCGGTGTCATACGCATCAGTGTTCCAGGAGTTTGCGTTGTGTTCTATAGTGGCGTGGTCGGAGCCGGCGGCCTGCTCCGTACACAAGAGATACGCCATAAAGCCTCTCCGGTGGGTGCTCTGAGGGTCGTAGCAATGGACAAGTATTGATCCGACTTAGATGGTATGATACCAAATGTTGTTGCTTTTTCGCCTTGCTCGCAGTTGCCCTTGTTCCACCGAAAGGTCGCTTGCATGCCTGAAAGCGGTATAGAGGCCATCGGGGCCGGGAGAACGAAGTCGGCAAGAACGATCGCGAAACCGAGCTCATGTCGGCGCCAGCTGTCCGCCTCTTCGCGAGATCGTCTCGACTACACGGATGAACTTCTCGATAGATCAACACATGATGAAACAGTAGGTATGATTAGTAGAATACAACAAGAACCACGACGTGTCGAACTTGGAGTTTCTCCGCCATCACTTCAAAGACGATACAGAAGCCCTAGCAAGACTCAGATTCCTGCGGAACTCTATCTTTCAGCTCATATCAACAGCACTTTCCGCATACATCTCACAGCCAGCTCCTGGAGATACCGTCACCACCATCACCACCACTCCGACCTCGAAAGCCAAGCGTCATCAAAACAACAACCCCCGCCAAACACCATCATGACCACCACCCCCAAACCCCTCTCCTTCTTCGGCGCCACCGGCGACTCCACCGCCCACTGCCTCGCCCACTCCCTCCGCTGTTCCCACCCCTGCGTCGCCCTCGCCCGTACCCCCACCAAACTCACCACCAGCCTCAGAGCCAAAAACGTCTCCGACGCGCAACTCGACCAGTACCTCACAATCATCCCCGGCGACGTCCGAGACCTCGACGCCGTCAAACGCACCCTCCTCACCGCGGACGGGAAAGGTGTGGCGGAGATGGTGGTTGTGGGGGTGGGGAGTTATCCGACCTGGCAGTGGAGTGTCACGGAGCCGATTGTGCAGACGGATCCGAAGATTTGTCAGGACGCTGGAGCGAGGATCCTGCAAGCGCTTGAGGAGCTGAAGCCGGTGAGGAAGCCGTTGTTGGTGAATGTGTCGACCACCGGCATACCGCCGCAGGGAAAACCGTGGGATGTGCCGCGGTTGTTTTCGTGGCTCTACCGCGTGCTGCTGCATAACGCGCACGCGGATAAGATTGTGCTGCAGGAGCGGTTGGGGGAGTATATGCGGCGGCCGGAAGCGGAGAGGGGGATCAGGGGGTTTGTGAATGTGAAGGCGAGTTTGTTGATGGATGGGGAGGCGTTGGGGGTGGAGAAGGTAAGGGAGGGGATGGAAGATGAGCCGGCGGTGGGGTATACGATTCGCAGGGCGGATGTTGGGGGGTGGATGTTTGGGCGGTTGGTGAAGGGGCGTGTGAGGGAGGAGTGGGTGGATAGGGGGGTGTGTATTACTTACTGAGGTTGTTGGGTTTTGAGTATTGGTGGCGGTTTTGCGAACGGAAGAGCACATTCGTAGTGAAGCGCCAGTTCACATAATATCATCGCAGGCTCAAAACCAGGCTTATGTTGATGTGGCAGCGCAATGGTACTGATATCGACTTGCCGCAAGCCATCGAGGTCGGCCATGTTGTCGAAAGCGTAAACTTCCTCACCAATTGACAACGATGAGCTTGCAAGAATCGAATTACCCTCGAACATTTTCCTGTCGCCCGCAAGGCCTATCGTCGGCAGCGTATGTGAAGATGCAAACCAACAGCGCTTGTAGCGCCTCTGGGCGTTTATGACGGCTGCGTTCGAGACCAGATAGGCTCTGATCAGCTCTTTGAACCTACTCCGAAGTACCACGGATTTTGCTCCGAGGACCAGAACGGCAATGTCTCTGCACTTATCTTCAGGCTCCGTGGAAGGATGACTGTTGGCTCCGCGGTGCGGTGCCGCGGGGTGGATGTTGAACTTTGGTCTTCAACAGCACAGACAGCGATCGAGACCTGTCTAGAATTGTACAACGCTCGACGGCCGGGAGAGAGGCGAAATGCTGGAGAGGCTTTCCTGCTGTGGCTCAACTCCCGCCCACGCGAAGAAGAAGGGATATCCTTGTTACAACATTCAAGGTCGAGCCGCACGCGGAGCCGGCTCCTTCGAGATGCGAGATTGACGTTACAGTGCCGATCACGCTGCTCGTCGCTCGAAAGTCGGAAAGGCGTGAAGGTCGAACGACAGACAGACACGCCTGTCTCACATCCAGTCATCCAGTCTTCAAGGAGAGACTCAGAGACAAGCTGAAAATGACGTCGTCGCTCTCCGCTCTCCGGACCCAAAGATCCGGCGCCGTCAAGCCACAGAAAGCACGAAGAATTGGCATCATCCAGCAGACTGGAGAAGCGTGGCGGCTGACGTGTAGCGCGGAGTTAGAGATCGAGCGCCACGGTGTTCTCTGGCGGGTGAGCGGGTGATGTGGGATGGCTGGCAAGCTGGTCGCTGGTCGTAATTGTCGGACCACGGCGAGCGCGCCGGCGGCAGCGTAGAGCGTCGTCTTCATGTTGAGCCTTGAGATCTCTCAGCCTGCAGCTGTGGCTTCAGCAGTGACGACGAGTCTGGACTCACCACACGAGAGTTTGCGGGAAGCGAGAGCTTCTGTTCTCTCGGTGTTTGCGGTCGGTGGAGTACCCGTCTCCGACTAGGCCGGAAGTGGGAATTTGAGGAATCGAAAGAAGGCGCACCTCGTCACAATCTCTGCACAGCCTCAGTAGCCGCATCCGCATCGCCGCTCCGCTCGGCAAGCACCACTCTCGCACAACGCCCTCCCCCAAGCCCGCCGTGGCGTGTCCTTTGTCCTGGTTGCTGTCGACGAGCATCGCATACCGCAGGACACCATACACCTCTGATCGACCGTGCTGGGAACAACCTCAACCGCCGATTCCCGCCCGGCAAACATCCGAAGCTGCAGGCGCAGTCCCGTTGGTGATCATTATCCGCCTCCGAGGCTTGGAGCAAGCAGCCTCACTCGCCAGCCACTTGGACGACAGTTGGCACTCCTGCGCACTCACCTGCACCCTCGACGTACAGAGCCTCCCGATAGCTCTGGGTGACCTGCCAGGGAAGACACATTCACTGCGCAACGGGCGACTGCGTTCGTGGCGCCGTGACAATTCACCGCCGTGCGATTGGGTGATGCGAGAGTACGGCTTACGCTGGGAGGAATACTGGGAACACACGCAAGGAACATTCTGGACTGGGAAATACCTCGATCCTCGTAAACGACAGCTGCCCTTGACATGGCAACGACCAGCCGCTCGTCCACGCCGCATACCGAACCGTTTCCACCGCTCGACGCGCAACCCCGAACACCCACCTCGCTCTCTTCGCTCCCCGTCAAAACGACCAACGGGCCAGAGAACCAGAACCTCCTGAAGCCAGAGAAAGATCGTATCGCCGCAGGCTTCTCGCCAAAGCTAGACAAGCGCGTGCTGTCACCGTTGCCTCTGACTGGGGCGGCGGCGATGGCCGAGCTGAAGAAGAGGAAACAACAGCAGCAGGGAACTACAAGTCCGAGAGAGACCAGCCCTAACCCAGCCGTCGCGGCTATGCAGAAGTTGATGGGTGGCGGCGGCGGCATGTCCAGGCCGTCAGATGCGCCATCACCGAGCAAGCTCAGCGAACCCGTGCAATCGGCCGCAGAGAAGATGAGCGTGGACAATGCCATGACAGAGTCTATGCAGACCAGTCCGATCAGTCTGTCCAGCTTTGGCACTCTCGAAAGCACCGGCGTGGCAGCGAACATGACAGCCACAGCGCATGACCATCCTGCCTCAGGCCCTCAATTTGTGGCTGAGCCCGCGCAGATGACGGAGCCAGTCTCATATACGAATGGCCAGAAATATCTGAACGTCATGAACGATGAAGGACCAAAGGCATTCTCATATCCCGGGCCCCCGCCACAGGATCAAGGCGAGGGCGGGCCATCTAGAGGTATGAGTCTACCCGGATTTGGCCAAGGCAGTCCAAAATCTCCTGCGTCGTCGAACAAGCGACACAAGTGCCCGTATTGCTCGACGGATTTCACGCGACATCACAACCTGAAGAGCCACCTGCTGACTCACAGTCAAGAAAAGCCGTACGTGTGTCAAACCTGCCAGGCGAGGTTCCGGCGGCTTCATGACCTCAAGCGACATACCAAGCTACATACTGGAGAGCGGCCCCATACATGCGACAAGTGTGGGAGGAAGTTTGCACGTGGCGATGCACTCGCGAGGCATAATAAAGGCCCAGGAGGATGTGCTGGTCGGAGGTCTAGTTTCGGTGGAGACGACGAGTTTGGAGAAGGGGAAGGCATGGACGGCGTGGAGTATGATGGCGAAGACGGGAGCAGCCCGGATCACGGCCGGCGCGTAAGCGAACCGAGCCGGAAGCGTGCGCATCTCGAAACACCCCACGACCCGAATCGCCAAGTCTATCGGCAACAGTCCAGCACATATCCGCCGCCACCACAACAACAATCGCGGCCGCATGCTGGGAGTATGGGCAATATGGGTCCACCAACCGTTGTGCTACCCGGATCACATGCCGTGTCGTCCCCGCGCGACATGTCTGGCCAACACAGCCCTGGTGGAGGCTCGATGAGCTCGATACAGTATGGTGGTAGCACGCAGGTCCTTCCCTATCAAGGCGGCATGATCGAGTCACCAAAACCACTCTCGCCCGGCCAGCCGCCGCCACAAGACCAACACCGCCTAAGCATCGGTGACGCCTCCCATTCCAGTCAAATGCTCCGCCACCGCTCACCCAGCCTCACTACCCAATTTCAACAACAACACTTCGGCCGCGGCAGCGGCGGTAGAACCCCGCCCCAACCACCGAGCCAATTCCCTACATCCCACCACGGCTCCCAACCCGCCCCTGTCCTACCACCACTTGGAAACCAAACCCAACAGCCTCGCGGCAACCCGCAACCCACGTCTATGCAAGCCGGCCCCGGCCCCTCCATGCTCCAGCACCAACAACTTCCCCCCTCCATTACAAACCCCGGCTCCAACCCCGGCAGCCACTCCTCCCACGGCCGCTCGTCGGGCAGCAGCATGCGCGACGCCATGGGCACCGATCCCAGCGACATGTGGGGCTATATCCGCGGTTTAGAAGCGCGCTTCAACCGCATGCAGGACGAGTACGAACTACGCATCAGCAGATTGCAGGAGGAAGTGATCTCGCTTAGAGGGCAAGTATCGGCGAGCCAGAGCTATAGCAGCGACATGGGGCAGCAGCCGAGGTATTAGTGCTACCCCAGCGAGCCGCCGCATGGCTGTGAAGGGCGCGCGGACTCGGTGTTGAGGTGGACGTGGGCGGAGGAAGGAAATCCGCTGGCGCTGGCTGCTCATGCAACATTTACGGAGCAGCAGCAGGTCCCGGCGGAGGAGTGGATGGCGTGATCGCATTGTCATGTTGACGAGGAGAAGAAGATGCATCGCACTCGCAGTACGAACAAAAGTACGGGCAGGTATGAGAGTGGAAGTGTATGAGTAGACTGCGCCACAAAACTTCTGCATGGCGCTTGGGTGTTGTGTGGGAACGGGAAGGGAAGGGGGAGGGTTACGATGTGATATCCTGTCGTTTGGGGCTTGTTTCTCTTTTGTTGGAAGATGTCCTTTTGTACGATAGTTAGGTGGTTGATAGATTTTGCGAGACTATGGCATTATCTTATGATCAACGAAGACCTTTCAATAATTTGAGGGATATTGATGAGTGTGTGATCGAGGGTACTATATGCCAAGCTCTTCCAGGGTCGTTCTTGCCCTGTGAGGTCGTGGTATCGCTTATCGGCCGCCTCCGAACGACTTGCTTGCTTCTGCCACTTCACGTCCGTCCCGTCGCCACCATCAAGCACTTACCTTATCATCCGAACAACACTGGAAAGGGATCCAAATGCCCCCCGCATCACCGCCATCACCACGACCCTCTGCTCTTCCCACCGACTTTGGCTGAAGCAATCTCTACAATGGCATCACCGGCCACTCCAAATACGATGGACCCCGATCACTACAACACCTACATCTCCCACATGCGCCAGCAGCAGTATCCCATGCTCTCAGGACCCTCCCCCGAAACAATCTACCTCGACCATGCCGCCGCGACCCCCGCCGCTCGTCTTTTGCTCGACCGCTTCCATTCTTCTATGCTGGGGAGTTTGTACGGAAACCCGCACTCCGCTTCCCCTTCGTCGATGAATTCTTCGCAAATGGTTGAGCGGGTGCGGCAGAGGGTGCTGCGGTTTTTCGGCGCGGAGACGGGGGAGTTTGATGTGGTTTTTGTGGCCAATGCTACGGCGGGGGGGAAGTTGGTGGCGGAGGGATTGCGCGAGGGCGAGGGGTTCGGGTATGTGTATCATGCGGATTCGCATACGAGTCTTGTTGGGGTTAGGGAGGTTGCGAAGGACTCGCGGTGTGTGGGGGATGAAGGGGTGGAGGCGTGGTTGAGGGAGTTGGAAGAGGGGGAGTTGGAAGAGGGGGAGGGAGGGGAGGGGAGGATGTTGTTCAGCTGGCCGGCGCAGTCGAATATGAACGGTCGCCGGTTGCCGATGGAGTGGTGTGGACGGGTGAGAGAGACTGCGAGGAAGGGTGGGAGGGAGGTTTTCACGTTGTTGGATGCGGCGGGATTGGTCTCGACTTCGCCGCTGGATTTGAGCGATGCGGATGCGGCGCCGGATTTTACTATTCTGAGCTTCTACAAGATCTTTGGCTTCCCGGACTTAGGTGCCGTGATCGTGAAGAAGTCAGCAGCGCACATCTTCGACCGACGGAAGTTCTTCGGTGGTGGAACGGTGGATATGGTCGCTTGTATGGGCGAGCAATGGCATGCAAAGAAGTCTGGAGAACTGCATGATCGGCTTGAAGACGGGACGTTGCCGGTGCATAGTATTCTTGCTTTGGACGCCGCGCTGGATACGCATGATGAGTTGTTCGGGAGTCTGGAGAGGGTTTCGAGACATACTGCTATGCTTGCGAAGGAGCTTCATGATGGCCTGACGGCGCTGAAGTATGCGAATGAGAGGGCGGTGTGTAAGGTCCACAAGCATGCTGCATCTACGTACGGCAAGAGGAAGACTCAGGGACCGATCGTGGCGTTCAACCTGCTCGATGCGCATGGTGACTGGGTCAGCAACTCGGAGGTAGAGAAGCTGGCTACGATACATAACATTCATCTACGGACGGGAGGTGTGTGCAATCCTGGCGGGATTGCCTCAGCGCTCGATCTGGCGCCTTGGGAGATCAAGGAGAACTTTTCGGCCGGCCATCGATGTGGGAGTGAGGACGATGTGCTGAATGGGAAGCCTACGGGTGTTGTACGTGTGAGTCTGGGCGCCATGAGTACAATGGGCGATGTCGAACGGTTTCTGGAGTTTGTGCAGGAATTCTTCGTGTGCAAAGTGCCACCGGAGCCAGCGCCTATGCCTTGCCCGGTACGGGGACCACAGCAGAGGCTTTATGTGGAAAGCTTGACGGTGTACCCGATTAAGAGCTGCGGCGGCATGCGTGTACCGTGTGGCACGAGCTGGGAGATCCGATCAGAAGGACTGGCATGGGATCGGGAATGGTGTGTCGTTCACCAAGGCGCTGGAAAAGCACTCAGTCAGAAGCAGTATCCACGAATGGCGCTCCTCCGACCACACCTAGACTTCAAATCTGGCATGCTACGATTGACCTTCGCAGGCGGTGGCAACGAGATCTCAGTCCCGCTCTCCAGGAACCCAGCCCTCTACACCGAACCCCTCAAACCACGCAACGCGTCCGTCTGCGGCGACTCGATCGAAACACTCACCTACTCCTCCCCCACCATCGCCGACTTCCTCACCCTCGCCCTCGACGTCCCCTGCACCCTCGCCCGCTTCAACTCCACCTCTTCCACCCTCCGCCACAGCAAAGTCCACCTGAAACCTGCCCACCAACCCGACCCCAGCATCCCGCGGCCGCTCATGCTCTCCAACGAATCCCCAATCCTCATCATCACCCGCTCCTCCCTCAACCGCCTCAACGAAACCATCAAATCCCACGGCGGCAAAGCGGCCCATCCCTCCGTCTTCCGGGCTAACATCGTGCTCGCGGAGTCCTCGCCTGGGTTCGAGCAGCCGTGGGCAGAAGACGAGTGGAGCAGCGTGAAGTTTGGGGGCGAAGGGCCGAGGCTGGAGGTGCTGGGTGGGTGTCGGCGGTGTCAGATGGTTTGTGTGGACCAGGAGAGCGCGGAGAGGGATCGGGAGCCTTTTAGTACGTTGGCGAAGACGAGGAGGGTGGGTGGGAGGGTGTTGTTTGGGGTGCATGCTGCGTTGGTTGAGGGGAGGGGGAAGGATGTGAGAGTTGGGGAGTGGGTGGAGGCGGTTGGGAAGGCGGATGGGGAAGACGGTACTTCTGTGCAGTGATCGTACCACTCTTCTCGCCATCAAACTCACATGAAGAAAGGCGGGGCACCCTTGTACCTCGAGTGAGGGTACTTTTGACCTTTCTTTCCTGTGCGGCTCGTTGTGCCTTACGGAACCGATGCCAACGATGGATGACATACCAACCTCGATCCCACTGAGCGACACTCCGAGCTTGACTGATTCAGAGTTGCGACGTCTACTGCCCCCGGATACAGACATTGCAGAAGCCAAATCAGCATGCGCGACTGGAAGCCTGTACACCGCGAAGGGGGCCGTGGAACGTCTGACCAGCGAAGGTGTACCGGTCGTTAACCTTCGAGGCTGTCTCCTCGAGGGCATCAGATCCAGAGACGAAGCCGTGGTCGAGATGCTGCTATCCAAAGGTGTCCCCATCAAACATGTTCGCCGTGGAGCTAGCGGTACGACAGAAGTCTACCGAGATCTTGTCTTTGCTACTGCAATATGGATGGGACATCAACAGGGAGATGGAGTGGTGTTCTCGGTCTCTGCTCGGGTAAGCTTCGATCCTTCATCTACATGTTTTATTGGCCTAATCATGTGTACTAGGCTCGCCGTAACTCAAGATGCAGACCTCAAGCTTGTGTCTTGGTTGCTCGATCAAGGCGCAAATCCCAACGTACGTTGCCAGATGGACATCACTCCTCTCTCCAACGCCGTCCTCAAAGCGCCACTCCCGGTGATCGAGCTCCTGTTCGCACATTCTAACCCACCCTACCGCGGAGAGCTGCTCCATAACGCAGCAATGCGCACCACGGGCGATGCCGAAGAGGTCGTTCGAATGGTGCTTGAACGCTGCCAACTGGACATCAATCACATTGTGTACGAAGGTGACGTCTTTTCGTACGAGGTGTGGAAAGTCTCTGGCCTGGGTACTGCCCTTCACGAGGCCGCCAAAATTGGGAATGCGAGCGTGGTGCAGTTGCTGCTGGCCAGTGGTGCTGACGTCTCGATTCGCGACTCGTGTGGACGGACGGCTCTTGAGGTTGCTGAGCTGTTCGGACACCATTCCATCGTCGAGATGTTGCGAGGCAGTGAATGTTGAACCGCCCCATGCTGTGGTTGATGTATACGCAGTTTGGCTGTTGCTGTGTCGAATGGTCAACATGCGACTGAAAAAGTCTGGCAGACCTACTCTTCGCGATCTTACTCCAGTCGGCCCCGACATCGTTTCTGGTGTATTAGGCAGCAGTTGCCATTTCGCCAGCAAAGTCTCCGAATTTCTTCAAGCACCTCTGCCTCCATTAACTGCATGAATAAAATGATAGACAGATTATCCATGCTGGACATGACAGCAGTATTATAGTGCGACAAAAAATGGCATGCTCCGACGTAATGCTGTGTTTTTGCCACCAGCGAAGCAGCTCCATGTCAGCGCACATGCTTGTCTCAAAGAGTGCAGGTCTAACCATCGTCTACATCTCGATCATCTGTACAGACCCATAAGCGTCTTCCAGCTCTCGCACTTCACCAGGCTCGAATTCGACGGCGAAAGCCTCGCGGACGTTCTCGATTCTCGAGTCAGTCGCGAGCCCGAGGATAGGACACGATCCCTGGTGCAGCAACCAGGCAGTCGCCACAGCAGCCATCGATCGCCCCTTGCGCTCCGCCAAAGCCTCGAGCTTACCGACCACTGCCTCATCTTGTTCACCCTTGAACCACTGCTTCGTTTTCGCATCTACCTGTGACCGCGCTGTCTGTTTGTGATATGGTCGTCCAAGCAGGCCTCGCGCGAGCGGGCTCCAGGGTAGGATCGCAATGCCCTCGGATCTGCAGAAAGGGACCAGTTCGCGTTCTTCTTCCCGATACAGCAGGTTCCACAGCGGCGAGATGCAGCTGAAGGGCGTCCAGCCGTGCATCTTGGCCGTAAACTGCATCTTGGCCAGTTGCCAGCAGCGCAGATTGGAAGCGCCTAGGTAATGGACTTTACCCGCCACGACGAGATCGTGCAAAGCGCGCATGATTTCTTCGACTGGTGTTTCCACATCTAACTTGTGTAGCATCAGGACGTCGAGATATGGTGTCTGAAGGCGGCGGAGGGAGCCTTCCACCGCCTCGAAGATACGCTTGCGACTCAGGCCCATTTGATTCGCAAGCGGCCCATCGTTGGCTGCTGGTTGCGATCGCAAGTCTGGTGTGTCTTCGAGGACTGGGTGGTAGATTTTGCTGATGATCACGACCTTGCTGCGAGGGATATCATACTGTTTCATCGCTTTGCCGATGATTAGCTCAGAGTGGCCATTCGAATAAGTATCAGCAGTTTCCCATGTGTTGAGTCCAGTGTCGTATGCTCTCTTTAACAGAGGAAGAGACTCGGAATCCGGGAGCACCCATGGACTGCCCTGCCAGTTGGGATTGCCAAAACCCATGCAGCCCAGTATGACTCGTGATACTTTGAGACCAGTTGATCCGAGGTTTTGATATTGCATTTCTGGCTGGGTGGACTTTTCTGGTATTGACCATCGCTCCACTAAGTCTCGTAGTGTTCCGTCTTGCCCAACGTTTCCAGGGAAGACAACAAACGGCACGCCCGGATATTTGGACGACTTCTCGTCACAGCGCCATAGCGGAACACCGGAAGCCGCTTGACCGCAAATCTCTGCTCGTCGCATGCGAAGCCCTTTGCTGGCAGCGTCTGAGCTCGTAATCCCTCCTTTAGCTATAATGTATCGCGGCCGAGGAATGAGTAGGCGTAGGAAAAGGACTAGAGCATCTGCGACCGCTTGCCCGATCCGCAGACTGGAGTTTCCGTCCTTGCCGGTAATGAGTTCCCTACTGGTCATGACCAGCACGTCCCGACTGGCAAGTATTGCCTCGCCTGCTCGATCGGCAGCCTCAAGGACAGCTGCTCGTGCGGTGCTGGCATCCAGTAAGTCCTTCACTTCGAGGCATATCGTCTCCAAAACATCCTTGCGACCGTCGGTCAAAGCCTGGAGTTGCGCAGTAGTCTTCGGCACGTATGAACCGGCGAGGATGAGCCCTCCCGGAGCTCGTGGTGAAATATCCATGGCCAGCGAGCTTGGACTGAGTGGCGGTATCTCCTCAATCGCCAGACGGGTTGAGACAAAAGCAGCGCCAGTACGATACAAGAAGCGCTTCCCTCTCATCCGAGCCTCCAGCAGCCCGAGAAGGAAGACCTCCATGTCTGAAGTGGCGATGGCGTTCACAATAACGACAGCGTGTGGAGGAGCACTCATCAGATTCTCGCATACTTTCTGTGCTCCGCCATTACGTATGTCTGCGATACTGACAGAGCAGATGCGGTCGTCGGTGATGCGACCGTTCGACTTCTCGACGATGTATCTGCGCAGATTCGAGTTGCAGTACCCAAATGATGCATCTTTGGCGAATGGGGTTTGGGCCGCAGGCGTCAACTCGCCTTCGGGACCTCGAACATAATGGACATCGTCTATCGTTAGGCGACCTCCCTGCTCGAAGAACGGTGCCAGAATCCATGCGTCGTGCTGGCCCAGCACCTCTTCAACGACCTCAGGCTCGTCAGGAAAGTGTCCACGGAGGGTGGAGTCGCCACGCAGGACTATCTCAATCTCCTGCCCTGCCGCAGCTGCGGCATCCTTGACCGCACGGCAGATGGTGGTGATGAGCTGGCGGGCTTCTGCGGTTGGAAGAGCACGGGAGTTGGTCAAAATGCTAAATAACAGATGGTTCAAAAAGTCAGCACATGTCTCTGAACTGCGAATAGCAGGCATGAGGTGTTAGAGCGAGGTAAAGTCTTCGATCGTGTCTTGGAGAACCCGTTCACTCATCAGTACTTACAAGAAGCCAGACGGACTAGAGCGAAATTCCTTCAACAGAGTCTCATGGTCCGATACTGTAAGCACGTTGATATCGTGGCAAGTCTGTGTGCCAGTCTATGGGCAAAAGAGTCAGCAAAGGTCTTAGGTCATCGAGCAAGGTGGCGAACGGGGCCAGACGCCACGTGAGAGTCACGTGGCGTCAATACAGTTTTGTCCATGAGCTCACTCACCGGATCGTCGTCCAATACTACCAGCACCGGAAGATATGGCCTTTGACTCGCAATGGATTTGGTGTGAGATGAATCCGACGGAACTGGTGGGTAGCGTTTGAGGACCTCATCGTATTGCAATAGCCTGTAGTCTTTAATACTACTCATGATGTCAAATGTGATAAGTCACGATGGTTGTTAGCCGCTCAATCGTCTCTTCTTCTTCGTGCTATACGGTTGTGCAGCTAGAGAGGTTGGAGAGATTCTGTCCTTACTCGGGCTATCTTTAGCCACCGGGGCCGGAGTATATAGTATACGCTACGTAATTATGTATTCGCGGACACTACTTCGTAGGGACCGAAAACGATTAACAAGATACCTCCTAAGCCCGAAGGAACATTAGCCCGAATTTCTTAGTTATTTCGAGCCTAATATAAGCTATGAAAATTACTACTACGTCTATAAGTACCGACCGTAGGACTCCCGATATCGTTCTAAAAAGTTTAGGCGATAACTTTATTAGTATTTCCGTCTTTTAAAGTATAATAGGGGCTTTACTCGACGCTTCTTTCCGCCCTAGTAGCTTTCTTCGCCTTCTTTACCTCCTTCTTACTCTCCTTAGATTAAACGCCTAGGTTAAATAGTATTAGGGTACGTCCGCGCTTTACCTTACGCTAGTTTTACTTCTTCTCTATATTAGCCTACTTCTCCTTTACTTAGGGCTTATTAGGCGATATATTATATATCGATACGCTCCGCTAACCTATATATTACTAGTAGGAGTTCTATATCTCTAATATACTAGCGCTAGGTAGGTAATAGTAGAAGGGTAACGCTTAGTATAGAATCTACCCCTATAAGTTACCTACTTTACTATTATCTACCTAAAGTACTATACTAATATCCTATAGAAGGTACTATACTACTTTACTATACCGTAATACGAAGAAGTAAAGCTAGTAGAAGAGTAGCCTTAAGGATAGTATTATAAATATAGTAGAGAAGTTACGAGATTTTACTATTAGAAGTAGTACGTAAGCTAATTAGATAAGAGAGGTCTAAGCTTAAACTACTTAACGCTTAACGGTAATCGAGTAGTAAGTACTTAACGCTCGAAGGCTATTAAGTAGCGAGCGCTTAATAAGTAGCGAGTTTAAGTAGGATATAGATAGGTATATAGGAACTAAGAATATCTCTAACATTCTTATATTTAACTTAGATTATAATCTTACTAAAAGGTCTATAACTAATTAGGCTTAAGTTAGTATCCTTACCTTTATTTACTTATTACCTAACTCTCTAAAGAAGTATAATTAACCTTAATTACATAAGACTATCTTATAGGATTATAATAGATAGTATAAGCTAATAAGCTTAAATAGTATATAGTAATATATAGAATACCCGTATACCGAATAGTTAGTATATAATAGGACTAATCTCTATCTTTTAATTAAGAGGTAGAGCCTCGCTATATATACGCCTACGTAGCCCCTAAGCCTAGTAGCCCCTAAGCCGGTTACCTAGCTAGATCCCTTACTCTAGTCCTTATAGATAGGTAGAGAAGCCCGCCGTCTAGTCCTAGAATCGCGAGTACTATATAATTCCTTCTAGCGCTATATAGTAACGAGTACCCTTCTCTAGGCTCTAGAAAGACTTTATCGCTAGTACTTAAGCGATCGAGTTCTACTAGTCTCTAGGCGCCGTCGAGAAGAGCCTATAAGATAGTACGGTAAAGAGTAATAAGCGCTATAAGATCTATAGCGTCTATCTTAATAGTTTATATTCTAAGAGTTATAATCGTAGCCTAACGTAAGGAGGTAGAAGATAGAAGAGGAATATTTAAGGCTACTAACCTATCTTTTTTCGTTCTATACTAGATTTCTCTAGGCCTTATTTAATAGTCTAATAGATTCGTTAATATTACTACTATAGTTTACTATCGACTTTACGTAGCTACTAGTATAGCGCTAGGTAAAGATCTAGAAGATAGTAGTCTAGTAGGTAAAGGCGGAGAAGGTAAAGTCCTAGTAGGCGAGGATCTAGCTACTAGTAATTTTGTAGATAGAGGTAGAGAATATAAAGTACTCGTATACTATAGAGTAAAGGGTAACGGCCTAGTATAAGAGATATCTATATTAGAGAGCTTAGTATAAGGAGCGCTAGTATAGAAGAGCCTAGTATAAGAAGCTCTAGTATTAGAAGACCTAGTATAAGGAGCGGTAATATTAGAAGGCCTAATATAAGGAGCGCCGGTATTAGAAGACCTAGTATTACTAGAGTAGTTACTAGAAGTCTAAGTATTATAAGTGCGGCTATTAGAAGTCTAAGTACTAGAAGTTACTATATATAAAGGCTAGATATTATAAGGGTAGGTACTAGAAGCCTAAGTATTATAAGAGTAGCTCTTAGAAGTCTAAGTATTATAGTATAGTAGGAGCTTTAAACTACTCTTATATAAGTTACTATTATTAGGTAAGAAAGCTAGTAGACTCTTAGTATATCCGCTATAAAGGTATCGTAATAATAGAAAAGAAAATAGTATAGTATTATAATTTAGCTATAGGAGGTTATTACTATATATTAGTAAGCGCCTATAATTTAGGTTAAATCTATTATTTAAGGCCTAAAAGGATTAGTATTTAAGTTTATAGTACTCTTATCTATATAGCTCCTCTTTACTTGCGATCTATTTATACTCTACTTAAGGCTACTAGTCTTTAGAAATATCCTTAGTAAACTCTACTTAAGGCTACTAGTTCTTAGGAATATCTTCTAAGAGCTATATTTAAAGCTACTTAACTTCGCTAGTAGTCTTACTAAACTCTACTTAAGGCTACTAGTCTTTAGAAAAATCCTCTAAGAGCTCTTATTAAGGCTACTAGTTTTTAGAAATATTCTTATTAATAACTAGAGAGGACTTAGACTTTATCTATAAGTAGTTAATTAGCTTATCTCTAGTACTACTAGATAGGAAGTTTATATACAAATAGAGAATATCTAGACTCTCTTAGATTAGCTATCTAGGACTTCTCTATTATAATCCTATAAGGTAGTCTTATATAATTAAGGTTAATTGTTAAGAATTAGTAGTTTAGAGGGTTAGTAGAAGTAAGCCTAAGGTATAGCTAAGGAAGCTATCTTATCTTTATAGGATAGCTACCTCTATCTTCTTCCTTTCTATAACGTAGTAATAATATAGTAAGGTACGCTTCTATCCTATTCCTATTATATATTCTATCTCCTACTCTAGTTTAAGCTTCCTAATATATCTTTTAATAGAACTCTTACTTTAGTAGAGTTCTACTATACTATATAAGAGATTAACGTTACGATAATACTATCTTTAAAGTAGAATAGCGTAACGAATCTATAAAGTAGGCTTCTACTAATAGTCTAGGATATAGAGAACCTCTATTAGTTCCTTGTATAGAAATAGTTAGATAGTAGTACTATATTATATAGTATATATAAAGCTAGTTTAACTTATCTAACGACTAAGTTAGTAGAGGTACTAGTCTATAAGGTACTTACGCCCTATTAGTATAAGCGACCTAAGGCCGCCTTTATTACCTAGCGCCTAAGCTCTCTATACTATATAGCTCCTATATATATTAAAAGACTAGAGCGCTATTATTTATTGATTTAAATAGTATAGGCGTTACCTCGAGCTATACTCTAGTATAACGTAGACGAGTATACTCTATATATACTAAAGATAATAAAGATATATATTATCTCTATATACTCTTATATATAAGGCTAACTTCTAAACTAGTAGTTATCCTAGCTTCTACCTTAAGGCGACCCTTAGTAATCTAGCGGAAGTACTCTAGAAAGTAGAAGTAGTATAGCTAAAGTTATTCTTTCTATAGATAATCGAGAATGCTAAATAAACTACGCTATAAGCTAGAACTCTAAAGTAGTACTTACGGGTTCTAAAGGCGATCTATAAGTATAATACTAGCGCTATACTAGATAAAAGTTTAGTCGCTAATATAAACGCGGTTTATAACTACTAGCGTTACTTATATTACTCTACTAACTAAAGTAGATAGTCTATCTAATACTATACTAAAGGTAAAAAGGAGACGTTATACTACTCTAAACCGGTACCCTTAAGCGTAGACTTTATAAATATACTTTACTTCCTTTATTCCTAGGATACTATAATATATCCTAACGAGTAGTAGCGAGTCTAATAAGGATTTCTTATAATTATCTATATATCTAGCGGCCTATAGCTAAGCTTAACTACTTAATCGAGTAGAGAACGGCGGGAAAGAGTTTCTAATAATAACGTAGGAGTAGTTAAGGATATTATAACTATACTATTACAATCTATTACGGGAGAGTAATGTATATATAGGAGCTTAGTATAGTTTAGTATTTAACAAGTTCGATAAAAGAGAGAAAGAACTTCTAGCCTAAGTCCGAAGGAAAGTAAGTAGACGCCGTAGTAGTACGGGCCTAGCCCGAGCCTTATATCTAAGGGCTTGCTCTTTATATTACCCCCCTCCTTCGCGTTCCTCTAGTAGTAGAGCGGTCTCCGTCCAAAAGTTACTAGTCCTTAAGTCTTTCTAACCGTTTCCCTAGCGTAGCGCTAATATAGGATTTATATAAAGTTATAACTTTACGTAAATATAAGGTTTTAATAACCTTACCTTTATATTGTTTTTATTATCGCTATAACTTAATATACTCCTATAGCTTAATAGCTATTGTCGCTATATAACAATAGCTACTAGTAAGTATACTAAAGGACTTCTACCCTTCTTAACCCTCTTTCTTCTTTCTTTAATTAATATTAATTAAAGTAAGTTCTTCCTTATTCTATATCTATATCTCCTTTTATACGCTTTCCGGCGTTTTTTCTTAGGGCTCCGGCTAATACTTACTAGTTATAGATAGTAGCTCTTATTTACTATATAAGCTATACTAACTCTAGATACAATTACGTCAACTAAGCTATAAGTTCCTAACCCCGGCTTGTTTTGTTTAGATTCTACTAATGTTTTTAGTCTTCCCGCTCTCGCGCCTATACTACCTATACTAGGGGTCGTAAGAATTACGAAGACCTATAAGTTATTTTTGGAGTCTATTTGAAAACGCTCGCTAACCGTCCTAGTCCCTAAATAGCCTATATTGCCTACTCTACCTAGACTCGT